TGCCGCTGTCCAGTTCCAGAACTGGTTAGGCGGGCCGTGTAGGCGCCACAGATCGCTGCCTCGTCGGCCTAGTCGTCATCCAGCACTGTTCTGCGCGTGCTCCATGGCCGCCCCGCCGCCGCCGCCGCCGCGCGCCCGTTCCTGTGCACGCCGCTCGCTGCTCGCCGCTCGGTGGACGCGTGGTCCCCAGGTCACTGCCCCAAATACAGCATCCAAACATCCAAACTCGACCAGATTCACCACAGCCGGCGGCGCCAGCGTCCTTCCATCGGGGGACCTTCTATCGGGCGGCGCACGCCGGCACGCCCCACACGGGCCCACGCCCACGCCGCCGCCCGCGCATGGCGCATGGCGCTCGTGTTTGTGGCGCGGCGAGCGTGGGTGGGTGGAACACGAGATAGTCAAGTGGGTGGCCATGGGTGGGTGGGTGGGTGCGCAAGTACCCCCAATTTGGACAACTAGGTGGCCGTGGATTCGAACTGGCGGGTCTCATGCAGCTGCGAGGCAGAGCCCGTTTCATGCAACAAACGCCGTCCGGACGCCGGCGCTGAATAGGGGGCGCGCGATAGAATGCCCACCTTTTTTTCTTTTCCTATACTGTCAGACAGTGTTGGTTTGTCCTGTGGAAGGGAGCATGTGGAGCCCGGCGAGCGAGCCCGGGGTGGTGTGGCACCGGTAGGTTGGGATTGAAATGGCGGTGTCGTTGAACCGCGGAGGATAAATTGCACTTGGGTAAATGAATACGGCAGCTCGACCCAGAAAAACGCGCTCTGTGCGCTGTGGTCCATCTGCACCACCGGTGCTGTACATGGACGTGCATCAGAACTGTGTGCCTCGTCCGTCTACTGCACGTTCATCAAGACTGCGCGGCGAGGCTGCGCGTCTTGCGTGCCTTCTGTTGGGTGTGGCTGGACATGTGGGGGCTCGGAGTTGTCATTCAGTCAATCTGTGCCACAAAGAGATCGCGCACGGACGGGTGAGAGACATATTGGCTTATTGGGTGTACAGTATGTCGTAGCATGGTGCCCACCGCGTGGGGCCCGGTCCTGCGGTGCAGCGATTTGCAGGTTGAGAGGAGGTTTGTGGCACTAGCGTTCTCGCCACATGACCGATCGGCGACGTTCCAAGTGCATGACCACATCGCCACACAAGCTGGGCGTGGTCTGTTCCACCCGCCGTCCAGTCACATTGACACTGCCACCTTCCTAACCCGTCACAGCGACCCAGTGGCCAGTGGCACACTTCCCGACCCGTCTCCATCTCCTAGTCCCCATGTCCCCCGATGTCTCATGATGCCGGGTTACAAACGTGGTGTTACGTCCATGAACTGCGATGGCACTCCGTACGGCAGCGCATTGTCAGTGGCGTACATACCCCGCCAATGGCATCGCCACCCAGCTTCAACCACAGTGTGACACCTTTCCATTACGGGTGGCACTGGTGGTTCGCCACAATGGACATGCTATTGTCAGGTGCAACCAGAATCTACATTTGGTCCACCAGGGCGCACTTGCAACTCCACTCCCAATTCCATACATACTAACCTAGAGGCTGTAGCCCTCGTCGTCGAAAGTGCTTGGGGTTACGCTCGTGCTGAGGCGGAGCGCAGTCCCTTGATCGTCCGGAGGCCGTCCAATACCAGCACCGTCAGGTGCCTACCAACAGACTACCCTGCCGAAATCATCGCGGGCGTGCAGTAGGACAAGAATCTGGACTGGGACTGAACCATCCTCGTCCTGCCGGGTGTGCTGGTCTATTGACATGGTTCATGTCATGTCCGCGACCCTTAACAGAACTCGTAAATTGAACCTCTCCAGCGCTCCAGTGATATCCTCGGCAGGTCCCATTGAGCCCCACTTTGGCACTCTTGTGTACCGACTTGGGCTGGTGTCTTAAGCATCCTTGGAGTCGCCCAACGGATGTGGGGGCTCCATCATGCCGATATGCCGACCGATCGCTCGCTTTGCTCCTACATGCCTGCCTTGCACCGGCACGACCGGCACAAAAAGCCTGGGCACAGAGGTCAAACTCTAATACCCCATTCTAGCTCTGTCGATTACCTCCTGCAGAGGCATTTCGCCACCCAAATAAAATAAAATAAACGCCACTAGGACTGTACTCAGTTTACACTCTTCCGCAGTATATCCCCCCATCGATCCCATGAACTGGAACTAGAGTGCGCTGCCAGCCGTGCCCAGCCCCTTCTTCATCAAGTGGAGCTGTGAGAGTGGTGCTGGAATCGAGTCTGTCCAGCGGCCAGCGACCAGCGGCTAGTAGCTGCTCGCCCCGCAGAGCTCGGCAGCCCCGACCCGACACCGTGACCTCGCTTTATCGCCTGTCCCTGCACCAGGAGGCCATACAGTGTGGCGCACCGAGGTAAAATCTTTTCTTTTCGTCGTCGTTCTCTTGTGTGATGCGACAAAAAACCTCTGTTTTAGCGTTCTCTAGTGGACCGTCTCAGGGCACGTGGAGGCACAAGGATGCGAGATACGAGGGCGGCGGCGGTGGGTGGTGGTGGTGGAGGAGGTGTACACACCCCGTGCAGCCTGGTGCTTTCCATAGGTGTCTTTGTGTCAATCATTCGCCGGCATGTGATGTCTCTCCCCTGACATGTGCTTTGAATGGACGGTGGAGCCAGTACAGTACCAATTGTACCGCTCCGCCGCCACACATTGGAGAGTTTGCGTTTTGCATTCCAAGCGCATCTTGCTCCCGTAGCCCGTAGCCTCTGGCCACAATGCACGGAATGCCCGCCTGCCGGGCGCTAGAGTATGGGGCTGAACACTGGGACCTGTTCCTTGTCCTTCTGTGACAATGGTCAGTTCAGGACACGGCAAAGCAGGTGCACAGGTGTGTGTCAATGCGTTCCAGACCGCGCCAGACCGAAAGGGCCAGATGGCTTGACGAGGGCTGGGGTCATTGCCATGCAGGGCGTGAGTTCGGACCGCGCATTCTGCCAGTCCAGTGGAACTGCAGTACTGCAGGACAGCAGGTACAGTACCCAGGCGCAGCAGGTTTGAAAACCTCTTTTCGTGGCTGGGGGAACTGAAACTTGAATATGGATCTGCTTTGCAAGGAAACCCGTCGCACAATGTCGTCGTCCCTGTGAGGAAACTTGTAGGGACAAGGACAGGCTAAAGCGGTTTGACGGCCGAGTGTGGAGTGTGCTCTCTGCCCGGCGATATCAGTTTCAGACCGTGTTCTCATTTTGATCGACGACTATACGGCTACATGGGGGAGCGAGGCAGGGTTTGACAGATGGCAGGTTGGTCACCGTTGATGGAGTCGACTCTGATAAAATGCCGAGTGGCCGCAGATCTTCGACTTGGGGGTTAGAGCGGGTGGCGATCGGCGACATGGTGTCAAAGTCGGAACCTGCGCGGCAACGTCGCTGGTGGCTGTCTCGTTTGTTTGTTTGTTTAAACGATGTGCTCAGTGGCGAGCAACGACGAATCATTAGGCAGGGCAGTGGTAACAAGCATGGCGATGTGGCACCAGAGTTATACGCGAGTCGAACACGCCCGCCTCATCGAGAAGCGAATCGCCATGGACCCCGACGATCACACGTCGTCCGGCCATGTGATCGCCCTCACTGGCCACACTCTAGCCGTCCAAGGAGTCGGAGCGCGTTTGAGGGCTCCACTGAGCGTAGCGGAAGCTGCTAGCCGGGGTGTCTCTGGGCGCAAGCAGATGTGGTCGCTGCAGTGACCAGCGCATCGTCCATCGTTGACGTCCAAGACCAGTCACAATGTTGCTTCCAGAGTTATCAATATAGTACCTGGAGTGTAATACCTGGAGTGTCCAGGCAGCTGTGACCTCGTACCTATAAGGTGCTTGGCAGTTGAAGTTTGTCGTGGAGCGGATAACAGGCCAGAACAGGAAACGACGTGGAGAGACGGGCATCTGGGCAAAACATACTCCATTAAATGATTGTCAAAGTTCCTCTGCCCGGTACAGCGCTGAGAGCCTGTGAGGGAAAGCGACTCGTGTCTGGGAGCCACTGGCTGGACCGTTCGTTCACGGATCGTTGCGTACGCGATCCTTGGGGCCGACCGTCAACGGTGACGAAAGAATCATATTAATCAATAAACCGTAGCAAAGCGCCAATAAAGTAGCCACATATGCCGCTTAAACAGTAAATACTGCAGAACGTTTATCAGCAAGCTCCCCATAAACCCCATACAATGCCCCAAGCCTATGTAAAAGAGACGAGTGAACGCAGAGACACCTTACACGATGGAAACACCATCTCCTCGTTCTGCCACTGGATCCGAGTGGACCCGTCGTCATCCGTCTGGACCCGAGCACCTAGAAAACGTCCTCGGAGCATCATTTATCCCTCATCTTTCATTGCACACACTCCATCCCACCTCCTTGCTGTGTCCTAGCCACATATGGGGATGCATGGACGTCTTGCCGTTCTGTTGAGATTCCTCAACGAACAGAACCATGCGCGCAAACATATATATAACAACGTCTTCGCTAGTATATCGGTTAGTATAACCGCCTCTCAATAGGGAGTTTCCTAATAAGAATATCGCGGTAGAGCAGGGTTCAACTCCCTGGCGGAGAAGATGAGCACCTCTGGGTGTTTCCTTTTTGCAGGTTTTGGAGGTGGACGAGGAGGGAGGTCAGGAAAGAAGGGCTGGAGCTCGCTCGGTAAAACGTGTTGGGGCACTGTGAGGGTGGTTGGGACCAGTGTATGTGGTTACATGCACCCTCATACATGATTTCAGAGCCTCTGTGAACCTCCCATGCATCTACGGTGCAGTTTACTGACGAAAAACGATGACGAGGGACGAGGAAGACGGATCCGACGGGCCCCTGCCAAGTGCCACACCCGGCGCTGGATACCCGATACGCGCCGACCGGCGATGCCGCGGCCCCGCGATCCGACTCCGAACCTCCACCCGGCTCAACATGACAAGCAAGGTCCTCTCTTTCCTGCTCCTCCTCGCATTCACCCTCATACACACCCTCTTGCTTCTCTGCCACCCACCATGAGCGACATTCCCCTCGCCGCTATCAAGGCCGCCGCCGAGGCCACGGACCTTTCCGTTGGCCAGGACCTGGGCCACCTCCTGCCTCCCTCGTGGACGACTGTCGTGCCGACTTGGTTTGCTGAAGACACCCCCAGCTACGACTGGGCGGGCTTCGTCGTCGGCGAGGACGAGCAGGAGGCCATTCTGTGGGGCAAGAGCGGAGTGAGTAACCTCGACAACCACCAGCTGTAACCGTCCTAGCCCAGCTGTACTGACAAGCATAGGGTGTCCTCGCCGGTGTTCCCTTCTTCGACGAGGTGTTCAAATACGTTGGCTGCACGTACGTCACAGCTGGGCTATAGGCGCTACGCAAGCTGACAATGCAGTGTCGAGTGGCTTCTCCCCGAAGGCAGCGTGATCCCCTCGGGATCCAAGACCAAGGTCGCCGTTGTGCGCGGCAAGGCCCGCCATCTCCTCCTCGGCGAGCGCGTCGGTCTCAACATGCTCGCCCGCTGCTCGGGTATCGCCACTGCCTCGCGCAAGTTCCGTGACCTCGCCCGCCAGGAGGGCTGGAAGGGTGTTGTTGCCGGCACGCGCAAGACCACTCCCGGTAAGTCTATGAGCAGTTGTGAGAGTCGCCTCCTGGATAGGATCCAACTGACACCTCGATGTTCAGGCTTCCGCATTGTGGAAAAGTACGGCATGATGGTCGGCGGCGTCGACCCCCACCGCCACGACCTGAGCTCCATGGTGATGCTCAAGGACAACCACATCTGGGCCACTGGCTCCATCACCAACGCCGTCAAGGCGGTGCGCCGCGTCGCGGGCTTTTCGTTGCTCGTCAACGTCGAGTGCCAGTCGTTTGACGAGGCCGACGAGGCCATCGCTGCCGGCGCCAACATTGTCATGCTGGACAACCTGGAGGGCAACGACCTCCACGCCGCCGCCAAGCAGCTCAAGGACAAGTGGCGCGGCAAGCGCGAGTTCCTCGTCGAGACCTCGGGCGGTATCGTCGAGGGATCGCTCACGTCGCGTGTTGGCCCCGGTACGTACACTTGCTAGACCGCGTGGCGGGCTCTTGACTGACTGACCGTGCCAGATATCGACATTCTCTCCACCTCGGCGGTGCACCAGGGCACTGGCTACGTCGACTTTAGCCTCAAGATCCAGCCCAAGAAGAAGTAAGCCGCGCGACAGACTGGAGATGGCGAGTTGGTCGCGTCAGGCGGGGGCCCCCGGGGGCAGCGGTGACAAGAGACAAAAAGCAGCAACACGTGTCTTGGGCACACCAGTGTACCAGCGTGGGCAAGCGTGCAGCGGCGCGTGTGTCTGTAGGGCTGGATGCATTCACAAATCAGAAACACACGCGTCAACTGATCAACTGACGTCAGGCGGGGCCACAGCTGACCGACAGAATTTGGCACGTCGGATGTGGTGGTCGTGCAAAAGGGTCATGCAATTCACGGGTCAACTTCATTTGACCTGCTTCATTGTCTGCCTGCATTGCCCGACTACGTTCTATTGTTACATTGTTACACGATGGCGCGCTCAACACGCATGCGATTTGGATTGAGAAAGGCGTGTGAAATGGAGAGGAATGGAGTGGGGGGGGGGGCGCGGGGATGTGGCGGGGCTCGGATGGGGGTGTGTGGGGGATATGGACCGGGTCCCATGGACTCTGCCCGTTGTTGCACCCGTGGCGCATTGAGCCTCGGGGTGGGCGTGTCGGGCGGTCGGGTCGGCAGTCGGGTCGTTAAAACTGCTGGCGCTGGTTCGTGGCGTTGACAGTTGAGCTACGTGAGGCGTGAGGTTGCGCAGGCTGGCTGGCAGACACGCAGCTCGGCGTTCGGTGTTGCCACCAGGTGGCAAGAGGAGGGGGCAGGGGGATCGCCAACAGAGCGCCATGTGCCGATGATGGTGACACTGGCCCTCTGTGTGGGACGATGGTGTGCAGGGTGGTACGTGGTTGTGTACGTTATCGGTCAGGTGAGTGTTGTTCATTGGGGGATGGGTACATTCGTGAGCGCAGAATTCGGCTTTGTTCGGTGTGCGTGTGCGGTGTTGGAGCGTAGAGCGCGACGCGCGGGCGGTAGTAGTGGTACAGTGGAGTGGGGTTGCGACTGAAAGTAGTTGGGGCGGTGGCCATCGAAGACCAACAAGGCCGCGTCTGGCCAAGTTGCGTTGGCGTGTTTGCCATCGGGGTTGGATGTAAGGGTGCGGGGTGGCAACGCGTTGGTCTTCAGCCCCTGCTCTGCCGGCTACGCGGCCTGCGCGACTACCGCCCACCGCTGGGTGGACATGGGGTTATGGGCTGCACTGGCCTGGTGGGAGGGTACGGTGTGTCGCCTGGACGCATGTATGACATGATTGGTGAGGCGATGGAGAATGGGTTGGTGGTGGAAGGAGCGATGACGGGACGGCGAGATAGAGAATTCGAGACGGCGGTCATGTTATTACCGTTGTGCTGCCGTAACAAGGGCTGCTGGGCGCGATGGAGGTGGGTGCGCAGTAGTAGCGTGGCGGGGTGGCGTGCAGATGGGGTCGCTAAGGCCTTCGTAGGCGTGGTATGGTGGTTGGAGGGTGGGGTGGATGACTGGGTGGCAATGTGGAGGGGGGGGGAGACCTTGGATGTAATGTTGTCGAAGGAACGAAGAAGACGCTCATGCGTACACCATGTCACGTCTTAAGTACCCTAGGCGTGTGGCTGCGCGACGTGTACCGACCTGTCCTCGTGAGATCCCCTTGTGAACGTTTCTTGTTATTGCCTCGTGTGCAACCACTCAATGACGTCGCGAGCTTTTTTGCCCACACCACACCCCCGCCCTGGTTTTTGGAGCTCCTCTTACTCCTTCCCCACCCCCGCATCTCATCAGTCGAGGTCCAGTCATGGCGTGCCGCGGCGTTCGGCGTCGAAGCTTGCGACTCGTCACCTTCGCTTTTTAAATCGACGTGTTGCTTCTTCATTCCGGTCAAACGGCCCGGTGGCGCCGCACACCCCGCTCGCGTCAAGGGAGAGCAATTCTGTGTCGTTGGCACTTCGTTCGCCGACACCGAGTGTCGGCCTCTCGGTCTTTGTACCTTCTGTCTCAGGTCACCAACGATCTTTGCACCTCCACCGCGAGGTAGACTGACCATGTCCTCAGCCTTGACCACGACAGTTACGGCAGCAGGCCCGTGTCTCTAACCTTGGCGCGTTGTTTTGTCAGCATGGCCGGCCTGGACACCCCTCCGCAGACAGCACATTACCGCCACACCTGTCCGGTCTGCTCCCCGCCCATCGCAGAGCTGTCCGAAGGCGATGGATGTCGCGAATTCACGCTCTCACCCGACCGCCGCAACCATAGCGAAGCGCCACCGGGCTGCGGGCGCCGTTTCTCACCCATCAGTCTGTCCTTGTTCCCCACATTCCCGTCTTGAAACGGACACGGACTCAGGTAAACTCCATAGTGCGTTCACTTTGCTGCCTGATCCATCTCATACGCCACAATGGCACTTAGCCCTGCCCACATGGGGTCGACGTCGCAGTCATCTCGCTTGCGCGCTTACGGCCTTTTGTGGGCGGACATAAGCGCCCTCAAACGCTGTTCGCAGAATGACAGACATCTGTTCTCCGACCCAGCACGATCTCTGAACGGATGCTCAAGGAAACAAGGATGTATCGACAGTACGAGCAGCGTGGAGCTATAGTGCAGGGGTGGAGCGGTGCATGGGAAGTATCAGTCACACGGGCCGTCTACGCAAACTGCACAGACACTCCTGGCAGTGGTTGTGTGTGTGTCTCCACACCAGGAAAAACACAGTGGACATGTCAATCAGCTGTAACGCACGTTGTGATTGCACCGGTATTTGGTGGCGTGTACTGCACTTTTCACAACGGTCACATTCCTGGCCAATCCTGTAGCAAGAGGGTCGGTAAGACTAATAGGCGTACAGACGAATGTTCATTGTGCACTCGCTCGGCGCAGAGAGCGGCAGACCACCTGATAGACCACGAGACCCGCGCCACGGTCCTCGGTGGCGTGCGACTTTTGTCTCCGGTGCCGATGAGCCCGGTAAACATGGCCATTTCATCGTGCAGAGAGTAGTGTGATTCTCGCCACCGTAGTCGCGTGTGCGCGTTTCTAGGACGATGAGCCGTCGACAGGAGAGTGGAAAGTATGTATTTTTCGACATTTAACTCAGAATATTCCGCCACAGCGCCCCGCATTTCGTGCACTTCGTTCCGTAGGTCCAAGGTAACAGGTAACGACCAGCAGAACGACCAGCACATCGAAGGATGGCACACTGCAAGATGCTTCAAAGCATTCTCCGTCAAGGACACCACCCCGGGGTTCTCAGAACCACACACAGACAGGTGAACCGCGTTCATCTGTTTGGTTTGGCAGGTTTGTGGGGTGGGCGATTTGGTATGATCTGGCGGTACAGATCCCAAAGCTGTAGAATCACATACTGCTCAAGAATCAACACGGTTCTTTTGGATGTACATAGGAATCTTGGCGTGTCAGCAAGTTCGCATTACAGATGGCAAACGGTGGCGCCAGGAATCATGGGCATCAGTCGAGCGTACAGCCCACGCCCTTCGTGTTCAACTCAACCAACAGGTGAGCTTCCTAGTTGAATCTTGGGTACCATGTACTCAACAGCCGCGGTTAACACACTCAACTGTGAGAGATCTGGGGTTTGTGTTGGTTGAACGAGTCTGTCGAGTGCGTCTGTGTGTGGAGTCTCTGGTTCTGAGAAGAGAAGACTGCCAAGGTGAGGTGGCGGTGCTGGCAGGTGAGTGGATACATACTGACACGCTATGGCGCTATGAAGGCGATGACCCCGCCACGTGACTCCCAGGCGATCAGCCTCTCCCATGCACAGCACGTTTGCGGTCGTGCCCAGTTGTTATCGCTCATACCACTGTGCCTTGGTAGCCCGTTCGTCAAGGTCAGTACCACTCCCCTTCCCACTTTGAGGTGCACAACCGTGCACGCGACTGCAAACACACAAGCGGTTTTACATTGGACTCTAAAATCTTGAACAACTACTCATACGTCCTGGCGTCCACCTCATTGTCCTCTCAACTAGAGCCGGGACTTAGAGAAAGGTCTGGTCGGGGAAGGTCTCGCCACGCGACTCGAAGACGGTGCCGGCGGGAGCGTTCTTGTTGTCAGGGCCGAACCAGTCAGAGTAGCCGAAGTCGGTGCCCCAAGGAGGCGAGACGAAGCGCTGCTGCTTGCCCGTGGCGGCGAGGCCGTCAATGAGGGCAAGGTCCTCGGCATCGAGCTTGATGACCTTCTGGTTGTCCTCAATACGCTTGGGGGTGACAGACTTGGGGAGGACGACAACACCGCGGTTGATCTGGTACGAGATGAGGACGGTCGAGACGGGGACGCCGTGCTTGGCGGCAACCTTCTCAAGGGTGGGGTCCGAGTGGAGGGGCGAGCCGGCCGATCCGAGGGGCGAGTAGGCCTCAAGGATGATGCCCTGCTTGTCACAGTAGGCCTTGAGCGAGTGCTGGGGGTTGTAGGGGTGGAGCTCGACCTGGTTGACGGCAGGGGTGACCTTCCAGGTCTTGCTCAGGCGCTGGAGGTAGAGCTCGGAGAAGTTGGACACACCGATAGCCTTGACCTTGCCCGAGGCGAGGACGGCCTCCATCTGGCGCCAGGTCTCGGCCTGGTTCCAGGCGCGGTCAATGTTGCGCGAGCCATCCTCCTTGACGGGGAAGAGCTTGCTGGTGCCGTTCTCGACGGTGCGGACGGGCCAGTGGATGAGGAACAGGTCAAGGTAGTCGGTGCCGAGCGACTTGAGGGTAATGTCAAGGCCCTCCTCGACGCGGTCGTGGTAGGTGCACCAGAGCTTGGAGGTGATGAAGAGCTCCGAGCGGGCGACACCAGAGTCCTTGATACCCTGGCCCACCTCGTCCTCGTTGGCGTAGCAGAGGGCGCCGTCAATGTGGCGGTAGCCAGACTTGATGGCGTGGGCGACGCTATAAGATCGTCAGCTGGCATAATGCCGTTTGCAGCATGGCATGTTGGGCTCCGGGGGGCCTCAGCCACATGCTCCACGACTCACGCCTGAGTGACCTCTCCGGGCTTGGACTGCCAGGTGCCGAGACCAAGGGCGGGGATCTCAGCGCCAGAGTTGAGCTTGAACGAGGTAGGGAGGGCCATTGTGACTGTTTTTGTGAAGTGGATGAGTGGATGAAAGAGAAAGAGAAAGAGGGGAATGCGATCGCAACTGAACAAAACTCATGAGCAATCTGACGTGCTGGGGTGTTGCATGGGCGATGTGGGGGTGTCGGCCTAGCAGCTGTCCCGCGGTTCAACGGACGGACGGGCCGAGAGCGGCCCGGCAATCCGGTCCGGGCTCCGAGTGGGATGTGGTGGGCACTTTGATGGATATATCTCTGATATAGGCCGGTGCACGCCAAGTCACGGCGTAAGACCAACTCCGTCAACGGACTTGGCTGGTCCGAGCCTGTGCTAAAACCCTGCGAGCAGACCAGTAGTGCGAGCGGGTTATGAACCGACCGAGGTAGCGGAGGAGTTCATGTGGGGGCCGCGGACCGATGGGGCCAGGCGAACCTGGGAGCCTGTACAGTTCAGTTGGCGTCACGGTCAATCGCGGCGGCGTCATCTTATGTTTGCTGGTCGTCAGCACCATACATAGCGTCCTTGCCGAGACGTTACAGAAAGACAGCAGTGTCCGCCGACTTTCAACCAGCCTCAGCTCGCTCATAAGCTTACCTATCTGACAGACAGACCATCATGGGTCACGTGATCGGTCCAACGCGCTGCACCACGACGTCCATGACGAGGGTCGTCCACCTTCTACACTACCTCGGTGCGGGGCCGTCCCGAAAAACCAGTGGGCCACTGAACTCTGTGTCATGAACTTGATTGACTTGCCTGTCGCGCGGTCTGGCAGCAACTCCTGCCTCCATAACCAAAGGAGACCACGCGGGCGGTATGCAAAGAGGTTGTGAGTGAGCGTTGCGCAGATAGAACCGATAGAACGCATTCCTTGGCATGTGCGTCTGGACGAAGCGCGCGTTAGAGAAAGAATGCAAACTGGTTTATAGAGGCGTAAAAAATAGTCTGTCTATACACAGGAGAAATCACGAGGTGAGACCGCCACTCGGCTCTGGCCGAGCAACAACCACCCTCGAAACACACGTTTTCGTCATCCAAACGCCAAATCACCTACCGCCGGCCGGCACCGGCACTGGGGAACACGCGCTTTCGCTGCGAGGCAGCGGGCGGCGGGCTCGTGGGTCGCATTACCCCCAGTCCTTGCATGCTCGCCACTGCACCTCCCGCAGCGACGAGTGCGGCGGCGGCACCGCTGCCTACACGTTTCGGGTTCAACGGCGACAGACCGCTGGCAATACGTCCGGTCCCGGAACCAAGGCCGGGGTCGATGCGCTTATCCTGTGATCCGGGTTTGCGACGCGGTAAGCCAGGGAGTCCAGGTTTGCCTGCACCCGCTGAACCGGAGGTCTGCGATGGCGACGAAAAGTGCATGCTGGACGCGATCTGGTCCACGGCCTGGAGCTGCCGACGGGCCCGTTCGTGGCGGGCTTGGACAGAGCGGAAGTCTGGGGTCAGTATTGGCCGCTCGTGGGGGAAGAGACTAACGAGATAAAAGCTCCTGCCACTTGATCTCATCCTTGACGCCAATCTTGCGCGTTCCCGTCGGCGCGGCATATCCGGGCTTGGACGGCGGCGGAGCATAGCCTGATGAGTTGACGACAGCCAGGCGCGCGCGGAGAGACACGAAAGCGCTACTCTGAGGCAGAATCATCAAAAGACCGTAAAGGCACTTGGGCAGGTAGGGGTACTTGTCGGGCTCCAGGAGTTGAAGGCGGAGGTCTGGAGTGTCAGAGGACTGTTATTCGGCTAAAACCTACTGGTAAAGACTGGGCTCTCGATCAACATGACGAGTTTGTCAATTTGCACGAGGAGTGGGACAGTTAGCTCCAGCTCGGCACTGTCTGGGTCAGCCGTGCGGTGACAGGTACTCGCCAACTACCCACAAGATCTGGAGCACATTCGACGCGTGCTCATAGGCCTGTGCGAGAAGACACAGAGCAAACGCAGCAACAGCATTGTGGCACCACGAGCGGTAGAGCGATGAGAAGAGCATCTGGCCGTCCTTGGAATCGAGATTCTTCAACCGACGGCGGAAGTCGGCAAGCTCGGGAGAGGTAATGAGAATCATGTTGAGCTTAACAACCATCATGCTTGCAAACTCCAGGTCCTGAGGGTTAGTTCAGACATCGTGCAGCATCAACCCACGTCATCCTTTTCGAGAATTTCAGCAAGAGTGCGGAAGATCTTCTCAGCGTTGAGGTGCAGGCACAGTTGACGAATGATAAGACTGCCACGGGTCTCCAGCAGGCGGCGGTCGGTGCTAAAGAGCTCGAGGACGTTCACCATGAAGCTGCGGAAGTATGAGTCCTCTGACGACGACGAAATCTGGGCCAGAAGCTGGAGGTCGTGCTTGACCACATCCTCGGACGGGTCTGACAGGGTCTTGAGCAGTGCAGGGAAGGTACCGCTATCGCGGGACAGGATTTTGGTCGGCGCCTTGAGGTGCAGCATGAGAAGCCACTCGAGAGCGGCAATGCGTGTCTCGGGGTGGTCGCTCAAGAACTGAAGGGTGAGCATGTTGACGGTTTCGCGAACGTCGAAGGGGTCCTCGTCCAGCTCTGGCTCAACACCAGTCAACACTGGTGAATGGCTTTGGGGCTGCGAATGCAGCTGGATCGCCTGCTGTTGTGCTTGCTGTTGCACAGGCGACTGTGGGCGAGTGCGAGCGACCGTCTTCACCACCGGAGGGAACTCGCTGGCGGCGGGTGTAGCCGGCTCGGAGACTGCGACAGGGGATGTAGCCTTGACCTTGAGTGATGTCGATCCGGCGGGAACGGCGCTGCCGCTATCAAGCGGGTCACCACCAGAGAGGGGCCCAGCAGGGAGACCGGCTGCAAGGACATTGGACATGCGGTCGGGAGACTCTGACAATCCAATGTCCCTCCTTGGACCAGGAGAGGTCACCTGGCTAGACTGTGTTTGAAGGGTCGCCGTGTTGCTCGTTACGGCGGTAAGAGGCACAGGAGAAGGAACGGCGACCTGCAGCGGCAGACTCTGGATGACCGCACTTAGACGACGATTTGTCTGCATTGCAGCTTCCTTAATGTAGCGGCTGAGGGCTCAGTGCGTGAACAGAAAGCGGCGAAACTCACTTGGTGGAGGCCAGGTTGGGAAGCACCGCCTGTACGATACGCGGCGTAAACGCAACAACGGTAGTCTGCGCAAAATCGAGAAAGTTGAGGATCCAGTCCATGGCTGTAGTCTGCACCATGTTGTCTGAGGGGTCAGCAGCTGTGAGCGGCCACTGGCATACAACTCACCAGGGAACGAGAGGTGGTCGACGATAATGTCCATGATGGCCGCATGATCCACAATGACACTTTGTCCAGGCTCCCAAGCACCAGACCCCTCTCCCTCCCACTCATTTTCCTCGTCCTCGTCGTCTCCATCATCCTCAGAGGACGACTCCTCATCATCAAGAGCCGACTCGTCATCCGCAACGGCCACCGAGTCACTGACCTGCCTGTCACGCTTGGACGAGCGACGGCTACGGTCTGTTTCGGCTTGCTTCTCCTGTTGCTGAGCGATCGCCTTGATCTCGCGCAGGAACTCGGAGAGAAGGTTCTCGGTGGCAACGCGCACATCCACGTTGGTATCGGCGAGATACTTGAGTAAACCGTCAAGGAATTCGGGAAGGTACGCCACAAGTTCGAGGTCGGGCACGGTGTTAAGGACCATGAGCCACGAGACGAGGTGCATTCTCGTGTAGGGCGAGATGGCGTACACGCGCTCATTGAGAAGGGGGATGAACCGCTCGAGCGAGAATGCGCGGTGGTCCTCGAGATGGTCTGGAGATTGGGTATTGGAGCGGTCAATGTCGATAGGACGGGACGGGCTGGTGGAGTGTGCGTCATTGTTGTTCTCCTTGGTAGACGCGTGGTCATCGGCGCCGTCCTCGTGCTTATCCCTCGGGGTTCTGTTGGGGTCGTCGTCGTGGTAGATAGAAACATAGCTGGCCGCAGCGTCGGCAACAATGTCCTTCATAAGGCGGTCGAGTAACTCGGCGCCATTCTTGACCGACATTTCAGAGTCCGAGGACAGCTACGCCTGGTCAGCCATCATGCCCAGTACACAATACGGTACCTTGCTGAGCGCGTCAAAGACATCATTGAAGTAAACCAGAATCTCCCCCTTGCTAACTTTGGCGCTGAGGGGTCAGTGTGAAGGTTCTCAGGTTGCTAAATTGCTAAACCTACATGTTGTACAGCGACTCGCACGCATGATACCTCACGCGACTTTCTGTATCCTGAAAGCATGCAAGCACAGGCGGGATGATGACCGGGAGGTACGGAGCGACATCCTGTCCCAACGCGATTGCTGTTGCTGCCAGGCCGATCAAACCTGCAACGACACGTTAGCCCGAATGTAAGAGGCAAAGTGCCCGATACCCACCGCCATTCCGAGTGTGCATCGCGTTGGTCGACGCGAACATTCCGCATAGCTGGTCGACGATAGCCGAGATGCGCGGTCCATCTGACGACAGGACCTGCCTGGACGGTCAGATACATTGTCTCTAGCAAGCACTCACTTCTCGAGCTCGAGAGCGGCTGCCTTGCGGCGCTCGTAGCTGTTGGGTCAGTTCGGACATTGTGGTGGGACGCCAGGGAAGCGGTTGTGATGATGGCGTCACTGCTACACGTACATCTTGTCATTGAGGCCTGTACACGTAGAGTCAGCAAGTGTGTTATCCCTTTCTCATATAGTCGTTGATGCTCACCTCGAAGAATGGGCGGGTCTGTGTGCCGGGACAGGGAGGGAAAGTGTCAGCCTGTCATACCACAGCAATGGGGTCATTGTTGACAACAGGTCGTCTCACCCATGGTTTAAGCCTCGGCAGCGGCGTCAAGTGCAACTGCCGTAGAGGGGACGAGAGCCGTAAATGGACGTGGCGAGTGGGGCGGTGGTGACGGCGGATATGCGTATGTAGTGTGGGGATTGTGTCCAACGATGCTGAGATAGGAGCGCCGTCGATAGAGAGCAGTGTTACAAGACGCCGTCGTGTTGCGTCGGTGCGGCGGCGGATTCCCCCCTCCCCGCCCCTTGGGTGGGGGGGTGTGTGATCTCTGGTCCCGCTCCCACAGTGACATCTCCATCCACATCCATCCCATTCGCGACGTCGCCTCTCTCTCCACCCCGTCCATCACCTTCCCGCCCGCATCTCTCGTGCGGACCACCTTATAGACACTCGCCTCACCCACCATCACATCCGGCGCAGTGCTTAACCGTCCAACTTTTATCACCAAGGGCCTCCTTTCCACCGGCACTCCTCCGGCCCCTCACGCCAAAATGGATGGACTGCAGCCAGAGGCCTCATCGTCGACCTCGCCGCCGCCAGTGGTTCACCAGGCCACTTTGGTCTTTGATTCGGGGCTCACTCGCGAGCGCTTTGTTGAGCTCATTGAGACCAATGGCGTTGTGCATCGTCTAGTCCTCCGTTTGATGGAGAGGTCTGGCGGAGAAGCTGCAGTACGTACCACCCCCACGGCTTCCGAGCCTCCTACCTGATCACTGTCCGCAACCCCGGCAGCGTTTGCGATGCACCGAACGGTCATGTGCTGACTGCTTGCTCCCTCCACAGCTCCGGATCGGCCTCGTCATCACCGCCCAGGACGCTCCGTACCCAAACCCACGCGCACTGCACTCCATCATCCCGCCATACAAGCAGGACTTCCGTCACCCCTCCGCGTTTCTTACATCTCTGCCATCCCTGGTTGGGCGTTTTACCCCTCATGGGGCGTCAAGCAAACCCAAGCCTGGTTCGATACTGTCCGACATTTGGGACATCGAGGACGGCGCCGGACTGTCAATCTCGTCGTCCGAACCCGGCCCGAGTGACCATTTCCTCGGCGGGCTGGTCGCGGGCATCGAGGTGAGTTGTTTCGGATCGCCGGTGACGACCTTTTGTTGACTGACAACAAAGCTCCTGGATCACAACGCCCTGCATGGATCCGTCGCACCTCCTGGCGCACTCCAGTCCCTCTCCCCACCAATGGCCCTGCCCATGTTGGCGATGCTCTACAGGCAAAACGGCTTGACGCCGCCCGACTCGCACCAGCAGTCTCATCTCATGGTATTCACCGAGAAGGCTTCCCTGGCGGCCATAGACGGCGACTCGCGTGGATCTCGACCATGGGCGCGTGACGATTCCAGTGCCGCCTATGACAATGTCGATTGGGATACCATCGGCGCTCGGTGCAAGGCCAAAGATGTGGCCTGCTCGTGTGTTATCGTCGCCTCTGAGCCGAGCCGGACCGCAGCGCAGTTGGGTCGGGACGGGTCGGCCAGCGCCGAGCGCTTGAAGAACATGTGCCAGACCGTAAGCCACCATCCCACAGGTGCGCCAGACTGCTAACCTTGCCGCAGAGTACAGCCTCAGGAGAAGGGCAAGACGAACCGTGGTTTCCATTGCCACCAGACGCCGACGTGTATCTCACCGGCTTGGCCATCAAGTGTGAGTTGCCCAATCACCCATTAACCCCCCATCCACCCCTATTTCACCTGACCTGACTCCCAAGCCACCACGTCACCAGCAGGAACCCAGGCTGGTACGGCCCCTTCCGAGCTGCTCAAGGGCGGGCCTGCATCCACCATGGCTCAAGACAACACACCATCCGACGCGCAACTCAAGTACCAGCTTGCTCAAAAGCAAGCCATGTCCCAAAAGATGGCCCAGGCAGCCCAAGCGGCTGGTCCAGGAGGTGCCGCCAACTACAACGTATTGGCTCAGCTGCTCCAATCCGGGAAACTGGACCCCAACATTATGGCTCAGCTTGTCGCCAACGTCCGGAGCGACGATCCGAGTCTCCGAACCAAGGCGATGCAGCAGCTCGGCAGCCTCATGCAGCTCCAGGCCAACCAGAACAAGTCGTCGCTCAACACTGTCGCACAGGCCACCGCCGCTCTGTCCAATGCGGGTGGCGCTTCGGGGACCAACCTCCAGCAGCAGCAGCAATTCCTTGCCGCCCTGCAACAGCGCGCACAAGCGCAGGCCGCTCAGAACGCTGCCAACAATGGCCAGAACCAACAGAACCAGGCCCAGCAGCAGCAGGCTGCCCAGCAGGGTGGCCAGACGACCGCCCAGCAGCTACAGCAACAGCAACAACAACTGTTGCTACAGCAGCAGCAGCAACGCCAGGCCCAGCTCGCATCGCAGCAGAACAACACCGGGACCGCGGCGGCAAATACCGCTGTGCCCGCCAACGGTCCCGGCCGACCCAACCCAACCAAGGTGTGGACCGGCACTATCAGCTGGACAATGCGCTCCGCAGACAACACACCGCAAAAATGTGAGTAGTTGTCAGACAAGAGGGCGTCAGCTAACAACTCCAGGGGTCATTCCTGTTGACTGCATGTTGTTGAGCATGCAGATGAACCCGGCAGTGCTGCAGACCAACCTGTGGCCACCCAGTACGTGTCTCTGCACCCACGCACGGACACTTTATCGCTGACAAATGGCAGACCTCGAAATGTCCGGCATGAGCCAGATGAACATGAACGAGCTGCAAAACTACGTCAAGCAAAACCAGGCGCCATGCGTGCTCTTCACTACGCCCACGCCCGTGGACAGCGATGCCAAGAGCAAGATGATGTATCTGACGACAACGCTCGGCTCCAAGAGTCTCTGCGCGTTTGTCCGCTTTGGCCCTCCTGGTTGCGGCATACTCCTCATTTCGTCCAACCAGCCCAGTCCGTCTACCGACAAGATCTATCGCTTGCTTGGTGTCATTTGCTTGAAGGTGCCATTCAACTTTCCCAACCAGAGCGCTGCAGCCGCTGCCGGCCAAGCTGCACCGCAGCAGCCCACCCCGCAGGCCAACCAGCCCAGGGCGACGCCCCTCCCCATCAATGGCGGGGCCAACCAGTTTGCCGGGAACCTGCAGAATAGCATCTCGCCCAACTTGCTACAGCAGGCGCAGCTGCACCAGGCCCTCCAGCAACAGCAGCAGGGTCAGCAGAACCAGCAACAGAATCAACAGTTGCAGGCTCAACAACAACAACAGCAGCAGCAGCAGCAGCAGGGTCAGCAACAGGGGACTCCGAAGGGTCATACGCGCACACCGTCGCAGAACGTCGCGAGCACACCGCACATGCCAACGCCGCAGGGCCAGACTCCACAGCTCTCGACTCCTCAGCAGCAGCAACAGGCTCGGTTGCCTTCCAACTCCCAGATCCAGCCATCAACCCTGCAGCAGTTTGCCAACGCCAACAGCCAGCCGAACGTGCAGACGATCCAGCAGCTGCAGCTCCGTCAACTCCAGATGCAGCAGGCCCAGCAGGCGCAGGCTCAGCAGCAAAACCAGCAGGTTCAGCAGCCGCAGCAACAACAGCCGCAGCAAAACATCCAGCAGCAAACGCAGCAGCCGTCCCAGCCGCAAGCTGCCAACGGGTCCGGCCCCGGTATCAGCTTCACCCCCCAGCAGCGACTGGGCATCATTCGTCTCCTGCGCGAGGCCAACCTGTCTGTTCCTGACACGTTCGACCCGAACTCGATCCCGCGCGACCAGCTCATTGCGTTCATGAGCGCGGCAAAGGAACGGCAGAAGCAGCAGCAGGTTGCGGCGGCGGCTATGGTGGCGGCCAATGCAAACAAGCAGCAGCAAGCCCAGCAACAACAAGCCCAGCAGCAGGCTCAGCAAGCGCAACAGCAAGCCCAGCAGCAAGCCCAGCAGCAGGCTCAACAGCAGGCTCAACAGCAGCAACAGCAACAGCAGGCCGGCCAACAGCAGCAGCCCGTGCAGCAACAGGCCAACAACAACGCGGGTCTGAACCTTGGCAACTTCCAGTTCAACAACATGGGCAACTTGAACGCCGGCAACGCCAACGCGCAAAACGTCGGCGGCATCAACCTCGCCCACGTGTCCGGCATGTCTGGGGTCAACATGGCCAACCTGTCCAACATGAACATGGGCAACATGGGCAACATGGGCGTCAACATGTCTGCGCTGAACAACTTCAACCAAGGCGGCGCCAACGCAGGTGCGCTGGCGGGACTCCAGCTGGGCCAGTTTGCAAACTTGCAGCAGTTCCAACAGCAGGCTGCCCAGCAAGGCGGCGGTAACAACAATAACAACAACGGCAATGCCGCCGCGGTCGGCAACGCCAGTAATAACAATAACACCATGGGCGGCAACATGGGTAACCTCGGATCTATGGGGATGGGCGGTGCTGCCGGGTCGACCACGGCCGCGCAGCAGAGTGCGCTCGGGCTGTTTGCCGCTCAACAAGGGTTGAGTGGGCAGCAGTTCCAGAACATGCAGGGAGTCGGACTGGGTCAGTTCCAGCAACACTAGTTGGTTAGTCGTGTCTAGGGTATCATTTTTCTTTCTTTTTTGGTTCTAGCCGTTATGTCATTTTTAGTTTTTCTGTCCAAGGGGAGGGAGGCCGCTGCAACGAATGGTGCTCGCTCGGGTTTCAGGATACAGTGGTTGTCATGCCGAGTCATACCTATTGTATGGGGGACGTGGGGAGGGGACTGGGAGGGTGGGTGGGTGGGAGGGATGGGATGCTATAAACTAGTCACAGGAGCATGTGTAAAAGGTGTCCCGCCAAAACCGTGGTGAGCCGCTTAACTGAGGTGGAATGAGCCGCTGCCGTCGACGATAGCGCGGTTGAGCTGGCTGCGTAGCGTCTCGATGGTCGAGTAGTCGGGCAGCTTGAGGTATAACGCGCAAGTCATGACCTGGACATGTCAGCTGAGGTTCGAGTGGAGTACATTGTCAAGCTCACACTGGGAAGCATCTGGTCGGCCTTGATAGGCGGCTCGTGAGGCTTGCGCACGACAGTGAAGGGCGGGGTAAGACCGTTACGGAAGCCGCCAATGGGGAGCTTGGGTGCACCAGTGATAAACTGGAGAAACTGGCGGCGCTCCTCAAGGTCGTAGCTGGACATGATCTCAATGAGGTTCTTGACCGTCCGGCTGTCGGCGTTGTAGCCGTGGTCGGCCTTGATAGACTGCTCAAGAGCTGACAGTTAGCAGCCACTTTGTTCTAGCTGTACTCACTTTCTTTGGACCAGTCCTCGTCGGTGTTGCCGCAAAGAAGACCGAGCTCCTCGGGAGAGAAGATCTGGAGGTCCTGGACGGGGAAGATCATCGAGAAGCCCTCTTGGAAGGCCTTGACCTGCTGTGTGATACCCGAGCCGAGGGTCTTGTCGAGAACAAGCTCGAGGTACTCTTCGAGGTTGGAGTCATCGACATCAAAGAGACGGCCACCGAGCTTGAGCTCAATGTCATAGCCGGGGAGGGTAAAGTCGAGCGACAGGTCCTGGAGCTTGGCACCTCCAATGGTAAGAGCGGCGAGCTTGGCGCGGCGGCTAGATGGGGGTAGCGACACCATGGCTTCAATCTCCTTGCGTGACTCGAGGTATGACTGGAGACGCTCGAGCGAGCGCGCGAGGGTCATGTCCACGAGCTTGAGCGTTGCAATGTTCTTCTTGACGGGCTTGCCAAGGAGACGCTTGATGAAAACAGTGTTCATGTTGACGTCGATAATACGCGAGTCGAGAAGAGCGCGGCCGACAAACAGACCGAGTGTCTTGAAATACGACAGGCGCGAGCCAGGCGTGTCCTTGGACGGCTCGTTGACGAGAGCGGGTGCGGGGAACAAGCCGTGTGGGTGGAAGGCGTAGGGTCCCTCCTTGGACTCATCCTCGTCACGCCACAGCTTGAGCGAGCGGCGGGCAAACTCCTTGGAGGCGAGTGCGTAAAACTCGAGGGTAGGACCCAAGCCCGTACCAATCTCGTCAAAGTACTCGACCTCGAGGATGCCGTTGGACGTGCCGTACAGCTCGAGCACCTTGGCACACGACTCGAGCAGCTGGGCACGCGAGATGCGCACCTTTTGGCGCACAAGGCGCCCAAGGTGCGACAGGCTGTCGTCGCGGCGGTTGCTGTTGCTGTTACGAGGCTGCGAGGCCTGCCACAAGGCGATGAGGCGACCGTAGCCAAACGACGTCGAGCGGAGGAAGGCGTAGCGCGTCTCAAAGGGGAACAAGAACGAAAAGTGCTTGGGAAGCTCGCTGGCCCACTCGGGGAGGCAGCCGCTGGCGAGGATCATTGTCTCCTCGAGCTGTCGGGTGAGCTTGGCCGTGAGCTTGTTGTTGACAAAGAGCTTTTCGTCAGGACGGCCAGTGACGTCGTTGGCATCGGCACTCAGGTTGTGCACGACGCGCAGCAGGCGGAGGATCATGGACACTGGAGACGTGGGCTCCAGGACGTCAGGGAAGGCCGCACTGGTCGTGGAGGCCGGGGAAGGGGCATCCAGAGGAGCCTTCGCAGGCGCAGGACCGTCGACCTTGCGGAACTTGAAGGTGACGGGGAGGTTGAAGACGTTGGCCGAGTTTGGCGAGTTCTTGGTGAGCCGGTGGACCGCACCGTAGATCGTGTCTTCGTTGCTGAGCACCTGGCCATTGATGGAGAATTCAAGGTGCCAGTCAACGGGTACCGTCTTGACAGCGCCCGCGTATGAGCCAGTGCGTGGGGCAGCGGGGGTCGTCAAGGCCGCGTTGGAGCCCGACGCTCCCTGGTTGGGGGTGGCGATGCGAGTGCCATCGGGAGTCTTGGCCTCAACACGCGAGCCGTCAGGAGCCATTGACATGCTCACCACCTTCTCGGTCGGGCGCGCAAGCTCCTCCTCCATTTCTTCCTCAAACACCTCGGCATCGTACTCTTCCTCCGAGTAGTCGTCGTCAAAGTCCATGCCGACCGGGACCTGGGGAAGCAGGCTGGCATCAGGGCTGGTGCCCAGAGCAGCGGGAGGAGGTGGTACAGTCTCGGTCGAGCCAGTGCCGGCGGCGGCAGTCTCGGTCGCAGCCTCGGTCGATTCACCCTCGGCTCCTTCAGTCGGAGGAATGCCGCTCAGACGGGCGCTACGACGACGCTGAGGCTTGTCTTCCTTCTTGCTCTCGCCTGTGGCGGCCTCGTCGGCAGCCGCAGAACCAGTGGTGGCACCTGCAGACGACGCGGCCGCTGGATTGGCCGGTGCCCCAAAGGCACCTGGGTTACCTCCAGCACCTGCGGCGAGCGCGGCAAGGAGTCGAGAGGTAGACGAGCCGCCACCGCCAGCAGCGTTGCGGCTAACTGCGTAGGCAGCAAACATGCTCTGCAAAGTCGATCCACCACTGAGGTACGACGGGTCGGCAATACGAGGACGAAGGTAGTCGTGAAGCGCCTGCACTGGCGCAATGGCTTGAATAGTGACGCTGAGCGAGCTGATCTGCTTGGGGATGTCGGAGCCTTCCTCGGCGAGCAGACGGATGCGCATTGAACGCGCGAGAGAGCTGGCAGCTGAACCGCCAATGCCGTTGAACGCAGTCTCAACCTCGAAGGTCTCGAGACGACCAAGCGACTCGTGCAGACGCTTGACGAGCATGGTGAGAGGCGATGGCGAGGCGAGGGCAGTGTCCGAGAACGTCTCGTAGAAGATGGCACGGCGCTCACTGGGCGACACGGTGCCGTCGACGTCGACATACTCGAGCAGACCTTCCACGAGACCACTCTTCAAAAGCTCAAAGCTGGAAAGCGCCTGGCCAACAGAGGAAAATTGGGCAGTGATGATGCGCAGGGTGTCGCGCAACTCGGCCTCGGTGGCCTCGGGGAGACAAAGACGCTTGACAAGACCGCCGAGCTCTTCGAGGATGTCAGTAGCCTCGTTTTGCTGGTTGCCTTCCACCGTGAATATACGCTTGGCGCCAATGACACGCGCACGGACAATGTTGGCATCGTTCGGGTCGGTCGTGGTGGTCTTGCGAGGCACGCCGGCAGCGCCAGGGCTGGTTTGAAGAAGAGTCGCTAACACGCCGGGCATCCCGGGCACTTCACTGGTTGGCACAGGAGGCTTGGGTGTCTCTTGAGCAGGTGTGGTGAGCGTCGAGGGCCCGGCCGAGGGCCCAGCCTTGGGAGTCGATGGGCTATCCTCCTCGGGCTCGGTCTTCACAGCCGCAGCGGCGACAGCAGCTGCCGCCGCCGCTTCAGCCTCCTCCTTTGCCTTGGTGCTGAGCTCCTCGCCGGCAAGCGACTCGATCTCAAACACGACACCCTCGCGAATGAATGAAGTGAGGTAGACATCTGGCAGCTTTGTGGCGAGCAGCTCCACCAGCTGGAGGGCATGCAAGACAAAGGTCGGGTTGTCCTTGGAGGAGATGATGGTCCCGAGGAAGCTGGCCATCGGGACAGAGGTGAGGGTGAGCTGAAGGTCGTCCGATTCGGCAAAGGCGGCAGCCTTGACGAGACCAGTGAGTGACTTGGTACGGACGCGGAGGCTGACAGAAGCCGCATAAACGTCAACGAGAACAGGAACGAGTGCGCGCATGAACTTGGACACCAAGTCGGTCTTGGACTTGAGGAGCGTAAGGCGCTGCTCGGCCTGGATCTCGGCGTCACGCTTCGACTTGGCAGCGTATGAGGCGATTGTGGCCGACGCAGTACCGAGGGCGGGGGTCGAGGGAGCCTCCGTGGGAGTGCCGGGGCTGGTGGATGTCGATCCTGATCCTTCAGCGGCACCAGCTCCTGTAGCACGGGCACTGCTGCGCTGCCTCGAACGCTCAGGGCGGCCGCCGCGCTTGATAATCTTGGCGAGGCTCTTCTCACTGTACGCACGGTGGTCGAACACGCCGTCGCGCGGAAGGGGAGGAAGCAATTCGCAGATGAGACCGAGAGCCTCCTCGACCTGGTCCTTGGGACGGTGAGCGAGGTTTTGCATGATGGCCATGTCGGCAACACCACTGCCGAGTCCCTGGCCACCGGGGGCGCCGCCCTGCTCGTCCGCCTCGTGCGACGACGGAAGGACACCCGTGAGAATGTGGTGGACCGTGCTCGTCATGCCCGCTTCGAGAAGGGCAACAGTGACCACAGCCGAGGCGCGTGCAGATGAGGTGAGCGCCTTGAGGAGATGCGTGTAGGTCGAATCGGAAACGAGTGGTGAACCACCGGCGGGCATGAGCAGTGCGTTGATAGCAACGACGGTCGGTAAATCAAGAAGGCCTTCGAGGTGAGAGGCATTGTGGCGGTACGCCTCGAGAGTGCGCACGACAGCAAGGGTAGCCTGCTCGACCAGACGTTGGTCGGCCTGGGTGAGGACATCGCGGAGGATGGGGAAGACGTCGCGAATCATGGCAAAGTGCTCGCTCGAGATGTTGCGACAGCAGTTGGCCGCAGCCGTGACAGCAGTGCGCTGGACATTGGTCGAGAAGAACGGCAGGAAGTTGAGAAGGGCAGCGAGCCCTCCTTCGCGGACGATGGCAGCTGGGTATTCGGCGGAAATCTTCTCCATGGTGCTCAGAGTCTGTTCCGCAAGCTCGATGTAAGAGATCTCGTTGAGCTTGGAGCACAGCACTGGAACAGCACCGAGATGGACAAGAGTGTGTCCAGAACCCGGGAGGGCCTCCATGAGGTGTGCAAGGCACCGGCACGCCAAAAGCTGGGCCTCCATCTCTTGCTGGTCGTTGCCGGGGAAGGCGCCGCCAGTGCTCATGGCCAGGGCAGCCGCAAGCTGTGCGTCCTCGTCCATGTCGTCGGCACCGCCCATGTCCTCGTCGTCATCGCTGTTGTGGTCAATGTTGGGCTTGCCACCGAGGATGGCAATGAATTCGGTGGCAAATGACGACGACGAAAAGGCCGCGCCGAGGGTGTCCTCGTTGCTGACGAGGAGGAGGTCACTGCACTCGCGCAGCGAGTTGAGACGAGTGGCAGCCTTGGGCGAGCGAAGGTCGGCCTTGAGACGCTTGAACCTGTTGGACAAACCAGACATGATACCGCCAAAGCCACGGAAGTCGCCGCCAAAAATGGCAGCTGCCGTCGCTTCATCAAACATGGCACCGTCGGCGAGACGCGCCAGGCGGTCGTAGGCGGACGTACCACCCCTGCCGGGGAAACCTAGGCCATCGTCATCCTCGTCGTCTTCGTCATCGTGGTCGGAGTTGTCCATGTCCTCATCTTCGTGGTAGTGGTCTTCGTCGAGGTGTCCGGCTGCGTGAGATCCACCAGACTCGGCCCACTGGGACTCGTCCTCGTCCATGTGGTCGTCAATCAGCTGTCTCGCCGCTGCGCGTGGCATCAGTACCACTGATCGCTGTTCTTTGCCGTTGGCGGAGATTGACTCACAAGCGTCGCCCTTCTTGGAACGGTCAGTGGAGCCAGATGGACCGCCCTTCTTGGATTTGGGGCTGCGGCGTGGGGTCAGTACTGAATTGACCATGATACCGTGGTAGACGTACGTGACGGCCTTCTTGGGCATGCTCTTGGGCTTCTTGCTCGGGGCGGGTGCTTTGACCTTGCCCTTGCTCGATCCTTCTCCCTTTGACCGGAGCTCGTACGCTGGAGTCTTCTTGGCGCGCTTGGGCGACGGTTCGACCTCGGCGGTGGGATCGGAGTTGGACGGAGTAGGCTCGCGGACTGCGCGCTTCTTTCCCTTACGGTCGGTGGGAGGAGTCGTGTCGGCGACGAGCGGGGGAGGAAACAGAGGACCGTGCCCTACGGGGAAGAGGTGTGAGCATGACGAGCGGCAGTGAAAGAGGCCCGGCACAGCGCACACGGCGCATGGGGCGCGCAACCGACCCTCTTGGCAAGTTCGCATGGGTATGAGCCCTACTACGCCCAGCGTGCGCGAGTGCGCGTTGACACACAGCAACCAGCAGGGGGTGGGGGTCTTGGAGACAATGGAGACACTCACTTCTTGCTGGAACTGGAAGTCGCAGGCGTCTCGTCGACGGCCTTGTCCTTTCCCTTCTTGCTAGTACTCGTGCTGGTCACGGGCTGGTCGCGCTCGGTAGAGTGCGCGGTGGTGGCGGTGGTGGTAGAAAGACGAGCCGAACGACGGGGCGCGGGCGCGACGGAGGAAGAAACGGCGGGGATCACACGCGTGTCGGAGGAAGCAGGAGCGTTCGCGGTGGAGCTGGAGCTGGTGGCGGCGGCGTCGTGCTTGTGAGAGGTACGCGTACGGGGCTGATGAGAAGTGGAAGTGGAAGGTGAGGTAATGGCGGCAGTTGTGGTGGTGGTGGTGGATTGGTGTGCGGGGGCGGGGGCGGGGGCGCTCGTAATGGTGTTGGAGTCTACTACAGGTTGACTTGATTGAACAGGGTCTTGTGATAGATGATGATGGGAAGAGTTGGTGTTGCCTGTGCGATCCATGGAGAGGCGATTGCACTGGGTTGTTGAGGGGGCTGTCGTGCGGAGAGGGGAGGGTAGGTGGTTGTATCGGCCGGGCTTTAAGCAAGCTCGAGAGTGCCGGAGTAGGGTGGCGAGGAGATGGTCGAGGAGGGCATATGGGTGGAAGGGAGGTAGAGAAAGGTGAGGACCGGTGGGTGGTGTGGGTGCTGGGGGTGTGGGTGGGTGTGTGGGAGAGGGGGGGGAGGAAGGCGAGGAAGGAAGGAATGGGAAGAAGAGGGGGGGTGCGAGCGAGAGAGTGAGAGTGAGAGACACACAGAGAGTGAGAGAGAACCTTCTGTGTTTTGGGGGGTGACGACACACTCAAACCGCACAGACGAGAGGGATGGCGATGTGATGACCGAATGGGTCTCTCTCGCGCGACTCTCACACACTTGGAGCGGTCGGCTGGCTGGGCTGTGGGTTCTGGCACTCTACCGTCGTCAGCTAGCGAGAGCCTGACGTAAGTGCGAGCGTCCATCTATTAACACCCACAGCCCCCATTTTCAAATGCAACCACACTTCAGCAAGCCTAATCGAAGGTCCATATTACAACAGAAGGCGGGCCTAATGCTAATCTCCCTGCTCTCCCCCGCATTTTACCCCACATAGGTCAGGTTTCACCAGCCAAGATTCGAGTCGCCTCCCAACTTAACAACTTCACAGTGCGTTCACCCATCGCTACGTCCTTTACATATAATAACTTGATTTTGCCACCCTAAATGTCCTCGACGGACCTCAAGGACGGCAGCAGCAGTTCATCGCCCACCATGGACAAGTACCCCGCAGCGGTGCCAGACCTCCTCGGAGCTCTGCGCGCCCTCAAAATCGCCAACCCAAAGGCCACTCGCTCGTCGGTCCACATCTACCCGGCTTCCCTTTATGCCCCCAAGGATCCCACAGCCCACGATCGCCGTATAACCAGCTGGAAGATGACAGAACACATGTACTTTAAAAAGGACAACGGGTTCCCCACTCTCGCACGCGGTCTCTTCACAGAGCACGTCACTCGCCCCGCGGACCAGGTGCCAAAGGCTGCCCTCGAGACGTTCCCCGCCGGTACCGCCATCGAGGAGCGGATCGTTGCCAGGGGTTATGACAAGTTTTTCAACACGGACGAGATGGCATGGACTAGCGTACGTTCTGGTTACGTTTAACGGCAGGCAGCGCTGACCAGTTCCAAGTGGGCCGCGATTGAGACGCACTCGCAGGCGCCGTACCACTTGACGCTCAAGTCGAACGGCTGTCTCATCATGATTGCGGCCTTGTCACCTACACAACTAGTGGTGGCATCCAAGCACTCGCTCGGCACCACCATTGAGGCAGAGGCCACTGCCGACGGCGTGGCAAATGCCCTCAAGGAGGTCAAGCTCGACAAGGAGCAGAAGAAGGAGAAGGCCGAGGATGCCAAGGAGGAGAGCGAGTCCAAGACCCACGCTGCCGTTGGGCGCGAGTGGGTGGCTAGGACTCTTGAGGCAAGCGGCAAGACTTCCGAGGAGCTCGCTCAGCGCCTCTGGAATGAGAATGTTACCGCGGTTCTCGAGGTGGGTGCCTGGCGCAGCTGAACTGGTTCTAACCCAACAGCTCTGTGACGACTCGTTTGAGGAGCACGTTATCGCGACCCCAGACTACTGGACCGGTCTCCATCTGCACGGCCTCAACTACAACACGCCCCACTTTGGCACCAAGACCCCCGAGGAGGTGGCCGACTTTGCCAACGAGTTCGGTTTCATCATGACCAAGCACGTCACTCTCAACTCTGTCGCCGAGGTCAAGGCGTTTACCGACGAGCTCGCCAAGACTGGTTCGTGGGAGGGTGACATGATTGAGGGCTTTGTGGTTCGCTCCACGGTGCGTGCCGTCGAGGGCGAGGAGGCCACTCGCCCGCCTTACCGTCCTGGTGCGCCCTTCTTCTTCAAGGTCAAGTTTGACGAGCCCTACCTCCTTTACCGCCAGTTCCGTGAGACCACCCGCGCTCTCCTCCCTCTCATTTCGACCCCGGACTTGACTCCGGTCCGCGAGGCTGAGATCTGGAAGAAGGTGCGCGCAAAGACCCGCCGTCCCGAGGTTGGCGTGTATGCCGAGTGGTGCGGACGTATGCTCAAGGAGGAGCCGTCCCTGTTCGACAACTTTGACCGCGGTGTCGTGCGTGTGCGTGAGCGCTTCCTCGCCTATGTCGACGGTGAAGGCAAGGCAACGTGGGAACTGGCCAAGGCCGGCAAGTGGAAGGCCGGAGCGACCGTACAGGCCGAAAAGGACAAGGCCACCCGCGATGCCGAGAGGGCCAGCTTGCCCAAGAAGTGGATCCTCGTTCCTGTCGCTGTCCCAGGATGTGGCAAGACCACCATTGGTATTGCTCTGAACAAGCTCTTTGGCTTTGCGCACACGCAGAGCGACGACGTTCTCTCCAAGAAGACTGCACCCACGTTTAAGAAGAACATTGTGGACTGCTTCAAGTCGACTGACGTTGTCTACGCCGACCGCAACAACCACATCCAGAAGCATTATGACGAGCTCTCTGGTCTGCAAGAGGAGAAGGCTTTCCAAAAGACACTCAAGCCCTACAACGTCCGGCTTGTCGGTATCACCTGGGACATTGACCAGAGGCCATACCACCGTCTCTTGCGACTGTGTTCCGAGCGTATTGTTGGTCGTGGCGAGAACCACCAGACCTTGCGACCAGACGCGACCGTGGACGCCGAGCACGAGGCTGTCGTCTCGTCCTTCCTCCACCACTTCACCACTCCCGACCCCACCATCTTTGACAAGCAGATCATTGTCAGCGTCGAGGACGAGCCACGAGCGGCCCTCGGCACTGTTGTGTCGGGCCTTGTCGACATTCTGGGCCTCGCCATGCCCACCGAGCAGGCGATCGATGACGCCCTTGCCTCTGCCCAGGGCTACCAAACCACTACCCCGTTCCATGGCCTCGCCCGTGTTGGCAAGCCCGTGCGGTACTTTGGCCTGGCCCCCGAGATTGACATCAACGTTGTCGTCGACGAGGCGCTCGCATCTCCCATGCCGCAAGAGGCGGCCGACTCGGCGCGCGCCTTTGTCGCCGCATTGAGAGAAAAGGGCCGTGTCACTCTCAAGCCGCACGTAACGCTCTCGCACGAGAAGAACGTCGAAGCTGAGAAGGAGGCTGCAGAGGAGGGAGCACCCCCCGGCCCTCAGACTGTGGCGTGGAACACGTGCAAGGCGTTGGCAGAGGCCCGCATGTCCCCCATGTACGACTTTGACGTGACCCACGTCGTGTGGGATGACCGCGTCATGGCGCTCGTCGTGGCTGGTATCCGCCCTCGTCCAGACACGGCAGCCGTCGTGGACGGCGCGGTGGGCGAGCAGCGCGAGTCGGCTGTCCCCCTTGTTCTTCCCCACGAGGTTGAGGCCAACCTCCACGTCACGGTCGGTACGCAGGATGAGGAAGTCTCTGCCTTTGAGTCGCGCGGCGTCGTGCGCGTGGCTCGTGAGGCGAGTGCTCGGGGTGTGAGCAGTGGCGAGGGTGGCGAGGCCGTTGAGGGTGGAGGTCCCGTGCACTGGGTCTCTGTGGGTCCCATCCTGGGTGTGGGCCGTGTGAGGGGCATGTACTAGACGGAAGAGACGGTAGAGACGACACGTATACATCAGAGAGCCATATGCATTTGAACGCGCCGTTCGAGGTGCCACACACTATGCCGGTGTTACGTCAGTATGTCATTGTATGCTCCCCCCATATAGACGCCATTTTGATCCCGTCACTTCAGACGCCCGCCGTGGCATTGACGCGCTCGGAGCGTGGTGTGCTGGCAGGCCGCTGGCGGACAGAGTTGGTCTCCTCGACAGCATAGACGCCTTCATCGCCATCCTCCAACTATCCCCCCACCCCACCCTCTTCACGACCCCCCGGTCCGCTTATTCCCGGAAACGCCCGCAGCCATGTCCTTTAAGAAGGACGAGGAGAGCGGCGGCATGTGTAAGTCGTTGTTCCTCTCCTCCTCCCATTGTTCTCTTGCCCGACACGCCGACTCGTGCGCGACTGCATGTTCCGCTTCCTCCACGCCGCACAACACCACCACGGAGGGTTGCGTCGCACGCAGCCACAGCGGACACGTAGCGGTCACCCCCCGGGGCATCCGCATGTCCAGGACGAGCACCACGGCCACGATGACCACCATGGCTTCCAGATCGAACTCCACCTGCGCGCACCCGACCTCGATGCTGACAACCCATTAGCGTTCCTGCATGACAAGTCGACCGTCCTCCAGGAGGCGCGCGTGTTCAACGAGTCGCCCATCTCGCCCCGAAAATGCCGCGCGCTCCTGACGCGCATCGTCTACCTCCTCTACGTCGGTGAGACGTTTACCACGCACGAGGCGACCAACCTGTTCTTTGGCGTCACCAAGCTCTTCCAGCACAAGGATGTCGCGCTCCGTCAGATGGTGTACCTCGTCATCAAGGAGCTGGCGTTCATTGCCGAGGACGTTCTCATGGTCACGTCGTCGATCATGAAGGACATGCAGCCCAACCTCGAGGTCGTCTACCGCCCGAACGCGATCCGCGCCCTTGCCCGTATCATTGACGTAGGTTGATTCAATGTTGTGGGTGGCCCCAGCCGACACTGACACGCTACTGCAGGGCCAGTCGATTCAGTCTGTTGAGCGCTTCTTCAAGTCGGCGCTTGTCGACCGCTCGCCCTCCGTCTCGTCGGCGTCGCTCGTCTCCTCGTACCACCTCTTCCCCATCGCTACCCCGATCATCAAGCGCTGGGCCAACGAGGCCCAGGAGGCTGTCAACGCCAAGGCTGTCTCGTCGTCGAGCTACATGCCTTCGGCTGCGGCCTCGTACATCTCTGGCGGCGGCTCGAACGGCTACCAGGCGTCTGCCTCGAGCTCGTACATTATGCAGTACCACGCCCTTGGTCTGCTGTACCTCATGCGCGAAAAGGACCGCATGGCCATCACCAAGATGGTCCAGCAGTTTGGTGCTGGCAAGCAGGCGACTGTCGTCCGCAACCCCATGGCCATCTGTATGCTCATCCGCTTCGCCCGCAAGGTCATGGACGAGGACCCCAACGTCCAGAGGCAGATGCACGAGTACCTCGAGGGTCTGCTGCGTCACAAGTCGGACATGGTCAACATTGAGGCCGCGCGTGCCATCTGCGACATGCGCAGCGTCACCTCGCAGGACCTGTACCGCCCCGTCGCCGTTCTCCAGCTGTTCCTTTCGTCGCCCAAGCCTGTGCTCAAGTTTGCTGCCGTCAAGACGCTCAGCAAGCTCGCCCAGACCCACCCCGAGGCCGTCACCTCGTGCAACCTCGACATGGAGAACCTCATCACCGACTCGAACCGCTCGATTGCCACGTACGCCATTACCACGTTGCTCAAGACTGGTAACGAGGCTTCGGTGGACCGCTTGATGAAGCAGATTTCGTCGTTTATGACCGACATTACCGACGAGTTTAAGATTATTGTCGTCGACGCCATCCGCTCGCTCTGCCTGAAGTTCCCCTCGAAGCAGGCTGTCATGCTGTCGTTCCTCTCGGGCGTTCTCCGCGACGAGGGTGGTTACGACTTTAAGCAGGCCGTTGTCGAGGCCATCTTTGACATGATCAAGTACATTGGCGACTCGCGTGACGCTGCGCTCGCCCACCTGTGCGAGTTTATCGAGGACTGCGAGTTTACCAAGCTCTCGGTGCGCATTCTCCACCTGCTCGGCATTGAGGGTCCCAAGACTCGCAACCCTACCAAGTACATTCGCTACATCTACAACCGTGTTGTGCTTGAAAACGCCGTCGTTCGCGCGGCCGCCGTCAGCTCGCTTGCCAAGTTTGGTGTGTCGGTCGAGGACCAGCACGTCATCAAGAGCATCGGTGTGCTCCTCCGCAGGTGTCTCGACGACGTTGACGACGAGGTCCGTGACCGTGCGGCCCTTTACATCCGTGTCCTGGACGACAAGCAGCTTGCCGACGCCTATGTTCGCGAGGAGGCTACCTTTTCTCTTGCCGCCCTCGAGTCTCAGCTCGTCTCGTACATCAAGGACGACGCCGAGCACGCCCAGCCGTTTGACGTCACCTCGGTTCCCAAGATTAGCAGGGAGCAGGCCCAGGCTGAGATGTCATCGAGGCCATCTGCTCTCGAGACCATCGCGTCGTCGTCGGCTGCCCCCGAGCCCGCTGTTGTCGCCCACGCTCACGCTATCGAGGCCCAGTCGTCGTACGCTGCCCAGCTGGCAGAGATCCCCGAGCTTGCCAGCTACGGCCCCGTTCTCAAGTCGACTGCCAAGCCCGTCGAGCTTACCGAGCCCGAGACCGAGTACGCCGTCTCGGCCGTCAAGCACATCTTCAAGGAGCACGTCGTGGTCCAGTTCAACGTGTCCAACACCATTCCGGACACTGTTCTCGAGCAGGTGTCGGTGATCATGACTCCCTCGGAGGACTGCGGTCTCACCGAGGACTTTATCATCCCCCTCCCGAGCCTCACCACCCAGAGCGGCACTGCCCCCATCTACGTCTCGTTCACCCGCGACGACCCTGCCTCCTTCCCCACCCCTACTTTCTCGTGTACCCTCAAGTTTGTCTCCAAGGAGGTCGACCCTACGTCGGGCCAGCCCGAGGAGGAGGGCTACGACGACGAGTACCAGGTCGAGGACCTCGACATCACCGCCGGCGACTACATTACGCCCACATACGTCACGTTTGCGACCGAGTGGGACAAGCTCGCGTCGGCGCCGTCCGAGACCGAGACGTTTGCGCTCTCGTCCTCCGAGTCGCTGCGCGACGCGTGCAAGTCGCTCATCGAGGTGCTCGGCATGGAGCCCCTGGGCGGCACAGAGTCGCCCTCGTCCCAGTCGGTGCACACCCTCAACCTCAGCGGCATGGTCGCTGGCGGCGGCGGCAAGGTGCTCACCCGCTGCCGTATGACGTATTCGCCCGGGGCGGGTGTCACCCTCGAGCTGTCTGTGCGTGCCGAGCAGCAGGAGGCCACGGAGCTCGTCATGGCCGCGATTTAGTTTGTTTGTAGTAAATGCGACCGTTAGGATTAGAAGCGAGAGCGAGGACGGCGCAGAGGGCGGGGGTGGGGACGTGACGCACTACTGACCGAGACGGACGCTGTCAGTGAGACTGTGATGACTTGACACCTGCCCAATGGACAATGACTAAGCATGTGCATGCGACAAGACACCCTCAAAATGGACAACGTACAGACAACTGGTCCCGAAAAAAATGGCTAAAAAGAAATATGATGAATGCTGTACGACGACCCACCTCCCCCCTCTCAGAGCCCGCACCTCTCGCCTCCCGACTCACATCCCCGCCAAACACTGGTTGACCTCGGGCCGCATCACCGGCGTTGCGGGGCTCATGGGCGACCCGCCCATCCTCGCACTCGCGCGCACCTTGGGCGTGGCGTCTAGCGCGGCGGCGTCGAGCGTGGGCGTCGCGCCCATCTTTGGTGTTGGCGCCTGGTACATGACCTGTGCGGCGTCGGCGTCCTCGGCGGCATACCCGTTCGCTGCGATGCCGTGGACAGAGGAGCCCAGGGAGAAGCCCTTGACGCCGAGACCCAGGCCGAGACCGAGACCGACGTCGAGACCGACGCCGAGATCTGTGCCGTCTAGGTGGTGTACTTGGTGCTCGTGGTGCGGGGTCGTGGCCGGCGACGACGCGATGGACGTTGTTTCCAGGCCATTCACCAGGTCCGGTATCTCTGCCTCCGCCTCTGCGTGCACCTCGTCGACCTCGTCGTCCTCGTCCTCCGGCAGCTCCCATGGCGGCCGGATGTGTTGCAAGTGCTCGGGCACGTCGAGGTCCCACTCGCGATAGACCGAGCGCATGGCGTCGAGCAGGTCTGCCATTTCGCGCGGTTTGCGCGGGTTGACAGTCCACGAGTCCATGAACGACACGATGCGCAGCGAGTCGTCGCACGGCCGCAGCATGATATGGTGCACGCCCATGTCGCCGTGCACGACGTGGGCGTCAAAGAGGGCCTGGTACAGCGGGATGATGCGGAGGCTGAAGAAAAAAGAAGAAGAAGAAACGGGTCAGCAGGGTGTGTGTGGCAGTGTGGGTCCTGTGGGCTGCTGTGGCACTCACGCCGTCTTCTTGTCCACCTCCGAGTTGAACGTGGCCACCTGGCTCCCGACGTCTTCCAGGAGCATGATCATGAGCGGCGCGCGGTCGGGGCCATAGTATCCCTCAAAGAGGCCGTGGAAGCGCGTCACCACCGTCCCTTGCAAGTGTGCCAGCGGCCCGCAGAACAGGTTGGCCTCGTTGATCATCCTGGCCCGCGTGGCGGCGCGCGACACCATCGACTTTGAGTCGTGGATGGGAATGTTGCCGAGCTTGACCACTTTGGCAACGAAGCGTTCGGGGCCCGACGCCAGCGTCGTGTCGACGACGCGGTGGATGGCCACGGGCCCCTCGTTGGTGACCAGCGCCCCGAGGTGCAGGACATGGCCGTCGTCGGGCCCCGAGAGGAAGGAGAGGAGCGCGTCGTCGTCGTCCGGGTACGTCTGGAACATGTGCGCCTCGACGCACTGCGCGCGCTCCATGCCGTAAATGTCTACTGGAAGCGTGGGCGGCAGCGACTCGGTCTGCTCGACGGGCACCTTTGGCGGCCGCGGGATCTTGGCTGGGACGCCGCCGTCGAAATCCGTCCACCGGCCCACGGGGTCTTGCAGGCGGCACAGCGCCATGGCGAGCAGCGCCTGGAGCATGTTGACAGACGCCGCCGTGTCGGGACACCCGGCGCCCGTGACGGGCGCGAACGTAATGTTCTGTACGCCGGAACGGCGCAGAAGACCCGCGCGGTTCCACGACGTGAAGAGAATCGAATCGCAGCGGTAGATGTGCATCATCTCCCACATCTGTGGTTGGCGTCAGGGCCATGGATCATGGACGAGCGGATGACGGACACGGAGCACGGAGGTGGATGCGATCGACGGGCTCAGCGCCGCCACCAGGATCCACAAAAGCGGCCCACCGTCCCGTCTGTGTTACTCACCTCTGTCATGAGGTCGGCCCAGAACTTGGCCTGCCGGTTCACGACCATAGAGTTCCAACAGCGGACCTGGTCGGTCGCGCTCGACAGGTAGATCTGCATGCCGTCCGCCGAGGACAGCGTCTTGGCAAAGCCCACGAGCCTGGACGCGCGCTCTTCGGGGGTCAGCTGGCTCGCGAGCTTGCAGACGACCAGGCCTCTAGCACCATACGTCGAGCCACGGTTCATGATGCATGCCGCGTCGGCGATACCCGTCCTCGACGTCGGGTTGCCCGCGAGGCCCGAGGCGAGGTACGTCGAGTCGTTTTCCATGTTCCACATGGACCAGAGGTGTGCCTCGCCCGGGTCTTTGCGCAGATACGTGTCGGCGACGATGCTGTTGACCACGCCGTACGCGTGCGACACGGCGCTGTGGCAGTTGGTCTGGTGGAGCGGCGCGAGACACTGCGACGACGCCTCGGCGTTGGCGTGCGCCGTGACGACCTCGCTGGGCACGGGCATGTCCAGCTTGAGGTGTGATTCCAGCTGGTCCGAGAGCGCCTTGACCTGGTCGACGTCAATGTTGATCACAAACCGTCGCTGGGGTGTCGCCTCGAGGACCTTGATCGCTTGCGCCGAGGGTGGGCGCGCAATGTTGGGCGGTTCAGGCATGTACCGCGGGTGGTCGTAGGGCAGCACCTCCTGTGGCTCGGCAATGTCAATGGTCCACAGGCCGCGCTCCAGAAACTCGCGCAACGTCGGCATGGCAGAGCGAGTTGTGGAGACGAAAAAAGACGGGGGACAGTCGACCAGTGGCCAGTGGATGTCCCGGTATATGTACTAGAGGACGGCGACGAGGGCGACGGCGACGACGACGATCCTTAGGTACAGTTGTCTTGGATCACTCCGCTCGGCAGAGATCAGAGACAACGGGCTAACAGTACTCCCCTGTCACCGGCATGAGAGCCCATACGGGGCTGCACCAGGATCGAGAGCGGTGGCGGTCGGCAATGGCAAGGAATGAAATGGAGGCTTGCAGGTTGCCGTGGGTGAACTCGTATATGGGCCCAGGCCAAACGCGGCCAAACGAGCACCTCTACATGTGCACGGTGCACATGGCATACCGGCGTGGGTTGGCCATGTTACGTCAGTCCTCGCAGGGTTCGGTGAATTTAGCAAGAAGCCATCCAGTCCCGCACTGAAACCAATCATTGAGCGACGGGTAGAGGAGGCACCTGGAGGCGCCGTCCAGCATCCGTACGTGTGCGGTGTACTGGCAGCTGTAGAGAGCGGGTTTCTGGTGCATACAGGATCGAGGATACACAGAGATGATCAGCAAGGAGGTGTCGAGGTGTCATGCGACATCGAGAGAGGGATCGACACCAGAGAGACACCGGGCCGATCGACAATCGGCTTATCAGAAACAACGCCCGCAGCGACAATGACGTGTATTACACCACGTGGTCCCGAGCCTATCACTTGCCATTCGCGAACTGTCAACGAGTGTTTCACTGCTCATCATCGAGGAACCACCTTCCGTCACCACCCATCCTCCACCCCCGACGCATCGAGCTCGCCCAACATGGCACGCAACTCTGAAAAGGCTCAGTCCATGCTTTACCGCTTCCGCGAGCAGCAGGCGGTTGAGATGGGCCTCGGCAACCGCGTGCGCGGCGAGCGCAGGCCGCGCATGGCCTCGTCCGTCTCGAGCCTGCGCGAATGCGAGCGCTGGCGCGGCGACATCATGAAGGACATTAGCCGCAAGGTCTCCAAGATCCAGGACTGTGAGTGTTGTCAACAAAAGATGCTCCACGGTCTAGTGGAACGTTGCTGACAGTGTTTTCTCTTCCAGCATCGCTCACCGACTATGAGATCCGCGACCTGAACGACGAGATCAACCAGCTCATGCGCGAGAAGCGGCACTGGGAGACGCAGATTGTCAACCTCGGCGGCGCAAATTACAAGCGTGCGCAGACGTCCATGTTTGACGACGACGGAAAGGAGGTGCCGGGGACGCGGGGATACAAGTACTTTGGACGCGCACGCGAGCTGCCTGGTGTCAAGGAGATGTTTACAAAGGGTGGTACGTTTTTTTTGTCCTTTTTGGGACGAGCCTTTTTTTGCTTCGCGTTGCTGACCACATGTCTCCAGCCCAAGCAGCGACAGAAGAGTCGGCGCGTAATGCCAGCTTCCAGATGTTTAGGAACCAGGGGCCAGACTACTTTGGCGACACGGACGAGATGGACGCGGGTCTGGCCGCTGCTGAAGAGGCCGCGCAGAGGGAAGGTGGGTACACGAACGGCAGTCGGCTGTTGCTAACTCATACAGACTGGGAACGCGCCGTGAGGGATACAGCTGCGATCCTTTCGCTCGACGATGACGCGACGCTCCCGCCCTACCCCGAGCCCAGCAAGCCGCCACCTGCACCAGCAGCACTCGACGCCGATGCCGCGGGCAAGCGCAAGTCTCCAGAGCCCGAGGAGGAGGCGCAGCCCGAGGCCGGGAGCAAGAAGAAGAAGGGAGGAAAGGCGGCCAAGGGCAAGAAGGGCGCTGCTGCTGCTGCTGCTCCACCCCCGCCGCCGCCCGGTGGACCTGGGGCGCAGGCTGTCGACGCGAGCGCCGTGGCCGCTGCTCAGGCTGCCCAGGCTGCTCTTGCTGCCAGCTTTATGAGCGTGTTTGACGCTGCGGCCCTTGCTGCTCCTGTGCTCCCGGACCACGAGGAGATGGGCAAGATTCTGCTGGAGCGGAGAAAGGCGGCGCTGCGCGAGGAGTATGGTGTTTAACGAGGGCAAGGCAGCAGTGTTTAGGTAGGAGAGATGAGACTGGGGCAACGGGGGGGGGGGGGGGTCACCGACCAGGCGTGTGTGCCGAGTGTGTCATGTGTGTGTTATGTGTACCCATGCTGGCTGTTGGCTGCTGGCCGCTGGGTGAATGTATTAGATCTACACATCTGTCATAGGAGACATGTGCAGCGCAGTAAAGGTACGGACAGACGTAGGGGGAATGTTTTGGATATTTATTTGGAAGCGCATGGATATGATCCACACGCACGGGGGCATGAGAGAGCGGGATCAAATGTGTGTGCGTTGCCTTGTCCTGGCCCAGGATAGATTATGGCCACCCAGGGTGCCCGGAGCGACGGAATGTAAACTGCACGAACGTGCGTCGTTCATGACGTTTCTCTGGCTGGCTGGCTGGCTGGCTGGTCGAGTCCTGGCGGTCCCAATCAAGCAGCCGCCGGTCTCTCTGGGCAGTGCTCAAACCCGGGCCGTCGTTCTGTTCTTTCCCAACCACACAAAGTCCAGCACTACTTGTACACCGTCTGGCTGCTCGTCCCCCTTTCCTTCCACAAACACATCTCCTCTCTCTCGCTCCTTACGAGCACCTCGCCGCTCACTATCTCTCCCCCAGGCAGGAGCCAGCCACCGTCACTAGCTCCACCCCCCGGCCTCCACCCTTTCAGTCCAGCCGCCATCGCAACTCTCTGGCAACAACCCCAACTCTTTTTCCGCCCTCCCCCCCCTATCTATCTGTTCTAGTAAGCAGATCCGTACGTCTCGACGTACCGGCTGTAACAGTAAATCCCAGCCCTATCGCTCGCATCAACCTAGCTACATCACCCAGCCACCATGAAGTTTGGTCGCCGTATCAAGGTGAGTCGGGCGTGTGCGAGCAACCCCCCAGGATCGAGTGTTGGGCGGCCCGACACACGAGCCCAGGTCCGTCGAATGATAAGAAGACTGACATCTACACCAGGACTCGCGCTACTCGGAGTGGGCAGACGAGTATGTCAACTACTCTGCCCTCAAGAAGCAGATTAAGAACAACCTCCCCTGGACCGACACTGCAGAGGCCGAGTTTCTCGTGTCGCTGCGCGCCGAGCTCGAGAAGTGCGAAAACTTCCAGCGTCAAAAGGCCCAGGAGGTGACGTCGCGTATCGAGACGCTGGAAAAGGAGGTTGTGTCGCTCGTGGCCAAGGCCTCGGCCGAGGACAGCAGCGACGACGACTCGGATACCCACCCCGACCACCGCTCGCCTCGTGACGCCGAGGAAGGTGTCCACGACCACCACGACGACGGAGGTTCCGACGATGACGATGACGACGAGGACGACGCCATGCACGACGAGGACACGGACCACATGTCCCTCGACGAGATTGAGGAGCGCTTCAAGGAGCTCGAGGAGGAAGTTGCCGTCCTCGTCGCCGACGTCCACGACCTCGCCCTTTTCACCAAGCTCAACTTTACTGGGTTCATGAAGATTGTCAAGAAGCACGACAAGCTCACTGGCTTTGCCCTCAAGCCCTCGTTCAACAAGGACTTCCTTGAGAAGCACCCCTTCTACAAGATGAACTATGACCCCGTCATTGTCAAGCTCTCCAAGTTGTTCGACCTTGTCCGCACCCGTGGCCACCCCGTCGAGGGTGACTCGGCTGCTGGCGGTAGCCAGAACGCGTTCGTGCGTAGCACCACAAAGTACTGGGTCCACGAGGAGAACATTGTGCCCCTCAAGCTCAACATTCTCAAGCAACTGCCCGTGCTCGTCTTTGACCCCAACAAGGAGTTCTCCATCAAGGACTCGGCCATCACCTCGATCTACTATGACAACGAGGACCTCGAGCTGTACCTGGGACGTCTGGAGAAGACCGAGGGTGCCGAGGCCATCCGTATGCGTTGGTACGGTGACGTTGACGGCAAGGTCGTCTTTGTGGAGCGCAAGACCCATCGCGAGGACTGGACTGGTGAAAAGTCGGTCAAGGAGCGCTTCACCATCAAGGAGGACAAGCTCAACGACTTTTGCGCCGGCCGCTACACCATGGACGCCGAGTTTGACGAAATGGTCAAGAAGGGCAAGAAGACTGAAAAGGAGGTCGCTGGCATGAAGCAGCTGGCCGACGAGATCCAGTACGCCATCATCACCCGCAAGCTCCAGCCTGTCATGCGCTCGTTCTACAACCGTACCGCCTTCCAGCTCCCTGGTAACGCCTCGGTCCGTATCTCGCTCGACACCGAGCTTACCCTGGTCCGCGAGGACAACTTTGACGGCGTCGAGCGTACCGGTGGAAACTGGCGTCGTACCGACTTTGGTATCGACCACCCCTTCCCCACCGTCAAGCCTGCCGACAAGGACCTCTTCCCTTACGGTGTCCTTGAAGTCAAGCTCGCCACCCGTGTCGGCGAGGAGCCTCCCCAGTGGATCCGTGACCTTGTCAACTCGCACCTTGTCGAGGCCGTCCCCAAGTTTTCCAAGTTTATCCACGGTTGCGCTACCCTGCTCCCCGAGCGTGTCGACCTGGTCCCCTTCTGGCTGCCCCAGATGGAGCAGGACATTCGCAAGGCCCCCACCGCCCGCTCGCGTGTGCTTATTGAGCGTCCCGTTTCCGCCCCTCACAGCGCCGACTCGCAGTCGGTGCCCCTGTCGCCTGCCATCAGCGCCGACGGTCCCAGCTACCACGAGCCCGTCTCCGAGGGCGAGGACGACGAGTACCTCGTCTCGGCGTCGGCGTTCAACGAGGACGCCATGCTCCGTCTTCCCGCCGACGTCCAGGCCGAGGCCAAGGCCGCTCGCGAGCACCGTGAGCGCGCGCTCCTCGAGTCCAAGAACGACGCAAAGGGCGACGACTACAAGCGCCCCGCCGCCAAGCAGTACCGCAAGGGTCTGCGTGTTGACCCCCTCGTCCCTGCCAACCGCTTTGACAACTCGGTCTCGGCATTTGACGCCAAGCTCAAGGCCGCCGCCGAGCAGTCGGACGACGACGAGCTCGAGGAGGTCGAGGAGGAGGAGCCCGACAACCGCGTCGAGCTCACCCGCGAGTTCCACGCTCCGGCCGGAAAGCGCATCTCCATCCCCATCCGTATCGAGCCCAAGGTCGTGTTCGCCGCCGAGCGCACCTTCCTCAAGTGGTCGCACATGGCTGTCCTCCTCAGCACCGTCTCCATCGTACTCATCAACTTTGTCCCCGCCGACGACACCGTGGGCTTTGTCGCCGCCGGCTGCTTCACTTTCACTGCCTTGCTGGCAGTCGCATATAGCGGTATCATGTACGCCCTGCGTATTCTCAGGATACGCAAGCGTCTCGCCGTCGACTACCACGACCCGTACGGCCCCACCATCCTGTGCTTCACCCTCATTGCGAGCATGATGGTCAACCTCGTCCTCCGCGTCCGTGCCCTCTAGGCAACGCGGCGCCGCCAGCCGTTTTTTTAATTAAACCAAAAAAAAAAAGCCAAACACAAATCAAACATAAGGATTGTCTCCCTCCGAAGATGTGCGCGCCTCGCATCACCTAGCTCGGGATACCCAAGATTCCCCCCCTTCTCGTTTCTCCATCGCCTGCCTGCCAGCCTGCCAGCTCGTATTTTCTTCATAGTCGTCTGTGGCGCGAGTCATAGCCATAGCGGCCAAGTATGCATGTCGTTCCAGTGCTGAGGGAGCCTCCCATGGAGGACAGGGTCCATGAGCTGTGATGACATGACAGTCAAAAACAGAGTGGGTGGGTGTACATCTAAGTATGTGTTCTACTATGCTCTCTCTCTCTCCCTCCCTCCCTCTCTCTCTCTCGGCCTCCCGTATATCACTCATTATAGCATCCCCTCGATACCAAGCGCGACCAGGACGGTGGCCAGCATGCTGACTTTACGCTCTGGCAGCGCCCACGTCTGCTTGCCCACGTCATGTGCGTGTTCCCTCAACCCCGTCAGCTCGTGTCCCAGGCCGGACCGCAGCGACTCGGACGACGTGGCGAGCACGAGGCTCAGTTCCGTGTCGAGGTTGAGCGAGCGCGTGGAGAGGTTGGACGAGCCGATAAACGTCAGAAAGGGGTCGGCGTCCGTGCCGGGCGGCGAGAGCCAGAGGCCTGGGACGGGTCAGTCGGTGCGTCGCGCAGCGAGTAGCGGATCAAACAAATGTATCCCCTGCATGAGCTGTGATGGCGGACGGCACAGCTCGGGGGACCCACGCCCACGACTCACCCTTGGCATGGTATGTCCATCCATCACGCTCCCATTCCTGCAGCCGCACACCCGTGTGCTTCTGCTCGTCCCAGAGCCTGCCTGCGCGTTCGGCCGAGGCGTGGAACCGCCGCTCGAGGAGGGTGTAGCCCTCTGGGATGAGGCCGGAGAGGCCCTTGGAGCCGTAAAAGCCGTTTGCCTGGGAGGAGCGGTCAGCAAAAGTGGCATCTTCGGACCCAAGTGAACGGAAAGGGTAGAGTGGCGGACTGCCAGCTATCGTTGACAAACTCGTAGCTCGCGCCGCTCGCTGCCCCCTTCCCCCGCTTACTCACCTTTGGCGAGGCGGCAATGACGCGCACGGGTGCGGGGCTCTCAATCACCGCGCGCTTGTACGCCTTGTACAGGCCAAAGTATCCACTGGTGAGGTCCACCTCGACGTCGCGCGCCTCCTTGACCGCGTTGAACACTTTGCCCAGCGCCGCCTCCTCCTCTCTCAACCCCAGCACACCGGCCTGGACCACGGGCCAGAACCACGTGTCGGCGCCGGCGGACGCGGCGTCGCGCGAGCGCACACCGTTGCTCGCGCGCCACGCCTGCTGGAACGCGCGGAGCGTCGCTTGCGCGTGTGTAGCCCAGCCGCGCGGCGGCAGCGAGGCCTCGCGCCACACGGCGGCCGCGTCGCTCCCGCCCGTACATGCGCCGAGGGCGACGCCGTGCGTCCCGATCGCGCCCCGGCGCGGGTGCGCAATGACCTTGTACGAGTAGTCGGAGAGCAGGCGGGTGATGCTCGAGAGGTACGAGAGGAGAGCAGGGTGCGGTCCCAGGCGAATGTAGCGGTCCTGGCGGTTTGTAAAGTACGACTCGGCGAGGTTGGCTCTAGACGGCTGTCAGCAATGGCGATAGTGGAGTTGCAAGCCACAGGTCACGGCCACCACACTCACCCGCTCAGCACGACGTCGTCGTCGACAGCGTAATACTTTGCGTGCCATGTACCCCACCCCTCGTCGTACCGCGGGGGCACAATCTTCTCCATGAGGCCCTTCAGCTTGGGCGAGCGGTACAGCCACACGTCGACGCGGTCTCCGAACCGCTCCAGCAGCGGGAGGAGCATGTGCACCGTCGACACGGGACCGGGGCCCTTGCCTGTACGCGTGGCCCGGTTGTAGTCGAGCACAAAGGTCGCGCGCACACCGGGGCGCGCAGCGAGCGCGGTCGCGACGGCGTCCACCTGAAAGTTAAAGTCAGTCACGAACCAAAGGTCAAAGGTTGCCGGGGCACGGACGTGCAGGACCGTCTCTTCCCGCATAGTCCATACTACTGGCAGCAACTACGCACCAGTGATTCCTCCTCTGTGCCAATGTACAGGCTGCTAATGAGGATCCGCCTCTGGGCGCTCTTGACCATGTCCAGGAGCGTGTCGTGGAAGATGGTCGGGCTGGAGAGGATCTCGACGTTGTCGCCTTTGACACCAAAACACGGCTGCGTAGCGCTCAGCCTCGCGGCGAGGTGACCAAACGCGCCAGCCGCGCCCGGGTATGCCTGTGCCATGGCCGCGGCGGGCTCGGCGCCGACAGCAGCAGCCGAGGTGGTGGAAGTGGTCGACAAGGTGCGGTGCTGCTGGTGGTGGTGGTGGTGGTGCTGGCGCTGGCCTGAGCGCGCCGACGTCGCATGCAGCTTGGGCACGCGCGCGGCTGTCCTTCCTGATCGCGCTGTGCGCATGCTTGCGCCGACAGCGGCGCCGAGGCGGGAGGGACCCGCCGAGTCGATGGGGGACATGGTTTGGGTGACGTCCGAGGAACAGACAGCGGTCTCGCACGAATAATGGACTTTTTCGGAGATGGCGATCCGAATCGACCGACGCAGCCAGAGCCTGGCTGGCGCTGGGCGGTGGACACAGGCACGGATGCAAAGACGTGACTGCTGGGCGTGGAGGGAGGGAGCTGGGCAGCGGGGGACGACTTTTTCAAAGCAAAAACGTCCTTAATTTCATACCTCCATCTTCATCTTCCAACTCTACTCCACCCACCACCTCTCACACTCCCACAAAATGCAGGCTATCAAGCGCTCGACCCTCAAGATCGGTATGATCCCCGCCGACGGCGTGGGCCGTGAGGTCCTCCCTGTACGTACATGCGTGCCCTCCCGGGTTTACAATTCCGGGCGAACGCGGGGCAACGTTCGCTTCTTGTGCTGACCCTTTGTCCACAGGCCGCTCAGCGTGCTATCGAGGCTCTCGGCTCGGCCATCCCCAAGCCTGAGTTCATCCCCCTCATTGCTGGCTGGGAGGAGTTCAACAAGAACGGCAAGGCCCTTCCCGATGAGACTGTCCGGTGAGTTGGCACACGGCTTTCGGCCGAATCGGAGGTCAACGATCGGAGACCTCTTCTTGTCTTCCATGGCTCGGTTACTAACATTCTCAAGCGTCCTCAAGGAGGAGTGCGATGCCGCCATGTTCGGCTCGGTCCAGTCGCCCTCGCACAAGGTTGCCGGCTACAGCTCGCCCATTGTCGCCCTCCGCAAGCACCTTGACCTTTACGCCAACATTCGCCCCGTCGCTTCGGTCCCCGGCACCGCCGGCCCCGATGTCAACCTCGTCATTGTTCGCGAGAACACCGAGTGCCTCTACATCAAGAAGGAGGAGATCCACGACAACGCCGACGGCTCCAAGACCGCCTTCGCTACCCGTCAGATCACCTCGAAGGCTTCGGAGCGTATTGGCCGTATGGCCTTCGAGCTTGCCCTCCGCCGCGGCGCCGAGCGTGCTGCCCCCGGCGCCCCCGCTACCTTCTGGAAGGGCCCTCCCAAGGTCACCATCGTGCACAAGTCTAACGTGTTGTCAGTGACCGATGGCCTTTTCCGTGAGACTGTTCGTGCTGTCAAGGAGAACGACGGCGGTCGCTACGACGGCGTCGAGATGAACGAGCAGCTCGTGGACTCCATGGTGTATAAGCTCTTAGGGACGCGTCTGAGTTCGACGTTGCCGTCGCGCCCAACCTGTACGGTGACATTATCTCGGACGGCGCGGCTGCGCTCGTCGGATCGCTCGGTCTCGTCCCCTCGGTCAACGCCGGTGACAACTTCTTCATGGGTGAGCCCGTCCACGGCTCGGCTCCCGACATTGCTGGCAAGGGCATCGCCAACCCCATTGCCTCGATCCGCTCGGCTGCCCTCATGCTCTCGTCGATGGGCTACCTCGAGGCCGCTACCCGCATCAACGCTGCCGTTGACGCCGTTATCCTCGAGGGCAAGTACTCCACCCCCGACCTTGGCGGCAAGTCGACCACCGACGAGGTCACCGAGGCTATCCTCAAGAAGATCTAAGCGACAGCTGTCTAGGAGTTGATTGGGACGAGTGTGATAGACCATGTTGGATGCACCAAATAGTAGAATTGCCAAACGGTGCCACACGTCCCGCCGATCAGTGCCACACGCCCACCGCCGATCAGTGCCACACGTCAGCCGCCGATCAGTGCCACATTCAGTCTCATTGTGCCCTCTGGCCGGCTCCCTGTTGAGAGTACACCCGGTACGCACCCGGCGCCGTCCAACTGCTACAGTGTTTTCTGCGCAGAGAGTAGGACAGAGGATGGGCCAATGCTTACGTAAACATTATTTTAAACCAAAGGACCCCCCCCCCCCCCCCCCCCCCCCCACCCGGCGCCCAGGGGGCGTCCATGCCAACCCCATGGGGACCAGCCGGCCCAGACAACAATCACGTTCGACCATATCCCCAGCATCATCGCCGTTACCCCTACTCTTACTCGCCATGCCTTCCTCGCATCACAGCCCCCACTCTCACCCCTCTCACCCTTCGGTCGCTCGTTCGTATCACCACGACCCATGCCAACGCTCCTCCTACCCTACCGCCACTCTGTCGAGTCCCACTTTGATCCTTCGCCCATATGCGCTACAGTCTATCCGACCGTATGTACATCCCATCGAAGGTATCCCGTTCTACTTCTGAAGACGAACAGCCCCTACAGGGATGGCAATTTTGATCTTTATTTTCTTGACCCTTACGACGAGCTTTTTGTCGGTGATGACTTTCTTGACCTCGGTGGCACGCCAGTGACTTGGACGATGTCGATTCAAAGGCAACAAATGCCCGTCGCAAATGCAAGGCCAATCCTCCCCCCTTACCCTCAAAGAAGTGAGTGACAATAATGAAACCAGCTGACAACAAGGTCGTCAACGGTTTCCCGCAGTTCAAGAACGAGATCCTTAGCGCGACCTCTGGCACGAGCCCGACGCCAGCGACCGTCCCGAAGGTTCTGCGCGCCCGCTTTGACCTCATCAGACGTCATCTGATGGCCATTCCACAGCAGACGAAGTTCTGGAAAGACAGCCATGCGCAAGTCTCGGCCGATGACCTGTTCGAGATCTTTTGCGCCGGCCTCGATGTCAACCATCTCAAAATTCTCGTTGCCGACCAAGCCCCCACCGCTGAGCAGCTCTGGGACCTCTTCCAGTCCGCCGAAGGAGACGTCCGTTGGGGCGTCTATGCCAAGATCTTGATGTGGCCCAACGACCACCACTACCTCTACATCGGCTCGGCCGGTGGTTTCCCCATGTTAGTCAATGGGAGGCTGAAAGATGGTGATTTCAAATCTCGAGCCCCAGGTCATTACTCGAAGTACAACAGCATCTTCTCAGACGGGTCCAGTAACCCAGGGTGAGTACAGTCTCAGCAAACAGACATAGGCAGATCACAGAAGGTTGACAGTCTAGCTTTTTTGAGAATATGGCCTACAAGACGGAGGGCCACTATTGGGACGTGAAGCCTCTTTGGGGACTGGACGTCTCAGGGCTTGGTTACTCTCGCAATGGCATGACCTCTGCTGCGCGGGCCATGACCCATTGGGCGGAGGCGCTGCTCATGGCATGGCTGGACACTGCCAAAAGCCCCACCAAGCTCGTCTGGTCCGAAGGCGCACCCTATCGTGGAACCAACCTCCGTTCTCCTGTCGTCGAAATGATTTATGGCGTCTCCAGCTACACTCCAGAGGAACGGTACCAGCGTCAAACCGCAGGCATGAAGGCCTACCGCGAGGCCAACCGGCAGTTGATTCGAGGCCGCCAGAACGCTCGTATGCACGGCAGTGAGGAGAAAATGCAGGCCAATTGCGACAAGGCTGCAGACTACTACAAGGAGAACGGCGACGAGATCAATCGCAAGAAGCGCGAAGCACGGGCTAGCCGAAGCGACGAGCAAATTGCCGCCGACTCGGCAAAGCAACTCGCACAGGTTGCCAAGCTCAAGGAACGTAACAAGGCGGAAGGAATAGCCCCGGAGCCAGCAAAGGTCGTCTCGCCGAACACAAAGGCGAGGCTAAAGGCGTACAAGGCCCAGTGGTATCAAGAGAACAAGGAACGCATTGTGGATGACCGCAAGGCAAAGGCCAACGCCAATGCCACAGATCCATTACAGGAGCAAACTGTCCACTCGGCACATGCTCTCAACGCCGCCGCCACTCTCATGGCAGCTTCTAGCCACCCCCAGGACCCACTGGCCCTGGCACTCACCCAAAAGGCTGCTCTGATTTGCCTTCCCCCGGATCCCGACGAGGACTCCCAAGACCCCCAACATCTTCCTACGGCATCCCTCCCCGGAAATCTTGCCGCGCCAGCTGTTGTCAGGCAGCGTGCTCAGATGAGGGCTGCCGACGGTACTGCTCTTGGGCTTAACCTGTTGGAGGCCTTCAAGGAGCTTGGCGAAGGCCCGTACTCGTCCCTTCTTCAAAAGTGCCCTCTCAAGATCTGCAAAGCGGGCCCCTTTGAAAACTCCGTGCAGCTCGCCACGCACATTTACACACACCGTGGACCCACCTGCCACATCGAGGGTCCCGACGGTTCCACTTGCGGCGCTCGACTCGATAACAACAATACGGCGATTCGTCACAATGAGGCGCAGCATGCCCTGCTGTCGCTCCTTACCTCTACGTCACTTCCGCAGTCGACCTGGTATTGTCGACTTTGCAAAGCTTGGATGCTCACGTACCATGACATTACCATCCATCTCAGCCCCCACATCGACCAGATCGTCTCGGCAATGTCCGTCGACCCGCGCGTGATGGCTTTTGACCACGACAATCAAGCTATAAACAGGGCAATGGCCTAAACAGGTCCACCACATCAACACTCACATTGTCGGTCTACTGTTTGCCAACACGGCCACCTCCCACCCCTGTCCATTCGGGGTGTGCGTTCGCGAGACATTCTCCCCTGCCCAGTTGGCCGATCACCTCATCCTTAGGCACGGCCTACGCCTTCGCGGCAGGAACGAAGCGGGAAAGAAAAAGCCGAAGGTGTGCGCTGGCGACCTCACCCTCCTCGAGCTTTAAGACGGACCTGCCGCGGCTCCTCCTGTTGGATACAGGCAACGCCACGAAGAAGCCTGTCATCAGCAGAGTCTTCGCCCGGTCGCGCACGGCCACCGCGACATCTCAGCAGACTTCGGCCAAGACATTGGCAACAATGACTCCATCCGCCCCAAACAGCCTCTCGTATTTCACCGCAAAGCCAAAACACGAGCTGAAGAGTCTCTGTAAAGCTCTGGGCATCTCAGTGAGCGAGGGTACAAAGGGCGCGAGAGTGGGTGTACTCGCCAACCGGCTCGCAAGTTTCCATGCGGGAGGTACCCCTCCCCTGTCCCGCGCCGCCAAGGCATCCAAGAAGAGGCAGGCTGTTGCCGACTCCGCCTCGTCGTCCCTATACGACCCGGGGGTCTCGACCGACATTCAGTCCTTCAGAGGCGCACCCCACGACCTCCAAACCATTGACCCCAACCTCCTCATGTTCGGAGGCCCGCTTGCCCAGAACCGTTACCCTGCTGCCACCACTTCACAGGCTTCCAGCACCCAGGACGCACCCCACGACCTCCAAACCATTGACCCCAACTTCCTCATGTTCGGCGGCCAGTCAACGCCCACCTCGTTGATCAGCTTCTCGGCGACAGCAGTGCATCGTATCCCTGCCCATTCCTGGTCTGCAGAGGGGAGTCATTCTCGCCGGCCGACGTTGCCGACCACCTCATTATCAAGCACGGCCAACGTCTGCGGGGAAGGAACCAAGCTGGAGTGAAGAAGCAGAAGGTGTGCGCTGGCGACCTCACCTCCTCGAGCTCTCGGCTTCCCATGCAAGCCGCCTCCAGTTGTTCAACGAGAACCCCAGTGGCAGGCCCACAAAAAATCCCGGTGTGAGCAGCGTTGCGGCGCGCTCCCGTGCAGCCTGGGCCTCTCGCGCGGCGCCGTCCGCACGCAAAGTCGCAAAGATGTCTCCTGCAGTGCCCAACTCGCTGCAGTACTTTACTTCGCCGCCATGAGCAAACCCGAGCTCAAAAAACTTTGCGCGGCCCTCGGCATCTCGGTTAGCCTTGGCACTAGGAGTGCAACCGTGGACATCCTCGCGCAACGCCTCGCCGATTTCCACGCTGGTGGTGCACCACCACTGTCCCGCAAAGTAAAGGGGGCTTGGAGGGCAGATGTACAGGCCATGTACTCTCCAGGCTTGCCTTCAACCAGCGCCTCAAGCTCGCATAATTTAGTCTCCATCCCCAGCCCGAATGCTCTCCACCTGGACCTCGGTCCTTCAGCGGACCACATCTCTCTCCACCAAATGGGCCTCCTCGACAGTGATATCAACGAGCAGAACAACGCACGCGACAACCCCCATTCCAGCAGTTGAGCTCCCGAAAGACTTCAAGGCAGGTGTACATGGCTGGTCCTGGTGACTATGAGGCTGTAATGGCATCTCAGAGTGCGGATATCACTGAGGGGGTGCGGAACATCCTTCCGCTCATGTCGGTACATATGCACTGAATCGAAGGTTACTAGCACATGACTCACTTCTTGACACTGGACAAACCCAACCTAATGCTTCTCATAGTCGGTATAAGCACACACTCGACTCAGAAGTTGACTGGCGGGCTTGTCCTTGTCCAGAGCGGTTGGCTGGAACGACGAGTTCTGCTGGCCGTTCTGTAACAATGTCAGGGGGTTGAGTACTGTCTTTGATCACTTACCTGGAGCGACACAAACTCGCTGGTCTTGTAGCGTAGCATGCTACCGCCGCCGGTCTTGACCTGTCTGGAGGCCTCGGCGTTGTCACGCGACCTTATTGGGGGACGGGACGGGGACGACATCGCGGGTGGCCCAGTAGCGCTGTCGCTTGTTGCTGTGCTCGCGGAGCTGCTTCTCGCAATGGTGACGAGATATGGTCATAACAGCGCGTAGGGGGTTGCGTGTGTGGCAGCGTAAGTACGTGGGGCCCACGATTATTTGAATGTGTCAATTCAGAGAGGTGTGAGTTGGAGTGTAGTGATTATGCGGATGAAGATGAAACCGAATGCGGAAGATGGCACCAACAACTGACCGTTAGGGCGTATTGACGGCTGCACTGAGGGAATAGACAGTCTGTCACAGATCACAAGAGGAGGTCAGTACAAAACGCGTGGCGGCTATCTCGCCGTCGCTGTACCCCTGGTACTCGTATCCAAGACAGCTAACGGCCGCACACGCACAATCACCAACTGCCCACCCTCGAACCCCCTGCCACCATTCTCCTATCCTACATCCTGCATGCACACACAGATAGTGAGTCTCTAAGTCTAGGCCATGGCAACATCGCCGTTGTCGTCGGGGCGGGGGGCGCCACGCTCGACCGAGCTGACAATCTCGCGACGGATCTCCTGCGAGATGGTGGGGTGGGGGCGCACGCGGATGACGTCGAGAAGGGCGTCCTTCTGGTCCGACGTAAGGTCAGAGCCGTAGCTAAAAAGGCGTCAGTAGATGGATCATAGGGTAGCGGCGGCCTGGACTCACCGCTGGACAAAGACGAGAAGCGACTGGTGCCAGAGGACGGGGAGCTTGTCCTCACCGTCACGCGAACGGGGCGAGTTGGCGAGACGGATGTAGTGGAAGACGAGAGCGTCGACGACCTTGAAGGGAAGGGCGTACTTCTTGTCGAGGAGGATACGGATGAAGAGCGAGTTGGGGCCAGTGTAGTCCATGCTGGCGAGGCGGAGGAGGGCGGCAGCCGAGTGGAGGACGGGGACGGACACCTTGGAGAGAACCGAGGCGATAATGGCAGCCTCCTTGAGCGAACAGCCGGTCTCGCACAGCGGGAAGAGGATACCCTTGAAGAAGGCGGCGGGCTTGTACAGCGACTTCTTGAGGGCCTCGTACAGCTGGACGGCGAGCTTGCCGTTCGAGTCGCGCATGTCCTCGCGCACGCGGTCAAGGAGGACACCCTCCATGAACACGCGAGCCTCCGAGGGCTTCAAGTTGGACACGAAGATCTTGGTGCACGCAAACGTGGCGTGGGGAGTCCAATCGTTGGGCTGGGTAAGAGCAAGGAGCTGAGCCCAGTGGGGGAGCGAGGGAAGGATCTTGAGAGCCTTTGGCAGGGGGCCCGACTTGTAGCGGGACAGGAGGTAGCCGACCTTGGTGTAAACCTCGACAACCTTGGGGTTCAGGCCCTGCTTCGGGTCGGGAGGTCCGTCATCCTCGTCAAACGCGCTAGTCGCACCACCCTCCATCTGGGCAAAGATGAGGTCGGCAAGCGTCTTGCCCTGTCCACCCTCGCCAGGCGCGTTGAGCGCATCGAGCGTCGCGTGGTCCTCGGGGGCGATTTCCTGCGTGGGTCAGCAGTGCTTTGGACAGTGTTATACCCACCAGCTCGGCCTCCTCCTCACCACCCGACATTGAACCGTCCTCAAACTCCTCGTCGTCGTCGCTGTCCATGCCAGCCTCGGCGCGTGCGCGCGAGCTGGGCTCGGGCTCGTTGTCCTCGTCCTCCCAGTCGTCGTCCTCGCCCAGCTCGCGGTTCACTTCGTCCTGCTGCTCACGGGCAAGCTCAAGAATCTTGCGCGACATGCGAGCATCCTCACCCTGCTGTTTGAGAAATAAGTCAGCTCTCCAACCTCGATTGACATTGTGACATTGGCGTCATTGGACTCACACCCTGCTCCTCCTCCTCTTCGGTGCGCTTTTGCCTCTTGCCCGGCGCAGTGATGCGGCCAAATCGACGGACGCTCTCATCGGCGGTGAGCTCGACGTGGAGCGGGTCGTGGCGCGGCTTGGTGACCTTTGGTGCCCTCGGCATGGCTTTTGGGTGGTTGTTGTGGTGGTGGTTGTGGACGAGAAATCTGCAGAACGCCAGGAACGCAGAAAGATGGAATCACAAACTTTTGTATTGGGTGGCGTGAAGATCTAATCAGAGTGGAGGTCACGTGACCGCTAGTTAGGCCGGTCATTGCGGTCATTGCGCTTTGTTGCCTGCAATGCTGGTTTCCAGAGGTAGGAGAGTTGACTCATCGCCCTATACACAGCAGCTTGCAAACGGTATCTTGTCTTCACTCTTCTTTACTCTACTTCCATCACGTACTCCATCACCTCCTCAACATACACTGCGCACCTACAGCGACCTGTGGGAATGAAGCCATGTCGTCTTAGAAACCGTGCCCCTCACGCCCGCATCCTTCCCCGCCCGTCCTTACCTTGAATCCCCCACCGACATCAACCATGGGAAAGGGCAAACGACGCGCCAAAGAGTCACCAAAGGACTCGTTCTACGCCGTCCTGGATGTGGAGACGCCAGAGTCTGACCATGTCGACGCCGGCGTCCTTGCATCTGTCCTCTCGGTACGCGCCCATCATTTGCCCTCGACATCCTCCACGCTGGCGCCGGACTGACCACCCACCCACAGGCCGAGTTTACGTTGATCGACCCTTCCCTCGTTCATGCCATTCTACTGGACTATGACCCCGAGACGCTTAGCCAGCATATCGACGACATCCGAGAGCAGCTCGGTATGCTCGAGGCATCCAGCGTGCCCGACTCGAACGACATGGAGCAGCTAGCCACCCCTACAGTGTCCCCTAGCTCCGAGTCCGGGCGGTCCCCCTTGCACTCGGTGTTTGCTACCAGCAACGGTGGCACGGCTATCTCATCTAACCCATCCATTTTCTCAGACAATGAGGACGACGGGGAACCAAGGACCGAAGAGGAGCTGCTCGCAACTTTCTTCCCAGGTTTGTGTGTATCTGTCTGCCTGCGCTCCCTGACCGAACGTCGGCTAACGTCAGGCCGAAACGCTGTATTGATGAGGCATTCGCGTCAGAGCCATCACTTGAGGCTGCCATCGATCACCTCCTCTCTGTGGAGCTCATACGCGGCGTCCAGCGTACTGGCAAGTGGGAAGGCGGAGCGGACGAGACCGATGAGCCCCAGCAGGATTGGTCGACGTCCCGGTCACGTCGCGGTAGCGCGTCAGCATCATCGTCGTCCAAACCGAGTCGCCCGTCACGGACCAAGGCCAAGAAGCAAAAGGCCAAGACTATGCCCTTAGTTGACACCATGCAACGCCGACCCGTTGTGTCGCGTGCCGCCTCGGCATCATCATCTACTGCCAGTGGAAGCCGCACTCCTGGCGCTCCGTCGGCCGACGTTTGGTCTGCCTTTGCCTCGCTCGCCGCTTTCCTCTCCGAAGTTGTGCCCCGCGCCGGGACACAGTACTTTATCTCCTACCTCCATTCCCCAGACTACATGTGCGCGTACGAGGCGGTGCAGGCTGCCATCTCTGCGCTTGCCGCCTCGTCGTCTGCAGTCCCCAACCAGGAAGCCGTCTCGATCCTCGAGGAAATGTACGGCACGTCGGTGGACGATGAGGACGACTCCAATCTCTCTGTCTGCGTGCGCGCGACGGCTGGCGATGTCGTTGCTGTCATGGACCTTATGGATCTGCTCACCGACCTCACCTGGTGGCCCGACTTTGAGAGCGCTCGCGAAAACGAAAGCGACCCGTTCGACACACTTGTAAAGTTGCAGTCGGCCTTACCAGCCAAACCGTCAGTGTTGGTGGCGCAAGCGCAACCCGAGACACAGACAACTCGCGCCGTCAACTCGAACCGCCTCAGTCGCCCTACATCGCAGGAGCCCAAGAAGCGCGAGCGTGTAGTACCAGGATCTAAGCCTGCCCCCTCAGCTGCAGCATACCCCTCGGCGCACGGTGCTGCCCTCCCAGGATCTGAACGGTGGTCGGTTCCAAGGGGCACCAACCTGACCAAACAGCAAATACACAACACTCCATGGCAGGAGGTCGCTCCCACGCAGCGGCGTGCTGCACGCGGTGCCCATCCCCTCGCCGCGAGCATTCCAGCCTACGCACGAGGCATGCTTCCGCAGAACAAGACTGCTGGTGCCCTCGCACGCGCCCAGCGCGCCGAAGACGCTGGTCTCACAGCAGACGACTGCTATAACCGTGGCGAAATGGAGTGGCAGAGACGCGCCGAAGCGATCCGCGAGGCTGGACGGCACTTCAAGTCCTCTGGTCGCAAGGATACCGCCGCCATGGTGGCTTCCCACTATGCCGCCCGCGCTCGCGAGGCCATGGACAGTGCGCGCGAATGGGAACTCCGCGGCGCACGCATGGTCATTGACCGCCAGCTCAACTCGTCAAGCGGGCACGTCGTGGACCTGCACTACGCGACAGTCGAACAGGCAGTCACCCTCGCGCTCGAGACGGCGGATAACTGGTGGCGCAACGCACAGCGTACCAGGGAGAATGGCAACATGGCTGCTCCGCAGCCGCTCATTATCGTCGTTGGCAAGGGACGGCACTCGGTCAGCAACGTTGGTGTACTCGGACCAGCGGTTGCGCGCGCGCTGGTGGATGGTGGGTGGAGGATTGAGCGGTGTGAGGGATACATCGCCGTCAAGGCGAGATAATGCTTGCATACATGACGACACGGACAGACGAGACGAGAACGGAGGTTGTACACACTATGTGATACCCTGCATTCAAGTGTTGTAGGCCGCGACGAACGTGAAAGCAACGCCAGTGAAAAGGCCGTCCTGCCTGGGCGATGAAAACACACTATCCTGCGCAGCGAAGTGGTATTTGGCAAAATAGTGCGTTCTCCAGCAAACGCCTCACCGGCAACACGTTTTCCGCACAATCGTCCCGATCGTCCCACGAATACACGTCCACACCTACGTACGATCTTCGCATGTACTGATACAACCTTTGGAAACCCACTACTGCTTTCGTCCATCTAGATACGTGATCCAGCCACGTACCTCGTTCTCCCATGGGCCGTTATCCCTCCCAATAATCTTGGCACCCTGTGCCGCCAGCTTGTCATACACCTTACTGCCGTTCGCATCCACGATGGAGCGGCAGGCCGGGGCGACAATGGCCGTGTCAAACTTGGCGTCGATAGACGACTGAGCGGTGGCACCGACACAAAAGTCGGTGGCCACACCAGTGACCACCACACGGGTGATTCCGGCGGCGCGCAGCGTGTCGGCCACCTCAGTCGGGAGGGCCGGGGAGAGCGTGGTGGGTGGTGCGGCGGGCTCGGTGCCGCTTGTAACGTATCCCTCAAATGCAGAATACGACTCGATGCCCTTGTGCCATCCCTGCATGTTGTCAGCTAGCAACGGGAAACTGCAGCTGGGTTCGCGTCGTATACTCACCTTCCTCACAATCTTGAACTTGTCGCCCCACGCATGTAGGCGCGGCACAAGCTCTGATTTGATCTCGCAGCCATTGGTTCCCTGGACACAGTGCTCTGGCCACAGTTTCTGGACATAGGCCTTGCCACGGGCGTCGGTGAGCTGCATGTCCTCGAACGGCTGTTTATCGTGGGAGGTGGCGAATGAAATGTGGCCGGGAGGGTGATAGTCCTGTAAAGTCAGCCGGCTGAAGATATTGAAATAGTCCATGAGATGCTTGAGCTGCTCGGTGCTCACCTGCGATGCGATTACCATGTCCCACTCGTACTTGTCCAGCAGCTCTGCGATGGGTGGGCCGACCTCGAGACCCCAGGGGACTGCGAGGGAGCCATTCGGCGGCAGGAAGTCGTTCTGAACATCGACAATGATGAGGGCCGAGCGAGGGCGAGCAGAGTCCCCTTGAATGATTGCAGGCATGGTTGTAGAGAGGTGTGGGAGAGTCATGACATGCATGACACCGACGTAGAACGCATAGCATCGGGTGGACCGCAACAGCCGTCTGGGGACCCCATATTATTATGCCGTCAAGCGGAGGCAAATAGTTCCAGCGCGCGGGTGGCGTGTTGCATGCTGCGTGCGCTGGCTGTGTGCTGTGCGCATCAATGGGAGGACATTTGTGCTAGTCGTCGTCGTCGTCGTCGTCCACACTGTCACTCTCAATCCAACAAAATGTCCAGCACGACCCAGCCCCAGGGCGCCCTCGGTGAAAGCTTCGAGACGTCTTCGTCCTCGGTTCGCCATTCGCGGCCGGGAAGCATCTCCCTCCCGCCGCCACCGCCGCTGGACCGTGACGAGCCCGCCGCCGACTTTGACACCAACACGCTCGCCCTCGTCCTCCCCCACCAGGCCCTGTTTGCCCCCGAGGCGCTGCATCTCCTCCGCGATGCATTCTCGGGTTACGGTCCTCTGGCGCACTGGGCTCCCGTGCGTGGCTTTGGCCGTGTGATCATTGTGTATGAGCGCGACGAGGACGCCTTGTTGGCCAAGACGCACGGCGACTGGTTCCGTCTCGACGTGGATCTGGACGCCGAGGACGACGACCACGAGGCCCAGAAGCCTGTCGACGCCACCACCCAGCCGGGAGAGGGATACTTCGGGCACTCGCGCAAACCGTCGCGCACATCAAAGGGGTGAGTCCAGCCAGTGCGACCGGGAGCGCACCAACGAACCCCCCCACTGGGGGTCTCTCTATCCGTCACCGCTATGAAAGCGACAGGTCCTATGGTCTCAGACACTGATGTCACACAGCATCGTACTCCGCGTCTACGCCCTCCCCCGCACCGATCTGAGCGGGGCAGACAACCACCTGCGTCCGCCCGAGGTCGAGCGCAACTTCCTGATCTCGCCACCGGGCTCGCCACCCGAGGGGTGGGAGCCCATCGTCGAGGAGGGCCCGAACGCGGCACCTTTGGCCGACGACCTGCGGCGCGCGCTCGAGGCTCTCCAGCTCTCCGGACGCGGCCGGGGGCCCGAGGTTATCCTCGACGAAGGCGGCGTGCGCGTCGAAGTCGAGGACACGAGCCACGACGACGTGCCCGAGTGGGGCGAGGAGGAGGTCCAGACCGGCGGACCGAACATCTGGGTCGCGCCGAGCCAGGATAATGGCATGCCCACCTCTGGGTTTGGAGGACTGGGCGGGAGCGCGTTCCCCAAGGCGACTATCGCCAGCATGATGCCGACAGCGCGCCCGCCGCCGCCCGCGTAAACATCTTTCACAACACGGAACCGCCACGGCTACCTAGAGTTGTACAACATTTGCCTTTCCCTTCCGTTCCAGTGGTCTCCCATCGCACGCAACAGCTTCTGTAATACATTGATTGCATTGATTGCATTGACAGTACATCATGTATGCTCTCGTGACAACATGCCAACAAAAAAAAGGACCCTCTAGCCTGGAACCACCACATGTATTTTAGAAGAGACGGACAGTTGGGTACACAAAAACGTCGAAAGGAGATAACTTTGGCGCGCCACGCCTAGCGGCCCTCGGACTGCACCTCGACGACGACGTTTACTGTCATGAGGATGGCGTAGGCGATGAGAAGGACGAGTGCCCACCGCCTGTCGATGAGGAAGCGGTTGAGTGGCACAGCCACGGCTGTGGTGGCGAGGACGAGGAGGAGACCGGTCCCGCTCACCCACAGCGTGGGCGAAAAGTGGAGGGTAACTGGCGAATGCGAAGGGGACGTGATGATCGAGTACGTGCCCGAGCCACCGACGCCGAGGAGAAGGTTGAGCATGGGGCCGCCAAAGCACGCTGCGTACGCCATGTTGGGGGCAAACTGGGCGATGGTGATGTTGGCGACCAGGTCGGCGAGGCTGTTACCCACGGCAAAGACTGGGCGTTAGTTAGCACCGACGAACTGTGGGCGATAACTCACTTGTCAGACCAATAATCGCGTCGCTGAGGCCGAAAATCTCCCCAAACGTGCGCAACACGTCGACGACCTCGTCGGCAATGCTCGCGATCCACACCATGGAGCACACGAAACCGCAGCAGCAGCGAACGAGGCGCCAAGGTTGCGCCGTGCCGTCACTTGCCAGCAACCACACACACACAGCGGCCATTGAACCCAAGATGGTAGCGCCAAGCAGGATCCAAGGGAGGTGATCGTCCTCTTCTGGAGACGGTCAGCTCGTGACGGGGGAAGGAACTTACGAAACACGAGGTAACAGCACAACACGGGGCCGAACACACACTGCGCGGCCGCAAGGGCCGGGTTGAAGTCGAGAACGTCGCAGTCGGACACGTTTGACTGGACATCATACTCGGAGGAGGGGCAAGGCGAGCCGGATCGCACGATAGTGGACGACTCAAAGTGGGCATGCCTGGGGCGCAGGTTGTGCCCGTCTACCAAATGGTGGTGGAGGGCTTCGCCGATTTCAGAGTGGTCCACACTCGAGCGTCGCGAATCGACACTGGCGGTATCAAACGCGTCATCCTCGCCACCGGGGAGCGCGACGCCGCCCTCGTCTCCTCGTCCATCGTCCACCACGGGCAGGGTGAGTGTAAGGAAGAAGATGGACGGAGCAGAAAGGATGGCAAGAGCCATGCCCAGGACACTCTTGTGCTTGAAGCCCTGGAGGGACGGGAACAAGACATGGAGGACGCGATGGACGATTCCACTGACGTGTTGTCCGATGGTCGCCTCTGTGTTCGTCCTCGTCAATGGGACGATAGGGGAACCCATGTCTCCTTCTGGGTCAACCACCGAGATATGCGGCGGAAGTGGGGAAGCGACACCAGACGGAGGTCGAGACGCGTCAAAAGAAGACGGCGAAGCTGATAAACCGCCATCACTCAACTCCAAAGGCGGAATCACCACACGGAGCGTGGCCTTGTCGACCTCCGGCTGGGATTCGGCACGACGAGGGAGCGGTGACATTGGTAGCGAGTTGTTTTCAGGGCCAGGCTCGGGGGAGGCAGGCACTGCTGCCAACCTCTCAGAGTCCGACACAGTGCGTAACCGGGGTGGTGGTCGTGTCGCTGATGCTGGGTGGAGTGACCCACTGCGTTGCCGGCCTGGTCCGCTGCTCCGTCGCGAAAGCGAGTCCTCAATCACCTGGATGCCCTGCGACGAGGATCGACGGTGATGACGGAGCTGATGAGAAAAGTCGTGGTGGTGGTGTTCAACGAGCGGGGATGGAAGCGGGCTGGATGGCCTCGAGCCACCGCGCGACGAGGTAGGCGAGGTCATTGGATCACGTCTCAGCGAGTTGACAACATCGCGGAACTCGACGGCGCCAAGGAGGGAGAAACCGGCACGCTGGGTGTCGGCGGCTGTCTCTTCATCAGACTCGGCCGCACGAACCACCGAAGCCGAACTCAAGCGTCGCGGGAAGCGTACTTTTGGGGTGATCGGCGTCGACGGCTGGAGCTGGACCAAAGACTCGACGACGGTTGCTGGAGCGGGCACAGGTGGAGCGGGCTCGGTCTCGACCTCGACCTCCTCGTCTCCGACTTTCCATCCTAACTCGGCATATTCAGCGGCACGTCGCTTGCGCGACGAATACCAGTTGTGAAGGACGACAACACCCACATAGCAGGCGTACAGCGCCACCATTGCGCCGGATTCCCGGAGGGTCAACTTGCCGTCCTCAAGGACCAGCATGAGGAGGAGCACGGCAATGGTGAAGAAGGCAATGTCGCGCACAAAGGCGAAGCGGGGCACATGGAAGGGCTGAACCATGGCAATGGACCCGACGACAATGGACGTAATGAATGACGCCGCTCCGATGAGCTCGCCGACGGCGAGGCCAAACGTGCCTTCTCTCACGCTAACGAACGTGGAGAACACATCCGGGCTGCCGTTTCCAAATGCCAAGAGGGTGACACCAGCAGTCGTCTCGGAAAGGCCAAGGTAATCTGCAATGGTGGCGAGGTTGGGACAAAAGAAGTCGGAGGCTGTGATAGAGATGGAGCAGAAGAGGAGCATGAGAATGAGGATGAGAAAGGTGACGAACAACGGTCGCAGCGCCGGCGACATGCCGGCGTAGACGTCCTCGTATGGGATGTGGAAGAGCGCGCCACCGTTAGAGTGCTGGGTTTGCTGTCAGTCGTGACCCGACAATGTGGAGCGTACCTCTCCTTCTTCCCCATCCCTCTTGACGATGCGAGCCAAGCGCGGGGCACGTACTCTGCCTGTGGCAGCGAGACAAATGGCCAGCGTTGCTACGACAAGCATCCATGCCAGGGCGCGTTGTGGGCGCACCCTGCGTCGACGCATGGTCTGCGCCATCGCGCACCTCACCGTCGAAGGGAGAGGAGGTGTACAGAACAGAAGTTGGCGATGAGAAGTTCAGGTGGCGACAGATTGCTGTGCTTGTTGTTGTTATTGGGAAATGTCCCCGCTGACGTCGACTCGATATGGGGTGACGCCGGTGTTGGTGGTGGGAACGGGATCACGGAAAGGGGCTATTGTGGAGAGGCCAGAGAGAGATGTGGAAGTGGAAGTGGGAGAGTGTTGCTGTGCTCGTTGTCGTTGGTCTGGTGTAGTCGCGTGCATGTGGTGGCGCGCGAATGCGGTAATGACGATGACGGAGGAGTGTGTGTCCCGCACATGCGGAATGGCCCGGACCTTCTTTCGGAGCCGACGTCTTGGCGCCTCGAACATCGCTTACGTAATGGGCGTGTAGCTCAGTTGGTAGAGCGTGTCATTAGCATCTTCTACTCCTACTTTGACAAGGTCTTTGGTTCGATTCCTAACTCGTCCACACTACTCTTTTTGGCGGTGGCTGCAGGCCATGCATGAGCACCGACGGGCAGTGGCAGTACGGTGTGCCAGTAACCGCCAATGATCCAATGGTCTCCGCCCCGTAAGCGAGAGGAGATGCGGCGCCCGGTGCCCCTTACCCAGTATGGGCACTGAACAGACTCTCAGGTGGCTTCCAGGTCTTGGCGTCGAGGCTTCTGCCTGCGAGCTGCGGACCGCGGAGGCGGCGTGGCGGAGGCTGGTAAGCGCATAACAGTGTACAGAGAACCGCTGCACATGGGGGGGGGAATTGACTTGGCTATCTCACAGACTGGCTCTATTTGACCTGTGGCCAGTGGTTGCATGCTGTGACCCAGTGTTCCACAACGCAGAGAACAGGCACTCGGTTTGGAGAGTGCCAAGCCATTTGGCCCATTTTGCTAAGCTTTACGCGCATGACTTTTTGTTTGCTGGAACACCCCGAAAGCGATGACCCCCGAAACAAGTCCATGAGTCCATGGCTCCCGCAAACTCCTCTGGCATCACCGCCCACTAGGTCGACTGTGCCCACCGTATTATTGCTTCCACAGACCTCTATGCCCGTCTACGCCTCGTCGTCATTGCACTCGCCATCGTTGCACCGAAGCTCTGCCAATCTACGCAATGTGGAGCGCAATTGCCAGGCCCAAGCCCTGATGCTTATAAGACAGCCTTCCGCAGTGCGCAGCTAGGGCGGGGGTTTAGTCGTTCGCCCCACAGTCGCGCCTGGCTGGTATTCATCACGTCGTTGAGCCAACCAACGAGGCCAAGACTGAACGGGGAGCTTGCTGCAAAGGAGCTTGCTGCTGCGACGAACCTGTCCGCAGTCTCGGTGATCGGCAGCACTGCACAGTCCGTTTCAGGCCAGACGGCGCATGCCGGCCGACTCGGTCGTCCCGCTTCCTGTGCAAACGCCTCCACGACGTCGTCGCGTCAGCTTATATAACGCGTCCTCGACCCCCCATCGCCCGCTCTTTCCTCCTCCTTCCACCAAACCACATCAATCACAATGGGCGAGTCCAACTCTTACTACAACGGCCAGCAGCAGCAGCAGCAGGGTTACTCTGCTCCCCAGCAGCAGGAGCAGCAGTACAACTCCAACGAGCAGGCCGACGGTGACCGCGGCATGGGCAAGGGCGCCAAGATCGCCGTTGGTGTCGGTGCCGCCGCCGCCGTCGCTGCCGGTATCTACGCCGTCAAGCAGCACCACGACCACAAGGAGGAGGAGAAGTTCCAGCAGCAGCAGCAGCAGCAGTTCAACCGTAAGTCGCCGCATGTCGTCGACGTCAGTGGCTGGGAGCGCTAGCTCACAATTCATCCAGAGGGCGGCAACTTCGGCGGCCAGGGCGGCAACTTCGGTGGTCCTGGTGGTCCCGGCGGCCCCGGCGGTCCCCAGCACGGCAACCGTGAGGGCCCCGGCGGCTTTGGCGGTGAGCGCGGTGGACCTGGCGGTAAGTTGTTGGCAGGAAGGGATGGCACAGTGGATGAGAGAGCAGACGATAGTCCGCTCTTTGCGAGTGTGGCGGGTGGATCATACCCGTCACCGACGCCATCCATTCGTGTCGTTCGACCAATGTTCACAAGAGCTGACAATTCAAAGGCTTCGGCGGCCAGCAGGGCGGTCCCGGCGGTCCCGGCGGCTTCAACGGCGGTGGTGGTGGCCACCACGGTGGCCCTGGCGGCGAGCGCGGTGGTAAGTCTTTGAGTGTGTCTCGTCGTGGAGCTAGCGACGAACATGTCAACAGCTGTCGACGAGACATGGCGAGGTCGAGCGCTGACGAAGCAGGTCCTGGCGGCTTCGGCGGCCCTGGTGGTCCCGGTGGTCCTGGTGGTCCTGGTGGTCCCGGTGGCCCCGGTGGCCACCACGGCGGCGGCGGCGGTGGCCGTTGGTAAAGAAGAGGTCAGACGTCGAAGTGGACATAGCATACCATGCCCGTTACGAAATGGATGGCATAACGAGACGATTGATGTTCGCTGGTGCCGCATAGACACGTGCTCACTACTCACCCTTGGCCGTGCAACAGGTCATTCAAGGATTGCTGGCACCCACCTTGCCTCGGTCAGAGTTGGCATGGGTGGGAGAGAATTGCAGTGGATGGTAGGGGATGGTAGGGATGGCGATGGCGATCAACGATCGGCGTGCGCCCGGATATGGATATGGGTGGTCTTTGACATCCAGGCCCGAATCCACATCATGGTCCCCCCAGGAGTTAACCACTCAGCGATGATACAGCTCTGCGGCTCCCATATCGCTTCCCAGCGTGAGATAACATCTTGTGCCTGGAACCTCACCTGTGTTGGCTTTTTCCATCCCGAGATCCACTTAATTAATCATGACTGTGTAACTGCCCATTTGCTCGTCTCGGTACCCCTCGGTTCCCGACTTCCTCTGTCTAGATACCACCTGCTCCAGGCCGCGTATTATGCGTAATCCCGCGATGCTTCAGCGTGCTGTGCGCGTCTGGCGGGGTTTCAAGATATAAATGGAACTGCCTTCGAAGGGTGTTCGCTTGGCGCAGGTCGTCGGCATTGCTGCGAAAGGTTCTGCACATCACATGAGGGCGGGGGGACATGACCTGTGCCACACCCCGTGCGAAACCGCGGATCGGAAGCATATATCCGGTTTGACCTAACTTATCACCCATTGGGTCCATGTGGTTACAGCTCGGGCATTGCGTCCTCACCTTTCAGTTGAGGGCAGCGCACAATGCTGTAGGGGCATGGTCGGCGGTGGGAAGAACACTAAACGATATCCAGGCCCGACAGGACCAGCGGCCCGACGTGGGGCGATGAGGCTCACAGCCTTCGATATCGTGGAGTCAAAGCGTCTATGCCCTTGCTTGCCGTTGTGTGTGGCTGCTCTGCGTGGCACAAATGACATGTACGTCCAAGGTGGGCTATTGGCACACGTTCTTCGAACCTTGTTTTTTGACCTGCAGCGCATTTGCGATGTCTCACCTGACACTCTTTTGAAGGAAGAAGTGAGGTCGATAGCAACAGTTGTGCGTGGCCACGGAGAAGAACGACTGAAGTACGAGGTAGGGGAATCAAGTACCTCCTCGTATGTTGTTCTTGGTGACTGACACCTGGCAGTCCTTGGGTGAATAAGATATAAGGGGGCATGTTAGGCAGTGTCGTCTCCTCGTCCCAACTGCCAACCCACCTCGACTGCAAACAACCCTCACCTTTCATCACCGCTGTCGCCTACACTCACCACAATGCTTCCTGCCTCGCTCCTCTTGCTCGCCGGCGCTGGTGGTGAGTACCCGTAGCATGGTAGTTTGGCAGTGTACCAGATGCGGCTCCTGGCTGTGGCTGTCATATCAGGCAGCTATGAAGAATGCTGGTGGTTACGACTGCCACATCATCCTCACTACTGTGTCGTGTTAGTCCATCAACTGACGGCCTAGTTTCGGCTCTCACTCTTGAAATCCGGCAGACCGACAGCCTCGGCATTCCCATCGCCTGTTCTGATGCATGCGCGACAGTGGAACAATACTACGTCCCTTGCTCGACCGGTGCACCCGCCTGCGATCAATTCTGCAATGTGAGTGCGGTACAGTACCCCACTCCTGCGCCGTCGCTCATCAACCCGCCGCCTGGTGTCCGCTTCCTCCCCAGTTCCACTTCAAACAATTATTTGTTAACCAAAACAGTACTTGCCTGAAATCCAGGCCTGCCTCACTTGCGTCGGCCAAAATGCTGGCGCGTCGTCCTCGGACATTACTTCGGCTGTCCAGGGCGTCCTCGACGCTTGCACGGGCGACGCCTCGGACTCGGCCTCGGCTGACGTGGTCGCGGCCACTGGTACCGCTTCTGCAGTCGCCGGAACCACTGCCCAGGCCGGATCTAGCCCCAGCGTCAAGAAGAATGCGGCAAGCCACACCACCGCCATCTCGCTCGGTGTCGTCGGTGTTGCGCTCGCTGCCTTCATCATGTAACCCGAACATACCGGCGTTTTGGCTGCGTCGAGGTCCCTGCTGCCGTTCCCAGAGTTCTCGTGAGCGGAGGACGATTGGATACCGATAAACGGTGCGGATCACTGGTTAAAAGACAAGGAAAATATGAATAAAGTTTCTGTGGACGGTCAGCGATCAGCGAGCACAATGCATCCGATGTGTTAACAAGAGCGACGACATTCAGACACGGGCATTTGAAGAGGGACAGGGATACGAAACGTGGAGGTCCCGCGTTCGACTTGGCGGGCGGGAGGGTGCTGTTCGGATGCTAACGGATGCTGCTTGATACCCGCAACACGTCTGTCTACCCAGGGTTACAGTTAGAGACCGCGTCTTGTCTGACCAAACATACGAAACGGGACCAACGGTTCCAGTTGTTGCCCCACTTGAGGGGAAGACACTCTAATGCACTTTAACGGTGCCAAGTCTCGCTCAGGAGCATTCAAAGTTGGAGGACTTGGGAGCTGATCCCAAGACTGACGCGTACCGCCCACCCGTTATGCACTTCCGCCCTTCCGGTGTTTCCGGCTTCCCCCTCTGTGTGTCCTGACGTCGCGCTTCTATCACGCGTCCTTGTGGTCATCCGCGATACGTCTGTGCTGTTCTTCTGTTCTGGATCCTAGGGTTAATGGAGTGTAAGCATGAAACGAACAGAATGTGTGGAGGTGAGGCGGGTAGTCGTACCCGCGTCCCGACTGACGCGGAGCTCTCTGTGTTGCTGCCAACTACCATGGTCGTGGGGCTGCAGGTCGCGGGACAGATATAAAGACGCGTATCGACTTGGAGTTCTCCTTCATTCTCTCATCTCTTGTCGCGGCGCCAACTACTCACACTCGTTTCATCAATACTCTTACTACCATGCTTGCCCTCCCTGTCCTCCTTCTCTCTGTGGCGGGTGAGTCTCCTCATTTTCTTCTGCACGACTGCGGTGCTGCGGATGAATAGACCTGTTCTGCGCACGTGCTGCCACAGGCTGCGGATGTGGCGTCTTCCACTGTCCCATATCCCTCTCTTCTCTGGGTCATGCACCACCTGACATACCAGTCTCTGCCCGCTCGCTTGACATGCGCCAGACCGCCAGCAACCCTTTCCCGGCCTCGTGCTCTTCGGAGTGTTCCGCTTTGCAGTCCATTTATACTGCTTGCATGAACGGTGACATGACTACGTGTATGACCATTTGCGACGTGAGTGTGCCAATTCAGATGAACGCACTGGAGGTACAGCCGTGAGCTGGAGGTGATATCACGCTGCCACTTTTCCGTGTTATCTCTCTTGGATTTCTTGTGCTCGCCATCCGATGACCCGGCAAAACCTGGATGGTCACGCTAAACCAAACAGAATGAAGCTGCCGTCAAGTCATGCGTCTCTTGCGCCTCCGGCGGGGCCTCGTCGTCCGCCATCTCCTCTGCCCTTGATGGCTTCACCTCGGCCTGTAGCTCGACCGGCGGCTCGACTGGCAGCTCAACTGGGGTCTCGGCTGGCGACTCAAACTCTGTGGCCAATGCTGCTGCAGCTACCACACCCGCCGCCGCAGGTGCCGCGACCGTTGCCGTTGCCTCTGGAGCCAACACTGCAGCTGCTGCTGGAACGCAGGCGGTGAGTATCCCACACGGCATGTGTTCGGCACGGCGTTCACTAGACTGACAACTACACAGGCTTCCGCCGGTGTGGCTGCCCCAGCTTCCTCCGCCAAGAGCACCGGTCTTACCGTTGCGTCCGTGTCCCTTGGCGCCGTCGGCCTCGCCGTTGCTGCCATGCTCCTGTAAACGAACGTGGCTTGAACTCTCGAGCTTGGACCATGTTCTTCTTCGCGTCCGCTTTCCCAGCTCGCCCTGCGGGGTGTGTACTGAAACCCTGGTCGCACCCACAGGAAACGCCTGTGGCTCCCCAATGTTCGATGCAAACGTTTCTGTCCTCTCCCTCTATCAGATGCTGTTCAGGATCCGGCGGAGTGATGATGATGATGATAACGCACCTGTTGCCACTCACTGTCCGTCCACAATGCCCGTCCCTTCTACTTCAGCACTGTCATCAACGTCTACACAGCATCAAGCCCTCCCTCACAGCTGCACATGCACAGCACTCACCTAGTTGTATTGCGGCTGCAAGTGGACCACAGCATTGCTTCTCCGTCGTCACACTTGGGGGGTTACTCAGCTACACGAAACCTTCCTGGTGGTTTAGCGTGCCAAGAAGTTACAGCCAGGGTCAAGTTGCCGATTCAGGACTGCAGCCCACTTTTGGGTGGCGTCTGGACCAGCTATCCAGTAGGCAGCGGCGGCGAGCGGCGGTTCGTCGACACCCCACACGCGTCCACACACGTAGACACGGACAGTCGTACAAAAGGACAGACATGCACACTGTAGTTGTCGTGTCCTCAACTCCCTTCTCTCTCCATACATCTGCTTACCTCCTTACTGTCCCATCTTAGCCACCATGCTCGTCGGCCCCGCCCTCCTTGCCTCTGCACTCGGTGAGTCGCGAAAATGGTTGGTCACTGCGGATCAATGCGTCACTACTGCGGCGCGCTGCGCAGGCTGCGGATTTGCCTCTGGCGTCTGTTCACTGCTGTCGATCACTGTTGTCGATCACTGCACCTCGTTCGTCTGTACACAAGGGCTGACAACCAGCCGCCACGGTTACTCCGGCGTCCGGCATTGACCTCACCGCGCGCCAGGCGTCGCTCCCGATCCCCTCCCAGTGCCAGTCGCAGTGCGCGACTCTGGTGAAATATTACAACGCGTGCCTCATCGGCGACACGGCAACCTGCATTGGCGTCTGCAATGTGAGTGGTTTTGCCGAGGGGCACTACTGCGTGGGCGTGTTGTCCAGCGTGGCACTCACGCAAAACAGGAACTCTCCGCTGTCACGACGTGCACCACCTGCGTCACCGGTGGCGGCTCGTACTCGGAACTGAACTCGGCCATGAGCGAGCTGGAGCAGGCTTGCGCTATGGATTCTGGTGTCACTTCGTCGTCGGCCGTCACCTCGGCGGGAATTGCCCCGTCGGCCGTCGCCTCGGCGGGTGTTATCTCGTAAGTCATTCTGCTGATCTGCTGCCCGTCTTGTCTCTTGTCCACCTACTAACGCCTGTGACAGTGGCACCTCCAGGGCTACGGGTGTGGTCACAAGCGCCGCGGGCGCGGGCGCCTCGGTCGTGTCTGTGAGTACACGCTCAATGTCAAATGACTGACCACTTTCCCTCAGGCCTCCGCTGCTGGAGCCGCCTCTGCTTCCACCACTGCCGCGGGAGCCCAGACGAACACTGGGTTCTCTGTCAGCTCAGTCTCACTTGGTGCCGTGGGAATCGCCCTTGCTGCCTACCTCCTTTAAGCCACTGCACGATAATTCCTACCTTTATGCCTTATTCTGAGATATGTGAACTTGATGTTAGTTGCTGATGGCCAACAATACGATGACGACCAGGGATCTCGGTTCTGCAGGGACATGGAAGTCTTGGCGATAAGCACCGGGTCTCGGTTGCCGGAACTCACGGAGACTCACAAAGTCTCACTGCGTATGGATGAGACATCCAGACCGAGCCTTATGCGGCTGAGACATGCCCGATGCGAGATTCCTTAGAAATAGCACCATTTATCTTCGGACATCCCAATAGCCACTGGAGTCATGACTGGTGAACCCGGTCCAGCCTGGCCAGCTCTGAATGGTCACCTTCAGCCTTCGACGCCGGCTGGTCACTTGTGGCCGCCCCATCTGATATCCACCACCGCGGTCGCGACGCACTACTGGTGTCCAGATAGTCAGCCTCACTGCTGGGAGGCTGCTTCGGTTGCCACAGAGGCCGCTTTCCAAAGGCGCTCAACGACTGTCAACGGCTGGCATCGCCTTTGCGTCAATTCCTCCTTGAAACATCGCCTGGCGAGATCACCGGATCAGTGGATCACCGGCTTCACCGGACCTGATCGGACGATTAAATCTGAAATTCGAGAAAACTCCAGGACTGCATTGCTGCCGCTGCTTGTGCACAGGTGTGCTCTTGGAATAGACTTGGGGGGTGAGCTGTGATGCAGGGCTGCACCCAAGAGTCGTAGCTTTGGACAGTCCGGGGGCCACTCGGAAGCACCTCACATTGCGGGTCCTTGGGCCTGGAAGATGCATATAAGATCCGTGCCTGAACCGCGGATTGAACTCCACCTTTCGCTTCCCATCGTCCACTTTATTTTGCGCTTTGACAAAGGTCTGTTGAGGAGCACGTACGTACGGCTAAGCCTGGATCATATGTGGCAAGCAGTGCTGTCGGGTGTTAGACTGTGGAACGTCCACCGCCATTGAGAAGCACTCAGTGCCGGCGCCAAGAGGCAAGGAGTCCATAAATCAGTGATAATGTTGAGATCGAATATCGCAATAGGGGCGGTGAATGCGGGGCAAAAATGCCGCACAGCCCTTTCTCGGGTTATGCCTATCTTGTGGCACGGGTTCTGAACGGTACACAGTACACAGTACAGAGACCTGGGCTTTGCATGACCGCCTGCCTTGCTGGTGACATAAATAGAAGCGAGGCCAGTGCTGCTCCCTCATCACTCTGCCTGCTGGTCCATTTCCACTATCAATCCTCACCTCACTAGATCATGAAGCTTGTCGCCTCAGTCGTCGCCCTCTCTGCGGTCGGTGAGTGTCAACTGCCCTCCGATTCAATTTGCACGACATGCCAATGTCGTCTGCCGTGGCACTTGGCATACATGAAAGGATAGAACGTACCTTCGTTCAATCCTGGCCCTAGAGCCCCCTACCCTCATCCCCATGACGCAGGACCTGACCCAACCAGTCTCCGCCCGTAGCCTCAACTTGCGTCAATCGTCTTCGTTGCCTGTTCCCTCGCAATGCACTTCGCAATGCACCACATTTGTGTCCATCTACGACGGATGCGTCGCCGGTGACACTGTCACTTGTGCCTCTATCTGTGACGTGAGTTTGACACATCGTCCGGGACTCCCAGCTGGCCACCCCTCCAGGCAGCCTGGACATCGCCTCACTCGGCACCCGTCTCCTGTTTTCATGGACGAACAGTTACTGATCTTGCAGAACATTCCCACCGTCCAGGCATGCATTACTTGCATCGAGGGCGTGGACCCCTCGATCACGTCGGACCTGCAGTCCGCCATGGACCAACTTACTTCTGCATGCGGTGCCACGACCGGCGCCGCCACGGACATGGTTACGACCGACACGATGTCCGTTGAAAGCAGTACTATGTACGCGTCATCCGCTTTTGTTTGTCTAGAGCGCTGACCTCCTAGCGACACCTTCGTTTTGACTGGTACTGACACCATTGGCGTTGACACCATGAGCGTCGACACCATGGGCATGGACACCGCCACGGTGGGCCTGGTTACGACCACGGCCCCCGCCGTCGGCGTTCAAACGACTGCCGCTGTTGGCGTACAGACAAACGCAGCTGCTGGGGCGTCGGCCAACGCAGCAACTACCAAGTCATCTACCACACCTGCAGCAGGTGCATCGGTGAGCGACACACCCTGTAAACAGTTGCTGACTGCTTCAGACTGCCAAGACTACCACGACCAACACCCCGACGGTTAAGAGCGGTGGCCTCCTTACAGCCTCCATGTCGCTTGGCGCCATTGGCATTGCCGTGGCCGCTTTCCTCCTTTAAGTCAAACAGTGTTTCCGTTCCGTTCCGTTCAGAGTGCAGTGCGTGGCTCAACCCTAAGAAAAGATGTGATTGTCGTAATCTTTGATCAACCATGCTCCCAGTCAAGGAGTGTATGGACGGTGAACGGTTCACGTTGTCAGACAGATGTACAATGGAGCACCGCAGTTGGGGAGGCGGTTCTGTGGCTGCTGACGAGACGCATGAGAGTTGACTACTCACCGCCTCGCGGCACTTGAGACCGGTCATTGGAGCTTGGCTGAACCAATTACCCTTGTATTGACGTTGAGGTTGAGGCCCCCCCCCCCTCCGTTGTTGGCTGGGCATTTGTGCATGCTGACCGGGTGCACGACGAGCAAAAGCCCTTAACGCTGTTAAGCATCAAGTCTATCTTCGGACCTGCGTGGGTGTATTGTACAGCTGTGCCATCCTGTGCGAGGTGGCTTGGCAACACTCTTCAACACCGGGTGGCGTACGGCGTTGGCTTTTGGAAACTGACCCTGCTCATCCTCCGAGCTCCGAACACACGTCTCATTGCCTTGCTCCGTCTCAGTCACACGTCCTTTCCCAGCACAGGAACCCACTTTGCACGCTATCATGGCTGTGCTCCTATCTATCTCATGTGTTGAGATGAACGAGGGCGAGAGTGGCCGTGCCAGACCAGTAAACGGAGAACAGAAGCAGCAGCTGGAGACGGAAAGTGCACGGTCCGCGTCGAAAAGGGCTTTGTGCACCGTGCCCGACTCTTTTGACACGCGTCGCGTCTTATTATAGACGCGCGCGGACAGGTTACAAATGCATACAGGTGTGTGCACCCCGCCTTCATCAGAGTCCTCATCTTTCCTTGTTCAACTCCTCTTCCCTCATCCCTTCTTCATACCTGCTCTCCTCGATATCACACTCATAATGCTCGCTGTCTCGGCCCTCCTCATCTCCGCCGTCGGTGAGTCGCCAAGGGCTCTCCCCCTGTCCTCTTTTCCTGGATGCCGCTGCCCCAGCTGCCTCAGCTGCGGTATTGCGGATGGATAAGGGCGACGACGGGCACCCACTACGCACTGTCGTCGATGTCATCGTCGTCCCCTCCAGAGGCACCAACTCTCCCGCAACAGTAACTGAACGCCCCACAGCCGTCGTCGCGACCCCCATGTCCGGCGACAACATCATCGCCGCGCGTACCATCCAGATGCGCCAGAGCCTGTCGGAGTCCATTCCCGCTGCTTGCACGGCCGAGTGCACGACCCTCGAGACCATCTACAACGGCTGCATGAGCGGAGACACCGCTACCTGCCTCACCATCTGCTCCGTGAGTCTACCCATTCCGGCACGCAAGGAAGCTCGACAGTGATCGACAGAAGGCAAGGCGGTGCGACGAGGCGCGAGCGTGGTGTGCCCACTGTGCAACCCCTTGCCGCTTTGGCATTCACATATCGCCCACCCGCACCACTGGGCACTGCCAAGCAAATGCACGGCCGAGCAAAACACACGCCGAGCCATGACTCTCCCTTCCATGTGCCACTTTTGGCACCTTTTGCTGACCACCACAACCCACAGGGTGACAACCTCAGCAACGTCGAGTCGTGCCTGACTTGCGTCGCCAACGCCGACGGCCTCTCCGCCGCCACGGTCGAGACGATCCTCAGCTCCTTTGACGAGACCTGCGCGGCTGCTGGCACCGGGCTTCCTTCGTTCACCCTCACCGGCATCACTGCGACTGGTGCTTCGGAGGCCACTGGCGCTGTGTAAGTCTGACTGTGGGAAACTGCATGTCCACGCGCAAGACTTGTCAATTTGAATTAGGTTTCTGACTGCGGTTTCAGCACCATCGATGACCTTACCGGCATTGCTACGGCCAGCGACAGCGTGTCGGACGTGAGCTCGGCCACTGATGCTGTCGGCGTTGCGGGCGTCGCCACCGCGGCCTCGGAGACCTCTGTCGCGGCCGGAACGACCGCAAAGGCTGCCGCTACGACTGCAAAGGCTACGGCCACTGGCAGCAGTGGCGCGTCGACTGTAAGTGACTCACTCATTGTCCTCCTTGGCCCAGACTAACGGCCCCAGGCTGCCTCGGCCTCCACCACCGCTGCTGCCAAGAGCGCTGGCTTCTCGGCCAGCTCCATCTCGCTCGGTGCCGTCGGTATCGCCCTCGCCGCCTACTTCCTCTGAGTGTGAGATGGCGTACATATTTTGCACCACAACTTCATTCCCTCCACCTCGGCGTGTCTCGCCGTCTGAACAGTCCCTCTCTAGTTCACCCACGTATATATGCTCTTATTATGAATCCAAACTCTTTTTTACTATGCATGAGACCAATGCCGACAGGGCAACGACACCGGTGCAACGGGCGTACTTTATGATAGCGAAATCACGGGAAATTCCACCTACAAATGGCCAACGCCACGGTCGACAAGCCTGCTACACTCCCATAGCACCACATCGGTGAAGACGAATGCATGGATACAGTAGTCATGTATGACAATATCCGATACGACAACTACGAGACCCCTCCCTCCTCCCAAACCCCGCCCTCCTGATGAATATAGATAATGGATACAGCAGCATTCTTCTGTATGGATGGTCGGAAATGGGCCTTGACAACAATGCGCCTGCGCGTGTGTAGCAACGTGCTCAAGAGTCCGCGAGTCCCACTCCATAACGACCCTCTAGTCCGCCTCAAACCCGTCGCGCTGCAGTGTGAACAGCTCGTGATACCGGCCCTGGCGCGCCATGAGCTGCGCGTGTGTGCCGCACTCGACGATAGTCTGCACACGCGTGGGTTAGCACAAGTCCACAGCCACGGAACCCATCACTCACCCCGCCTTCCACAAAGGCAATCACGTCTGCGCGCCGGACGGTGCTGAACCGGTGGGAGATGTACACCGTCGTCGGGCCGTCGCCGGACGTCGGGGTCGGTGCGGGCGTAGCGGTTTGTGGCGTGCTGGGCGCCGAACTCGTCTCAGACCGCCTAGACCGCGAACCGAGCTCTTTACCGCTCAGCGCGTGGATGCGGTCAAACAGCTCGGCCTCGGCGCGGGGATCGAGCGACGCACTAGGCTCGTCAAACACGACCAGGTCGGAGCGGTCGGAGCGCATAAACGCACGCGCGAGCGCGATACGCTGCCACTGACCGCCCGACAGGCCGATGCCCTTTCTCTCAGCCCACGACGAGGCCGGACCCGAACCGCAGAGGGCGACAAAGGCGTCGCTGTTCTGCGCCGCGAGGTTGGCCATGTCGTCGTCGTCGTCGTCGTCCACGCCCCAGCCCTCGTCCTTGCCGACCCCGCCTGGCTTGAGTTGGCGCTCACCAACGAGCCGAGCCACTTCGTCGGCACCACCGCGCTCGGTGGCACGGCGCACGGCGGCCATGTCGCCCATGCGCGTTGTATCGCCCACACCGACGTTTTCGGCCAGGGTAGTAGGGTAGCGCGCATAGTCCTGGAACAGGCAGCCTGTGCGGGTGTGCAGTGTCGTGTCGTCATAGTCGCGAATCTCGACGCCGTTGATGGTGAGCGAGCCGGTATACTCAGTGAACAGGCCCATGAAGAGCTTGACGAGGGTCGTCTTACCGCCGCCGTTGAACCCGACGATGGCGAGCGTCTGGCCCGGCTCGACAGTGATGTTGATGTCGTGGAGCACCTGGTCCGAGCTTCCCGGGTACGTGTACGCCAGCCCGCGGGCCTGGATGCGCATACCGCCCGTCCGACGGGTCTCGTAGTCGATGCCGCCTTGCCGGGGTGGGGGTTCGATGACTGCGCAGAACGCGGCACACACGAACACGGCCTGGAACGACCGCCTGACGCCGCCCCATAAAAAGTAGAACGAGGTCGACAACGACGTCGACGCCGACTGGTACAGGTGTAGCGTACCCAGTGTGATGCGCGAGGAGATGACGCCAGTTGCGAGAAGCACCTAGAGACGAGTTAGATAGGTTGCGTTACCCAGGATTAACTCACATACGCCGCGCTCGAGGACGTCTCACGCGTGATGCTGGCTGCAAAGTCCACGGCGTGGCTGAATGACTCTCGTATGGTCGTCCGCCGCACGACCTGTGTCTTGGCCGCGTACCACTTGGCATGGGTCCACTCGCCCAGTCCAAACAGGATGGCCTCGTTCTTGTACTGGTCCTCCTTGGCAATCTTGCGAATCTCCTTTTCGGCACGCTCGTACTGGAACGCTTTGCGGAAATCCTCGACGACCATGTTTGAAGCGTAATCTTGAACGAACGGCATGAGGGCCGGGATGACGGCGACAGTGAGGAGGATGACGCTTGTCCACGACCACAGCCCGTCGGCGGCAGCGAGGGCCGAGGCGAGCAGCCACATCTGGCCTGTGACGGCAATGATCCGCCCGAGGACTTCTGTAGCGCCTGCCAGCATGTCGAACGGCGACGACACGGCCTCCTGCCAGTCCTGCGCCATGTCCGGCTCCCAGCCGACAAACTTGCCGGCCTCGAAGAGGAGCGCGTCCCACATTGGCGAGTTGAGCTTGGCCGTGTTGACTACCAGGTATGCCTTGATACATGCTTCTTGGGCGGAGAAGGACATCATGGACTGGGGAAAGAGAAAGTCAGTGTCCGAGTCCGGAGTTCTGCGTGAGAAGAGTGCGACTTACGCGCAACGAGCGTGAATTGCTAGTCAAGAACAGGTCCAAGAAATGCTTCGCGGACGTCGCCGCCACCGAGACGCCAGCCGTCTGCAAAGCTTCAGACCAGGGAACGGGACCACCACGCAGCGAGCGGCCGACGAGGTCGAGGAGCTGGCTTGCGGCCCACAGTCTGGCAAGAGTATGTCAGCTGATGACTGCAGTAGGCGCAGCTGTCACTCACCTGCCCATTGGCGCGAGACCCGACACCATACTCCTGAACAGATGGACGGCAGCCTTGAGCGCAAGAGTGCTGTTGGTGAGCCGGGGAATGCGCGGGAGGATGAGTCGCCAGAGGTCGAGTGCGATGAGCAAGTTGGCCAGCGTCATGGGTCGTCGGAGGCCCTGGTCACGAAACTCGCATTTTCCTTGCGCATCAACGCCCAACAGGCGCGATTGGAGCCATAAGCGGGTCGTGAGTGGGAGGTGGTCGTAGCTGGGAGGCAGGGTTAGGGTGGCAAAGCGCGGTTGTGCTGGACGGTGTGTGCTGCTGATCCCAGGTTGTGGTGCTGGTTTGTGAGGCCCAGTGTCGTTGCCGTTGGTATGCGACGGCTCTGGAACACGCTCGCCATCCCGCTCGAGCTCGACCCAGTCGGCCTGGTCCTTTTCTACCCCACTGAGGCCCGAGTGATGGCCGTTGAGCGCAGTCGTCTTGACGTGAGCATGGCCGTCGTCCTGGCCTCGTCGTTGCCGCATACCAGACATGTCCGGTAAGAGGGGGCAGGGGTGGGGTGTGGTGTTGTGCTACTGCATTTATTGCGTCTGCATGGTGAGTTTGACGGTTGAGTGTGTAGTGGGTGATCGGGAGCGATGAGATGCGGGCTGAATGACGCAAATGAGGAGAGGAAAACGAGACGATATGAGACAAACGCCCACAGCGGACACTGCTCACACCGCCCCACAATGACGTCGAACCGGAACCACTTAAACCACTACTGCGCTTGAGGCGTTATCTGGCGTCGCCCGCTGGCCGGGCTGGATGCACTCACGCGACATGGTGGCGGCGTTTGGCGCTCCAGCCATGTCTCTAAAGCCTTTGGCCGCGGGGTTGACCGTGTCCGCCCCATGCGCAAAGCCAGGTCCCGATTTAAGGTCTCAAAACGCGACTGACATTGCTCACAGCCGCCGCGGTGCAGATCTGCAGACGGCGCGCAGATCTCGGAGCCTTGGCCATACTTTAGCCGATCACATGAGAGCTCACGAGAGTACGGGAGCTCGTGGGGTCGATGTGGCGGTGAATTCTCATAAAAAAAAAACAAGACCAACGTCGGCAGACAACAAGTATAGGATCCTACAGTCTATAATAAATACGACAACCAGGACAGGCCATGGGGGATTCTCCAGCGTACGAGTGTGTTTTAGTTGTCCGCGCCAGAGCTCTCGAGCGGAGGCGCAGCCTTGCCTCCACCGGGGTTGAGCATCGACCAACGGTGCGGGCTCGTAGTAGCCGGAGACTCTGGCACGGGGGTCTGTGCTCCGGAGGCACCAGAGGCAATACGACACTGGCACCGGCGAACAGGCTCGCCGGCAACAGCAGGGTAGTCGCTGATCCAGGTCTGGAGGAGACCGACAAGGGTGTTGTCGCCCTCTTCAGCGTCGATGACCGCGTCGCCAAGGAGGCCCGGCGGGAGCGAGCGGCCGGGCTGGAGACACATGGCAGCGTCCTCGCGGGGATCACCGGAAATCATCGCTGGTGCGAGAACGATAGCAAGAGCAAGCGGGGACATTCGCGTCGTCTGCTCGTATGGCACAAGGTGGTGGGCGACGTGGATGGCGTGGGAGAGAACCGCGGCGCGCGCAGGAGACAAGGCTGGGAGGAGGACAGTGCGGATGTCCTCGGGAGTGTGGACCTTGCGGATGACCGGATAGAGCGTCGACGAAATGACGGGAGCTGGAAGGGTGAGGAGTAGACGCTTGAAGAGGATGGGAGGGAGGAGTGGGTCGGCACGGGCGACGCTCGTCCAGTCGATTCGCGGCTGTTGGCTAGGAGGGAGATCGAGGAGGGCACGGAGAGGGGGGATGAGGTCGGACGATGCCGAACGACGGAAGATGCCCTCGGTGTCCGTGCAATAGTTGAGTATGGCGACCGCCAGGTCACGAAGAACGCGGGGCACTTTGCCACCGGCGTCAGCGACGATGTGGTCAATGTCCTGGCCCCAGTAAGGGGGCAGCTGGGGGAGTGGACTGGACGCAGTCTTGGCCTCGGTCAAATGGAAATAGCTGCCAACGCCCCCGAACATGGACGTCACAGCGCTGTAGCCCCAACCGAAGGCTCCCGACGACTCGGTCGCGTGCTCGGGCGCATTGGCGGCGTCGGGGTTCTCGCGCAGGATACGAGCCTCTTCCAACAGAGTTGGGAGAGGCACATCGATGCCGGCGAGGGACACGCCACGACGAGAGAGCGAGAGCAGCGACGGAATGGTGTGCAGCTTGGCGTACGACTTTGGCGACACCAAAGGCAGAAGCATCGGGACGACTGTGCGCGTGAGTGTCGATGGGTGGACAATGTAGAGCCGCTTGAGGTTCTTGCGGTACCTGCGGGTCAGCCAGGTTACTTGGTTTATGAGCTTACTTCCTGGGAATACGACGCCAGTGCCAGAGCCACCACGTTACACCGGGGAGAGCACGCGACTTGCCCTTGCCAGCGGGGTCCTCGGCAGCGAGAACGATGAGGGCGTAACCCCCTTCTCCGTCCTCTCCGACCCATGGCTCCAGGCGGCGGAGCAGAGTAGCAAGAATAGTCTCATTGGAGACTTGGTGTGGGACGGCAGTGAGTGTAGCGAGGTCGAGCACGAGCAAGGGGTGAGCAAACGGCGCCGGGTGGTTCTCGAGTGTGGGGTACAGGATCGAGCTCGTGTCCAAGCTGCTTGAAGCTCGGCGAGGGGCATCCACTTCGTCCTTGTCCCACGGGGCTGCGATGGTGACGCCGAACTGTTGCGATACGGACCGAACAGCGCGGGCCGCATACCCTTCGCGTTCGGGCAAGTTGGGACGCGAGGTGGACAGCGAGAGGCGGTTGAGGGTCGACATGAGGGGCGACGGCGCGACTGCTGCTGCCTGCGGGTATGCTGGAAGCGGGGGAAGTGGGGGTTCTGTGAGGGTGAGGGTGGAAGAGGAGGATCGTGGCGAGTCTCGCTGGTCGGTATCGTCGGCCATGGTGGGAAGGTTGGACGGATATGAGATGGATGGTCGTGGGATATTGATGCGATGCGCAGATTGCGGTGGCACGGAGCTCATGGCCGCCGGCGCGGACAGGGGTTTGGGAGAATTAGCAGCCGGATTAGGAAATTGCTCCTAATGAGGCATGTTTCAGAATCCAATGTGTCACGTGATTTTGTCTAGATGACGTCGGATGAGTCGACTCCTCGGTCATTTGTTGATGTCCAACGCAGACAACAATGTCGCCGTCGTACCTCCAACCATGCCGCCAAAGCGGGGTCCGCCAGCGAGCTCGATAGCGGCGAGTAAGAAGGCCAAGACGGGACAGGCATCCATTTCGTCCTTCTTCTCCCCCCCTCGCAAGGCCGCTCAGATCGGAAACGCCAAGGGCAAGAGTCGGCAGCGGGAGCCAAGCGTGATCAGCATATCTGACTCGGACGACGATGTGATAGCTGTGGACCAGCCACATGCTCCTTCCAACTCCAAGGAATTGGAGAGTGATGAGGCCATGGCGAGACGGCTCGCTCGTGAGTGGGCTCAAGCGGACGGGGTGCACGAAGCCGGCGATGGCGAGGTGGAGGTCGTGCTCGCCACCGACGAGGCGACGGAAGCCAAGATGGAAATGAACATCAAGAGCAATTCCCCAGCACCACCTCCGACCCCCCCGGTCAAAGTTCACCCTCTGTTCGCTGGATCCGATACAAAGCCCAAGACTCCCAACAAACCACTTCTATCACCCACCAAGCCCCTGGCCCAACACAACGCTCAGGCAGGCCCATCTCGACTGGCACCGCTCGGCCGAGCCGACCCCGCACCCGCGATCGATTTCGACATCGACTCTCTCCTCTTCCGTCCGGAGGAGGTCGATGTTAGTCGATGGCCCAAAGGACGACTGCCATACTCAGTGCTCGTTGGCGTATACGTTCAGGTCGCCTCGACACGCTCTCGCCTGACGATTGTGCGGGTCTTGACCAAGTGAGCTGTCGGTACCACCCTGACAAACTGTAGCTCACTCTCAGTTTTCTGCACCTTCTCTTTGTGGTAGCTCCTCAAGACCTGACTCCGACACTATATCTCCTCTCCAACCACCTCCGACCCGCATACCTTCCCTGCGAGCTGGGTGTCGGTTCCATGGTCCTGTCGAGAGCAATCAAGGAAGTCTCCGGCCTCCAAGGCAGCGACCTCAAACGCCTCTGGAACAAATACGGTGACCCAGGTGATGTTGCATATGAGGCCAAGAGCAACTTGCGCACCCTTGTCACTCCCGCTCCGCTCGTGGTACATGATGTGTATGCGCGTCTCCTCAGCCTCGCAGGCATCAAGGGCCAACAGAGTGGTAAACTCAAGGGCGACGTCGTCCGCAAACTCATGGTCCAGGCCAAAGGCGACGAGGTGCGATATCTCGTTCGCTCGCTGGTGGGAAACTTGAGGGTAGGTGGATATCCCAGAACGAGCTGAACCGCCAGATCGGTGCTGTCCGCCTCACTCTCCTCACTGCGCTCGCTCGGGCGGTGACTCTAAAGGCTTACCCTCGTGACCGACTGGGTGCCGTACTGCCTCTACCCCTCAAGGGCAAGAAACCGACAGACCCGGCACGTGAGGCTGCAGAAGCGGCGTGCATGGGGTCTGTCCGGCTCGTACGCCGTGTCTACGTCCGTCACCCAAATTACGGTGACATGGTGCGCGGTCTCGAAAGTGGGCTAGAAGATCTCGAGGCGCGCGTACCTCTGAGTGTGGGTATTCCCATCTCACCGATGCTTGGCTCCATCACGCGTTCCATCGATGAAGTGTTTGCGCGCCTCGGCTCGCTGCCTTTCACCGCCGAGACCAAGCTGGACGGCCAACGCCTCCAAATGCACGTGCGTACCGACGGGCCACAAGGCGAGGACGACGGTGGTGGCCGATGGGTGGAAGGGGAGGGAGGAAGGGTTTGGGTTCGACTTTTCAGTCGACATCTCGAGGACATGACCGAAAAGGTGAGCAGCTTGCCTTCATGTCTGCCAGCTGACAACAGTATCCGGACGTTTGCTCTCTTGCTCTCACCCTTGTTTCCCGTTTGCTGAGGGATTCGCCGGCTTCGTTCCCCAGTTCAGCATCTTCCCCCTCCGACGCTGTTGCCGACCTTCTCAAAACCAAGCAAATCACATCTCTAATCCTTGATGCGGAGATTGTGGCCGTCGATAAGGATACGGGTGCCAAGCGTACCTTCCAGGAGCTCACCAATCGTGCCAAGAAGGACGTCAGAGTCGAAGATATCAAGGTGGTTGTGGAGGTGTGCGCATTTGACCTTATGCTCCTGAACGATGTCGTGAGTTTATTTGCTTCTTGGCGTGAACTGACATCAGCCTCTCCTATCGTCGCCGTTTTCCCATCGCCGGCATCTCATGCGCACCCTTCTTCCCTCATTCGCGGACACGACCAACCCTATGCTGGCACGCTTCTCGCATGTGGTCAGCATCGACTCGGCAGACATCAACGGCCCCGCCGATTTGCGCAAGTTCTTCGACAGCGTAGTCGAGCAAAAGGCCGAAGGTCTCATGGTCAAGCTTCTCGAAGGCGAAGTAGGTGCCATAGACGATGTCATCGACGTGGATGCCGGCGAGGAAGAAGCGGCGCCTGGTGACAAGTCCCGCAAGAAACCTCTCCCGGCGACGTACGAGCCGGACCAGCGCTCAATGGGCTGGCTCAAGGTCAAGAAGGGTGAGCTCGTGGCCGCTTTCTAAAACTGACAGTAGACTATCTTGAAGGCCTTGGCGACTCGCTCGATCTGGTCCCCATCGGCGCGTGGCATGGCATGGGCCGTAAGGTGGCATGGTGGTCCCCCATCCTTCTGGCAGCACGAAACCCCGAGTCTGGAGCCCTCGAGGCAGTGTGTAAATGTGGGCTGACCATCGATTACGATTTCAGCTGACCGTAGGCATATCCGGCTTCTCGGATGCTTTCTACAAGGCTCTTCACCTCCGATATCCACCCGAAGGCGAGCCGGACATGTGCACTCGTGCTGGTCCCCTCGGATACATCGAGACTGGCGGCCTGGTCCCAGACGTGTGGTTCAATCCGAGCGAGGTGTGGGAGATCCGAGGCGCCGAGTGGGTCTGCTAACCGCGCGTTCAAGCTGACTCACATGCAGCATCACTCTTTCACCTGTATACCCGGCAGCAGCAAGTTACCTTGGCGGCGAGCGCGGCTTATCTCTCCGTTTTCCCCGCTTCATCCGCAAGCGTGATGACAAAGGACCCGACGATGCGACCACCACAGAAGAGTTTGCGGACATGTTCAGGCGACAGATGGCGCGGCCACCTGCTGAGAGGGTGGTCGTGGTTGCTGGACGGGAGTCCGATGGGGAGGGTGAGCAGGAGGATGAGGAGAACGAGGAGGGAAGAACTTAACATGATGGAATAACGAAACACGGTATGTTAACAGAAATGGCCGCCACAAAAGACAAAAGCGACCCGCGTAACGAGAGACGAGAACAACACGCATGCATACTGATACACCTGATAAGATATCAAGCCATCGAGCCTCCATTGTCCGTGTTGACGAGCACGAAGCGGAACCTGGGCTTGCCAGCGCGGAAGTCCTCGATGGCGAGGTTGACGTCGTCAAAGTTGTACTTCGTAATCCACGGGCGGATGTTGTGCTTGACCGCCAGATCGAACATCTGGCGCAGCTCGTCTGGTGAGCCGATGGCCGACGCCGCGACGCCCGAAGCTCCCATGAGCAAGGCCATAGGGCTGAGAGTGAAATCCTTCTGGATCAAGCCGAGCACGACGAACGTGCCACGCGGGCGAAGGAGGGGGATGTATGAGCTGGCCTCAAGCTCGGGAGGATCTTTAGTCAGCCCGGATCCTTGGGTCCCTGTGCAACTCACTGATGGTGCAGATGATGAGGTCAAGCGACCGCTCGTGTCCTTTAAAGTCGGAGGCGAGGTCGGAGCTGGTGGAGATGTACTCGTCGGCGCCAAGCGCGAGCGCATCGTCCTTCTTGCCAGTGCCGCGCGAGATGGCCGTGACGCGCGCACCCATTGCCTTGGCGAACTGAATGGCGAGGTGTCCCAGGCCACCAATGCCGACCACGCCGACGCGCATGGCGCGCGTTCCCACACCGTAGTGCAGCATCGGGGAATAGACCGTCACGCCCGCACAGAGGAGCGGGGCGGCCACAGCAGGGTCGAGCCCGCTGGGAATCTTGACGGCGAAACGGGACGGGCCACGCCAGAACTTTGCGAACCCGCCATGCGGGAATTCGCCGTCGGCCGGGCCGCGCTGGTACTTGCCAAAGGGGAGCGAGATGGAGAAGGTGTTCTTGGCGCAGAACTGGTCGTTGTGCTCCTCGCAGAACTCGCAGGTCCGGCAGCAGTCGGATTGGGCACCGATGCCGACAATGTCGCCAACCTTGATGCCCTCCGCCTCGGGGCCAACGGCGACGACCTCACCGACGACTTCGTGTCCGTACACCGCGTTCTCGACGAGGGGACCGCTTTCGCCGTCGAGCGCTGTCACGTCCGATGCGCACACACCGCAGTAGAGCACCTTGACGTCGACGTCGTCCGCGGCGGGGGTCTTGGCCGGGATGTCCCGTTCCTCCAGCGTGGCTGGAGACGAGTTGGCGACAGGGGTCCACGACTTGATTGACTTGGGCTGCAGGGACATGTTGGGGTGGAGTTTGAGATGGTGTTAAGGCATCAGTAAGAACAGTTGCCTTATATCAATCGCCGCGGCCCTCGCGTCCCTCCACACACTTCAACGACATCCTCCGTCGCCGACGGTCATGGTAACCGAACACACCGCTTTGTTCCCCACCCGGGTGTGGGGTGTGGAGCCATTCAAGGTTTGACAAGACACAAAAGTGTAGCCACCTCCACCACTTCATCGGCCTCCTCCACCACCAGCTCGGCCACCTCCACACGCACCATATAGCGACGTCGTCGGCGGCGGCCGGAGTAGATAATCCGTGGATGGTCCGTCGATAATCAGCAGATAATCCGGATATGAATTTCACGGTCACAGCGCAAGTGCATGTGTGTCCTCTGGCCTCTGGGCTGCAATGATATACTGTATGCCATGTCATACCTAGCACTTGGGCAACTACACTAGCCATGTTCATTCTCTTTCAAGTCAAAAGCTCGCTGCCACAACCGTTGCCGTGATCGAAGTCGCGGGATACATCGAGACGCTGCACGGTCTCCAAGTCCATGTCCTGTACCGTCTTGGGGCACTGGTTCGTACTGAGACGAGTGACTGAGGGTATAGGAGCCTTCTGAAACCCAACTAATGTGGATGTGATGAGCGCGAACCAGTGCGGCCGTGGCAGACGCTGTGTGTATGTGAGAAGCAAATCACGGATAACGGACACTGCGACATGATGATGCATGTCATCTTCCTGGTTCTCCTCCTGGGTATGTACATGCTACTTGAGATTATGGGCGACCTGGGCATAAAGGTATGAACGGCGAGGATTTTGTCCCACCCCCAGGACAAACCCTTCACGTGGCATCCGAGTCTGAGACGTCTCCTTCCACCTCACTTCCCACTTCGCCCTCATCGTCGCTTCCCCAAATATCCAACAAGGTGTAGGCGTCTTGAGATGGGGGCGCTGGAAGGTCGCCATCGGTATTGTTGTGTGCTCGCAGGAGGTGGGCGAATTCGTGGTCGCCGTCGTTCTGGCCGAGGAATGGGATGACGGGGCCTTGGTAGAAACGTTCGACGCTCTCGAGGCTGATGTTCTGGACGCCGGTGGCAATAGCGTACAGGTCCCTGGTGAGGAAGGCGGCGAGCTTGTACTTCTTCCGAAACTCTGTGTCACTGATGGCGAGGAAGCTCCTGACCAGCAGCTTGATTTCGTCCAAGCCGACCAGGGTGTACCACGCGTCACTCCATTCGAGGAAGGTGGCGGTGGAGGCTGCGAGCTTGTTCCTGTCGACCTTGTTGACGAACGAGCCCACCTGGGAACCCAATTCGTAGCTAGGGAAAATCACAGTCACTTCCTTGACAGTTGCAGGAAGGGTGTAGTTGGCAGGTGTGTACCAGTTTCCGCCGCGCATGTTGATGACGACTTTGGTGACACCGTCGGGAATCTTCTGGAGAGAAGCAGTGTGATAGGCGAGTTGGGCTGGGATGGGATTCAAAGGGTTCATTCCAATGTCGCTGGTGAACAGCACGAGGGTCTTGCAAGGAATGAAGAAGGGAGAAAAGGCGCCAGTCATTGGATCCGTGGTGATGCGGTACGTTTCGAGGTTGGGGAACATCTGGACGAGGCGTCCAAGGTGCTGAGGGTGGATGTAACCCTCCAAATCCAGAACCCGCGTGTGCTGGGTGAAAGACTTGATGTTGTCCTGGTCCTTTTCGTCGCTCGTGAGGTCGATTCCTTCAAAACCAGGAATGTGGCCGCCATAGGGGGAACGGACAAGCAGATGGTCGTGGTCGTCTTCTGAGAGGGGGTACAGAGCGAGGTGGTGCACCAGGAGAGGGGTAATGTAGTCGCAGAAGTAGTGCGACGTGGCACGGAACGCGAGGAGGGCGGACCAAGGAGCGTGTGCGAGGATGAGCTCGGCGATGTGGGGGAGTAGGGCGTGATCGATGCGGATGGGGCCTCGAAGCCGCTTGGATCTGCGGAGGACCATGGCGATGGGAAGCTGTCAGAGAGAGAGAGTGTGTGTAAATGTAAGTGCGAATGAAGAAGTGTATGATGAGAGAAGGTGGGTGAAAGAAGCAAAGCGAGTCCAGTCAGCTCCGACGACACAATGCGCCCTCGTGAACGGGGTGGAGGATTGGCATCACCAGGCAGGTGCAACGGTCGGGACAATTGCATGTCACATATGAAGCAGCCTTTCGTACTCTGCATACTGGAAAGGGATAGAACACCCTTGGACTCGTCTTGCTTCTTCACGCCCGCCGCATGGACTTCAGCAGTCATCTCCACCAATGTACTCAACCACCTCTGTCTCAATGTTGTCCACTTCGCCCGCGTACTCCTCCAATGTACACAGGCGGACGTGGCGGAGGATTCGAGCGATGTCTGGATACAGGTTCTTGATTGTTGGATCGAAGTGTTTGACAAGCTCGCAATAAAGGGCTATGCCTAGTTCGTAAGGCGGTGAGGCCTCGTTGAGGCCGACCAGGGTGTAGTGAATCTTGGGGGTGCCGCGAGTGAGGAGGAGGACGAAATCTTTGACAATCTGCGACTTGTCGATGCTCGTCTGGAAAGTGCCAGCGCGGGCATTGTGCTTGAACCAAGGGAAGACCACGACCACGTCCCTGACAGTGTTGGGCAGATTGAAGACGTTGAAGTGCTCGATGATTCGGCCGTTGCCACCCCTCATGTTCAGAACGAGTTTGGTCACCCCGGCGGGGACCTTGCAGCATGAAGCGTAACGAGGCGAGTCTTGATTGATGCGCTCGGAACAGAAGAGGACAAGCGTGTTACAGGGGACGGGAAATTGCGTCGTATGTTCAGTGTCCCTCTCTGCCCATCGTGTGTTGGTACGGTACGTCTCAACGTTGGGGAAGGCCAAGGTCAGGTGTTCCATTTCCTCGCTGGGCTGGATGAAGCCCGTAACCTCGATAACCTTGGTGAAAGCGGTGTAAAGCTTGATCCTAGAGACCTCTGAATCGACGGCCTGGGGGTTGACGTTTACCATATGGATGGGGCAGGATGCGAGGGTCGCGGTGCGAAAGAAGAGCTCTTGTCCGAAGCAGCCAAAGAGAATGACATGCTCATACTGCTTGGCCAAGAGGCGGGCACGGAGACGCTTGCAGGTCCTCCCCCAGACCGCGCGAGTTGGCCATGGAGTGTGGGAGACGATGAGGTCGATGATGTGGGGGAAGGTGTTGTAGTCCAAGAGTGGCGGGGGCATGGTGTATGTTGTTGAGTAGTGAGTGATGGAGAGTAAGAACGATCGGTCCAGTCAGCTTATGTGTGGCAATCCATGTGTGGCATCAGCCGGTTCGATTTTGGACCATGAGTCGCATCCATCTCAGCTCATCCCTGTCACGAAACCGCCTCCACCACATGGATCCAACCAAATGTTGACTTGATACTTAGCTTTTTCTCATACCTCTTATGCAGATGCACGCAACCACAAGTTGCGCCGATGCATGCTTTCCTGTCTGCGTTCGCAATGATGCCAAAAATAAACTTACGTAATCGGGCGTGTAGCTCAGTTGGTAGAGCGTGTCATTAGCATGTCTACCCCTACTTGACAAGGTCTTTGGTTCGATTCCTAACTCGTCCACTACGATTTCATTTTTGGGCCAGGTAGGGCCCTATTTGCGTACCCAGAGGAAGGCAAGACCTGGGCACCTTCAAGGTGTGTCCTATCCATCAGTCTTGTACCACCGCGACAGCAACATGTGCGCCTGCTCCTATTCCTTCTCTCTTCTCTGTCAATGTGCACTGTGGACTAACATGCTCTCGTTTCATTCTCCAGCTACCACGTTTCGACGGACTGGAATCCCCACACTTGCCATGCAGACTGCTGGCCACCTATCACACATGTACTACGTCCCCTCCTCAGTCCTCCTCCACATCACATTCGAAATACTGGACGGTCTCGAGCTCGATGTCCTTGACTCCCTTGGCGTATTCGTGCTTGGTGAGAACTGTAACTTTGTCGAGTGCGTCGTTTATATCTTCCTCTGGTTCCTCCCAAAGAATGAGCTTGTCCCGCAGTCGTCGGCGTACGTCGTAGTCTCTGGACGTCGCACATTCCTCGAGTCCAACAAAGGTGCAGCGAAACTTGGGGTCGCATTGCAAGGGAGACGTCAAGTTGATGGGAAAGTCTTGGTCGAAGCCCACGAAGCCGTTTGGCCCGCAAAGCGTGTAGTTGGCGTAAATGATCAAATTTGTACCATAGGTATATTGGCCGAGGCGGTAGTTTCCCAAAGTACAGGGGTTACCGCCGGAATGCTGTTCAAATTTAGGACAACCTTGGCCCCCTCCTCCGGAAGGTCAGTCCACACGCTATTCGGGAGACAGTCTTGGCTTGTGCCTCGTATGCGAAGTATACCATTGGGCTCGTATTCCCCATGGTCGCCGCAGTCGTCGAACAGAACGAGGGTTTTGCAGGGAAATGGGAAGTAACACATGTAGCTGTGGTTCTCCCGATCAACGATGAGGCGCAAGGTATCGAGGCTTGAGAATCCCAGCGAGGTGAGTAAGATTGTACTTGTTGTCGACGTAGCCTTCAATGTCGACAACTGTCGTATGTCTGGTGTAGGGCTTGACACGAGCGATCTCGCGGTCCACGTTCTTTTCACAGATACGGATACGGTCCAAGCCGGGAAGACGGCCCCAAGGTGTTGTGACCTCGACGTAGGGGTTACCGTACCCCTCGAACCCTCGGAGCTGGCGGAGCATGATGTGTTGACTCTGGACACGGCGGACAGACTCGAGGAGCGTCTTGCACGTCAATCGGCAGGTACTGAGGACTGGCCATGACGCGTAGGCGAGGATTAGGTCGATGATATGGGGGTAGAAGCGGTAGTCGATGGCTTGCGTGGCCATGGTGGTATCGAGCAAATGTGTGGATGGATGAGAGGATGGGATGTGGGAAGGAAGGCGGACCCGAACACATCGAGAGGGCGGGCTCGTGGGAAAGATGGGACAGACGGCGTGAGATCCGTTTCCATGCCTTGAGCGTGATTATCACACCGACCTTATTCAATAGATCGCAGATGCAAGGATACATAGCTGCAGCGGTTAGGAACCTGGGTGAGAATACCTATGATACCGGTTCACAGTATGATTGCTAAATGCCACATTTACTCACATCGTCGGTGGCACACGCTGTGCGGATTGCTGGCTTATGTGCAGCCGCTACTCTACTCCACATTTACTACGTCGTCTTATATATACAACGGCACCCTCGTCCGTCATCATCCTTGTGCCGACCTCAGAATCCGACGTCATAGCCACCAAAGTCACTGTCATCGCCACCGTAGCCATCAAAGTTACCGTCGTCGGGATAGTAGCCATGAAGCTCATCGTCGTAGTCGTAATCATCGTCATCAAAGTACCCGATTTCATAGTCGTCGATGTCACTGTCATCGTCTCCATCGAGGCGCTCGACCGTCTCAAGGTCAATGTTGTCCACTGTCTTGGCGTACTCGGCCTTGGTAAGAACGGTGACGTGGTCGAGGTGCTCGTCGATGCGTTTCTCCTGGTTGATGCAGTCGTCGAAGTGGTAAGACGTCCTCATGTAGGTCCACAGGAGGAGGTTCATCCTGTCGAAATCCTCTCCCGCCTCCTCGGCGCCCACGAGCGTGTACTGAGCTCTGGTCGAGATCAATTCTGCCGTGTCCATGACGACGATGTTTTCGTAAAAGCTGCTGAACGATCCCTCGGTAACGTTGATTCGATACTTTGGATAGACTAGCACAAAGTCTTTGACCGTCTCGGGAAAGTTGGAGATGTCGTCAAACCAGTCCGCGACGGGGAAGTCACTGCCGCGCATGTTGACGACAATTTTGGTCACTCCTTCAGGAAACGCGCCGCTCGGGAGGGCTGTTGGGCGACGGCCGAGGTCGTCTTCTTCGTCGAGCTCATCGCTCACCTCGTTCTGGTCGTTGTCGTCGTCGTCGTCATGTCCTTCGATTTCATAGTCTTCATCGATTTCGTCGTCTCCGTCGTCCTCGTCGTCTTCGTCTTCGTCCTCGTCAAAGGAATCGTAGTCGAGTCCTCCCTGGTCGTCGCTGTAGAAGATGACAAGCGTCTTGCAAGGAAACGGAAAGAGCGGATCACATGTTTTGAGGCCCCTATCAGTGGTGAGACGGAAGATGTCGAGGTTGGGGAATGCATCCGCAAGGAGGGTGAGGTCGTCGGCTGGTCCCACGTTCCCCTCGAGCTCGAGGACGCGCGTGTGCGAGGTGAAGGGCTTGATACGAGCAACCTCGTCCTTGATATTGTCAATTTTGATACAGATGCCTTCGCGAAGGCCAGGGATACGTTGCCCCCATAGACTCCTGACGGACAAGTTGCCGTCCCAACCGCGGTGGAGTGCAATATGTTGGCCCTGCAAACGAGTAACCTCGTCGCGAACGGCCTTGCATGTCAAACGGCACGTGGCGAGGTCGGACCACGAGGTGTAGACTAGGACGCGGTCTATGATGTGGGGGAAGGCGTTGTAGTCGAGGGTGGCTGTAGGCATGTTGAAGTGATGAGGAGTAGGAGAGGAAAGTGGACGCGCCAGCTGAGCGAACGTGTTGGACGCGACAGTGCGGAGACGGAAGCAAAATCTCTGGTGTCTTAACGACCCCGTCCACAGTGCACACCCCCACTGTGCCCTATGCACCGCACAACAGTAGGCAAGACGTTGGCAGCCGTTGGCAACGTTCCCCATTCGCAGGCTGATTACAGTTGGCTCGCCAAGGATGCATACCACAGGCGTCACATAGTCACATCGGCATTCATGTCGCTAATCGGTATTCTACAAGTAATCTCGGTAACTGTCTGACCCCTTGGCAGGGACATCCATGTGTCCTACTCCCGCTTGGTACTTGCTGCCTCCCACTTGCTCATCGCCTGACTTGTTTGCCCCTGTCTCACTCCTCAGCGGGCACGGTAGATGTGCTCCACCGTCTCCAGCTCAATGTCCTTGACGCTCTTGGCGTACTCGGCCTTGGTGCGGATGCGGACGTGGTCGAGCCTCTCATTGATGCACTCTTGCTTGCTCTTGTCGCCCGTAAACTCCCACCGTCCAAGCTGGGCACGCATATGTTGGAGCATGTTGAACCCACGGGACGCCTCGTCGAGTCCCACAAGCGTGTACATCGCGTCCGTGCCGACCAGCTCGACCGTGTCCATGACGATGATGGGAGCAGTAAAGTTGAAGAACCTGCCCCTCGCTTTGCCGAGCTCGTAAAACGGAAAGACGATGACAAAGTCCTGCACCGAGGTGGGGAAGTTGAAGATGCAAGGGAAGAAATCGGCCACAGGAACGTCGTCTCCCTTCATGTTGACCACAGTCTTGCGCACGCCTTCGGGAACGGCAGGGATGACGCCTTCGGGGATTATCTTGTCCTCGTCGTCAAAGTCTTCATAGTCCGAGTCAAAGTCGTCGGCATCGCGCATGCCTCCAGGGTTGGGTCCGTCCTCGTTGTAGAAGATGACCAGGGTCTTGCACGGAAGAGGGAAGTAGGGCGTGAAACTCTGGTCGAGAGGGTCCGTGATCGCGCGATACGTCTCCAGGTTGGGGAAAGCGGGCGCAAGGCGAGTCAGGTTGATGTTGCCACCCACGAATCCCTGCACGTCAAGAACCGTGGTGTGGTCGGTGAAGAGCTTGATGCGGGCGAGCTCCTTGGCCATGTCGCCCCTGAAGATAATGCTGTAGAGTCCCGGAAGGCGGCCGAGAGGAGTGCGGACGAGAAGTTCGTCACCTACCAAGGGCGACAGGATCAGGTGTTGGCTCTGTATGGCCGCGACCGAAGCGCGGAGGCCCTTGCACGTAGCTCCGACAGCGCCCAGAGCGCTGTAGGGAATGTGCGAGAGGATAAGCTCGATGATATGAGGGTGCGCGGAATAGTAGAGAACCGAGGTGCCCATGGTCGTGGAGTGCTGTCCGTTGACGTTGGGAGTGGGTGTGAAAGGGAAGGAAGGATGGTGCGCAACTGGTGGCCCTTTTGCGTGAGGCGTCGCGATCGGCGATGTTGATCTGTCCTATCAACACGTGACTCTGGTGGGCCGCACGTCGCAGGCCACAAGTGTTTTTATCGTGTGGACAAGCAGTCAGCCCTACGCTTGGCATGCACAGAGAAGGGTGGAAACGTACCAAACTGCCGACAATTCACAACCCCCGGCGCCTACAAACTCGTCCAGTCTCGAACGGGGAAACTGCAGCACAGACATATGCGATTCATCTTGGTGGCTGCATGTACAGAGACAGACGTGAGCTCAGCCACGCTCCTTTTCTCCTCGATCACAGATATGCCCATCTTTCAATCCTTGTTGTGACTTTTCTTTGTTTTGTCAAGCTCAACCTGGGTCTCAAGTTCGATGTTTTGAACTCCCTTGGCGTATTCGTCCATCGTGAGAAACTTCACGTGTTCGAGGATGTCGGCGATACAATCTTCCTTGGCTTTCTCCTCCGTAAAGCTGTCCGACAGCCTGTGGCGCAGGGCTTTGTGAAGAGTAGCTTGACAGGTGTCGTCGACCCCCACAAGTGTGAATGTCACATTCAGGCGGGTCACTCGGCGGTCGAAATCCGTACCGTCGCCTGTGAAGTGTAGGGGCCGCACGCTTGTGTTGTATCTTTGAAAGATGATGACAATGTCCTCGATGGACGGAGGGACGTTGCCGATACACGGGAAGCCGTTGTCGTTGGGTTGGAGCCATGGCACGAAATGGTCGACGTGCATCGTATCCAACCACCAGTTGAGCACAATCTTGGTAACTCCTGGCGGTATCGCTGGCTCCACATTGGCAGGGGTGCATTGACTGCAATGATATGGGTCCCACGCGATATGGGCTCCAGGGTTGGGAACAGTGTCAGTGTCGGCCAAAATGACCAGAGTGTGGCATTGAAAGGGATAGTAGGGGGTGTAGTTGAGATACACGACCTCGTTGTTATTGAATCCGATGCGTTCCTCAGCGATGCGATACATTTTGAGGTTGGGGAATGCGCTGGCCAGGAGCGTGAGGTCGTTGTCTGGGCTGACGAATCCTTCCATGGTAAGGACAGTCGTGTGGACGGTGTAGCGCTTGAGCTCAGAGATCGCTTTGTTGACGTCGGGTGTGCAGTAGACACCATTCAGTCCCGGGAGTGGGCCGTACGGCGTCGTTACGCTGAGGTACGTGCAATGTTTTCCGTCCCCAGGACTCAGGATGAGGTGTTGGGCCTGTACCTTGGCGACAGCGTTGTGGAGGCCCTTGCATGTCATACGGCAGGTGGCGAGAACTGGCCGAGACGCATAGGTGAGGATGCGATCGATGATGTGCGGGAACACGGTGTGGTCGAGGGTGACGGTGACCATGGCTGGAAACCGAGTAGGCGGCGGAGTGCCGCACAGCGTTGGAAGGGTGAGAGGTGGAGTGAATGGAAGGTGTGAGAATGAGAAGACTGTGTGGAAGGGAGTGACTCGTGAAGAGGAGAGCGCGAGGGTGTTAGTGGTGTCGCGTGGTGGGCGCAGTGTGACGTGTGGCAGATGGATGGGCATGTAAGCGTCAGTCACTGTCGCTCTATAAAATCTACTCCAGCGCTCCAACCGGCGGTCCAAACCTTTCCTCGGCCCTATGGGCCTCGGGGGTTCTCCCTCTTCCTCCTCTACGCCCGCCAGACGTGCATGACGTGGTCGTAGAACGAGCACGTCGCCACAACGCTCGTTTCCCCGTCGTCCCGGCGGCACCAGTCCGCACCATACCCGAGTGTCCCAGGGAACGTCTTGACGACCTCGCCCTCGGCATCTGCAAACTCGCCCGCGGCAAACGCGTCGCCGAGGTGGACGACGCCAAAGCCGCCGTGCATGCAGGCATTGAGGATATCGCCTTTGCGCGCGCTCGAGGGGTGCCAGCGCGTGCGCCAGATACCGCCGGGCATCTCGACCTCGAGTAATGGCCTGGTGGGGTTACGCGCGTCGAACAGCCGCAACTGGGCGTCGTAGCTGCCCACAGCCAGCAGGTGCTCGGTGTGCGGACTGGGCGCGATGGTGGTCACGCCGCCGTCGAAGCGGCGGTTGACAAACGTCGGCATGTCGGGGATACGCACGTCCCAGCGCTTGAGCTTGCAGTCGTCTCCGCCCGACCAGACCGTGCTGGGGTCGCTGCCGTCCCACGCCGTGATCCACGGCTCAAAGTCGTGCGCGGCCCATTCCGACGAGACCTCGAGCTCGCCCGTGGCAGTGCGCACCAGGTGGGCAAGCGAGCCGTTGGACAGCGACGTGATGACCTCGCCGCGGTTCAGGCGCGAGTGGTCGAGCGAGAGGACGAGGGTGGATTCGTCTGACACTTCGAGTTTTTGGGTCTGAGTCAATGTCGAGTCGGCGAGGGTGTACAGTGTCAGACCGCCCTTGGCGTCCGCGACGCCGAGCTCGGGGGCGGTGGAGAGAGGCGACCTGGGAGTCAGTATGTCTAGGGAAGAAGTCAAGTGCTCGTGACGTACCACTTGGCATCCAAGATGGCGGCAGTCTCGATCCTCTGTACCTCGGTTCTGCCGTCAGGAGTTGTCCCTTCAACAACAGGTTGCTCACGGTGTCTCGTCCTCTAGTGAGAAGAGGTACAGGCGCCCGATGCGGGGAGCTGGAGGGGTCACCTCCTCCTCTTCATCGTCCTCATCGTCATCCTCGTCATCGGCTTTTGCTGTCTTGGGTCCCTCCTTCTTCTCTTCCTTCTCCTGCTCTTCGGGCTTGAGGAGCTGGTACGTTCCGCACGTAAACCACCGTTCGTACCCAGGCGTGGGGCAGAACTCGATCGAGTCAGCCGAGTAGAGCGTGTCCACCTGGGCCAGTGACTGTGCTGATTCGTCAGTTACGTCAAAGGATGTAAGGTAGCGGACATACCTTCCATGGTGGGTTGGTAGTGGTGAGAGATGGAGTGCATTGGAGTGTTCACAATGTGGAATAGGCTTGGAAAGTTGGCACGGGGATTTTGGGCCCCGCGGTTCGTGCCTTGAATTTGTTGTCAATGTTGGCCAGGCCACCCAGCGGCCACTGACCAGTGGGCCAGTGCTACCTTGGCGCTGCCTCTTGCAGTTGAATATATATACATGCTCATCTATTTAACTTGTCTATAGTGTGCGGTGACATTGGGGCTCGTAGAGGAGCCGGGGAGACCGCCCGCTTAGTAGCGAGGGGCCTCCTGGGTGGGCGCCTCCTTGTACTGGTTCTCGACGTCCTGAACCGAGCTGTGCTCCGAGTGGTCGTTCTCGCCGGGGAACATGGCGTTCATGTTGATGGCAAGGAGAGGAACGACAGCAAGGACCTCCATGGCAGCCTGGAGAACGTAAAAGGCGGCGTGGGAACGGACGGCCGAGTCGGGGTTGGTGCTGAAGATCTGGACGATGCGGTAGACGGAACAGATGGTGCAGACGGCGCAAACCCAGACGAGGAAGGCGGTGCCGCGGGTGTTGAGAGTAAAGTGGAAGTGGGTGTAGACGACACCGAGGAGGGTGATGACCACGACAACCATGGAGAGAATGTACGAGACGCGGCGGAGGGCGTTGATGGTGGTGGTCGAGGTGTCGTAGCTCATCATGGACGCGCCGACAACGGCGGTGATGACGGCAGCGAGAAGGACGAGCTGGCAGATCTTGGTGAGTGTGGCGACCCAGCGGGGGCGGTCGGCCATGGACACCTCGGAGAGAACGTGGCGCTTCCAGAGCTCGATGATGGGCGAGATGAGGAAGAGGAAACCGATCGAGACGAGGACGAGCTCGCCAATGAGTTCGTTCTGGCCATACGAGGTCTTGGCCATGATGCCGCGCATGATCCAGGTCGCCAAGCGCGTAGAGACGAAGAGGGTGGGGCGGATCAGGAGAAGGGTGCGCGACTCGCGGCGGAACCAGCGGTAGGTGACGACTGGGATGAGAGCGGCATACTGAGGGGTGGTTAGCTAAAGTGCAGAGTGGCTGAGAAGTGCTGTTGCTTTGTCAACTCACGACAATGGCAAAGATGATCGACGGAGCAAGGTCCGAAGAAATGGGGAAGCCACCGGTGAAGTTGAGCTCGTTGAGGTAGGCTTCGGTCTGCTCTGTGGAAGACGACATTGTGGTTTGGGGTTGAGGGGTGGTGGTGGTGGTGGTGGTGGAGGAGGAGGAGTAGGAGGAGTAGGAGGGAGGTCGAGTGTAGGCAAAGTCAGAAGGTGTGTGGGCCATCATCTTGTCCTCGACACCGCTGGTTATTTATACCACATTGTCTCTTGGCTCTTTTTTTGGCGTCACAAACAACAAACTACTGGGAACCGACAGATCAAGCGCGCGAGAAGCAGCCTGTGCCTGTCCGGCTTCCATGAACATGATGCACGTCGCACCGCGTTCAGGTCACCGAGATGGACAGGGAGCGATGGGAACCGAAACCGCAAAACCACGCGCTATCTTAAGATTAGTCGTAGTGAAGCGGCCAGGGTTAGTTAGTCATTGGCGTCAGTGGGGGTGAGCTCGGCAGCGTCGCCTTGTCGGCACTGCGCAATGTGGAGCTGTGGGGTCAGACAAGCATGTCCAGCATGCAGCATGACGAGGAGTGTGGGTGAAACGGGTATCAGTGCACAGGGATGGATAGCTGCGGGCGGTGTAATGGGATGGCACACACAGGCACGCTGCACGCGGCCAACCAGTGCGCACAGAAATGGGAACCGAGACCGCTCCCGCGACCGACCGGAACCGAGGCGCGCCTATTACAGTTGGTCCCCACACAAGGCGTGAGAGAGTGCATTTCCTGTTAATTAGCAACTATCCCACGGTATGGCCAGTATTCTAGGCGCGCGCGTCCACCAACCCCACACGGTGTGCCTCCACCATCTGCCGAGAGACCCGTCATTGCCACATTGTCTCTGTCTTTTGTCCGTTTCGTCGTCGTCTCTGCACCACCTCCCACAACCACCATGGCATTGGCGCTCTGCCGCGCACCCTGCTGCGCGACCTCGTCCCGCGTGACGCTCGCAACAGTGGCGACGGCGGCAGCAGCGACTCGCCGTCGTCGTTTCGTACCAGTCTCGAGACCACTGTCGTCGGCGCCGACCGCTCGGGCACTCGCCTCCAACCTGGGCAGTCCGCGCGCACCCGCATCCGACGCCGAGTCCGAGTCCGTGACGCTGTCGTCGCTGAAACCTCTGGCCGGCCCCGTCTCCGTCCCATTCTTCACCCCAGGCCCCACCCTCGCCCCGCGCCCGGGCCACGGTATCGGCGGCGCGGGCCGCGGCGGCACCGACGCCGAGCCGGACCCGCACCACCACAGCTCGCCGCCAGACCCCACGTCCGAGGCAGAGGTGGACGACCGCGAGTGGGAGATGCGCGTCGCGCAGGGCATGATGCATCTCCGCGATACGCTGCCGTTACTGTTCACCGAGGCGTCGTCCAAGGAGCTGTTCCCAAACGACATTTACTCCAAGCACATTGTCCTCCGGATGCCGGTCCCGTTTCCGCTCAAAGTGTCGAGTCTCCAGGCGTACGCCATGGTCTTCAACATTGCACGCAACGGCATGCAGGGTGAGTTGTGGTGTGCTGCGGGGGGGTCTGGGACCATGCACACGTCGCACCCACTTGAGGCGGCTGGGTGTGCGCAACTGTCGCCGAAGTTCGGAGCAGGCTACGTCATACCGACGAGCCAGACGTCCTGACCCATATCCTTTCTGTCCCGTTGAACAAGACATGCTTGCGCCTCCCTTGAACCATCCCAACTAACTCTCCCCAGCCCTCCACACAGACCTCAACGCCGACCTCGAGCGCATGACATTCTCCGCCGCACCACCACCCACCTCGCCCGCCGCCGCCGCGCGCGAAGCCCTGCTCGGCAAGGCGCCCGCCCACCGCCAAAAGCAGATCCGGGTCCTGCTCAACGTGACCGGCCACCCGCGCCTGCCGCCGCACAAGGAAGCGTCGTGGCACGCGTCGTCGCTGTACACATTCTCGCCATACTCGGGCCTCATCTCCAGCCACGAGGTGGAGACGATCCGACCACTGCCTGGAGAAGGTGTCACAGACCAGCTCATGAAGGCGCTGTTGGGATGGACGAACCGCCAGGGAGTGGCCGAGGGGGCTCTGGCCGGGCCGAGGATCACGGATGTGCATTTCGAGAATGACCATGTGGTGCGGTCTGGCGAGAAGAAGTGAGACGCAGTGGGCCGGAGGGGAAGGGAAGATGAGTTGAGAGTTGAGGGTAATCTGTGTAGGGTTATGGGTTTTATGATGGATGAGCACTCCTCCTTTTCATGTCAATAATACTTTGGCCGGAGGCATCAAAACCATCTTGGAGAGGTCGCGTGTGCGCATGCAGCGACGTGCACTGACTGGTACGAACATGGCAAAGCGATGAGACGAGCGCCAGGAACCAACATGGACTATATCGCCCGCCAGCGGTCAGTCACGTGACGTGGCCCTGACACCCACCACGCGCGGTTGTGACGCGGTCGCCATCGAGCTGCTGTCCATCCGCGACATTGACCTCTGCCTCTATCTCACTCTTCTCCCCTGCCAACCCCGCGCCCACCATGACAATCTACTCACTATACATCTTTGACCGGTACGTCCCTGCCTCAGCTAGTACCTTACCCCCGGCGGCCCCAAAGCTGATCCTCCCGGCGTCCCTCCCCCCCAGCCACTGCGACTGCGTCTACTACCACGACTGGCACCGCACGCGCCCCGTCCGCGCGGGACCCAACGACCGGCCAGGCGTACACCGCCTGCCGACGGCCAGCGGGCCCGGTGCGCGCGAGAGTATCTTCAGCAACGCCAATTCCAACTCGAACTCGGCGAGCGGCAGCGGCAGCCAGCAGGGGCTAGGCATGGGCCAGCCGGGCCAGCAGCAGCAGCAGCAACAAGGTCCCGCGCCGCAGGCGAACGGCACCGGTGCGGCGAGCAAGCGCGGCCTGCCGTTTGACGAGGAGGCCAAGCTCGTGTACGGCGTGGTCCTCAGTCTGCGCAACATGGTCAAGAAGCTGTCGGGCAAGTGAGTACGAGTACGAGTAGGAAGCAGGAGAAGCCGGGTGGCAGCTGAGCGCGCGCATGGGACCGACAGCTGACACCGTTCCTCTCCTTTCCTTTTCCTTTGCTCGCGCTCCAGGGACGACGAGCAGTTTACATCGTACAAGACATCGCAGTACAGGTTACACCTGTACGAGACGCTCACGGGATACAAGTTTGTGCTCCTGTCGGACCCGCAGGCCGACTCGCTGCGGTTCGTGCTGCGACAGCTGCAGACGGGGCCGTTTGTCGACTATGTGGTCCGCAACCCGCTCGTGGACCTGGATTCGCGCACGCAGGGCATCGATAATGACCAGGTGGGTGGCCGTGGCCGTGGGAGGGGTGGGGAGGGCAGGGCAGGGGAGAGGCTGGATGAGACCCTCGGCGTGCACTTGAACGCGCGTCGGTTGCCCAGTACATGTCTGACAACCGGCTCACCGGCTCATTCGCCCTTTGGTTACAAGAGCACGAGAGCCGGCCGGCCCAACAGCGCTCCCTCGTATCTGCCTCGCATCCCCCGACCGAGACCTTGCTGACGCTCGCTCCCAGTTCCGCACCGCCGTCGACCGCCATATCCGCTCGCTCACAATGTTCGGCCCATGAGTCCGAGTCCCTTCCTTGGCATAGATACGACGTGGTGCGTGGTGTGGGAGGGGTGCGGGCGGATATCCCTCGTGCGGCGTGGAGGGCTGAGTCGCGGAGGTGCATAATGCAGCAGCAGGTGTACAGTAGAGTTGCATGACTATGGCTATGTGTCGGCTAGAACCCAGAACCTAGAACCCACGACGGTAGAGGCTTCCTACAGAGGGAGCGACGCCGTGGGCTCCACTTTGGCAGTGACGCCGCGGGCGCGCTTGACCTGCGTGCTCTCTGGCATGGGCACGTCGCCGTCCTCTGCGTTGGCGGCCAAGTCGTCGTCGAGGGCCTTTTCGTCTCCCTCGGCCTCAAACTTCTTCCGGAGGGTGGTGAGCAGCGACTTTTTCAGCTCCTTGGCCGTCTTGTCGTCGCCGGCGCCTTCTCCTGCGGCCGCCCCACCAGCCGCGCCAGCGGCGCCGCCCGCGGCGGGGCTCTCGTCGCCGCCGACCATGTCGTCGAGCTGCAGCTTTGTCACGCCGATACTGAGAATGTCCTCGTCGATCGAGTCCTTGGAGATGAGCTTGATGACCTCGACCTCGCGTTCCTGGCCGATACGGTACGCGCGGTCGGCGGCCTGCCTGTCGTTGTGCGGGTTGAAGTCTTGGTCAAAGATGACGACGACCGACGCGGCCGTCAGGTTGATGCCGACGCCGCCGGCCTTTGTGGATAGCAAGAAGACGGTGATTTCCTCGTCGTCGTTGAAATCGTCCACCAGGCCCTGGCGCTCGTCGGTGCGCGTGCCGCCGTCGAGGCGGATGTAGCGCACGTTCAGGTGGTCGAGGGTCACCTGGAGAATGTCGAGGATCATTGTAAACTGGCTGAAGAGGAGCATGCGCTTGCCGTCGGCGATACACCGGTCAATGTGTTCCTTGAGCGCTTGCACTTTGCCGCACTCGAGGAACGTGTCGGGCGTGAGCGCGAAATGCTCGAGCTCCTCGTGCTCGGTGACAAAGTGGTGGATCTCGGCATCGCTCATGACCTCGAGGTCCTCGATGACATAGTCGAGGCGCGAGTCGCACCACTTGGGCGTGTTCAGACACGCCTTTGCAATCTGCTGGACCTTGGCCGAGTTGTACAGGCGGCGGAAGAGGAGCGGGTGGCTTGCGGCCTTGCGCAGGTCCATGAGAATGTTGGCAGACGAGTTCTTGTCCGCGACCACTTTGCCCTTTGCGGCTTTGCCCTTGGGCTTCTTCTTGCCGTCCTCGTCCTCGTCCGCGACGGCCGCGAGCGCCTCCTCGCTCATCTCGGCCATGGCCTTGCGCGACCGCCGCAGCGTCTCGCGGTACAGGCGCGCCTGGGTTGGCGTCATCTCGCACTCTTGCACGCGCTCAATCTTGGGCGGGAGGGTAAGGACCTGGAGGAGGGTTAGCTCTGCCGCCACAAACGAGATCAACAACCCACATTAGCCTTTCGGCGACGGAGGACAAACGGCGTGAGCATCGTCCGCGCGCGCGACACGCGCTGCTGCGACAGCATGTTGACCTGGCCCTGCGACTGGACCTTGAAGATGGCACGGAGGTACGGCTCGGCCTCGACGAAGATGTCCTTGTGGATGAACATGAGCAGCGACACGAGCTCTTGCAGGTTGTTCTGGACGGGCGTGCCCGTGAGGAGCAGGCGCCACTTGGGGCGAATCGACACCAGGTCCTGGTATCGTTTTGTGGTAAAGCTCTTGAGGGCGTGCGCCTCGTCGTAGACACACGTCTCAAACTCGATTTTCCGGCGGAAAAACTTGAGGTCGTCGTGGCTCGCCACCTGCGTGTACGACGCGAGGACGACCTCGAGCTCGCCATCGCGCGCCTTGCGCTTGAGCACCTCGCGCAGCTCGGCGCGCTCGTTCTGCGAGCCATAGTACGTCTGGACGTCGATGTCGGGCGCAAACCGGTCAAACTCACGCGTCCAGTTTTCGAGTGTCGAGGCCGGGACAAAGATCATGTGCGGGCCCTTTACACCCTTTTCCTTTAGGTACGCCAAGAACGCAATGACCTGGATGGTCTTGCCCAGACCCATCTCGTCGGCGAGGATGCATCCGATCTTGCGCGACCACAAGAGGTTGAGCCAGTTGACGCCGAGCAGCTGGTAGTCCTTGAGCACGGTGCCCTCGCTGAGCAGCGACGGCTGGGTGCGGATGTACGAGCTGAGGATTTTGCGGCGCTTCATGTCCGTCTCGTTGCGCAGCAGTTCCGACACCTTGTCGACGTCGACCTTGACGTCGTTGAGGCCGTCCGACCGCGGCGTGCCCGTCACGCTGCTGCTGAGGGTCGCGGCGCCCTTCCACACCGACAGCGTGTGCGCAATGTCGTTGGCAATGCTCTCGCAGCGGTTGAGGCACGCGTCAATCTGCACGTAACCCTCCATGATCTCGGTGTACTGCTCAAACAGCTTGTACGAGACGCCGCGCGCCTTGGACAGCTTGTGGTACACGTCGTCGGTGCCGTCGTACGGCCGCAGCGAGATGATCCGCTCGGCCTGCTCGTCACTGCACGCAATGGTGCCCGTGAGGACGGACGCCTCGGCGTTGTTGAACGCCTCGAGCGCGGCGCCTTCGGCATCCACCTCGTCTTCATCGGTCGACCGGCGCTTTTTGCGTTTCCGCGTCTCGTCGCCAGACCACGCGTCGCTCCCGCCGTCCGAGTCGGCCTCGGACTCGGACTCGTCATTGTCCGGGTCGCGCTTCTTGTTCTTTTTCTCTTCGCGGTTGGCGTAAATCGTCGACTTTTCGTTCTTTCGCCTCTTGCCACCGTTGGGCCGCGCGGCAGCCGCCTGTGCCATCACGGCCGCGGCGGACGTGGTGCCCGCCGACGCCTGCGGCAGGCCAGGCATGGCAGGGAGCGAGAGCGATGTGGACGCCGAGGGCGGCGGCGCGATCGACGACGAGCTGGGCACCGCGGGCTGGAACGCGAACGCCTGGAGGTTGACCGTCTTGGGAGGCGGGGCCGCGGCGGCGGGCCTGTTGTTGGCGCGGCGCAGCTCGTTGAGCAGCGCCTGCGCGTCGTTCTCGCCGTGGCGATACATGGCCTGCGCAATGTCATGGCGGGGCACGTTGGGGAACTGCGTCATGAAGCGGTTGATGGTCGTCTCGCGCTCGCTGTTGTGCTCGGCCTTGGCCGCCGCAATGAGCTTGGGCGTGCCTCGGCCCTTGGGCTGGAAGCGGCTCACAGCGGCGCCGGAGCGGCTGGGACCCGCGCCGCCAGCAGCGGCGACAAGAGACGCCGCAGCGGGCTTGGTGGGCGACTCGTCGTCGCCGTAGCGCTTCTTGAGGCGCGAAAGCGGCTGTGGCGACGATGGCGAGAAGTCGGCGAGCGACGGCTTGCCCGCTGCCTTGGCTCCGTTGGGGCTCACGCTGGCGGCGGCGCCCGCCACCCCATTTCCGTTCCCGCGGACAGCATTGAGAGTGCCGAGTGGGGAACCCAGTGCGGCCGCGGTGCGGGCGAGGTTGGACGAGGGAATCGCCGTCGAGCCTCGAGGTGCAGGCAGCGGGGCGGGGTACGCGCCAGGCGAGCTGGAGGGTACGAGCACGCCGTTGCCGTTGGCAGGCTGCGGCTCGGGCGTGCCGTTGATGGATATTGGGTGCTCAGCGGTCCCCGTGGGACCCGAGGTGGAGCTGGACATGGATAGCGCAGCAGGTTGGGGAGCAGGTCCGCCCTGCTTCATTGCACGCAGGTTGTCGAGGATCTGAAGGGGGGTGGATCAGCTACAGCTGAGGTGTGAGTGAGGTGTACTTACGCGCCTGCGCTCCGATTCCTTGGCCGACATGTAGGTGGGAAGGGGGTACAAGAATGTGGGAAACGAGCTGTGTCGTGTGTGTGTTGGAATGAGGGAGACCGAGAGATGACAGAAGTATAGAAAGTAGTGTGTGCTCGCGTCGCGTCAAAAACGCCAAAGGCTCCAGATGCGGCCAGGGTGAGGGGAGGGAGCGGTGGCAAATATTATCTCTGGGCCGTTATAAACAACACGGCCGGCGGACGCATTGGGCGGAACGATACAGTGGCCACCGTGGAGATGATCATGTCTGTCAGTCGTCTCTATGTCTAGGTGACATGTGCAACGACAAGGATCACTGCATGCATCTTCATGTTCCGTATGGGGTGTAGTGTCGCATGAACCCGTCGCTACATGTATATTACAGCAGCTGCCACCAGCACCCACCCACGGCTCTCGTCTTCCCTGACAGATGGCTGACCAAGGGCACCCACCCAGACGCGTACACCGGACAGTACAGTTGGTGATCGCAGTGACCGGGGCCAGCAGTGAGGGTGTGCACTTTGAAGTGTTGTGCATGGACCACAGTGGTACAGTGGCCAGCGGGGTATGGTGGATAGACAGGTTGCGGCACCCGTTGCTTTGGATGGACGGTTGACGCGACTCGCGTCACGATCGCGACAACCGACCTCGCTCTCACCATCCAAACCGCCAGCGGTCAGCGTCTGCCAGTCCTCTCGCTCGCCCCCATCCCATGGCCCCATCCCGGCCCCCGTCGACTGCCGCCGCCGCCAAACCTTCAAACTTATAACTCATGCGCCTCGTGCTCAGAGCTGCAGGCCACGGGCCACGGATCCACGGATCGATCAGTGCCTGTGCTCGGTAACCCGTACATGAGAGCGTTCCGTGGCGTCGCCTCGCCAAAATGAATGTCTAAAAAGTTGGAAAGAGCAGTAATACGCCTCTCCCTACCAACTCTGCTCGATCAGCTCCACGGTGTGCGGTTTAAACTGAACTGTTGCAAGATGTCCCTACTACAGGTATACAAGATCTCTCGACGCCGAAAAAACATGACCACACCCCGCCCCCGCTTCTGTCTTTGCTTCGCTTTCCTCCTCTCTCGATTACTCGGACTCGGGAATGTCAATCACTAAAAAGGACACCATCTGTCAGCTGCGATTCCATACTAAAACAGCCATCTCAGCCGGCACTCACTGTGACCCATGCGCTCGATCTTTGTGCGGAGGTACTTTTCCAGCTCGGGTCCGCGCGTGGTCGCGGCGCCGAGGAGGCCCACGCCGGCCTGGCGCGCGCGCCACTCGTCATACTCCTTCTCGTCGTCGTCGAGCTCGAGGGCGGCACCGCGCGGCGAGTCGCTGTGGCGGCACTGCCAGTCGCGCGGGACCATGCCGACGCGCTCGGTGATGCGCACACCTTCGCCCTGGAGGCCCTCGACCTTTTCCGGGTTGTTGGTGAGCAGGCGGATACCCGAGGTCTCGACGGCCTGGGCGCCTGCCAGGCCCAGGTCGGCGAGGATCTCGGCCGAGACGGCGTACGTGCGCTCGTCGGCGCCGTGGCCCAGCAGGAGGTTGGCGGTGACGGTGTCGTGGCCCAGGTCCTGCAGGTTGTAGGCGCGGATCTTCTCCAGCAGGCCAATACCGCGGCCTTCCTGGCGCATGTAGATGACAACACCGCGGCCGGGGACGAGGGGGCCGGACGGGCGCGCGCCAGGCGAGGGTGCGCGCGACGCCTCGGGCGTGGGCAGCTGGGCGTCCTGGCTGCCGCTGCTGCCGGTGCTGGTGGTGGTGGTGGTGGGGACGCGCTGGGGCTCGGCAATGCGGCGCATGGCCTCGTCGAGCTGCTCGCCGCAGTCGCAGCGCATCGAGCCGATCGTCTCGCCCGTAAAGCACTCGGAGTGGATACGGACCATGGGCAGGATGTCGGCCTCGGCGTCCGGGTCCGGAGCGTACGTTGCCGCCGTGTGCGGTGCGCTCGGCTGCCCGTCTTCGCCAGCGTGCAGGCGGCCGACGTAGGCGCCACGGACAATACGCTCCATGTCGGTCTCGCCCTCGCGCCACACGGCGTCGAGGGAGCGCGAGCGGATCTCGCGGCGACCCTTGGGCGCGTTACGCCGGGCCTCGGCGCTGAGCTGGATCGGGTCGGTGACAATGGCAAGGTGTTCCTTGTTGTCGGTCGAGTTGTGGTAGAGGTGGAGGAAAATGTCGCCGTGTGGAGTGGGCACACGGGTGCGCGCCATACACCGGACCTGCGGCCTCTCGGCCGTCTTATTCAGCACCAGGCCACGGCCGTGGTAGTAGTTGACGTGGGCCGGCGAGGCGACTTGCAAGACCTGGGAGATGGGGGCCGGGTCTATTGACATGCGCCGCTTGCGCTCCTTGGCAACAGACACCGACGACACAGTGGTGGGAGCAGACGACTCGGCAAGGCGCTCACGTGACGTGGCCAAGGCCGTCGTCGGAGAGACCGAGGCCGACGACGAGGTCGCGGCAGCAGCCTGTGATGCCGTCTTGGACGACTCGGCGAGTGGGGACGTCGCTGGAGCGCCGTTGGCACCCTGGGCCTGCTCGGCCTGCAGCCTCACGCTGCGTGGGGCCTGCTGACTCTTGACGGGTGGAGGGGCCTGGGTACGACGGGCGGGCGACGACGGCCTGCTCTGGTCGCAGGTCGCATATGCGCCTGGGGTGAGGGACGGGGCCATGCCGTGGCCAAAGTGGTGACGGGTGAGGGTGTGCGATCCAGCACCTGCGAGGACGGCGGAGAGGAGGAGCGAGTCAATGGCCGTGTCGCGGCGGGGAAGGTTGGCCTTTTTCCGTGCGCCGTTGGCAGCCGTGCCGGTGGGGACGGAGATGGGGGGGACGTCTGCGGTGAGGAGGGAGAGGATGTCGAGGTCTGCCTGGGAGACGAGTGTCGATGCAGAGGAGTGGTGGGCTGGAAGGACCGCGGGCATGATGTGTGCCGTTGCCGGTAAAGAGAAAGAGCGAGATGAGATGTGGAGTTGGGGGGGTGAGGGTGGGTGGGTGGGCGAGGCGAGTCAAGCCAGACGGGCGAAAAGCGGGGAAGACCGAGCAAAGGGTGTGGGTGGGTTTTGGCGAGAGAGGCCGCCGGGGACGGGGATGGGGGTGAGGCTGGTTGGAATGGGAGGGAGGGAGGTTGGAATGCAGGTGAGTGTGCTGTATGCAATGGGTTAGTTGGTGTGAGGAGAGTAGAGAGAAGAGAGAAAAGATAAAATGTCAACGTCGGCTATGCATATGGGGGAGGGGCCCATGGCGAACGATGAGCCCAAAACGCTGCGACGACGTCTTTCGTCACTGATCACTCATCTCCGTGTGTCCGGGCAAAAGCGAGTATGAGTGGGCAGGTCGGGTGCAGCCGACGCGGAATGGCCGCGCCCGTCTGTCTCTCTCTGCTTGTTCATCGTTTCGTGTCCTCGCGCGGCCTTGCGGTTACTCAGCCGTCCCACCTGCAATTCCTGCTCTAAAGCAAAACTCTGGTTTTCCGTTTCTATCGGTTTCCGCGGGGCCGGCATTCGCATTCCATCGCTCTCTATGTCCCCTTTTTGCCTCCGTCTCCTTGCCCCGGCTCGGACTAGCCGACAAAGGTCTCATATGGCCTCATCCACGTCGGAAATCACCGCACACGGCCTGGCCGCGGTTGGCTGGGGTGGTTCACCGCGGGCATTGGTCGGCCGCCCCCCCCCCTCCCCATGTGGTCTGTGTTTGCGGGGAAAGCTCGCGTATGTTGCTGACTGCTCCTCGGTCAGATCCCGACGGAAAAGAGACGACCTGGGATTTCTGACCAAGAGAGGACCTGAGCGGTGACTGCGGATCCTTTTTTTTCAACGGGCAAACGGTGAACTCCCAGCGTGGGAGAGTTGGGCCGTCATATAAGTCACCTGTCGGCAGACACATCCGGACGACTGGTTTCTCTCGGCGCGTCATCACACTTTCTCTTCCACATCATCCATCGTCTACCTCTCTGCACACCATCGTCGCCAGCGGGAGGAGCCACCTGCATGGGTGTCTTGTACACGACACTCCTAACGTTTAGCATATAATGGTTGCCTTCGTCGCCACTACACCGTGGTGCCAAAGCTGTGCGGAGCGTCGAGTCTGTGCCACAGGCACCCGCCCGAACTTTCCCCCCTGCAGCCTTCTCTCCCGTCGTGTTGTTATCCACTGCCGTCACCATCACCCCGTCTCACCCCCTCTCACACTCATCCATAACACCATGCCCAAGCCAATTCTCGCAACACACTCACAGCCCATCGACTGGCACAGCGTCAATCCGGCTCCTAGCCCCTTCCCACGTCCCGCTGGCGCGTCACCAAAGCAGCCGCCAGAGACTGCTCCTCCCAGTCAACCTCCTCCACCATATGAGTCCCTGGGCCAAAGCCCTCCACCCTTCAAAGGCTTCGCTGCTGCTGTAAACCCAGATGCAGGTCCTTCAAGTGTGTCACACCCGCCACCGGACTTCAGGTCTCTCTGCACTGCGATTCGGGGACCAGGGTGGACACCTTCAACCGCACAGCAGATCCCACAGACCCAACCTCCGCCTCCCATCTTCCAATTCGCCACCTCACAGACTCCATCTCTCTGGCCGTATGCGCAACCTGATTCTGTCGACATCTTTGGACCAACCACGTCATGCCTGATGCCGACCGTCGCGTCGGTCGACCCACGCGTCGCCCTGATGCTCCCGCGCGTCTCCCAGGCGCTCTTCAAGCTCGGGATTGCCCTCGTCCTACGCCGGCGGCAGGCGACGCAGGCCATATGCGTGTCGCCCTTCTCCGTGGGCTACGCCCTCGCGCTCCTTGTTGGCGGCGCCGACGACACCGTGTTTGCCGCGTACACCACGCAGCTCGGCGCCGACATGGCGACGCGCGACACGTTTGCACACACGTTCAAGGCGCTCAAGGCCATCGTGGACGCGAGTGGCAGACTGGCCTCGGGCAACAGTGTAGTCGCTACCAAGGGTGTCCCGCTGAACCCTTCCTTCCGAGCACATGTGGAGCTCCTCGAGGCTGGCATTGACCAAGAGCACGGCGAGCCATCTGGGGTTGAGAAGGCCGTGGACGACTTTATCGCCTCGGTCGCGCCGAGCGCGGGCAGGCCGCTGCAGGGGACCAAAGATGTGCCTGGAGGAGACGTGTCGCAGTCGACCCACGCGTTGTCCCCCTTGGTTCCCGTCCTGTACATTGTCAACGTCCTCTCGTTCAAGGTCCAGTGGGCGGACGCATGGGAGTGGCGGCACACAAAGAGCCACTACCGGTTCCAGACGGGCGCATCGTCCACGCGCACAGTGGACATGATGATGAAGTGGGAGAAAGAAGTCGACACGTTTGACACGGACGACTACACTGCAGTCCGGCTGCACTTCAAGGACGGGTTTGACTTTATCGCGTGGAAGCCAAAGCCCGGCTCTGCCCGTGACGTCGAGAGCACGCTGGGTGCCATTGCGCGCGACGGCGTCCCGCAGAACGGGCAATGGACGCACGAAAAGCTCCAGCAACTGGGCCTGCCCAAGGCAGACATCAAGTACAAGGCGCTGATCCAGAACGACGTTGCGGCCCTCGGGTTCCAGCGCGACCGCATGCCGTATGTCTGGGACGCGCCGTACGTGCCCGGCGCCATCGTCCACCAGACCACCCTCAAGTGGGACGAGGAGGGCGCAGAGGGCACGGCTGTGACCATTGTGGCGACGTTTGGCGCCGCGCCGGGCCCGCCGCCTGCATTGCGGACCATCGTCTTTGACGAACCGTTCGTGTATGCCATTGTTAACAGGCATGCCAGCGCCAACCTCCCCATCATGACTGGCGTGTTTACTTAGCATGGGCATGGGCAGGCGCTTCCCCGGCCTGATAGCGCAACCGAACATCATTGAACAACATCTAGAAACAGCAGTGCCGCGGCGTGGCCTGTGAAGACAGCGACGAGGACGAGGACGGACGAGGACGACCCGAATGCATCACGTTTTCCGAATCTCGGTCAGAACCAGACACTACAGGCCACGGACGTGTCCACACATGACCTCGGCCCAGACATTCAGCATTCATCGACAGCAAGCATCCACTGCATGGTGCGGGCCAGTTGATCCCGTGCCAACCACGCGCCCAGAGTGTCGCTGCTATGATTGCCGAGCACGCCTTGACGACCGGCTATCGTCAAGGGCATGTCGCGGCGCCACCGGCGACCCCACGCTAGTAGACAGACAGCCCACGCTCACCTTGTCCACTCTCCTCGTCCCCTGATCCATGTTCTCTACGCCATCGTATTTTTTTTCGTGCACAGCCCCGAGCTGCGAGCACCACGAACGCAGGAGCACAAGTAACGCCCACGACCATAACCACGGGGAGAGGGAGACGTAAATGACAACTAGAAGGGCGTCGGTAGTTAGCCATGAAACGCTGCAGCAGCCAGCTACGCGGACAACAGTGCATGCGCCTGTCTGATATTTCTGGTATTTTTCGTCCAATTTCCAGTGAATATTCTCCGGTTCTCTACGCCCATCCTCTTTTCTCCATACCACCACGTAGCTTGACATCTCACATCGCTATGGCTTAGTGGGAAAGCGCGAGGCTCATACTTCTGTTGTGGTAACGAGAGCCCTCGATCGAAACGAGGTGGCGATAGAGTGTACTTGCTTTTTGGGCATGTACTGCTGGGGAGTAGCAGGAGCAAGCATGGCACAGACGCTGGGGCGTTTCCGCCAGCATTAGAGGCGTCCTCTATTGAGCCGTGGGTCTTCCTTTATTCAACGGCAAATCCATCCATCTGTCTCTAAGAACTCTATGTATGCGCGCGGTGCGCTGCTCTCGCCCTTCTTCTCCTGGTGGAATCGTGTCAAGACGAGGGATAGGAATTAGGTGGGGCTTGGGGTAGGCGGGTGAATCGGCTCGATCACGGTGGGTGGAGGATGACGCGACCGCCGTCATGGCACGCCGTTACTCTTCCGCGCCTTCGACCCGCAGTATACAGTACACCCTTTGTGTCCCCGCGTCCCCTTCCTGCCAAGCTGCAAGCAGGGTTGGCTGTACATATCGTGTGAGCGGGCCGCGGGTTAGCCTCTGGAGCGTGAAGGGGCCAAGGGGCGTGGTCGCCAGTGAGCTTGTGCTGTGATCCTTCCGGATGTTGCGTGGCCTTGACATCCGGCGATGAATCATTAGACACTGCCGCCGTTAAAAGACGAAGCAGTTTAAAACGACCACCCTGGGAACGCGCTGCGCGCCCTCACCTCCTGCTGCAGCGTGTGATACCTCGCCGAGCAGGTCTCCGGCCCGCCGCTCTCGTCAAGCACCACCTTCTTACTCGTGGTCCCCGCGTCAGGATCAGTAGTGGTGGTGTCGCACGCGCCATCTCCGTCGCCGTCTTCAAACGTCACCACGTCGTCCTCGCGCGGACCATAACCCAGCGTGATCCACCTGGTCCTCCTTGTCCGCGGCGCCGTGTCAGTTCCACCGGTTGCGCAGGGCGCGTGCTGGCCGCAGCTACCACGCCCGGCGTCACTGGCAAAGGAGGGCGTTCCAGTCGCGGGAGAAGGGCGAGAGTGGGGAGGAGGACGGTGCACATGTGCGCGGTGTGCGTGGGTCGACGGTCTTGTCCCTGCAAGCGAATTCGTCAGGCCACTGAACGGGTTATGAGTACTGAGGGAGGCTGCGTTTCGGGGATCGGGGAGGGTGACTTACGGGTTGGTGGCAGTGGGTGTGGGACAGGGGGACGAGGAGGCGGAGGCGGCGTCGTCGTCGTCGTCGTCGCTGCCGTTGTTCTCGGCATCAGCACTCTTCTCGACATCAGCACTCTTCTCGACATCAGCACTCTTCTCGATGCTGGAGTCACTAGAAAAGTCCTTCATGTCAAAGGAGATGTAGGTCGGAGGGGGAGACGGCGCCAGTCCTCGCCTGACACTGCGGGGTCGAGTGGACGCAGAGGGAGGAGACGGCGCGGACGCTGACGCCACGGACAGACGCCGCGGGGTCGAGGGGTTGGTGCTGCCGAAAGCAATCTCCGGGGACTTGTCGGCACCTTCATCGGCGTGCGACGGCGAGCCATCATGCAGGTTTGGACGACCGAGCTCCACCCTGTCTTCCGGGCGGGTGTCGCTGGCAGGGCTAAGAGAGCGTGTGGTGCGCGTCCGAACCACCGGGGGTACACAGGTGGAGCATTGACAGTCGGTGCGGTGGGTAGGACATTCGGACAGGAGGAACACTTTGTGGCTGCGCGCCGGGGGAGGAGGCGAGGTGTTGACCTTGGTTTGTCAGTATGTACGGGTACGACCCCAGTGAAGGGACTCACGGCCCTAAGCGCAGGAGCGGTTCGGGTGAAGAAGGTCCGCTTCTTGAGTGGCTTGGGGTCTTCCAGAGGAGGAGTAGCCGTACGCGACGTTGTCCTTTTGGTGCTGGCTGTCAGCTCCAGGTGCTGCTGGCGACATACCTCTTGGGCTTGGTCTTGGCCCGCTTCGGCGGGGCCGGTACCTTATCACTCGCCTGGCCATCGGTGGCACGCTTACGCTTCACCGGCCTGGGGGTCACGGATGGACGATCCTGGGTAGCAGCGGCGATGGCCGGCGAGGCAAGGCCCCGCGAACGGCTTCGAGTCCTGCCCAGAGGCACGTCCGCAGGCAGCTGGTCAATGGGGATACCCTCGAGGGCCCTGGGCGGCGGGCGACGTGGCGACCGGGACACTGCCTTGGTCGAGGAAGGGAGTGCAAGGCCGTCGCGAAGGAGAGGCTTGTTCTCCTGAGTAAGCGTGGCGGTTGTCATGATGCTGGTTGTCGAGGACATCTAGATACGGGCTGTCGATCAGTGGCGGGGTTGTGGTCCTTGGCGATCAGCCCTGGGGCGTTATATATCATGTTCTTGTCGCCACATGCGATGCTCTAGGTCCACGTTCCATTGTTCTGCGCCACATTAGTCCCAGAACAAGTGTGTCAGAGCCATCAGTGATGATAAGGGGGAGGTGATGCCAGTAGAAAAATGGCTATTAAAAAAGTCCACAGTCGCGTTTCAAGCGGCTTTAGAGATTTGATTTCAGACTTGAAACTCGAGGACGACGGATCAAATCCATTGTGCGTCCCGGTTTGCCGTCACCGCATTCTCCGGCAGTTTCATGCTGGCTGTAAACTGATCTGAGATCCTCTCACGCGCGACGATGGCAGCACGACCACCGCTGCTATATACCCAAGTGGCCGGACATCTCTGCATATGCTGAGCGATGTGTATGTGTATCGCCCTATTGGTGCTCTGGGTGCTGGGTGCTGGCTGCCGCTGTCGTGCTCACCATTGTGCAATGGCGAGCGATGACCTCATTTTTTTTTTTATCTCCGCCACACGGCTCCTTCCTCCCTGGACTGGGTGGGGCGTCGATCCCCGCGCCCGCTGAACGCGCCCGCCCGCCGCCGCCTGTGCCAAGCCCGTCAGCCGCCGGCGTGTCGACCTTTTTCTGGATCGTCGCATTGTTGTTGCCAAGATCCTTCTCGTTGTCTCCCATTTGCAATGCACCCGAGACGCCACGCAGAGACCGTCGGGGATCGACGTGCATGTCAATGCTGCGAATGAGCTGTTCTGTAAAGTGTGAGAGGATCGGCGCTGTGGTTCAAGTCTCGGAGGCCATATGGGCGATGGGCTCCTCCCATCTCCAATCGAGCCGGCTGGCTGTGCTGCGCATAGGGACTGCATAGGCGCTCCCAGCGGCTCTCTCACGTCTCTCTCCTCTCGCTTTGCCGCTTGCCGCTGGCCGCTGGTGACGTCTGTGACTGTGTTTTGCGTGCGTGGGTTACGACGAGCCCATATGCCCGTTGTGGGCCCTGTTGCAGAGCAGCAGCCGTGGCAGTGAAACCGCCTGCACCAGAGCCCCAGCGCTGGCTCGGAGCGAGCAGTCTCAGGAACTATCAATCACAACCCACAATCTCAGAGCATCAACTACACCCTGGCGCCGCGCATAAACTGCCCGATATGGGGAAAATGGGGCTCTGGCCGGTAACCACCCACAACGTGGGCCATTCGACACCCTCCCCGGCGCGCGCGCGCACGCACAACAGCGACATGACGTGCTGTCTAAATGAGCACGACACTGGACAACATCTCCATGCGTGCGCCAGTGTCGCACACGGGCGTTGCGCCCACCCTCTGTTGCCGCGCTCGTTTTACCGGCTGGTCGACAACAGTACATCAAGGTGCCTGTCGCGCCCTCCAAAGTGGGGTTTCTTCTCGCAAAAACGCCAGCTTTCCATCGCTCCACCCACATACACCACAACGTTCACCATGGTGAGGCAGGCCAACCCTCCCCGCCACCGACTGGCAAAGGAGCCGTGCTGACTGGGTCCTCCAGGTGAATAAAACTCAAGAGGTCGTCCTTACCGCCGCCGATGAGGGGAAGAAGAACGATGCGCCCCATTACGCCGACGATAACCTCAGCGACGCCAGCAGCGACGTGTTTGCGTTGCTGGCAGCCAAGGAGGAGGGCCACGACATCAAGTACAGGACACTGAGCTGGCAGAAGGCCACCCTTCTTCTGTTTGGCGAGTATGTCTGCCTGGCCATTCTCGCCCTGCCGTGGTCGTTCAGCGTCCTTGGCTGGGGACTTGGTTTGGTTGTCCAGCTCGGCATCGGCGCTATCACTTGGTGTGAGTGGCGATAGGAGAGGGTCAACAGGCATCTCGCTGACACCAGGGCAGACACGTCGTACACGCTGTGGCAATGGTGCATGAAGTACCCCGACGCTCATGACATCTGCGAGATCGCCGCCCATCTGTTCCCCCAGTTCTCCAAGCTCGCCTATGAAGCGACCGCCATTATGCTCCTGCTCAACAACATCTTCCTGGTGAGTAAAACGTTTGAGTTGTGGGAGTGTTTTGCTCATGTAACAGGTGGGATTCCACGTCTTCACTGGCGCCAAAGGTAAGCATGGAAACATCAGCTGGACAGGACAAGGACAAAGTCACAGCAGACGAGATTGGTTGTGGCGCCGATCCCTTCCGGGTGGCACCGCCGATTTCATTCCCGGAGATGGAACCACTTGCTGACATGCGCAGTCCTCAACACTCTGTCCGACCACTCGGTCTGCACTGTCGGCTTCCAGGGCATTGCCGCTCTCATCGGCAGTAAGTGATCTCGCTACATGGGTCACTCCCGCCACGCTCGTCACTCACGCCGCAGTCGTCGTCTCCATCCCCAGGACCCTTAAGCATGTCTCCATGATGAGCATTGTCTCCGCCATCTGCATGGCTATTGCGATCCTCCTTGCCCTCATCTTCTCAGGCATTGAGCCCAACCCCAGGGGCGGTTACGGCGGCGATTGGCCTACCCTCGGTCCCGTCAAGACGTACGGCGGCATCCCCCCGGCCCTCTCGTATGCCGACGGTGTGCTCACCTCGTCCAAGCTCACCTTTGTCAATGGCTTCAACGCCGCCCTGAACATTACGTTCCTCTGGGTCGGCCAAATCCTCTACCCGTCGTTCATTGCGGAGATGAGGGAACCACGCGATTTCCCAAAGGCGCTCGCCGCTCTTACGTTTTTGGAGATGATTCTCTTCCTCGTCGTGTCGGTTGTGGGCTACTACTATCTGGGTCAGTACGCCGAGGCCCCGATGATTGGCTCGCTTCTCCTCGAGAAGCACCGCAAGGCAGCGTTTGCGTTTGTCATCGTGCCCACCGTCATCATTGGCGCCATCTACAGCAACGTTACCGCCAAGTTTGTCTACCGCAGGTTCCTGGGTAACAGCCGCCACGCTCACTCCCACACTGTCCTCGGATGGGGCACTTGGATTGCCATCACCATTGTCATTTGGGGCATCGGTTTCGTTCTTGGCAAGTAAGTTTCGTCGTCCAGTTACCTAGGTCTCACCTTGGCTCCCTTCCTTGCCCCCCCGTGCTGACTCCCCGCCCAGCGTTATCCCTTCGATGGGCGACTTCCTGTCGATCCTGTCGGCTGCCTTTGACAGTTTCTTCGGGTTCATCTTCTGGGCCGTCGCGTTCTACCACCTGTACCGCGGCAAGTACTTTACATCGCCCTTGAACTCGGTCCTCACCGTCCTCAACGTTTTCATCTTCGCCCTTGGCCTCCTCATGCTCGGTGCTGGAATGTACACCTCCGTCGACGCCATCATTGCCGATTACTCGGGAGCTGTCAAGGGGCCCTTCTCGTGTGTTGACAATGCGTTGTAGACAAAAATAATAATACTACTGCCTTGCGGCCCCATGGCTCACCTTGTATGCAACACACGTTCTGAGAACTCCATGTGTTTGATTGCGACTAGATGTATTAACAAAGGAAACCTAATAAAAAGATAGTCGCTAGATGGCCGGCTTTCCCTCATTTCACACTGGCCAGTGTTTTTTTGGACTGTGAACCCCGGCACTTATCGGTAAGATACGTGATTCACATTTTGTCCCTTCCTGGATTCGAACCCCGGCCGTTGTGGTAATATACGTGGTTCTTTTTCCCAGGGCATTATAACCTCTGTACTAACGGGCCATCTTGATATTTCGGTAGAACGGCTAAACTTATTCGGTTTGGAGTCTGGCGAGTCCATATGACGGCAAGCACCCCCAAGCTCTACTGTGCATACGAAATACAATATGGTAGTGACTAGCCATGCGTCTCTCTTTGCTTTCGCTCCCACATACGCTCTACACAGCGGTTGTGAGGCTGACTCAACTCGGGGCTCGCCACCCAGCCTACAGTATGCACTCCGTGGCGCAGTCAGAGGGGTGTGGCACCTGCCTGCTGCTTTACAATGAGCGATACCCAAATCAGTGCCCAATGGCCAGTGGCCAATGCCACTGCGACTTGATTTGTCTAGCGCTATGTTTCAACATGCTATGAGAGTTTCTCCACATGGAAGGGCTACGCGGGTAGCCGGGACGACATAAAAAAACAGCCCAATGCGGAACTCATGGAGTGGCCGCTTCTGGTGACACACATGCTGCGGCCTATATGAACGTGCTCCCACCGAATTGTCACTTCAACATGGAACCCCTCGTCGCCACCCATATGAGCCGCGTTGGCCAGTCCACTACCCGCCTTTCCAAGATGGAGAGCGATAACATCCGCTCTGAAATCTGGCTCGACGACACGTCTGTACCACATGTCATCGACACCATCGCTATTATGGGGCCCACAAGTGTCCAGTTTTCTCTTAGAGCGACCTGTCGACGAATGCGACGGCTGCTCGACCCATTAATCTTTAACCACGTCACTATCGGACTCCCATCAAGCGTCCATCGCGACTATTCACACTTCCTTGCCATCCACCAGTTGGGGTACTCGAAGAGGTGGGACCAACGCATAGTGTACGGTAATGGCCTCTCAAACGGCATAGAACTTGATTTTTCCAACTATCCAGGCTTGTTCGAAGCGGACATTGTCCGCCTCCTCTTCCATACCCAAACTGTATCAATAGTGGACGTTTTTACCGACCGCTCGCCCATCAGCGATGTTCTCGATCCAGTCGAGATGAATGACGCTCAAGCGCTTGGAATTAAACGGTCGTTCGTTTGGGCCATACTCGGTTTGCTGTTCAAGAGAGCGAGGACGGTCCGCTTCCTTCCATTCCGAAGTTTCATTCCCACCTTCCGCCCGTTTGACCACTTTTCCCCCACTAGTGTTTCGACAATAGTCTGCGGGGTGACTCTTTCGAGACCGCGTGCAATAAAGCTCAAGGTTATTGGCCGACCTCCGCGCCGCCCGCTACGAGAACCCACACCTCCAACCCACATCCTTCCCCTGTATAACACTATTCAACCTCCTCCGCCTGGAACCAAACACCTGGCAGTAGCAGTGGAGGTTCCACGCGACCTCCTGCAAAATGGTCAACACATCAAGATTGGGGTGGGCTGGTATTCGGGCCCGCTGGCGCCCGAGCCATGGTGGGCTGGTGTATCCCTGCGTCAAGTAACAATGTCCATTACGTTGGCGGAGGAGGAACCAGCCATAGTGAGAGAATGGTTTTACGGTTACTCCTGCTTCCTGGACGGCAAGTATGGAGTGCTGAGCCACCTAGTACCCGCCATCCTCAACAGGCCCGACGTCCAATTCACCTTGGTCGGAATAAAGGCACTGCACGAGAGACGCGAGGATTCCCTTGGAATCCTATCCACCATGACCTGGGGACAAGTCAAGGAAACGTTTAGAATGGCGACGCAGAACGACGGGTGGGATGCGGGTTCTGGGCGCGAGCACGTCGAGTTCTTGTCCCACAACGAGTTCCAGCGAAGGGTGGGACCAGTGCAATCGGCTCTGTTGTGAGGACGCTAGTGGCGTGTGGTACTTGCAGAGTTTAGTTATGCTTGAGATGGACGAACAAAGGTGGAATATAGTGCGTGAGCAGTCTGTTTTATTTGTTTTATGTCGTCGACAGTGGCGCAGTGGAGCCAGGGTGCGTTTGTCCATTGAACTGCAGGAATAGGTGGCAACTGTGTGGCTGTGGGAAACAGAACTGACAATCCTATGCCAGCGTGTGCTGCTTCTGTCAATCGTGCAGATCCAACAAGCTACACCCGAGGATGGTTCGCGGGTCCATTGTAGACTCTAAAACCGTCCGTGAGCGAGAGACACAGAAGGTCGGGTAGCCACTTATTTGAGTACGCCTGTCACTCTATCGCGGAAGCGTGGGCCTTCCGGACCTCCTGTCGGGATTCTAACGCAGCCCACAGCCGTGAACAAGGGAACAAACCAACATTCACTTCCTAGTTGATCCTTGTTCTCCGAAAACTTGAAGTATGTCATGGCCGAAAGAAGCGAGGCTTAAGAGAAGCAAACAGCCCAAGGGAAGGACAATCTCCCCCTTCCATAGCCCAACCTAAGTCATGAGCCCACCCATCAGCGAGTTCCACATCCCAGAGCCCGGCGAGACCTGGCCAAGCCAGGAAGTCGAATATGTGGTCGTGCACCCAACAAAGTCGCTGAACGAGCTCAATACGTTATACCTGCCTGGTGAGTGGGAGGCTCTGGTATGTCGTCTGACGGGGAAGCCAACGTCAGTGCAGACGTGGTGTTTGTCTTGGAGTTATCGTGGTACGAACACAGGAACCACGCCGTGAAATGTACGTCGTCCGGGACATTGGTTGCCACTCGTGAGTTTCAGCAACTGTGCATGTCTGACCTAAAGGGATCCATATATGATGTGCAATAGATACACCATGGTTGACTTTGAAAGCTTGATAGAGATGTGGCGAGGGCCATCGCAATGCGCAATGGCAGCAGTGAGCAGCGGGGTCGCCACTCGCCCCACGCTCCGTGAGCGTGACCTGGGGGAACCCAATATTTCAACCTCCACATTCCATTGCGCGATTCATTCACCACATACAACTTGCTTGTCCTTTCCATTCCATCTTCCTCTCCACCCACCCACCCACCCACCCCTACACCATGGCAGACCCCACCCCTTCCTCATCCCACCTCAAGCGGTACAGGCCATACCTGCGCCCAGCCGAGGTCGAGCGTCTCTCAGCAAAGCAGCGCGGCAAGCTCAGCGTCGCGCGTGAAGAGAGGGCGCGTCAACAGGCGTGTGCGCTCATTGACGCCGTTGGCGTGCGGTGTGGTTTGTGAGTCGCAAAGAAAGCCGCAAAGAGGGCCATGGTCTCCCCATGGATGCTTTACTGACCGCCAGCCCCCGCCGGACCATCGCGACCGCCCAGACACTGTACATGCGCTTCCACCTGTTCTTTCCGTACGCCGACTTCAACTATGTTGTGAGTCCTTTGCCTTTTTACTTTGTTCTATTCCGCCCGCCCGCTCTGTTCTGCCTGCCGTCTGACACGTCTTGTACAGGAAGTAGCCCTCACGACGCTATACGTCGCCTCGAAGCTGCACGACACGCTCAAGAAGCCGCGCGACATTATCCTTGCGTCGTATTCCCTCCGCTTCCCGCACCTGGTCCGCCGCGGCGGCCATGTAGACGTCACGGCCGTGGACCCCAACATGCTGGAACACGAGCGCCGGCGCGTGCTCTCGATCGAGCGGCTCGTCCTCGAGACCATGTGCTTTGCGTTCCGCGTCGCCGTGCCGTTCCCGCTCGTCGTCAAGCTCGGGCGCAAGCTCGGCCTGGACAAGGACGCGACGCAGGCCGCATGGCGCGTAGCCGTCGACTGGTGAGTGCTGTCACAGTGGCAAGGAGGAGACGGAGCTGACTCCCACAGCCACCGCACGCCGGCGCCCCTGTCGTACCCGCCCCACGTCGTCGCCCTGGGGAGCGTGTACGCGGCCGTCCTGCTCGCGCAGGTCAACACACGGCCACACGACGACGCGCCAGACGACGCCGACGCCGCGCGCGTCATCAAGGTGCTGGGATCCGAGGGCGGCTGGGAGGCGCAGTACTCTGCGAGCGTGGACAATGTCGATGGTGAGTTTACGTTCGAGTGGTCCTACAACTGCGCTGAAACTGACACTTGCTTGCAGAAGTCGCACACGACCTGCTGGACCTGTACATCACCATCGTGTCCACGCCCGCCAACGACCCGTCCTTGCAGCTCTTCTCGCCGTCGCCCGTCTCGCCGCGCGAGCCCGGCAGCCGCGCAGGAGCCAGCTCGTCGCGCTCGGCCCGTCCTTCCCCCGGCCCCGTAAGCGCGGCCACGACCGCGTTCCGCCTGCACCCGGGCTGGAACGCGCAGTCGCTCACGGAACTCAAGATCCACCTGCGCGACCGCCGTCCGGGCGCCGCGGTCGGGTGGGACGAGGGCGAGGACGGGGATGAGATGGACCCCGTGGATGGGATGGGGCGGAATGACGGTACGATGCGGTTTGTATGGGACGACGAGGCTTGAGCAGAGGCGTATGGATGAGCTGGGCTGGGGGACATGAGCCCCCGGGCGACTGGAGTGTGTGAAAAATAGCTGCACTGAGCAAATGCATACAAGGAAGCAGACAAAAGAAAAGACGAGACCAGACGTGACACTCCTCTCTCTCCCCTCCCTACTACCACGGATTCTCCATCGCGCGATCCACCTCCTTGCCCCACTTCTCCCTCTCGCGACTGCCCGCCGCTGCCGGCGGCGCGCCGAGCGGGTCCTCTGCGCCAAAGGGCGACATGAACGCTGACGATGCAAACGGGTTTGTGAATTCGGCCGGGTGCGGGCGGGCCGGGGGCGCAGCGCGCAGACCGTCAGAGTTGAACGAGCCAGTGCTGGGTGGCGGGGCGGGCGAGGTCGATGCTGGCGTAGCCCACGCGTTTGTAAAGCCGAACAACGAGCTCGAGGCCTTTTTGGGCGGCGACGAGGGCACGTTGGCCCACACGCCGCCGCCGGCCGAGCCGGTGCTGCCTGGCGTAGGCACCTGCCCGTCGCCCCATTCAGGCATGTCGATCGTGAGCGCCTTGTTGGCCGTGACGGCGATATCGCCGGCGTCGTCGACGGGCAGACCGCCCGCGGCCGACTGCGAGCGGAGTGGGGGCGAGCGGTCGGCCGATGCCGAGGGCGACCGGGGAGCGAGCGGCGGTGCGGATCCCGTGCGTTCCAGCGCGGCGACGTGCGCAGCGGCGGCAGGAGCGTCGCGGCTCGGGTCCTTGAGCTTGTCGACGTCAATCTCCTTGCCGAGCGCCTGCGAAATGGCGGCAAAGTCGAATCCGGCCGTCTTGGGAATCGCAGCCAGCCGTTCCTCCTCTGCCGCAGCGGCGGCGGCCACAGCAGCAGCCTGCTCGGGGGAAAGGGCGGTGCTTGCGCGCTCGCCAATGTCCGCCTCGAGCTCGACGGGGGACGCGGCTTCTTCGCGGGGCGGAAGCTCGTCGTCGTCGTCGTCACCGGCGTTCTTGCTCGGGGTGGCGTTCTTGCTCGTGCTCGCGCGAGGTACAGGTGTGCTCGCACCAGACCCACTGCGCGACCCACTCTTCCGCGAACGAGGGAAGATGCCAAGAATCTTCTTCTCGGCACTCCTACGTGCCTCCTCCTCCTCTTCCTCGTTGACCACGTATCGCTCCTGCTCCTCGGGGTCGGCATCGGGGTCGTCTGGCTCGTCGAACCATTCCTGCGTCACGGGGAAGCCGACGTGCGCGAGCAACATGGGCATGGCAGATCGGTAGCTCATGTGACCCGTAATAAACTCGGTGCAGTCGACGTTTTCCAACCCGGGCACATCCTCGACGGGTCGCAGACCAGCGACCGTGTTGAGGCCACCGCTGGTCGCGCGGAAGAGGTAGCCGAGCATCCAGTCGCTGGAGGCGTAGGCGTTGACAAAGCGGCCACCGACGACGCTGCGCACGCCGAGCCACGTTTGCCGCGAGGCAGTGACAGTGGTGCCAAAGAGGTAGACGTCTTGCACGATACCATACGCCTTGACGCGGGCAAGCTCGCAGAGCGCGTAGAAGATGACACGGGCACCGAGCGAAAAGCCAATGAGCGACGTGGGACGCACGCCCGCGTGGCGCTGGATGAGAACGTCGGCGAGCACGAGACCGGCTGCCTTGGCACGGTCGAGCGCGTTGGACCAAGGGTTGTCGATGAGGTATCCGAGCTTTGTGAGGAGCAGGGGCCACTGGAGGGCACTCATGAGTGCCGTCATGACGGTGGCCTGGAGAATGGTCTGCCCGACCTGCGTCAAGACTTCTGTCGACAGAATCTTGATGGCGTTTCCCATCTCGTTCATCATCTCGGGCTCCCACAGGACCGAAAGGACGTCACCGACAATGGCGTCCAACACGGAGAATGGCAGTCGCACATCGTCGACCTTGGACGCCATGAATCTGAGGGTTGTCAGCTAAGTAGACGTGATCACATCAGCTCACCCTCCGACAGTAATATAGCAGCTAACGCGCTTGTTGTTGTGTAGTGGCTTGAGCTCGAACGTGCGCACTTCACGGGTACGCCTGGCCATACCACGACCCGCAATGTTACCGCCGGTCACGACACCGGTGGTCGTGATGATAGCCGCGCCACCTGCACCGCCAAGGAACGCCGTCGTACCTCCAATACCAACGGTACCGAGTGCGGCACCGATACCGGCGCCAATGAATGGAGCGAGCAGACCAGCCGAGAGACCAATGACGAGCGCACCGCCGACGGCAGCGGCGCCCATCATTGCATATCGCTTGTTGCGCGCACCCTTGCGTCGCGACTCGATAACGTCCACCTGTTGCAGCTGGCCCACGTTCTCCTGAATCTCGAGCGTGTCCGTGACGCGGTTCTCAAAGCGGACGACATCGAGCCACTCAAAGCCGAGGGCCTTGGCAACGCGCTCGAGGAAGGCGCGAGACCGCGCGTCGTACACCGAGTCGGCGACCAGCACGAGGAAGAGGTCACACAGAACTGTCCAACGGATATCGAGGGTGACGTCCTCGTCGGCCGCAGTGATGGATGTCGACACGCCCGGGAGGGCGGGCATGGGTGCGTCAACGTGAGCCTCGGCGTCGGCGTCGGCGTCGGGGACAGCTTCAGCGTCAGGGAGGGCTTCAGCGTCGGGTTGCTGAGGGGTGGCGCCGTCGTCGTCCTTGGGTGGGAGAGCCGGAGGAGCGGCTGGGAGTGGTGGGGAGGAGGCGTCAGGCGCAGGAGTGGCTGGCAGCTTGGCCTCGGCACCGCGTCCAGGTTCGGGGGAGGTGAGAGCCGCACCAATGTCGCCGTCATCCTCCTCCTCAACGGCCGTAACGGGCTTGCGAGGTGACGGCGCACTGCCGCCAATATCGCCTCCGTCCTCGTCATCATCGAACAATGATGGCATCTTGCGGGGTTCTGAACGAGCAGCAGGCGCCTCTTTGGACACAACAACGTCTCCCTCGTCATCGTCGAACAACGAGGGCATCTTGCGCGGCTCTGAACGAGAAGGAGGAGCCTTGTTGGCCACCTCTTCCTCGTCATCGTCGTCGAACAAGGACGGCATTTTGCGCGGCGCGGCACGCGGTGTCGGCTCGGCCAGTGGTGGCGGGGACGCGCCAGCAGCCACGGCGTCCTCATACGCCGGTGCGGGCTCGTACGTCGGTGCGGGCTCGCCCTCGTCGTTCTCTGCCGCCTCGCCGTCGGCCTCGGCCTTCTTCTTCGCCTCAGCCGCTTCGACCATCTTGACCTCTGCCTCGACCTCGGCGCGCTGGGCGGCCTCGTACGCCTCTGCCTCTGCGGCCTTCTTGGCCGCGGGGTCAAACTCGGGGTTCTTGACGGTATGTGTGGTCATGAGGGCCGGGACGAGGTCGGCGGGGTCGACACCGTGTTCGGCCAGCGACTCGATCATGCGTTGTTCTGCACACGTCAGTCAGCACCAGTCTGCCCCCTACCCCCCCATCTACCCCAAAGCACCCACCATCGCGCTCCAGCTCCATGTGCTGGTACAGGCGGGCCATGATCTTGATCATCCAGATGTTACCGCTCTCGACGACGGGGACGTCGTGCGCGCGGCCTTTACCCTTGAGCATGTGCTGCTTGGCCTTGTAGCCCTCCCAGCCGCGGCCCATGTCGGCGAGCATGCGGCGCGCAATGAGCGCGCACAGCCCGACGTAGGCGATACGCTGGCCCTCGGTGAGCAGCTGCTTGGTGGCCTGCATCTGGCTCAGCGGGGTCATGGCCTTGTCCTCGTCAAAGAGGAAGCGGGTGCGCATGTGGACCTCTTCACTCTCGTTGTCCTCCTCCAGTCGCAGGCGCGTGTACTCGCTCTCGTCAATCCCGGCCTTTTCACGCCACGAGTCCGTTATCAACGTATCTGCCTCGAGCTCGAGGTGTACACCGGTAGCGTTGGCCGTGGGGCCGTGCTCGTCCTCGTTGTCCAGCCGGATAGGTGCGCGATAGTGGAACTTCTTGTCGTCGACCGCGTCCAGCTCGGACGTAAAGTCGTTGGACCGCACCACGGGCATGTCTGGGAGGGCATGTCAGCGCGCGCACAGGTGTCGGCGAGGAGAGTACGAGGAAAGGACGCCTGGTGGCCATGGGACAGCGCTGCTGGGGACCGACTGAATCGGCGACACAGCGGCCAACGTCACCGATTGGTGCCCGAGCGACCCTCCCAACCGCACACTTTCAAGCACCACAGACCGCAGACGTACCTTGCCACCCATCGTCGTCGTCCAGGTCTGACCACGACGCATTGTTGGTGGCCTTTGGCGGCGCGAGCGAGTGGCTCGACGTGCTGGCGTGAGCGTGGTGGGGTTGCGCGTGAGCGTGCCCGTGTGCGCCGCCGACGTTGTGGGAGGAAGGGGAGGAGGAGTGGGCCGAGCCGCGCGCCGGTGCGCGCGGGGGCGGGAGCATGGTATAGCTTTGCTGTGTCGCTGCTGGCGCACGGGGTGTGGGGGGGTTGGGAGGGCAGGAGGTGTGGTGGTTGGAATGAGAATGGACGGAGAGTGGACGGAGAGAATGGGGTGTGTTGGAATATGGACGCCGACAACGGAGTGACGACCACCGAAGTGTCAACGCGTCAGGAACCACAGGGAGACATTCAGCGGAGGCAGCGACTAGCGGCCTAGCGTCTGGTGGCGGAAACCTGTCGCAGCTGCAAAAACAACACTGGTGGCGAGATGCATATGCATGGGTGGGTCCATTCGTCTCTCTGTCTAGTATACTCTATGCGCACAAGCACGGCGTGTACTGCACTCTCTCACGCAGTCGCCTCACCGCGCACATCGGCACCGCCGACCCAAATCTCCACCTGGCCGTCCTCCTCGGCGCCACGCACCTTGTCCACCAGGACCATCCGAATGCCCTTGTCCTTGAGCATTCCCCACAGGTCTCTCTCGGCGGCATCACGCTGCTTGTACGCCAGCAGCAAGAGCGGTTTGCGCCCGTCAGCAGGGACAAGGAGACGTTCCAGCGTGCCGACGAGGGCCGGGAACGACGCCGTGTTGTAGGTCACGTCTGCGGCACTTGCGGGGTCAGCGAGAGTTTGCAGGTGGTGTGCGGTGGGGGTACATACACGACAACGTCGGGCCAGTCCGATGCCACCCATTCGGGCACGGGTGCGTCCCAGTCGAGCACGGCCGGGGTGACACCGCCGCCGTTCAACGTAATGTTCTCGGCCATGATCTCCATTGCCGAATCTGCCTTGTCAGCTGTGCCACGAACGCCACCCAACTCACCGAGGTCCGTCGCTGTGATCTCGCCGCCGGCGGGGCAGATGTGCGCCAGCGCAATGGACACGAGGCCCGTACCGCTCCCGAGCTCGACGACTCGGGCAGCCGCCAGGCGGTCGAGGGCGCGGCGCGCGTCATCTGGCAGACGGCTGCTGCTCTCGCCAGCCCCGGCGGCCATGTATCGCCAGAGCCAGGACGACAGCGCCAGTCCCGAGTCCCAAACTTTCTGCCATCCACGTCAGCCACATGCCCATAGGTCCTCCCCGGGGGTGTGTACACGCACCTTGTCGAGGTCAAAGCTCGTCTGCTCGACGACCTTGAGCGACCCGCGGGGCGCCGGCCATTCGCGCGTGATGCGCGTCTGCTTCGGTCCGTCGTCTTTGCCTTTACCCTTGTCCTTTCCTTTTCCCTTGTCCTTGCTGTCCTCCTTGCCTCCCTTGACAGGCTTGGCCTTGGCCTTGACGGCGCCGACACCGCGCACCGCGCCGCTGAGGCTGCCACTGCTGTTGCTGCTGCCCGTGTCGGCGGTGAACGCGATGCCCTCACTCCACACGCCCAACACCCCCGGATCGCCGTTGCTCAAGCTCAGGAGCGGGGTGGACGCCGGCATCGTCGCGGGCGGCGAGAGCAGGCCCAGGCGCCACTTCTCGCCCGCCCGCGCGGCCTTGGGGAGGGGCACAGTGACGGGGCGGTACGTGCTGGCTGGCGGCGCAAAGACAGTGAGGTGCTGGGCCCGGGTGGGCGACGTGCGCGACGGGTGAACGCGCTGCCATGTGTAGTGGATCTCGGTGGGGTCGAGGCGGAGTCTGGCGGGGAGGGTGGTTAGTCGTGTGAAGGGTGGGGGCGGTAAGGCCCAGCTCACTCTGTTCTCAAGTCGTTTGCGACCTGTGGTGTGATGATGACGCCGTCTGTGGGGACGGCGAGGGATACTGGCGGAGGGCGGAGGAACGAGAGGTACCAGTACATGGTGTAGGGCAGTGTCGTGACTGTGATTCCAACATTGTCAACAAAAGAGAGCTGCACAGATGGAAATCTCAAAAGTGACAAGACCGTGGGAAAGCTGGGCCCAGTTGGACGATTGCGGGGCCTCAATTGCCACTCCCATTTCATCACCATGAGCAACAAAACAGCAACGGCACAAACTAGACCGCACGTAACGACGTAAAGTAGCATCCTGACAGCATCCGAAGACGCCATCCCCCAACCTCGGATCCATCCGAGAGGCCATGACCCATGCATGACATGACGATACCGGCACATCTTCGCCCAGAACATTGGTATGTTTTTGGGACTCACCGCGATCACCCACCCACCACCTCTGTGCAGATCCGCAGATCCCGTAAAACGCACCTTCAAACACGTGAACTACCACTTACCACGTTTCACTGTTCGCTTCGCTTCCTCTTCGCGTCCCGCACGGCATGTTCTTCCTCCAGAATCCGACACGAGCCCAGAATCCGACGCGAGTTAGGCTCCGACGCGAGCAGACCATGCTAGACTCCGCCGGCGCGCGCACTAGCTTCGCAGATCGAGATCGAGAGATCGGGGGATCGAGGGGGGGGGGACCGAAACGAGATCGAGATCGATGAACAGTTGCCGCATTCCGCCGTACCGCCCGTCTCCCGCTGCCGCGGCGTTTTAGAGACACAGTAGAGCAGTGGGTCAGTGGATCAGTGGGCCAGTGGGGCCCGTGTTTCCTTTTGCCAAAGGTGCAACATTGGGGGGAAGGATGTGTGCTAGCGTGGCACCAGTGCGCACGACGGCCAAGACACTTTCCGCCGTTCTTAGTCGAACCGCTGGTCCCAGTGTGCGTGCCGTCCAGTTCCAGTTTCCGAGGTGGGAATCCGTTCGCGGAGAGCATGGAGCAACAGAGTGACGCAGGCCGGGGGTTGGGCTGGGAGCTGGGAGCTTAGCGTCTGGCTGTCCCCATCGCCCTGCGTCTGCCCATGCGTCCACTATTGCAGGTAGCCTCGCGGACGCGGGGACGGGAGCCTCGGACACGAGCCAATAGTTGCAAGTGGCGCAGTGGCGGTCAAAACGTCTGGTCCGACCGAGGCATTCGCCACATGCTCTCATGCGTCTGATCCAAGGTCTCTGGCAACAGTTTCTGTAACACTGATATGCTCTGCTTTGCATTTCGCACACACCCTAGCATAGCCTCGTGTATACTCTTCTACGGTGGTTTCGGGCGTTGTTCGTTTCGTCGCTTTGTCGGGGAAGAGGTCGCGGTTTGTTCGTGTGTTTGATGATACAAAAAAGGTTGATGTACAAAACTTCTGATGCTCGGGCTTGTTTATAAATATCGCTTTGCGGTTTTGGTGTCGTGGCCTGGATTCTGGCCCCTTGTCTCGTCTCTCCCTCTCCCTCTCTCCCTCCTCACCGCACCCGCCCCTTCGCCTCCCCATCCCCCCCGCTCGCGCCGCGCTGCATCCCCAGGAGGATATCCGCCACGCTGCGCTGTTCGTCGTGTATCGGCGCGCCAGCGGCGCCATGTCCACTTGCTCCATTTGTTCCACTTGCCTCGCCACTGGTATTGGGGCTGGGCCGCAGGCGCGGCCGCAGTCCGTCTCCAGCGGAGAGGCCGTGGGCCTAGTCGTAGTCGCGTCGTCGGCGTCTGTCGTCGGGAGCGCCGGCGCGGTACTCGTACTCGCGTTCGCGATCGCGTTCACGCTCACGCTCACGCTCGTCGTAGTCGTCCTCCGAGTACTTGCGCTTGGAAAGGGCTGACGACTGGCGCGAGCCAGACCCATGGTCCGAGTCCGAGGGCGTGCTGGCCGGACTGGAGGCCCAAGACCGGCCGGAGGGGTACGCGTGGTTGTGCGCGTGGGCGTGGTGGGCGTGGTGGGCGTGGGCATGTGCGTGTGCGTGTACGTGTGCGTGTACGTGGCTGTGGCCGTTGGCCAGTGGCCGCGGCGCCGCAGCGCCGCCACCAGCACCAGCATACGCGTGGCCGTTCTGCGGCTGGCTGCTACCGTGGGACGAGCGGGAAGAGTGCGAGTGGCTCGAGTACGGGCGCGGCGTCGAGGAGCGCCCGCGAACGTGCACGCCGCCCGGGGCCGGGCCCGGCCATACGTTGTTGTTGGGGCCGTTGGGCCCGAAATCGAGCTTTGTGACGCCCGCAGACGCGTTCATCGTCGTCGGAAAGTGCGGGGGGTAGAACAGGTCGCCGGCGCGCACGAGACCAAAGGGACCTTCGTACCCGGCCTGCGTCTCGGGCGTGAAGCAGTCGCGCCACCTGCCGACAAAGTATCCGCCAGTCTGGAGGTAGCCGCGCCACACCCACTGGCCGCAGGGGTACGGACGCTGTGAGGTGTTAGTTTGGGGGAAATAATCTTCTAAAAGGTGCACAACTTACCGAGTGGCCAATGGACAATGTGACGAGGCCGTCCCACGCACGCACACGTCCGCGGATGCGCGACCAGCCCCAGGCGGAGCGGCAGCCGCCCGACAGGAGAATCTCCTTTGTCCAGCCGGGGGCCTCGCGGGCATAGATGGCGTCGCCCGTGAGCACCTGGTGGCCGTATCCGTCCTTGATGAGGGCCTGCTCCTCCTCGGTCTCTTCGTCGGCGAACCCGCAGTTGAGGAGCGAGCCCTTGCCGCCGACGTCCTCTGCGCGGATACGGATGACCGTCTCGTGCAGGTCGAGCTCGACGGCGTGCTGCGCAAACGTGCCCGTGTACAGGGACCGCATGTTGCCGCTGAGCATTTGGCGGTACGCGTCAAAGTCGTAGAACAGCAAGTTGCCGCGCCAGAACCCGGTCAGGCGGCCGTGGAAGGTAAGTGGTGGGAGGCCCGGGGACGTGTGTGGGTCCTGGCAGACCGTGTTGCGCTGCCACTCGGTGTCGTGGTACAGCGAACTCATGATGTGGGTGAGCGAAAACACTCCACGGCCGGTGTCCTGGAAGACGGTCGAGTCCGACTTGAGACCCACGCGGCCGGGCTGGCGCTCCAGGAGACGCATAAACACGAGGTAGGCGCCAAGCACAAAGTGCGGGGGGGCACGCATGTGCTTGTGGCCAAAGCGCTTGTATGGCGCGGCGTAATGCGAAATGGGAGCGTGTTCGGTACAGCCCGTGTCGCACAGCGGCAGGCGGCGGTGTTCCCAGGGCCCATATGTCAGTTCGTAAGAGGGCGAGAAGATGTAGGGCCGAAGCATGAAGATCTTGTCGTCGATCTGGGCCGCACTGCGTTCCGACAGCAGGTCGCTGCCAGAGAGCAAGGCCGTCCAGATACCCAGGGCCTTTACGGCCGTGTCGCGCGGGTAGCCCGACTTGAGCGAGTCCTTGAGCATGTCATCCTTGTAGTAGCAGATGATCCACTCGTGGAAGTGGCACTCTTCTGTGAGGAAGATGATGTTCTTTTCGTCTGGGGACGCGGGGGGGGGAGTGGTGTCAGCATGGGGATGGAATGGACGTGTGCGGGTGGGTTGTTCGATGTGGCACAAAGGGCTGGTGCGTGGAGCCACACTCGGAAGGAACAAAAAACGCCCTCCATTTCTCGGCGGAGATTGCCGGGCCAGGTTACATTCCCGCCACCAAACGAGCCACCACCAGAGCCTGGATCTGATGGGATGGGTGTGTGTCTGAGCGACAGGACCCGCCGCCAGAGTCCAGAACTGGCCGTAGTGGAAGCACATCACCAGACGCGCGCACAGCCCAGCCGGCTCGTTCTCTCGCGCATTCAAACACAGCAGAGCAGCAGCCGCCGCCGCCGCCGCCGTGTGTGTGTGTGTGGGGTAGCCACACGCTCTGGCCACCCGAGAACAAGGTCGGTGGCGCCAAGCGATGGACACCCAGCACACACTCGCAGGCTCATGGCCTGGACCATGGGCCGATGGGGCCTGTGGACCTGTGGGTCTGTGGCCTGTGGGCGCCAGCCAACAACGCGCAAAAACAGACATAAAAAAAGGTAATCAAATATGGTGAATGGCGCACGGGGCCAAGGGGTAATTGGGAAGAAGAACAAAGGGGGGAAGGAGGGGTGTTATTCCAGACTCACCGTTTTCGGTCCACAAGAACCAGAGGCCCCACATGTCCGTGTCCCTGTTCTCGCGGTTGGACATGCCGGGAACGTTGACGGACTGGTGAGCGATGCACGCGCGTATGCGGTTGCGCAGTTCCCAGCGGTCGCGGTACTCCATGGCCCACGAGCGGGGGTTGGCAAACAGTTCTGTCTTGCGCGAGGTGCCTGGAATGTCCGTGTTGACGTCAAACATCCATTGTGTGCGGCGGACCAGTGCGCCGAGGTCGAATGTCGCGCGGAACAGGCGGTTGTACAGCACGGGGTTGGCGTCAAAGTTGAGCGCAGAGTGGAGGGTGCGGTTGGTCTTGAGGAGCGGCAGGAGGCGGCTGGGCCGGCCGGCGTGGTTGTCCTGCACGACGACGTGGTAGGCGATCATGCCCAGGACGTCGGCGGGCAGTGATGTGAGACTGGGCCGGCGCACGGTAGTGGCTGCTGCACTGGCGACCGGGGTGCCGGTCACACCCTTGGGTGAGGTCACGCCGGGGACGTCGGGGGCATCACGGGCCATGGCCGCCGGTGACAAGATGAAGTGGAGGGAGTGTTTCCGTGGTGCGGCGAGGGTACCCATGGTGGTGGTGGTGGTGGTGGTGGGAGTGGGGTTAGGTGTGGGTGGGTGGGTGGGTGGGTGCAAGGTTGTTAAGAGGCTATGGGGACCGGGGGTGCGACTGGTGGCAGGTGTGTGTGGTGAGTCGACTGGGACGGGTGGGGTGGGGGGTGGGGGGGGGGGAGGAGGGCAAGGAGGAAGCGGGGTGTCTTTAAGCGTGGTGCGGAATAGGCGAATGTATTCTTGGTGGCCGACCCGATGAGAACGCAAGCGGCTTGTTCGAGGCCTTTGAAGCCTCTGAGGCTGCGACGCGTGGGTGCGTTGTGGTGTAAGACGGAAAAGAGGCCGACCAAGGTGTAGGGTGGATCTGAGCGGCGATCTGTTGGACGATCTGGAGGCGGATGAGGGGTGGGTTTGTGTCGCCTGTCGGTGTTGCCGTTTGGTATTCCTGGGGAGGAAGAGCAAGGTGTTGGTGGCTTGGGTGGCCGTGTGCGTTGGATATTCCGAGGCGAGGAATGCCGGGCTGAAAAGGATGGATGGTGAGGGGAGGGAGAGTGTGGATGACTGATAGAGGGGGAGGGGTGGGGGGTGGTGGCTTGTGGAGACGTATAGGATGTGGGATGTGGGATTGTGGTATGTGGGTGCGTGTGTTGGGAGTGTTGTGTTGCCAGCGACGATGCTGGCTCCCAGTGCCGCGAACGAATAGCAACGTATGCCAGGAGGAGGAGGAGGAGGAGGAGGACAACGGGAAGTGTGGGGGACGAGGACGAGGAGAATGTGGTTGCGGTTGTTGTGTGTAAAATGGCCAGTTTGTGCTCGTTATTCACGCGTGCCCCGAGAAGAGGTCTCGCAACAGTCAGCGTACACAATCACACACTCTGGGATATTATTACTCCAGCGCTCCTGCCGCCTGCTCGGCCGCTCAGTTCCCGCGCGCGCGCGCAAGGGCAAGGCAACCCACCCCTGTGTGCCGCTGCGAGCGCCAGATCTCGCCCAGCACACGAGATCTCCCCGCCTCGTCGCCTCTTGTCTGTTTTTGCTTTGCCTGTGGCTGCCCTGTGTACCTGGCTTTGGGGGAAGGGGGGGGGTCTACCCGCTCTCTCTTGCTCTCGCGCGCCACCGCAGCAGCCGCCGCCGCCGCCGACGTGAGAGAGCGCAAAGGTAGATCTACAGAGATCTTTGCATTCCCTGGCAGTTTCCGTCCGTCCGGCCCCCGGCAGAGGTCCCACAGCCCGCCGGAGCACACACCCAGCGCTCTCTCCTCAGCTCCAGCCGGGTCAGCCGTGGCCAGCGCCGAGACACTGCCTGCCAGGCCTGCCACGCACCGCCGTCCACATGTTCAGTCCCGGGCCAGTATAGTCACCCCGCGCCACCACCTCCGTCACTGCGGAGTGTGTTCTGCTGGCTGCACCCATATGGTGCTCTCACACCGGGAATCCTTAATCCACACACATGTCGGCAACCTGGCAAAGTGGGCCACGCTTACACTCTCGGCCCTGGCCGGTCAACACCGTGTGTCCCCCCATCGCACATCACCGCCCGCGCCCGCGCTTACGAGCCCTTGCGCGCTTTGCGCGCTTGCTTCCATTTTGTCAGGTGGCCAAATGGATATGGAGAGCAAGGAGCGCAAGGTTACCGCAGTGTTCCTGAAGCCAGAGCAACAACTCGTCCTGGACACCGTTGAAACCGGTCATTAAACCCGTCGGCCCATTGCTGTATTCAGGAGGAGCAGCAGGGCACCACGCACGAAGAATAACACCACACGCACGCACTCCTCGCTGTGGATCCACCCCGGCTCGGAATTGCTTGTTCTCTTAATATTATATTGTATACACACGCACGCAGCCCCGCATAATTTCATAAAACCCATCTCGGACGCGCCGAAACCCCAGCCCCCCGTCCTCTCGGCTCATCTTCCGAGGGCCCTGCGCGCCTGTGCGGCCCTTGTTCCGGGTCTACGGGCGCCCCGATACAACTGCTTGTACTACTACTGCCTTGCTGTGTCTGTCTTTCAAAAGGGTATGTCTCTCTCTCTCTCTTAGAACACTCCAACTCGCCGGCTCGCGCAGCCCTTCCTCCCCCCCAGCGTCAGGCTAGTACGGCCTCGTATGTAAACACAGGGAGCAAAACGCAAATTGAATACGTCGTTGTCTAGTGCGCACGCACAGCCGTCATCCAGCTGCGGGGCGCAAAGACCGCCATAGCCATGTCGGTGCAGGTGCGGGCCCACTGAGGGACGGTGAAATTCCTGCAAAAAAGAAACGACGTGTTAGCGTAAAGAGAAATGGCACAGGGGGGAGCAGAGGAGGAGCACAAGCAGGGGCCGAGGAGGAGCACTTGAAATGGAGCACGACGTCCGCACCACCTGCACAAGTCCTATGTACGTGACGCACGGGCGGCTGTCGGAGGGTGGAATCTCAAGTTACGAGAACCCCGTGCCTCCCTGCCGCGCGATGCCGACGTGCCGATGGGGGGTTTGGGAGGGGACGGACCCAAGTGCGTACCAAAAAGAAGGTACGCGATCGTCGGCCAAGCGGCACGCACGCCGAGAGATTTGGATCTCCGCCGAGAGCAAAAAAAAAAAGCAAAGCAGACGTCATGCAGGCCGGCCACCGTACACCACGTCTGGCAGAACAGGGCTCCAGCCGCGCTTATTCCCAACAAGCCCGTCACCGCCCCCCCACCATATCCAAGATTGATTCCCCAGATCGCACTATCGCACTACCGGCGGAGGGACGAGTGGTGCACGAGGTAATAGGATCTGAGGCATGCAGATCGCGAGATTGATCAATCGTTTCCGTGGGTAGCCCTGCGCTGCGGGTGTGTGCCGCAATGCAGGAGCACGGAAATACTGCCTTCGGCGGAGTCGCTCCGACACCACACCACCAACACCCTTTGGGTACTCACTGGTTACGAGCGAGACGGGCCTCAAAGGCCGCCTCGAAGCGGTCGCTGAACGCATAGTAGTCGTCGGCAGCGAGAGCGGTGGCAGCACCGTCGTCGGGGAGCAAGAGGGCCATGCCGCCGGCAGCATCGACTAGCTTCTTGTGCTCGGGAGGCTGGTCTTGGCTGCCAATGCCAGCGTAGATGAGGGTCTTGGACACCATTGAGATCGGGGTGAAGGGCAGGCCAGCAAGGAGGAACAGCGTGATCCGCGGGAGAATGGGCGTGGCGCAGAAGAACGGGCACACCGCGTGACACCTGTTCGTTAGTCGACTGAACCCAACCCAGGACGGCCAGGACCCTCCGCGCCTTGGTCCCGTGGAATACAAGTGTCGGGGAGCAGAAACCAGATCTGGGTCCGGATCCAGGCCGCACTCCATACGGCACACACTCACTCAAATCCAGACATCTTGCCCGCCTTGAGTGCGTCAGAGAGAGCCTTCCAGTACGCAACGGTCGCGTGCTTGCTGGCACAGTACGCAGTGGCACCGGGGATGGGAGCAAAGCCGCCCAGGCTCGCAGTGAGCACAAGACGCGGCTTGCGCGCACCCTCAGGGCGTGGGTTCTCGGCCCAAATGTCTTGGGCAACAGCAGACGTGGTGAGAAGTCCGCCAAGGTTGATCCGGAGGGTAATGTCGACCCACGGCTGAACCTGCTCTCCTACATTTACCCCGTTAGCGTGGGTCCATCAATGACGCGAACGGCCATTTTAAACCTCTCCCAAACATACCAAGGTCGTCAAAGTCAATCTTGTCGTTTGCAGCCACACCAGCGTTGGCGTACACGACGTCGGGGACGCCAAACGACTTGACGCACTGGTCAAAGGCGGCGCGCACGACCTCGGGCTTGGTAATGTCCGCGATGTAACCCTCGACTTGGCTTGCGGCATGGTCAGTGCATCGCCAGGGGCCGCGAAAGGGGCTCCGGGGACATGTGACTGTGGACTCACCCGCCCTTGGCCTTGAGCTCGTCCACAAAGGCATCAAGCGCCGTCTTGTTGAGGTCGACGATGAAAACCTTGGCACTGGGACCGGTCAGCTGAGTCAATCACGGCGCGGGACGCGGCGGCAGATCGTCGGCGTGGACGGCGGACGGCGTGGACGGGTCGTGGTGCGCATGTGACTACGCCGTCGCCGCATGGACGGACACTAGCATATTGGTGCCCGCCAGTAGTGCCCAGGCGTTGATCTACCGCGGTGTAACTTGTGGGACTCTACCGGCAAAGCAGCATGCACCTTTCCGGAAGGCGCGCCTCGGCATCCATCCCCGCTTCGGCCTCCTGCGCCTGAGCCCGCGCGCGCGCTGTGCGCTGCTGGGCGCTTTCGTGTGGTGCTCCGAGTGTCCCCATCCTTTCCCCCGCGAATGACCCCAGACTCACCCGTTCTCAGCAGCGATAATGGACGTGTCGTGTCCGAATCCAGACGCTCCGCCTGCATGTTAGCGATGACAGCACACTGTGGCCCGCACGAACCAGTAAGGAAGACGACCTGGTCCTTGAGCACCGAGGCGTTCTGGACAAGCTGCTCGCCGGTAAGGTCGAGTTGGAACGTCATGGTTGCGGGTACTGGTAGCTGGTGGGTATTACGACGAGGTGGATGTCAGAGAGAGGGAGCGAGAGAGCGATGTGGATGTTGTGAAGAGAAAGAAGGGGTGTTGCATCGATGATATGGATCTGTGGCTTCTCTCGCCGCCGCCGGTGTGTATCAGAAGACGGACGGTCACCCTACATCCGAAGGTGGAGGTCGCCCACTGAATCTGTTACGTAAGCATATTGATATGGGCCAAAACGACGCAATGACATTCCTCGAACACCACCTCTGATCTCTGACATTTGTGCGACACCGCTTTCACCCTCTTCTCACCGCCGTACTCGTCTCTCTCCGCGTCGCCCTCCATGTCCTGGATAGCCGCGGGGCTGGGGACAGCCACAGCATGGGCAGACAAGCTCTGGATCCGCGTTTCGACGCGGCTGCCCCACCGGCTCACGCGCGACCTCATCCTGGGCCTCAGCATCGGCATAGCATTCTCCCTCACCTCCACCCGCCTCGCCATTTTCGCCCAGGAATGGCGGCGTAGCCGCGCGACCAAGTCGATCCCCCGGCGGCCCATCGAGGTCCGCTCCGACGAGGCCGTGCCCGGTGTCGTCGGTCTGATCGGCAATACGCCGCTGGTGCGCATCAACTCGCTGTCGGACGCCCTCGGCGTGGATATCTTTGGCAAGGCCGAGTTCCTCAACCCAGGCGGAAGCGTCAAGGACCGTGTGGCGCTGCGTATCATTGAAGACGCCGAGGCACGCGGTCTTCTCCACCCGCACACCGGCAGTGTCCTCTTTGAGGGCACCGTCGGCTCGACGGGCATCTCGCTCGCGACCGTCGGCAAGGCCAAGGGCTATGAGGCTCACATTATCATGCCGAGCGACGTCGCCATTGACAAGGTGCTCGTTCTGGAGCGTCTCGGCGCGACCGTCGAGCGCGTGCCGCCCGTCTCGATCGTGGACCAAAACCAGTTTGTGGTGAGTTGCCTTCCTTTGTGTCAAGTGGCGCAACTGACGTCAGAACCTCGCACGCCGCCGTGCACACGAGTTTGGCAATGTCGACCTGCCGACAAACAGCACCACCGACGACATTGTTGTGTCCACCACCGCGACCGATGACGACGTCCACGGCGCCCCGACGCCGCGCCACCGCGATGCCGTCGAGCACAAGCCGCGCGGCTTCTTTGCAGACCAGTTTGAGAACTCGTCCAACTTTGACGCACACTTCCGCGGTACGGGTCCCGAGATTCTGCGCCAGACTGGCGGCCACGTTGACGCGTTCGTCTCGGGCGCCGGCACCGGCGGTACTATCAGCGGCACGTCGGCGGCCCTAAAGCGCGCCGTGCCCGACCTCAAGGTTGTGCTTGCCGACCCCGAGGGGAGCGGCCTGTTCAACAAGGTCAAGTATGGTGTCATGTTTGCTTCACAGGAGAGCGAGGGCACCAAGCGCCGCCACCAGGTCGACACGGTCGTCGAGGGAATCGGGATCAACCGCATTACGCACAACTTTGAGCTGGGCGAGGCCATTATCGACGACGCGTATCGGTGAGTCTTGCCCCAGACGTGAAGTTCCGCATGGCAGTCGGCGGGCGTAAATGGCTACGTAAGACGCAGCTCCGGACTCGCGCTGCCGCCGCCGGACCTGACGGCATGTCGGTGCGCAGTGGCGTCAAGGAGGTGAGTAGCTGTGACAGACACATGCTGCTCAGCTCCGAATGTGGCGGTCCGGAGCTCCTCTATGGCTCTTTTCGCGAGCGCGCACTGCTCCCGGCGACCGCATACGAGAACAAAGCCGTGCCTTGTGCACAACTCGGCGCGCAGCACACTCTTCGCCGGATGGCGCGGATGGCTGAGCGTATGAGATCTGGGGGAGAGCCTGCGCCTGCGATTCAAACAGGACAAGTAGGTTCCAAACCAGATCCCATTCCTGCTCACGCGGTGCTGGCCTTACCCCTCCCACGTCGTTTGCAGCGGCGCCACACGCTGTCCATGACGGGGTCCAGACCGCAAAACTGCATGTTTGCCGGGGTGGCTGGGAATGCGAAGGCAGGTCGTGGGCGCGTGAGCACACCACCCCCTTGGCTGTCCACGGCGCCCAGTGGTGGACCCAAGCCGTCGGTCCCGACAGCACAGCCGCTCGCGGTGTCTACGTGTCTCATAAGACAATGGCCAGGAGAAGATTCCGGTGGCGGCGGCGTTGATTCCAGCGGTGCGGACCGGGTGACATTCGGGTCGTGTTTGATCTCCTGCGTGGCTGCGTCGTAGACCCATCAGCAGCACCAGTGGTGTCTGCATTTCAGCTGCTGACCTTACCACAGCGTCACGGATGCCGAGGCCGTTGCAATGTCACGATACCTCGTCGCCAACGACGGCTTGTTCCTGGGCAGTTCGAGCGCTTGCAACCTCGTTGCGTGTGTAAGGCTGGCCAAGACCATGCCTCGCGGCGCTCGCATCGTGACCATCCTGTGCGACTCGGGTGCGCGCCACCAGACCAAGTTCTGGAGCGACGAGTACCTTGCCAAGCATGGCATCCCCATCGACGTCGGTATGATTGCCGACCTGCTCGCGGCGTAGGGCCTTCTGCGCAGCGTTTTGGCAGGTAGTCTCCGTGGCGATTCCGGTCGCACAGACCCGTGCCCCCGCGGCCCAAGCCTGTAGGCGATGGGGATATCCGAGCCTGTCTGTCGGGGCTCGTCGCGGCGTAGTGTACTGTACAATGGCGCAACAGCGTGCCAAGCCACTTCGGCATCGACACCGTCTGCTTCGGCAGCGACGCCCTCCACTTCGGCAACCGCCACTTTCCTCCTCCCCATTCCCCGTTGTTGACCGCTTTTTCAATTCCCCCCATTCCTCTCGGTAGCTGAACGGCACGGCACAACCAAAAAAAGGTCGCGCGCCGCACGCCCGCACTGACACGAGCCGGAGAGGGGCAACTGTAGCACATGCAAAGAATGTTACAGCCTTTGTCTCCCCCGCCACACACACACCCCAACCTGTCCGGTGAATGGCGAATGTGTGTATGTCCATTCGGCACCTCGCCGACGCCGCCACGCTCGCCAATCCCTGCCTCAAACGGTACGCAGATTGCATGCCCTCCCTTTGATCACAGCAACGACGTGGTCCTGACGTTTTCCTTTGTGTTCTCCTGATCATTGAATGTCCTTGAATCCGACGGGCGACGCCCCCACCAGACCAGATCTGCACACAGAGTAACATGCACACACCAAATTACGGTGGCGCTCAGGTGAAGGGGGGGGAGCAGTTGGAGACATTTTCGCGACGTCACTTGGGCAGACGCAGTTGAGTTGTCAGCAGCCGGAATGATAAGTGCATCCGGGACGATACCATGTATGACATAGGAGCGGACAAGGGCAGGTGGCTGAGGCGGCTCCACTGGCCGCTGGGGTGCCGACGGGAACCGAGGCGCAATCAACAGCGTTTCGGTGCCGTGCCGAGCGTCGGCAGCGGTGCAAGTGGACGGAGCGTGGCGGGGGGCGGTAGGTAGGGTAGCGAAAGGCGAAAGTACTCAAATGGGCGCCGCCGGGGGGCAGCGACGGCCCGCGCCGGCACGTTTGCCGCTTGGTACCTCCGAAATGACGAGGAAGGAGGTTATGCCTGTCGAGGTTGGAGCAAAGGGGGGGGGAGGGGGACGTGGTCCTTTCCTGATCAAACCCAGCGGTCTACGGTCCTGGGTGTGCTGTAGCGATCTGATCGTAAACCCGCCCTGTGTGGCCGCCCTAAACCTCATCCCATACAGTTGCCATCCCCGCCCCGGAGACTAATTGTGGCGAGTTACAGGTTCCACATTGGGGCAGGCAGGAGATACAGTTTGCCCGTTCACGACACACAAAGGGACATCCAGGGTAAAACGACAGACATAAAGCATGTGGCATGACGAGGCGTCTAGGTGGTTTGTTCAGCGTGCTGGGCAGCTGGGCACAGCTGGACGCTGTGATCGTCGGCAGACTTACGCAATCCCGGGTGGCACAACGGTAAAGTGTTATCGTGGCGCAGCAAGGATGAGTTACAGATCTTACCGGGGGATCTGGGTCTGGGCCAACAGTCGGGTGGTCGTCCATTGCACCAACGGCGCCACACTCGCGCCACATACCTGTACACATCGCAACCCGACCCCTCTTGGTTGCAGGGGAGTGGGATGTGCTTGGTATCCCGGTGCTTCTTGAACATCGGTGTCCACATTCCCCTGTGCTCTTGCCGAAATGGGTACACGCCCACCCCCGAGGACAGATGGTGCAACAACAATAGGACAGACTAGGATCTGCCAGGAACTCTGCACGCATCCAGGTAGACATCACTAGCCCCCCCCCCCAACTCGCCTACCTCGTTTGTCAGCCGCAGCAGCGTCCAGAATGCCACACATACATCTCCACATGTTGCGCGTGCACTCATGTGTGCCAGTTGGAGGTGTACGAGCATGCGTAAGCTGTCTCGGAGGGATTTTTCTATTGATTTTCGTCTTGAAATTCGCCTGCTTAATTGCTTGGTGTGGCACTGGCACTGGGGATCACATCCGTTGGAGTCGATCACGTTCCTCACGTCATTTACGCCGTCAATGATTCGAGATGGATGTAAACGGCGAGGGGAACTGTAGTCATGGCACACAGTCAGCAGCCAGTATTCGTGTTCTTCTCCATATCCGGTGGCATACCTGTACTTCCACCTGCACGGTCACTTGGCATCACTTGGCAGCACACCCGCCACTGACGGAAGCCAAGGGGGCTGGGGACAGTGCGTGCCGGCCATGCCGAGCAATGCGAGGTACCGTCCGAGGCACAGTGGCGAAGAGCAATCCAAGTGAACAAGACAGTCCCAAGCGAACAACAATCGTGGTCAAAGTTTGAGAGCAAGTCTTGCGAGACCCGGTGTTTTACGCTCCATTGTGTACAGATCTCCACAGGTTGCCGGACATGCAATGAACGCTTTGCTTCGCACCTGGGGTCCGACCTGGTGCCTTGTGAGTGACATTCTACGAGATCCTTTGCCGACGAGACTCTGTTGGGATCTGTACATGGCGTTAAAACGCCATGCCCAGTCTGTTTGGGGCATGGCCCAACTGAACACGAGACACGCCCGACCTCGAACGTGGACAATGAGATACTTTTGTGCCCGAGAACAACGTCCGTCAGCGACAGGGGTGAGGAAGCCCAAGCCAAGCCCGCCTGGGCGTGTGTGTGAGACTCTTGTGCATGGCCTCCCAACCCCCGAAACTGGGTGCTACGAATGTGCCTCTCGACGTACCCGGCACCGGCGTAGGTTTTGCGGCGCAGGGGTGTGGGTGACCTGCACGGAATGAGACAAAGGGATTGACAAACTGTCGCGCCGCCACTTGTCGCTCTCCATCAGTCCATGCGCCGCCCGGTGGGATGCTGACAAAGCAATCCCACTCCAGCCTCCACTCCCCCGCACACCGCACCAAATTTACCGATAGCATCAGTTGGGTTCTAGCTTCGTCTGCCCGAGATCACAACCCATGCACTGCCAATGTCCATCCACGGCCCAAGAGCTAAACATCCCAACCCAGAGCTGCGAAGCACGGAACTGTCCACGTCGTCCGAGCTGCGATGCCAAGTCGGGTGCCACACACCGGTAAACTGGCCGACAGCCACCACCACCACAACCCCCAAGCTCTTGGCCCCTTCCCCGTCCGTACCCCTGCTCTTCGTGCGCAGGCACACCTGCCACCCCTGGACATGTGCTTCGCTCGAACCACAGTGCAGAAACTACCCAGGCCCGGATCAGAATCGGATCCCACAGTGTCGGATGGATTGGTGTCGGGCGTCGGTCGGGCAGGGGGCTGGCAGGCGGCCCCGTGCTAGTGCTGGCCAGGTTCGGAGCGGAAGAACTGGGACTGAGAGGTACTGGGAAGGAAACGGTGGCGTGGACATGGGCGTTCTGGTGCTTTGGCCCGCACCAGAGCAGCACAAGCCTCACCAGGAAGACCCGCCGCCGCCGCAGACTGCAAGGGGTAAAAGGTAGCAATGATGGCCCCCCGTTGACTCGGGAGTGACTACCGAGCTGGCATGCTCTGGGCGGGAAACGCACAACAGGATATGAAAGGCGATCTTGATCACGGTATGTGGCGGCCCGCAGGCTTGGCATGCGGAGTGCGACAGCTGAGGGATTTGGCATTGCTGTCGTTTGGACACTGTTGGTGGCAATGCCGCGCATTCACTGAGTAAGTAAACGCACAGCAAGCATCCAACACCGCAGTTGAATTACAGTGGGGACGGGCCGGTGAGGTGGGTGAGTGAGTTGGAGTGAAACTCCGTAGCGGCACTGTACCTCGCGCAGTACCTCGCCTTGCTTCGCTACAGCTCCAGGACATGCTACGTAGCCCATGTGCACTGTAGCGGAGCATGATATCTCGCGTGCGCAGCGTATCTCGGTCATGTGGTGACACAACACGAAGGGAAGAGAGTGTGGAGCAGCTGGCGTGACGTTGTGACGTTGTGCACACCAAGACGCACCCAAAAGACGGAATAACCACGGCGCGGCTGTAGCGTTGCGGACCGCTGCGCAGGAATGTGTGGCCTGTGGACGTTTCGGGAGAGACGAAGCCGAGATCTGTTCCATGTCAATGCCTAAGCCGCCCTGGCGCCTGTCTTCTGGCCTCTGGTGGGTGGCCCTGTGACGTATTCCGCACTTCTGGCGGGACGTATCTGTATGAGGTGAGGTTTTGGGGGGCCGGGATTCGGAAGCATGTGCAGGTCCGTGGAGCAGGGTAGTACAGTGGATGTGGCATGGACTCGATCACGACGTGCTGCTCCGCCGACATGGCCGCCAGACACAGTGCCCGTTCCCGAATGGGTGACAGAGAATGTACGCCTTGCTCGGATACAGTATGCACACCCAGTGCCAAGGTGCCAAGGACACGGGCGGCGGGAACCAAAGTGGCACCGGAGGTGAACCGATGTTGTGAACCTGATGTGACAACCGACATATTCAACCATGACCAGCAATGACTTCCGATGCATTTCCGCCGTGGAGCATGCACCTGTGTGCATACGTCGCTTTCTCTGGTAACGGTCGCCCCTTTCGTGACGGTTACATGGCTCCCCTCTCCATGCTCCTTGTGGGTTGTCGGCGGAAGTGGCAGTCGAGGAATTCTGTGACATAAGAGGACCGGGATGTGGCACCTGGCTATGTTTCCCCATCCGCAGGGCTCTACGTATGTACGTAAAGAGATATCCCATGGCAGTTACAGACAGCTCCCTCCCTCCGTCTGAGTTGCTCGCAGGTACAAGGATCGGTAGGTGAGCGTGTTCTGAGATGCCCCGGGAAGACACGCTCATCGAAGTCTGGGGGTGGGGCAACAGGGCAACGAATCCATAGACAGACAGGCTGGACTTACCTACCCTCAGACGGCTGTACACAGCAACGCAGTTTACAATTGGTACCTCCATTACCCATTGCATGAAAGCAGAAGATCCGGCAGTGAAGCCAGGGACGACGGAGCAGGATGGCACCGCACCCCGGCGCGCACTGAACACGTCTATCTAGCCAGTCGTCCAACTGTCTGTCCCCGAAGCCAAAAGAGATGCCTCAAGATACATCCTGAGAGACCTAGAAGCCTAGTATGGGGCTCGAACCCATGACATTTTGATATCTTAAGAGAACCACAGTGTGGTCGTAAGAGTCAAACTATCTACCGACTGATATAACCAGGCGGTGGTGATGTCCAACTGCGCTGTTCCGCTTTGTTTCTCGCCTTCTCTCTTCAGCAGGTGGTAAAGGGTAAAAGGGAACGAACACGGCATTGCTGTGCACGCTCTTAAGCCTAGTATGGGGCTCGAACCCATGACATTTTGATGTCCTAACTGAACCGCAAGGGTGGGTAAGAGTCAAACTATCTACCGACTGATATAACCAGGCTTGCTGTTTGGTGTTGCGCTGTTGCGTAGCCATGCGTTGGATGAATAGACGAAGGGGTTCTAGTTTTTCTCTTGATAGACTGCACTTCCCTGGGGGGTATGAACGAGGGCGGGCGTTGCCAGCCACTGTTGAAGGACAGGGAAACGACGCGGCCGTTTCCTGGCGAACTGTGAGGACACAGACGGCGGAGCGTACGAGACGACCGCAGCGTTACGCACGAGTGGTGTTCTGGTGCTCCCGGTATCACTTGTGATAGCAGCAGGTAATGGAATGGATAAAGCATATGGATGTTAAACTGGCGTCGGGGCAGGGGGGTAGAGTCGAGTATGAGATGTAGGAATGATAACACAAGCAGGCGCATGTGGCATGGGACAAGGAAATCCCGTGGTGATTCACCTAGACAGTCCTTCGACACATGCGTAAATAGCCCAAACCACCCGCTGTCAGGGATGGTGGCATGGTACCCACATCTGCATGATCTTACTCTGCCAAGGGAAGTAGGCGCGACTGTCATTAATAAATCCGTAAAAAATACCCAGAAATCCAGACGCGCCTGGCCTGTTTCGCCTCACAGTCGTGAATGTGCGTAGCCTGCTTGCAGACTGGGGGTCTATCCTGTATTACCTGGTAGAGGAACTACCAGCCTCGTGAATTCTGGCCTTTGACCTGATTCCATCTTGAAAGTCTCATGATAATTAATTTTCAAACCGTGGCCTGCATGTTTCTGCACAAAATGCGAAACGAGCAACAACCCAATTCCCGTTTCTAAACATTAGAAGTATAGCAGAGCATCCCGATCGTCTACCTAGAGCTGGCCAAAGGCTCTGGAAGTCCCAGTCTCCCACGCTCACGCGGAGGCTGGCCTGGAACGCCCAAAAACGTGGGAAACAAACCCTTGTGCACTTGTGACTTTTGAACGTGCCCCCTCTCAGGATCCTTGCGATTTTAGCCTTATGGACAATTCCAGGTTGCGAGAATAATGTACCGCCGACAAAACGTGAGCTCGATGCGTGACAAGAGGCTCTCCCTGGCACGAGAGGGCAAAGAAGGAGTGAATACATGTTGCGTGACAGGTTGCGACTGTCCACGAGACAGGTCGATCAAATGAACACCTTCATTACACTACAATAACCATCCTGTGATAGTAATGGAGGAGCAGTCGCTGGCTGGGGGAACCTCAAGGGGAGATGAACATGGGCCATGAGGTGGCGATCCACCCGCAGTGCCGAGATGGATCTTGACGGGAGGTGTATCGGGTCCTGCAGCTTCCGTAGGGTTAGTGGGACATGGTAAGGTATCCCGATACCGCGTTTGAGGGCCGTCGCTGTCCCTCCCCTAGGCGCAAACGGGCAACACATGTTACTCGACAACGCAAAGTCGTAGGTCAAGTGCCACAGTTCCAATATAATGACGTGTCAAAAAAGTCGGCGCGTCGGCTAAGCCCGACTGTCCTGTTCCGAAGGACAATTGAGCGAGCTCGTCAATTCCAATCTTTGGGAATATCTGGTTTGATGGCATCGGACACGCTGGTTCGCTGCTCGTACAGGGGCTGCTGGGTGCAGATTTTTGGCAGGCGACGAGCTTGCCAACAAGCAACAGACAGAGCTGAACGGCTGCTGGAAGGTTTCCCAGAAACGACGGTGGTCATGTTCTGAACGGGGGGAAGGTTTGGGAAAGCGCAGCCCAGTACGCGACTGATAGACGAGCGATAGCCTTGGCATTCCAGTGCGAACCCATTGTTCCAGTCCAGTACGTCAGTGCTCAGTGCTCGTCCGACCCCATCGGACGATGCATGGTGCAGCACGCCGGCTCCACGGGGTATCTGGTGTGGGTTCCCCTACGATGAGAAGACGAGCACGCTCACGGCTCACGCGACTGTGCTGTTTGTTTTTCGAGATCCGAGTCAGAGGATCTGGAAACGCTCGCAGCAAGGTCTCTGCTCGCTTGCCGCTAACCGGCGACTCCGGGCAAATATCATATCCACTCCGCGTTCATCGTCTGTCCAATCGTCCCTTGGCTCTTGGAAACAGCGAAGAAAAACTGCCTACGGTTGCGTTGGAATAATGGTAATCGCCGGCGAGCATCACCGACGAGCGCACCAGAGAGAGCCCCCCTATAGGACAGCGAGCACGCGCTATATCCTGCAGAGCGTGGTTCTGTGGAAATTATGGAGACGAGATGGCACGATTAAGGGAATTTGTATCATTCATGTGCGGGGGCTGGGCGGGAAGAGACGGGGTCCAAATCTTGGAAATTGTCCTCAAAGCCGAATCGCCCGTCAGCCAGTGAGCACGTTCCCCCGCCCAGAGTCCCGAATGCAAAGTGTTGTGCATGGATGACGCTCAGGCCTGCTCTATCTGATGGCCAGGACGTGTCAGTGTGAGGTGGCGGTGGTTAGCATATGCATGGAAGAAGTATAGCTGTGGGTGGGTGGGCTGTTGCACGGCGGGGTCTCCTCCTTCCATTTCCACGGCGACGTCATGTTACCCAGACGCAGGGGCGGCTGTGGGTGGGTGGGAAGGGTTGCGCGACGCGAGGTCCCCGATTGAGTTATCTGTGATTGATGGCAGTTCCATGCAGCTGGTGTCCGCACGGAACCTACACTGCTCGTTGACTGGCGGTCTGCACACACAGAAGACACGGTGCGAAGGAGGGTTGGAGGTGCGTGCATGGGAGAGGGGGGGGGGATATGGATGGGTGAGTCGTTCGTCGTTGGGTGGGCTGTTATCTATGACTCGTCTCGTTTTTCCCTAGGGACGAGATGACAACCTTCCCCACCCTGGTGTTTTCGTTATCGGGGGCAACCCGCTTGCACGCTTGTCGCTTTTGAGCTCACGCATGGTTTCTCTGGCGGCTGGGCTGGCCAGGCCATGCACGCGTTTCTCGCACGCACTCTGCCTTCCCGAAGCAGCCCGTTGCGAGCCCGCTGCCCAGTGGGAGAGACGCGGCGTGGTTCCGGTTGTTGGATATCAGTTGCCGCGGCGGTGGAGGGAGGGAAGGAAATCGTTGGAAAATACAAGCCTGGCGTCCGGTTCTTGGAAAATAACAGTCAAACTAATTCCAAGCCCCGGCTCGTCGACCACCTACCAACGAGCGCGGGTGGTCTGATGGGGGACACTCTAAACAGCAACACGCCGGGGGCAGCATGCATCTCTTTCTTTCTCTTCATCATCTCTCCTCTCACCATCACCACTCACACATCCACAGGCCGCTGGCCACTCATCGGACGGCTCCTGCCCCCATCCCCCTCCTGATCACTGATCGTCTCGCGCGTGTGTTATCCAGCGCACCCACCACATCTGTGTATCCCACACCCTCCCCCCCACAGTCTTCCCATCACTCCCCTCTCTTCTCTCCTCCCCCATCCTCCCCCCATCCCACACCATGTCTCTTGCTAGGCTCTCCCGCCGCGCATTGCGCTTCCCCCAGGCGCGTGCGTTCACCACCACCGCCCGCGTGCTTGGCCCCGTCGCGACGGTTCCCCGCGGCTCCTCCACCACCGCCACCCAGCCCCACCCCCACCCTCCCTCCAAGTCGTTCCACCCATCGACCTCGTCAGTCTTCACCCCTCTGGACACGTTCAAGCCCCGCCATGTCGGCCCCACCGACCAGGACACCCAGTCCATGCTCAACACTCTCGGCTACAAGACCATGGACGAGTTTGTCAGGGCGACCGTCCCCGACAACGTTCGTATCCCCGAGTACACCTCGAACGACATTGCTCCCTACTCTGAGCTCGAGCTCCGCCGTCGTGCCGAGGAGATTGCCAACATGAACAAGCCCATGAAGAGCTACATTGGTATGGGGTGAGTGTCAACAAGCGCAGCGAGAGAAATGTGCCGGTGTGGCAAAAACATCACAGCTGACACCCATTTTTCAGTTACCACAATGCCATTGTCCCCGCCGTTATCCAGCGCAACGTGTTCGAGAACCCCGCCTGGTACACTGCCTACACCCCCTACTCGCCCGAGCAGTCGCAGGGTCGTCTCGAGTCGCTCGTCAACTTCCAGACGATCGCTATCCAGCTCACTGGCCTTCCCATTGCCAACGCCTCGCTCCTTGACGAGGCTACCGCCGCGGCCGAGGCCATGGCCATGTGCGTTGCCTCTGTTCCCAAGAACAAGTTTAGCAAGGGCAAGAACATCTTCCTCGTCTCGCCCACTGTCGCTCCCCAGACCCAGGCGGTGCTCGAGACCCGTGCTCCCGGCTTTGGTGTCCAGCTCCAGGTCGCCGAGAGCAACGAGGCTTTCCTTGCCGAGGTCGAGAAGCTTGGCGACAAGATCATCGGTGCCCTCGTCCAGTACCCGGACGTCAACGGCGAGATCAACGACTGGGCCGGTGTGGCTGAAAAGGTCAAGGCCAACGGCGGCAAGGTCGTCGTCGCCTCGGACCTGCTTGCCCTCACCATGCTCAAGCCTCCGGGAGAGTGGGGTGCCGACATTGTCTGCGGTAACTCGCAGCGTTTCGGTGTCCCCCTCGGCTACGGTGGTCCCCACGCCGCCTTCTTTGCCACTACCGAGGACATGAAGCGCAAGATGCCCGGCCGTATCGTCGGCCTGTCCAAGGACTCGCACGGTGCCCCGGCCTACCGTCTCGCCCTCCAGACCCGTGAGCAGCACATTCGTCGTGAGAAGGCCACCTCGAACGTCTGCACTGCCCAGGCCCTTCTCGCCAACATGGCTGCCATGTACGCCGTCTACCACGGCCCCGAGGGTCTCCGCCGCATCGCCGGCAAGGTCCACTCGCTCACCCGCGTCCTTGCCGAGCAGGTCACCGAGCTCGGCTTCACCGTCAAGAACAAGAGCTACTTTGACACGCTCACCATTGACGTCTCGACTGCCGGTTTCACTGCCGACCAGGTGCTCCAGACCGCCGTCGCCGCCGGTATCAACTTCCGTCCCGTCGACGCCAAGACCATTGGTATCACCCTCGACGAGTCGGTCGGCCCTCTCGACCTGACTGACATTGTCAACGTCTTCTACCGCGTCAAGGGCCAGTCGGACGTCGAGCCTGCCCAGCTTGAGGCTTCTGCCCAGTCGCTCTCGCTCTCGTCCGACTCGGTCACCGCTCCCATTGCCGGCCCCCTCGCTCGTTCGACCGCCTTCCTCCAGCAGGCCGTCTTCAACAAGCACCACTCGGAGACCGACATGCTCCGCTACATGATGCACCTCCAGCAGAAGGACTACTCGCTTGTCCACGGCATGATCCCCCTCGGCTCGTGCACCATGAAGCTCAACTCGACCTCGTCCATGGTCCCCCTCTCGTGGAAGGAGTTTGGCGGTGTCCACCCCTTCGCTCCCCAGGACCAGGCCCAGGGCTACATCACCATGCTCAACGAGCTCGAGCACGACCTCTCGCTCGTCACTGGCTACGACGCGACCTCGGTCCAGCCCAACTCGGGTGCTTCGGGCGAGTTTGCCGGCCTCAAGGTCATCCACGCCTACCACGAGTCCAACGGCCAGGGCCACCGTGACGTCTGCCTCATCCCCCTCTCGGCTCACGGCACCAACCCGGCCTCGGCCGCCATGATCGGCTACAAGGTCGTCCCCATCAAGGCCCTCGACGACGGTTCGCTCGACCTCAAGGACCTCAAGGAGAAGGCTACCAAGCACAAGGACAACCTTGCCGCGTTCATGGTCACCTACCCCTCGACCTTTGGTACCTTTGACGAAGGTATCGAGGAGGCCTGCCAGATTGTCCACGACAACGGCGGCCAGGTCTACGTCGACGGCGCCAACGCCAACGCCCTCGTCGGCCTCACCTCGCTCGGCCGTGTCGGCGGTGACGTCTCGCACACCAACCTTCACAAGACCTTCTCCATCCCCCACGGCGGTGGTGGTCCCGGTGTCGGCCCCATTTCGGTCAAGAAGCACCTCGCGCCCTTCCTCCCCGGCCACCCGCTTGCCCGCGTCGGCGGCGAAAAGGCCATCCAGGCCGTCTCGGCCGCTCCTTACGGCTCGGCGTCGATCAACCTTATCTCGTGGGCCTACATCAAGATGCTCGGCGGCGAGGGCCTCACCGAGTCGTCCAAGATGGCGCTCCTGAACGCCAACTACATTGCCGAGCGTCTCCGCCCTTACTACAACCTGCGCTTCACCAACAAGAACGGCCGCGTCGCGCACGAGTGTCTCATTGACCTTGCCGAGTTTGAGGACAAGGCCGGTCTCCGCGTGCCCGACTTCTCGAAGCGTCTGCAGGACTACTCGTTCCACCCCCCGACCGCCCAGTGGCCCCTCTCGACGTGCTGGCTGATCGAGCCCACCGAGTCCGAGCCCAAGCACGAGCTCGACCGCTTCATCAACGCCCTCATCTCCATCCGCGGCGAGGTCGACGAGGTCATTGCCGGCAAGCAGGACAAGGAGGACAACGTCTTCAAGAACGCCCCCCACCCCCTGTCGGTCATCACCGCCGAGGAGTGGACCGCCCCGTACTCGCGCTCAAAGGCCGCGTACCCCGTCGCCAACCTCCGCCGCTCCAAGTTCTGGCCCACCGTCGGCCGCGTCGACGACGCCGCCGGTGACCTCAACCTTATCTGCGAGTGCGGCAGCGTCGAAGACTTTGCCAACTAAACTAGTAAGGCCTGGGCACGACAGACGAGCTTGGAAGACCTGGAGGCGACACGAAGAGCATAAAGCGCACAAGTTTATATATTGGCGCCCCAACCAACCAACCCATTCAGATACCCCCTCAGTTCAACACCATACCCCCACCATTCCCCACCACATTGTGCATCAACTGCAAGAGTAGAAACGAAAAGAAATTTGTTATAACAGTAAAACATATGCCATTCAGGTCATCCGTGAAAGAAACAAACAAAGAAGCAATGGAGCAGGAGGATGCGAGCGTGGCGGGGGCGGTGGCATGGCTGCGACTAATCCTAATCCCCGAGAACATCTACAGAGGCAGGCGGGTGACAGTCTTGGCGACCTTTACGCACACGTCCGCGACATCCCACCCGCCACGGGGCTGGGCGGCCAACAGCGCCGGCCCGTACTCGTCCTCGAGCTGGCGCAGCATGTCGGCCGGGAACGGCGATGCCGCATCCTGCTCCTCCTCCTCCTCGTGGCCGTCTAGACACCAGCCGAAACTGGCATGGAACTCGGCGTCGGGGTGGTACGCGCCCCCGCGCTGCCGCAGTGCCGGCTCGACGACCTTGTCCAGCAGCGTTGCCAGCTCGGGCGCGCCCGCACCCACGCGCAGGGCGAGGAAGGCGCGCCGCGGGCGCGAGTCGTTGTGGTATATCGCCAGGGAGGAGAGCGAGAGCTTGAACGCGCGCGGGTGCGGCGTGGCCCGCAGCGTGGCTGCGACGGTGGCCGCGAGCGCGGACGCGGCGTCACGGCGTAACGGGAGCGGGTGGGAGAGGGAGACGTGAAGTGTCCGCGGTGTGGGGGTTGGCGCTGGGGCTGGTGCTGGTGCTGGTGTTGATGCGGGAGATGGCGAGGCCGATGCACCTGGTGTCGGGGTCGGAGATGGCGATGGGTCGAGAAAGGAGTGGACGTCGATGCCCGGCACGCGTTGTCGAGCTGCGTCCAGGACGCGGGCAAGTTCACGACGCAGCGCTGTCGATACGACCACTGGGTTTTGTCAGTCATGCTGCTGTCACGCAGAGGACTTGCCAGCAGGGGCACATGGCCGACGCTCGACAACTCACGGTCAATGTAGACGTGCACGTAATAGTCACCGTCGACGAACGGACGCGCGCGGACGCGTCCTTGATGGGCTCGCGGGTCGTCGCGGGGGTTCACACCGCCAAACGAGTCCGGCAGACGCGGGAGGGCCTTTGCTTTTCCCTTTGCCTTGTTTGAAGCGACCGTGGTAGTTGTCCCAACTCGCTGCCTTGTCGGTGGTGTGGACGCTGCGGGCCCGACTGGACGCGAGCTTGGCCCAGCAGGCGTCACTTTACGCCGCTTGACATCGGGTGCTTTGCCGCTACTGCTCCCGCTGCTGTCTGAATCGGACGAATAGTCGACGAGCCCCATCCGTCGACTGGGTGGTTGGTTAGTGGATCAGTTGAAGAGTGAGTTGAGGGTGCAACAACAACAAATGCCCTGGCTCGGCTTCATGGTTGGTTTAACCGTTTGCTGCCGTCCAACCGTCCTTAGCCGTTCTGTACGACAACAAGTTGGAGGGTGTCTATTGCGAATGCAACACAGTCCAGTCCAGTACAGTACACAGTGGCCCAGCGGTCACCACTTTTGATGCCAAGAGCGCATCCAACGATTAACGCGATGCCGTACCGTCGCACTAAGCGACTAGTACCCCTTCAGCGATTTTTGAAATTGGTTGCCTTATAGAGTGATCACCATTAGATATTGTCATTACTAATTCCCGCCGTCGTCCTGGTGTGATCTCATTAGCCGGCGGCTGATAATCTGCAAGTCTCGTCCTGTTACGTTTGTGGCATTCGGTCGTCACCGCGTTGCTGCAACCCATGCCCGTTCGTTGCATGTCGTCCTCTCTCTGGTGGATAGTTCCTAATGAATGTCCATTACTTGGTACGACACATGCAGGAGCGAGGGGGTTGCACAAATCGATTGGGCCGTCAGTGTGGTAGCCCTCGCGCTGTACGCTGTCACCCCCAGGCCCTACCCTCTTCCTCCGCCCGTACGCATACACCCCTCCCCATCTCCAAAGCCACACGGCCCTGACCCAGCGTCACCCCTAGCGAAAAATACGCACCCCTTCCGATTTCCACCAACAAGGCTCCCGCCCGCCACACTCCGCCCAACTTTCCGGACCCAACCGCCACCGACCTGCGCGACCTCCCTACCACCTCCCACCACTCAACCATCATGCTACACCTCTGCAGGGGGGCCAAAAGAGAAGATATCTACCCCACCAGGGCTCGAACCTGGGACCTCGGAGTGTGCTACATGAGTAACAGCTCCACGCGCTAACCAACTGAGCCATAGGGTAGTTGGTGTTGACGACGACAGTGGTGTGATTTTGAGTGCCCGAGGCGTAGACAGCGTGGAAGCGGGTATTGCGCAGTGCGGGCGTGTCAGCGGCATGTCCTGGTACAGAGGACACAGAGAGAGAGAGAGGGGGAGGGGTTGAAGGCCGGAGGTGAAGTAGGTCGAGGTTCTTTGGAGGCGAGCCCCAGACGAGTGGTCGCGGCTGTGACCGGCCGGCAGAGACGACGACGGACACGACCGTGTCCTCAGTGAAGCCATTGTCGTCTACATTCGAGGCTTGCACGTCTCCAAGTATATCCCAGTTTAGTGCGCATATGAGGAAGCTGTCGCTCCAAGCTAGGACCCTCGTCAGCTTTACCAGGCTAGCAGGGTAAGTGAGGTCAGCACATTCATGTCAGTCGCGCTCGAACCAGACGCAGTGGCGATGCTGTGACATGGTATATGCTCTACTTCTCTCCCACCCAAGAGGTCCCAGTTTCCTGACGGCAGCACGGCAGTATCGCACGCACGCCATGAACACTCTTCCGGCGGGGCTCGGCTCCGTTCCCAACTCCGACCTCTCCCAACCTGAGGAGGGTGGGGGTCGCTCTACTTCTGCTCTGCGGATGGGCTGCGGGCCTCCTCCTTCCAGCGGCGCGAGATCTGCGAGTAGCAGGTGGGGCAGAGGTTGTGGGTGAGCTTGAGGGTGCCGCAGCCGTTGCAGTGGTTGAAGTCTGGAGAAGGGTGTTAGCGTCTGTCTGGCCGAGTATCACAGCAGGCAAGTGGAGAGGTAAACTGTCTAGAGGAGGAGGGCGAGTGGAGTCAAGGGCAGGCTGAAGCTGAGTTGCGGGACGACACCCTGCACATAGCAAACATGACAGCGTCACAGGACGACAGAGACATGCGCCAAGCCAAGTGAAGCCCTCGGCACTAGACGGTTGACAGAGGAAAGATCGTAACTGTTTGTCCTCAATGCAGACAGCAGTTCTTTCAGCCCGCACCAGCCGCTCGACAGACCTCTCCACACGACTCTTGTAGCCAGGTTGCCTAGGACATATCACTAATGGGACATGGCAAGAGCAAACCGCTTCCGGTCTCAACACAATACCCACTCGTCTTGTTCTTGATACCCTTGTTCGCCGAACGCATGCTCTTGCGCGAGTGCGTGGTCTTGTGCTTGGGCACAGCCCACAGGATAGGAGGCAGGAGCTCCAGGAGGCCCGCCAGGCCGGCCAGAGTCGGGAGGGAGGGGAGGGCCGGGAGGGAGAGGGCGGAGAGGAGCGGGGCGGCAGATGTGGAAGTGGTGGACGACGAGGCGGCGGGGGAGGGAGCGGCGAAGAAGACGCGCGCGACGGACGACAGCGCCGCGCGCAGAGGGGTGGAGGTCGATGGCCGGGCGAGGGCGAGCGAGGCCATTGTGAGTGGTGGTGGTGGTTGAAAGGTGGTTGTTAGTTGTTGGATGCTTGTCGCAGGTCGACTTTTCGGTAAGGAAAGGGATGTTCTCGGGAAATTTGGTTCCGCCGCCGGCCTGACCGCGGTGCTGGGTCGAGGCCATCTTTCCAGCAACAACATACACTGAGAGTTGTCAAATGCATGCATGTGTCTATGTGCGCCACTATACGGACGCTCCCTACGTATTCTCGCTATCACCTCCCTCGCCCTATTGCCAAGACATTACGAGCTCTTGTCTGCGTCCTCGCTCAGGCTGTCCCAGTTGCCAATGTTGCCGTCCAGGACATCCTCGTCGCTGACAGAGTCGAGACGATACAGCTCCTGGCGGACCCAGCGGACGACCGCCTCGAGCTGCTCGACAAACGCAAGCTCGTCAATCGCCTGGGGGACGGGAGTGGGCGACAGGCCGCGCGACGAAAAGAGGTTGCGCCAGACCCACGAGGCCATCTCAGCGTCGGCACGTGCGACGTCGGCCGGGTCAGAGCTGATCCCCAGGCCAAGGACATAGTCGAGACCGGTACCGGCACCCTTCCACTGCTCGCCCATCTCCTCCATGTATTTGCGAATGACGCTCTCACGCTCTCCGCGGCCAAGGACCATGCGCATCTGGCTCTCGGCAAGCTCAAAGAAGTGGCTCAGCAGCTCGGTCGGGTACGCCTCGTGAGCAGCCTTGCCGAGGATGGGAGTACCCTTGGGGTGGGTCTGGGACGGAGCGTCATGAGGGGTTCCGGGCTCGATAGACTCGGGAATGGGCGAGGCGTCAGGACGCGACGACCTCAGTGCGCGCAGGCGGGTGACCAGGAGGAGGACGTAGAGGAGGTGGATCTGGAAGAACGACTGGTACGTGGGTGGGAGACCACAGGCTGGAAGTTTGGTGTCAGGTTATTCACGCCAGTTACCCAGACGAGAAGATGACAACTCACTGTCATACCAAAAGCTCCTGTCCGCCTCAACAGCGTCCACAACACCACGCATCATGCGGCCCGACTCGCGAATAGCCGTCGACTGCTTCGAGTTGTAACCCAGCATCTTGGCCGCACCGCGAACGAGCGCCTTTTGTGTCTCAGAGTACTCCTTCTTGCTCTCCTTGGCCGGTTCCGGGTGGAATGGGTCGGTGGGAGCAGGGAACTGGGGTGCGTTCTCGACGGGGTAAGGAGTCATGTCCTTTTCGGGCTTTGCAGGCTTGGTCTCGTCGGCAGAGAAGCGGGTGGCGGAGAATGCACGCGACGAGAGGGAGGGCACCATGGCCATGCGGCTCGCCGCGGCAGGCGTGCTGTAGAGGGTGCGCGCAAGCATGCGCGAGGAGCGGAGGGCAGACATTGGTGGCTCGGATCTGTAGAGGAGGGAAAGGGGGAAAAGGGGGGGCTGGTGGTCACGCTTGCAGTGTTTGCGCCGTTTTTTTTGGGAGGAGACGCGAGTGGACTGTTCCCTTTTGTTAAACACTTGTCTATCCGCTGCCTGCGTAGCTGCGGTTGTGGGTGTAGATGTTGTTTAAGGAGTGTTGAAGCGGCAAAGGAGGAAATTGTGGTGGCCGAAGAGATCCGGCAGCCGTGGTTAGAACCATGAAATCACGTGAAACCCACGTGGTGATTGCCCGATTTACTCCCGTCGCGACGCGTCTGGGACATGAAGTGACATGAAAGACAACAATGAGGAGCGAGCAATTACCTATTTAACAGCTCTCTCTCTCCCTCCATCCCTTACCCTCGGCAAACAATGGAGCTCGCGGCTGTCAAGGCGCGCGTAAAGGCCTGGGAAAAGGCCTTTAAAGCCCAACACGGAAGGGCGCCGGTCAAGGACGACATCAAGCGCGACGGCGACATTGGTGAGCTCGTGCACTCTCTCTTGACAACCCAGCCGGCTGCTAACTCTTTCAGCCGACCAGTATGCCCTGTACCGCAGCCTCTCCAAGTCGACCACATCTAATTCTCAGCCCTCTGCTTCCTCATCCTCGCGCCCGGCTTCCAATGGGTCCGACGCGCTCGACGCCGATGTGACGCGCACTCCCTCGCGCCGCAGGCTCCTTCCACCAGCACCTGCAACACCGACTCCTCCAGCTGCTAGGCGAAGCGTTTCTGCCGCATTGTTCTCAGTCTCAACCTCGACCTCGACCTCGGTCCCTGGTGAAGCAGGTCCCTCACGCCCAAAACGCACCGCTGCCGACATGTCCCCGACGACGCCCCGCAAGATGACATCGACTCCCAAGCGTGCCAAACCCGGATACACTGGCCCAGTGCACGACCCCAACCCCAACCCCTTCAGCGTCACCCCGCGCAAAGGAGGCTCGGCCACCAAGCCTACAGGCCTCCAGTCCGAGTCTCCGTTCATCTACGCCAACTCGCCGCGCAAGATGCGCGACCTCCTACAGGCCAACTCGCTTCACGCGTCGCGGGACCGTGCAGCAGTGGAGAACACACCGCGCACAAGGGCCCGGAAGCGTCTGGCAGGCGAGGAGGTGGATCCTACGCCCGCCAAGGCGCCGCGCCGTCGCCGGGGCGACCGCCCAACAGCCAGTGGTGCAACTGGTGGCGGTGGTGCGGGACTGTTTGCTGGTGCGCTGCCAGCAGCCGACTTTGGGGGCACGGACGAGGAGGAAGAACTGGACGAGACGCCCATGAAGCCCTTTACGCTTGTCCACAGCGCGGACAAGAGAAAAGGAGCGAACAAGGCCGTCATCAGCCCCACTGCTAAGTTGGGCGGTCGAGGAACCGACCTGTTCCCCATGTTCCAGCTCGCCAAGCGTGCAGCCGAGCAGCGTGCAGCAGATCCACCCTCGAAGCGCCGAGCAAGTGGCCAAAACAACAGCAACAGCGCCAACAACAACGCCAACCACCGGCATCGTGCGCACTCGCCCGAAATTGCCCCCAGTTCACCGTCCCCGGAAGCCCCGTCCCTCCCTGACGCGTTTGGGTTTGAAGGGCCCTCTGACTGGACCAACGCCGAGGCGTCTGAAGTGGACGCCGACGTGTCGGCCTCGGCACCGCCGTCCGATGCGCACACACCCTCAGCGGCATCAGACACACCCGCGCCGGACGACCGCCTCTCGACCCCTCCGGCGGGATCGCCACCTGTCCAGACTCAATCACAGCGTACCCCTCGCCGTGAGCGCCATCGCGCACGCGTCCTCGCCCTGTCTGAGGACGAATGGGACCCCGAAGCGGACCCGCGCATGGTCCGCGTGACGGGCACGCGCAGGCAGGCGATCAAGCTGCGCCCCGACGCGGGTGTGGCCAGTGACGAAGATGACGAGGATGATGCCGATGACGACATGGCCGACAGCGCGGACGAGGGCGAGAGCCAGAGCGATGGTGAAGACGGAGATGGGCAGGATGATGGCGACGAGGCCGAGGACGAGGCTACCGACGCCGACGCCGCCGGCGGGAGCGGGGTCCGCCGCGCCTCTGCACCTGCCGGCCTGCTCTCCCTGCTCTCCCTGCGTTCCCCCATCGCGCGGCGGGGCGAGCGGCTGGCCGACCTGCGCGTGCGCGCCCTCCTCGACCCGACGTCGGCCGCTGCCGCCATGCTGCGAGCCCAGAAGCGCGGCCAGGACGTGTACGTCTCTGGCGAAGCGGCCGAGGGCGAGGAGGACGACGAGTGGGGCGACAACGCGGCTGCTCCCGGCGGCGGCGGGGTGGGGGGTGAGGGGGATGACGACTGGGAGAGTGACCCCGAGGGCTGGAAGGCGGTGGCTAGTGAGGAGGAGTGGTAGTAGTGGCAGAAGTATCGCATGCACGGCGTGTACATGGAGCAGCAGTGGTTGCATGCCGGCAGCCCACAGCGTCACAGTGTGTGAGGTGCGCGGTGAGACGGATATTCGGCGAGTTAAAACCCAACACTATCTGTTCCGTTGGTCCTTGCCTCCTCTGGCCTCGCGACAGACGGACAACATTCAAAACGCAGGACGTACCCATCGACTATACAGTATCCCGTCGCTGCTGCGTGGGCCCACCGTTCCTTCGTATGACGGACTCACCGCTCCGCGGCACCGCGCGCCACACACCGCGCGCGGACCGAGATACTGAGATATCGTGCCCTTCCGAGTGGCGGCGGCGAGCGGGGATCAAACCGGCATCGCCACGGCGTCGTCGGGGCCGCGGCGTTGCGGCCATTTCCGATCCGGTGAGGTCGCCTCCAGAGACCTCTCTAAGCACACCGCTCGTGACCGAGCCGTCACCACCGAGCAGCACATGTGTGCTTGTGCCGAGCGTCATGGTCTTTGCAGTCGCAGTAAAGTCATGCAGTGGTGCGGGGCATACATGGGGGCACGGGCGTGTGCACCGCCACTTGGTCAGCTGGCTGCAGGGGTTGGTTCCCAAGATGCATGGTTGTGGCATGGCGCGCGCGGCGCAATACATATCTTCTCCAGACGCGCTACAGTCGTCAACGACGGCGTTTTGGCCTAGTCGACGTTGCGGATGGCCGTCTCCTCGAGACGGACGACGTCGCCAGAGTCCGATGTGAGCTTGTAGCGCACTGCCAGGGTCAGCAACGAAGCTCAAGAGTTGACCACTGGTCCCGGTCCACTCCACCACAGATCACGATGGGCGATCGTCTGTACTCACCAATACGCCAAGGCGACGACTGCTCGGGACGGATGGCGGTGAACATGACGGTACCGAACTCTGTCACTGTCAGCGTTCCTTCTCGCAACATTGTTTGCTCACGCTTGCTGCCCTGCACACGGAACTTCAAGTCGATACGTCCCTGCATGAGGTTGATCTGAAGTGGTTAGGTGATGAGGACGCTGGGGACTTCAACTAACGTTGCCGTGGATCCAAGGGTCGCCGCCTGTCGGTTGTCAGTTTGCGGTCGGGACTGCGATGTAACGGGACAGACTCACCCCACCAGTTGCGCTCCAACCGCACACCGTCACCGAGGACGGCCGCGACATCAGCCGAGTTACGGAGCTGGAAGGTGACCTGGCGGACGACCGAGGAGGAGAGACGTTCTGCACAAGATGGTCAGCCCACGTTTATTGTTTTGGCCCTGCGGCCCCCATTGGTTTCAAACGCACCGTTGTTCGTCGCGTACAGGATAAAGAGGCCCCACGAGCCCAGGCCGAGTGCGGCCATGCCGATATCTGTAGTTTGCCGTCAGCTTACAAACCCCCCTGCTTCCACGGTTCTGAGACGTACACAATGGTAACCTGTTCTAAAGCCGAGTGTCAGTGCTCAGATCTCTCCGGGGTCAGCACGCTGCACAGGCAAACTCACCTTGAGACGAGGAAGTGCGCGCCCAGCTGGGCGAGTGTACACCAAACGGGGACGGCTCGGTCCGTCAAAGTTCTGAGGCTCGTCCGTCGACCTGTGGAAGGCCGTACGGGGCACGTCGCCGCTGACCGCCATCGCCCTGCGCTGGGCATCGACACGCTTGCGCTGCTCCTCCTCCCACGGCTTGAGCTTGTTGGTCGATGCGGGAGGGAGGCCGCGGCGGAGGAGTCCCGGGCGGTTGTGGACGTCGCGCGGGGCGGCCTTGCCGTCGAATGTCGTGGGCTCAAGCACCTTGTGGCCACCCGCACCAGGGGTAGGCGGGGTGTGCGGGACATTGCTGTTGGTGTCGTTGTTGGGTGGAGGAGACCCAGGGGGCGGGGTGGTGGTTGCGCTCGCGAAGCGGCGGCAGGCCAATGGCGCGGCCACGCTTCCGCGGGCGCGGGCGAGGAGGGGAAGCGGGAGACGGGCGAGGGAGGGCATCACTGCTGCTGCTGCTGTCGGTGACGACGACGAGGAAGTGCGAGGCAAGACCCAAGAGAGCAGACGTTGATCTTTTGGAGAGCGGCAGGCGGCCTCTCTCGCTCTCGGGTGGAGACAACTCGCTCCGCTCCCCTCCCCACACCCGGGCCGGCGTGCGGTGGGAAAAATGACGTGTGGTTATCAGTCAGTGTGGGGTCTCCAGCAACGTGATCCTGTAGAGTGCCATGTCCGAAGTATAGCCGAAAAGAGAGAGTCAAGAGGGCTGCAGATGGGTATGCAGCAGTGGCGTGAGCGCACAGGGGACACAGTGCGGCAAAGAGAGCTGCTGCAAACGATGGTGGGAGGTCGCTGTGATACGCGCGGTTGCCAGCCAAGTGCAAAGTGCCACGGATCCACGGAGGAACGAGGAGGAGGGGACCATACAAAGGACTACTCATGCAACACACAATGCCTCGATCAACGGCACACAATGGTTTACGTAATATAATCTGAGGGCCACTTGACGGGATCTGAATTTCTGGTGGCAATCGACCAAGTGTGCGCGTAAAGACTTCCAGTTGAACGTCCTCACCCATTCCACCAACAAACATTCCAACAACATGGGCAAGCGCAGGAGAAAGACCAGGACCCACCTCAAGGGCGTGCAGCCCGGAGAGGAGGAGGCAAAGGCCCCCAAGTCATTCGTCATCAAGGTAAGCTGGAGCCCTCCGGCTTAAGCTGACATTTCAGTCTGGGCGAGTGACAAAATCAGTAGAGTCGCTAGTATCCGACATGCGCCAGCTCATGGAACCCAACACTGCTACCCGTCTCAAGGAGAGGCCCGGTGCTCGCCTCCGCGACTACCTCACCATTGCGCCTACTCTTTCCGTCACTCACCTGATGGCGTTCACGCTCACCGACGCCGCCAACGTTCACCTCCGTGTCGCTCGTCTTCCCCAGGGCCCCACGCTCACTTTCCGTGTCGAGCGCTACTCCCTCATGCGGTGAGCTAGGCCTGTGATAACCGATTAGCATAGCTGACAAAAACTGTAGTGACCTCGCGAACGCTCGTAGCGCGATGCGCAACATTGCCAAGAGCCCCGGTGGCGAGTACCGCAACCCTCCCCTTCTGGTCCTCAACAACTTCCAGCAGCCAGCCGACGGCCCCGCTCTGCCCCAGCTCAAGCTGATGAGCACCATGTTCCAGGGCCTGTTCCCGCCCATCCAGGTTGAGAAGTCGGCCCTGCCGACGTTCCGTCGCGTGCTCCTCATCTCGTACAACCACGGCACGGGTCTCATCTCGATGCGTCATTTCACCATTTCGGTTCGCCCGCAGGGTGTGTCGCGTCGTGTCCGCAAGCTCCTCAACCCCAGCAGCGGCGGCACGTCGCGACGCGCGCCCAACCTCTCCAACGCCGACGACATTGCTGACTACCTCATCCGCCGCACCAGCACCCCCGGCTCTGAGGCTGGGTCGGGCTACGACAGCATGAGCGAGAGCGAGGCGTCCGAGGCCGAGTCGGACTCGAACGCCGTCGAGCTGCCCGAGGACTATGTGGGCCGTGGCAACAAGAAGGGCGAGCGCAAGGCCGTGCGTCTCCTGGAGACGGGCCCCCGTCTCGAGCTCAAGCTCATCAAGGTTGTCGAGGGTCTTGTCGGCTCCAAGCGCGGCGAGGGCCAGACGGTCTTCCACGAGTTCGAGTCGCGTACCAAGTCGCAAGCGTCGGCATTGCAAAAGTCCCACGACCAGAGGAAGAAGCTCAAGGACGCCCGTCGTGCCGAGCAGGCTGCGAACGTTGCTCGCAAAAAGGCCGAGAAGGACGCCAAGAAGAAGAAGGGCGTCAAGGTCGAGGGCGACGACGAGGACGAGGACGAGGACGACGAGGACCGCTCGGACCTCGACGTCGACGGTCTCTCGGATGTCGACTCGGACGTGGACCCGGAGGAGGCCCTCGAGCGCCGTCGCGCCAAGAAGGCCGCTGCTGCCGACGAGGAGAGCGACGACGACGACGACGAGTTCGACTACGAGGACCGCATGGCAGAGGACGACGACGATGACTGGGACATGGACGCGCCTGCTGGCGATGTGCCTTCGGCGGGCGAGGAGAGCGACAGTGAGAGCGACGACGACGCGCCCCCTCCGCCGCCCAAGAAGCCGGCTGGCAAGCGTTAAAAGCAGCAACTCTTTACTGTGTGTTTCCTTTGTCTTTAGATCATGTACATGCATTCCCCATCACCCATTAGACCCTCGCGTCTCGTCTACAGAGCAATACTGTCGCTTAGACGCCGAGGAAGGGGAGACCCGACCCGACCTTCCTTCGGTAGTCGAGGTACTTGTCGCCAAAGAACTGGATGAGGTGGACCTCCTCGAGTTTGATGCGGTGCCCGAAGAAGCGGCCGAGGACGAGGCAGAATGCAGCCGTGCTAACGACGTTGGACAGGAGCACCTGGGTGGCCAGTGCCCAGTAGAAGAAGCCGACGTAGCTCGGGTGACGGACGTAACTTGGTTCTGGTCAGCTAGGTCTTCTAGAGATAGGATAGGCCAGCTGCGTGCAATACACTCACGCGTAGACGCCCGTAGTAACCAAGGTGTGGTCCTGGAGCTTGACCTTTTTCACCAGGTGGCTGAAGCTGTTACCGGCATGCACCATTGCGAGGGAACGGAATGTCTGGCCAGCAACGAGGAGTCCCACAGCTGCACCGAGCGGTCAGCAACGAGTTTCCAACGCGTATCACTGGAAACTCTGGGGACTCACCAAGAGCGAGGACGGGGACCGACGCAAACACCGACTGGAACTTGGCAGGCCAAAAGTACGAGCTGATAAAGTACTCGGCGAGGCCGACGGCGTGGGCAATGTGGTAGTCCATGGTGTTGTTGAGGAGGAACGCTGCGGACGGGAAACACGCGTCAGTACGCTTCCCCCATCACTGGGTTCTCGTCATAACTCACCGTCGACAGAGAGCTTGTCATAGTTCCACCCTGCCGTGGTCCAGAATTCGAGCAGGTGGAAGAGACCCATGGCAGCGAGGTAGATGCCGAGCTGGGGGCGCGCCCATGTCCAGCTGTCCGCGCCGAGAAGCGCGAGGACGGGGCGGACAGCACTGAACGCTGCGATGCCAGCGAGCGCGCCGAGACCAGCCGAGATCATGCTCGCCACGAGCGGCGTGTTGGGGATCGTGTCCTTGGCGGCATAGGCATTTGTCTTGGGCATGTAGAGGCCAGTGTCGTCGGCAGCGGCAGAGGCAGAGGCAGAGGCGGCAGGAGCTGACACTGGGCCGGGAAACCTGGAGTTGTTTGACGGCACGCCCAGCGGCGAGATGGGGGAGTCTGATGCACTGTCGCGTAGCCTGGCGGCCACTGACGCGCGACGAAACGCGCTGATTTGGTCGCCAGAGTCCGACGACGCGACGCTCGTGACTGAAATCTTGGGTGGTACGGTGGTGGCCATTGAGTGAGGTTTGGGAGAGCGATGGGGGGGAAAGAGATACGAGGGGGCTGTGTGCTGTGAGTGGAATAAAGAGTGAGCCCACCGAAAGAGGGGAACAATGGAGAGAGAGACACACAGCCGCTGTGGGACGCGCGACCGACCACCATCGACCAAGCAGAGCAGCTCGCCATCCAACACACACCCGCCCAACACCCTCGATCCCCGAGCTTACCGGAACATATACAAAAGTGGCGCCGCCAGCATGGGGCACCACAGATCTGCAAACCAAAACTGCGGGCCTATTTATTTCCCCATTTTAGGCCCGTAAACCATGTTTACCTGTATTTCGTTTTAATTGTTGTGCGCCTATCTTTCCTCCAATATTTGCTTCCGCGCACTCAACCCAGCCCTCCTCGTCGTCGTTGCTTGTGCATCAGACCACCCTTCCAATCCGTGTTTACCAGCGCCCACCAGCAGCCGCATCCGCCTTCCACATCACCTACAGCCCGCGGGCAGCACGCCGACGCAGTTTATCCTTTCATTGCGCGAAGAAACTGCGTAAAACCAAGCGCCAGATCGCCCGCAATGGCCACCGACGTCGAGGTGCGTTTTCCTTTTCTCTCCCCTCTCTCCCTCCCTTCGGCGCAATGTCCCTCCTTGTTCGCGAATACCGTCCGTGCACCACTTTGTATATACTGACAATGTCACAGCCGCATCAGCTTAGCGGTGCCGTCCATGATGTTCTTGCGGCGAAAGAAACACTTGCAAGGTGTGTACCGGGTCGTCGCTGAATGGCCTGTTGTCCATGTTGTGCCGCCACTGACGTTCCTTCTGCAGCGAGTATGTCGAGGCGCATGGTGTTGCCCTCCGGAACTTATATGGGCTACTGAAACGCAAGCGTGAGAGTGGACACGACTTCCCCAGTGTAGACATGGAAGACGAAGAGCTCGAGCCCGGAGCCAAGGAGGCGTTTGACGGTTGGAAGGACGAGTATCGCCTCGAAGCCGGTCCGTCAAGGATAGCAAAGCTCTCGCTGCCGCCCATCCCACCTCCTTCACCACCGGCAACTGCTATTGACTTTCCCGACGAGCCCAGAGTCGAGGCCGCACAAGTGCCGCACGTCTCTGTGGAGGCGGCCGCAGCTGCCCCGGCCACGAGAGCCTCGAGCAGGTCAAGCTCGCGTGTGGGGACACCCGCCGCTGCGTCGCCGCGTACCACTCGCTCCTCTCGCCCCACGTCTCCGGTGCGAACGTTGAAACCGCCCCCATCAACAGTCAACTTGAGCGACGTGCTGCCCCCACGTTCTCCTATCATTCTGAACGGCGACATCGACGTTCAGCCATGGGAGCCGGTGGACAACTACAACCCAGCCGCATCCCCGCCCCCTTCCCAGGCGTTCAAGGTGCTCATGCCCCTCGAGACCGACTATGCCTCTTCCAAGGTGCCCCGCCTCCCTGCCGTCCCTGCCACTGCACACCGGCACCGGCGAGGAAGCAAGGGCGACCAGGGCAAAGTGGACACATTCAAGCTCAGCCTCATGTACAACCTCAACCCGCTGTCGGGCGGAATCTCCAAGAGCTCCAAGTGTGTGCTCACATCCGACTGGCGCGTGGCACAAGCAGAGCTGCGACATGTCCGCGCCATGGAGCGAATCGAGGCCAAGAAGGCCGCCGGGAGGTGGTCCTTGCGTCAGCCCAAGAAGCACCGCGGTCCACCAATGCCCAAGGGTCACTGGGACTGGCTCCTGGACGAGATGGTGGGTCTCACATACAGATGAAACGTAAACCAACATGGTCACTGACTCTTTCTCCCAGGAGTGGATGCAGACCGACTTCTCCGAGGAGAGGCGATGGAAGCGCGTCATTGCCCGCGAACTGGCGTACCAGATTGTCGAGTGGCACCTCGCGTCCGTCGACGAAAAGGCGGACCGCATGGTCGGCGGCCGCGGATGGGGTGCGAGCAAGGACATTGCCGTCCCCGGCAAGGTTGACAGCGGCAACGCCGAGGGGTCTGCCGAGGAGGATGTCGAGATGCTCGTCGGCCAAGGCGGCGACGAAGACGACGACATCGACCTGCCCGAACGTCCCGAACCTAGCGGCGCCCAAGTTCTCGACGAGATCCAGACCAGAGAGGACGACGACAACACCGAGGTCAAAATGGAAGCGGTGGAGGAGGACGACGCCGACGGAGAAGCAGATGCCGATGGGGAGGCGGACGCAGAGGGCGAGGAAGCAGATGCAGAGGGAGAAGAGGCAGACGCGGATGGTGAGGCCGATGCCGATGGCGAGATGGATGCCGAGGGAGAAGAGGATGGAGTTGGGCTCGACGGTAAGGCTTGGTTGTCTTGGGTTGCGCTGACTGTAGACATCGATGCGGCTGGCGAAGCAGCAGGTAGCCAGGGCAAAGACGGAGACGAGGACAAGCAGGAACGGGACGGGACTGTCCTGCCCAACGGCCTGGTTCTGAGCAAGAGGTTTGCCAATGTCGAGGAACTGGCAGTTGCGCGTCGACCACTGCTCTACATGCCTGCGGAGGCGCCGACTGCCGACCTCAGCTCTCTGCCGCTCCCCAAGCCAAAGTCGACTTCTCCTGCGACCCAGGACAAGGAGGGGTCGCCATCTGAACAGCCCCCACCTACTCTCCAGGAGCTCTTCCCCGATCTGGCAGTGTACAGCGGTCCCAATCCTCCAGACGATACCAAGGTCCACCGCCGTATGGACGAGGGCATGACCTCGGGCAACCGCATGGCGCATACGTCTCGTATCCTCGATTTCCGCCCCGTCTTTGTCTCCCACCTCCAGCCCGCGCGTAACCACTTTGACACTGATGGCGACTGGGACCTGCGCGAAGGACTGTGGTACGAGGACCCCAAGGGTTCTACCGACCTGCCTCCCGAGGTGGTCGCCTCACTATCGACGTTCTTCTCTGGCCGTGGCGTCCGCCCGCTCAACCTGCAACCGTACAACCCGCAGATCAAGCCTGATAATAACCGCCCCGAGCCTGCATGGACACCTGAAGAGGACAAGATCCTCCTTCGCCTTGTCACCACGTTCCCGTACAATTGGCAGCTCATTGCCGACGCGTTCAACAGCGAGCGTGTGACCATTCCCTCGGACCGTCGGAGCGCATACGACTGCTACGAACGTTGGAACACGACCTGGGGACCAGGCAAGAATGTGCCAAAGTCACAGGCAGACACCCCAACAGCGGCTCCCACCGGTGCTGCCACTGGCACACCAGCCGCTGGCACCCCTTCGCGTGCTGGGGTCAGCACACCAACTGCCATCGTCGCTCCCAGCGTGCCTGGTGCTGCTCCTCCCCCCGTCCCTGGACAGGTCATGGAGCCCCCTCCCCCTCCTGGTCTGTCCAAGCGTGAGGCCAAGGCTGCCAAGCAGCAGCGCTACGATGGTTCGACCAAGAAGGCCATCCGCCACCAGGCGCTGTATGATGCCATCCGCCGTCTCTCGCGCCGCAGGGATAACAAGGCCAAGGAGAGCTTGAAGGACATGGAGCCAAAGGAGATTACAGTGCACGAGTCGCACTCGACGATTGCCAACCCCAACGGCCAGCCTCCGACACCGTTCGAGCTCGTCGAGGCAAAGTACCAGCGCGACCTGCGGATCCACGAGGCTCAGCAGCAACGCCGTCTCCTCCAAGAGCAGCACCGCCAACAGCAGCAGCAGGCTTTGCGACAGCAGCAGGCCATGCTCAATGCCGGCGGCGGAGCTGTGCGTCCTCCTGCTCAGCCCCAGGGCCCGGCCCAACCACAGCAACCACAGCAGCAGCCTGCTCCAGCTACTCCCTCGGCGGCCGGCACACCCACCCAGGCTGCTGCCCCGACACCGCAGCGTTTGGGTCCCAACGGCCAGCCGATCAACATGGCACCTAGTCAGCAGCAGATTCTCAACGCTGTCGCCGCTGCTACCGCCGTCAATGGTCGCGCTGCCGGTCTGAACGGCAACGCCCCCGTACTCGCCAACGGCGCCCGGCCTCCCGCCCCGGCTGGCCAGGTGCAAGTAACCCAGCAACAGCAGCAGCTCCAGTTGTTGCAAGCCCAGCAACAGGCTGCTGTTCAAGCTCAGCGTCAGCAACAAGCTGCCCATGCGCAGGCGCAAGCACAAGCTGCTGCTCAGGCCCAAGCCCAAGCCCAAGCCCAAGCCCAAGCCCAAGCCCAACAGGCTCAAGCTCAGGCCCAGGCCCAGGCTCAGGCTCAGGCCCAGGCTGCTGCCCAGGCGCGCGCCGCCAGTCTCACTGGTACCCCGCACTCGCAGCCCGGTACGTTGGCGTCCCCGTACGCGTCTGCAGGCGAGATTCCCAACGGCGACGTCACGCAAATGTCCTCCCCCGCCCAACAGCACCACGCAGGCATCCAGTCGTCGCCACAGCAGCAACAGCAGGCTCTTCAGGCCGCCCAGGCCGCTCAAGCTGCCCAGGCTGCCCAGGCCCAGGCCCAAATGCAGGCCATGCAGGCTGCGCAAGTTCAGGCCCAAGCCCAAGCCCAAGCCCAACGTGTTGCGGGTATGGGCATGCAACAGCACATGCGCCCGCCCGCCGCCGGCAGTCCGCAGATGCAGGCTGGGTCCATCGCCAACACCCCCATGACGCCACAGCAGCAAGCACAGTTCCAGCAGATCATCGCGACGCTCACGGCCTCGGGTCAACAGGCTACGCCGGAGACGATCCGCGCCGTCCACATGCAACTCATGCGGAACGCGCAGGTCCAGCAAGCCCAACAAGCCCAGGCTCAAGCCCAGGCTCAGGCTCAAGCTCAGGCTCAGGCGCAGGCGCAGGCTCAAGCCCAAGCTCAAGCCCAAGCCCAAGCACAGGCGCAGGCTCAGGCCCAGGCAGTTGCTGTCGCGCAGATGCAGGCCCAGCAGAGCCAGATGGGCCAGGTGCCCGTGGTGGGTACGCCGCAGATGGTGGGCACGCCTCAGATGGTGGGGACACCGCAGATGGTGGGCACGCCGCAAATGGTCGGCACGCCTCAGATGTCCATGCAGACCCTCCAGGCAGTAAGTCGACCTGGCCGGAAATGACGAGTGAACGCTGACGTGCCAAGCAGCAATTTGTGCGTAGCCCGAGCGTGCACTCGCAAGGTGTTAGGTCGAGCCCAAAGCCGCCGAGCGGATAGGCGGGTGGTGTCAAAGGAGACACGAGGCGTCGTGGTGAGGGTGCTAGATATTGAGGGCGCCGGGAATGTACTTGTTGTAGTTGAGAGATGTATACCGTCTCCCCCGTCCGTAGACGCGCAACTCTGGAGCTCTGGGTTGCTTCGAGACGAGATTGACGAAACGATCGTATTGACATGGGGGATCGCGCGCACATTTCCGAGATTGGCGTCCGCCACCCACGTGCCAAAAAAGTTGGGTGGGTCACGCCATAACCTCCACTTTGTGCCATCCTCGTCCTTCTCAACAACATACAAACCATGGCCGCCATCAGCGTTCCGGGCTACGGCGACATTGTGCCCCTCTCTGAGGGTGCCGAGGCGCTCGTCAAGAGCGACGACCCCGAGCACGTGAGTTGCAGTTGTTTACACGGTCTCTGGGCAGCTGAGGCTCGAGACATTCTTTTGTTGAGCAAGGTCGAGCAACCCATGTCTGGAGGATGCAGCTCATCGGTCCTTCCTCATAACCTTGTATCGCGGTGCCAGTCGCGACATATTGCTTGTCCTGACACTTCCAGCCCGCCAACCTCATCCCCGAGCTCTGCCGCGAGTTCTACAAGCTCGGCTGGGTCACCGGTACCGGTGGTGGTGAGTTGGACATGACACCGGACAACTCACGTCATGCTAACGAGCAGGTATCTCGATGCGTTCGGGGTGAGTCTGTCTAGGTCACGTCAAGCTGTTTTGCGCGCATCCTTGGCTACGCTCAGCTTGCTATCCAGTGCCTCCTGGCAACACACCATCTCTAACCCTCTCCACAGTCCCCTGGTCTACCTTGCCCCCTCTGGCGTCCAGAAGGAGCGTATCCTCCCCGAGCACATGTTCGTCCTGCCCTTCGCCCAGAGCAGCGTCCCCAAGCCCGGAAGCAAGCGTGACTTTGTCCGCATCCCCAGCAGGAAGGTGAGTGGCTGGGCTGACCGAGGCTTTGCTGACCACCAGGGCCTGTCCGAGTCGCAGTGCACCCCACTGTTCTGGAACGCCTTCACCCAGCGTGACGCCGTGTCGTGCATTCACACCCACTCGCAGAATGCCGGTGAGTGTAGCTGTCGTACCATCTTGATGTTTCAGCTGACATACTCCTCCCAGTCATGCTCACCCTCCTCCTCGGCAAGGACGCCAAGTCGTTCCGAATCTCGCACCAGGAGATGATCAAGGGCGTGCGTCTCGGCGGTGTCGGCAAGACTCTTGCCTACTTCAACACCCTCGAGGTCCCCATCATCGAGAACACTGCCCGCGAGGAGGATCTCACCGACTCGATGGCCAAGGCCATGACCGACTACCCCGACGCGGCTGCCATTCTCGTCCGTCGCCACGGTGTTTACGTCTGGGGTGCGTTGTATTGAAGCGGGGGACTGCAGCTGGAACAGAACGTCTGTCAGCTGGAGGTGCCCCCCGGAGACCGTTGGGAATGCGGTCATGGACACTTTGCTGACGTACAGGTCCTACTTGGGAGTCGGCCAAGACCCAGGCCGAGTGCCTGGACTACCTCTTCGAGATCGCCGTCAAGATGCTCCAGAACGGCCTGCCTCTTGTTGACGAGGAGTAAAAACCGGGTTTGACGGTGTGAAGGCGTAGACCACTAGTTTGGCGTGCAGTAGGGCGGGAGAACATGTCCTATGCATCGTGTCCAGCTTGTAATGCAAGGTGTTGTAGTAGTAGAAGACCGGGCCATGGGCCATTGGCATAGGTGGTGAAATGCCCCACCCCAGAGCCCTGTGCCTCATGACGTCCCGAAAAGTTGCCACCAAACAGCCAAAAGTTGAGATGAACCCATTTTGACCGTTGACATTGTCCCATGCTCAAGGCGACGACCAACCTCCGGCTCCTGTCCACCATGCCCAAGGCTGCTCCCACCCCCTCCTTCCCCCTCAACGGGATGTTCCCCGTGGCCAAGCCCACGGGTCCCACGTCGTGAGTGCTTGCCGATAGTCTGCACAGAGCACAGAAACATCTCCATCTCGTCTGGTTGAGTCACCTTTGTCCCACCGCCAACGGCGTCACCGCGCGATGTTACGCTTGTCTCCCTCCCCTACCCAGCTGAAATGCTCTGGCAAAAAGCTGACAAATGCAGGATGCGCCTCATCGACTCGATCACCCCTCTCCTCCTCGAGTCGCGTCTCTTCGACGACGCGTCCGGACCCCGTATCAGGCCCAAGGAGAAGAACAAGCGCAAGCGCAACACCACCCACATGGGTCTCAAGATCGGCCAGGGAGGTACCCTCGATCCCCTTGCGGACGGTGTTCTTGGTGAGTGTCAATCATGCTGCGCGCTGTGCGTGGTGGTGCCGGGGAAGGAGCACAAACCGCTACTGGACCCATCACGTCCTGGCACCGCTGTTGATGCCCTCCCCTCGCTTCCCTTCGGCTCCCAGCATGACACAATGAGGTTTGCTTGTTTGCTAATGGTAGTGCTTGGTGTGAACCGCGGTACGAAGCACCTCAACCGTTTCCTGACCTGTAGCAAGGTGGGTCTGGCCGGTCTGGTCCATGGGCATGTTGTTTTAGCGATGTCGGGAGGAGTCTGGCGGCTCCTCTGCCCACACACAGTCTTCACCGAAGCGGCCCTCGCGAACTTTTATCCATCATCTCCCTTGATCCACGGACTGACATATTGCAGGAGTACGAGTCTATTGGTATGCTCGGCGCTGCCACCACCAGCTACGATGCCGAGAGCCCCATCCTCCACACTGGCAACTTTGACAACATTACCCGCGAGGACATTGAGAAGGTTCTGGACCAGTTCCGCGGCGTCATCAAGCAGACCCCGCCTATGTGAGCTAGCCGAGTACAGTCCCTGTGATCTAGCTAACGTCCAGCTTCTCCGCGCTCAAGATGGACGGCAAGCCGCTGTACGAGTATGCGCGCGAGAGCAAGCCCCTCCCCCGCGCCATCCCTGTCCGTGAGGTCACTGTCTCCATCGACCTTATCGACTTTACGCCTGCCGAGGTCGTCCCCGGTGACGGTGGCCACCAGTACGTCTGGCCCAAGGAGGTTCTGTCCGCCGAGGAGAAGGGCGTCTTCAGCCGTCTCAACAAGATGGTCCACGAGGCCGGCGACGAGGCCGCCACTGCCGAGCCCGAGATTGACCTCTCGGCCCCCGACGTTCCCGAAGTGAGCCCCCAGACTGGCCTGCGTCCCGCCACGTTCAAGGTCCGCATGACCGTCAGCTCGGGCACGTACGTCCGCTCGATTGTCCACGACATTGGCCTCGCCCTCGGCTGCGGTGCCCACGTCGTCAAGCTCACTCGCACGCGCCAGGGCGAGTTTGTGCTTCGCGATGACCAGGAGAAGGCTGCTGTCGGTGCCACCGAGGAGACCAAGGAGGATGTCAAGGAGGAGGCTAGCAGCTCTGCTGTTGCTATTGACGACGAGGAGGCTGCCATGAACGCCGCCCAGCCCGTTGTGCCCGTCATCCCCGACAAGATGAGCCTCGACCACCCCGAAGGTGCCACCACGACCTGTATTGCCTGGGACGTGTTTGAGCGCGCGATCGCCGAGCGCAAGGAGACTCTCCAGGCCGAGGCCGCCGGTCGCGAGGAGGCTCACGCCATGGGCACGTCTGCCGAGGAGATTGAGGCCCAGTTTGGCGAGCATGCCATTGCCAACAAGCGCCGTGCTGGCCCCCTCAAGGAGTGGGAGAACGAGGTCCTCAAGTCGTTTGTCCCCGTGCCCCTCCCCATTGTCCGCGACTCGAAGAGCCGCGCCGCCGGACTGTACTAGATAGTATTAGGTAGTTTTTTTGAGTGTCATGTCATGCAGCGTGTGTCATATGCGGTTCTATGGGTCTAATCTATATATGGCGGAGGAGTGGGTTTCACCAAACGAGGTCATGAGAGGACGAGGTCGTCGACGAGGTCGGCAAACGTGTCGTACACTGCATCAGGCTTGCTGCCCTCTTCGACACCTGCACGGTACTTGCCGGTCCGGACGAGAATCCGCTTCAGCCCCAACTCTTGCGCACCCACGCCCAGGTCGTTCCGCACATCGTCTCCTACAATCCCAACCTCGCCGCTCTCCAGCGTCACGCCGTACATTGTCTCGATGCGCGCAATGGCCAGCTCGTAGAACGAGCGCGTGGGCTTGCCGACCACCTCGGCAGTCACGCCCGACGCTGCTTCGAGAGCACGCACGTACGCGCCGATACCCAGCGAGAGGCCCGAGGGGAAACTGCCCGTGTCGGGCGCCTGGTGGAACGCCGCCGTGTGCGGTGCGATGAGGACCGGCTGTGGGGTGGTCGTCGCGTCGTCGCCGTTGTCCGCGTCGACCCCATGGAGCGGTTCCCGCTTAAGGATGCGGAACGCCGTGTTGAGGTTGTCGTACCCAAAGCTCTGGGGGTGCAGGCCCAGCACGACGGCGTTGTGTGGCGGGGACAGGTCGAGGCCCGCAAACTCCTCCTGGGCCTCGGACGAGAGGAGGAGGAAGGGCCGCAACCCCCTGCGCTCGACGAGGGACCGGCACGCTCCCAGCGACGTGAGCAGCTCGTCCTGAGCGGCAGAGAGGCCCATCTTGTTCAGACGCGCAAGGAGGCGGATCTCGGATTCCTTGGTCGAATTGGAGCTGAGTGTCCGTTAGTTTGAGGTGCGGGGATCCTATAACGAACCAGAACACAAAGGGGACCTTGGCGGCTCTCAACCGGTCCACGGCGGCGGCGGCGCGCGGGGTGAGGTTTGGGCCTACATGGAGGGTTCCGTTAAGGTCGATGAGCAGTGCTTTCAGCTTTGGTCTGCTTGTCAGCTGGGCAGTGGGGTGGGGATACACACGCAGGCATCGTTGTAAGGTGGTGGGTAAATGCGGAAGATGAAGGGGATGGACTTTTCCGCTGATAACGCAATATCGGCCTTGGTCTGGCTGCGCGGGATCTGATACCACGTCGACTGGTTTGGTTGTGGGGGCTTCTGTCTGATTCTGATGGTGCTTTGGAATCTCAGAACAGGAGTGCAGCACGTTGTTTCTAAAGCACGACAGAAGGGTCAGTAGTATGGAGACAGCGGTGCTCTCGTCTGCTGATCCTCGTGCAATATGTGTAATACAGTGCATATGCCCACACCTCCGCTCATGCGACAATGATCCTGATGCCCTTCTACTCCATCTTGGCCTGCCGTCTGTCAGCCCCTGGTCCCGAGTAACAGCAAGTGAACCCACCTGACTAAAGTCCATCTCGGGGTGCATCTTCTGGAACTTGTCAATAGCCTCGAGCTTCCTCAGCTCGTCGCTGGTAGGCTTGCCCATGGCCTTCTGCTTGTTGTCGAACTGGTCATCAGTCAGCTGCGTGTAGCACACGTCGCGCACGGCGGTCAAGTCCAACGAGGCCAGCCGTGGCATCGCACACTCACCATCATCTTCTCCACCATGCCGCGGGTCTCGGGGTCGAGGTCGCTCAGCTTCGAGTCCTCGGGCTTGATCTTGGTCGTGTCCAGCTTGGGGTGGTGGGTCAGGACGTGGGGCCACCAGCGGTGCGAGCCGATGTGGCCCGACAGCTTCTCCAGCTCAAACGTGAGAATACCGTTGTCTGAGATTCAGTCAGAGACGTGTAGAGGACAGGAGATACGTGGGAGGGAGGCAAGGAGTTAACGACGAGCTGTCAACATCCACCACAGCTCTCTGCCCACAACCCTCACTCACCGATGGTCCAGCTCGAGTCGTCCTTGGCAATATCTTCAAAGAGCGCGCCCTCCATGATGGCCTCCTCGCCCTTGACCTGGACCTGTTGCGCACGTCAGCCCCGTCCTCCACACTGCGCACACCGCGACATACCTTGAGCTTGGTGCGGTCCATCACGACATTCAGGTCCTTGGCACGCGTGCCAGCGGGGAGCGGCACGTTGACAGTGACTGTCTTGAGGTCCTGGTTCCAGCTGTATGGGAGGGCTGCGGGCTGTCAGTCGTCACGTTACAGTGGGGTAAAATGTGTAAAGACAGAGGCAAAGGTGAGGGACGTAATGGAGGACGATAAACTCACCGGCCTGCTCGGTGCGCTCGCGCTCGCGGTCAGCAGCGTCCTGCGCGACCTGGGCGGCCTTCTCCTCCTTGCTCATGCTGTCGGTAACGGGCTCGTTGGTGGTGAACGACATTGGAGGTGTAGCTGTTTGGGTGATGGAGAGTCAGGTCGCGTCATGGAAAACATGAAATGGTCCGGCACCGCCAAAACGAAAAGTGGAGGTCCAGGTGAGTTTCAGTCCACCTTTCGTCCGTCACTCCCACTTGATGTCGCGCTACATCTCCGTCAAAAGCAGCAAAAACTGAGCTCTTCGTCGCTGTTGCGACGCTGCTCATGCTCTCTGAACCCTGATTCGAACAGGGGACCTACGGATGACGTTCTTCCATTTGGAAGGGAGGTGTAGACAGTTAACAGGTTACAGTCCGGCGCAATACCACTATGCTATTCAGAGGACATGTGTGGCACGCTCCGTGAAGGTACAGGCTGCGCGTTTGCCTTCCTGTCGTCCGTTCATTGACGGACCGTCGGCTCGCTGACGTTCTTGTCGTTCTTGCCAGCAGAGAGGAAAGCAGAACGGGGCACAACGGCAGACAAGGGCACACGGGGAAGTGGTCGTTCAGCTGTGGCGGTGTCTGCCGATTGATGCCATTCTGCTACGTTTGGTGACCAAGGTCAAGATAACATCCTCAGGCATGCGCATTGCAGAGGCCAGGTAAAACACGTTCGTCCTATAACAAGACTAGATCTAAGCCTTGGGCTCGGCGGCCTCCTTGGCAACGGCAGCTTCGGCAGCCTTGACCGACGCCTCAAACATGGCCTTGAGGGCAGGAGCCTCCTCCTGGCCGACAGAGATACGGACGAGACCGGCCTCGACACCGTAGCCCGCAGCCCAGTCAAGCTCGTAGTAGTGGGCCAGAATGGCATAGGGCGAGGCGAGGGTGAACGACGTGCCAAGCGAAGGACCCTTGGCGCACGACAAGGTGTCGTAGAATGCGACAGACGCGGCCATCGAGGTGAACGTGACCGAGAAGAGACCGCCAAAGCCTCCCTTGCCGGTGGTGGGCTGGCGCTGGCAGGCGGCGTAAAGGTCGGGTGTCTCGTAGCGCGGGTAGTAGATACGCTTGATGGCCTTGCCCTCGGCTGGCGACGACTCATCCATGAGCGACCTGGAGTGGAGGTACTCGGTCACATCAAACGCGTTGTCGTTGACACGCTTGATGCGGCCACGGTAGTCGCGCGAGTTGCGCTCCATGTAGACGGCGTCCTCGGGGTAGTAGATGTCCTCGTAGTCGACGGTGATCGCCGCCTTGAGCTCGGTGTACTTTGGTCCGTTGGGGTTCAAGATAAGGGATCCGCCCATGACGTTGGAGTCGCCAGAGAAGATCTTGGTCAAGGACGATACGAGAATGTCCGCATAGGGCGTGACGTCGACGTTGATAAAGTTGCCAATAGTCTCGTCGATCACAATCACAAAGCCGTGCTTGTCGGCGAGCTTCCTCAGACGAGCGAGGTCCGAACAACGAAGCAAGGGGTTCGAAGGGAACTCGCAGAAGAGGGCAAGGACGGGCGCTGACTTGTCCTGGGTCTCGAGGTATGCCTCAAACTCGTCTAGCTCTGCGTTTGTGCCGTTGCCGTAAAAGGTACATCCTTCGCCCCACTTGTTCAGAATCTTGAGAGTGTCGGTGTAGGGGAATCTGAGGGTTAGCACACGGTCCTTACGAGCACCACCTACCCAAAGCAAACGCTGATTCCTTCTTTTCCTCCATGAAGAGTCCTTGAAAGTCGCGCAACCTTGTGTGCGTGCCAGATTGCGCTCATGCCGCCAGGGTAGAGGTAGACATTGTCCTCGGTAATACCACGGGCAATGTCACCTGCCTTGCCGTCCACAAACTCCTCGTCCGAGGGAAGGAGGCCACCGGCGATACGACGCTTGAGGGCCTGCTTGGCGAGCGGGGCGTTGAAAAGGGGGAGGTTGCGGCCGTAACGCTCTTCGAGGTACGTCGAGAGGTCGGTGGACGCGAGATCCTCGGGAGCGCTGATACCGGGGCCAGGGGTGGACGAGCCAGACGAGATGGCAGCAGCGGCGGACGAGGGGCCGGCGCTAGAACCGACGTGCGGGTGCGTCGCACGACCATAGTGACGGTTGCGCGAGTAGCCACGGCCGGCAGAGGGCTGGGCGTGCGGGGGTCGCGTTGTTCATGCCAGCGGGGGCCTCACCGAGGAAGGCGAGGGCACGCTCAGCCATGCGCGACGAGATACCGTCGCCGCTGTGCTGCCAGAACTGCTTGGCGGACGGGAAGTTGTCCTTGTTGAAAAGGAGGATCTGGAGCTCAATGCAGTCGATAGCAGTGACCGAGGTGCGGGCAGTCGGGAGCGAGTTGGCACCGGGGCAGATGACAAACTCGACGGTGCGCGAGGAGATCGACGGCGTCTGGGCAGCGAGGAAGTCGCGCGCCTCGGCAGCGATGCGGGGCGAGGGGAAGAGCATGCATGACTCGTCAGTCTGGCCAAACTTGGCAAGGCAGAGGGCCGCGAGCTGCATGTCAGTTATCATAGTCTCCATCCACTATCAGGATGCCAGGGTTAGCAGCGACCTCCCTTAAGAGACAGGCCGCTACCTCACATGGGACCCATCCTGTCTGTGTGTTGCTTGCGATACGCACCTTTTGGATGGAGCGGTGAATGAAGAAGCGAGGGTAGCCAGTCTCCATCTTCTCCACTACGCGCTTGTGGCCTTCCTCGTAGGCGATGTTGTCCTCCCAAAGGGGGAGGGAGACGGAGATGGCATGGCTGGTGAGAGCGGGGACCGACGAGCCGAGGGGGATCTGGCTGTACGGGGGGGACAGCGACTTGGCTGCCATTGTTGTTGGGAGAGAATAGAGTGTGTGTGAATATGTGTTTGTTGTTGGAGTGGTAGGAGACGTGTGAGAGATGTGTCGTGTGGTCGAGTGAGCCGATGGGTAGTCACGACTCGATCTTTTCGGAATCGTGTTGGCCTGGGCGTACGCCACCTGCGAAGCACAGAGCCGGCCGCCGGAACGATTGCCTATTAGCGGGAGATTACTTTTGCGGTCCACCCAGGCGGGGCACTTTATACTCCCGTTCATGAAAGCAAACAGTGCGCTTCAACAGTGTGGCGACGGCGACGACGACGACGAGGGATGCAGAGGTCCACCTGCAGCCTTGGACAAAGACGCTGCAGTCGCATGAGCCCGTTGTAGCAGTGTGGTGCAGTGAATGATGGGTGAAGGAAGATGACAAGACGGTGTGAGGGAAGGAAGACGACGAGGGAAGGCAGAGAAAAATGCCCAGCACGCAACACGCTGTATGTGTGCTACTAGACAAACGCAGCCTCGACAAGGCCATACGAGCCGCAGACGTCAGTGCAGTCACTGCACAGGTCGCCCCAGGCGCCCCAGGCTGCGCAACACCTATGCAGCTCCAACGCAATACGCCGCGCGCTCAATCAATGCATTACATCTCATACCAGCAGCCTGTCCTCGACAATCTCCTCCTCCTCTTCCTCGGGACCCATGGCGCCCACACGCTGCAGAACACGCTCAACGACAAACGGAAGGATACGCTCGCGTTCGCGGCGCTCGCGCTCCTGTCGACGCTTGGCCTCGGCGCGTAGCCTGGCCAGCTGGATCTCAAGCTGGGCGATCCGCTCGTTCGACTCCTCGAGCGACTTGGCGTTCGAGAGGTATGTGCGGGCCAGGGAGAGGGCAAGGAAGATGCCTGTCGACATGACAAAGATGGGGATCATGGCTGCTGCATAAGTGTGAGTCCTCTAGCAGGCTGGCGCAGGAAACCGGGGGCCGAGCTCGAACAGTCATGTCATAGTGTTCCTGTTGAGCTCAAAGAGGCCTTGGGGCACTCACCTGGAAAGATGTCACGGTACCAGACCGTGTATGCCGTCTCACGCTTGCCACTTCCACTGCTTCCCCCGCTCGAGCTGTGTCCGGTGTTGGGTCCCAGAGCGCCGCCCCGGGGGACGAGGGGCGAACCCGTTGCACTTTGGATGGGAGTACGGCCGAGGCTCGAGGACGCATGCAAGCTTCGTGCCCGGAGAGCAGTGGCGACAGACGACGACACACGGGTTGATGGCGGACCTTGGACAGAGAGACGGGCGAGGGCTGGTGACAATGTCGCGCGAGCGGCGACGACGCGCCCAAGTCCGAGAGGGCGAAGGGACATTGTGATTGATTTGCAAGTCACGAAGCTGATTCAAGCAGTGTAGTGTAGTGTGTCGTGGAGAGTATCGAGGACGTCTCTATCTTGTATTCTCGGAGCCGTTACCGAGGCTGGTCCAGCAGTCGTTGATATGGCGTTGTTGGCGTGAGCGTGGGTACGATGTGGTGGGATGAGAGCATCGGCGTCGAGCAGTCCGACCACCCGGACGATCTGTTGAGCGCATGAGCGCGGAACCAAAATGTCTGGAAACGTCATGGCCGTCTCCGAGCAGTCCGACACAGGCAACGAACCGCGGAACGAGGGAGAGGGGGGCAGGCAGCTCTCTCTTTCTTTCACAAACTCGATGCTTCGTTCTCTTTCTGCTCTTCGTCCTCTTGCACGTTCCTTCTCCACAATGTCGTCCCCTTACACCGTCGTCAACACCAAGAGTATGTAGCTGAGCCGTATGCGCATCCGGCATGCAGCTGACTCGTCAGGCGCCCCCGCCGCTATCGGCCCCTACGTCCAGGTGAGTGTCTTTACGCGCGGTGGGCAAGCAACATAACTGACATCACAGGCTGTCAAGCACAATGGCGTACGTTGAGCCCAAGTAGACAACCGGCTCACTGACAACAGATCATCTACGCTTCGGGCGCCATCCCCCTTGACCCCGAGACCATGACCGTCGTCGAGGGCGGCATCAAGGAGCAGACTGTGAGTTGTCTGGCTTTTGCTCGTCCCTCTTCACGCTGGTTGCAATACCTCCCTCTGTGCTCATGCTAACATGACCAGGCCCGTGTCATCAAGAACATTGAGGGTGTGCTCGCCGCCTCGGGCGCCACCAAGGCCTCGATCCTCAAGACCACCTGCTTCCTCAAGGACATGAACGACTTTGTCGCCTTCAACGAGGTCTACTCGGCCTTCTTTGGCGAGACCAAGCCCGCCCGCTCGTGTGTCGAGGTCGCCCGTCTCCCCAAGGATGTCCTTGTTGAGGTCGAGTTCATCGCCGCTGAGGTGCTCTAAAATGCTTGACATAGCTAGATGGATCGCGTCGACGCGTCACTCGTCCGTGTTTTCTACTAAACGCCCCGCCTCCTGACACCCTCAAGCACTGTCTTCATTCCCAAGAACGCGTTCTCAGCAATCTTTTCTTTCCTCTTGCACCATTGCACTGTTGCTCGTCACGCCTTGCGCTCCAGCGCTCACGGCGCTCCTGCGTTTGGTGGGCGACCAGCTCACCCAAAGGGTCTGACTGGATACGACGTCGTTACGTAAACTCGGCCGAGATCATTCCCCCACACTGTTTTCCTTAATCGAGAACTGAGAGACACCCCCCAGCTGCAGGTCAGCTGAGGGAAGCAGCGTCAGAGACGAGGAGCTTCGAGACGTGAGAAGAAAACATGCCGGCCCAGCGGAGCAGCAGAGAGAAGGCTTTATTGGTCTACGGCACATGTTTGGGTTTCTGAGCACACAGGAGCGACACGGGAAATGACCGGCCTCCACTTTGGATGTCGGGATTTCAATGATCAATGTCAAGCACCGAGCCGGTGAAGCTGCACGAGCACAAGAGGTTGGGGTATGCGCAACTATCCGCGCGACGTCGACGAGTCAGTCACTGCATGCAGACTAATGTGCCACTTGCTTCACCATTTGGTGTGCCGTCGGCCATCAATGTGCAGCCAGTCGTGAGTGACCGTGCTCTTTGATCCCGAGCTTTTGCGTCAGGAACCTGACGCGTGTTGATGATCACGTCCACTTGGTACCCACTCATCGATCACACCTCGACACCTCGACACTGTGACACCCATGACACAGGTCTCCGTGAGCCCTCCATCACTTTGTTTTCGTAATCGCATCATAATGTGTATAGTATGACTGTGATGAGGATGACGGCATCCGAGGCGTCACAGGAGGTATGTACAGACGCTGCTGTGCCGTGTCAGAAACAAAGCGCGCGCTGACGCTTTGCTAGCCCTGCGCTTCCTGGCCAAGTGGCAGCCCACATGTACCTCCCTTAGTATACGTGGTCCTTTCAACGACGATGGCGTGGTATGTCTCTTTGAATGCCTGGCCGCGGACGACGCCCCGTATGGGCCCCAGGAAGTAACCGCGATCACGTTGAATTCGGCGTCTATGACTGACCGCGGGCTGCGGTCGGTCCTGCGGTACTGCGCTGCCAACAAGAACGTCACTCGTGTGGACCTTCGCCATAACGATATTACAGTAAGTGGGGCGTTTGCGGCAGGGCTATTTGTCCAATGGAGAGCTAACATGGAGGCAGTTGGAGGATGAAGAGATTGCGACACTGCTCAATGGGTCCAATGTGGATCACTTGGTCTTGGGAATGAACTGGCTGGACAGCCGGGGCACCAGTGTCTTCTTCAACGCTCTCGATGCTCCAAGCCTTACTTGCCTCTTCATGGACCACTGTTGCCTGGCAGGCGACGTTGTTCCTGCCGTTGCGGACTTTGTCGCCGCGCCACGGACAAATGGCCTGGTCGACTTGGTGCTGCGTCGCAACGCCGATTTTGACGTTGCACAGTGCACTTGCATCCTGGACGCCATTGAGGGCGCAAACTACACTCTACTCTCCGTTACTGCCGTGTTACCGGACGATGTTCCGGTTTTTCTGCGGCGCCGCGCCGAAGACTTGGAGACTCGGAACAACCTGCACCACACTCGACTGATTCGGGCAACGCTCAAAGGGCTTGTTGCAGCTCGCATCATCCTCCATGGGCGCCAGCCAATCGCCGAGGATGGGGACATGGAGGACACGGGCACAGACACGGACAGTTCACGTCGACGCCGGCGCCGCGGCTCTAGAACGCCATCGCCCGTGTATGTGCGCAACACGTATCGCTGGGCGCTCCATCGCGATCAAGCGGGCAGTGCGGCATCTCAATCTCAGCAACCAGAAGCAGAAGACCCCAGCAGACAGCAAGAGACCATCGTCCCGGGCACTGAACGACAACAGGCTTCGCCACCCCGCCCATTTCCGCTGCTCCGACTGCCCCGCGAAATCCAGCTGTTAATCGCGCGCTACTGCACCGAGGACGAGACTGCGCTGAGTGAATCCCAGTGGAGAAGGGTCATCCGCCATGCCAGCGACCCCGATAGCCTGTCTCGGAAGGCGAGGGATTGGGCGGCTTGGTGTCATCGGGTCAAAGCGCGTGTGCCGATGGAGAAACGCCTGGTGCGTGAATTTCTTTGGACCCAAATGAAGGAGTTGGGGTGTTTCAGCTGGGAGTGGAACGAAGGCCGCGCACCACCACTGCCTACAGCGGTAGCTGCCTCGGTATGACTCTGACTGCATGACTGTTGCCGTAGACGTCAATGTATTGGTAGTAACTGTGTCTAGGGCGGTGTTCGCGTCAGTATCGTCTAGGTCAATGGGAGGATAAGTTGACGCAGCAAACAAGAATAATCTGGGATCCATCTACTAATTTTATCACATCCGTGCACTAGATCGTGGCCTAGGGGTGGTGGTGGTGAGAGACTGTAATGACGAGAGACACAACCTACACGCGGCACCTGACGAGACGCTTACTTGCGCTGGCCGGGGAAGACCATGGTCGGGGGCAGCGAGGTGACGGGGGGCAGCAGGGCGGCGGCGGCCGAGCGGGCGTTCTGCTGGAGGAGCTGGTCCATGATGACGATGGCGGCCATGGTCTCGACGATGGGGACGGCGCGCGGGACGACGCAGGGGTCATGGCGACCGCGGGTGGCGAGGGTGCCGGCCTTGCCGTCGTACGTGGCGGTCTGCTGCTCCTGGCTGATAGTCGCGGGGGGCTTGAAGGCAACGCGGAAGTAGATGTCCTCGCCGTTGGTGATGCCGCCCTGGATACCGCCCGACCAGTTGGTAGTGGTACGCAGGCGGTTGTCGCCGTTCTCGGGGTCGGCGACGAAGGGGTCGTTGTGCTTGGAGCCGGGGAAGGTGGTGCCGCGGAAGCCCGAGCCGACCTCAAAGCCCTTGGTGGAAGGGATCGAGAGCATGGCGTGGGCGAGGACAGCCTCGAGCTTGTCAAAGCAAGGCTCGCCGAGACCCAGGGGGCAGTTGCGGATCACGCAGGTGACGGTACCGCCGAGCGAGTCGTTGCGGGCCTTGGCGTCGCGGATAGTCTGCTCCATCTTCTTCGAAGTCTCGGGGTGGGGGCAACGGGTGATCTCCTTGTCGACCTCCTCGCGGGTCACGTTCTTGACCAGGTCAAGGTACTCCTTGCCGAGGACCTCGTCCTCCTCCTGGGTGAAGGGGAGGGCGACAGGGCCAACCGAGCCGACAAACGCGACAATCTCGACACCGTAAGCCTCCTTGAGGTACTTTTCAGCAATGGCACCGGCGGCGACACGGCCAATGGTCTCACGGGCCGAGGCGCGGCCACCACCCGACGAGGCCTTGACGCCGTACTTGGCGAGGTAGGTGTAGTCGGCGTGCGAGGGACGGGGGTAGAGGTCGGTCTCGGTGTAGTCGTGGGGACGCTGGTCCTTGTTCTGGACAACCATGCCAATCGGGGTGCCGAGGGTGACACCGTGCTCAGTACCCGACTGGACGCGGACAGTGTCGAACTCGGAGCGCTATTGTTCGGTCAGCAGCCGAAATGCGCAGTCTGTGTCTCCTCTTCAATCGAGGAGACTGCAGGTAAAGCTAAAGCATAGCAGAGGGGATAATAGCTGGAGCCAATGTAGCCATTGACGACGGTAGTTCCCATCCCCCAGCTCCTTCTTGCTCGCTGCGCTTGCTAGCCGGCGGCACTCACAGGAGTGGTAATGTCGGACTGACCAGGCCTCCTGCGGGAGAGCTGGACCTGAATGTCCTCCTCGGTAAGGGTGAGTCCGGGGGCACGCCGTCGACGATGCAGCCGACCGACTTGCAGTGGCTCTCGCCGTACGTGTGCACCCTGAAGAGCTTGCCGAAGGACGACATGGTAGGTGTTGTTTTGGGGGGGGAGATGGAGATGGAGGTGATGGAAAGGAAAAGTTCGGACCGAGGAACAGGCCACAGCACATCGCTCCCCACTTTCGACTCGACCGATCGTAGCAGCGGCGGACAACAGAAGGGGGCTGACCGGAATCAAATTTGGCCACGTGGGTGCAAGCTGAGATCGAGATCTGTCTTTCAGACCTCACTTGCCGCAAACCGAATTGCAGCAGCGAGACCATTTGTTGACAAAACACACATCAACAGCTGCCACCAGCTACCAATGTCGTTCCGGAACAAGCGGCAGCGCAACGACGACGACAAGGCGCCAGAGGGCTCTGCCCAGGTCCTCCCCGTCGCCCAGATTGCCGACGACTTTGACGGCGAGCCCATGGACGGCGCGACGTACCTCGCGTTGGCACAGTACGTTGTTGCCACTTGTCCCTCCTTCCCCATGTCGCTGACCATGCCGCACAGCCGCGCAAACGCCAAGCTGCCGTTCCAGAAACGCGTCGACGTCCCGACCCCGGCCGAGCCCACGACGGCGGTACCCGTCGCTTCGACCTCGACCTCGGCATCTGCGTCCGCCTCGTCCTCTCGCCACCCTGCCCTGCCGCAGGAATCATGGCCTGTGATCTTTGCAGCGCACTTTGGGGGATACCGCGCCAACATGGCCTTGCGGTGGCCGCCTAAACCGCGTCTGCCTTATCCGGCCGAGTACCCGCCGCTGCCCAAGCCACGCGACCGTGCCGGTTGGCTGGGGTTCATCGACGGCCACGAGATGCCTGGCGCGGCGGCAGACGAGGAGGAGCAGTGGAATGAGGCTGCCGAGGAGGCAGGGGAAGGGGAAGGGGAAGGGGAAGGGGAAGGGGAGTGGAACGAGGAAGACGCCATGAACGGGGAGGAAGACGCCATGAACGAGGAAGACGCAACGAACAGCGCCGAAATGGACATGGACGACGAAGAGGCGTGGGTGCGTGCCGGCGCACCGCCGGCCCATGTCCCGCGCGAGCCGCTCGTCTCGGTCCTCCAGGCCCTCACGACTGTACGTGTCAACTTTACGCCATGCTTGATTACCCACCCGCTGACACGTGCTCTCCCACAGTTTGACATCCTCGCGATCCTCAAGCACCTCACAAAGGACATGACGCTGTCAGTCTCCGCCGACGCGGCCGACCCACTACCCGCCCACCGCGCGCGGTGGATCTTCGCCCTCCTCGCCATCCTCGAACCCACGCTCGAGCGCGACGACCTCGTGCGCCTGCGCGACCTCGCGCGCGCCGCGTCGGCAGCGGGCGAGGCGTACTGGCGCGCCGCGTGCTCCAGCTCCAGCTCGAGCACCTCCACCTCGAACGCACTGCAAGTGACGCCGGTGTATCCGGGCTTTTACGGCTCGCAAGCGCCCCCGACGGTCCTGGGCGAGGTGGGCGTGGACCACGCGCAGACGGCCCAGTGGGCGCTGGGCGCGCGGTGGAAGCGCAGGCGCGACGAACGGCCGCGGTCCGAGCCGACACCCAGGCCCGAGAGCGTCGAGGCTGGCCATGAGGGGACCGGTGTGGATGAGGCGCTGGCGCGCTGCTGGGTCGTCAAGCATGCTGTGGCGGCTGGGTGGGCGCAGTGGGATTTACTCGACGACTTTGAGAGGGCGTTCAAGAGGCTGCCGAGGCCGTGAAGGCGGGGTGCGACATGGAATGTACAATGTAGATTACCGCATGGCATGAGTTTTTTTGTGGCAAACCGAGCGATCCAGAGCGGCAGCTGCCACTCGTGTTAGGAACTCTATGCTCCCGTGGTCCACCTTTCGCTGCCCCCACTCTAGCTGAGACCTATGCATACTCTGGTGCTCTAAAATACCTGTAGCGCTACTGATGGGACAACAATGACGTGCGGAATCCGATGCGAATGTGATGCCAAAAACGGGGGTGAGGGGGAGAGGGTTGCGTGAGGGTGGGGGTGGTGGGGGGGGGGGAATAACGACAGTGTACGGTAGGTAGGGAAGTTTCACAGCGAGGCCGCCTCGCGGTGCTGTGGAGTGTCCATATATGTACTTTAAGGGGAAATGGCCTGCTCCTCGCTACACTCGCACTAAGCGTCCGCTCTCAGACGCGTGCGGAGCAGCGTGAGCAGCCAGTTGGCGTCATAGTCGGCGACACCGGGACGCGTCATGACGATGGCGTCTGGGGCGGCCGCCTCGTCGCGGAACGTGCTCTTGGCCAGAGACGAGCGGCGCGGGGGTTGGCGGTCGCGCGAGGAGAAGAGCGGGGGCGGGAACGACTGGCCGCCCGTGACGGCGGTAGGGGACGCGTTGGCGCTGGCCCCGGCCCAGGCCCCGGCGTACGGGTCGCGGGGAGGGAAGGTATAGTTGGAAAACGACGACGCCGCCTCAACGACGGTGGGGCCGGCAGTGGGCGCAGCGGGGGGTACCTCGAACTGGACCTTGCTCGGACGACGGGCGTAGTTGTAGCGGTTTGGGTCGGCGGCCGAGCTCGTGATCGAGAGTCCTGGCGAGAGGGCCGGGGACGACGCGCCCGGCGTGGTGCGCTGGGGGTTTGCTGCCGACTCGGCGGCGCGTGTGATGGCGCTGATCTTGGATGCCATGACACAGTCGTGTTGAGCGCGGAACAGCTTGAAGGGGAGCCACTTGTCGGCAAACGTGTTGACGGCAACGTCGTAGTTTGCGTAAAACACAATCACGTGCGGTGGGACCCAGCCAGGGACACCCTTGCGCGGCGGCGACGCGGGCGTGAGCGGCACCAGGACCGGGTGCAGCGTCAGGCGCGGCAGAATGTAGGCCATGTCGTCGTGCGAGAGCAACTCGTCGAGCATGGGAACCACGGCGCGCTCCAAAGCCGAGAGAAGGCGACCCACACGGGGACCGCCGACGCGAATGGCCTCGGGCGCCATGTTGCGGACAATGACCGACAGCAGGTCCATGCCCTCGAGCCAGGTAACAGCCTCGCCAATCTCCTCGAGGGTTCCGGCCAGCGAGTCGGTGACGTTGACAGGGAGGCCCGGAAGCGTTGAAAAGGTGCACACTTCGCGCATCGGGAGCTGCGACCGGCTCTTTTGGTTGAGCAGGATACGCAGCCCGTCAAACGGCGTTGCCTGGACCACGACCACGCCCGCATAGAGCGTGTTGGGGCGGAGCGACATGCGCATCGTCGAGTCGCAGAACCCGCGCATGTCCTCGAGAAGAGGCATGACGTGGTCATACGGCGTCGACAGCGTCTTGTGGAGAGAGGTAGCGACCGACGTCGTGTCGGCAAAGATAAAGTGGCGCGAAAGAAGGTCGGAGCGCTCCTGCTCCGAGGTGACGCGGCGCACGAGGAAGATGAGTTGGCCCTTGGAGACTGTGTCCTTGCCGTTACGAAGACGCACCCAGCCAGTGGTGAGGATCTGGTCGTAGAGTACACCAAGACGGCCAATGCCCTCGTTCTGACCGGTAAGACGGACGGAAAGCTGCGTGGCGCAAATGGCAAACTTTTCAAGGAAGCGCGCGACGTTGAGGCGAGTGTTGCCCGCCACCATACTGGACGCGAGCGAATCTGCGGCCGTGACGGTCGATCCGCGGTGCTGGAGGTGCGGCACGTCGGATTGCTGCTGCTGCTGGTCCTGCTCCTGCTCTGGAAGCGGCGCCTCCTCGACAGGGATGGTGGGCGAAATGTCCGTCAACGACGAAAAGGGGTTCATGGCCGACCAGAACGGGTTGCGCCACGACCATGACATCTTGACGGCCTGGACGAATGCCTCGTTGGCAGTGGTGAGGTCGACGGCAAGAGCCGAGCTCTCGGTCGACGACGCGCCGTCGTGGATGGACCTGGACCGCTTCTTGCTCTTGACAGGCTGGTCGGCAGTGGTGAGGGACGCAATGTCACACATGGGCAAAAGGCCGTCAATGGCACTGACGAGCATGCGGTCATGCTCATCAAGCAGCACGGAAGCGACGACAACGCGACGGCGACGGGCACGTTCCTTGCGGTCGCGCATAGAGTTGATCATGATGAACGCAATGACGCCGAGGCACGCCACGAACGCGAGGGCCGCCACGAGACCTGTGATGGCTCGTTTTGTTCCGCTAATGGCACTGGACGAATTGGGCTTTTTGCCGACACGCCAGCCGTAGATGGTTCCCTTCATGGCCGTGTAGTGCATGCCGCAAACGGCTCCGGCGAGAATGATGGCGACAACGGTCTTGGACGTCCACGAGTGCTTGAGTTTTGGGCGGAGCATGATGAACATGATGTAAAGTGCAATGATGACGGCTCCCGAGGCGATAATCACAGAGCCCACAACGTAGCTGACACGGTAGGCAGTGTACGGGATGTCGTTGATCGAGACTTGGCCAATGTAGTCTGCACATTGTCAGTTTAACGGTAGAGGCAATCACCCGTGCAACTTACGCATCGCGGCCACACCCCATCCAGCAAACATGCCCGTGAGGCAAATCTTGATCACACCACCCCACGTGACAATGTCCAGACCAAAGAAACGCTGGGTGCGCTCCCAGGTGGTGAGCGGCGTGCCAGCCTGGATCTTGTCGCGCAACCTCTTGCGCCAGCCGCGCTTCTTCTCGGCCACGTATTCGTGGTCCTCTTCGTACAGCACGTGGTGCGACAGACTGCTCTGCTCGGCCATCTCGTCCTGTCCCATGGGCATACCGCCGTTGGCATGGCCGTTTTGCTCCTTTGAGTCGTCCGAGTTGCGCTGGACGGCGAGCTCGACGTCGTGTTCGTGCTCTGGCAAGCTCTGGATACGTGCCAGAGTCTGGGCGACGCGAGGAGGGGGAGGGGGCTGGAGAACTGGGAGAGACGCCCGGCGCGGGAACGGCGCCGGTGGCGGGGCACGCAGGAGCGGCACGGTGCCGTCGTTGTGGTTGTTCCAACCTCCTGGAGGAATGCCGTCGGGCAAGGGAGGCGGCACTTCGGTCTTGCGGGGGATCAAGTTGGTGGTGGAGCTAGTGTCGATGGGGGAGCGAGGGGGGAACTGGTAGTCGGGGCTGAAGACCTGGTGGGGAGGGGTAGGAGGGCGGAGGTTCTGCGGCTCGGCGGCAACGTCACGCACAGCGCCACCGGTGGGGTAGTATGCAGCGAGTGGCGACGTTGGGAGGCTGCTCATGATCGCGGGCATGCCACCGTCGGAGCTGTTTGGCGACTGCAAGGCATCCGACGTGGGCGACCCGACACGCAGGTGCCGCCTGTCAATCTCCTCGCGGACGGCCCCGCGGCCAAAGCGAAAGTCGAGCTCGCCGAGGTCCTTGTCGTATTTAACCATCTGGTCCTCGTTGTCAAAGTCGCCGTTCATGTACGGCATGGTGCTCTGCTGCTGAGCTTTCGGTGTGGCCAGGAAAATGTCCTTCCAGCTACGCGGTGCCTCTTTGGTGGCGGCCATCTTTGGGTTGTCCATGAGCGACCAGCTGGCGACCATGCCTGCCTGCTGGAAGATGGTGCCGACATTGGTGCTCCTGTGGGCCGCGCGCTTCTGGGCCTTCCAGCGAGAATAGTCGTTGCGTGCGTCCTGTCGCTCACGCCGGCCGCGGCATGGCCAGTACCAGTTCCGCCATCGAATGTCGGTGCCCATGACGAAAAAGGCAAACGTCATGGCAAGACACGACGCCACGAGAGAAAGGACCGTATAGGCGGCTGAATACGTGAGGGCAAGGGTCTCTTCCAGGTCCGGGTGGTGGAGTGTGAGACTCTGGTTGCCCACAAAGTGCATGGCAAAGGTGGAGACTGCGCCAAAGCAGATACCAGCGAACGCGAGAAGAATGAGGTTGGACGCGCCGCGGTTGGAAGTACGTCGGATGAGAAGTTCGAGGGTGCACATGGACCCCACAAAGGAAATCAGATATGACAAGACGACAAAGCCCGCGTTGACGGATTGCTCGAGCTCGACAACATCGTCCGGTACGCGGTAGTACCCGTGGTCTGTACGGCGAGCAATGTCGAGCTGGGTCCACGCAGCAGCGTTGCCGCCTGTTTCTCGTCGAGAAATCGAGACGGCAGCTCGTGCAGTGTCCTGGAGAATGTTGAGACCTGCAAGCAGCGCCGTCTCGGCTATTCGTGTTGTCCAGCTGCTAGCACTACGGTAGCCCGTGGTGCTTGGTGGGTCGGAATAAGGAAAGGGAGCAGAAATGGGAGTGTCGGTCGGAAGGGAATGTGGATCGTAGCCTGTACGGTGTCCACGGGCACGATGAGGAGGAGGTACGGGGGACGCGGCCGCGAGATAGGGCGCGGTGAGAACGAGGACAAACGCGATCACTCGTGCGTTGCGACGCAGTGCTCGACGGTACCGGCGGGCCGGAGGCGGCGGCGGCGGCGGCGGAGGGGACTGTCCGAGCCGCAAGCGCGACGACGACGCGACTGGCGTGTCGTTGGAGGCGACCATCGCTGTCGTTGCGGGGCTAGGACTGTCAGCACCGAGCCGGGCAAGGTGTTGCCATGGACGAGGCTGGGGGAGGATGGACGGAGGGGTGAGGTGGTGTTTATATGGGGGGGGGGGGGGGGTTGGAGGAATGCAAGAAGCGAGAAATGGTAAGGGAGTGGTGTGGTGTGTGTGCGTGTGGAGATGCAGGCTGCCGTGACGATGAAGAGCGACCGGCGCGCGCGCGCGTGTGGGACAACGAGATACAGCAGATGGTTGTGGCGGCACACGTTTGGATTGAAATGAAATGGGGGGCAGGCGAGTGGGTGCTACTCACGAGGAGGAGGAAAGGGTCCGTGCCCCGCAAGAGACAGAGGGAGGTGTCCGCCAGAGCCTGTCTGGCAGCGATGGATGGGCGGAGGGAGAGTGTGAGGAGTTGAATGGGGGCGACGAGGAATGGAATGGGGATAGCTGGACGATGTGGACGATGTGGACGATGTGGACGATGGTAGAGAATGGAGGTTGCCTGGCCGGTGTGGCCGGTGGAGAAGGAACAAGGACCGACGATGGAGAGAGACGGGACATGGAGATCGAGCAGAGACACAAGCCGCGCGCGAGCTGGCGGTGGGCGTGGGCAGGCGGGCGCGCGGGCGGGGGAGCACGCGCGGGACAGAGGCGAGAGGGGATGAGGGACACAGGCGGACGGCCCGAGGGCGTGGAGGTGTGTGTTCAGGGAAATCAGGGTTTGCCAAAAAATGATCGAGCCGGACGGGGAAGACGCGGAGGGAAGGAGGGAAGGAGGGAAGGCAGGGGAAGGCGCTTCTAATTGTCGGCGTGCGCGCCGCCGCTGCTTGCCATGGTGTTCTCCTTTTTTCTATTGTATTGTATTGGGGGGGAACAGAAACATCCCGAGATCCGACACACCAAAACCGTCGTCGTCGGTCGCGTCTAGGAAGCGAGAAATGCATTAGCGAACGCAGTCAAAAATGGTTGCGGGCGGGCGGGCGGGCGGGCAGGCAGGCAGGCAGGCAGGGCAGACCGCGCGCGGCTTGGAACCGAATGGGACACACCAAATGTTCCAGCCCAAAGGTGTGTTACCAGAAACGACAAAGTGCACTGTCCGCGCGCGATCGAAAACAAATGTATGTCGCAAAGAAGCCTTTCTCACACACATGTTATACAGATCTCCGCACTTTATTGAGCTGCTGCTGCTTCTGCTGCTGCTACGGAGCTAGGGTGCGAAGCACACCGACTGGGGTCGCACATGGCACATCGCTGGCCTGTGCGTATCGAGTTGGGGGCAACCAAGCGATAGCGGCTGGCGTGGACGAGATGTGACTCTCTGCACAACATACACCGACGGTAATGTCAACTGCCGCCTGAACCTTGTGGCGCGTTGTCACTTTGTGACTTTTGCGGGGCAATATAACTTTGGCACATTGCCCTCACAAGCAACTAGCCACAGGTGGTGTCGAGGCACGCTCCGTTTTCGATCAAGTTGGGACGACCACGAGGCCGGCGAGGTGCATGTGGCTGTAGCCGTCGTCGTCCAGGTGGCCAGGGTGATGCACGACGAATAAGGGGGTAATGGGTGGCACGGGCTGCAACAAAGATGGGATCGACGGACGGACGCGAAGCAACAACAACGCAGTGGCCACATGTCGCCTAACGAGCGGGCGTGCGCACCAGCTGGTAGGCGGGTCAACCGCTCTCGTTTAGGGCTAGCTCCATGACGCTTAGACCTTTGTGACGGGTGTACGGCAACCATGACGCGAACAGTTAGCCGACACGAAACGTCACGATCGTGACGGACCGTCTGCCACAAAAGGTGTAGGCCGCCTCTCAAAAGTGTGGTGTTGGGGTCTTCCCCGGCCTTGGTCGCGACATGCCTGACGCGACCAGGCGGCACAGAACATGGCCTTTCACGGTATGTGGCACCCACGCAGCACGCAGCGACTGCCTCGCTGCCGTCCGCATGTTTGACCCAGGGAGAGGTCCGACAGAGCGAGTATGAGCTGCCGTCGGCCTCCTTCTACCGATCTGCCACAGCGTGAGCCACGTTGACCACGCTCCTTGGATCCTGGCTGGGCTTCTCCCACGTCCCAGCAGGCTGCAGGCAGCAAAAGGGCCGCGCGACAGCGGAGGGTTGCGATCAGCATTTACGCCGGAACGCAATCGTCTCCTGCGATATCCCACATTCCAATCCTTTGCCTCCTGAGCGCCTGAGCATTCCTGGGTAATGGTTCCACGTACCGATATAGACATTTACCTACTGCATGTGTCCGGCCTGACTCTGCTGGCGACTACGGTGCTCGATACAACAGGCTCACCACTTGTTATACCTTTTTGTACCCTCCGACTAGCCCAGAGGCCAGAGGTACAGAAGGTAAGGTACTGTCGAGCCGGACGCCCGGCGCCACCGTTTGCCTGTGAGGGAGGACATGTCGGCGGACGCCGCACGGCCACAACACTCAATTTGACTGCAGGGTGTGTAGGCGGCAGGCGTCGGCGCCTCAGACGCTAGTGGCCCCCAAGGTGTTGGCCAGCAGCAGAAACACCGTGTGCGCGCTCACGATCTGTAAACGTGGACAATGGTTGCACAGGCGCACAGGTGGAAGCGACAGCCTCTTCGCCACCACCACCACCACGCACAACGTCACCATGCACATACATATGCACATGTGCGGGCCATGCAGTCTCTCCCCCACCCACATGCACTCAGTCACTTGGAGTACGCGCTCCCCTCCCTCAGGGTCACCCCGATCGACATTACTCTTCAACACACACACACACACACACACGCCCCGATCGCAAGGCACGTCTCTCTGCCTCTCTCGCTCTGAGCCATCTGATCCCAGGGCAGCGGCCTGAAAAGGGTCCATTCTAAACCCTAACAGGGCTCGAAGGGAACGCACGATTCCCAAACATCGCCGCTTACTGCAGCTTTCGTGCGGGGGGGGTGACGACAGGCCGCCTGTAACCCGGTCCGGGGTTCGAATCTTGACACTGCCGGTGCGACTTGCACGAGGCGGTGGAGATTTGCGCCGGCCACCACGCACGCGTGGTTGGGATCAGCGGCTGAAAAAGATTGCCCCCCTGGAGCCGAGCCGCTGCCTCGTTTGTGGTACGTCGAAGAGCGCAGAGCAGAAGCGGAGGGCCGGGAGGGAGACATGAAACGTGCCGTAACTTTGGTCTTGCGGGTCTTGCATTCTTGCGATTAGGATTTAGATTTTGGACACAATTGGACTTGACTTGTAAATCAACCACGCGCTTGCTCCCCACTCGTGCACTCGTGCACTCGTGCACACGCGCCACTGCCCACTCGGTTCCTCTGCCCGCCGCGGTCTCGGTCCCTCATTCGGTCTGTTCCTCGGCACTCTCGGTGCGGCGAGACGCGGCTGCACGGCTGTTTCGCCTGTCGACCTGGTGGATTTGGACCCGCGCCGTCGTCGTCTGCTTCTCCCGTGGGCCGTGGGCCGTGTGGGCCGTGGGCCGGTGTATAGTACAGTATGTAAATGGAAAGCGTGCGTAGTTGGGGGGGGTAGTAACCACCCCGCGGATGTGGCATCGCCGAGTCAAAAGCTCTATTGCTAGATCTCTGGATCTTGGGATCTGGACAGTCGCATCTCAAAATGTAGTCCCTCTCCCTCTCCCTCCCCATCCCCTCGCAGAGATGTACAGGCAGTGTGCAGTGGTTCCATTACATGCCTACTACAACGCAAACCATGCGGACGAATACGAGAGGGAACAGACAGAGAAGAAGAAGACAAATCGGGAAACACGCGCGTGATAGTGGTTGCTGGGTTGACTGGACTTCGCGTGCCGGGTGGGGCTGGCGCGGGCACTGCGCGGTTGGCACCGTGAGTTGGCGGGCGGGTGGGTGGGTGGGTGGGCTTTCGGACGAGACGGGACTCTTTGGAACAAAACGAAACTTGGGAGGCAGAGGCGCGAGAGTGCTTGTTTGTACAACAATTCAAAAATGGGGGCCATGACAGAGCCATGAGGGCAGCAATGACGAGGTTGGAGTTTGCGAGGTAATCCACTGGTTTCCGGTGGTTCCCCCCGACACAAGGTCTTCCTTGCTAATATGCGTGGGCAGTGATCGTGGAGGAAACGCGAGAGGTCCTGGGGTTACAACTTGACGGGGTTGGTCGGGGCCCCTTGCTTCAGAGCACAGCTCAGTTGCAGAGGAACCTGCGGTTCAGGCAGTGCTGAGGGAGTTGTCAGCGGGGAACCACCACAATCGTCGCGCGCGCGTCCTGGCGTCCTGGCCGTGACAGCACGAGGCACACTTTTCACTCACCACATCGCGACAGAACGTCGGCCACGAATACAAGATGCGCCGCACGGGCGTTTCCTGGTCCAGGAGCGCCAGCGCCGTGGGGTCACGCACGCCCTGGAGCTGGGCTTCGCGGCGGCGGCGCTCGCGCTGCTCGGCTTCGGCGCGCGCCAGCTCGACCTCCCAGCCAAACAGCTCGTGGAAGAAACGCAGGTTGGGCTGGATGAGGACGTTGAGGCGCCGCGCACGGGTGACGAGGTACGCGTCCATCAGGCCCATGTGGCGGTACTTCATGAGATATGCCATCTGGGGGGAAGCAAAGTGTCAGCCGGGGGGTTACGGTACGGTATTATGGCGGCACAGGCACAGCGGCCCGGTGCCACGGTGCGGTGCAGCACCGGCTTCCTGCTCGCCGAGACAATGGAGACAGATGAAAACACTCACGACAATGCTTGCGCTGCGCGACACGCCCACACGGCAGTGCACGAGCACACTGCCACCTGAAGCTCTGGCCTGCTCCATCCACTCACACGCGCGCGCGATGACAGGCCGGAGGGGGTCGTTGCCGTCGTCGCGGACGTCGGCGAGGTCCAGGACTTGGATGTGGCCCATGCGGGCGGCAGCGGCGAGCGTGTTTCCGCCGACATACCCGTGCATGGGGTCGTGCTCGTTGGGTCCGTCCAGCAGACTCTCGCCGACCGAGACAACATGCGTAATGTTCAGTGCCTTGAGCATGGTCGCGTTGCCGGCGTGCTCGAGGTTGCCGAGATAGAGGAACGGCAGGATACGGCTTGGGAACCCGTCAAAGCGCTTGTCCTCGAACCAGACGCGTGCGTCTTGGGACATTTGGCTGCCGCCACGGCCCTCGTCGACGAGGATACGGCGCGCAGCGTCAATGGCCCGCGAACCGCGTTCTGGCTGTTCGCGCAACGGCTTCTCCTCAACCGCGCCGCGCATAAAGCCCCAGGGCTTCCAGCGGGAAGCAGGGGATGCCGGGGCCGATGGGGGCGACGACTGGCCAGCGTGCATGGTCTTGATGGCGCGGTCGCGACGGTCCTGTGCAAGGCGCGCTTCGATGCGGTGCAGGAGCGGCTTGTCGGTCGGGTACAGGAAGAAGGAACGCTTGGCCTCGAGCTGGAGGTAGAGGTATGCCTCGGGTAAAGTGAGGCCGAGCGAGGCCATGATGTACGAGAGCACAACAATGGACGACTCGGTGTAGCCGTCCTGGCAGTGGAGCAGGACGGTGCGCTTGATACCGGTCTTGTCGCGGCCCTCGATGATCTTGCGAAGGAAGGTGACGAGCTCGATGACCTTGTCGGTCATGGTCGCCAGGTTGCGCATGTGACCCGTGATGGTTCGGCACGAGCCAGCACACTCAACAGCGACGTAGTGGTGCTCGGCAGCATGCTGCTGCGCATAGAGGTGCGTCTCATCGGGCGACGTGCCAAAGTCTCCCGAGCGCTGCTCTGTCGCTGGCGTCGGGACGCTGGACGGCGATAGCAGATTCCGGAGAGCCAACGTGGCCGGCGACGCAGACCACGAGGAGGCGGGCTCGGACTGGGACCGCACACGGTCCAGCGAGAGGAGGGAGCGGTATGCCACGACCAAGGTGACGTCGGTGGGCATGTCCGAGACCTCTGAAGCCTTGACGCACAGGTCAAACGGGATGCGGGCGCCTGCACCGTCATCGGCGCCTCCGGGAACGTCCGTGTCGTTGCCAACCCAGAACCCTTCAACAACCTCTGTGGCACGCGTCATGGCGCGCGACTCGTACGCCTCGCGTTCAAACAGGTCCACAAGACGCGAGTTGGACGTCTGCGATCCCTCTGAATCAATGTTGACAAGCGAAGGGCAGAAGCGTTCGACCTTGGAGAAGGGCTCCACGAGGACCCACACGCCATACTTGACAGGACGGTCGAGGCCCTCGCCCTCGCCACGGCCGACGAGGTGCTGGTACAGCTCGGTCATGCGCTGCTGGTACAGTTCTTCCTGAGCAACCGCGATCGCCTCGGCAATCTCGAGCACACCGGGACTGACGCCGTTGCGGGAATAGACGATAATGTCGGACACGGTAGCGTACTTTATCTGTTGGATGTGGAGGTTGCGCAGGTTGATCTGGTTGGGGAGGCGGGCAGCGCGGAACCGGCCCTTTGGCCTCTCGTTGCCCATGTTGGGCGAACGAGCATAGCTGGGTCGGCGACCAGGCATGGGGAGCATGGGCAGCTCAAACACGTCCTGTGCGTGGACGGCGTTCATGAGGATACACGACGGCCCAGGTTCGTCTTCGGACACGTAGCTGTCAGAGTCCGAGTCGCTGCCAGTGTCGGTGATGGCCTCGGGGACGGGGACGCTGGTGGTGCCGACACGCTTCGACTCGCAAGGGTGCATCTGGACGTCGGCGTCCGAGCCTTCCTCGTCGTCGACCTCGTGGACAGCGACCGAGCCGTCGAGATGCTTGATGGTCGAGGGAGGGGTTTCGGGGGCGAGCGACTCGGCCGTGGTGGTCGGGCTCGTGGCAGTGGTCGCGTCGGTGCCGGCAGACGCACCGCTCTGGTACGAACCCGACGACGACGACGCAGTGTCGTCACGGGTGTCGCGTGGGACATCGAGGTTGACGGGTTGGACATGGGTGTGCGGGGGCAGCTCCTGGCGGCCGTTCATCGCGACGGGGCTCATACCTGTCGTTGGCGAGGTCGCGAGCGGGGCATGGTCCATGGGATGCGGCGGGGCAAGCACGACGGTGAGACCCCGGTAGGGAGGAGCCTCGAAGGGAGGGCCATAGCCAAAGAATGCGCCCATCTCGCGCCCCTTGGCCCCGTCGTCACTGATGCCGTGAAACCAAGGGAAGACGACTTGGGACGGAGTGTCAAGCATCGAGTGACGCTCAATGAGCGTGGGCAGCTCCTCCATGCCCACCAGACGGACACCAGGACGGACCTCTGGGCGCTCGTCCTCGAGACCCCACTTTGGCATACCCCAGACGGCACTGTCGTCAGAGGTCGGGACACCCAGTTCAGGGACGGGTACTTCGACCTCGTCAATGTCCATGCGGTCGTCGACCTCGACCTCGTCCTCGGCATCCTCGTCGATCCCAAGCTCGATTTGAGCTTGTGGAGGAACCTGGGCCCCATCGACTCCGAGTAAGGGACTCGAAACTGGGGAAACTTCGGCGCTCGAGGGAAGGTCGAGGGGCGGGGCGAGAGCATGTGTGGGCGGGACACCGGCCAAAGGGTGGGGTTTGCGCGGGGTGGTTTCGCGGGCCTGGCGCTCGTCCGACGGAGGGGTATTGTTGGCCGAGCTGGCTGCCGCTGCATTGGCAGCGTTGGCCGCATTGGCAGCGTTGGCAGCGTTGGCAGCGTTGGTGACGGCCGCAGCCAAGATGTCATGCGAGTGGTGGTGGTGATGACTGAGCACGGCCTCGGACGAGCGGCAGCGCTCCATGCCCACCGCAGCCATGCCGGGCAGGGGCATGAGGTGGGTTGTGTTGACTGGAGTGGGAGGAGCAGAGATGGTGTGCAACGCCTGTGACAGGTGGGTCAAGTGTGCCGCCGTCACCGCAGCTGAGGCGGGGAGGGGCGGCGTTGCTGGGCGCGAATGTATGCGGGCGCTGGCGGGCGGTGTCGGGCTCCCGCCGCGCTCGCTACGTCCTGCTCCGGGGGTTGAGCTGCGCGACACGGCGTACCGCGCAGTCGACGCTTGGGGCAGCGGCAAGACCAGCGACATGGTGTGGTGGGTTGCTGCAAGTAAGGCCCGCTAGGTGGTGCGCGGGCGGAAAAGGTGGGCGAGAGTAACAACAGGTGAGGGTAGGTGCGTGTGGGGAGGGGGAGTGATAGGGATGGCGTGGGGGTGTGGGCGTAGATTGATATGGGGATGCGTTATGCAGAGTGTGAGGTACTAGCGAGAGAGAGAGTCGGATGCAGTGTGGATTTGCGAGGTTGCGTGTGGTTGACGACTCGGTGGGATATAGATGAGAGCGGTCGTGTGAGGGTGGATGTGTGTGGGTGGTGGTTGGCCTGGGTGGGTGGGGTGTGGGATCGGCGCAGGTAGGGAACGACGGTGGTGTGTGGGGGGATGGGCCAGGAGGATAATGGACGACCAGGCCTGTGCGGTTGAGGGACGTCCTCTTCACGATCCTCACCGAATGGAGGATGCTTGGGGGAGGCGTTCGTGGGGCGTGCAGCGGCGTCCGGGGCTGCAGAAGGGCAAAGGGACGGACTACAAGGGCAAGAGAGAGCAGAGGGTGGTTGGATTGCTGCTGCAAGACGGTCGGGGTTGGGCGACGCTAGTGTGCGTTTGTCAGACTCGCTCGGGATTGCGCGATTGCTGGCGGCGATGTCTCAGGGGGTACACCAAGCACAGTGGCCAGCGAGCAATGGCGACTGTGGCTGGGATACGCGGTAGCGGTGAGAGGAGACGAGGTGATGCTGACAGAGACACATGCACACCCACCGCTCACTGACCAGACACACCGACAACAGACCCCCCCCCCCCCCCCCCCCCCAGCTGCATTGTCTGTTGTCCGCCGCCTGCATGCCGCTGTTCGGCCCCGCTTGCTTGCTCGCAGCGCACACACTGCAGCCCTCTCCCGTGCAAGGTCCTCGATTGGTCCCAGATGACGGGGGTGTGGTGCAGCAGCATATGGGACACCAAATGGCCCAGACCAAGGCCCCGGCTCTCTCTCTCTCCCCCCCACCCACCCAGTGAGACCCAAAAGGGAGGGACGGAGGAGCTTTGCGGCCCCGGCTCTTGTTCTTTCCTTTTGCTTTTGCTCGTTTGCTGATTCCTTAAAATGCCCTGGACTGTATCCTGCAAGTGCCCCGCGGGGCCTTCATGATCTCACATCTCCCCCACACCCATCTCGTTGCTTGAAGCGAGCGATCCAGATGAGCCTGACCACACAAGTTGGAAAAAGGCGGCAACTTCCCTTGCCCCCGCGGTGCTGCTGCCACTTTGAGTGAGCCCACCTGCTGTCTGTCGGTCTCCCCGCTCCTCGGCCACACTTTCCGACGGCCCAACGGGCACAACAGCCCAGGTGCCCGCAGGAACAGTGCGGGAACCTCGGCGTCCTGGTACAGGTCACATGAGCACTCGCCAGCACTTGCCATCCAATCACAGCGAGCGCGCACAAAGGCCACAGCATCGGACTCTTGGCTACGACGCCTTGTCCCACTTCCTCGGCCCGGCGGGCAATGACGTCGACCAAACCCACAGTCCAATGCTGTCATTCTGGGCCATTCTCTCTCTGGTCGGGCAAGCGGGTGTGGGCAAAAGGTGCGGTACGTTCCTGACCTTGCTGCCTCTTGGGTCGGTCCTCTCCTGAACCACAGACGCGTCAGACCGTGTGGCGCGTCCATGACCGCCACTTCATTTATATGGGGCCTCTGGCCTACAATTCAGCAGTTGCGAACAGAAACAGAACAGCGCAGCGGGCAGTCCTGAAGGTCCCGGTGACCCCGGGGGACCCTTTGGATGCATGGCATCCTACAATGTATACCGTGTGGCACGGACATCGCGGCGCATAAAGTTGTACGCTTGCGCGCCCTTATCGTTGCCCAGGATCTTCTTGAGCTCGTCCTCGCTGAGCTCGGCCAGTTCCTTGATGCTGCCCACGTTGGACATGACATGGCGATAGTTGTGGCTCGACACACCCGGGATCGCCCGCAGCATCTCGACGGCCCCGGCATTCTCGACCTGTGGCTTCAGGGCGTCTGGGTCATCCGTGTTGCCCTTGAGGATCGCAGCCACCTCGTCCGGCTCGTCGTGGTTGAGCTTCAGGTCGGACAGGATCTTGACCGACTCATGAGGTGACGACGACCAGATGATACGCAACCGAGGGAAATGCAGCACAAGCAGCGCAAGCTTGGACTGCAGGTAAAAGGTATCCTGGAAGCCGTCCGTTTCGTTGCCTCCTCCTCGGCCAGCAGCCTCGCGCTTCGCATCCGCAACAGTCTGCGGGCGGGACGATCAGCGCCACATCCCTACAATGCAGGCACAACAACACTTACCCTCATCCCAAACTTGTCCTCTTCAAACTCGATGAGGAGAATGTGCGTCTCGTAGTGTGCCGACATTGCCTCACATTGTGTGTGTCTGGAAGGCGGACGAGTCAGCCACACACCTTTGAGATGTGGTTCTAGATATTCGGAACTCACAGGCGACCATTGGCCAGAGACTGTTCGAGATCAGGCAGAGCTTTACGCTCAACACACATCTTGGGCGAGAGGATATAGTCGCCCACGGTCAAGGTGGCCGGGACGACCTGGATGCCATGCGCGTCGATCAAGGAAGGCAGCAGCGCACCCAGTTCGCGAATGTCAACAATGATCTGGTGGGTTAGTGCACCTCGAAGCTACGCGTACCCACCCGTGGCTGCTCGGCTCCCCCATCGCCGCCGCCCGCGTTACGGGTCGAATAGGTAGTCCGAGGCCGAGCGACATTGTCGCGCATAGACGCTCTGGGGTCGTTGTTATAGATCGGAATAACCATACCCTGCACGCAAATGGCGTCAATAAAGTTCTCGGCATAGTCGATTAATTGCTATTCTTACCCCGCGGTCCTCAATCAGCTTCTTGAACGCATCCGCCTCCCTGGCCGTGGCGGCCAAGAACCGATCTTCTTCGAAACTGTTCGTGTACGTCATCTGGTACACGCGCAGTGCCAGACCTGGGTTGCAGTTCTTGTAGACCTAGAGTTTTGATCAGCCCCAGATATCCTTTCACAAGTGTTGAGCTTACCTCGAGGCGACGAATAAACGCCAGGTTCGGTTCGTACATGATTACGAACCGAGGTCGTAGTTCCTGGAGCATAATGTCGTCATCATCGCCGCCGTATGGCCGAACAATGACCTCGTCCTCTGGCGCGAGCAGGCCAAAGTCGTCGTCCCAGTTCTCGGCCCAGCCCTGCTGTGTCATCCAGTCGCGGTGCGAGAGATCGCCTTCGTCAAGGATTCCAGCACTGGCAAGCAAGAGGTTGGAAAAGGCCGAAGGGTCTGGTGCAGGTGGTGGATCACGACGCTTTTGGGGCACTGAAGTAGTGGCACCACCGTTCTTGGCCGGTGGGGATGAGTCATCATCTTCCAGCATGACGATAGTGTCGTCCTCGTCGCCACGACTCATGGGCGGTGCCGGTTGGGCTGTTGAGGGACCAGCCTCGTTGTCCTCCATCGACACGAGTGGCTCGTCGTCAAAGTTCTGAGGTATCGTCCGCAGGCTCCTGATCGTTAGCATAGTTTTCAGGTTGGCGACTCACTCTCCAACGGCCCACTGCATCTGCAAGTCCTCCATGTCCACGTTGCCGCCACCGAAAGCCGACATCTCCTTGAGAGTGGCTTCCTTAGACGCCCTGGTTGTCAGCTACGACGGCGACCTCTGAAGCTCACAATATGCGTCCAGTGGCGTTGATGGGTGCGCCAGCTCGAACTCGTCTCCGCTTGTACGACGGTGCACCACCGCGTCGACGCTGTGCCTCCTCGATGCGCTTCTTCTCCATACCAGACGTGGCAGCCTGGACCTGGTCCGCAGCGGCGCCATTCACGTAGCGGTTGGGATTGGAGAGGTACGAGCCGTTCTTCTCGTGCTGCCAGTTGCTGAGAAAGAGAGTCTCCATCATCTTGCGACCCGCCTTGGGTCCGAACGCGGGGTCGGTCGGTGTCATCGTGGTCAGGTACTGTCTCAGCTGGAGGCAGGTGAGATCTGAAGAGCACATGACGAGCACAGTGTTGGTTCCCGGTTGGTCTGGTGGGTTAGTTTGAACAATACAACCAGGAGTCACCCACCGGCATGGGTATCGGCGACGCGAGCAATTGTATCCTCAATCTCCTTGAGAACACGGGCCAGAAGGGCCCACTTGGGTTGCTCTTCCAGAACAACCTCGTGACCCTCACGTATCCGACGGCTGACACGAGAACTGAGGTCGGTGTTGGAGCCAAACGTCACAGGGCGGAAGATGGGTGGCGCCATTGCTACTTCTTGGAGCACGTCGTCCTCATCTTCAGCCGCGGGCTCGCGGTTGCGGTTTGCTGGAACCGCCTCGCCCTGGGTGGCGAAAATCTCCATCACCGCGTCGCCGTCGTCTTCCAGGGTGGGTTGGCCGCCAATTGTCTCGTCTCGCCTATCCTCAAGGTCTCGCAATGCCTCCATGTCCTCGTCAAACTCTTCTGCCTCGTCGTGTCGCTCGCCGTCTGGGATCTCCGTGCTGGCTGTGCCTTCCATTGTGACCTTGGGTCTTGACACGCGCAGCTGAGATCCCTCGACGAGTGCAGACGCGGCTTTGGCGTTGAACCAATCATGCAGGTATTGACCGGGTCCGCTCGTCTTCTTCTGAGCCATGAAGTGTTGACGCTGAAGAGTGTTGATGTACGCTGCAAATGTGGCACAGTCGTACTCGAGAAGCCACCTGTCGTCAGCTTTGGCTGTACAAGGAGTTAGCTCACGTTTGCAGATCACGGAGCTCGGCAAGCGCCTGTACGTGGATCTTGGTCTTCATCCCAACCTTGTGCCACACGGGTCGAAGACGCAGGAACACGATCGTGTCAAAGTTCTTGAACTGGGCATTGCGGACTGTCAAGTCTTCGAGATCGAGGTTCTGATGTCAGCTTGCGAGCACTCCGGATACAGCTTACCAGAGAGTGGTCCCTTTTGAGCTCCACCAGCATGGCCTCCATGCACTCGGTGATGGCGTCTTGACATTGGCGCATGAGGTCTGTCATGGGCTGGTACATCTCGACAACCTCAGCTTGACGCGTGGTGAGGGCTGTCTTGACTGCCTCATTGTAACTGAGTGGGTCAGCAGGACAAGCGAGCGCTGAAGATACCCACCGAGGCCAGATCATGACGCTGTTCATGTTCAAGTTGATGAGCATGTCCTTGAGCGGGCTGAGACCGTGGGAAAATATTTCAGGCTCGTCGGAGAACGCCTTGCAAAAGCCAGTCTGACAAGTCAGCTCAGATGCGCGACATCGGTAAACTAACCTGGTTCTTGCGGCGGTACAGTCTGATGGCAAACTCCTCGAGGCTACCTTGCTTGACACTGGCGGGTTAGTTGCCGGTAAAGCCATCTATACCCACGTCTCGGCATGCAGCACCACAATGCCTGTTATGAGATCGACTGGTACATTGCCCTCTGCCTGTTAGCTGTGACGGCACTGAGGGCGACAGCTCACTCAAAAGGTCATTGACGAGGATCTTGGACGTAACAGAGAACAGGCCGCCGTGACGATACTTCTCCTCGCTTCCCATCAGTCACTGCCATTAGGTATCGATCAACTCACCGCTCCTTGACACCCATTTCGTACGTTAGGATCCTAAAGCCAGGCTCACGCACGCCCATGATGCCCAGCTCGTCTCCAATGCCGGCTTCGTCTTCGCCTCTGGCATTGATCTGCATGGTTAGAACTCATCCGCGAGGTACAAAACCACTTACTACAATGACCAGGTCCTCTTTCCTGTCGTACGTCTTGAGCAGAGCGCATACGACCTAGGTGGTCAGCGCCGTTCCCTTCCCTGCCTTCTCGCAACCCACTCGTCGGAGGCCCAGACCCTTGGCAATGATGAGGAGGTCATCCTTCTGTGGCCGGCAGAGCTCGCGAATAATATTCTTGTGAAATGAGAGATACGGGATGTGCCGTCTCTCTGTTGTCATGTTGAAGAGTTGGGATGGAGCATGGAGTGGTTGAAAGAGAACAATGGAGATCTCAAACGTCATGGCTGCAAGAGGACGCCCGCCTCCACTTGGCCATGGTCCACTCAACCTTCCCACGGTATCCTCGATTTATGTGCCTCCACCTCGCGATTTCGAGATTGGCGGACGGACATTTCAGTAGTCGGAACAAAGAGGCCGCCTGCTACTTCTCTCTCACTCGTACCGAGCCACATACCATAGCCCCAGAATGTTCGCCCTCCGCTCCGCTACCCGTTCAGTCTCGGTCCGTGCCCTGCACACCACCGCCATGCGTGCCGCTGAGCGCTCGGCGCTCGAGACCAAGCTCCGCGACGGCCTCAAGACGGCCATGAAGGCCAAGGACAAGGCGGCCGTCACCTGCCTCAAGACCACCATTTCGGACATTACCAACGCTGCCAAGCTCGGTGCCGACCCCAACGAGCCCGCCACCCAGGAGGCCGTCATCACCGCTATCCGCAAGGCGGTTGAGAAGAGGGTAAGTCGCCAGGCGCCAAAGGAGCTGCGGGAGTCGTGCAACTTCGCCATGCAGCTCCCGGGCATTACACCCAGCGACGAGCATAATGGACATGCAACTGACTGCACGCTGCAGAACGCCGCTGCTTCCGAGTACGCCGCTGGCACCCCTGGAGCCAACGAGGACATGTTTGCCTCGTTCCAGAACGAGATTGTCCTCCTCCGGTCGTACCTTCCCGACGCGCCTTCCTCCGAGGCCGTCCAGGCCATTATCGACGAGATTGTCGGCGGCCTCGAGACCCGCGGCACCAAGCAGACGGGACCCGTCATGAAGGCCCTGTGGGAGCGCCTGGGCGAGTCGCGCGCCAGCGTTGACAAGAAGGACGTTGCCAAGCGCGTCGCCGACGCGCTGCGCGCATAGAAGTAAGAAGGCTGGCATCATAGGATGAAAAATGTACATGGCTATGGCACAACGGCTACACACTACTCTATAACCACATGTATCACCTCTCTACACACTCGATATAGATCCACTGCAACTAGATACGTGGCACGCTGGCTGTGCACATGGCGTAGCTGTTGCGTTTCAAAGGTGGCGCGTTTTCTTGAACTTTCCCTTCAACCCTTGTGGGGCTGTGCCTTCGGACTGTTGGTCGCTGCGTCCCCTCTTACTGGGGTGCGCGGCCACCGCCCCGCCGGCTGGTCTATCCGGAAGCGCTTCGTACTCGGTGAGAAGCTGTGTAAACGCAGGGGTTCCTGGCGGGTACAGAACGAGGTCGAGGCGAGTCTGATAATTCTTGAGGTTGAGGAGCCATGCCCTTTTACGCTCCTCGTCCTGGGAGGTATCCGCGCGGAGCTTTGCCTCGATGGCAGAGGCAGCCTTTTGATAGGTCTTGAGCTGGTCCGCAGTGAGGCCCGCCAACCACCGCAGATCCGCCGGACGGGGACGGTACTGCGGGTACGTTCCTTGTGGTGGAGTGGGGTCAACCATGTGGGGCGCGAGTGATGTGTCGTCGTCGTTGTGAGCCACTGCTCCGCCGATGTCCTGCAAGATCTTAATCGCGTCTAGGATAACGCGGCGCTGATCGTCGTCCACAAGTGACCCGTCAGCGACGGTCATGAGGTGGTGATAGACAAAGGCGGGCGTACCCTGGTGGCCATCAGCCCGAGAGGCAGACTGGCTGTTGGCTGTCAGTTGGCTGTCGTCCAACTTGAGGTCGGCAAGGCGCTCGTCGGCTGAAGCACGGATGCGCTGGTTAGACTGGCGTTCTCCGGTCTGCGGGCTGGCCTGTGGTGTTTCATCGTATGAGAAACCATCAGGGCTGTGGCGGAGTGGGATGCCCTTGCGCTGGAGCGCTTCCTTGCCCTTCTGGGCCCAGTAGGCATGGGTCTCGGGGTTGTCAAACCAAGTAGTAAATGACGAGTGGGACGGGAGCATGTCGAGCGTAACCTCGACAGAAGTGTCGGCCGCGGAACCGGTAGGGTTCTGAATACCGCCAGAGCGAACCCATGCAGGGACATTCGAGACACCACGCATGGCCTCGAGGATTCCGACCACGGACAGGAGAATGTTGTCGAGACCGGGCTCGACAGAAGGGTCGATGGGTCCAGCGTTGGCACTGGCAGCGTCGGTGAGGGACTCCTTGCTAGCCTTCTTTCCCTTGCCCTTGTTCTTCTTGGACGAGGTGCTCGCAGGAGTGTTGGGCCTGGAAGCGGACCTGGCTCTAGCGGCCATGCGCTCGATTGCCACCTTGGAGTCGTGGTATTCAGGCTTGTCAAATTCTGAAATGATGATTTGAGACCACGGCTGGTAGACGCCCTTCAAGGACGAGTCGTCCAGAAGAACAGTTGTGGCTTCGTCGTAGCGACCCAGCTCGTTAGTGACCTTGCGCAGATCCTTGGTTGTTTGGACATCGAAATCTTGGGGTCAGTCAGGTCTGAAAATTAGGGTGACACTCACTGTAGTCGGTTCCAAGCGACATCTTGTCACGCGCCCACACGTCCAGGAGACGGCCCTCGCCCTCGGGCTTGTTCTGCTCCTCCTCCCACACACCGTTGCACCAACGGCCAAAGCCAGTCTCGACCATGGCGCGCACATTGTGCGGCTGGGCCGAACTCCACACAAGCACTTCCCAAGGGCTATGCGTTCCGTCTGGCTCGTCCTTGAAAAGGTACTCCAGGAAGACGGAGAGGAAAGGACGCGGGTGCATTCCGCGGGTCGCGTTGGTTTGAGTGCGGTAGATGAGGGCACCGTTCAAGTCCAGAACGAGAAGCTTGCGAACACCGGGAGCATCCGGCGCTGGCGTCTCTGGAGGCTGGCGCGAAAGGTCGATGTACTTGGCGTCGGGGAGGGGCACAACGAAATCGCCCTTCTTGCCCTTTCCTCCACGCCGGCCGGGCGACGCAGGTGAGCCAGGCGTAGAGTTGCCCATTGGGGAACGAGAGCCTCCACGCCAGTGGCCGCCCACTCGACTCGTGTACGAAGGCTGATGGGGGCTATAGGACTGGTATTGGGCGTACTTGGGGGATTGGTATTGGGCGTATTGGTCGGCTGGCCCAGAGGGAGAGTAGCGGTCGGCCGGCTGAGAGGGAGAGTACTGCCAGCTGCCGCCGCGAGAGCCGCGGGAGCTGCGGGATCCTTCACGAGAATACGAGTGGCGGTTGTCTTCGTAAGGCGCGTTGTTGTTGTATGAGTCGTTGTACGAGGGTTGCTGATAGCCATCCCGGCGGTACGAATTGCTTCCTCTACGTGCGCTATCTGTCAGCAGTGCACGGGGGGCCGCCTCCGAGAACCTCTGTACTTACGCGTTGTTTGAGGCATCGGTGCCGACTCGACGGACGGGGTCAGAGTACGAGTCACGATGTGAGCCTTGGTCCTGTGAACCCCGGTTGCGACTGCGCAGAGAGTAGCTCGAGTCGCCCTGCTGGGAATGGTTGTCGCTGCCGCGACGGTTGGCGTTGTAAGAGCCGCCACCAGAGTTGTTGTCCTCATAGTAGCTGTCGTAGAAACCACCAACGGAATTCGCGGCAGGCGACTCGTCGCGTCCCTCGCGGTCATCCGGGCGCGAAATGCGCGACGAATAGCTGCGCGACATCTGTCTCACGGTGGCTGCGTCTCTTGAAAGAGACGTTATGAGGTGTGCAGCGTTTGCGGGAGCCGCTTTGTGGGCGCGTTGAAGCATGAGTGTTTGTGTCGAAAGCTGAGGAGATTACTTTCAGCCGCAAGAGGGAGTCGTGTTGATTCACATTGACGTGTCATTTTTGGTGGCAGCGATCCCAATCAACCGGAAGCAATTTGTGGTGTGCGAGTTGAAATCGATGCTGTCAAGGAGTGCTGTCTTCGCCCTTCGGTGGATCGTTAGACAACTCTTTGAGGTTTCATCTTAGGGTGCAGGACTCGACTGTTACTAGTACTGTGATCCCAGCAATACAGGGTAGGCCCACAATGGCATAACAGCGGAGAAAGCGTAGCCATATGCTAGTCATCCACCGCTGCAGCGACAATAAAAGGTAACAAATCGGAAAGATAGCACCGTGCCACACAGCCATTTGTGCGTGACGCCTATTGCCCTTTGTCCCCCGCGACGCCAGTGAGGAAGAGACCTTGTGGCAAAAGCAGTGGCATATCGCGAGGTGCTACATTAGGAAAACTCATGAAAGAAAAAGACTATCCAAAGGAGGGGAAAGAAGAGGTATCCCGAAAAAGGTATCCAAAAAAGCGTCCGACGAGTGGCGCAATGCAGTGGGTGATGTGGGAGGCATCCAGGCGACGAAGGCTCTTTGACGGAGATGTGGAGCGAGAAAGGAAATGGGTTGGTTGGGGAATGTGTTTCTGGATCAGAGAGCCATGAATGTTGGGGAAATGGAATAAATGTGGGCGAAATGCGCGTGCTTTGGAGGTGAGGGACGTGCCGGCCGCGGCCGGAGGCGTGTTAAAATCAAAGTTCGTTCCGGGTGGTAATGATGTACAGCACATAGTGTGGTCGTGCGAATGGTGTTGTTGTGTGCATGGTGGTTGGTCGTTAGGCCGTGATGCCAGCCTAGTAAAAGTAGTCGTCGTCGTCGTCAAAGGGAATCGTCTTCCTGGTGCGCTTCGAGCCGACCCGGGACTTGCCCTTGCCCCTGCGCACACCCTTGCCCCAATTCGGGACATAGTCGTGGCCGTCCCACTCCTGTCCATCAAGCACAAGGTCACGCGGGGGACGACCCTCTTCCCAAGCACCGGGAGAGTGGATGCGGATGGCCGGCGCTTCAATGGGAGGCGAGCGCCGAGGAGGTGTGCGGCTGCCGTCTGCGGATGAACGCTGGTGGCGTGCCGAAGAACGGTACTTGGACGGAACAGGTGGCACGGGCGCAACAGGGATTTCGAGCGCGGCGCGCAGAGACTTGACAGAGCGCTGCTTCTTCATCTGCCCAAAGCCGAACCCCTCGCCAGTAGCTGCACCCGCAGGACGAGGAGGGGTGGGAGGCTTGTAGAAGAACGACTTTGTGTAGTCGATCATCACGTCGTGGTTATCAAACGGATCGCCAAGCTCAGCCATGGTGCCAATCGAGTCGGTCGACTTGCGCGAGCCCTTCTCCTGCGGTTCCTGGTTCCAGCCAGCAAACTGGAACCCTTGTGCTGCCCAGTCGATCCGGGGAGTCAGGATGGGTGTAGCAGTGTCGCGGGGCATTTCGTCGTCGACAGGTGGCTCCTCCGCTTTCTCGGCGCTCGCCCAATATGAGCGGAGTGCCGAAAGAGATTTCTTGGCACGCAGGGTGAGTGTGCCAAAGTTGCTGGGGCCTGCCGACGGTTCTGGTACAGGTGCCAATGGGAAGAGAGGAAGGTCCTCTGCCTCGCTGTTGACTGAATCACAGAGGACTGGTGCAACAGTTTCCAAAGCTGGGGCCGCGACGAGAGCCGGCGTGACCCGGAAGTGGGGGCGGCGCGCAGCGGAACGCAACGCAGGGGTCGACTGGGCTGTGCGCAGCACGGAGGTACGCTGCTGGGGCTTCACAGTACGGAGTGTGGGCAGTGGATCAGCCTTTGCTTGGGCAATGCTATCGGCGATGGAGTCGGTCTTGGCTGCTCTCTTGGGAGTCGGCGTAACGGGCTCGGGCACGGACACGACCCGGGGAGTCAACACGCGAGGGGGCGTTGGGTCTTCAAAGTTGATGGCAGGCACAGGAGGTGGCGGCGGCGTGATATCGTGGGCGCTGATCGCTGGGACGGAGGGAGGTGACGGGGTTGCTTCCTGGAAGTTGAACGACGGCACCGTGGGAGGTGATGGCGTCGCTTCCTGAAAGTTGAACCTTGGAACTGCAGGCGGTGACGGTGTTGGGTCCTGGAAGCTAAACGTCGGCACAGGGGGTGGAGCTGGGGTGACAACGGGAAAGCTGAACTTGGACAGAGAAGGAGGGGATGGGGTAGACTCTTGAATGTTGAAGGACGGTACCTCACGAGGCGGCGACATGGTGGGTGACGACGGTGACGGAGGGGTGTCGATATCGTGGTCCTCGTCATATTCCACAGTCGAGGCCAAGATGCGCTGGCCAACGGAAACGGACTCGCCAACTGAGGCAACATCAATGGCTTCTGCCAACTCGTCGTTCAGCCCCAGCTCGGCAAGTACCGCGCTGGCGTCTAAGAGAGGTGGTGAGCCGCTAAAGGACCTTGCAGGCGGACTTCCAGCAAAGGTCGAGGATGAGTCATAGCTGCGTGAATCGTCGTCGTCGTTGTCGTCGTTTTCGTTGTCGTGGTCATCGCCGTCATCATCGTCGTTGTCGTCGTCGTCGTCGTAGTAGTACTCCTCCTCGTCCATATCGTAGCTGTCGTCGTCGTCGTCTCCGCCAAGACCGTAAGCAAATAGGTCTTCGCTTTCGTCATATACAGAGCTCTGCTCTGGAGGCGAGTACCCAAAGGTCTCGTCGTCGAACGCGGGCTGCTGGGGAAGCGCAGGAGTGCTCTCATCCGGTGGCGAGAACAATGCTGCAATCGACGGAGGGACTGGGCGGTCAAAGCCACATGTTGAGACGACTTGGCGACTAGGGGCTGCGGTATTTTCACCCTGGACGAGCTCACAAGGCAGAGGGATTTGTTCTTGGCTCGGCGACGACCTCCTGAGCTCCACGTTCGACTTGGTCTTGCGAACGCCATTTCCGCCCAATGCCAGTCCGAGACCGACGTCGGAGCGCGGGGAAACTGTCGCTGGCGGGCTCATGGCGGACACACTCTTGCCAACAGTCTGGGCCGCGCGGCTCAGAAAGCCAGAACCCCACCACGAATCCTGGCCGGCCGCAATGTCCGGTGGCGACTGGACGGTCTCATTGACTACGACCGTTGCGTCCTGGAGAGCAATGCTGCGAAGGACACTGCTGCTCGTGCGCATGGGCATGGCCGCTTGAGTGAGATGGCGTACGTGTTGACCAGCATCGGGGTTCAGACCCATGGAACGGTACAGATCGGCTAGTTCCGCAGTGCCTTCGTCGTCGAATTGTTTGAGCCGAGGACGAACACGTTCTGCCTCTGGTGTAAAGACTCTAGTCTCCTTGTACCCCGCTTGGCGCAGGAGGTTTTCCAGCGACGCCAATTCGGGAGGTTCGGTCGAGCTCTGTGCCGGAAGGGGAGGGAGCTCTGGTGGTGAGGGAACCTCGTCGTCCACCGACGTTTGGGGACGCGACGCGGGTCGTTGGGGACCGCGGGATGGTTGCTGGGGGCGAGCTGGCCGCGATGGGCCCGACGGGTTATGGGATAACGACGCGGGGTACCTCCGCCGTGACTGGGCGTCTGTTGTCTGGGACATGTGTTAGCAACTCATGTTGCAGGTATTGAGAGAGAAAGAACGCGGGACGCGGTCCTGTGGCTTACCATTTCGTTTGTTCTACGCTGCAATGGAGGAGATGGGCGATGTCAGGATGCTACTGGATGGGGGCTAGCTGTTGACGCGTCTGACGCTGTGTGCGCCTGACACTATGGCAGCTCCCGAATGCGCGCGAGTGAAGATTGAAGAAAGAGGAAGAGTTGGTGTTGAGAGGGGGATGTGACAAGTGTTTGGGCTGTCGCACAGGGTCGGACAGGGTACGGAAACAGGAGGCGGCGATGAGGCGTAAACTACTGGGTCGTTAGGTCTGTTCGTTTGCAGAGTCGTGCTCGGGGGGACATGTATAGTGCTGTCGCCGAGAAGAGGAGTGTGAAGGGTGTCGCTGGTAGCGGCCGAGCGGCGTGTGCCACTGGGGAGTGGCCGGAGTGGGAGGAAAAGGATGGAGTTGAATGGGGAGGGAGGGATGTTGATTGTGTAGCGGCGCCAGCGGCCAGCGGACGGGCGGCTGGCTGATCGCTGATCGGCTGACTGCCTCTCGGCGCGCAGGAGGTGGGCGGCGTGTGCGCGGGTATAAGCTTTGCGACCACCCGCACAACCCAAACAACAACGGTAAACGGAACAAATGTCAAATAAAGCTCCCGCGGGGTTTGTTACGGTTATGTATTTTGCAAAAGACAGTCACGCTCGTCGGCGTTGGGTGTGTGCCTGGAGGGTTGGGTACAACACCAACACGACACCACCCATGCACATCGGCGTACCAAAACTGTGTTGCTTGGTATTTTCCACTCCTACACATTGGTACATTGGTGCAAGAGCCATTGGGCCGTCCACGGCAGCAGCCAAGAGAGCACTGCTCTGCTCGGTCCTAGAATTATTAGACCTAGGTTGGACCCAAGTGTGCGCACAACAACACCGCCCTGTGCTCAGGATCTACCAACACGACCGTGCGCCTGTCATGTTGCAGCTATAACAGACCGCGCGGCCGCGCGACCACGACGTCCCCCCCTCTCCCCTGCGCACGCAGGTACAACAGAAGGGTGGATCGTGGAATCCTGTGTTGGCGCGGCATGCACAAGCAGCACAGAGTACACAGTACTTGCGACGCCCAACTCGTCCCAATTCAGCACCACAGCAGTTGCGCAGGTGTCCGATGAAAGACCGGAACGTGGAACACGACCCATGGCGCTTACATTCAGAGTGGCCAGAGTGGCGTCTCGGCCCAACATATCTGCTCTTGTGACCATGACAAGATCCACAACGCACAGCGTGCAGCGTATAAGCACCCAGCAAAACCCAACCGCATGCATCGGCCAAGCCTTCAGAAGACGTCCGTACCGCCGCTGAACGGCCGAATAGTCACACCATGTTGCATGTGGGGCTGGGCGGGGCGCGGAGCAACTATAGCAACAAGCACAAGGTCACGTGCCGGTTGGCCGAGAAACACATGCACCGCACTTACCCTCACGAGTATACCAGCGCAGTACGGTGGCCAATGCGTTTCTCGGCAACGCAAAATACACACCATCCTGGCACCCCTCACCAGTGTACCAGCACAGTACGGTGGCCTGTGTGTTTCTCGGTACCGCAAAATACACACTCAAATGACATAGTCCCGCAGTGTAATATGACGCTGCCACGTGACATTACATAATCACACTCTCTACGCCAACCGCTGCGTACAACTGATGGCCGTCCTCGATCTTGTTGTCATTTGTATGCATGGCCGCCTGCTCAACGTCTCTCAACCCCATTTCTCGTGCCGACAACACGCCATGTCAACCTAGTTACATACAAGCAGGACCAACATTAATCAACATGTCCACCTTCCTAATCTCGGCTACGGCCACACCTGCCGCATGGACGTTCACCCAAGGCTTCCTCGTCGGTCAAGGAGCATTCATTCTCCTCTGTCTCCTCTTCGTCCGCTACGTCGTCTTCTCTCCGGCCGATGCCCAGGACCCCGATGCATGGCGACAACGCCGTGAAGAGCGTTCCAAGGTGAGTTTGGGACGTCCGGTTCATCGGCTAACAGATGTAGAAGGCGCTCCTCTCAACAACGGCTGTGCCCCCACTCCCGACTGGCCATCTGCTGGGGACAGCCGGTTACGACATGTCGACGCACCCCGCTGAATCGGCCGACTGGGTAAATGTGCTTTTTGCCCAGGTATGTTATGCAGCCTTTGGCCGGTCTAACATTTACCCAGGTCCTTCAAGGATACAGGAACGATCTGCTCTCTACAGCTGGCGAGGAAGGTGCACGCAAGCACTTTGAGCGCTGGCTCAACCCACCAAGCAGGACCCTGTCGTGGCTGGTAAGCAGCTGCCGTGGACGCGTCTCCTAACCATTGAAGGATCCCATCGAGGTGACAGCGCTCAACTTGGGCAAGAGCTTTCCATTATTATCGAATGCGCGCATTCGTCCAGCAGATGGTCAAGGGCGGGTGGTGAGTGACCACATCGTGGGCATGGGCTGACCGTTAGCGTGCCGAGGTAGACCTTGACTGGGCAGACACTGTATCCCTGTCTATCTCTACCTCTGTGCTCATCAACTTTCCCCGTCCGCGCTTCGCGGTGCTGCCAGTGCAGATTGGTGTAGAGCTTGTGGCCGTTGGTGGAACAGTGAGCTGCCATGCCAGTAACCGAGCTGACCCAGCAGCTCAGCATACAAATCCACGACCCAAAGGAGCAGCGCCAGCATATGCACGTTTGCTTGCTCCCCGACTTCCACCTCAACCTCAAGACGACAAGTCTCCTCGGCAGCAGAGCCAAGCTGCAGGACATTCCCAAGATTGAGCAGCTTCTCGTTGCTCGTCTGCGGGCCGCTATCCAGGACCGTTTCGTCTATCCCCACCACATGACCTTTGCCCTCCCGCGCCTCATCTCTCCCCCCATGACCCCCGAGTCGGTGATTCCTGACAGCCAAGACGTCCGCGACGCTGCTGCCTCCGCCCTCTCAGAGGGTATGCACAACTTGCGACACGACCTTGCCGAGCGCGTTGCGGCTCTTGGGCCGACAGACAGTGCTAGTATCCTGGACAGCCTGGACAACTCTGTCAACACTCCTGATTCTGATACCACGTTACCAGACGTTGCGGACCCGGAGTCGGAGGGAGAATTGGAGCCGCAGCCGGTGATGCCGCGCCAAGTGCCGCAGTCCGGCATCATTTCGGCAGTGGCGACTCAGTACACGGCCTCTCGGCCAGGAGGGTCGGTGGCCGCGTCATCTGCGCGTCGTTCGTACGCTGTAGCGTCTACTGGTGACCCAAGTGTGGCTGGCCAATTCCGTTTCCGGGGAGGCCAGTTCACATCCGCATCTCAGCCGGCCAGCGTCAACGTCGGCACTGTGCCACTGCCACTTGAGAGGCCTGAAAGGAGACAAGGCACCGTTCATAGTCGAGGATGAGAATGGATGCAACACCTAGACCAACGATACACTGGCCATCGGCCAAAATAGCAGTTGTTGAGTCATGACCGTTGAATAATCGTTGAGTGGCCACACGATCCCATGAGACCCCACGCAACTTCTCGGCTAGAAATCCTGACCTGTCGGCCAAAGCCGACACAAACAGCCGTCGGTCTCCAAGATCGGTCACTGACCCACTAGCCTCGACCTTGGTGTCCATGGTAAACAACCTGCGTATATAATGACCAGGCCACTCGGAACATGCATGGTATCACCATCTCTCTCTCCCGACTGCATTCGATAGCATAGCCCATCGTCATCGCCACTGAAAGATACATGTCGGTAACGACATCCAGCTCTCCGGGCTTGCCGACCGAGCCGAGTGTCAACTTTGCCTCAGCCCTGTGTTTGCTTTATCCAGAACCTCGTCCGCGACATGACGGCGACGGCCAGGACCGCAGCAGTGCTGCAACTGTACCCCTGGACTCGCCAACACGTTATTCCTCTTCTACACATTCTCCCATAAACACCAAACATCTCGACTTTGGCCACCACGACCACTGTGAGCCCTCTCCGTCGCCACCGCCGTCGCCGCATTTGCCGCTTGGGCCCCGCTTCGACATCTCCGCTTCCTCAGACCACCGGCTCATCGCAGCTCGGGGAACAGTGGTTCCAATGTCGACATCTCCTCCCGCGCCACTGGTACGACATGCGTCCACCGCTGTCGCGGGTGACGACCGGTTTGGCCAGCCCAACAACCGGCCGAACGAACCCACCGTGCCCATGCCGCCCGTGCAGCGCAGCGTGACGGCGGCAACAACCGGTTCATCAAAGCCGTATTCTGCGTTCTCCACGCAGACCAAATGGGTTGTGGCAGGACTGGGCGGCATCGCAGCGGTATTCTCGCCCATCTCGTCCAACATCTTCGTACCTGCAATCCCAATTATCGCCCGCGACTTCAACAAGACGTCCGAGGACATTAGTTTGGCTGTAACCGTGAGGCTTATCTTGTTTGGTTTCGGTCCGGCAAGCTAACAAACCCCAGATCTATCTCGTCTTCCAAGCCATCACCCCGAGCTTCTTTGGAAGTGCCTCGGATACGTATGGTCGTCGCCCCGTCTTCATGGCCACCATGGTCATCTACATTGGCGCCAATATTGGCCTCGCGCTCATGCCCACGTCGGCATACTGGCTCCTCCTGGTCCTGCGCGCTATCCAGTCCACGGGCGGGTCGGCCGTCATTGCCATTGGCGCTGGCGCCGTCTCGGACGTTGCAGAACCGCGCGAGAGGGGCAAGTTTATGGCCGTGTTCCAAGCGGGTGCCATGATCGGCCCAGCGTTCGGACCGTTGCTCGGCGGCATCTTTGCCCAGACGCTCGGTTGGAGGGCCATCTTCTGGTTCTTGACTATTGCCGCCAGCTGTGTCATGGTGCCGTTCATCTTGTGAGTTGGGATGCAGTGTTCGGATGGGACATGGTGGTAGCTGATGTCCACACCAGCTTCTACCCAGAAACACTGCGCTCGATCGTTGGCGACGGCTCCATCCCTCCGCCAGCACTCAACGCCAGTCCGATCGCGATTTACCAGACACGAAAGCACAAGGCCGAGCTCAAGGCCGCCGGTATCGAGGAGGAGCCCGTGGAACGTCCGCCGCCCAAGAAGGTAAGCTTCGTTTGCCCTCACCGCCAAGCTGACATTCAGTACCAGCCGCTCTCGGCATTCATGATCCTCTTCGTTCCCGAGGTATTCTTGATCTTCATCGTCGTGTCGTTCCCCTACCTCAACTTTTACTGTCTCCTCACCGTCTTCTCCACTGCGCTGAAGGACACATATGGTCTCAACGAGCTCCAGATCGGTCTCTGTTATCTGTGAGCTAGAAGCCCCCACCTACCCACACAGCTGACACAAACAGGCCATCCGGTTTCGGTACCATCCTGACAACCTTTGTCAACGGTCGTCAGCTTGACTACTACTACCGCAAGGAGGAACGCAGGGTTGGCGGCGACTACAGACACAAACCACACGCATTCCGCGTTGACCGCACGCGCATTCGGTGTATCTTGCCGTTCCTCGCCATGCTGTGTGTCGCATCCGTCTCGACTGGCTGGACCCTCCAGGCGCATGCCCCGCTGGCTGCGACCCTTGTGTGCCAGTTCTTTGTGGGCCTAGGTGAGTAGAGCTGGACTTGATGGCCGAACCCAAGTGTAGTAGCTGACTGTGCCATAGGCTCGGGCACCATCGGTACCGCCACAGTCTACGGTCAGGACATCCTGCCGGGCAAGGGAGGAGCCGTGAGCGCCAGTTTGAACCTTGTGCGCTGCGCCTTCGGTGCCGTCGGTACCGGTTGTGTGTGAGTATCCTTTTTCCTTGGTTTTGTCCGGACCCGTCGCTGACACATGCTTTAGGATGCTCATGTACCACAAACTCGGAGCCGGTTGGACGTTTGTCCTCCTCTCCGGCATGTGTGTGGCTGCGCTCCCGCTCGCGTTCGTCGTCATTGCGTACGCTCCCGGCTGGCGCACGTACCGCGCAGAGAAGGCTGGTTCTGGCCACGGGCTCGCGTCGTATCTCTACTCGAGCGAGATCAAGGACACCAAGCAGAGCCGGCGGGAGGCCGCGGCCGAGGACGATAGCGGTGTTCCCGATACGGGTACGACGGATACGACTGCTACGGTCGTCGAGGTCGCGGGCGCCGACACCAAGAAGGAGCCGCCTACGACGATGGCGCATGCCGAGGAGGAGGAAAGGCGTGAGGTTGTCGAGAGTAAAGTTTGATTGATGCGCGATGATATATAGAACATAGACACAGTCACTTCCATCTAATTTCGTGAGCGGGTAGGACGCGTCGAGTGAATTTTTTGCCTCCTCGCAGCACGCGCCACCACCCCCTCATGAAATTATATGGAAATCACTGTACGCGCGAGGCGGTAGAGTAATAGACGTGTTCATTTTCGTCCGTGTGGCCAAGAACAGATGACCAAACGAAGCCGTGTAGCCAACCGGCCTACGAGCTCTTTCCAGATTGATTATTTCAACCTTCAACCCATCGATCACGTTTAAGGTTCAATTTTTTATGCTCTGCTCTGAGAACGACTGGTTTCCTGAATGTAGAGGACAACTGTTCAGTGTACTGGCGGAGTAAATGAACCCGAATTCCTATGATACAAATATCTGTGCTGAGGGCCTGCTCGAGCCTGCTGCGATGCGCTATGTACATGAACAAGGCGAGGCAACCAGACCGTGACTCGCATCCTCGAAAAGTCGTTCCACTATTCTAATCCCGTTTCCAACCATGCTGGACCACATGCTCACTCAGCCACCTTGCAAGTCAATGTCGTCTCAGCAAAGCCGCAACACTGGAGCCCAAACGATTGCCATCCTGAACGTAATGGATACTTTATCGGACGCGCATCTACTCGTGCTGGGACTTTGGGGCTATCCATTCTAGACTGCCAATCGCATAAATGTCTACCGTCAAGTGGAGGCGGCATTGCAATGTGGGGGCGTGTCGGTCACTGTAGACCCCGCCCAGTGTCATTGTTGTGGGTTCTCCTGTAGCCAAGTGCGGCAGCATCCAACAATTGCTCGGGATCTGGGCTTTGGACATAATGTGTATGTACATGTGACTACAGAGCACTTCACGGACTCGTTTCTTGTGGAGTGAGGCTCTTACTCGTCCTCCTCGTCGTCCTCACCGTCCTCACCCTCAGTGCCCATGTCGTCGTCGTCCTCCTCGTCCTCCCACTCGTCCTCCTCCTCAACAGCGGCCAAGCGCTTGAGGTGAGTCTTGGTCCTAGAGGTGCTGTCAGCTGGTGAAGATGTGTCGGTTGCAGGTGCGGAATCTTCTCTCACTTGTTGTGACTCTTGAGGGAGTGGGCCTCGGTGAAGTAGATGTCGCACACGGCGCAGTGGTGGTCAGACATGCCCGTGTGTTTTTCCTACGATTGTCAGCGGGAACGCGCGCACTTTGCCTACATCATGTGCCTCTTGAGGTGGGCGACATCGAGGAACCTCTCCATGCAGTTGGGGCATTTTGCCTTCTTCTCCCTGGCCTTTCCCTGCTGCTGCTGCCTGAGTTTCGTCAGTAGGGGCCATAATGCCATCAATTCTCGAGTCTTACTTGGTGTGGGCGAGGAGGGTACTGGACTGGCTGTATTTCTTGTTGCAACCGGGGTGCTTGCACACGAAGTCCTTGCTTCCCGTGTGGGTCCTGTACATGAGTCAGTACGATGTTCCCGCCGGTGTTGCGCCCCTCCAGCAATGCACCATTCTGCCGCAGGAGAAGGGGAAGGGTGGTCCGACTCACGACATGTGCCTGTCGACGTTCGCCTCACGGGAGACGATCTTGGGGCAAACAGTGCAGAAGAAAGACTTGTTGGGGGCCGGGTTGACAGTGCGGCCGTTGAGACCGGCAACGACGCGCTTGTGTCAGTCCGAGCTACGGCGTCAAATGAATCCTATCGTGTAATTTGACTCACCAGAGGCGGCGCTCGAGCGCGCTTTGGCAGTTGTACGACTTGACACACTTCTCGCAGCGGTACTGTGGGTTGTCGTGGTGATCGACTCTACTGTTCGTCAGCTTGTTTGGACTTCCCAGAAAACCCAGTGAGGTCCACTCACGCTACGTGACCAATCATGAACTTCCTGTTCTTGAGGGTCTTGGGGCATCCGCAAGGGCAGATAAACTTGCCATCTTCCCCCTTGGTGAAGACCATGGCGGCAGGCTTGCGGCGCATGGGACCTCCGCTAGAGGTCGTGAAAATAAAAGGTGTGCCTTAGATGGGGGAGGGGGGCATTTATCGACACCATGCCATGAAGGCACAGTCTAGATGAGGATGGCCTTGGTTGGATGGAGCGATGGATGGATGAACGGAGCATGTGGGTTGCAGTCAACGGATCTAAGGACCTTCCCTCGCTTTTCGAAAATTGTGCCATGCGGTTTGAGACCGTTGGCACACAAAGGATGTATGAGATACCAGTTGAACGGTCTTTGAAGCCCTGTCAGAGATGTCACCTTCCGCTCCCGTATGAGCTAGATGGCATTAGGACTCAAACCGAGGATGCGAGGACGAGGACGAGTCTGAGTGCCCCAACAAAATCTCCCAGGGGGTTATCATAAACTGCAACGCACATCCTCCTTTCGGATGCCACAAAGCGCTACTTGACCGCAGTCGCAATGGATGCCCCAGTACAAGTCCTTCTACCTGGTTCTTTCTACCTTGTCGGGCTGGGAAAGCGCATCGGCCGTGACGGTGGCATATGGAGTCACCGCCACATCGATACATGTTGTCATTTGGCAGTGCCACATGGCCCCTCCTGCTGGGTCCATATGGCAGCCGCCTCAATGGACATGACACGACCAACATTACTGCACTCCGCACGTCACGGCGACAACATCAACATGGCCAGACAACATCCCTCTCCGTGCACACCCCTCTCGCGAATGAACCCCCCAACACCTATGCCCCCTGCCCAACTGCTGCTCTGCTCTGCTCCCGGCCATCACAGCCATCACGTTCTGATGTATACACGGCGCAATGCATATGCACCAGTCTCCAGAAGCCCAACCCTCACATGCGCGTGGCGAGTTTACTTCTTCTTGGGGGCGACCTTGCCGACCTGCTCAACCTTGAGTCCGGGGGGGAGCGACTGGGTGAGCTTCTCAGCCTTCTCAGCGTCGTGGAGGACAAGGGTGTAGAGGTAACGCGAGCAACGGATCTTGAACTTGGTGACCTGGTGGGCCTTGGCGGCCTTGCCCTTGTTCGACGCGGCGGTGGCGTGAACAGTGGTCTTCTTGATGCGGGCCGCTGGGAAGAGCAAGTCAGCAAATGTGCCTCGGGACGCAGGAGTTGTAGATTCTTCTGTACGCACCGACGGCGTCCTTGCGGCGCGCGATCTCAAGGAACTTCTTGATGTCGGTGACCTGCTGAGGCTTCGAGGGGGTTAGCACGCTGCTCCACTGCGATGTTTGGCCCGCAACGCAGAACTCTGGCACCGAAGACGACACACGACAACCTTCACGCAACCGGCCGGACGAGATTTGAGAGCAAACGGAAACTGCCGAGAGCGAGTGTTTTTGGGAGACGCCAGTTCTAGCCATACAGACGCGCACAACGCCAGCACGCCGCAGACGACGAACGAAGAGGAGCACAAGACGGCAAGTTTTGCAGCCTGCTTTGCTCATCTGCGCTCTGCCGACCAGAACTTCCTCCTCCCAAAACCTCCATCTCCGGCTTCCTGTGTGCTCGCAATCGCTCGGACGGTCGATACGCGTGATGTCGATAACGGCGGCGGTCGTCGTGTTCGTCGTGTGTCGTGCCGAGGTGCCAGAGCTCGCTGTCGGTGTCTCTGGTACTGACCATTTTGGGCTATGTTGAGGGCTGGGAGAGCAAGTCGGCACGTCTAGCAAATGTTGGGATGGCCGCCAGCAGCCAGCGGCCGCGAGGGACAGTCTGGCGCCGGCTCGCAGTGGAATCGACGGGAGCATATTTTGGGCCCACTGCAGCGGAGTTTCGACTCGATGTGGCACCGGGACCGAACGGAATCGCAAGCGTCGGACGCGAAAAATGGTCTTTAGCACCGACTCACAAAATGGATCACGTGTTTATACCATCCCCCCGGATAGGCCACCGCATCCCACTCGCCCACTCACTCTCACTTGTGTGTCTTGCGCGCACCAAAGCTTTTCTTCCATCCGTCAAAAGTCTCAAACAGACCACATCAATCAAAATGGTGCGCATATCCTAGACAGGGCATCACGCAACCTCGCCTCTATTCAACATGCCCGCGTCGGCGCCCGCGCGTTTCCCAACCGCGACGGAGAGACGTCTGGTGACACGGCGCTGGCGTTGAGAAGATTATCTTTTCTTCGTCCAGTCGTCCAAGGAGCCTCCTCTCCTGGTGCTACAGTGCCGGAGCGAGCGGCTGGTGGCACCCCTAAGTGTGCTTCACCAGAGTCCGTGACGACCTCTATTTGGAGCTAGTAACATGGGTCTTTCGAGACTTGTGTTGCAATGACCCTCGGGAGTGAGCGAGCCCAACCAACCCAAGAGATCCAGAGTTTTCCACTTCTGCTTCTCATTGGGACTGGGATTTCGTGATGACCTCTTGCACCAACTGCCAATGCAGCGAACGCATCAAAGGTCTCTTTCTCTGCGGAGTTTGAGACTGCGGCTGTGCAAGCTCTGGGAACCCCTCGGGGTTCTTGGATGCTTTAGAGCGAAAGTGATGCCCGATTACCGCTTGGTATCGTGGCTGACATTCGTCTCAATGACCCCTTATAACGTACAGCCCAAGGCCTCCGCTACCAAGTCCAAGAAGCCCGCTTCTGCCCCTTACGGCACCAAGGTCGCCAAGAAGACCGCCCAGAACCCCCTCTTCGAGGCTCGCCCCAAGACCTTCGGCATTGGTGGTGACATCGCCCCCAAGCAGGACCTCACCCGCTTCGTCAAGTGGCCCGAGTACGTCCGCTTCCAGCGCCAGAAGGTCATCCTCCACCAGCGTCTCAAGGTGAGTAAAGAAGTTTTATTTGACGATTGTTCTCGAGTCTAACCCTCCCTAGGTCCCCCCCGCGATCGCTCAGTTCTCGCACACCCTTGACAAGAACACCGCTACCCAGCTCTTCCAGCTCCTGAACAAGTACAAGCCCGAGTCGGTCCAGGAGAAGAAGGCCCGTCTCTTGGCCGAGGCCGAGGCTAAGACCAAGGACGCCACCACCAAGGACTCGAAGAAGCCCCTCTTCGTCAAGTACGGCCTTAACCACGTCGTCGCCCTTGTTGAGGCCAAGAAGGCGCAGCTCGTCGTCATCGCCGCCGACGTTGAGCCCATTGAGCTCGTTGTCTTCCTCCCCGCTCTCTGCCGCAAGATGGGTGTCCCCTACGTCATCGTCAAGGGCAAGGCCCGTCTCGGTCTCGTCGTCAACAAGAAGACCTCGACCGTCGCCGCCCTCACCGAGGTCCGCTCGGAGGACGCTCAGGCTCTCGCCACCCTCGTCGCCGCCGCCAAGGCCAACTACCTTGACAAGTCGGACGAGGCTCGTCGCCACTGGGGTGGTGGCAAGCGCGGCCCCAAGTCGACCGCCAAGCTCATCAAGCGCGCCAAGGCTGCTGGCCAGGACATCAAGAAGCTTGATCTCAGCCTCTAATTTGGGTCTGGAATCTGTTTCTGAGGCTTTTTACGGTGATTTGTAGCTTTGCTACTCCTATGTACATGTATGCTATTTTACGTACATGTTCCCGGCTAGTGCAATTTAAATACTCCCGTCTTCACTTACTTCAGAGGGCGCAACTGTCGACTTGATGCGCTGCGATACCCTGCTGCTGTTTTATTAGGCAGGTGGACCGTTTGCTTGAAAGGACGGTAGATAAGTGGTTGTGAGTGGAGGAAGGCGGATTGTTTAAACGCCATTATTGCGGAATAATCGGCCGAGTGGCTGAAAGTGTCAGTAATGTCAGTAGCTATCCCCCTTCTCACGCATTCTAGGAATGAGGACGGCGGTATACCACTCGTTGATGTGCCTGGTGCGGTTCATAACGCTGTCGAAGGGAATCATGAAGGTTTCGACGAGACAATAGACGGCTCCAGGTCAGTCGGGCCCCCTCACGCATGTACATCACAGTGGCTGCGTTCATGAATTGACAAGTGTCGACGCAGCTTGGCACAAGTGGGGAACCCGCTGTCACAATAGCTGCAGACGTCTAGAGATTTGTCAGTGATACCCGATGGCATCTCAACATCGATGCTCACGTTCATGAGCCATGTGGGCGGCCTTTTCATGCTCCTTCAATCCACTGCTCGTGTCGTACGTACTGGCGCACATTTCACGTTCGAATTCTGTCATTCGGTCAGCAGGGTCTCGTCAGAGGCCCAGAGGTGCTCACCGCGGTGGATGTCCTCGACGGGGATACCGGCGTGGTCAACAAAAAAGTGCTTCTCACGAAAGTATTCCTTCTGGAACCCTCGGTGACAGTCGTCTTCCCAGCAGTAAAAGTCTGCAAGTCAGCAGTTATGGGTGTGTGTGCACATCACGCTGGCGTACTGTGTTCGTTCTTGTGCATGGACTTCACGTGACACTTCAACTGGCCCTTGATGTGATCGACTGGATCGTAAGATTCCCCGTCACCGCCCAACCAGTCACACGAGTAAAATGCTTCGTTGTCAGCCGCCATATCGTACCAACAACTCACCGCGGACGTCGTCGTGGAAGCCGGTAATGTGGGCGTCGCGGGCGTACTAGGTTTTGTACGCAGCGTCACAGCCATCGCGGTCGCAGGTAAAAGCTGGGTTTCAGCGCGCTGCCCGTGAGGTCTTTCTCTGACTTACGCCGAAGGCCTAGGTGAACACTTTCGTCGTGTACTCTCAATTCCATGCGCCGAATCAAATGGTTTGTCGCATGTTGGACAGGGGTACCCTTATGCTGTGAGTTGACGACCTAAACGTCACACTTACGACCCTGGGTTAGTGAATTAGTGACTGCCACAAACGTGGCGCTTGAAGCTGCTGAGCGAAACCCAGGACGTGCCGCAGCCGGGCTCGGGGCTGGAGGTCAATTGTCATTGCAATGTCTTCACTGCATACTCACCATCGGAACAAGCGGTGCATGACGAGGAGCTTGGGGTTCTGTTCGAGGGGGTCAAATGTGTTGCACGGGGCATACCCGTCGTTCTTAGTAACACCGCCTGTGCTGTGGCGTGCTTAATGTAGCAGTTGTAAATGTCCATAAAGACAGATTCGGCGAGGATGGTCGTGGCATACGCCAACCGCAATTGATCATCCGTGGCGGTGACAAAGTTGAATTCTTTTAAGGACCAAAGCTCCAAGATAAAGACCTTGTAGAACTCGGAGTTTGGCTTCCACTTACGGTTCAACTCGTCTTGGCTGAATGATGAGCAAAGGCACAACAGAGCCAACAACTCACGGCTTGCCCCGTTGGAGTCCGGATATGTGTGTGGCAAAGCGGCTACTGAGGCCGGAGTGCCCGATAGTCGCCGCCGTAGCGCTGCCAACATAAAAGAGGATGGGGAGGCCGGGTTTGGTGGGGATCGCGATCTGCAGGTACTCCCCACCATGGGAGGTCGTGGGTTGACCGAAGAATCTTGATGCACTGGTCGGGGGTTGGCATCTGGCGGCAACCGCTGGCGATGGACCCGCCGCTGCCGTCAGAGATACCCTCGAGGAGACACTCCCCCCACCGTCCCCTGCCTTCACTTGTGCCTAGTTCTTTGCGCCAAAACGCCTGAAGGCTCCGAGTCCGGATCGTGGTCAGCGTCTTGAGGAAGGAGGATTGGGTTGAAGCCACCATTGCGGAATAATCGGCAGAGTGGCAGGCAGATCGCAGGCATGGGCCGTGTTGAGGGATCAAGGCTGGGAGACGCGGACCACTGCGTCCTGGAGGAGCGCGTCGGACTTGCCTGCCACTCAGTGTCCCATGTTCCTGTTGACGACGGGCTTTGTTAGTAGCCATGCGGAACCAACTGCTGTGGTACCGGCTCATTACAGATGACAGACGTTCAACCCCAGATCACCGTCGTCAACGATTTCCTACATGGCCCTCTCGCCCTCGGCGCAATTTAGAGCCTGCGTGACTCCCTTAGCCATTGCGACCACGGCTGGTGACCACCACTGCTGTTCACAGCGGCTTTCCGAGACGGACCAAACCTGCAGGACGACGGGACACGGCCCGGCAGTTCCGGCCGTGAGCCGGTGTCCGGTGGTGAGCAGCCCTTGCGTCTTTCCCTCACTGGTCTCGCTGTGGCGCCAGCCTCCGCACCTATGAAATGGATATCCTAACAGCCACTGCGGTGGCACTCGTCGCGTGCACACATCTTGTCATCGGGCATGAGTGGCCGGGAGGTTCTCTGGAGAGCATGTTGTTGGGGCATTGCGGGATGATTGCGGTGGGTGGAGGCAGTTCAGATGCGGATTCCTTGTTCTGCATCCGCTGCCTGTTATCCTCGCTCATTCCTTGCTCTCGGCATCTGAGCCATGGCACAAGAGAGCGCAGAGCACAAGCGGCCTAACATCCTCGCCTTTCGGTTCATGTAAGTTGTGCATGTCGCAAGGCACGCACTGAAGCAATGATGTTACGAGATGAGGGATTCCCGTACCAATGTACAGTCTATACCTTGGAACCATGAGCGCTTTGTCACAAACGAATATGCCCACGTGCCACAGCCGTAAGTACATGAGTACACCCATGCACCCATGCGCTACCAAGGCGAAAAGCGGCATGTGCACCGTTTTCCGTTGATGCTCTGCTTTTATTAATTCGCAGTGTCCCTAATGCCTTACGGGACGTGACGCTAGTGATAGACTACGTGTATGAACCCATCGATCTACACAGACCACTGTAACGTAGCAAGTAATACTAACAGAATTCTGCCCCCAACCTACCATAGATCCATAGATAGATGAGCCGGATTTTTATGGCCGCTGGCCACGCGCTGCGGCAACAACGCAACCAGGCAACCTAAAGTTTGTGCTCTCTGCTGGTATCAATCTGAATTCCAGTCTGTCACTTCTGGCCTGGTTTTGGTGCGGCCATCCGCCGTCGGCGACAGCCACCAATTGTGGGCCCCCGCCACCCACGCATGCTCTCTTTCTCTAATGGCCTGCGTAGACTGCTCGCTCGCGTACAGAGGCCCAGAGGTCTCCGTTTTCCGGGACATGTGGTCGATCAGTGGCTCAGGGGTGATGAATCTTGTCTCAGTCCTGACCGCGCTGCCCTGGTGGCGTCGGACGGAGCAGGTGCAAAGCCTTGGAACCCACCGATCTGCCCCCCATTCAACCCCGACCAAGACAGCAGTGCATCTCTTTCGCACACTCTTGGTCAGACCGACTGCTCAACCATCACCTTTACACACCCACACCTGTCCTAGGCCATCATCACGGATACCACCAGGATAACACATTCGCAGCTATTGGGTGCGCCCGTCCCCTTCCAAGGGACAACCGCCCACAGCCGTTCACAGCCATGGCCGCCCCGCCGAATCGAGGCTTGTCACTTTCCAGCATCCCGACCGACTTCTTGGAGGTGAGTAGTGGCGAGCCAGTGTGCCAAGTCCTTGGCCACTGTTGTCGAAAGTCAGAGATGGACAAGTTCCTTCGCTGCCAGCCTTGTCGTCGAGCTTTCTCGCTACCGTGCACCTTTGTCGCTGACCGCTGCAGTCGTACCCGCATGCCGCCTTTGTTGTCACTCAGCCGGAGCGTGATTGTTTGTCGCTCCCCCCATCGCATGGCAGCCTCGTGCCGTTGAAACTCTTCTGGTCCAATGTGGCTTGGAAGCAGGCAGCAGGCTCGCGCTCGTTGTTAGAATGCATCTCACCACCTGATGCGGGGCGCCTGCAGGCTTGGCTGCTCGAATGTCAGCGCGATCCACTGGAACTGCCGTTCATGTTTGGTGAGACCTATCACCTCACGCGTACGAGCGCACCCGTTCACTGGGACGACGGGACTCTGCTATCCACACATACCTTTGCCATCATTACGACAATGCCGTGTGCGGATAAGGTCCAGCTGCCATTACGACCTGCGCCGGCGAGAGTGAGCAGTCGACAGACGTTTAGGCCCTTTGAGCCCCCAGTTCGCCCTCCGGGCGAGGCACCTGGTACTGTGCCCGTCGACTCTGGCGTGCCACCAGCACACCGTACTGCACAGAGTCTCAGCTATCGACGAGACGGCAGCCTGAACACCCAGTACCTGCGCAGCACCATCGCCCCCGAGGGTACAGACCCCACGTCAGGACTGCCGTACGATGTCAAGCAGCTGCTCATGACCACCGACTGGTCAAAGTCCCCATTGGGTCCTATGGAGCTGTGGCCTCCGGCCATGCTGGGGCTGGTCAACACAACGATAGTGGTGAGTGTCCGCCGGACAAGTACCAGAAGCGCGCAGGCTAACGCGCACCCTCGCAGAACGCAACACGCGCAGCGATCTGGTGTGGCAGAGAGTTTACGATGGTGTACAATCAGCAATTCGCCGAGGAGATGGAGCACGACCACCCTGCTGCGTTTGGACGTTCTGGACCTGCAGCGTACGCAGAGATCACGAACATTCTTGGACCCCTGGCGGAGGCCGCAATCTCGGGCCAGTCGCTGCACCTTCAAGACCGTGAGTGCATGTCGTGTGGGCTGGGCTGACATTTGCAGGACTTGTTCTCCTCAAGGACAAGACGGACGGAAAAATGTACGAAGGATACTGCACACAGCACTGGATCCCATGCCGAGAAGTGACTGGCGAGTTTTCTGGTCTGTTCTTCAGCAGCATGGAGACGACGGCCACCGTGCTGTCTGAGCGCCGGAGCGATGTTGTGCGCCAGATGAGCGAGCGAGCTTCCATCGGACGTACGATGGACGACTTTGAGAGCGGAATACTCGAGACACTCACCGCCAATCCAAAGGACGCTCCGTTTGCCATGCTGTACCATGTCCAGCAACAAAGTGAGTGCTGACAGTTGGGAGCATGAGACTGACCGTTAGCTTCGTTGCCTAACAACGGCACCCCAACACGCTCCGGTGTACAGACGCCGCGCCCCAGCGACGCAATTGCAAAGCTGGTACAGCTCACTTATGCCGGCGGTGTGGGAGTGCCCTTTAGACACCACTCGGCCCCAGATTCATTGATATTGTCACTCAAGCCCACTCACGATCTCGAAACGCAGGTGACATCCGCCTTACAGACGCTGGACGTTAACGGTTCGACTCTGGACGCCACCCCCACTGCAATCATGCGCCGGACCGTCTCACCCACTACCACCCCACCATGCGGCACCTGCTGGCCAATCGCCGAGGCTCTCCGGACCCACCGAACCATTTTCGTGCGTGACTGCAGGGCTCTCATCCAAGGATACCAGGTACGCGTTTGGGACGAACTTCCATCGTCGGCCGTTGTCATCCCAATTGTCCATGACACGGACCAAGGTGTGCCCGAGGCAGTGATGATTCTGGGAATCAGCAGCCGGCTGCGGTTCACAGAGGACTATGAGAACTTTATCCATTCACTCCGAATTCAAATGGCAGCGTACCTCGTCGCTGTTCGCAGCTATTGCAAAGACCAGGAACTCATCCAGCAACTCGCCCAAATGGACCGCGCCAAAAATCTCCTGTTCGCCAACCTTGCCAACGACCTTCTTATGCCAATTAGCCTGATCATTGGTCCGCTCGACGACCTCGCCCATTACATTACACCCGAAACTGCCAATGGTAATTCGCTCAGCATTGCCCGCCGCAATGTGCGCCGCTTGCGGTCTCTTGTTGGCATGCTCGTCGATGTCAGCGCCCTCGAACACGGACCTGGTATTGCAACCTTTACGCGTGTAAACTTTGGCAGTCTCACACGGGACATTGCGTCCATGTTCCGCAAGACTGTGGAAAAGGCCGGCCTGAAGTTTACAGTTGACTGTGATCTCACCCCACATGAAGTCTACGTGGATCGCGAGGCGTGGGAAAAGGTGGTCGTGACCCTTACGGGACAGGCGTTCAAATATACTCGGCAAGGGTGAGTTTGGAGCCTGTTGCGCCGTGGTGACACACCAACTGATGTACAAAGCTTTATCGAGATCAAGGTTCGCTACGCCAATGGCCACGCCGTATTCACGTTCAAGGATTCGTCCATTGGTATTCCTCAGCACTTGATGGAGCATGCGGGAGAACTGGTCGTGTATGGCAGCGAGCAGGAAGAGACTCCCGCTGGTCCAGTTATCTTGTTTGCGCTGGTGAAGAAACTCGTCGACTTGCACGGGGGCACCCTCGACGCCGAGTCCAGAACTTTGTTCAATGCACCAGACGGCAAGAGTGAGTTCACACAGATCCGGGTGTTGGAGCTGACAACTGTAGCCGGTACAACGGTCGTCATTTGTATTCCACTGGGTAGCGCCCATCTGCCGGAGGAAGATGTCCAACATGGCGCAGAGGTGCCGACTCACGAGCTGCGCCAGTGGGAAGATTGGGAAGATTCCTCACTAGAAACGCCATCAGTTGTGGAGCAGAGGTCATGGGGTGTTGACCTGTCCAGTTTGTTTTTCGAACAAAGCGACGTCATCCTCGTGGTCGACAACACGGTCGACTCGCTGAGATACATGAGGGCCATCTTTGAACCGTTTTGCAAGGTCATCGAGGCACGAGGTGCCAAAGAAGCCTTGGAACTGTGTCGCGCCAGCCCACCAAACTTGGTCATTTGTGACTTGGTGATGCCTTATGAAGGTGGCGATGTCGTCCTCGCCGGTCTCCGCAATGGCACACGCGAAATGGCCATGGTACCCTTTATCATGCTCACGACACACGACGACACACGGCCAGAGAACGCCTTGACGGCCGACGACTACCTCTCGAAACCGTTCAACGCGCGTGACCTGCTGTCTCGCGGACACATGCAGCTACAGCTAGGCAAACGCCGTCGTGACATTGAAGATCGCTTCGAGGAACGTACTTCGGAGCTACGCATCATGTCCGAGAACCTGCCGATGGGTATCTTCAGAGCCAGGCCAGAGGATGGATCCATCACGTACTGCAATGCTGCTTGGCACGAGCAGTCTGGATATCCTGTAGATGGCGATTTCACCGACTGGTTTACCTACGTCGACCCGGCCGATCTAGAGCCGATGGCAAAGGGTTGGTTCGAGTTCCTGGCGGACCCCGACCAACTAGAGTACCAGTTTAACGGACGATGGAAGAATGGCAAATCTGGTGAGTTGAGATGAAAAGGACGATGGGGTCACTCTGCTGACAAGGGGCAAATTAGTCACATCAAAGGTTGCCAAAATCTCCAAATCGCCAGGCGGTCCCGTCTCCACACTGCTCGGTTGCACGTTTGACGTTTCCGAGCACAAGATCAACGAGCAGTTGGTGCTGGAGCGGGCAGAATTGGCTGAACTGCGGCGTGTTGAGGCCGAAGACGCAAAGGCACAGCAAGAACTTTTGATCGACATTACGTCCCACGAAATCCGCAACCCGATCAGCAGTCTCATGCAGTGTGCGTCCCTGGTAAAGACCAACCTCCTTGGGTTACAGTCCGAGTTGGACCTTGCCGTGTCCAACGGCACCGCATTCCACCCCACACGGCAGCTTTTGCATACGATCCAGGAAGACCTGGAGGCGCTCGACAACATCTACGAATGCGCCTTGACCCAGGAGCGTATTAGCAATGACGTTTTGTCGTTGGGCAAGATCCAGCTCGACCTGCTCCAAATGTTCGACGTTGAGACCAACATTCACGACGAGGCCAAAAAGCTTGTCAGCGTCTTCCAGAACGAGGCACGCATGAACCGAATCCACATTTCGCTCAGCTTTTCGGACGCCTTTGAGAGCCTCGGACTGTCGACGATCAAAACGGACCCCGTGCGGTTCGGTCAAGTGGTCACCAACCTGCTGGCGAATGCGATCCGCTTTGTGGTGAGCAGTGACGAAAGGCGAATCGATGTGCGCCTCGACATTGGCACTGTACCCCCAGTTCCCGGAACTTGCCGTCGTCCGCCAGAGCCACGGTTACCCACCGCGATAGGAGTCGACACTCCGCTGTACCTGTACGTCGAGGTGGCGGACACTGGACCTGGCTTGTTGCCCTCCGAGCTCGAGACCCTCTTCCAGAGGTTTACACAGGCGAGTGCCAAGACCCACACAGTCTTTGGAGGCTCTGGGTTGGGTCTGTTTGTGTGCCGCAAGATCACCGAGCTCATGGGGGGCGGTATCGAGGTGGCATCGGAATACTCGCGCGGGTCCGTGTTCCGGTTCTTTATCCAGGCCCGCGCCGCCAGCATCCCAACCCCTATCAGCAAGCCCCCGACCCCAGTCACTGCAAGGACGAGAAACACCCTCCGCATCCTCATTGTCGAAGATAACATGATCAACCGCACTGTCCTGGTCCGTCAGCTCAAGCATGTTGGTTTCAAGCCAGACGCCGTCACAAACGGGTTGGAGGCAGTGGAATGCCTGCGCGCTCTTGAACCTGGAGAGAGATACGACTGTGTTCTCATGGACCTCGAGATGCCCGTCATGGACGGATACACGGCCACCCGGTTGATTCGCGAGGACGAGGCAGCTGGACGAGCACCCAACGCAATCATTGCGTTGACTGGCAACGCGCGCCAGGCCAAACTGGACGACCAGATGATTGACTTTGACGAAGTGGTCGTCAAGCCGTACCGCCTGGACAACCTACTGCTCAAGATCGAAGGCGTGGCAAGGACCGTCGCCGCCGCTCCAGTTGCACAGGCTGAAGAACCCGTGGTTCCCCTCCGTCCACCAGTTTCACCACTTCTCCGTCCACCAAGCCGTGACGGTAGATCATACTCCGAGCCAGTCGTCATGCGGTGGTCTGATAGTGGGGGCACAAGTGTAGCGGAGACGGATCGTGGCGGAGAGAGTGAGAACGAGTTGAGGTAGGGAGAGCATTGTTACAGTAGCATGTAGAGAAGCGGGGCGAGGTTGTTTTTTTTTGGGTATTTCTTCATGTACAAGTCTGAGCATCAAATCGACATCGGCCAGCAATGTTGCAGCATATGGTTGCATGCTGCGACAACCTCGTTGTCTGTGTGTCACTCTGGGCGCTTAAGCGTCGGAAGGGTCATCACCGGCACCTCTCCCAGCAACAATGGCGGTGCCTCTCCTCCAGTCTGCACGTTGTCACCCCTGGTCAAGCCGCGGTGGACTCCGTCTTCATCCAGCGCACCCTCCCAGTCTTCCCAGTCCATGTTGGCAATGTTGAGGTTGTTCTCGACAGCCCACAGCTCGGCGACGACGCACCGGAAGGTACGCGGCTCCTCCTCGCCGTCCCAGTCCGGGGCCAGCTCGACGCAGAGCACAGGAAGTCCCTCCTCCCTCAGCGCTCGCTCGTCCGCAATGAACAGCACAAGTGCGTTCACCTTGCTCTCTTTAGCAGCCTTGGCGAGTGTCGCGGGGCTGGCGTCGGCCCATGCCTTGTCGTCGACGGGGTGGACGTAGGCTCGAAATCCCTCAGAGTTGGTCTCCGCGGTTCGTCGGAGGAGGGTCGTCCAGGCCGTGTCGGATGTGAACGAGGTGCGTACTAGGGGCGAGTCGTTAGAAGCAGGTAAGGACGGCATAAGCGGGGATATGGGCAGTATATGGAGTGCTCTGATTGAGAGCAAAGGAAGATGGCGAGGTTGGCTCAGGTAAGTTCCGGGAGGATTATGTGATGACGCGTGTCCACGTGGGATTGTTTGGCCCTGATCCTCGGCGCTCTTGCATTCAGACCTTCGCAATGCCGCGGTTCGCATTCAGGGAACACACCCCACAGAGGGACAGTTGCGCAGGAGCGACGAGCAAGCCAGTTTTGCTGCCTACAAGCCTTCCTCCAATACCAACGGCTCTTCTCCCTTCTGCACTGCGGCACTTTCAGTTAGGTGTGTTCTTGACGCTATTTACGTAATGAACACGTGGCTCTCGTGGTGTAGTGGCTATCATACTTTCTTAGGGTCCAGTCCTGGTCTCTAATCCTCTTCGGATTCGTCTCCGTTCTCTAGCTATGGAAGTGGTCCTGGGTTCAAATCCCGGCGAGGGCCTTAAGCGTCTCTTTTGGCCTGTTGTGGTCCATTTTACAGGTCGGGGGGTGCATATTGATAGTGGAATTGCGCTTTCTGTTGGTCTCCGCAGTTGAGGTTTGATATTTTCGAGGCATTTTCGGGACATTTTTTGTTTGTTTTCATGAACGGATATAAAACCTGACCTCAGGTAAAACTCAGCCAACTGTCGCCACAAAGATTTAAACAATATCGGTCGCATGAGTCCGCCGAACTGAGTTCAAAGAAGAAGGCAACCGCCGGGCCCTCTATCATCTGGACGAAAATCCAAGAAAGAAGGGCATGAAGGTCTGCATGCTACAAAGGTCGACTTGGTGGCGGGCCACATGCCCACCCCAGTATCCTTCTCCTGCTACGTACCCCCCACCAAACCCTCTCACTCAATCTAAAACCCTACCCCAGAAACCTTGCAACAATGAGCGACTCGGACAGCGGTGAGTTTTTCCACGTTGGGTTTCCTATCACCCTCTCCACTTCCCTGAGTGTGGTCGGCTTTCTTGGTTGGTTTGCTACATTATCTTGTCTACTGGTCGACCATTTGACATTCTTTTGCTGTCATTCGGTCATGGTGTCATGCCTCCTGTCGCAATCCATTCCCTGTGTCTTGTCCTCTGTCGCACCGAGGAGCCAAAGCTGACATACATATTCTCGCTTCCGCTTCTCTGCCACACTCCCCCTCCCCTCACTCCCCACCCCTGCGCGCACTGCCACACTTGCCTCCCATGTCCAGACGACTACCTACCGTCTGACACCAGCTCCCACAACTCCGCCGACAACTACGAGTCTGACGTGTCCATGGAGGATGCGGTCTCGTCTGCGGCTGAAGATGGCCAGTCTGAGCAAACTAGCGACGAGGAACAGCAGTCCGCCTCGGTTTCCGACGAGTCGGAGGAGGACGCGGGCGGCGATGGTTCTGGTGACGGTAGCTCTGGGCTCTTCGTTTACCCTGAACCTGGCTGCGGCAAGAGCTACACAAAGATCAAGTCGTGGCGCTCGCACAAGGAGTGAGTACCCATGATCTTGCACCGTGGAATCGCTGTATGGAAATATTGACAGACTCAGTGCCCACGCGAGAGAGTACTACTGCCAAATCTGCCCGTATCGCGGTGGTGATTTCGACATGTTGACAAGACATGTGAGGTAAGTGCGAACTCCACATTTGTATCAAGTGTGTGGCAGCTGACAATTCAGGACCCACACCAACGAGCGACCGTACCACTGCGAGTACCCCGGCTGCTCGAAAACGTACAAAGAAAGTGGCCACCTGCGTAGACACCAGAAGTGAGTTTTACTTCCATTGCTCAACGCTGACCGGGAGAACACACGACAAGAACCGCTCTCGTTCATTTGCGTGCCCAAATCCAAACTGTTCCTGGAGCTTTTATGAGCGTCAGGACCTCACAAGTCACATGGAGTGAGTCATAAAATCAGCGTTCCAGTGACGAATTTCGACGCTGACGGGGTACAGAATCTGTACTGCGTAAGGGAGCGGCTGTGGTCGGTATGGTCGAGGCGTGAATGATGTCTTAATTAACGTTACTTTTGGTTTGAGCTTCATAACATTTAAATATATATTTTTAAAAAAATGAAAAAAAAAATTGTCGTCCCACAAGTAAATACGCGAGTACACGCTTTGTGGAGCACAAGTTATCGCTTGTGTTGTGGAATTTTCTCGATTCTCGTTGGGTTGTGCAGCCAGCGTCTATGCAACCCAATACTGTACACAGACACCCCCCTGTGCTAGCCTCCTGAACTGACCACACTGTGACTGACTGACCGCACCGTGACAGACTGAACTACTCCCCGTGTGCTGAGACCAGAGCAGACGGTGGGAGTTGGCAGCCATTGCCGAGGTGAACCCACAACATGAATATATTTCCCACGGCCACATGCAACGGAGGTCCCTCTCGCCATATGCATACACCTGGTGTAATAACAATGCAGCATATCCATCACGATGTGCCGTCCATCGGGTCGTCGAGGATGTCGGCCAGTGCCCTCGGCTTGCGTGCGGTCGACTCGACCCATGAGGTCTTGCCGACCACCTCGTTCGACTCCTCGACCTCGTCCACCAGCTCGCCCATCAGCTCGCCCGTAACACCCTGCTCCTGTGCCGCCTGTTCCTCCATCGAGCACCAGTGGGCGGCGTCGCCCTTGCCGTGGCCCTTGCGGCTGGTGGCACAGATGAGGCGGATGAAGTAGGAGGCGTAGCAGGCAATGGAGCGGAGGTACGGGTATTGGCCGAGGCGGACGAGGCAAACAAAGGCGTCGAACACGGGGCATCCGTCCTGCATGTCAATGTTGCCATGGACATGCAGTGGCTGGATCGACGCCAGAAGAGCACGAGCGAGGCTACACGTCAGCGACAAAGACATTGGGGATTATCAACATACCCCTCGTTGAACTTCTGGTGAGGGTCAAAGACCAGGAGGTGGCGGCACCAGGGCGAGCCACACGCGTACCTCTGGAGGTCGAGGAGGCACCGGATGAGGCCGATGTGCATGTAGAGCCGCTTGCTGGGCTCAATCTGCCTCCAGGCGCTCTCGACGGCGGACCAGGTGTACGCCTAATGAGTCAGCAGAGTTCATCCTGATCGTCCACACCATTACTCACGCCCTTGGTCGTCATGACCACCATGTTGAGGTCCAGGCCGATGAAATCGACCAGGAGACGGCAGGCCAGGGTGCCCATGTTGGCACCGTGGGTTCGGAAGGTCTCAAAGATGCGCTTGAGTTCCTTCTCGACCCACAGGTGGGCATGGCCAGGCGTTGGCAGCAGCATGGCGAGGACGACCGCGTCGAAGAGGAGCAGGAGAAGCTCGTCGACGGCGGGGTGGCCAGCAAGGTGGTGGCGGGTGCGTTGCTGCGAGGTCAGTGGAGACGAGACGAATAACTTACCTTGATGCGGGAGACCAAGGCCGAGACGTTACCAAAGTTGAAGCCGTTCATTTGTTCTTGAACGGACTCCGGGTAGTAGGACGTCTCGATGGCCTCGACGGCCGCCTTGGCGCACTCGGCCACGCCGACCGCTCCTTGAAGGTCTTTGTCAATGGCGCTCACGACCACCGGAACGATGGTGGTGAGCTTGACCTTCTTGGAGGTGATGTCGTCGAGCGCGGCGTTGTACTCCTTCGGGCCGGTTCCCGTGCGTGAACCCTGACGTCAGTCAGTTTCTTGACAAGACGACGGACAGTGACCACACTTACCTGCACTGCTGCCACCTCGGCCATCTCCGCCTTGAGCTCGGCGACGATTTGGTCCCTCGATGACGGTGGTACGATGTAGCAGTACGTGGTGTAGCAAGAGCCACGTGGCACTGCCCTGCGAACACCGTCTGACGGTCATGAGCTTGTGTCTACCACGGTCATGTTACTCACCACCTGAGGCCTCGCCGCCCTCCTCTTCTCCGTCGTTGTCTTTGTCCTCGTCGTCTCCAAAGTGGTGGTCGAGCTCGTCGTCGCGCTCGTCGTCCTCGTCCGCGTGGCTTGGGCACGCGCGCAGCCTGTCGAGGAGACCGGGGATGTGGGAGCGAACGTGCTCAACCACAGGCCGGATCTTCTCCAGCTCGCTCTCGACGTAGGCTCGAGGTCGGTCGAGGAAGGACTTGAGCTCCTCCTTGTGGTCCTGGGAATCAGGGCTGACACTGTCTGCTGTCCACGCAGTAGTCACCTTGACCTTGTCAAGAACAGTCGAGTCAAGGTCGAGCTGGTCCTCGGACTCGCTGTCGAGCGACTGCACCATGCTGCGTGCTCGCGATAGCGCCGAGTTGTGCTCTTCGATCTTGAGGAAACGCAGGTACTCGATGAGCTCCAGCGTCTCCTCGTGAACACCGCCACGGTCGAACTTGCCGTCGGCGACGGATAGGACATGGGCCTGAAAGGGTTAGCACACTGCTGTGCCTGGGACGCCGTTCTCAGAAATCGTCGTCCCACCGATTCCCCGTCACCAGAAACCGCGCTCAAAGCTAGCTCTCTAGGGTTGGACTGCTGTGCTATCCTCCTTGCTCATAGGGGGCCAACTTCTTCTGCAAGATCCTGCAATACTCACCTCGTAGTTGTAGTGAGGCCGCATGTCAATGATGGGGGTCTCCTCCAGCTTGGACCTCTCCTCGCCCGCCTTGATGAGCGATTCGAGGAGGCTGGGGAAACCCTCCGGGCGCTCGTTCATGAGCTTGTAGGCATTGTCCCGCACCTCATAGGTGGCCTGGCGCTCGGTCTGAAAAGTCAGGTCTGTGCCCCGCATGCAGACAACTTACCCATCGGTTGGCAGCCTGCATGGAAGGGGCAAGGCGCCGGTAGATGTCCCAAGTCGACGGCGAGACCGAGTTGCGCAGGACGGGATGCGTGGCCGCGACGGACATCGTCTTGATCGCCGAGGCGATGTTGTCGACGACCTCGTTGACGGCTGGGGAGACATGGGGGCAGGCGAGAAGCGAAGGCATGTCGTTCAACCTGGCACGGAACGTGCTAGGAGGAATGGACGGGCAGCCGACAGCAGGACCGCCCAGGCTGTTGACGTGGCGGATCAACGCAGTGGTGGAGATGTTGTCGAGGCTGAGGGTATTAGCACCACAACCAGGCATTTAGACTCACCTCCACTTGTCGTTGATCTTGGCCTCGGTCACAGTCTCAACCAGCGCGCTGATGTGCTTGAAGAGGTCTTGGCCAAAGACCTCCCTGCACAGCCCCCAGTTCCAGGCGATGTCGCCAGGTTCCAGAAACGCGGTCGAGCCAGGACCCTTCCGGCAAAGCAGAAGCTGGGCAAGAAGGTGCATTGTGCGCTTGAGCTTCTGGCGGTGCTGGAGGGTCCTTTCGAGTGACTGAGTCTTCCGACACTTTGTGTAGGTGGCAAGGGTCGTGTCGGACACTTTGCCATACTTGAAGAACATGTCGGGAGACTGTCGAGCCTTGGGATAGACGATGTCGCGCCAAATTTTGACGGCGACATCGAGGTTCTTGGGCAGGCCGAAGACGTTGCTGAAAGCAGTGTCAAAGGTGACCTGCTCGAACGCGTCGTATATGGGCCAGATGAATGCTCTGGCGTCCATTTCGGCGACGTCCGCCTGGTACACTTGTGTGTGACACGCTTGGGCCTTGATCGAGAGGGTCGCAGCCTCGGTCTTCTTCACCAACTCTTGAACGCCATTGCCGTACGTCGTGACCTCGTACTTCGAAATCACCTCTCCCACTTCACAATTAGCAACTGAACGCATGGGTTGTGCTCTCACCAGAGTGGGAACGAGGGCGAGGTGCAGGACGAGTTGTAGGAGGAAGAGGCTGTGAGAGCGGGAACGGGAATGATGGGGCTGTCTCATTTGGACGCTGTGTTTGTTAGATTGCGCTCTGGAAGCCTGCACTCACCCAAGGCTTTGAGCCGTAAGGGGAAGCTGGAGGAGTGCTCATGATGAGGAGGAGTTGATAGGTAAATGTATTGTTGAGGAGGTGGTGAATGAGAAGATGACAGACTAGTCGCCACCGTGGGGTGGGCTCGTGTGAAGAGGGCGCACTGGAGAAGCAGCGCGGTCTCACGCCCCTCCCATGAGGACACGATGCGCTGCGCGCTGATCCAGGAGGTGAGGCGGTGCTGCACCGATCCTCTGGAAACGTGCGATATACATGGGCGTTCTATCGTGCTAGTTCTACCCGCGGTCGCTGGTAGTCAAGGTGCAAAGGTGAGGGAGCAAGTGGTCGACCCTCGACATCGACCTGGCACAACTCCACAAAACATTGGCATGTTCGCCACAATACACAGGTTTGTATTTATATTACATCGTCGTTTACGCGCTACATACGACCCATTATCGCATCCCTTTTACCAGTCCTCGAGAGGAGTCTCCTCGCGCTGGAACCCCCTGTTTTAATCGGTCAATGTTTGTCAAGGGCGCGCGAGTGACTGCATACGTACGCAACGTGACGCATGAGCTGGGAGAGGTGACCAAAGCCTTGGCCGCACACGTCGCAGGATCGCAGGTGTGGGGCTTCGAGTGCTTTTCGCTGCCGGATGTCAGTTTGGCCTAAGACACAAATCTTACAACTCGTGCTTGTTCCTGCGCGACTCCTGGTGGTGGTGGAACTCGCAGCCGTCAAAACGGCTGTGTCAACTAGCTTCTTGGCGCCGTCGCGGGCCTTGGCGGCAAGGTTGTCGTTGGCGACGCGGTCCCTGTGTGTGACTCTTGCCGCTACTCTGTCAGCCATATGCAATGTACAAGAGCCGGGCGGTAATGGATGAGATACTCACTTTTCGTGGCGCTTGAGCATACTGGCGTCACCAAATGAGGTGTTGCAGGGGCCGCACTTGAAGCGGGTCTGCTTGTGCACCATGGTGGTTAGCACACTGGGTTGCTCTCTTCAATTCACGTCGCCTGGCGCATCGGCTTGGCAGCGCTGGGGAAGCTGCGAGAGCATCCCTTGACCTTGCACTTGTGGGCGCCCGACCCGTATTTGCGCGCCTTCTTCTGGCCCTGGCTAGACGTGGCCTTCTTGTTGAGCTTATTGTTCTTGTTCTTGTTGCCGTTCTTCTTGGCCCCCTTCTTGCTCTTGCTCTCTTCAGAGTCACTCTCCTCACTCTCATCCTCGTCGCCCTCACTGTCCTCGGTGTCGATGGCAGAGAGGGAACCTTCATCACCCGACGAGACCGACGCCATCTCAGTGTCCGAGAGGACGTAGTCCTCGTCTCCCTCATTCTCGGGGGTCTGGTCGCGTCCGCCTAGAGGGTGCATGAACATGGATGGTGGTGAATGGAAGAAAGGCACATCAAAGTGTCAGTGGTTGGGAGGAAAACGCCGAACGGAGGAGGAAGGAAGGAAGGAAGGAAGGAAGGAAGGAAGGAAGGAAGGAAGGAAGGAAGGAAGGAAGGAAGGAAGGAAGGAAGGAAGGAAGGAAGGAAGGAAGGAAGGAAGGAAGGAAGGAAGGAAGGAAGGAAGGAAGGAAGGAAGGAAGGAAGGAAGGAAGGAAGGCAGGCAGGCAGGCAGGCAGGAAGGCAGGCAGGCAGGCAGGCAGGCAGGCAGGCAGGCAGGCAGGCAGGCAGGCAGGCAGGCAGGCAGGCAGGCAGGCAGGCAGGCAGGCAGGCAGGCAGGCAGGAGGGAGGCAGGCAGGCAGGCAGGGGAGGGAACGGTTTCTCATGAAAGGGAGCCAGACTCACTGCGGAGGCGGCTGTGGGCGTTGGTCATATTGAGTGAGGATGTTGGGGTGTGTCGGGGGAGGTGGATGCTGTGTGGATGGAAGCTCACTGCTAGAGTGGCGACTTTAAAGAGAGAGAGAGAGAGAGTTGAAGAACAACAGTCGACGCGTGTGCGGCGTTTTCTAGGAAGGTGGCACACGGGCACACGGGGGTGCGCGTGGGCTGTATGGGCCGTACCGGTGTTTGTGTGCGGGTGAGTCATGTGTGTGTGTGTGTGTGTGTGTGTGTGTGTGTGTGTGTGTGTGTGTGTGTGTGTGTGTGTGTGTGGATGTGTGTGTTGGGCGGAAGGGGAGAGGGAGGGGTCCTAGCCAGCCCGGCCAGCCCACGCGGATCAGCTCTCAGTTTGGCCCCGCTGCCTCCTGTGTATGGTTTTAAAACTGCTATGCTGCCAAGACACAACCTCTCTTCCTGTACTACTTTCCCTTCATTCTGCAGCCGATGCCAATCGTCCACAACGACTCACCGGCCTGGGCGTGCAGTAGATGGGTGAAACAGGTGTGTGGTGTGTTCGTTATCTAAGGCACGTTCGGCCGCGGAATGACGCGTGCCCAGCCTGAGGCACCGATCACAGGGGCGTCCCATGGAGCATGTCTTGCATTCAGCACAGGCGAGTGGACCATGCCAGACTACCCTCCCGCCTCGGTAGCATCGTTCACATGACTTGTTGGTGGTGGGCATGGTGGTGGAGGAGGCGAGAAGTGGATGGTGAGTAGTGGTGAGGGTGGTGAGAACTGGTGACAGTAGCGAGTAGTGGGGAGAAGTGATAAGACGTGGTGCGAAGTAATGGTGGAAGTGTCGATTGATGAGCGGTAACGACGGGTGATGGGTTGGGTTGATGGCATGATGGGGGCGTGGCGGAAAAAGACTGACGAGGGAAGGCATGCCAGGGCACCTGGTGGTCGATCAGCGCCACACCTCACCACCAACTTCCGGGGCGAGTCGAGGCTCCAGTGGAGTCTGCCCAAATCCGATGCTTGGTCCACAGAGGCAGTCCTCGCATATGGACAGAAGAATCCCTTCCGGGTTCAGGAGATAGTCAAGCGACGGCCCTCCCAACAGGACAATTCGCGAGGGGACAGTGTTCCACTCTGACCACTGATCGCCGTCTACGCTTTTGGGCCCGAGCGCGCACGTGTTGTGCTTCCGTCGTGACGTCGTGGCCGTCGTGGGGCGACAAGTACTCACACGGCTCACTCATTTCCATTCTCTCACTTCTTCTGATCCCAACCCCTACTCTCCAAAATGAGCACTCCCAGTGCATCAACGGCCACGTCCCAGCCAACAACGGGTCATAACGTGAGTGTGGCACAGTGGTGCAAGCGCTAATTTTAGTTGCTCCCATCTCCCAAGTACTCGACCAAACGGCATATCCTGCACAGCACCATGCAGAACGTTTTCAGCACCCCCAGCAACACCGCAGAATGCTCAGAGGTCTGGAAGGCCACAATCCAGGGCATTGATGTCGCCTGGCTCAAGGAGAGCGAACTTAGTGACAAGAAGCTGTTGACTCTCACTCGCCGTCAGTACCCTTCCCGCATTACCGCGCCTCATGGCAAGCGGGCCAAGGTGTCAGAGGCCGCGGCAGCCCTGTGTCGTATCCTCCGCGTCGACAAGGGCCCTGGAGACACCCCCCATGCCAAGTCTGGACGGCGCTACTGGAACTGGGACTTGGGTCGTCTCCTTTTCGGCGCCGAGTTTTGTGAGGTCTTTCGCGCTCTGGTCGACCACTGCGAGCAGACAAAGGACCCGTGGCTGTGAGTTAAACCCTTGATGACTATTGTTTCTAACGCGTCTCCAGCAAGGCCAACCTCACTCGCCAAGCTCTTGACGTGACGGCCACCGGCTACATCTTCCCGAGTTCGCCTCCCACCGTCAAGGAGTGCGAGTTCATCACCGTGGCAAACATTCTCCCCCTGGAGCACGCGGGCCCACCGCTGCTCAAGATCATTCAGTCCACCGCCGCAGGCGTTCGGTTCGCATTCCCCCTCCTCCCGGCAGCGACCTGCCCGTTGGAGAGATTGACGAGAAGCGTGTCCACCTCGAGCCGTGGAACATCTACGTCGCCATTGCAAAGGGCATGCATGATGACGGCGTGTGGGTGAGTGTCGCTTGAACAGTTGGACCCAAAGCCACACGTGACAACGTTTCTCCAGAACATTGCTGACCTTTTCAGTCCGACGAGGCTGTGGCAGCGGCCTTCTCCTTTGACCATGACGCCAGGGTGCATTCCAAGGTTCTTTACCGCGCCGACGCGGTCGAGCCCTTCCTCCCGGCTGTCAAGAGCGCAGCCATAGAGATGCCCAAGGATCCCAGCGTGGCTCTTGCCCCCCGCGCCGTACCATCTCAGCATGTGCGATACGAGGTAAGTTAACGTCGCGGTGTCACACACGTTCCAAGTGGGTGTAAGGAGTGGCTGTATACCCCGGCAAGAAACCCTCCGAAAGGTACCTGGGATCGCTAACAGCACAGGACCACCCATTGGCCTTTGTCAAGGGCAAGTTGCTACCGCAAGCTCGTCGATGATGATGCTGAGGTGGTGATCCCCTTCTTCCGCAAGCTGAAGATAACCATCAACCGCCTCAAATCCAACAAGGGCCTGACACTCGACCTCCTTGACGAAGAGTCCGAGGCCGTCATCGGCAAGGTCAATGGTGCTCTCGAGGACCTCGAGGTAGGTTTCACGATGCATGTCCGACATGGCTGACGACAGACGGCTCGTCTTGAGAACGTTTACAATTACCACTACATACCAGCAGACCGCTCTTGCGTGCAGCCCCCTCGAGGCCGACTGCAGCGGTCTTGACCTAAACCTCACTAGCATGGCCACGCTCCACTGCTGCTCGTCGCACACCGTGGGCAAGGCCTTTGACGAGATAGGCCAGGTCGATGACCATGTCGAGGGCCCGCGCGCACTTCACCATGTATGGTACCTCTGCCTTTTCCGCATGCAGCCCCACAAGTGCACCTGCCCTGCTGCGAGGAGCCTCTGAAGTTTGATTTCAGCCCTGACTAAAGTATGGGAGCAGCCACCGCACCTACCTGGAATTGAACGTCTGCTCAGGTTCGTAGTCGATAAGTCGGCGACAGTGGGGGCAGATGTACTCCTGACCCTCCAGGATACGGCGGGAGTAACTGGGGTGGAGACTGTGGCGACCAATCTCAGGAGGATTCTTGTAGTCGCCCGTCCCAAGCTTGGCCGACTGGGGTGCCACAGCACTGAGGATCAACACGGGCTCATGATTTCCACTACTCACTCCAAAAGGGTTGTTTTGATAGTCATGTTCACGTCAATACCCAGGCCGTCTGCGCAGATGTCCGAAATGCAGGGTTCTCGACTGGTGATGCTGTTATGTAGACATCTGGTAGATCCGCCTGATCTCCTCGTCCATCCACAGATAGGACACCTCAGCGAGGGGAATGACCATGGGCAGCGCGATCATGTCGATGTTGAGCTGGGCCTGGATGACGGGATAGTCCCCAAAGTAGGTGGCGATTCGTGACTCTATGTAGGAGTCAGCTCCGCCACGGCGATATTTCGGCCCTTTCACCAGTGGCAAAACATCCAGCGGCCCTTCCCATAACCGTGTTGCAAGTCACAGAGGAGCGGCACTATTAGATTCTCTGCGCACCTCATGCACATCTTCCACTCACCTTGATCTTTGCGCCAAAGCACTGATGTTGGCGAACGCGTAGCGGAACGGCTCGCAATAGGCCGCCATGGCCATAATCTGAACCGCCGCCGCGGCACATTGAGCCGCTTCGGAGTCATTCTCCATGGCAGTGTCCGCTTCTCTGAGCAGGCGGGGAAGAACGATGCTGAGGTCGAATGTGCGATTATCCAGACGTTCGGTCGCCTCCTCGTACTGCTGCTCTGAATCTCCCGCTGCTTCGCGGTCCTTTGCCATCAGCGAGCTCATATTGACCTGCTTCTCCAGCTCCTTCATGATGGCCTCAACCTGGTCCTCTTCTGGGTCGATATAACAGAAGCTGGCGCGGTGAGGTACTTCTCCGATGGGGTGAGAGTTTGCAGTATCAGGAGAAGAGCTGATTGCGGAGTTCAAGCGGTTGGGGAGGTCGGGGATAAGTGCTCGTAGAGCCAGAACAGCAGGGCCAAGAATGTTGCGCACTTGATCGTGTATTTGCGCATATTGAGTTTCGAGGGACTGTCGATAGCGTTGAGCTGCTTGTTCATATTGTACGAATGCAGCTTGAGCGTCGCCAAAAAGAGAGGTCGACCTGGCATCCAGTGCTGGGGGCTTCTGCTCCAGGATGACACTGGCCGCATTGTGGACGGCGGTTTTCAGGCGGCAGAAAAACTCTGTGAACTGCTCCTGGTCGTCGTCGAGCGTGGCCTCGCTGCGGTCAGACTTCGCCTTCGCCACAACAAGAGGGTGATTTTCGTGGTGCACGTGAAAGGTAGGAACGCTGCGCACCGCGCGCGACGACGCGGATTGTGATCCTACTTGACGCTCCTTTGCCAAGAGGTCGATAGCCTCGTTCAGAATAGTGGCCAAGAAGGGTTCTTTTGCTCCGGATCGCTCCAGAAGGGAAAAGTGAGCGCGTCTGTGGCCGTTTTTCATGTCCCTGTTGGCGGATTCGACCATCTGGGCCGACCAGCAGTGGTCTTCACGCATGGCGTCGACCAGATGCAAGTAGATATCCCTGCTCTCCAGGTGGATACGTCCCCGCTCTATCTCGTCGGTGGCCTTGAAAGTGACCGACATGCAGTCGGCAATTGAGCAGATGATTTCTTGTAGCTTCTTGAATGCATGTGGCGTCTGGAGAATGCCTGCAACAGTGCAGCGCTCCATAGCCGTGCTGGTTGGGGCCGTCACCCGAAGGACTTCGTCCCGGAGGGAAATGCTGGACGCTGCTCGGATCAGCCAAGGTTCGGTATGTATGTAGACACAACCTACATCCATGGAGGCTGTTATTGTAAAATGCTACCGCAAACTGAAGTGATTTTTCATGTTCACAAGGTTGGAATGAAGAAGAAGGAAGAAGGAAGATGTGAGTGTGGAAATTGCGACTTAAATACCAGATATTCCCGAATTTGATTCCGGGGTGTGTAACGGTCAAGAATACACCGGCAACAAAGCGACTGATCGACTGGACTCTGGACTCTGGACTTGCAGGATGTGTCCGTGTGCGGGCTGTGCGGGAATTGCTGGTCGTTGGTCGTTGGTGGCACGTGGCTCGCTGATCACTGATGCACTGACGAGTCACATGCAGTCACCCAACTCCCGGGTTGATATGGCCTTCCTTCTCTGCGATATGGCCTTCCTTCTATGCCTCTGCTCTGTCTCTGCCTTCCTCCAGACCGAATCTCTGCCTTCCTCGCCACTAATACACACAGTATCAATCAACGTCCACCTCCGCTTCTTTCCTTTCCGCCCAAGCTATTTCACCAGTCTCCCCATGCCTGCCATCAACAAGGCATGCGAAGCCTGCTTCGAGGGCAAGAAGGTGAGCGCACAGTCCATCACCGTTCTCTCTCCGTGTTGACGGTGTTGACGGCCAGGAGAAATGCTCCATGTACCAGCCTTGTGATCATTGCATCAGGATCAATATCGCTTGCAAGGTCAACACCCACAGGCACCGCAAGATCTTGGCTTGCAAGCGTTGCCGGCGTCGGGGTGACAGGTGCGATTTCCAGCAGCCTTGTCAGTACTGCTCTGAGGCAGACGAAGAGTGCGTCTACTACGACAGTGACGAGTCAATCGACAGGGGCGATTCGGACGTCGGCAAGACATCGACGAAGAGGCACAAGGCGCCCATGTCGAAGAAGAGTTTGAAGGAGACGTCCAAGAGGAGGAAGCTGGACGTGGGGCACGGCACAGCGGATGATGGCCAACTGGACTCGGAGGACAAGCACAGGACGCAACCCTCCACCAAGATCAACGACGACGTGGCCTGGTGGCGGTTTCGATCTTACAGTGCCAGCGCCGCTGCGGGGACCTGGCCCCTACAGAGCAGCGCGAGGGCTAACCGGGGTAGCGCTGACTCGCCCCCTGCTCCCAGCAAGCCTGCTGATGCCGCAGCTCCCTCTGCTGTTTCGCGGGTACCCTCGCCTCCACAGGCGTCCTCGCCGCTTTCTTCCGCCCCCGCGACCCCCACTCCTGTGCGACCAAGCTCGATCTTACCACACGAAAGGAGAAGGGTCAGCGCCGATATCCCTCGCCAAGCCGCCACACAACTGATCGAAAGCTTTACGCCCTGCCAATCCCACCCATCATCATGGCTAAACCCGATAGCAAGTGGACTATGGAACTGCTGGGCGACTTGCTCGATGAGGTACATGACCCTCGGCAGCGCCGCACATGGTCGCGTCCTCTCCAAGACCCGGGCTTGAATTGGACCAGAGCCCATATGGTCGACACCATTGCTTTCGCCAAGTATGTGGTCCCCGCACCGAAAACCCTTATCGAGGTGTCGCGTGCCGTTCCAACGTGGAATGGGACCACTCTGCGGTTCGCACACTTGGCGGGTGGCGAGGCGGTACCAATTGCAGCGCTGGAGGGCAAGCCGTGGCGGCAGATGGTGACCCTTCTCCTGTTTACCGACGTCTGCGACGACATTCACTTCATGGTCTGTTTCATCTACGGTCCAGCTCGGCTTGTTTATTGGTTCGACCCCTCCGCGACACATGGCAAGGATGCGGCCCGGGACGAGTTCTTCAAGCAGTTCAAGCTCCAATTGTTGTTCGACAAGGCTCAGAACAACTGCGCCGTTGAGGAAAGCCCGAACGACTGGACGCTTCTGAGCGGCCACGACCTCGACTTTCCCAGGCACGCCGACCTCCACAATCCTCCCGACCGTGTTCCCTGCGCCCTGCTCGTATGTGCCTTCTCCATACTGGTTCTCCAGGAGATCACACCTACTTGGAGCGCTCTCGGTCTGGCGGCGGGCACGCTGCTGTACTCCGACCTGGAAGCTCTTGGACGCTCTCTAATTTCAATGGTGTTGGCCGGCATGTGCGTCCACAGCTCCCACCCGCAAACTCCTCGAACAGAAAAACGTTTGCGCCTGGCGTGCGACAGAATCCTATGCCAGCGCCCCATGAGAGCACCTGCCGCCGACAGGGAGTAGGTTCCCGAGTGATCCTCCCTTGTCGTAACGGGTGCACACCTCCTGCGTTCCATCCCTTCCATTATTCTTGCCGTCGAGATACCCTACCCCCAGACCACACGAGAGGTGTGACGAACGTTGTTCAAGTATGTGTGAGCGTTATAAGATGTAGTCACTAGGCCTGAGATATGTACGTGAGGGTGGTTTGATTACTGGCTCCATTCTGTTGGCAGGGCAAATGTGGCGGGAGCATTTACCTGTGCGAGGAAGGAGGAGCTGTAGGGATGCACATCGAGGTCTGTGGATAACGAGACCTATTATAGGATCATGCAAGGGCCTGCAAGCTCACCCCTCTGACGGTGCATGCCATGTATATTGGCATGAAGGAGGACCTGGCTGGTGGACTGACTGTTGGCTGGCGATGGTAAGGTTCCGATTCAGCAACAAGACCGCTTTTCCAGGCAGACTTGGCATACGATGTGGGGCGCGAACGCGTCAGGGGTGCAGCCGGACGGGTGTGCGCTCGTTAATGAATCATGATCAGTAGTGCGACCGGGGATGTGTTGCTTTGTACAGTATTGGGTTGCATAGTCGTTGGCTGTCCAACCCAACGAAGAGGGACGAAGAAGAACACCGCAGAAGCAATTACTTGTGTTAAACAAGCGCTTACTTGTGCGAGGACTTGATCTTGAAACCGCGCGAAGCACGACGACCACGGGCCATCTCTGTGCGCTGTTAGCTCTGGACAAAGGAGTGTTGAAGCCAGGAGGGAAGAGACAAGGTGAGAAGAGGAGGTGTAACGAAAAGCGGGACCAAATTTTGATCGGCGCTTTTTGTGGCACCCCCAAGTGCCACTCTGCTTTCCGCTTCCTGTATGTCTTCTGAACGCGAAGAACAGCGCTAGGTACTCACCGATCTTGCGGTTCTTCGAGCGAGCGGCAGTGTATGGGCGAGCGCCGGCCAGAGGGCCTGAAGATAGTCAGCAATGAACACGGGTGCGTAAGGACGGGTTGAACCAAAAGTGCCGATCACGGGAAAATGATCCGACACCATGAAATGGTCTTCCACCGTCCAACCGTCGTTCTTTCTTCCAAAAGAACGTCCACATCGATACGAACCTCCAAAGTGACGGACTGCGGTGCGAGCGGAACGCTTGCCACGGACTAAATTACAACGTCAGCCGAGTTCTGGGGACCCTTGGGGACCTAGGAAGGTCTGGGGGACTCACGGAGAACGGTGTTCGAGCCGGTGGGGGCACGGAGGGCGAGCTGGTCGAGGGTGAGGGCCTCACCGCCGGCAGCAAGGATGCGAGCGCGGGCGGCACCCGAGAAGCGGAGGGCAGCGATCGAGAGCTTGGGGACCTCGGGGAGACGCTCGTCGTCGAGGATGGCACCAACAACAACGACGGTCTTCGAGTTGTCGGGGTTCGAGGCAGCGGTCTCCTTGATGATGCGCGAGAGCGAGATAGGGGGGCGGTTGATCTGCGTATTGTTAGACCACGCTGTACATGCCAGTGGAGCAAGAGGTTTGAAGGACGGCTTAAGAATTTGACACAAAGAGTTCAAACTCTCCGTGCCTCCAAATCTCCCGCCGATTGAAGGCTCACCTTGCTCATAAAGAGGCGGCGGAGCACGGTGGCGTTGAAGCGCGACTCAGTGCGACGGGCAAGGAAGCGGTAAAGCTTGACAAGAAGGAGGAGGTAGGCGTCCTCCGACTTGGGGGCCTGACGGCTTCCCTTCTTAACGTGGTGGCGGCGGATGTCGATACCCATCTTGCCTACAAGTCAGCAGACGCTCAAATCCTGCCAAAATGGCCACAGCACAGCACGACGCAGCTCGACAAAGCGCTTCCCGCGACCCGACGCAGATGTAGAGCTGCAGAAACCATCGTTCGGACGATAATTCTGCGCTCGCGCACGACCCGACAATTCGGCACTTGTGTGCGCCAAACTCTCGCTCCCGACGACTCTGCCGTCTCGTCTCTCCATCCTCGTCTTTCTCTCTCTCTGGTCGGGGCGGTCGTACGGGTTGCGCGGAGTAACGTCTGCGCTGTCGCTGTCGATGCGTGTCGTGCTGGTGCTGGTGCTGGGTGGCTGCTCACCTTTTGCTTGCTGTACCGACAAGAGGAAGTTTCGATGGCCATTACAGACCCCGCCGACCCAGCGGACACCCACCGGCCCAGACACTGCGATCGTTTGCGACGGGACCAAAATTACGGTAACCCCGACGTCGATCCGCAATGTCCGCGAGCGTGGCGGATGAATGTTACGTAAAGTGATTTGTGGAATCCGAAAGTCACGATAGTTTTGAGATGGCGTTGTTACTTTGCTTCCGTGTGCACCCGCGCGCTGGGTTCCTGAGAGAGTCATGGCGGTGGCAGGGTCCAGACACGGACAACATTGCGTGGGTGGCGGAATGCTGTATGGAGGAGCGAACTGTGCGCTTCTCGTCGTCGTCGTCGGTTCCCATGGCCCCCCTCATAGAGGATGGCGGTCTGTGCGCAACAGAGGACGAGAGCAAGGCAATGGGCGGGAGGAGGGCCAAAGAAGAACAAGCTCTCGTGTCAGGACAAGGACGAGGACAATGCGCACAAAGGACGCACGCAACGCTCCCACACCCAGCGCCGCAATGTGAACAGCCCCCCCGTTCTGTGTGCCCCCCGTCTCCCCCACCGCAGTAAACACACACGCGACTGATTTCTTACCTTCCCACAAACACGCCATCACCACCACCCTCCCCACCACCCACCTCCTCCTCCTCCTCACCACCTACCTGCTGTTGCACCAGCACCGTCCATACCATGAGGCGACCGGCACGCCTCGCGCTCCTCGCGCAAGTCGGCACGGCTGTGGCCTCCACCCTTGTCCCAAGGTACGCTGTTGCTCCCCCTTGTGATCCATCACCGTCACTCGTGAACTAAACATGGACATGGACATGAACATGAGCTGACTCCCTCTCCAGATGGGGCCATGCCGTAGCCTACCTCTCCGACCCCCCAGCCCTCCTCATCCAAGGCGGCAAGACTGACGCGTCGTCCGTCTACACGTACTCGTCTGCGCCCAATTCGGCCGATAGCATTGTCGTTGCGCTAGACAGCGGCTTTGACACTTCGTCCCCGCCGGCAACGCTCGTCTCCGACTCTGGACCAAACTATACCTGGCACTGCCTCTCTCCGCTCGGCACGGCGTCCGGAGTAACCCAGCTCCTTTCATTTGGAGGAGACGGCGGATGGTCCCTCCAATCCGACACCACCGCGGACTCGGCCTGGCTGTTTGACATTGATTCAGGGTCGAGCAACTATACCTTTACGCACGAAGCTACAGGATGGGCAGACCAGCCCACTCGTCGCATCCAGCAGTCGTGCGCCGCTGCTAACGGTACGGTCTACATTACCGGCGGTGTCAGTAACGATGGCTCCAACACGGCATACAGCGACGCATATGCGTTTAGCACGTCCACCTCGTCGTTTGCTGCTCTCGCTTCATTACCTATTGCCTTGTACCACCATGTCTCGCCCCTCCTCTCCAACGGCACCCTCCTTGTCTTTAGCGGCGTGTACATCTCGACCGAGACCTCCAACCCTACCCTCTCGCCTCTTTCGACCATCTACACGCTTGACACGACGTCGTCGACTGCGACATGGCAGACGATCACTGTCCCTGGTACAGTGCCCATTCCGCGTCGTGGTGCATCCGCAACCCTGAATGCCGACGGCACCATCTTCATCTTTGGCGGTGCCGATGTCGACTTTTCGCAAGTGTACGGCGACGGATGGGTGTTCAACCCGACAACCCTTGCGTTTACCGAAGTGTTGACCTTGTCGTCCGGTAAGTGCCGATGGTGGCTTGGGGCAGGTGGCTTGCTGCTGACGAGCCAGGTCCCGGTGCGCGCTTCGACCACAGTGGCATTTCCGTTGGCGACGATCAGGTCCTCGTCTTTGGAGGTGAGTTGATATGAGTGTTGCATCAGTCAGCTAACGACAGGTTACGCCGTTGGTGCACCCGCAGACGCCGACATTCACATTGTCAGCGTGTCCTCTGGCGCCACAACGACTGTCAACCCTTTGTCCGGTGCTACGGCCACCACGACTACGGATCCCACCGCGTCGACTGTTACCTCGTTTACTCCCAGCTCCAGCACTGCCAGTGGCACAGCTGCCCTTCAGACTGCTAGCGGGGTAGTGACTGATGCAAGCGGGGCCACCATCACTGGCTCTGTCGGCGGCGCCGACTCGCAGACGGAAGGCGCAGACGACGGGTCCGTGTCCACAACCACCGAGACACCCGTCGCCACATCCGGCGACAGCCACCGCGATGCCCTGTCGACCGCCCGCCTCATCGCCTTGATCACAACTGTGGGAGGCTCCCTGGCCCTCATTTTCTTGGTCCTTCTACTTCTTCTCTGGCGCCGCCGTCGCAGGAGGCAACTGTCTGGACGCGGTGACCAAAGAGTGTACACTGAAAAGGGCGAGGGCAAGATCAGCCTCATCACCGACGCAGAGTCTGGACCGGACCACGACATTCGCCCTCCTGAGCCTACACACTCGCGTTCAAAGGAGGCCATTACTGCGCTCGGTATCGGGCTTGGTCGCGTAGCCACCAAGATTCACCGCAAGGTGTCTGGCGGTCCCAACGAAGAGTACTCTGTTCTCAAGAACGAACCGCCCAAGCGCCGTTCCACCCGCCGAGTTGGCCAAGGAATCCGTCTCATTGGCGTTACACCCGACATTGACGACCAGTCGAGCGACGAGGACGACTATGCCCGGCCGAGCGCGGCATACATGAACGGCTCCCGCCGCGAAATGCTCCTGGACGAGGACACACGGCGTTTCTCTGTCGATGCGGCTCGCCGCTTCGACTCCATCCCCGAAGAGGAGGCCTCCCTGTGGAAACGCGATTTTGCGATTGATGGTGGAGACCTCACAACGTGGCGTACCGCAGACAGTCTGCTTGACAAAAGCACTAACTCGTGCAGGTTCATCAAGGGTGGACCTGTCCCCACCCCTGTCGACTCGCTTCGTGGAGCACCGCTCAACACGCCCAACGCGTCCATGCTCGAGGTCAACGCTCTGGGACTGAACCGCTACTCGTTTGCCAACCGCAGTATGGACAGCCTCACACCGTCCGATGCCATTTCGTCTCGGGGCGCAAAGGCGATTTCCAGGTTTTTGGGCGAGTTCTCTGAGCCTCCTTCACTCGAGCTGGACCCGTTCCTTGTTGCCATTGCCAACGGTGGTCGCCTCGCTGGCAACTCGGTACCATCGTCCGCCCACCACGGGACCCAGAGTGCGCGTAGTACAGAATCGCTCAAGGACCTGGACTGCGCCATGATCTCCGGTGCTGAAGCCGTCACCCACCCGTCTGCCACTGCCTCTCTCGTCAACGTCGCTGCTACTACTGCCTCGAGCTCCAGAATTGGTCACGCCTGGGAAGGGGACGCCTCGGCTACAGCCTCTACCTCAAGACTTCCCCCCACATGGGAGGGCGAGGCCGATTTGGGCGATATGCGGAACATGAGGTCGCCACCTCGTGACCCGCTCCTCCGTCGCATCTCGACCAACATCAAGGCGCGTGTCAGAGGCGCTTCCACGCCGTCCCCACCCATGCTGGACGTCCGTGACCCGGCACCGCAGCCGACTGACTGGCCCCTCCAGGAGTCCTCGACTCCACTCACCAACTCGCTGTCCTCGAGCGACACGTGGAGCAGCACAGCCCCTTCGGCCGACATCTACCCTCCCAACCGCAACACGCGTCTACCCAGCTTGACTGACGTTGGCAGTGTGCGCTCCATGCGTGACATGGAAGTGGTGCAGCGTGATATGTCTGCCGAGGACTTTGCGAGCGACCAGGGTGTCTTGGAGAGGCTGGCTCCCAGCGCCACCAACAGCGAGGTCTCGGTCCTTGGTGTTGGCTTCCCGCCCATTCACAGGGCATCTAGGGTGACCAGCATCCCACTCTCGAGTGACCTGGGCTTGGACGAGTTTGGACCGACGTCCCCCGTGCTTTCGCCCAACACGACCCCACTCGCCACTCCTAGGCGTCCAGAACTCTTCCTCGCACCAAAGGTCACTCCCCAGACGCCCAGCCGCCGCCATGTGTCTGAGACCCAAGCGAGCCCTCAGACAAGCCCACAGATGCGCACACCAGTCGCCCCGCGGTACACCTCGTTCACGCACATGACTGCTCCACTGTTGGCGCCTGAACCCGAGTCGCCACCACTGGCAGACCTCCGTCCTCCCTCGTCGCCCTCTACCTCTGCCGCCGAGTCAAGCTCGTACGCCACGCCGATGGGATCCCCTGAAATCTCCACCACGCTCTTACCCATGTCGTCGTCCACGTCGACCATCCCGTCCACACCTCCGTCGCTGCGCACCTCGTCGAGCAGGCACACCCTCAACCTCACACCGAGCAAAGTGCATACCCCGGGCCACACACCAAACTTGTCCACCTCGTCAGCGCCCAGCAGCGTGTCCAAGTCGCGCACACCGAGCCACAACGCAATGTCCGGCGCGGCCGCTGCCGCTTGGGCTCCGCTGCGCACCCCCAACCGCCGTGGCGTGGGTGACATTGTCAACTCGATCAACAAGCGCGGTGGCGGCATCCCCAGTCAGTTCACCGGATCGACCCCCGCTTCACCCACCGCGGGCGGAAGCGCCACTGCCTCGCCCGTGAGCGGGTTGACCAGCCCCACCGCTCTGCGGAGGATGCAGTTTGAATCGGGATCCGGCGGCGCACTCGTCAGCCCGACCGCACTGCGCAAGATGCAGTTTGAGACGGCTACGAGAAGTCCCCTGCGGGTCGCCAACCCAGACAAGTCGCCTGAGAAGACGCCATGAGGACGTTGACGGCGACTGAAGACGAACTACACCCCACTCAACGACGCGTACACTACGAGAATACGAACCGCAGCAAGCGACGAACCACGACGAAAACACGACAACAGGCGTAGGGAATGAGAAGGGAGAGAGTGATTGATTGAGTATTTATTTTTTTGTTTGATAGGTTTTTTTTTACAGTATCTTGTTTTTGATCCATTTTGTCTCGGGTTGCATATATACATATCACGCGGGGGTACCCCGCCTGTGGCGTGGCCCTGTTCATAGATGTTTTTTTGCTGGAATGTATTGTGTTCATATTACTTGCTTGCTGTGGATCGGCGGAGATCGAATGCCGTGCCAGAAATTCATACTGGGGCACTGGCCTGTGAGTGTGAGCAAACCACGCCCACATCCCAGAAGCAACACCCAGGTTGCGTCAATGTGAAGAGATGTAACACTTTGATACATAGGATACAAGTAGATCAGACTGAACATGCTACAAGCTGCCACGGCGTGACAGAGATGAGGAGCGGCGCCGGCTCACCGCCTTTCTTCGCGCCTCTCCTCCCGTTCCTCCACCAAGCTGCTGGTGGTATTTCCGATCTCGAGCGCGCGCAACCTCTCGGACAACTCGCGCTCAGCGCGCCAACTCCTCCGCCGACGCTGTGTGCGCGCCGGCACACGTGGGGCCGCTGGCGTATCCGCATCGCCGGCGCGTGACGCTGATCGGCTGGGCGGCGCGCTCGATCCCGGTGTGGTTCCGGGCGACGTCGCGCTGGCGCCTGCGCCGGCGCTGACGCTGTCGTCTGGCGCCAGGGCACTGAGGAGCGACCGGGGCGACGTGCCAGGCGGTAACGGGGACGCAGGCCGTTCGCGCGGTGGCGAGAAACCGACAGCGCGGCGCGCCTTGGTCGCGCCCCGCACGCCGGCTGTGCGGGCCAGGTATCGTTTGCGCGCCCGCAGCCAGTCGCCGCACGACGCCGATCCTCCCGACTCGGAGGGCGGGACGACCTCGTCGGCGCGCTCGTCGCGGACCTCTGCCTCGCGTTCCAGCGGTGTGCTGGCAAACACGAGCTTGAGCGCGCGGGAGACGTAGAACGCGCGCCCGTCGCCAAACTCGGCTTCCGAGGGCGGCGCGGCCGCGCACACAAACTGTAGCTGCACAGCGTAACGCAGCGACTCGCGCGGCGCGGATGGGCTGGGCGGTGGCCCACCCGTGCCAGCCTGGACGGACTCGCCGAGCACAAACGTCCTCTCGCGAGCGAGGAGGCGCGCGCCGACTGCCAAGCCGCGCAGATCGTAGGGCACGACAAACGCCTTGACGGCAGCGCTGGGCGTTGTGATGAGGATCTGGAGCTGGCCAACGGGCGCGACGCGGTAGCCTGGATAGTGTGGAGGTGGGGGTAGCGAGGACGTCGCTACGCTGGTCGACGCGGGTGCACTGGCGGGGATACCTGGGGCAAGTGGCGACGGGGTGGCGGTGAAGGCACCGGACTTGACACCCACGGGGGCGGGGGTCGGCACTCCGCCGCCGCTGTAGGCTGTGAAGAACCAGGACTCGAGGTCCACGTCCGCGACCCAGGGAGTGTTGACGCCCTCTGCGAGGTCATAGTACGTCGCGGTGAACGGTATCGAGAGAGGTGGGGGTGCACGCAGCGTCGGGGGGCACGGGCCAGTCGCAACAGCACGCAGGCGGAGCGCAAACGTGTCCACGTTGTGTGGAGCGTGCTGGCTCATACGGCGCTGCAGGAGGGAGAGGCCATAGCTGCCCAGTAGCGGCTGGGAACGCGAGAGCGAGGTGCTTGGAGAAGTAGACGCAACCGATGTTGGCGAGCCCGGGGTGTTCGAGGTCAAGGTGAGCGGGCTGGGGTGGGTGGCGGATAATGTCCTGGGTTTGCGGACAGGGGCAGGGATGGGGACGGCACTCTTGAGCAGCGCCTTGCCCGTGAGCGGCGACGAGCGCAGCGGCGACGCTGAAGGTTAGCTGGGTTATATCACCGCTGTGTGTTGGATACCCACTAGAGTACGCCTGGGGAGGCGAGATGGCGATAGTCATGCTGGCTGGACACGGGTGCCGTCGTGTCGGCCGAAGGTGGAGTAGCCGGGAACCGAGGGTGGGGCGGTGGCGATGGTGGGCAGATGCAAGGTGGTGAGCAGCGGCAGCAGTCGCCCTCGAGACAGACGGCTTAGGGGTAGTGGTAGCGTGGTGGGCGACGTGGTGGGATGAGGGATGGTGGGAAGAAGAAGACGAAAAAGTGGTGGGGCTGTGGAGTGAGTGTGTGAGATGATGACAGACTGGCGTTATCTTTCGGGCAATCGACGACAACCGAGTCGGAAATGGAAAGCATCGCCCCCTCTAAATGCGCACCCAAATACGACTCGAGCCGAGCGTTCGCCTGTTGCTTGTTGCCTCTTGTTCACACGTTACTCCACCCCCATCCCGCTTGTCCTCTTGTCTATACATGCACAACCACAGCTTGTGCACACTGTTGCATTGTGGAAATCACAAAACCATACATGACTCTTCTATCCCATTACTACTTCCCTAATCGTTAACACACTCGTGTGACCCTACGTTCACTCCCTAACTGCATGACCTCTCGGGCCCTCTCAAGCCGAACCGTCGCCAATGTACCTGGAAACGACCTTACGGCCGTTGAGACCCTTGGCGGTAACGACCTGGACGTCGCCGGGGAACATGTCGAGGGCCTGGTCGGACCACTTGGCCTCGTCGCCCTCGACCTCCAGGGCAAGGCCCTTGATGGGCTTGTCGACCTTGATGGTGACCGTGTCGTTCTCGACAGTGATCTGGAGGTTGGGGTCGGGGAAGGTGAGGTACTTCCAGGGCTCGGGCCAGTTGGAGTAGCGAGCGAGCACCTCGCCGTCCTTGGCAAGGAGACGGGCCTGGACGACAATGGGACGAGCGACCTGCGACAGAAGAGTGCGGGTAGGCTGGCCGGGGACAGTACCCTTCCAGACCTCGGTCGAGGCGTTGGGAGCCAGGGTGACGTCAAAGGTCCGGCGGTCGACCTCTCCGACGTCGAGGTCGTACGAGACGAGCTCGACGGTGGCCTCCTTGGCCTCGAGGGTGGCGTTGCAGCCCCAAAGCTCAAGCTCAGACTCGAGAGTGAAGTTGTTGAGGGTCATCTCGTCCTGCATCGTCTTGACCTCCTTGCGCGCCATGCCGACAGTGAAGGGGCGGAGCTCACGGGCAATGGCGTAGAACGCGGGCTTGGGGCGGAGGTAGTAGTCGCAGATGGCCCACGAGACGCAGGGCCAGCAGTCGTTGATCTGCCAGACGAGCGCACCCGAAGTAAACTCCTTGCCGCGGCCCTTCCAGTTACGGCGCCAGAGGCGGTAAGCGGCGCCGAGGGTCTCGGCCTGCATGGCCTGGGTGTAGTAGACGTAGCTCTCCATGTCAAAGGCGTGGCGGAAGTTCTCCATCAGGTAGAGCTCGAGACGACGCTCAAAGCCGTCGGCCTTGTTGTGGTTGACGCTGATGCGCGACTGGGGGAAGCACTGGTCCTCCTCGCCGGGGGCGAACCACTCGCGCACAGTGCGCATAGAGGGGTAGCCCTGCATACCAAACTCGGAAACGAAGCGGCCAGCGAGCTTGTCCCAGTTGGACCAGGGCTCCTGGGTACCGTGCCAGACGTTCCACTGGTGGACGTCACCCACAGTGAGGTCACCGCTGGTCTTACCGCCGAAGGGCGACGAGGGCCAGTAAAAGACGTTGGAGAGACGGTTGACGACCTCGGGGAGGAGAACCTCGTAGATGTGGCGAGCGGGGAACTTGGTGTGCATGTAGTCACCCGAGTTGTCGTCGTAGTCGACGACACCCTGGCTCTCGGCGACCTGGTAGTCCTCGTTGTTACCAGCAAAGATGACAACAGAGGGGTGGGCACGAAGACGAGCGACGGCCTGCTCGGCCTCGTTCTTGACACACGTGTTGAGTGCAGGGTACGAAGGGTAGAGACCACAGCCGAACATAAAGTCCTGCCAGACCAGCACACCCTTCTCGTCACAGTAGTCGTAGAGGACCTCCTCCTCGTAGATACCGCCACCCCAGACACGGAGCATGTTCTGGTTTCCGGAGATGAAAAGGTCGATCCAGTCCTTGTAGCGCTGCTCCGAGACCTCGGTGAGGTAGTTGTCGGCGGGGATCCAGTTGGAGCCACCGCAGAAGATGCGGACGCCGTTGACCTCAAAGAGGAACGAGCTGCCTTCGGTGGGGAGAGCCTCCTGGACAATCTGGACGTGACGGAAGGCCACGCGCTGCTTGGTGGTGGCAAGCGAAGCGCCGGCAGAGTCAAGAACGGCAACCTCGAGCGAGTAGAGGGGCTGGGCACCGTAGTTGATGGGGTACCATGCCTGAACGTCGTTGGGACCAAGCTCCCACTTGGGGAACTCGCTTCCGCTAGCAACGGCCTGCTTGACGACCGAGCCGTCAGAAGCAGTGAGAGTGTAGGCGACCTTGAACTCGGCAGGAGGGGCCGGGAGAATGTCGAGCTCGCGAACGGCGAGGGTGGCCTGGTCGTACTTGTCGCCCGAGACGTCGGTGTCGACGCGCAGGTTGTCGATGCGGTACTCGTAGGTCTCGAGGTAGATCGGGCGCCAAGGACCAACAGTCATGATGATCGGTCCCCAGTCCCAACCCCAGCCGTACTGGGCCTTGCGCGAGTACAGACGCGAAGAGTCGCCGTTCCAGAGGGTCATCTTGCCGCCGTTGTTCTTCTCCTCAAGCTTTGCGCGGAGGACGGGAGCGTCAAACTTGAGGACGAGCTCGTTGCTCGCCTTGAGCTTGCCGACGACGTTCAGGCGGTGCGAGACAAACATGTTGTCCGTCACCGCCAGCTCCTCGCCGTTGAGAGTGACCGTGCAGTACGTGTCGAGACCCTCGAAGACGAGGTCCGCGTTGCCAGCCGCCAGCTGCTCGGGAGTAGCAGCAAAGGTCGTCTTGAAAGCCCAGTCGGCCTCACCGATCCCTGCCCACGTCAGCCTTAGTCCCCCACTCGATGCGGCGGAGGTGGTGTGCGGGTGGCTGAGAATGCCAAGCGTAGCCAATATCGGCCTCCTGGTCCTCTTTTGGCCAAGACCGGGGCCCGGATGCACAGATGACACCACATCGCCGCCAGCTGCTCTCGCCAGCTACTCTCGCTCACTCGCTCTTCTTACTCACACTGAACATCCCACTCGGCGAGGCCCTTGTAGGGGTCCGGGATCTTGCCGCTCTTCTGGAGCTCGACCTGGACGCTGGTGGGGACCTTGCTGCAGGCCGCCCAGTCCTCGACGACATTAGCGTTCGTCGGCGACGCAATCTGTGAAAAGGTCCATCCAGAGTCGATAGTCGTGCGGCTCATGGTTGGTACGTTTTGTGTGGTGTAGAAGGTTGAAGTGGTAGTAATGAAGAGAAGAGTGGGCACTGCATGCATCTGTGCATAATGTAGTCGTTCCAGGCGCCAGCTGGGGAGACGCCATGGCCCCAGACCACGAGGGTCCGTTCCCGGACGCCGTGCACGCCGAGCCTGCCGAACAAAGCACCCACGATGAGATGGTTGCGCGCAGAGGCCGGCACGGCCCGGCACTTCCTGTCGAAGTGGCCGAAGTCCTAGGGCGCGCACAGTCGGGCCGATGATTAATCGGGCCATTTCCGGCGCCGATGATAATCGCCCGTGGATGTCTCATCTGGCCTCTCGCGTCAAAGGTGGCAAACGAATTGTGTGTGGCTACGATGCAGCCCATAGACTAGCTTGTCTAATGTTGCCACATACGATACAGCCGGTACAGGTGCCAACGGCTGCCGCCGGCATCCGCAGACATCGTGCAGGCTCGAGGCCATTGGTCGGTAACTCGGCATTCATGCAAATCCCCCCAAAGCAGTCTCGCCCCCCGTTGTGGGCTGTACTGAGATTTCCAACAGACCCCAGGACAGTAACGTGAAGCCAAGCACATGCATTAGGCGAACACGCACCTCGTACCTCGTACGGACCGACAACCGATGCCGCCCCGGGCCCCGTTTCGTCGTTTGTCTGTGCTTCTCAGGATCCCAAGACGCTCAGGAAAAAGTTTGCAAACGTCACAAAAACGCGAACGAACACCTTAGAGGTGTTGTCTTGCCTTCTACCCGAATTGAACGGGTGACCCTTTCATCGTAGCAGGTCGTCTGGTGAAGATCACTGGAGCGACGGTTACTAGTGAAAAATTCTAACCACTGAACTAAGAAGGCGATGATGATGTTGTTGTTGTTCTAGTGCTGTGAGCTGCCTTCTCGAAGCACCGCTTTGCGTTCTTTGGCTTGGGTGGAAAGCCAGGCTGGCTCCTTGCAAAGTATCTTGTAGCATATGCACCTATCTCAAAGGGATACCGAGACGCGGCGCGACAGGTGTGGCTTGCACCTTGGAAGCGGGAGGCAAGAGGCAAGACGTAAAGCAGGAGTCACCCCCAAAATAAAGAAGGAACAAGCCTGTCTTGATTTCACGTCCTGTTTGAAAAGGAGTTTATATTACTGGTTGGCCGATTTTGTAGGCTATTTTACTGCACGCGGTATCTCTGATGAAGAGCAAGTTGGTTGGCGGAAGGGAAGACATGGAGAGGAAGTAACATCAAAGGGTGAAATAAATGTATCACTTAACGCCACAGAAAAATACCTCCACTGGTCCTTCCCCAGGTTCTCCACCCCTCGACGCACGAGCGCCAATATATACACGCAGTATACCTACGCTTGTTCCCAAGCAGCAGGAAACGATATGAACAATATCCCACCCAGTATGAACCTCGCCTGCCAGACGGCTGTCACCCTGGCATCAATAATTGCGCAATTTGCGGCTCCCGTGAACGTCGTTGTCACGAGGTACAGCACAAACGCGCCCATAAACACTACACATGCGGCCTATATGTATCGTACGTCTTGTTCCGGTGTTCTAAGAGTTCCATGGGCAGATGATTCGGGGGCCGATGAATAGAAAATCGAAGGCGGCTGACATGGGCCACCGCCGATCTTCCCACCGATGTCTCCTCTCTTTCATCTCTCTGTCCAGCCTTCCTTCCTCAAATCCCATGCCCACACAATTGCACGGCACGCAGACAAGGCTAGTGTCTTTCTGCATTGTTTTAGCCACGTATACGCACTGCGAGAGACTGCGAAAGACCGTTCCCCACACGTCCACAGTCCAATGTACTCGGCGAGATGGCCGAGCGGTCTAAGGCGCTGTGTTAAGGTTTTCTCTTGCTTCTTGCAGGAGTTCATCCGCAGTCTTCGGACGTGGGTTCGAATCCCACTCTCGTCAACAGGGGCTTCATTGCCTCCCCAACCGTCTTTTTTGGACGTCTGAGGAGGTTGGAGGAAAGCAGAAACGACGGTGGACGATGGAGATTGGAGGCGGAGGTTTTGGTGGCGCCAAGTTTTGAAATTTGGGTGGAGGCCGCGGAAGTATTTTGGATCCGGTGGCACCGACTGCCACAATGTCCGACACTCGACATACCTCTCGTCTTCATGTGCATGTCATTGCGCCTGCATGTATCCCAGCGCCCCCATATCGATGTGGAGGCATATACTGTAGCACATGAACTTATATTGGGAGCATGGAGGGCATGCCTGGCCTAGGACGCCGTCCAACGGGCCATTTGTCGGGTCACTCCCCTCCGATCCACCCACCACCCCCTCTTCCTCCTCCCACGCAAAACCAAAAGAGGAGGACCTTCGAGGTCTTCCACAGAGCTTCCTGACGGAGAATCGAACTCCGATCTCCCGCGATCATGCAGATGCAGTGACAAGCGAGCATACTAACCGTTATACGATCAAGAAGGCGATGTTCTGTTATTTTCTGGCATGGCCGCAGCTCGCGGTCTGTCTCCTAACGTCCCCAGGCACGCGAGCATGGCCAGGAAACGACCTGGGACATGCTCTGTGTCTTATTTGAAGGTTGCAGTTGTCCGGGGGAGCTCAGGAATGGCAGGAACCCTGGAGGGAACGAAAGGAAGGAATGGAGCTCGGAACACGAGGAAGACAATGTCCCGACGGTTGCCAACGCTTCAACACCGCCCAAACACTGGCCGTCTCAGCATGCAGTGGGTCCCTGGCACGGCCTACATCCCGGCGTTCCTTATCCTGTGATAAAATGCATAGTCGTCCGTGAAAGAAATGAGATTTTTACAACTGGGTGCCACCACGTCCCTCTATCTGCCCCCGCTCCGACCTCCATGCGAAATATCGGCCCGTTAACTCCCCCACCCTGCTCGCACTTTCCCCCACCCCGCACCATACCCCGCATGCCTCAGCTCCGCGAACTGCGCGAGCTGGCCCGAGAGCCGTGGCGGCGGAAGCTAGGACGGGCGTCGACCGAGCCATCGATGTGTTGGATGGTTGAGTGGCGAGGTAGCTCGCCGGAATTGCGGAGCTTCTCCTCTTGATGGACGTGGGCGCGCTGCGACATGTTAGCTGGTCTGCAAGTAACCCTATTCTGTGCTGCTTCTACTGACGGCAAGGCGCTCCTTCTCTGAGTTTAAACCCCAGACCCAGCGGTCTCGCTCGAGCTAGGTGAATGTCAGAAGTGATTACAACGTCGTTGCGCGAACACCAGACTTACCTTTGACCTCGCTCGGCAAATAAGAAGCGTACCCGGGTCCTCCTTGAGCGGTGGCGAAGTAAAGTCCTCGCCGTCGTCTTCGTCCTCGCTGTCCTTGTCCCACGGCTGGACCGGCGCCCAGCGGCCCGCGGGCCATGTGATACGTATACAAAAGCCCGTATCTTCCGCCCCGTCTGTCGCCTGCAGACCGTCGTCGTATATCCGCGCCGAAGGGGTGAACGCTGCTTCGTTGGACGATTCGAGCAGCTCGTCCTGCGCCAGTTTCCCTGAGTAGATCTTGCGATCCTGTCAGTAAAAACGTTTCGCGGTGGGCAGTGGGCATGAGGTGCAAACGAGGGTTTCGGAAGTCGCCGAGACGCGCCTTCTGCTTTCGGCCCGTGTGGAGAGAACACTCACATAGGCGCCGAACAGCGGCCACAGGCGGCTCCTGGCCTGCATCCCTGAAGCAGACTTGAGACGAAACGTGACAATCGAGCCGGCGGTGAGGACGATGAAGCATAACCTGAGAGGTTAGTGGCAGTCGCTGGCCGCCTAACTTACTTGAACTTGCGAAACTTGCCACGCTTGATGAACACCTGCCCGCACATGGTAATCGGGCGGCACCCATCGATGACACACCAGTTCCAGATGCTGTTCAGAATGGCCTCAGCCCGTCGGTCGAGGTTGCGCCCGACAAAGGCCTCGCTGCCGGTATGTTCCTTGACGACGTCCATGTGCTCGCGGGCATCGACACGGCGGCGCAGAGTCCAGTACTGGGCCAAGGCGTTCAGACGCTCCACCCACTCGTGAGCAATGACCGGGGTGTGTGCCTCAAACCGCACAGTCTGGCCCGAACGGAGACGGACTTCAAACTCTCGCTGCCCCCTTTTCCCGACGGTCCGAACGGGGTGGGACGTAGACATGGGGTGGACATGAGTGGTGACGGTCGAGGTATCAGGCGGCGCGGCAGCGCTGGCCTCCTCCCCCTTGGGTGTGGGAAAGGAGACGGAGATGATGTCGTGAAAGTCGAGGCAGCCAGCGCATTGTTGGATAAACTTTGCCATGCGACGCTTTTCTGAACGGCGAAACTCGTCGTAAACGGCTGGGAACACGTCGGCGGGTGTTGACCCGCGGCGTTTGGGGAGGAGCGGCGGAATGGCTACTTGGGCATTTGACACGAAGATCGCGCCCTCCATGGTCGAAATGTAAACCATCTCCTTTGGTGACACGTCCGTCTTGTGTCGGGTGAGATATCCCTCTACACCCAATGGCTCCTCGAGCTCCACGTCGTCCTCGAGATGCAAACGTTGAGGGTAGTGGTTTGCATCGCGGATCTGGAGGTTGCTGGTCTTGCCTGTGCGTTTGTGCTGGGCAAAGCTGGCAAGTAAAGCCCATTCGCGGTTCTTGCCTGTGACCGTGGTACTGTACGCAACCCAGTCGAGTGTGGCGTCAGGCCCCTTCCACGCGAGTTCGGGCCTGGGAATGTGGCCCAGGTCACGGATAATGTCTGTGAAAGTGGTGTTGTCCACCACAGCGCCCCAGACAGTCTTGAGGGTATCGTTGCGATTGACCGTCGACGAGGCGGCCTCTTCCGGGATGGGCATGCGGATTGTCTGCGACAGTGCCGGAACCTGGATATCAATCTGGACCGGAAGGGTGTAGTCCAGTTGGCCCGAGATGTACCAGTGCCAATCGAGTGCGCGTGTTCGCTCGCCAAACTTGATGACAAAGATGGCGGAACCCACATGTTCCATGCCGAGCGCCTCGATGGTCTTGCTGGTTCGCACACTGTCCCACATCCGCCATCCTGCACGTCTGCTGCGGCTGAGGTGGCGGACAGTCTGACGCATGACTGATGACCACGGGCAGATGAGCGAGAGGCTCATATCGCGTTGGTTGAACACCGAGATGGTGGTTGGAGGTGCTAGCGGGACGGAAAAGGCTAGGCGCTTGGTACCTTCCCATTTCTCCTGGATGGCCAGTGGCCAGTCCTTGTAAAAGTCGATAGACACCGTCGTCATACCCACGATATACTCCTCCATCGGGTCGAAACGGATGCACGGTCTGCGGCGCTGCAATGTTAGCTTTTGGTAACCGCAGGTCAGCTCACCTGGGTCATTTCGTCAAACGAGGTGATACCCTCATCGCGATGCCGGCCAAGTTTAACCAGGACGCGGTCACGCATGACGACCCCTCCAGGCATGAAGTCGTCCGTATCCACCACAGCTGGCTCGTGGTCACCAGCGCTGGCACCAGCGACCTCGATACCCGTCCTGGTGAGCACTGATTTGGGGTCTACTGGTGCCTTATCACCCTTGCGCACTATATCGACAGTGTCCTCCCGTATTGGCGGCTTCGGTAGAGCTGGAGAAAACTGGACTGTCTTGCCCCTGGGCTTGGCAGGCGACTCGGGTAACGCGTCCGGCGCTGCTTCAAAGTTGGCGCCGCTCACGCGCAGTGCCGATTTGAGGCGATGAGGAAAGTTGCGCTTCGATGCGCTGCTGAGAGAGACGGAAAGGCGGGAAAGCGATCCACGAGTAGACGCTCGTGATGGAGCTCGTTTGCGTTTCACATCTTTCCCTGGGTCATCATCGGACGTTATCAGGGGTGCCATCGACGACGTGGGCGAGTGCCCGGCGTCTACATGAGATGACGGTGACGCTTCGCTCGGTGCAGTGTGAACGTTGTTGGATGATCTTATGGGTGTGTGGGGGGTAAAGTAGAAGTCGTCTTTATCTTCGCCGCCATCTTCAGCCATTTTGGCCGTCACAAAGGTGTCCTGAGTAGTGGAACGGGTAGATGTTGGACGTGAGCGCGTTGGTGTGGTGTTGTATTCGGGAGTGAGGTGTGTCTGAGCCGTCTTGAACGTTCGTGCGTCCGCGTCCACTGTGAGGAGTGCCTTGCCTTTGCCTTTGCCCTTGCCCTTGCCTTTTGGGGTTGGGCTCGACGGTTCAGTTGCCTCTGCCGCCCTCGCGTCCTGCTCTGGCGAATCCTGGAGAGGTGCGGATGTCAAGTCGCCTCTTGTTGGTGACGGCGATCGGGAGTTGTTGTCGGAGCCGTGAGGCTTTTCATCAGGGGTCTCGAACTCGCGGCCAATGTCGAAACTAGTGCCAACCCACTTGGTGGTGCTGAGGTTGATTTTCCGAATTCTCTGGTGCTTTTTCTTGCGGGTGGGGGAAAACCAGGTACTTGGTTCGTCGTCCGATGACGAGCTGGTAGTGTCCGAGTCGCTCTCGTTGATATCGACCTGAGTCTGGTGTTCATTGTTGAGCCGGTCCTTTTTATGCACTCGAAATGTGTGCACCGCCCTGGCGGCTTGCTGTCGTACCATCTGGCCCCCGTTCTGTTCGATGCCCAGCAGGCCGTCCGTCTTGAGCAGACTCTGCATAGCGTTTCGACGCATAGTGCGAATACGCTCTCGCTTAGCTACTGCCTGGTCTCCCGTGGCGATACTCTGAGGAACGAGTCCCAGGAAGCGGCGTGGCTGGGCATGACGTTCGACATGCGAGGAGACGTCGATGACGGCTGGAGCGGGCGCGAGGGTTGCCTCCGAGTACGGTTGGGGGCCGGAGGGTGTTTTCGTCGTCTCATGCTGGTGAATATGCGTCGTATCTGCCTGCGGTTGTTGCAATGGAACGGCTGGCATGTGCCGCAGGATGAGTGCACGATGGTTATGAGGACTTGCAACGCTGACAGCAGAGTGCGATGATGGCTTGCGGCCGGTTGAGGACCCGAGGATCGCCGGTACGTCATCGGCTCAGAGGCGGGGCTACAATTTGGCCCCGTGCCCAATTTTCTAATCCAATATATTCCCGCTAATGGTGCGGCGTTCACGATCTCGTTTTCTAATCTCGGCAATTACAAAGCCGGCCATGTCCGTCTCCGGGCGCTGTCTCTGTTGCGCGGCGTCCGCGGGTCTGCCGGCTCTGTCGGCGCCTGGTTATCCGCGGACATGTTGCTCACAGAGATCACTTCACCCGGCGACCGTCCACACCTTGCCGGAGGTGAATAACTCCTGTCTCCCCAGATCTTTTGGACGACGACACTGAGCAGCGCGCGATCTCTCTGTTGTGTTTTACCCACTATCTCTCACCTCATCGTCGCCCGCCATGTCGAGGAAACTCCCAGCCAACATCATCACCTACATGCCCCATGAGGGCCCCAGCGTCATGCCGTCGCCAATGGTCGCGCCCAAGCCGCTCCTCACTCTTCTTCCTCACCCGGACAAGGAGGCGCCGCCGTGTCCACCTCGCCCTGCCCTCCCTCCCCCACCAAAGGGCTGGACGAGCTCGCTGCACGCCGCTCCCGCCGCGTACCCCAAGGGCGTTGCCGAGGCGTACGGAAACCTCTCCCGCTCCTCCCGGCCGTACGAGTCTGGGCCCCCACCAGCCAACGAGACGAAAGAGCAGCGCAAGAAGCGACTGTACGACGAGTCGAACCGTTGCGTCAAGCTCCGCGAGGACGCGTACGAGTGGACTATCGAGGAGGCCAAGGCCCAGGCGCCGAAGAAGGGCCAATGGCTTTGTGTGGAGCGTTGGAGGCGCGACAAGCCTGTCGGCGGCGCCACGCTCGTAGTCACCCATGCCAACGGTCTGATCAAGGAGGTAAGCGCAAGATACAAACAAGACTTGTGGCTGACGCGAACCAGCACTGGCACGTCGTTCTCCGTGATGTTCTCGCGCGTGACCCCAAGCTCCCCGGCACCAAGTTTGGCACGGGTCTGCCTCTTCATCACCCGACCAACATCCAGTTTGACGACATCTGGATGATCGACGACATGAACTCGAACATGTCCGCCGACCTGAACGGTGGTCTGCTGGGTCCCGTCCAGCTGTGGTCTGACGACTCACGCGATTTCCTCAACTTTGTGCGCCACGTGCTTCCCGGCGCGCGCGCTCTCGGCGATGCCCCGGCTCCATGGCACTTGAAGTGGACCGAAGCCCCGGACTCGCCGCAGCCCGTCATCGGCATGGGCCACTCGTTTGGCGGCAACGGTCTCGTCCAGGCCTCAAACGAGTTCCCGGGCCTCTTCTCGGCCCTCTTCCTCGTCGATCCCATGTGCCCGCCTCACACCGTGGCGGTCGGGTCGGGCATCGCCGCGTACGACCTCACGGCAGGCGCCCTCAAGCGCCGTGACGTATGGCCGTCGCGCGACGAGGCGCGCAAGGCAATGCGCTCGTCACCCTTCTGGGGCAGCTGGGACGACGACACGTTCGAGATCTGGATGTCGCACGGTGTCATCCCGCTCGACTATGCCAAGCCCGACGGACCCGTCACCCTCGCCATGCCCAGCTGGTGCGAGGGCGCCATCTTCTGTGAGCCCAAGGGCTTTGGACAAGGGTGGGATAAGCTGGCCAACCTGCCCTTCCCCGTCGGCTTCCTCATGGCCAACAAGCCCATCGCTACTCTGGGCGAGGTGGTCACGAGCGAAATGGTGTGGCGCCCCAGGCTCGCGCGCGTGGAGCAGGTCACGGATGCTGGACACCTTATTACCCAGGAGAAACCTCACACCACTGCCGACGCGCTGTGGCGCTTCCTCACCACACTCCAGGCTGGCGAGTGGGGTAACTCGCCTGAAGAGATTCGCAAGGAGTGGGCAGTGTGGCGCGAGGACCGGGCCAAGCTCTAGGCGCTTGCTTTGCATGGACGGCAACAGGAATTTGACCCACCGCGAGCGGATGTTGTAAGTAGACTTAAAAATGCATCGCATAGGGATCTGGCGAGAGGTGGCATGTTGATATATGTACCAGCGACTCTGTTTAAACTAACGTCGTATACCTCCCACTAATGTCAACATGTGTGCATGGGAATTCCAGTCTCCCACTCACACTACCTGGCGCCTTGAATCTTCCTGGTCGACATGGTAGGAAGGGGGCGTCCTTGGCTGCCGCCTCTCGTCTCGAGCCAGTACTCGTCGAGGCCGATGCGGTCGCAGTACTCCTCGTGGGTGAAGATCTTGATCTGGCTCATGATCTCGTTGGCACGGCTGCGAGGAAGAACATACTCAATCTCGTGCAAAAGGATCCCGATAATCTTGCGGAGGAACGCGATGAGGGTGGTCTTGTCGTTTTTCTTGTTTTTGGGGACGTGCGCCGTGACGTCGACGAATTCCTCCAGGCCGACAAAAATGATCTCAGTCGTCTTGGAGATTGGGATTTTGGCATCGTCCAAGATACCCATGAACTGCAGGATATCACGAAGATCGTTCGCAGGGTCATCGCGTCCAACACGGACATCTGAGGCCGTGTTATCGGCAACAAGCTTTTTGAACTCGTCATCCGACATGGGCTTGGGGCGACGGAAGATGTTGCCGGGCTGCTTGGGGAACCCAAAGTGGTCGTTTCCGTAGTCGCTAAAGATCCAAACGACTGTGTCGAGAGTCTTCCAGTCGTGAATAAAGAGCCTAGGCGAAAAGATGGCGGATTTTTTGTCATAATCAAAGTGGAAAACGAGGTGGCGGACGCCGACAAGGAAGATTACTCCATTGCTCCTAATGTCGTCCCATTTGTCCTTTCCCGAGGAAAAACTGGTGGGCATGTATTCCCACGCGACATGCTTGTGGACGCTGGTGGGTGCGATAATGCCTTGGCCGCGGCGAAGCAGGCGGAGGCCTGTAAACAGCTGATCCGGTGAGGGTGTGCCATGGGCCAAGGGCACTGCAAGGCAGTCGTCGCCTAGGTCGAGGATACGAGTGTGCTTGCCAAGAAGCTTGAATGTGCGCCCACGGAAGGGCTGGTCGAGGCGCAGACAGGGGATCTTGAGGTCGTTGCGGTTGAGCTTGAAGTTGGTGTCCGGACGGTAAAAGCAGCCCCACCCGTTGTCAAAGCCTTCTCCTTCAAAGCGGATGTGGTAGCAGATGAGGGCTTCCATACGGTCACGAAAGGCGCGAGAGGTCTGGCGCCATTTGATCCAGTCGTCGTAGGTTGTGTGACTGACGATGAGGTTGATGATAGAGGGGAAAGCGGTGTGATCGATAACGACGGGGCGAGGCGGCGAGCGGGGTGACTCCACGGTGTCGCCTGCGGGAGTACAAACGTCGGTGTCGGTGGCGTCCGACATTGGGATGGATGAATGGGGAGGGACGACTTTTTTGAGGATTTGAGAGGCAGAGAGAGAAAGAGAGAGTGGGAGTGTGCCCGTGGATGCGCCGTGTCCACGTCACCTGAGTTCTTGCGGGAAAGATCTTCAAACGGCAACAAACCGGTTGCTTCTGAACACCGCCCTCCTCAAGTGCCACATTCAATTTCTCACCACATTTTTGATATTTTTCACTGGTGGCCACTGAAATGACATGCATGTACATGTTTTAATGGCTTCCGTATTACAATACAACATCATATCCCACATGTGCTCGTATTACATTGAGCACGCGTACCGTTGACACACTTGCTCTCTGGCCTGTAGGCAGCCGCAAATGGCTCAACGCTACTCGGTGGCACCGGCAAGGGGGGAGGCCTGAGTGAATTCACGCGTCTCGAGCTCATACTCGTCGCGGCCAATCTTGCGGATATAGTCCTCGTGGCTCATGAAGTTGATTTCGCCAAGGAGTTTTCTGACGCGAGGGGTATAGTAGCTGTACAAGTTGAACCTTCGCTGTATACGCGCCCGAATGACATCGTGAGGATGGGTCTTGTTGTCCTTTTCGGCCCGCGTCGCAAGCCCATTGGTGTCAAGCAAGTCCTCGAGGCCGACCAGGGTGAGGGTCACGTTGTCGGGAATGGGACGTTCTTGCTCGCGCTCCATGCCGAGCGTGTGCATGATGAATCCCAGTTCGGCGTCGGGACCGGCGCGACCAGTGGGCCTGCGGGTCGTCAGGACCGGATAGCCTCCCTGGTGAGGCGGAGGAGGCGGTTTGGGCTTTTTAGTATAAACGACGACAACCTCTTCCAGGCCATCCCAGTCGTCGATAAAGGGGAACCGGAGAATGAACGCCGAGCTGGCCTCATAGTCGACATGGAAGACCAGGTGACGAGCAGTGTCCGCATAAGGGTATTTGTTCTGAGGGTACCGGAGGTCGTCTATCGTATGGGTTGAGGGAAAGTGCCTCCAGTTGACAATCTTTGGCGCGTCAAAGTCCTGGAGACAGGCACCACAGTGGGGCTCGAAGCGAAGGACACGGACGCCGCTAAACAGCTCGTTGTGACTGAGATTCTTGTTGTTTTGGACTCCCACGGCGAACATGGTGCGGTCGTCTACAATGCGGGTGTGCTGACCAACCAGGGAGAGAGACCGCCCGATACAAGGTCTTTCGAGGCAGAGGCAAGGGACGAGTTGCTGTTGCTGTTTTATGGTACCCGGGCGGTAGAAGACGGCGTCCTCGGGGCCGTAGAGGCGGTCCTGGAGCACCACATGGTGGCAGAGAAGAGCATCCATGCGGTCGCGAAAGGCACGCGAGGTCTGGCGAAGGACGACCCACCCGTCCCAGCCGGTGTGACTGATGATGGAATCCATGATGCAGGGGAACGCGGTGTGGTCAATGACGACCAAGGGAGGGGGTGAGTGGCCACTGCGTTTGGCTGTAGCGTCACAGCGCTCAGAGGCCGCAGCGGTCATTGCTGGAGTCAATGGGATGGCGTCTGGAGTGGATGTTGGAATGGAGTGAGCAAGAGTCTAACGAGGACGCGAACTGGACGCGTCCAAGTGCGGAACACACAGATCCGTACGGAACCAAACAAAGCCGCACCTCCATCCCGCCACCTACTTCTGGCCGTAGGCAGTTTGTCGTTGCCGAGGAAGTGGTCATCGAACTCATCAAGACCCGCGCACCCCCAACTTTGGAGAACAACTTCCAGTGGATCGTTGACTGCCTCGCAAGGGGACAGACATTGACATTGGCCCCACAAGCGCCATTAAGGGCTGTCTCTGTGATCTGTGAGCATACAGTCAAGTGGGCATACAGGCTACCAATGAAACGTATGTGTGTGCCGTACAGCTCTCGTCAACAACAATCAGTCAGGGAGGTGTGACAGAGCGGCTGCGAGCTCGGAGCAGCGACGCCGGGAAGGGGGGGGGGGGGTGATAGGCCGGTTGCACCACTGGCGGCTTCCAACTCATTTTGTCAGGCTACAACTTATGGAAGCGGGCACGGCAGGAGTATGTGGTGTGTGGCACACCAGTTGCTAGTTGCATGGCAAGTTGCCACCATGATCAGCGCACTCGTACAGGCACACCTACCCCGCACCGATCGGCGCACATGCACCAAAATTGAAAACACGCCCGCCACTTTTCATCGCCACGAGCACCATACCTCCGACATTCACCACCGCATTCCTCGCCATTCACCAGGTCAATCGGCCTCGTCGAAAGCATGGATCGGTAGCGACGAAGCAGGGCAGCACCATGCAACATGCATGGGGCAATGTGGCGGAGTGGTTAACGCGATTGACTCGAAATCAATTTCCTTCGGGAGCACATGTTCGAATCATGTCATTGTCGGATGGAGCGTTGTAAGCATCTTACAAGCTTCTCTTTTGGCCTGGGCGGCGAGGTGTGGAAGGAGAGAGGGAGGCGGTGAGTATCGTTGAGATAGTTGATGCTCAAATGATAGCGATGGCGGCGGGCACGCGTTGGAGACGGCCGCGGAGCGCGCTCGGCTGGCTGCCACGGGGTGCACAGCGTGCTGCTTGACTTGGTCTCCTTGTGCCAAACCCAGACTGGCATGAGTGGTGAACATGGAAAAACCCCACAGTACCACAGTGAACACCTCTGACATCATCGTCACACCGCGTACAGACTGTCGCAGTCACGGTTTAATACTCGGGGATTGTCGATCTCGACCCTCGAAATCAAGGACATTTGTCAAGGGAAACCAAGCCCAAACGCACACCCATAGTGGCCAGGGAGGATCGTAGATGACGGGGCACAGGCCACGATCGATCGAGGCGGGTGCGAGGGGTTATGCCGGGGTGCATGCGACTGGCCACTGGCCACTGGCCATAGGCGTTGGTCGGTCTCAAGAGGCAGGGCGGCGTCGGCCGGGAGAAAGGCGGCGTTCAGTGTCGGTTTCGGAGGTTGGGGGGGTAACCTGGCGGGCTTGAGTGGCGTGCGCATGGACGGCCATGACACTGCGGCTGCTTGCCGGCGGCACAGACGCATCATGGGCGAGCGTACTTTGAGCGTCTTGGCCACGCCTGGCAACCAGGAGCAGTAGGGTCTGGGTGACACTACACTAGCGCCCGAAATCCGCGACCCTTTGGCAACCTTTGGGCCCAGGCAGCTAGCTGGCAGCTGGCAGCTCCCACATGGATTCCATCCACTTGGCCTCCACTGGAATCCGGCCCATGGACCCGGCCACTGTCCATACCCGAAACCCATACACTTGCACTCGTGTTGATGTAATTATCGCATCTACAGAGTATAGACAACGAACCGCTAAAGCCACATAATACAAGGCTAGCTTCTCTACCTCTTCTACTGAACGCAGAGTGGAGACGACTCTGGGGTAGAGCCCCCTCGTTCCCACCACGACTGTCCCACGCGCAGACCGAGCCCCCCCCTCCCCCCTCCCCCCTCCCCCCTCCCCCCTCTCTTACACTGGACCCACGAGCTGGTACAGCAGCCCGCGGACGAGACCGGACAGCGCCTTGGGCTGGTGCTTGTACCCGTCCATGACCATTGCCATGGCCGACGCGGCGAGGATGCTCTCGCCAAAGGGCACGATGGGCACCCATGCGCGCTTGCGTGCTGCGCTCCAGCCGCTCTCGAGGGCCTTGGGGAGCACGTACATTGCCAGCTCTGCGCGGCGCTTCTTCTCCTCGGCAAAGAGGGACAGGGCGTTGATAAAGCCCATGAGCCAGAACACCTCCTTGCGCGCGAGGAGGAACGTGAGCCAGGGAGGAAGCTTGAACCGGTCCATGATCTGGGATCGGCCGCAGAAGAGCGTCTGGTTGATGACGACGAACAGGCCGAGGAACGAGCACGACCGCGTGATTCCCCACAGGGCCTTGAAGGCCATCTTGGCCGGGTACTTTGCGACTTGATGACGACGGAACACGAGCATGGGGATGATGTGCAGCGCCGAGTAGACGGGGAGCATGAACCTGAACCGCGTAAAGAAGCGGTTGAAGTTGCACACGATGCACGAGTCGAGCCATGGGTGCAGGACCGCACAGGGAATGTGCCACTCGGGGGTGCCTCCGTCGGCAATCTTCTGCTGGAGGGCCTTGAGCGTTGTGAGGTGCTTCTCCGTCACGCCCGGGTACTGAATGGCGCGCTGGAGCTGGGCCGGGGCAATGACATTGCTGCGGACGGCCGAACGGTTGGAAATGACGGCGTGGACGGGGACACCGGACGCGCTCTGGATCCAGGCATTGTACTCGCGCGGGATGGTCTCGGGGGCCAAGAGGTAGGCGTACATGATCTGTCCGCAGCACAGGCCGAACAGGATAACGTCGCCGTGCGGAATGTTGACGCCCAGACGAGGACTGTACTGGTTGTACGAGGCCTGCAGGCCACGCACAAACATTTGCTGGGCCACGCCACGGCGCCTCGATGCCGTCTCCCACAGCACGGCAAACGAGCCGACCGCGCCGGCCACGGCGGCGTGCCAGCGGTGCTCGCCCTCGTCGCCTTCGCGCTCTGGCGGGCCAAACGTCGTTGGCGAAAACAGGCCCGCCTTCAACCTGCGGCGGATATACGAGAATGGTGGGGCGAGACGGAGGAGGTGGAGAGTGAGTGTGTTGAGGAATGTAAATGTGCCAATCATCATGCCGAAGCGGAACGAGTCGAGACCCACAAGCGCGTGTCGGATCTGTCCGAGCGTCATCTTCCTGCGACGCAGGGCGCTGAACAGGAGCAGGATGACATTGACGCCCGACCGAACGGTAAACGCGAGGATAAACGAGCGGATACCACGTTTGAGTGCGAGCACAATGGCTCGCTCGGCGTCTTCGGGGAACACGCGCTTCTCGTCCTTGTCGCGCCACACGAGGTCACGGCCTGCCCGCGTCGCGTCAGCAATGAAGCGTGCGCGGTCCTCGGGGCTGTTGTGCAGAGCAATGAGCGAGTCGAGAGATGCGAGTGAAATGGTGCGTCGGATCTGGTCGGCGCTGCAAAAAGCTTGGTTTAGCGTGCTTTCCGGCAAAGCAAAGGGCTCAAGGGCGCGCGCGGCCACCGCGTGTGTACTCACGTCTCTGAAAGGTTGGGGGTGCCCGGCTCGGTATAGTAGCTATGCGACCGGGCGTGCATTTCAGTGTTCACGCGTATGCCGCCCGGGTAGATGACCTCCTTGGACGAGTGCATGTCGAGTTTACCGCCTGCAGCGCCATTGCTCGGGACGCCGACGGCCGTGAAGCGGAGGTGCTTTGTGACACGGACATGGTCGGACGAGCCGGCGACGAGGGACGATTTGGTGCGACGGATAGCTGGGCTAGGACGAGTGCGCAGGCCAGTTGAGTCGTCTGACGACTCGGGCGAGCCAGACCGCCGGCTTGCGTCCGACTGTGGTTCGTGGTCCGAGTCGCTGTCGTTCAGAGGGGTCGGGCCCGGTGTCGGTGGCGGCACGGACAACGCACTGGGAATGGCGGGTGATGGCTCGCGCGTGGTGGCCTCCGAGTCGATGTGCGGGACCAGAGCAGCACTCAAGAGAGCGTCTGGAGCCACGCTGTCCGTCATGGCGAGGGAGAGGGTGTGCACCGACGTGCGAGGGAGGGCCAGGAAGATGACAATGTGGATAACAGGTCAAAAGAGATGCAGCTGCCCAACAGTACCCGGTAATGGCTTACCCCGGATCTCCCCACAACTTCTTGTCGAGTGTGGCGGAATCAAAACAACACACCCACCCCGTCATCAATCATGGACAATCCCATTCCTGACAGTGCCGTGGACAACACAAGTGTCCAGCACAGTCTCTAGTGTCCATTCTCCCATGCCACCTTGTTTCTCGTCAGACTCTGTGCATGACGAGGTGTGCGTGATATGACTAGCGGCCGGGGGGGAGGCCATGGATCCATGCACACCTTGTTCGCCGTGGGCCGTGGTTTCAGCCGAACTTAGCCGATTAGAGCCAGCCAGTGGAGGTGGCTCTCCCACGGTCACCCACCATGGTGTTGGCCACCGTGGGTAAGTGATGTCAGTTGGTTGTTTTTGATTTTGACCGTGGCAGGCGTGCCGTTCTCTTCGAGCTCTTCGCTCTTCGGCAGCACGACCTGTAGGCGTGCACTCCAGGGCACAAGGTTTGTCGACTTTTTTTTGTCTCGGCAGGAACGTCTCGGCAGCGAACTGTGAGGCCTGCATGGCCTGTGGGCTGTGGGCCTGTGGTGTAACGGGGGCTTATTGAGGCTGACCCGCGGGGTACAGGCGGTGAGGCTGATTGCTGTCTAGGGACACACGGTCAACTGACAGCTCGCGCTCTCGAGACTGCTGGGCGCGTCGCGCGCGCGCGCGGCGGTGTCAGGGTGTTTCACTTTGGACAAAGCGCACCTAGCGGAAGTGCGGCGCTGTGGGCAGTGTGTGAGAGTTGTGGGTGGGGGGATGTGGTGGGTGGGTGAATGCTGGCCACTGGGTGTGTGGGAGTGGGAGAGTGGCCGGAGTGGGCGTGTTTGTCATTTGACCATTTTGTGTGTCTGTGTGTGTGTTGCCTGCGGCGCGGCTACCTGCGTGCGTACATGGTGGTGGCCAAAATTGGTGCAAATGGCTTGTTGATATCCCATTTCGGGTCGAATTCTATGGCCCACAATGTCTCTCGCGCCTCCTTTTGCTTGCCCCCGCCAGCGCATACCACATTGTGGTGTCTGGAACCAGTTTGCCTTGCTTCATCGTCGCCGAGCGAGCAGCCCCTTGATCCCGGTGCGGGCAGAGCACACTGTACACCGGCGGTCACGCCTCGTCTCTCCCTGAGCCCAGGCTCGCACTCTCCACGTTTGCAGCCGTTGAGAGCGTGCACGCGCGTGCGCTTGAGCGCTTGACAACACACACACACGAGACGCACACCCAAGTCCAATCCTTTGTAACCCCGCCCCGCCAGCCAGCCGCCGCGCACAGGGGACCCTTTGCCGTCAGTCCCAAAGATCGACCGACCACTTCTCATTCTCCACACCCCCCCAACCCCATCTCTTTCACCTTTCTCACCCCATCGTAATCTTTCATACCGTGAGTACAACCTCCAGCACTGGTTCTTGCAACCCCCCTCCCCTCCCACGCACTCCCGCACTGTTTGTTTGTTCCCGCGTTTCGCCCAAATGCCCCGCGGCGCTGCGGCGGCGACACGACGCGACATGGCGCAGTGGTGTGGTGGTTGGAGCGAGTCACAAACATTCTTCCGTGACGGCCGGCCACCGGCCACCGGCCGGCACTGCATTTGTTTCTGGGCAGTGAGGACCCAGAGAGAGGGCTGGTTAGCTGGCTATCTGTACCAGAACCGCGGGTATGCGTTCTACACGGGTACACGGGGTGCAGCCTCTGTCCCAAGAGCCGGCGGGCGGCGGGCGTGGTGCAATCAGACCACTCTGGCGTCCGAGGGCGGTGCTGCAACCCCTTTCGTACCCCCCCGCACTTTCCGGCCACCGCCTCCTCCATTTGCTCGTGACTCGCAACGACAGACGAGATACCCGATTGCTGACGCGTGCCGCTTTCGTCTCATATAACCTCGTGCATGACTTTCTGTCTGCTCTTCTCTCTCCCTATCGCTCCCCCCCTCTCGCCCGTAAACTCTTGTACTCTCAACTCGACGCCTGTGGTCACAAACCCCCGCCCGGTCGCAAACAACACCTCGTGCCTCTTATCTCCCGCTCGCGTTCTCGTGTTTGTCCATTTCACTACACGTTGCCTTTCCCACCCCATCACGCTCCCACGGACCTTTCTCCCCATTCAATAGACTAGAGCAACATGTGTGGTAAGTGCAACTGCGCACCCAGAGCGATCTGGCTGTGAAGACAGAGAGAGCGTGTTTTGGTTCTGACGCATTCTCCGCAGGTATCTTTGCTTACTGCTCGTTCCTCTGCGAGCGCGACCGCAAGCACGTCTGCGAGGTGCTCTGCAATGCCCTGGCCCGCATGGAGTACCGTGGTTACGACTCTGCTGGTAAGCTCACCTTGTTTCCGTGGGAGCCTGCGAGAGCCCCGTTGCGCTGACACGTGTAGGTATCGGAGTTGATGGTGACTCTCCCTCCGACCCCTTCATCCTCTTCAAGGAGGTCGGCAAGGTCGCTGCCCTCCGCAAGCACGTTGCCGGTGGTGTCCCCACCACTCCCCCCGGCGCCGCCGAGATCACCCAGCAGGTCGACATGAGCAAGGTTTTCCTTAGCCAGACCTCGATGGCCCACACCCGTTGGGCCACCCACGGTGTTCCCAGCGTCGCCAACTGCCACCCCCACGTTAGCGACCCCGCCACCGAGTTCTCGGTTGTCCACAACGGTATCATTACGAACTACAAGGAGCTCAAGCTCGTCCTCCAGAAGCGCGGCTACAGCTTCCGCACCGACACTGACACTGAGTGTGTCGCCATTCTCTGCAAGTACGTCTACGACAGCCAGCCCAACAAGCGTCTCTCGTTCCAGAGCCTTGTCAAGACCGTCCTCAAGGAGCTCGAGGGTTCGTTTGCCTTTGTCTTCAAGTCGGTCCACTTCCCCGATGAGATTGTCGCCGCCCGCCGTGGTTCGCCCCTCCTCATTGGTGTCAAGACTGAGCGCAAGCTCAAGGTCGACTTTGTCGACGTCGAGCTCCCCTCGGAGGAGGGCAAGCTTGCCCCCGTCCCCGATGTCGGTGCCGCTGGCCTCCTTGCCGTCCCCGGCGCCGCCGACGGCCCCAAGCTCCGCCGCCAGCAGTCGCGTGCTTTCCTCTCCGAGGACGGCATGCCCCAGCCCATCGAGTTCTTCGTTGCCTCGGACCCCGCTGCCATTATCGAGCACACCAAGAAGGTCCTCTACCTCGAGGACGACGACATTGCCCACATCTTCGAGGGCGAGCTCCACATTCACCGTCTCCGCCGCGACGACGGCCTCTCGTCGGTCCGTGCCATCGAGACCCTCGAGATTGAGCTTGCCGAGATCATGAAGGGCCAGTACGACCACTTCATGCAGAAGGAGATTTACGAGCAGCCCGAGTCGGTTGTCAACACCATGCGTGGCCGTGTCAACTTTGACACTGGCTCCGTCACCCTCGGTGGCCTCAAGGCGTACCTCCCCGTCATCCGTCGTGGCCGTCGTCTCTTGTTCGTCGCCTGCGGTACCTCGTACCACTCGTGTATCGCCGTCCGCTCGGTCTTTGAGGAGCTCACCGAGATTCCCGTCGCCGTCGAGCTCGCCTCGGACTTCCTTGACCGTCGCACTCCCGTCTTCCGTGACGACGTCACCATCTTCGTCTCGCAGTCGGGTGAGACTGCCGACACCATCCTCGCTCTCCGCTACTGCCTCGAGCGCGGAGCCCTCACCCTCGGTGTGGTCAACGTTGTCGGCTCGACCCTCTCGCGCGAGACCCACTCGGGTATCCACATCAACGCCGGTCCCGAGATCGGTGTCGCCTCCACCAAGGCGTACACCTCGCAGTACATTGCCCTCATCATGATGGCCGTCCAGCTCTCGCAGGACTCGATCTCCAAGTCGCCCCGCCGCGCCGAGATCATTGCCGGCCTCCACGCCATTCCCTCGCAGATCAAGACTGTTCTTGCTATGGACAAGGACATCCAGCTCCTTGCCAAGGGTGAGTCTTCCCCCTTTTTGTTGACAACAGTTGTGCTAATAACCTAGACATGATCCAGTCGCCCTCGCTGCTGCTCATGGGTCGTGGTCTCCAGTACGCCACCTGCCTTGAGGGTGCCCTGAAGAGTATGTAACCCCGCCGTCGTCTCATTACCCCCCCGCTAACACCTACCAGTCAAGGAGTTGGCCTACATCCACTCGGAAGGCATGTGAGTATCGAGCGCTTGGTGTCGCGTCAATGATAAAGTGGTCTGACCTCAACCTCAGTCTTGCCGGCGAGCTCAAGCACGGCCCCCTCGCTCTCATTGACGAGCACATCCCTATCATCTTCGTCATGACCAAGGACCACCTCTACCCCAAGACCTCGTCGGCTCTTGCTCAGATCACCGCCCGCAAGGGCAGGCCTGTCATCATGGCCTCGGAGTCGGACACCAACGTCCCCAGGTCAGCCCAGGTTATTAGGATCCCGGAGACCGTCGACTGCCTCCAGGGCCTGCTCAACGTAAGTAGCGTCACACACGACCTTGCAGGCCGAGAAACACGAACTGACGGCCCCCTCCAGATCATCCCCCTCCAGCTCCTCTCGTACCACCTCGCCGTCCAGAAGGGTTACGACGTCGGTAAGTGTCTCGCCCACGTGTGCACAACGCTTGCACTTCTCTTGCACTTGTTCTATGCTGACAAGGACAGACTTCCCCCGAAACCTGGCTAAGAGTGTTACAACCGGTACGTTTCCCCTTGCCCCCCAGCGTCCTCCAGTACGAGCCCCGCTAACGCTTCTACAGAGTAACCGCGATCCTGGTTCCAAGCTACTGGCGAGTTAGTATGGTGTGCAGATAGTGAGATGGAATGTGCATGGACAGTATAAAGACCTTTGCCAGCCACATTTTTGTGGACCCTTGAACCGCGCAAGTGCCCCCGTGTCATTCTCTTCTGCGTCCAGCATGCCCGCCCCACACCTGGTGTACACCAGCGAGGTGATGGCGATGTGGACAGGAAGCGAGGCGGGCGTGGGTGTGCGAGCTTCCTGGACCTGGGCGCCTGCGAGCTGCGGTACTGTTGTCTTCGAGCGGCGCGTGGCGCGTGCACGCGCGCCGATCCCAGATATTCACCGATATTTTCATCACGTTAGGTTCCCGCGATCTAGCGATCTAGCGATCTAGCGCGCGAGATATTCTCCGAGGTCGGTGACGCCGGCGTCTCGTGGATGCAGTCGACGACGGTACCTACACCCTTCACGGTGTGCTGATCAAACCCAAAGGTGGCACAGTGTCCATGACGGGACGCGCGGCATTGCTGAGATGGAGATGGACGGTGTGCATGGTTTCTCCTACGGGAGCACTACACGCACTACAAGCACTACAAGCACTGGAGCAGCTTGGAACTCGGCCATGAGCCAACTCTGAAAAGGTCCATTTGCAGAACGCGAAAAACTAAGAATATTGATTGGATAAGAAGTGTCCCGGGGGGGAGGGAAGACAGCATGACGTCCCGCCACGAGCATGTCCCCAGCCCCCGCCTACGCGAAGATCTGGGGCGCGATGACGGGGTCGTTGAAGACTGCAATACGGTCCTCGCGGAAGTCGTCCTGGATCACCGTGATGTTGCCCGGGTGGAACTGGAGGGCATTCTTGTTGGCTGGGAACTCATGTGCAGGCCATCCCGGGAGCCCGGGCCCGTTCGGGTCGAGGTTGTACGCAAAGTTGACCCAGTAGTCCATGATGTTGTGCGAGAGCGTCTCGTCGCGGGCCGACCAGCCGACAGGGAGCAGGGGGGAGACGAGGCCGAACACGGACAGAATCTCAGTGGCGTGCGCGACGCCATAGTTGCCCGGCAGGATCGGGATGGGGGCCGTGAAATGGTACGTCCACGAGCGGGTCTGGCCGTGCGTGTTGGCGTTGCGCAGGAACCAGCGGCGGCGCGCGTGGAACACGCCGTCAGTCACAATGGCGGCGGCCTGCTTGTACACGCTGCTCAGCCAGAACGTGTTGCGGCCCGTGTCAAAGGGGCAGCCCAGGGCCGGGACGTCTGGGTAGAACTGCTTGATCTTGGCCAGCGCGGCGGCGGGAAGCTTTGCGGGGTACGCCAAGTTGATAAACTGGTCGAGCGACATACCCCGGCCCATCTTACGCGGAACAAAGAGCGTGGCCCTGGGTTGTCAGTGAAGTGGAGGGTATTCGGTACACCCACTCGTCCTTGTTGTTGCCCGTGATGAACGGCACGTTTGAAATCTTGCCGTCACGGATGAGGTTGTATGGCGAGTCCTTGACGACGTCACCGTCAATGCTTGGGGCCCACGGGAAGCTGGCGAATTAGTTGCAATGCGCAGGGACAATGCCAAGGACCTGAACTTACGGGAGGAGCTCGCCAAGCAGGAAGCCAATGGCGGTCGTGTCCGTGGACGCGTCAATGAGCTTGCGGCCATCCACAGTGCGGAGACACGCGACCGAATCGCTCTTGCCCGCGCATCCAGTCTTCTTCAGGACCGCGTCGTACGCCGACTGCCACGTCGTGGCAGTGGGGCCCATAGGCAGAGTGGCCGGCGCGCCCGACTCCATGATGGCGCCGCGGAACAGCTTCTGGTCTGGGTCGAGCATGTGCAGCGCGATGGAGATGGCACCCGCCGACTCGCCAAAGACCGTGACCTTGTCCGGGTCGCCGCCAAACGACGCAATGTTGGCCTGGACCCACTCGAGCGCCGCCTTTTGGTCACGGAGACCGAGGTTGCCCGCGCCGGCAGCGGCCATCTCGCGGCCCATGGGGAAACCGAGGATGCCAACGCGGTAGTTGAACGTGACGAGGATGAACGGCTTGCCATTGTTGATCGCGCGCTTGGGGAGGAACGGCAGGGTGTACATGGCACCAGCACCGCCGACGAATGCACCGCCATAACTGTACGTCAGCACAGTGGACTGCATGTGGAGAGAGCACTCACACCCAAACGAGGACCGGAAGCTTGGCGTCGGTGCCCGCCACACCGTCCGGGGTCAACACATTGAGCTTGAGGCAGTCCTCAGACTGTCCCAGCAGACCGTCGAGGGGGAGGTTGGGCTGCAGGCATGCCTTGGGGAGGAGAAGGCCGTCAATGTCCCCAGTGTAGGTCTTGGGCACGGGGGGCTTGAAACGGTTCGCGCCGGTGGCTACCACGTCAGCACCGTTTCAGGCCAAGTGCCACATCCACCACACCCGCTACTCACGCGGCTCCGCAAAGGGAATGTCGAAGAAGCTGTTCAGGCCAAGCCACTTGCCGCCCTTGACGTTGAAGGTCTTGCCGTTCTGCTTGATCTGGGCATTGGCGAAGAGGCTGAACTTGGTCGGCGGGCGTGCACCGGGCGTGTTGAAGGCGAAGAGGTCGCCGAGGATACCTGAAAAGAGACCATCAAGGAGCCCGCGGTCATCGAGGTCCTGGGACTCGGACGGAGTGGGTGCCGCCAGCGCGAGGGTGGCAGTTAGTAGGACAAGAACGTGTCTGAACAGCATGTTGTGGGGCGTTGAGCTTATCGTCCTCCGCTTGGCGACGAGCTGCTTAAGAGGTAAACGGGACGATGTCAACAGCAGAGGTCAAGGGTGAGAGTGCGCGCTACACGCTTAAGCAGGTAAGCGGAAACCGGGTGCCAATGCCAACAACGAGAGTGAATTCAGAGCTAGCGACGCGTGTTGAGCACATGATGACAACACGAGTAGATGTAGCTCGGCATCCGTAACAGGCGCCGTTCTCCAGGTGCTCATAGAGCAAGGCTCGTGGAAAGCGATTACCGGGTTTGGATTCGTGCAAGTGGAGGCTTTGGTATGGGCAAGTGCAGGGCTTTGCAGGCGGCCGTCGCCGCTGCCAAGCGATGCCGAGATGGTCCAAGAAACATCGACATGGTCCAACGCTACGCGCTGCTCGGATATTGACAAGCCAATGCCGGATGCCCAGCATGTGCCCCTGAAAGTTGCGCAGTAAGTGGCGATGCCGAGTTAGCTAACAAGATGGCGCGCAATGCGTGTAACTAGGTGAGGGATAGTGCAAACATGGAACGACCCCACGAACAGCGCGACGGGTTTGGGTGCACGCCGCCAAGCGGAAAACCCAAGTCACGTGATCATTTTTCTTTGTTTGGTTCCAAATACACTCGGCCCTCCGATTGCCGATGAACCGGAACAACACTTCCTCTCATTTGTCTTGTCCCATTCACCGTCGTTCACGAGTACAAGCCCAGTCATCACTCCCCCCGTCAACAATGATACTCTAGCCTATGCAGCTAGACCCACAAGTCTCCACCGTAGCCCAATCCTGCACAACCGTCCCTTGAGGGGCGTCACATTCTCCCTGCCCTGCCCTGGTCCTCGTCCTTCCTCCCAACCCACCAAAACCTCAAAAGAGGATGCTCAACTCCATGTTGGAGCTGTAGATCTACACCGTAAGGGAGTCGAACCCCTGCCGCGTCGAGTCTGCGCTTGGCAACGACGCATGATACCGTTTCACCAACGGTGTCTTGATGCTGAGCAGTTGACGAGCACGAGCTCGAAGTGGACGATGTTTCTCGTCGCCCAACAGCTCATGAGATGGATGACTGCCAGGCCGGGAATTGAGAGCCATAAGGCGCATTAACCAGCAGACCCTATCCAGTACAGGTGAGCTCACAAAGCCACATTTCCGTTCACTGGTCAGAACCATCTTTTGCGTTGAAAGTGGCACATAGCCCACGGTCAAGCACAGGCCTGGGCACTATTTCCGGACATCGTGGTGTATCAAGGTCACCGGTCGCGCCCCACCATTGGGGACTGGACTTGGGGACACCTGCATGGCAGGACTTGCAGCCGGGACGCCAGAGCTGCGGTAGGGGCCTTGACTTGAGGTCAGGGCTGATGTTATCCAGCTGTCAACTTGCTGCTGGCATGACTCCCACCTCGTAGCGACCCGAGGTTGCCTGCTGGCGATGTGCGTTTCCCCGTATGTCTGTCGAGAGCAGAGCCAGCGAGAGCTGGTCGCTTCCCAAGCCCAACTGCTCTGGTGTCACTTATGAATCGTATGTTCGAGCATTATGAACTGTAATCCAAAATCCAAATCAAAAGCCTAATCACGCGGGGTCCCCAACAACAGACGGAAGCATTTCCTGGCGGATGACGGGTTTGGCTCTACTCGCGTGTTGTCGATTGAATCAACCTTCTCCTCTCTTGCTTATCACCATCACCCACCTTCTCATCAACACGACACACGGCCGCTAGAACGCTTGTGCAACACACTATCCTCGGTTGCCCCACCAGCCCCTCGCCCTTCCCTCTCACTCCCTTTCCAGTGTTCACCTCCAACTCCCCTCCCCTCCCCGCACGCGTTTTTTGCCACCATGGCGCAGCCTCCGCCCGCCGCGGACGGCCAGCGCACGACCGAGCCGTCCACCCCACCCACTGTCGCCGCGATGCCATCTGTCACCGAAACGTCGACTGCGGCCTCTCCGTCTGCACCACCCACCACGGACGCCGTCTCTCCCACTGCCCTCGTCGTCCCTGACACCGAGGCCGAGGACGCGTCTCCTGAAACGACCATGGTTGATCTACCGACCGCCGCCGCACCGCCCCTTCCCTCGGCTGAAGAATGGCTCAACATGACCTTCAAGTGGTCTGGCAAGGCGTACGACGTGCGCGTGAGCACTAGTGACCTGTAAGTTGGGCCCCACGCCAACCTTACACGGGCGCGCGCAACTGACAAACATCAGCGTCTTTGACCTGCGCTCGCAAATCGAATCCCTCACGTCGGTGCCTCCCGACGCGCAGAAGATTCTCGGTCTGGGCCGTGGCAAGCTCTCTACCGACTCGGACGGGCAGCGTATCGGCACGCTGGGGCTCAAGGACGGCGCCAAGTTTACGCTGGTCGGCACGCCCGAGCACCTGCGCTTCAAGGAGCGCGAGGGCCCGCCACCGCTCGACGAGTGGGACCTCGCGTACCCGACCAGGGGAAGGGACCTTGGCGCGAGTAACGCGTTGCCGCCTGCGCTGGACCCGAGGAACGTGAGGCGGGTGGAGCAGATTATCAGGAAGAGGGAGATCACGGTAGGTTTTCGGGGAAGGCAAAGGCGGCCAGAGCTGAACGGTCAGGTCATGAACGAGCCGCGTCCTGGTAAACGCCTCCTGGTCCTCGACCTTGATTATAGTGGGTTAGGAGGAGCATTGATCGACTGCTAACTCTCAGCGATTGCGGACACGCGCCCGCTCCTGGACGGCGCGCTGCCACCCTTGGAATGTGCGCGTCCGGGCTTGAACGACTTCCTCCACCGGTGAGTTGGAAGAGGCGTTGCATAGTCAACTAACTCACAGTGTCTACCCCCACTATGACATTGTGGTGTGGAGCCAGACCCACTGGATGTGGCTCGAGAGCAAGCTCGTCGAGCTCGGCGTACTTGGCGGCGGGGCCAGGTACCAGGTGAGCGCGCACTGGCGTCGACTGATGCTTGTTTATGCTGACAATACCAGATCTGTTTTGTTGCCGACCGCACGTCCATGTTTCCGGTAGGCTAAACAACATACAGTCCAGTCTGTGCTCTAGCTGACATGATTCAGATCTTCAGCGAGCGGGGTGGCCAGATGGTCAAGCACGAGTGGGTAGGAGGTGCGTGACAGAGCTGACCCGGCCAGAGTCAAGCCCTTGGCGTACTTTTGGGCGCGGTTCCCTCACTGGTCATCGAAGAATGTAGGTTGTGAATGTGGTCGGATTGGACAAGTGAAGGGGGAGACATTGAAATTGGAGACGTAGCTGACACTGCCCAGACCATCCACATTGACGACCTGGCTCGCAACTTTGCTCTCAACCCTTCCTCTGGACTCAAGGTAAGTGACACACACCCGTTGTTTACAAGCAGAGGGGCCAACCTTTGTTCTTTCCCAGATCCGCGCATTCAAGACTGCAGGCACCGCCGAGGGACGGCGTGACCGCGAGCTGTACAGGCTGGGTGACTATGTGAGTGATGATGCATGCCTCCGGTATCGGATGGCTGGAGACGGTTGTTGTGTTCCCACTTGCCGGGTTCCCACAGACGCGGCGGTGGTGGCCAGGCCTCCTGCCGTCGGTTGACAAATTGCGAAAAGGGACCCGAACGAAGGCTGGCTGACGATTGTTTGTTTAGCTCGTTGAAATCGCCCAGAACGTTGACGACTTTACAACGCTGGACCATGCTGTAAGTTGACCTCATGCTGTGAATGACTGCCTCCTTTGCTGACGGGGTAAGCAATGGAAGAAACGCCGGTCCGCGATGATGCCGCGGATGGACGACGAACCGGCAGGCCAAGAGCCCGGCAGCAGCAGCGGCGGCGACAGCGGTGGGGGGCCACCAGGTGGTCCCGAAGCCCCCGCACCGCAGTGAGACCCAAACCCAACTCGCAACTAAACCCTTGATCGGTCATTTATAGCTCCCCTTGCTCCTGCCCGCCCCCCCTCTCCCGGCCTTCCTGGACTAGGCCGCTCGCTCCCCACCAAGCCCCCTATGACGTGATGTGCATCACATGCGCTGTGCATGACTGTATTACTGTATATAAACGAAGAGAGACACACACAGAGAAGAAGACGGCAGAGCAATGTTTACATGCGATTGCATATGTGTACGGTCCTCGTGTCTCTCCGGGGTTGGCAGGCACGGACGGATGGGATCTCGTCGGGGTATGTACGACGACGACGGAGACAGGGAGGGGAGGTTGCGATGAAATGGTCGCGCCTGACTTTTGGCGTTCGGCGGCGTGTTTTGCGGGGAGAGGGGGGGGGGGCAGCTCTGGCATTCTTCCTTTGGTCTCTGCATGCGGTGGCGGTGGCGGGGTACAATCGCCCACTCCCGGGGGGGTCTAGCGTGGGAGCGATCTGTGGTACACTACACTGCAGTGCGTGTGTTCGGGATGCATGCAAGGTGCTAGTTATGAATGGGGTGGGCGACAACATGCATGTGCATGCAAGAAAAGACCCTGTGGTAGTGACACTGCTTTTGCCAGAGTGCTGTTGCTCGACAAAGGGGGGCGGCAGGGGAAAGCCTGTTGGGCCTGATATTTGCATTGGATGGACGGGGCTGGGGCCCTGGCTCACAATGTGGAAGGAAGAGATGGCGCGGGATGAGACGCAACGACGACGACGACGAGGAAACAGCGACTAGCCACCCCCGCTGGCAACCGGCCCATCCATGTACGCATTCCAGCACTATCGCTGCTGGCAAACGACGGCGACGGGGCTGTCACTGCATCCGTGATATCGATACACAACTCCTACTACCTTGTCGTCTCCTTCTCTCTCCATCGCATTCTCCATTCGCATTCTCCATTGTCGTCCTTCCTATCCCATCCCATCCCCTCCCCCACCTTTCTCCGGCGCGCCACCCATTGCACAGCACCGAGCTGCGCTGGCCGCACGCACGCACGGTATCCACCCACCGGCCACCGGGCCCACCGACGTTGCCAGCTCGCACGCACTTCCTTTCCCCTGCACATCCCTTCTCGCATCCCTTGTTGCGCACTCGGTCCTCCCTTTCCCACACGACCTCCTCCGGCTCCTCCACTGGGGCGATAGCTGTGGGCTGTGCGCTCGACGTCTGCCCAAACCGCCCAAGAGCAAACTGGACATCGCTCGCATACACGAACAGCTTTGCCTCTCTGCTATACACCTCGTCCTCTTAACACTCCACCGGCAAGCACCGCACCATGCGCCTCGCCGCACTCACTCGCTGGACCCTCGGGGCTCTGCTGGCGGGCGCTGCCCTCGCACAGGACAACAGCACCAACAGCGCCTCGGCGTCCTCGCAGGCTGCGTCTAGCGGAGCCTCAGGCTCAGCTTCGGCGTCTACCTCGGCGCTCGCCTCCAACGTCGTGGTGACGACCATTACGTCCCTCAGTGCCGGACCAAGCACCACCTCCACAGCGACGTTTGTCCTCACGCTCACGCTCGCCAACAATGCCACGGCAACAGCCAGCACCACCGCAAACACTACTACCGTGAGCCCGAACGGGGCCGTCACCACCAACGGAACCGAGACAAACGGCACGGCAGGCACAAACAGCACTGTGGGCGGCAACACGACGGTGGTGTGGAACGACACCATGTCGTACCTGCCCTTTTCGCCCAAGCTGGACGCTGCATACGGTGTCGGCGGCGCACTGCTCATCATCACCGGCATCCCGGTGGCCACGCTCGGGGGCCGCAACCGGTGGTCTGCGCTCGCGATTGTGTCCGGGTACAGTTTTGGCCTGTTCTGTATGGTTTGCATCCTGTCGTTTGGGTGAGTTTCCTTCTGCAGCCGGCTGCGCAACGACGAGGCGTCGAGGCGTTCAGTGTGTACTGTATCGGTGTCGGAGCTCCACGACCCGGCGCACAACGCAAAAGCATGGCGTCTCCATTGTTCGGGCCCGTGCACGCCGCTCCTTTGGACAATTGCCATTGCGACCCTGGCTCTTGTGCTAGGTGCTCTACGTACGTACTGCAATGCTGACGCCACGCGCAGAGTGACTCCCGCCCTCTCACCGCCATCGCCCGTGGCACCGTCCAACGCACTGCGCGGCCTGTACCTCCTCGCAACCGCGATTGCGACGCTCATCGGTGCGGCGCTTGGAATCTTCTTCTACACGTTCACAAAGTACTGGGTCGGCGCGGCCGGAGGGTTCGCGTTTGGCTGGTTCCTCCTCGCACTGCGCAAGGGCGGTCTCGTTGGCCAAAGCGTTGGTGGCAGGTGGGGCATTGTGGGCGGCTTGACCGTCATTGCCTTTCTCCTTACGCTGGTGCCCAAGTGCCATGAAACCGTCCTACTCATCAGCAGCGCCTGGATCGGTGCCACGGCGTTTACGCTTGGCGTCGACTGCTTTACGCGTGCAGGGCTGAAAGAGGTAAGCTAGGAGGACTCGGTACGATAAGCTCACACCCCCAGTTTTACATCTACAACCTCGGATACGGGACCATCTTCCCCAGCCTCAATGGCGGCAAGTTTCCGCTCACGCAAAACATGCAAGTCGAGCTGGGTGTTGTCGCTGCTGCTGCCATTATCGCCGCCGCCATCCAGTTCAAGATCCTCGAGCACCTCAAGAAGCGCCGCCGGCACATCAAGGAGGAGGAAGAGGCCCGTATCGAGGCCGAGCAAATCGACAAGGCGGCTGAAAACTTTAAGAACGTCGACGCCGAGCTCGCAGAGTGGGAGGGCAAGCATGGCGAAAGCAGCCCCGGTGTCCTTTCCCGCGGACTCATTCCTTCTTCCACTTACACACTGGTGGGCAGTGGAAGTGGCGGCAGCGGCCACAAAGAGATGCTCGCGTCGGGCGAGTCACCGCCCCGCAACTCTCAACTTGTCGAGCCTCGCCGTCTGTCGCTTCTCGAGGAGATGGGCTATGCCGACGAAAAGAACACCTCCGCCAGCCCCTCGACTCCGGCCACACCAGTGGACCCCGAGTTGGAACAAAAGCTCATGCTCCTTGCCGAAGTCCGTCGCGCTCGCCAGAGCGTCCGCTCGTCCATGGACGCTCTCAGGTCTTCCGCGACGACTCCCTCTGAATCCCTCTCGGGGACCGCCGTGCTCGAGCGTACCGCCAGCCCGGCGTCTGGCATCATCATGCACAGCCGCAACAACTCGGCCACTTCCGGCCGCCTCCTCGACCCGTCGTCGGCGTCGCAGCACATTCGCAGCCCCTCTGGTTCCGGCAGTGTGCTCCTTGACGAACGTCTGCGCCGCGACTCGCTTGGGTCGCGTCAGCTCATGGCCGCGGACCCTGTCGCACGCACCTCGTCTGCGGGCAGCCGTCCCACTGCCAGCACGGAACCCCTCATTGACCGCTCGTCCATGGACCAAAGGCCCCGCTCCGAATGGGACGAATACGTCGCCTCGCGCACCATCACCACTGCTCCCTCTGCCGCTCCCGTTCAGCCCCGATACTCGGTCGTCTCGGAAAGCGTCCAGCGCGCCATTGCTCAACGGCACGAACGCTCGACGAGCATGTATGCGCGTAACCCCGACGCCTTGACCCCAGGCCACGAGTACGGCCAGCACCTGGCCCGCACGTTCTCGAACGAACCGCAGGTTCCGCTCAGCCCGCCCGCCCGTCGCCGCAGCAGCGCGCACTATGAGCGCGAGCGCCGCACGTCGCGCTTAATGACGACGGACGAGCTCGCCGACCGCCACCGCGAGATGCTCGCGCGCATGCAGGACCGCGTCTCGGGCCCGTACAAGGAGGAACAGGCGCTCGAGTCGGCCAAGGAGCAGTGGGAGAAGCGCAAGCGCGAGGAGCGCGAGGAACAGCGGCGCCGCGAGGCGGAGCGCGCACCCAAGGCCGAGCGCGGCGACACGGCCGGAGGCGGCGGAGCGAGGGTGTCGACGTCGGACGACCGCGCAAAGCGGACCGAGGACTGGCGCCGCAGCGTCACGTCGCCGCCCAAGACCACGGCGGCGCTCCCGACCACTCCCTCGCGCGGTGGTAGCGGTACCGCAGGTACCACCGCCGCCGGCGAGCGTGACCGCGACCGCGACCGCCGTGCGTCCATGGCGGAGGAACGCCGTCGTACCAGCACGTACGCGTCGCCCTCCAAGCCCGCCGCCGCCGCCGTCACCGGCACCCGCCGTTCGTCCGTCAGCAGGCGCCCGAGCAGCGGCTTCATCGCATAGACTGGGCCCGCCCCGGTCAAACTCAACAAGCACCAACATCCACAAACACACCCCACGGACACTTTCTCTCTCCTAATGAGCTCCACCCCCACCCCCACACACACTCTCTCTCTCTGTAGCATGACACGGACTATAACGCCAGTAACATATTTCTCTCTCTCCTGATTTCTCCAAGGCCCGGGCTCGGCCCTCATGCATGGTCCATGGTTCATGGTTTGGCTTTATGGTCTACATGTTTTTTTTCTAATTTCACATGGGGGAGATGGTGGCGGCGGCTGCGCTGCTGCTGCTGCTGGGGTCTACTAAGATAAGATGGTGGTGTGGTGCCGTGGGTGTTGTCTGGGGTGGGGAGTCGTGTCAGTGGTCGTTGCGTCTCGTGCAATGTGTCCTTTTTGGTGTGGGTGGTTTGGGTTATAGTGGGCGGGCAGGTCGTCCGTTTAGGGCGTCGTTGGGGAGGGTGCTGACGCTGTGGACGACGACACGGGTGTCGCTGTCGCACTGGTTGATCCGGTCTCGGCGGGAGCTTGCGCCTCGGCCTCGGCCTCAGCTCCGGTCTCGACAGGGGCAACAGGTGTCGCGGGTGATGGAAGCATGTCCATGAGCACCACGGCTGGCTCCGCTGCCAAGTCCATGAGCTCGACGTCTGGCCCCGGTGCGGCTGGGACGGTCGAGGGTGGTTCTGCTGCTGGCTCTGCTGCTGACTGTGCTGCTGGCTCTGCTGCTGGCTCTGCCGTTGCCTCTGCTGTTGACTCCGCTGTTGGCTCTGCTCCTGGCTCTGCGCTCGCTGCCACCGTCTCGGGGACAACAGCTGCGCTCGCCTCGGGGACAACAACAGCCACCCCGCTGTCACCGCCGCCCCCGATCACACCGCGCGCCACATCCATACTGCGCGCCGCGCCGTCGCGCCTGACCTCGTTCTGCACCGTGTCCCAGCTGGGCGGGTGCGCCTGCGGGTCGCCGAGGTACACGTTGAAGTCGGGCTCAAAGTACGGCGGCTCGTCCCACGCGCGCTCGGCGAGCGCGAGCCCCGGCATGCCTGTCAAGTCTGTAATGTCCGCCTCGGACGGGCGGTGCGCGTGGCCGTAGCCGTGGGCGTGGGCGTGGCCGAGGGTCGCAGTGCTCCCGTTGACGGTGAGCGGCGCGAGGTTGGACGGCACGGTGCGCAGCGACGTGGACGTCTCGTCGCCCTCCATGAGCGTCGGCATGAGGTGGATCCCCTCCTCGTCGCCCGAGGCGAAGCTGTCCGAGTCGCTGTCGCGGTCCTCGGCGCGGCGGCGGGCGCTCGGGTCGCGTCTGGGACTCTGGTCAGCCACCACCAATGTTCAGGTCAGGGCCAGGGCTTTGCTTGCTTCTCTCTCCCACAGCACAGACGAGAGATGGGAGAGACAGCCAGTGCCACCACCTTCACGCGACATACCTCAGCAACACGGTCTCCTCGTCGCCCGCCTCTTTGGTGTACACTGGCAACGTGCGGACGGAGCGGCCGCTCTCGGTGCGGCGAGGGGCGTCGCCGCGCGCCCGGCGTGTCCGCCTGCCTCCCGCGCCGGTCGCTGCGCCGCCCGCGGCCGCAGCTGTGGATGGTGTACTTGAGCCACTGGCGCCGGGAGATGCCGAGGTGGAATGCCGGTTTCGATACATGTCGTTCAGGCGATAGCGGTATTTGCGGCCAGCGCCCCATCCCAGCTGGGAAAACAAAAGTCAGCGAACAAAGACCGGGGACAAAGGTTCAAGGACGGAAGGGCAACTTACACAGTACAGGGCAAAGCAGAAGATGATCAGGCCACAAAAGACGGGCACGAACACGCCCACCATGGTGGACATGCTCATCCCGCCCGAGCTGCTGTCAGTGCTGGAAGCAGCCGCGGCCGCAGAGACGGAGGCTGTGGCGGTCGTCGGCGGGGAAGCGCTGCTGGGCGACGACAAGCCCGTGCTGATACTGGTCGTGTTGGCACTGTCCCTCGGTGCCGGGTGGACAGGCGCAGCGGTGACGGCGGCCAGCAGCGCCAACGCCAGCGCTGGGGAGAGCACACGGAGGGTGTGCCGGCGGGACGTGGTCGTGGTCATGGTCATGGTCGTGGACGTGGACGTGGACATGTCTCCTGCCGCAGTGCAGTGTGCCGCTGACGTCCAGGAATAGGGTTGTGTGAAGGATATCCGGGGCGAGGTCGTGTCCGTCGACGTAGACGCCGAGGGGTGTGGGTAGGAGGCGGCGGCCTGGCACAAGTCTTGGCGGTGAGGGGTGTCGGACACGGGCGTGGGATGTAGGAGGCGAAAGATATCAAGAGAGACAGAGAGAGAGACAGAGCGATGATAGATGAGATGGTAAGGGGCACCCAAACGGGTGTCTGGGTGTGGTGGCGCGGGCACAGCAATGTCGAGGCCCCAGAGTCGAAACGATCCGTGCACAGTCGATGATCGCGATGGCGGGGCAGACGTCGGTGCCATGCAGCCAATGTAGCCATGCATGCCACGGCCCATGCATCTGTGTGTCTATGTATGGACCCCGGCGATGCACCGATCAGTATCACAGCTCACAGTGTTGCCTTCAGACCATCGCTTTGGCTCAGAGGACGCGGTCATTCGAGCAATGCGATGTTTGCTGAAACTTGCACTGCCTCGAGAGCCCTTCGCGATCTGGCCACCGCGTGCGTGGAGGAGGGACGAGGGGCAGTGGGCACACGTGTCCTCCGCCTGCGCGCAAAGTACCACTGTCTGGGCCCACGACTGCGCACTGGTGTGGGCATGGGAGTGCTGGTGGGCGTGAGTGTGTTGTGAGACGATGTATGCATGGGTGAGTGGATGGGAGTGTGGGAGGTGTTGCTAAAAGGTGTTTGTCGCGATGGCCTCTGTCCATCGGCATTCCCGACGACGTCATCGGCAACATTCCGCCCAGACTTGTACCGATCACCGAGTACTGACCCAGGCCGCACCTAGATGCCAACCACAGCCAGAGCGGTGCTCGTCGTGCACTTGGGTGGCATGGCATTGTCAGTGCCCGCCTAAGGAACGCAGTTGGCGGTGTGCGCGGGGGGGGGGGGGGGGGGGGGGCGGGCGACAACACAGTATGCGTTGTGCAGAACAGTCAACACTCGCAATGGCGCCCCCATACTTGGTTCTCCTAGCCCCGGATAACGCGCGCTCCGGCGCGGTCCCAGCAAACGAGATGGCCCGGGGTCTTCGTGCTTCGAGGGGAGCCCGGTCGAGAAACCGTTGTATGTTTTGCAGAGGGATGGAGAACGCAGTATAGCGACCCTGAGGCAGATCAGTTGCCGGCATACTGCGTTTGTGACAGACGATCACCACAGATGTGGCGGGGACTGTGGCGGCACGGACCGCCGCCCTTGAATGCTGTGGGAACGCTCTGCACGCTGTTGAGAACACCCATCACATCCCCCAGCTGCCAGCCTCGGCACGAATGTACTTGTAAAATGATACACTGACGTTTGTCAGAGTAACGATCGTCTCATGCACGGTATATCTTACAGCAAGGAATACATTGGCAAACAGGGTCCATGTGGCACCGTTTGTTCAGAAAGATGGATAATACACGTGGTATACAACATTCACAATTCACTCCAGTCCCAGGTTGTTCACAGTAGAGGCGATACCTTGTTTACTTCCGGGAGTTCAGAACGCTTCACTGGCCACTCTATACTCTATATCATCGTCCCGGGGTCGCTTCCGGACTCGCCGGCGTAGGTGTTCACCTTAGGCACACGCCGCCAAGCGCGATGGACCAGGCAGAGGACTCTGTGAACAGGACGCGCACAGGGGCGGGACAGGCGCACGCCCAAAGGCCGCCATGCCCACCGCCTCGGCGTTGATGCGGAGGGCGATGGCCTCGTGCTCGGCCCAATGCCGCGCGACGACGGGGTGCGTGTCGTGCAGCCACCGCCCGATGGTGTATGGCCCCGTACACTCGCGCCATCGCTGCGCGACACCGGGGTACCTCTCCTGCAACCATTGGTGCATGTCCGGTGTGGCCGATTGGTGAACCCCCCCGGCGGCAGTGGCCGTTTGGAACATCCTCTCGCTGGTGGTGGTGGTGCTAGCGTGCTGTCCGCCAACCCCAGCTTGAGGCGACGAGTGGACGCGCGCTCGCGGTGCCGGTTCCTCCCGAACCGGATACGCTGGCGGGTCCTCGCGGCGCGCATACACCGGCGGGGCCACAACCACCATATCCTCGATCTGGAGGAGGAGCTCCCCGTGCGCCACGTCTGTGGCATAGTCTGGCGGTGGCGCTTCGGTATGGGGGGCCTGGGGGGCCCGCGGGGGTGGTGTGGGCGTCGGAGGAGGTGCCGAACCTCTGGCACGAGCCCTTGTCAGCCGCGCGATGCGTTCGCGCAGTTGCCTGCTCTTGACAGCGGCCGTGAGGTGGTTGAGCACCGCGCCAATTGCGCAAGGGCGGTTTGGTGGAGTCGAGCGTAACTGGGCAGAGTGTGCTGGGCGTTGTGGCTGGGTCGGGAGCTCTGCGGGAGAGGACCGGGGCGGTTGCCACGGGTTACGCAATATCGACACTGCTGGGAGTGGTGCTTCTGTTTCTTGTTCTCCTTCCCCTTCTTGTTCATGTTCTTGTTCTGGTGTCCCCATGCCCCACGTTTCGAAGAGGAAGTCGTGGCTGAATATGGGACTGCTGAGCCGCGGCAGTGAGAGACGCGGCGGGTCCAGCGATAGCGATAGTGCTAGTGAGGCTCGAGATGCGGTGATGGTTGGCGATGGCGCTTGGTCTGTTGGGAACCGCCATTGCGGGAGTCCCTCTTCGGGACCCATACTGGTCGACTGGGTGGGTATGTCGTATGAAAGGGGTGCTGCTGCGAGTACCGTAGCCGTGGAAGGGTGGCGTACAGAAGTGGAGTGGTGTCAGGCTATTAAGTGGCAACTGACTGGCAACAAGAGTCTGTGGGTGCAGGCATTGGCTTACACCGACGAGTTGCTCATGCTACCCACCCAATCCCACCAAAATGCCCTCTACTTCGGCGGCGGGCAGTCACAGGAACGCCATGACCGGTGGTGCCTTTCAAGTGCCACGGCCACGGCGGGGGTTCAGTGTTATTCACGCGACACAGCAAACACTGCAAGTAACCCGCGGATAAGCATGTTCCGGAGCCCGTCAGCGCACGCACTGCAAATACGACTCGTATCACACCCCAAAATCGCGCTGTCGCACAACGGCATGACGACCGACCCAGGAACAGCTCGCCGTCGCCTTGTCGCCTTGGCGCTCGGCTCGGTCGTCTAGAAGCCTTCCATCGTCCCTTAGGGGTGGTTGGACCGCCGACTCAAACCCAACACCGATACCGCCGGCACTGCTCTGTTTGGCTACGCCATGCCCCCGTGCGTCACCTTGTCAGCTGATATGGGTGGTCTTGGGCTTGCGCCTTGGCAGCGACGACATCATCACGGATCTTGCGGACGGCGCGATTGGACGACCAGAGTGAACGGGTCGGGACGGGTGGCAATCAGACGCCTATTGCCCGGCTATCGATGTCCACTGCTGCGGGCCGGCGGGTGGGGTCTGGGGTGGTTGTGGTTGTTTTGGCGGCTCTTGAGGTGGGAGGTGACTCTGAGCACTCCAAGTGGGTGTACGGCTATAATGTTCATTTTCAGCAACCCCGTATGCGGGGTGGCAAGGATGACCTATTCTAAGGACGACCACGTCAACACCCCGGGCCAAATATAGAATGAGACATGCAGCTCTGAGGCGGCGTTGCAAGGGCATACGGATACATGTTCACTTATAATACAAAACGGCAAGGTTACGGTACACTTCAGACTTGATTGCACTTGCTTAGGACGACCAGAAACCTGGCGCCTGCGCCGCGGCCATGTTGTCAATCTTGGCCCCGCGGTCCGGGATGGGGCCGAAGAACGTGCCCGGGTGCGTCTTTGAGAATGGGCACATCCAGTCACGGATGGCCTGGACGCGCTCCTTGGTCGACGGCTTCTTCTCGGCCTCGGCGTACGAGGGTGGCAGGATGCTCATGTCCGTGGCCGTGCGCTGGAGGTCGGCGGCAGTGGCGGCGTCCTTGGGGTTGACAGTGCGGGGCAGCTTCATCTCGCCGTATGTTGGGGAGCGGGTGTATCGCGGGAGGTGCATGTGGGACGAGGTCGACGCCGAGCTTGAGGACATGGACGACGTGGTGCTATAGCCAGAGGCGACGGTGGACGAGGTGGTGTCGCGCTGGAGGGTGCCAGTCGGGCCGGTGGTGGTGGCCCTGGCCCTGGACTTGGACTTGGATGAGCAGATCTGAGATATCGGGTTAGTGCATGTCGCTCGGAGGTGATCTAGAAGTGACTCACAAGGTTCCAGGTAGTGCCGGCCATGATTGTGGGTGTGTGTGGGGTAGTGGGGGTGTGTGGCTTGCGTAAGGGGAGTAAAGTTGTGCCGCGATGGAATGAGCAACACAAAGGTGTATGTGTGTGTGTGTGTGTGTGTGAGGGACAGGTGGGTTGTGTTGGTTGTTGGGCCTTCCAGACGACCACATGGGCGACTCCTTATATGTCCTGTTGCACCCCAGAACATGGCTGTACCCCGGGGTATACCCTTATCCATGTGCGACTGTGCAACACTGTGCATGCGACGATGACCTGACCAAGAGATTCGGGTGACGTCGGGGATTGATTGCTGTGCCCAGGTGATCTACAGGAACCAGGAACTCTGATGCTTGGCGGTCGGTACCGTCGCTTCCACCCATCAACTGCCGACCAAACCCTTGGGACCCCGCCCTGCACCTCTCCGTGTCGGGGGGAGAGAGACTGCACATGCAGCGGGTATCTGCGCCTTGGCATCGCTGGATAATACCAATCATGCACCCCATATCGTGCGCAGCAGGACGTCCACATCGTCCACTCTCGGCCGAGATGGCCGTGTGCCAGGAAGCAAGGACGAGAGGGCGTGTCGGCGAAATAACGCGCGGGCACTGCCACTGCTATAGACGCCGGATCTCCATGCCACGGGACCACGGACCACGGGCTCCATCACGCCGACACAGGGGGGGGGGGGGGGGGGACACTGATATTCAGAGACAAGCACGTTCATGGTGCGCTTGTCGTTGCGTCCAAACACACAAATCGCGCATACGAGATAAGATGCATCCGACGCGACCGGGGCTCCTCGGGCATGCACGCAGAGAACACGGGCACGAGACGAGACAGAGACGGACAAAGGAACACATACCCGGAACATGACATTGTGCGGCAATGGGCCAGCTGGATCTGCTGACTGCCGGCAGAGAGCGGTAGGCGGTAGGCGGTCACTTTTCGTTCTTCTTCTGCCCACCCCCCACGGAGCGCCACACGACAGAGAGAGAGCAAACCTAGGAACCACCATCCACACAGCCAAACTTGTTGTCTTGTCTCTGATGTCACCCTCTCCCTGACGTCGGCGTCGACGCCGCCTCGGGTACCGTCGGCAGTGGACCCGTCGCCATGACATTGGTGCCCTGGAGATGAGATGCCGCCGGCCGGAGCAGGACAGGTCCACCGGTCACAGCCAGCCAATCGTGCCGCTCTGGGCTGCTGAACGGTCAGCTCGTATCTGGTGGCCAGCGTCGGTGCCGAGTGGCGATGGTGGGGCCTGTTCGTGGCGGCTTGTTCTTGCTCGTATGGCAAGTTCTCTGCAGCTCCAGTTCGAGTGCAACTGATGGTTGATGAAGTTGGGCAACATCGGCAGCTTGGTGTGTACCTCCTACCGGCGGCCTTGGCACAGAGACGCAGCCGGTCAAGCCGACAAGCCGAGCGAAGGCGTGGTGGACGTGTGGTGGCTTGAGCAACGGTGCCCTGGATTGTGTTGCGGCATTGCTCAGGACGAAGGACACAACCCTTTTGAGACTTATGACACGAGTCCTGGTTTCAAGTCGATGCCCATGCGGTTCGGAAAGTCGATGCAGCGTGCAAGTGTGCAAGTGTGGTGGAGACGCAGAACATTATGATTCATCCCAAGGAAACAACACTATGGTACAGACAACGAGAGGCAATTATGATGGTAGGATACACGAGATCGAGTCGGTACACGTTTTGAGTCGAGTCGGCGGCTCATGCCGTGCCAAAGTGGGCGAGCGACGGGCAGCGGGCAATCATCTCCTCGGGGTAACCGACGTGCGGGTGGCGGACACAGTGGGTGCCCGCAGAGCAGGCGGGGCAGACCTCGCCGCCGCAGCGGTAGATGTCGAGACGCTCGAGCGAAGGTGCAAGAGGCTCGTAAGGGGGCAGGTCGTGCTCGGCGGCGTAGGGTGGGGGCGACTCGACGTCGACTTGGGCGTCGGCGTAGCGCGGCGCAACGTCGTGGCCGACCGGGATGGGCTCGGCAGCGACGACGGTCTCGTCCACCTGGGCATAGATGGTGTAGGCTGGGAGTGGCACGGCCCTCTTGCCCTTGCGGATAGAAGGACGCTTGGGCTGCAGCGTCAGTGTGGTGTTCGGCGACGGGCCACAAGGTGTACTCACAGTAACAAGCGTGAACGACGGCATGCGAGTACGAGTTGGTTGGGTGGTGGTAGTGGTGGTAGTTGTGCTAGCTTGGAGCTCGGATGGTGTTGTGTGTGATATAGGCCGAGGAGGACCGTTGAACCATGACAGAGCTGGGTGGGGTGGTGAGGCCTGAAGCGGGAGTGGGCTCAGTGTGGATAATGTACGAAGAGTAGTGATGTAGAGGAGAGTAGCTGGACGGGGGTGTCCTGGTTGTGTGCAGAGGTGATTGGGTGGCAGTAGATTGCGCGCATGGTGATATATATGTCTACAGCCAAACCGAAATCGCTCAGTCACGGGCACTGCCACCTGTGCTGGCCCCCGCGTCCGTGGCTATCGGACAGCGTCGGAGGAGGTACGGAGGCATGTTGCAAACTAGCTCTCCAAGACATACGCACTCTTGCGTCACTGACTGATCTACAGGCACTCTTGTGGTCTGTCTGTCTCTCTGTCTCTCTGGCTGTACGCTTGGGAGACCCCGCAACACCCACAGTCTTGGGTTTGTTGGTATTTGGTATACGTGAAGGTTGCTCGAGTGGCTGACGTGCCTGTGGTACTGCCCCCCTGCTTGGTACAGGATATCTGTTCTTGGCATGTCGCGTGCGTCGGCTAGGACGCATACAGCACTTGCACTCTCGCATAGAACGCATACCTCGATACCACCGACCACGCTGTCGGTCACGTCCGATGGCTCGGCGTCAGGTCATGACGCCGACACCGAGCCTTGGCACCGTCCACTCGGCCGTCATGTAGCAAGTGGCGTGACACTAAACCGTCTTTCGTCCTTGGCGAGGACATTGCAGTCACCACCGCCGCGGCCGAGGCCCACGCTCTGTAGGGTCGCCGAGGGTGCGAGCTCGCTCACAGCGAGGTCAATGCGACTCGGCGACACGACACGACACGACACATACACCCACACGCTTGCCGGCGGCGGCGGCCCGGGTGTGTGGGGGCTGGGATTCTAGCCGACCAACGGCCAACGGTGAGGTCAGCCGCTGACATCGCGATGCATTCCGGGCGTATCCGCGGGTTCCAAAACGCGGCCTGGCGCGAAACAAAGACGTAACGCGGCGTTGGGCACTGGATCTGCAGATGGGCAGGCACTATCGCATTATGTTGGTGGGTGTGGGTGTGGATGGACGGCCGGCACTTGGAAACAACGGGGGGACACGCTCCCAATCTGCGCATGTCGCGCTCGCATCGCTACGCCGGCCAACATCCCGATAGCCACTGTACGCCACTGTCGCGCTCGGCACGGCACCTCCGGGGCCAGGTGACGGACGTGAGGAAATAATCCTACTCGTCAGTTCAACGTCAACGCGTGCCGGCCCTATCGGGGCAGGGAGTTGCGGTGAACCGTTGCCGCCGGGTGTCAGCGCCCCGGCGCATGCAGCCTGAGATTTCAGGTGTGGGCGTGGGGGTGCGTCCACCTGGCCACCTGGGTATACCTGGGGTATGGTCCAGTGGCTGCCAATGTTGCCCCGGTGGCGTCTGCTTGGCCCTCCTCGTCATCGTGTTCGCGATGTTTTCCAGGAATATGGCCCACCACATCAGTGGAGCGATCACAGGCCGTGTCTCATGTATATAACCGGCCTTGTCCGTTGCCACTCGTTTTCCCATCACCCATATATTTTGTCTCGTTTGATCGCAGCTCTGAGGCTCTGCCCTATACTCCACCCACGTCACGACCTTACCCTTACTCCACCACTCCCATACCACCCTTCAAGATGGTGGGTCAAGCGTAATACGCGCCAGAGCGAACCATTGTCCTAACATGCTGCAGAACACACTCGACCCATGCTGCGCGTACCACGTCTACGTGCCCGGACGCTGTACTTCAGTGAACGGCTCCCACGTCGCCGCTGAACCAAACAACCTCATCCCACCTGCGGCCCCACCTCCATACTGGGAGGCCGTGTCGGGGGCCAGCAACGCCGCAAGCAGCCACCAGCAGCCCACCACCATCTCGGTTCGGCACCATGGAAGCCGACACGCGCGTTACACCAGCCACTGTGGCTGCGCTGAGACCGACCGCCAGAAGTTTACGGCCATTGCCCAATGGCACCGCTCGGTCCAGCGCTGCGCCGACTGGATAGCCACTGTCGACCAGTCGACAGAGGACCCCAACACAAGCATCGCTGCATCAGCGCCACCCCCAGTCCGCGCCGCCTACCCCGCAGGCCCATCACGCGACCGCTCGCCCTCATCCGCAGTTCCCACTGTCCACAGGAGCCCTCTGATGTCATCTCGCGCGCTCCCAATCAACATCCCACGACAGCTGCCACACGTCGCCTCGTCGCTCTGCTCCTGCCTCGACTCGCACTGCCCCGGAGGCGAGCTTGCGCGCGACAACTTTGTCGTCTGCAGGTGTCTGGAGCCAGACTGTCCCGGCGGCGAGCTGGCGCTCGTGCACCAGGCGCTTGCGTCCAGCCAGTCAAGCAGCAACGTCAAGGCACGGCGCTCGTCTCGACGCGCTGGCTTCTCCCTCTAATATAGTCGTCGTTTTAACATAGGATGAGCGAGCGGGGTTGGGGCCACTGGACATTAATAGCTTTGCAGCCGTGTATCGATTCTCCCCTGTATGCATCACCATCAGTATCTTCACTGTCACCAGACCCACCAGCAGCAGCTGCAGCACCCGTTTCTCACCCTCTGCAATGTCAATTGACCAGTCTGATTCATGAAGTCATGGAGCGAGAGCGGGATCGAATTGATAATTCCCTCAAAACCGAGATCAAAGGAGAGTACGTTGGTCGGCACGGTCGGCTCGGAGGCTGTTGACATCATAGGGACCAAACATAGGCACGCACAGCTGTTCGTCTTGGCATTTGGTATTGCATCAAGCGTGGCGGTATGACCTTTGGTACGTCTTTGTCATATCACACACTCTGGATGATGTACAAGGTACAAGGAGAGAGACGTGCAACCTGTGCACGAGTGCAGCCTCATCGGACATGGCCTGTCGTCGTGACAGACGCGAGATGCTTAAAAGGGATGGACAGGTTGGTGTGTTCATGTCCACAACCACCTCCCTCACAACCGTCCCCCACAGCATGACTTCAACACTAGCCTCCACCCTCGCCGTCCTCGCTTGTGCACTTTCGGTCTCGGCCGCACCCATCGACCAACATGCAGGCAACCTCCGCCGCCTCGTCTACTATGGCAACAGCAGCGGGAGCAGCGGCCCACCCACTGTGTGGATCATTGTCGCCGTCATCGGCGGTCTCCTGTTCTTCATCAGCCTCATCACCTGTGCCGTAAGTCTCTCTCTCTCTCTCCAACATCCAAGTTTTGCCGCCACTAACATATCTCCACAGGTCCGTCGGTCCGGCGCGTCCATGTCCATGCGCCAGGCCGCACCGTCGCTGTCGCTGTCCCAGTCCATGGGCCACAACCCCAACCCCCCGCCATACGCCGTGACCATGCCAGAGGCGGCGCACACGGCCGGACACCACCACAAGCACCACCACAGCCACAACCACATGGGTACGCACGCACACCACCACCACATGGCCACGCACCACCACCACATGCCGTCGGTGGTCACGCACCACCACTGAGGCAGCAGCCCGGATTGACGCGGAAATCCCCTTTGTAGCTTACAGGTTGTACAACAGTCGCGATGGGATGTACATACATATGAGTTGAACCATCGAGTTGAAGCGGTGAACGCGAGCAAAACAGGCACACATACATACAGTAGCATCACAACCAGGCACAGTGTACAAACAAGGTCTCTAGAAAACACAACAACGACGACGAGCCAGTTCTATAATGTCTGTAACGTTTATTCATTATACATAGCTTAGCGACAGGCAGGACACGCATTGCGGTCGGCAAACGGGCATGGCGGGTGGCGCGGGGCCGCCGCCGCGGGGGTGGTGACGGTCTGGGACACGTATGGCGGTGGCGATTCCGAGAACGTCGAGAGGCTGGGCGGCGTGTACGTGTACGTGTATGTGTGCGGGTGGTGAACGATGCGTGCCGCGGCCGGTGCGCACGGTACGGCCGCGAGGTTGGGCTCGATGACGGCTCCAGAAGGCTGCTCGTGGGCCGCCACCCACACCGTCTGCGGGCCGAGGTTGAACGGATACCATTTCTCCGTGGGCCAGTACCGCCGATACCGGGCCAGACGGGCCTCGCGCGCGTCGCCGTTCAGTTTGCGGATGCCCTCAAAGCACGCGTAGATGTACCACTGGTGGTTCTGTTAGTGTGTACATACCCGAGTGCCTGTGAAGGAGCGGAGCGGCGCGACGCACCACGATGTAGGCGCAGATAAGCACCGGAATGCCGATGCCCAGGAGGTAGGGCAGGATCCTGATGAACGTCACGATTACCGTTGCGGCGGGTGCCATGGCCTTGTTCTTGATCGGTGTGGCTGTTACTTTGGCCGTGGGAGTGGCAGTCAACCGCTCCCAGAAGTTTGAGGCGAGGGTCGTGGGTGTGTCGGAGGTCGCCGGAGTGGACACGGGAACCGAAGTGGCGAGTGTTGCCATGACGAAGACGATGAGGATCTTAGAGGTCATGTAGGGCTGGGCAAATGGCCCGAAGAGTGATAGACGTAGGATTTGGCAGAGGTGGTTGGCTGAAGGAAGAATGAAGTGGATGGTAGTGGCACTTGCTGTTGCTGTGGCGAGTGGGTTCAAGTGTTGAGAGGCGGGATGAACACCCTGCACTCCAAGGACGATGCTTCAAATACGCACAGACCGCTCGACTGTAGACCACCATAACATCGTACATGTCCCATGATGTCGGAGGAGCCCGACGGCCAACGGTTAATGGCACAACAACACGCAACAGGTGACTTTGTGTTATGGCCTTTGCTTTGCCACTTGCCACCTCTATCTTGAAACCATTCCCCACACAGCCCGGCGGCATCGCCCAGCATCGCCGGGTGGCTTGGTCTTGTTGGTCTTGGTCCTGGTCGGTGACTGTCCTCATGTTCCGGAGGGTGGCGACAACCCGTGAATCCGTGACATCCACTATCTCGTGTGGTATCATGGTTAGACCGATAGGATCGGAATCGGAACATTGCCGCAGAACAACACGGTGACGCACCGGGACACACGACGCGCAGGGACACCGAACATGTATCTGGCTTGGCGCCCTAGGTCCCAGTTCCGGCTCTCGTCACCCTCACTCCACCATGGCCAGTCGGCTCGCTCGTGTATCACTCGCCTACTCGCCGGCTAGATGGTGGACCGGCCAACTGTCAAGTGATGGACGGCTGTGGGTACGAGCCGGCCATGAGCACAGGTGTGTCTGCTGGATCCAACTGGCGGCGAGGTGGCCGAGCACTGCTGAGCTGCAACTTGCCTCACATCAATTCGCCACTTTATTATCATACATGCACAGCTACAATTAGAGCACCGGTTGCCGGGAAACTGACCTCAGAGAGACACGCTTCAGAGCCACTTGGGCGTCTGCCGGATCGGCTGAGGCTTGGGAATGACAAACGTGAAGGCAAACGAGGGGTCGATACCGAACGCGGGTGGTCCCGGAGTAACGTGTTCAGCGACGACACGCCTGCTGCTCGCCAGCTTGATTCGCATGGGTGGCCACGATTTGGACCGCTTCAGAGGGCGGAAAGTGTGGTCCGCGCTACCGTGCCGCTTGCGGGGCACGTCGAGGTGAACTTTCTCGGGAACGGTGAACGTTTTGGAGGAGCCGAGGATGTGGTTGCGGTGTGCGCGGGGTAGAACGCCGAGGACGACGAGGATAATGGAGAGAACGAGTGCCGCGCAGAGGCATGCCGAAACGGGGGGCACTGATCCGGACGACTTGTTCGCGATGAGGTTGTGAGACATGGTGGGCTCGGACTAGAGTGGCGAAAGACGTTGTTCTGGGGCTTGAACTGTTGTGGTGGCGAGCGGCGAGACCTTGGGCTTCATTTGTATCCCACCCCCATCCGCAAGTGGTCGCCAATACGTCCGCTTGACGACAGGTGCCAGGCTCAGCAGTGAACACCGAGCAACAAGGAGCTTGTGCATGAGTCCTGCTTCAAAAACTGAAGGCTCCGCAGGCCAGATCCACTCTGCGCGATTTGCGCAACAATGACTCGTGCAACCGTCCGTGCCCGTTTGATCCACTGATCCACTGATCCGCTGCAATGTGCCTAGCCAGCATCTTCCTCTGGCCCGGCACGTCCTCTTCGTTTGAAAGATAAGACGGCGTGACACACCCCGTTCATGTCGGAGCAGACAACCGCGGAGTACTGCCTGCTCTGCGGAAGCGACCAAAAGCGAACGAATAGGAGCGTAACCCAGTGGCCAGTGCAGCTGTCGGAACATGACACAAACGCAAACGCCCAAAGCAGGCAGTGCGTCACCGGCGGTTCGTGCTCCACCCATCCCACACGGCACGGGGGATCTGAGGTGCCCGTCGTGTGCCTGTGGACCTTGTTTATATTGCTCACATACCGGCTGACGTAGCGCTGGAGCCACAACGGCCACAGGCCACAGGGTTTGCCAGAATGCACGTGCATTCGTGCTAAAGGCCAACAAGCAACAAGCTTGTCGCGCGACATTGCATAGCCGCAGGGCTGTACCTTTTGCTCGGGCAGAGGCCGCAGCAGGTCCCTCCGGCAAACGCCTAAACGGGCACGCAATACGCATCTTGTACCTCGCCGGTGTTGAGCCGCCATTGTGCATTGCCATTGTGGCCACTGCCGCATTCACCGAGGGGAAACGAGCGGGCGTGCAAACTACTGATAGGAGCGGTGTTGTTCCACGCCGGATTGGAATCCCGGCGGGTTTGGGTGCACCCAAAACCCTCCGGCAGTCGGTTAGCTTGTGCGAGGTCACAATGTGCGGATGAACCGTGAACCGTCGCGTGCAACACGGGACCAATGGTGCTTTAGTGGCGTGTCTGAGATGAGCCAGGATGACAAAAGTGGCGGGGAGTTGAGTAAGAACCAAGTCCTATTGTTGTCCACTTTACGCTTTACGGACATGCCGGTTTTCCTAAGGCCCTTGCACAAAGTCTGGGATGTGGAATGTCTTGTCTTGTCTATGTACAGTGTGTTACATTACTCTCCCCCACTATTTATGCTGCACTACGCCCAATCTGGAAGAACCCAGCAGGGAAGCGCGAGCTGCGAGACGTGGACGTGGACGCGGGGGCGGGCGCGGGGGCGGGCGCTGGGGACGGCGCCGCTTCCTGACGGGTATGTTCATCGACCTCCTTACCCGGCACAGCGAGGTTGAAGTATCCCTGCTGGGACGGTTCAATGGACCCCCCCGACGCCCGCGAGTACGATGGTGAGTGAGACGGTGCGAGCGTGCGCGGCGCTGGAGCGGGGGTGGCGCTAGGCGACGGGGTGGGCGAGGGATCCGCCGAAGGAGTGTACATCGGGGGCGGGTCGTTCGGGTCCTCTTCGCGTTTGGTTTCGGGGACGTTGAGCGTCGGCTGGCCAGAGTACGAGTCCACAAGGACCGCACCGGGAGGGTAGGCCACGGCGTTGGGGTCGGGCGTGAACCCTGCTTCGGGGTTACCGTCTGTCGGCGTCGGCTTTTTCTTCCTCAGCCCACACCACCTCCGAGTTTTGACGGCCGTCTGCGGGTGCCGTTAGCCAGCGCTAGAGGAGAAATGGACATACTTGTTGCGGTCGCGGCTGCGGGTGGTACGCCCTGCGACGACGTGCCCTCAAAACAATTGCTCGCAGAAGGATCGCGAAGGCGATGGCGATGGTGACAGGGATGAGGATACCGCCAATAGTGTAGTCCTGGTCGACGGTGTCGTACCTTGGCGTGAGGGTCGAGATTGTGGTTACTGGGCGAGCAGAGACGAGGGTGATACTGGCTGCAAGAACCACCCAGGCAGCCGTGGAGAAGCAACCCATTTGGGACACTGGTGAATGTTCAAGTGTGTGGCGTGCCAGTGAAGAGTATGTTGCAAGTGGCGAGAGAACACTGGGGTTGGGGTTGCACCTTTATGGCCTCCACGCTGCAGTTTCCTTCTGATCTTTCATACCTCGCAAGACGTCACTCACAATGTGTGACCCACTCACAAGACCTGTAATGTTTCAAACCATTGCCGAAACCGCAAATGTGAATGTGACGCCCAAATGACGAGCGGATCGAGATCTTGTGTGGCACTTGGGGCACATGTGCCACACCAACTTTGCGGATCGTCCTCCCCACTCGTTCTGTTTCTTCCTCATGTTCCAGATACGCTTCCACATTGCAAGCAACGATGCTGGGGGACCTAAAAAGGAAGATTTTGACCACTGACAGGATCGAACTGCCGACCTCCGCATGGACTAGTAACCAAAGGCTGGGTATTAGTACGATGCTCTAACCAGCTGAGCTAAGCGGCCAATTACGTAAACATTTTTGGTGCATTGGGCTGGTCCAGGTCGCTCCCAAGATGCAGATCTATTGGGTGCCTTGTTCGCTCATGACTCTGGTACTCTGGACGGCCGGGATGAATAGAGAAATCAAGAGATGCTTACGAGGAATGTCGGAAGATGGACAAGTGGCACTTGTTTCACTTGAACGTTCCCCAGCCATTCCGCCACTCAACCGGCGATCTTCCTCGCACCAATCCTCATTCCCGCCTCCTAGACATGTGCTTGACCTTCGCGCATCGACTGGGATGCAAAAGCAGCCTCCCAGGTGACTGGGAGAGCCAAAAATGACCACTGACAGGATCGAACTGCCGACCTCCGCATGAACTAGTAACCAAGGGGTGTTCTGGGTATTAGTACGATGCTCTAACCAGCTGAGCTAAGCGGCCGATCACGTGACCTCTCCCTGCTGCTTGTGTGTGTGCTGAGAGACAGCGCTGTAACCCGATGATCCCTGGTATGTGGTTTGGGGGTGTCTTCAACGCCTCTGGAGGACGATCAGTTCATGCTCATGATCGAGCCCGATCCAAGCTGGATCAGCATTCGGTTCTCATTATTGGAACATTTTTAAGATTCACGATTCAAGCCGGTTAGATCAAGTCGGTTCTGTTCCGGGTACAGCGGATCATCCACTCGCGCGCGGGCGTAGCAATATATATATATCTCAGATTCGCGGAATCGGTAGTCGGACATGGCGGTTGTAGCGGGCTCGGACGTGTTTGTTCCAGGTCTGCTCGATGGCCAACGTTAGATTAGGCAAAGGAATAGAGCACTGGCCCGCTACAGCCTCGTAGTGTCGTACATCTGAGTAGAGTACGATGAGAGTCCACACAATGATGGGTGACCAGACCACACAGTATCCCGTGTGGGCGTCCAGTGGTGCTCTGAAAACAGCCTAAACTCGTAACAACTTCTTTCATCTCTTAAATATCATAAATCACTGAAAACGTCTACACGCCTGGCCCATTACTCAAGAGAACCAGCTATATACACCCCCTTTTACATCTAGCACGACATGGTAACACCGGCGTAGGGGCCAGAGTGCTGCGAGCTGATGGTGGCGCTGCCACTGTCCGAAACCGAGTCGGAGCAGTAGTCATTCTCCTGGCCCTGGCACGCGCGCCAGGTGGAGGTCGCCGAAGCCGAGGGCATCCAGACTTCGTTCGAGCTGTGGCGGTAGTTGAGGAGCAAGGTGGGGAGGTGGGGGACGAGGTCTTCAGCAACGACCATGAACTGGGAGCGGACACCGAGCTTGGCGTCGACGTAGGTGGCCCAGGTGGGGTTGCCGGCGCGAGGGGGAGCAAAGGCACGGACAGTCACGGTGGCGGTGGAGAAGGTGTTCTGGAGGTAGACGGCCAGGATCTGGGCAGTGGCAGCACCCAGCGAGTGGCCGGTGACGAGGATGTTGGTGTGGCCAAGGGCGACCTGGGCGGCGACGGCAGTGTAGACGGTCGGCTGGAGGTCCTTGAAGGTGTCGTAGAAGCCACTGTGGACCTGGCCAGGCGAGCCAGGGAACCAGGTAGAGCTGGGGGTGGTGAAGGCAAACTCAAGGTCGTTAGCCCATGATTCGAGCGACTTGGAGTTGGTTCCCTTGATGGCGACGATAACCTGCGAGCCGTTGTAGGCCACATAGTCTGGAGTGATGGTCAGCGGGAGCACGTTTGGTGCCACACCCAAACCTCCAGGTGGAGGATAACGCACAGTAGGGGACGTCCGAGTTGTCACCGCCCTGGGCAAGGACGGTGGTGCCGCTTCCCAGAGCGGTACAGCTGGCACCGCAAGTCCAAGTCTTCACGACGGCGGGGTCGCAGTAAGCAGCACTGATATTTGAGTCAGTACACGGTCTGGTGCGCAGTGCCTAGTGTACGGTCTTCCAGTGTGGCGGTGGCGGTCGCGAGCATTTCGTAGTCAAGCTGAACGTGGACACCCCTCAATCAATCACTCACGCGGTGTAGTAGGCGGCTCCAGCCCACGAGTTGAGGACCGCACTGGAGATGGTAGCATAGGAGCCAAAGGTGGTGGGGTTGTAGAAGACGCGCTCGTCGAGAGGCTTGGCCGGGAGGACGGCGGCCGAGACGAAAGCGGGGATGAGAGCGAGGAAGGCGGCCTTCATTGTTGCTTGAGGTGCTGGCTATGAGTGGAGACCTCCTCAGTTCGTCAACAGGTTGGCCTTTATATGTTTGTGAGAGCCCGGCTTTCAACTAGAAAGTGTCAGCGAACTCGACACTCAGCACCTCCGGAAATCTAAACGTACCGGCCTCGTTCCACCTTGTTTTCGCCGCACGGGTGTTCCACCTTTTACTGGCGTGAAGCGCGAGTGGTCCAAGAGACCCAATGTCAGCTGACACACGTTCAAAACGGAATGCACATGAATGAGAAACCGACAGAGGAACACGACAACGTTCTTAACAAGAGGCACAAGCGCGCGCCACCGGTGAGTGCGAACATTTGGCGGCTCGAGTGCTGAAATGCGCGGAACGACTATGGCCCACGCGGTTACTTTCCTGTCGAGGACCAGTCTCCTTGGTGTCCAAGCGAGCGCTCTGAACCACGGTAGACGGCTCTCCTGACTCCCCAAGAACTCGGCGTCTCGGTGAACGAGATTCACCTCATTATTTGTGCGGGCTTCACCGACGGGCCGCCCACGCCGACCCAAGCTCAACACGGGGCGCCACGAGCCAAAACCTAGCGCACCACCTCGGTGACAGACCTGGGGGCGAGCGACTCGGCCCGACGTTTCGGCTTCGTTTTGCTCAGCTTCTTCCAAGCGAAGGTGAAGGGTTGGATGTAGGGAACTGCACGCTGGCGCCAGCCCTACGCCACCCTGCACGCCGCCACAGCAGCCACATGACGGTTACGACAGGTGGCACTTGACATGCGGTACGGGCAGGTGTGCATATGCACCGGCTGCGGGGACCCGGGGACTCCATGGCCCCCGAGGAATGTCGCCGCAACGTGTAGTCATTGAGTTGTAGGTTCATCGGCGCACAAACCATGACGGCGGGTGGCTTCATGAAGCCTCCTGGTCAAGGTTCAAGACACTAGCATTACCGGCCGTGCAAGAGCACACGAGGTGAGCCGGGTCTGTCAGCTGACAGAGTCTACATGTGCTTTTTCGACTGTTGAATGTCTTGCCCCCACTTCCTGCCTGCGCGCGTTGGCCACCATCGGACACTACAGTCCTGTCGCGACCTGTCGTGTCATTGTCGCCTTTGCAACCCGTGGCGTTTGAGTATATTGGTTTCAGAAATAGACTGTATATGTGTACCCTGGCGACACTAGCCACGAGTTGATTGTCTTTTATGATATTTGTGGTCCTGCCTTAATTAGTGAGTATAGTCTGTGCGTCAGGATTTGATTAGTCTAGAACAGCGCCTCAGGTATGCATCCATGTCGTTTGACCCACAGGCGGCGGACAGACCGGGTTTCGGGTGAGAGGACACGATGACACGATGCCTGCGGAGGTCCCAAGCGGCAGGGCACAGCAGGGGGTAGAGTCGCTCAGCTGTTGTTTGAGAGAAACCCGAGCACTCGGGCCACCAAACCAATCCCATCCCACTTTTTTTTCCCTTCAAGAACGACATGGACCGCCGACTGGATCGGTCGACACTGATCGTTTGCAGGAAAGAACATTGGCGCCTTTGCGCCATTCGAGGGTCTGTTCACCCTTACCGCTTACTACATCGTGGCCACAACCGTCTGGCGTCCATGCGTCCGGTTGTCCGGGACCGTATGTGCGGCCCGTACCTGTCACGTACAGAGCTGCATACGTACATACCTTCCTTGGGTCCTGATGAGGAAAGAGGAACGAGAAAGACGTCGACCGGCGCGTCCGGTCCGGCGTGAAAGCGTAAAGCCAACATCAATGGAGCTCACAGGTCCCAAATTAGCAGCTCCGAGAGGCGCGACAGGAGGCTTGCGGGGCACTGCGGTGACACAGTCAAGGAAGATGGTGGCATGGTGTTGGTGGATGGCGAGGAGGGCTGCAGCTGACTGATTCCGGCTATGGCGTTTGTGGTAGATGCCGAACCGTACTGCGAGGAATGGGCGGGCGTCTTGGCGGACGAGTGCTCAAGCGTGTCGATGTCGTTTGACAAATGCTGTCATACGTGTAGGGGGGTTCGCCAGGTCCTCTGTCTCATGGTTCATTCATCCCTCGTCTTCTCAAAATTCTTACATCCAAGGAACCGTGCTCGCTCGGGAAACGTGAACCTCAGGTGAGTACCTGGAGTGAGTACCAGACCACCACTCGTCCTGTGGCGATGACACGCCTCGAGCGTGGACGACAGTTGGATCTCGCTCTCCTGCTTCACTCGCTCCTCGTCTTTGTGGTACTCGTGTTCCCAAAGAACCATGCTCGAGGGACGAGGACCTGTGGCGGAAGACCGCAGTCAGTACACAGGCCACCGAACGTCGTGTCTCGATGACACCGAGATGCCGAGCGTGGACGACAGGTGGATCGGCAACGAGAAGAACTAACAGATTGAGGGGTCAAGGCTGGCTGGGAACGGCGCTAACCTTATGCACCTGAATGAGATCGCAGTTGAGGACGCAAAACGTTCGTCCGATCATACTCACTGATCACTGAATGATGTCGACACACATTCGTCATTTCGAAGCCATCTGCGAACGTGGTGCTCAGCGACGTGCGTTTGTGCGTGCTTCGGGTCACCTCGGGGGTCGCGCCGACGGACCTCGGTTCACCACCGACTCCGTGATCCGTGACGGGCACCAGCCGGACATCCAAGCCGGACATGCGAACGTGCGCGCGGAGCAAGTGCAATCAGAAGAACGAGCCCTGGGAGGACCACTTACGAACAGATATCTTGTCAGCATCACGTGATTGCCACATCCCTATGAGTGCACTATTTATACTGCGCAGTGGCGGCCAACGACGTTGGGTAGTACTGCCACGCCCGCCGCCGACCTACCTGCCAAGCAGACAGGTCACAAATGCATTGGATATGGAATGTCGCACTCGCATGTCCGTATCTGTCTCCTCCTCCTACTCGACAGGGAGGTGGAGGTACTGCTCGTGCTCGACAGGCAGCTGATATTACCGCTTGAACTCGACAGGGAGTTGGTGATACTCCTCAGTGGAAGCTGCAGCGCATTCTGCAGCCCGAGCGCGCGCAGTTCTGCGGGCGAGATCGGGTCCTCGTCTGGACCAGCCTCCAACACAATTTCGTTCAGATACGGCGTCGCCATGTACGGCGGAGGACACTTGGGCTGCGGGCTATACTTCATGCCGCCGAGATATCGGAAAAAAGTGCACACTGAGACGAGGTGGTGGCGCCAGGTTCGTGGGTGGAGGGCGTGCAGACAGTCTTTAATCCTGTCGCAGGGAGACATTGCTTCAGGCGGAGGTCCGGGGTGTGGGCACAGGTGTGTGCGTCCTAGGCGTGTGATGTATAGTTGGGTTGAAGATAAAAACAGCTGATGGCTGGGCGGAGAAGATATACGCGTGTGGCGAATGACATGTCGCGTCTTGTCCTTATATACCTTGTCCTACCTTGTTGGCAACGCGGACCACAGTCTCGCCACCTACCGACTTTGCCGGTCGTCGTGTCAGCACACACATAGCAAAGCACCGACAGTGTCGCACCGCCCCGACTCTCTGATTCATCGTGTCCCCATATCTCACCACCGCACACGTACGTACACTGTATCGTGTGCCGAAAGAATTTGCGTTCTCAGTTCAAAAGTGCGTCGCTCGCGGAACGAGGCGCAGTGAGCATATCAAGAATGCCCGCGTGTCCAAGCATTTTGACTCGGCGGCGACGGAGAGGGGTGCCAGGTTCAAGTGCGGAGCAGAGTCCGCTCCGTCACTTATTGCGTTAACCGCAATGGCCGGCCGCAGTATGTGCGCCGACAGGGTATGTGGATACACCGACGTGTACCTCGGCGCACTCCAGCAACGAACGGAGGTTGCTCGGAAAAATATGGGAAAATCGACCCCAATAGCAACTCCGCACAACCTTCCGATGATCTTATTTCATCATTTTTGTCGTTGTTTTACAGCTGATTAGCAAGTGGTCCATCGTCGGCCGGTATATCTGCACGTGACAGGGAAGGAACAGGCCCAGGCATGGCCGAGACGAGAGATTGGAATGCAGTGTCAATCAATCCCGTCCCAAAATAAATTCAGCGACAAACCGCCCGAAAAATGGCGGCATGTTTTCTGTCGTCCGCCCTCTTAGTAAGAACGTTCAGCACCTGTCCTTTGCCGTAAGGTGCTCAATCCACCGGCCACCCGATCCGAAATTGTCGGCGTCTGGTATGGTGGGGCCTCGAAGTCGCCACTGATCCACTGACTGCGAATGCTAGTGTTCTGGAACACTTACACTGGAACTTGGGAACGAGCTGTTTCACCAGTAAGTCGTCCATGGCACTGGAACAGCCACGTCGGTGTGGTGCTGTGCGATCGTCACTGTAGCTCAAACGGATAGTGCACATACAGTACAGCAGTGTACAGATTCTATGTACAGCGGTACAGAAAGCTATGTATGGTGCCCAGCTGTCCCATGCCGCCACGTCAAGGCGGTTTCCACATGTCTGGTTTTTGCGGTATACCCTCATTACACACAGAGCTTGTTCGTGAATATCGTAACCGTAACAAGTGTCCTCCTCGCCCGCCACGTCGCTCCAGAGATCGCTCCGGCTCCGGCGCCAGCGTCGCGACCACTGGTGTCCGCGAACCCCCATGCCCCTCCACGGATACGCAAACGTACGCCTTCGTGAAACGTCCATGACGCTCCGCGCATTCCGGAATATGGTGGGAAGGTTTCGGGTCGCCCAAGACCACGAAAACGAGATCTCCGCGTCGTGTCGATTAAAGATCGTGAGAAGGAAAGGGATCTAGATCTTTGAGCGGTGGAGATGGATGTATGCGCAGACGTCACGCGGCCCCCACAGCAACGGAGACAGAAGGTACCAGACACGAAGGTGCGGTTGCTGTAATCTGCCTCGAGGTGACTGGGAATAGCGGAAGGGACGTGTGGTGATCCCCCTGATCGACGGCTCCGGGGTGTGCGGATGTGGGTGTGGGTGGCAGTAGTGGCGGTGGAGGTGCTGTCAATCGTCGTTCGCCACTGCCACTGGTCCCCCAGCACACCTTGCAGTGGGGAACGACGCATCTGGCGCGCACGACTCGTCGCTCGTGAGCGGGGTCCAGTGGCAATGACTCGTACATTGACGATCTCCGTGTCAGTGGCGGCGAAATGCACAGCGGGACGTGGTCGTAGCCCGGTGGCAACTCGACTGAGCCCAGTGGGACGTGTGGCAGGTCGACCAGTGAGGGGTTGGGCGACGACCAGCCTGACGATAACGGCGATGACAGCGATGAGCTCGCTACCGAGCTCGATGCCGAGCTCGAGCTCATGGAACTGGCGGCGGAATGGACGGTGCTCACCGAACTCGACCTGGAGCCCCGGCTGTCCCTGTCGCCCAGCGGCCCAGAGGCACTGGAGGCACTGTGGGAACACACGAGCGAGTATGCAGGCGGCGGGGTGGCGGCCACGCCCAAGACGGCATCCGCTGAAGAATCCACCGCAGGTCCCCCGTCCTCGAGGACCATCTCACGCCTACTCGCCACCACAGTGTATGGGGGCGGGGGAGGCGCCAGGGCGCGTATGAGTGGTTTGCGTAACCGCGAGGCGATGAGGAGCAGTGTACGTGCCGCCGACGACTGCATCGCACAACAAGCGCCGTGGGCGCGGGGCAGGTAGCCGGAGGTCTGGGGTAGTACGGCCGCGTGTGGGGTTGGCGGGACTCTCTTGGGTGTGTTGGTACTCAATTGCCGCTTTGTCGGCCCGGTCGCGGGATGTAGTGTCTAGGGTTGGTCTTGGCGTGCCGGCGGCTAATGCAAGCTGAGCTCCCGTCTAGCTCTTGCGAGTTGGTAACGAGAAACGAGGATATGAGGGGATCGAGATGGGTATGCAGGTGTACGTGGAGTGTGCTGCGGGGGAGGAGGAGCCCGGTGTCTTTATGTGTCGCTGCAGTTGATGGAGTGAAAAGTGTTGACGTAGTCGGCTCCACGGATGATGATGATGGCACTTCGGCCTCTAAATGTAAATGGGGGATGCTTGATGACGCGTGAAATGTCCTTGGCAGCAAGAACGTCAATCCTTCAAGACCTCGCCCCAGTGGATGTGACGTTGTGGGGTCGATCAAACAGTGTAATTGAAGTGTGAAAGAGTGAGAGAAACAGAAGACAATCCATGGACTGATGGGAGTGCACACCTATGCCCTTCGCCAAGTGGCCGAGGCAGCCCACTGTGCCACAGCCCACGATGGCCCCTTGCCGGCCGGCACCTTGGCGCGCCGGCGCCTCGTGTGCGCGCGTGTCCGCAGTTATGCACGCCGAGATCAACCGCGGCCATGGCAACCGACCTATCCCAAGCGTCCCATTACACACCTCCCACGAACACACGCACCCCCATATGCCGCGTCGTTCCACTGTGGCGTGGCATGCGGGAGCGCGAACCACTGCTGGGCGCATACCGACGCCGCATTGCGACAGCGAGAGATCTGACTAAACGTGCGGTGTACAGTAGCGGTTGGCAGGTCGAAACGCGGTGGTCCGATGGGTATGGACAGAAAGGTTGGCAGTCGTGGGATCTGTGTCTCACGTTGTGCTGGATCGTTCATCGCATTACATCACAGCAGAGTGCCTTGTGAAGAAGGGGGGGTTGAGGTTGTGCATTCAGGCATGCATGCACGCGCGACCAACACGCCTTGTTTTGGTGGCTCGGACGCTTCAGAGTGTCTCGTCCCTGTACGCCGCGGGCCGTGGCTGTCATGAATGACGACATGCGCAGTAATCCCACCCATGTTCCCCCTCTTCCATGTCCTTGTTTTGCCGTCTCGCATGGTCGTGCTGCAAGGTCTTGGCGCGCCTTCTTTATCAACACACTGCATGCATAGCAGTGACAGGTTGGATCTGTGTTTGTCGTACTTGAGAAGCTGGCCCCCCTCTTACTCCTAGCATCGCCCAGCAAACGCCACTGCGCCACTTTGTTCAGAAACACATAGACAGACAGACATCAGTCACGCCGACTCTGAGAAGATATATGGTATCTAGACCCCTCGCCAGGGCCAAAGTGTGCGTTCTATCCCGTGCACATGCTCGTAAACGCCAGGACGCGCACTTGTGCATGTGGTAGAGCCTGGGCGGCGACACGGTGTGCCGGACTGATCGTTCTTGTGAGCAAAAGAGAGTGCACAAGCCAATAACGTTCGCCCCAAGGCAGCCCTTCCGTCCACCATCCTTCTTCTGTGTCACCTTGAGTGCTCCCCCGGCCGTGGTCCGTGTCATCGCATGCGGGATCTGGGATCTGCAGTCTGTTGGAGGGGTAGATGCACAAGGTGCAGAGGGGCTGAGCATCGCAGGAGGAACAGGCGCCGGTGGGCCCGTGTGGCTCGGTTGTCCGTTTGACCCCGCACGTCTATGTGCTTCTGGCCTTCTGGGATGCGCATGGAGACATTCGCTGGACACTGGCCACTGGCAGCCACGCTCGTACCGAACCGCGGGATCTGACTCGACCCATTCCAGCACACCTGGCGGAAGCGGGCGAGCGGAGCGATTCTCGGACCGGCCGCGGAGACATTCAAGTGCTGGAATGATGACAGCTAGGTGTTACGCGCTGATTATGGTTCTCGGCTCGCGTATCCACACGGCTGGCGCGTAACCCAAGCTATAGCTATCCAGTAGCGTCCACGTATTATCTGCCCTTCCCCCGCGATCCAAATGCTCGCGCCGAGGTTCCGTAGCGCACCCACCCGCTTGGTGCGCGCACGATCGCCATCGGGGGGCTATAGTTAAACCGTAAATACTCAAATACATCTTGCTCTCTCCACCCTAAGCAAATCCCCTGATACCCAGAATCCGCCGTACGTCCGTGACGAAGCGCAGGCTGTCAAGCACGGGTATGCTCTGCAGGAGGGCCTCGTCGTTGGGGTCCGATGTCCAGCCTTCGATGGGCAGCGCGTTGGCTGGGATACGGTGTCAGCAGAGGTTCCACGCACCACCGCACGCTCGGCTCTCTCAATGCACTACTCACCCTTGTTCCAGCTGTACGAGATTGGCGAGTTGTCCATGAAGCAGACCTTGCCGAGATCGGGCTCGACATCGGCCAGGTCCTTGATGTAGGACCCGTTGGACTGGAGGTGGCAGCTCTCGCGATAGAGACGTTTGGCAAAGAGGCCCCTGCCATTGTCGAGCCAGTCAATCACGGGGTCGGCATACTCTGGCATCGAGGCCGTAAAGATGACCAGCGTGTACCAGGACGCGACCTTTTTGAGGAAAAAGTCGACATATGGCCGCTTGTACACGTGGTATGTTGTGGACCGGCCGTTGAGCACCACTTCGACGGTATGGCCCTCGCCGCGGCGCTTGCGCTTGCCGCCAAACGGGCCCAGGGAGCCGAGACCGAGCATGCCGGTTCCAGCGTGTCCGGACCCGATGGGGCGCGACGTCGAGTGGATGAGGGTCTCGTCCAGGTCGAGGATGAGCGTCTTCTGGAGATGGAACGGTGTCTGGTGTGGGCGGGGCGGGGGAACGTGGGACGGCGTCACGCTCCTGTGCGGGACGGCGGGGACGGAGGGGTCGAGAACAGCAGTGGCGATGGGGTTGGCCAGGAGGCGCGGAGACCGGCGTGGCGGCGACGACGTGAGGATGCCCGGCGGAGTGCGCTGGAGTGAGAGCGGGTTGGGGGAAGCCACGACAGGCAGGCCCGAAGCGCCGCCGCTACCAGCGCCATCTGGGACATCTATCGATGTCGTGAGCGTCACAGTCTCCTTGTTCTGCGCCGAGCGCAGACGGAACGAGACCGCCGCCGTCGGCGTGCGTGGTCGCGGCGCTCCAAACTCCGAGTCCGAGGGCGCGTCATCCACGCCCGAGCCAGACCCGGACCCGGTGTCGGGCGCACGCGTCACGGGGTCGACCCACTCGCGATCACTCGGCTCAGCCTCAGACGCCGACCCTTCGTCGCTGCTCGCCGACACCGCCTCGGACGTGAGCCCTGTCAACTCGGACAGGCCCTTGAGACCCGGCAGCCCGGCAATGCTAGCCAGGGCGCCTTCGCGCTTCTCAGCGCTGGCCTGGACGGCGCGCTTGTGCCTCAGTGTGCGGACGGCGCGTGTGTCGCCCACGAGCGAGCGCCAGAACGACAAGAGGATGCTCCAGAACGCAAGCGCAATGCGGACGAGCACGGGCGTGGTCGGCGGCGGCAGCTTGATGCTGGCGCCAGTGGGCCGGCGTCGTCGCCTCCGCCGTGCGGGCGGCAGACGGAGGGCGCGCGGCGGTGTAGACGTCGGGCTCGGTGCGGGCGTCGGCTTTGTGAGTGAGATGGACGGGGCCAGGCTGCCAGACGAGCTAGAGCAAGACTGCGGCTGCGAGGACGGCCCAGAGGAAGGGTGGTGCGCGGAGGAGAGTGCCGCGGCGGCCGCAGCGGCAGAGGCGATACCGGACCGCGAGGGCCGCAGCGCTGCGGAGAGGTATGTGTCGAGCCGAGAGAGAGTGTTCATGCTGCGTTGGACATGACGGGGTTGCGAGGGGGTTGAAGTGGGGGAGGGGAGGGGGAAGGTGGGGGGTGGGTGGTTGGGTTGCGCGGAGGTTGCGTGGTCTCGGCTATTGATTCGGACAGTGACCGCGAAGTGCGAGACGGCGTAGAGTGCGGGGAAGACGGGGGGTGATGGAACACACGCTGAGAGTGTGTGTGTGCGAGAGAGAGGGAGGTGGGGAGTGAGAGTGTGTTGTTGTTGTGTGTAATGTGCAGTGGGTGGCCAAGAGCGGGGCGGGGGGTGGATTGTTCGGCAGCAAGCGGCGACTGGGCAATATGGAGTGTGCGTGTGTGGTGTGTTGCGAGAGCAGGTGGTGGTGGCTGGATGGGCGTGCGGCTGATGCAATTGAAATGCAAATAATATATGGGTTGACGAGCCGGGCAGGCGCGAGACGATCGATGCGTATGTGTCTGTGGCCGTGCACGAGGTCGATGGAGAGAGCAGATGCACAACGGCAGTGGTGTGTGATGGAGCAACGAGACAGACGACAGAGACGGTGGGGGGACGGCCGACCTGCGAGTGCCATAATGTCCTCCCAGCCAGCCCGCGGGGCAACCGGTCGGACCCGCCCACACGCCGGCCCCACGCATACAATTTCCATTGGGGGGGCCGGCCAGGCAACAACAATATTATCCCTGTCATGCCATGGCCCACGTCCTCGTGACCACCATGCATGCATACCCTGGCTGGCCCCCATCAAAACAGTCGAGACCGCTGCCGCCCCCTGCTGCTCGCTTGCAATGCTAGCACTTTATGCATGGATTTGTGTTAATGCGAAAAAACAACGATGACTACCATCCCCGCCCTCCCCCGCGCCACCCAAGGCCGCCAGAGAAAGGCCCGACGTCATCAAACCCCATATCTCCCCATCGTCCCACCCAGCACCACACCCACACCCTATACCGCCCCCAGGCGGCCACCAACCGTCGCCACTCTCTCGCACCCATTCCTACTCTCCCCAACCATTTCGTTTTCCCCTCCTGAATCCTCTCTGGTGGTTTTGTTTTTCTTCTTCTTCTAGTCGTCGGCCTCGTTCGAGTACATGCGCACAGTCACGTTCATGGCCTGCAGTTCCTGGAACAGGAGCTAAAAGAGAGAAAAATGTCAGCGCGCGAACAACAAAAAAAATGTATCAAGTTTCCTGTGTCGACACGTACCTTTGCAGCATAGGGAATGTAGATCTGGCTGACCTGCGTGCTGTTGCGGCAGACCGTGCAGTGGAACTCTTGCTTTTTGAGGTTTGCAATAGCCATGAGACCACACTGGTCGCACACGTGCAGGCGGAACGCGTCCGACGACTCGTACATGCGCTCCTTGAGGAAACCGGCGATACCGTGCGAGATCATGCAGTCGCGCTCCATTTCACCGAAACGCAGACCACCGTCACGCGAACGACCCTCGACGGGCTGGCGCGTGAGGATCTGCAGCGGGCCACGGGCACGCGCGTGGATCTTGTCGTCGACCATGTGCTTGAGACGCTGGTAGTACGTGGGACCAAAGTAGACCTGGGCACGCAGCTTGCGACCCGTGTGGCCGTGGTACATGATCTCAAAGCCACGAGACTGGTAACCGCGCGCACGGAGGAGCTTGGACACCGACTCGACGGTCAGCTCGGTGAACGGTGTTGCGTCACCCTCGCGACCCGTGAGGGTGGCGAGTTTGGAGAGCAGACACTCGACCAAGTGTCCGATGGTCATACGCGACGGAATGGCGTGCGGGTTGATGACAATGTCGGGCACAATACCCTCGGCAGTGAACGGCATGTCCTCTTGCCTGTACGTGATACCAATGGTACCCTTCTGACCGTGACGCGACGCAAACTTGTCTCCAATCTGCGGGATACGCGTGGAACGGATACGAATCTTGACAAACTTGAGACCGTCCGCGTTGGTCGTGATCATCACCTGGTCGACAACACCTTGCTCGGTGCTCTTCATGGGCGTCGAGACATCGCGCTTGGTGTGGGTAGCCGAACGCTGGCCAAGCTCCTCGCTGTCGGGAGGGATCGGCGCCGTCTTGCCGATAATAATGTCGTCACCGTTCACGTTGGTCGCCGGCGTGATGAGTCCGTCTGGGTCGAGCTTGGCGTAGCGATCGCTGGGGCCTTGCTTCATACGCAGCGTCTCGTTGCGGTCGGGCTTTTCAAAGGTCTCGACCTTTTGCATGCCGACCATCTTCTCCGTGTCGGTGTACGCACGGTAGTAGAGCGAACGGAACAGGCCACGGTCGATCGACGACTGGTTCATAATGACCGAGTCTTCCTGGTTGTAACCCGAGTAACAGAGAATGGCGACGATCGCGTTCTGGCCAGCGGGCAGCTCGGAGAAGTTGAGATACTTCATCGACTGGGTGGTGGCCAGAGGCGACTGCGGGTAGTACAGGATGTTGGCCATCGTGTCCATACGCAGCTGGTAGTTTGTCAAGTAGATACCCATGGCCTGCTTGCCCATTGCAGACTGGTACGTGTTACGAGGCGACTGGGTTTCGTCAGTTTCAGAACAGCTCCAGTTGAAAGTCCCGTCAACTCACCTGGTTGTGGTCGGGGAAGGGGATAATACTGGCACAAACACCGAGAATCATACTGGGGTGAATCTCCATGTGGGTGTAGTGCTGCGACCAGTTGGACGACTTGATACGCGCAGCAGGGTCAAAGGCCTCCGAGTTGTGCGCAATCTGGGCAGCAGCCACCTCGGAACGGCTCTGGTACCGACGGGCATTGTCGAGCTCCTCGGACGACATGGCAATGAGAATGGTCTCCTCCTCCTCGGCGTCGACATACTCGATCAGGCTCTGCGACATGAGCTCGTCCCATGCCGAGTTGATGCCCTGCGGCAGCTGCTCGTGGCCGTCCATGACGGCCTCGAGGCGATCAATGTGCTCGCGCTTGAGGAGGAGCTGCTGGCTCTCGTCGACAATAAACAGCGGGCGACACACACGACCGGCGTCCGTGTACAGACGAAGCTCGCGCTCGCGGATATCGCGCACAATCGAAACCTCGTGCTTGAGCTGGCCACCACGACGCATGTGCAACAGGTTCTGGTGGAGCGTGACGGCGTCGCGGTGGATACCCATCCACACACCGTTGACAAACACCTTGGTGGCGTTGGGCGCGTTCGAGTACTCGGTCTGGTCCTCGAGACCCCACTCCTCCAAAAACTCCATGACGGGGGCAGAGTACGAGCCGACCGAAATGTATGACATGAGCGCGAGGTTCTTGACAAGACCACACGCCTGTCCTTCGGGAGTCTCGGCGGGGCACACCTGAACGAGTTGTTAGCACTTGAATTGTTTTTTTCAATCTGAATTTTATGCTCACCATTCCCCAATGGGTGTTGTGCAGCTGACGAGGCTTGGCAATCTTACCGTCACGACCAATGGGTGTGTTGGTACGTCGCAAGTGGGAAAGAGTCGACGCGAAAGTGTAACGGTTAAGCACCTGTGACACACCGGCACGAGCCTGCATGGCCTTGGCCTGGTCACCCCAGTTACCAGTGGCGAGCGAGTACTTGAGACCGTTGGTGATGATACCGGGCTTGATCGCGTTGACCAGAGTAAACTCCTTGTGGGTCTCGACACACTTTTGCAGGTGGCGGTAGACGTCGCGAGTGAGCTTCTTGAACAGGATACGGAACAGACTGGCGAGCAAGGGACCAGCCAAGTCGAGACGCTTCTTGCCAAAGTGGTCACGGTCGTCGAGCTCGCGACGACCAAGAGCAGCCGAACACAGGCGGTGGACCATGTAACCCAGGAAGTAGGCCTTCTTGGACTCGAAGCCCTCGGAAACCGAGACGTGAGGGAGCATCTCCTTTTGGAGAATGTCAAACGCGGCGCGCTGGCGCTGCGAACGCGTGCCCTTCTCCTGCTGGCCACGACGACCAATAAAGTCGAGCGCAGTGTCGCGGTCCTGGACGGCAAACGCCTCTTCGATACATGGGCGCAGCAGCTCGAGCATGGACGTGTCGTTGGGGTCGAAACAGATGTGTGACAGAACGTCACGGTCGGGCACAATACCGAGCGCGCGGAAGATGATGACAATGGGGATGTCGACCTTGGTGTAAGGCAGCGACGCGCGGATGACGGATCCAGTGGTGGTACGCTCCGCGGCGCGCGCGTACATGCGCACCACAGTCTTGGACGGCATCTTGCCACCCTTTTCCATCTGACTCGTCACCTCGGAAAAGAAGGTGATGGCCGACGGGTCACCCTTCTTGAAGACGTAGACGTGGTTGGCAGCCATGCGTTCCTGCGCAATGAGGACCTTTTCGGAACCGTTGATAACAAAGTAACCGCCCTGGTCGTAGGGACACTCGCCCAGCTGAAAGTAGCTGTCCTCGGGCAAGCCGTGCAGCAGACAGAAGTTGGAGCGCACCATGACGGGCACTTTACCAATCCAGATCTTGTCCTCCTCCTGCTCCTGCATCACACCGTTCTGGTCCAGTGCTGGCCGCCAGTCGGCCTCGATCGGGTCGTCGACGTTGCCGGCAGTGTACGTCTGCTTCTTCATGTCGACGTACAGGGGCGCGGCGTACGTCAAGTTACGCAGACGCGCCTCCTGCGGGAACAGACCGACGGTCTGACCGTCCATCTCAGTCATGGCGACCTTGGCCAAGTAAATCTGACCAAAGTTGATCTCGTACCTCCTCTGTCCTTGTCAGCTAATGTCATGCGCGGTTTTGTAGCTCACCGTCTCATCACCGCGAACACCAGTGTGCTGGGTATGTTGGTCCAGAGTCAATTTGGCACTCTCGTCGACCAACTCCTGCATTGTGTTTTCCACAAACTCGTTGAACGACTCGAGCTGCTGGCGGACTAGACCCTTCTCGTTGAAGAACGAGTCGATGATCTTCCAGTAGTCGTCCTGCGCGATCGCCTCCTCTTGCGACTCGCCGTCCATGTAACCCTCATTGTCATAGTCGTAGTCGGGCTTGTACTCGTAGCCGTCGCCGGCAGTTCCTGCTTACGCTGTAGCTCCCATCTCACACCAGCTGTTCATGATAAAGTATTCACCTGCATCCATTTTGGGCCACGCTTTAGAAGGAAGAGGGGAAAAGGTTCAGGTCGGTGGCAAAGTGTCTTCGTCGAACGCGTGCGTTGTTTGTTGTCTCGCGTGCGATCAGACAGGGCAAGGAGCGCAAGGAGAACTCGCCGCGGCGCCGGGGAAGCGGGGTGATCCAGACGGGCGCAGTGAAGCGATCTGGCGGCTGGTGGTAGGCGGGGTATGAGGGGATGAGGCGAGATGGGTGGGGACTGTGGTTGTCTATGCGATGGTGATTGTCTATACGGCGAGCACGCTCAGTTGAATAGCGAGCAGCGCTTGCTAACCCCCCGCCCACAGCCAGCGGCCAGCGGCGCGTCAGGTGCGGAGTTTTGACGAGTGGCACTTGAACCACGTGGCTAATTTTGTCGTTACGTAATTGCAAAAGCTCAGCTTGCAAAGGTTGACGGCCTCTCTCAAGAATTTCAAGAGCGACCTCCACCAACAACACATACACCACATACAAAACCATGGCCCCCTCGACCAAGAAGGCCGCACCCAAGACCGCCGTCAAGTCCAAGGGCAAGGGCAAGCAGCAGGTCCCCCCTCCTGCCCCCGTCGTCAAGGAGGAGCCCACCCCCGAGGCCGACAGCGACGAGGAGATGGACTCGGAGGACGAGGACGAGGACAACGGAGGCGTCAGCGAGAAGGGCATGCAGAGGTTGATGTCCCTCGTCAAGCCAGAGGACCTGGACGAGTTTGAGCGTGCCTCGCTGGGCATGGCCGACAGCGACGAGGAGGAGGAGGACGATGAGGAGGACGATGAGGAGGAGGAGGAGGAGGAGACCGAGTCGGTAAGTTGTGTGCTCGTGTTTCTGCTTGAGCGACCCTAATATCGCAGCCTGTGGACAACGAGATCATCATGGACGCCGCCGACGAGGACACTCTTGCCGTTGACGAGCTCGGCTCGGACGTGAGCCTCGACGAGGACGCCGTGCCCGCGCGCAAGGTGACCACCAACAACAAGGTAAGTTGGGCCGATCCGTCCGGTATCAGTGTGACCACAACTGACATGCAGCCTGCTATGCGTGTCCTTACCGAGGGCATCAAGATGACCAACACCCCCTGGCCCGAGCACCTGATTGTTCAGTCCAAGACCATTATCGACGTGGACCCTTCCGATGGTGAGTTACATTGGTCTGCTGCCTTTGCCTAACTCTGTGTGCAGACCTGCAGCGTGAGATGGCCTTCTACAAGCTGGCACTGGACGCCATCCCCCACGCGCGCAAGATGTGCGCCAAGCACGACATTCTCTTCTCGCGCCCCAACGACTACTACGCCGAGATGGTCAAGAGCGACGAGCACATGGAGCGTATCCGCACCAAGCTCGTCGAGGAGTCGCAGGGCATCAAGAAGTCGGAGGAGGCCAAGAAGCAGCGCCAGCTCAAGAAGTTCGGCAAGCAGATCCAGCACGAAAAGCTCAAGTCGCGCGAGGAGGACAAGAAGTCGTTCGCCGACAAGATGCAGGGCATCAAGCGCAAGCGCAAGGACGGCAGGGAGATTGGCGGCGGCGACGACGACGACTTTGGCGTCGAGGTCGAGGACGCCATGGACAGCCGCGGCGGTGCCCGTGGTGGCAAGTCCAAGATGCCCCGTTCGGCCCGCGACCAGAAGTACTCGCTTGGTGGCTCGTCGCGCCGCGCAAAGCAGAACACCCGCGAGAGCACCAACGACTTTGCGGGCTGGGGCAGCGAGAAGGGCGGCAAGAAGGGTGGCAACGCTGGTGCCAAGGGCAAGGGCGGCGCCGCGGCGCGTCCGGGCAAGTCGAAGCGCCACTCGCGCAGGAAGTAGAGTGTGGGTGTCGTGTGACGGTAGACATAGGATGCGCACGGTGTACTCTAGATTCAGCGATGCTAGGTGTTTTGTTTTTCATGAGCGAGTCTGGAGTCTGTAGTCGTGCTCTGCTGCAGCCGCCATGCATCGGGATAGGCAGGCCTGCCTGCATTACAGCTGGCAGCACAGACGAGGGGTGGGTGGACATCAATATATTGCCACACGGAAGCAAAATGTCGACCGTCACTCCACGTGTTCCGAGGACGGCATTCGCGCATTCGATTGACATGACGGCCTCCAACGCGTCTTGTAGAGCCTCCAACAACACCACCCACAAACAGCAGCAACAATGGAAGCCGACCCACTGTACCACATCAAGCAGCTCTTCTACCAAGGTAAGCTGAATCTCGCGAACATGCTGGTCTAAAGCTAACGCCTCAGGCTCGTTCAAGGGTACGTCGCAAACAACCTGTCAACCTATACCTCTTACTGCTACTGACACCACGCCCAGCCGCCATTGACGAGGCAGCCGACCAGGCCCTCACGCCTGGTGGCGACGAGGCTGCGACATCACGCGCAGTGTACGTTGCGCGCGCACACCTCGCCCTCAACCCTCCCGCCATCGCCGACGCCCAGAACGTCCTTGCCCCCTTCCTCGCCCTCGACCCTGCTCCTTCCAGCGCGCGCGCAGCCGCGTCCCTCGCATCTTACCTCTCGGGCAACGAGGAGGCCGTTGACGAGGTGCGCGATGTGCTTCTCGAGGTCGAGGATGGCGAGGACGAGCAAGAAGGCACCGTCCGCGCGCTCGCTGGAACCGTGTTCATTCTGGAGAAGGAGGTCGAGGAGTCGGTCGCGACTCTGTCCGAGGGCGCGGCCAAGACCGACCTCGAGTGCATTGCCCTCCTCGTCCAGCTGCTCTTGTCCCTCGACCGCCGGGACCTCGCAAACGCGCAGTACATCGCCGCCAAGAAGATTGGCAACGACTCGGCGCTCGTCCAGGCCATTGAGGCGTGGATCGGTCTCAAGACCGGTGCCCGCCCCTTGCACCAGGCCTACTACTTTTACGAGGAGCTCTACCAGCTCCCCAACGGCCGTACCGCTCCTGTCTTTGCTTCGCACGCCGCTGCCCACCTCCTTCTCGGCCACGTTGATGAGGCCAAGGCCGACATTGACGCCGCCAAGCAGACCCAGGCTGGCGAGAACAGCCCCGACGTCCTGGCGGTGGCGACCTCGCTCGGTGACGATGAGGCCGCTCAGTAAGCAGCTACCGGGCCTTCATCTCTGCATGTTATAGTAGCTGACATCTCTCCCCAGGCAGCTGAACGCCACTTCGCACCCCTTCGCGGCCGAGCTGGCCAAGAAGTCTGCCGAGTTTGACGAGGCCGCGGCCAAGTTTGCCATTGCGGCTTAGGAACAATAGTTACTTGTAGAACAGCAGGCGATGTGCATATGTGATGTCGTAGTAGGCCAAGGGGGACGTGGTGACGCTGACCGCGGTGTTGCGGGTTGTTGGGTCTCCAATTTGTTGCCGTCGGCGATGTGTGTGTGCACACCGGCATGTGTGTGCGCCGGCGCAACATATAACGCATCACGCACACGTCAACTCTTTCCCTTCACACGTCCTTCTCTCCATTCATCATCCTCTTGCCTCAACAAAGCATCCATCCACCCTCGAACCATGTCTTCGGCTCCCGATGACCCCAGTACCCCCACGGCGTCTGCGCCGAGCGGCGCCGACTCTGCCTCTCCCGCCGTCACCATCGATCACACCGCGTTCCCTTACATCATCGACCAGATCCTCGGATACACCTCGTACGACGAGTGGATTGTACTCCGCCAGACCTCGCGCGAGTTCCACGACCGCATCGACCCTCTCCTGTGGCGCCACGTTCACATCGGTAGCTACGGCCACCTGTACGCTGGACCCGAAGGAGGCCGCGGTACCAGCAAGAAGTGCCTCCCTCGCCTGAAGTTCGAAGACACCTCTCTTGATCGTATTTCCGCCGTCCTCAAGCACGTTGCGATCCTTGATGGCGACTGTGGCTGTGGGTCCCAGCTGCCCATCGATGTCGCCACAGTCTTCGCAAAGCTCCGTCTCGTTCGCCACCGTTTCGGTTATCTGGAGGGCATTAGTGTCCCTAAGCTTGTTACGTGGGAGTATTTCCCATGCGTCTTTACCTGTGACGACAAGTGGGGGGAGATGGTCAGCGAGGGTCTCGCCGAGCTCAAGAACGTCCGCCACCATGTGCTCCACTTCGGTTACGACAAGCGGTCCGCCGTGATTCCACCTTTCGGCATGGTCAAAAACTGGGCTGAGCTCGAGAAGGCCACGTTCATCTTCACCGAGGACCGTCGGAAGCGTTTCGGTTTTGGGAAGGATGACGGCATTCTCAGCGCCGAGGACATCGAGTATGCAGAGTGGCTCGCCGAAAACCCGCCTGACGAGGAGACGCAATCTGGCCGTCGCTCTCCCCTGGACGAAATTGGTAGCCTTCTCCAGCTGCTTGGCGTCGAGGACGACAAGGACGAGCCCATCTCGCCAACTGTCGAAATCACTCTGGTCGGCCTCGACGAATTCATTGATGTGGGCGCCCTCGCCACCAAGGCCGAGAAGAAGAAGAACGTCCACCCACACGTGATCCTGAGCAAGACGATGGCGTACGTCATGAAGAACTACTTTGTCTCTCCGGCACGCACCAAGCAAATCATGAGCCAGATCAAGCTCATGACTCACCAAGAGTACGCCGACGAGATTGGTCTTGACGAGTATTGGCTCGAGACCCGCGAGGATGCCCAGGCGCCCGTGGTCGAGGCGTAAAGTGAAGAAAGGAAATTCGCGGCTTGGACCGACGGTTGTGAATGTCGGTCGACTACTGCAATAAAGGGAGATGACGCATGAGCGCGTTGGGGAAGAAGTCTCTATGCAGTAAAGCCCAACAGATAAGAGCATAAATGTGCATGTATGACCCTGGCCATTTGCCAGAGCGCGCTCGGATGCCCCAGTCCTGCCAGCGGGCTGGTGAGCTTGGAATTTCCCCTGAAAATGGAGGAAAAAGGCAAAGGTCAGCGCAGCTTGTTCCCACTTCATCGATACCTTCTCGCAACAGGGGGTCAACCTCTCGTCATGCCGTAGTGTCTCTCTCTCTCGCTCTCACACACACTCTGATGGGCCTGGCAGACCATGGGCCTTTCCTAACGCATTCAGCGATGCGGCGCTTCCTCCCTCAACCAACCTCTGCAGAAAGTATTGACCTACCTTGGAACCACGCGTCCAATCCGACTGCGACAAAGGCCAGCTTTGTGCCCACCACTCCCCAACGTCTAGCAGCACCGGTCATTCTCAAAAGCACCTCTTTATAAGCCCCCAACCGCGCTCGACAACGTGCGGAAGCACGTGGTCTTCCTCTCAATAGCATAGTGGTATTGCGCCGGACTGTAACTGTTACCTGTCTACCTCCCGTCCGATAGGACGAGTAATCCGTAGGTCCCCTGTTCGAATCAGGGTTGAGAGATATACACCCCCCTTTTGGACCTCTGTGCATGCCTAGAGGGCCGTAGATGCTGTTTTGGAGGTGTGGTGGACGAAGAGGAACGGTGGGAGGAAGTGGTGGAGCCAGTTGGCGGAAGAAGAGGAATGTTCCGATGTGCCACTTTTGGGCTCAGAGAAATGTTCCGTGTGTTTGTTTTTTGGGGGGGCCTTTGGACCTCCTGTGTGGCACTCGGCGTATGCTGGGAACCTTGGAGGCTTGTTCTGAGAGGTGGCAAAATTTGGGGAACGGCGGGAGGCGGTGCGGTCTGGCGAGCAACGTCGACTGAAAGAGGGGGCGGTCAGTGTCAGTTTTCATGGGTTGTCTGTCGATTCGAGGCAACATGTCTGTTCCGCTTCCTTGTGTTGGTTTTGTGATGCAACTCCCGTCGGTAGTGATGGAGGGACCATTCTAGACGCGATACTTGCCGTTTGCCTCATGTACTCACTGCACGCCTGAGAACAGTGCTCGACGACCGACCGACCGACCGACCTGAGCTCGCCACCGTTTCCCCACGAGCTATTGCTTCTCCTCCGCCATCCACACTTCCGTTGCTCCTCTACCGCCTACACAGCCCAGCTGCAGTTCTCAGGCTCCACACACGCGCTCTCGTCCTCCGTCTGGAGTGCTTATAAGCCCATTCCCACACGGAAAATGTGTCAATTTCCTCTCAATAGCATAGTGGTATTGCGCCGGACTGTAATGTCTACCTCCCGTCCGATTGGACGAGTAATCCGTAGGTCCCCTGTTCGAATCAGGGTTGAGAGAGATAAAACCACCTTTTGGACCTCTATGCATGTTTAGAGGGCCGTAGATGTTGTTTTGGAGGCGTGGTGGACGAGGACGAATGGTGGAAGTGAGGTCGAGGTCGAGAAAAGTGGCGGTGGTGGAATTCTCCGGAGTGCCACTTCTGTCTCTGGTAATGTTCCGCAGATGGTTTTAGGGTCCTATACCTTCTGTGTGGCCCGCTGTGTATACTGGGAGCCTGCGAACGTTGTAGACTCTGTTTGGAAGGTCGTGGAGGAGGAGGAAAGGCAGGAGAGTCTGAAGACCAGCGGCGAGTGACGGTCGTCAATTCCCGTTCCCTCGTTTGTCCATCATTTCTCTGCCCCAGCCCATGCTTCCCCCCCTCCCCTATGGCCCTGCCCCGCCCATCTGCAGCTCGTGCGTCCCACACGCGCTCTAGTTTGTCCATTTCGAGCGCTTATAAACCTCTGCGCGCGCGGAAAACACGTGGATCCCCTCTCAATAGCATAGTGGTATTGCGCCGGACTGTAATGTTCTACCTCCCTTCCGATTGGAAGAGTAATCCGTAGGTCCCCTGTTCGAATCAGGGTTGAGAGACTCCTCTTTTGCCTCCTCGTACATACCATGCATGCAGCTGTACGTTGCTGCGTTGTTGTTGGACGAAGGAAATGAAAGTGGTGGTAATGGCGGCTGTTTTGGATGGGTTTGCCGATCACGGTCTGTCGTGTGTGGCGCCGCGCGTTTATTTTCGGGACCTTTTTTTCCACCCATTTTTGTCCCTACTTCCTCATGCAAATTCGTGTCCTCTGCCATACTTTGTCGTCTCCATGCCACCCCGCCCCGTCTCTCCCTCTCTGGTACCTCGCAGCACCTGCCCTAGTATGCATAGCCTCGGCCCAAGTTAACAAAACATGCATGCAGCGCTGTGGGAGCGAGGAAAGACATCATCGGCGAGATGGCCGAGCGGTCTAAGGCGCTGTGTTAAGGTGAACCACCTCCTCCTCATCTCGAGGACGAGGCCTCATCCGCAGTCTTCGGACGTGGGTTCGAATCCCACTCTCGTCAGCAGAGGATTCAGTTCCTCCCAAGCCAACCTTTTTGGGTGTTGGGCGAGGCGGGCGGGCGGGGGAGGGAGAAAGAAGAGGAGAGGGAGAGAGGCAGGTAAGCCTGACCGACGGACGATGGGCACCGGCGTGGGGCGGCTCCATAACGAGCCACCCGCTCACCCTCACCTCGGCGTGCCCACATGATATCACGCATGCTACCCGCTACCAGTGACGCGCTCTCGTATGTACGTCGACCATTGCCCACTACCCGGACGTCTGCCGGTAGTCGACAAAGTGTCTGACATATAGCGCAGGTTTCGCCCATGGGCCAATATCGCAGCAGCACAACAAGCCGCCAGAAGCCACACACTGTCACTCACATACTGCCACGATGCATACATGGCCAGTGGCCAGTGGGGTACGATATTCCAAAAAAAAAAAAAAGTAGAGGATAGCAAAAAGTTACAAAAATGAAAGTGCCCAAATGAAGTGGAGAAAAAGGAAGAAAAAGCCTAGATAAATGAGATGGATGAGAGCGTGTACACATAGAGAGCCCAAAAGAAGAAAGTGAGAGGGTTGAGAGAATGAGAATATATGGAGGTGGTGAGAGAGCACCAACAGCCAGTTGCGGTGCGTGTTTCTGGCAGTTGTAAATGGAGAGACGGGGTTGGGGCAGCGCGCCGCTACCGCGCGCGGGCCGCGGGCTACCGCCACCCGTCGAGTTCCTTGAGCGCCTCGTCCACGACGCGCTGCAGGGTCATCTTGGGACACGGTTTCGTGAGCCAGGTATCAAACCCGCACTCTACGAGGCCCCTGCGGCGCTCGTCCTCGCCCGCGAGGGCCGTGACGGCGATGATCTTGCTGCGGGCCATGGGGCTGACGGTCCCGTCGTCTGGCGACCCGGACAGCGCTGCCGCGCGGCGTTTCTCAATCAGCCGCATCTCCTGCGCGGCAGCGTACCCGTCCATGCGTGGCATGTTGATGTCGAGCAGGACAATGACGGGCAGCGTGAATTCGCGGAAACGCGAGACGGCCTCGAGACCGTCTTCGGCTTCGAGGATCTCGAGGACGGGCAGGGCGGCCGACAGGATTTTGACGAGGATTTTGCGGTTGATGACATTGTCCTCGACCACGAGGACCTTGGTGTGGTGGGGTTCCGGGGTGGCTGGGGGCGGGGTGACGAGGTCCAGCGCCTCGTCGGACGGCGTGGTCACGGGCGACGTGGACGAGCGGAGCCACGGCGAGCCCTCGGTCTCGGTGGGCCCGCGCGACTCGATGGACGATGTCGTGTCCAAGAGCGGACCCGACGCCATGCCGCTCGACCCGTTGGAGCTGGCGCGAGACAGACGGTTCCGGCTGCTAAAGTAGTCGCCGAGACACAGGGATGCCACGGCCTCTTCCACACACACGCCGCGCGGCTTCCACGCCATGGCCGGGCCGCTGTTGCTGTTACTCGAGCCGGGCGTGTGGGGCTCGGTGGTGTCCACGTCGGCGAAATGGGCTCGGAGGCGGGGCTCGGCCGGGTTGGGCGTCGCGTCCGTAGGCGTGCTGGCGACGGGGGTGCGCGCAAGCGTGTCGCGGATGAGGGCCGGCGTGACGGGTTTGAGGAGGCGGCGAATCCGGCGTTCGGGGCTGGACATTTCCGCTGCGGGAGGCAAGGCTTCGTCGTCGACACCAGCGAGAATGACCACTTCGGGGGCCGTGAGACGCGCGAGCTGGCCAAGACCCGAGGGCGTGTCCTCGAGCGACCCGTCGGCGATGACGAGATCAGCTTCGTCAACAGGTACAATCTCGCACCCGATTTTTGCGTACTGCCGCTCCAAGGACGCCCGGAGGCGGTCGAGGTGGAACGCCGGGTCGACGTCTGGGTCGAACCCGATGAACGCGACTTTGCGTTTGGGCTCGGCGGGGAGCACGGGCGAGGGGGCGTGCCACCCACGCGTAACGGGGAGGGGCACTTCAATGGTGACGGTACAGCCTGTCCCCGGTGCCGAGGTGATTTCCATGTGACCGTTCATGAGGTCGACAATACGGTACGCGAGGTGGACACTGAGTCCCGAGCCCGTGGCGTACAGGTCCTCCTTGGCCCACGGCTCGCCCAGTTTGTCGCGCACAAAGTCAACGCTCATGCCACGGCCATTGTCGACCACCTTGATGGAGACTTTACGTGTCGCGCCGAGATCCTCACACCCTTCTGGCGGGAGCATGCACTTTACGTCGTCGATGTAAATCTCCACGCAGCCCTGGCTCTCGATGTAGCGGTACGCGTTGTGGATGACGCGTGACAGCGCACGGCGCAGCGCACCGCCCACATCCTCCGTGACGGCGTCGCCGAGCTCGCGCGGGATGATCTCAAACACGGTCTCGATGCGGCCGAGGGCCTGGCCCGATCCGATGCGGCCACGACGGTCCTCTTCGTTGGCGTCGTGGATGAGCTCTTCGAGCATGGCGCCGAGGGTCTGCGGCGCGCCGGCGGGACTCATCATGAGCCCCGGGTGGGCGGTGTGGGCACTTTCGTACCGGTTGTCTCTGGCCGACAGGTCGAGGAACGTGAGGATATTGTCCACGATGCCGTGGAGGGTCTTTCCCGACGTGTCGATGGCGTCGAGGAACGGGAGGAGGTCGCGGACCTGCTGCAGCGTGGTTGTGGTGCAGCGCGGGCTGGCCGAGGTGCCCTCGGGCTGTTCGGCTAGGTCGGACATGCTCGAGCGGAGGAGCTGGGTGATGGCCAGGATCTGGTGGAGCGGGGTTCGCAGCTCGTGGGCCTGGAGGTTCGAGTAGGTGATCTGGCTCTCCTCCATCATGCGAACGCGGATCAAGGCCACGGACGATACGAGTGCGGCGCCAATGATCCACACAAATGGCAGCGCGAGGCGGCTGCTGTCGTCAAACGCCGACGGCGGCTTGGACCACACGGCAAACGTCGCATACTTGAGCGTACCCGTGAACGTCATAAACACGGTGACAAGTACGGTCTGGCACCTGTCGGGCAGAAAGACCATGAGCTGCTTGGCGAGCTCGTCGTCGGGGTCGTCGCGGTCCCACCAGAACTGGCGCTTGGAGAGGTACCGCTTGATAAACTGAGGGAGCACAGAGGGCGCACTTGGGTCGTCAAAGTTGAACTCGAAGCCACTGGTACAGCTCTGGCCGAGGAGCGCGACACCCGAATGGGAGCTGCTGGGCACATAGTTGAGGACGGGCTCGACGCTTGCGGGCCACTCTTTACCCTGGAGGAAATCGCCCACGATCGACTCTTTGGACCTGCTCGGCTGCCGCGCATTGTCGCGTGTGTTGGCCTTGCGGATGAAGAGCTGGAACTCGTGCAGGTCCACCATGCACACTGCGTCCGCTTGGAGGATACCGCGCAATGTGTCTGCCGCGTCGCTGAAGAGCGTGCCCGCGGCCGCAAGGTCTTTGCGCTTGGCGCGCTTCGTGTCCTTTGGCCCCGTCTTGGTCGCGCGGACTGCCGCACCGGGCGTGGGAGGTGTCGCTGTCTGCGCTGGACTGTAGGACGGTGTGCGTGACGTTCGTGGTGACGAGAGCAGGCTCGGACCACGGCGGTGGCGGTGATGGTTGTGCGGGTGGGCAGACCGTTTCTTTTCTGCTGCTGACGCCTTTTTCTCCTTGTCCTTTGCCACCACCGCTTTGGCCTGGGCCTGGGTCGTCTGGGTCTGGGTCTGGGGCTGGGTCTCCTTGAGGTGCTCGGGGATGAACGAGCGGCGCAGAAAGTTGATGCTCGACTCATACATGCCGCTCGTGCGCTTGGCCATGATCTCCGACTGGAGCGTGGCGAGCTGGAACACGAGCATGTTGGACAGCCGCAGCATCATGGCCTGCTCGCGCTCGCTAAACTCGTAGCGGGCGTCCTTGTCCACGAGACACAGGCAGCCAAAGTCGACATGCCCGCCGTTGGGCGGGTGGTAGCGAAGCGGTGCGGCAGCGAGAAACTTGCGCGGACCGCGGCCTTGTCTCTGGGGGTTGTTGGCAAAGCGCCAGTCCTTGTCCATGTCAGGCACGACGAAGCACTTCCACTCGTTCTGGAGCACGACGTGGCCCGAGAACGACTCGGCCGTGGAGAACTGAAAGCTCCTGCGTGCCGACGACACGAGGTAGACAATCTCCACGTCGCCGTACAGGATGGCAATGCCAGCGAGGTAGCTGCCGAAGAACTGTGGGTTGTTGTGAGCAAGAGCGGAGGAAAGAGACACATACCATCTGCAGCAGCTCGGTATACTTCATCATCACGGCGTGGCGCTCGCTGTCCTGGTCGTCGGCTGCGTTGAGGCCGTTGAGGCCGAGACGGCGCAAGGCCGCCGACCGGCTCACACGCGTACTCTGGCTCGGGTTGGGTGCTGGCAGCCACCCCTCCGTCTCGTAAACATGGCGCAGGCGGCGCCGCTCGGCCTCGCGGCTGAGGTGGCCTTGGTCCTCGGTCGGCTTGACCAGGCGCGGCAGGCCGTCCGCGCCGTCCGCGACGTTGACCGCACCAAACGTGCTCGCGTGCTGGGACTGCGGGGTGAGATAGGGCACGTCGCCCGTGAGGCCCGGCCAGCCTGGCCGGGGCTTGATGGGATCGCGGCGGAACGAGCCTTCCGCAAAGGGCGGCGGACTCGGCCCGCCGTCTCCGACCACGGCGAAGCTGTCTGGCTGGCGGGGCGGCGGCCAGAGCACGCCGGGACGTGGTGTGCCGAGATCAGGCGACGAGTAGGTGGGCGACGACGGGTCATCGACACTGCCTAGGTTTGGCGAGATGGCCGGGGACGGGTTGGGTGATGGGACCTCGTCGTCTTTCGTCTTGGCTTCGGCGAGCACATGGACTTCGGCGTTGGAACCGACAAAGTGCCGGTTGACGCGCTGTCGCCCGCTGCTCGACTCGGCGCCCCATTCACGCCCTTGCACGGGGGGTGCTGGAGCTTGGGGCGACGGTGTCGGCTCGGCGCCGACGACGACGGGGGAAGGGGCCGCTGCACCCGGTGTGTTCGTTGGCTCAGCTGACGACGATGACGATGCCAAAGGGGGTCCTGGCGGCGGTACCTCGGTCTCAGAGTGCCTGTCGACACCGTAGCTGATAAAGCCGTCAGCACAGACGCCGTCATGCGAGTTGGGCAGTCGATTGCGCAGGCTTATACACTACTCACAGCTTGAGCGCTTCCTCCCATTCCGCGTCGGTGACTGGCGGTTTATCTTGGACATGCAGTGTGGTCTCTATTGGGACCAGCACCGGGTCAGGATACATAGCGAGCCCCAGTCTGTTGTGTGGTCAAGGCGGGGGCGGTGGGGGAGGGATGGGAGGTGGGGAGGAAACGGACGGGCGTCCACCCCGCCGGCTGTGCAGTCGACTGTGCAAGTGGAGGTGAGTGTGTGAATGTGCGAGCTGGGGGCGACGAATGCGGGGAGGTTGGAGATGGGCTGGACACGACTGGGTGTGTGAGGGGCGAATGCGATGTGGTGTGTGTGCAGGCAGCAGGAGAGTGTGTAAAGGATGATGATGATGATGGGAATGGAAAACGTTTGTGTGCGAGAGAGCGGCGAGAGCGAACGACGGACGGACAAGAAGGGGAATGGCAAACGACGACCAGGCGCCTGCCCGTTGACCGTGCGCGTGTGGGGGCGGCGGCGGGTGTGGGCCGTCGGTCGTTTGGTTCTGATCGACGGGCCCCTTTCTGTCTTGACCCCCTCCTCTCTCTGTCTCTCTCTTGAGCTCTTGCATACGCATCTCGCGTTGAACCACATGGCGTAGCTCTCTGGCACTCGCACTAGTGTCCACCTGCTGCTCGTCTCTCTCCTTGTCTCGACTTGCACGACAAGCGAATGATAGAAAACGGGACCAAGGCACACAATTACCCCGCGAGATTGAATTGACCGCGGCCTCGCAAATACCACACCAATCGGTTCTTGTCCATTGTCTCACACCCCATCGCAGAGAGGACTCAAGAGGCCAAGAGGACCAAGAGGACACGTCTACACTCCTTTACTAGGCAAACCACTCCGTGTCACATGTGCAAGTGGCCGCCAGCTGACCACAAAATGACCTAGCAACCGTCCACTACCTTTTTGTTCTGTAAGTACACCAGCTGATTCCCATACTTCGGCCCGAGGAATTCCATTTTCCATGTTCATCGATCGTAAAGCTAGTGCACTGCGACCCGTCTCTACTGGGGGATACGCCTCCACGTATCCTCCACTCAATCTAACAAACACTGCCTTTGCTAGCTGTTCGCCCTGGTGCTGATTGTCCACCGGATAGGGATAAACTCTGTTCTCGCAGAGGTCTGCAAAGGTGTCATGTTATGTCATTATCAGAAGGAGTCTTCACGCTGACTCTGCCCGCTCATGACAGATACAGTATCGAGGTACGGAAACCACACCACCCCTACCTTGCGGCCCGTCTGCCCAAATCCATATCTGCCCAAAAGAGTCCCACCCCCCCCTGTTGGCCTGTTGCAGGTTGGTTGCCCACGTTTGCTGATAACGCTTGCTGCCGACACTACTTATAACTGTGAACGTGTGTTTTGGACGTGTCGTTTTCATTCCCCCCCCACATCACAGTAGCGAGCAAAAGACGTGCCTCCCGTGCCAAGGAACAGTAGCAGCGTTCGCTGTCTCCAAGCACGACCGCAAAAGCAAGCAGGCCGGAGGCTGGAGAGGCTGGAGACAGACCAGACACACTTTGGCTTTGGTCTATTCTCGGCGCGGTCCCCAAAAACGTCCTCCGTCAAGTTCACACTCCAAACCGCCTGATCCAGTAGTAGAGGTGACCGACCCAACGTGCCCATTGCTTGTTGCGGTGATAATGAGGAAGCGATGGAAAGCGAGCGACCGTGGCGCGCGGCTCGTTCGATGTCCCATCTCAGACCCGACCCGCTATCGCAGTAGTAGTGCGAAGTCCTAAGGAGTTGGCTGGTTATCAGCCCCCCCACCTCCGTTCAAACCCCGTGCAGGTGACCACCGATCCACCGAGCCGTGTTGAAGATAACCGATTGTTGTGCTGTTGCTTGGCGGCGATTGTGTCCCAGCTCGTCCGCGCGCCGGCAAGGTCGATGCCAAGGACCGACCTCCAGGCCCACCAGAGCCGCCAGCCGCCAGCCGCCAGCCGCCAGCCGCCGGGTTTGCCTGGTCGTCTGGCGACCCGTTGGGAACAGCCGGCAAGACGGGTGTGTGCCTGTGTGCTTTGTTGACTGTTGGCTGTCGCCGCCTTCTTCCAAGTGCGGTAATTCCACACGTTGCATGCACGCCATGTGACCGAAACAACTCACCTGGCACAGAGCGCTGTTATCTTGGAATAGACCTGGGCAACAGGTAGGTTCCTAGCGTGCCAAGTCGTCGCACCGTGGTACCGTGGGCCATTCTCAGCTCGGTGTGACAAAGGCAGGTATCTGTAGCGAAAGAAGGCAAGACAGCAAGGACGCAAGCACAAGAGGAGGATGTTAGTCATCCGCAGTACATCGGCATGTACTGTGCTGGCCGTACTGGAGGCTGCGAGGTGCAGCTAATCTCCCAACAAACAACAAACGTGCAGGCGTCGTCGTTGGGCCTCTGCTTCCCCCGCTTCTTCGCTCTCTCGGGTCCTTGTTCGTCGTCTTTGCATCCGTCCTCGCTCAATAGGCCACATGCAGCAGCCACCTCGGCATGACGCCAGTGCTCAAGGGCATTGCCTCATTGCCTCGTTGCCTCGTTTGCGTCGTAGAAGAACCCACAGATGGATGCCAAGGAATACAGGGTGGGAGCCACCAGGAAAAAAAGAAAGCAAAATCCTGGCCTCGACGCGTCGTTCGGCGCGCACACTTTGGTGCTCTCTTCTCGGGACGCAGCGGCGCAGCGGGCCAGTCGCGCGCCAGTCACGTTCCTGCTCGTATTGGTCCGGCGCGGTAATCCTTGTCGTGAGCACAAACATTGACCCCTGCGCGGCGCTGGCATCCCGCAAGCCGCAAAGTGTACGAGCGCGACCCTTTTGGCCCGCCAGCCGTGCAGCCGTGGTGTGCCACCCCGACCACAGGGCCCGCAGTCACAAATGGGTCGTGTAGTGAAAGGGTTGTGCGCGCCCCGGGGGGGGGAGGCCGATCACTGCTGATCGCACCGCAGCAAACCAGCTACGCATCAGAGCCATTAACCCAAGGCCCAAGGGAGGGTGTTTCCTGCAGTTTGCTTGGCAGGACGTAAAAATAAAAAAACCTGCACAACCCAGGACCCATCTGTTGCAGGACACACCAAAGCGTCAGTGGATCTTGAGACCCTGCGGCGGGGGGGCCCGTTAGCTGCAACGCAAGAGAGCCTAAACGGTAAACGAGCCGCCAGAGGCCTACGCAGCAGAGAGAATGATCCATGAGTCGCTTCCCTCGTCTCCCTGAATACAGCCGAGCGAGCGAGCCCTGTCACTCCATATGCAACGCAACCCGTGCCCTGGGGCCGTACTACGGATGGGCTACGGATGGGAAAGACCCCTCACCCCACACTGTTATCGCCGTGGTGTGTGGTGAGTACACACGGCTGGCTGCGCAGCCCCAATTGTAACAATTGACAAGCCAAGAGATCAAGACCGGGAGAGGGGGCCAGACACGGTAAACATGTGGGGGGTGCCAAGGGGAAGAGAGTCTCACAGAGCTGGAATGAGAGAGAGAGAGAAAAGGAGGCGGTGTAGCGTGGCCCACCCAGATTGGTGCCATTCTGCGCGCACACCATCCGTGGTCTCGCCGTCTCGACGCTTGGCGCCAGAGCACAAGTCCCTGGGTGTCCGCCTCCAGATGCCGGCACGGGCGATGGATTGGATTGTTTCGCCGGCCCGTCGTTTGCAAAAAGCCACAGCTGGCTGCTGGCCTGCTGGCCTTCCGGTCTCACGCCGTGGGGATCCTCTCCGCCGATGGAAAAAAATAAAAAAACGAGAGAGAAAGGCAGCCCTTACCCAAGGCACGAGGGTGGGGGTGTTTGCATGCAGCCAGCAAGCACAACACAACACAACAACGCGCGAGCGCGCGCGCGCGCACGTCCTGCGTGTGTCAGACAACGACAACCGCCCGCTGCCCGCCGCCCCGCCCGCCTGCCGCCGCCCCCGGAGCCAGAAAAGAAATGGGCGACGGTTTAGGTTGTGGCCCGCGAGCAGTGCCGCCGAACAGCGTGTGCAGCGTGTGCAGCGTGTGCAGCGTGTGCGTGCCCACAGCTTCCCACCCACCCCGTCAGCCCACTCCCCGCCCGTCGCTCTCATAAAGAGTCAACAGTGGCATCGTTCACATTCCCCCCCTTGCTTTACTCACCTTTTTCAGTCCCACAACCACCCCCCTTTCTTCGTCGCCCAGCCCATTTCTTTCGACTCTTGCGACAGTCGCCCACCCCCCGTCCTCGCGACCACTTTTATCCAAATACCACACTGACCGTATACACTTGATCACACCATGATCGCCTTCGCCGTCCTCGCCGCCCTCCCCTTTGTGGCTGCCCACCCCAAAGTCAACTGGTACCAGCCCCGCGACTCGCCCGTCCACGAGCTGTTCCGTCGTGCCGACGTCGACATCACCGCGGCCAGTGAGTGGCCTCTACCTGCGTGATGTGTCCGAACCGCCTGCTCACCACATACACAGACTTTACTGCCGGCTACCCGCCCCTGTACATGAGCCCCAACGCTACCAACACCCCGCAGGCGTGGATTGACAAGCTCAACTCGATCACCCTCCCGTCTGCCAACCCCGTCGCTGTCCAGACCGGCACCGCCAACCCCAAGTACGACGTCGCCAACGGCACCGACGGCTCGGGCCCCGACATTTGCTCGTTCACCTCGGGCTGCCACACCGACACTGACCTGTTCCACGGTCCCGACAACACCTTTGTCGTAAGTATAGCTCCCCTCCTCCCCAAACCCACTATCCCGCCCCGCCCCGCCCGCCCGCCCCCGGCACTCCCTGCTGACGCCTCGTGTGCAGCTCACGTTCGACGACGGACCCAGCGATGTCTCGCAGGACCTCTACGACTTCCTCAAGCAGAACAACATCAACGGCAACGCTACCCACTTTATGATTGGCACCAACATTGTCGGCGACCCCGCCACTGCCAAGTCTGCGTTCACCAACGGCGGCCACATGGCGGTCCACACCTGGTCGCACCCTTACAGTGAGTTTCACCCGATGGCGTGAAGAAAGAGAGCGTTGGCCCTGGACGGCGCCGCCGCCGCCTCGTTTAGGTTGTCTCTTGCTCACACCCATCCCCAGTGACCACCCGCACCAACGAGCAGGTCGTCGGCGAGCTCGGCTGGACCATGCAGATCATTGCCGACGTTACTGGCGGCCACATCCCGGCGTTCTGGCGCCCCCCTTACGGCGACGTCGACAACCGTGTCCGCGCCATCGCCAAGGAGGTCTTTGGCCTGACCACCGTCCTCTGGAACCACGGTGAGTGTTGTCACTGGCTCCTTTACGGCTGCTGCTGCTGCGCCGCAGTCTGCCAAGCCTTTCTCCCCCGCCCACCCCCTGTACCCCCCCGGCGCCACATTGTTTGCTGACTGCTATTCTCAGACACCAACGACTGGGCCATTGGCGCCGGCGGTAACTTTACCATCGAGTCGGTCGAGGCCACCATGGACACTTGGTTCGTCGGCCCCCGCTCGCCCGGTATCCTTGCGCTCGAGCACGAGATCAACAACAACTCGCTCATCGTCTTCAAGCACGAGTACCCCGGCTTTGCCGCCAACAACTGGACCATCCAGTCGGTCGCCGACGCCTTTGGCATGGACTGGTACCAGAACGCCGTCGCCAACGGCGCCATTGCCTCGACCATGTCCGTCGGCGACATCCAGACCGCCATGTTCACCAACCAGTCCCAGACCGCCACCGCCGGCGCTACCGGCGCGTCGGGCTCGGCTGCTGGTAACTCGACCGCCTCGGGCTCTGGCTCGGCCGGCGCCTCGGCCACCGCCGCCACCACCAAGGCCGGCAGCGCCATGGGCATTGCCGCCCCCGTCGCCGCTGTCGTCGGCGCTGCCGTCCTTGCCGTTGCCTTCTAAGCAGCGCGCTAGCACACACCCTTATTCTGTTGCTCGTTTCCCCCCGATCTCTCGCTTCGAGTTTGAGTTGTCTCCGAGTCCTCTCCCCCAACCCCCACTTTCCTTTCCTTCCATACCTCCTCCTCCTCTTCCCCAGGGACAATTTTACAGGCGCTTTCTCACTGGGCGCGCATGATGCGTCCAGTGGGTCTCGCACACTCCACCTCCACGGCTGTAGCATGCACACATGGCTCCTAGCTCCATGTATTAATCAGATAATGCACACACATGCGCTCAAACGGGTGTGCTTGCGGGTGTGCTCGGCGGGTTTCTGAGCCACTGAGCCACTGACATGACATGAATGTGGCACAGGATAGTTATCTGGGCCATCTGCATTTGGCCGCGCAGCAGAGGATCGACGGGCGTACTGCGGTTCATGATCGTCATGGCTGCGACTGCGACCGCGACCGCGATCGTCGGTGCGTCAGCGTCGATGCGCACCATGTCGGCGCGCGTTTCAAACCTGTCACCGTGTGTGGGTGGGTGCTGGGTGCGACGACGGCGCTCTGCATCGCAGAGTGGGGCCACTACACGAACTGCAGCACTCACAGCACAGCACAGCACAGGACTCGCACTCACACCACATGCCACATGCGACCTCCACACACGAGCGAGCTAACGAGCTAGCGAGCGCGCGCTTGGCTTGTCCGTTTGCTCGTTTTCTCGGCGCCGCGCCTCCGTGCGGCCCACAGTGGGTCACAGCGGTCACAGCGGTCCCATCGGTGTTTCGTGGCCATCTGGTTTCTCCATCGGGACTCTGGGCGCTGGGCACTCGTCAACACCGCCGCCCCGGCGCCATGGGCTTGGCACTGAGGGGGTGGAGTGAGGGGGTGAGGGAATGGGGGAGTGAGGGAATGGGGGGGGGGAACTGGCCACAGGGAACGGGTGTGATGAGGTATAGGGAATGGGCAAGGGGGGTGAGTCAGGATGCTGGTTCGTTTGGTGTTCGTTCGGTTCGCTAGGTGGTGGGCATGGGGTGGTAGTGGTGGTGGTCCACGCGTTGACACTGCCTACACTGCACTGCATTTGCATGGCACGGTCCAGCACGGATCTATGCCCCCCCCGCCCTCTCTCGCTCGCCCTCTGTCTCCCCCAGTGTCCAGGATGTAAGCTACAGACGTTGCACCGAGTAGGTAACGGAAGTGTGAAGGACAGAGATCCAGAGACAGGAATGGGACACGGACACGGGAAAGGATGCAGGCACACCTGGCGCGCGGTACGTGGCGGCCACGAACGCGTCGGCGGCGGGTGGTGGCGCCGCCTGGCCGACGCGACGTGACGCGACCACCGCGCGCCGCGACAACTGCGATACCGCGACCGCTCGACCGCACAGCGGTACGCCGGATGGAGGGAGGTGCGCGCCAGATCGCCAACGTCCGAGGAGACACAACTGTACAGTCTCCATCAGCGTTGGGTGTCGTACAGTACGGTGTGGGACGAGAAGGAGGGCTGTACAGCTTTTCACCCTCACGGTCTGTCCTCGCCGTTTCCGTCACGCGCCAAGACAAGCAAGCAAGCAAGCAAGCAAGCAAGCAAGCAAGCAAGCAAGCCATACCATGCTCCATACCACATACCGATGCCAGTACCCTCGCGATAGCAAGGTTGCAAGGTTTGCGTCCGAGTCGCCGCGCGCGGTCCCTTGCTTTCGTTATCGTGGTGGATCCGTGTCCTAGTGTCCTGGACCTTGGTCGCGTGGCGGACTGTGATTTTGATTTTCGACTTGTGGAACGCGGTGGTGCTGGATTCGCGTGCCGGTGACGACCGTCTCTGCGTCTCTGGCCTCTGGATCTCTGGCACACAGCCACGCGGGCGGCTGCCGCGTTCTCCAATTCTCTATATCGCATCCAGCGCTGGTGCCTTCCTTTGGCGGCCTCGACATTGTTGACCTCTGGCAAAAAGCGGCGCACCTCGCTCCGTATCCGTCCGCACTTTCCGGTCCAGGAGTTTAGCGTCGTGCTCATGGTCGTATACAACCAAGAGAATCACAATGACGTCGCACAGAACGGCGCGGGTCGGCGTCGCACCATCTCACTGGCATGGCGCACCTGGAGACGACAGATCCAGTGATCCAGTGAGCTGCATCACGCGTAACGTGCTTGGGCCGGAGGTTCCGAGTCTCGGACCAAGTCGATGGAAACCGACTTGGCTGGTTGGCTGGTTGGCTGCATGAGACTGGAGACGACACAGCTTGATCCCGATCCCGTATCCCGCCAGCATGCCACAACCACCAGTCCAGTGCGGTGCTCTGGCGAGACTTGAGTCGCAGGTCGCAGGCCGGTACGCGAGGTATGTGCCACGAGCCCCAGCGGCATCAATAGTGATCTTGGGACAAGGACAAGGACAAGGACACCGTGCTCTGCCAAGAACACACTGCCACGGGGGTACGAGCACCTGAACACCTGGACGCGGTGCGATGCCACACGGTATACGGTACACGGTACACAGGTGCCCTCTTCCTCCGGCAGTCTGTTTCTGCGACTGGAACAGTGTATGCCAAGAACACCAACCTGTTCTCGGCGTCCTCCCCTCCACACAGCAATGAGAAATCGTGTCCTGTGTGTGTCGTGAGAACAGCCCACACCTCATCAAGGCGGTGATCGTGAGGCAGGTGAGGCAGGACACCTAGATCAGCGCCCAAAGCCCTTGCCCATCAGCTCAGCTTCAACACACGCGTATCGCCACTGGAATGTGCCACGGTCCGGGCCGTGGCAGTCATCTCCCCAAGATCGCCTTGTCCAGAAGACCACCGCGACGGGGTGTGCGACCTTGTGAACGACCCCATTCTGCCATCCGTCGCTGGCCCACCTGCGCCAAGTGTGTGGTTGGCACAGGGGGGAGTATCGCGCCGGCCCCCAGATTCTTCGCTTGATGGAAAATCGGAGTGTGTCAACAGTTGCACCGGTACACCGGGGCAAAGCCACCGCCCCTCGTGCCACTGTCCCGCGTCTCTGTCCCCATCCTGGTCCAGGCGAGGTCGAGGGTGCTTTGCGTACACTTGAGGACTGTTCAGCAAAGACGATGAGACCACCCGCCATCGCATCGACGAGGGCAGTGCTTGTAAGCGAGTACGCGGTCAGTAAACACGGCCCCGACCAGTCGCCGGTCCAGCACCTCCGCCTCGGGCCGCTGCTGCGCACATGCGACATGAAATGCATATACACGCAACATCCGGGGTGAGCGGGGTTGTCGCGGACGGTGTTGGACGAGCGTGAGTGAGGAGGGGACGCGAGGGGATCCCGCAGGCCTGCCCCCCGCGGCTCTCACCTGTGCCGCCCAACGCCGCAATACAGTTGTTGTAAGGGTAGGTCGACACATCATCCTTCTCTCAAACTCTCCCCCCCGTCCCCGCCCTCGCTCACCACGGCTGGCGCGCGTCCTTTTTTTTATCTAGAATCCGCGCCACCACCACCACCGGCACCACTCCTCTCTACTCGTCGTCCTCGTCGTCGGACTGCTCCTCGAGGAAACGGACGAGGGCCTCGGTGACCTTGAGGAAGTGCTGCTTGCCGTTGGGCTTTGCGCCCTTCTGGTGCCAGTAGATGATGGCCTGGTCCGAGACGACGTCGGCGTTGTAGAGGACCTTGACGAGCTGGGGGAACGCCTTGAGGATACGCGTGTCCTGGTAGCAGTAGACCTGCATGGCGTTGAGGATGCCGATCTGGGCCTTGGCGGTGGACGCAAAGGGCTCGGCGGCGGGCGCGACCTGGTTGACAAAGGCGACGACGTTGGACTCGAGCTGGTCGGCGCGGGCCGACCAGTCAAAGGCCTTCATCCAGCCCTGGAAGATCCACTCGCACAGGTCGGCCTCGGGGGCCGGGCGCTCTGTCTGCTGCGTCTTGAGGTACTCGACGACCTGGTCGTTGGTGTCCTCGTCCTGGATCATGCGGGCGACGGCGGTGATGGTCTCCTCCTTGATCTCGGAGAGGGCGACCTTGGCGTACCAGTCGACGATCTGGGGGAGACCCTCGTTCTTAAAGTGGGCGTCGAGGTGGGCGCGGTCGCGGATCGCCACGGGGAAGACGGACAGGATGTCGCGCAGGCCCGAACGGCGCATCACGGCGCCGAGGTGCTCAATGGTCTGGCGCGAGAGGTAGACGCGGAAGAAGGTGGTCAGGAAGCGCAGCGCGACCTCGTCCTTGACAACGTGGTCCTTGGCGAGCGAGGTCAGGCACTTGGGCGCAATCTGGAGCTCGATGATGAGGAGCGCAACAGTCGACGCGAGCTTGTCGCGCGACGCAAGGTCCCACTTGCCCAGGTAGCCGAGGAGGTCGGGGAGGAACGAGTCCTCGAGGGGACGCTGGAGGTAGCGGTAGCGCTGCGAGACACGCTGGATGGTCTCGACAATGCCCTTGACGGGGTCCCAGTCGCCGAGCGCCTCGGCAGCCTCACCCTCGGTGGGCTGGAGACTGTAAAAGGGGCTGCGCTTCTCATCGAGGTACGAGCCACCGGGCTGGAGGAGGCCGCCGACAACAAGCGTCTCAAACAGCTGCTCGCTGTACTTGAGGAACTCGAGCGTCGTGCCCGCCTGCACGAGCTTGGTCACAAGAGCATCGGTGGTAGGGGGCGTGGGGATGAGCGCGAGGTGGAGGAGGAGCGAGTCGCGGAAGACTAGAAAACGTTAGCAAAAGGCCATGCAAGATTGCACAGTCCCGTCGTGTGAGATGTTTCTTTCTGTCGCCGCTCTGGGAGCAAAATGTGGAGCCAGAAGGAAACATTTTGTGCTCTTCCGGCAGCATGGCGACACGCTCTCCTCACAACGACGACACTATGGCTCTGTACTCACCCTCGGGCTCGAACTTTGCTGTAGCCTTGGCCTGGCCCTTGCGCTGCCTGATGCGAACACCAGTTAGGGTCGGCTTGGCAGCAGCACCGCTGGCATTACCGGGGGTCGTCGAGGTGGGCGTGTGAGACATGCAATGGGGCACGGGGGAGTAGGAGTGGTGTGGAAGAGGGTGGGGGGGAGGGAGGCAAGGAGAGAGGGGGTTGACGAACGGAGTGGTGAGTGAGAGAGGGGGGTGTGCGATAAGTGAGAGCTGTGGTTAATGTGGACGGTGTGCGTGCAGCTGCCAGTGACGCCCGGCGGCACCAGCGAGCACACCTCCTGGCAGACACTCTCTGGCCTCTGGGCGGCGAGCACGCAAACGGAGGCAGAATATCGTGGTCTGGCGGCGGCAACCGCTTACAGTGGATCAGTCCCCAGCGGCGAATATAGTGCCGCCGTTGTGGCACGCACACACTCACCCCCGTCATTGAATTGGCACCTCCCCACACGGCGGCCGTGCTCAACGCTGCGCTCGCTTACTCTGTGCAACATGTGCTGGTCACTTCAGACTACCATACATCCACTACGAGTGGCCCGCAAGATCGCTTTCCTTCCGCCATATTCAATATTTACAGAAGGGAAGGGGCAAAGAGGAAAGGACGGAGAGGGGAGGATAAAGAGAGTCACAGGTGGCGGCAGAGGGTTGGGAGAGAAGGTCGAGGAGCAGGGATCGGGGGGAGAGTGAGTAGTCGAGGGCCAGAGATGTCTGATGGGGGCCAGAGATGTCTGATGATATTCACATAAATGGACAGTGGGGGGGTGGGGGTTTTATGTGGGGTTTTTTTTCTACGCCTCGGTGGCGTCCATCGTCTGGTTGACACCTATTGCGTCAGAGCAGGGTTCTTTATACAACATCCTTACGGCGCTCCTTCTCCGACTCGAGCTGCGAGTAGAGAAGCATAAGGGCACGCTCGGTCGACTCGGCCGTGCCGACGATGGTGAACATGCGCTCGCCAGTCTCGTCGTGGGGGACCTTGGCAATCGAGATGCGCGAGCCCGAAAGGCGACGAATCTCGGTAATCTTGGAGCCGCCACGGCCGCTGAAAGCGTCAGTATGGTGTTCCAAGTCGCGCGTTCTTTTTGCTTTTGCTTACATGATGCAGCCAACCATGTCGCTGGGGATGGAGATGTTCTGGGTGCGGAGGTTGGGGTCGTTGACGACGGGCTGCGACTCGGAGGGACGACGCTCGCCGGCGCCGGCCGACATGGAGCCGCGCGAGACACGGCGGTCGGGGCCAAAGCCAGCGGGGGGAGCGCCAAAGCCGCTCATCGAAGTGCGGCGGATGCCACCGGTGGGGCCGGTGACAGTGTTGGCGCCGAGGCCGCCGGCGAGAACACCAGCGTCGCCCGCGGCGCCGGGGTGGTACTGGACAGTGCCGACGTTGCGCTCCCAGTCCTCGAGAAGGCACTTGGCAATCTCAAAGACGGCAGTCTTGATCGCGTCCTGGGCACCCTGGACCTCGACAACACGCTCGGTCGACTGGGGGAGCATCTCCTTGGAGGCAACCATGCGCGCGCCAGACATGTCCTGGATCTGCTTAATCTTGACACCGGCGCGGCCGATGACAGTGCCCATGAGGTTGTGCGAGATGAGCAGGCGGATCGAGGTAAAGGCGACAACGGGGGGAGGAGGAAGCGACGAGTCCGAGAGCGGGGTCTCGAGAAGGAGGTGCGCAACCTCGGCGTACGCGGCCGCAATGGCCTCGGGGTCGCCGCTGACGCTCAGAACACGGTCCTGAACACCGGGAACAACCTTGGAGACACCAGCCTTGCAGCCGGCGGCGTTGCGAATGCTCGCAATGGTCGATCCAGCCTTGCCGATGATGATACCGGCCTCCTTGGTCGAGACAAGAGCACGGAGCGTGAGCTCCTCGGGGCTGCCGGCAGAGCCCTGGCCGTCAGAGGCGATCTGCGCAATGGGCGCGTCTGGATTCTTGTCAACATGGAGGTCTCATTTCGACGCGTGGGCGGGCGCGCGCGCGCGCGCGTAGACGCGCCATTTTCTCGGGTCCCGACGTACCAGAGTCGGCCATTGTGAACGGGTACAGGGGGGTTGGGGGTGGAGGTGGAGAGAAGAGGGGATGTCCAGGAAGGATGCGTGCGAGAGAAGGCGCACGCGAGGATCGAGGAGGGAAAGAGACGGAAGTTGAGAGAGGGGGGGGGAGGGGGGGAAGGCGGGGAGGAGGAGGGCGAAGGGGGGAGAAGGGGGGGAGAGAGAGGGGGGTGAGGGAGGAGGAGGAGGTGAGAGGGAGAGGGGCGGAGAGGGAGGATGAGGGATGGATGGAGAGGATGGAAGGAGGGATGGATGGCAAGAGAGAGAGGAATGCCAATGTTGCACCGCGGTGCAGCACGCGCAGCCACCGGTCGTGCGTGGGGGGGGGAACGACAGCGCTACAGCGGGGGCAACGGGGTGGCGTGGGTGGCAAAAATAACAGGCCCACGGAAGCTAATGCAGTGGGTTCGTTAATGCAACGCTGCGGCTTTTGGGTGTGTCCAGGCAGCTTGGGTTTGTATAGGATATGCTAAAAGGGTGTGCACCATGAGCCTCTTTGTCCTCGCTGTAGCATGCATGTTGTCGCTGTTGCACTGGAACACCTACGGTGAGAGGTATCCGAAGGTGCTTTGCCACAACCGGCGTGCACCGCCTGTGGACACTGTGGCGGGGTGCCACAGTGTGATCCATTTACTTCCGCCTTTGTGACGTGTCATTGATGTTACAAAGCCCTGTCGAAACCGCTCAAAAGATTTGCTCCCGCTCGCCCCTGCGCCCCCGCCGTGGTCGTTGAAAACCCCTCTCAGTCATCATCTTCTGCTTTCTTCAACCTTTCAAGCTAGGACTGCATACCTTGCACAGCTAAGGTCATCAACATGCAGATCTTCGTCAAGACGTAAGTACCGACAGCGCCATCGATAGCGACGGCGACGGCGACGACGACAACAACACCGAACACGGCGCTGACTCTTCCCCCAGCCTTACGGGTAAGACGATCACCCTCGAGGTGGAGTCTTCGGACACCATCGACAACGTCAAGTCCAAGATCCAGGACAAGGAGGGCATCCCCCCTGACCAGCAGCGCCTCATCTTCGCCGGCAAGCAGCTCGAGGACGGCCGCACCCTTTCGGACTACAACATCCAGAAGGAGTCGACCCTCCACCTCGTCCTCCGCCTGCGTGGTGGTATGGCCAAGAAGCGCAAAAAGAAGCAGTACACTACCCCCAAGAAGATCAAGCACAAGCACGTCAAGGTCAAGATGGCCGTCCTCAAGTGTGAGTACACGAGTTGAGATGGTGCCGGATGGGAAGAAAAAGCGATGTGGCGCCGATCGATTCGGGGCGCAAGTTTTGTGGCACCGATCGTCCACACCCCACATTCTTGCTTCCTTTCGTCGAACATAGACCTCTACTCTTCGTGGAACACTTCACTGACATGCAATAGACTACAAGGTGGACGCCTCTGGAAAGATCCAGCGTCTTCGTCGCGAGTGCCCCCAGGTGCGTGCCATCATTACGTAATGTGGAGGGTGGGAGGATCGTGGTCAAGGGCCGTGGTCTTCCCATCTCCTTCCTCCTTCAACGTCTCCCCACTCCCCATTTGAACAAAGCTGACTTACAAAAGCCCTCGTGCGGTGCGGGCGTCTTCATGGCCCTCCACAAGGACCGCCAGTGTGAGTTTGCATCATTGTTGGCGTCAGCGCCGTCCCAGTTTTCATCCTCGAAAGAGTTTGACTCCTCGTTCGAGTTGACGTCCTCATACTCTCTTTTTTGTTCTGTTGCTGACGGTTGCAGCCTGTGGCAAGTGTGGGACCACCTACATGTTCGAGCAGTCGGCTTAAACTGCCTGCTACTCGAGCTTGTGCCATCTTCGTTGGAATCGCATCTGTTCGACCTGAGCAGAGCGTTTGGTGTTTGTAGTCGCAGTTCCTCTGTAGACTATGGAATACTTTCTAGCGTTCTACCGTTCTGTTGCAGTTCATTTACCGCCTTAGTTCAGACGGGACTGACGCTCTTATTCACGGGCGCGAGGGAAGTGGATTCGTTGGAGTCATGGACGTGGATAGAAGACACTGAGTGTTAAGAGAAGGGAGTAATTACTGAACCAGACGCCCGTCGCCACACACACACACACACACACACACACACACACACACACACACACACACACACACACACACACACACACACACACACACACACACACACACACACATCGTCATCCTGGGTCCACTGTTAATACCCGCTCGCCCACATACCCGACCGCAGGTGGTCTCTTCATCAAGTGCTCGCCTGAGCTTCGGGACGGATGCGACCTAGGGCTCCTCGGAGTCGTAGAGTATGCAAATTGTTATGCTCTTAGCTGTTGCAACGTGAGCGTACGTACTGCCCCAGCTGTAACGTGGCACGCAGTAGTTTTTTTCTTTCTTCTCATGATCCCTGTGCAGCGTCCGCAATGCAGCTCACTTGGCGTGCAATGCCGAGTTAATGCGATCACGTTCACATGACCGGCAAGCACCTGGGACACCACTCAGCCATCCCAAGGCGAGTGTCGCGTGTGACATTGAGCGGCACGCTGCTGCACGCTCTCCGTTGTTACGCATCACACCATTCATCGCTGTTGACCATAATGAACTTTGGCAGCACTGTACTTTTAGGCTATACATCTCCGTGCCGCATGTGTGTAAACATTACGCATACCCATAACTATACCGCCGGAGCACAGCCATTACTCGAGTCTGAGCGGCTGCCTGGTGGCGAGCTGTCTGTTTGCACAAGGTGTCCTCGAGTTGTTCATTTGCGTGTGGGAGTGAGAGGAAACGTGGGCAGTATTGCGTGTTGCAAGTTGTGGCTGTTGAGGTGTAGTCTCACAATCAAGCTAGTGTGCTCGAGTTTGATGAGATGGCGCACGCTGCGACAAGTCAGATTTGCGCCTCAAGTCTGGTTCTCAAGTATACCTACTCTCACTTGCCATCCTCGTCCTCCTCGTCCTCCTCGTGCTCGCTGTCGTCATCGCTCATGCGGCGCGACGCGCGCGTCAACGTAGCTCCACTGGGAACCGACGTCCGGGCAACCTTGACGGCGACCTTGAGCGTGGCTTTGACTTGACGTTCTGGTGCATGCCTCTTTGCAGATGCCTCGCGATCGGCGGCAATCTTCTTCAAGGTCTTTCCGTTCTTGGCTTCAATCTTGGCTTTACCAGCCTCGCTGTTTGCAAAGGCTTGATAGCGACACGCGACACATATCTTAGGCAGGTCAGCAGACGTCGGAATATCGTTGCTCACCCTGGGTCCGCCTCTCTTTCCTCCTTTCTTGCCCTTCCAGTGCCACACCAACAGTACGCCATTGCACTCAGCAGCTCTTGCCTGGGGCTGGGGGCACCGCACCCTTTGGTCCGCCGCCGTTCCTCACCAACAGAGGGACTAAACTTGAGCTGAGACCAACATGCGTTACACGCCTTCCATGTCAGCGGGGTAATGGAAATAGCACTTACTCTTCTGTCACTGGGGATGAGGGGATGGTTGTGCATCCGGGAGCCGACCAGGTCGCAATTGCAGACCCCACAGCGTTCGGGACGCGTGGCGGTCGTTGGCGCGGCTGTAGACGTGGCGGTGGCAGCGTCACGCGCGGGTGGTCGAGCTCGAGCTGGTGTCAGATGGTGTGGCTTTGGCGCCGTCCTACAATGGAGTCTTGTGACCCTTGACCTGAAGCGCTCCACTGTCCGCGCACGGCATGCAGGCCTGTTGTGTAAGCTATATAGATGCCTCGTCTCGATCCATAACTTACGCAGCCAGCGATGGTTGTGCAGGGAAACCACACTGTCTGTCATTCGGCTCTTGCAGCCTGGTGTGGCGCAAGCTGCAGGGATGGCGCGGGCGTAGCTGTGGCGGAGGAACCGGCGGTAGCATCTTTGGCAGACCTGTCAAGTATCAACACCATGTTCATTTCCATGTCGGCCCAAGTTCTCACATTGCCATCATGGATCTGGCGTGCGTCGAGCGTCGTAGCATTCTTTCGACCCACACTTGCTGCAGCCGACACGGCCGCCCGAGAGGTGGCACTTGCGCACAATCGGGGTGCCACAGACGTCACAAGGACGAGTGACGAGGAACCGGGGGTCGAGGGTGGTGGTGGTTGGCGATGATGGAATGAGCTCGGCCGAGGCGATGCGGGCGATCTCGGAGATTGGGGTGAGGCGGGGGGAAACGAGATGGCGGGCAGTGGGATACTGAGCTAGAGATGCCACAGTCGAAAGGCGCGTCTTCGAACCGAATCTGGGCAGCCTGGTCGCTGGCCTTTGACAGAGCACGTACAGTTTGCTCCCAGCGCACGAAACGCTCGTTGGTGCGGCTGCAGGCCCCGCAGATATCCTCATGGTACCGTCTTCTCCACAAGCAACGCATCCACCCGACAGACCCAGGTCCTCGTAGAAGGAGCGCTTGGCTTCCTCAAAGCTCTCGGGTGCTTGACGCGCCGCCCTAAGCTGCTGCTTCACTTCAGCAGCGAAGGTGGGGTAACGAAGCGCCGACTCGATGTCGTTGTCGCCGTTCGTCTGCCACATGGCGAGCAGCTGCGGAGAGGGTTTGTAGAGTGGTGCCAGCTTGATGGGACCGGCAATCACGCCTCGCCTGCAGAGCGTGCTCAGAACGCGCTCAAACAAAATCTTGTTGGTCGCGTTCCAAAGTTGGCGGACCAGAGCCTGGCAGCGATAACTGCCTCGGAACTGGTTGACAGCCCAGAGCTGGATGCGGGCGTTGCAGGCTAATGGCTGCGCGCGGCCCGGGCGAGTGTGGCAATCGCGGCCGAAGAGGGTGTTCAAGGGGTGGTATCCGATGCCAGCATGACAGTGGGCAAGGCCACTCTCGCGGTCACGACCGACACACAGCACGTCACCGGCCGCATTCGTGCGGACGTGGCCACTACAGTAGAACGTCCTTTGGTGTGTCCACGGTGGGTGGGAACCGAGCAGAGCATGCAAATGAGAACCGCTTGAGGACAGCCGCGCAAAGCAGTAGCACTTGGCCTGTCTGCGTTGTGGCTGGGTCGTACATGAGCACTGGCATACCTCGCCGTTCCGGAGAAGAGGCACTGTTGAGCCGGTTGACGCGCGGGGCCCTGACTCGTCAACACAATGTCTCGAACATAAAACCCAACTGCGGGACATTTCTCACCTTCTCTCAACTTCATCAATTTCCGGCATCCACTCTTTCCACTCGTCCAGCAGCTTCTTCGTCTCGTATCTCCGTTCTCCAGACGTCCATTCAGAGGAGTATCCGACAAGCACATCCGTGATTGAAGGAAGTGGGAGCGGGACGATGAACTCGCGCAAGTCGAACTCTTCGCCGTCAAGCTCGTCGACGAGACCAAGGAAACGCTCAAGCCGGCCCTGGATGGCCACGACCTTTGCGCGCATGCCGGAGGTGAGCAAGTCCCGGTGGGGATACCCCCAGGCAATCGTAAGTGCAGCTGCGCCGTTCATGAGGCCGGTGATGAGGTCAAAGACCTCGTCATCAACGGCGGCGGTCGGGTGGTGGCACAGGCGCAGGGAAATGGCTTGGAGAACAACCAGAGCGTTGGGCTTTCCGCCCTTGAACTGGTTGATGTGGGCCGAGGTTTCGGCGGTGTTGCCAATAGAGTGGTACGACATGGGGTCCGGGCCAACGTGGTTGGTCTGGTCGGGCGACCAGCGAAAGCTTTCGAAGCAGTTCTTGAGGATCCATGCACGCTGCAGGCGCCGCGGTGCGGTGGTCAAGCTCTCCCGCGTCGGCGAGGGGCCCATGTCGGTAAAGGATTTGTGATAGGAATCCCTTACCGCCTTGAACATCTCCATGAAGGGGAGCCCTGGGGGAATGTTTCGACCTTTCAGAACATGGGGCGCTGCAGAGTGACAGCCATTCCCAACCCCCCCCCCCCCCCCCCCCCCCCCCCCAGGCATCCATGTAGACGCCGTCGCGAGCCATCTCCGTGAACGGAGAGCTTGGTGGCCGATTCCCATGCCGACCTTTAAGGCTTTATACGCCACGGCATGTGCTAGGCAGTTACCGTCGCCGGGAACGTCAAGGAGGTCCTTGCGTTCTCGTCGGGCGGCGAATGTCAAGCGAACAAGATTCTGAGCTGAGGTGAACGCATCGTTTGGTTGGCGAGGAGAGGTCACCCCAAAGCGCTGTGAGGTCAGCACTCATTCCCATTATCCCATGGCGACGACAACATACTTGGTGGGCGTGGTTCACGAGGTTACAGGGAGTGATGGGGTCGTGGCCCTGGTCTATCTGCCGGTCCTGGTAGTGTCAGCCATTCAACCGTGTACACTAGCTAGCTGTACGGCGCTCACGCCGTCGGACCTCACGCTCGCTCGGGATACCGTGCTTGGCTGGATGGGCGACTCACTGTCATTCTCAGGCGACTACAGCGTTAGCTACTACCATACCCGATTGCCACACTTTGATGGTTTGACCAGACTCATCAGCGCCCTTTTGTGTCCCTTCTGCTCCCCCATTGCGGAGAGTAGGTGCTGAGGTGGCAACTGAGGGTCAGAACCGTTTCCAAACCGACACGGCCGGCCGCCAGGTACGAACAGAAATAGATGTGAACAACTCCTGGTTGTTGATGATTAGGGGTAGAGGTGAAGAGCAGTTGAGCTTTCATGTGTGTAGGGCCCTTATGAAGGCAGCGGGGCCGTGTCTGGCCTCCTGGTGCGCCCCTTCACTAGTGTCCGCACTTCTCCCCCACAGCTTGAGCAGGTCAGGTATGCTCAGCATATCATCACACTAGCGCATATCCATGTAACATTATTGGGATACAACCCGCAAAACCCACGGTCATAACAATGCCGCGATAGAACGAGCAAAGTGGCGACAGCGAAAAAGCCGTACAAATTGCCCTGAAAATCGAAATTTGTCTGCCACACCATGGAGCGGTCTCGTACATTGCTTGACAGCTGTTGATTCTTCGCATCATTCCAGTCCATGACCACAAGCGCGAGTACACCTTCCCACATTGGTCCCCTCCCCTCCATGTACCGGGACGAGGCAAGAAGGTCATGCCAAGGTTTTCTCAGCAACGCCAGTTCCACGACCCACCTAAGTCGTTCCGCCTGGGATTCTCTTCATCCCATGCATAAGTAATTCAAGCATGTTGTAAACTGTGGTTGTCAGGTGGTTGTAGAAGTTGAAGATAGGATTTGGAGATTAACTGTAGTTGAGGTCTCTATCATGATGCCAGATAATGCGCGGCGGCGAGAGCATCGATGGGTTGATGGTTGATGGTTGAAGTGGCTGATCTCGCCGATCTGGAGCTCCGCGCGCGCTGCGCCCTGCACACGTCAACCACGCTCGACTGGCAACTAAACACACGGCACACACGCCCCTCCCCTTCTTCTTTTCACACACTTCTCCTCAACCATCACCACCTCACAAAACGACCTTCTTCTTCAACAATGTCGGCCCAAAAGGCCGCGGGACGTCGCCGGCAGGCGGCCGCTTCCCCCTGGGCGCTCGCACCTCGCGTCACCATCGACCACACCGCCTTCCCACACATCATGGATATGATTATCAGCTACACCACCCACAAAGCGTGGCTGCTCTTGCGCCAGACGTCGCGAGCCTTCCGTGACCGCATGGAAGCTCGTATGTGCTATCACGTCCAGATCACCGAGGACCACGGCTTCTGCTTCCCCGCGGTCAAGAAATCCCAACGCAAACACATGCGCATCCCTTGCCTGCGTCTCGAACCACCATTCCTCGAACGCACAGTCAACTTGCTCAGCCAGTATCTGCGTGTCTTGGACGATAACGCGGACATGGTTCGTGACCGCACCGAGCCGGATGTTTTCACGGACTACATTCCGCCGTTTGACCCTGCTGTGGCTTTTTGCCGCCTCCGTCTTGTCCGTCGTGATGTCGGTCGCCTGAAAATACACGTTCCAAAATGTGTCTGGTGGGGGCGCCTTCCAGCCGCATTTGCCCCTGACCATGACCGTACTCACGACTGGTTCAATTTTCTCTCAACAGGAACTCTCTCTCTTGAATCGTCATTTGCTTCCCGCGCTCAAGTATTCCACTACGACTATGACAAGAGGTCTGTGGTATTCCCGCCTGAAGACCTGGTCATTATCCCCGGTTGGGACGACGCGGAGACGTTTGTGTTCATCTTCACGGAACACCGTCGCAAACGCTTTGCCTTCGGCACGGACGACAGCTCTCGCGACCGTCATGATGAACTTGTCGAGGCCGACATGAAGAAATACGCGCAACTCGCCGGTGCCCAGTGCGGCCGTCTTCCTGGCGACGTAGAGCTAGATCAGATTGCAAGTCTCATTGGCGTACCGGATGCCCTCCGGATGCCCGAACCTGTCAAACTCATCATCGTCGGTCTTGAAGAACTCATCGATACGGCGGCTCTGCGGTTAGACGATTCAGAGGAGGAGATGAACGCCTCACCACACGAGCTCCTTTACTCGCAGCTCGAAGCTCATTGCGAAGTGGAGGTCGGACTTACTTCAAGCGAGGCCGCCACCTTCTTAGAGCGCATAACCTTCATGAGTCACGAAGACTACGCCGCCCATGTCGGTTATGAGCAGTACCGCCTGGAAACCAGTCGCATTGCCCGCGCTGAGCCCAGCGCTCACCATTTCCCGTTTCAGTGATGTGCCCTTCCTGGACAGAGTGGCTCAACCTCAAGTAACTGTCCATAGAACCTTGGAGTTTACGCTACGATACATGCTACACAGAAATCTTGTAGTTCACGATGAAACGCTACAGCGCCAACCAGTCACTCGTGGTCTGAAGCGAGGAAAGGGCCAAAAATCACTGCGAAATGCCAACCAACAGTGACGACTTGCAACCTACGGGCCACGGGCGAATAGAGAAGCAATCTGTGCTGCAGCCAGACGTTTTGGCGACTGGGAGGGTTTCTCGTTGGACGGGAGCCGCCACTGTGAGCTGTGAGGAAGGTGTCGCCCATAGTAACGTGACTGCGGATGCCCTTCTCGGCGATGTGTTTCAGTGTCAGCCCATAAGAAGGTAATAAGTGAGAGGGTGTACATTGTACTGCCTCGTCATCGGGCACAGATCCCTCACGGTTCTTCTCATGCATTGCCATCACGCAGCTGCACGCACGACGTCGGCAGCTTGGCAGCGCATGTAGCGCTGTTGGCCGAGATTTGTTGCCGCTCTGGGGACCCCGGGTTGGACGGCGAGACGCGACTCCTTTCCTGACGACCAGTCTCAAACCACTTTGCAGCAGTCTCATCCCTTCACCTGATCACCTAGCCTGAAGCCATGCTGTCTGCCGCTGGAGAGACTGTGTCTAACGCTCGTCCTCCCATCCGATGCCTCATCGACCACACGGCGTTTCCTGAAATCGTCGACCTCATCTTCAGCTACGCAACATACGCCGACTCGCTTGTTATCCGACAGACCTCACGTGCCTTTCTGGCGCGCATGGAGGCCAAGCTTTGCCATCACGTCTTCTATGACGGCGAGTACCTTTACCCTCCCCGCCGGTATCGGTGCGAGGCAGATATCAAGCCCATACCCTTCCTCCGGCTTGACCGTCCTTTCCTTGAACGCACCATCCAGCTTCTCACCAAGCACACCCGCATACTGGATGATGGAGACTGTGGGAGCGGGGAACCACCGTTCAAGTATGCCGACGTTTTCCGCAACCTGCGTTGCGTCCGCCGTGACAGACAAAGCTACCAGACCGTGACCGGCGCCAAAGCGGTCCTGTGGCAAGAAATACCGACGTTTGCGCATCATCAGATGGAATGGGACAGCATGATATGCTGCACTAGCGACCACGTTGATGGCTTTGGTACACTTGTGTTTCACTGCTCGTACGACAAGCGGTCCGTGGTGCCTTGTCCGTTTCCTCCCACAGAGCAGTTCAAACTACCTCTAGCGAAGATGGTTTACATCTTTACGTACGACCCATCAATCTGCGATGGGCTTGGGCACTTGGGTTGCGACTACTCCAACATTGAAGAGTGGCGCAGGAAGGCGCAAGTGTACGACCACAGATGTGGCCGTGGAGTTGCACTCTATGACGTCGGGGCTGTCATCCAGACGATAGGGCTCGCCGAGGCAAAGGATGCGCCCAACCTCGCCAGCCTCGAAATCGTCATTGTCGGTATGGAGGACGTTGTTGACACGCCGTCTCTTCCGGGCGAGGACGACGACTCGGCCTTCGACCGCCTCCGGAGCAGCATCATAGAGCTGTTCAAGTCCCAGCACGGAATGTCAGCCGCCATGGCCGACCTGCTCGTTGGCCAGATCACGTTTATGACCCATGAAGACTACAAGACCGACATCGGACCAGTGGAATACCACCTCGAGACTAGCCAGGCCTGTTGGGTCCATCCGTAGTGTGCCGAGGCCGCTGTGGCGTGTCCATGGCCGCGTGTGTCACCCTAGGACGGTCGCCACTGCCGACGTGCCCGTCTTCGCAAGAGCCCACCCGTCAAGACCATCCCCATCAGCGTCGATCTGTCAAAAGAACCCTCATCGCTAGCTGCTCGTTCCGAGCAACCTGCCGTTCACGACCGCTGCACCAGGAACAGCCTTCTTCGCATACATTCCAATCCTCGACCCCGAGCGCGGAAACACCTCCTTGCATTGCCCACCCTCTCCGTACATGCACAGGCATAGCATATCGCTGGACATTCCGTAGTTTACCTGTATGTATATAATCCAGCATCTCTCGTAAAATGGCACAAAAGCTGTATGCCAAAAGGTAGTGTTCTCTCCTCTCCTCTCCTCTCCTTCTCTCCTTGTCTTTTCCCTGCCACAGACAACCACCTCCTCCTCCCCTCTAGTTGAGGAACCCAGTACAGTTCTCCGAACCACAGAGACACACGAGTCTCTGGCCCGGATCGCTCTCGAGCTCAAACTTGTAATTGTACAAGATTTCGTCTCCGGGCCGCAACACTTTCTTGGCGTAAATGACAATCTTGCTCTGGCCGTTGATACTGATAATCTTGGCCGAGGCGCTGGGGTCGCACGAGTGGTTGATGAGGCGCGACACCGAGCCGCGGAACGTTGCGTCGCAGACCGTGTCGCCGTCGATCCTGAACAGGTACGACGAACCGATGCCTTGCTTGAGGTACCGGTGTTCGCGAATCTCGGCGACGGTCGAGCGCACTAGTTCGCCAACGTACTCGCACACCATCTCGCCGGGCTGGATCGTCTCCATCGCGTACAGACCGTAACCCTCGATGGCGGAACGGGCGAACCGCAGCTGTTTCTTACGGATACACAGCTGGTTGAACGCAAACAGGTCGCTGGCGTCTGCGGCCGCGGCGGCACTGGGCGCGGCGGCCTTGCGGTGAATGTCCATGTCGAGGGCAAGACGACGGCCGGTGATACGTGCCGTGCGGCCGGCAGCGAGGCCGGTGGCCGTGGCTGCATCTTCAGCGGCAGTGGTCGCGCGGTTGCGTTGTGGCAAATAGGCGGATTTCTGGATGGGCGGAATCTTCTTGCGGCCCTCTGCACGCCACGCTCCCGACGTGTGGAACAGCGGATGTGCGCCGTCCAGCTCTGGCTCGCCGTCCGAGAGGTCCAGCTCGTCCTCGGCCGCACCAGCAAGTGCCTGGCCTAGCCAAAACGCATCCTCGTCGTCGACGACTGCGCCAGACGTCATGAGCTTGTCCAGCGCCGTGGCCTTGGGCTTGGGCTTGGGTTTCGGCTTGACCTCGGCGGGGACAGTAGGGACGTGGATCTCGGCAACAGCGGGGACGGGTTCAGCAGCCACCTCGACCTCTACCTTGACAGCGGCGGCGGCGACCTTGGCCTTCTTCTTGGCCTCCTTCTCCTTTGGTTTTGCCGCGCGCTTCTTGGAGACCTCTGCCTCGTCCTTGGGTGACAGTTCCTCCTTGACAGCCTTGTCGACGACCATGGGCTCATCGTCATCGTCGTCGCTCTCAGCCACGCGCTTGGCGGCGGGGCGGCGGACAACTCCTTCATTGTCGTCGTCGTCACTGCTCTCACTTGACGTGTAGCTAACAGAGTGGCGGCGGCGGCTGCTGTCGAGGGCGACCTTTTTGGAGCGCTTGGGACTGAGGAGGGGCGCGGCGGCGCGGCGGTTGGGTGCGGCGGACGGGTGCTTCTTGGTGATGGTGAGGAAGCGCCAACCGCCCTTTTCAGGCGTGGCAGGTGCTGCACCACCCAGACCAGTGGCAGCAGCAGCAGCAGCTGCAGCACCAGAACTCTTGGCGGCCGCCGTGCGCACCTCAATAGAAAGCCGGTGGCCCTGGACAGCGGTATTGTCCAGCAAGCTGCGAGCACGGTACGCCGCCTGGTCGTCGCCAAAGAGAATGTACCATCCGACATGGTTGTGGAGCACCGCCTCGGGCTTGAAGGAGCGGAAATGCGCCTCGACGTGCTCTTCCATCACATCGCTGCCGTGCTTGAGGCTCTTGGCGTCGATGAAGACATACGCACGCGAGTTGGTCGCCAGTGCCGTCTTGACTTTTTCCACTGCCGCCTCGTCGGCCGCCTTGCGGTCAACGTCGGCGCGAGCCGTGCCGCGTGCGCGGATGGGCGGAGATCCTCCGCGGCGGTACGCTGGGCGGTTGTCCGAGTCTGAATCGGACGAATAGGACGAGACCGAGCGCGAACGGGAACGGGAGCGCGACCTCGACCTCGATGAGTGTATGGGCGAGTACAAGTCACTGCGGCTACCAAACCTTGACGCAGACGGACCGTGAAAGTCGCGCGAAAAGTCCTGGAACGTACGAAAGTCGCGCGAAACGTCTTGCGTGCCGCGTGCGCCATAGCCCGTGTCGCGCTGCTGAAACCCGCGCACGGGAAGCGAACGTGACAGGCTGGAAAAGTTGCGGCCAAACGAATCAAACTTGGGAGGTGGTGGACGGCCACGGGCACTGGCACCGGGTCCGAAGCGAGGCGGAGCAGGCTCGCTTTTAGGCTGCAGAGGTTCGATGGGTTTCGGCGCGGCAGGCGGCGGCGGCGCCGGAGCGGGGGCAGCAACAGGCTTGGGCTTGGGCTTGTACCGCCGCTCCATCTCGTCCTTGACTGCTTGGATAGCCCGCAAGCCACGGCCGTCGAGGACGACTTTGACTCTTTCGCCGTTTGCCAGACCCACACGCTGGCCCGTACATGCCTTGACGGCCAAGACTGCTGCGTCGTGTGCGGTACCCTGGCGACCGGGAGCTGGGCCGTCAAACTTGACCCAACAGATACCGAGCTGCATGCCGCTCTTGGTGTCCATCTTGGCGTCGAGCTCCTTGATACGTCCGTGGGGGCGCAGGAACTTTGTGATCTGGTCGACGGTGGTGAGCGCGTTGAGGCCGGTAAGGAGCACAGCGGTAGGAGGGGGAGGAGGCTGGGGACCAGGCGAATTCTCGTCCCATTCGTATTCGAGCGTGTACAGCAGAGATCGCTGCTTTTGGCCTCCGGTACCGCGTCCACGGACGTCGGCCGCCTGCTTGAGTCGTGGGTCGTGCACCGTAGGTGACACGCCGTCGAGGACACCATCAAAGCGCTTGACGTCGGCGCCAGTCTTGGGATCCTTGACGTAGAGGAAAGAGCCGGCGCCAGGGCGACGAGAAACACAGGGGGGAGGCTTGTATGTCTCTGGCGGTGGGGGAGGGGGTTCGTGCGAAGGGGGAGGAGGAGGAGGGGGGTGGGGAGCTGATGGTGCCGACATGGACGCTGGGCCAGTCGGCGTTGTCGAGGGTACACGTGCTGACGCCGGTCCAGCTGGGGGAGCCTTCTTCCATGACGCTGGGCCTGTAGGGGTCCCCTTGAACGAGTGAGGGGATAAGGGGCGCGATGGGAGGCGATGGTCAAGCGCGGGCGGGTCGCGTGGTGGAGGTGGAGGAGGAGGGGAAGATGGCGGTGGTGGTGGGGACGTCTCTGGTGGTGGGGGCGCGTCGGCAGGTGGTGAAGGAGGAGGAGGTTGTTCGCGTGGAGGGGGCGGGTGGGGGAGGAAGGGCCGTTGCTGGAGTTGTCGTCTGGGCCATTGAGCGCACTGGCGACGAGCGAGAGTCGCGGCGCCGGCCATGTCCGTTCATCTCGTTGCCGCCCTTGTCTGGCGACGACCTCTTTGTCGGGGATGGATACCGGCCACCTCTCTCTGGCGAGCCATAGCGGCTCTTTTCTGGCGAGCTGTAGCGATCGTACCGTTCATACCGGTCGCCGCGTCCGTCGCGTCGCCTGTCGCGTTCACGATCACGATCACGATCACGTCCGGGGTAGTATCGCTCGCCGCGGCCCCCGTCGCGGTCCCGGGATGGCTCCGGGTAGTACCTATCCACGCGTTCACGCTCCCTCGAGTGTGATCTGCGCCTCCGGCGTTCCGGGCTGGGTGACCGTCGTCTGTCCCAATCTCTGTCTCTGTCGCTGCGGTGATCGCGGTCGTGTCGGTCCCATCCATCTCGATGGCTGTCGCGATCACGTTCGCGTGACGGTCCGGCGCTCCACCGCAAGTGCTCGCCATTACGCGGTGGGGGGAGACCCTGCGCGTGTGTTGGCTTGGGCGGCAACGACGCCGCGCCGCCTCCTCCTCCTCCTCCTCCACCACCACCACCAATAGACGAGCCCGAGCTGCTAGACCCGGAGGCGGCAGCAGCGGCCACGGCGAGCAGAGGGTTGAGCGGGAGACCAGCTGTCGGCGCGCGCGCGTCGAGGGATAATGGTGTCGGCAAGCCCGCGGCTTTTAGCTTTGAAGCGCCGGGGATCGCAAAGGAGACGCGTGTCGAGGCCGAGCTCGTGCTCCCCGACGCAGATGCGCCGCCGTTCGGATGCCCAGAGCCAGACATCTAGAGCGGCATGTGGTAGTGGGTGGAGGGTGTCCGGTGGCAACGCGCAATGAAAGGAAAAGGCGTGTGTGCGAGCGTGTCTATGGATTTTGGCAGGGAGAGCAAGAGGTTGTGAAGGATTACGCGCGTGCTATAGGATACACGTCTTGGGGATTTCTGTATGCTGTGTGCCGAGAACTTGTTGATGGGTACGGGTCTGTTGGACGGTGGAAGATGGGTGACTGACGAGTGGTTGTGCGAGCAATGCACGAGACCCCTTCTGGCTCTTTGATGTCAGGAACACCGCGTCTGCCGCAAAGGGTTCACCGACAATCGCTGGGCCGAAAATATACAGGCGTGCGAACAGGTGGAGCAAGCGAGTGGGGTGCCTTGAACACCGCGCGCCTACAGTTTTGATGTCATGTAGCTTGTGCTGCATCCGTTCGTCCGTCCTGTTGTCTATACTACACTCTCCGGATACAACCACCGTGTCCTATGCTTCACCTTCCTATCGTCGACCTAGTCCAACTCGGTACGAGCACGCTTGGTGGGGGGCTCGTCATCGTGAGCCTTCTGGCGAGCCTCCGTGTGGAGTAACGTGACGATCTTCTTGGACGCAAGTGCAGTGTTGGCCGTCGCCGTGAGCGTGTCAAACTCTGGAGACTCGTGAGCTGGTATACCCTCTGGTCTCTGGCCTCTGGGCCGACGTACTGGTGAATGTCTCGGCCATGTAAGCCTTCATATTGACGACGACCTCCTTGGAGTAGTCTGAGGGTTAGCTCGCTTCCGGTCGCGAAACCCACCATCGTACGCCACAGAGTTGGAGTGCTGGCTCTCCTCGGACGACTTGGCCGCGCGGTTCCACAGGTCGTCGAGCGAGATGCCCTCGAGAGGATCAAAGGGCGTGCTAAACTTGGGAGCGTGGAAGTAGCCCTGAGAGTCAGCGGCGAGTGTGGGAGTGCAGCACCAAGTCACCTTTGGCGCGGTGGCCTTGGGCTGCGAGGGGGTCTTGAACTGGGAGACGTCGAGGTCGTCAAACGTCTCGACGTGAGTCGGGTCGTCCTCGGGGTTGGCATACTTGCGCTTGGCGGAGCGAGCGAGAACGTCGTGGTTTGCCTCAGCCGCGGGGAAAGCAAGTGGCTCCGCCTGGGTGAAGGGGTTGGACTCGCCGAAGTCGAGCTGAGTGGGGACAGGCGCGGCAGCGGGCTCGGCGGCCCTGGTGGCGTGGGGCTGCTGCATGCTGTTGTTGCTGGCAGTCGAGGGCTGGCCGAGGCCACTGGGGCCATTGGCTGGGAGGGAAGGAAGGTGTGGGCTTCCTTGAGGGCCAGGTTCCAGGGACCATCGTCCTGGACGGCGTGCTTGTGGTGGGTCTGCGCCTGGTGGAGTTGGTGAGAGAAGGCGTTGAAGTCTGCTTCAAAGTTGTCAAAGCCGAAATCGATCTCGCTGGCGTTCAAGTTGGGTGCAAAGTGGTTGCTGGGCTTGCTATAGTTGGACTGGTGGGCAAGCTGGCTGGTGAGCTATGCGTTACTGAGGGTTAACTCACAGACTCCTGGCGAAAGTGGCCCTCGCCACGAGGCTCGTACGTCTGGTGAGTGGTGTGAGGGGCCTGCTGGGCCATCTGGGGACGCTGGGCTGGCTGAAGGGAGCGCTGGTTGGCAAGAGCAGAGGGACCGCCCGTCATAGCATGGGAACCGGTCATCTCACCCAAACCGACAGCACTGGTTCCAGGAGCCGAGGATCTGAGCTGAGGACGGGGCTTGGGGAGGACGCTGAGGATGGGGTTGGCCGCGTACTCGATGACCTTGGGACGGGCCTGCTGGATGCAGCGTTTGTCTTGCGTGACGTCTTCGGCGTTGTCGTCGTCACTGTGACGAGTGTCTTCCTCCTGTCCAGTCAGCAGGTGCTCTGGGTGACTGGACTTACCTCGGGAACTGGCGAGATGCGAGCCGCCCTCTGTTCAGCCCTCTCATTCTGCTGCTGGGCGAACAGCTGCGTGGGGATGTTGGGGATGGCGCCTTCAGGCGAGGTGGGCATGCTTGGCGAATAGTTGTGGACTTGGTTGAGCTGGTAGATGACCTGGAGCTGGGAAGGGCCCGGGGAAGGTTGATTGTGGTGGCCGTGGTCGCTGTGGTTGCTGTGGCTGCTGCCGGGGAAGCTGCCACCGCCGCCGCCGAACAGGTCGCCACTGAGGTTGAGGTTCATGCCAGGCCGGTTGGGGATCTTGCCCGGGGCATTGGTGGTGAGGTTGTGACGGCGCACAAGGCCCGTCGCCTTGGCAGGCGTGGAGATTTGAGGGCGCATGGTGAGGACGAGGTGGGCGCCGGTGGGGACAACGATCACTGACGCGGACGCTCACGAGGCGAGGGCAGCCAAGCCGATGGGCCGTGCCGAGTGGTGGCCTGGTGGATGGATGCGAGAGGGTGAAGACGAGAAGAGAGGTGTGTGAAAGAGAGATGCAGATGAATATGTATGTCTTCCCTCCCTCCCCCTCCGCCAGCTGCATGCACCCACCTTCCCTCGCTGCGTTCCTCGCCTTTCTCCCAACCACCACTGCCATCAAAGCCCCATCAAACGGCCACCCACATCGTGTCGCCACCCAAAAGTCAAGCGCGCAGGTGGAACCGACCCTTTATCACTCGCCCACACGTCATTAACGAGGCGATCGGACCCCGGCCGTCACCCACTTTCAGCAAAATCAAGTTCCGTGACCTCGCGCCTTTGGCGGCCTACCATCCACACTCAACTTCAACAGACTATACCTGCTTGACGGCTCGACAAACGCTCACGCGACTTGGTCCTGCCCAAAGAGGTGTGGAAGTAGAGCGACACAGCTCATACGTGAGTCTTGCTACACACACACACTGTCTCCCCCCATTAGCTGACATCTTTCAGCCCACCTCTCGGCTCCGCCTTTCCTCCCTCCCTCCCCCCCATCTCTACCTCGAGCCGTCGCTTTGGTACACCCGATGCGGCGCGTCGCTCCCTTGGCCCGCGCACTGGAGCGTACCCATTCCTCCGCTTCCAGTCGATTGCGGCATGCCATCCCTCCCTCCATCCCGGGCTGCTCGCGCTGGGTCTCGTGCACTTGCTGCCGCCCAGACGAGTGGTCGACACATTCGGCACCTCCATCACGGCTACCAACTCTTGAGCGCCTCCAGCACATGCAGATGTCGCACCTGCCCATTCCGCCGCCACTGCCATGGTCCACCGACTCGCCCCAGTTCATGCGGCACATGCAGCTTCTCAGCCAGGCAGTGCTGTCCTCGACGCCGGAAGCGTCATGGGCCGTGTACGAAGGACTGCACGCCGACCTGCGACCTGCCATTCCGGACGATGTGTTTGTTTCCCTTATCAGGCATCAGTTGTATCCAACCAACACGGATGGGTCGCCTCTCCCGCCAGGCTCGGCGGATATCCGCAAGTCACGAGTAAAAGAGCTCCTCACGCTTGCGCGCAAGTGTGAGATGGACCCTACGGTGCTCCCCGTTGACCTCATGGAGCGGCTCTTGGGTACATTCTTTGTCCAAGAGCAAAGAAAGAGGTTTGACCAACAAGTGAAAAACATCATCCTGTGGCTATGGCCCGTCTACAAGAGCCACTACCACAATGGCTCGTTTTCCACCATGCCCATCGAGATGCGCAGACGGTGGCTCCATCTCTGCTGCAAGAACAACGAATTGCGGTCCGACCCCCCTCGTCTGTGGGAGGTCCTCGAGGAGATTGTCGAGAACGGCGGTGCGCAAGGCCTCGAGGTCAAAGCCGGCCAAGCGGTGTCCATCTATAAAGGCGACGACGAGGACATGCACTTTGCAGGTCTTCGACAAGCAGCCTGGTGTCTCGCTCGTGAGGTCAACATTCCGTCCGACGACCTCGTCCTCCTCATGTTCAGAATCACCGAGGCTATTGGCAAGCGCCTGCCGAACAAGGGCGGCGAGGAGTTTATCCGCGCCGTCAACCGCATTGGAGGCCTTATCGAAGAGCTCCGTGACGGCGGGGCGGATGAAGCTGCCAACACGCTGGAAGCGAGTTTGGATAAATTCATCCAAGCTCAGCAACTGTATCGGGACGACGCCCCGGCCTCTACTGTAGCCATGGCGTCTCTTTCACGCGCATTGCTGTTCCTAAGGGAACGACTCTCCCGGCAGTTCTTCACGCCAGCTCCCAAAGCGTCAAAGCGTGCACGGCGCCTGACCGACAGCGACCGTGACAACCTCAACCTACTTCTCCGACATTGTGTCCGTTCCCTCACATGGGAAGAATCGGACAACCAATACATCCTCGGCATGATCATCCCAGTCATCACCAGTCATCCCGTCGACACCGAGCTGTTACTTCAGTTCGTCGACGCTCTCATTGTCACGGGCATGATCATCACGCCTGCCATTCCCACTGATCTCAAGGCACAGCTCTTCGAAGCCTTCCTCAAGGCCGACCACCTGGACGATCTGGCTGTGTATTCAAGCGCCATGAAGCTGTACTCTGCTCTACGCCGCAAGCCGGCGCCGGCACCATCCCTTGACCATGCGAGGATCTGGAGGTGGACCGACAGGGCCGCATGGAAGCTCTTCTTCAATCGAGCCCTGTCCCATGGTCACCTGCACTTTGCGTCTCGCCTGTACATGGACATCCAGGCGGACGGGTTGCGCGTTCCGCGCGCCCAGAGCCTGGCGTTTATCCGCGCAATCGCTTCCAAGCCGTCCAGCTCGCGCCTGGTGCTTTTGGAGCGTTACATCAAGGACCTGCTGTACGAGCCCAACGCGCAGACCAACGACCTCATTGCGGAGATTTGGACGGCCATGGCCAATTCGCCTCGCGAAGCGGCGTTGGCGTTCCAGCTCGTGCGGCGTATCAACCCGGCAGCGCCCATCCCGTACCCGATCATCGACCAGATCCTGCCTCAACTGGCCCTGTCGTCGCTCGCCGAGCACCGCACGCTCGCCACCCAGCTGTTGAGCATTATGCCGGATACGCCGCACAAGATGGCGAAATACCACGAGGTCCTGGCCCAGTTCAACAAGAGCATCCGTACGGCCGACCTGGGCATGGAGTCGAGTCTCGCAGTGTACAAGTCGATGTACGGCGACAAGGGCGCCGACGCCGACCCGCGGTCGCGCGGGCACACCGTCTCGCTCCTGCTGGACGGCATGTGCAAGCTCGACCAGCTGGACATGGCCCTCGGCATGTTTCGCGAGAGTGTCGGGCGTAAAGTCAGCCTGACGCAGAACGGTCCTGCGTCACTCATGATCAAGCTCTCGCTCGCCCTGCGCCTGGACGAGGCGTACACCGTTGAGAAAGAGTTCTACTCGGTCGTCCCGGCCGACAACAAGTATCCCCGCATGGTCGGCGCGCGGATCGTTGCCGACATTTTGTCGGGCGTCGACATCGACCTGGCCGTCTACTACAACCCGGAAAAGGACGTCATGCGCATGCACAAGGGATACCGCCCCAGCCCGCGGTTCTACAAGTTTTTGCAGGACCTGCAGGTGGAAGCGCAGGCCGGGCTGCCCGGTATGAGCGACACATTTTTGGCCAAGGACGACGAGGCCGATGGCGGCGAGCCCCCCGGCGCCGAGCCCGAGACGGCGTCCATGGCAACGACCGAGGGGACCGCTCCAGAGGAGCCAGCGGAGAACAGTGCCGATGTCGAGCCGGAACGCGAGCGCGCCAGCGCCGCCGTCCACTTTCGCAAGGCCGCACAGCCCCTCACCCGCTCATGGAGCGGCGTGCCCAGTAAGGCCAGTGAGGCTGTGGACGGGCATGGCGAGTGGACGCTCGATAAGGAGTGGCACCACAGTGTCAACATGTTACGGCCCACGTAGGCGGCCGCCACGGCGCGTATAGCGCGCACAGCACATATAGCGGCGGGCACAGCACGCACAGCACGCACAGCACGCACAGCTTGGCGCATAGAGAAAAAGTAAAGTCAATGTATGCATATACTGTTCTTGTCCTCGCGGTGGGGTGGGCCTTGGCGCTGGAGTACTGGGTCTGGCAGCAACACGGTCAGTGGATCAGTGGCCAGTGGCCCAGTGCGCCAGTGCCCGAGATTACTTCTCGCCAGCGACGTTCCTCGCGGCCGGCCCAGTCCACGCCACGGCCCACGAATCGTACGGATCCACGGATCTGCCTCCCGATCTCCCAAGGGCCAGGATCCTCTCGCGTCTGCCAAAACGGCAACATTCCTCATATTAACATATTGCTCTAGACCCACGTTTCAGCAGCCAGCGCCAGCGCCAAGCCGGGCGGGAATGCCCCGAGCGATGGGAGCACGCACTACCTGCCTGGACATGGCTTGACAGTAGCTCAGTATCTCAGTAAGAGCTTACCCGTCGCGCCCGTCGTTGTGGCGACGGCGCGCCAAGCTCACTAATTACAATGCCTCACTAGCCTTGTTGGGCCGGTTGGGCTGGACTCTAAACGCTCGTCCTTTGTGAACATTACTGTGCACGTCAGGGGGGCCGAGTTTTGCTCCTGCGCACCTGAAGCTGATGTGTGAGGTCTGGAAGAATTTTGGGCAAAACGGTGTCCTCGCTGCGGAAAGTGTCCCCCCCCGGTTCTCCAGGCCCCCAAGGCCCAGCAGTTACCAGTGCAGTGGTCGTGATGCTGACACACTGATGTGTCTGGGACACGACGCACGAGGGGGGAGCGGTGGTGTGGTGTGCACGTTTGCATGGCCGGCGGGCCTGGAATCCGAGGTAGACTCGTTTGCCTCGCTCGCTGGCCGCACAGATCGCATTCCGCAGTCTACTTGGTTTGCTAGCTTGCTAGCTGCCTATCTGTGATCTGCCAGCAACACCGATACAGAGCGTGCTTTACACGCACCGCACACCGTTCCGTGGATCCGTGGCTCCGTCCTCCACGCTGCCCGAAGGCGAGCCGAGCTCGGAAGGGCATGCCGGGCAGGCCATGGCCGCCGGTCGCGGTCTGCGTGGTCTCTCTTTCTTGGTGTGTCGTGCATACCTCTTTGCTTTTTCCTTTTCACGCGCGAGTACAGGAAAACACGCACCCCAGGGGCTCCCGAAACCCCGTTGTACCGTTGTCCCTCCTGTAAAAGCTCCTGTTGCAGCCACCCCGGGACGCCACCGTGGGCCATGTCCAGAGACGGACGCGTGCACCGCGACGGCACCGCGCCGCAGCGACGTGGTCTGTGAAGGGCCATGAGGAAACAGGTGCAGGTGGCCGTGGGCGAGTGGCATCCTCGACGCCGCCTGTACGCCGGTGGCACACTCAGCACGGCTGTACGGGCTCGACGGGAAGCCGGCAGCATGGCGCCTGTGCGGTCCCCCCCCCCAGCCTGGCCCGTCCGGGCGCCGTCCGCCGTCCCGGGGGCCATGGGCGGCGGGAGATGAGAGCGTGTTGCAGCGGGAGACTGTCGGCTGTGAGTTGTTGGATTGTGATAACGCGCCGCCGGGGTTCAGATGATCAGAAGAGGAAAACACAAAAGGTAGTGGGGGTGTAACGCGACGACGGGGGGGCGCTTGGCCACGCAGACGTTTTCATGTAGGCAGCTATCCGATGCGTTTTGCGTTTGCGTCGAGACTACGGGCATCGAGGTGTAAGTACTTGGGGGCAAATGCACTGGTTTACCAGCTGTGTTACCCCCTTGCCTGCGTAATCTGCTGTTGCGATATAGCATGGCCCATGAGGCCATGAGGCATGTGAGACAGTTTTCCAGTAATCTCTCTCCATTTTTCGGCAGCGGCGGCTGCGGCGGGACGCGTGCTGGAATTTAACGCGTATACGCGACGCGACTTGAGAAGAAAGGGCCGACTGTGACCCCCAGCATACAGCCCAGGTATGGGCCAGGTATCTACCCAGGTACCCACAGGGTGGGTTTGCCTGCGTTGCCTGGAGTGTGGAGGCACGACGAGACGACTGCGACCCGAAACCTGAAAAACGCAACAGAGTAGTGAGCAAGCATATGAGCGCAAGCTGCAAAAGCATATGGCCGCCGCCGCTGTCCGCGTACCCCGTGTGCTCTCGGCAGCCTGCCCGGCTCCGAACGGGCGTGTGTCCCAGCTTTGCCAGCAGCGCTCTTGGCGCGCAGCCGCAGACACGCAGGCCAACGCAGGCGGCTGAAGGCGGACGCTCGGCGGCCGCGCACACACAGGCGGTGTTGCAGAAGCGCAGTTTACATGAAAGAAGTCGTTCAAGGTGTGTGGGTGCGTGTGTGTCAAGGCTGTGACGCACAGCAACTCCCTCCACCATCGCACACATTTCTCCCGTCCACCACACTCGCCATCCCATCCCATCACACACACTCTCTCTCCCTTGACACACCCTCACATCCTCTCCTCTCCCCCCCATCTCCCCCCCACCACTTCCTCCCCCCCACCACCAGGCGCAGTGAGCGCGCGCGCCCACAGACACACCGTCGCCGGTCGCCCACTTTGGTGCCAAGACGTGGCGCCCAGTGCCGCACAGTCCACTCGAACGGGGCCGCCACGGGAGACGTCTGACGCGCACCGCCGCTGCCAGCGACGATACACTTGACACCTCGCCCACACCTCCCCTCCCCGTGACACTGTTCCCTTCCCCTCCTCTCCATACCCTCCCCCCGGCATCTCCTTCACGCAGGTGCTCTCGCCGCAATGTCCTCTGCGACGGACGCTATGCAGCACGACTCGCGCCGGCGCGACGTCAATCCCTACGACGTTGACGAGAACGACGAGGCGTACGACGCATACAACGTCAACGACATTCCCGGACGGGCTGGGCCAAGCACCTATGCGTCACAAATGGCCCACCCCCTGCAGCAGCAAGAGTACTCTGCGTATGGGAGCGGCTACCCCTCGTCCACGTCCAACACACTTCCCTACGACAGCCATCGTTATGACCACTACGACGACACCGAGGACGGCCAGCCGTTTGACATCAACGAGATTGACCCAGCACTGCGGCTGCGCACCACGCGAACAGCACACTCTGTCATTGCCGAATCGATTCGCAGCGAAAGCGTGCGCCGCAAACGTTCAAGGATCTTTGCTGGCCTCAAGCGACGTGGGACCAAAGAGGGAGGGAGTACCTTTGGCAAGGGCTTTCGCAAGAACAGGCGAGACACCGCTGCGTCTGATGGCCTGGCGACCATTGCGGGCAGTGAGGCTGGCGACACCTCGCCAGCGCTACGCCCCGTGTCCATCCCGACAGCACCCCCACCACCACCGTCTTCATCACCCTCCACCGTCGAGGAGCCCACAAAGGGCGCCAAGGTGCTGCCCCGCCGCACCATCTATGTCAACCTCGCCCTGCCAATGAACTTGATCGACAAGGCCGGCGAGCCAATAGTCCGCTACGTCCGCAACAAGGTGCGCACGTCAAAGTACACGATCATCACCTTTCTGCCCCGCAACCTCTTTGAGCAGTTCCACCGTGTGGCCAACATTTACTTTCTCGGTCTGGTCATCCTCCAGCTGTTCACCATCTTTGGCGCCACCACACCGCAGATCGCCATGCTGCCCCTCGTTGCCATCTTGGGCATGACGGCCATCAAGGACGCCGTGGAGGACTGGCGCCGAGCCACCCTCGACGAAGAGGTCAACACTAGCGCAGCGACCAAGCTCGGTAACTGGAGGAACGTCAACCAGCCCACCGACCCGCGCAACTGGTTTGAGCGCGTGTTCCATCTGGGACCAGGTAAGCCAATGATGAGGCCGACGAGATCCAGAGCACAACTGACACCCGTGGATAGACCCGACCAAGCCGTCCCGCGGTGTGCGCAAGCTTCGCGAGGCAGAGGCCAAGGCCGGTAAGCAGATTGTCTTTGAGCGTCACGCCAAAGAGGCCGAAGCCGACGTCCAAGGTGGCCCTGGCCCAGCAGACACACTGTCACCGCCAGGCGAAGTGTACCCGCTCAAGGAAATCCCTTCGGTGAGTGGAAACGGCCCCCCGGCCCCCGGCTTGGGCTGACGAGGCCCAGTCGGAATATGTCCCTGGTGTGGAAAGCACGTACCGGCCCCGTGCAATCTCGGTGACGTCGACCGATGCGCCCAGCACCATGTCGCGCCGCTCGGCAGGCGTAGTCGACTATAGCCGACCGGCACCGGGCACGGCGCAGTGGGAACGTACGCTGTGGAAGAAGCTCGAGGTCGGCGACTTTGTGCTGTTGCGCAGTGACGAACAGGTGCCTGCCGACATTGTCGTGCTGGCGACGTCGGACGCCGACGCGCTCTGCTTTGTCGAGACCAAGAACCTCGACGGCGAGACAAACCTCAAGGTCCGTAAATCCCTCAAGGCCACGTCGGGCATCAGGTCCGAAGAGGACCTGGAGCACGCACATTTCACCCTCGACTCGGAACCGCCACACGCCAACTTGTACACTTACAACGGTGTGCTGCAGTACCGCCCGGCGGGCGAGGGACTGGAGCAAGGCGACGTCCAGGTCGAGCCCATTTCCATCAACGAGCTTCTCCTCCGTGGCTGTACGGTGCGCAACACCAAGTGGGTCATTGGTATCGTCGTGTTCACTGGCGCCGACACCAAAATCATGCTCAACGGCGGCGACACGCCCAGCAAGCGGTCCAAGATTGAGCGCGAGACAAACTTCAACGTCATCATGAATTTTATCATCCTCATCGTCCTCTGTCTCATCTCGGCCCTCCTTCACGGCTACTACCGCTCCAAGACGGACACGTCGTACAGCTTTTACGAAGTCGGTTCCGAGGCCAGCGACAACATTTACCTCGACTCGCTCATCATCTTTGTCTCGTCGCTCATCGTGTTCCAAAACATTGTGCCCATCTCGCTCTACATTACCATTGAGATTGTCAAGACGATCCAGGCATACTTTATCAACCAGGACATTGAAATGTACTATGGGCCCTACAACACTTCCTGCGTCCCCAAGACGTGGAACATTTCCGACGACCTCGGCCAGATCGAATACGTCTTCTCGGACAAGACGGGCACGCTCACTCAAACGTCATGGAGTTTAAGAAGTGTTCCATCATGGGCACGGCGTTTGGAGAAGGCCTGACCGAGGCCATGCTCGGCGCTGCAAAGCGCGAGGGCAAGGACCTCGGCACGATGGAAGACCAGGCTGAAGACATGGCCGAGCTGAAAATCTCCATGCTGTCCACCATGAAGGGCGCGTTCAAGAACCGCTACCTGCGCGACGACAAGCTCACGCTCATCTCGCCCGACCTTGTCCAGCGCATGTCCAACGTCGACGACCCGATCCGCCCCCACATGATTGCCTTTTTCCGCGCCCTCGCCGTCTGCCACTCTGTGCTCTCTGACAAGCCCGAGCCAGAGGACAAGCCATATGTCCTCGACTACAAGGCCGAGAGTCCCGACGAGGAGGCGCTTGTCGGCGCTGCTCGCGACGTTGGCTTCCCGTTCGTGTCGCGCAACTCGAGCCGCATCGACATTGAGGTGCTCGGCAAGCCCGAGCGTTGGGTCCCGCTCCGTGTCCTCGAGTTCAACTCCACCCGCAAGCGCATGAGTGTGATCGTCCGGTCGCCCGAGGGCAAGATTATTCTCTACTGCAAGGGTGCCGACAGTGTCATCTACGAGCGCCTGTCCGCCGACCACGACGAGGCTCTCAAGGCGGCCACCCTCAAGGACTTGGAAAACTTTGCCAACGGCGGCCTGCGTACGCTCTGCATCGCCTACCGCGAGATGAGCGAGGACGAGTTCACCGAATGGTCCAGGACGTACGACGCCGCCAGTGCCGCCACGACCGACCGCGATGCCGAGATTGACAAGGCGGCCGAGCTCGTCGAGCACGACCTGACCATTCTCGGCGCCACGGCCCTGGAGGACAAGCTGCAGGAAGGCGTGCCCGACGCCATCGCCATGCTCCACAAGGCCGGCATCAAGCTGTGGATCCTCACGGGCGACAAGGTCCAGACGGCTATCGAAATCGGATACTCGTGCAACCTCCTCACCAACGACATGGAGGTCATGATCCTGTCGGCCGACTCGCCCGATGCCGCACGCGCACAGATCGAGGCGGGACTGAACAAGATTGCCTCGGTCCGTGGATCCGGCGCCGCCCGCCAGGACGGGAAAGTCGTCGCCGACCTGCCTGGTGCCGATACCGAGTTTGCCGTGGTCATTGACGGCGAGACGCTGCGGTACGCCCTGGGGACGGACATCAAGCCCCTGTTCCTCGCGCTCGGCACGCAGTGTTCAGCCGTCATCTGCTGCCGTGTCTCGCCGGCCCAAAAGGCCCAGGTGGTCAAGCTCGTCAAAGACGGCTGCAACGCCATGACCCTCAGTATCGGCGATGGCGCCAACGACGTCGCCATGATCCAAGAGGCCAACATTGGTGTCGGCCTGTTCGGTCTCGAGGGCTCGCAGGCGGCCATGAGTGCCGATTACGCGTTTGGCCAGTTCCGCTTCCTCACACGTCTGCTCCTCGTCCACGGCCGCTGGTCCTATGTCCGCATCGCCGACATGCACGCAGTGTAGGTTTTTTCTTTGTGCTGCTTATCGCCCACGAGCTAACCCACTCCCTTTCAGGTTCTTCTACAAAAACGTCATTTGGACTCTGGCCATGTTCTGGTTCCTCCTCTTTTGCGAGTTTGACGCCACGTACCTGTTCGAGTACACCTTTGTCATGCTCTACAACCTCATCTTCACCTCGCTCCCCGTCGGTATCCTCGGCGCGTTTGACCAGGACACCAACGCCGCAGCATCCATGGCCTTCCCGCAGCTGTACAAGCGCGGTATCCAGGGACTCGAGTACACGCGTGCTCGCTTCTGGCTCTACATGCTCGATGGACTGTACCAGTCGGCCGTCATCTTCTTCATTCCCATGCTCATCTACTGGGACGGCACGACGTGGTCGTCCACGGGCCGCGACAACCAACGACCTGTACGACCTGTCGAGTCTGATTGCCACGGCGGGCGTCATTGCGGCCAACCTGTACGTTGGCATCAACACGCGCTACTGGACCATTATCCCCTGGGTCGTGATTCCCATTTCTAGCATCGCCGTCCTCGTCTGGATCATTGTCTACTCGTACTTGGCTGCCGTCAGCTATTCGGAAGTGGTCGCGATCATCTTCCCGACGTTCAACTTTTGGTTTGGCGTCGTGTTTACAGTCTTTGTGGCTGTCGGCCCACACTGGATGCTGCGCGCCTTCCACCAGTCGTACCTGTACACCGACAAGGACATTATCCGCGAGGCCTGGATCGGCGGCGACCTCAAGGACCAGCTGGGTATCCAGCACCGCAAGCGTCGTCGCCGCCAGCAGCACGTCGACAGCGAGGCCGGCTCGTACCCGCACTATGTCAAGCGACAGGACATGGTCATCTCAGCCCCACAGGAAATCAACCCGTGGGGTGCAGGAGGGTACATGCCCAGCCCTCACGATGCGTCGCACCGCGCCGCCGTCGCGCCGCTCCTGGACGACGAGCGCGCTCCCAACATTGTCTCCCCAAGCCCCAAGTCCCCCTCCACTCCTACCAACCCTTACTCTTCCGCTTCCATGCTTCCGCAAACCAGGAGCCCCCCGCCGACGTTCACCGTCGACCCCCCCACGCAAGACATGGCGGCCGACGCGGCGCCACTCTACCACGACCCCCACGATGTGTATACCTCCTCCAATACCCATACCCAGCAATACCAACAACCTCAGAACCAGGCATGGGGATACCAACAACAGCATAACCCGTACACCCACGCCCAGGACGCCTTTGTCCAGCAGGACCCCTTTGCCCAGCACCACAGCCACCAGGGCCAGACACCACAGGTGGGCCAGATCTTCCAGGGCGGCTCGGGCCACTCGACGCCCGCGTACGCGTCGGCGTCGCCTGTCGCCTCGGCTCCCGGATCGCCCGCGGCGTTCGCCACAGCACCGGCGTCGGCTTACGGCACGCCCTCGTCCGCGACCCAGCACGACGGGTTCACGATGGTGAGCCCCGCGCAGGTGCCCTCGCCCTCGCCCTCGCCGAGCCAGAGTCCCGGCCCCGACGGGTGGACTGCCGTCGAGCTCCAGCACGGCATGGGCAAGCCCACGGGCACGCCGTATACTGGCTATGCGGTGTAAGATACATTTAGATAGACACAGAGAGCGAGAAATGCAGAACAGTGTGTGCAGTGTGTGCAGTGCGTGCAGTGTGGGCACTGAGAAGTGGTACCGATGCGTTGCTTGAGGTTCTGAGCGGTGCCGGGCGTGGGTTGAGGCACAGAGCGATGTAGGAAGGAGGTCATGTGGCAGAACGCCATAGTCGCCCCAAAAGAGCCACAATGCCCAACTTGACTGATATCAGCAGAGAATGCACGAGTTTGAGCCGTTGCGGTAGAGTTGGAGTTGAGGGCCGATGCGGAGCAGCCATTTGCTCTGTGGCAGTAACCGATGCGTGTAAAAAGAGCCACACAGCCGGCCCCCTTGCACTGACAGACTCGCAAAAGCGAAGACAAAGACATGCAGTGCAACGATAAGACTTCCTTAGACAAACAACGAAACGTCCCTTGAACATGTCCCTTTCCACAACCAGAGTGATGCATACAGACAGAGGTCTAGAGGAAGCCCTTGACGAACGCGGCGGTCTTGTCTGCCGCGCGCATCGACAGGCCGTTTTGCAGGGTCATCGAGTACTTGATCATGTCGAGGGCCGTCTTGGGGCCGTCGGTGCCGGTACCGGTAGGCTTGGCGGGGATGTACATGGCGCATGAGCCAGCGAGGCGGAGGAGGTCGGCCTTGCGTGCTGCGAGGAGGTGTCAGGTCAGCGCCAAGAGCTCAGTACGCCTTGTGGTTGTGGTCCATTCTATTCCCTCCACACTCACCGTCCATGGGCTCCATGCCCTTGGCCCAGAACGAGTCCTCGGGGACCTTTGCGGCGTACGCGCGCAGGGGAGGGGCGATGATCGACGCCGGGCCGAACAGCGAGCGCTTGCTGACGTCGCGCACCTCGACGGCGAACGCCTGGGGAAGGTGCTTGCCCCTGCTGAGCGCGTTCATGTCCCTGCTGTCGCGGCCGCCACGACGGGGGGGACCCCTCTCGCGCTTGCCCTTGTTGGCACCGCTCGACGCGCCGCCAGCGCCGGCCTTGGCGCCGGGCACGCGGCCGTCGGGACGCTTCGTGAACCGCTGTCCGCCTGTGCGGGGTGCGCCGCCTGCACCGCCGGTACGCGGGGGACGCGCGGAACGCAAGCGCGGGGTCGTGGCGACGCGCGGGGCGTGCTCGGCACCCTCGAAGAACTCGGCGGGCATGTCAATGGCCTGCGAGCCGGCCTGGGGGGCGGCCTTGACGTCGGCAGCGGCATTGGCAGTGGCAGTGGCATTGGCATTGCCCTCGGCGCGGGCGGCCTGCTGGCGATTGCCACCTTTCACCCCCGGGGAGTGGCCAGAGGTCCTGACAGACATGCGGCTCGACGAGCCCATGTTGATCTGCGGAAGGACACGCTCGCGCTTGACGCCCGAGAAACCCAGGGCCGCGGCGGTCTTGTGTGTGAACGTTGGCCTTTGGCGGGTTTGCTTGCCAGCGGCAGGCGGGGCAACGGGGCCGCCAGCGGCAGGGCCACCGGCGACGTTGAGCACGGCGCGGGTGGTGTGGAGGGCACGGACGAGTGGCCTTGTCGACGCCATTTTGAGTGGTGTATCGATAAAGAGACGGCACATGTCGGAACAAGGACGACGGGAGATGGAGGAGGAACGAGTGTCAGGCCCGACTTTGGAGAGATGGGATAAATGACAAATAAATTATCCCACATAAATGTTCCCCCCCGCCTGGCGCCTGGCTGCGCGCGATGGTTGTTGCTCGTCGATCATTTCATTCAGCGAGAGGACGACATAACAAAAGACACACATCTCTTGCCATCAGTCAACGGGTCGACAGTGCGCCTACAGAGAGCATCCTTTCAACAGCTCCCCTTTACCGCAGGCCACAAAACACGACACCATGTCGACTGAGGATTACGACGGTGAGCTCAAACCCAGCGTTGCCCGTCCCGTCCAACGCGCGCATATTGACATGTTCCTCTCCAGAGTTCGGCAACTACATTGGTGGCGACCTCGACTCGGACGACGACTCGGACGTCGACATCGAGCCGGCTGTCGCTGCGCCATCCGCTCCTGGTCCGTCGACCACTGCAGGTGGCTATGCGCCGCTCGAGGGCTTTGACGAGGATGACGACGAGGACGAGGCGATGGACGAGGATGGAGGCATGGCCATGACCTTGCACACTGTGGATGGTGAGTTGAGGGCCTGGCTGACCCAGACTAACTCTGTTTCCAGGTACAACAGGAAACCAGGTTGTGCTGCACGAAGACAAGAAGTACTATGCGACGGCGGCAGAGACATATGGCGAGGATGTCGAGACCATGGTGCAAGAGGAAGACTTGCAACCTCTCACCGAGCCCATTGTCGCACCTGTCAAGGTGCGGGCGTTCACCGTGCAGGAGAAGGACCTCCCGGAGACTCGGTTTGACCGCAAGTGAGTTGAAAACCCCGGCCTCTCAACTGACTATCCAGCTTCATGGTCGACATGCTGCAGTACCCGGACATGTTGCGCAACGTCATGGTCGCTGGCCACATTCACCACGGCAAGACGTCTCTGATGGACATGCTCGTGTTTGAGACCCACAAGCTCACATGGGATGCCGACCGGCCAACGCGTTACACCGACACGCACAGGCTGGAGCGCGACCGTGGAATCTCCATCAAGGCCGCGCCCATGTCGCTTGTTCTCCAGGACTCGCGCGGCAAGTCGAGCCTAGTCAACCTCGTCGACACGCCCGGCCACGCCAACTTTGCCGATGAGGTCGCGTCTGTCGCGCGCCTGGTGGACGGCGTGGTGTTGGTGGTGGATGTGGTCGAGGGTGTCATGGCAGGCACCGAGGCCGTCATCCGACATGCCATGCAGGAGAAGCTCAAGATTGTGCTGGTCGTCAACAAGATTGACCGCCTGATTCTCGAGCTCCGCCTGCCCCCCGCCGAGGCCTTCTTCAAGATCAAGCACACGATCGAGGAGGTCAACTCGGTCATCGCCGGTATCGACAATGACGACCAGTACCGCGTGTCGCCCGAGCGCGGCAACGTCGCCTTTGCGTCGGCGCAGATGGGTTGGTGCTTTACCCTCAACACGTTTGCGGCCATGTACGCCGACATGTTTGGTGCCTTTGACATTGACGAGTTTGCCAAACGTCTCTGGGGCAACATTTACTTTGACGCCGAGAAGCGCAAGTTTACGCGCAACCCAGCCGACGTCGAGTCCAAGCGCTCGTTTGTCCACTTTATTCTCGAGCCCCTGTACAAGCTGTACACTCAGGTCATGAGTGAGAGCTCGGACACGCTCAAGAAGACTCTGGCCGACCTGCACATTACCCTCAAGCCCTCCGTGTACAAGATGGACGTCCGTCCTCTGCTCAAGGTCGTGCTCGAGGCCTTCTTTGGCAACGCTACGGGCCTTGTCGACATTATCACTACCAACATTCCCTCCCCTCTTCAGAACGCCGCCTCCAAGGTTGAGCGCACGTTCACCGGTCCCCTCAACACCCCGCTCGCCGAGTCGCTCATGCGCTGTGACCCCAAGGGCCCTACCGTGGTGCAAGTCACCAAGCTCTTCCACACCTCGGACGCGCAAGAGTTCCGCGCGTTCGGTCGTGTCATGAGCGGTACTGTCAAGCGCGGCCAGCCCGTCTACGTCCTTGGTGAGGGCTACTCCCTCGAGGACGAAGAGGACATGGTTGCCGCCATTGTGGACGGTGTCATGCTCGACGAGTCGCGCTACAACGTCGACATTGACACTGGTTACCCCGGTAACCTCGTGCTGCTGTCTGGTGTGGACGCGTCAATCAGCAAGACGGCCACTATTTACGAGCGCGGTCTCGACGACGACATGTACATCTTCCGCCCCATCAAGCACATGACCCAGGCGGTGCTCAAGGTCGCGGTCGAGCCCATTGTCCCCTCCGAGCTGCCCAAGATGCTTGACGGCCTGCGCAAGGTTAACAAGTCGTATCCTCTGTTGCACACAAAGGTGGAAGAGTCTGGCGAGCACATTATCCTCGGTACCGGTGAAATCTACCTCGACTCGGTGCTTCACGACTTGAGACGACTGTACTCTGAGATTGAGATCAAGGTGTCGGACCCCGTCACCAAGTTCTGCGAGACGGTTGTCGAGACGTCGGCTCTCAAGTGCTATGCCGAGACGCCCAACAAGAAGAACAGGCTGACCATGATCTCCGAGCCCCTCGAGACTGGCATTGCCAACGATATCGAGTCGGGCAAGGTCACCATGAAGATGACCAACAAGGAGCGTGGCAAGTTCTTTGAGAACAACTATGGGTGGGACCTGCTGGCGTCTCGTAACATTTGGGCGTTTGGACCCGACGACAATGGACCCAACGCTCTTATCAACGACACGCTGCCGTCCGAGGTCGACACCAAGCTCCTCACCAGCGTGCGCGAGAGCGTCAAGCAGGGCTTCCAGTGGGGTACCCGTGAAGGCCCCCTGTGTGACGAGCCGATCCGCGGCGTCAAGTTCCGTCTGCTCGACGCCACCGTCGCCGAGGAGCCAATATACCGCGGTGGCGGTCAGATCATCCCGACCGCCCGCCGCGTGTGCTACTCGTCCTTCCTCCTTGCCTCCCCGCGTCTCCTGGAGCCAGTCTACTACGTCGAGGTCCAGGCTCCCGCCGACTGCGTGGCTGCCGTCTACACTGTCCTTTCCAGGCGACGTGGCCACGTCACCCGTGACATTCCCAAGCCCGGATCCCCTCTGTACACCGTCAAGGCGTTCATCCCCGTTCTGGACGCAAACGGATTCGAGACCGACCTGCGTACAGCCACCATGGGCCAGGCGTTTGTCCAAATGTCCTTTGACCACTGGCAGGTCGTCCCCGGTGACCCCACCGACACGTCCATCCAGCTCCGCCCCCTCGAGCCCGCACAGGGTCAGGCGCTGGCGCGCGACCTGGTCCTCAAGACGCGTAGGAGGAAGGGTCTTTCCGACTCGATTGCAGTGGCCAAGTATCTCGAGCCGGACACGATCATGGCTATCAGTGCCGCACACCCTGATCTTTTGGGTTAGAGGTAGAGAGGTAGGCAGGGAGAGAGAGAGAGAGAAGTGTGTTGGTAGTAGCAGTAGTGTAGCCATCGCAGATGCATGCTGCATTGGATTTAGCCGGGTGGCTGCGGCCCTGTTGGCCAGTTGGGGCCGAACAGTCTGCGGATCCCATTCTGCGTTACTGGCACTATGCCTCAAAAGTCACTCTTGGCACTGGTCATCTCCCGTGCCCAGCATGCGTATCTCCAAGACGTGCAACAGTCAAGTCAGGGCAGTGGGGACCGGTCAACAACTGCCGACAAAGGTGGTTGGCATGATCGGAGACATAGCTCAGCTGGGAGAGCGAGCGACTGAAGTTCAGTCATCAGACCTTGTGTGGATCGAATGGTTCGCGCTTGGACATCGCTAGGTCGGGTGTTCAATCCACTCTGGCTCCAATCAGTAGCTGTTCAGTTCAAGGGCAGCTTCTCGTTTTTGTCCTCGAGAGGTTGCGATGGTCGTGGGGTAAGGTCAGTTGGTAGAATACCGAACGCGAATCTTCGGTGATGGCCGACAGCCGCCAGCATCCGGCTTTCGGTAACCGTCGGCCGTTTGTGCTAAAGTGGGCTGGGCTGTTACTTTCGGCTCGATACCTAGGCTACCATCTTCCTTCCGCTCCCCACTCTTCAGTGCCCTCACTTCCACATCCCAAGCACGACCATGAGCGTCAAACCCGCAGAGCTGTACTGGAGTCCAGGCGATTCGCGCCCCCACGACGTGAGTTGAGTTGAAAGGGAGACGCAGCTCACGCGACTAGGACGAGGAAGCCTTCGCCGACGTGTTCCGTAAGAAGGTCAACGAGCGGTTCGGGTACGATCTCAAGGACTGGTGGGAGCTGCATGACTGGTCCACAGCCAAGACGAGCGAGTTTCTGGATTTCGTGCGTACATGACTCGTGGCCTGCTGTTGGCCGATAGGGGGGTCAAGGAGGACCCCGCGGGGCCTCCCCCGCTCCAAGCTCCGTGCCCAAGTGTTGCGCTGACTCTGTAGGTCTGGGAGTACCTCAACATTGTCGGTGAGCGCGGCGATGGCCCGGCCTTTGTAGAGGGCATCCCCATGGACGAACCGCAGGAGTACTTTCCCAATGCCAGGATCAAGTGAGCAAAACCAACTCCCTCACTTCGCAATGTACTGACCCTCGCCAGTGTCGCCGAGAACCTCCTCCTCTCGCACGCGTCCGCCATGTCCAAGACCAACCTGGCCATGATCGCGACTGTTGAGCCGGATCCAAAGTCTGCCACGCCGCTGGAGCCAGTGGAGACTGGCCGGATCACGTACTTTGAGCTGTATCACGAGGTACGCCGGGCAGCCCACGCACTCAAGAAAATGGGCGTCAAGCCCGGCGACTCGGTGGTCTCGTTCTCGGCGACCAGCTGCGAGATGCTCATTGTGTTCATGGCTACTGTCGCAGGTGAGCTGAGGCGGCTGTAGTAACTCGTTCGTAGCTGACAGAAATCCAGTGGGCGCAATCTTCTCATCCACGCCCGCAGAGTTTGGCGTCAAGGCCGTGGTGGACCGGTACTCGATCATCAAGCCCCGGATCCTCTTTGCCATCGACTCGTACCGCTATGGCGGCAAGGAGCACGACATTGGCGCGCGCCTGCACGAAGTCGTTGCGCAGCTCCCCAGTGTCGAGGAGGTCATCGTCCTCGGCCACTTGGCGACGGACCGCAAGCCGTCTCCACACGCGCTGGAGGGGTTCCGCAAGGGTGTCAAGGCTACGACGTTCCAGCAGTTCATGGCGGCGGGCGACGACGCTCCTCCCCAGATTGAGTTTTGGCGCGGCCCGTTCAGCCATCCCATCTGGATCGTCTTCTCGTCTGGCACGACTGGCAAGCCAAAGTCGATTTATGGGCCTGGAGGCGGCATTATGCTGATGCGTAAAATGGTCATGACTGTGAGTTGATATAATGCCGTTGTCGTTCCTAACTCTCCAGGTCCACTGCAACGTCGACCACCGGGACACATACCTCCAGTTTGCGACCATGGGCTGGATCGTGTGGAACTTGCACATGATCTACACCGCCACGGGCGGAACGGTGGTCGCGTACGATGGCTCGCCCTTCCACCCGACCGAGGTCATGTGGCGGGTGATTGAAAAGTACCGCGTGTCGCTGCTGGGTGCTTCGCCACGGTACATCCAGACATTGGCCAAGAACAAGTTCAAGCCCACAAAGGACCACGACTTGAGCTGCCTCAAGCAGCTGTACACTACCGGTGCGCCGGTGACGCACGACGTGTATGATTTCTGCAGGGACGAGGTAGGTCGCTGGTGTGCATATATATCTCTGACCTGTCAGCTCAACGGCCTGTTTGTCAACAATGCCGCTGGCGGAACCGAGCTGGGCGGCTCGGCGCTGCAGTCCACCCACGTGCTGCCAAACTACAAGTCCGAGCTGCAGACCCCCGTGCTGGGCATCAAGCTCATTGCGGCCGGACCCAATGGCGAGGAGCTCGTGGGCCAGGAAGGTCTGCAAGTGTTTGCCCGCCCCTTCCCCAACATGCCCATGTACTTTGTCGACGACCCGGGACGCAAGCGATACAAGGAGACGTACTTTGGCGACTACTCCTCGCCGCCCATGTTCAACATGAACGACAGTGTCATCATCAACCCGGTCACAAAGGGATGGAACGTCATGGGCCGTGCGGACGGCGTGCTCAACCCCAGCGGCGTGCGCTTTGGCTCGAGCGAACTGTACTATATCCTCGAAAAGGACTTTGCCGCCGATGTAGAGGACAGCATCGCCGTGGGGCAGCGCAAGGACAACGACGAGCGCGTGGCCCTCTTCATCAAGACCAGGGGCGACGTCGCGCTCTCGGCCGACCTGGTGGCGCGCATCAAGGCCGCCATTGCCCTCGGCCTGTCGCGCAGACATGTGCCCGAGATCATTGCGCAGTGCCCGGATGTGCCGCTCACTGCCAGTGGCAAGAAGGTCGAGCCGAGCGTCAAGAAGCTTGTCAACGGAGTGCCGCTCGCCCAGATCAATACCACGGGTGTGGTCAACCCGGAATCATACAGGTGGTATGCCGAGTGGGCGAAGCAGAATGCGCCAGGAAGGGCCAGGCTGTAAGCCCGGGAGAGTAGAGGCGGCGGATGTTGTAGCAGATAGACATGCAAGGGGTTGCCAGACGAGCCTGGGACCCAGTGTGGCAAGGTGTATCGTTGAGAACGCTGTCGTCCAACCCCTGTATTCGTTCAGTGCTAACACAAGAATTCTAGAGACACTTGGATCTGTCTCCAATGTCAGTGGTCTATGTCTGAAAGGTACCCCGAGCAGAGTCTCCCAGAGCGAAACCATCTCGGATCAGTGGCGATGAGTCGGACTCGGGACAAGCCTGCTTTCCTCCCTTTCCTCCCTGCACCTCCTCCTGCTGCCACCTCGTCCTTATCCCTCCCTGCCTTCTTCTTCGTCAGCGTTATCCGCATCCCGTCCAGCTCTTGTGGTGTAGTCGCTATCATACTTTCTTTGGGTGCTCCTCCCGCCTCGACAGCAGTCGAGACGATGTAGGTCAACAATGGAAGTGGTCCCGGGTTCAAATCCCGGCGGGGGCCTTTGGAATCTTGCATGTGTAGCAGCTGCAAGCCTCCTCTTTTGCATGGTTTTGTGGCGGAAGGTGGGAAGGGACGTTGAGGGGTGGGTGGGTTGGTGGAAAACAGCGGCGAGAAAGGTTCCTGATCTCCTGAGAGATAAAAAGAAGGCGCCCCAGCTGGGATCGATAAGGCCCCTTGTGTTGTGGCCGGGGATTTCCTTGGATCCTTTGCCCTCCAACCCCATGTAACCCGATGCGAATGACCTTGCGTCCACTCCCAGAGGCCGGCACGTTATCGATGCGCCGGCAAAACGATATCACCAACCGTATTCGACCGCCGTAGTCTGACGCCACGAAAACAAGAAGAGGACGGTGAGGCGTGTCGGTATTGTTACGACTGTAACCACGTCCGCATACACATGCTATGCGAAAAAGAATAATATCGAGCCCTTATGGTGTAGTCGCTATCATACTTCCTTTGGGTGTTCTTCTGCCTGACAATAGTCGAGTGGTTCAACAATGGAAGTGGTCCTGGGTTCAAATCCCAGTGAGGGCCTTGCTTGATGTGTAACAGCAGCGAGCTTCTCTTTTGCATGTCTCGCTGGCCAGGTGAAGGAAGCAGGGGGAGGGGGACATGCTTGCGCATGTATGCATATGCATGTATGGACGGGAGGTGGAGGAGCGTCGGGTTATAGACGAGTGGACAGACAGGCTGCCGGCTGGTGAGAGGGAGGAGGGACATTCCCCGGATGTCAGCCATGGGTCCCAGTTCCGCAGGACGCCGCTCCGCACGCGCGGTGTGACACACGGGCCACGAACCCGGTTTAACGTGGTGCAAGAAGATGTCATCATAAAGAATAGTGGTACAAAGGTGTGTTCGTAAGAAAAGAATAAGCATCTATGGGACCCATATGGCTCGTGATTGATTTTGGGCAATGGTTTCGTGTCCTTTTAGAGTTCGTTGGCGGTGGCGGCCATCTAGGTATCTTCGTCCTCGACTGCCTCGCGCATCATATCTGGGGTGGATCCATGTCAGCTGCCGACCTAACACATGACTTAGCTGAAGACTCAAGACTCACCTGCCCACGCGCTCGTCGCGAGGGAATGCACCATCTCGTCCGGATCCGGCTCCTCAAAGATGGACTCGCGCGTCGTGTCGCCTGCGTCGTAGCTGAACCGCGAGTCGTGCGACATGCGGCGCACAATCTCCGTCTGATGGCCCATGCTCCCGGCGCTGAGGGCGGTGACAAACGTCGCGGTCGACTGGTTGAACGTGGGCGAGTAGGTCCCGCCGCCGGGGGACAAGGGTGAGTATGGCCCGCGAGGCGGGTAGGCCGTGGTAGGGGACTGGCCGGGGGTGTTGGTGGGCGAGTAACCGAACGCGGGGAAGGGGGACGTGGGCGTGGGTGGCTGGACGTTTGTGACGATTGCAAGTGATGGAGATTGGTGATGTTGGCGGTTGGCGTTGGTGTTGGAGAAGTGTGGCGGCGTGCCGTTGCCGTGTGGGGTGTTGGGCGCGCTGGCGTGCCGAGAGTGGTGGTGGGGCGAGGCTGGAGGGATAGGGTACAGTGGGGTCGTGGACATGGGAGAGTCGAGGGGCTCGTCCTGGGCCATTTTGTCCGGCGAGGGCGGGATGGGCTCGAGGATGATGGCGGGAATGTTATCGCCCTGAGCGAGGATCCTGCGCTGGTCGCGTTCGGCGAGGAACCGCCTGCGCCAGTATATGGTGCGGAGCAATCCACGCACGCGGTCGAGGTTGACGAGGTCCTCGACGCGCTCCATCTTGGCTCGGCGCATGAGCAGGTCGTCTACCTGGAGCGCCTTTTCGTCGTCGATGAGCTTGTAGTGCGCGAGCATGGTGAGCATCTGCGCAAAGCTGATACCGCGACCGGGCTCGTCGGAGATCTTGGCCTCGTAGAACAGGTGGACGTACTGCCGCCTGCGCTGGCGGACCTTGGTGTAGTCGATCTGCGCGATCTGCTGCTGGAGCTTGCGCACGTCAACCGAGTAGTGCTCGCCAATGACGACGCGCTTGACAGGCGAGTCGGCGTCAGGCTGTGAGTTGCGCAGCATGTTGGGAATGCTGAGTTCGACGGGGTACAGGCGGACCTCGAAGACACCGTTGAGCTTGGAGAAGAACCGGACCAGGTCCTTGCGCCGGATATAACCCGTTCGTTCGGTATCGATCTCGGCCCACACGCGCTTGAAGGAGCCTGGCGAGTTAGGGGGGTTGGCCCAACGCTCTGTAACTCACGGATCTGCTCGCGACTAAGTGACGCGCCACCGGGCATCTGATAGACGTATGCGAATGACTGGACGACAACACCTGTAAACATGTTGAGGAAGATGTACCTGGGCACGCGTCAGCTTTCATCGCGACACCAAGGCGCGCTCACATGCTGAGAATGTTCCAGAAACTGAACAGGACGTATGCCCAGCCAACACTACCGCAGTCGTCGTTGAGATAGTTGCTGCTGCGGGTGCACCTAGGAAACTCGATCGTGCTGGGGGCAGAGTTAGGTGAGAGTTAGGCTGATCAGCACGCTAACTCACTAATCGTGCATGTAGCCGTTCCATCCCTCGCCGGTGGACATGAACGCGAGCATGACGAGCGCGTTTGCGAAGTTGTGATAGTTCTGGAAGCGGGTGTATGCGTTTGGCCCCAGCTTGGTGAGGCCAAACACCTCGACGTAGACGATGCACATGAAGATGAAGAGCACGGCCCAGAGGAGGAAGAGGTTTCCGATGGCGGGCAGGGACGCGCTGTGGACGGGGTTAGTACGTGGTGCAAAGTCCAAAACCCACATGGAAGTCTTGAACAGCTGGTTGAGCGAATCGAGGCGTTGCACGAGCTTGAGCGCGACGGAGACCAGGAAGAGCTTTTGGACCTGCTTGCTGGCCTGGTTTCCCTCCACGCCGCCGATGCTGGCCTGCAGGGCCGGGATGGTGGTCGCGAAGCAGCCAGTGATGACGACAATGTCAAACAGGTTCCAGCCGTTGGAGCGGAACGAGTGGAAGCCCAGGCCGACAAAGCGGACGACAAGGTCGATGGCGTACAGGATCGTGAGGGCCAGGAACGTCCAGTCGAGCTGGACATCGCTCATGATGTTGTTCGAGTAGTCTTCCGTCCTGGTTTGTTAGCTGGATGATGACGTCCCCAACTCACATCAACAGGAAGATGTGGACAAAGTAGAGCACCGTAAACGTCCTGGCCCACCAGCCGCGTTTTTGAACAGCGCGGTCATAGCACCACCCGCGGAGGGGCGTCGACGGCCTGCGGCGGGGCAGCTGGCTGGGCGTCTGCTGGCGAATAAACTTGCTCAGGTCGACCCATGATTTCTGGTCCGTGGTCAAGAGCGCGGAACCCGAGCGGATGGAGAAGTTTTCAATGATAATACTCAGAAACACGGTGAGGATGATGACCGCGCCGAACAGGTTGAAAATGACAAAGAAGATCGAGTTCCACTGCTGCGCATTGTTGACGGGCTGCTGGTCGTACCCGACGATATCCATCGCAGACTGCATGACGGTCGTCCATCCCTCGAGCGAGACGATCTCGAACAGGATCAGCATGGACGAGCGGAACGAGTCAAACGAGTAGATGCTGCCGCCAAACTGCGGGTTGGCCCACACGCGCGGGGCGAGGAACGTAATGTCGCCAATGTACGAAGAGCCATACTCGCCCACGCAGTCTGTGCGGACGCTGACGTCGCCCGACGTGTCGTTGCAGCTCGTCATGCGGCGCGAGAAGATGTTGAGACCCCACACGGCGAACGGGATGAGGTAGAGGATCATGAGGATCGAGGCGTCAATGATACGGATAGCGCCGGCGAAGAAGACGGCGTGGAAGGTATCGCGCAGACGCGAGAAGAGGGTGATGAAGCGCAAGACCCGGAACGCCTTGAGCGCGCGTGTGGCGCGGCTGACGCCTCCAACGACAATAAACTCGGTGGCCATGTTGATGATGAGCGTGATCAGGATGATAAAGTCGACCACGTTCCAGACAGACAGGAGGTACGCGTTGGGCGCAAAGATGAAGCCGTCGGCAATGATCTTGACAATCGCCTCGGCGATGAACAGTGTCCCCAGGGCCATCTCCGAGAGGTCAAACCACGTTGCGCGGTTGTATCCGTACGTGCTGTAGTAGATGCGGCGGTAATGCGGCGTGGCAATGGCCGCAATCACGATACCGCCGACGACGGCAAAGAACATTGTAACCTTGACCACGAGGCTCCAGAGCGGGTGGGCCGGCCGGCCAAAGATACGCTCGCCGTGCGCGGGCGGGACGAGCATCTGGCAGAACTGGCGGATGGGGTTGCTCTGCGAAAAGATCCACAGACTCTTGTCGTAGCTCGGGTGCGCCGAGATGAAATCTGCCTGCTGGTTGCGGCGTTCGCGCAGCGCGTCCATGTGCTCGTCGACAGAGGGGCCGGCGTTGATGGGCGGCAAGAGGTCGGTGAGGCCGCGGTCGTCGTCATAGTCGTCGTCATAGTCGACCGCGACCGACATGTGCGTCGACTGGCGGGGCACGGGCGGCATGCTCTTGCGGTCGCGGATGAGATGGCGCATGGGCAGGTGTTCGAGCTGTTCCATGCCAAATACGCGCCGCATGGCTGCGCGCGCTCCTGTCCCTTCTTCCTGGGTGGTGGGCGCACCGACGTCGGCACCGATACTCTGCTTGAGCGGGAGGATGAGGTTGGGCGGCAGCGCGTCGACCTTGACGGCCTTGTGACGCGCCTTGATCAGGCGGTATGGGTTGAACCGCTCCATCAAGTTGACGTGGGCCGACTGCGGCTCCGTCTTGCGAATAAACGCCTCGATCTGGACCTTGCGCTTTTGTTCTTCGGCAATCTCGAAGTTCTCGTTGATCACCGCAATGAACATTTGCATGAGAATGACTGGAGGGGTCAGTTTCGTTGCCAGCGTGTGCGTTCAACTCACAGTTTGCAAACAAGAACCACACGCAGAGGAAGACACACACGACCCATCCTTGGCCCCAGTCCCACTCGGCGCCCATGGCGTCGTACAGGATGGTCGTCCAATTTTCAGTCGAGAAGATCTGGTACATGCCGAGGAACGAGTTGTAGATCTGGTTGAAGGTGATCATGTTGTCCGAGTCGGCACTGCCGTCCATGTCTCCACGCATGAGCTGGACAGCCTGGGGGGAAACGAGTCAGCACAAATCCAAGAGACGTGTGTGTATATGTGTGTATTACTCACCATCAGGCCACTGAGAAAGTTCATCAAGAACAGGAACAAGACCATGTTGAGCATACCGGCAAAGCTACCGAACACGTTTGCCAAGAGTGGCCGCATGCGCGGAACGGCAAGGATGACACGGTACCAGCGCAGGAGCTGGAAAATCGTGAGCCAGCTGTACACGCCCGAGCTGCGAATTTTGGGGATCTGGATGATCGAGCAGCCGACGGCGAGGAACAGGTCAAAGTCGTTTCTGCCCGAGCGCAAGAACGCGCGCCAGTCGGGACTGTACGGCGGCGTGTCGGGAAAGTACCCAGCCATGCGGATGAGCATCTCAATGTCCCACACGAGGGCAAACCCGATTTCCATGTTACGCAGCAGCTGGAGCTCGGATTCCGAGCTGTTGGCCGTCTTGAATGCCTGTGCGATGAGGTCGACAATGACGAGCAGGACCCAGAAGATTTGCGTCTTGTTGTACCATTTCAGCAGGAGCGAGATCTCGCGCGGTTTTTTCGTCTCGGCGGCCCACTGCGGCTCGCTGATGATGGCCTGGTCGGCACCGAACGCCGACAGCTTTGTGCGCGACCGAATGTCCTTGAACGTGTTGACGACGACGGCGACGATCAAGTTCATGAGCCAGAAATTGAGGACAATGATGGCGGCAATGAAGAAGAATGTCGACGTGAAGAAATCAGAGTCCATGCACGCGTACATTGTGCCTGTCCACGTGTTGACGCCGGCAATGATGAGCACCTGGACGAGGGACATGAAGATGTTGTCAAACCCCTCGGCGTTGTTCTGCTGGTTTTGGTCCGTGGTCTGGCACTGCTGGTTGGCGGGACAGACGTAGCCCTTGGGCTTGATGGTCGACAGGCTGCCGTCCTCGTTGAGAAAGGGCATGATCTGCATGGTCTCGACGTCGACCCAGCCTCCACACGTGTTGCCCAAGTTATTTTCAAACGAGTTGTTGAAGGGGTCCATGAGGATACATGTCCGTCGCAGGGACCCACGGAAACTCTGGACGCCAATGATGGAGAAGAGCGCACCGGCAAACACGACAAACACCGAGACGTTGAGGAGCAACGGCGCCGCGCGCTTGAGCGAGTGCAGGATGGTCGCGGTACCCGAGGTAATGACCAACAGGCGAGTGGCACGGAGCACGCTGAGTGCGCGGAAGACGTACAGGTGGCGGACGTCGGTGATCTCCTCGCCCATGACGCAAACGATAAACATGATCCAGAAGAAGATGATGGCGAGCATGTCGAGACGGTGCCACGAGTGGCGGAGGTACGGCCGGCCCTCGACGAGGATGCCGTGCTGGCGCGCAACGGCTTCCTGGAACGGCGCCTCGGTTGTCACGGACGGCTTCTTGGCAGCCTGGGCCTTGAGCTGGACGACCGCCAGCGACTTTTGGCGCTGCCGCCACACCTCGGAGGGCATTTCGTCGTCGCCCAGCCCATCCTCGGCGCGCGCTCGCCGTCCGGCCACGGCCCACAGGCCCGAGAACCATTCCCGCAGTGACGTTTCCGGGTCGATGATGAGGCCCGTGACAATGATGCGCGCAAACATTTCAACGCTGAAAGAAAGGGGTCAGCTGATACAAGGGGGTAGGTGGTGCTCACGTAAATATAATGAAGAGCACAAAGAGAACATAGTCTGCCCACGACTGAAAGTAGCCGTCGGCCGTTTTGGGCTCGTTCAGTTCTGGCGCAGATTGGATGGTGAGGGTGAGGGCGTTGAGAATGATAAGGAGGAGAATGATGGGTTCTGTCAACCTGGGAGACATGGTGTCAGTTGAGGTGGCATACGGTGTACTGTACAACTCAACTCACGGGAACCGGAGAATCTTGTCGAGGAAGACGCGCACTGGGTTTCTTGCCGTGAAGAAACCGAGCGTGCGACCACGCAGCGTCGCCGTTGGCGGTGCCGCATACGGTCTGGGCGGCGGAAGCGGACTGTCAGAGTCGTCGTCCATGCTAGGTGTATACAGCTGTGGCGGCTGCGGCGGCGGTGGTGGTTGCGGTGGGTACATGGAGCTTGGCGAGCTGTTCGAGCTGTCCTCGTCGCGCATGCGCAGGCCCTCGTAGGCGCTCTTCTCCGAGCCCATAATGTTGACGACGCGTTCGCTCGCGGTCCGCAGGCTGGCAGACACGCGGCGGACGGTGGGCGAGCGTGCAATCATGCCCAAGGGGGACGCACGCGGACGGCCGTCGGCATCGAACACTCTTCGGCTGGGGGAGCGCCCATGTGTCCTGTCTGGAGCGTTGGGTGTCAACCTGTCGAGTTCCTCGGAATGGACCGTCGCGGCATACTCGAGACTGGGGCGGGAGAGAGTGCTGTCAAAGAGACTCGGCAGACCCATCCCAACGGACCCCGCATGGTGACTGTCTCTGTCTCTGTCTCCGACGAACCCGTGCGTACCTCCGCCAGAAGTGCTGCTCCCGTCGTCGCCGGGGCCAATGCTTGCTGTCCGATGCACGGCGACCGACTGGGACAGGTCGCGCATGCCGATCGCCTCGGCTGTCGACGAGTTCCAGCTCTGTCGACGTGACAGCCCCTCTGTGGGCGAGGGCGAGGGCGAGGCGGCGGGGCTGCGTGGGGTGTACGAGCTGGTCATGGCGCGTTCGCGTTGTCGCTGCCGTGGTGGGAGCTGTTGGGAGGACGAGCCGCCGCCTGGGCTTGGATGTGGGGATGCCGGTGTCATTGGGACGGCATGGGCGACGAAGGTGAGTGAGCAAGGAGTGGAATAAAGTTATGAACGACTGTGTTAAACCGGGGGATATGGTCACTCGATGCACACCCACATGTCCTCACTGCTGTGCACTGTGCTCGCAGACGACACGTGGCTGTCACGTGCGCACCCCTTGGCTGTTCACCCGCGCCACCCGTCCACTGCCGCGGGAGGTGGTTGTTTGGTTCCAGTCGTCCATTCTGTGTACTGTGTCGACCTGCGACAGACAGCTGCTGGCCTGCATCGTGTCAGAGTCGCTTACCACCATTGAATCATTGCTCCCTGTGGGTGGAAGCGGGTACCGGATACTCTCAGCTGACTTTCTTTGCTTTCTCAGACGCTGAGCTTAACGGTCCATCTGGACCTTGTGCCTGCCTGCTGTCGCGGCAAAGCATCCAGCGGCGACAATAGACCTCTCACACAAGAAGAACATTGGAACACACAGCAACTGCGGATAGAAGAATGTCTCGCTCTGCTGAGCGGCTGACGAGCCGGCCACATGCGCAATGACCCTACGGTGCACATCTCAGGACATGTCAGGAGACCACCTGCATACCACCACCACACAGTCATTATATACAAAACACCGTCGCCGCCGTTGTCGAATAAACCACTCCCCCCTCCCGTCTCTAGTAACCCAGCACGACGCCCTGGTTCACCCACGCCTGCTGGCCAGGCATGCACTCGGTCGCAATAAACCCGGCCACGTCCTTGCGCGAACACGAGTACGTCGCAATGTCCGCGCCGGCGCGCAGGCTGGGGCGGCCCTTTGCCTCGCCGTCCGTGAGCAGGGCCGGGCGGATGAGGATGACTTCAGGCAAGAACGACCCGGGGACCGCGGTGAGCTGCTCGGGCGTGAGAATGTCCTTGCCGGGAACGTCGCGCGGGTCCGTCGGCGAGGCCATGGCGCGGGACGCGTGCTGGACGAGATACTCAAGGCCTTCCTTGTCGCGGTGGGGGCCAGCGAGCAGGAGCGAGTACATGATCTGCCGCGTGTCAGAGGGGGACGGGGAAGGGAAGAGTGGGGTTGGGGTGTAGTGTTGGGGGGAAACTCACGCGCAGAGCAAAAGGCATGATGTGGTGCTGGCTGCCGATACCCATCGAGCTCACGACAATGACGCGCGGCGGGGTCGCCTGCGGGAGCTTGGCGACGTTGATGAGCATCGCGGCCGCGGCGACAGTGCACAGGTTCGGGATGGGGAGCTTGAACCCGGTGAGGGTCACGACGGGGAAGCTGCCTGCAGGGTGTCAGCAGATGGGCTTGATTGCCGTGGGACGTCACTGGTTCCAACGACTCACCGATGGTGCTGACGACCACATCGACCTGCTTGCCATCGGCAAAGCACTTGGCCACGTCGTCGACGCTCATGCCATCGCCCTCAACGATGGTGATCTGTCCGCTCTCGATGGCGGGGGTCACGTCGGTGTCCCCGTCAAAGCACTTGGGGGAGCGGAGGAGGAGGGTGACCGTGTTGGACGGCGTGGAAATGAGGTCGCGCAGGAGGTGGTAGCCGATGTTGCGCGAGGCGCCAAGGAGGACTGCGTGCATGGTGATGGTGGTGGTGTGGTGGGTGTGGGGGTGTGGAGAGCTAGAGTGGTTGCCGTTGGGATCGCTGGTAGGGCTTCTGTTGTTGCCTGTTGTTGCTGTTGACGAGAAGACAGACGGCGTGAGACATGCGGGTTATTTATACGCTGCAGAAGCAGCAGCATTTGTCTCCCAGACGTCATACGCCTCTCGGCTCCCATCGCCCTCCGGCCACCCACTTCCGTGTCCCTCTGCGCACCCCCCATCTCCCAATCCGCGACGCACACGCCTCGCACTCGGCATGCATGCTATCGTGCATCGCCTTGTGCACAGCTGCTGTCTTCTTCTCTCCCCAACCCAGCACCATGGCCCAGAGCATGCAGAGAGGGTGCCAAAAGAGAGACTGTTTTCGTGACCGAAAGCCGAGAAAACGGTGTCTCTCGGATCCGAGCGTCGCAGATCCGCCACTGACCGACGGTCGTTATCTCTGGCGGCGGCGGCCGAATTTCCCGTTGTCCATATGTTGTTGTCTGGTCGTCTGCAGCCGTCGCTTGCGCATAGTGTGTGCTCTGTCGGTACTGTCGGTTCTGTCGGTGAGAGAGGATGCTTGCAGACGCAGGAATGTGCTATTGCATGCCGGGGGTCGGCGCGGGACGGGCGCGCCATTAATCGCCGGTGCCACCTATAGCCTCACGTCCTCACAGTCACACGATCTACACTGACCACCTCCTCATCCAGTTGTGACCAGTTGCACCCCACTCGGACCACGGGCCCGCCTGTGACTGTGACCAAGCCAAGTTTCTCTGCAGGCATCTCCCTCTCCATAATCCCTTCATGGCGCCACGTCTTGCTTCTCGTCGTCCGTGTGTGTTCGGTGTCGCCCACAGCGTCAAGGCTTGGGCTGGTGGGTATCGTGGCCAACAACAAGTGTTCTGGGGCACGGCGTTTTGAACGCCCGCTCTCCTTGGCGTCTACGGATCTACGGACCCGTCACTGGATCACTGGCCCACTGGACATTTGGGCTACGCCAAACCGGGGATGATGGTTGGTGAACAATGGACCGCGATAAAGGCGGGCATCCTCCCCCACTGTCGGCACGCGGCAACCCCTAGCCTACCCTCACATGCTAGGTCTGGACGTCTGGGTGCATTACCGTATACAGATATGGGTGTGATAATACTACTGGGAAATGGGGCTAATATGACAAGGACGAGATAAAAAAAGATGACTGTTTGTGTGTGTATGTTGTGCGTTGTGTTGTGTGGTGTGCGCTGTGTGCGTTGTGCAGTGTTATTGTTGCTGTGTGTGTGGGGGGTTGTGGTTTGCTGAGATGATTATGGAAACAGGGCTGCCTCTGGCACCCTCCCGTGCTCTGACGACAGAGATGGGGGAGTAAGGGCGATGCGATGGGTGTGTGGAGTAGGGTGGCGGGGTGGCGGGGGTTTGTCCAGCGGCCAGCGGCGACTGTCTCGCCTGGGGAGTTGGGTTCGTAGCCTTTATGCCTGCTAGTGCGGCGTAGTTGCTTGTTCGCAAGTGCATGTCGTGCAATGGCGACGTGGTGTGGGTCGTCGTCGGTCGGGGTTTGTGCGTGACTTGACCTGGTGTCGTCGGTTCGCTGACCTCAGTTGTCGACGTCCATGACAACATCCTCGACCCAGCGCTCCTCGCCGCGCTTGCCGGCGTCCTGCTGACCGTGTCCGTCCTCCTGCTGCACCTGCAGCACATTGGCGCTCTGGCCAAACACGGGCGACGACGGCGGGGCCGGGGGCATGCTCCGTGCCAAGGGGACGAAGAAGGCATGGAACCCGCGACTCCGCTCGACTTTGACTTCGAGCGAGACCTGGACAGACTTGTGCTTGCCTGTTGTCGACGACATTTTCTTCGATCCCGACCCCGACCCCGAGCCGGGCCCGCCGCCCAGGCCGTTCTTCGAGCTCGAGCGCGGCTTGCCGCCTGCGCTTGCGGACGGGCGCATGTGGTGAGCGTGGGCGTGGGCGTGGGTGTGCGCGAAAGGGTGGGCGTGCGCGTGCTGAGAGGGATGGGACGGGTGGGCTGGGTGGGACGGGTGGTGGTGCGCAAAGGACATGGACGACGCGGACGAGTGCGAGTGCGACGGCGACGGCGGGGACGAGGGGGAGCACGACAGCGACGTGCTGTTCATGCCTGGTGGGGACGTCGACTGCACGCTCCGCAGTGTGGGTAAAGTGCACGCCGGGGACGAGTAGCTCGACGTGAAGGGCGGCCGTGCGGCAAACGGGACGGGCTTGGGGTGGTACATTGGTGGTGGGTGGGCGTGGTCGATGAGGTGAGGGGCGGAGCGTCCAGAGTCGTAGTAGGACATGGTGGGAGGGAGTGGGAGGGAGTAGGAGGGAGTAGGTGGTGGCAAGAGGTCTGTGTCGAGGGAGTGGTGGTGGTGGTGGTGGTGTGTTTGTGACAGCCAAGAGGCAAGAGTCGACGACGGAGAGAGAGATGTGAGAGATGGGAGCGGTGCGAGAGAGGAGTAGCAGGGGCTGCCGTTGCCGTTGCCTGCGAGGGAGATGGGAGATGGGATGTCTCTTCTGGTGGCGTTTGGACGACCACTTGAGGGTTTCTCACTCGCCCTTTGAATCGATATGGGCGCCGCTGGTCTCAGGGGAGGAGCGTTGAACGTTTGGGTAGCGACAAGAGCGAGACAGCGGGTGGGGGGTCTCTGTCCTTTTTGACTTGGACTCTGGCGGGATTGGAATAGATTACGCGTCTGCGTATGCTCCAAGTCGTTGACGCTATATGTGGAGCGCAAAAAAAGGCGACGCAGTGGAAGACGTGTATGTGTGTGTGTGTGTGTGTGTGTGGTGAGAGATGTGCTCAGCAAGTGGTCAACGACACGAACGACACAGACGTCGTGTCGCTGTCGATGCTTGCAGGCGTCTGTGAGCTCGGCCCAAACCCAACAGCATGCAAAAGCACCTGAACAGGTCCATCCAGGCCACCCGCCCAGGGGAAGGGCCCTTGCAGCAACAATGCCTTCTGGGCTGCAAAGGCCTGCGCGAGCGGCAGCAATATCGTGGTCAGCAATGCCACCCAGCTTTCCAGGGCCTTTGTCCCAGCGACCGGTCCGCCCCACAGCCAGCCAGCAACGAGAGCAGAAGCGCCTGCAGCGCCCAGGCAGAGCCCAGCGGCCAGCGGCCAGCAGCAAGAGTGGGGGGTTCCCAACAGCGGCGGCATGTCATCGTTGGGCATCTCAGGGACACTTTCATATGTGTGGTCATCTGAGAAAACCCGCAGAATCGGGGGTCAGACCCCCTCCGCACAGCGTCCGCCTGTGCAGCGCTGCTTCTCTCTCCCCCCCCGTCAGCGTCGGTCTTGAACACACCCAGAACCCTGCTAGTCCGAAGCTCATGAAGCAGGAAACATAGGAAACACCACCCCCCCCGGCAAAGTGCTCTCATCCCCCCCTCCGCCCCACTTTGGCGGACTTTGCCGAAACGCGATCCATTTTTTCTTTTGCCTGGTTTTCGTGTTCACCCAATTGGCTGGCCCGCTGGGATCGCTGGTCCCCTGGGCGAATGCATCTTTCTGCCGCGGTCAACACCGGCGCGTGCGTGCGCGCGTGCGTGCATGCGCTGCGCCGCGTGTGTTTCTTGTGGAACAGCAGAACTGCAAGCGTGTCGTGTCGCGTCGCGCGCGTCGCCACTGGGACTGGGGACATCACTGCCCAAGGGAAAAGGGACGAGGGCGGACGAGATGACACGGAGGAGGAAGCGGGGTTGCTCACACGCACCAGGTCCACACCACCACAAATTCTTTGGATCTGTGGAAAAGGCTGTTTGGGGGGGGGGGGGGACCTGTACCTGCGTGCGTGCGTGCGTGCGTACGGCCTTGAGCTGCCAGCTAGCAGCTAGCTCGCTCCCACCGCCCGAGAACCGGGTTTCCTGTCTCGGATGCCGTGGGCCTGGACATCACATGCCCAATCCCAGGCCCGGCGCATAACCAATGCTGGGCCAGCATTCGGCATCGCCCTCCACCCACCGAACAACCTGCAGCACCTGCTGCTGCTGCTGTCGGTGGCGTGACGCAGTTTGCATCCAGACCCGCGCCGCACATGGCACATGGCAGCCCGCAGCCCGCTTACGGCCTCTGGGCGTGCTGCTGTGGCCCGTGGCGTACGGGTGTGGCGTGCCGCGTCCTACCTGTGGCCTGTGTGGCCGGCCTGTGGATGGGAGGAGCAGGGGAGGAGCAATTCCTCCAGTTGCTCTAATTCCTCCAATTCCTCCAATTCCTCCCCATGCCTGCATGCCTGCACCGCGCACAGGTTGACGCGGAATGTAAGGAATGGCAGAATGGCAAACAGGAAAAGGGACATCTCAAACTCGGCACACAGAGAGCATGTGCCGAGAGAACGACGATGGAAAAAGACATGTTGTGCCCACACCGTGTACCGTGACAGGGTAAAGGGCTTGGACATGAGCTCTGCGCCGTCGTCGTTATTATCGCGCCGCGCGCACGGATCAGTCTGGAACCGCAATGAGGGGATGAGGGGGGGGGGGGGGGGGGGGGGGCTGGTCGTGTGGGTGGCGCACGCCCGCCATGGCCCGCCGTACATACTGTCATCAAATGCGTGTACGCGTGTCTTGGCAGCCGGTTGCAGAGTGGTCACGAAACAGACCGCGAAACCAAACACACATCGCTGCCAGTCGCGATTGGCAAGAGGGATGTCGCTCGTTCGGACAAGACCGATCCATGCTGGTGTGGCGCTTCCGGGAGAGGCGTGTGCGTGTGCGTCGTCGCCGTGGCCGTCCACTGCTGTCTGCGGCTGCGACTGCAGAAGGCGGCGTCGGTCGTGTACGCCTCGTCCGACTGCAGGCTTGGCTTCTTTCGCTTGGATCCTGGGGGGCGCGAAGGGAAGGAAGGAAGGAAGCAAGCAAGCAAGCAAGGCGAAGCAAGATGCAAGTTGCGAGTTGCGAGTTGCGAAAGGCAAGCAAGTTGAGGGAGATCAGTGCAGAGGGAAGAAGCTGGAAGATGGCTTTGGTCTCTCTCCCTCCGTTTCTGTTCTGTCGTAGAGCATGAGGAGTGCTCCGTTCTCCACGGCTCGTTGCGCTGGCTCGCGACAGAACACTCCGTGCTCCACCCATGCTTGAGTGTCTCGGTGGCCACTGGCCACTGGTTACTGAACGAGGCACTGGCGGCCGCCATGCCCCTCGTCAGCAAGGTACACCCGGTGCCGCTGTGGCTGCGCCATGATCCATGGGCGGCGGCGGTGGGTTCAGTCACCTTGGCAGCAAGTACATAGTTGCTCTTGAGGCATTTGTTTGGAATGGCTGCGTCGTGCAGCCCGAGTCAGTTGCTCTGGGGACATTTGCGATGAGTCGGACGACACTACCACTGCCACACCAGATCTCCGCTGCGATCGCTGCCACCGTCTGGCATTTGCACGCCGTACGCTTGGACACGCGAGCCACGGCAAGCACGCACAGACCAGCACGCTCATGAGGGGATCAGGTGGTCCAGCGGGCCATGAAACGGGGTGCGTCCCATGTTGACGCGTTCTGTCGTGGGGTGTGGTATGACATCGCGACGCGTCGAGCGTGCGTGTTGGGGATCAGAACCAGCTAGTCAGAGATCAGAGATCAGAGATCTGCCACCGGCCACCGTGTCACTGATCGCTGACTGCCGTACGCATTGTGTACGTGGGACTGGCGCGAGTGTACGCACGTCACGTACGACGCACTCTGGGTATGCCCGAACCCAGCTGTGTCGCACGCACAGACGGTCTGGCACTCCAACCCTGTCCACTGCCATTCAAGGGCCACCACTACGTCCTACGGCTGCAGTCACCTGGGCACCACTGCTACCAAGCTGCAAGCTACAACCTACAAGCAGTCGCCCAAGCTGCCTGCCACCTGCCGCCCGAGCCCGGACCAGACCTCTCAGCCTGACCAGCTCTAGCTCTAGCTCATGTACCACTATGGCGGTTTCCCACGTTCCATGACACCGCCGGCACGCATCACACACCATCAATGATCAGTGACATCCGACAGGCCTCTGCGCCTCTGCCCTGCTCCCCGGCCCCCACGAGTTTTGCTGCACATGGCATATCACATCTGCCTATATATCAATATGTACATTCCCTCCCCAATACCCTCTATGCAACCCTCTGGAACTTTTCTGGCGGACCACCGGCGTCCTCTGCCGGCCGGCGCACCCCCATAGCTCCCATGTTCGCTCCCCTGCCCCGTGCGAAGCCGCCGCGTCCGCGGAAGAACGGCTGGCCGCGGAAGCCGCCCCGGCCGACTGGGCGGAACGGTTGTTGTTGCTGCTGCTGCTGTTGCTGCTGTTGCTGCTGGAGCATCGCCTGGTTCGGCATACCGTTGCCCATGCCCATCATGGCGTTGCCCTGGTTCATCATGCCCATCTGGGCCATGGGGTTGGCCATGCCCATGCCGCCCATGCTGGCCATACCCCCGAGCATGAGCCCCTGGGCGGCCAGCATCTGCATCTGCAGCAAGTTGGCGTTGGTGATCTTGATGTGGGCCTGGAGCTGCGCCTTGAGCTGTGGCGGGACGAGCGGGTTGCGCAGCGTCTGCATCATGGCCTGGAGGTAGTCTGCGAGCGTGTTCATGTCGGGCAGCGGGCCGCTGAAGGGATTCTTGCCGTGCACGTCGGGCGTCGCCGCTCCCCCTTCTGGCGCCGGCGTGCCAGACCCGGCCTCGGCGGCCTTTTCGGCCTCCTCGCCCTCCTTCTTGCTCCGCTCCACCTCGCCGTCGACGTAGCCCTTGGCGCGCTCGCGCAGCTCCTCGTCGGGCTTGAGCTTGTCAAACGACGTGATCTTGCTCTCGCACGCCGGGCACTCAAAGTCGTGTTCCAGGAGGTAGCTCTGGATGCACTCTTCGCAGTACGCCTGGTCGCAGCACGGCACGCGGACGGCCTCCCACACGAGCTTTTTGCAGATACCGCACGTGAGCTCGGCGTCGACGGGCTCCTGGTCTCGCACATCGGCGCCAGTGAGGGCACGCGGCTTGGCGGCAGCGTGCTTTTGCCATTGCCGTTGGTCGGGCACGGCACGCACAAAGCCTCCGTCGGCAGTAAGCATCGCACCGCCAGACGAACCCTCGCCAGTGGTGGGGGTCTCGACAGTCTTGAGGAAACTACGCGGGATACCAGTCACACGGACAAAGCGCTTGCGGTCCTGTGCTGTTGGGTCGTCGTTGGTCGGACAGTTCTGGATCCAATGGCCTGAGACGTTAGCACAACCGAGGTTTGTTCGACTTACCCTTTTGTCCACAGCGGTAACAGATGTAGCCCACTGGAGGCTCCTTGTCGGGCGCCACGCTGAAGTCAAACTTGCTGGCTCCACCAGGTCCGGCAGGCTTCATGGGCCCGCGGCGCTGCTGGCCACCGGCGTTGAACCGAGGCAGCCTGGGATGTCAGTTGTGGCTCGCCAATCACCTAATTTACTCAACTCACGTCGATAGGTCCTCCTGCATAGCTTCCCACGTATCCTCCTGCTGTTGCAGCATGGCACGGATCCTCGCGTCCTCGTCGGCATCACCAGTAGTCACAGCCACCTGCTCCTGTTCGCGCTTGTCAGCACACACCATCTTGGCATCCACGGTCCCGCGAACCTACCTTCTTCTCAGGCTCTTTGCCGTCAAACCGCTTGGTCATACTTCCATACGTGCCCGCCTGGCCACGCGCGCCGCGGTTGAGCATGCGGTCCTTCATCGCCTCGCGCGCATGCGCCTCGATACGGTGTTCGCCCGTCAACGACATGGACGCGTCCGTGCCGACAATGTAGTTTTGCGCCGTGCCGCGGCCCTTCATGATGGCCGGGCGGCGGCGGACCGTCAGCGACGACGAGCGCGCAATCTGGTGTTCGTCGTCTTTCAATTCTGGGAAATACGTTAGCTAGAGAACAAACCGAAGAAGGAAAGGCACAGGCCGACGCACCATCGCCATTCTCGAGCACGACAATGTCAAAGTCCTTGCCGTTGCCGAGGTTGTTGCCCAGCATGACCTGGCGCTTAAAGTCAAAGACGGAGATGTGGGTGCCGTCAAACTTGACGCGCGACTCGTCGCGGCCCGCGCCCCAGCGGTAGAAGACTTGGGACATGGTGGGAGATGGGTGTCGGGAGAGAGAGGGGGAGAGGGAAGAGAGAGGGGGAGAGGGAAGAGAGGGTGGTTTGCCGACGATCGGTAGCTCTTTATGAGGGACAAGGACCGAGGAGGAGAGTCTAGGAGGCAATTAAAAGTGCCGTGGGGTATGCTTTTGATGTGTTGTAGGACAGTGGTCTCTCTTGGGTCATGCAATGACAAGGTCGAGACACAAGTTTGCCACCAGAGACAGCTGACGAAGGATCGAGCTCTCGAGCTAGCGCGGCTGGTGCACCAGCAACAAGCCCGCAGCGGACTGGAAACGGCGAGGAAGCGCGTAAAGGGGATCCACTGATTCTGGACTGTTGGGACCACTTGTGTCGTGCCAGTGGAGATGGAGGGGTGCAATGTATGAGGATGGATGTGTTGAATCAGTCGGATCGGACATCGTTGAACTGTGTTCAGATGGATGATGGAGGGAACGGAAGCAGATATCACAGGCAGCCGACGGAATCAATCCCACGTGCAATGACGAGGAAATATATATAAAAATGCTAACTTTGTAACTTTCCAACTGGCCAACTGGCCGGGGGTTCGAATCCAGGATGCGAACGTCCGGGCAATGACAAAAACGGTATTAGGAGGATGTAAGTATATTTATTTATTTATTACAACTGGCCGGCGTCCTAAATCGACAGCAAGACGGAGACGAAAAACGCTGACCAGTGTCGAGAAGAAGACTGAGCAAGCCAGCGACCTAGCGCCTATCTTTTTGTGCATGGTCAATCTCGTGCATCTCGTGATGGCGCATGAACATCTATAATCTACTGACTGCCCGCTAGCAGCTCAAGCTGGGGGCGCTACACATCATCGACACCGCCTGGGATGCCGTCACACGACTCTCTAGTGTCCATTAGCGGCACCGTTAATGTGGCCGTTGCCGTTGACCTTGGACGAGGCAGTGCCATTGCCATAGTCCTCGTCCTTGACCTTGGACTTGACAGGGCGGACAAGCGGGAGCCACGCGGACGCGTCATAGTCGTATGCGTACGGGTTGGTCTTGACCGACAGGCAGAGCTCTGTAAGTGGATGCGTCAGCAAAGCATGGGCAGAGCAGCCGTTCCAGCGGCTTGGGACAGTGGTCTACACCGCCCTCTCACATCCGCGGTACTCACCAACGCATGCGGTGAAGATGAGGAGCGCGCCATAGCTGGTCATGAGGTGCCAGTAGCCGTGGCCTGCGTGTTAGTGCCCCGATGTCAACAAAGCCCATGCGCGGCCCACGCCCAGCGGCCGGCCAGCCCGCCGGCAGACGGTCAGTCGCCATGACGCCTCCGCCGGCTATTGGGATGGCGGGGGGCTTGGGCAGACTCACCCTGTGTCAAGTGGCCCAGGTGGTGGAGACCGTGGTCCGTCAGCCAGTCGCGCACCTCGCGGATGTGGGTGCAGAAGAAGTTGTCCAGGTTCCACACAGCAAAGCCCATGACGAAGACGCCGACGCCGAGCAGCAGCGTGCGGCAGATCTTGGTACGGCGTTCGCGCGGGATCTGGTACGAGAGCCAGACGGCGCGGACAATTGAGAAGAGCATGATGCACGCAAAGGCGACCTGGTGGTAGACGGGGTTGGGCAGGCAGACGCTGGGTCTTGTCAGCTGCTGAGGACTGAAGGCGACGGTCAAGCTCACTAGGACACTGAGACGAAGATGCACCACGCAACCACAGCCAGAGGACCCGCAATGCCAAAGCGGTGCTCAAAGCCTGGGAGAGTGTCGACGACGAGGTATGAAGCGTACGAAACGACGTAGATCTGGTCACGGTGTCAGCAATGAGGTTACTCGGGTTCAGGCAAGCTCACCATGGGAAGCTCGTCCATCAGCTGCCACTCCCATCTTAGACTTGCGTGGAAGCCAAAGCTGCCGATACTGATGAGTGCGTGGCCCAGGTAGATGAGTGCGTAGCGGAGGGGGACTCCAGAGTTGTACGTCGCATACGCGCCGTACAGGCCGCCAAGCATGCCGGGGACATTGGTGAGGGTGTTAATCTGGAGCTGTGTCAGCTGGGATGCTCCACCTTACTGCACGGGGACACGCTTGGTGATCACCAGTCCTTAGCTATACATATATACGCCCCGAGGCAGGTTCGAGAGTCGTGAACCTGCCAGGCGGACTGGTCGGCATGCCCACGCGATCCTTGGCCAGACTCACAAACTCTGCAATGTAGAAGGACACGGCATAGTTGATCTCGCACCAGTCAATCGACTGCAGGTCATCAGTGTCTCTCCTTAGGTGTACTAGACCGTTCACGTCTATGTCACACCTACCGCTGTGACTGGCGACCAGTGGCCGTCGAGGTTTGCGTCGGTGAGGAGGTGGGAAAACGCGCCCATTGTATAGCCGGGCGTTGGACGTGTTCTTTTGGCTCGAGGGCTGCGCGCTGTGTGGGCGCTCTCTAGCAAAAGAACGCGCGAAGACGGAGAATGAGAGTGAAAAGGAGCGTGGAAAGGGGAGGGAGAGGGATGTGTTGAGAGAGGAGGATGCGAGACTGCGAGAAACCCAGCTCACTGCAAGACCCACACCCAGCACACCCAAGTATAGCAACGGCGGCACGCGTGCCGACGTAATCCCCGCTCTCGGTGTCCGCCGCCGAACATGGAGGAGGCTGTCGTGCCTGAGTGGTGTCCTGGATCTGCGGCGTGGGCAGCGTGCAAAAAAAGGTAAATGGGCCATTTATGCCCACCAGTCTGTCCAGCCACACACGAGAGGATGCATGCGCATCGTGTGTACGACTATACTACTGCAGCTGCTTCTGTTCAACTCCCTCCTTTCTTTCCATGTGCCAGACTACAGCTCGGCCTCAGCATCGACATTGAGGATGAGCGCCATGAAGAACCTGCAGATGAACGACGTCAGCGCTGGACGTGCACGGCCCCTTATCTCCGCGGAGAAAACAAACCGAGTGAACTCGACCATGCCATCCGGCAGCCTACGTGGGTTAGTCACAGAGTCATAGTCTTTCACCAAGGGCATGCCAATTGCAAAATGGTCATTCTATGTGGGGGGGATGCATGTACGAGAGCTAGGTGTGTACGACGACTGCTGCTGCTGTTTGCCAACTGTCACATGTCCACTTGCACCTGCATCGTCAAGGTTTAGGCAACAGCTACACTACTTCAGTACATACTTGCACACAGACGCACAAACTGTGCACCACCTGGTGTACCTGTGGCAGCTACCACTTGGGACCATGGCAGGTTCGATAGTGCGCGCCGGCCTCTCTCCACGAACTGGGTCTAAACCATTGCGTCGTTATCCGAGTCACAAATGTTCCCCTACAGCCGGCTCATGAGGGGCCACTCGAACCAAACAACCACCTCCAATCACCTGCCTCACCATGCAACGCTTGGTCCTGGTTTTCGTCAGGATACTGAATCGAGTTGCCAAAGATATGATCGAAGGTGGACATCCCGCCCTGGATATCATTCATCGGCCCGTCGAAGATGTCCCAAATGGGCATGTTGAAGTCCAAAACAGGCGGTTCCGTTGCTTCGCAGTTCTGTCCGGGTAGAATCTCAGTGGACGATAGGGAGTCGGCTTCAAGGACGGGCTGTTGAGAAAGGAGTTGCCGGTCGGGTTGCCGCGAGGCCTGGGGTGAATATGTCCGTATTGGAGCGGTGCTCCGGCAGCCACCGGACGAGTTGGGCTGACGGAGATGCCACAGGATGGTAGGGCTCGGGATGAGACCAGCTTGTAGCTGGTCGTCGGCTGCTGGGAGGCTTTCGTCAAACGAAAGCTCCAAGAGCAGTGATCCATAGAAATGAGCCGCGCTGCCACCCATTCGGCCGTCACCAAATGGCGCCATGGCGAGGCCGACGTGGCGTATCGTTTCCCGAGCAGCTTCTCCCGCCAACTTGTCCGTCAGCATACATTAACAAGCTCCACTTGCCTTGAGGTATACGACAGCGTTCCAGGAGATCATTGCGCACACCGTACGGACGATATACCTGGCGTCGGCATGCACATGGTCAAGCAGGAACTCCAGTGACCGTCGAGCCAACCTCTCCATCTTCTCCTGGTTCTTTTGTGGTGGGTGGCTCGCTGGACCTTTGCTGAGGATCAAGAGCGCGAGATGGGAGGCAACGGTCTGCATGTTGTTGTGGAAAGGTGATTCTGTCGTTAGCCGTGTTTGTTTATCGCTCTCACCAGTGTCCGTGCACCATTCTGCACGCCAAGCTTCGATCTGCGCTGAAGCACTGTCTTTCACCGCATCCGCCAAGTAGGGTTGGTCAATTTCGCCGAGCCTAGTCCTGGTGATGTTCTAACACATAAGCGGTGAGCTCACGGGTGCCGCCATCAGCGGTGAGTTACCAACCTCAATGGCCCTCAGCTCGAGGAAAGCGACAATCATACGGTCGCCGGGCGTACAAAGCGCCGTGTCCAGCAACCAGCTGCGCATCTCATCGGCACCAGAATGGTTTGGGATAAGAGGAGGTCTCCCTGAGAAGGCGGCAAGGCTACCAGTCAGCTCCGCAAGTTACGTTCGTTTCCCCACCTGCGATCATGGACATAGAGTAAGGCCCAGGTGCGAATGAGATCGCGATGTCGCCTGCATGTCAGCTCACACTCCAGAAACGGAAACTAAGCACCTCTTCTGCATCTCATCGCCGGGGATTTCCAGTGGGAGACGCGGGAACCCAAGTTCGGTCGCCATGTTCACGGCCATGGTCAAGAATCTGGGACGATCAACATGTCTCCCTTGTACAAACTCCACCCACGTTCGTGATCGGTCATCGATGTTCCGCTTCGGGAAGTGCGGCCACAGGTACAATATCATTAGGGCCTTGGTACTCAGCATCACACTGTGGGCTTGGGACTTACAACCACCAGTTCGGGACTTTGGGCGGTGGAGGAGAAAGCAATGTGGAACAGACGCTCGGCATGGAGGTATAACGCAGCGGAGACCTTTTCGTTGTCCGTCATCTGCACTGTGTGCGCCGATGCTGCCAGAATGCCTGTGAGGAGAAGCGCCGAGTGGCTCCGCAGATACGCGATGGTGTGGATCTTCGGGTCCATGAATCCCACTTGAGGCTGCAAACGTTGAAAGAAGCTGCTTGTGTCAGCATTCAGCGATATGCTGTGGCCCACCCTTGAATCAGCTTCTCGGCAGTGGTTTCATTGACCAGTCCAATGGTGATGGGGTCAAGATTTGGAGCGACGTCACGTTTGATAGCCATCGATCCATAACGAAAGTATTGGCGCTTCTGCAGCGCCGCCTGTTGCAACTGAGAACGGGTCCAACCCGGCGCGATGATAACGGCAGGAGACGTGGCGTTGTTGGACCTGTCGTGACCTGTCTGGGGCCAGTCATCGCTATTCAGGTCGGCGTCGTCCTCATTCCACTCCTTGTCACGCAAACGGGAGCCTAAATCACTGAGCAATCCGAGTGGATGAGGCCCATCCCGTAGGTAATGGTCATCGGGCTCGGGGCTCTGCGCAGCGCTTTCCATTGGCAGGCTCAGTTGAAGCCGAGAGGCGACCGGGTCTTCCAGATCTGTGGGGGATATGTCCGGCGCTGCAGCGAACAGGGCGGCATCCGGCTCAGGTGATGCTGTGCTCGGTTGCGCATCCAGAGCCGCCGAGGCCACCGGAGAGTTCTGCTTCCATTTCTTGCTGTAGGTGTCAATCAGCCGGCCCACGTCCGCGTTAGGCACGTACTTCTTGCTCCCCCGAAGTCTACCGCGTTTGCATTTCTGGACCTCGCAGGATAGTCCACGCTCATTACATCGGTCGCAAGGAGCCGCAGATGTGGGGTCACGAAGGCATCGTATCTTGAGACCTCGGCAACTAGGCCGTCAGCCGCCTGACAGTGACAAGACTTACCCACCGAATACAGGCTGTGGAAAGCCGGACTCTCTTTGGACTAGTCGGCTGCTCGGTTGTCGCGGCAGCTGTCGGCGCAGGCCGTGCACTAGGCTGTTGTTTTCCGGGAACGGACAATGTGCCCGGCGATGTGAGCGGTGCCGTACCGAAAAGTGAACGGAGCTGCTCCATTCCTTCGGTCAACTCGGAAAACCGGCCTACAATCCAAGTCAGACAGCCGTGCAGCAGTGGAGGGCATACCCTGCATGTACTCACGTTTGGCGGCTTCCAAAGACAAAGTGTTTACCGTGCTCGCCATGGTGTCACACGAGGATCGATCGGAAAGGGAATCAAGAAAACATCAAACCAGTGGCTCCTCCCAAAGACGTCTGTTAGTAAGGCCGACAACCCTCCTGGGTGGAGGCGGTGGTGGTGCCTGACATTGAGCCCCACGGGGGGAGGCAACGGGATCTATATTATTTACATAGCCGTTCAATTCACCCGGCGCGGTTTTCTATATTTTTGTTGCTCCCAATGTTTACAAGGTCATTTCTGCCCATTCCGTACCCATGCGGCAGCCTTCCGATCTCGACAGTTCTCTACTTGCTTTCCGTTATTGACGCAGGCAACATAGTATGTGGTCGCCTGGATCCCCCCACTTGTACATAGGTCCTGACAGTCCAATCAGTGGCCTGAGTTGGAGGGACATAGATGGCAGGGCTATTGTTGACTTGCCTCGTGTGGTGTCTCACCATGACTTGTATCCGTCTAGCCAAGCAACTGTAAGCCCGTTGTCTATCCATCTTTGAAGCATTTTACTGTCTCAGATAGCCTTCATACGGGCATTGTCGCAGCTTGCTCAATGTGAAAAGGGCGACCTGCTCGTGACCTGCTGCAATGGAAGTCGCGCATCAATTGGGCCTTCCGTATGAATTTGCCAAACCTGTTGGCTGTGGCCACCACATCTCCTAATCACGACACCCACCCTCTCAGCATCGTTACATATCATTGGGAAGGGACGAGCACCTTCAAGCACCGGCCGCAACCCCGACGGAGGGCCCGATACCAGCAGCAGACAGATGAAGGTGGCAGGGTCCGTGCATCAGCCTTGAAATCCGAACCCCGCATTGTTGACAAAGCCGGCAACCTGAATTGGACGGACTCGGCTATATTGACCTCTCTGCCGCCCGTGGCAGTTGAAGGTAGGCAAGGCAGCTTCACCGCCGGCGAAGGGTATCTAGGTGGCACAGTATGCACTCCCCTGACACACAAAAAGGCTGCTCGACCATGAGTTGTCACACCATACCCACTCTACTTCGACCAGCCACAATGTCCTCCTTCATCCAACACACCGAGGCCTACGAGAGCGGCATGAAGAACCGCCGTGAGGTCATGGGCGACTCCGTGGGTTCATACGATAATCAATCACCGAGTTTGGGTAACTGACGCTGAGGCCTGTAGTATGTTGACGCGTCTCTGTCGAAAGGAGCTTCTGAGTTTGCTTCTCTCGGTCAGCAAGATGCCACGGAATTCGCCTGGCACAATGTGTGGTCCCGATCTGGTCTCGACAGAAAGCAGCGCAGCTTGATCTGTCTGACGCTGTTGACCGTCCTGGGCAAAGAGAAGGAGTTGGCAGGCCACGTTAGGGGCGCAATCAACAATGGTCTGACCCCCAATGAGCTCAGGTGAGTCACAGATACCTATATACTTTCCTTAACACCATTCTGACTCACACCGCAGGGAGGTCTTCCATCAACTCATGGTCTACTGTGGCGTTCCAATTGGTCTTGAAGGGTACGTGTGCGCTGGTGTGCGAAACCACCGGCTCATGTCTGCGAGCGGCTGACGATGTCATCTCACAGCTTCCGTATCGCTGATGCCGTCCTTGACCAACTCCAAAAGGAGGGCAAGCTGCAGGCGTAACATTCTGTGCCCAAGCCAGCACACTGCAGGAGGCAGAGGAGGCAGGGTATTGAGCTTACATACCAAGTCATGTATGCAATGCATGGTCATCGTATTGGGCAGGCGGTACTTCCCAACGTATCGAGTACATAGAATGCATACCGTGAGCGAAACAGAAGCCGGCCACGCAGAGTCAGGGTTGCCCGACGACGCCAGTTGTTGAACGCTTCCCGGTTGTTGCCCTCCAGCATATCCTGTATCCATTCCTGCTGCCTATTTGTGAGACTCCATACTAGCGCCCAGTTCTTATATCAGCGCTTATACAGCTCTCTTACCGTTTTCTAGCTAATGAATGATCTCCAGTCTACCATATACATTATCTCAAACAATACAACCGTGGACCCCTGTCTCTTACAGTGCACCTCCCGCAACCTATATACATCATGGCTGAGATAAAACCTGGTGCATCGTCTGTCAATCTTTCTCGGCTACATAGCATATGAAGCTTTACAATAAGTAGTGGCTGCACACGGTTAATGTCCTGTCGACAAGTTTAGTCGTCAAACACTGTTGCCACAAGAACACCTGCACATGCCCCACTACCGGTCTCAGCAAAAGCATGGTGACCGCCAGGTAGGGGATACCGACTTTGCCAGTTATGACAATAAGACCAAAGCAAGTGTACAACTAAGCTCCCTGCTGCCACTCTTCATCGCCGCCCAAGAGTCTGAACACCACCCGCGCGTCTCTACCTGTGCAACGAGGGTCTTGCGACGCATCGGTGAAAGCCTTCAAACCTACTGGAGCCAAGTACAGCTTTGCTCCACAAGTGGCGGCTGCCCCGACCGCGAGGTTGTAGTCTTTCAGCATAAGCTCCACCTTGAATCCAGGCTCGTAGTTGTTTGACGCCGGCGCCTTGGGAACGACACCGGGAACGGGCTATGGTGGTCAGCTGAAATTGAACCATTAAAGCCGGACACACTCACGTTGCAACTCTGGTTCACCCAGCTACCTCCAGTGCTGACGGCGACCACGTCGGAGAGGGTCTTCGGGTTGAGACCCAACTTCATGCCCAGGTTCATGCCTTCGGCAGTAGCGATGGCAATGTTGCCTGAAATGTAGTTGTTGCACAGCTTGGCGGCCAAACCGAGGGTGGGTGCACCGCAAGCAAAGACCTTGTTTCCCATGGTTTGTAGAATCGGGAGAATCTCATTGTGACGAGGATGATCAGGGGATGTGCCGAGCATGAAAGTGATAGTGCCTTCAAGGGCCCCCACAGTCCCACCAGAGACTGGGGCGTCGAAGAAGTCTGCTCCCCGTTCGGCAACAGCCCTGGCAACAGTCTGTGAGGTGGATACGTCGATGGTGCTGCAATCAATAAACAGTTTGCCGGAAATGTCTGTAACCGACAAGGCCCCGTTGTTGGTCTGCGAGAATACTTGCAGGACGTGCTTTCCTTCCGGAACAATGGTGAAAATCACATCCTGGTGGCTGTTAGCAGTCGCAGACGATTCCGGAGATCAACATGGGGGACCTGGTTTTGGGTACTCACAGAGTTTTGGACCACTTCTGCTACGCTCATGCACTTGACGATGTGGCCGTTGGCAGGCTCAGATTCTGCCGCAAGCTGGTCCGCCCTCGTCGATGCAATGTCGTAAACGTACAGCTTGATCGTTGGGGACGATTTGGCCCGGAGATTCTTGGCCATCTGCTACGTGTCAGCACAAGCTGCACGCTCAATGTGCTGCTACCACTCGCCCAGTAGCCCATGGCGCCCAAGCCGACTAAATTTCCCGTCAGCGAATGGGGATCTTCATCGTCATACCCACCAAATCCGTATGAATGGTGAACACCCAGAGAAACCATTGTGTAATATGCTAGAAAGATTGAGCTAGTCGGTAGGCGTGGAAGTCAGAATCGTTCATCTGTATTTATGGCCGGTACACACAGTCACCTCTTATCGAGCAGTCGGGCATGTCGGATTACACCGAACTCTACATTGCCGATGTCATGACACCCGAGTGCTTCGCCGAGTGGCGGAATCTCCGTCCTTCGGTCTTGTCCGGCTGACGGACTGTTCCTTCACCGTCCTGCTCTAGTGCCAGCAACATTGCAGCAAACCATTTAGAAGGCCGTTCGCCGTCACACGTATGTGTCCCTGGCATTTCGGTGCTCCAGTGTGCCGACCCGGACTGACTGAGCAATCTAGAAAGCCGATCGCGCCTCCGGGACAACACTCACTCTAGACTTAACATAAACATCGTCCCCTGGTCGTTGGTTCCCCACTCAGGCTACACGTACACGCTCAGTCTACCCAAGTGATCATATCTACCAACATGAGTCTCAGCATTCCTCCCACCATGAAGGCACTCGTTATCAAGGCCCCTTTCAAGATCGCAGTCGAGGAACGACCCACTCCTCGCATCGTGGACGCCAATGACGCCATTGTCCGGGTGCACCAGTCTGGACTATGCGGTACGTTGTAGGAAACTTCCCCTACTACTGGAAAGCACTTCACTAACACGTTCTGTAGGGTCCGATTTGCATTGGTATCGCGGCCATCAGCCGTCGTCTTACAATTTCATTCTAGGCCATGAAGTAATCGGCGAGGTCGCAGAGGTCGGCTCTGCCGTCAAAAAGTTCAAGCCGGGGGATTTGGTCCTGGCTGCCTTTTCCACCAGCTGTGGTGAGTACCAGTTAACATATGATAAACATTGAGGCACTGGAGGCTGACGCAGGAAACCTCAGGCGAGTGCTTCTACTGTAGTCAACAACACTCTGCACGCTGTGTTCACTCACAGAATTTCGGCACTCCAATGCTGGACGGCGCGCAAGCAGAGTACTTCAGGCTCCCCCAGGCAGATACGACCCTGTTCCATGCCCCGGTAGACATTCCTAAGGACAAACTCGTTCTCCTTACGGACATTCTCCCCACTGGTTATCAAGTTGCCTACAATGCCAAGACCTTGCTGTCCTCCGATGTTCCGGAAACAGCTGCCAACGCAATCCAACAACAAAGTGGAGTCTGTGTGGTGATCGGCTGTGGTCCAGTGAGTCATTCAGTCGTGAATGAGGTTGACCTCCTCTATAGGTGGGATTATGTGCCATATCGGCCGCGTGTACTTTGTTCGAGACCGTGTTCGCGACCGATATCGCTCCACACAGACTTGAATCGGCTTCCCGTCATGGCGCGATTGCCCTCCCCCTCGAACAGCTGAAACAGAAGTTGATGGAAGTCACCGAGGGCCGAGGAGCTGATGCGTGTCTGGAAGTTGTCGGCCACTCCTCCGCCCTGCAAACTGCTCTGGACCTTGTCAGGCCATACGGTGCAATCAGTAGCTGTGGTGTCCATACTCAGGTGGCACCGCTGGCTGGATCCCAGCTCTACGGCAAAAAGTAAGTGGCAATCATCATGTCCGAACTCTGACGGGTTTCAGTGTTAGAATGATGTTCGGCCGTTGCTCGGTCAACAAGTACATGGAGCCAGCACTCGCTCTTCTCAGAGAAAATCAAGCACTGTTCTCATCTTTCGTGGAGCACAAGATACCTCTCTCACAGGCTGAAGAGGTGTGTTTCGGCCTGGCGGCAAAACTGACCTTTTCCAGTATTATGTTCTCTTTGAACAGAACAAAGTGGCCAAGACGGTATTTGACTTTGAATGATAGACCATCATCTACATCGTAGCTGTGAACCCAAACGTCTTCTTTTTTTCCTTAGCTGCGCAATGCATGTGAAGTTGCATTAACTGACGTGAGCGGAGGGTGCACTTGCAGTGCTTGTCTGAGAATGGGTTGTAATTGGAACGAGTTGCAAGAACGATGCTCTGCGGAACTGGGTACGAATTACCCGGACCCTGTGGGCATCCGAGCGTCCGAGCGTTCGAGCATGTGCACAGTAACAGTGTGAAGAGGCAAATCAGTCTCGACTCGTAGGAAAAGGTGAAGACACCTAAGGTTGCGTGCAGTCTTGACAACTCGTTGTCCACTGCCGTCTGCGTCTTATTTTCCATCTCGTCACAGTCCACTTCAGTGCGACCAGATGGATGGCATCACCATGCGGAGCCCCCCATGCAGTGCGTCACACTCGGCCGCGGGGCCCTCACTGTACACTGTCAGACGCCTCTGGGTCAACCCCCCCCTAATCCCTTTCCCGGTGCGACAGAACACAGACAGTAGCCAACAGTCACGTGCATAGGAAGGAACGTTCTCATCTGGCTCAGCTTCGATGCCTAGGCTAGCTGCATTGCGTCTGGCATATACGAACCCTGTCTGCTGTCGAACAGCTACCGGCACCCTTCGTCGAACGGTGGGGGAAGAATGTCAAGAAGCACTGTAATTCAACCTATGGACAGGGGATGTGCAGATGGAGATGGATGTGGGTCAGTGCCAGAAAAGCTGTTGAGCGCCACTCTCGGTAGGTTCGGTAGGTGCGAGCTCGCTCGCACTCGTACCCTCGACAATCAGTCGTGCTCTGCTCGATCGTATCTTTCTATGCATCATATCGTGACAACAAAAGCTGGGGCACCATTCCGCTTCGGTTCGTGGAACAATATGCCAGTCGACTATGCAGCGCACAGTTCCTAAAAATGCATGACGCCCTGCCGTGCACCACTAGGCGGTTACGGAAGTGATAGGAGTCGCGACGACGGTTGCCTCCTCGCTGAAAGGATAGTCTGAATAGCCCTTCCGAACGTCACCTTCGATAATGTTATAGTGGGCCCATACGTTACCGGCGGAGTTGATGGGGAGGTCGTGCTGGATGCGGTGATAGAGATCAGGGTTGTACATGTACAGAGTTCCGAAGGCGACGGCCTCCACCAACCCGGCCGAAACCTCTTCGTTTGCCTTTTCGCCTGTGTATTCTGCGACGGCGAGGATTTTGGACGTTTTGGCAAGCGGACCGTACGTACGCACGACGTCATGCTTAAATCCTTGATGCACACCGCCATGCGTGGGGTCGCTACCGCCTACGATCAAGTGAGCATTCGGAAAGGGCCTATCGTTGATCGGGACTAGAACTCACTGTTGTACTGCGACAGCTGAATGTAAGCGATACCCAGTTTGTCAAGCTCGGATACCATGTGCTTGTGCGTGGCAATGTTCTCCTCGTGCGAGGAAAAGTACATGTCGTTGTAGCCGCCGCTGTTTTATCGATTAGCAAGCCAAACGACAGACGCACGATGGCCACTACTCACCACGGTGAAAGCTTGATACCGACGCGCTCCGGTCCCCAGACCTTGATGCACCGCTTGATGGCTTCCAATCCAAACCGGCATCGCTTTTCGACGCTGCCTCCCCACTCGTCAGTGCGGCGGTTGCAGGTGTCGGTGAGGAACTCGTCAACAAGGTAGCCGTTGCCGCCGTGAACCTCGACGCCATCGAATCCCGCCTCCTTGGCGCAGCGTGCGGCGTTCTCGTATGCGTCGAAGACCATGTCAAAGTCCTCAAGTTGCGTAGGTACTACGAAGCCTGGCTTTCCAGGAAGGTGACGGAACTGGGGAGCAGGTCAGTGAAAGCTTCCCATGTGGCAACGTCACAGGGGTACAGACCTTGCCACCACGCGCCGCCACCGGGCTGGGAGCGTAGACGGGATGGCCAGACTTTACTTGCTCTGGCGACTCCGGGTGCGCAATTCTGCCCACGTGGTGCAATTGAGCCACAATGGCGCAGCCCTCCTCGTGCACCGCATCGACGACTTTCTTCCAAGCCTGGGCGTGCTTGGAGTCGTAAATGCCAGGGGCATGGAGCCACTCAGAGCCTTGGGGATAGATGTAGGCGGCTTCGGCAATGATCAGCCCGGCACCAGTTTCCTTGGCCCTCTGGCTGTAATAGTAGACATTCTCCTCGCAAGGGTACGTGTCCGGGTCGGATCGGTTGCGAGTCAATGAGGCCATGACCGTGCTACGAAGAGTCAGCCTCCAGCCACGATTGACGACCTACCGATTGCGGAGAGGAATGTCTCCCAGTCGACCAGGACGGGCAAGAGCAGGGTAGCGAACCATGACTAGATTTGTGATAGGCAGTGCTGGTGGGCGTGTGATGGGTAGTGCTGGAGAGCGGAGTAGAAGAGCTGCTGCCTATAAGGCGCTGCGTGCATGGTAAAATATAACCGATTGGCGAGATCTAGATACCCATGCTGTTCATGATTCAGTCGCGCCCGGAATCTCCGTCAACAAGCCACACTCGATTTGGGCTTGGCGAACTTGGCCACAGCAAAGTGAAGTGCAATCTGATATCTGATCCGAGACATCGGATGTGGGGCCCGGCCAAGCGGTCGCTCCAAGCCCAGTCCGGTGCAGAAAGTCATACATATCAAACTCTACATTGCCGACGCAGAATCTGGCTGCCGGCACAGACTCTAGCTGCCGTCCCAACCGTCGAGTACGCTCGAGCAGCCACAAGCGATCGAACGAGCGGTGCCCCGCAGCGTGCCCGTGTGGCTGAAAGCCGAGCTTGCAGTCGTAGTAGTTCCACAGCATCATTGCAACAACGCCAGCAAAACTGCCACCACTGTCGTGTTTCCCTCCGTGAAACAGCGTCACCCTTTCTCTATTGGAGTGCTCCTCCACCTGTGTTATGAGATTCATCTCTGTGTTACACTACGAGGTTGCCTGTACCAGTCGTGTCGTAACGAGCTCCCTTTCCCAACGCCTTTCTTACCGTTGTTGGAACAATTGCATAAGAGACAGAGAGACGTGGGATGCAGCACTACGAAATGCTTACCCTGGGCCGGAGCAGCCCGTGCACAGTGCCCCGCAAACACTTACCAGAAGTCACAGCACACAAGGGAATCCTGTGCACGGTCGTCAGATATACGATGGCGATCGAGACGTTGATTAGTCGTACAGGCGCCACCCACTCGAAACCCCAGCAGACAGCAAGTGCTTGATTGTCTATTCAGGAAGAATGCATCTCGTGTGGGTTTGCGATGTTGTCGCATGGTCCGGGGTTCATTCAATTGAACGACAAATATCATTTTGGTTTTCTATGGCACAAATTTTCTTTACCAGGGCCCACTGCACCTATTCAAAGACGACGCCCCACACATTCTGCCTTCTCAGACCGACCGCAGCTGGTGTCATATGCGAGATGTTTTACGCAATATCCTTGTCCTCAAGGTGAACACTGTTGGCGAACTTTTCGTCGCTGGGGGTGGGCGGGTCCATTACATGGACCACTTCGTTACCATCCGCATTGGCGGCGTCTGGTGCGACGTCATCGCCAAAGAGCTGACCAATTTCCTCGAGAGTCTTGTGAGCTGTCTCAGGAAAGAACAGATAGATTATTACAAAGTTGATGGAGCTGAGACCGATAAAGACTGGTGGTTTGTCAGTACTTGGCAACGGGACAGGTTGGGGCAATGTAGCAGATTGTCAAAACGTCTTGGCACTCACTGCAATAGTATCCCCAGCTTATCTTTGCCATGACAGTAGGGGCCATCGATGTCCACAAGGCACATAAACAAAAGAAGAAGGCCACCGAATACGACATGCCTTGGGCGCGATGGCAGGTCGGGAAGATCTCTGAACAGTACACGTAGGTGGCTATTCGTGATCAGTGTCCTGTCCCTGGAGAGTACGCTAGTTCGTGGGACTTACTGACGTCGATACAGCCCGCAAAGAACGTCACGAAGACGAACAACATTGCAATACCTGTACCCTGACCAACGCGGTTGGTCGTTCCGCTATACTCGGCGATCATGGCTGTGTGGACGGAAAGCGTAGCAATGCACATGATCTGGTGAGGTAAGTTTATCGTACATGCCACACACTCACCAGCCCGATGAGATATGTCTTCCTTCGGCCCAGCTTGTCGAGCACAAAGCCACCACCGCCATTACAAATGGCGCCGAGAGTCATAAAGCCGGCGAGAACCAGGAGCGGTCCGTCGTTGAGCACCCCTAAACCTTGAAGCAGGTTGACTTCTGAACGATCGTTCAGCCTGGAATGCACCCTGGGAACACGGAAGGGTTCAGTAGACTCACGGTAGCTCCACACCACAGTCTGCCCGGTGCACTGATTGACTGCCATTGTGCCAAATCCAGTAAGAAGACGACGCATGCTTGGGCGGTGACGCAGCATACCGAGGAAAGTCGTCTTTTGACGGGCGTCGAGCTCGACTTGAGCGCGAATCGAGTGCAGCGAGGTCTGGGCGATGTGTTCGTCTTCCTCATACGAGTGGCCCTTTCCATGGAGCTTGCGAAGGGTATTGAGAGCGGTGTCATATTGGGCATGGGCAATGAGCCATCGCGGCGATTCCAACATGACCAGTGTACCGCCAGCAAGAGCAATGGTAGGTACTGCCTGCAGAGCACACAAGAGTCGCCAGGCGATTTGGCCGTTGATCATGTGGTAGCAGCCCACACCCACCCAGGTGCAAGTGGCTTGCCCCATCACGAATCTGCCACGTCAGCAGCAATATTTGGGTGACCAGACATTGTCAAAAAAACCCACGTAAAACCATGCATGCCAACCATAGCACCACGGTGCGAGGCCGGCGCAATTTCTGATTGATAGACGGGGCAGATGGTGTTCAGCATACCCGCGCTACGAAAAACATTAGCATCTTCCTTACAATTTACAGTTAGTTACTCACGCAAATCCTTGCAAGAGGCGACCCGCCAAAAACATGCCGATGTGAACAGAGGCGGTCAAGAGAATTGTGGCTACGAGCATAATGACACAAGTCACTTGAAGGGCGCGACGGCGACCGTAGCGGTCCGCGACAACGCCTTGGAAGACGGCCCCAAAGGCACCCCCCGCGAAGAAAATACCATTGAGTGCTAAATGTCAGCTTTGGATATGATTTATGAAGCGCGGCTCACCTCCCTGGATTTGGTTAGCATAGGCCGGGTCGGGGCCGAAGGTGTCAATGTTGTAGTAATCGACGAATCCGGATAAACCAATGATTGTGCTACCTGTCGAGAGAGCATAGCCAAAGGTCAAGGAACCCAGAGCTGCGTATAGGATGCCGAGATATTCGTGTTTCTTGGTCATTGGTGGCTGATGTGTGTGTGAAAGCGCTTGCACTTGGCGACCCGTGGGGCCCAGTCGTCTCGTCGGGGCAAGGTTTATATGCTGCCCTGTGTTCACCAGGTTAACCATACATTTCGCAAACAACATCTCATCTACTCCGGTGACCTGTTATCCCCGTAGCACAGCTCTGAGTGCGTGCCGAGGTGTACTGGTCGAACACGCCCTACAGTCGCGGGGTTCAAACCTCGGCATCAAAATCTCGGTGCTAAAAGAAGGAAACGAAATCGATCTGCGGCCCGATATCTGGTTGCCGGCTGATCACTATTTCCACAAGCCCGAGACAGTCACCTCGTCCCTGTTAATCCCACAGTCTCCCCGTGGGGGAATGTTCTCCCCATTCTCTTTCTCCCTTCGCTCTCCAAACCCGAACTCTATCAAACACGCGACCCGACCTACTATCACAATGAGCGTCCCATGGCACAGCTTACCTCCTGGTGATACTTGCTGCTCAGTCAGACCTCTCGTCCAGGGCAGTCTCATGCTCATCGAATCGGAAGTGCTTCTCAATGGGACCAGCAACGCGTGAGTCTAGCTTCTACGTCACCATGACTGACGATTCAAGGACGCGCCGCCCTTCTTTTGTCTTTCTCATACACCATCCAGTCTCGAACGAGTACCTCTTGTGGGACTTGGGCATTCGCAAGGAGTTTGAGCTGGATTATCCACACCCTTCCTTTGCCTACTTTCAGACGCATTTTGAAGAAGATGTTTCTGATACACTGGCATCGATCGGTATAAAGGCGTCCCAGATCTCCAAGGTTCTCATTTCGCGTACGTGGTGTCCAGAACCTGTAATCGTACATAGCCCGCTCACTCTACTAGATAAGCACTGGGACCATACGGGCAATCCCGCCCCCTATAACAATGCCACGTTCTACATCGGCGCCAAGGACGTGTCCGAGGTTGCGACCCTCAAAGGCAGCGAGCGTGTCATGTCGGTGGATTTCGACACAAATCCTGGCCAGCCTGTTGCGTCATTTGACCGATCTTATGACATCTATAGGGATGGATCCGTCATCATTGTAGATGCTCATGGCCATACCCCTGGACACATCAACCTATTGGTTCGAACCAGTGCGGGTGGCTATATGCTCTTGGCATCAGACGGATGTCATCACACTCGGTTGCTCTCCACCGATCCGGCTCATGCCCACTGTACGTTTGGCAAGTACCGTGCGCACTGGGAGGACGAGTCAATTCCGCCCTCACACTCGTTCAACGAAGATGTTGCCCAGTCTGAGACACATCTCAGCCGCATGAGGGCCTGCGAAGCATCGAAAGACATCCAGGTTGTCATTGCACATGACGAGGCAAAGTGGAAGGACTGGTTCGGGGGTGAAAACTATGGATTAGGGCCAGAGCTTGGCAAAGTCTGATTATGTGATGAACAAATGCACTCGTCTATAGTGAACAAATCAACCCAAAGCAGAGCGCAGGGAGGAGACTGCTTCATTAAGCATAAGCAATAACATACGCCCCTCTTTCCTAATGTCGAGAGGAACGTCCCTCACGTTGTTATTTGTTGTGGAAGTGGGTTACTGGGCGTCAACGTGCAAGGGGGAATGAGCGCGAAAGTTCTTCTGCATGTATCGCCCCACAGGCCGCCGCCCTTTGAATCACGGGATTGAGTAGCATCCGGTACAAGCGCTAGAACATGCCGTCATGGAGAACAAAGGCGTCGTCCAGTGGTAAGCTTTGTGCGCCCTCGGTTCCACTGTCCGGTACGTCGTTGCGGTCGACGTTGGCCACATGGGTAAGCAAAATGTGTCTGGTGGTTGTGGGGCATGTGGGGCTTGTGGGTGATCAATTGCGGGGGACGGGTATGTATTTGTTTCCCGGATGCGGCGTCTACTGGCGGCTTTGGCCAACCGTCGGGCCATCCATCCGGCAATCTAGGCATGGCTCGGCTTGTTTGTTGTAGTGACCGTTCTGTTGTTCCACAACCGTGGTATATATGTGGCCGAGGAGCGAATCACTCACATTATGGGCAACAACTTGTTTTTACCTACACACTCGAGAATCACATCCATACCACCATGACCATCGCCATCACCGACGTGCACCCCAACTTTAAGCTGCAGGACAAGGAGCTCTTGTGCCAGACGGGTTGGATCAACGGCGAGCCCGCCAAGGCGACTAGTGGCGAGGACCCCTTCCCTGTATATGACCCGGCCAATGACTCAGTGTGGGCTTATCAGGAGTCGATGGGCGTCGACGAGACAAAGGCAGCCATTGCAGCCGCTGATGCGGCCTTTCCCGCCTGGTCCAAGACGCCACCCCGTGTTCGGGCCCGCTTGCTCTTGTCGCTGGACACTCAAATCCGTGCAGCCCGAGAGGACCTGGCAATCTTAATTGTGATGGAGACCGGCAAAGCCCTGGTGGAAGCATACGCTGAAGTCGACTATGCCGGTGAGTGAACACTCAGTTCGTCACAAAGTCCAATGCTGATTAAGCAGCTCAATACTCTTGGCTCATGGCCGGCGAGTGCGAGCGGATCGCTGGGGAAGTGATCAAGAATGGAGACAATGCGGGTCTTCGCTACATCATAACCCACCAAGCGATTGGTCCTGTTGGTCTTCTCTGCCCGTGAGTAAACGTCTGATGGGAGTATTTGGATTATGCTTACATGCAGGTGGAACTTTCCGGTGGTGATTGCCCTTCGCAAGATCACCACGGCTCTCGCGGCAGGCTGCACCGTTGTGGTGAAACCCTCTCCCGAGACGCCAGTCACCACGTCGTCCCTGGCAATCCTTTGCAAGCGTGCTGGTATCCCGGACGGCGTTGTCAATGTCGTGACTGCCAGCACACAGTCCACTCCCGTGGTGGGCCAGACCCTATGCGAGGACCCCCGTATCAAGAAGATCTCGTTCACTGGTAGCACGCCGGTGAGGCTAACAAGAAGGCCAAAAAAACGAGTCGCGAGCTGACTGGCTAGGTGGGCAAGCTGCTGATGAAGCAATCCTCGTCAACTCTAAAGAAGATGACCCTGGAGCTTGGCGGCAATGGGGCTTTCATCGTTTTCGACGATGCCGATCTCGAGCGAGCCACTGACGGTGAGTGTGCCACAGCAGCTGAGCACGTGAGACTGACTTCTGTAGCCCTCGTCGCCAACAAATTCCGCGCTGCTGGTCAAGTGTGCATGTGCGCCAATCGTGTCATGGTGCATTCTTCGTTGGTGGACGAGTTTGCCGCGTTGATGAAGACAAAGATCGAACAACTCAAGTTTGGCCACGGATTGGACAAGGGTCAGTTCACATTGTTGCCATGATCCTATGTGCATGAACGCACACGACTGCGCGCTCGACTTTCAGTCCTCCGCGCACGCTGTGGGGCACCCCTAGTTCGATCGCTTGTGGCAGCTAGCTCGTACTCTCAACAGACATGTTGGGTCAGTGGCAGCATCCGTTAACAAACACAGGTATCACCAACGGACCCTTGACTACTCTTCGTGGGGCCGAGCGGGCAGTCGAGCTCATCGAAGACGCTGTAAAGAACGGCGGCAAGCTACTCCTCGGCGGCAAACGATTTGGTTCTGGTTATCACCTCGAGCCTACGCTTATCGTTGGTGCTGCCCGTACCAGCAGAACTTTCTGCGAAGAGATGTTCGCGCCTATTTGTGCCATCTACCCGTTTGAGACGGAGGATGAGGTGGGTGACACTTCTCTGTGTTGACCGGCGTAGGAAGTCTGACAGGGCAGGTTATTGAAGTTGTCAACGACACCAACATGGGCCTGACAAACTACGTGTTTACAACCAACCTGTCAAGGGCATTCCGAGTTACAGATGCTCTTGAATCCGGCACAGTGGCCGTCAACACACCAATGGCTAATGCGGCCGAGAGTCCGTTTGGTGGAACCAAGGAGAGTGGCTTTGGCAGCGAGGGCGGTATTAAATATGGCGTCGAGGAGTTTTGTACTGTCAAGGCCATGGCGTTGGCTCTGTAGGCTAGAATATACGCATGCATCTCTTTTGCCATGTTGCTGGGACGTCCGAAGCGCACCCTTATAGTAGTCTGGAACCGAGGGAGGTGCTCCGGCACAAAATGGCCCTGGCCAACTTTTCCTGCGGTGTGGGCGCGTGCAAAAGGGCTAAAGGGTCATTTTACCACCCAACCATGTCTGTCCAGCCACACGAGTGGGCAGGGGATGCATGGATGAGAGATATGTGTACGACTACTGCAGCTGCTGCTGTATCGCTCCCGTGATCGCCTTGCTTTCCAACATATGCCAGACTACAGCTCGGCGTTAGCATCGACATTGAGGATGAGCGCCATGAAGAATCTGGAGATGAACGAGGTCAGCGCTGGACGTGCACGGCCCCCTCTCTCCGCGAAACAAACCGAGTGAACTCGACCATGGCGTCGGCAGCCTACGTGGGTTAGTCAAGAGTCCGGGTTTCCAGAGTCCCCATTGCGCCGGCTGGCACACTACTCACAACACGCTCGTTGATGGTGTGGGGCTGTGTATATTGTCAGCTAAGTGGCACTGGTCACACAGCTTGGCCGGGTGCCTTCGCATGCCTCATAGCGGCACAGCTGTGCACCATGCCCTCTGCCACTCACTCCTTGGCTTTCAGTATCGGAAATGTACCTGAACCGATAAATGTTGCCCGTGAGGTCCCAGTACCGGCGCGTATCCGTGTTTCCCGTCATCATGTACGGTGCCATGATCAGGTCGTCGGTAGACGAGAGGTTAGCCACGGTGCCGTCCGGGCTGACGTCGGCGCGCGACGCCCAGATGGCGCGCGCTGTGCCCGCAAGCATACGCCAGGCTGGCGATTCAACATTCGTGGGCGAGATGGGAGCCGGTTCCAGGTCCTCGCCCCAGGCGGGAGTGTCGAGGGTCACGGTGCCGACGGCGGTATGTTTGGGCTTGAACGACCGACCAAAGCCCACCAGCGCGAGGTCGAACTCCTTGGCAGTGGGCAGGAGCGTGTCGAAGATACGCTGCTGGAGCTCGGCAACGCTGCTGCCAACGTCGATACGGTAGTTGACAAACGTGGACACGACCTCGGGGAGCGCGTTGATCTTGGCACCGCCGTAGATGATGTCAGCAGCCTGAGTGGTGGTCATGAGAGCCTCCACTATGTTGCCTTGCCCGGGACCCGCCCTGCCGGGCATCGCCTCAATGAGTTTCCGGGGCAGGTGCTTGAATGCCTTCTTGTCCCCCGCATTGCTCTTCTTGACAGCCTTCTTGAGGTCCTTGGGCATGTCGGACGCATAGTCGGCCGCACACTGGAGGAACCCCCAGATGGGCGATGTCTTCTCCAGCCGCGGCTCGTGCGGGTGACGTTCAAGTGTTGCCACGAGCAAAGAGGTCAAGCCAATACCGGTGTGTGCTGGGGGAATACTGGAATGGCCGCCACGGGTAAATACGGTCATGTTGAGGTCAAACTTGCCCTTCTCCGCCACAGCTGGCAGGCCGAATGTCTGGCCCCACTGTGTCTCGATACCGTGCGACGACTCGTCGACGAGCATGGCCATCGAGTCCTTGCCATATTTGGCAAGTATCCAGTCACGGATGGCCGGCGCACCGCGCATACCGCCGCGTTCCTCGTCGTGTCCGAAACCAAGCACGATCGTGCGCTTGGGCTCAAACTTGCCGCGTTCGAGGAGGAGCTCGATCGCGGCCATGATGCCAGTCACCGAGCTCTTGTCGTCGCTAGAACCGCGGCCCCAGATGTATGTGCCGTCATAGTCGCCGCTGAACGGGGGGTGCTCCCACAGGTACTCGGTCTCCTTGAGGACGGGGACGACGTCTGGAGCGTCAGCTGTCGGCCATGCCGGCGCAGCACGCCCAAACCCCACCCTGGTGGCCCGTGAGGAACAACGGCTTGAGGGACGGGTCCGATCCAATCCACTCGTAAATGAGACCCCAGGTATCCACGGTCGTCTTGGTCATCGCCGCGTGGGCGAGCGGGTACGCGTCCGCGAGATGCCTGTGGAACTTCTCAAACACCTCCCACCGCGGGTCGTCGCCGGGCGCGCCCATCTCGTCAAACACCTCGGTCGCGATCCGGACTGAGTCTTGGTGCCATTTGATGATCCGGTCTTTGGCCGCCCAGACCACGCGCGAGTCCATGTCCTCGGGCGAGGGGAGGATGGCCGCAACTTGGCCGCATGCAGCGGAGGCCGAGGTCATGGATGCGACAAAAGTGGGCAGGCTGTTGGTCTGGACCACATGGCGAGTCCAGCTGGTGTGTGTTTGCGTGCCGATGAAGAGGGTCGCCAAGACACCGATAAGGACCTTCTTGGCCAACGACATCCCTGGCCGGGGCGGGGCGCTTGCAGGTGCCGGCGCTGGGAGGAGGTGGTCGCCTTGCTTGTCATTCATGGTGTGACGCTTTGCTGAGAGGATGTGGGCGATGGAGCGTCGTCTTCTATCGTCTATATCTTGACACGGGGCCGGCTTTGACCAGGTGGGCTAGGCGGCCATGTCCGAAATCCGATACGCGGGACCCACGAGGCTAAGCCCAAAGTGGAGGCGGGTGGAATGTCGATTGTGGAGCTTGATGGCCGAGATTACGACAGCGCGTCAACTACAACACATGCTCAGCCGAGGACTGCAGCAGGCTTGGCGTCGCGTCCACAGCTTCCATTGTCATTGCATGACAGAGTACATTCAATCGGTCTGCAGTGATGCAGGTGTGCTGGGCATGTCACCGTGCTTGTCTCTTGCTCAGGTGCATATCGGGTGGCTGTGATCCCTGAACACTTCATTCCCGCACAACATCTTGAGCCGCGTAGCACATTCGGTTCATCGCGGTGCCGGCGGGACACACCGAATGACGTACCTTGCCCATCGTTTGTTCGTTTGGCCCCACAAGGTCTCTCAGGCCCAGGTGATACAGCTCAGATTATCTCAAGACAGGTCAGCAGCCTGTTCCCGAGTGTCTGGACTTGGTCACCGACCGACCGCTGACATGCCGACATACACGGCGTTCAAGGTTGGTGACCTTGAACGCCGTGTAGGAGTGGCGTGGAACCAACGACAAGAGAAGGCTACGGTAGACGACCAAGTCTTTGGCCAGTCTAGATCTCTTGACCGTTCCGCGCACAAGAACGATGCCAGAGTTACGTCAGGGACGATGACTGCCAGCTATTCAGAGCGGCTCTGCTGTAACCAGCGGGCCAGTGACGAGGGAATAAATGTAGATAAGGAGAAGAGGTACACAGATAGGTACAGAACCGTCGAGTCGAGGAGCTCTCATACGGGCTCTACCTAGTATGTCCTGTACTAGAGAGTCGATTTTATGGTCTGTTGTCGCATTTGGGCTGCTACTATGCACTCTAAACCTGTGTACATAGACTGACACTTGCAGAGCACTACTCAGCACGCCAACCAACACAACAGTTTGCTGTCAATCAAATAGAATCTGATTTCTGACCCAGCAATTGCCCACGGACAGCTCCCTTCAGACCCAGTGCACTGCCCAAAGCCTCGTCTTGTTGGGAACATACCAAGCATGACAGGATTGTTCTGCATTTTAGGGATTTTACCGATAAACCTCCTACGCAACAGTTTCAACAGTTTCATCCTGATCAGCTTTTGTCTAACAGTGGAGCTTGTCGAGTTTGTCGAACTGCCAAACATCGTGTGGCACGTCTCGTCAGGCTGCAACCCCAGTGATGTGGTTGAGTGATGCGTCAGTTTCCCATCAGAACCTCTCCCACGGCTCCTCGTGTCGGGCTGAAACAAAAGGTCCTTGGTGTACTTGTGTATTTCTACCATTAACGTGCAGCATTGTTTGCTTGTTGTACCAAACACCTTACTGTCTTCACCACATCCATGACGGTTCCGCCATTGCTGTCCTGCGTCAAGCAAGACGACTACCCTGTTGACACCTGGGGGGCACTCAGCTTCAGCCACGCCAACGTTTTCGATGCCGACCAGATTCCTCCGCACGAAGTTCGGAGTTTTGCTGTGGAACTGCAAGACCAAGTTCTCCGACGCTGTGAAGAGGAGAAGGATTTGGATTGGGGGATATCTAGCCTCTTCATCTTAGCCAAGTTTACCGAGGGTCCTCATAAAATGCGTTTCAACGGCACGCTTGCGCACCGTGACAGTGGTCAACGGCATTCAATTCGACAACACTCAGATCCAGCAGGCACTCAAAGCGCTGATGAAGTTAAAGGACGAAGTAGGTGATGTCACATTCGTATACACAGCGTGCTCACTACATAAGGGAGCGGTTTCGACCCGGGCCAGCACTCGTGACGACTCTGGACTAGTCAGACCTGATTGTCCCTTGTCGGTGAAGTGCGCCCACTGCGTCTTTCGCCACCTTTCGGTTCTCGCCACCGCCGAGTACAAGTCCTTTGCGGTCCACAGGACTCTCATCAACGAGTACGAAACTCGAGTCCATGAGGCCAAGTTCCGGTTGTTGAAGGACATCATCGAGGGCAAGACGAGGGTGGAGTGCACTGCGAGCAGCCAGTACACCGTGAGTTTCTGCCCCGTCCGAGCTGTCATTAACCCAAAAGCCTACTGCCAGCACACCTACGCCATTGAACACTTCTGTGATGGATGTTCGCGACCGAAACAGAACCAAGTGGCAAGACGTTCTGTCCACCGTCGCCGTTCTCAACCTCCCAACCCAGAGAGCGTTTGTTCCTCGGTGTGCACCACCGCAGAATATCGCAGTCACGACAGTGGATTGGGAAACCATCCAGCTGTCCGAGGAGAAGGAGGAAACAATTGCAACGGCAGTGTTTTACCAGGACGCGCTGGAGAAGACCAGAGTCGGACTGGCTCAGGAAGTCTGCTATCTTTCGCAAACGGCCGAACTTTGTGGCGGCAACTTTGGTGTGGCTGTCATCGGCCATAAATTCGCTCGAATGGTGGCCATCCAGCCCAACCGCATTGCCATCGAGTACGGTACCAAGGAAGATTCCGGCCCCACTATGGTAACCAACTTGAGGCACTTCTTCCGCATCAACAGAGAACTTTACGACTGCCTTCCTCACACGTTCATTGAAGTTCGGAACGGCCCAACCGCTCTGCAAATCATCAAGGACGACGGTCAAGACAACCTGAATTTGGAGAACAAGGCGATCAATCAAGATGCTCTTCAGCGTTACCTCAACCTGTTTGCCGCTGCTCAGCTCTCCATCGGCCATCGTGCGCTCTCTGACCACCTCGTCAATGGCCAGTACACTCCCGGTGGTCCCTTGCACCACGAGCTTTATTCACTCGCCACTGTCGAGTTTGAGGAAGAGAAGGAAACAGCAGTACTCGTAGCCACCGCTCGCGTAAGGCTCAAAGGGGTCGCTGAACAGTTGTCTGCTGGCACTACTCCTTCTGCTAACCCTCCCGCTCGCAAGAGACCCAGGCTGAGTAGCCCCACACCGGTTGCGCGAGCAATCACCACCGATTCCACCTCCCCATTCCTAGTCGACCTCTTTCTTCGGTCCCTCCTGAGGACCTTGCACTGGCTATTGAAAGGGAGACGACACCCAAGGGCGACAAGGACGAGGACTCTGAGGAGGACTCGGACGACTCCACAGTGTCCTCACCTGATCTTCACACGCCTCACCGCAAGGATGGCAACGATGAAGGAGGCGCACCCGGAGGTTGGGGTGCAGGAACCAGCAAGGACAACGGGTATCAAGGCCCTGGTGGTGCAGGTGGAGGCCACAACGGCGGTGACGAGACTGAGGAGCGCAACAACAGTGAGCCTGCACCAGACTGTACCCCCGCCCTAACAGCCCCAGGTCCTCATTATGACGACTACGACGGTCCCATCGACTGTGAAGCCTGTGACCCTGATGCGCCAGACCTCGAGGACATGGTTGAGGTTCTCGAAACCATCGGAATGGAACTCATCCTCGTGTCGCTGGCCTTCATGGATGAGCTGCTGGTCGAGATGGCTACCGCTACGGCGTATTTCGCAGCAGAGACCAAGGCTGAAGTGACGGTTGGGCCTAATCGCAAGAGCATGGTCATCGCCACCGACAGGGCCGACAAGATCCCCAGGCGGAAGGGTCGGGGCAGTGACGAGTCGGCCGCGTCCCATCAGTCCACCACGTCTGAGCCTCAACCGCCCAGTGCAGGTTCAAGTGGCACCACAGCTTCTTCTGCCTCGTTGCAGACTCCAGAGAAAGGCGATGTTCGCACCAACATGGATGGCGCAGGTTCCTCGCCTACCAGACAATCTGGTAATAGCAAGGTTGCAGATGCAGACACGCTGGCGGGGCACGACAGCGCCAGAATGCTGGATATGTAAATGAAATATGAACATTGAGATACAAACCCGTTCCCGGTGACTGAGGTTGATTCCTTCCATCCACCACTGACGCCCAGCAGCCTCCCAAACCGTCCCTGACCGCCAGAAGCCAAAAAGGTAATTGTAGTGGACGAGTTAGGAATCGAACCAAAGACCTTGTCAAGTAGATAGATGCTAGTGCTAATGACACGCTCTACCAACTGAGCTACACGCCCAATTACGTAAGTTTGGTTTCTTGCAGTGATAGAGGTCGACAGCGAGAAGCTATGCATGTGAACGGAGCTCGAGAGCATTGTAGAGCATCTAAGGTATTGTTTGCGCTGGTCAACGTATATATGCAATGCTGATGGACGCCACACGGCTCGACTTTGAGACGGGCTGTCAAAACGAGGCTCCAAAATGACACGGAGATGCGCGGCTTTCTAGTGATTTTCACCCATTTTGTGGCAACCCGTCTGAATGGCACCGGGGCACCATATCGCCAGTCCGCACCGCACCGCCGTGCCTGCACGCATGAACAACTGCACAAACTCGCACCGTCACTTAAAAAGAAGGACTCGTGTCTAGCTGATGGCACGTGCGTGTGTGGACTTGGCATGTGTGTTACCCCAAGACTGTTGATGACTGTGGGGGTGGGGCGGGAAGGCCCCAAGCTGCGCTTCGGTGTTGGGAGTGGGGTGGCGAGCGAAAAGAACAGTACAGTACAGTCCATCAATGTAATGGGAACACAGGTTCCAAGTCCTTCTCCGATCACCATTTACTCTGTCATGATCAACATCGACGCCGTGCTGCACAACTCGATTGCGCCCGTATACTCGCTCTGGGTCTCGACGCTCCGTTCCTTTCCACCATTGGTAAAGGAGCTGTGCGTGCTCTGGGCATCGCTCGTTACCATGGCCGCGTGCAACATGGTAGCGCTGGTACACATCGACTTCCCCATCAGCCGCGAGTTTGTGAGCTTTCTGATATGTGTCGATCGTCTGAGTTGACAAGTAACAAGACCAAGAGCTTGGACGTCATCGTGGTTGATCGAGTCCACCATCCGTTATACCTGTCTTCGTCGCCGGCGCCAGCGTTCGTGAATCCAGACAACCACACTGTGGGGTCTGCGGGGAGTCTGGAGGGCAAGGGTATCACTACGGCGAACAACAATGGCCCCATGGGTCTCTTCGCATCAGTGAGCGTCCCACTTCGCACCACCACTCACTTTCAGGGGTCGAACAAAGAAGTGCTCCCAAAAGCCAACGAGGACAATGCCCATGGAACATGCATGTACAATAACGCACCACCTGTGAGTTAAAAGCACGTATACATTGTTGACCAGACCAAGGCAAGCCAGTACGAAGTCCGTCGCAAGCGCCCGCCACCCCCTCGGCCATCACCGCAGACGTTGATCGAGGACATTAAGACCTCTGACGATGCCTTTCAAACAGCCCTTACCGGCAGCAGTAGCGCAACTGCGTCCGAATACACTGGCCAGACCTTGATCGCCATGTGGATGGACCAAGGAAAGCTAAACGTGAGCTCCTCAATCGCCTTCACTGAGCTCATCTCTTCATCAGCTGGTCGACATTGACTGGCCGCCGCCCCGGCACGGCCGGTGCCTCACCACCCGTTCCCTCGCCCTCGTCGACGACTTTACGCGTCCTTTCCTCGGCCCTCTGCCGTACTGGATGCTGCACGAGATGTACAGGCAGAAGAGGGGCTTGGTGGACGTGTGCGAGGGTTCAGTGTCCGCCCATATCCATGACCCGCCAGCATACCCGCGCTTTGGGACAGTGGTGGTCGGCGACATGAGGCTGCAGGGCAGGGCGTGGACGGTGTTTGACGCCCATGCTGGAGGACATGATTTGGTGGCCAAGTTCTACGTGCCGCGGATTGGCGGGTGGACGCGGCTTGGCGACGTCCGCCGCGAGATATGGCTGTACGATCACGTCTTGCGGGGACTGCAGGGGACCGTGGTGCCGCGTTGGTATGGGGTGTATGGCGCGCAGCAGCCGCTCAAGCCGCAAGGCGGGATGGGGGATATGGTCGAGGTGTATGTCGCCCTGACAAAGGACGCCGGGGTGCCTATGACTGGGGACGAGCTGCGGGAGTTGACAGAGGAGGACAAGTGGGTGCCGGGAGTGTGCCATTTTGACCCAGCAGAAACATCATCTTGGACAAGTACCGCGCTCTCCATGCCGTCGGGGTGGTCCACAATGCGCCTAGCCTCACTCACTGGCTCAAACCGCCAGGGGCGCCAATCTCCCAGCTGCGACTGGTCGACTTTGGTCTCGCTGTCATTCGCCCCTCATTGACTTCAGAGCTGGCACAAGTGACGTTGCCCACGGGTTCATTCGATGACGAAGCTGAGGAGGAGATGCTCGAAGTGCGCGAGATGCTGGGTCTGGGGAGGTAAATGTGGTCACATTGATTTGTGTAGTATATTATTGTAATTGTTGTGTATTAAAGCATCATAGTCCTGCCATGATTCACTGTGTGATCTCGTCGATCGTCTTGTCGCTCTCTCCCGCAGCCACACGCTCCATGACACGGAGATACACGGCGTGCAAGTCGTGGGTGTGCTGCTTATCTGTGACGGCGCCATCACGGAACGAGGCCGTGAGTCGTACACCGCCCTCATGCCCGTTGATGCTGACCTGGTATGCCGGGCCAAAGGGCGACGCCGTCTGGCCCCACATGGCATCCGTGGCTCCGGGCGGGAGGGCGTAGTATCCCAAGTTGCTGAACGATGCGCTGCCGCGGTAAGGGTTTTCCGAGGTCGCGCGGCCGTGAAAGTACTTTTCCCAGCCGGTGGGCAGCTTGGGGTCATAGTCCTTGGAGGCCGGGTCGACGTCCGGGTCGGGAATGTGCGCAAGGAGACCCATGGTCATCCGTCCTTCGGTGATACCATGGTCGGATGAGACTTGGTACGCGATTTGCTTGGCAACGTCCCAGAACTGCTCGTCACCAGTGAGCGTCGCCTCCCACTCGGTCGCGGACACGTAATTGTGCGTGATGGCCGCATGGCCCAGCTCGGCATTGCGCTCGTCTCGGGCCGAGCCAGCGGAGCAGTGGAATGGCTTGGCATCCTTGTGGAAGACACGCCAGAGCGCGGCCACCCACGCCATCTTCACCACAGGGTGGAGGGTCGCTACGCCGTGCTCTTTGCCGGCGGCTTTGGCCCTTGTCGTCACGTCCTGGTCGATGGAAACGAGATCAATGTCCTGGGTGCTGTTCACAACCGATCCCTTGACGGCGTCTGCCGGCCAGGGCTCGTCGGAGAGGAAGGGACGCTGGATAAACAGCGGCATCTTCGGGAGGAGCAACTCGCGGAACACGATGGGGAGGAGGAAGCCGAGACTCGGCTTGGTAGAAACGGTCTCGTCGCAGCCCTTGGGACCCTCCCACGTCTCAGTCTCGATATAGTCAATGTTCTCGGCCGTGAGGGCGCGGAGCATGAAGCTTGAACCGCGACCGTCGATAATCGGGTGTGTAAACGCCACGAGGAGATACGCATGCTCGGCGCCAGGCGCGCTTGCTAGGGTGACAGCCCACATGGGCTCTGTGTCATAGTCGACTGCCGAAAAGCGAAGCATCTCGGCGTTGTACAGTGCCAGGGATTCATCGTGTCCCGTCGCCGCCGGAGTGAACGTCACCTCGCGCACAATCTTGTTGGCTGGCCACACTGCACCGGCGACGTAGCCCGGGTGGTTTGTTTTCGTGTCAACAAATCGCGGGTGCAGCATGGGCAGTCGTGCCTGGAGCTCGACGACGCGCGCTTCCATAAAGGACAGCTTGGGGAGCTGGGCGGCTGGGTAGGTAACGACATGGAGGATGGTGTGTGGGTGACCAAGGTTCTGGCGTGTCAAGCTGTACCGCTCGTGCAAGCCCACTGCGCGGTGCGTCAGTGCTGGACGGGTGTGTCCGAATTGGGGCCAACCCGTTGCTCGAACTCACTGGGACGGACTGGCCCGATATCGTTTGTCGTTGCAGTTGTCATTGTCTATTGTTGGCAGAAGAGAGACACAACCAGAGAGAGAGAGAGGGAGAGAGAGATATAAAGGAGGAAGAGGGAGCAAGGGCAGGGCTGTAAGCAAAAGCCATCGCGCGGCGTCTATCGCGAGCAACGACGCGCGCTCATCAACGACCATCCGCCGGGCAGTCCATGCCGCCCGGCTATCAGTGTGTGAGCGGCGGTCATGACGTCACGTGACTTTTCTCCTAGGCGACGCTAGGCGATTGATGGGGGGGGGGATGCTCGTCGTATCGCCTGTTCTATCCATACACATCTCGGCCACAGCATCTGTATGCGCGGCACCGCTGTCCCCAGGTGGCAAGGTGGCCAGGTGGCCTGGTGGCCAGGTGGCCAGGATTGGGTTTTTCTCATGACCGCCGTTACCAAAGAGATCCAGGTCACCAGGTCCCATTTGGCCATTTGGCCATTTGGCGACGTCGGTCTCACTCCCCAGGGCGGCCATTGCACCCCCGACGACCACGGGGCTGAAGCCGTGTCGGCCGTGTCGGAAAGAGTGGTGTGGGCGTATGAATGCGGCCTGATGTGGCCGATGTGGCCTGCACCGGCCTTGGCTACGTCTTGATCAGTGTACCAGTGTCTGCGTACGTCACTGACTGGTAACCTGATCTGGTTGCATCTTGACTTTCCGTGTCTCCGTTGCTCGGCTCATGTTCCATTCCTCTCTTGGATCAACTGAATACACACCGCACCGCCTGTTCCCCTTCTACTCACAGCCCCACGGCCCGTATCGCAGGTGACATTTGCTACACACATCACACGGGTTTCAGGGGGAACCAGTCGGAGAGAGGACCGCAGCGTCATTTCCGTCCTCGAGGCCATGTGAGTGTCGAGAGATGGAGCGCCATGGTGCGGTTTGCCACCCATAACTTGTCTCTTGACACCACCCACTCCTCCCTTTCTGTGTCTCTTTACCCATAAACGCACTGGCACGACCACACGTCTCCGTACCAGCCATGCCGCTTGGCTTCCAGCAGCTATCACGGACTGCAGTCTCGTTTGTGCGCCGGAGCGCGACCCCCAGGCCGAAAAGACCGCCTTCAGAGGTCCCTGAGAAGAACGGCCAGCCAGCCATCCAAATTACCGAAGTGGTGTCCTTGTCGGATGAGCTGTCCTCGCTGGAACTGTCGCCAGAGTTCAATCGCCCCTTTGCCGCATTGTCCGATGCGAGCTCGTCATCACTGTCTACCTCCCCACTGTCAGTGTACACGGCGTACACATATGCCTCGACACTGTCCGACCGGTGTTCAGTCTGCAAGCACACGGAGCTCAAAGTACGTCGTCATCCCACCTGCCACTTTTGTCGTTTATTCCGAGACCGACCGAGACTCATTGACTCACCATTCAGTTTCTCGCTGTCCACTGGCCTGAACCATACGTGGGACTCGACAGCACCACTCACTCGCTCCGCAATGTCGATAACATGGACGTGCGGTTTCGGGGGCCCGTCCCGGCCGTCGTCCTCCTGCATCTCGATGACACGACGGGCACAAGAGGTCTCTTGAGCGAATGTGACTACCTCATCCCCGACGAGCCCCTAGTGGGCGGCCCACTGAAGATTGCCGTGTTTACCATGGAAGGTCGAATCTGGTCGGCATTCACCGCATTCTCAACATCACATCCCGAGAGCACTGATGGGAAACCTGTCACGCTCATTGCCAAATTCACCACGCCAAAGGAGCACGATGCCGACACGGATTGTGTGATGGGTGAAGTCGGACGAGAGGCGTGGCTGTACGACAACAATCTCTGTATGCTCCAGGGGTCAGTCGTGCCCACATGGTACGGGATCTACTTTGCCTGGCAGTCGAGCTATGGCGGTACATCGACAAGCGAGGTCCTGTGCGCCGTAATGGACTATGCCGGCACTTCTGTCACGGACGAGCTTGTGGCATCGCTCTCGCCAGAAGACAAGTGGGTGTGGACTTGCGTCGTCGAACAGTTTCTGACCCACCAGACATGTCATTGCGGACAAGTACCAGGCCCTCCATGACGCTGGTATCGTTCATGTCTCGTGTACCCCCAAGCACTGGCTCTTGGAACCTGGGGCGCCCGTCGACACGCTCAAGATTATCGATTTTGGCAACTCGCTCATTCGTCCAACACATGCCGCAGAGCAAGTGGGACTCGACACGTGGCTGGATACAGAGTATACCGACATGGACTGGCTCGAGGCGGCCAACGCTGAGATGATGGAGGTGAGGGCGGTGCTGAGGATGGAGGACAGCTGAGGAAAGTGACACAGGCCCACAGGGGGGCGCTCAGAAGACATGTACATATAATCCTGTCAGCATGATGACATCCACGGGAGGGCGTCAGTTTGATGCTGATCTGTCTGCGGGCGTCCTGTCGAGTCACCTCTAGAAGGTGCATAATCTGTTATTCACTCTTGCCTTCATCCACTCACTCACTCACTCACCGCCATAACCATCATGACCCGCGCGTGTGGCGACGGTGGCCACGAGGCAGCCACGGCTGAGCAGCTCCAGGTTTGTGTCCTTGCGATTCCTTCCTGACCCGCCGCTCCTCCAGTTCCTGCTTTGCCTCTCTGCTGTCGATCGCGAAAGCGCTACACACTCGTTCAAGAACATTCCACACCTCGACAATGCCTTCGAGGGCCCAATTCCAAGCTCTGCTATTCCTCAATGGCCCCTGAACCCCGACCTACCTCCCATTTCGACCAAAGCTGTTACTGGCATCTGCAAGATTCCCAAGGCCACCTCATGGTTCGATATCAAGAAATATCTCATGCAAGGACGAATCTGGGACGCATTCGAGGCGTCACCGTTTGCTATCTGTGACCCGCCTCGCTCCATCGTAGTCAAACTTACTACGCCGACTCTCCATGACACTTCAAGTGCGAAGCGTTGCTATATTGAGATTTCACGCGAGGCGTGGGTATACCAGCACCCTCTGGCCGACCTCCAGGGAACGGTGGTGCCGAAGTGGTATGGTGTGTGGGCCTCCAAGCAGTCCGATTATGATGGCGTATCGCACCAGGTCCTTGGTGCCGTTCTCGATCACGCTGGCGAGCCTCTGACCGACGAGGATGTCCAGCTCTTGACTCGTGAAGAGAAGTGAGTGGATTTGTTTTCGATCACTGAAGGATCATGTTGCCCAGAGCTGACGGGATCGCCCAGACTCCAGGTCATCCAAAAGTACAAGCTCCTCCACGCTTCAGGTGTCTGCCACTTCTCTTGCAAGCCCAAGCACTGGATCAAGCCTCGGGGCGCGCCCATGTCGTCCCTCCGTCTCATTGACTTTGGCTGCTCCCTTGTCCGTCCCAACGTCCCAGCTGCGCGTGACGAAACGAACATTCGCACTGTTGGCCTCATCGCCCGGTCGGTGCAGATCTGGGAGGAGTCCGTTCGTGAGGAGATGGCGGACATCAAGGAGGTGCTTGGACTTGAAATTGAGGACGAGTACGGCGAGTACGGCGACCATGACAACTACGACCACTGCGATCCCTACGACGACGGCTATGACTACTAGGATGGCTACGGCTGAAGAGAGGAGTAGCCTATGTATGAGAGAACTGTAAAGCAGGAGACTCGTCTCAATAGTGTGTGGACGTTGTAGGAAATGCAACAATGTGGCGAAGAGCCTCCCTGGTGCAGGTGTTGGCACCACCTGGGTCGGCCACAAATGGCAACACAGCTCCGCCTCCACTTGCGGTCATCAGATTTCCTCCCGTCGGCCATGCCTCTTTCATTTGTTGTTGCTCTCCACCCACCCATCCCGACAGCCATGACAGAACGTCTACAGCTCCCCCTCCGCCCAGTTGGCACCTCCATCGCGGCCCATGCTGCCGTCCTCGACCTCCTCGCGGCCCGCCTGGATACACTCGCTTCACGTTCCCGCTGGCCCGCCCGCGTGCCTATCAACTCCAAGGCGAGCTTTGACGGCGACATTGTCCACACGTCCGAGCTCAAGGTCAATGTCGGGGGCGAGTGGTGGATTGAGATGACGGCCGGGGAAGCGGCAGACTATGTGCGCAGGAAGAAGCTTCGTGAGTGCCAGCAGGCGTCGAGGGCGGAGAAGGGGACAGCGCTGACAAAGCAGAGATGCTGGAGGACCATGCACGTATCATGGAGGGCAAGTGTCCCTCCGACCTCACGCGGGCCGTCCCCGTCCACCCACCACCGGGATCGCATGCTATCAAGGCAGCAGATATCCGCTTCGACCCACTGTTCGCGCACCCCGTCCGCTCTGGCCCGTCATCGGAACCTGCCTCTGTTCCGGCCCCTCCCCCCGTTGTCGCCGCTGCTGCGCAGCCCGTCGCTGCACCTGTCGTCAAGGAGGTCAAGGAAACCGCCAAGGTCGAGGGCAAGCCCACTGCACGCGCACTTGAGAAGAGCAAAGCCACAGAACCAGAGATCAAGGGCGAGCTGCCCGAGAGTCTCAAGAAGCTCATGGAGCTCATGAGTAGTGGTCAGCTGGACAAGATGGCCATGCCGCGCGCGACCGAGGGAGGCAGTACCGACGGAACGGTGAGCTATTTGGGTCATAACACCGAAACTGACATCCAGACCATCAACGAAGACGGTCTTCCTATCCACGAGATCCGCGAGGCGCTTGATGGAACCACGCTGGGTCCCACTCCGGAACCTACGGGTGAGGGAGAAGTCGTCAACGAAGACAAGGATGACGACTACTTCAGCCCCGAGGCTGTGAGGCGGCGCGAAGAGCTGCGTCGGCGTATTTTCAACGACGACGACAGCGACGACGACGACGATGAGACTATGGACGTGGACGACAGGGCGTCGCCGATGGACGTTGACGAGGCCGCTCCAGCGTCAGTGGCTGCGACATTGGCGCCGGCCGCTACCCTCGCTCCTGCCTCCGTGTCGTCGGCGCCGACCACTCCGACTACGTCTACCTTTAGCATTGATGCTGTCTCACCGGCTGCCTCTGCGACCCTCTCGCCCTCCCGCGTGCCCAAGGGCATCCTCAAGGCTCCCGCGCGTAAAAAGTCGGTCACGTTCGACTCTTCAGTCCCTGTGCCTCCCGACTCGCCACCCGTCAAAGACCCAAGGAGAATGGGCTTCCCCATCCCACTCGCTGTCGCTCCCCAGGACACCTCGTCAGGCGCCAAGCCCATCCCCATCCTCGGCCAGCCTACTCCGGGCCGCAAACCACAGTCCAACTCGTTTGCAGGCTTCAAGAGCGGCTTCCTCTCGGGTCCTGGATCCAAGCCCTCGCCCGTCCCGCAGATTGTCGAGCTGGCACCCGAGGTCGAGGATGTGCCGGTGGAAGAGCCCAAGAAGAAGACTAGTCTCTTTGCGCAGCGTCGGCTGGAAGCAAACTCGTCGCCGTCGCTGCCCAAATTGGCCGATGCCAAGCCAATGGTGACGATGAAGAATTCGATTGTGGAGAACGCACCCGTCGAGCGCCAACCGACGCCTGTTCCCGGCTTGGACTTGCCTCCTGTTGTCAAATCCGTTCTTCCCAGTGTGAGCCCTATTGGGTCCGCCAGCCCTGCGCTGTCTGGGTCTCCTATGATGCCCAGCCCTGCTCCCGAGCCCGCCACGCCGCTGCCCCAGAGCCAGGCCCAGAGCCAGAGCCAGAGCCAGACGCAACCGCCCGTCATCGTTGTAGACGACGACGAGGACGACTCGGACTATGGCGACCTGGGCGACTTCTCCGACGACGAAGAGGACGAATACAACCTCGACGAAGCTTTGCTCGCGCGCGAGGTGGCCCTCGAGTACCACCGCCGTCAAGCATGGCAGCGCCCCATTGACGAGGACGAGATTGACCCCGAGTCGGAAGAGGGCCAGCAGGTGCTCATGGGTGTTCCCCGCGTCTCGACCATTACCGGCGGCGACGACTCGGACCCGTTGCGAATTGTCAACCCGACTGCCGACGACTTGAGCCAGTTCCTCCGTGTCGGTCGCGCCGAGGACGGCGAGCTGGTCTTTGAGCCTCCGATGGTGGATGACCAGAGCGAAAGTGAGGGCGAGGACGACGATGAGGCAGCGAGGGAGAGGCGGGAGAGGAGGGCGAGGAGGCACGACGTCATGGAGCGGCTGTTGAGGGGTGAGTACGAGGACACGCCTGCTGCCCAAGACCACGCGGCTGCTGCTCGTCACCGGCAGTCTGAATGGCAGCAGTCTCTCCCTCCTGCTGTGGCCAGTGTCGGGCCTGTCGTCGAGGAGGTGGACCCCGGAGCAGCTCCTGCCCCCGTTCCTGTGCCCGCACCAGTGCCGCCCAAGGTCGTGCAGACGCGCGACGTCGTGGAGCGTTCAGCCGGTATCGCGGCCGCCGCTGCCGACGACCCGGCACCAGCACCACCCAAGAAGGTCTCACGATTCAAGGCTGCGCGCCAGGGCCTGGCCTAACCATAGAGGTGTTTGGGTATCTAGTACATCATGCACAATGTCATCTATCAAAAAATGGGGCCTCTCATCTGTGTCCTTTTTTTACGCCGTGGTGCTCTCCTCGACCGAGAAGAGCTTGTCGAGGCTAGTCTCGACGGCCTTGATCTTGGACAGCATGATCTTGATGGCCTCGGGAACGAGCTCCTGGGGGTCGTACTGACCCGCCGACTCGACAGTGTACATGAAGTGGTCGCGGATACGTGCCAGCTCGACCAAGTCCTTGAATTCGGGGTGACGGAGCACCTCACGCGAGACGGTGTCCTTGCGCGGGTTCTTGACGACAGCCTGGGGCTTTCCGGCCTCGTCGTCCTCGATGGCAATGACACCGGGAGCAAAGCACTGCTGGAACTTTGCCTGGTGCTCGCGCGGGATGGGGCCGCGGAGGATGATGTGCGGCAGGAGACGGTACGATGCGGTAGCGACGGGAGAGAACTTTGCGTGGTCGCCTCCCCTGCCCTTGCGGGCGAAGCAGTGCAGGTCGACGACCTGGCCGGGACGAAGCTTGACGAGGAGGATGTCGTCGAGCACGGGGCGGGGCTCCTTGCCCTTGTACTTTGTGGTCTGGGCGCCCGAGGGAGCCCACTTCATCATGCCGGTGTACACGTTCGAGTCGTGGTACAGCTTGCGCGGGTCGGTCTCTCCCGGAGCAGCGTCGCGTCGCCTGTCACACTTGACGCGAATGTCAAAGACGTGCGTGTCGTTCTCCATGGGCGCCGAGTAGTTTCCGGGCTTAAAGTCCATCGTGCGCGGGTCGATCTTGAGGGGCACAAGACCGACACGGTGGGCGAGGACCTCGTCCTGCATGATGGAGGTGTTGTTCCACACGTACACGTCCTCGATGGCGATGGTGGGGACCTCGGCGATCATGATGCGGCGCAGGGCATTGGCGATCGAGGCGTCGACGCCAACAAGGTCAAACTCGATGGTCGAGGGCGTCAGGCGCTGGACCGAGACGATGAGGTTCTGCAAGACCGTGTTAGCACGAGCTGCTATCCATTCTACCCGGCTTCCAAGCTCACCTCCTTGAACTTGTTCAAGTTCCATGCGTGGTCCTCTCCGGGGTAGTGGCCGGGGAACTCCGAGTTGGAGACCTGTAAGTAACCTGTCAGCGATCCCTGTCTCCGCTGGCGCCAGCAGTCTTGACTTACGGCACCGACACGCTCGGGGAGCACCTGGACATGACGCCTCTTGTCGTCGAGTGAGCGGGTTGCCATGGTGAAGGGGTTGGGTGGGTTGGATGGAGGATAGTCGTCACTAAACACACTCGCAAGATGATTCATGGAGCACAACTTTTGCAGAAAATGGGGGGAACAATTAGGTAAGCAAATTCAATGACCGTTGGGTGGCAAAAACAGACGGTAGGACGAATTTGATTCCGCCGGTTGACGCGACTGACTGTCCTTTTGGGCGACGCGGTCCACAACAACAATATCCCTCGTTCTCGTTCTTCTTCTTCCCCCTCTCTTGACCACCCCTCTCACTTGCTCTGCCACTCTCTCTTATCTTGGACCTCCACCCTCTTCTTGTCCTGCTGCCATGCTGCGCAGGCTACCCACCACCAAAGGAGGCGATCCGCCCATTACCTCGGCCACCTCAGGCGGCTTTGGCATCGTCTCCAAGCCCTTCAAGTCCCCCGGAGCCGCCCTTGCCAACAAGCGCACCACTGTCTTGCCCGCACGCAAGCGCAAGCAGGTCAACTACAAGGAAATGGGCGACGGCGGCGCCGACGATGGCGAGGCTGCCATCAACGACGACGGCAGCCCCAAGAAGAAGATGCGCTTCGAGATGGGCAACAAAGTGTACGAGGATGGCGTGCTGGGAGGTATGGCCAAGTGGTGTACCCGCAAGTTTCCAGTCTACTCGCCAAAGGATAAGGGAACCGTATTTGCCAAGACGTGGGTTGGAATCCTTTACGGCCTATGCTTACCCACGCAGCTTCGCCATCCCGGTCATCACCAACGCCAAGACATCTGAAAAGGTCGTTCACACGCTCTCGTACGCGTCCCTCGGTGCACGACCCCACCCCACTCTTGCCCCTCGCCCACTGCACGACCCGATGGCTGACCACGCCATTGTCCTGTACGACCCCACCATCGACGATAAGCCCGAGCCGCTTACGGAGGAGGAGCTGAACGCCGAGGAGGAACGTAAGCGCGAGGAGGAGGCGCGCGGACCGCACAAGAGCCTCAAGGCCATCTTGGGCATTCAGGATAAGAAGAAGAAGGTCGACGTCAAGGTTCCCGTCGTCATTGACCCGAAGTTGAGCAAGGTCTTGCGTCCTCACCAGATTGAGGGTGTCAAGGTGGGTAAAGATCCCGGTTGTCGTGCTAACCCACCAGTTTCTGTACCGCTCCACCACTGGTCTGCTCGATCCCAAGGCTTGGGGCTGTATCATGGCTGACGAAATGGGACTTGGTGAGCTTGTCTCAGAAACTGACTCAGCTGACCTTTAGGCAAGACCCTCCAGTGTATTGCACTGTTGTACACGCTTCTTAAGCAGTCTCCGGTTGCGGGCAAAGCAACCTGCGAAAAGGTCGTCATTGCCTGCCCCACGTCGCTCGTCGGCAACTGGGCAAACGAACTGGGTGGGTTTATTGTTGTTTCCCTTCTCTGACCCACCAGTCAAGTGGCTTGGTACTGGAGCTATCAACCCCCTGGTCGTGGACGGCAAGGGTGGCAAGGCCGAGCTCATCCCCGCCGTCCGCCGCTGGGTTACCGCTCACGGCCGCGGCATTACGCTGCCAGTCATGATTGTCTCGTACGAGACTCTCCGCACGCTGCAAGAGGAGCTTGTCAACTGCCCCATCGGACTGCTGCTCGCCGACGAGGGTCACCGTCTGAAGAATGCAGGTGAGTGCAGTTATGCTGTCAGTGCCTAACTAACCGCCAGACACCCTCACCTTCCAGTCCCTCACGGCTCTCAACGTCCAACGCCGCGTAATTCTCACAGGAACCCCCATCCAGAACGACCTCTCCGAGTACTTTGCCCTCCTCAGCTTTGCCAACCCGAATATCTGGGCTCCAAGGCCGACTTTAAGAAGAACTTTGAGAACAAAATCCTGCGCGGTCGCGATGCCGACGCGTCAGACAAGGAGAAGCAAGAAAGCGAGGCAAAGTTGAAGGAGCTCAGCGGACTGGTCAGCAAGTTTATCATTCGCCGCACCAACGATCTGCTCTCAAAATATCGTGAGTCAGGTGAAATGCCGACGTGAGCTAACCTGTTTCAGTTCCTGTCAAGTACGAGCACGTCGTCTTCTGCCGCCCCAGCCCCCTTCAGAGCGCGCTATACAACCACTTTGTCAACTCAAAGGACGTGCAGCGTCTCCTTCGTGGCAAGGACTCGCAGCCTCTCAAGGCCATTGGTCTCCTCCGCAAGCTCTGCAACCACCCCGAGCTTCTCAACCTCCCCGAGGACCTCGCTGGCAGCGAGAACCTCCTTCCCGACGACTACGCAGTCGGCAAGTCTGGTCGCGACAGGAGCTTCAACTGCCAGTACTCGGGCAAATTCGTGGTTCTCGAGAGGTGGGTTAATAGCTCCCGGCAAGCTTGCTGACCCGCACAGAATGCTCGACCACATCAGGAACCACACCAATGACAAGATTGTGCTCATCAGCAACGCCACCCAGACGCTTGACCTCATGGAGCGCCTGTGCCGCGTCAAGAAGTACGGTTGCGTGCGTCTCGATGGCTCGATGAACGTGAACAAGCGCTCCAAGATTGTGGACCGCTTCAACGACCCCGAGGGCAAAGAGTTTGTCTTTCTGCTCAGTTCCAAGGCTGGTGGATGCGGCATCAACCTCATTGGCGCCAACCGCCTCATCCTGTTTGATCCAGTGAGTTTCGCTTTACCGTCCTCGGTGCACAGCTAACTCTTCAGGACTGGAACCCAGCCAGCGACCAGCAGGCCCTCGCGCGTGTCTGGCGTGACGGCCAGAAGAAGGAGTGCTTCGTCTACCGTTTCCAGACGACCGGCACGATTGAGGAGAAGATCTTCCAGAGACAGTGAGTTGCCACTTGTTGTATATCACCTGACCACGCAGGTGCCAGAAGCAAAACCTCTCAGCGTGCGTCGTCGACGAGGCCGAGGACACTGCTCGCCACTTTACTCAGGACGACCTCCGCCAGCTGTTCAAGTACAACAAGGAGACCCAGTGCGACACGCACGACACGTACAAGTGCAAGCGTTGCCGCGACGGCAAGCAGTTTGTCAAGTCACCTGCCCTGCTGTATGGCGATGCCAGCACGTGAGTGACGAGTTGACGCGTCTGGGCGCATGCTGACTTCGACATCAGGTGGAACCACTACCCCAACTCGCAGCTGGGCCAAATGCACGACGACCTCCTGCGCGCCGAGCTGGGGTTGCCCGAGGTGTCGTACGTGTTCCAATACATTTCGCACTGAGCGTTGCTGGCTCTATTGGGGTTTCTCGTTTCGTTCTCGACTGCGTTTCTTATAGGGATCACCACCCAAGGTGCTGAGTGCGCCTGGGCGTAGTGGATTGCATCGTTGTACACTGTTTGCATAATAAACGTCAAAGTCATGTATATTTTGTGCCATACTCTGGGCGGAGTGGTGAGATGGCAGCTGCGGGTTACGTGGACAGTCGCGGCAAAAGCCAAAGGAGGAAGACTGGAGAAAGGAAGGAAGGCAGTCGCGTCAGTCACGCGTCACCCACTCCATCATCAACCACATCACTCAACCCTCACTGACAACACCATCACCATCCACCCCATGCCGCACCGTAGCAACGACCACGGAGGCCGCGGTCGGCCTTGGGGTCATGCAGGTGGTCCTGGTGGACAACCTCCACCTCACAATATTGCCACCCAGGCACACCCTCCGCCAGTCTTGCGCGCTCCCTACCCGTCCCCGGACCCTGTCGCCGCGACCACCCAAACATTCCGGCGACAGCGACGAGCCTCTCGTTCCCGACACCGACGCCACGGCCACCGCCCATCTCCAAACCCCAACGACACCCACTTTGACCTGCTCAGCTTTGACGAAGTTCAAGGTGAGAGTAGTCAGATAGGAGGAAGCGCTGTAGATCTTCTTGGGCCCGACGACGACGACGACAAATACGACGACGACAGCTACGACGCGACTTCATCTACGGCCCGCCCGGTACCGTCATTCACTACAACTACAGCGTTACGCGACGCACACACGGCCTCTTCTGGCGCCGATCTCACCGAGAGTATCTGGACAGCGAGTACTATCGAGCGGGTGAAACAGCTCGCCGCGGCTCAACAAACGCACAACGGACGGCCGCTGTACACGCTTTCCGGACCCTCCCCGCCTCCTGCGCCTCTACTCCCACCGCCGTTGGACAGCGATTTGTGGACAGTAGCTGGATTGCCGACTTTTGTGCCATCTGAGTCCGTCGCTGCCTATACATCTGTCTCGCAAGGCTGGCCGTTTGAGGACGCCAACCGGCACACCAACCGTTGGGCGCACGAGTACACCGAGCACCGTCGCGATCAAAACAGCTCCTGGTCCGTCACGCACACAGGTGCAAGCGACAACTCATCCCTGTGGTTTCCTACAGACGACGTGTGGATTCCCATGGACGAACTCCCGCCGCCATCTAGGAGCCAGGCGGGCACGCCGGTGTCTGATGGTTCGTCGCGCAAGGGCAAAGGAGGAGGGGCCAAGTATCGGCGTCCTGGACAGGCCAAGCTGGACCAGCGAGATGAGCCTGGAGGGCTGAGGGAGGCGTAAGTGCCCCCTTCTATGACGTGTGAGATGTTTTGCTGACAGCGGCGTATAGGATGGAAGCGCTGCGAGCAGCGAAAGCCAAGGGCGCAGCAGTCGATGTTCAGCAGCAGGGACCCGTCCGCGGGCCCAAGGGCGACAACGGTGGCAAGACGTTGCCCACTCGCCATCAACAACAACCGGCACACCGAGCCCAGACTCAAGCCCATACACCGTATTCCGCCCCGCGCAAGGCCGCTCCCATTGCTAAGAGCAGGAGCAAGAGCAAAAGCACCATGTCCGCGACCAGCCCAGAGTTCTTCCCCGTCAGACTCCCACCCATGAGCTCCGCCCGTGCTGGCCTGCCCAACGGCAACAGTCATGTCCATGTCCACGACGATGGTACAAACGGGAGTGACACGTTCAACCCCGGGTCAGCGTACCACGAGTACACGTCGAGGCCGTGCCCGCGCTTTGACATGCCCCAACGCATGCTTCACACGGGTGACAAGCTCGAGCGCACGATACTTGAAGACTGGCGCCTTGCCGAACCGTCTCCAGTCCAAAGGCGCTACACGTCTGCGATACTGCAAAGAATCACCCAGGAGCTCAACCGGGTGCTGAGGAGTGGAAGCAGGTTTGAGGTGGATGTGTTTGGTAGTATGTCGTGGGGCGGCGCGACTGGAAAAGGAGGTGACTTGGACCTTGTGGTCATTGTGAGTTGTACTACTCTGGACTGCAACTGACGCTCCACAGGACAAGAACATGCCATTGTGCTGTACGTTTACCAAACACCCGTGTTACAGCCTTATCTGACGACCCAGACCAGCCGAACCTCTGGACCGCCAGTGAAGACACTGCCTCGTCTGCTGGATCCAGCAGAAGCGGCCCCAACAGACGTCGCCCAGCGGCCAAACTCAAGGGGGTCCCCCAAGTATACAGCATGTACTGGCTGTCAAACTTCCTCTCGAACACACCCGGGTTTGGGGGCATCAAGGCGATCGTACATGCCACAACTCCCATCGTCAAGTTCAAGGCGGTTGCAGGGGACCTGGATTGCGATATTAATGTCAATGACTTGGGCGGGTGGTGAGCTTACAATGGCGGGAGTTCAAGCTGACATACAGGTACAACTCGGCGCTGATACTTGCATACTGCAAGGTGTCGCCCTTTGTCTTCCGTCCCATGATCCATGCCATGAAGAAGTGGCTCTCGGCCAACAACCTCAACGACCCTTCTGCCGCCAACGGGCCGGCCTCCATGTCGTCGTACTGCCTCACGCTCATGGTCATCGGTTACCTTCAGCATATTGGCGAGTTGCCCAACTTGCAAGAAGGCGTCGAGGCCCCCGTTCCCTTCTACCACGAGGACGAGCACCACGCCAATGTCATCTGGGTCGGGTACGGCAGGCCAAAGGGCCAGGCAGCACATATATGGTTCCGCACAAAACCGCCTGCGGGATGGACGCGCCGCGACCCCGACCTCACGGCTGCAGACGCGATCCGCAGTTTCTTCAACTTCTTCTCGCGCGACGGGCCCGGTCTTAAATTCGACATGCGTACCCAGCTCGTGTCCGTTCTGAACGGCGGCATCATCGCCCGGTCTCAGCCTCAGGGCGATTCCGCCCGTCGCAGGAACGAGTACCGGCGCGAAATCAACGCCCAGGGACTGAGTAAAGAGACCATGGTGGCGCTTATGAAGACTTTCAATGCCGAGAACGACCCCAAGGTCTCGCACATGGGCACGGGGGCGGGAAACATCCAGCCTGGGGAGTGGGAGGACAAGCACTTGGTCATACAGGACCCGTTCATTTGGGAGAAGGTAAGTGGCAGAAAGAGTGCGGGGGGTACGACGGAAGAATGAGGCTGACACGCGTGTGCGCAGAACTGTGCGGCAAGCATGTCCAAAGAGGCCATAGAAAAGTTGTTGAAGGCTATCAAGGGCACACAACTACTGTTGACGCGTAACCGCGACGCTCGGCTGAGCGATTTTCTTGTCCCGCACTAGTAGGGGAGGCGGGGTGTAGTTTGAAGCATATGTCACTATCCATGTTAATCCACGAGGCGAGCTCTGGGGACCAGTGGCGTACCGCCATGGTCTATCCATCATGCCCAGAACGATATATTGACCAGACTCCCGTACTCCCGGCCAACCACTCTCACACCTGTTGTCTCCATGGCCTGCAGTGTCCTCTAACTCCCGCCGAACTACAGAACCAAACGTGCCACTCATGCTCGAGTCCAGGTCCACGATGCGAGAAACGAGCGAGGAGAGCCAACTGGCCAAGCAGTGGTGCCGATACTCTATCGGTACTGATGTGAGACTCGTCAAGCCGACCGTTCCAACGGGCGCGCAGGCCGACAGGTGACCAGGCCAAACAAGTGCTTGGGCCCAAACCTCGTTTGGCCCGGCAACTGCATTTTATAGCGGCTGTTTTTCCTACCCAACCATCGCGGTGGGCTGTGTGTACACGACTGGTTAAGCGCGCTTTACATATATTATCCAGTTGGCAGTTTATCGAGATAAAAGGCTGGTGTGGCAAGGCCTGGAGGTCGCCATCGGACTTTTTGTGCCCCTGGCCACGAGGTTCGAATCTGTGGTCGTTTTGTAAAACCCAGTCGGCCATTTTGATACGGAGGTATTGGATGGGACTGTATACGTGCTTTTCACACGCCCATCGAAAGAAGGATCTGAATCTTTAACAGCAACGTAAATGAAGTTGGAAAAGGCTGACATGGGCCCTGGGAAGAAGCTTCTCTTTGCCAACCCACACTCTGTACTGATGGTACTGACGCGTTCGTTTATTGCTGCGCAATTTGGACGCTGATAAGAACGAACGTTTCTAATGGGCCGCGCGCACATCGAGGCGCGGGCGGTGGAGGGCTGGGCGCGGGATCAAATATTGGCCACCCAAACGCAGCTGACATCACCTGGTCCGTGTTTGAGCCCCGCGTCAACGACTGGCGAAGACCAAGGCGACGACGACCAACACACGCTTTCTGCTTCTCGCTCAGTCATCATTCAACCCATCTCTCGTCCTCGCTTCCTCCCTCGTTCCCACAACCACTCAACAATGCCATATACCCCGCTCATATAATCTCTCGCCTCGCCCTCCCGGACCTCCCCCCGCGCGCGCCGTACACAATGTCCGGCCTCGACACCCACCTCACCATCGACACTGGTCCACCCACAGCAGCATCGGCATCGGTGGCCAGCTCATCCCGCCCCTCCCCCGTCTCGGGACTAACCACCTTCCCCAACCCATTCGCAGACGAGCCCGAGCCGGGCCTCCTCCCTTCCATCCTCTCAAAGGTCAAGTCAACATTCTCCTCCTCAGCCTCCGTCCCCGCCGTCCCGGCCGCCAAGGCAATCGACAAGGACAAGGCGGCAGTAGCAGCAGCAGCAACGGCCGCGGCGTCCGTCTCCACCACGACCGACGGCAGCAATGGCGGAGGACCACCCGTGCAGACCGAGGCTCAAGCCATCGCCGAGGCTGCACGCAAGCAAGCGTACGCGCACGCACAAGCAGCAGCCAGCGCCGCTGCCGCTCAGGCCGCCCACACACAATCATCCCAGACCGCACCGCAGCTCACAGGGAAACGCGGTGTTGGGGGCTCGCAACTGTCCATCACCGCCCCTTCCGGTGAAGTGTCGCCCTCCCCGCTGCTCTCCCCGACCATGGCGCCCCCTGCGCTCCCTGTGCCGTCGCGGCCCTCACAGACGTCCATGTCCGCCAACACGCCGCCCACGGCCGCTTCGTCCCAAGCTCCCTCGGTGTCGTCCTTGTCCAGCGCTCCCGGCGGCCAGCCCGTGGCCCGGCGACACTTGGTCCCTGGCGAACGGAACTGGCGCCCCGCCGGTGCCGCCCCGGCCCAGGTGACTGTGTCGCCCGTCACGAGTATGACGACGACCGTGCCGAGCAGGGCCGAGGGCGAGGCGAGCGGCGGCGGAGGCAGCGGCGCGGGTACCATGGGCCCACCGCCACCCCTGCGTCTTTCGGCGCACCACGGCCACGGTCATGGCCATGGCCACGCGTCCGTCCCGTCCATCTCTATTGACGTCCCGTCTGTCCCCATGTCCGCCACGGGCTCGATCTCGCGGGGCAAGAACATTAGCGGTCGCCTGAGGCGAGGCTCGATCGGCACCCTCCCAGACTCGCCCTCGAGCGTCTCGCTGTCGGCCATGATCTCCGCAAGTGCAGAGCTGAGCCAAAACAACTTTTCGTTTGTCCCGGGATTTCAGCTGCCCGCAGAAGACACGCGCAGTGTGCGAAGTCTTGGGTTTACGAAGCGGCCTGGAAGTGTGAGCAAGATCATTCGCCGGATGCGCGGCGAGGGTTTAAGCAAGCACTACTGGATGGAGGACGACAACTGCAAGGAGTGCTATGACTGCAAATCAGTGAGCTTGCGGTATCTCACGGAGGGGACGAAGCTGACGCGTCTCAGGTGTTCACAACATGGCGGCGAAAGCACCATTGTCGTATCTGTGGCCAGATCTTTTGCGGTCGATGTGCGTCCAACATTATCGGTGCCCGCCGGTTCGGGCAGGACGGTATGGTGCGCGTGTGCAACCTGTGTCTCAAGATCATGGAGGACTATGACGACGAAGACGACCGCCGATCCATCAACTCGGCCATGTCCAGTCTTCCGGAGCGAGTCATCTCGCCCGAGATGCAGTTTGCCGCGTCACCATACGCCGCAAGCCAGCTGTTCACCCGCCACGGCAACGAGTCGCTCACCGCCATTGACGAGTCGCAAGTGACACGGTACTGGAGTCGCGGTAACCGGGACCGTGATCGTGACGACATCCCAGAACGGCCATTCACGCCCGAGGACCCAAGTGACATTTCAGACAGCGAGGAGGGCCACATATGGCAGAGTACGCGACCCAGCGCTTGTGCTCCGTTCCGACGCATGCACGGCGGCGACGACTCGGACGAGCAGCCTCAAAGTCTCGTTGCGTCTCAAACACCGAGTCCCGGGGCTGGTGCCGACGGCAGGGACAGGCGTGTGGGATTCCCCAACGACATGCCCCACGTCATGTTTCCTCGTACAGACACAATCGACTCTGACGACGGCCGCGCCATGAACGAGTCGATACACCAACAGTTGACGATGGGTTTGCGCACTCGAATCAGCTCGATGGCGAGCCTACGCGGCCTGAACGCCTTGCTGGATTCGGACAGGAAAGATGGCCTGTGGCGTGCAAGGTCACACTCGTTTGCCACCAAGGACGAGATCCTTGCTGCTCCTTCGCTCACCCATTTCAGCAACATGCTGCAGCAGTCCATCGAGCGGGCCGAGATTCCAAACCCCCCAACATGGCACCGAGTGCTGAGCCGTCTCTTGCTCCGTGTCTCGACCAACTTGCGGCCCGTGGTGCGCGCTGGCGACTCGATCGACGTTCGCACCTATGTCAAGATTAAAAAAGTGCCCGGCGGTAAGATTATCGATTCCGAGTACGTTGACGGCATCGTCATCACCAAGAATGTCGCGCACAAAGGCATGGCCCGTCGACTCGTCAACCCGCGTATCATGGTCATTACATTCCCGCTCGACTACCACCGCGTCGAGACACAGTTCATGTCGCTGGATCCGATCATGAAGCAGGAGCGCGACTACCTCCGTCTCTTGACAAAGCGTATCATCGACCTCCGACCACACATTGTGCTCGTTGAGCGGTTCGTCTCGCGCATCGCACTCGAGTTTTTGCACGAGGCCAACATTGTCGTTGCTCGCGGTGTCAAGTTCTCCGCCATCCACCAAGTCGCGCGGTGTACACATGCCGACATTATCGGTTCGATGGACCGACTGGCCCTCGAGCCCCGTCTGGGTCGCTGCGCCGACTTTAGGGTACAGACGTTTGAGCACCAGCAGATCCCTGGCCGGCGCAAGACGTACATGCGGTTTGAGGGCACGCACAATGGCTTTGGCGGCACGATCATCTTGCGCGGTGGCGACTTGGCGACGTTGACCAAAGTCAAGGTCATTGCCGACTTCATGGCCCTGGTCGCTTACCACCTCAAGAACGAGGCGCTACTCTACCGCGACGAGTTCCACATGATGCCCATACATCCACCATTGCCTGAAGAGTATGAGGAACTGCTGAAAACGCTGGCCGCTGGCGACTTTGACCCCAGCAACGCCTTTAGCAACAAGGACGACCCCGAGGACCATTCGACTCCGAATCCGTCCGAGAGCGACGTGGAGAAGGAGCAGGCTCAATACGATGCCCTCCGCCTCTCGAAGCAGATTGCAGAGTCTCTCGAGCCGTACCTCACCACAGTGCTGTCCGCGTCGGTGGCTGTGCGCTTTCCGCCTCCATACGCCCTCGCCAAGATGGCTGCTTTGGACCGTACGCTCACGGAACTGCGCATCAAGAGGGATGAGTATGAAGCCGAGCAGATTCTGAAGGAGGAGAAGCGTGTCACCGCCCTCGCAGTAGCGGCAGCGGCGCCACCTCCCGTGTTTTCGCCAACACCAACACCTGTCCTTGCGCCGACGCCGACGCCGGCACCGCCACCACCCCTTCCTGCGGCTGCTCCAGCTCCAGCCCCAGCTCCAGTTGCCGCTCCAGTTGCCGCTCCAGTTGCCGCTCCAGCTCCAGCACCAGCTCCAGCACCAGCTCCAGCACCAGCTCCAGCTCCTGCTCCAGCCCCTGCTCCAGCCCCTGCTACAGCCGCTGCTCCAGTTGCCGCTCCAGCTCCAGTTGCCGCTCCAGCTCCAGCCCCTGCTCCAGTTCCTGCTGCAGCTCCTGCTGCTGCTGCTCCAGCTCCAGCTCCAGTTGCCGCTCCTGCTCCTGTTTCCGTCGCCGCTCCTGCCCCGGAGCAGCCCGTTAAGGTGGTCCTGGAGACCGATACTGGCGAAATGGTGACCCCACCGGCTGTCTCTCCTGTCCCCGACGTGGACGCCGCAGTGTCGTCTTCAACTTCCCAAGCCTCAGTTTCGCAGCCACCTACCCCAAGCCCCACTCCTCCACTTGGTCTCCCGCTCATGCCAGCCCCGCCTCCACCGGCCGGCACGACCCAGGCTTCGGTTATCCGTCCCATGGCCGCACCAGCGCCTTTGCCGCCAAGTGCGCCCCCGAGCCAGCTACTTACGCTGCCCACGAAAGGTGCCATCGGCGATCCCTACCGCATCCTGTTGAAGCCTGACGAATATACGGAAGCGAGCAAGCTCGCGTTTGTCGCCCACGACCATGCGGAGCAGGTCAAGATCTGGCAACACTACGTCAAGCGTCACCCTACACCCCTTCATCCCAAAGACTACCAGGGCATCATCTACCTGCAGTCTCTTTACCGCCAGGGTCAGGATAAGCCGTGTACCGAGCCCATGCGTCACCAGATCAACTTTTACCAGGATGATGACCAAACCCTGGGCCAGTTTCTCTCTGCCATGGTCAGCAACGCTGCGCACCGGTGCCCGAACAAGGCCTGCGACCAGCTCATGCTCTTTCACTACGATGTGCTGGTCCACGCCGACCGCCGTCTCCAAGTTGTCATGGAGCAGTTCATGTGCCCTCTGCCAGGCCACGAGGAGCAGATCGTCACCTGGTCCTACTGCCGACAGTGCAACCGCAGCTGGGACCCGATCATCATCCACGAGGAGACGTGGCGCATGTCCTGGGGAGCATACCTCGAGCACTGCTTCTACCCGCCCAAGACGGTCACGGGATTCGAGTGCACGCACGACGCGTACCGCGACCACATTCGCTATTTCGCCCACCTCAACATGGTTATTCGTATCCACAATGACGAGGTTGAGCTGTTTGAACCTGTCCGACCGTCGACGAAGCTCATGGTGCGCGTCGAGGACAAAGTCCGACTCAAGAACCAAGAGTACGAGAGCGCGCTCCAGAAGACGGCCACGTTCTTCGATTCCGTCCTCTTCCGCTTGAGAAGCTTTACAGACGACTTGGTCGACCCAGAAAAGCTGCCGCGGCTTCGTCAGGACCGCGATAGCTTCCTCTCGCGCGCGGTGGGCGACAGAGACGAGATTGTCAACATGCTTAACAGGACGTACAAGCAGACCCCGGCGACAGATGTGCTTTCCATGAACGTGGTGCTCCAGGCCCTCCAGGACAAGGTCATCCAGTGGGAGTGAGTACACAGCTTCCGTACACGCGAATGGCGCTAACTGGGCAGCACCGAGTTCCTCGAGGTCGAGAAGATGTATATGCCCACGGAGAAGGATTTGAGGAGAAGTGGGTTACTCCAAAGGTACGGCAGGCTAACCACGCAGTGACTGCAACGCACCTGAAGCGCCTGTTCCCGACCCAAGACCCCTTTGGCACCATGGACAAGACAATGGCCAACCTCTCTGTGCCCGAGGTGGATGAGCGTGAAAAGTCCGAGGGCTCCACGGAATCGAAGCTCCCATCACCTACTCTCACCGAGAGCGTGGAGGCGACTCTGCAGCTTCCGGACAGCGGGCCAACGACCGACTCGCCCATGTCGCTGGACGAGGCAGCTGCCAACCCTCTGGATACTGCCGCTATGCAGCTAGAGGGCATCACTGCCTCGTACGACTCTATCACGCCGACTCCTACCTTGGCCCGCATTTCCAGCCCATTCACCACGGCCGACGTCCCGCGCGATTATGACAGCGACTCGACCATCTCGGCCATCCCCGGCCGCTCCATTCCCAAGACGTACACCGCCGCGGACCTTGCCTCCAGCGGCGTGGATAGCGACACACATGGGTTCGTCTCTCGCTTGCCCAGGCGTACCCGTCCAGCACCCAGTGTCGCCGATCTCGTCAAACGCTTTCAAGAGTCTATGGGCCAGACACCGCAGTTTGAGCCCATCCCCAACCAGGACATTCCGTCGTCCATGGAACGTCCACGCTCCGCCGGAGGCACGACCCGTCGCGTTCGTCCAGAGCCGGACGTGTCGGACAGTGACGTGAATGTCGGTGTGCTTCCTGTGCGGCCGAGACTTCGCGGCAGACGCGAGCAACCGTCCAAGTCCCGTATGGAGCCACGATCGACACTGTTATCAGAGGGTGAACGCAGCTATGCTGTCAACGCCGCCCGCGTTGTATCGCATACCGCACGCCGCTCCGCCACCGTCGACGCCTCGAGTAGTACCCGTGGCGGACGTATCTCGCGTACGACCTCCCCTACACCGAGTCACAGGTCTCGTGATGGCCTCTTAGCCGCGCCGTCGCCATGCCTGCCGCTCACCAAGGCCGCGAGTCACGAGGGCAAGCCTCGTATCGCAGGCAAGGGCCGCACTCCACGCAAGGCCACAGACGTGCTTGCTCCCCCAGGCCAGCCGTCCCCCGGCGGCGGTCTGATCCGCGGCCTGCCCCGCCGTGTCATTGGTGCTGGATCACGCGTCACGTCCATCGCTCGCCACTTTGACAAGATTTCTCGTGAGGCCGAACGTGATCGCCAAAAGCGTATTTCCATCGCTAGGGGCAAGCGTGCGGGCCGTGTTGGCGTCACAAAGGCCAAAGTCCAAGTCTTCAACAATATGCGCGATGCGTTCAAGGACGAGTTTGACTCGGACTCGAGTGCAGCGGACAATGAGGAGGATGAAGGCGACGCGTCGGACGGAAGTGTCGATTCAACGGGCCGTGCTCGGCCTAGGCGTAAAGTGTCGTCGCCAACCAAAGGTGCCTCTCCTCTCCCTCAGCCTATCGAGGGTGCAGGTCCTTCAGAGTCGACGCACACCGAGACTCCTCCGCAGGCCTCGACTCCCGAAGACCAAGTGACTGCACCCACTGCCGGACCCAGTGGTGTCCTCAGCGACAGTGCCACAGACGGTGGCGGCACTGGCACCAGCACACGTAACAAGGACCGTCTACACATTGAGCTCGCGCCATTCGACACCAACGCTCCATTGCCACCCATGACGCCCCAGCCCCAGCAGCCCGCCACGACAGACACACAGGACGAAGGTGGTCCGCGCAAGGGTTTCAGCCAGTTGTCCCAGATGAGCGAGAGCGAGATGAGTTCTGGCGGCGGCGAGACCCGGTCTTCCATCCTCAAGACCCTCACTGGCCTCTGGGCGTTCCGCGCTGGCGATTTCACGCCGCTGGAGTACCCGCTCTCAGCGGCTGAACACATTTTTGCAGACTCGCGTGTAATTGTGCGTGAAAACGAGCCCACGTCCATTATCGCATTCACCCTCAGCTCCAAGACGTACCGCGACCAAATGCGCAGTGTCGCCGCTGCGGCCAAGGCCCGCCGACACGAGCCGTCCGGTCTTGATGACCTGTCCATGACCTCGGACCGCCAGTGGGACATTATCAGCATTGACGAAGGTATGGAGGCCGACGACCCGTCACGCCGCGAGGGCGAAGTGGGCACCCACCTGAAATACGACTTTGAGACTGGTTCCAGCACCATCTCGTGTCGCATCTTCTTTGCCGAGCAGTTTGCTGCGCTCAGGCAGGCGTGCCAGTGCGAGGACATATTTGTCGAGTCGCTCGCCAGGTGTGCCAAGTTTGACGCCTCGGGCGGCAAGTCGGGTAGCGCCTTCCTCAAGACCAAGGGTGGGTTGCATCGTTTTGTGTCAATGGCTAACCCGGACTACAGACGACCGCTTCATCGTCAAGGAAATCTCGCGATTCGAGATGGACGCTCTCACCAAGTTCGCCCCGGCATACTTCGAGTACACGTCCACTGCCCACCAGCGCGGCCGGCCGACCGCGTTGGCCAAGACGTACGGCTTTTTCAAGATTGGATACCGCAACGCCGTGACTGGACGCTCGATGCACATGAACGTGCTGGTGCAGGAGAACCTGTTCTATTCGCGGACGTTTGCAAAGATCTACGACCTCAAGGGCAGCACAAGGAACCGTCTCATCAAGCCGACCGGCAAGGTCAACGAGGTGCTGTAAGTCTGCTCGTCGTTACCGCCCCTGCTTGAGCTGACATGCCAGGCTCGACGAAAACCTCATGGAGACGGCGTACACTGCGCCCCTCTACCTCCGCGACCACTCGAAGCGTATCCTCCGGACCGCACTGTGGAACGACACGCTGTTCCTCTCCAACCTCAACGTCATGGACTACTCCCTCGTTGTTGGCGTGGACACGGAGAACAACGAGCTGGTCGTCGGTGTCGTCGACTACATCCGCACGTTTACGTGGGATAAAAAGGTCGAGTCGTGGGTCAAGGATTTGGGTGGTGGCGGCAGGGGCGATCCAACAATCGTGACCCCATTGCAGTGTGAGTTGGCATGGAGTCACAAGCTTGAGGGGCTCAACTGACTGTATACAGACCGGAAACGCTTCCGCACCGCCATGGACAGGTACTACTTCCCCTCCGTCCCGGACAGGTGGGACGTGGCGGGCGCCGACGAGCCAGCCGCAGACGAGGAGGGCCCCACGCTGCTGGGCATGTAGGCGACAGGCAATTTTGCCTTAATCAAAGAAAACCAAAAAGAAGGACGAAAACGTTTAGAGAGAAGGAAGGAGGGACTCGTGCATGGTGCAGGCCCACATTTATATCAATTAGTGTACCATTTTTGTTTTTATTTTCTCAAAAGATTTCGGGCCTGCACCCATTTCTGATGTCTCTTTTGTTATGTATAGCTCCTGCTCCTTCTTCACTTCCGCTCCATGTACAGACAGCACTACGAATAAAAGAGCATGTTCACCATCGCAAGCGTACTCAACGCCAACACGGATCTGGCTGCATCAGACCTCAAAAAGTATCAGGTCTGACTGGGAATCGAACCCAGATTACAAGAATCAGAATCTTGTGTACTAACCTTTATACGATCAAACCTTGATGTTTAATACTAATATCAATCATATATGAACGAAGGACTCATTTTCTGAATTCTTGGCGGGGCGCATGTCCTCCGTCCTTCTGTGTTGGGTTGAGCGCTTGGCTGTCCAAAACCGGGACGATTGGCGGAGGGGCATTGAATCACGGCCATGACGGCACTAGCAGTATTAGTGAGCATCAGCTACTTTGGGGAGGAAGAACGTGGTCTACAGACTGTTGTAGCACGGGCCCCCGTGAGATTGTACTTAACGGCGCCGCCGCCGCCGCCGTTCCATGCATTGCACAATCCCTCACTACAACACAGACTCCATCACGATTCAACCTCCGTATTTAGATGTCTCCGTTCTGCGCATTCATATGCGAGAGATTTCATATACATACGAACGATACATGCTAGTCTTGGTAGCTATTCTGGTTCTGAACATTCACGTTCCCTTCGTGCCCGTCTCCTCCTCAACGCCCTTGTGTGCCCATCACGAGCGTACTTGGGGTCACCAGAGAATGCCATGACTGGCACTGGCCCCGAAGCTCTTCCAGCGGCATCCGCGACACCGCCTGTCTTGGGACCGGCGGGGGTGACTAACTTTTCACTGAAGGTGGTCGAGCTGGAAGAGGCAGTGTGCGCCGATTTGACCGATTCGTCGCTGTCACGTCCCTTGCGCTTGGGGGGTTTGGCAGGAGTCGCCGGTACGTCTGCAGGGCTACCAGTCTCGCTCAGTTCTTCCGCGGAAGTGGTCCTGGCAGTGCCATCGGTAATCTCGAGAATGAGCTTGTCCATGTAGTCGGGTGACACGAGGACAATGTTCATGCCAATCTTCTTGAGAATGGTGACCATCTCCTCGAGGGTCGGAGCGTCGCCGTCAAGCACCTCATCGTCAATAACACCGTCAAAGTCATCATAGTGCGGAACTGAAATTGTCAGCTCTGGCGTAACGAGGTCTCCTTAGCTCCTTCTCCAGAGCGTCACGGCGCATCACATCCCTAGCAAGCGGAAGCTTGTCATCACGGGAGAGAGCAAAGTCGTTCCAGTCGACCGTGGTGACCGCGACGTTCTTTGGTGGAACAGGAGGGCGGGAGGTGACGATGGCTCCCATTTCTGGGCCGTTGAGCAGAGTAAGGCTGTTGGTGAACAACATCTGCCAACCATTGGCATTTGTCTGGCGTGCATCTGCGACAGCAGAGTTACTTTTCAGCCCCTGGTTTCTGAGAGTCGTTGCTGATAAAGCACTCTGGAGCGTCAGCTTCTGATCACCCTACCCTGTATGTATGTACTCACTGATCCATTTCCAGAGGACTTTTGAGTTCTCGGTCCCTTGACTTCAACACTCTTCTTCAATTTTCCAAGTTGCAGGGAAATGACTCGCTTCTCCAGAGCCCTTGCGAGAGTGGTGCGGTGTGCATAGGTCTTGTACTCGGCGGTAAACAACACAGAAAGATGATCGAAAGGACAGTCGGGGACTTGACATTGCAGAAACAGCGTGAAGTCGGGGGCGACGAGCCCAGAGTCCTCATTGTCTGTATCAGTGCGGCGCTGAAATTGTAAGTTAACAATGTCAACACTCATTAGCGGCAACTTACAGTTTTGTCCTTGAGCTCTCGTAGGGCCTTCAAGGTCTGTTGAATGAGGCATGTGTCGAACTGACAGCCACCCTCGACATTCACCTGGCGAAGGCTCAGTCGAGATGTTTGAATTGCTGAGTCATCCTCCTCTGAAGGCTGCCTGAAGATCATTGTAAGATACCAGTCGAGGTCTTGCTCGGTGGTGCAACGTCTCAAGACCCGACTCCTCATGGCGCTAACAAGGAGGTCGAATGGGACCCGGGAAGAATCGAATAGGGCACGCTTCTCACCCAGCAGGTCTCCCCAGGTGCCGGAAGGAACTAGGTGTTTGGAGATTGGCTCCTCAGAAATGGCGACAGATAGGTTGTGGGATGGTTCTGAAAAGAGATTGTCTTTGTGAACAACGGGAATGATGCCTTTGTATGTACAAGTGGGACCGGGCCCGTGCGAGTGTTTGTGTGCTTGTGTGACACCCAAACATTGATGGCAGATGTACCATCACCCCATCAACAGCCCTTCAAAGTGATGCCTGTACCACTTCAGAGTCAATACGCGAATGCATGTCCGTTAGACTCTCTTCCAAACTACCGATATCGTCGGAGACACAGGCCATACAACTAGACACGCATTGAGCCGGAAAATCATGGAAAATCGACGAAAAGAGAATCCAGTTTCATTTCCTTCCCACAAGGCACTTGGCCTCGGGGTACTTTACTGTGTGGTCGAGTTCCGACAGTCCATGACGACCTACTCCATACCCGTTGAAGTCGCGTTTCAGTTTTCTGAGCCGGGAATACATCCCACCTCAGCAAGATACTGTGATGGCTGATACGCTGAAGAATACCAGTGCTGATTCCAGCAGGGTCGTCGCGTAAGTGTGGTGTCATGTAGGAATTACACCCCTGATGATCCATAAAGTACTACATATACAAACTGCTACATGCGTCGCCCAACAACTCATGTCTCACTCCAGGAGAAGCATCACCACAGGCGGCGGCTCATAGGCTTTACGTCCTGCGGCGGGTGGTGGCCTTGCGATCCAAGCGGCGATTAATGCCACCCAGGAGGACCTTGATAATAAGCTCGGCGGTCATTTCACCCTGGTAGGGCACGGTGTCGACCATATCGCGAATACCGTGTCGAGACGACAGCTCGTCATCGAGGTCCTCGAGCGCCTCCCTCGCCTGAGGGTCGTTGCCCACTTGGAACATTTGTACTCCCACTTGAGAGAGGGGCCAGTCACCCTTGTCCAGTCGGCGGGCGTAGGCCACCAGTACGCTCTCGGGGTCGTCGGTGGGTGCACCGTCCGTGATGACGATGAGGTTGAGGGGCTTGATGCTTTCGGGACGACCCTGGGCAGCAGCAGCCTCCAAGCGCAGGACATACTCGCGCAGAACCTTTTCGAGCGTCTTGCCCGTCGGTGTGGCGCCGTACGGTTTCAAACCCGCGAAGAGGCGATCGACGTCCTTGGGTCGGCGCATGTTGTCACCACTGCGTTTCGCATTCAGGAAGTAAATGTCGATGCCGTCGTCGTCATACTTCATTGCTTGGGCGACAACACCCTTGACGGCGGTCTTGGCCTGTTCCCAGCGCGAACCCTGCATGGAGCTCGAGTCGTCAATGATGAAGACTGTGTCGAAATCACGCAGCATCTCAAGTGCGTTCTCGCCACCTTCAAGAAGAGGTGGTGCAGGTGAAGGTGCGCGGTCGGAGGAAGGGGCGGGGGAAGGTGCACGGCCACCAATGTTCAGCGACGCCAGTGCAGGAACAGGGTTGGACGGGGACGTGCTTGGCCCCGCACGTCCACTCTTGTATGGTGGTGGAGGGACATTGAGCGTGACGACGTCGGTACCGCCGCTGGTTGAAGTTGACACGGGCACCTTGAAGAGACGCGACTGGGGGTACGCAAAGTACTGGCGCACGTAGGCGAATGCCGGGCCGGACTGGGAGGGGGCCTTGGTCTCGATGCCATCGAGCTTGCCGGCAATATACCCTGGCGACTTGCCCTTGGCGGCCTTGCCTTCGACATAGCACTTGACAGCAGCAAATTGGTATCTAAAGGGGTCAGCATGGTGCACAGCAAGTGGTGGCGACATACGCTGGGTCCTGGTTTGATTTCAGGAGACTGACGAGCGAGCTCTGATCGGAGAGCTTGGCTGAGATGGTGGGCTGGGTATGAGCTAATGGACGTAACGAGTTATCCCAACTCACGATATTGGGGTACGGGTCCTGGTAAGCGGCAGTCATGGTTGTTGACAGGTGGAGGGAGAAGTGGAAATATCAGGAAAGAGACGGCGCGGTTGTTATGATATCAGCGTTGCTTCGGATCAGGATGTCTGCCACCAGTGGAGGCGGTGCATGTCTTGGCATTGTTACGGCGTTGGCCGGGCCTGTCGCCACGCTCGGCTATATCGACTCCATGGCTGTAGGACGCCGTCTTAACGGCTTGGCATGGCTTCTCCCTGGCGACATGACGTCAATAACTCGGTGACAGCGCCAAACATGGACAAAGCATCGTTGCATGCAAGGGTGGAAGTGTAAGTGGTCATGGATAGATACGGCCGTAGGCGGGGTCTGGATGCGGAGTTGCTCCGAGGACAACGAGTGACTTATCTATATCTCCGTCTCGAGCTCCCACTCGCCGGGATCCAGTCTTGCCCGGTACTGCGCGCGGGTGACAAAGGAGACGTTGGCCATGGCGAGCTGCAGTCGATATCGGTCTCGCCAGAACATTTCTTTAATCCACTGCTGAGGAATCTCCTGTTCCGCGAGAGACGCCGCGTCCTCACCCCCACACACGCCTTCAAGGTTGACCACGGTGTATGTGAGGTCGAGGTTCCAGCCGTGGATGAGGTCCATTAACGTGGAGCGGACGAGGTGCAGCGGAACGTCCTTGTTGTCTGGAAAGATGTAGACCAGCTCCTTGCCAACAGGGTCCATGTGGTCGAACGACTGCACATTGAATGGGAGGGGGGCAAGGCGCATCGGACGGTCTTCATGCTCCCAGAAGTGGAGGTTGAATAGGACTTTGCGCATCCACGCCGGCAGATTGACGTCACCTTTTGGTTTCAATGCGCCGGCAAAGACAACGAGGGTCCCGCCTTCACGCCCGCCCACGAGATGGTAGGCTAAGGCTGAGAAGCTGCGTACGCCACGATAGAACTCGCCGCTGCTGTCGGGCATGATGCGTAGCACTCGAGGACAGATCTTGAAGATGAGTTCTGGTGGGGGGTCGAGGGCGCCCTTGAGGTCGACGACGTGCGCGTGCGTCAGCGCGCGGTCGAAAACTGTGTCGTCCAAAATGTCCGCGTACGAGCCCACGGGTCCCCATGTTGGTGCAGTGGGTGCGATGCGTGTGTTGCACCTTCGACCAGTGATGATTACTGGGTGCCAGTTGGCTCCCCGGGGTGCAGGATGTGTCATGACGAGGTGGCGCCGGAGGAGGTCGTCAACGCGAGTCTTGAATGTTGCTGAAGCCCCGCGCAACGCGATCCATGTTTCCCAGTCGCCAGAAAGGATAATGGAGTCCATTATGTCTGGAAAGCTCTCGTGGTCGAGCGGGGCCATGGTAGAGGTCGCCATCGCCGCGCTGCCGGCCTCGGTGCCGCAAGATTGGATGGTTGGACGGCCAGAATGGGGAATGGATGATGGAGCGATGGGTAGATAACAGATTGCAACGGACGTCAACAATGGGCGATTTTCGAAACATGCCGAAGAAACCGGTGGCAGGGTTGAGGCGGTGAGGCGGTGAGAGCACGTCAAGATGCGATGACGATGGCCCCGTGACACAGAGTGAATGCATGTGTCACTCCGGGTGGGGAGGAAGGCGCATGCCAGTACTGTGCATGCATTTGGCGTACAGACGAACAACTGATAATAGCCTCTGCTGACGCCATCGGCTAGTTTGCCGAGACGTCCTGAGCCAACAATGATCTCTGATCTGTAACAGCCAGGACGTCCCATACATTCCCAGCCATGACACCAACTCTGGAATATGATGACGGATGACGATGATTGCCTTGTGTCCGCTCTCCAGGATCTCTTGTGGGGACTTCCGCTGTGCTTGCAGCGCCGCATGACATGTGCTCGGTAGCTTGCGAGACTTGCTCGTGCCACCGAATGTGATAGCATGAATGCATGAATGCCCCGTGGTGAGACAGTGAGACAGCTGTGATGTACACGGACCAGTTCAACCATGACGTCTTGGAGTTTGATTGCTTCGGTGTGACGAGGCCGCAAAACTCATCAACAAATGCACGACGCACGCTCAACAAACATCCGTAAAGCAACACTGCAATGGGCCCCGGACACCAACACCACCACCTCCAGCCTTGTTGCTGCTCCCTGCCGGCACATACTTGTTGCGCACAATGGTCTCAATCTGGTCCTTGAGCCGCCTGATCGAGAGTGACTTGTCGTCAAAGGCCTGGCGGTACTCGTTGTCCCATTCAAGGGCTGGGCATGTCTCCACTGCGATCCGATGAATGAGACGGCGCGTCTGCGAAGTCGTGGTGCTGAAGGCAAACAGGGTAAAGCGGGGTGCTTGGTCGACGGAGTAGTGCGGGGTGTAGGTGTCCAGCAGTACGCGAATGTCGTGGCGGTTGTTCGTCATGATGCTCTTCATGGTGGGCGATTGGTGAACGTGTGGGGTGCGACGTGGTACTTGAGGGTCGTCTTTGCGGTGTTGTGTCGCACTATGTGACTGGCGCTCCTTCCGTCTCATTCTCTGCCATCACCTTCTATCTGCCACACCCCGCTCCCCTTGACTCGCCCTCCGTTCCCTCGTATACGTATCAGAAACCCTTGGACGGGGACTGTGGATCTCGTGCAACCCATCCCATAGGGGCTCATGGCACCCAAGAGGCCGTGCGTGGCCAGCAAATGATGATGGCCGTCAATGACAAAGGCAAGCACTTGTGGAATGTCAGAGCACCAGGTCAGTGGATCAGTGGAGGGGCGAGCTGATGGGAATGATATCTGTCCCACAAACCCGCACGGACCGCGTAACAGGGCGGTGCAGGCCTGACGATAATGTGCACAGTCCAGCCGCCAGGCCGCCATCTGGATACATGTTGCTCCAGGAAACAGGGCGTGAAGGCGGACGGCAATGTGCTGTTGAGGGAGAAGGAGCGGATGAAGACAAAGACGATCGAGGATCGAGGATTGGGGACTTGGCCAAATGGGGGGACCATCTTATACCGCGCCCAGAGTTTTGAGTATCACTAACGTCCGTTATGTAGCGGATGATGTAACCAATCCGCCCTGCTGGCACGTGTAACAGCTAACGTTGTGAGTCCAGGTCATGCATCGCACCCCTGCACTCTCAACTGCAAACAATCACTTCTCTTCCCGCCACAGCAAGTTCGCGATCTTTAACAGGACAGAACACCCCGATGCCGGAAGATCAACCTTCGTGTTCGACCCCGTGGCGTAATGGTAGCGCGTGAGATTCCAACTGGAATGTGTAGAACGACTTGTTCTTACGTTTCCTCAAGGTTGTCCGTTCGATTCGGGCCGGGGTCGTCTCCTTTTTCCTCATCGACCATTTGGGACACTGGAGAATGGCACAGAAGGGAGGAGCCTCCTGAACGCGTGACAGATGAGCAAACGTCGATTGCGTCGGCGATTGTCATCCACACTCATTCATGACTCATTCGCTTGCATCGCAGAGTCGTTTTCGGGTCTGAGTGACGCCTGAAGTGTCTGTCTGTCGTCAGGCCAAGAGATGGAAAAGAAGGTATGTATGGGTGGGTACACAGGCAGGTGTTGAACGCGGGTTGACGAGAGTGTCGGGACAACCGTCCAGCACGATGACGACATTGGCGGCGCCGAACCCTATATACAGACCGATTCCTCCACATTTGCCTACCTCGTCGCCATTCACACGTTGTATCCCCTCTATCCCCCACTCCACTCTCCCACTCACGATGCGCTTCCTTATCTTTGGCGGCGGCGGCCTGATCGCACGTCACTTTGCGCGCAACGCAAGCAAGCTGGACCACAAGGTCGTGTCTGTCATTCGCAATGACACCCAGTGAGATCTCATGAGCGTCTGTTCTTTGCCGGTTGAACTGACGGGCCAGCTGGGCGGACCTCGAGGAGATGGGCGCTACCCCTACCGTCCTGTCACTCGAGGATGCGTCAATCAAGGACATGGAGGACCTCATCAAGAAGGAGAAGCCTGACGCTGTCATCTTCTCCGCTGGCGCGGGTGGAAAAGGCGGCCCCGAACGTACCCGTGCTGTCGACTATGAAGGATCCGTCAAGGTGTACGAAGCCTGTCAAGGTGCCGGAGTCAAGCGCCTGCTCCTCGTCAGCGCGTTCGACGTGCGCGACCGCTCCAATCCCGTTCCGGAGTGGTACACCAAGGAGGATATCGAGGCGTGTTCTCGTGTCTGGGCCGCCATCGGCCACTGTGAGTCCCTCACAATCCTGATGCGGAAACTGACGACGCAGACATGCAGGCCAAGTACGACTCGGAGAAGGCCCTTCGCGAGACCAAGCTCGACTATACAGTTCTCCGCCCCGGGCACTTGCTGAACGAGCCCGCCGGGGGTTGTCATCTTGGTAAGACTCGCGCGGCCAGCGTGAGCCGCGAGACGGTGGCCAACGTTCTCTTGGCGTCTGCTCTCGACCCCCAGACCATTGGCCTCACGTTCAACGTCATGGACGGCACCGAGTCCGTGGACAAGGAGATTGAGCGTATTGGCAAGGAGAAGGTCGACGTTTGGACGGGTTGAGTTCCCCTCTTGGTGTGCAGCTCAGAAGTACAGGAAACAGTACACACCACATGTGATGTATAGACAGACGTACGTTGGAACACTCTTCTGACGACATTGTTGTGTGCTATTCCTCCCATGCGTCCACCCCGTCCCGGGCACACCGCTGTACCTCGTCAAACACGTCCTTGTCCCCGTCCATTACCCCTAGTGTAAGCCCGATTGTGCCCGCATCTTGCAAGCATGCTAGCAACACCTCGCCGACGAGCGCGCGCGAACACGTTTTCATGTTACCGATGAGCGCCGTCACGTCGAGGGCCCCGTTCCTGTACCCATTCTTGGCGATCTGGACGAGACCAAGTTCGACGCCTCTTGCAGGCGTGTCCACTAACACACCCGGTCGCAGCAGAGTGAAGTCAAGACCGCTCCTATGCAAGGCTTGCTCAGTTTCCATCTTCGCTGCCATGTCTGTATGTAACTCAGGTTAGCGCAGCCTCGGTAGCATCACGTCGACGTAGACACTTACATCCGGGGATGAGCTTCCATATCCCGTCACTCGTCCACCCTGTCACGTCAGTCAACTGACAGCACATGCTTGAGGAAAGTCGATCTCACTGGAGACCTCGTTGTAATGCCTTGGATGGGGCTTGGAGGTGTTGCGAGCGTCAATTGTCGAAATGAGGAGCACGCGCCGTAGCCCTGCTTGCTCAATGGCCTCGAATGTCTTGGTCGCAGTCGCAGCCGGCGGCAACAGCTCGTTCCCGGCGCCACCACTGCCGCCACCAGGCGATACCGCCCAGATGACAGCATCGGGCTTGTTGAACTCGAGGAATGCAGTCACTTCAGGCTGCGCTGCATACTCAGTGTCCAGCACGCGAGGCGAACCGCCCAGAGCACGGATGTCGCTTTGGCTTTGAGTGGTGTGTGAGCATGGGAACGTTCCGGCTAGCGACGACGATGGTGAGTGGTACTCACTACCTCTCGTCCTGAGTCACAACAATGACCTCGTTGAGAGGACTAGCGAGCCTTGTAAACTCTTTGGTCACACCGCCACCGCCTCCAAACACGACGACCTTCATGGAGTAGTGGTGGTGAGTAAGAGTTTTGATGAAATGGAGTCGACCGGCATGATCCATATTCTGGTCTCCCTGTCCCCCTCGTCTGCTATCAACATCGCACCCCCACTGCGTGTGACTACAACGCGGGCGTGGGTTGTCCATAGGGGGAGGACAGGCACGTCGGCGTGGTAGTTCGGTTCCCGCTCGGCATAGGAACCGGCCGTACAGCTAACATGTTCCTTTGCCTTCCATAACCGACAGCTGACCATGTTGAACGTTGCTTGCTGATGCCAGGTGACACATGGGGCCAGTGATGCAGTGGCACGGCGACGCACGTCTGCTCTGGCGATTCAGCTCTGTCGCATTCGTTTACTTCCCTGCATTTCCAGTAGCTGCTGGAGGTTGATTCCCACGTCCTCTGGAGTCTACAGTCGAGTCCGCGCCAGTACGCTGTGGGATCCGCGGTGCACAAGCGTTCCGCGTTGATAGCCGGGCAACAGGGGATCAGCAACGTGTTGTCGAACTGCCCGAGCTGTGAGGTTCGTCGGCGAAGCGTCTGTGCTGTTGCGAGGTGACCTGGATGGAGATATGGATAGCACACAGAGGAGGACCTAATGTTGTCTTCTATCGTTATGCTCCGCAACCGACTAAAGTGCTCAATACTGCTGCCTCCGACGGCCCAGTTTGGAGGGGAGTCTGAGCTAGTCTAAAAGATTGCAAGCACCTGTGTGCAACAAAGGGTATCATACGCTTTGTTTCTCGGCCCCAGTTGTCGCGACCTTGCTGTGATGGCCACAACTTGGCGGAACAAACACTGCCCACAGCAAAGGTCTCGTCGGTGAACCTCCAGGGCGACTGCCGCCCTTGAATCCCCACTTGCAACCCTCTTAATCTGTACAGTTCCGCAAACTCTGAACTAGTTACGTTGTCCTTCCGCTAGGCGGAAGTGCGGGGGAGACTAGGACTACGCGCCAGCCAGGCCTCTCTTACCTAGCATGTTCCGTGGCCAAACAAGGGTCGGCGGGTTATTATGCAGTTGCATCTATATCATCGGCGGATCGCGGCGGACATTTGGGCACCGCGGTCAGTCACATGCAGCGGAAATGGTTGCATGGTTCCTTGGCAGAGTCCAGACCCGTCAGACCCTCGAGGAACCCAGTCGAGGACCAGATAATGCCCGCCCGATGATCCGCTTGATAATCTGTAGCAACCAGAATCTTTCCTGGTCCCAGGTGCCACCTCTGCCCACCTTGCCAAAACACATGTGCTTGTCGCCGAAGACTGTTCAACAGCAACACCGTGTAGTCCCAGAGGCCAGACAGTACACCTGATGTCATAAAGAAGGCCTGACAAAGCCGAATTGAAATGCCCATTTGATGAGATGGGCTCATATCCACTCCAGGTCTCGATTGGTTGGAGTTCGATCACGAAGCTTGCTGTAACCACTCCTGTACTCCTCTTCCACATCCACAGGCTTACCAGAGGGTCGCAGAGACTTCAAAGAGTCCATAGACATGCAGAGAGGAGCAAAAATGACCACTGACAGGATCGAACTGCCGACCTCCGCATGGACTAGTAACCAAGGCTGGGTATTAGTACGATGCTCTAACCAGCTGAGCTAAGCGGCCGATTACGTGAGCAAATTGGCGGTTATGCTGAGAGGAGACGCGACGGACACGCGTCTGAAGCGTCTTTCAGCTTCTAGGCCTCAAGGACCAGCAGGCCACAGCTGCCGAGTCCAAGATCTCCGAGCAAGAGGCTGTCATCATTGAGCTCAAGGGTGAGCTGGTAGAGCGGGACGGGCGCATCAAGGAGCTCGAGAAACAAGCCCAGGACTACCACTTCATCGCCGACTACAACAGGGAGTATGCGGACAACTATGGGCAGCGCCTCGTCAACCTCACATACGAGCTCCAGAATACGCACCGCAGCATTTCCGACGCCGTATCGCTTCATGGTATCTCCCTTTCGGACGTCCAGGCCCCTCCGTCGACAGTCTCGCACTACTCCCCTTCTCCGTCGCAGTCGTTGGCCCCGCTCCCGCAATCTATATCCCAGGTCAAGGCCGAGTCACTTCACCACCCTCCCCCTGGCTTGTTCCTCCCCACCCCAGACAATACGCCATCCCAGCACGCCATGTCCGTTTCTCTCCCTGCAGTCTCGACAACTGCCGCTTCGGCGGCCGTTTCCCCCTCCCCCGCTCGGACCCTCGACCCCGGAGTGGAGGTGAACGGGCTGGGTCTCTCAATGACCCCTGTCCGTGAGCCTCCCCCCGCCATGCAAGACATGGCCAGTGTCAAAGCCGCGCAGCAGGCCCGCATCATTGCTGCCAACATGGCCAAGAATCCGCTGGCGTATACCCCGTCGCGCTCCACCACCCTTGGACCGGCATTTGTCCCCACCCCAGCCAAACGCGCCGTCTTGTCCGCCGTGCCGTACAACCTTTCTCCGCACAGCACGCCACGCGCTGGCAAGCGCTCGTTGTCTCACGGCGGCGGCGTCATGTCCATGTCATCGCCAATGTCGCGCACCGCATCACTGGCCTCGCCCATGCCCATTCGTGAAGTTACGCCTCACTCGTCGCCATGGCAAGGACACATGCCTCTCGACCGGACCCAGCTGTAGTCGTAATCTGGATAGTAGTCGCTGTTGAAACAATGTCTGTCTGTGTCAAAGTATACTGTAGTTGAGAATCTATGCATATACATGTCTGTTCGGCAGCCCAATGATAGCAGGCTTGTGTAGTTCTTTGGGGAAAGAAGGCACCCGGCGCCACAAAATAAGGATAAGGACTGTGTTCGTCACTTCCCGCCGCGTGTAAAGCATGTTCATCCATGATGACGCGGCGGCATTGACAATGGTGCCATGTTGGGTAAATCAGTTCTGCACGGCCACTGGATAGTGCTCCGAGGCGTCGTGCTTGGACACCATGTCTGTGAAGACTGACAGGGTCCACACATCATGAGCATGAGTTTCGCGGTCCGTAACCCGCTGCAATCGGGTCCTCCGGCTTGTGGATCTGTGGGTTTGATGATGGCAAGGAGATTTTGTGACAGTGGCATTGCAGAGTTTGGAACATGTCGAAACGAATGATTAGATCATCGTTTGCTGGTCGTTTCGGTGGATCGGTGGGTAAACCAGGGGCAACTGAGACAATAACCAGCCTCGGGTGTTGAAACTCCGAGCAACCCCTACCCAGATTTGGGTGCCACTTGCCGTACTGGGAGTAAAGTGCATGACACATGGATCTCGGCCAGGCCACTGAGCATGGCGATGCGCGACAGTTCCACACATACACACACGAGGTGAGGGGTACCCTCGTTTGTGTCACATACACGCATCGAAAGATAAAGTACAAGTACCCACCTGGTCACGATGAACCCCTCCAGTCCCATTTCTGCCACACTATCACCACCACACCCAACTGTGTGCATCACCTTGCACCGCCTACACTCGTTTTTAGTATCACACTCACACCCCGCACCCACATCATGTCCATCTTTTGTACCACACTTGAACAGCACCTGTCGTTCAAGCCGTCCATTACTCGCATCACAATGAGCTCCGCCACAACCCTGAGCAATAAACGGAAGCGCACCCCCCCAACTCCCCTCACACCGGCAGCTGAGCCCGGCGCAAAGCGGCTCTTTCGACGTACGTTGGGGCAGCCGTGCATGAGCTGACATGCAACAGGCCTCAATGAAGAGTTTCCCGAGGCAAACACGTTGAGCCGGAGGACGCTGTCGCCTCCATCTGTCAAGAGGGGCGAGTCCGATACCAAGCCTCACGCCGCCACCACAACGCCGACCAAACCCAAACCCTCTCCAGCAGCCAGCCTGCCCACCCCACCACCGACTCTCCCCAAGGCCAAGGCCAAGTCCACGACACCTCCTCGTCGCCCGCAGCCATCCCCGCTCCAACCCAGCCGCAACGCCAATAGCTCGCGACCCAACCCCCCTTGGCTCCGAGTCCGCGGCCCTACTCCGCCCTCGCCGCTCGACGCTTCCCCTTCGCCACCCCTCTTCGTGCCACTGCCCCCGCGATCGCCACACACGCCGACACGTACTCCCCCACGTCCCACGAGCCCCCCGCCTATTGGCGGGCGACCCGGAGATTCCCCCATGCCCCCGGTATCGGAGCGTGGCCGGAGGTTTAGGCAATGATGTGGGGCATGGGGGATTGTCTTGGGTCGGGCGGTTTGAGGGTGAAACGGGGACCTGGACGGGGGTGTTGCAACCTTAAGTCTAAATAAAACGTCAACAAGATGTCGTGTGCATGCATTTGTTCTTGGGAAGAGCCCTCTCGTACCCGAGAGCTAAATGAGAGGACTGGAGGACTGGAGAATGGCGCCGCATTTTTGAGAACAAACTGACCACAACAAGCCATTGTTGCGTTTTCCCAGTGTTGAGATTACGTAACCACTTGCGCCACTGCAGTGTGGCACCGAGCTGACCGGAGAACGAGGGTACTGCACCAATGCTGCTCTTTCTGCTTCTTCATTGTCCTCGTGCTTCTCTGTAGTGCTCGGGCCTCCCTTCTGTGTGCATATAAGCAGCTCTGTAGACGCCTATGCATCCCCATCCTCTTCTGAAAGACAAACTGCCAGCTTAAGACCATCGGTCTCGGGCGCTAAACGGCATCAAATCCCAACAGATTAAGAGTCAAAGGCTTCTACCCACGATACCTTTGAGACCAACGGTCTCAACTGTACCAGAACCTATACTCCTACGTCTACAGGACTTTCACAGACCATACGCATCCGTGCAGGTCTCGTAGTACCCGTACTACGTCGAGGTTCAACTTGAGGTCTCCTTCCCGAAGGAACACACACCTCCACTCTCCCACGGTGGTCCGCCACATTCGTACACTTCTATCTACCTCATATCCATCATGGCTCGCAACGAGTCTTCGTTCCCTTCCTGGTCCGACCTCAAGGACAACGTCCCGGTCCTCACCTCCACCGACAACTTCGAACGATGGGACAAAGCCATACGCACGTACTGCCTCGGCAAGGGCATTCTCGCCCATGTCAAGGGCTTCGTCCTCGACCCGTACCGAGCTCGTGACAACCAGCTTCCGCTCGAGAACCTGCTCGCGTTCGAGACGGACTACATTGCAGGTGTTGAAGCTCCCACGGGGCAAGACATCGACCGTGAGGCTCTCCACGACCTCATGGCCACCGCTCTCGGTGACGATGCGCTTCCGGCTGAAATTGCCGAAGCAATCGACGAAGCTGGAGATGAAGTCGTCCTGAACGAAGACATGTTCACACGCTGGAACCGTTGGGCCCGTCTGGAGCATCTCGCACGCACCGTGCTCCTCCTCACCATTCATGACGACCTCTCTATCGACTATGAGACGCTGCCCACGGCCCGTCACATCTACCTCGCTGTCGAGTCACGTTTCCGTACCGACAATCCTGAGAAGGTTGCTCTCTTGCAGCGAGAGCTCCATGGACTCTATCTCAAGCGCGGATCTACCGCCGATGAGACCGACAAGTTCTACATGGAGTACGTCCGCATCTATGCGGCCCTCGTTCGCCTGAACATCAGGCTCAGCGACAACGACAAAGTCGCCAACCTGCTAACTGCGATTCCGACTGAGTATTCTGTCATGCTCCGCTCGCAGTGGGCTTCCGAGCCTCTCAAGACCTGGTCCAGATTTACGGCTGTATACGCCACCTTTGTCGAGAGCCTCCGGGCCACTGAGGAACGCGAAATGATCGCCAGCAACGGAGCGTCCGCCGCTACCGCTGCCAAGCTCAACCTCGACAAAAAGTCCAACAACACGCAACAGCGTATCCGCCAGCGCGGCAAGGGCAGGACCAACAATTCCCAGACCTCGGGCAACAAGCCCAATCTCGTCTGCGTCAACCAACTTAACGCGACGAGCCACAGGACCGAGGATTGTCGCACCGGACCAAAGGTCGCCGCTTCCGTAGTAGTTGCCGATGGATACTATTCTGCGTCTGTAGTTCCTGTAGACTCCCCTTCCCCATCGCCAACCACGACTACGACCTTCCTTGTGGACAGTGGTGCCACACATCACATTGTAGGCAACCGAAACCTCCTCGTCGACGTCAAGAAGGTCGCCAAACCCATCAAGATCCAGCTTGCAGGGACCAAATACGTCCTTTCCATCTCCGAAGTGGGCCGTATCGCCTTCCTCGACAAGGACCAGCACCCTCACACCGTCAAGAACGTGCTCTACTCAGCAGACACCACAGACAACATGCTCTCGGCCTCTGCGCTCGCCCAGGATGGTTGGAAGGTCACACACGATACCATGACCAAGGGCGATGACGTCATTCCGCTCTCCAACTCCTACCTCGGCGGTCGTCTCGGCGTCGCGCTCGTCCTCGCCGACCATGGGCACTTCGCAGCCTCGGACCGCGCCCCACGCACTCCGCTCCATCACCTGCACCTCCGCTATGGCCACCTAGGCAAGCCAGCGCTCCTCCGCACCGTCCGCAATGGCTTGATCCCTGACGTCACCTTCGACGAAGTCAAGGACGACACCTTCACCATGGCCAACTGCGAGCCCTGCCTCACCCACAAGACTGCCAACCTTCCTCGAAGGGGTCCCTCAGATCGCGGCAACTCAGCCACACGCGAGTACGTGCACGTGGACATCAAATCCATGTCACACCCGACCACGAAACGCCATCTGTATTGGCTAGCGTTTGTGTCCGACTTCATTGGATACCGCCTTGCGATCCCCCTCACCAACAAATCCGACGCCACAGCTCGTATCAAGACTGAAATCGCAGCCCTCGAGCGACAGGCCGACGTCAAGGTCACTGTCATACGCTCAGACCGAGGAGGCGAATTCAAGTCCGGCGAGTTGGCTCAATGGTGTCGTGCGCAGGGCATTAAGCATCAGCTGGCTCCTGTAGACGACCAAGCCCTCAACGGCGTGGCTGAGCGTCACAACCGCACCGTCTCCGAGATGGTCCGTACACTCCTTGAAGACACAAAGCTCTCCCACGACTACTGGGACCACGCCACATGGTACGTCAACCGCCTGCTCAACATGACGACCATGTTCGATGACAAGATCACTGTCTATGAGCGCTACAGTGGACGCAAGCCGCACCTCGAGCGGTTCATTCCATTCGGAGCACGTGTCTTTGTTCGCAGACCAGCGGAGACGAGCATCCCGACGCTATCGCGTCCGCGGTCTGTACCAGCCAGAATCCTTTCCACCTCGTTAGAACTGCCAGGGTGGACCGTCCTTTTCGACAACAAGCGCGTTGCCAACGTGTACGACGTGTTCGAAGTCAAGGATGGCAAGGAAGGCGACAAAATACAGGCCTTCGCCACCATTGAGGACATTGAGACCAACATAGACGCTCGCAAGAGCGACGATGACGTCACCGCCACATCGACTAGCGCCCCTGCTACTCTCAACGGTCTCGACGACTCCGACGACGACGAAGCCCTTCCTGCAGCATCTGCACTCGCGCAAGATGGCGAGACGGCTTACCTTGCCTCTCTTGCAGCCGAAGCCATCGTTCTCGGCGACCCTGTCACAGTCAAGGAAGCCCTAGACGGCCCAGACCGTCAGTCATGGATCGAGGCCATGCAGGCTGAAATCGACAATCTCAATGGCAAAGGGACATGGACTGGCTCTGAGCTGCCCCGCGGCCGAGTACCCATCACTGCCAAGTGGGTATTCAAGCGCAAGACCAAAGCCGATGGCTCTATCGCCAAGTTCAAAGCTCGTCTCGTCGCGCGCGGTTTCTCGCAAGTACCCGGCGTCGACTTTGAGGACACGTTCGCTCCTGTATCCCGTCTCGCCAGTCTCCGCATGCTTCTCGCGCATGCTGCCACTCACGACCTCGAGCTACGACAGATCGACGTCGAGGGAGCCTACCTCAATGGTCCTCTACATGAGGAGATCTACCTTGCACCACCTCCGGGTGTCGAGGTCAAGCACGGCAACACACTCCGTCTCAACAAGGCCTTGTACGGACTCAAGCAGTCCGGACGTGCATGGTGGCTTGAGCTCGACAAGGCGCTACACTCCATCGGGTTCAAACGTTGCGCTAGCGAGTGGGGCCTCCACACCAAGCCCACCAAGCTCGGCCCCATCCTTCTCCTCGCCTATGTCGATGATATCCTCATCGTCAGCCGTACCAAGGCTCAGGCCGACGCAGTTGTGGCATCCCTTGCCAACTCCTGGTCCCTGACCGACCTGGGTGAGCCTAGCCAGATGCTGTCCATCCGTATCGACCGCGACAGAGCCACAAAGACCATTCGCCTCTCATCGACCACCTACATCGAGCAGATCGCAGCCCAGTACAACCTGGCGTCCGTCCGCACAGCCAAGACAGCCCCTCTGCCTGCCTCAGGGGAGCTCAAGGACCTTCTCGCCGACGACGACACGGTTATTAATGCGCACAATCACCGTGTTTACCGCGAGCTTGTAGGCAAGGCACTTTGGCTCGCCATGTCGACTCGCCTCGATCTGTCCTTCTCAGCTTCCGTTCTCTCGCAAGTCCTTCGTTCCCCTGCTCCCAAAGCTCTCGAGCTTGCCCGGCGCACGCTCGCCCACGCGCATCACACTAAAAGCGCATACCTCGAGCTCGGCGGCGCCATCGACAACCGACTCATGGCCTTCGTCGACGCCGACTTCGCCGGCGACCTCGAGACTCGCCGTTCGACCACAGGTTTCTCCGTCCTCCTCTATGGCTCCTCCATATCATGGGCCGCACGCCGCCAGGGGAGCGTAGCCACCTCGACAACCGCCGCAGAGTACGTCGCCATCGCCGAGGTCACCAAAGAGATAATTTGGCTCCGTCAGCTTCTTCTTCAACTTGGTATCGCCGACGACACCATTGTCGAGCCTGTCCGCATCCTCGTCGACAACCAAGCTGCCATAACGATTGCAGAGCGTCCCGTGAACTTCCCCTTGTCCAAACACATCGACATCCGCCACCACTTCATGCGCGAGCAAGTCGACAGAGGGAAGATCACCCTCGAGTACGTCCGCACCAGTGACCAGCACGCCGACTGCCTCACCAAGGCTCTACCTGGTCCCCTCCATGCTCGGCACACTGCCTCCCTAGGTCTCAAGAACCCGACCAACGCTGTCAACATGGTCTCTGAGCCCAAGGACGAGCACCACGACGTGTAAGATGTTTCTCGAGGATAGAGATGAGGGGAGTGTTGAGATTACGTAACCACTTGCGCCACTGCAGTGTGGCACTGAGCTGACCGGAGAACGAGGGTACTGCACCAATGCTGCTCTTTCTGCTTCTTCATTGTCCTCGTGCTTCTCTGTAGTGCTCGGGCCTCCCTTCTGTGTGCATATAAGCAGCTCTGTAGACGCCTATGCATCCCCATCCTCTTCTGAAAGACAAACTGCCAGCTTAAGACCATCGGTCTCGGGCGCTAAACGGCATCAAATCCCAACATCCTAGGCTTCGATCCGCCTGCTGTTCAGCGACACAGTTTGAAACAAAACATAATCGGAGACATAGCTCAGCTGGGAGAGCGAGCGACTGAAGTTCAGTCATCAGACTTCCTTTACGGGAAGACATCGCTAGGTCGGGTGTTCGATCCACCCTGGCTCCATTACCTTTTGCTTTTGCGTGCCAGCCACAAGCACATGCATGCCACTTTTTGGTATCGCTCGCAAGGTATGCATTTCACGGACACTGTAGGGTGGTTCTTGTTGCCGGATAATGCAGTGGACGGCTGGAATACGCAGTTGAAACGACGGTGTGCGTCAGCCGGATGTGCCTCTTCTGCTCAACGACCGTTAGCCGGCCTACAGTCGCCCGGTCACATCAGACTTGTTTGTCGTCTGTCGTGCAAGCGCATGGGCTGTGTGTGTGGGCAGCCCATGCGTGTGATTTTTAGTGCACATTGACACGGCAAAGCGACCTTTCGTGCCGATCCCGGACTGTGGCACCGAGTCTCATGCCCGTCTACATGTCGCTGTCCGCTGTCACGGGAGGCCCCTGACCGAGTGTAAGCACCTTTGAAAGAAGCACCTCTGCCGACAAGACACGTAAGGCACAGCCTGGCCCGAGTCGTCACCCCTGGTCCCCTGAAAACCTACGACGGCCGGAGAATACACAGTTCCATGGCAACAGCAACCCCATCTACCTTCTCCGGCCTCTCACACGTGAACCACAGCTCAGATCGTCTCCAAACTTGGTGTGGAGATCGCCTGCATGTCCAAAGTCGAGCGAGGTGCTTGAAAAGCACGAAGTAATGGCCTGTATAGCTCAGTTGGTAGAGCGTGCCCTTCGTACTCGGAGTCTCTCCGTTGTCAAGTGAGGGTAAGGTCGGCAGTTCGATCCTGTCTGGAGGCACTGGGACAAGCATAGCTTGCCTTTTTGGGGTCTAGGGGTGTGCTGGGAGGTTGTTGACGGTGTGGAACACGAATGAAGTGGATGGCGACGAGCGCCGATCATTTGGCGGGTCGTGGTTATAGTGCCACTTGTGGTTTGTGGGCGACCCATTATTTTTTTCCGCACAGACACTGGGCAAGTCGCTTTTCCGAGTCATTTTACCGAGACAAAGGTACAACGGGGCATGGCATACACTTTTTACCTAGTGCAGGAGAACAGTCTTGGACAGTACGGTGCGGCGCGCGCACCACAGGTTGAACACGAGTGTCACCAGACTCCGCCTCGGCGTCCACTCCTCCCACGCCTGGAACACTCTGATCCCCCACTTCAGTATGCGCACCGCCGCCTCGACGGCCGCAGCGCGATCCACGGCGCGCCGGCGGGCGGCCAGGAAGAACGGCGTGTCAATGTCAAACTCACAAAGCCGTCGCAAGGCGCGGAAATGACCTTCGGCGCGCTTCAGGTCGCGTGTCAATGCGAATTCGATCCGCAGCCGGATCTCGGGGTCGTTGAGCTGCTGCTCGAGATCGTGCAGCTCCGTCGGGTCCACAGAATCGAAACGGTCCTTCCATGGCTGACACAAGCACTTGTCCCGCGGGCAAGTTGCCGAGTTGCAGGCCGGCCAATGGGGTGAGATGATCGCCGCTGGGGCACCGGTACAGTCGAGACTGGGTGTTAGTCTGCACAATAGCTGGTACTCACATGTAGTGGAGGACTCTGTCACTGCTGGTACAGGAATGTGATTGATGGAAGACCATGACTGGTGACTTGACTGAACTGGAGGGGGCAGTGCGAACGAGGGAGAAAGGATCCTCGGTGGGTCCTTTTGACTGATGGGCGTTCAGATGGGGGATACATGGGGAACCAGAGAAGAAGCTGCCTTTAAGCTAGTACCATCGCTGACGCCCGGGGAGCGCGATACCTAGCCGACGCGGTGATGGACCACAGTTTTCGGGGTGTCTGTGGAGTACCGACCACGAGGACCGCCATGGTTGAGTGGCTTGCGCGGTGACAGACCGTCCATCGCTTCCTGTGCCTCAGTTGTCAATTAGAGAAGTGAAGTGGTTGGGTCATGGACAAAAGATGATAACACCCTGTGAAACTGTACAGAGACAGTGTGTGGGTGGGGGGGGGAGTGGCAACCTCGAATGCGTTATAGCCCCCAACTTTAGAGTCCAGCGACTGAACGGAGAAGTGCTCGCACAGTCACAGTATGTCAGAGAGGACGTATGTAGAGTCACAGCAATCCAGTGACAGTCTCACTTCATAAACATGCGCGGGGTCACAACGCCACCGACGAGCACCAGGCTTAGAGAACGCCCAGGTACAGTGACCATGGCTGCAGGCCGCGCCACACGCAGCCGTAACTGATGGCCGTGCACGATTAACATGCTTCTCCATGCCGAACAATAGCATATTCCAGTCTCTGGGATAACGTACAACCGCCGGGATGAGGGAGACTTGAAGAGAGGCGCAGGAGACGGCGTGATGCATCGGGTGAAAGCTACGCATCGGCTCTGGCGGACGCCGAGAGTCGGTTCCGTGTGTCCGGCGCCACGTTGTGCATACCTCTGCCCGATGGATACCCAACCGACTGTCATCGCTCGTATGGGTCGCCCGCGCCGCCAGATAAGTGTGACGGGGCGCTGGCACCAATTCTGATCTTTGAATACTGACAGTAGCCCCAAATGCCGCTCTGCCGAACCATCTCCCGTTTGCATGCTGCAGCTTCCCAACTAAAACGCACCGTGCTGTCCAACTGTACCGTGTCCTCAGAATACACGCCCATGATCCAGCTCGCAGCTCGCAGCTCGCAAGCAATGGCACTCGGCGAAAAGTGCCCATCCAGCTCGTATAGTGTAGGTGGTTATCATTGGTCGTTGTGGTTCGCAGCAATCTCATCATCTGACCCGACCGCTGTTCGACTCAGCGTGCGAGCACACCCCCTTCCTTTTGCCATTCCAGAGGGCTGCTCAAAGCCTTCTGCCCTTTTGCATACGTCTCTTGATTTGTTGGAGTCGCTCGATCAGTGGGTCGCGTTTGGCGGCATCGGAATGCGGATCTGCATCCGACCGGGAAATTGCTTTTTCAGGGCTCGCCAGTTCGGGAGTTTAATTTTTCCGGACTGGCAGCTCGGCCGTCGACCTTGGTGTCACCGACAGACGTTGAATCGCCGTGAACTCTCGCTATGAAGACCTCAGGGGGTCCGTAACTACCTGGATGGCTGTAGTTAATAGTGTCGTACAGGATAGAGTAGCTCCCAAAGCTCTAACTTGACTCCATCCCAAAAGCAAAGCGAATGCCTGAGCCACTTCTCGTGGGTCTACGTGTCTTCTATGCACTCGTCGTTGACATGTTCTGAGGCTTCTGCGGGCCCTAGAGAGTCCAAAAAGGTCACGACGGGGATCGAACCCGCGATCTCTTGATACACGAAGATGAATCGTAGTCAAACGCCGTACCATTTGGCCACGCGACCTGGATGTTTAACAGGTCTCGCTTGAGACCAGGAGCTGTGGCGGATGATGACCAGAGTTTGCCGGAGCCTGGGGCTTGCTTCTGTTAGTGCATACTGCATATTCTCGCCATTGGGTCATCCCAGGGTACAACTTGGAATCGCATATTCGCCAGTGTATAGGACTCAACCCCTTCACGGTCCACTGGCAATCGGGAAGATGGGACTGCCAGTCAGCTCGGAGTCTCTGCCGTTCTTCACGCACGTCGCCTTGACATGGGCCTTTGGGACAGTTCCGGCCTTGGTCGCCTTAGCCATCTTGAACAGCGGTGTTGGATCTGGTGCTGGATGCGGGACTAGGACGAAGTCATCGTCCGGTACGTCGATCAGGACAAAGTCGTCGGCGTCGTTGTACTGGTGGATACTGTTGGGCGGATAACTGTAGGCGGCCGAATCTTGGTCGTCTGCAGTGTCACCTGCCACCTCCAGGCTGTCTGGCCCGAGTGTTGGCACGCCTTTTGAGAGCATCTTGGTTTTGGGCCTTGGACGCTCGCCCTGTTCGGAGGGGACGATATACCACCGCCCACCGCACTGGGTGACCTTGCCAGCGGGAACTGGGTCCGCAGTTGCCATGTTGAGGTGTACTTGATATAGAGGGGCTGGCTATGAGGTGCGATAATGAGGGTGGCGATGCTGGCAGTGTGTGAGCTTGACACGGACCATTGGGCGACGTACCCTAGCGAGATGGATGACAGACACCCGCGGGAAACGCAAGAAGGCCTGAGGGTGGGTCACTATATGAGTTCCCATCAGAACGTACATGACGACTGTGGGCGCATCTGTGGATTGTCGCTCGGCAAGGAATGCTTCGTCACTTCCCCTGCGTTTGTCCATTTTTGGATGAGATGTATAGTGCGTCCTGGGGGGGAGACGCCCAGGTAGCAGAGTTAAATGAAGGGGCAGGATGTCATGTCTGGCGCCCAGTGCTCCCCATGAACACGCCCAGGGCATGACGTGCGGTCGCGATACCCCTACAACCAGCAGGTACTTGCGGGAAATGACAGATGGATTTCGGGATTTCCATCCCTAATGTCTCATATGAGTGTTTGTCGGTGGACGCTCCACTCTGTGTCGATAACGCACTGGGGTGTCCGGGGCAACGGAATGATCGACAGGAGAGACGCAGAGTCGAGGCGAGGACCCCGCGGTGGTACATGAGTTTCCCACACACACACACACAGTGAGCGCTCGGAGGTTTCGAAAATGTGGCAGTGACGGGGGTTTCACGCCACAAACCAACTGTCGTGACATCAATCAGCAACAACATGCATTGCAACCATTCAAAGTGGCGCACAAGGACATGCACGGGTGCTAATGCATGTTGTGGCAATTTCTGGGCATTCTCCTGCTGCGTCCAGCCAACCAAAGATGGATCCTACGGCCAGATGCCTTCCTTTCGAGCTCCAACGCTTCCAGGACGTTCCTTCGTCTGCGGGGGGTCACCAACCACGTCTGGGACCTCCAGAACCATCTCCAGGTCGCTCCAGAGGCCAAAAGATACACCGTAAGGGAGTCGAACCCCTGCCGCGTCGAGTGTTGCACATGGCAACGACGCATGATACCGTTTCACCAACGGTGTAAGAAATGTTGATATTCTGGACGTTTCCCGCGCGAATAAGAGGCGTTGTGGACCTCTCAGGCCCTTGAGCGCATGCTCCCTTAACGCAGCGCACGGCAGAGTATTGGAACAGCCTGGAATTCTCGCTTGACGAAGAAAATTCAACTCGGAGGCAAGCGAAGAGTGGTTGCATCCACATTGGATGCCATTGTCCGGTTTCACTGAGACAGCCCCCGTAAAACAGTCTGCAACTCTTCGCGGGACACAACTGGCTGTCTTAAAACAGTCTGTAACACCTAGAGACAATCCTGAGTGCCCAGAAGTGGACAGGAACAGAAAAAGTATATCCTCAGCCGGGCTTGAACCGGCGGCCTCTCCCGGACACTCATGTGAAGGGAACGCGCTAGCCAACTGCGCCATGAAGATGTTGATGTTTGAGAGATCGGCATGGGGGGTAGGTCTAACAGCGATTCGAAAATCCACTGACCATCGTTTCCCATAAACACATAAGGTGCAGCCACCGCTTCCTTTTTACAGGGAAGAACCGTTCGACTTCTGATATAGGGGAAGGTGTCTGCCACTGTCGGCCATGGACCGCGGTTTCCTCGGATTCGTCCCTCAATCTCTACACGATCAGTAGCCCCATATCAACTCCTCCTTCTCCCACCCCCCACAGCGTCCAAAAAGCAAGCGTCCTCAAGGAACTGAGGACTCTCCGACAATGACATGATTCGAACATGTGCTCCCGAAGGAAATTGATTTCGAGTCAATCGCGTTAACCACTCCGCCACATTGCCGCCCTGTGCTTTGTTCTCCTGCATGAGGAGATGCGGAAAACGCTTTTACTTGCATGCATTGGACATGTGGAAACAGAACTGTGGACGTTTGAAAAGAGGGGTGCAACTGGGAGCGAGTTGGGAAAGCTCCGTTTGGCGTTTGGCGGGTGGCGGATCTGCGGGCCGATCCGCGTGCCCAAATTTCGTCGGACCGAAATTGGACCAGCTTGGCAGTCCGAGTCCTGAATGACGGCGACCCTTCCCCCTCAATGTTATCAATTGCCGTACGCGCTCTCTGCTTGATCCAACGGCCCTGGGACTCATTGCACGCCCGACACCTCTCACCCGGACACATCCTCTTCAGCGGGAGCAGGTGCCGCCGGAGGTGGCACCGCTGATCATCCCTTTTCCATCGATTTCTCACCAACCACTGCCTCAATCCACCTCATCTTTTCACGAGGGTCATCCTCGCAAGGCGGAGAACAATGGCATGTCTGACCCCGTGGCGTAATGGTAGCGCGTGAGATTCCAACTGGAATGTGTCGAGCACCTCTGTGTGTTCGGATGTTTCCTCAAGGTTGTCCGTTCGATTCGGGCCGGGGTCGTTTTTGGCTCCCAGATGCATGTGGACGTGTCCAGAGGGGTACGATGGAGCTTGCGGGATGTAAAGATGTTTAAGAACAGGCGAGTTGGTCGAGTGGCATCGGAAACAGGGGTGACGGACGGCGGGGACGGGTGGCGCCACTTTCGGACCATTGTCTGCGTGACGAAGCTGCCTCGTACCTCTATTTTTCCATCGTCAACCTCCTCGACGAGAGTCACCTTTGTCCCCCCCCCGCGCGCCCTCTTCGGCGCTCGCAGCTCCTGGAACTCGACTTTGACGCGTGTGAAAAAGGAGATTCTTCTTCGTCTGGGGTTCTGTCACTACTGCAGGACACCAAAAAAAAAAAAAAAAAAAAAACACATTCTCCGCCAGGGAGTTGAACCCTGCTCTACCGCGATATTCCAATTAGGAAACTCCCTATTGAGAGGCGGTTATACTAACCAATATACTAGCGAAGATGTTATGTTTGTCCTTCTGTGGGTCCGAGCCTCGCGGTCCTAGGTCCCGTGGCCACACTTTTATCTGAAGATAAACTGCGTTGATGTCCGTTTTATGTTGAGATATAAACCACACATGGTGAATCAGTAAGCAAAGATATTATGGGCGAGTTGGGAGGTGGTGGCCACAGCCGTCCCTCTATTGTCGTTGACACATTGGTGATCTCCACCCTTCAGGTGTCCTGCAATCGTGTCCGTCCCGGGACATTGGTTGAGGTTCTATTGCGCTGGTTGATGAACGACAGCAGCGAAAGCGAACAACAAGTCGGTGATTGATCCGACGCTCTGTTGCTTCTTCCCTGTACTGCGGCCGCCTCTTCTGGGCCAAAGCTCTGAATTCATCCTCCGTCTTACTGTGAGTGTCTTTGTTTCCGGAACGACATGTTATAGGTCAAGGCTGGTAGCGTCAATTGACATGCAAACGCGGGGGCTGAGTCGTCCACAGAGGGGGACGGCTTGGGGGCGGTTATGATCTGTTGCTACCGGCTGTCAGCTGTCCAAGCTACTTTCCGTAGGATGCCGATGTTTGGTCATATTATGTTTCGTGATGACTCGCCCGCTTCCCCAACGTCACTGCTGGCTGTTCTACAAAGTAGCGGTACCTCATCACCTCTTTGGTCGCCTTCTCTCGGCCACCTCTGCTTGCTTTCATTACTGGGATATCCTTTCCAACCAAAATTTGGTCGTCAATGAGTATCCCAGAACGATTGGTCGGCAGGAACTTAAATGGCCAGTGGGGTAGTTCCAACCTGGGTCTGCGTGACAAGCGCCTTGGCCTAGAGTGGGTACGCGACAATATTGCCAGCTTCGGCGGCAACCCCTCGCAAGTGACAGTCTTTTCCGAGTCGGCTAGGGCAATCTCCATTGCAATCCACATGCTCAACGAGACCCAAGACCTGTTTCGCGGGGCGATCATGGAGTCGGGCGCCCAATCGACCCTCCCCTGTGGCAAGAGTGCAGACCCAGCGGCCAAAGAAAAAAAACTACGACGCCCTAGTGGAATTCGCAGGGTGCAATAGCTGGGCCCAGCTCAGTTCATTTCACTGTCTCAAGAACCTCTCCGGCGCGTCCCTTCTCGACGCTCAGTTGCAATTGATCAACTCTCAACCATCGTACTGAATTGGCTACCCCTATGGACCAGGTATTGATGGCGACATCATCCCCGCGTCGCCCTACCACATGCTGGACAATGTCACGTTTGCCCGTATGCCAATCGTCACTGGTTGTAACGAGGACGAGGGCACGGAGTTATATCCTGCCTCCCTGAGCGACAACATGACTGTCCAGCCACTTTCATGCAGTCTTGACATGATGTACCCAGCACCCATCCCAGACGGCTTTTTGAAAGCCTTTGGAAACAATTATCCCGGCGACGCCGGGCTCGGGACTGAGCAGATGTGTATTACCGTGCCGCTCAGACAACCAGACTATTCAACTCGGGTGATGACCTGTTTGGAGGCGTGGTTTCTGCGGCGTAGCTAACAAGACGCAATCCCTTTGTGAGAGGCTCACCTAGACAGGTGGAAAAAAGGGTTCCGCAATCTTCACTGATCTGGCCTTCCAGTCACGTCGCCGCTGGTTCCTCCGCCCAGCCAACTTGCACGGGTTCAACCAGAGGTGGTCGTATGAATTCAATGCCACAAATCAGAAGCAGCTTCCTGACATGGGTAGTGAGTCGGACATCGCGTTCACTTGAGTGTTCCGCTGACACCGCCAAGGCAGTCACGAGGCCTAGACGCCGTACGCCATGGGTCGAGCCAGTGCCACCAACAGCTACACCTCGGAGCAGATCTCGTTTGGCCATGGCTGAACTTTGCATATTACGTGGACCCCAATGGCCAATGGCCTCAGCGTTGCGAAAAAGAACAACACCGTATGAGAGCCGCACCGCTGCCCTGCAAACAAGAATTCTTTGCAACTGCAAGTCCAAAAATCTTTAACCAGCCCCAGAACGCCTACTATTGTAAGAAGAGGTAGACAGCAGGGAGAAGCCGTAGGGTGTCGTAGGAAAGCAAACAGTGGCACTTAGACATCCATCCGCTTTTCTTGACTAAGAGGTGCCTAGGACGGTGAAGCGGCATGTGCCTGGAGCAGATCGGGCTGAGATAATGTGTGCAGCTGTCAATCCGGCGAACGGTACATAGAGTCCTCGCCGTCTACTTTCATCCAAGACGTCTGTGAGGGTAATCGGGCACCGTCAGTAGTGGAATCAGTGTGCGGAAGATCGCAATTCAACTCCAATATCGGCCAATTTCCCCGGCGATCAATCCGCCCTCAACACCACGTCCGATTCAGTGCCACAGGCCGTCTCCATCGTCTCCAATGGTAAAAACATAGTTCCTGCGGCTGCCCATGCATGCACAGAGGCCAAAAGAAGAGATGTGGACGAGTTAGGAATCGAACCAAAGACCTTGTCAAGTAGGGTAGAAGATGCTAATGACACGCTCTACCAACTGAGCTACACGCCCGATGATGTTGTTGTTCAATGAGAGGAGAAGATGTTCGGCCATAGTTCTGCTCTGCAGCCAAGCTGTGCAGTCACCACGACACCCTGCTGGATAGCAGAGAGTCAATACTGCCTGGTACTCACGCGCGAAGAGGCGAAGAAGGAAGAACGCGCTTCACCCGAAACGATTACGAGTGCCGGCCCTGCACCTCGTCCGGGTGCGATTTAGGATGGATGTTCCGAGCAACCTGCTCCTGAATCATCTCAACCAGGCCGCAAAAGACATGCTCCACGACGCCTCATGCACCCTTACTTCCCCAAGACAGGTCTGGGGGACTACCAGCAGCCAAAAATGACGTTTGACGGGGTCGAACCGCCGACCTTGTGCGCAACGCTTGACTGGATGACCAGTCCTAGTGTTAAGCACACGCTCTAACCAACTGAGCTAAATCGCCTATGATGCCTTCCAACAACGGCACCCGAACGTCCGCATTTCATCTGCAAACTGTCGTCTGGTCCTCGTCTACGCGTATGGCAACGGGCAACGCCTTTGTCTCTGTGGGTGGCCGGACATGACTATTGTCTACGCTATCCAACCACGGGATGGTTCTACCAGCTGATTGCAACTGTTGACGTCCAGGCCAGCCTCCCCTGTGACTTGTGGAAGACAGCTGCTGGTGCTGCTGTTGTGAATCGTGGCTGTTGTGAATCGTGGCTGCCGACTCTTTCGCAGTACGCATTGTCAGCATCTGACTGAGATTCGTCATAAATATACAACAGTCTCTCTCAAGGGCTAACCATAAGTCACGTATTATCAGCAGCAGGTGAAGCTCAGCTCCGTCCAGGTGCGGAGATCCCGCGTCAGATCTCCACAACCATCCATCACCAACACGTGCGGACCATGTCTCTCCATCGACATCAACAACGCTTCAGAGAAACCACCTATGTTTTTCGACCGAAACAGTCCACCAATCAAGCAGGCTACTTTCGAGACAAGAGCGTTGTCTGTCGGAACAGATGCGTCGTGTTGGGCTTTGTTGGGGTGCTGATGATGTCACTAGACTGTGGGGTGAGCCCGATGGTGCGCGCCGAGCGCGCGCCGCGCGTTCTGGCGTTGCACAGTTACCATCTGCGTGCTTTGTCCGGCCGGATTCGCGTTCCTTCATGGTACCCCCGGTCTCCCCTCATGTGCGTCCTGGCCAATTGGCGTACACGTGAAGGTCATCACGGGCTGCTGTTTCAGCCAAGATATCCGATGGCCGTTCGCTAGCTTCGCTACATTGCGTTGATGACAAGTCTTGTGTCGGCCGTCGTTCATGTTATCCAATTGCCGCCGTGCTATTTCACAGCGTCGTCGTTGACCGGGCCCGACGAGGCACTGCGGATGCGCACTCGACTGGGCGCGACGGCGCGAACCGCGTCTACGGGCGGCACCACATCTCTCTCCAATACGGGGGGCACCATTTTGGGTGTTCAGTTCAGGCTCGATCGGCAGTGGCAGGTCCATAATAGAATAGACTCCCGTCTTGGATCTCTGTCGGCCGGCGTCGCTGGCCAATAACCTCCGAGGTATTACTACGCGTTTAACGCGGTGCATCGCTTCTCGCAACCACGCGTAAGAGTGGTACTGTATGTAGATGATGTCGCTCTGCGGTGCGGCCGAAAGCTGAGCGTCTTTGACATGCCAAGCTGCACCAGCCGCTCCGAGCGCGTTGTCGGCCGCACAAGTAGGCGCTACACGCGTTTGGCCAAGCACAAGGAACACTGTATTCGCACTGCCTTCATTGCTCCCTGCGTAGAAACGCAATGGTGGGCTCGGTCGACATGACCCTGCCCGGTGGCCAGTGGTGGGTCGAAACCAGCCTCCTACGCTCCAGATGATCAAACTCAGGGCTTGATAATCATATAATCACATTATGCCCACTTTCCGCAGTCATTTTCGCTATAATCGCTACAACACCCTTCGGCCGGCCAGCAATGCCCAAAAAAAAACAGCAAGACCGAGACGCCCAAGGGTTTCATCGTCGCGCGCAAGGCGGCGGACACGATCTGAGCTCAGGACGGCCAGGACAGATTAATCAAAATCGGCAAGTTGTTTCAATATATCTTCGGCCGGAGAGGGTGGGTCAACGGTCCAATCAAGCTGGATCTATTTCACGCCATGCCGTGGCGTGGCGATGGCATGGGTGTCGGTTGCGGCCGGGGTCGTCCAGTTCAATGCTAAAATGAGGCTGCAGATGTCGGCCCCTGGGGTGCACCAATGACGCTGCGTTGGGAGATGCTGACGCGGCTCGTTGCCGCCGGCACGTTTGGTCAATCCTTTTGTTTGCTGGTTGCGAGCCCTGCCGCATCCGCAGTTCTTCCTGGGGGAGTATTGGTGGTTTACGACGGCCGCCTAAACAGCCCGTTCAGCGCCGTTTGGTCCCACCCGTCCTTCTATTCCAAGCACTATGTAGGACCCAGCACCACTGGTGTATGCACCTGCTTTCGCACGACAGCCCACTATAGAGTCATATACACTCCGTATGTGTTTGCATAGATCCGCCCTTATCATGCCGATCAGGGCTATCACCAGGGCCAGTCCAGAAAAGGTTCAGCATATTCTCTCCGTTCTCTCCGGTCTCGGGCAGGATCGTCCACGCATGTCTCGCCGATTTCCGGTCAGGAAATACGCAGGGCAATGGTGCCGAGCGACACGTCATCCTCGCATGTTTGTAGGGCGAACAGGAGACGTTGCATTGGGCCGGCCGAAAAAGCAGACCCCGGGGACGAATCGAGAAGGCCTTAATTGTCAGGTCGGGCTGCATCGTCCGAAAGGTCATCGACGGCGGCCACGTCTGTGCAGTGTTCAGAACTGTACAGGGGAGAGAACGGCGGGCCTCGCCGACATGCATAGGAGCATTCCAACCCGAAGCTGCTGTCCAATTACGTTCTCGCTATTTGCACCGGCCGAAGATGTACACCCTGTAGGCGAATGGGTGTTGGTGTAATTGTCAGCCGGGTTGGGCGACCCGAAAACCCAAGACGTCGCGTCGCGTCTCGGCGCGCCACGTCGTCGCGCTAGGACACCAACGCGTCCCATCTCCCATCTTGCCGGCCATGCCGAGGTTACCGAACTGGACAGTCGAGCCCGACTGTGGTGTCTGCGAATACCAGTGCCTGCATTGCAGCGGCCGAAAGGCATAGGCAGGTGGGCACGAATAACCTTCGCGACAGCGGTCAGCCAGCCGGGTTGGGCTGCCCGAAAGATGAAAGATACGGCGTTGCCGCGGCGCACACTGCGCTTACACTTGCGGATGTGGCTCGAGCACGACCACCTCGCCTGGCAATGGCCACTGCCAAGGACAGCTTGTGCAGTGCCACCGCCCGAACGCAGGAGAGGCACAGGATGCTTTGCGCCTGCGACTGACTGTCATTGCTGACCGGGTGGGACCTCCCGAACCAGTGTCCCGAACACGAGCGTGGCGGGACGTGTCGCGCACGTAGAGGACACACCACATACGCTGTGGCTGCCGCTCTATGCGCGGCGGGACGAGACTCATGCACAATCGACATTGTCCAGCTGCGCTCTGCGGCCGACGAGAAGCCTCCGATTCGGGGAGGTGGCGGACCACACGTCCTTGGCCTCTATCCAACGTTCCATCTTCTTCCCGCGGCCGATATCCAGGCCATGCATGGAGCACTACAGGAACTGTTGCCGCGTTCTCCTTGCCGAACGGACTCGCTCGCAAGCCGGCGACTTGAGGCGAATCACGGAAAGGCAACTGCCTATCGAGAACAATAAAAGCTGTATACGGCCGTTTAGAACTGGTGGCTGTTAAACGTATACGGCCGTTCAGTACAGGTAATTGTACAATTGTCACGGCCGCCATGGGTACTACAATGAGTTCGGGGTATCCGCGGCGGCGCCACGGCCGTTGCGTCGTCCCCGACGGCAGACAGTCGCGCGTAAAGGGGCCTTCGGGTTTTGGGCGGGGAGGGGGAGAATCCGATCCTGAGCTCGCCAACGTCGCCGTCCGCTCCTCCGCCTGCGTTGCAGTGCAGTGCGGTGCGGTGCATGCTCGGGGTTCCTTCCTTTTCTAAAGGTTGCAGGGCGCAACGCGTCGGGACGGGCGCCGAAAAGTAACCAACATCTCCTCGCTATAGCATAGTGGTATTGCGCCGGACTGTAATGTTCTACCTCCCTTCCGATAGGAAGAGTAATCCGTAGGTCCCCTGTTCGAATCAGGGTAGCGAGAGTATCTCTTTTGCCATCCTCCTGCGCGTTCCAGAGACGTGCATGGAGGGTTGCTCTTTGCAGCTGAGCAAGTTTGACCGGAGGGAGCGGAGGATTTGTACCGTTTGTGGCGGGATCAGCGGTCCTTTTCGCTGAATTTGAGTATTGGCACGGGAGCAAAAATTGTGCCACTCGGTGAAATTATTTTCGTTCTCCACTTGCGCGAGAGGAGGAAGGTGCATGCGGGACCGTATCCACCGTGCCAGGGGACTTCTGGTGGATATCCTTGTGCTGGGCCTACATTGGTAGTATCTTGCGCTCACGCACACCCAGCAACAGCTCTCAGGAAGGCCTCCAAGGCGACTTAGGGCCATCGAAAGCTTCTGCTGCTTCAAAGAAAGTGGACATCAACGGGCGTGTAGCTCAGTTGGTAGAGCGTGTCATTAGCACTAGCATCTATCTACTTGACAAGGTCTTTGGTTCGATTCCTAACTCGTCCACATCTACTTTTTTTAGGCCCTGGAACAGGTGGGATGCATCCGGGAAGCGACTGGCAGAGAAGACCGTTGGAAGCAAGGCGGGACGTTTGTGATGGTCATGTCGGCAGATTGTCGGCGGCGGCGTGTTTTGGCCTAGTGGCCTTGTGATCTAGAAACAGGCACGATCTCGGCAACTCCACTTTGTGGTCTCTTTTGGGCATATCTAATCGTCCGCGACAGCTAGCGCGTCGGGCTGCACGCCGCAACCTGCGTCACAGGGGCTGAACTGCAGTGCTTCTGAACTACTAAACTGGTGTACGGTGCAATGATACTGCGAGGACCGGGAACTGTGCAGCACAGTCACTCCGAAACCCCGGGCCGGAGCGATCTGCGCGTCGCAGCATCTGATCAACTGTGCAACTCCTCGTCTCGGCCAGAAGCAAGCTCCATCCCGGACCAAAGCGGTCACGGGATCACGGGGCGAGCACAGATCGTTCCGTAACGGCCAGCTGGAAGTATCATCGGCGCGAAGGCGTCCGCGGCTGCAGTGGAGCGCGACGAGCAAGCAGTGTGTGGAGCGAGCTAGTGAGGTCTCGGTCCATTCATTCATTATCACACACACCGCTAATTGCCGAAGGTATCTCCTAAGCGGCCATTGACCTGTACTTTTGCTCCGCGACAACAGACCGACGGACCGCTCCTTCGCTCCTGAACTGGTCAAGTCCGGGATGAAGGAGGTTTAGCGGGACATCTCTCCGTCGATGGTTCAGCGATATTGTGCCGTCCCGAAACCCCACCCATACGAGGCTGCGGCTGCAAGCGGTGAGGTGCGGTCTAGTTCGTCTCTCCTGCCTGCAGTGTCCACCGACATTGAACCGCGCCGGGACGATCCTCAGGTCGTGGCTCCAGCATACACCCGGCCTCGGGACCATGGAATAGAGGCCCGCGCCTCAACTGGAGAACCCACCGGATTCGGCTGGCTAGCTAGCGGGTGGTGAGTGGGTGGCATCGGCTCGTCGGCCTGGTCCCTTGTCCCGCTTTTCCGACGCGGTGACAAGCTTGTGGCCTGTGGCGAGGTGCGTCGACTTCGGCAACCTCGTCATCATTTGCGTGGCCGGCATCCCAAGTGAATTCCGTGCGGGGATCGCGGTGTTTAGGAGCCTTCAGCCTTGCAGCCTTGCTGCGCTTGCACGTGGCCTCCCATGGGGAAGATAGCGATATGGATATGGGCCGGGGAATGACGTCGGCCGAGACACGGTGCGTCGTGCTGGGTAGGAGAAAGCTTAGCGCCGGAGTGGTCTTGGACAGCCGGCACGAGTACCGCACACCTACGGTGTCCATCATCCCTCGTTGCCTCTTATCTTACCACCTGGGAGCTGTATTCAAGGTTACTGTGAGTACTCCCGTGAGAACACCCAGTCCTGGGACACTGGTAAGTAGCTGTCAGTGCGAACAAGGCCAGTGGCCCCAGGAGCTAGCTCACTTGCTCACCCACTACCGGGCCACGTTGCGCCTCATACTAATAACATGCCAATCGTGTACGGTTTACTACTTCTGCTTGCATCTCTCCATGCTCTCGTGACGGTCATATCTCATGCGTTTCTAATGGGGTCAGCAAGGGGGACGGACACACGAAGAAGACGTCTACTCACTGCTTTCGCAGGGTCACTGCTTTTCAGCGCGTGGTCGGTCTGCTTAGGACTCGCGGTCGAGGGCCTTCTGGGCCTCGTCCTGCTTGCGCTGGCGGGCGTCCTTCTCCTTCTGGCGCTCATCGAGCTGGCGCTGCTCGTCGTCCGAGGTCTTGGTCTTCCAGTCGTTGTCCAGCTGCGACTGCTCCTCGTCGAGCTTGCGCTGGGCCTCGTCGAGGTCGCGCTGCTTCTCCTCGGACGACTTGTTCGAGTTGGACGACTGGTCACGCGACTGGTTGTTGTTGTTCGAGTCGTTGTTCGAGTTGAACTGGTTCTGCTGCTGCTGGTTCTGCTGGTTCTGCTGCTCCTGCTGCTGCTGCTGGGCCTTCTCCTCCTCCTCCTTCTTCTCCTCCTTCTCGTGGTGGACGTAGGCGGCACCACCGGCAATGGCGGCACCAGTGGCAGCGACACCGGCGGCGACGCCGGCAATCTTGCCCTTGGACCAGCCCTCGCTCTCCTGCGAGTTGTTGTTGTTGTTGTTCTGGTTGTAGTTGCCCGACTGCTCCTGGGCCTCCTTCTCGTCGTGGTGCTTCTTGAGCTCGTAGGCGCCGACACCGATGGCGGCGACACCAGCAACACCGGCGGCGGCAACACCGGCGATCTTGCCCTTGGACCAGCCCTCGCCGTCCTCCTTCTTCTCTTATGTGGGTCAGCTCGAGCTCATTGGGGATGGATGAAGAACGGAAGGAAGGAAGGTCCACGTCAAAGGCACTCACCGTCAGAGTTGAAGGTCTGCTGGTTGTTGTTGTTGTTGTACGAAGGGGGCTGGTTCTCCTGGCCCTGCTGCTGCTCCTTCTCGTCGTGGTGCTTCTTGAGCTCGTAGGCGCCGACACCGAGGGCGGCGATACCGGCGAGGGCACCGCCAGCGACGGCGGCCTTCTTGCCGTTGGACCAGCCCTCGCCCTGCTGGTCGCGCGACTGCTGCTCGTTGACGTTGAGCTGCTGCATGTTGTTCGAGAGCTGCTGCTCGCCGTTGTCGTGGTTGAAGAGACCCATGGTGGTGGTGTGTGTGTTGAGGTGGGCGGGGGGGAGAGGGGAAAGGTTGAGAGTGATGGAGAGGAAGGTGGGTGTGGTTGTGGGAAAGAAGGATGTGACGTGGACAGGTCGAGGTATTAGTACTGCCCCGGGTCGACGGCTTCTTCCCTCACCCCACCGCCTTGTGCACGCTCGGCCGCCCGTCAAGCCGCCTACGTCTTTGCTGGGAAGGGGAGGGGGGGAACCGTGCGGGTGATGCACGAGAGCCCCCTCCGTCATTCGCATCTGCGCGCACAGCGTGACACAGGCTGTCCATAAGAGCTGCCAGCACGTTCCGTTGCAGACACACCCAGACACGACACGCCGACGACGAGCAAAAGCCCCTGGTGCCGCCACCACGGTCCCATCCGTTTGCCCCAGATTTCTTGGCGCCCGTCAGTGGCGGCAGGCGGGCGGCTGCTACACCGCGCACCGTTCGTCGCAGCACGGTTGACGGGTCTTCGCTAGCTCGGCACAGACCATCGTCGGTAGCACGACGACTGCTTCACAAAGCTGCCTGTGCAAGCTATCTCAGTGCGTCCATGCATGTACATGCCAATGCCCCAGCACAACAAGACGTGTTCCCCCACTGCCGATGCCATCGCCCCCTCCCTCTCCCTTCCCATAGTGTGACAGAAAGCGCCGCCCCCCGTGGCCCGTGGCGCTTACAGAAGTACAGAAGCCCCTTGCTCGGGCTTGCGGGATGTGCTCGCTCTCACGGGCAACTTGGGAATGCGGTCTGGACCAGGGCCCATATGGCTTTCAGGCAGAGCTCGTCGTCGTCGTCGTCGTCGTCCTCTTCGTCTGCATCGTCCTACGACAGACTGACGTGTAATGCGGGCAGGCGCGGCCTTTGATCCTTTGAGAGAGATCTAGAGAGAGCGTCCTACGTGACGATCGGCAGGAAACGGTCGGCCGGGTTTTGGGATTTGGCCATTTGGCGCGCGTTGGCGCGCGTTGGCGCGTGGCATGGCGTTGTCGGGCGCGTCGGGGCGGTCGACTGATCGACTCTGGTGGCCAGCACGCGATCCTTGATGCGGTGCGCAAATGGTCAGTCCGTCGAGGGCGGGTCTGCCGTCGGGGGCCGTATACCCATGCAGCAACCCAATGTCTACTGTCGTCCTCGCATACGGCGTGCATGCGGACGTGCGACGACGTCGGACGACGCGTCAATTGAGTAAAGCTGCGGATTGTAGATCGTCGATCTCTCTCACTGCGCGCGCGCGGGTAACAGGGTGGAGTGTGAGTGTGGTAGTGATCGGCACTGCGGTGCTGGCACTTGCGCAGCCGCGCGTCCGAGACACGGTTTTCCGTTCTACCGTTTGTGTGCTGCATGTGCTGTCTTGTTCGCAGCCGTCTTGTTCGGACAGGGGAGAGGGGGGAATGGTGCGTCTCAAATAGTTCGCTACGGGTCTTGGCACACACCATCGGGATTGGATGCACGTACGCAGGGTTGAAAAAGACGCGACCAGCACGACGGGGACGGGGAATACGGGGGGGGGCACAGCAGACAGCGAGCAGCGCTGTCCCGTGCTCTGTCGTTTATCGGCGTGCTCTGTGTTGCCAGATGGCACGCATGCATGTGCAGTACCCAGTGCTCGTGTGATCTCTACACACAACGACGAGAGCATGGAGCAACCGCACACGACACATTCCATGCTCGTACAAACGCCATCATGTGTCGATTGAACGAGGCCCGCCAGGCACCACAGGGCAAAGCCCCGACACTGTATGCGCCACACGCCCTGGCCACTCTGTCACGCTCCGGCTCTGATTTTTACAACGGCCCCCGCTCGACTGCCCAGGAAACGAGTGCGGGTTGTGAGACCTGGCTGCGCATGCGGCTGGGGAGGTTGCCGGGTTTCTGGCACAAGATCGACCAGCCTTGCATCCAAGTTCTCGTGGATCGTGGAGCATTGTCTGTTAGGCGGAGCAATCGGTCTGAACGACGGTTTCCCGACCATCAACGGCTGGTGGAAGACCATGGTGCTTTCTGCGACCCTGCGGCCTGCAGACGTGGAACGACGCTACGGCGCCCACTGGCCACTGGTACAGGGGAAGCAGAGCGCCTTTGCCTGGCTCTGAGGGTCAGACGAGTCGGCGGATATTTGAATTGTATCAGATCCAGACCATTCGAACATGAAACCGACTCTTGACTGTCCAGCACCGAACGGCAATGGACATGTTCAGATTATCCAAGCTTGCTACGTGCTGCGGTACAGTACAGCATTTGCTTGCATATGGCGGTGCGTTTCACAGCCGGCGTCTGCGGTTAGCCGGTACAGAATTTGAGACATGGGCCTATTGGTATGCAAATTGAGTAGGACCAGGGTTAGGAACTAATGCGCGACTTGAATTCTCGTCCTCCTCCAATGACACCGCGCGCCCAGATGCTGTCACGACAGCGTACTGTACAGCAGCACTTTACTGCAGGCCAGTCTGTACGCCGTCCTGGCCTGACGAGGTGCTCCAACCCAGGTCACGTAACGGAGCAAGCACGTTCCCCCGTCGTCTCCTGGGTTGCGCCGACAAAGCTGCAACATTCGTGAGCACTTGCTGCAACGTGCAGGGGCCCTCTCGCGCTCTAGTTGGGTCTGTGGCCTACCTCATCTCTCCCATGCGTCATGTAGGTGGCGGCCAACGCACCTCTGACAGCGTCGACTGGCTCGCCTTGCCTCCCCAAGTGGCAGGTTAGCGCCCTGTTACAAAACGCACACCACCGCCTTCCAACCTCTCTCTACCACTGCCGTACAAGTTGCCATGATCCCCGCAAACTGGCGGTGACCATACGGCCGTGATCCAGGAGATGCAGGCGTGGCTCCTACTGATGCACAGCAATATCAAGATGTCTGCTATGATGGGTCATACACTTAACCCACCATACGCGTGGCACAGAAGTTATTCTCCCGATATGCCCCTCTGGCCAATGTTCATGTGCTGTACGTGCTGTCTGTCGCTCACAGTGACAGCCGCAGACACCTCACCTCAGCACACAGAGTGGGTACCATACCTGCGTGTGCCGAGCAAGTCAAAATGTCGGGAAAATACAATAAAATTTCCTCAAAAAGGCTTTGAACTAGTCAACCCTCCTCTTCTCGTCTCTTCTTTCTCCGTTTGGCTCCCAAAAGGTCACCAGGTCATCTAGCGATGCAAAAGAGATATCTAGCTGATAGCCAGAGACCTATAGAAGCTTCCTGACGGAGAATCGAACTCCGATCTCCCGCGAGACGTGGTCACGTGACAAGCGAGCATACTAACCGTTATACGATCAAGAACTTGGATGTAAGTTACTTTGCGCGTTTCGCCGTCTTCGTTCAGGCGTCGTTTGCGCTCCTGAGAGGTCCCATGCATAGGGTAGTCGATGCAGATGGTTCAGCATACGGTGTTTAGTTCGGTGCATGAGTGCCAAGAGGATTGTATGCTCGAGGAAGGGCGGGCGGTTGCCACACCTCGGCGCCGCTCGGCCCGGTGACGTCAAGCCTTTGAGATGTGTCCAGCCCACTTTATCTTTATATTCACTCTCTTCCAGTACTCCCATCGCGGCCCCCAACAAGCACGCATACCAGAGATGGACCCCCTCTCAACAGGACGGCCGGGATACCACTTTATCGCCCCACAAGGATGTGTGTAGTTTATGGACACCAGGCTGAGCAACTTGCTAACAGTCCAGGGATGAACGACCCCTGCGCGCCCGGGTACGACCCGCAGACGGGGACCTACCACCTGTTCTATCAGTGGAACCCGCGCAGCCACGCTTGGGGGGATATCAGCTGGGGCCATGCGACGAGCAAGGACCTGTTGACGTGGACGCACCGTTCGGACGACGTGGGTCGTGGCAGCGTGGTTCGTTATCACTGACGATTCCAGACGCCTGTTCTCGCGCCGGATCAGCCATACGACAAGGTCGCCGTGTTTACGGGCTGCTACGTGCCCGCCGGGGCGGGAGGCAACGCCGGCGTGCTGACGGTGTTCTATACGTCCATTACAGCCCTGCCAGTTCACTACACCCTCACCCACGTCCGCGGGTCCGAGGGCCTGTCCATGGCGACGTCGGACGACGGCGGCAAGACGTGTACGTCGCCTAGGTACGCTTGTCCTGGACGCTGATGAGCAGGGACCAAGTCACCATCCGACCCGATCCTCTTTGGCGAACCCGAGGGACTCGCAGTGACGGGATTCCGCGACCCATACGTCTTCCACTGGCCGCGCATGGACGAGGCGCGGTGTACAGGCTCGGAACCCGCCAAGTCGCTCTACGGCCTCCTCTCGGGCGGACTGCGTGGCAGCGTGTCTGGCCCAAGGCTGTTCCTCTTCTCCATCGACCCCAGCGACTTGACGAAATGGTCGTTCATCCGTGCCCTCCCCGACTTGCCACCCAGCATGGACATTCTCGGCGCCGACTTGGGCCTCAACTTTGAATGTGGCAGCGTTGTCACCCTCACAGACATCAACGCAGCTGGTGGGTCGCGCGTAGCCGCAGAGCGCGACTTCATTCTTGCCGGGTGTGAAGGGACCAAGGTGCGATACCCCGTCCCCGACGAGTCCATCCCTCCGCGTGTAGCACGCTGCGCGGCGTGGGTGCGCGCCTCCAACGACGCCGGGCTCGTCCTCGACGGTTCGGGCGGCGGCGGCTTGCTCGACTACGGCGTCCTCTACGCTGCGGCACCGTTCAAGCATCCCGACGGGCGCACGGTGCTTTGGGGATGGCTTCCCGAAGACGACGTGCCCGACAGCGAGCAGGCGCGAAAGGGCTGGGTCGGGTGTTTTGGTGTTCCCCGGCAAATCTTCTTGGCGCGGTACGACAGTGTCGCGCCTGCCACGGCTGGGAGGCTCAGGACACTTGGGTTCGAGGTGGAGGAGACAGCGACGGGCGCGACAGTCAACACGTTTGGTATCCGTCCTCTCACGGAGCTGAGTGCGCTGAGAGCAACGCAGGCGAGTTGCAGTGTAAGGGGTGCCCAAGCGGATGTTCCGTGGCCACTTCTCCCAGCGGCACCGGTGAGATGCGAGATACAAGCGACTATCAACCTCACCCCAGCCTGTACCGAAGCTGCGATCATTGTACGACACAACCACGACCACTCCATATCCACGCGCATATCTTACAGGCCCAAGGAAAGCGAGATACGCATTATCCGCTCCCGCTCCGCTGCCTCTACCCAAGTCAACACGTGCGACGAAGTGGGCATGTTCACGCTCCTGACCATGGTCTCAGCAACAGGCCAAGAGGAGCTCGAGCCCCTCCGCCTACGCGTTTTTATCGACCATGATGTCCTTGAAGTGTTCGCAAACGACCGCTTTGCCATGTCGACGTGGATCTACTCGCCTCCCGAGTGTCAAGGTGTGTCACTCGACTGGAACGGGGACCCCAGCTTGCGCACAGTGGAAGAGGCGGGCAGGCGGCAGCCCACCGATCTGGCCCCGCATGGGGACGACAGTGCCTCGTTGGAGAGCGTTGACGTTTGGGAGCTTGTGGCCACGAATAAATGATGAGAGGCACATTGAGTGTTGGCAAAGGCATGAAGTATTTGGAATGAAGACGCAACGGAACATACTGATTGTTCACCTGAACCCACTGTCCTAACTTGTGTCTCGGTAACTCAATCCCTTGGGAGAGATCATTGCTCTCACATTTGATCTCGTATTGCTCTCCTCAACATCGTGCCTCGCACCGTGTACGTCACCAGAGTATCGGCGACTCCCGTCTCCCATACCCACCAGACGAGGTGCCATGAGAGGATTATCAACTCGTTGCAACACCAGCTGCTGCGTACCACTCTCTGGACTCTCATAAAAATCAGTTTCTGGTCATGTGAAAGCAGTCCGCCCGGTCCGGACATTGGCATTCTACCGGCGGCCAGCAACCTGCAACAAGCTTCATCCGCGGTTCCAAGTCGCAACGTTGTCGGCTGGATACCGGTCTCGGTTCGGGACAGGAGCGGTATATTGAAGGTGTGCCTACGGGGTATTGTGTAGTGCTGTATATCGTGTGACCTGTGGTGGAGAGACGTCTCTCGCCTTGGAAGGAACGGATGGTGGAGAAAACGACGAGTGGTTCGGCGTAAATGTGGCGGGATCGGCGATGGCCGGAGGAAGAAACGGCAAATTGTGCAGCTAGAGACACCAGGTACACGGGATGACATTGCGCCGCTCGGCATGTCTTCAATGCAAGTGTTGTACGATGTACCGTGTACCGAGGTCACGGCGGTCGCGGTATACCTCTTGAGCCGGGCTAGCCTAGAGCGTGGCTAGCTTTGGCTGGCTAAGAGGATACGGCGCGTCGAACCGCCAGGCTTTGGAAAGGACCAGGGCCACACCTTTCGGATACCGGACCGCCCGCTCCGGCGCGTGGTGTTACATGACGTATATCGTCTCGTTTACTCATCTCACGCCCGTCTCTGCCCACAAACAGCCCTCTTGTGAACACGTATAGGCTCTCACTAAACCTTCCACTCATCTCCATCTGAGCCATCAGCCACGACCACGACCACGACCGCGCGGCAAACCTACCGTTCTACAATGTCAAAACCCGCCGCCACGAGTGCAGGCAGCGTCCTCCCGCAGCTGCCCCGCGGGTCATGGGACACCCATTTCCACATCTTCCCCAGCGACTACCCGCTGTCCCAGACACCCATGTTCGTCCCTCCGCGCCTCGACCCGTCGGCCCAGGAATCCCTCCACGCATCGCTAGGCGTGGACCGCACTGTCCTCGTGCACTCGTTTGCCTTTGGCGACAAGCTGGAGAGCCTGCACGACTGGGTCGCCAAGGATCCCGCCTGGCGGCGCGCGGTCTGCGTCCTCCCGCCCACCCAGCTTGACGTGGACGCCGACAGGCAGTTTATCAAACGGCTGGACGGGGCGGGTGTGCGCGGCGTGCGGGCCGAGCTGGAGGGGGACGACAGGGCCACCAAAGTGCGCGCTCTCAAGAAGGTGTTTGAGCGCCTCGACCGCGCCGGCGTGCGGTGGACGGTGTGTGTGCAGGAGCTCGACGCAGCCTTTTATGATGCTGTAAGTTGGCCATAGGCCCTAGCCGCCCATTCGCATGCTGACACGGGGGTGGGTTCAGTTACTCGCTGCATTCGACTCGTTCCCCACCTCGCAGATCCTCATGATTGACCACCTCGCCTTCCTCCCCGGGCCGTGGGGGCAGCACCCGCCTCCGGCTTCCATAGACGTCATGGCCGTGCCCCACTTCTCGTCCATTGTCGCCCTGCTCCGCCACAACCCGTCGACAGTGTACATCAAGCTGTCGGCACCGTACCGGCTCACCTTGTCGCCATCGACGGACACAGTCACGTACGACTCGCTCGAGCCGCTGGTTAAAGCGTTGAAGGTGTTTCCCGACCAACTGGTCTGGGGAACCGACTGGCCTCACACGCCCCTCCACCACGACATGGCGGCGCGGAGGAAGGCCGGGCTCGGCAGCGAGGTGATTCCCCTCCGGATCAAGGAGGACATGCCGTCGTGGCTGGCGCTGCTGAAGGAGTGGTTGGGCGAGGAGGTGTTTGTCAAGATGATGGTCGACAACCCGGCCAGGCTGTACGAGTAGCCCTCCCTCGGTCACATGCTGTGTAAAGGCTATGCATACACGTGTAGTTGTCGCCAAATGCTAGTGTGCACTCTAGTCTCTTGGTCTCTTGTTACGTACGAATAGTAAGTTTCTAAAGGTACAAGCTCGCCGCGAACACGATGTCCCTCTTGATCAAAGCCTGCGCCGCCTCCATCTTCTGGAACAGGTCGGCATCACCAATGACGCGGGCCGCATCACGGACCTCGCGACACGTCTCGTCCAGGCGCGTAATGCAGCGCACAATGGTGCCCTCGGGCACGTCCGTGAGCGTCGTAATGTCGCTAAAGGGCATGCCGCGCGCCCACTCGTACACAACCTCGACAAGACCCGGCTTGAACTTTTCGCGGAAATCGTCAAAGGTGACGTTTCGGCGCAGCTGGCAGTTTTCCACATTATCGGCAATGTTGTAGATGGTGTCCAGGCCCTGTGCGAGCTTGGGCGCAATGTTGGGCTGCGAATCGGTCTTTTCGACAAAGACAAAGACGGACAGGAGGGCCACGGCCTCCTCGGGCGTATAGTCGGCGAGAATGTTGTCGAGAATGAGCTCGGTGAGGATGAGTTCGTGGGCCGAGTTGATCTCGCACGCCACGCGGCCCTTGAGCAGGACTGTGGCGTTGTCGTCGATAAACTGCAGCTCCTTGAGAACGTCCACGCGCGACTCGTAGTCTGGCAGCAGCTCGAGGTTTTGGTCCGACAGCGCCAGCTGGAGAAGCTTGAGCCCGCCCTCGACAATCTTGCGTTCATGGATAATGTCGTAGTGGTCCTCAAAGTCATCGCACAGCTGGCAGCCGAGACGGGTGATACGGTCAGACAGCGCAATCCTCTGGCGGAGCAGCTCCTGGAACTCGAGCTTGCTTAAGCGGCCCCAGTCGAACTCGGCCAGGTCGCCGGCGCTCAGCTCGTCGTGCAGAGTCACCATCTCGTGCATGACCTTGTTGGAGATGTCCTTGTTGCGCTTGTCGAGCACGGAGATAATGTCAATCTTGAGCATGCGGTTGGTAACGAATGACACGCTCGTGCTGTCCACAGCCTCGAGCTCCCACTGGGGGTTGGCAAATGTGCCCTTGGGAAGAACGGGTGGCCAGCGGGGCGGAACGTCGCCGTCCTTGATGTCCTCCTTCTTGGACTTGACGCCCTTGGTAACAAGAGCCAGAACCCAGAATGCCTTGGCGTCAGACTTGACGCCGTCGCGAACAATCGACGGGGCGTTGCGCAGAACAATCGCGACGTTGCCAGGGTAATGCTGGAGAGTTAGCAATGCGACAAAAAGTCTATCAACTCACCCCGTCGTGCAGAATGACGATACGGCCGGGGGACATTTGCTTCCCCGAGGCCCAAGCTGCCTGGTTCATGAGGTTGGTATTGATGCGGACCACCTCCGATGAAAGGTCATAGAACGCCTCAATGTCAGGCTTGCACACTGCACAGTCGACGTTCGGGAGCTTGGCGAGGAGCTTCTCGGTCTAACGCGTCAGTAGAGTGCCAGCACACCTGCAACCCACCTGCTCGACCTGGCGTTGCTGCTCGGGAGCCAGCTTTTGGGCTGCGTTCTCCGAGAATGAGCGCTTGATCATCTCCTCAACACGCAGAGCCTCGACACGGAGGAGGTTGAGAATCATGTTGTACGTGAGGCGGAACTGGGACGTGAGGCGGTTTGGCACGCCCAGCATCATCTCCTGCAGCTCCTTTACTGCGGGGAGCTCTTCACCGCTGAGGATGATGACGGTACCGGTCGTGTCGAGACCACGACGACCGGCACGACCGGCCATCTGAGTGTACTCTCCGGGAAGGAGGTTGCGGAACGACGTGCCGTCGTGCTTGCGAATACCCGTGAAGACGACCGACTTGGCTGGCATGTTGACGCCCTGGGAGGTTAGAATGGACAAACAAGGAGGGTAACCCACCATGGCAAAGGTCTCGGTCGCGAACAAGACCTTGATGAGACCGCGGGCAAAGAGAATCTCCACGACCTCTGCCACATGTCAGCTAGTATCACCAAGAACGACAATAAGCTGATTACGCACCCTTGACCAAAGGCAGAAGACCACCGTGGTGGACACCGATGCCGCGAGTCATGAGCTCGCGCATCCTCAGAATCTGGGGAAGGGTCTTGTCGCTTCCTGCCTGGGTTAGCGGTCATCCAACGAATGGGCAACCCACCCTTGAGCCTGTTCAAAGCACGCTCCCAGACAATGTGCACCTCGCTCTTCTCCTTGGCGTCGCACAGATCTGTCGTGGACAGGTTTTGGGCATACTCCTCACAGCGCTTCTTCGAGAAGACAAAGTTGACCACGGGAAGCAGGTGCGCCTTCTTGAGGTACGAAATGAGATGGGTCCAGACGTTCTGGTCGAGCTGGAATCCACCGCGGCCGCCTCGGCCACCGCTGAATCCACCACGGCCACCGCGAGTGGCCACTGCGGATGCTGGGGCGCCCTGGCCGCCGCCGCGGTTCGAGTGCGTGCGTCCGCCACCGACACGCGAAAAGGGGGCCGAGCGGCCAGTGGGCAAGTCCTTGGCCTTGACGTTCTGGCCAGGAGCACCGCCGCGGCCACCAGTGCGCTGCACTGGAGGCAGACCGGCGGCCTCGCGCTCCTTGTCCTGCTTGCGGCGGAGAGCCTCGCCGGCCGTCTTGTAGCTGGGACGTCAGCTGACGATTGCACTGGGATCAGCTTACCCGTCGCCGAGGAACTGGCCCTTGGAATCGACAATCTTGTGAAGCTCCTTGCCAGCCCAGAGAAAGTGCTCGAGGGGAACAGGACGCATGGGGGTGGAAATGACGTAAATGTCCTTCTTCTTGGTACGACTGAGCAGGTCAGCGGAGGCAACCACCGAAGACACCTACCCGACCCAGTCGGCAAACTCCCTCGTGTTGGGAACGGTAGCCGAAAGGAGGATGATGTTGACGTGCTCGGGCAGCATGATGATGACCTCTTCCCAAACGACGCCACGCTGAGGGTTAGCACAAAGATTTCAACGAGGCAACCCACCTCTGCGTCGTTGACGTAGTGGACCTCGTCGAAGATGACAAACTCGACGTCGCGGATAAGGTCGGCTCCCTTGTACAGCATGCTTCTCAGAATTTCCGTCGTCATCTGTCGCGTCAGCTCATTGTTGGAAACCACGCAGCTCACAATCAAACAGCTTCCCTCGGCGTTGATCTGCACGTCTCCCGTGAGGATGCCGACGCTGGCCGGGTCGAAGGTAGTCTTGAAGTCGCGGAACTTTTGGTTGGAGAGCGCCTTGATGGGCGAGGTGTAGATTGCCCTGTAGTTGTCAGTTCGTTAGCGAGGTTGAGGGAGCTCACTTGGTCATGTGCTTTGCAGCAAGCGCAATAGCGTACTCTGCCACGACAGTCTTTCCGGCGGACGTATGGGCCGCGACGAAGACACTGTCGCCCATCTCGAGACGGTACACTGCCTCCTTTTGGAAATTGTCCAGTTCGAAGGGGTACTTGCGCGCCATCTCGGGAACGAGCTCGTGGAACTGGGTCTGTCAGCTGGACGATCGTTATGTCAGGATAGCTTACGTTGACGAGCTCCTGGTTGACGTCCACGACGTGGGCCCACTCTTTCTTGGCTGCCTTCTTGAGAGCGCGGGCAGGTGGCGGGGCGGGAAGCCTCTGAGTGGTGTTAGCTGTGTGGAGAAGAAACTACAGCTGGCACTTACGCCGACGGGGAGAAGGTCGTCGACGTTCTTGGCCGAGGAAGACGAGCCAATCTTGATCTCGTCGCCGTCGGGGGTCGTCTCGCCGTCGCCAAGGCGCGAAACCTGAATGGGTCAGACATGGTAGCTGGCACTAATCACCCACCTCCAGCTTGGGCGACTCTTCGCCACCGCGTCTCCGCCTGCGAGCCTTGGTAGTCATAGTCTGCGAGCCGAGCATTTCGGCAAGGAAATCGTCCGCTGATGGGTCAGTTGCATATCGCGGTCACCAACGACCCACCTCCTTCAAGAGGCACACCACGGCGCAAGCCCGGTGCACGTGTCTTCCAACCGTCTTCCTCCTCGAGCTCGTCCTCGTCCTCGGCGTCCAGCTTCTCGACGCTCACGGCAGGCTCGAGGCCACCGGGCAGGAACGGCGCGTTGGTGCTCTTGCCGCGCACAAAGGTCGACGCCTTGCCGGGCTCACGCATCATGCTGGAGCTGAGGTTCGGATGTGCGGGCGGCTTGGGAGCGAGCGCGTCCCGCCAGTGTGTGAAGGCGCCATCGATGCCGCGGAAGGTCGGGGTGACGGTGTGGGTAGCTGGTAAAGGATCCAGGCGGAGGGCAGGCAGCGGGATCTGGGTCGGCAGGGGCACTTGCCACCTCCAGAGGTCGGGTCCGGAGAGGTCGCGAGGAGGGGAGAGGACGTTGGCCTCGACGAGCTTGACTGCGTCCTTTGGAGATGGGAGGGACGCGATGCCGAGTGAGTCGGCGAGGGTCTCGGATGAGAGGGAGGACTCGGCCGGGTGCGCTGCCGCCTCGAGGAGCGAGAGGAAGCGGGCCGACGTGGCAGACTCTCCACCGACTGTGCCGTTTGTCGCCATGGCACTTGTTGTCGTTGCTGTTGTTGTTTCAAGAACGGAGAACGATGACCGATATATGATCACAAGAGGAGGCAAAGGAAAGTCAGGCGTCATTGAAATGGACCGTTCATCGTTGATTACGTAATTTGATCGTTCACCACAACTCACCCTTTGCGGCCTCTGGATCATCAACTCGTTCTCCATTCATCTCCATCCTCTCCCCATCCAACATGCCTTCCGAACCACCAAAGCGCAAGCTGCGCGCGGCCCGCATCCAGGTCAAGCCGGGCGATGTGGACCTTACAGAAAAGGTCCAGGCTGGAAAGGAGTACAGTGAGTTTGTCCCTCCCCTATGTTGACACTTTGCTGACATTGCCGCCCAGACATCTGGTACAACAAGTGGGCCGGTGGCGACAAGGAAGATGCACTGTCAATGTAGGTACAAACAATTTACGGCACAGGTTACTCACCTACTCCAGGCAGACACTCTCGCAGACCCGCTGCGTCATCTCGCGCGATGCTGGGTACACCCGCGCCGACGCAACCAACAACCGCTTCTGCTGCCTGTTCTTTGCCCGTGGTCGCTGCCCCTATGGGTGAGTCTGACTGTCCCACATCTCTTTCACCGATATACTTACGCAATCTGCAGATCCGAGTGCGCCTACCTCCACCGCCTGCCAGCGCCTGGAGCCACAAGCGACCATTCGCGCGACTGCTTTGGACGCGAAAAGCACGCCGAGTACCGCGACGACATGGGTGGTGTAGGCTCGTTTTCGCGTACCAACCGAACACTCTACATTGGCAAGATGCACGAGGGGCCCGACAAGGACCAGACCAAGAACACGTTGTTGAGGCACTTTGGCGAGTGGGGCAAGATTTCAAAGTGTAAGTGGGATCGCAAGACGTCGATGGAGGCGTGGCGGACGGCGCATCGGGCTCGCTGACACTTGTCTACAGACAACATCTTGCATAACCGCGGCATCGCCTTTGTCCAGTATGAACACGAGGGCAATGCCCAGTTTGCAAAGGAGGCGATGCAGTGCCAGAGCATGGACATGGACGAGATTCTCAACGTCAGGTGAGTACAGCCCCCACCGGCACTGTCCACCCCGCACCGTTGGCTGACATGTGCTTCAGGTGGGCGACCGAGGACCCCAACCCAGGAGGCAAAAAGGCCGAGGACGCGCGCGTGGCCGAGGAAGGACGTAAAGTGATCGCGTCCAAGCTGGACGACAAGCTCGTCGAGGCTGCCCAGTCGCTGCGCGCGCTGGAGGAGGGCAAGGAGGAGGACTTTTACCCCATCCTGCCTGAAGAGCCCGAGTCTGAGGACGAGCAGCAGCAGCAGCAGCAGCAGGACGACAGCAGGCCAGTGAAGCGGGCGCGTGGCGGCGACTCGACAGGCTTGCTCGGCGGAGACGCGCTTGAAAACATCAAGTTTTACGCCGAGCTGGCGCGCAAGCAGGCTGAAGAGGCTCGGACGCGTAAAGTGCCTGCTGCTGCGGCCAAGGCGAGCTCGGGTGTGGCGTTGTTGGGGGGTTATGACAGTGATAGCGATTAGGAAGAGGCCGTAGGACTAGATGACGATACATGTATGTGGTAGAGAGAAGCCGGGACGCAGGCGCGGCGCTGAGGGAGATCGCGTTTGCTGGCCAATTCACCAGGCTTCTTGCTCCTGCCTCTACTCGGCACCTAACAACAGGCCACCGGCAGCCTTTGAACTTGAGGTGTCAACACAGCATGCGTGAACGTGCCGACGTCGGGAGACATGCTCGGCATTCATGCATGCTAAGCCAGCCAGCACCACCAGCCACCATGTCTTGCCCCAGATCCATCATCGGCCATTCGCGCGGCCCGGTTCTCTCTCCCTCGACCACCTCCTTCCTACTCTTCTGCACCCTCCAACCCTTTCCAGAACCCTTCTCTCTTGACATCCCCCAGCGCACAAGAGAGCATACAAGGTCGGTCTGATCGTATAACGGTTAGTACACAAGATTCTGAGCACAACGCCGTGATCATCCTCCAAACAGGGTCCTTCAGGAGGATCCCGGGGGTCACACATCACTCGTTCTTGTAATCTGGGTTCGATTCCCAGTCGGACCTGCTAGCAGCGCTTCTGAGTGATCAGGAGCTTGTCCTTTTGCCGTTCTTTTGGTGCAGGTGCATGCGCATGACAGGGATGAAGCGCTTGAGTGCGGACGGTAGGGTCGGACGGAGGAAGGAACGGGCCGGGTGGATTGACGGACGGTCATGTTGACGGGCTGAGTGAGAGTTGGGTGAGAGTTGGCGTCAACCGTCAAGTGGTCTTGGGTGCGCTCGGTCGGTCGGTCGGTCGGTCGCTCGTACGGGGCCGGTTTAGTACTAACCAGTACGAGACGGACAGCTGCTCAAAACGCTACACGTGCATGATGGGAAGCGACAATGCAAGATACGGTTTTATGCCAGGAACACCTACTTGTGCCACTCTCCTCCCTCCCTCTTTGCCATCCTCAAATCGCCACTACTACTCGGCCTGGGACCCGCCTACACCTCCACCCTCACCCACTTTGTGTACGCAAAGCACGCCTCCTCTGCGCCACTCTCCTCACCCTCGGTGCGCACAGCGTACACGCCAAGGTGCGCGCCGCTGCCCGCCACTGCAAACGCGGCACTCGGCACCGACCCCAGCACGACCTCGTCGCCCGTCCCGGCCGTGACGTACACAAACTCGTACGCATCGCGGCGCGCGCGGATCCGCAGGACCACAGATACCTGCAGGCCCGCCGTGTCCAGGACGAGCGGGGCGGTGGTCGTGGGCTCGGGGCTCGAGCTGGTGGTCGCGCTGCGGAAGACAATGGTCGGTGCTGACCCGCCACGAACGGCGACGCCGGCCCAGCTGGGGCCAGCGCAGAGGACTGTGCCGGCCTCGATAGGTGTGGTGGGGATGGCGACGCGCGTCTCCCAGTCCATGTCGAAGCCCAGCTGGCGCTGGAGGAGCATGGGCGGTGGGGTGGCCGAGTCCCGTGCCAGTGGCGCGGGGACGAGGGCGAGGCCGCGCTGGCCGAGGGTGTAGCTTGGCTTGCGGGCCGTGTACCATCCGATACTCAGATCTGGGACGGCAATGTCAGCTTGTAGGAAGTGGTGTTGTACACTCGACTCACCCTCCCTGTCAAACTCGTCCACCCACTCGTCGCGCTCGGGCAACAACCGCATGCCCTCGGCATTGCCCACGAGCTCGATGTGCTCCCCGCCGTTGATCACGGGCCAGCCGTCCCGCCACTCCACGGGGGCCATGTACGTCTCGGCGCCGAGGTGCGAGTCGGACCATGCGTCAGCGTCGGCCCCGGTGGGTGTGGGCCGTGAGCCTGCGCTTGCGCTCGAGCTCGAGCTCGGCGTTGACGCGCCCGCTGCAGAACCCGCGCGGCTTCCGCGCGCGCTCCGGCTCCGCATGGCGCGGAAGATGGCCGACCAGCCGCGCTCGCCGCGCACAATGTCCAGGCGGACTGTACCGCGCACGTCGGCGTGGTCGCCATTCGCCAGGATGGGGTTCCGCGGCGCGCCCTCCCACTGTGGCTCGCCGTCGTCGGCCTCCATCCCCAGCTCGCGGGAGCGGTACACGCTCGCCGAGGCGCCGTCGTCCGACGACGTGAGCATGTAGTACCATCCCGCACGCTTCAGGAGGCGGCCCTGGTGCTCGAGCACCTTGGGCTGCGAGAGGTTGCGGCCGGTGTCGATGTCAATCGAGACGATGAGGCGCTCGGTGGACGACGGCGAGGTGTATGAGAGGTAGGCCATGTCGTCGTCGAAGAGGAGCTGTGCAAGTCAGTATGTGTGTACCCATTGGAGAGGCACCGGGGTGGTGGAAATGACAACGAAAACAAACATGTCCGGACAGGACAGGAATGTTGACACTGAGCAGGCAGCATCATCAGGCCAGGCAGAGTCAACAAATCACGACCAGCGTCATCGGGGCCCGGCATTGCCACACCATTTCGGGCACCTTGGCCACCGTCGACCTCAGCGGCGCACGCGCGCGCGCGCACGGCGCGTTCCTGCGCCGTGCACCGAGGCACACTCCCAGCCGCCAGCCGCCAGCCGCCAGCCGCCCACCGCCAGCCAGCCTGCGGGCCCCGCTCCCCTATCCTTCTGTCCTGCTTCTCGCCTCGTGGAAGATTCTGTAAGGACCAGCACGGGGTGGTGACTCACGTCGGGCTCGGTACCGCTCGCCTCGATGACGACGGGCTCGCCCCAGCGGGCCTCGTCAAAGATGTCGGGCGTGGACACGAGTAGGATCTGCGGGTGTGTCGAGTCGGCGGCGGCGGCGGCCGTGACGACCATGTAGTGGTGTCCTGCGTGGTAGCGCAGTGTCGGCGCGCCGAGGGGTGCGGGCACGCGCTTGATGGCGTGGCCAAGGAGCTGGGTGATAGGATCAGCTTTTTTTTGCTTCCAAGAAAAGCAAAGTCCCTCCTTGGCTCCCACTCCATTGCAGTGGAATCTCGGAGGGGAAAGACAGTGACGCTGGTGGTGACAACGCTGTGTGGTAAGGCCGACACGGCCCACTCTGCGCCCCCACCACCATAACAGTCACTCGCACTCGCACCCGCCCGTCGCTACTCACCTCCCACGTAAACAGGTCGATGGAGTGGTACACTGGCAGCCCGGGGCTGTACTCGCCGCTGCCTGTGGCCAGAAAGTATCCCTTTCCGGGCACATTACACACTGTCGGGTCGGGGTTCCATCCTGGCAAGATTGGATTCCGGTACGCGGTGAGTGCGGCCTTGAGTGCGGCGACGGAAAACGCGTCGGGCGCGGCCGAGGATGCAGAGGTGGACGTGGAGGAGGAAGGGGTAGTGGACGATGATGAGGGAGCGGGCGGAGTGCCCATTGTCGCGGTCATGCAGTGCGAGGACAGTGTGTGGTGAGATAAAGGGAGGAAAGCAAACGCGAAAGGGGTGGTTGGGCGGAGCTGCCGAGGTTGGAAGGGGGGGAGGGGCGACGGAGCGACGAGTGCCTTGCGGTGGGGTACGGCTCGTTGCTCGTGTTGCTATGTAGCTGTCGACAGCAACTGGTAGCCAAGAGGATATATTAGATGATGAATGGGAGATGTGCAGCGGGGGGTTGTGACTTGTCAGTGGGCGTTGCCGGTTGGGTTTGTCGCCAGAGGTGTCACCCGTGACAGCGTGCCAGGCAGCGGCCTGGGCCGGAGGCTTGGGCGGCGTGTGTGTCGTTGCTCCCACCCACAACCCCCAGACATGCATGTGCACCAGAGGCGTCTCGAGCGAGAGACAGGTGTGTGTCGGATGCTCTCATTCCTCCTCTGGACCCGTCTGCCAGCGCCGCCCAGCGCCGGAAAGCGCCACGCGCAGTCGCTGGGTGTCCTTTTTTTTTCCTGTTCCCCAGGTAAGACACACCGTGGGCATATCTCAGCAGCATTTGAGTGCACGAGACAGGTGACCGGTGACAGGTGATCATGGCACAGGTGACTCGCTGGAACCTTGGGCTGAGACTGGCAGTTGCTCTTGGCAGAGTCTGGCCGAACACACTCTCCACGTCTGCTCGTCGTCGCTGCCCCTCGTACCGTCGTCTTCTGCCTGCCAGCTCTGCCAGCTCTGCCGTGCGGAGCTCTGCCGTGCGGGGAGGTGTGCGGGGCATACAGGGCTGGTCCCTTCTCACGTCCCTGTGGACAGTGTACCTGGGCCTCCTGGCCTCGGCCTGCATATTCACACTCGCGACGGAGGTGCTCTGCCCAGTGACGGCGTGAGCTTGGCAAATGGGGGGCTGCATATGCTGAACATGACTGAGGCCGAGGCATGTTTGGCGTCGGCGGCCGTCACCAGGCGAGGGCCTCGAGATCCCAAAAGTGTTTGCAGGCAGGGCCTCTTGACGGCGACGACGACGGCGACGACGCCACGGCACGAGCGAGGGACTCGATGGAGGTTCGGCGCCGATGGAAACGACCTTTGGAACGAACGATGGGAGCGTCTCTCTCCATCGTGTGTTCAGCTGGACATCTTGGCACCGCAGATAGCATATAGCTATGCGGTGCACGGGATGTCGCTCGAGAGGTTGCAGGTTGAAGGCGCCTTTGCGCGTCCATAGTGTTGGGTCGGAGGGTTCGAGAGCGTCGCACATTCCTCTGTTCGGTTCCCACAATCTCGTCCCCAGGAAGGTCTGGTCCAGAGGGGTGTGGGTGCTCGCCAGTGTTGGCCAGTGAGCAGGATGCTGGTGGATGGATAGAGGAGGGTGTGTGAGGTGTAGGTGAGATGGACACAACGTAAAGAGCGATGGGCACAAGACGTGACAGCAATACCATTCCAATCGATCGTCGTTTACGTGTGGCATGCCGTCAATACCGTGGGGACGGGGGATATGACCAGACCCGTCTTTGCTGCTCTGCCGTTCGCAGGCCTCGACGAGGTAATGCATGCAAAACGAAGCTGGAATCCAGAGTGGCAGCATGTTAGAGAGCCCACGGGCTATGCATATTGGTAGTGACACGAGGGATCTAGAGACACTCCGCGTCAACAAACCGGCTGTGATTGCTGACTGATAATCCCCCCCCCCCATCGGGCACGGAAGAGGCCGAGAGACGACGACAATGACGACACACGCTCTGGCTGATTCACCAGATCTCTCGCATCGTCGCTTATCCCACCCACGGCCACGTTCTTTCCGCTTTCTCACTCTCTCCCTCTCCCTCCTACACATGCTCTTCAACATCACCCTCGCACGTACCCTCGTCGCATCCCGCATCGCCCAGCTACCCCTCGTCGCACCCGTCCTCCACCGTCTCCCGTCCCTCGGCTACCACTACTACTCGTCAGCAGCAGCAACAACAACAACAACAATGTCCCTCCCAGCCGCCATCGCACCCGACACCCCCACCGTCCCGGGACAAGGCCCGCCCAAGATCCACCTGTACACCCAGGGCACGCCCAACGGCTACAAGGCAAGCCTGTGTCTCGAGGAGATGCGCATCGCGTACCCGGACAAGGCCAAGGACCAGCTCAGCTACGACATTTTTGTCCTGGACTTTGGCAAGAATGAGCAAAAGGTGTGTTGTCGGGGAGTGTGGGGACTGGCCCAGTCGGACTGGGTTGTGCGGGCTAGCATTCGCCAGCTGCCCGAGCACCGGGGCTAGCTGGACGAAGCGATACGTCTCGTGGTCGTGGCTGGACACGCCCTCCCTATACACTGTTCACTGACGCCCACGCCCCAGCTCCCGGCCTTCCTCAAGATCAACCCCAACGGCCGCATCCCGGCCATCGTCGACGACAATGCGGGCGGACAGCGCGTCTTTGAGACCGCTAGCATCCTCCTGTGGATCGCAGAGCAGTACGGTGCGTCGTTGTTTGACTATGTGGCGAGAATAGCTTCGTCCTGGTCAGCCTAGCTGCCCTTGCGATCACCACCCCGACTGACACACACCCCCAGACACCGACTACAAGCTCTCGTTCAAGGACGCCGGCGAGCGCGCAGACATGGTATCGTGGATCTTCTTCGCGCATGGCGGTATCGGACCCATGCAGGGCCAGGCGGGCTACTTTCTGTGAGTGCGGCTGGTGTCTCGGGGGTCGGTGGCACAGCCAGCTGGAGAGGGCCACGACGCTAGCCCGCAGCTGGCCACTACCTGCCTCCGCCTTGCGTCCTACGCGATAGCCACGCTGACACAACCCTCCCTCCCCGCAGCAACCAAAAGTACAAGGACGCGTTCGCGATCCGGCGCTACGTCGTCGAGGTTGAGCGCCTGTTCTCGGTCCTCGAGGACGGCCTGCAGCCCTCTGCCCCCGGCGGCGGATCGTACCTCGTCGGCAACAAGTATTCGCTCGCCGACCTGAACGCGTGGACGTGGGTCTCGAGCTATGGCCGCATGGGCATCGACATGGCCGCGTACCCGCAACTCGCCAAGTGGGTCGAGAGGGTGCGCGAGCGCGAGGGAACCAAGCGTGGGCTCAAAGTGCCCCGCCAGAGGGTCGAGGTGACGCCGGAGCAGGCGGCGGAGAAGCAGAAGGAGGTCAAGGCGTACATTGCCGAAGCTGACAAGCTTGTTGCGTCGCTCTGAGCGGGGCTGAAAGCGGTCGAGGAGCTTGGTTTCGTTCGAGGCGGGTTTGTGCAGTAAAAAAAGAAAACAGAGAGAGAGAGTCGCCACGGCTCACGTTGTAGCCAGGCAATGCAGTGTTACCTTCAGCGATCTCTGCCGCGTCGCGTGTTCCCATGCAGCTCGTGCGCGTCGATAGTCGTGACATTAACATCGTGGCTCTTCCTAAACAAAAAGGGGGGTCTAGTACACAGCATAAGGGGATGATAGCGCGCACCTTGGGCCTATCCCCAGGCCTGCGTGTTGCTGTAGTTGACAATCAAGTGGTTGTCCGTCCCGAAACACTCAAACAGGCTCCCGACCGTGTCGTCTGGTGTAGGGGCAAAGGCGCCGTTGATGTATGTAAACTGCAAGAGAGGAGAGGTGTCAGCTGTTGTTTGTGGAGAGGACCGGTGGGGAGGGCAAGGGAGGGAGAGGCGGACAAGGACGGCGAGTTGAAGCCAGCCGTGGAGGACAACTCATGTCCGTCGCCCATCGGGCATAAGAGGGAACCAACTTGTGGGACAACGCAGCCACACCAGGGGTACACCATCGCCAGCACCGACGGTCATCATGGCAGCAGGAAGGACCAGCACTGGACACCTCCCATGGGCCGAGGTCTGAACTCTGGTGTGGACGAGCACGCCGGTCCGCTCGCGAGAGCGCGTATAACGACCTTCCCTCACTCCTCTTCCCCCCTCATTCTCCCGTCCAAACACACTCACCAACGAATCGCTCGCCTTGATCCCCAACTGTCCCCGCAGGAACACAATGACCGCCTGGAACTTGTTTCCCGCCGTGACCTTGAAGACGTTGTTCTTCATGATGGGTGCCGAGCCGATGGACTTGAAGCGCACGACGACTGTGTGGAGTGGAAGAGCACTGTCAGCTTTAGGACGAAGACGCAGATCGTTAAGCTGGCGAGAGGGAGGACGGGAGGAAGGAAGCTGGGGGGGGGGGAGGAGGTTGATGGGGTCCCGTCGGCGAGGAGCGCTGGGGTATGTAGCCGGTGGACGCGCTCCACCAGCAACTAGCAACAGCGAGCGCAGAAGAATGGGCGTCCAGCAGGTAGTTTGCGATTGATGTACAGCTACCTGCCTGCCCATGGCCCAGTTTATGCTCTTCCCCTCGCCACCAACAACACGACCTCGGTCGCGCTCGTCAAGATGAAATCTACGGCAAACGCACTCTTGGCTGGGTCCTTGGCCTTGTACGTGTCGAGCGCGGCCACGGCAGCTGGTGCGGGTGTCGGTGCTGTTGAGGATGCTGGAGTGGGTGCGTCAGCGAGTGGACGGGTAGGTGGCCGCGAACATGTCCATGCGGCAAGTGTGATGGAGATGGGGGGGGGGCAGTCGCGTCGCAGCGGCGACCCCCGGATGGCGAGCAACACGCATCGCAGCTGCCCTCATATGTGGGCCAGCTGCATGGGTGCTTATAGGAGTGGTAGAGACGGGGGACTCACGTTGTGATGGTTGTGCCATGACGGACGATGGATGGACGATGGACGATGGACGATGCAAGAATGAGACCAGACGACCAGTGCGTCATTTCGTTTGGCGGCGGCGGCGGCATCGCGTCTCCTCCGCGGTGTCCCCGTTGGCACCACCTGGGGGACGACGCTGGCCGGCTCTGTCCCCGCCGGCTTTCTGCCATTCCCGACGCCGGATCCATCTCTCTCTCCATCTCTCTCATCCATTCCATCCATCTCCACCGTCCACAATGTCCAACAACGAGCCCCCACCACCTCCCCCGCCCATGACACTGCCAGCACCACCACCCACAGCTGCAGCTGCTCCTGCAGCGGCACCCTCCGCGCCTCCCCCTCCTCCACCAGCAGCAATCGCGCCCACGGACACCCCGTCGGCTTCGTCCGCCCCGCTTCCTGCTCCTCCCCTAACAACCACCCCACCCACCCCGTCCATCGGCGCCAGCTCCATCGCAGCCGTCGCCCCCGCCGTGCTCGGCACCGCAGCCGCCGCGACATCCACCCACGCCGCGTTCGCCGCCGCACCAGCGTACGCGTCCCCGCCGCCCGTCCACCACCTGGCCCACGCGCCCACCACGCTACGCATCACCACGCTCCCGGCCCAGCTCAAGCGGCTGGCATACATCGTCTCGCTCGTGCTGGGTGGAAGCGCCGTCGTGGCGGGGATCTGGTCTGCGTTCCTCTTGCCTCTGCTGCACGCGACGTTTAGCGCGCGCGCAGCCCTCGTCGCGCCCCAGCGCGAGCGGTGGCGCGCCATCGTCGACAGGCTGCGCGAGATCCGCGTCATGGACATTTTCACCGACGTGGTCGAGGACGACGAGGCGCGCTCGGTCGTGAGTGTGCGCAGTGGGGCGGGCGGCGAGCTCGTGCGCGCGCGCACGCGCGACTCGGAGCGCAAGGACGCAAAGGACAAGGACGCAGGCAAGGACAAGGACACTGGCAAGGACCTGGCGCTGGCGCGCACGACCGCCGTCCCGGACTCGCCGCGCTCGGCGTCGATCCACACCGCGGCCGACGCGCTGCTCGACTCGGAACCGGGCCCGGCCAAGCTGTTCGGCGACGTGTCGCCGCTGTCGTCTGCGCTGCGCGACCTCGCGTCCTCGCTCGACGCCACGGCCACGACGCGCACCTCGCTCGTGTCCACCCTCGAGACGTACACGGGCGGCCTACACCGCGAGATCTTTGCGCGCGGCGTCGGCGCGTCTTCGAGTAACCCGTGGGCGGGCGTGCCCGGCGCCGCGACGGGCAAGGTCGGCCTCGGCACGCTCGGCGCCAACCTCGCCAAAGCCGGCGGCGGGATCGGCGGCGGCAGCTCGCCCCACGGTCACGGGCATGGACACGGCCACGAGACGAGCCCGATGGGACTGCCCGCGGCCAAGAGCGAGGAGTGGGACGCGGTGCGGCGCGAGGTGCGCGCTATCAAGGGCATGTTGCTCAACAGGCGCAACTTTACGCTGCCGCCGCGCACGCCGGCGTAGAGGGTGTGTCGTGTGCTCATTAGACCGAGGACCGGGTTGGTTAGTACTCGTTTGTGTGGCTTGTACTGTGATTGTGCATTATGCAGTGCTGCGACCTCCCTTCTGATGCTGCTGGCTACCACCCCACTACTCCTACTCCTCGGCGAGGCTGTCGGCGAGCATCTGCGCAAACTCGTCTTCGCTCTCCGCCTCGGACGCGCCGCCACCCGTCCCCTCTGTCCCCTCCCCATCCGTCTCGGGCCCCATGTCCCCGTTCGCCTCCCCTTTTTCTTTGCCGTAGCTCCCCGGCGCAGTGTAGTTCATCCGGTTGGCCTCGGGCACGTCGTCATCGTCCGTCGGCGCCGTCAACAGCAGTCGTGCGCGCTTGCGCGGCGGCAAGGCGGGGAACGAGGAAATGTCCCCCGGCTGCGGCTGCCGGACACTCTCCAGCGGCTGGTTCTCCTCGTCGGCGTACCGGACGTGCTTGGGATCTTGTTCGGGACCAGGCGTGCCCGCTCGCGAGAGGATGGACGGGCCCGGCGTCGCCGCGCGCGACCACACAGACGGCGTCTCGGCGCGCGAGCGCGACCGGTTGACGGGCTCGTCGTCGCTGCTGCTGTCGTCGTTGTCGCCGCCGTCCGTCGCCGTGTGGGCTTCGTCGTCGTCGTCGTCGTCGTCGTCGCTGCCGTCTTCGAGAAACTTGTCAAACTCGGCCTGCGCGTCGTCGTCCCATGCCGCGTCGAACACTGCCGCGTCCTGCGCCAGGTCGTCCTCGGAGACATGGTGGCCGTCCGCGTCCACGGGGCCCTCGCTCTCGGTGTCGCCCGATTCCTCCGTCATGGGCGTGTCGCCGTCGGCGTCCGTCTCGGGTTCCCGCGCGCGCCCAAAGGCAGCACCGCCGCCGCCGCCGCCGCCCTCTGCCTGCTTGGCGTCCTCCGAGTCGGCGCGCGAGTTGACGCCGCGCGACCCCGACCCCGTACTCGGCCGGTGGGCGAGGAAGGGGTCCTCGGGCTCGCGCCGCCACAGCGCAATGCTCGTTTGCAGCCACGTCAGCCACACGACCTGGGTCCGCGGCATGCGCGCGGCGCGGTGCATCTTCTCGGTGCCCAGCGTGGCCGTCACCAGGTGTGTGACTTTATCGTTGAGCTCGTGCACGCACAGCGCGCCAAACGATTCCGCCGTCTGCCAGATATCCGACCGCTCGGGAACGACGTTGCGCGGGATCACGCCCGTAAAGGCAATGACGCAGCCCGAGAGCACTTGGTCCTTGATCTCCTGGATGAGGAGCGGCGTGTCGCACTGCAGTGGCATGGCATTTGAGCCGGGCACGCGGTCGTCGAATGCCTTGTAGAAGCCCGAGTGGACTTCGCGGAGGATCTAAACAAAGCGTCAGCGCAGATCAGCAGGTGCGGTGTTCGACTCACTCCTGCAACTCGTTCCAGCTCGTGGTCTTCCGGGTTGAGCAGCTGCTTGCGGTGGTGCGGGTGCGGGTGCGGGTGGTGAGCCTGGGCAGCAGGCGCTTGTGCCGCCTGGGGCTCGGCCGTTGCGTCCTTTTCAGGCTTGCCTGATCCCTCAGCTTCTGCCGCCTCGGCCGCACTCTCCGCCTCCTCCTCGGCACGCTCCGTCTCCTCCTCCAGCTTCGCCAGCGGCCGCTTCTCCGCCAGGTCGTCAAGCAGCTTGGACTGGAGCAGCAGGCCGTCCTCGGTGCTCGGGATCTCGGGCGGCGTCTCGGGCCCGGGACTCGACGCGGCCGTGCTCGGCGACGACGCGGCGGCAGCAGCAGCGGCGGCAGGGATGGGCGTCACTGCCGGCTGGGTGGGCGGGAGAAACGAGCCGTTAATGTCTCCTATGCCGATGAAGAAATCGTACGGAACCACTTTGACCAGGTTGGGGCAGTCGCCCCAGACGTCTGAGCGGTCGTCGATGACGACGACCATGCTTTGGTCGGTGGGGAAGAGGCGGACAAGGGATTTGGAGCTCATGCCTGGAGAATGGGGTCAGCTGGCTATCACCATGTTGGCAGCTTCCACTCACTCCCACTCTCGTCACGCGACAAGATACGACCGCCAAAGATCTTGCCCTCGGGGTCGATGACGCGGCAGATGGCGTCCGCGTATGTCCGTGTGCCCATCGTATAGACGTGCATTTCGTAGAGCTCGCTCAAAGACGAGAGAAACTTGGTAAGTCCGGGCCTGTGGGGTTAGTCGGGCCAATGTTTCGCATGTAACCCACCTTGGCTTGGTGTAGTACCACCTCACGGGCTCGGGCCTGCGTCCCTTGGTCTTTACTGCTCCGGGAGGCAGGTCGTCGGCGAGCTGGAAGCGCGCCACGTCTTTGAGCGCCTCGGCATTGGGATTCTTCTCGCGCTTGGGGGGTGGGGACATTGGCGGCGTCGTGCTCCGCACTGCACTCTTGTCGCCTTCCCCACCCTCTTCCACGGCCTTGTCCTTCTTCTCCTTTTCCTCTTCCTCCTCCTTCGCCCGCCTCTCCTCCTCCTCGTCCTCCATGATCTCGTTCATCCACTCGCCCACCGTCGGATCCACGGTGGTATGGATGATGGTCTGGTCCAGGTCGACAATGAGTGACAGGCGGCGCGACGACAACAGCGTGTCTCGCGATAATGTCTCCAGTCGCTTCGCCTCGTTGGTGGAGACGGTCACACCCAGCGCATCGTGAGCGAGCTCAAAGCTGCCCGGATACCGCGACGGACCAGGCTCCTCGGCGGCGGGGCGGGAGAGGTAGTCGTCACTAGAGAAAATGTCATCAGCGGGTTTCGCGCGATCATGTTGCGACAGACACACTCACTTTGTCAAGTCTGCACCACACACCCCGCACATGCCGTGGATCTGGACGGGGTGGGTACACGGCTGCTCGACCCAGACGAGGGGTTTGCTTTTTTCCCTGTCAGCAGCTTATCCAACGCACCTTGACCACACACATCCCCCTCGCTCTACTCACCTCGCTTGCCGGCGCTCAATCACAGTCCCGGTCTTGGCGGCCTCGCCCCACCGCACAATCTCGCCGTCGATGGGGCTCTCCCACGAGCCCACCATGTCGTTCTTGTGCTTTTCGGGCGGGACAGTCTTGCCCTGCTTGAGCGCCGCCTCATTCTCTTTGCGCTGTGTCGCGGACAGAAAGCTGTACTCGAGCAGCCGGTCGCCGCGCCGTACAGGCTGACCGGGGACGAGGACCAGCCGGGTCAGAGTGATGGGGTATGGCAGGTCGGCGCGCAGTGTGAGCGGCGTGGAGTCGCCCATGGTGGCCAATGCTTTGAGTGGGTTGTTGTTTGTTTGTTGTTGTTGTTGTTGTTGGTAAATGATCGTGTGCAGAGTGGGCAGAGGAAACAATGAAGGTGGTGTACAAATGGACGCCATTCGACTCCGTCGGCCGGGCGAGGTGTGGGTGGATTATGACGACAAACGGGGCGACCAGGGCCATTTCGACCGTCTAATTAGACACTGTCGTAATGTGTCCACAGTGATTATGTAACAAATATAACATCTTCGCTAGTATATCGGTTAGTATAACCGCCTCTCAATAGGGAGTTTCCTAATGGAATATCGCGGTAGAGCAGGGTTCAACTCCCTGGCGGAGAATCACTTTTTGCGCTTTTTGTCGTGTTTTGGTGCATTGTTTGGATCCACGCTCATCCTGGAACACTCTACCCACTCTCTCTTTGCACACCATCACACCATAGCCACCACCATCTCATTATCCTGTGCGTCAGGTCCCTCTCGAGCGTGTACGGTCCAGGTGCAACAGATAGTGGACACCACTGCAGAGGCAACTTTGGCACAAGCACAACGAGCAGACTCATGCTCTAACACCGAACGACCAACCCAACCACGACCCAGGCAAGGCCGTCCGTCATCTCGCCACAGGACCCTCTCAGAAGATGGTGTACGTGGCCGACACCAGCGGCGAGCGCACCAACGTATGTACTGAAATGTGATGTGAGCCGCAGCTGACGCGTTTACGTAGCCGACCTACGCGCGTGTAAGATATCGAAACATCGGTGACCTGTGTCCTCTCACTGAACCACCATAGGCTGCAACGCTGAGGGAAGAGGTCGACGCGCTCAAGGCCAAAGTCGCTCATCTTGGGACCGATATCGCCCTCCTCCACGGCCGAATCACTTACCTGTTCGCGGTAGGGTGGCATCACACGCAGCGCGATGCTGACTGTACAGGAACAGCAGGTCGAAAGGGAGAGGCAAACGGCCATAGCGTTCGTGTCGGCAATGCACGCGCTCAGCACGGCTTTTGGGTGTGGGGGCTACAGCTTCCACGCCCAGCTGCGCAAGGTCTTCTGGTGAGTTGTGCTGCCATTCCTCGAGTCTGCAAAGCAAAGTGCTCACTGGTCAGCGCCAGCCAGGACGAGAGCACCGCCCTTGGCCGCGAGGTTGCCAACGTCAACGCCGAGGTCAAGTGGGCCTTTGCAACCCACGCTGCATGGTGGGACGTAATGGCCTTTCGTGGCAGCGGCGGCTACCCCGTTAGCGACATGCTCGAGCTGCTCGAGCTTGAGGACAAGGGTGCTCCGCTCGCCCACGACGCCATCATCTTCCTCCTCCTTGCCACCCGTCGGCACCACCTCAACGATGACGACGAGCCGAGCGTGGCCGAGATTATGGAACACGTGAAGAGGGCGAGCAGCGGCTTTCCCACCGAGCGTCAGACTGTTTGGATGGGGGGACTCGGCCTTGGCGCGTAAACGACCAGCCGCCACTCTGCTGATGGCGTTCGGTATTAGTGTTTGTATTGCTGTGCTTTTCGGGACCGTGTAGCATGTCGTCAAGTATGTAAACAATACCTTGTGTGCGTCCAACGCAAACCAACTCGGGTCCCCATAGCATCAGAGAAGGCGAGCAGCGGTGGTGGCGTTACTCCACTGGGTCACTGACAACAAACACGACACACAAGCATGACATGATGTGGGCTCCGGGATGAGAATATCTCATTGGGTCGTATGCATCCGGCATTGGGAACTGCCTACGTAGGGTGTGGACCTGTGGACAGTCCGAGTTCTCGTGCAGGACTGGGATCCTGGGAGGGTGGACATGGGCGACTACAATGTGGTCGCGTGCATCGGGCGCCATGGTGCACGGAAGCCAGAACCGGGACAGGTGGATCGAGATCACACGACATAACGAGATTATCGCCCAGGGATGATGACGCTGTCTGCCACCACTCTCTGACGGCGTGCACTTGAACCATTCTGTAAGTGATAGCATGTCGTGTGATGCCAAGAGGCAAGATGCAGTAGCGGCGTTCCGCCGAAACAGGAAAAAATGGTTGAAATTGAGACGTCATTGATATCGCTGATATCGCTGACCGGATCTGGGTTGTTTCTACTGCTTCTTGGGGCCGGCTCTACCTCTGGCCTCTGGCCTCTGGATCGTTTCGATAGCGGACAGAAATGTCAGCACATATGTAAACACAAACACAAACACGTCCTCCATTTGCCGCATGCGAGGTGCGAGCCGACAGCCGACCTCGCGCCTTGTGTGGCCTGTAGAGACTGTGTGCTTTTCACCGGTAATGCTTCTTCCCACAAGCCTTGCCTTTCTTCGTCGTTACCCACTCACTCTTCCCCGCTGCAATGGTACTCTTCTGGAAGTTGTTTCGCAAGGACAAGCAAGGTCCAGCTGGTGAGTTGGTCCCAGTGGCCACCATTGACCGCCTCAGTCATGGCTGCCCCAATTCCAATCGCCCAAGAGGTTCCGGTAGACGACTGCAAAGTCGTCTCGGCCCGTCCGAGCGGTGGCGACCGCAAACGTGAGTAACCCATATGGGCCTGGTCGCTGACAGAAGTCCTCATGGCGTTGGTTGGCAACTATTTCACTCTCCGTAGGATCAGATGGCTGTGATCAACGACTGACAGCAGCGCGCAAGGGCAAGAAGCTGTCCAAGGACGAACCCCTCAGTACGTGGCCTTCGCCAGACGCCGCTGATCGCAGACTCCCTCGCACCCCGGGTCAGCATCGACATTCTCGAACCTCCCTTCATGCGCTTTACCGAGGAGGCGCTTGAGAAGGTCTCCCTCGACATGGGCAGGTACGGCGACGGCGAGAGTGCCACCTTCAACATTGCCACTGCCACGGTCCCTCCCCTCCTCGTCGCGGTCCCGGCTCAGAACCAGACCAACTTTGATGACTGCAGCTCGAGCACTCCGACGTCGTGGACCGCCATTGCCACCCCGACGGACAGCGGAGGGGATGCCAGCGTTCAATTCGCAACTGTGCAGTTTGCCACCGTGCAGCTTGCCAACGAGCAACTGGCCAACGAGGAGCTTGCCAATGACAACCACGCCAAAGCACAGCTTGACACCGAGCAATTCGTCCAAGAGGAGCCTGAAACCGAGCCCTTCATTCAAGAAGAGTTTGCTACCCCCGAGGACCTTGGTACCGAGCGGTTCGCCGAGGACTACAACGACGACCAGCCCTCCCAATACAGCGATGATGGCAGCTACAACGCTGAGCACCGCCTTCGCCTCCCGGTCCCCACTCCAGTCCGTCCGCCCCGTTCCCCTAGCCGCCCCGTTACGCCCAGCACCCCGTTCCCTCAGGACACTCAGTAGTGTTTGTTTTCGTGTGTTGTTCCCTTGTGTTCCCAGACAGAAGAATGTCGTCACCCACCCTCCAATCAGGCATCAGAGGTTGGATCTCGGACGGGCGCCCCCTTCTCTTCAACGGACCATATAGTGCCAAGCTGTGCATGTATCCAGATGAGACTCAGATGTTTCGAAAGCGCTACGTCTTCTCTGTCCATCCTCATAGGCCCATTTGGGAATTAACTAACATCCAGCTTGTATAGTGTAGGTGGTTATCATTGGTCGTTGTGGTTCGCAGCAATCTCATCATCTGACCCGACCGCTGTTCGACTCAGCGTGCGAGCACATCCCCCTCTTTTGGCCTCCTTTTGGACATGGAGGGTGCCCCTGCTATGCATGGTGTTGTCTGGAGCAAGTTTCCTGGCCATACGATGCTGTCTGGTGGTGCTACGAGCTTGTCGGGTGAGAATAGCGGTGTGGGATGTGGCATTGTTGTTGCAGCGGATCCCCCGTTTTGAATTGGCCGATAACACTCGGCGTTCATGCGGGTCACTGTCACATTCTTCACGCACGGGCATTTCTGTCTGACAATTGACAAGGACGAGTAGCTGGGAGAGTCCATGAACTGTCTGCTGTGATCTGTGTTCGCATGTCCTCGTTTGCTATGGCAGACTGCACTCCGCCTCCACCTCTTGCAACGTTAGTCCGCCTCCACTATATCCGCCGCCCTTGACGATGCCGACTGCTGACGCCATCCGCAAATAGCGCCTATCGGCGGCCCACCGGTCTTTGCATCCTCAACATCTCTCTTGATCTCTTCACCCACAATCAGCACCCACACAAAACACAAACCATGGCCGACTTTGGATTCACCTCTCGGTACGTACCCTCCCGCGCAGCATAGCACGCAGCTCACCCCACAGCCTCACAGGCAAGACCGGTACGTTTCCCAGTCCCCAACTGATGCCCACTTCCGTCTACCTGATCCTGACGTCCGTCCAGTGCTCGTCACCGGCGCCTCGAGCGGCATCGGTGCCGCGACGGCCAAGCTGTTTGCGACGTTTGGCGCCAACCTCGTGCTCGTCGCGCGCCGTGTCGACCGCCTTGCCGAGGTCAAGGATGAGTGCCTCAAGGCCGGTAACGGCAAGAACACCGTCGAGGTGATCGCCGCGGACATGGCCAAGAAGGAGGACATCGACGGCATCATTCCCAAGCTCAACGGCAAGCAGGTTGACATGTGAGTTGGCGGTCCTTGCCATACAGCTGACGGCAGTCTTGTGAACAATGCGGGTCTGGCGCTTGGCCGTGACCAGGTGGGAGAGATCAGTGGGTTCGAAGGTGGAATCCGTGATGTTAACCCATACAGAGGATGACGACCTTGTCGACATGATCACCGTCAACGGTATGTCCCCCCTCGCGCCAGATGCCACCTCTTCTGACTTCCAGTGCTCGGCCTCATCCGCCTGACCCAGAAGTTTGTCCCCGAGATGAAGAAGCAGGGCTTTGGCCTCATTGTCAACCTCGGCTCCATCGCCGGACGCGAGGCGTACCCCGGAGGTGAGAGCTATTGCACGTGCTCTGCTTAGCTGACGCCCAGGCTCCATCTACTGCGCCGCCAAGCACGCCGTCGCGGCCTTCTCGTCGTCGCTGATGAAGGAGCTCGTCAACACCAACATCCGCGTGTGCGAGATCCAGCCGGGCATGGTCGAGACCGAGTTCTCCGTCGTGCGCAACTATGGCGACAAGGCCGCCGCCGACGAGGTGTACAAGGGCATCACCCCTCGTGAGCTTTAGATCGTTTGCGAGTGACACAGCTGACATCTTTCCCAGTCTCGGCACAGGACATTGCCGAGGAGATTGTGTGGGTCGCGTCGCGCCCGGAACACGTCCAGGTGGCCCAGATCCGTGAGTCGTCGCGTAAAGGGTGCCGCTGACCCCAGTCATCTTCCCCACTGCGCAGGCGTCGGCAGGCATCGCGTACCGCAAGCCATAGTAGGCCTGGGATGGTGGTATGAGAAGAATATGCAGTTGTTGTGACTGGAATTGCCACCGCAACGGACGTCGGACTGACACTGCACCCGTCTTGCCTCCGAGCCTCCTTAACCTCGTCACCCACCTCCCCAGACGCCATCTGGTCACTCATGCTTGCAAAATACAAAGCATGCACAGTCTCTGAGGGCTCCAGATGGCCAAAAATGACGTTTGACGGGGTCGAACCGCCGACCTTGTGCGCAACGCTTCAACTCCCTCTCCGAAGAGGCGGGTTGCTAGTGTTAAGCACACGCTCTAACCAACTGAGCTAAATCGCCTGACGATCACAGCTTGCGCCGTGCAGCTGCGTGCGGAACGCGGCCTCGAAGTCACAGAGCTCATGCTGCAAACGTGAAGCGTGTCCATAATCCCAAACTGTACAACTGTAGCCTACTTCTTGTCACCCGAGTACTGCTGTCAGTTGCTGCGGTCGAAGATCATCAACTTACGTCGTAGAACCCGCGACCCGTCTTCTTCCCCAGTGTCTTGTCCTCGTATACCATCTTGCGCAGCATCGGCGACTGCTTGACCAGGTCGGCCGGGATGAGCCCGCGCTTGGCATAGCCCTCCCACGCCTCGGACACGTATTGCGTGATGTCTGATGTCAGCTAGGTACACCCGTTTGTCTAACTCACCGACACCCGTGTAGTCGAACAGCTCAAACGGGCCCATGGGGTAGCTCGCGCCGAGTTTCATGGCCGTGTCAATGTCCTCGATCGTGGCGTCGCCGCGCTCGACCATGCGGACCGCCTCGACTGGGGCAGTGTGAGTACATGGTGTACCGAACGGCGCTGGCTTACGCTTGTACGGCACGAGAAGGCGGTTGACGATGAATCCAGGCTTGTCCTTGGCCTTGACGGGCACGCGTCCCATGCGCCTGCCGACCTGCATGAGCGTCTCGAATGTCTCGTCCGACGTCTTCTCGGTGCGCACGACCTCGACGAGCTTCATGACCGGCACGGCTGCCGGCGGGGTTAGCTGGCGACTGGTATTCAGAGACAAGTGACCCACGGTTGAAGAAGTGCATGCCGCCAAACTTGGTCTTGCGGTCTTCAGACACGGTGGCCGCAATGTCCGTGACGAGCATGCTGGACGTGTTGGAGGCAAAGATGGCGTGTGGGGGAGCGACCTGGTCGAGCGCCGAGAAGAGTTCCTGTTTGAGCTGGAGGTTTTCGATCACTGCCTCGATCACGACGTCGGCGTTCTCGACGGCCTTGAGACTGGAAGAGAGACAGCGTTAGGATAGTTTGTTCACGATGGGGTGAAACTCACCGGTCGGTGGTGGTCGCAATGTTGCTCTTTGCGCGCGCGACAAAGCCGTCAATGTCGTCTGGGCTCTGCTTCTTGGCGACGCGCGGGAGCGACTTTGCGATGATGCTCAGACCATTCCTGGGTCGTCAGCTCAGTTCACATCCTCGCTCCAGCTCACTCGAGTGCCTTTTCGTTCGTGTCCACCATGGTGACCTTGTACCCTGCCTGCGCGGCGACCTGGACGATTCCCGAGCCCATGAGCCCCGCGCCAAAGACGGTGATGCGCTGGACATCCCGTGGCGCAGTGGTGAGGTGGCGCTGGGTGGTGGCGAGGCGCGCTGTGGCGCCGGAGGATGCTGAGCGCGACATGGTGTGCAGTGCGTGTGATAGTAACATGGCTTGGACAAGAGATGTGATGTGAGGATGGGTGCGCGCTGGGGATGGTACACGGGGTCGCCGGCGCCGGGTAAAAAGGTTGGTTCATGATGGGATTGCGGGGTCGGACAAGGCCGAATGCCGGATGTCCCGTGGCCCGTGGGGCCTCGGTAAAGGAGAGAGCCAGGCCACGGCCACGGACCCGCGGTCCATGGGCTACATGGTGAGCGACTGTCAAGACATGTATGGGTGCATGGATCACAGACAGATGGACGCCTACATGTCTCTGTCACACTGTTGGCGACGACCCTCTCTCTGCTCTCCCGATAACGTCGAGTCGGAAAGTGCAAGACAAATGGCGACAAGCGACAATCTCGCATCACCGGTCGGCTAGCTCCGCGCAATTGCGTGATCCTGCTGCCCACCGCTGGCCGCTGGATCGAGTGGACAAAGATAAACCACGCTTCCAAGCTCTCTTTCTTTGCCCTCCACCCACACCACCATGACCCAGCTCGAGACACTGCCAGTGCTGGACCTCTCCTTGCTCGACCAAGGAGAGGCCGCCGCTGCCGCCTTTCGCGACCAACTGCGCGCGGCAACCCACGAAATCGGCTTCTTCTACCTCGTCGGCACGGGAATCAGCCCTGAGCTCGAACAGCGCATGCACACCGTCGCGCGCCAGTTCTTCGAGCTGCCAGAACAGGACAAGCTCGCAATTGAGAACATCAACTCGCCGCACTTCCGCGGGTACACGCGTCTCGGCGGCGAGAGGACACAGGGCAAGGTCGACTGGCGAGAGCAGATCGATATCTGCCCCGAGGGTCCCGCGGTGCCCAAGGACGACTTGCCCGACTTGCCCGACTATGTGCGCCTCAAGGGCCCCAACCAGTGGCCGCCCGCTCTGCCCGAGCTGCGCGAGGTGGCTACAGAATGGCAGGCGACGCTCGCCAAGGTCGGCCGCAAGTTGTTGCGCGCGTGGGCCGCCGCGCTCGGCGAGGACGAGAGCTTCTTTGACAAGAACTTTGGCGACCCGTTCACATTGCTCAAGATCGTCCGGTATCCCGGTACCGACGCGACGGACCAAGGTGTCGGCGCACACAAGGACGCCGGTGTGCTGACGCTACTGTGGGTCGAGCCTGATGTGGCTGGCTTGCAAGTACAGCTGTCGGACGGTCACTGGGTAGACGCGCCACCTGTCTCGGGCGCATTCGTGGTCAACATTGGCGAGCTGCTCGAGTACGCAACCCAGGGATACCTCAAGGCCACGACACACCGCGTCATCGCGCCCAAGGCGGCCAAATCGCGCATCTCCATCCCGTACTTCTTCAACCCGGCGCTGGACGCCATCTTGCCCCTGCTCAAGCTGCCACCAGACCTTGCGGCGGAAGCGCGTGGCGTCACGCGCGATCCAAAGAACACGATCCACTCGCTGTATGGCAACAATGCGTTGAAATCGCGGTTGAGGGCACACCCGGACGTGGCGGCGATCCACCATGCCGACTTGGTGGCCAAGAGGGCTGCTGCGGCGTCGTGAGTGACAGAGGTTGTATTTGGGCCCCTTGCATGGAAGACACATGTTGCATCCAGTGTCGAGGACAGCAGAGAAGGGCAACAAGGCCACTGCAGGGCACCCCCTCGACTTTGACCTGTGCGAGACGGCGCCGGACAGGGTGCCATCTTTGAGTGAGTTTCCTGTATCCTCATCAACCTAGACTGACCCTCGCGTAGACGCCCACCGGCATTCTCACACTCCACTAACGAACTGGTGTTACAGAAGATGACACAGCTATCAACGCACGGAGTCACCCCCATAAACATTCTTCCAAACATCAAAGCCTGGTTATATCAGTCGGTAGATAGTTTGACTCTTACTAATTTAAGACATCAAAATGTCATGGGTTCGAGCCCCATACTAGGCTTACGAGGTCACAAGCAACTGCTTGAAGCTTCTCTTTTGCTGTTTTGGACTTGGGGAGGATGAACGACGATGTCGAGGAGGTGTGAGAGGATGTGGGAGGGGAGTTTGCAAGCGGAAGTTTGTGGGGTAGCGGGTTTTTTTTTCGGCCAGTACCTTTCCTCGTTCATGCCAGTTTCGGAATCTGGGCGGGCTTACCATTTCTGCCTGGCGCCTTCTCCAGACTCGGTGCACTGCCGTCTGTTCCTTCACGAACAGCATCTCTGAGTGGTTTGTGCGGAAGCACACCTACGTCGGCACTACTAGACTGTGTGGGCGGATCGGCGCCACCGACGTCTGGCGCTTCCCGATGCGGCACGGCCAGCTCGCTGCAAACACGATATCGCGCTTTAGGCAACCAGTGGTTGTTTCCAGGAATGCCGAGTTCGCCATGGCTAGCATAGCCCCGCAGATCAAATATCGCAATGTAGATCGCGCTGGGCGATCACGATAGGCGTTTCACGGTTTCAGATCGGGGATCAGATCAGACAGGTCCCCAACGTCATGGACCCAACGTCTATTGTTCACAGCCACGACTGTGCTGGCGGGTGGAGGTGCCAGCCGATAGTTAATGTCATTCAGCACAGAGGCTTCAAAGACGCCTGCGACGCTGCCATCCCCTTTTACCTCGCTGTGTCTGCACAACCTTTGTCTGTACGATACCTTCATGTGACTTGGTGAACGCGTCCTCTGCGCCACAATAGACAGTCAACTTAACTTTCAGATCTCAAGGGGCATGTGTTTCAAGACGATACACTGCCTCCATGCGTCTGTATAGTACCGCCTAACGTATGTACCTACACGCAATGCACTGCAACATTGTCCTCGTCAACATCGCACACTGCATGTCACCAAGGGGCCGCTCACATGGTCGATCTCATTGGGGCAGGTCGGATCAAGGGATCGTCCCGCTGTGTGGGTCTGTGCGCGTCATTGTGCAGATTCCATGTGAGGAGTGACGAGAAATGTTGTTGTTCCTCCTCCATCATTGACATACCCATAAGAACGCTTCACTCGCCCGTGCCACTGGCCATTGGCTTGCCGCTTTGCCTACTACACCAGTCACTAGGTCCCCTCACCTCCGGACGGATGGGTGTCTCCCGACAGCCTCTTTACACCAAACACCTACCCTCTCCCCCCGCCCACGTACCTACCTACACCAGTCCAAATTCGCACAGTCCCGCACAGACAATCCCGGCACGACGAGCCCGCGATGTGGTTCTGGCAGCGCTGGCTGCAGAAGATCCGCCGCATACGCGTGCGCAAAGTCTACCGTCGACGACGGCCTGGACGCACCCCATACCGGCGGTCACTGGCATCGATGGTGTCAACAGAGGATCAACGACGACTGCGTGAGTTGTCTTTGCCTATGGCCTATAGGGCTGTTAGCCTTAACAGCCCACCTGCCCAGAAAAGGGTTTGCTGAAACCAACCGCCGCACGCAGCTCAGAGGGGTAACCTGTTTTCTTTCCTGAACGAGAATGGCTGGTATGGGGTTGGAGCTGCACCATCGTCTGCGGCGGCCACCAACACGCTGTCCGTGTCGACGCGCCGGAGTCGCAAGAGCATGCGATACGCACACATGAGCATCAGTCCTATGAGCGCCAGCACCATGTCGAGCCAGATGGTGCTGTCCCATGTCTCGTGAGTGGTCCGTGGGGCTGCAAAGGAGCTGACTGGCCCTCAGGTTGGAAAGTCGTCATCCGGTAAGCCCTTTTTTGGTCGTCGAGGAGGTTCCAGCTGATGAGGCAGATTGTACCGTATGAGCTGTACCATACTCTGCTGGAGGAGAATGCCGCGTTGCGAGAGCGTATTAGAGACTTGGAGGGGACTCGGTACATACCGCCATTATCGCCGGGTGGCACCACCATTTGATGCGCATGTTGTAGAGCTGTTGTATGCAATTAGTTGTCTGGCCCTTCCTCCAGACCCAAGAGCGTCTACCGCTTGCCGAGACTAGACTTAACGAACATGTGTTGCAAGTGATGCATTAAGTGGCCGCACTAAGTCCAAGGGTCGGGTAATTTCCGGTCAAATGTGGTCGGGTAATTTCCCGCCAACAAATGCCCCGGCCGCCCGCATCTCCTCATACCGCAAACCCTGCTCAGCAACCTCTGCCCGCCATGGCGTCCTGCAAAGGCGCTCTCCAGCCTCGTACACGAGCACGGCAGTCGTATGGACACCAGCCACCCGTCTCTGTGCATTGCACGAGAGGAAACAGTCAGCGGAGAGCACCAGAAGTCGTCCCTCTTCCTCCTCCTCGTTCTCCTCTTCCTCCGCAAGCCAAAAGAGTTACTCGACGCTCGCTTTGACGCTCCAGTTCAAGGATATACACCGTAAGGGAGTCGAACCCCTGCCGCGTCGATGGCAACGACGCATGATACCGTTTCACCAACGGTGTCTTGATGTTGAGGAGTTTGTTGTTATCGGCGCGGCCGGACGGCCGAGGAAAAACGACCAAAATCATGCCTCCCTTGCCCCCACAACTGCTGCGAACGACTACCATAGCTATACTTCATCGAGGCTGTACAAAAACTTCACTAAGTGTCCATAAAACCTGCCAGTCAGCCCCCAACGCGCCAACCATGTCGACTCACTTCTGATCTCCTACAGGTCCACCATCACGCCGGCGGCTTTGGCCTTGCCACTTGCCACTTGGGCTGTCCAAGCCATTTCCTCCACGGTCGTATACAACTCTCCCAGGGCGTCCTCTAGGACACTAATGTACATGTCTGCCGCTCCCCACCCGTCTCCAGCGTACTGCAGCCTGGCCATCCGCCACGCGTCGCGCGCCGTGGCGAGCGCGTGCGACGGCCCCAGTTGCAGTGCGTCGCCTGGGGGGAGAGGGCGAAATCGGGCTGGCGGAACGTAGGTGTCCGCGTCACTCATCGTTGCCTCGTCGTCGCTCGGGGTATTGACATCGCACGGAACTTTGGCAGTCAGTCAGCCGGAAGCCTAGCGGCAGGAGGGGTTAAAACATACCATCAGGGACCCATGTCGGGGGAGGAGTGGATGGTGGAGTAAGTGGTGTCGCTGGTGGCATGGTGGGTGTGGGCGGGTGGAAACAAAGCGTTGGGACTGGCATGCTTGCTATGGCATGGGGAGGGGTGTGAAGAACAGAGCATTCATCGCATCGCCTTTGCTAAGTAATGGATGTTGTTGTGTTAGGTACGCTGTGCGGTATCTCCGTTCTGTCCTTGGACGAGCCTCGAGCGTGTAATGAGCAAAAGGGTTGTGGACGGGCCGACGGGGTGGCGCTTTCCAGAAGTGGGCGAAAACAGAATTCCCATGATAATGAGTCTAGCACCTGACTGCTCGGCTCGTCTAAAGTGTCGGAAGATGTCTGGACCATGAGAGTCTGACCAAGTACTGTGAGTCTTGAAACTGCGTAGAAGTCGTCAAGGAAAGCATCAAGGATCAAGGATCAAAGGACCAATGTCTCTCGGAGACAACGGCCATTTAGCCCTGAACACCCAACGCCATGTTCCATCATCGGGCAGGTTCTGTTGTGGGCCTGTGCTCGACCATGCAACCGGTGTGGCGGCCTGCGGGCCGTTCAGACAGCCACACGCTACATGATGAGCTCATGAGGCGGAGCATGAAACGGATTTGGGGGACACAAGAGTCGAGACTGTGGGGAGGGAACGTTCTGACGTCAAGAGCAACCGAGGTCATGAGTTCCGGCCCAGGCTCATAAGCCATCACACAATCAACAGCTGCCACTTTTCCCAACTGTACTCAAAATGATAGCCACTGTGTGCTGTGTACCAGTTCTCGCAGCCGCCATGTGTTTTCCCCTTCGCCCCGTCATCATACATACTACACTGAGAGTCCTCGTCTGTTAAAACTACCGTCTTCTTCTTTTCAGTTGCAGTTGGTTCCCCCCAACCCCATTCAAAATGTCATATTTCACCACTCAAAAGGGACAACTTGCTCCCCAGTCTCCGCCGTGTAAGCTATGTCGTTTCCTATGGACCCAAGCTGACTCCCAGGGGACGACAACGCCGAGCAGCACGACTCTCATGACGACTCGCAGTCGACAGACTGGTCACCAATGTGCCCCCTGCACCAGACGGTCGAACGTGCACAAATGCACAGTCCAGTCCGACCCGGAGACCCGTCCATCCTGTCCTGGCGAGCGGCCATGTTCACTCCGGTCGCCCAGAACAGCACGGCCCTGCAGACCCCACCCCAGTCCCCGCTCGAGGCGATCCCGGAGCTGGACCCACAGTCCGACGCCTCCGACACGTCATTCGTCGACCCTTACCCCGCAGACTTGGATGAGAACGAGGACTACGGGTACTACACCGACAGTGAGTCCTCCTCGGAGGACTCTTACGCCTCAAGCTACACTCTGAGTATCATCTGGGAGGAAGACGAGGCGGGGGAGGTCAACGAGGACATGGAGGCGTGTGTCGGCACGGAGCAAGGCAGCTCAAGTGGACCCCACAGTGCAGGTATTGACCTGGACTGTGTGCTCGACTTGACTGCTCTTGCTCAGACACACAAGGACAGCGCCAACACGGGGCGAGAGCCCGACTCGCCAGGGTCCTCATCGAGCAGTGGTCGGCTGCGAAGGATACACGGCGAGAGGGATTTGAGGGATGCGGCAAGGGCTCAAGGGGATGCATCAGTCCCATAGTAGAGCAATAGACCATGCACGTCATCAGAAGGATACTGTCCTTGTCGCAGAAGCAAGCCCGTGACGAGAAGAGGCAACGAACGGAGCAACAGGGCCGGGAAAAGAAGCATCGCCGGTCGCGTGGCCAAATGGTACGGCGTCTGACTACGATTCAGCTCGATTATCAGGAGATCGCGGGTTCGATCCCCGTCGTGACCTTTTTGGGCTTCTATGCATGCTCGCAGAGGCCCCAGATGTGTTGGATTGAGCGACATGCAGTCGGTGGATGGATGATAAGACGGATGGAACAAGTTGGTGGGCTTTGGTGGCGGGCCACGGATGTGCACGGCAACCGGCGGGGACGCGCGGCTGCAGGCGGCAACTCGTATGACGTCCCAATGTCCGGATCGGCATTCAATGGGTACCCAGCGTGCTTGATCTGGGATCTGGGAGTTGCCCCACAACTGCTCATACCATTCCACTCATCGTCACGATCATGGAGCTCAACAAGTACATCGACAGCCTCAAGGGTGTCTACAACGTCGTGTATGCCAGCAAAGTAGGTATGAGACCTCGTGGAAGCAACACTGACCCACAGCCTGCTTTGGCCACCTCCGACAAACCCACCCTCCTGGTGGGCGACACGACCTATGCGGGTACTGCGGCGGCAGCTGCATCTTTAACTGGGGAGATCCTTCTCGTTGTTCCCCTCCTCGCAGCTGAAGTTGGTCCCCGCGCCGCCTGTTCAGGCGTACTGGGCCTGCCCTCGCGCAGCGCCCTCGTGGAGAACGGTGTGGCGTACCTTGGCAGCGATGTCCTGGCCGCGGCCAAGTATCGTCTTGTTGAGAACGCGCTGTGTGCGACGCAGACCGCCATTGCGGCGTAAGTTACTAGGCTACGGGATCTTGCTGACGACAGTGAAACGTCCGCACTGGCTACGGCTATGGGCGTCCCTCGCCAGCTGTCCCACCAGGCTCTGTCCGGCGCAGCTGGGTCGTCTTGGTGAGGGTGCCCTTGGATGCCAGTACACTGACGCCAGGTCTTTCCGCGAATACGCGCCGTGGATGATGAAGATTGCCAACACTCTGCCTCTCGCTCCAACGTTCGCGGATGCCAAGAACGCCTTGGTGAGTTGACAAGGTTGCAATCCAACTCACACCAGACCGAAGCACTTGACGTAGCCGAGCGCGAAGGCTGCTACTACCCCCTCTCATCCCAGGCCTTCCAGACATTTGAGCAGGCCACGCGTCTTGCCGACCCGGCGGGGTCCAGTGCGCAGTGTGCACTGCTCTGGGACCGTTCCGAGAACCCAGGTGACCCCAAGCCGACCCCACTCCCGACCCCGAGCAAGTCGGGCAAGGTCGGATTCATTGGCCTCGGTGCCATGGGCTACGGAATGGTCAATGGTACGTCTGACCACATGACAAGGCCCTAACTGTAGTGCTCCGCAAGAACGACTTCAATGTGGTTGGGTATGACGCTTGGGAGCCGTCCCTGAAGCGCTACGAGGCGGACGGCGGTGCTGTTGCGCCGACGCCGGCGGGATGTGCCGATGGTGCAGACGTTTTGGTTCTCATGGTCGTCAATGTGGACCAAGCCAAGGAAGTGCTCTTCGACAAGGGCGCCGCAAAGGCTCTTGGTCCCAACGCTGTCGTCATCCTGACAATCACCACATCGCCGACTGCAGCTGCGGCGCTTGAAACCCAACTCACCCAACTCCGTCCCGACGTCCATGTCATCGACGCTCCCGTGTCGGGAGGTACACCTCGTGCCGCCAGTGGCGACTTGACCATCCTCTGTGCCGGCCTGGAGACCGCAGGACCCAACGCATCCAAGGCCCTCTCAGTCCTGCAGGCCATGAGTGGCACCCAAGGCAAACCCGAGAACCTGGTCCTCATCCCCGGCGGTGCTGGTAAGGGGGCGGCTGTCAAGACCCTCAACCAGATCCTCGCCGGCACCCACATCAGCAGCTCGGCCGAAGCAATGGCCTTTGCAGCTCGTCTGGGTCTCCCACTGAGGGACGTCCGCGAGCTCCTCCTCACTGGCACCGCCCAGAGCTGGATGATGTTCCACCGCGGCAAGAGCATGCTCGACGGCCTTCTCCAGCCTCCCACGTCCATGGTCAGCATCTTTGTCAAAGACATGGGTATCGTCGTCCACGAAGCAAGGGCGTGTGGCGTGCCCGTTCCGCTGGCGGCGCTCGTCCACCAGCAGTTTGTGCTCGGCAAGGCTCAAGGATGGGGCTCTGATGATGATTCCAGGTGAGTTGAGACGGTGTCGGCGGCGCTAAATTGCCAGTATTGTGCGTTTGTGGGCCGCAAGTGGCATCAACGTTGTCACAGAGTAGAACACAGGTGTTGAAGTGTATGAATGGATCGAAATGCATGGTTGTGCTGTTGAAAATAGGCGTACAAGAACCAAATATTGTTAGCGGAACATAGGTGCACCGATCACGTGACCGGCCGGTTGACTGTACTGTCCGCGACGCGACCGGCAGTAATGTTGTGATTTGAGCGCGTCCGTTGTGTTGTTGATCATCACATTCCATCATGGCGAAAGACACCCAATAGTGAGCACAGCGACAATACCAATAGCTGATCATGGTAGCGAAATTGAAAGGCAAAAGACGATTGCTGAGAACCGCAAGTTGCTCGACTCCCTGGGTCTCGACGACGGCGGCGCGGCGCGCCTCAACCTCGCACCGAAACCCAAACCCCCGCCGGCGACCCGCAAACGCAAAGCGCCACCCGTCAAGATCGAGGCAGAGGGCCCACGTCGCCGCAGTGGACGTCTGGCTGGGTTGGAGCTGGATGACGCAGCGCTGGCCGTCAAGGCCGAGGAGGAGGAGAAGAAGCTCGAGGAGATTCGCATCGTGAACCGAAAGATTCGCGAGCAGGTCATGGCCATCAAGGATATCGTTGAGGACACCCCAGAGCGCCTCATACCTGAACTTGAGGCCTTCCTGCCTACTGTTGGTGCGGCTACCAACGCACGCGTCTACCCCAGCGTGTCCACTCCTGCGAAGGAGGCGTATGCCGACAACGATGCGCTGCCCGCCGAGGTCCAGCGCCTGCAATCTGCGTTCTCCAACATGGTCCTCACCGCCAACACCAAGGTCACTACAGAGCGCGTGTTCAGCATGGTCGTCCATCCCGAACCGACCAAGACCCTTGTGCTTGTTGGCGACAAGAATGGCCAGCTGGGAATGTGAGTGACGCCACCAGGTTTAGCCGCTGACATGGCACAGCTGGGACGCCATGGGCCCAGGAGCTGCACCGGCGGGAGAGGACGAGGAGGATATCGAAGACGATGGCACAGGAAGGGTGTGGCGTCTGCAGGCACATGCGCGCAACAGCATTACCTGCATGAAGGTCGACCCCGTTGTTGGATCAAGCGTGAGTTTGAGGCATCAGCTCAAAAACTGACCCCAGCTCGTCACGTCCTCCTACGACTGCTCCCTCCGCTCTATTGATTTCAACGCGCTCACGTCTAACGAGCTGTTTGCCTTCGACGACGAGGACATGCTCATTAGCCATTTTGACCTCGCTCCAGGAGGAAAGGAGGCATGGATTGCCGACAAGAATGGAGGTATTTCGCATTGTGACTTCCGCGAGGCTGGCGGCGAGCGTAGGCGATGGGTCGTTCAGGAAGAGGGAAGAGCTGCCAAGCTCGGTGGTATCAGCGTCAACCGTGAGTTATTTTATCGGACGGCAACTAACTCTTAGCGCTCATGCCGCACCTCATATGCACTGCTGGCAACGACCAACACGTTCGAATCTGGGATGTGCGACACTTGGCGAAAATCAACCCACGAGCCACCGATTCGCTGGAACCACCCAAGTCTGAAGATGGCACCGACCGTCTGCCAACCTACCCCACTAGCAACATCCCACGAGACAGGGTTTCCAGCTACATGGAGGGTCCCAAGGGCAAGGGCCTCCTGCGCGCCGCCTACCAGCACGGCAAGAGCTGCTCGGCCGCATACTGGGACCCATGGGGCCGCCGCATCGTTACGACCAGCTATGATGACAAGCTGCGAGTGTGGACGCTCAACCCCCAATCCTTTATGCTCGATGCGCCATTGCCAGCCACTCACTTCAAACCCGGCAAAGTGATCCCGCACAACTGCCAGACTGGACGGTGGCTCACTATCCTGCGTGCCCAGTGGTCGCTGAACACTGAATACATGCCTCATTTCACCATTGGCAACATGAAGCGCAACCTGGACGTCATCGCCGCAACCGGTGACAAGATTGTATCTCTCTGGGCTGATGGGTGAGTTGCAATATGTTGGTATATCACTGACATCAGCGTTACCGCTGTACCGGCGGTCACTGCGAGTCATCCAAGTCGCGTCGACCATGTTCTCGGTGGCAATACCTCGGGGAGGATTCAGTTGTGGACCTCGTCGCCAGAATAGTTGTCACCTCATCTCATGTATTACCATGCCAAGCTTTGGGGCGTACGATCCCCACCAAGCACGCTATCCACATCTACATTGTTACTTCCGGGCCTCAAGAGGCGTCCAACCAGCTGAGGGCATTGAAACATCCATGTCTAGACCATTCGATTTGTTCGGATGGCGATTGGAGCCCCAGAGCCACTCACCCTCATTTTAAAATCTCGCGTATCTTGAAAAGTCACCGATGTCGTCACACGTCGTACCGATGAGCACCAATTGTCACCACCGGCCAAAACCGACCCGCCTTGGCACGTTTGCATTGCGTGACAATAACATGTTCTGAGCGACATCCACACCTTTGGGAAGCGTTCTGGCGGCACGGACGCTCGATCTGCTTATCAACAATGCATACGCCCGATCTCACTTGGCGGTTCTCCACATTCCGTCAAAGTTTACACTGCAATGAGGACTGGAGACTTAAAAGACATGCATCCGATCTTGTTGGCCCCCCAAACACCCTAAGTCACCTACGATGTCGGACTCTGACGTCAAGGAGAAGGCCGCTCCGTCAGAAGGCAGCGCGCCGCACCTTCCTGTGCTTGCGTCCAGCGACACCTCGACGACTCCCTCACTCGAGAAGCGCACATGGCGCTCGTACATCTGGTCCAGTAAGTAGCACTCCCAGGTTTAACGGGTCAGCTGCTGACCCCTCAGGCTGGGACCTGCCAAAGGACGAGGCGTGGTTTCTCACCAAGCTTGACCTCACGATCATCTCGGCGTCTGCCCTCGGTGTTATGATTCGCTATCTTGACCAGTACGTGGTACATGGAGAACCTGTGCTAACTGTTGCAGAGTCAACATCACAAACGCATTCAGTGGGTACTGGCTGCCAACCGCGCTGACCCATCAGACAGTGGTATGAAGGAAGACCTCAAGCTCTACGGCAACGAGCTCAACTACGCCAATGCCTTCTGGAGTGCCGCCTACGTCTTTGGCCAGGTCCCCAGCAACTTGCTCTTGACTCGCGTAAACGCACCGTTGTACATCGCCTTTCTTGAGCTTGGTTGGACCATTGCCACTTTTGCTACAGCAGGCATTCACAAGACCAGCCACCTGTACGCAGTGCGCTTCATGTGAGTTACAGGGGCGTTGTACCGACACTAACTCGCAAGCGTTGGGTTGTTTGAAGCCGGCCACTTCCCTGCGGTCATGTACGTCTGCTCGAGTTACTACCGCCCACACGAGCTCGCCCGCCGCAACACCCTCATTCAAATCTCCACCCAGATTGGACCACTGTTCTCCGGCTTCTTGATGGCTGCAGTCTACGCTGGCCTCGACGGCCACAGCGGTTTGCCAGGCTGGCGCTGGCTTTTCATGTAAGAATACCACTACTGTGTGGCCCTTGAAGACTCTCTAACACCCAACAGCATTTGCGGCTGTATCTCATTGCCGTGCGCTATCTGGACGGCTTTCGCAATGCCGCAACTACCTGCACGCGCCCGGCCCAACTGGATCTTCACGCAGGAGGAGATCGACATTGCACGCAGGCGTATGCCGTCCGAGACCAAAGTGCACACCGGCCTGTTCAAGTGGCGTGACATTGTGCGCTGGCACAAGACGTGGCACGTTTGGCTGTGTAAGCTTCGATCCAGCCTAAAGTGCACAGCTGACCCCAGTTCCTCTCACTTTCCTGTGCTCTGCCCAGCTGGGCCAGTCCGGTGCCTCAAGTGAGTTGTAATGTTCAGTCGGACGCCTCCAGCTGACAACACAGTGATCTTCTGGGTAAAGAGCTATAATGTCACCGGGCAACCCAAAGTGTTCAGTGTGGCCGCCATCAACATCATCCCGCTGGGCGTGAGTGTCACTCCACACCGCCAGCAACGCTGACTCCAGATCAACATAATCGGTATCGTCGCCTCCCTCACTGCGTCCTGGATCTCGGATAATCTCCGCGGCGCGCGCCGTTGGCCCCTCATGGTCGGCGCGTTCATGCTTGGCATCATCTTCCCCATCGCCCTGGCTGCCACACCCGTCCACCCAGTCCACCGAGGACAGCGCTGGGCCCTGTACTGTGAGGGTCATCGATGAGGAACAGTGCTGACCATAGATCTCACGGCACTTATCGGCTGCACGGCTGGTATCCAGTGGACGTATGTCAACGAGACGTCTCGCGACGATCCCGAGAAGCGCGCCTACGTCTCCGCAATGGTAAGAGTTTTTCTCAATTTTCCTCAATTTTGCTCCTTTTTTCTCATTTTTTTTTTCACTTCGATCCTCCTGACTTGAACACAATGAGCTGACAGTTAGATGAACGCGGTGGCCTACGTGTTCACTGCATGGGTCCCAATATTCTCATTCCCGACGAGCAAGCAGCCGTATATAGTAACCGGTAACTACATCACGGCTGGGTTTGCGGGGGCGGCCGTCCTCCTCGCCTTGACGATCGGCTATTTCGACGAAAGAGACCGGGCGCGTGCCGCTAGGCAGGGGGAGAAGCCGGCAGTAGCGGACGGGGTGGTCGAATAGGAACAGTTATGAGGGATTTGTACAAGATGGAGACGCTTATAGGTCTGAGAATTCAACCTGCGAGTCGGAACGTGCCACCTGTCGATGGAGAGGGGAGCAGTTTATCAAATTAAATGACACCTCATTATGTTTCGGGATCAAATTCTAATGGGGCGCCACGTGGGTTTGCCGGCGCGCCGCGCGCCCGGGTACTGGTACCCGGTATATACCTGGTGGCCATTGCCAGGGTGATCGGTGAGCATGCATAACCACAGAACCCCCCACGCCTATGCGACGGGAGGCCCAGCACCAAACGCCAGGCAGCTACGAAGCGATGGTTCAGTACCTAGTTGATCCACATAGCCACTGACACTGACCTCGCCTTACTCGGCCCTCCTCCTCCCTCCGGCCCTTCCATATGAAGCCGCAGTACAGGGGACTGCCCAGAACGTCCACAGTGGTACAGTGACCATCTTCCCGTCCGCCATCACGCCGTCGTCTGTACCAACACCATCCGATCTCATTCCAGCGCCCGCCCTCTTGCTTCCCCATCCAAATCGGACCGTGAACCTCACAGCCCCCCCGGTTCTATAACCAAGGAGGTCCCTCGCAGCTTCGTGGTGGCGGCACGTCCGAGGAACAGACATATGCAGGTATGTATGTAGCCAACGGGGCTGCATGTCCGGACAAGTGTGGCAAAATGGCTTCAACTTCTGACACACGCTCATGCTCTGCATGCCTTCCTCGCCTTCCCTCACCTTCCCTCGCCTTCCCTCGCCTTCCCTCCTCCCCTGGTCCCCTGCCCATACATTTCTCTTTCTTCCTTCCCCGTCTTCCCTTCATACATGATCATCACATTCATCACCATCCTCGCCATGCCTTCTGACAGAAGAGCCCTCAACGACCTCTTGAAGAGTGCCGAGCATTGCCAGCACACCATGACACAGCACAGGCCGCAGGTAACCATACCAGAACCATGCCCTACCCCCCTTCACCACATCCAAGCCCAAAACTGCGGTCCCATGCAGGGCTTGCCGCAGCAACAGGACAAAGGTCAGTCCTCACTCTCCTCACTTGCGCCATCGCCCTAGAGCTAACGTATTCAGTGTGATGGCCTGAAGCCCCGCTGCGGCAAGTGCAGGAGGATCGGAGGATCGGAGGACCGGTTCCCGCACGTGCTCGTTTGTCACCTTGTTCCGCCCGACCTCGTCGAACCCCCCCATGAACGGGCAGTCCAAGAAGGCGGTGAGTTGTTGTTCGCTTCTGTTGTCACTGTCCTGACTGTCCAAAATGTCAGCGGAGCGTTATCGAAAATTTCCAAGAAACATGATGTCGACGATGATGGACCTCAAACGAAGCGGCGCCGTTTGAGATCGGCGACACACGATGTTGAGGACAGTGAGGAGGAAAACAGCCCCAACAAGTCGCGCGCAGCATGGAAGGTAAGTCTCGTCGCCAAACATGTTAGCTGACAACTCCAGGGGGGGCCCGTTCGAGTTCGACACGTTCGTGTGTTGCGCGAGTTGACAACTGACCATCTCCAGACAGAAGTTTGTCGACGGAATTGGCAAGACGTACGCCGGCATGGAACGTTCCCCAATTCTACTACCACCCTCCCGACAAGGAAGGCTTCGACGAGCTGCCTCCTGTGCCGACGGCGAACCAGCTCATCGACTTCTTTGCCGATGTCCGTGACGCTGTGGGCATAGATCGCTGGTGGATATCAGCGGCCATTCATTTGGCAACCCACCCGAGGTCTGTTCTGTTGCAGTTCGTCCCCGGAATGATTCGTACATGCTGCTCATGTTACGATCAACTACAGATGTGACACTGACGCGACACAGATTTCTGTTCCCCTCGCACTCCCGCCCTGAACCACGCGAGGGCGCTGAACTGGGGCGACATTGCCGAAGCATGGCCAGAGGAGAATGTTTCGGAGGAGGTGTACAGTATGTGGCCAGTGTTCTTGAATGTGATGCTGACAGGGCCTAGTCGTTCATGCTGTGATCACCGCGTTCACAGCGCATGAGCTCCAGGCGCTCGCGAAGCTTCTGGAGAATTTCAAGAAGGTATGGGTCTCCGGGTTTGGTTTCTGCTGACTGTTCCAGTTCCTGCTGGCCATGTCGACCGAAGAGTATTGCGTGTGGTGCCTTCAAGCACTGAGGGGTACAACGTCAGCCTGAGCTCTTCAAAGCCGCGCTTGCCTTGCTGAATGTGGTGGGCTGGGCTGGTGCCTCTCGAGCGAATCCATAAGCTGGGCAACGAGCATGGTCAACGGCGACGCGAGGCCAGCGCTTCCCGTGCCTGCTTTGTCCTTGAACGACAGCAACGTTTAGCCCATCATTCCGGGGCGCGACTTGTCTTGGCACTGTGGTACGTCAAGATCGTACGAAGGGATTGGCAGAAAGGAACGGCGAACATTGTCACGCGGTGTGCATAGAGCGCTTGAAGCCGGTTCCTGCTATCGGATCGCTCTCTTATTGTCAGTCTTTCTTCCCAGGACCCAGCAACTGGGGTCAGCGTGGACTGGAGCGTGCTTCCCGGTGAGCTGTCCGTGCCGGCCTCGTCATCCCCACTAAACCACACGACTTGCATCGTTTGGTGGCCATGGAACTTAAGCACCGTCGCGTGAATGGCCTCACACGCTTCATCACCCAACAAGCACCTCAATAAGGGCCTTGTAGACCAGGTCGTGGGTCACGGACACAATGCATAACCAGGAGAAACACTGCCACTGTTGCGCGCCCGCCAACCAGATATTCGACCAGTACATATCGTGTCTGTGACATCATACGAGTTTCGCTTCATGCGCATATCATCTGCTTGACGCTGAGAAGCCAAGATTTGGTTGCCACTGCTTTCGGTATGTAACATCCCCCAGAATGAAGCCGGTGCCCGGCTCGAGATCATCAACGATGACAAGCTGCGTGCTACTCCTAGAGGTGCGCCCTTATCCAAAGGTTATCGAGGCCAACCGACCACGACAGTCCGGCTTTCGGTCCGACGCCTGGCATTCCACGACCATACCACGACCGACACCCACATCATTATCACTGTGCATGGAGCGCTATTCAACGCACTGTGCAACGCTCTGCAACACCCTCTTGACATCGAGTGCACTACCTACTATGGCTTGTTACTTCCAATCCTACAATGATTGACACATCCTGGACAATGACCTCCTCGAACTTCTGGGCTCCCACCTCAGGCGACGTAGCGGAAGTGGCCATTCTGGAAGTCGGTCTTGTCCTCGAACGTCTGGACGTTGGGGTTGTACTCCTCGTTACCCTCCGCGTAGAGCTTGTCGCGGCGCTTGTTGGGCATAACGAAGCAGAGGCGGAGGAGCAAGATGACGACAATTTCGCATGCGCGCGAAGCAAGGCAGATGACGGTACCGGTGTGGTATGTGGGCGCTTCCTTGGACATGAACGCGTACGGTCCAACGACTGACTGTTAGATCTTTGGTCGTTCATTGGAGTTGACTCACTGTTTCCGAGAGCGACACCAAGGAAGATGGCCGCCGAGGCGAGGGTCTTCTTGGTCACACCGCCGACGTTACCCGCCACGAGGGAGAGGGCGAGAACGAAGACGGCGTTGGACGAGCCGGTGAGGTAGTAGCCGACGAGGCGCGAGGCAGCCTTCGAGGTGAAGGCAACCAGGGCAAAGCCAATGACAGTACTGGGTGATTAGTACATACAAGCATGATGGCGCAGCACTTACAGAACAGTGACACCAGCCATCAGGTAGGTCCTGACGTTGCGGCCGTCGAGGTAGTGGTTGGCAGCGATCGCGAGATAGCTGACGTCAGCGCTTGTATAGGAAGCCGCACTCACATCATGATGGAAATGAAAGCGCCGTACGGGATTTGCAGGAGAGTAGTGCCCATGGTGTCGAAACCAAAGCCCTGGATGAGAAGAGTACCGAAGTTGGAAGTGCCACCGTTACTGCACGTCAGCACCTGTCTCTGCTGCACAATACTCACGGAACATTGGCAAAGAACCCGAGGAAAAAGTACAGATAGATCTTGGGGTCCTTGACAGTCTCCCACACTTGGTCCCACTTGAGCTGACGCTTCTCGACAGTGTGGTAGTCGTAGCGCTTCCTGGAGACGACGACAACGGCCTCACGGCGAGTAAGCCAGCGCGTGCAGTGGGGTGCGTCGGGGATGAAGACGGCCATCAGGATGGCCCAGAGCGAGCACGCGGCACCAATGATCAGGAACTCGTATCGCCATGACTGGAGATTTCCCTTGATGTGACCAATGCCGTAGCCAAACAGGCCGCCCAGAGCGATGCCAATACCGTTGGCACTGTACCAGTATCCAATAACGGCTGGCTGCTGCTTGCGAGTGAACCACATGCCCGTGATGGCAATGAAGGCCGGGTCGGCCACGGCCTCCATCATACCGGACACAAAGCGAAGACCGACCATGGCCCCGTAAGACTGCGATCCGGCCTGAGCCATGAGGAAAGCACCCCAGAGGAAAATCTGAACGTCAGCTCTCACACGTTGCGGACTGTTACCGCTGACTTACGTTGACGGCGAGGTACTTCGAAAGAGGGAATTGGGCCATGAGAAGGTTGCCTGGGATAGCCCAGATGATCCAACCGCTACAGATTAGCCAAGGACATGTCATTTAGCTGCTTACACATAGAAGATTGATCCGAGATTGGAGTAGTCTTCGCCCTTGAGGTGAAGGTCCTTCTTGATACCAAAGAGCTGAGAATGTCAGCGCTGGTAGGCCACAACATAGACTTGGCGCCGATCCGTGTACCCCATGGATACACAGATCAGCGCACCTCCTCCACGATGTCACCATCCCATACCCTCCGACTTCCCCACACCAAATTTGCTCGCTTTCCACGCGATTGGTCTGCTTTGTTCCAAGCCCAGGACACTCACCGCTGCGTACGAAAGGGTCGTTTTATCGACATAATAAAACAGGTAGCACACGGCGAGAGCCGGTACAATGAGCAAGTAAAGCTTGCGTTCAACCTGAGAGATTAGCTTCCGAAAACCATCCGCCACTGACTTGTTTGACCTCCACAGGGTCGAGGTCATTCTCATTCTCGCGAGCCACATCGCGCATAAACTCAAGGCTTGGGTTGCGCCTGAGCATACGACGAAGACCGGTGCGGTTTACCGCTGCATCAGCCTCATCGTAGGCGATCTCGGGTCTGTCGTCCTTCTCATTGACATCTTCGACATGATGGTGACCTTGGTCCTTTTGACTCTCAAGGTCAGGGGTGTGGGTGAGGTCAGTAATTTCGGTACCCATTGGCGTTGGTGGGGTGTGTGGAGTTGGAGGTTGGGGAAGTATGGGGACCTGGAGGGCCCCCGCTCATGATATAGCCTCCAGTTTGGTGCTCCTGAGCAGCTTGAAGCAACACGGAGGTGCAGTCCGTACCCACGAGACACGGATAACGGTCCGCGGTCCGCCAAGATGTGGCTTGGCAGCTTCTTCTCAGAGTCTATTCGCGCGGCGGAGGGCCCCTAAAAGTTCCCAGCTGCCGCAGGGAGGTGCGATGTGGAGCCATGGAGCTATGGAACCGAGTGGTGCCACGTTGGCAGCTTGGCACAACCCTGGCACCAGTCTCGGGAGCCAACGGAAGTCATATCAGCCCCAGCTGCCTCTCGGAGTGCGGCCACCAGCATCACATGCACATACGCGCGGCTGCGGGGCCACGGGGCTCCTGCTTTACCCAGCTGCCCACTCTGGGGAACAAAGGGCGGACCGTATTGAAGGAGTCTCGGGTCGACGGACCGATGGACCGCGGTCCGTCGCTCCGGCACGTGGCACGTCGTCACTTCCGCTGCTCCGTAGTCTGTTCCCCACCATGTTTGCTGCTGGCTCCTCCGGCCGGGCCAGCGGGCCGATGCGCACCCTCAACCGAGCTGTCGCAGCTCATATTAATGCTCTCGGTCGTCTGACTCCATGGTCCTGCATCACCCCCATTCACCATGGTTGTACCCACCTTCCACGCCCGATCATTGACAGAGCTGGTCGCGCTTCGCGCAAGTGAGTGGCGCCTTGACGAGAATCAGGCTGACCAAAAGCCACACAAAGCGACGAGCCGGCCGTCCACACAGGCGCCGCCGAGTTTGGAGACGAACTCCTGACTCTCACGTGAGTTGTGCACACTTGGACAGTCGACTGACGGTACAGATACTCAGATGTTGCTTCTGCTGTCGACCGTCTTGCGGCCTACTACGCGGACCTCGGGTTGCAACCCAAGTGCGCGGCAGGCGAAGTTCCTCCCGAGCGCGTGATAGCCGTACTCACGTCCACGGCTATCGATGAGTCGCTCCTGGAGATGGCTCTGGCGAAGCTTGGCCTTACCTCCCTCCTCCTGAGTGTGAACAACAGTGTGGCCGCTGTCGCCCATCTCTGCAAGCTCACCAAGTCAAGCCACCTCGTTTACGGCCCCAAGTATGCCAACACCGCTGCTGAGGCCCAGAAGATGCTTGCCGATGATGGCATTACCCTCGAGACTGTGGCCGACAAGCGCTTCCCAATCTGGGGTCCCGGTGGTGTCCGTGACTCCAAGATCCCGACCTACCCCGCACGCCTTACCCCAGAGCAAGAGACCAAGCGCACCTGCGTGATCCTTCACTCGTCTGGATCAACGGGCTTCCCCAAGCCCGTCTACGTTACCCACTATGGCCTCATTGCCAACGCGGCCGTCAGTGTCCCCAAGACTGGTTTCAGCGCTCTGCCACTCTTCCACGGCTTTGGCCACTTTTCCATCTTCCGCTGCCTGTACCACGGCAAGGCGTTCACCCTCATGCCTCCTCACCTTCCCATCACCAGCGCCAACATTGTGCGCACCATCAAGTCCTCCCCTACCCCACCCGTGCAGCACTTTGCTGTCCCTTACGTCCTCAAGCTTCTTGGTGAGACTGAGGAGGGAACCGCCAGCCTGGCGTCGATGGAGGCCGTGTCGTTTGCTGGTGCCGCTGTCCCCGATGACCTTGGTGACCGCCTCGTTGCCGCTGGTGTTCCTCTGTACTCTCAGTACGGCACTACCGAAACTGGAGCCCTTCTCACCTCTCGACGAGAGTACGCCGACGACAAGGCATGGAACTGGCTTCGCGTTGAGGGCCTGATCGCGCAATACCTCGAGCTCATCCCTCAGGGATCCAACTCGTTTGAAGTGGTGGTCAAGGACGGCTGGCCGGGCAAGGTGATGAGCAACCGCGACGACGGTGCATACTGCACCAAGGACCTTGTCGTTCAGCACCCCGACCACCCCACCTGGGTCAAGTACGTCGGTCGTCTCGACGACACTCTCACCCAGACCCTTGGCGAGAAGACCAACCCTGTGCCCATTGAGTTGGCGATTCGCGGCAACTCGCCCCTCATCCAGGAGTGCATCGTTTTTGGTGACGCCCGCCCCCAGACTGGTGCTCTGATTCTCCCGTCGGACGCTGGTGCCGAGCTCAGCAAGGACCGCAAGGCGTACATGGACGCCATCTGGCCCGTCATTGCCGATGCCAACAGCCAAGCCCCCACCCACAGCCGCCTGTTGCCCGAGATGATCGAAATCCTCCCGGTCGGCACCGAGATCCCTGTCGCTACCAAGATGAGCATCCTCCGCCCGGCCTGCTACAAGAAGTTTGGCTCGATCATCAGCGATATTTACGAGCGCTTCGAGCAGGGCAACGGTGCTGCCAAGCAGGAGATCACCTCCAAGCCCGAGATGGAGGCGTTCCTGACCAGCACGATTATCACTGCCCTTGGCGAGAAGACATCCGCCGACCTGAGCCCCAGCACCGACCTTTTCGCGTACGGTGTCGACTCTCTCCAGGCCACCCGTGTGCGCAACGTCATCCAGAAGAGCCTTGAGCTCGGCGACGCCAAGCTCGGCCAGAACATTGTGTACGAGCACCCATCCATCTCCCAGCTCTCGGACTACCTCCTGGCTCTCAACTCTGGCGCCACCGTGCAGTCAGCTGCAGACAAGGCCCATGCCACCATGGTTTCGCTCGTCGACAAGTGGGCTGCCCAGATTGATGTCACCGCCGCCTCGTCTGCCAGCGATGAGCGTTCGTCGTCTGGCGAGGTTGTCGTTCTCACCGGCGCCACCGGAAGCCTCGGTGCACACATCCTTGACCAGCTCACCCGTCGCCCCGAGGTGTCCCAGGTCATCTGCCTGTCCCGCGCCAAGGACGACGCCGACAGTCTTGAACGTGTCCGCCAGTCACTTGCTCTCCGCAAGCGCACCGTTCCCATGGGCAAGGTTGTCAGCTACGCTGCCGACGTCAACCGTCCGGATCTCGGTCTCTCGCCATCGGTGTACGACTCGATCCAGTCGTCTGCCACGGCCATCATCCACAATGCCTGGCCCGTCAACTTTGTTCTGTCCATCAACAGCTTTGACGAGCACATTGGCGGTGTTGTCAACCTCATCAACATGGGTCTCAAGTCGTCATTCAAGCAGAAGCCGGCCTTCTTCTTCTCCAGTTCAGTCGGCACCCGCCAGGGCCGCCCTGAGCCGCTTATTTCAGAGACCTTCCCCGACTCCCCCACCACGGCCGGTGGTATGGGCTACGGCCAGAGCAAGTGGGTTGTGGAGAAGATCATGCAGCGTGCTGGCCAGGTCGTTCCCTCGGCGCGCTTCGGCGTCCTCCGCATCGGCCAGCTGGTCGGCGACACCGAAAGCGGCGTGTGGAACGAGACTGAGGCGTGGCCCCTCATGTTCCGCTCTGCCAACGAGGTCGGTGCGCTCCCCTTGCTCGACGAAAAGCTGCAGTGGTTCCCCGTCGACCAGGCCGCACAGGCCATTTCGGACCTGGTGCTTGTGCCCAACGCGGCTGCCGGATCTAGCGTGTACCACGTCCTCAACCCCAAGGAGGCCTCGTGGGGCGACATTCTCGAGGGCCTCCGCCGCGGCGGCCTCAAGTTTGACGCTGTCGACCGCCTCGAGTGGCTTGCCCGCCTCGCCAAGAGCAACCCCGACGTGACGGCCAACCCCACGTACAAGCTCCTCACTTTCTACCAGAACCGTATCGGCAAGGACGAGGAGCGTGCGCACATGGACTTTGCCGTCACCGAGACGGCCAAGCTGTCCCCCACCGTGGCGGCATGCAGGCCTGTGGACGCCGACCTGGTCGCGCTGTGGACCAAGAGCTGGAAGGAGAGCGGGTTTGTGCATTAGTGCACTTGTGCATCAAAGGGAGTTTGTATTCGCATATTGTAAATGAAGTTCTATTGATTTGGAAACGTATTCAGGCCAGCCGCGGGCAGTGCCTGTTGCAGGATATGGGGGGACCGTGGGAACTTTGGCCGTCATTAGAAACACGGCGGTAATTGAAATAAACCCAGTCGAATCCATTTAGAGGCTCACAAAGGTAATTGCCCGCCATTGTTTGGCTCCGTCTGTTTTGTTCCACCAGCTCCACTTCAGGTTTCCACTTATCCACGACTTCCGTGTTTGCCATGGCGGCCCACACATTACAAATCTCAACAGAAATGCCTCGTAAATCGTTAAGGGCAGGACATGATTCATGGATTTGGCTGCAGAAGTGTATCCAGCGTCGAACCTCACAACTACAACATATATATTAGACCTTGGTCTCATGCTGCTGGTGAACGTCCTTGCTGCTGTTGTCGTCCTCCACTCCGTAAATGGTGTCGTCAACAACGTGCTCGTGCTGCTCCCGCAGGTGCGGGGGGAGGTGCATGAGAACCTTGTCGCCAGTGAAGAGCAGATCGATCTCCTCGAGGGTGAGCTGGGCCGTCTCGGGGTAGAAGAAATAGATGATGGGCACGAAGCAGGCGTTGAACACACAGAAGTAAACATAGGTTTTCCACCCGATTGAGCTGATGGAGATGGGAGTGATTTCAACGACCACAAACGTAAAGCACCAATTGGACATACTCGCCAGTGCGGCAGCTGGGGCTCGTATAGGGAGAGGAGCATACTCGGCAGGAAGGAGCCACGGAATGGCCAGTAGGCCGACCGCGAAGAAGAAGTTGAACATGAACAACATGACTGCTGCAACAATTCCGGGGGCCCCGGCCTTGACTGACGTAGTCCCTGCGAGGATAGCCATACACCCGCACTGTCCTGCCGCCGCAAACAGCATGAGAGGGCGACGGCCAACTCGATCAAGGAGCCAGATGGGGATGAGGGACGACAAGAAGTACGCCACACCGTTTGCTCCGGAGAGTAGCAGAGAAAGATTGTGGCTCATGCCAACAGACTGCTCAAAGATGACTGGTGCGTCTGTATTGTCAGCACACGGTTAAAAACTCTCGTCACGATCGAAAGATTTGTCCGGACAAAAGAAACACAAGTTTCTTTCGCCCTCGCCATGCTAACGACATCTCTAAAAGCAAGAACGTTGCTTACAGTAGGAGATAAGATTGATACCGCACAATTGTTGTATGAACTGGCCACCCACGCCGAGCATAACACGGTGAAAATAACGCTCCTTGCCGAAAGTGAAGCAAGCGCGGATCGGCGAGACGGGATCGCCGTTCTTGTCCTTGATGGTTGCGGCCTCTTCTTCCTGGAGGGCATATTTGATGAGACTGAATTCGTGATCTAAGACAGCGTGCTTGCTAGGTCCAGAGTGTAGAGACAGCTGCTCAAGCACAGCACGAGACTCGTTCTCCCTGCCGTGCTTGAGCAACCAACGTGGCGATTCGGGGCAGAACTGAATAATGACGATGGTGGCCACGGCAAACACAATTTGAAAGGCAATAGGCGCGCGAAACTGAGCTTGCGACTTGACAAACGAAAAACCGTAGTCGAACCAGTAGGCGCACATGAGGCCGACTGCGGGGGGTTCAGTATTTGGAAGGGGAAGGCGGGGGAGGGGGGGGCAGGGGTTTCACACATACAAATGTTAACGGCAAGTTCGATTGCGAGCGCGCGACCACGACTGTGGGCTGCAGTTGTCTCAGAGTGCCAGACAGGGACCGTACTGGTGTTGATACCGTTTCCAAGGCCCGTGACGATGCGGCCGACGATGAGTTGAGGAATGCCATACGACGAGGTTTGAAGCGCGGCCCCAACCATCAGGACCGAACAACCCAGCATGATGGTGCGACGACGACCTAGGGTCTCGCCTGCAAAGAACGTGAACAGAGACCCGAACAGGCATCCTTACGATTTGTCAGCATCTGTGTGTCGCTCCAATGCACTCACCAATCTCATAGATGGCGACTACCGTTCCTTGAAGCGAGGACGATCCGTTGCCAGAGTCGGTGGTGTCTGGGGGTCAGCATTGTCGTGGAGCTCTCAACGCACCGATTGACGGGAACTGTTTGGTAAATGCTGAGCCGGTAAGAAGCCCACTCATAACACCTTGGTCCTGCATTGTAAGCATTGATCAGTGGTTGAGCGCACTCACGTAACCAAAGAGCATAAAGGCCGCGCCACAGCTGCAGACCACAATCAGATCACGTGATACCGGGTGGCACCTGCGCCACTCACCAGGCTGTGATCGCCCTTTGACATGCGCGTCCGCGAAGTATAGACGTCAACTTGGTCATATTAGGTAGAGTATTCCTGGAGTGCAGAGAGGAGTGGTCAAATAGGGTGGGGTGACATGTGGAGCCAGCTGGTTTTATAGACGCACTCATATATAGCTCACACTGGCGTGATGCCGTCTGTATTGTTGGCGACGGCCTGGTTGCTCGTCGCTCCATGGCCCCGGCTCCAAGGTGTGTTCCTTGTGCCGGAAGCCGATTGAACTTCCGTACATGTATCTTCTTCGTGCACCTCTCCGCCGGTACACATCGAGGCTACCTCTTCTTGCAACTCTCTGGATACCACATATGTCCGGAACGGTGGTTGTGCCTCCTTGTTCCTTTGTATCCAAGGGGGTTGTTGGAAAACGAGCGGACAATAAAGTCCGAAGGAGCGCGGTCAGACTAATGAACGGACAGGACAGTGCAGGGACCATCTGGGGTTCCACTCATAGTACTATGATAGTGGAGCGGTGAAGGTCAGATGCCCCGAGGTGATCTCGCATCGAAAGCGACGGTCCTTTGTCAATGGTTGTTTATAAAGAGGCTGGAGGGAACGCGCAGACCGCTGAATCGCATCGCGGCTGTCACGATCAGTGTGCTGAACCTGCTCATGCCATCCGTGTCCTGAGACAGACGTGCCCCATATCAGGATCATTCGCACCACCATGCACGTCCACGGGCCCCACTGCTGGTAGGCCATCGGACAATGGGCCCCGCCACGGGGAAACGACAGGCTGTTGCGGGTGTAGGTTCGGCCATCTGCCCGCAGCACTGTCGTCAGCCGCCAGTACTTGACACCGTAACTCATACGCGACGAGAGGTTGGGTCCTTTGGAATGACAACCACCATAGGTGATAACTCCCTTCTGGTGGTCTCTGCTCCATGGAGCGACGCCATGTTGCTGGCAACTCCAACGGCCAGCCACATGGTCGGGTGGACCAGGACCTTCACTGTCATGTCGAGGAACCCCACAACAGGGGCTTACCGTTGACGCCGCTGTCTCGGACTGTCTCTGCGACCTCTCCAACGAGCACGACGCGATCTCTACCTAAGCTTCCGGCTGTGCGACACGGGACTGCTGTGGTCCCGAAGCCACAATGCTCCCCGTGTTCTCCGTGCGACCGACAAGAAGAGACGCTCTGTCTTTGGGCCTCTACGAATTGTCCTCACCATCCGCGCCTGTCCTATGTTTTACACTGAGAATCATTCCCCAATGCAAGACAAACCGGTGTCGAGGTGATTGCACGGCGGATTTCCTAATATACTGGTGAGACTGATACACTGGTATTCCACAAACGACCGTACACCACAATACATTCCCACTCGACGCATATACCTTTATAGTATCCACATCCTACCCCTAGACATCTCATTTATTTTTCTTTGTCGGCGCTTGCTACCTTCCGTTCGACTCAAGAAAGGACGAGCTAGTATCGTTGTCCTCCACTATGTGGCCCCGGGGGGGGGGGGGATCCAGCGACTGTAGTCGAACCAATGGGATGAGTGGCGCTCCTCTGGTGCGTTCTTCTCACGGCGCCTGACGTTTTGCTATGCTTCTGGCGGCGCATGACGGGAGCTCAACAAGCGTATTCTCGGCTCGGGTAGACTCGTTCGAGCTCTCGTCTGACTTGCTCGAGCTCCCGTCGGGCTCGTTGTCGTTGGCGGTACGGCCCTTCTTCTTCCTCTCACCCTTGCTCTTGCGCCTATTTGGTGATGTCCGGCGAATGTTCAGCCAACTCAATTTCTGGACGGTGACCGAGGCGGAAGGAAACTGCTCAAAAAGGCTTGCGCCCGACGAGCTGGACAGCATCTCGAAAGACCTTAAGGCAGTTGTCCAATGTGCCACCCGCGATGATATCACAGATGCCCCATTTGCCGAGCTTTGCCGGCGAGTGTGAAGACAGCATGGTGGCTGCGAATGTAGATGAGCTAAAACGCCGGTCAGCCAAGCCCATTTGTATGATTAACGCACCTGGATCACGAAAACGATTGGCCCACCGGCCTTCTTGACGTCTTTCACCTGCTCCAGACAAAGTGCGTGTGCGAGTCCGGCTTCGTTGACGTAGACGGAATAGTTGCCCAGGCCGGCCGGTTCGCATCCACGGTCGAGCGCGACAATCTCGTTGGAGGGCATGCGGTAGTTCTCGTTCTCGTGCTTCTTTGACGCCTCTTCAACAGCATCCGACTCCTCCGCATTCTCGTCGTCTTCGTCGCAGCTGGCATCCTCCTTGTCGCCAATGTTGCTGTCGGTCGGCGCATGTGGGCCAGAAGCGTGCGAACGAGCAGTTGTCGCGGCCGATTCACCGCACCTCTTGGCCACCTTGGCAGACGACCTGCGAGGTGCCAGGAACAATGGGTGATTATCCCACGAGTCCGAGTCTGAGGAGGATTCTTTGGCACGCTTGCTGCCGTTGCCGCTCGCCGAGGGACCATCGTTCTGGGACCCTGTGACGCCGTCGCCGTCTGCCGCGTCGCGTCTACTCCCCCTGTTACCCTTGCTGGACGATCCCCGGCCACCGTTACGAGCTGTCGCACCCGAGGCTTGCGTGGAGGATGTCCGGCGACGCGAGCCAGTGCTCGAACTCGACTTGGTCGTAGGCATACTGGGCGGCAGGTGGAGGTGGGTGCCGGCAGGTGGAGGACACTGGCTGCCGTGATCCGCCGGGCGAGGAATGTGGTTGAGGGTAGCGGTTGTGAGGGTGGTGGGGGCAACGGTTGTGATTGTTGTGATGGTGGTGATGGTGGCGACTTCGAGTGCACCAGACGCGCCTGCTTTTGGTCTTGTGGCACTGCACAATGTGTGGGAGCTATTGAGACCGAGAGACGGGACCAAATGGTAGAGTGGAGGGCCCAAATAAGTATTCCGCCATGCCCCATCATGGGTGATCCTGTACCAGGAGCGTCCTCCATGGACCTGTCCTCTCTGGGACCCATATCTCAGCTGCTTCAATACCCGCTCGGTTGTAGCAAACGGTTAGAACATCTGGGACGGAGCCAACGAGAAAAATACCGCGAGAGGGGTCAAACGAGACTCCTGGGCACAGGGTGGAAGCTGTCGTGAGGCTGCGGATGGCAGACTGTGACAGTTTTCATGTAATCTTTCTGGCCCAGCGACTTCAACTAGCTCCCCCCGCCCTCGTCGGCTATCGCCCATCGGTCCGACCACAGGCCTCAAGATGGTGTTACTGGAGTGCACAGCGGTCCAATCGATGTATATCTTTTGCCCGTCGTTTACCGTCGTCCGTCTCAACATTGCTGGACTCATCTCTATTTCCGCCAACGAGCTCTTCCCCATAGCGGGCCCCAGTGTCCGATCTTGCAGTCGGACCGACCGGTCCTGAAAAGACAATCACTTGGGCCGTTTGTGGTCCTGGCGCAACATCATTGTTTAGGAGAACAGTTCGGTCAAGGGGGTCTCCAAGATCTGGGCAGCCGTGAGTGGCCGTCAACGACCGGGATGCGCCGGAGCCGATAAATACCGCTCGTCTACCACGTTCATGACCATTAGGCTGCGCTCTATTCGGGGCCGCCGGAGGACGGCCCGGAGAGTAATGTGGCTTTCTATGTGGGCGTGAATATGAGTTCAATTGCCGCCGATAGCCGCCCGCTCGGCCGGATGTGGTGCAACGTTGGAGTCGTTGTCCCAGCTCCGGTGGGCATGTGATGTCTGCCACAGTATCGCTGCCAAGAGCATGCGGAGATACGGCACCACGATTTCTGGCCGTTTTGGCCCCCTCTTCCCACCCTGGACCTGGAAAAGCTGGCCTGGGCAGGTGATCGCAACTGAGGGCACCATTCCGCCTGTTCAGGGGTGGCGAGGTGCCTTCCCGCCGTCAGGCAGTCAGCCCGTCAGGCGGTTTGCGACGGCGCTGACCACTCCCAAACCGGTCCGGCGCCGATTGGCAAAGGGAACAGAAGGCGCTGGGCGGGGGTACCGCGGGGCACACAGTGGAGGCTCCGACTGGGGAGCGCGGGGTCCAAGGCGTGGAGCCCATCGACGCCGCGTGACGTTGCCAGCTCGGTCTCATGCAATTGTATGTTCACCCTCCACATCCGTCTTGTGCCGCCCATCGCCCCGAACACCGGGACTTGCTTGGCCCGCTGGGACGGTGAGTTGCCGCGATCCCGCGCGGCACGCGCTTGTATAAGACAGAAGCAGTCGTCGTCCATCCCCCTCCACATCTCCGCCACTCCACTCCACTTCCATCAACAATGACCGGCGACACGGTGAGCACCAAACGCAAAGCATGCACTGCGACACAACAGTACACTGACACTGTGCGCTTCAGCACTCGACCCCACCCGGCACGGATCTCGAGCTGGGCAAGAACCCCATCCAGCACATTGAGTCGCACGACCAGAAGCCTTACGACACCGACCACCACAACAACTACACCGATGGCCACAAACACCATGACGCAGCACTCGACGCTCTTGGTGAGGGCCGTGTCGCTATGACAGACGCACAGGTAAGTACACAGCTGCACAGCTGCGCACACGCGAAAAAACAGCGCGCGAAAACGAGCGCCGAAAAAAAAAACAACGGAGGAAAACATCCCTCCGGAGCTTTTCCACCCACACCTTCTGGTCCTCTTCTGACCATCTACAGTCCCGAGCCGTCTGCAGAAAGATCGACATGAATTTGCTCCCAATTCTCGCCTGGGTGTACTTCCTACAGATATTGGACAAATCCTGTGTGGGCTACGGAGCGACGTTTGGTGCGTAGAGGACGTCGAGACGATTCCAACGATCTAAAAATCAAGTCAAACGGACAACTGACAAGCGCAGGAATGAAGGACGAAGCCCACCTCACCGCCCACCAGTACTCCCTCATTTCCTCCGCCGGTTATTGGGCCCAGCTCGCTCTCTGCTGCGGCCCTACTGCCTGGATGATTGTCAAGATCCCAACTCGCGCCCTCATGGCGGGCTGCATCTTCTGCTGGGGAGCTTCCATGATCGGACTCGCCTTTAGCAAGTCATGGCAACCTCTTCTCGCCAACCGCTTCCTGCTTGGTTTGTTCGAGGCCGTCAACATTCCGCTCTTCACCGTCATCACCACCACCTGGTACCGCCGTCGTGAACAGCCTCTCCGTGTCGCCATTTGGTACGGCACCAACGGTGTCGCCTCGATGCTCGGCTCGCTCCTCACATGGGCGCTCTCGTTCATCAACAGCCCCCACCTCTACGTCTACCAGATCCTCTTCCTCACTGTCGGTCTTGCCACCGTCATCACTGCTCCCATCCTCTACTGGCGTCTCGACAACAACCCTGCTGAGGCTCGCTTCCTCACTCCCGAGGAGAAGCGCTTTGCCATTGAGCGTCTTCGTGACAACAACACCGGTGTGCAGACCCAGGCGTTCAAGTGGGGCCAGTGTAAGTCATTTTCTGGGAATTTCGTGATATTATCAGCCACTGTCAGCTGACGATCTAGTCTTCGAGGCCTTCTACTCGCCTCCCATGCTCTTCTACTTCCTCATCACCTTCTGCATCAACGTGAGTTGCAAACAGAAACGCCCTTGGACGATCCAAAACATGTTTCATGGAAATGTTGCGGACGATCGAGGGAGCGGTCGAAAGATCGGCGCGCTGACTATCCCAGACTGGTGCCTCCGTCACCAACACTTTCGGTCCCCTCATCATCAAGGGCTTCGGTTTCAACGCCCGCCAGACCATCCTGCTCAACATCCCCTTCGGCTTCGTGCAGACTGCTGTTTGCTTCGCAGGATGCCTCCTCGCTGCTCGCTACGGCTACAAGGGCTTTGTGCTTATCGCATTCATGCTCCCCTGTATCCTCGGTGCCGGTCTCCTCTACGGACTCGGACGCGAGAAGAAGGACGACGGACCCCTTCTCTTCGGTTACTACATGATTGGTTTCCTCTTCGGCGGTAACCCGCTCCTCTTCTCGTGGCTCGCCGGTAACACGGGTGGTTACACCAAGAAGTCGATCTCCATCTCCATGTGCAACGCCGGTTCCGCCGTTGGGAACATTGTCGGCCCCTTCCTCTTCGCCACTGGTGCCCCCGTCTACCACCAGGGTCTCGGCGCTGTCCTCGGTATCTTTGTTGCCTGTGCAGCCCTCTCCGCCGGTCTCATGGCCGTCCTTGCTGTGATGAACAAGAAGAAGGAGAAGACCCGTGTCGCCAACGGCAAGCCTGCCAAGATCGAGAACCACTCGATGGAGAAGGAGTACCGCCAGACCAACGACGCGCACGTCGGCAACCAGGCCTTTGCCGATCTTACCGACCGCCAGAACGACGAGTTTGTGTACACCTACTAAAGAGGGGATGAAGGGAACACTGTCTGCAGGTGTACACTGCCTGTATGACGAGTTTGTTGGGATGAGAAGGAGGAAGCTTGTATCAGCATGTGTGGCAGTCAAGATCACCGCAGAATCGACTGGAAATTGTCCGTAGTAGTAGCATAATCTGTGAAACATGCCATTTTTGCCATCAAATTGGCTGCAGAGCCACAGCACTATCCGATACTTTAAAGAACAACAGTGCTAAACATAAACACAGCACAAAAGAAGAAGGCAGAGTGGAAGGCCGTCGACACGGAGGTAAGCTGCGACAAGCTTCCACTAGCCCGAACTGCCACGGTCCCTTGTCTAATGTCTAAATGCCACTCATCTCTATGTATACTCTTTCTGACTGTATTCTTCACCCCCAGGCCTGAATTCTACACGACCTCTCTGTGACCTCACTCCCTGGGATAACGAGGATGATCTCCACAGCTGCTCCTCACAAACCGCTCCTACAATCGGCAGGGATGCAAGGTGGCGCTAGCCCCAGCCAGTGGAGTAAGCGAGCTGTGCAGCTGATTTCATGCATCGCCGGCAACATGCGGGCCTTGGTCTCGGCCGCGGAGCAATGCCGATTTTCTCGGCGGGCGTAGATCTGGTGGGCAGTGCTCCAAGCATATGAGCCGAAATTGTGGGATTACCGCACGTGATGGCCACATTGTTCTGTGGCAGAGCATTCCTCGAAACAATGGGCTTGGCATTCTTGATTGCGTTCACCAAGATGTTCCAGAACCGGGTGTGCCTCTCCTGTGCATAGATCCAGGGTAGTGCTCTTATGTGCTGATGCTTAACGTTACCCTAGTGAGTGAACTGTGGGCGATGTCTGACACGACAGCCGTGAGGCGTTGGACTATGCGCGGAAGCGTGGGCACACCACACAGCACAGCGTTTACCATATTCTACAACATACGCAGTGCGTACTAACGTTGCACGCGTACTTGTCTCCGACAAAAACGGTTACTTGTGTCTTGCTCTTTCCAGCACCGACATATGCTCGAGGCAATGCATAGCAGGTGCCAAGACTGTCCATAACCGCTGTCGATTGCTGGGCACTGCATCGCCGGACAGATATGAGTGTCACCCAAAAGGATAAAAGGAGGTCAATATTGAACCACAAAGTCGCAACCCAGTCACACTCGCAATCACATTCTCTCCTATACGTTCAGTTCAGTATGCTCCTCAAGACCATCGTCATTACCCTCCTTGCCGCCCTGGCGGTTGCCCAGCCTGTTGATTCGGGGGACAACGATTATACCTATTCCGCTGCGCCCACCACCACCGCTGCCGAGGACAGATATGGCGACGATGGTGGTAGTAGCGATGGTGGAGGCTATGGTGGTTGGGGATCACCGCGACAGATCCATCCCAGGTGGCAGAGCACAAAGTGCCTCGATGTACGCGGCAACTACCAAGCCGACGGGACTCCCGTCCAGGTTTACGACTGCAACGGGACTGGAGCCCAGCGCTGGAATATCCATGAGGGTACCGGTCAGATCCGGCTGGCGGACACCAATTTCTGCCTGGATGCTGGCAAATGTTAGTACACCTGGTTACGAGACACTTGAAGCTAATGTGCAGACCCTTCCAACGGCGCTGGTATGAAGATCAACAGGTGCCGCAAGAGTTCCAGGGGTCAGTTCTTCAAGTACAGCGACTCGCGTATCCGCCTGTCACGCAGTGGTGAGTAGTTATGAGGCTAGGTTAAAGCTAATAACCAGACATGTGCCTCGACCTCACCGATGGCGACTTTAGCAACGGCCGCCAGACCCAAGTATGGCGTTGCTACGACAACAACAACAACCAGGTGTGGAACACCTAAACAAGTTTGCATGGACAATGTCGTGTTGGACTCGGATGGGGTGTCATGAAATAAACAGAAACTAGTGCCGTAGTGATCGCCAGGTGCAAAATAAATCTATGAAAATCCCTAAAAATATGCCTGCCGTCCACAGACACCAGAACAGTAAAAGGAAAGCTCTCAGACGGACGTCTGAGGTCTCACAATGACCACTGACAGGATCGAACTGCCGACCTCCGCATGGACTAGTAACCAAGGCTGGGTATTAGTACGATGCTCTAACCAGCTGAGCTAAGCGGCCGTTTACGTAAGCATATGTGGGAGGCGGTTACGAGGCGGGTGTGTGTCTTGCACCTGCAGGAGGTCTGCAGAAGCCAGGGATACAGAAGCCGGGAACCAAGGCGGGCGGCAGAAGACCATTGTCGAGCAGGTTGGCTGCGAGTGACAATCACCCGCCGATCAATCCCGCCGAACCGCCGATCAATCCGTCCGCCACATGCCACTTTTGACCATCCAACACCCGACGACCCACCTTCATCCGTCCATAACTCTCTTTCCACAGCTCCAATCGATGCGAGGAGAGCACTGTCCACATCCTTGCATGCAGGAGAACACAGCATATTGGGCAATGTGGCGGAGTGGTTAACGCGATTGACTCGAAATCAATTTCCTTCGGGAGCACATGTTCGAATCATGTCATTGTCGGTATCCCTGTAAGATCTCCTTACAGAGGCTTCTCTTTTGCTGTCTGGCACTCCTGATTGTGTACCGGGCATGCAATGAAGAAGAAGGGGTAGTATTCGTGGGAAAAACAAGAAAAATGACGTAATAGACGGCCGAAATACATTGACGGCCGAGTGCCACACTCGACACTTGTTCGTTGGCCCTCTCTACTCCCTCCTCGACATCTGCACCTCCAGAGGCCAAAAGAGAAGACCTAGAAGGTCTCAGATACACCGTAAGGGAGTCGAACCCCTGCCGCGTCGAGGCTGCACTTGGCAACGACGCATGATACCGTTTCACCAACGGTGTGGCGATGTTGATGTCTGTGACCTTGCCGGTGCGCGCCGACGTCACGATAGCCACGAACAAAAGGTCCTGCAGCGTCCTAGTGGCCACCAGGTGGTGTCCAATATGCAAAAGAAAAGGCCTCTGAACGAAACGAAGCCCTTGGAAAGGTACAGGGGGAACTCGATGGGGGAAGAAGTTGACCCTGTCCCGTTGTCCCCACACCACACTCTAGTCGTTGACTCTCCTTCTCTGCGACCTTTCCAGACCAAAAGGACTGCTTCCAGACACCTGGAAGGGACTCATATACACCGTAAGGGAGTCGAACCCCTGCCGCGTCGAGCTTGCGCATGGCAACGACGCATGATACCGTTTCACCAACGGTGTAGACCTGGAAGTTTGTCAGTGGTTGGCAGCGCTTTCGCTCCCTGAGCCGTTTTCGCTCTCCAGGAGTGCATGCACGAGAACCCTGGGACTGTGAGCAGCGCCCAATGTTGTTCAGGATGACATTGATGCACTGGGTGTGCAACGAGGGAAGATTGAAGATGGTGGTCGGAGGTTTCGAGTGACATGAAGAAGACGACGATGCGGGATGTGCCACCTGATTCGGATCGAGGACTGAGTGAAGCGAAACCCGCACAAGTACCGATGAATATGTGTAGTACGTACAGCCACTTCCGCGACCACGACCTATGCTTACCTACCACCTGCAGCTCCAAGGTGTATGATATCAAGGACGAATGTACCACGATTGAAATTTGGATGGCCAGAAACCGGGGTGTTGCACCATCAGCCGGTGCCTTGTCCTCGTATCGAAGCCCACCTGTTGCTGCCAAGGACGTCATGGCTCGTCCCGGATCCGACGCACTCGTTCATCTCTTTATCGCGCACACCAACCCTCCCACTCGACTCGGGACCCGCCGATTGCCCACCGTTGAGTACCTTGTGTACACGTAGGTGTCAGCTATCGCAGTTGAATACATAAAGACGTCGGATACCGGCCAACTGATACGTTCTTTCACAGATACAAGAACGATTCCTACTGCGTCATCTGAAAAGCAACCACCCACAAGTGATCAAGCATGTCTCTCAAGAACTACAAGTATGGCCCATACCTACAAGCACCCTGCTAACCCTACAGGGCACTCCAGTTTGACTGTTACGGCGTATGTTTCCCCCTCCGCCCTCCGCCTCTCTCCACTAACGTCTTGCCAGACTCTGATCGACTGGGAACAGGGGATGGTTGATTCGGCACCCATCCTACAGGCTCCTGGCGGGCCAAGTCGACAGAAGTTTCTGACCGTGTTCGGCCAGCACGAGAACCGCATCCAGGTCGAGCGACCTGGAACCGCCTATCCTGATGTGTAAGCTGCGCTGTCGCTCAGTAAAAGGTGGTGTCCAGCTGACAAAAGGGGACAGGTTGAAGGAGGCGTACTTGGCCACTGCGCGTGACCTCGGTGTCAGTGCCTCAGATGGTGAGTTGCACTAACTTCCACTGACTCGCACAAGGTTTTTGCTGACACGTGAACCTCTAGCGGAGGCCACGGCGTTTGGAAACGCTGTCCCCTCCTGGCCCGCGTTCCCAGACTCTGCCGCAGCGCTCAAGAAGCTCTCGGACCTGGGCCTCAAGCTCGTGATTCTGTCCAATGTCAACAATGCGTCGTTCAACGAGACGCGCAAAAAGTTGGAGAAGGGGTTCACCTTTGATGCAGTGTACACTGCTGAAAACAGTACGTGCTTGCCCTTTCGGTATGTTGGAGATGCATGGTTCTAACTGGTGGGCGCCCAGTTGGTAGCTACAAGCCCTCTTTGGCCAACTTCAACTACTCGATCGACCACATCAAGTCCGAGCTGGGTGTCGACAAGGATGAGATCCTGGTCACGGCCAACAGCAAGCTGCATGATATCAAGCCGTACGCACTGTGCCACTACTAGGGCTCGTCGCGAGTGCTGACAGACAGGGGCCACGCAATGGGCATGAAGGGCGCCTGGATCTCGCGTGCGGCTCACGGCTCCGTCATGGGCGTGACTGACTATGCGGACGTCGAGCCCGACTGGGTGTTCCCGACTATGCAGGATTTTGCAGATGAAATGGAAAAGGTTCGCGCCTCAGATGTAAGCGCCTAAGATGTAATGGACCAGAATGGATGTAAAGCTCTTCAAGTCTTGTAAAACCCGTAGTCCTTCTGGAAAGCCACCGCGCACCATTTACAGAACTTGAGCACAAGGTACATAAGATGCACTACATCCAGTCGGCGGCTGTAGGATCATCTGAGACCTGCCACATGTCCGTGTTGTCCCAGAAGATCGGGTGTGGTCTCTCCACAGCAATCTCCGTCGTTTCCAGGTCAAACTGCTCGTCTGAACCCAGGCTCTCACGATACTCGTCTGCCGTCTTGAAGTCGAGAGTCATGTCGACAAGCTGGCCCACTTGCTCCTCGATCAAGTCACCGTGCAATTGCCAGGTGGCTTGGATGAAGATTTCGCGCACCGCTTCCTCCAACTCTGCCTTGGACATGGGCATCTCTGACAGTCCATTACACTGTGGGTCGAATTCGTCAATGTCCACAATCGTGACCGCGGTGTCGGCGGGCAAGGCCATGATCCAGGTGGCCAAGTGGTTGAGCCAGCCACCCATGCCAAAAGCCGCGTATGCCAGTTGATCGTCCGACGCGGCCACTTGGCGCGACGCGGATATCTTGACCACGACTTGTTGGAGACTGGCCGGGGGCCGGGGTTCGAACAGGGCAATGTGGCCTCTGTGGAGGAGTGGGTGGCCCGGGTCGTAGCGGATGTTCACGACGAGTTTCTCCACTGGGTGCGGAACAAGGCCAATGGATGCGCTCGGGGGAATGGGCACGCCAGTGACCGGGTGCTGTCCCAGCAGTTCCGTGAACACGACGCGGGTCTTGGCCTTCATCTCCGTGAAAGGGTGCTGTTGGGGGTTGCGCCGGAGACGGACCATTGGCACATCCTTGAGCGCCATTGCCACTGGGACGAAGCTTTCGTACGGAACAGCTTCACAGAGATCGACTACCTTGGTGTCTTTGACAATCTCGCGAATGTGTTTCAAGGCCATCGCGCGCTCTTCATCAATGTTCTCGCCGTCGTCCCAGTTGGCAAATGCCGGGTGACGGCGGCTCGAAGGGATGGTAACGGACAGCGCTTCAACGTTGCCTTGTCGTGGAGTGACGATTAGGTGGCGGGAGAGGTGGGTGTCGAGCCTGTCCCGGATCTCATGGGAACTGGTCCGCCAGGCCAAGAAGCATTCCCACGGCGAATTCTGGAGGATGTTATCGAGGATGTGTGGGTAGGATGTGTGGTTGAGGGTGACTGGGATCGTTGTTGTGGATGCCATGGTGGATGTTGTAGCCCTTTGAGGTGTGTGAAAACAAGACAGAGCGAGAGACGGAGAGAGGGAGAGCTGGGGTACTGAAAAGACGGGGCGAGAGCGCAAGACAAAGCGGCGAATGTATTGTAACAGGAACGGATGGTGCGCCATGGGCTGTTTGACATTGAGACGCTGCCGAGATATGCCGACCTGTGGAGAAGGTGGAGGCGGGGACCCCGCACTCCCAATTAGCATTTTGGGTGGCAAACTGTATGTTTTGGTTTTGTAATGAATGGACGCAATTCCTTATACCTTTTGGGTGGGTGTGGTGTTTGTGCCCGACACATGGGACACAGGACACTGGTGATGCATCTCATGCAGCACTCTGGAGGCAGAATCAGAATCACAGTGCTAGAGCAGATGTAGACGTGGCCTGCAAGCGATGTTTGACGTGTCGGGACTGCACCACCGGCACCCACCACCGCTCACGTGCCGAAGCGTCAGGCCACAGGGAAACCGGTGTTTTTGATTTTTGTGGGGCAAACGGACTGTTGGTGCGCGTTCGACGGCGAGGCACCCACTCATGACAGGCATCGCCGTACGGCCGCCGATGACGACAGCGTGCAGGGAGGGGCTGTGGAGTAGGATACATGGAGACAGTGAATCCTGGGGGGTGGGGGGTTGGAGCTTGGCACAACCAGCTTTCTTCTGATCGGCCGTTGAAGCCTGCGTGGACACAGGGACGCCACCATCAACATCTTCATTCTTGGCTTCCCCGTCTCTCCTCATCTCTCTCTTCGTCTCTTTCTTGTTCACTCCACATTTTTCTGCGACCCTCGCACTCCACCACCCATGGCGTCCGGCGAGAACATTGTCGCCATGGCCTCATCCAACTCGTCGCCTGGAGCAATTCCGCGCACATCGTCTGCATCGTCGCCTACCTCGATCGACCTCACCACCCTCTTTGCCCCTCCCTTCTTCTTCGCTCCCTTCAACCGTCTGCATGAGCGCAACCTCCTCGTCGCCGAACCTCTCGGCAAAGATCCTGTGGTCTGGTTTTGCTACGCGATCCTTCCCACCCTCTGCTTGCTGGTGCAGGCATACCTGATCCTCACCCCGGGCACGCGCAAGCACCGCAGGGCGATGGGCGCCGTGACTGTCGGCGTCATGTGGGGAGCGTGGACGAGCTGGAGGTTCCATGGTGGGTACTGCCTTTTGTTTTCTGTTCCACGGCGTGCACGGCATGCGTTGGACACTGCGTGGGCTGGGTATCGCCCAGGATAACCAGGGCCAGAGGCATGGCTTGGCGCCGGCGCCGCGATCGATGGGCCACGCCCAGGATGCAGGATGGGTGGCAAAACGAATATCATTGCTGACAACGGGCAGAATTCGAGTTCAATGCGTTCAACTGTGGCATCACCATCGTGTTCATCCACCTGGCCATCAAAGCCATCGAGTGGACGCTGCTGGAGCATCACCTCGTGGACCCCCGCATGGCTGCCGGCCGCCCGAAGTTGGTGGCCGCCATGGACCTGTGTATGAATTCGCGTCTGCTGGGTCTGGGTGCCATGGGCCTGGACACGCTTGCTGGCCCACCCAACGCGACGCTCAAAGCGGTCCACATCGAGAGGCACCTGCCCAAGCCTTCTGGTCGCCCCACTTCTCGCCTTGGAGCTATCGCACGCCACATGGTCTGGGTCATCGGTTACTACCTGTTTATGGACGCTCTGCTGGCCACATTCCGTCGTGTCGGTGGACCGCTCCTCCTCCCCGGGCCCGTCGGCGCCGTCAAAGCCTACTCGTACTCGAGCAGGTTCATCATGTTCCCTGGTGTCCTCGACATTGAGCCTTACCCCTTCCTGGTCGCGTACGCAGTCCAGGCGTGCGTCCCCGGCATCATCTGTGGCGGACTGCAGCTCGGATACCACCTTGCGGCGGTTGTGTGCCTGTCCTCTACGTTCTGGGAGGTCGACTCGTGGGATGTCGACCTGTTCGATGGACCGTGGAAGGCCCAGTCGCTCATCGACCTCTGGGGCAAGCGCTGGCACCAGCTCTTCCGTGTAAGTTTGCAAGCCACTGGGCGGTATTAGAGACAGCACTGACAACCTTCACAGCACCAGTTCGTCATCTGCTCCGCAGCGACGCTGTGGCTCCTCCGCCTCCCGAACACTCCCTACCTCCTCTTCCCCCTCACCTTCCTCTTCTCTGGCGCCCTCCATTCCTTGGGCGAGCTCAACATGTCCTCCCCCGTTCCGCAACCGTTCAAGCTGGCCGCCTTCTTCGCCCTCACGGGCGTGGCGTGTATGCTCGAAGTGGTATTCAAGGCGATTACTGGCAAGAGGGTCAAGGGAGTGGCTGGGCGAATTTGGATGTGGCTCTTCATGTTTGTGGTGGGCCGCGTTGCGGTGGACGCATGGCTTGATGCCGGCGTGGCCGGCTGTCCGCTCTTGCCTCCTGGTGGACCAGGAGAGTATGTGGCTGATTGGATGCTCAAGTACGTTTTTCACGAAAAGTAGACGAGGCATGACGACGACCACGATACAGGCAAACACGCCTTTTCCCTTCGACACATTTACACACATTCCAGCCCTTCGTACTTCAACGGGTCGACACTAGACACTTCAACAGTCGGCCACTTTCATCACCAACATCACCATTAGTATCTCACACCACAGTAATGTGCTCCTGGGTAGTTACATACCTTGCATCTGTAGATAGACACCATAGACATGCAAGATTAATCGCACACCACGCGTTGGGCTGTTCAGACATCATACAAGTGGTATGGCGGTCAGTCAGGCCAAGTTGTGTTACACGAGCACTTGAAGGAGTTTGCGCAGCCACCCCCACACCAGATTGCATCACTCAGCACGACGTTGGGCTAGCCCAACGTACCCGCTTGCTACACCGGCCCCACGGTCTCCAACTCAAACTGCTTGCCACCCACAATCTTCCTATACGCCTCCCTGGTGACAAACCGCACACTCTGCGCTGCCTCCTCGATGCGCGCATCCTCCCACCCAGCCACCTCCGCCAAGGGGTGGTTGCGCGTCGGAAATTCGCGCCCGGCCTTGCTCGTCTCCACCGCATGGTACCGGATCGCGGCCTCGGGGTCGTCTGGGTGGACGACGGGCGCGTGCGAGTGGTTCCCGCCGCCAGAGTAGGCGTGCGTGTGCCCGCGCAGTAGGTCGGCGCCGACGACGGTCGTGGGCATGGCAGCGGACGACTGCAGCACCTTCATGGCCAGGTGGGTGAAGATCTCCGTCGCGGGGAAGAGGGAGCGGTACCCGGGGATGGTGGTGCGCGAGGGCGAGTCGCCCGTCGGCGAGTAGGTGTACCGCTTGTCGTGGGTGAAGATGACCACGAGCTCCGAGACGGTGTTGATGTCAGGCACCATGAAGCTCTTCTGGAACACAATGTCCCCGTTGTCGTCAAAGGGAATGTTGAACACGACCTTGCCCATGGTGACACTGTCGCTGACGTTGAACGCGCCAGACCGGCGGGTGTCGTACAGCTCATCGTCGAAGAACACCGTCGTGCTACTTGGGTACCGCAAGGCCTTGACGTTGCGCGAGGTCGCGTACCGCACCGCGTCGAGAGTATCGCGCAGCCCAAGGCCGGATAATGGCGGTGCTGGGAAGAGGTCTACGCCGACATGGTCGACGACGGCCGTACCTTCCAAAGCCGTCGACAGCCTGTTGACGATGGTGACTTGTGACGGCGTTGGGTCGAGCGAGGGCACGCGCAGGGCCAAGGGCGGCGACAGCTGGAACATGGACAGCGTGTCACAGTCGCCATTATGGTAGTGCATCAAGCGCGGGATCCTCCCGCCGGTGACCACGGATGTGATAGTGAGCAGCCCGCCTGGGTTGGAAGGGTTTGTCCGGACAGCAACGTGCTCCGCGAGGACGGCGTCGGCGCGCGCACAGAACTCAGTGCTGGCGCCACGCAGGGCGAGGAGAGCGGCGTGTGGGGCATAAGTGAATACGAGGTCGATGATGTGGGGGTAGGATGAATGGTCGAGCATGGTGACTACCGAGAATGGGACTTTGGGCAACGTTGGTTTCGACGCGTTCCATGATCCATGACGCGTCCCTGCTCTGATCTCTGATCTCTTGGCAAGATCCGCCGCCGGAAGCATGCAAACCGTAGCCCGTTCGACAGTTCGAATCACATTCGCATCGGTCAGCATGTTTTTGCGACAAAAACCATAGTGCGTATTTCGAGCAACCGGGAAACGCGCTATCGGCTGGACTCCTAGTTTCCTCCGCCAGATAGTGTGTTGTCACCACATCCCTTACCCTTGGTGCCGGCTGTGATGCGCTTAACATCGTTATGATGCGGACTCGCCAGCTCGCCAGGCCGCCATGGGCCGACGTCCAAGACCCAAGATCCAGCTGTGCGCTTATACATGCCCTAAACAAGGCGATCACGATCAACGGGGGGGGGCGCGGGATGATTGCATGCGAGAGACTATGATGACAGAAGGGTGGCAAACATGATACAACTCGAACTACTGGCGTTGATGTGCTTGAACGAGGCTCGGGAGATGACGCGGTGTCGGTGAACGGGAGGACGGCGACCTCGGTGTATGTCTGTGTGGGCGCCTGTCGTCCCCAGTCCCTCTGTTTTCCCATCACCCAGCCCCATACCTCGCCGCCATGATAGCAGCGCTAATCGCCTTTGCGCGCCGCTTACACGGCCCACACCAATGCACGGGACAGTACCAGCACCGCATACAGCTCGCCTCTGGCCGCTCGATCTCGCCAGTCTCGCAGCTGGGGCACGGGTACGCTGGTCGCACGGGGTGGCGCGGGCAGGGGACAAGGGCAAATGCGTCTTGCTCTTCAAGCTGCTCGGCTGTGGCTGTGGGTGACTTGTGCGCGAGGATAAAGCCATGGCACCGCGTCGGAGTCTGGGGTTCGTGTGCATCTTCGGAGGCCTTTGAGGCAGAGTGATTCGGCCACGAGCCCGGCACGGCGGGGGACTGTGTGCGTTGTGGTTGCTCTTGTTCTTCGAGCACGGTTGGTGGTTGCGGTGAGGGTGGCTGCGTAGGGGTGTGGGCTGATGGCTGGCCGTCTGGTGATGGGCGAGCCGCTGTTGATTCCAAGCTCATACGCCTGGTGGCCTGCTCGGACTGTGGTCGCGGGCTACGTGTGCTCACCACTGGCGGCGTCGCCTTGCGTGGTATTGGGTTTGAGCGCGGTGTGCGTGTCATGGCCACGGGTGCCGGGTCGAACGTGTTCATCGCAGCCATCATGGTGCGAGCGGACGGTGCCAATGTGGGCGGTGGTGGTGGCAAAACAGCGCCGACAGCCGGCGGCGGGTTATAAGTATGGCGTTAAGAGCTTCTCGGCATGTCCGTGCTTGGTAGGGACGGCCAGCTCCGTGCGTCAGTGGGCGCATCAGTGATGCAGTGGGCGACGAGAGAAGCATTCTGGGAAACAGACTTCTTTGTCCGAGACCGCAGCGGCGGTGGGCAACTGCAAGATCTTCCCATCTCCAACGTACGTCACTGAAATGTACGCGAAGGCAGCGTGTCGACAAAATCCCGACAAGGACATGGCGTGGTGAGTGCCGTGAGGCGGTGTGAAGAGGGGGGAAGGGTGTGTGCATTGCTGGGTGACATAGCCCCCCATGTAGGCATTTCTCACGACAGTGTGTAGTGGCTTCGCGCGCTCTCGTCACAGTTCTTCAGGAGTCGACAATTCATGTTCTGGTACCCTCAGGTACCCATCAGAACAAGGAGCATACCATTTACATCCCCACAACACACGCTGTCCCATTTGGCTTGATCATCCAGTGCGGAGGATGACGTGCACGCCCGAGTCGGACTCGATGAGCGGGCTCAGCTGTCCCGGCTGGAGGGCGTAGGTAGCGTCCTGCAACGGTCAGCGACGGCTGTGTCCCAAATCCTCACCTCGAAGCTCTTCTGCATCATTCCGTGGCCGAACCAGCCGAGGTCGCCGCCCTTTTTGGCGCTCGAGCAGTCGCTGTCGACAGCGGCAATCTTGGCAAACTCGGAAGCCATCTGGTCGGGAGGGAGCGACTGGAGGCGGTCGACATGAGCCTGGATCTGGGCGCGGGCCTCGGGGAGGGTGCGGGTGATGTTGGCCTAGGGTGTGAGCTCGATATACATAAGGTGGGCGTAGTGGTGGGGACAAATTATTGAGCAACGTAGAGACAACAACAACAACACGATGCGCAAGAAGCGACAAATGTGACGCCATTGTTTTGCGGCACGCTCACGTTCGACGCCCACTGCGCGCGACCATCTCACCACCACAGGCCACAGGACAGAGTCACTCACCTGCTTCCAGCTCGAAGGACGGCGGGAGCCAGTGTGCTTTGCGAGAATGTGGCTAGCGCGGACCTGGCCATCGGGACGACCGCCGGACTGCTGGAGGTACTGGGCGCCAGGGAGAGCGCGGACCTGGTCCTCAGTCATGCCGTGGGGTGGTTCCCATGTGGACTCGTTTGAGGACTGGTTGTAAAAGTAAGGGAGCTTGCGCGAGTTTGAGAAACGGACTTCCCAGCCGGACATGGTGGATGATGGATAAGGATGATGAGACGGGAGAGATGTATCGTTAGTGGTCGTCGTTCCAACCAGTGGGACGTGGGGGGAATGGGTGCGTGGGCGATTTTGTAAATGACGTCAGCGGCAGTTTACTAATAACCAATTAGAGACTCATTTGTAATTATGATTAGTAGATATATTTCTATTTGGTCCTCCCGTCCTGATGAGGAGAGATCAATTCAATTGACCCATCTTTCATCGTCTCGTCCACTTGTCACCGTCAACAAGGCTCTACACGCCGTCGTCCTCTTCATCCCCCTCTCATACCCACCCGCCCGTAAGGACGGGCGCGGAACCCTCATGCTCGACGTCCTCTTCCCCGTCATCGCCCTCGTCCTCCTCTTCCACGCTCTCCGCCACGCCCCCGCATTCCTCGCGTCATCGTCGGCAAACTATGGACTGAGGAATCGATCCTTGCCCGCCGCGTACCGTCTCGCTCCACGCGCAGAGTGGCTTGTGGAACGCAGCAGCATTACTGTATCTGCTACAACGACAGCGCTCAACCCCGTTCCCAAAAGGATCGCATCTGGGCTTGGCAACAATGCGCGCATTCTGGCGAAACGGTTCTACGACGCCGGAGTGTTGTTTGGCATCGTTGGCGGAGTGGTTGGCGTTGCTGGCGCCGTATGGGCGTTGGCAAGAGTCTGGCTGGCAGTATGGGACGAGGTGGAAGCTCATGCTCAAGTTCAGAGCGTCCCAGTGCCGGCGCTCGTTCGACGTGCGGTGACCGCGATTGCCCAGGTACCGGTCCCGAAACTGCACACGGCCAACGCCGGGCTTCAACCATTGGTGAGCCAGCGATTTCACGTGCTGTAGCTAACCACCAGATACCTGGAGTCACGACTCCACTCTCCCACCTCCCCACGCTCGTCCTCGCGATCGTGCTATGCCAGCTTGTCCACGAGCTCGGACACGCAGTTGCCGCGGCCCTCGACGACGTCACCCCGTCCAAGCTCGCGTTCAGCCTCCACCTCGTCATTCCTTCTGCCTCCGTCATCTTCCCCAGTTCAATCGACTACCTTCCCGGCCGTACACGGGCGCGTATCGCCACTTCGGGACCGTGGCACAACCTTTTGCTATGGGTGACACTCTGGGCACTGGGCGGAGTTGGCAGCAGCGTCTTTTACCAGGACCGCGCAGCAGAAGGGAGGATCGTCTCAGGCTTGGAGCCGGGCGCCGCACTGGCATCTCACCTGCAAAGCGGCGACCTGATCACCCATGTCGACGACAAATTCATCGGCGGCCACGCAGACATTTGGGAGAGGTACCTCACGGGCACAGATACAAGTGCAGCTCACACCGGATGGTGTCTCTCCAAGTGGGAGTTTGCCGAGGCGCCACGAGCCCCCTGCGAGCAGTCCAACCAGATTGCTTTTCAGTTGTCGCCTGCTTCGGGTAATGACAACTTGCGGTGTCTCGAACCACACACCATCCTCGCACACCCTGCCGTGGACTGTCACTGTCCAGTGGCGCAGGTGTGTATCCGCCCTGCGCCGTCCGAGCACATTCTGCGTATCCGTTTCCGACGCGGGTCGAAATGGGACACAATCCTGTGGTCGGGTGAGCGCACAGCCGTGCTTGACCAAGTGCACGTGACGACACATACCCCGCGGCTCTGGGGATCGGCGACTCAGTGGGGGAGCTTGTTCATGACGTGAGTTCAGGAGCACCCACCATGCAGAATGTCTCAGCTGACACATGGCACATCCAGCTACATGAGAATCGCCACGTTGTCACTGTACCTCCTCAACCTCCTCCCGCTGCCACACACAGACGGGATCCAGCTGCTGTCGGCCCTCTTGGCTGGCGGACACCGTGCTATGCGCCCTGCGCGACAGCTTTCCACCCAACAGAGCAGCCGACACCCGACGATCAATCCGTACCGCTACGACGACTCGGATGATTCCGACGATGGCGGCAGCGGAAGCGGTGGGGGTGGACCTGAACCGTCCTGGGCGACAGGACACGGACGACGAGAAGATCTCTGGGCACGTAGATTGAGGAGGGGAGTCGAGGGCACTACGGCTGCGGTAGTTGCCGGGTGGGCGTTGGGATGGGCCATGCTCGGTCTGCTGAGATCGAGTTAGAGGACTTGCGCCACGGTCAAAGTGAAGGCAGTAGAGGTGGCCCTGGGCTGCAGCCCGCATCACCAAGGAGGTGAGGGGCTCCGGCGCACACATTTGAGCGCGCACACCAAGCCTCGGAGGGTATCGATACAGTCTGGAAGCAGTCTTGATACAGTATTGAACTGGTCGAGGCACCTTCGACAGACCATAGAGTCGCACCCCGTCCTGGATCGTGTCTCGTTTGCATGCATGTATCGACACCCTACGTAGATCATGTTTCCAATTCATTCGGGCTCTCGCAAGCCCTCAATCTCAGCTGTGGGTTCAGCCACACAGCTGGTGCACACTTACTTCCAATAATGTTTCACATCAACTCAACTGTGAACATCGCGAGTTGCAACTTCGGAAGTCGACACCGACGTCGTCGCGGGCTTTCCGGCCAGGCATTCCGGGATAGACGCCGCCTTGTGATCAATTTGTTGGCTGTGGCCTGTTGGCGTCTGCCAGGCAGCTGACATGATATTCACACCCAGCGCCAGCCCTACTACTCTGCTGAAACAGGGCTGACGGGTGGGGTTTACCATGGTAAGGCTGTCTTCTCAGGCCGCAATGGATCGGGGCTGGATCTGCTACATTCCGGCATTACCGAACCAACAACCCCAAAGGAATTGCAACAAGCGGCTCTGCCCAATGTCCCCGGCAGTGTGCGTCGGCGTGGTCGTTGCGGGCAGCAACAACCCAACAACCCCCATTGACGCCACGACCCGCCAGACCAGCACGGACCGTATGGCTTCGGATCTCGCTCAGGGAGTGGCATGGGCCTTATGTGCCGTCCAGCTTCCGCGTGCCCAACGACAACAACGGCCGCTCCTACTGGCCGACCAGTTGCGGAGGTGGCGTCTTGGGGGCATAAAGGAACACAGAGGCGGGGCGGGGCCGTGGACTAGAAGCAGTAGAGGACCAGGAGGGGGCAGTAGTTGTTGTTGGGGGGGAGTGTCGGTCGCTTGTGCGCATTCCTGTTTACCCTTGACAGCGGCGCTTACGTCACAGACGTTAGGCTCTGTGGTGAGATGTGCCACTTGCCTGCCTGCTAGCCAAACAAACCCTCCACTTCTTACATTGCAGGTGCATGATACCATCAATATGAGGCAAGAAAACGACCAGCAGTCGCTTGGCATCATCTGGTACTCCTTGAGTCGGCAACCTGCCGTACAAGGCACACCGTAGTTGGCAGCCGTGTGTCTGTCTTGGTTCCTTTCGTGGACGCGTGTTGTGGCATGGACCGGCGTGGGGCCGTAGCCTCCACGCGTGCGTGCCTATATTTCAGCAACATTACCAAAGCCAGCACGCGCGGAGCCACCCGTGTCAGACACCGCGGCGCGAGACACAGTGGGGCGGGTGCGGTATGTGTCTGCTGGTCTTTCGTCTTTTTTATGTCGCTCTGTTTTGCTTCTTTGTTTCATTCCGGTTGCGAGCTCTGACCCAACCGGTGGCATATTGCGGCGAGCTCCGTCAGGCCATTCAGTTAACAGCACACATGCACAAGTACTGGCATAGTGCAAGTTCCAAGGTGGACCACGGTCATGCTTGTATGTGATGCAGTAGGTACAGTACACCGAGCTGTGATGGCAGTAACACTGCTAGGGCTGTCCATCATGTCCCAAAGGGACACAACCCACTATGTTCCAGGTGCAGAGGAAAAAAAAGGGCGGTACCGACGAGTTCCACTAGTAACTGCCGGTTGCCTCAGTTTGACACCCGTGCGTACACTGAGGTTCCAGCTTCCCGGTGGCTTCTGTTGTTGTCCACCTTCCTGATCCCACACCTGCCTGGCTGCCCCCACCCCACTTGGGTTGCGCACTGTCGCATTCCTTTGTGTTCCTCTCCTCGGTAAGCTCGCAGTCGCACTTACCGGGACGCCGCCGCCCACAGGGTGACCCGCTGTCTGCACTGACGCACTGCGCACTGAAGCGCCGCGGACGCACGACGTCGCCCAACGACCGCATGGTGAGGTGGCGCTTCCTAGGGATTGAGGTTAGGGATCGAGCCCATGGGCGGTAGACGAGTATTAAGGGGGTGCGCGCGGGGGAGGCATGCAGGCAGGACCGGGGTGGGCGGCATGGACGGGAGCCCCGCCGGCACTAGCGAGCAACGCATGACCCCCCACTGGAATCCTGCAAGACAACGAGAGACGCAGCCATGAGACACCACCAGAGGCCAGAGACTGGGGGCTGAAGGGTTTATCTTAAGAAACCTGACGCGCTCTGGCGACCCTTTCGCGTGTCCACCCACCCCCTTCCTTTCGACCCCATCCTGTCATCTCATTCTTCCATCATTTGCTGGTCTTGAACCCCCCAACCCAGCCCACTACCAGTCTCGCACGACAACCCCGACTCAACGTCACTACCTTACCTCCGTATGGTGCACATCACGGCCCTCGTGGCATTCGCAGCATTGGCGGCAGGAGTGGTGGCCGAGGACGACAGCTACACGGTTCTCAACGCCAGCTCGCCGTTGCGCATCAGCCAATGCAACGCTGTGCAGTTTCAGTGGACGGGTGGCATTCCGCCCTACCAGGCGTGAGTCAAAGCGAGCAAATACGTTGGCACGGAACGCACAAAGACTAACATGTGGCAGCTTTGTGATCGCCAACGGCACCAACCTGGCTCAGATCGAGAATGCAACCACTGCCACCCGGACCCAGTGGATGGTCACCGAGCCAATGGACACAGTGATCACCTTCCGCGTCGAGGACACGACGGGCACGATCTCCGAGTCCGAGCCACTGGCAGTAACCACCGGTCTGCCAATGTACGAGAACGGAACCTGCGTGACACTGCTGCAGATCGGCTGGAGCGCCAACGTGTACATTTCCTGGGGTTTCCCTCTGGGTGTCCAACTGGCTATCGGTGCCGGTCTGGGGACTTCTCTTTTCCTGGTCGCTCTCCTCGCTATCTACTTGACGTGCTGCATGCGTCCCACTCGCTTCCAACGCCATAGGTACGGAACCTCGTTTGGCAACGGCCCCTCCGCCATGGCCATGACCGGGGGGTCGTTTGACAACACTTTCACCGTCAGCAGGACTGGCAACACGGTCGTTACATACACTTCCCCTCAAGAACCCATCATGGACGACAAGACGGGTGTGGATGGCTACCCGACTTACGCTGCCCACACTCAACCTCCCATGAACCCCTACGCGGCTGCGGACAACGTTGCCCCACCGCTTGCCGACCACAACGGTAACCACCCCTACGCGACCATCAAGGACACCAAAGCCGGCCACGTATCGCGTTCCTCGTCGATCGACCACGGTACCAGTCGGCCCCGTCTCGAGCCCCGCGTCGAGACTCGAGAGGTCCCTGTGGACGATGACGATGATGAGCTCCGGGACGAGTTCCCCTCCAACTCTCGTGGAGGCAGGCAGAAGACGCTAGACTGGCGCGAGGCACTCATGGAGGCGCCCGCACCCGCCCTGCCCCGGCCGTCGATGGGCGGCTCGCCACCAAACTACAACTCCGCCATCCGATCTGCACCCCGTCGCAACCACGGCGGCAACATGGTTTAAGACAAAAGCAGAAGACCTGAGCCCTTGTCACGGCGATCTGGCCGGTAACAGGGAGCGACCGCGTGTTGTGTGGCAGTGCCGCGGCAAAACGCGTTTCGCATGTTGGATTTCGTTCTTCTTCTGGTTCCTTATTCTTCACAATCTTTGTAGAGTCTCGTGCAGGCTGGCCGAGCAAAACACTATCCATACTGTATCACTCGAGCAGGCCTCTGTTTCCCATTGAGAGCGACGGTGGTATCCTGCTAATTGGGTCACATGTGGGGCGCGACCCTTGTGGGCTTCTTGCATCTTGGCTACGTTGGTCCGCCTTGTACCCCGTCCGTGTCAGCCATGTGGCCCCGCCACTGCCGTGTGTTCGAAAATGTGCTCCGTCTCGAGAAAACACGGAGAGGAGGAACTGCACAATCGCAGGTCCCTTGGCCATGCCCTTTCCAGCTTTCGTGTGCAGCGGCCTTCGTTACCATGAATAAGGGCGCCGGTATGGTGAGGATCGAAGCCGGCGTCGGACGTCTCGGCCGCACGGCTGTACCTCACACCCCGTTCCTCACCCGCACGCCCCAAGTTGTGGGTGCGTTGTTGGTCCTTTGAAGGACACCGCCATGCCGCGGCATGGATGGCGCGGTGGTAACTGACTCCGGGGCTGAGCTCGTCGCATTCCTCCAGCACCGACTTGACGCCGCTGTGGGCTGTTGTCGACGCCGACCGAAACAGGCGACACGGCACCACTTTGGCCACGGCGGAGGTGCGGCCCGGAGAGAGGAGAGGAACGGGGGCCGTCGTTTCCCATGCCAACGGCGGCGCACAGATGTTGCACCTACACGTAGAGTCGCGCCTTGGCATTTTGGCGATCCTAACCGTGTTTACTTTGGAGTGGGCTGGACTGGTCCAACGGCGCGTGCGAGACGCCATGGCTGCTGAAAAGGGGTGTGTTGAACCTCGAGCCGATGCTTTGGCACTGGAACCGTACCTGTGGGGGGATGGCAGGGACTGGCTCATGCCAAGTGGACGTAGCGAGTTCGGTCACTACTGCCACCACCACCTTGGGCCGACTTGAGTCTCGGCAAGTGCGACCCTTCTTTACGCCCTTTCATTGTGAGGACCCCATGTTGATGCCGAGTAAGGACTGCCAGTGTCTTGGCAACGCGTGCATTGGATGCCACTGTGCTGCGGGCAGTGGGTATGTGGCGCGCTGCAGAGGGTCGGCAGGGCGGACTTGGACGTCACCGTCAGCCCTCACGGAGTCTGTGCGTGCGAACAGCGCTGTCTCGAGCATTCCTTTGTGGATCATCGGTGCGCATGCACGCTGCGGTGAAGGAAGATACAGAGATGCAGGATTGCCCCAAAAGTCGATGGCTTGTGGCCGTCTGAAATGTGGTATGGTATGCGCCATGGTGGATACCGCCAGGATCGTCGCACAAACAGCAGAACAGAGACAGAGGTACAGAGATCTACATCTACCTCACATTCCCCTTACAATACCGCCAGCACAGACAAACCGGGCCGTCCCGGTATTTGCTGCTGGGGACTGCAGTAGAAGACAGGGCCTGTTGGCACCCAGCCCGTTTGTGCTCGAGACGAGCATGGAAGGATGCTCAATTTGCTTGCATTGTCCCCAGGGGAACTTGTTTCCAGTCCCAGTTCAGATTCCAAACCGCCATTGCGAGCCTCTCACCTACACCAACGTCTCCGCCTCCATGTGGCCATGCACTTACCCCGCATAACCGAAGATAGTAGCCTGACACACGCTACTCCGACTAGGCGACGGGCCACCTAACACCGTAGAGACGTGGAAAACGAATCTGTCGCTGTCGGACCACCTCTCTTGGGCGTGTCAGGCCGGGGGGGGGGGGGGGGGGGTTGTGGATTGTCGGCGATCCCAGTCAGAAAAGAAATCTGCGAGGCTTCCTCTGTGGCAACTCCAGAAGGCCATCTCCGCTTCGATATCAACTAAGGGGGGACACCTTGTGCCCAGCGAAGTGTGTTGAGGACTGCTCAGTGGAGACACAGGGCAGCACCATCGTACTGTCCTCTCATTTAAGAATCCCAACTCGCCAGTTGCCGTCCATAGTACCATAGTAAAGGTATTTGAGGATTAGTCTGATTTCCGCGGCTCTGTAATCTCGAGTGTAGACGGGTGTTCTATATTGTCAGTACTTACAGGGGTTTGATTCTGAAGTGGGGTCCAGCGCACATAAAGCACTGGTTTGACATTTCCTCTCCGACGAGAAGTGTCCCCAAAGACTAGAGATTCGAGAGTCGCTACCCTTTTGTTGTGCACTTGCAGACTTGTCGTTATAAAAAGTGAGTCGCAACGGTGCAGCATGACTTAGACCTCGCGAGCCAATGTCGTTGTTGACTCGCAAACCTCGCCTATATGTCACGTGATGTCTTTTCGACTCGTCCCTGTTGGCGAGATAAGAGCCACCACAAATATCTCCACTTGAATGGGCCGCTCTTTCTCTCAATCGTTCACATCTCTGCCCACCATGCCGCCCCACACACCAGCGCCTGCCCGTGCAATCCCCCAGCTGGCGCGTCGTGCATTCTCCTCGTCGTCCGCCGTCGCCGCCAAGGAGACACCCAACAAGGACCACCACGTGCTGTCGTACGCCGCCGACTCGTTCCCCAAGGGCTATGCTGTCGCGGCCACCCACGCCGGCGTGAAGAAGAAGGCTGGCGTGCTCGACGTTGGTGTTCTCGCCTCTACCTCTGAGCGCCCCACCTCGGCTGCTGCCTGCATGACCCGCAACGTCTTCAAGGCTGCGCCCGTGACCGTCTCCACCGAGCTGCTCGCTCGCGGCAACGGCCGTGCCCGCGGCTTTGTCGTCAACTCGGGCTGTGCCAACGCTGTGACTGGCAAGAAGGGTCTTGAGGACGCTTGGAGCATGTCCAACACCCTGACTGCTCTCCTTCCCGCCTCGGCTTCCCCCTCTGAGGGTGCCGGCTCGCTCGTCATGTCCACTGGTGTCATTGGCCAGCACCTCCCCATTGACAAGATCACGGGCGCGCTGCCCTCGATGGCTGCCAACCTCGAGTCGACCCCCGCAGCATGGCTCGACCTCGCTCGCGCTTTCATGACCACTGACACCTTCCCCAAGCTCCGTGCTCGCACCTTCACCTTGGGCGGCCGCGAGGTCAAGATTGCCGGTATCGACAAGGGTGCTGGCATGATTGCGCCCAACATGGGCCCTCCCCAGCCCCCGCACGCTACCCTCCTCGGCGTGATCGCTACCGACGCCGCTATCGCCCCCGCCGCTCTCCAGTCTGCCCTCACTTACGCTGTCGACCGCTCGTTCAACGCCATTTCCGTTGACGGCGACATGTCCACCAACGACACCATCCTCTGCCTTGCCAACGGCGCCGCTACCCCTGACCTCCCCGAGATTACCGAGAACCAGCCCGAGTACATTGTCTTCCGCGACGAGCTTGCTGCCTTTGCCGCCGAGCTCGCCCAGCTCGTTGTCCGTGACGGCGAGGGTGCCACCAAGTTCGTCACTGTCCGCGTCCGCAACGCCCAGACTTTCGCGGTCGCCGACGCCGTCGCCCGCAGCATTGCCAACTCATCGCTCGTCAAGACTGCCATGTACGGCGAGGACGCCAACTGGGGCCGTATCCTCTGCGCTGTGTAAGTGTTGTCGTGTTTGTCTGTTTTGGAGCCCGATGCTGACCCCATGTCTAGCGGCTACACCAACGTTCCCGAGGGCACCATCGACCCCACCAAGGTCTCTGTCTCGTTTGTCCCCAGCCCCAAGATCGGTGGCTCGTCCCTGAAGCTCCTGGTCAACGGCGAGCCCGAGTCGCCCATTGACGAGGCGCGCGCCTCTGAGCTGCTCGCCGAGGAGGACCTCGAGATCGACGTCGACCTCGCCCAGGGCTCCGAGGAGGCCACCTTCTGGACCTGCGACTTTTCGCACGAGTACGTCACCATTAACGGTGACTACCGCACTTAGAAAACCGAAGAGTAAAGCTACTCTCCATCACACCCAAACCCAAACCAAACCAATAGGGATTATGCACGCAGCACGCATTGTCATAAGAATAAGGTTGGATCCGTGGGCTTGTTGGCTGTGGCAAATGTGCCACAGACGTTCATGCCGCAGATCGGCGAGTTGGAGAAACACACTGCCAGCAAAATCCCTAACGCCGTCGCTTCTTACTGCGTTTGCATCGTTTGTTCCGCATCATTCCGAGACCTCGTTCGCTCGTCGCTGGCCGGGTGTACTCTGGTGGTATCTGCCGATTTGCCTAAAGTCAGAGGGCACTCAGCTACGCAGAGCCCCGTGGGGCGCTACTGCCTCCTGCACAGGCGCGATTGCGACCGCGATCGGCGACTTGTTCGTGTGTGCAGACAACGACGATCGTTGGTCATCCGTCCACTGTCCAGTCTCAAACAGAAATGCTGAAGTGGCAGTGAGAACACACTCAGACGCAGTGAACCACTGAAGGAATGGCCTGGTCCCTGACATGACACCATGCGCAAGAACAATCTCGCAAGCAGCCCACGTCACAGTAGCTGCGGCTGCAATCGCGCAATCTCCGCCACGGTCCGTGTTGCTAGTTCAAGACATCTGCATATCACTCTACTATTACAAACTCCCGCACTAGTGTTTTTACTTCTCCTCAACAATCTTGTTGATGAGGGTACCCACGCCGTGGCTGATCGAGACACGGAACTCGCCACCGTCCTTGAGGAGGCGGCGGGGGTTGGCGCCCCATCCGACACCGGCGGGAGTACCGGTGATGATGATGGTGCCCTTGGGGAGGGTGGAGCCCTGCGAGAGGAACGAGATGATCTTGGGGACGCCAAAGATCAGGTCGTCCATCTTGCTCTTCTGGACAGTCTGGCCGTTGAGGATGCCCTCGATGGTGACCTCCTTGAGGTCCTTGACGGCCTCCTTGGGGACAAAGGCGGGGCCGATGGGGCAGGCGCCGTCAAACGACTTGGAGTAGGACCACTGGGTGGTCGCGAACTGGGCCTCGCGGGACGAGACGTCGTTGCACGCGGTGTAGCTGGAGGAAATGTCAGCTGGTTTGCTCCACATCTAGAAAGCCGGGTTGGGTGCAGTTCGGTGTCGGTTTGCCTGCTGCTGTCGGCGCAACAGTGCAACCAGCGGGACCACGCCCTCGCCCAGCTCTCGCGGCTACCACCCGTACTCACCCAGCAAGGTACTCGAGAGCGTCCTCCTCCGAAACGTTCTTGGCGTCCTTGCCAATGACAAGGACGAGCTCGGACTCGTAGTCGGCGGCGTTGTCCTTGACGAACGACTTGGGGATGATGGTGGGGGCGGGGAAGGGGTCGGCGAGGGCCTGGGCGGGCTTCATGAACACGGTGGGGACGGTGGGGACCGCCATGTGGACCTCCTCGGCGTGCGAGAGGTACTGTAAAGTCAGCAAGAGCACCGAGGCGAGTGGGCGGAGATCTGCTGGCCGGCGTGCCGAAGAGCCAGCACACCGTCCAACCCGCCATCTGCGTCGCCAGAGGCACACTCACGTTGAGGCCAATGCAGCGGATGGTGCCGGTCTCGCTCATGGCGATAGGGGAGAGGATCCTGTCGACGGTCTCGGTCTTGCCAGTCTTCTCACCTGGCGAGAGGACCGACGAGCCCGAGAAGACGTTGACCTCGATGGGCTTGCCCTCGTAGCTGGCGACACCAACGTCGAGGTTGGCGTCGACGGGCTCACCGATGAGGGTGGTGGTCGAGCCCTTGGGGACGAAGCGGATGAGACGCGCGTACGATGCCATGGCGCGTAATGTGGGGAGCATTTGCAGAAGGGGGGGATGTCACCGAACCAAACGTGTCGGTATTATATGAACCAGACGTCTCGTGCTGTGTTCCGCCCAGAGATGGGTCCGAGGCCGCCGAGTTGCCGTGGCCCACCATATTCCACCAACTCGGCCGCGCTCACCCGTTGCACCGATGACTCTCCCCCCGCGTACACCTGTTCTCTGATCCCCGCGCCCCGCACGCAGCACATGCATTGCCTGAAATGCGCAGGCACCCTCCATTTTGGCCCATTTGTCCTCTGGCCTCTGCTGTCAGCACTGCGGCATCGCACGGCATCTGTCGTGCGGGGCAGCGGACCGCGGCGACTTTGGCGGTGACTTTTTTTGGTGGTCTGGCCGGCCCTGCCGGTCCGGAACCATCGTCTCCACAGCGGGCGATAAGAAACGATTACAAAAGGGTTGTTAATGCGGTTCACCGGTACGGTGTCCAAATCCTAATTCGCATTACTCACTTGCTGCGGTGATGTCAATAGCCGCAGGATCCCGCAAGGTGCCGCGGCGCCGGCCGACCCGACCATGCCGACCAGTGTGTGGAGAGAGAGGCCAGTCATCCCCGCAGTCGACCATGGCGAGCGGGCGGGTATACATAGATACGACCATGTCTTTACGTTTTCAGCTACTCGCCTCCTCGCCTCCTCATCGCACTCTTGCCCATCCTGTTCCTCCGTCTGTTCTCATCCCGCGTCATGTCCGCCCCCGTCAACCTCGTCTCGGTCAACACCGCCCCGGACCGTGCCAAGCTCGTCATTGGTACCGTCATTGAGAACGTCAAGGACAAGTACACCATTGTCCACGCCGGCAACTCGACCACCATCGAGGGTGTCAAGGACCTCCTCCTTTCCGTCCAGCCCCCTCCCGGCATTCTTGTGAGTTGACAGAAGAGTGAGGTTTGGTCGGCTTCTGCCAGCGAGATGCGCAGAACGCCGCCAGCATCAAGTCAACCAGACCTGCTGGGTCAAGCCAGTCCCCCAAGACATATCCGCTAACGCTCGCCAGTTCTGCGCCTCGATGTGGACCCCCGAGCAGCAGGAGGAGATCCAGAAGATTGCCCGCGACACCATCCCCGGCATCAAGACCCACGCAATCCCTACTGGCCTCCAGGTCAAGGTCGGCCCCCAGGGTATCGTCGACTACCTCATGGAGCGTGTCGACGAGATCATGACCCAGAAGTAAAGAGATTTGGAGGCCCACCACCCATTAGCAAATGTAGAACAACAAAACAGGCATAATTCATCATTTGGGATGTAGCTGATAACCCTCGAGCTGTGGTCGGACAGAGTACAGAGACGGTGGAGGCTGTCACCAACACAAACATTCTTACCAACTCACTGACGGCAACTGCGCTGAGCCCAGAACAACTGGGCCTGTGTGGTCAATCACACAGCTCGGGATTTGTGTGTGGTGACTGACATGTTTCAGCACTACCGCAGTTTCATGAACGTCATTTCGGACAGCTCGGTGGCACGCCTTATCCCGAACTCTTGCACAGCAGATATCCATATCTGCTAGACGATGCTGTTGCCTTGCCACTCATGGACCCCCTCAGGACCGAGCAACTCGACGCCCACTAACCAACCCCCTCACCATGATCGACCATGACTGCTACCCGCACCTCATGGACCTTATTGTCCACCATGCGCCTTCCTCGTCACTTCTTGCGCTCCGCCCGGCATCTCGTACCTTCAGAGACGTCGTCGACGCTATCTTTACGAACCACATTGTGGTGTCGAGAACCAACGGCTGCGTCAAGATCACTTCCCCGCTAGGTCGAATCCCGACGTTGATGCGATACCACATCGACCCCGACGTCACACTCACGGCGTACGGGACTCCATACACCGAGACGCTCGTCACGGCGGCCTTGGGCAAGCTGGGCAACACTCACACCATCACGTTCGCCACCGTCCTGCCCGAGGACGTCTACACGCAGTTCCAGCACCTCGCGTCGGTCCAGGTGGTACGCTACGTCAGCGCCGCCCGTGCCGCCCGCCCTCCCATTATGGGCGCCAAGACCAACGTCTTCTTCTGCGTCCCGCGGCTCGAGCTCGTGCGCGTCTCCATCCGCCGCGCACTCACCAGGGACATGGAGAAGCTCGTCCTCAACGTCCCCTTCGACACGAACGGGTGGGTGCGCCAGCCCCCCATCTCGGCGGGCATGTATCCGCCGTACCGGCCCACCGCGGCGCAAGAGGTCGTCATCATCCTCACCCGCGAGCGGCACCTGGTCTACAACTCGGACGCGGACGGATACCTCTGGCCGCTGTGTTACTGGGAGCCAGCCGTCAGTCTGCTTTGTCACTTTCAGATCCAGAGCAAGTGGCACCGCTACACGGTCGTCGGCGCCGAGGACCTGCCGCTGCGTGTTCCGCCCAACGGGCCCGAGGTGGAGGAGAGCATGGAGGAACACATGCGGTCCAAGCTGAGGTGCGATCCGGCCGTCAGCGACGAGCTGGTCCATTTCGCCACGAGGGACGAGTATCGCCTGCGTGTGGGCGACCGCCAGTTTGAGCTCGAGACGGCGTACCCCATGTAGCATGCGACGTGTGTACGAGTACATACAGCCCCCACTTTCAGAGGTTCACGTGGAAGATGACATGCAACCCGCGAGCTGCCGCATCCATGAAAAACTCTGTCAGGTCGTCCAAGTTGGCCTGTGCGTACCGCCTCTCCTCATCGCCATACTCGGCGTTCCGCAGCTCCTGCGGCATGGCGGCATAGGCGTCCCCAAACTCATCGTCCTCCTTGAGCTCCAGCAACGCCGCGGCCACCTCCTTGACCTTGTCTGGTGGGGTATATCCGAGCGTCATCTCGCTCTCGCTCTCGCTCTCGTCCTCGGCCTGCTTCCCAACTCCGTGTTGGAGCTCCTCCCAGCCGACAATGACGCCCGTGTATGGCCAGTCGTCGGGATCTCGCTCCGAGCCAGAGGGAGCGAGGGCGCACGAGATGGGGTCCCATGCCTTGTCGGTGCTGCACGTTGGGGTGGTGTTGGACGATTCCTCGAGCTCGTCGATCAGGGCGGTGAGGGCTGCGTCGTTGCCTCTGGCGGCGAGGAAGCGGGATGCCTGCGCTTCGGTGAGGGCAAAGTGGACGCCGAGCTGCATTGAACGAGACGGGTGGGACAGTGAGGAGGACTGGGTAGTTGAACGCGATCCCGCGTTGCAATGCCAAGAGGTTGGTCGCGTAAGTGGAGGTGGACGGCTGGATATAGCCTAAGAACACAAGTGGCACTTTGCGCTCATTTCCCAGCAGTGTTCCATAACATACTGCATCACGAGGCCTCGGACGTGCTATGCATGACCGAACATTGCACGACTGTCATTCTTCCAAAGTCGAGCCATGTCAACTGCGCCTCTGCCTATGATAGTGGCTGACCCATGTCGATCAGTTGGGTTTCAGACTGTCCCCACAGTATGAACGCAGTGATCAGTGACATGGCATCCACATCAGACGTCCACATCAGACTACCATTCGCCCCAGTGCGCACGGGTTTGTCCCATCAGTCATCAGTCCATCCCCCTTTGTCGTCCAATATATCGTCCCTCTTACCTTGCGCCCTCCTTTCGTTCGCCCACAGCGCATTCTACTCTTGAGGATGCCGTTCGCCGGGCATTGTGACTTGGACGGGTGTCCCAACATCGCCCTCTTCTATCGCTCTTGCGTGGCTTGCCTGAATGCCTTCTGCGCTGCCCATGAAAATGCGGCCTTCCACCCATGCCACCGCCTTTCGGTAAGAGATGCCGCCGTTATTCTCCACTAACAACACTAAGAACAAGGAGTTTGAGAGCTCGTGCGACTACCTGTCCTTCTCGCGGGTGAGACTCCTTGCCTTTATAAAGAGCTCACGCCCAGGCCATCAACGCCATGGCGACCGCTGCCCCGCTTGTCAAGCATGCAGCCTCGCTGCTTCGCCCTGGCCACTCAAACTGTGTGGCCTTTCCTGACATTCACCAACCGGGACTGTCTTTCAGCCTTGTGCCGAGGGCCGCGACTCAGTGGCACGACGAGGACTGGTTCATGGGCGGGCTGAACTACCACCTTGCTGTCACTTTTGATGATGGGGTTTGCTGGCTCGCTCGAATTCGCCAGAAGAATGGCAACCCGCGCAAGCTCCAGTCCCTCGTCTCAGAGTTTGTCACCCTCAAAGCCTTGAACCGCGCCTGCCCCGAGTTTGTTCCCAATGTCTGGATGCCACAGGCGTCACCCTGTGAGTGGCGCGTGCCTCCAGCTCTCGAAACTAGGTTCTGACGGGTACCAGTGGGTCCCCCATTCTTCTTCATGGAGCACTTCAAGGGGTCCAACAGTCGCCACCTGTTCCCCCGATCCGGTGCTCGCCCTGTCGAGTCCCAGACCATCGTTTCCGACATGGCCACCTTTCTCATCCAGCTGAGCTCGCTGGAAATCCGCGGCGACATTGGATCTCTTACTGCCAGCAGCGCGGTCGTCGACGCCGCAACCGACCTCGAGCCAGAGCCAGTTGTTGGGCCCTTTGAACATTGGGACTATTGCATTTCGAACGGACTGACGACGTTGGGGCCGTTCCGCACCAGCCGTGATGCGTGGGTGGCAAAGATCGACGCCGTCGTGCTTGCACTCGAAAGGGGGCTGTTTGCGATCAATGGCGGGCACCTACTGCATGTGTATCTCGTCCATCTGGAAATGCGTGCTCTGGTCAACGCGTGCGAGGAGATGGCTGTGCCGTGCGGTCCCGGCGACGGCGAGCAGCCGACGTTCATCACACATGCCGATTCCAAAAACCACCTGCTTGTCACAGACGACGGCCATCTGCGCGCAGTCATTGATTGGGAAGGGTGAGTTGCCAGGTCGTTCGCGACTGAAAACTAACGCGAGGTTCAAGTGCGTACACCGCTCCATTTGCCGAGGCGTTCGCTGCTCCGATGGGGTTTTACGATCAGCGCGGCTTCGTTCGGGGCAGTAACGAGCTCTCCACCGAAGAAGTCCTCCTCGCCGACATATTCCAGTCTCGCGGACGCAAAGACATGGCGCAGGCGGTACGCGGTGGGCGCAAGTACCACCGACTTGCGTTTCACCTCGGAACCCTTCAGCCGACTCTGGAGATGGTCAACGCACTCTATGACGCCTTTCTGGGTGAAGAATCGGCAAGTTGTATCAGGTTTGACTCGCTCTTCGAGTGGGAGGCCGCGGCGTTGCACAAGTTCTCACATGTCCCGGGCCTTGAGTCTGTGCTCCAACTTCATCCGGGGTGTGTAGCTAGAGAAGAGCGAAGACAGTTGGCAATTCCGCCGGGAGAGGGGGATGTCGCCTACTTGCGCTTCGCAGAGGTCGAGCCAGACGCAAATTGGTGCAAGGTCGTCACTGTGAAGGACGCCTCGTAGGCCTGGGGTTGAGCTGGCGTGTGGCATGCAAGTACATGTTGGTAACTGGTCAATGCAAGTGTTGGGCTCATTAGTTGCTAGGTGTTAGTAATATAGTCTCAGCTTACCCAAGTGCCACCCATGCCCATTTCCGATGATGGAGGTCGGTTCTATTAAGAAGCATCTTACATACGAGGAATAGTGGCCGTGGCCATTAGAAGAAGGCAATGTTCGGATGACAGACTGGTCTACAACTTCCATTTTGGCAAGATACACAGGCCCCACACGGCCGCCAACGCCGTGAGCGGCAGGGAACAGCGCGGATGACACCAACGCGCACATGAGGGGCGTTTATTCACGATACAGTAGGCGGTCGTCTGCCTCCTCACGAGAGAAAACCGTAGGCGGGGTAGCTGTACCCTCGCTGGGATCCGCTGTGCTCGCCGCCCATGTGGGGTCGTAGCGAGGCGGCACGGCCACGGACCGGACGACGGGTCCTGCGTCGACCTCTTCGTGCGTCTGGATTAATGCCCTGGGGCGGTTTCGCCTCGAGTTCTTTTCGTTGGACGTGGTCTGCGTGAGGAACGACGCGCCCTCGTCGTCTGCGTTCTGGACCCGGAGGCCAGTCATCGACGTGTATTGCGCCGTGTCACGACTGCGGCTGTCGGCGGACCGTGTCGTGCCGGACTGGGAGGCGGTGCCGTCATACGGTGTGATCTGAGAAGCTGGGACGTCGGTGGCAATGGGCGAGTATCGGACCTCTGAGTCGTCGTCGTCGATGACTGGGTAGCCGGCCCGACCTTGCACGCTGCGTACGTTTGATGCTCTCTTGCGTTTGCGGATGAGGAACCAGGCAAGTGCGCCGATAAGGGCAATTGCAACAACGCCGCCAACCTGTTCCCACTGTCAGCCTCTACACACCTTCTGGGATCCGATGCCACAACCGTATGTACTCACCACGCCACCGACAATGGCCCCGATGTTGCTCTTTGACCCGCTAGACCCACTGGGCTCGCCCGTCCCACCACCAGAATCGGTAGCATTACCGGTTCCATTACCGACACTGTGGGTTAGTTAGTCCAAAGGCTTGGCACATGTTAAGCCAAGCTCACCTCCAGAGTTGGGCCGTTCCCACGTCACTCCATCCGCCGGCACCAACTGTCATGGTGAGGTTGTACGTCGTGTTTGGCAAGAGGCCGGCCGCAAAGAGTGTAGAGTTGGCGACGGTCCATGGGTTGTAGCTCGTCAAGACTTGCGATTCCGGGAGGTCTGGAGGAGGCGGGTCGAGCTGGACAGTGTACAGGCCGTGGTCGGACGAGGAAGAGCCGCTCAGAAGCACAAAGGTGTTGCCTGTCCCGAGCGAGATCATGGCTGTCGCGCCTTCAATGTTTGATCCGATGCGGTCATATGCTTGCTGGCCGTACCCGCCGCCGCCGCCCAGGACGCTGTTGGGCGTCCAGTCAGAAGCGTTGCCGGTCGTCACAACAGAGTTGATGACCGCAGTGCCAGACACCACCTTCTCGAAATCAATGGTGGTGGGTGAGGCTGAAGCAGCCGCAATGGCCTCGGACCTGCGGTCGGTCAGCTTACGTGGCAGTGGTGGGATCATCCAGTACGTACGACTGGGCGTACAGCCCCATGGTGAGTGTGACACCCGTCAGAGAGACTGTTCCAGACACGAGAACAATCGAGACATTGTGTTGGCCAGGCGACAGTCCGCTCACAGCGGCGACATTGCCAGGATCCGCAGTCACATATGACTGCTGGAAACCGTCGACAAGCAGGGCCACTGTGCCGCCGTTGGCCGTGGTTCCCTCAAAGGTGGCGCCTGTGCCCGCAAAGATAATGTCTACGCGTGCACCGGCGTACGAGGTGGACGTGGTCGAGTTGCCCTGGCCGATGGTGTTGGCGACATAGCTGCTCCACTGTGTTGCGTCTCCGGAGAAGGTCGTGTTCCATCCCCTGGAGGCCACTGCCTGCTTTGACGGGGTGTAGGTGAGGATGGACGCCGTGTCGGGGAACGAGATGTTGTATGGGATGGGCTGTAGAGGAGATTGTGCGGCACGCACGGATCGAGTCCCCAGGATGAGAGCGCCGAGTGCAGCAGAAGCAGCAGCAGCAGCCATGGCGTGCAGAGCAACCATCCTGAGTGCGAAAAGGTGGAATGAGTAAAACGAACAAGAGATGGCCGCCCCACCCTGCAGAATGTCGCTACTATTACTAGTGAGACAGGAATGTGTGTGAGTGAGCGAGCGGCCGTGTGAAACAGCCTGTGCGCGCATGCAGTGCATGTGATGGGGGTCTATCGGCCTAAACGAACGTCCCCCCTTTTTGGCTCGACGTCCGTCCCGCGAAACGCGTTCCGTTGGCGCGTTGGCGCGAGTACCAGTGTACCAGCCTGCGCGCGCGACGACTAGAGAGCTGGAGGACAAGATACAAAGAGGACAGCGGCGGCCAGAGGAGGCACAGCGACAGGAACCGCGACGGGGCCAGGGGGTGGTAGGCGGAAGGTTCACAGCCGCCGAGCGCGCCAACACCAAAGCTCGCGGCGTGGGAGAGAGAGGAGACTGAACTTCAAGATGGAGTTGTTGAGATGTTGTGCATCATGGCCAGCATCTCTGTGTGGTGAATGCAGCAAGGCTTAGCCACACCAGTTATACCAGCCAGCTATCAGCGACAGAGAACAGAATACGACAATCGGCGCAGCAGGCGATGACCAAAATGTTTCATCCGCTCGCGAGTTGGCGTCCGCTTCCGATGGATGGCGATGAGGACACCGCCTCCACACGTCCCGTGCAGGGGCCTCTGCCAGCACGCACAGCACCACAGCCATTTCAGCCGCGATCTTTCACGTGTGTGTCGTCATCTCAATTGACAGAGAGGTACAGAGACATGGTTGGAGCGAGGTCGCTGTACCTCTTTCGCCTCTTTGTATCAGTTGGCACCATTAGCCGCACCCAACAACACTTGTTGTTTGCCGGAGCTATCCGCCGGCTAACGGGAACACACGGAGCACTGGGCGTCCGTTTCAAAAACAGGATGGACAGATGGGGGGGAGATTCGAAACGTGCTCGGCCCCTCATCACTGTTTTTCAAGTTCATCCTTCTCTGCGGCACAAGGCAATAAACGCGCAAACCAGAAGCGATGCAACCAGCAAGCGCTCCTCCACACATGCCTGCTTGTGCGGAATCGCCTCAGCAGGAGCGCAGCAAAGGGGGGATATGCTTAAGAGCCCATCCCATACTTGCCCTCAATCATACACCAACCAGTCGGTAGTGGTAAAAGCGACAGACAGACAATCTCCTACTCTTGATTGCCAGGTACAGTGCTGTTTAGCTGCACTTCCCAGGCTTGCGGGTCTGGATGAGTTTGACAGTGCCACCTGCAGCATAACCCACGCGTACTGCGTAAGGTTGGCTATGGCCACAATTCCCACGACCCCACTCGGCATTCAATGCCCGTTTCCGAAGAAAAGGTGGGCGGCTCGGGAGTCCATCCCGAGCCGTCTCTATTCTTCGTCTGCCAAGGCATGCTCCACTCATTCTTAGGACGCTAATGCAATGCCAAGCAATCCCACTCCCCACCCCACTCTGTTGGGAATTGTGCAGGTCAGCGCCGCCGACGGCTGAGAGAGTATGTCACCTGCCTGACACTGGCCACAGGCCACAGGTCGGCATTCGGCGGAGACCTGGTTGTCCCCGAGCTCGGCATCGACCGCGCTAGTCGTCTGCCAAAGCAACAATACGGCAGAGCCCCAACCCCGCTACCAATGCCGCGGCCGTTAGGTCGTGTGCGATACCCCAGAAAACCCCCACATCCTTGGAGCTCCATGCCCATGCACAATCTAGGGAATGTGGGGATCCGAATTCCGAGCGATATACAAGAAGGAACTCACTTATCTGAATCTGGAGGCACAGAGCCACAAGCTTAGCAACCACAGACTCCCACCACTCTACCCTCACAACATGGAGCGCCAGTACTCTAGAGAAAAGGACGATGCGTTCCACCACGAAGTGACAGCAGAGTACCACGAGTACCCCGGCTTCTTTGGCAATATCCGTGGCCAACTGGAGGCATGGCATGGCAGCCGTGGCGACCGCAGCGTGCTCGCCTCCATCGTCCCCCTCCCGCGCCACAACCCGCACATGCCCAAGAACCCCTTCCTCGTCCTCCGGGGCATGTCGGCCATGGGGTGGGCATCGTTCTTTGTCGGCTGGCTATGCTGGATGTGTGACGGGTGAGTGTGGCACTCGCCGATGAACACAACGCTGATCGATGGAACAGCTACGACTACTTTTCCGTCCCCATCACGGTGACAGACCTGGCCAAATACTTTGGCCGTAGCACCAAGGACATTACTTGGGCCATTACAGTGACGACCCTCTGCCGCCTGCCTGGAGCCCTCTTCTTTGGCTTCCTTTCGGACCGCTACGGCCGTCGCTGGCCGCTGTGTCTCAACATGTTGCTCGTGTTTGCGTTCGAGTTGGGGACGGGTTTCGTCCAGACGTACGAGCAGTTCTTGGCCATCCGCGCGTGCTTTGGTGTTATCATGGGAGGCACCTGGCCTATGGCTGTCGCCACGTGAGTGGCGCGCGTTGGGATCCGTTGAAGTGAGCTAACGAGCAGTGCGCTCGAGAACATCCCCATCGAGGCCCGTGGATTCGTTTCCGGCATCGTCCAGCAAGGCTACACCGTCGGCTACCTCTTGGCCGCCGTTATCGGCCTCACCGTCAGCGAGACGTCAAAGTACCACTGGCGCACCCTGTACTGGTTTGGCGCCGGCTTCTCCGTCCTAGCGTTCATTGCGCGTGCGCTGCTCCCCGAATCGCGCCAGTACGACTTGGCAAAGGAGGAAGCCGAGGCCGAGGGCCTCACGTCCAAGGAGGCCGCGATAAACTTTAAAAATTCGCTGTTTACCATGGTCCGCATCAACTGGATCCGATGCCTATGGTGCATTTGTGTCATGGCAGCTTTCTGCTTCCTAGCACACTCGTCGCAGGACCTATACCCCACATACTTGAAGGTGGCGAAGGGTCTGTCACCGGTGCAAGCCAACAAGGTCGTCATCATCGCCAATTGCGGTGCCGTTGCCGGCGGACTCATTGGTGGCAACATGTCGCAGTACGTTGGCCGCCGCTTCTCGTGAGTAGCCTTTCATCCATTTGTTCAGGGTTTTGCCGCCACACGGCCAGCACGATGGAGGAGATCGCGGAGACGGCGAACGGAGGGTGGATCCTGGAGGGTTCATGGGCGTCCAGGCCACGCCGATAACGCCGCGGCATTTCCCACGTGGCCGGCCTTTTTGGCTTTGGGGGCCCCGGTGTTGTTAATTTGATTCCGTCGTGCTCACCCATATCCGCAGCATTGTCTGCTCCATCTTCTACACGGCCGCGTTCATGGCACTGTGGCTCCTGCCGCACTCGTTCGCCGGTCTCGCCGCTGGCGGCTTCTTCATGCAGATGGGCGTCCAGTCCGCGTGGGGTGTCGTCCCGGTCTATCTCTCCGAGTGCTCGCCGCCAGCGTTCCGCGCGCTGTTCCTCGGCGCGTTCTACCAGTTTGGCAACATGGCCTCGGCCGGATCTGCACAGATCGAAGCGACGGTGGGCCAGCGAGTCAAGATCAAGGGCACAGATACCCCAGACTATGCCCGTATCCAGGGCGTGTTTGTCGGCATCGTGCTTGCTGTCACCCTCGTCTGCGTCGTGCTCGGTCCCGAAGCCGACTCGAGCCACTTTGAGGCCGCCAAGGTTGCGTACATGTCTGGCGCTGGAAAGGCCGTGGGCGGCGAGTTTATTGAGCGGGACGACAAGCACCACGAGACGACGTTTGTGGAGGAGGTAACACACGAAAGGAGCCGAGCGGACATCCACTAGGGATAGCGGACATTCAGTAGGGATGGGGAAATTGTTCGGAGCCGAAATGTCGTAATGGGGGGATTCAATAGTCGATTAGTAAACTTCCCAAATGGTCTCAAGTATGTAAGGGGACGGTATCAAAACTCTGTCGCTCATTTGGAGTGCCACCACACAACTACGGACGTGCTTTGATCAATGTTCACATTGTCACAACATCTTCCCAGGTTACTCACAGAGCCGCTCCCCCACCACCGACATCGACCGGCCGGACACTTTGACGGTCTCATCCTAAACCTCCACGTTGCCATCCATGGTCTGCGTTCCCTGAGGAGCTGAAAGCTGCTTGGTCTGGGTCTGGCCCATGGCACGTCGAATGACACACACAGGTGCAGCGCTGCTGGCCTTGCTCTCTGCCATGCGTACTCTCACGGACATTGTTGACATGCGGGATAAGTCATTCACAGCAATGCCTCCACACGATCCACACCATTGCCACACTCATTTCCTCCACTCACCGGACCCGCAACGCAAAGGAGTGGTGGAGGTCGATCACGTGATATGACGTCGACCACGGACCTACGCCGAAGACGCCGAAGAGGCCGAAAGGCCCAGTCCCAGATGTTGCTGGCGAGCTTTGAGCAGTGGGGGAGTCAAAAAGCAACCGCATCGACGTTCTTGCAACTACACTATCCCCACGAGACTCTGAACAACATGGCCTCTACTCCCACTGTCAAGCTCGCTTCCGGCGACGCCATGCCCCTCACCGGCCTCGGCCTCTGGAAGGTCCCCCGCGATGTGGCTGCCGACCAGGTCTACAACGCTATCAAGGCCGGCTACCGCCTTCTGGACGGCGCGGCCGACTATGCCAACGAGAAGGAGTGTGGCCAGGGTCTTGCCCGTGCGCTGAAGGAGGGCATCGTCAAGCGCGAGGAGGTCTTCATCGTCTCCAAGCTCTGGAACACCAACCACGCGGCCAAGCACGTTGAGCCTGCGTGCAGGAAGAGCTTGAGCGACTGGGGCGTCGAGTACTTTGACCTGTACCTGATCCACATGCCCATTCCTTTGGCTTACGGTAAGCTAACCATTCCACGGACAGTGAGCTGATCGCCCAGTCGACCCCGCGGTTCGCGAGTTCCCCGGCTGGACCGTCAGCGGCAAGGACGGCGACGAGACAAGGACCGAGCGCTCGCCCGTCCACCTTACTTGGGGAGCAATGGAGGAGTGCCATGCCAAGGGCCTCGCTCGCAACATTGGTGTCTCCAACTTTGTCAGCGCCCTCATCATCGACCTCATCTGTTACGCAAAGGTCCACCCCGCCGTGCTTCAGATCGAGATGCACCCGTGAGTGGTCACGTTTGGCAAGTAAGCCCGAAGCTGACCCCTGCAGCTACTTTGTCCAGCAGGGCATGATCGACGTCTGCAAGGCGTACAACATCCACATGATGGCCTACAGCTCGTTTGGTCCCCAGTCGTACGTCACCTGTGGGAGCGTGGCTTCATAACTCAGCTGACAATCCAGGTGGATTGAGCTCGACCACCCCGCGTCCAAGACCCTGCCCTCCCTGCTCACCCTGGACACCGTCGCCGACATTGCCGCCAAGCACAAGGCCACCACTGCGCAGGTCCTCCTTCGCTGGGCCACCCAGCGTGGCATCACCGTCATCCCCAAGAGCTCCAACCCCCAGCGCCTGAAGGAGAACCTGGACAACTCGACTTTCGACTTGACCGAGGACGAGATCAAGGCCATCTCGGATTTGGACCGCAAGTTCAGGATCGCTGCGGGCAGCGACGCCAAGATCAACATCTTTGCATGAGGAGGCGTGAATGGAGGGACAATGAGCAGATGTATGTGATGTGCAACCCAGCCCCTCGAGCGTACAGCATTGTGTCCAGACCCCAGTATTCAGTAGCGCGAGCCAGGTACCTGCACCATACAGCAGTGCAGCAGCCTCTGCACATGTTGCATCGAGTGGGCCGGCTCTGGTAAACGTGGCGCTCCGCGGCATGGATATTCCGGGACGCCGAGACCTTACGCGTGTGTTGCGCCGAGATTGTACGCGTCTTTTCGGCAGTAATCTTTTGCGTTCCTGACGTCATTGCTGCAGATGTTGTTTTGCAGTGTACAAGCGTACTGATATTGAAGCCCTCTCCGGCTCTTGTTCACGGTCAATCACTTCCACCATCGTGCTCAATACCCAAATGCTTCTTCAGGATTCCCGCATTGTGATCCTCGGCGGCGGCCCTGCTGGCCTCACGGCCGCGCGACTCCTCCACAAGCGTGGCCTCTCACCTCTGGTCCTTGAACGCGACGCAAGCCCCTCAGCACGCAGCCAGGGCGGTAGCCTCGACTTGCATGAGGGCAAAGGTCTTCGCGCCATTGAAGAGATGGGTCTCATTAAGGAGTTTGAAGCGGTCGCGCGCCCACAAGGAGCACGCTATTCTGTCCTGGACGAGAACGCCAAGGTCTACGTCCAACTCACCGACGCGGACATGGGCGCCTCCCGTCCCGAGATCGACCGCACCCAGCTCCGCGCCATGCTGCTCAACTCGCTCCCTCCCACCTCCATCAAGTGGGGCGTCAACGTTACGGCCATTGTGCCCAGCCCCAAAGGTGGATATGCCATCCAGACCAGTGGGTCCGGGACCATCGAGGCGGACCTCGTGCTGGCGTGCGACGGCATGAACTCCAAGGCCCGCGCGCTCGTCACTGCCGAGAAGCCGCAGTACGCTGGCGTCTCGTTTGTCCAAGCCACAGTCACCAAGCCGGACGAGAAGACGTTTTTTGCCGAAACTCTCGGCCCAGGTTCCCTGTTTGCGTTGGGAAACGACCAGGCCATCCTCGGTCAGCGTAATGGCGACGACTCGATGCTCGTCTACTACTCCCTCCGAGTACCCGAAGACACCAGCAAGTCCCGTGGTGCGGACCTCACGGACGCGGCCGCCGTCCGCGCCATGCTCCAGAACGAGTTCAAGGGATGGGATCCCCGTCTGATGGCCGTTCTCGACGAGGCCGACCACTTCGCCTGGTGGCCGCTGTACAGCGTTGCCGCCGAACAAAAGTGGAATAACACCCACAAGGGACTCACCTTGCTCGGTGATGCGGCCCATGCCATGCCCCCGTTCACGGGCGAGGGCGTCAACCTCGCGATGCTCGATGCCATGGAGCTCGTGGACCAGCTCTTCAAGCACGATAGTGTCGACACGGCTATTGCAGAGTACGAGAGTGGAATGCTGGCTCGCATGAAGGAGGCCATCGTCGACGTGCAGGAGAATCAGGACCGCATCATGAGCCCCCATGGGCCCGTTCCACTTCTTAAGATGTTCGGCGTGACCGTTTGAGCCGCATGGAGACGTGGGGTGGGCCGCAGTGTTGATTTGTAGATAAGCTGTTCCATTGCATACCTGTTGCGCCTCTGGGTCGAAGGGGCAGAGCTTATAGCCCAATGGGTTACTTTGGGTCCCACTATCAGTCTCATCGCACATAAGCGACCACGGTCATATGCCTCGCCTTTGGAGGTGTATGGTCTGTGAACAGGGCACGGGCCCCTGAGCAAGGAGGGTATTGGGACCCCACCCAACTCGAGAGACTGGAGGTATCGATTGCCTTCCTCACTCCAGCCTGTGTCTCCTCTTAAGCCAGGTCGATGTGTCCTGTTCATCGATGCCTTCTTAGTTCAGTGGCTAGAATTTTTCACTAGTAGTGTCCTCCTCATCGGAGAGCTTGCTATGAAAGGGTCACCCGTTCAATTCGGGTAGAAGGCAGTCACGAGAGTATCCATCTGTTGTTCACCATCACGGCTTGACGCCGCGATGGCGGCCCCAGGTGGTGCTGATCTCTACCCTATGGCTCAGTTGGTTAGCGCGTGGAGCTGTTATCTCTGGCACACTCCGAGATCCCAGGTTCGAGCCCTGGTGCTGTAGTCTACTCTCCTTTTGCTAGTCGTGAGGTCGTCTGGGTGCTCTGGGAGTGTTGTTGGATGTTTGCTGGTTACCAGAGGATGCAGTGCCACTCACTCCCCTGCTGCGCCACGGAAGTACCGACTCTTATACCGAGTCTCGTGCCGCATTCAACTGCAACACGCAAGAGAGTGCCTGGCTGAAAGTTTACGTCCTGTGCTTAAGCTGCTTAGAGACCAAACGGGAAGATCCCTGTCTCACCTTACGTGAAATGGGTTAGTTGAGCGAAGTGTGAAGTGTTACTCTGTACGGGCGCACGGGGTCGGCGTCCCACATGAACGTTCCTTAGGTACAGCGGTCTTAGATACGGTCGTACGTACTTGGGTCGTTCCTTGTTTCAATGCCACTCTGTGCACATACAGGATGTGACAACCACCTCCAAGTCTACGCTGGTGGGCCTGCAGACTGCATGGCGCCTGGCATTAATAGCGCGGGCCCTCGCGACACCGCCTTGGCATCATCTCCCTCCCATCCACCCACTGAATTCGTCACCATCACAGCCAGTTCACCACCACAATGTTCCCGGCCCCCCTCGTGCTGTTGTTGTTGGGTTTGTCGGCCAGTGGCAAGCTTACCATGAACAACCCTGAGAGCATCGTGTCCTGTGAGACCGATACCCTCAGTTGGACTGGCGGAACGGGGCCCTACAACTTGTACAGTTGGTGATATTCTTACCGCTGACCATAAGAGCAGTCGTTACGAGCGGCCAGAAAGTGGGATTCACTCTAGAGCAGCTCTTAACTGGCTCTACCAACACCAGTCTGCGCTGGGTGTGCGATATCCCAGCCAATGTGACTATAAAATTCATGATATCCGACGCGACAGGTGACATGAACGCGTCCTTCTCGGACCCGCTGGTCATTGGAGCTGGCTCAACAACGTCGTGTTTATCCAACTCGGCTGCAGCAGCCTCGGCGTCATCTATGGGGCTCATGTCGACGCCCATAAGCACCTCGTCCACACCGACTAGCACATCACAAGGCAGCACCACTACAACCCCTGCGGCCGGAAAACGGTCGTTCCCAAGCACACTTACAATCGTCATGATCAGTATAGGGGTAGCCTTCGCTGTTCTTCTAGTTTCCGTCTACCTGGTACATGTCATCCGCGACAGACGGCGGAAAAAGGAGAATGCCCAGCAAGAGCCTCACGACATGGAGGAGGCAAACGTTCCCGCTCGCCCTGGTCTGGTCCACCCCACACCCCTTGCTGGTGTCAAAACCCGGTCCGTCCCGGGACAGGAACCATTGCCCTCGCCTACAAATGCAACTGTCAATGAGTACACGTCGTTTAGCCAACCCCCGGGTCATCAGTCAACTGTCCCATCCAACGATCACGCATCTTTGAACCTCCTCTCACTTCACCATTCCACCACAACCAGCACAAACCAACACCCAGCTGGATCGCTTGACCGGCCTCTGGAAGGCTCAGCCAACACCTCTGTCGAGTCTCTCTTAGGTCTCAGATCACACATCATGAACCTGGGTTCCAGCGAGGTTGCCTGGGCAGCCACAGCCCCGGATGACGAGGAAGTCGTGGGCGATGAGCCAGAGAGCTCGAGACACGGTCGGCGAGGCCAGAGTTTCTCAGCTGCCACGGGCATTTACGACGAGAACGGGATGGAACTGGACCATGAAAAGGGTAGATAGTCGCATAAAAGCAAAAGAACAAGGACAATGTATGTGTTGCAACGAGTGGTGGGTCCCCGAGATCTTATCGAAAACGCCTCTGCCCCTGAATCGCTCATCTCTCATCTGTCGTCGAACCCCAGTTTCGTGCTCTGTCCGACGGATCGCGATCTCCTCAGCAGATCCTCACAATGCGGAGGCATGCACGCATATGTCTGACGCGCAGCATGCCAAACACCCGCTGAACTCTGTTTCTATGGTTTTTGAAACTCCCAGTGCTCCAGCGCAAGGAAGTGAGGTCATTGCTGCGGTACGCGTGGGATTCACACTCACCCGACAACGTCGTGTCTGCTGACCCGTCTTCATTGTCTCTGTTTTGCCTCCTCCCGATCGCTATCAACGTCACGAGTCGGCCGTTGCCAACCAAACTCTTGGCCGTTGGAGCCTGGACCAAGTGGCGATGTTTTCTCATGCAACGACCGTCCGATGCTTGGCAAGAGTACATATATATCGATGTGCCCGCTGGGCCGAGTGAACAGCACATGCTTCTCATACTCCAAACACCCATCCTTCTGTCATTCCAAACAGACCAAAACAGATACAACGACGATCAGGCTACACGGAGCTGTACCACAACCCAACCACCTCCTCCTCACGTCCACCCCCGTTGCTTGAATTTAGGTCATTGGCAATGTCGGCCTACACCCCACCTTCATTCCCGACCACCAGCTTCCCGCCCACCACCACCACCGGTTACCATGTGTACACCCTGCCCCCGTCTCCCACCAGCTCGGGTCTCTGGTGGCACCACCACCGCCCGCACCGAGTCCACAAGGGGCTCAGCGGCGGCGCCATCGCCGGCATCGTCGTTGGCGTCTTGGCCTTTGTGGCTCTCCTCGGCGCCCTTGCCTTCTTCCTCATTCGCAGGCGCCGTCGCGCTCGCCTGACTTCCGCCAAGTATCTGGACATGGAGAAGCCTAGCACCGCCACCAAGGCGCCGTACAACCTCGGGACCGTCCCGGCGACGGACAGGCTGTCGCCGGAAGCGCACTCGGCGCCTGGATCGGAGCGCGGTGGGGTCGTCTGAAGTGTGCTTTCCCACAAGTTGTACCAATAGTGTAACGTTTACTTCCGATGGGAATGTATGTCATGTTTGGTGACTGAGGAACAACACTGCCATCGTCACTTCGTGTTGGTTTGCCAGCCTTGCGATCTCCTGCTCTGGTGACATCGAGATGAACCGATACACATGCAGCGCAGGGGTCAGACGGAAACGCAGGCTGAAGCACAATTTCCCACCTGAGGCAAGGTTGTCATTCATATTTGACCTGGTATGTCTATGAGCCTACTCCTTCACCCACTCTCACTCCACCGTTTCAGTCTCCCACTCGCCGGGGGCAAGAGTCGCCTGGTACTCCTCGCGGGAGAGGAATGCTAGTCGCGCTGCAGCCACCTCCCCAAACCTCCCACGGAACTGGTCGGTAAAATCCTCCCTGATCTCATCCACCGACGACAGCCCGGAAGGGGGGACGAGAGGGTTGACCAAGGCTTCAATGTTGACGACGAGGTACCGCTCGTACAGCGGCGTTGGGTAGCTGTCGACGAGGTCCTCGTTCAAGCGGGAGATCTCGTCGGTGGAGGGATCCGTCGTCCGGTCCGTATCCGTCGGCAGGTCGTGAATGACATACACTATCGTCTTGCCCTTGACGCAGCCCATGGCAAGCTTGTCGAGCAGGAGACGTCCGTCCTCTCGGTCCACAGAGAGGTGGGCGTTGAACACCACCTTGTCGATGTACGAGTCGGTAGGGAGGTCCGGATGCAACGCGTGAGGGAACAGTGCGCCCTCACCGGTGCCGAAAAACACATACTTGCGCGCCTTGACGAGATGCTCCTTGTTGATATCCATGTGTCGCTGGTCTTGCAGCCACAGCCAGTCCTCGTGTGTGGGTGTGCCGAAGCGCACGCGCAAGGTGTGGACGACCTGGAAGAGGCCTTCGAGGTGGTAGAGAATGTCGGTCTGCCATAACGGTGTGATGACGTCAAGGACCTTTGTGTGGGCCGCAGCCTGGATGAAGGCTGGTGCACGAACACTCCCCGGGTCTGGTTTCTCGACGATCCCGGCTCCAGATGCCAAGGCATCAGCTCCTTGAGGTGTGCCTCGGGGCGCGATGACAAGAGGTGGTGTACACCGCTGGTAGGGTGGTCGATTCTGGTTGTTGCGCACCACGCTGTGGCTCCAGAGACGGTTGTCGATTCTCTCGCGAAACTGACGAGAGGTGACACGCAAGCCGAGCCAACACTGGAGACAGCCATAGTCGATCACCGAGTCCATAATGTGCGGAAACCAGCCGCAGTCGAGGGTGACTCGTGGGCTTGGAGGGTGGAGCGGCTGCTGGAGCTGCATGGTGCGTGCCGACCGTTCTCGGGCAGTGACGAGAAAGACATGCGATGGGGTGATGATTCAGGAGAGGAGGTAGTACTTATCTAGCAAGCGAGTCCCCGCCTGCCTGTCGAGCATTGGTTGTGAAGATAGCACAGAGGAGTACCGACGGGAAGATGGACAGGAGCCCGATGAATTGTTGATTCATGCAGCAACCGGCGGGTGGTCTCACTACATATGCACGGCTTCCCGTCAAATCGCCGATCGCCGACGGACATCACGATTGTTGGACGTCACTGATCACTGATGTCACACTGTGCTCTGCCCCTCTTCGACACTTGATAGCGCAAACGCAAAGCACCGACTGTCGATGTCCTCCCCACAGTACACAGCTGTCGCCTACTTAGCTGGTGCATGACTCTACCCGACACGTCCTAGACCACTGTCTCCAGCTCCCACTCGCCCGGCTCCAAGGTGGCTTGGTACGCTTGCCGCGACATGAATGTCATGTTCGGCATCAATACCTCCAGGTCACCGTCGGTTGAGGCTCCCCATCTCCCTTTGAAGGCCCGGCGACACTGGTTCTTGAGTTCCTCGACTGTCCAGGAGGGCTCGGAAGGATCCAAACTGTGATACCGGAGCAGTTCCTCGAGATTAACGATAGCATAGTGGTCGGAGGTCTTGTAGTTGAGGATGCGCGCCAGTATATCCAGCAGTGAAGTTACCGTGGCTGGCCGGTCGACGGATTGATCAAACATGCTGGTGTCTGGCAAGTCGTGAACGATAAAGACGACCGTCCTCGGTCCGGGACCCTTCTGGGTTGACGCTTCCAGCACCGAGGGCAGAACCTTCAATGTGCATCCATACGACTCGCTCCACCACCAGTCGACATTAATAACCACCTTGCGCAGGGTCTCGCCCCCCAAGTAGGCATGTGGCTGATGGGCGACCATGTTCCCGGAGGTGCCGAAGAACACATACTTGCGAGCAAGGGGGTGGTCAGAGTCGTACTGGGAGTTCATGAACGCGCGCTGCTGGTTGGTATCGCTCAGGCGGAAGCGGACAGTATCGACCTTGATCTCCACATGCAGCGCTGGGTCCCGTTGGTTGGTGCTCATTGGCGCGACAAGGTCCAGCACATGGACATGACGAATGGCTCTCGTCCAGGCTGGGTTTGGCTTCATCAGGTGACGAAGATTGGTACTTGGGTCTTCAAGGATCGGGAGAAAGTACGCGGACGGGGATGGGTACGAGACCATAACGGGGCCTGGTTGACGCTGAGCTGGCACTCCGGCGGTCTGCTCATCGCTGACGACACTGTGATACCACATCTGGCGGTCAACGCGGTCGCGATAAGTGCTGGCCGTCCCGCGGAGGTTGAGCAACGCCTTGAGCGGAGCGTGCTCGATGATCGCGTCCATCAGGTGGGGGAACGACTCATGGTCGATGACCGTGAGTGAACCAGTGGACTGCATGGTGATGGTGTTGGTGTGTGGAAGGACATCAGAAGAGAGAAAGGAGTGGGTGGCGTCAAGAAGCTACGAAGCGGTGTCGGATCCAGCGACAGGCGGTCGCAGCCTGGTGGCTGCGGCGGCTGATTGAGGCACTCACACTCGCTAACAAATAGCTGCCCGTGACCTGTGGCATCCTCAAGCAGACGTGGGTTGCGGCTCAAGCGCATCAGATGCCGACGACACGCAGGGGCTACGCGCGATGCATAGACCACTAGTTCCAGGTGAAGCTCGCGCCGAGTGTTGATGTCTTCCTAATCGCGGGGACCCTCCTAAGATTACAACACCAGGAGGCATCTCCGACCACCAGTACCGGTGGGTCGTGGTCGGATGGCTGAGGCGGGCGAGCGAGACACTCGCCATCAGGCTCATCCATGGGCAGCTGGGATTTTAAGCAGCCTCTCCTAGGGACAAGATGGATCAGACAGTGCCGTACTCTTTGTTTACCTTTATGAGGAGGGCAGACACAGACCGAAAAGGGGTGGCACCAGCGTATTCCCTCGGGGCCACATCCTGGCAACATGCGAGCCATATGTCCTCGCCCCGCTCTTCACAGTCTCCATACGTGACCCACGCCCACCAAAAGAACGAACAAGACGGTGACGCGCAACAACCGTGTAATATCCTCTCAACATCCATATATTCCCTGCACCGCCAGGGGGGTTAAGCCGGTCCGCCGGTCACAAAGACGCCGGCCTTTCCTGATTGCCGATGGCACACCCACACCGTATTATACAGCGTGCGCAGCCTCTGAGCGTCGCTGTTTTTTAGTCCAAAGCACACCAACTGATGCATTTCAACTCCAGTCCCCAGCACGTCGGCCCCTAAATTAGGGTATGCACCACGGGGCGCGATGACCATCGTCTCTGAACTAGAGCATTTCATTGAAAAGCAACGAACGGGAATCTTGAGTTCGCGATAGGAAATCAATCTTCAGAATTCCCGTTCGTCATGGGCCGGGCCGAATCCCGGGCACCCTGCATGGCTCGTAATCCGCCGGCGTCCACCGTGTTCTTAAAGCCAACGCGCTGGCCAGCGTGTCCCCAGCTCTCTCTCTCTCTCTCCCCATCACACGATGAACGTCGTCTACCACCCCGCTGAGCACGAGGACACGACCCCATGGCGCGGTGCTCTCCCAGCCCGTGCGTGGCAGCAGTCGGACGCTCGCAGCCTGAGCCTCAACGCTCCTTACCGCTTCCGTCTCTCGCCCACTGCCGCTGTCGAGGACGGCGACGCATTCGCCAGCCCGGACTTTAACGATGGCAAGTGGGACACCATCCCCGTCCCTTCCCACTGGGTTCTGCATGGCTACGGCGCTCCCGCGTACCAGAACATCAACTATCCCTTCCCCGTCGACCCTCCCTTTGTCCCGACCGAGAACCCGACTGGTGACTACCGCTTCGAGTTTGACCTCCCCAAGGAGTGGGAGCTGAACAACGGCAAGGTGAGCTAAGGGGACAGGAAACGGCTAGCTAATAACTTCAGACCGTGCTCAGGTTCGACGGTGTCGAGTCGTGGTACAAGGTCTGGCTCAACGGCAAGCTGCTCGGCTTCTCGACCGGCAGCAGGCTGCCTACCGAGTTTGACGTCACCTCCGCCCTTGGCGAGAAGAACGTTCTCGCAGTCCGTGTCCACCAGTGGTCGGCTGCGACCTACGTCGAGGACCAGGACCAGTGGTGGATGCCGGGAATCGTGAGTTCAACAATGTTCTGTCAAGTCCTAACTCTTAGTTCCGTGACGTCACTCTCATCCACCGTCCGGCCAAGAGCGTCGAGGACCACTTTGTCCACGCTTCGTACGACCACACCACTGGCAAGGGCACTCTGAAGGTCGACTCGAACCCTGCTGGCCGTGTCATTGTCCCTGCGCTCAACATTGACCAGGAGACCGGCACCGAGGTCACCGTTGCTGTTGAGCCTTGGACGGCCGAGAACCCTCACCTCTACACCGGTGTGCTCGTCACCGATGGCGAGCGCGTGCCGCTCCAGATCGGCTTCCGTACTGTCAAGGTCGACAATGGTGTCATCACTGTCAACGGCAAGCGTATCCTCTTCCGCGGTGTCAACCGTCACGAGTTCCACCCCGACATGGGCCGCGCGCTCGACCACGCCACCATGCTCCAGGATGTGCTCATCATGAAGCAGAACAACATGAACGCCGTTCGCACCTCCCACTACCCTCCCCACCCCCATTTCCTTGATCTGTGCGACGAGTACGGTCTCTGGGTCATCGACGAGGTCGACCTTGAAACCCATGGCTTTGAGATTGACGGATGGAAGGGTAACCCCAGTGCCGCTCCCCAGTACACTGAGGCCCTCCTCAACCGCGCCGACCGCATGGTTGAGCGCGACAAGAACCACCCGTCCATTATCATTTGGTCGCTCGGTAACGAGGCTGGTACCGGCAACAACCTCCTCTTGATGTCAAAGCAAATCAAGAAGCGTGACTCATCGCGTCTTATCCACTACGAGGGTGACAGGTCCTGCGAGGGCACCGACATGTACTCGCGCATGTACGCCAGCCACCTCGAGGTCGAGGAGATTGGCAAGGGTATCGAGCCCCCACTGGACGACCCCGAGCTGGACGCCAAGCGCCGCAAGATGCCCTTCATCCAGTGCGAGTATGCGCACGCCATGGGCAACGGCCCCGGCGGTCTGCTCGAGTACCAGCAGCTGTTTGAGAAGTACCCTCGCTGCCAGGGAGGCTTTGTCTGGGAGTTTATCGACCACGGATTCGAGAAGACCACGCCCGAGGGCAAGAAGTACTGGGCCTACGGCGGCGACTTTGGAGAGGAGGTGAGCTTCATGTCTATTGGCTCAGCTAACATTCAGATTCACGACGGCAACTTTATCTCTGACGGTCTCCTCTTCCCCAACCGTGACCCCAGCCCCGGCATGCTCGAGTACAAGAAGGTCATTGAGCCTGTCAAGATGACCGGTGACGCGTCCAAGGGTACTCTCTCGATCTACAACGGCTACGACTTCTCCGACTTGAAGCACCTCAGCCTCTGGTGGAAGCTCGAGCACAATGGCGAGTTTGTCGCCGAGGGCGGCATCGACGCTGCCACTCTCCCCGAGATTGCCCCGGGCAAGACTGGCGAGATCAAGCTCCCTGTCATTGCTGTCGACGGCAAGGGCGAGTTCTGGTGGACCTTCTCGGCTCGTCTTGCCGACAAGGCACCCTGGGGCGAGGCCGGCCACGAGGTCGCCTGGACCCAGTTCCCGGCCATTGCTCTTCCCGCACCCGTTTCGGCTCCCGCGTCCGTCAAGCCTGTCAAGGATGGCAAGACTGTCACTGTTGGCCCTGCCACTTTCAACGCCGTCGATGGCCAGCTCGTTCAGCTTGGTGGCATCAAGGTCGACGGCGCCAAGCTTGACATTTGGCGTGCGATCACCGACAACGACCGTGGTATCTCGTTTGACACGAAGCGTTCCATGGCCGACGAGTGGTATGCTGCTGGCTTTGACCGTGTCCACCACCGTATCGACTCCGTCGCCATCGAGGGCGATGCCTTTGTGGTCGCCACCCGCGCGGCCCCGGCGATCCGTAACCGCGGCCTCCGTACCGTCTACCGCTGGACTGCCCCCGACGCTGGCTCGGTCAAGCTGTCGCTCTCGGTCGAGCCTGAGGGAGACTGGGGTAACCTCCTCCTCCCCCGTCTTGGTGTTCGCTTCGGCCTCCCCAAGGACCTCGCCAACGTCGAGTGGTTTGGCTGTGGTCCCAATGAGGCGTACGCCGACACCCGCACCGCAGCCAAGGTCGGCAAGTACGCGTACACGATCGACGCCATGCAGACTCCCTACGTTTTCCCCCAGGAGAACGGCAGCCGTATCGACGTCCGCTGGGCCGAGATCACCGGCAGCGGACCCGGCCTGCGCGTCGAGGGCGAGCCGCTCTTTGCGCTCACGGCCCGCCGCTGGACGACGGAGCAGCTCGACAAGGCCAAGCACACCACTGACCTTGTGGCTGGCGACAACGTCTGGCTCAACGTTGACCTCAAGCTCAACGGTATCGGCACTGGATCGTGTGGTGAGGAGGTCCTCGTCCACGACGAGCTCTTCCCTGCCAAGCACGACTTCTCGTTTGTGCTCCGCCCTCTCGCTTAAAGGATGTCTAAATGGCACGATGGAGCTTTAAAATTGTAGTTTTTTGTCCCCCAGGTTTGGGGACGGACGGTATGAAGGATGAAGATATTGCATTAAAGACTCGTCCACTTGTTGCCATATTAATCTGCAGAGCTACTACAACTAAGCCCTAACGCCAACGAGACGGAGCACAGCGGGGGTCTCGATAACGTCCACAAACGGCTTGTCACGGTTGGCGGGGTCGACGGTACCGTCAGGACGGCGGGGGACGGCATAGTCGTTGTCCAAGTCGGTGAACACAATGTTCTGGTTGGGCCAGTGGGTCGTGCACTTGCGTGCCTTGAACACCTCGAATTTCTTGGCCAGGTCGGCCTCGCTCGCCATCGATCGCGGGCAGTAGCAGACGTAACAGCAGAAGCGAGTCTGTTCACCGACGGGGCTCGAGTTCCAGTGGACGGTACGCGAGTCCCACACTTTTCGTTAGTGGATTGCGCTGGCAAACGGAACGGAATGGCGATACTCACGAATCAGGTCACCCTCGCCAGCGCACACCTTGACCACCTCGCACCCGTTGTCCTTGTACCACTGGAAGTCCTCGTCGATGTAGCCGTAGGCGTTCTGGTCCTCGCCGGCGTCCTTCTCCGGGCGGAAACCGCCAATGCTTGCAAAGTGCTCGGCGTGCTTGAGGTGCGAGCCCTTGAGGACACAGAGGCCGCCGTCGTTGGGGCCGTTGGGAGCCAGGTTGGCAATACCCTGGTACAGCTCAAAACGGTCGACATTGCGAGCGTTCTGGTCAATGTCTGGAACGTCAGTTGAAACTCGACAGGGTAGAAGCAGCTCACGAGGCCACGCCTCCGTGAGAGGAATGTCGGTGCGGCCGGTCTTCTCGTTAATGGGCATGGTAACGTTCATGCCGTCAAACGAGGCGAGGATGTCGTCGGTGCCCCAGATGGTGGAGAAGATATCGACGATGCCCGGGTGGCTGCCTGTTAGCGTCACACATCTTCCAATCTCCTCAAAACTCACGCCCTAATTCGCCACACAAAGTCCTCGTGGCTAACGGCATAACGGTTGTAGATGCCACCACTGAAAAGTCAGCAAGGCCAGAGCTACTTGGACACGATGGTACCCACGTCGCACCCTCGGGGAGGTTCTCCCTTGTCCATGTCGAGCGGTCATCCCGCTTGAACCCGTATGGGAACGACTCGAGCCATTTGAGTGATGCCTCCTGGAACTCTGCGCACTCCTCCTTGCCAACCACACCGGGCACCACCACGTAGCCGTCTCGCTCGAGATCGATGAGGAATTGGGGCTTGGGGTCCTGGGTCATTGTGCTTGTATATGCTTCGTGGAAGGATTGATAAAGGAAATGGGGTAACGCGTAGACGTAGATGCGGGGGGAGGTGGGGACAGCGGGGAAGAGGGTGGCTAAGATATGGACAATCAGGTATTTTTATCCGTTGTCAGCGTGCGCTGGTTATCGGGCCGATTAAATGTGCCGAACTGCTGGGTGGACTGCCCACTCCCCCGCGCACCCAACACTCGGACATTGTCGGTGGCTGCGGGCCCCGCTATGGAGAGCCAAGCATGGACAAATGCGTGTGGGGTTTTGCAGATAGAGAGGCTGGTTCCCAGGTTTCGGTGAGGGGTGTGAACGTGGCGGGCGTCAGTCTGGTCAAGCCCACTGCCTGAGGTGACGAACACGTCTTCACTTGTGCAAGGGTGCAAGGGGGGGTGCATCTTCCCAGGTACTTCATGTGATTGTCCGCCTGTAACTGCCCTGTATGCCACTGACTAGGTAGTTAGGCAAACTGACAGGCCATCATTCGGTGAAGGAGTGCCCATCAGCGTGTCGGCGCAAGAGACCCAACATGCGAACCGGTTACGAACCACCACGAAGCTCTATCCGACGTGACGAAAGTAACTACAGGTATGGCTTGAGCAGAGATCTTGCCGACACCGCAATGTCCGGTACACGAGAGTATGGGCTGCGCACAGGGAAGTAAATGTACGGGCCCCGTTCAAAGGCAGCAAACGGGAGACTCACCGCAAAGAAGCTCCAAAATCGCGTGAGCCGGGCCGAGGATAGCGAACGTGTACTTTTCAGTGTGTTGATTGTGTTCTTGAGGTACAACTTGAACCACTTCAACCGCGATGACCTGGAACTGGCGTTGTTGCTTGCTCACCAACTGCACCGTGTAATCGGCAACTATCGTGCCGGCTCGGCAAATTCAACTCGCACAATCTTTTCAACTTCATCTGCCAAGTATGGGGGTTCCAGTAGCTGCTAAATGACCGTACCGGCGCTTTGCTTGACCCGCAGGCATCTCCAGCCCACTGTTCTGTGCCATTCAGTCCTTGACATGGGGCCGAAAGGACGGTACAATTGGCCGTAACAGTCGCCAAGGACCCGGGAAGTCCCCGCTCAAGTCGTCCACCTGTAGGTCAAGTGGCCCACCCACTGGCACGGCCAGTTGAACAGATCGCAATCTCTTCCATGGCTTCGGCCCATTCATTCGAGGCGTTGGGCACATCTACTCGCCTTGCACTTGCTTGAAAAGGGGAACGCTCAGCTGACGGCCTTCTTAATCTACTCCGCACGGACCTTTTCATCAAGCCTGGTTATATCAGTCGGTAGATAGTTTGACTCTTACTTCTTTAAGACATCAAAATGTCATGGGTTCGAGCCCCATACTAGGCTTACGAGGTTACAAGCGACTGCTTGAAGCTTCTCTTTTGCTGTTTTTGTCGATGGTGAGTCAATAAAGAGAGCACGTAGACCTGTTGAGACAAGCAAGAAGGGTGAACAGGTACGGATAGGTGGGACAGGCAGACTTCCGATGGTGCTGTAAAACTGAGTCCGTTGTTATTTATGTGTGAGGCACCAGATTCCGCTTCCCAACGTTGCAACTGTCGCAGTCCCAACACACATGTGAGTGTTTGCATCTCGAGTGTTTGAGATATCCCCACGACCGTGTCAGTTCAGCGGCCAGGACAGACAAGTGAATGCTCCAGCTTCCGAACAGTGTTACAGTTTGGTTTGGGGCACCCAAATGGAACCGTCCGTTGCGACCCTCCTGCTACAGATGCAGTGTCCTCCCAGGGGCCCATGCATCATAAGGTTTAGGGCTAGTGTATCATCGACAGGTTTGGATAGAGATTTTCGGTTAGGGGGGTTGAGACTGACGCGTCTTGGTCGCGTCTGATGTGACTCTTTTGCACGCGTTTCGAAGGCTCACATCGAGGTGCGAGACATCAGGGAAGGAGCAGGGATAAGGGGGATGCCAGATCGGGTCGTCCTGCAGGCGGTTTCCTCTCGTAAAAAGGCGGATGCACATGTGGGCTGTGGGCCAGACAACTCTATCACAACCTTCTCACGTTCTGGATCCGGGCCAACGGAGTCACATACAGTTGGCACGGGGGGGGCGAATGGGCATGTGGAAGCGCGTCCAACATTGCATGTGGTGCGCTAAGTCGAGGGTCACTGAAACTGACCGGCACGGGAGGCGTCGCCTGGACCTCGATTGTCCCACGACATCCCAAGGTTACACATTTTCACGAGCCTGACAAAAAGAGGCCAGCTTGGGTGCAGGGAGGGAAGCAGTCGATACATATACCCACTCGTGCTTCACCTTGACCTGTTCTTGCCCAACCCTTCACCTAGTTCGCGTTGACCGCTCACACCATGAAGACGTCCTTCGCCGCCCTCGCCACGCTCCTTTTCGCGCTTGCCACGCCGGCCGTGGCACAGTGCTCCCAGTCTACCGTCACCGTCACCGTCACCGTCCAACCTGCTGCGACCGCCGACAGTGCTGGCAACGTGGGAGCCGTCACCGGAACCGCCGTCGGCTCCCTTGCTGGTGTAGCTACCCCTACTGCGGCGGGCGCCAACTCTGGATCCACGGGCGGCAGCGACTCTGGCGCCGCAGGTGCCGTCTCTGGAGCGGCGGGCGCAGCCTCTGCGGCCGCTGGTGCTGCCTCTGGTGCGGCCTCTGAAGCCGCCGGTGGAGCCTCGGCCGCCAACGGCACCGTCACGTCCGCCGCGACTCCTGTCACTGAGACTGCTGCGGCCCAAATCACGGACGGCTACGACGACTGCGAGGAGGGAGACTCGACCGACGTCCCGACTGCGACCGACGACTGTGAGGATGACGCTGCCCAGCCAGAGGAGACGGACGACTGCCAGGACGAAGGCGACGTCACGACCGCGTGGGGAGCCACGGCCACGGGTGGCGCGTACAACACCACTGTCGATTCCAGCAACTCCACTGTTCCCGTCGACAACTCCACTGTTGGCCTCGACAACTCCACTGCTGGTTCCAACTCGTCGCTCGTCAATGGCACCTACGGAGCCGACAACAGCACCGCCAACGTCACCGCGGCCGTTCCCGTCGACACCATGTACACCGATGCCGCCGCGACTGCGGCCGTGACCGCTTATTAAACCCACCGCGACATCAACCCCTGCTTGAGGCCACACCCAACTTAGAGCCGGCTGGCAGTAGATCATTCAGCAGTGTGTACGGGGACTGGTTCCTCATGTACAACAAGTCACCATGTAACCACATTCTTTTGTCACCACCGCAGCTGCTGGTACGCGACGTCCTCATCCACTGGCCCCGCCGCCACGGTCAGGGTCATTCTGACTTCGACTTTGAAGACACGGAGCATGAACCCGCACTGCATAGTATCCGCCATCTCCATCACCAAGTGTTGTCGCGCTGTTCGTCTCCTTCATTGATGCAGATTCAGTACTCACTGCCCTATCCACACGGTGATTCGAATGCGAATATCGGTTATGATGTGTCAGTGACTACTGGCCCTTGGAGCACCTGAAATCATACTGATTGCAGGTAGCGCCCTAGCGCCTACACAAGGTCTCGTCTGCTTTATCTGCTAAACACACCCACGTCACAGATCTCCAGTAAATAGGCTGTGACGGAAACCAGCCGCTCTTCCGTGATTACGGCAAAGGTGAAAGCTGAGCGACTGACAGAACACCCTCCAACCGGACTTCTGACGACCTCTAGCCTACGCGTTCCGCTGTGTAGGATGAACATTGATCGCCCTTTGAGGTCAGAATTAAAGTGGTGCGACGCTTAGCAGCTGAGTGGCTCTTAAAACCGTGAGACAGGCTACGTGAATGTATTGCTCGCTTTCAGTGGTGGCGAGTAGCAAGAAGCCCCTCCATGGCATTAATTTGCCCGCTGGTTAGAACTGAGCACAAAGTACCATCCTGTGAGCTGGAGACTCATCAGCACCTACATGGGTGGGTCGGGGTCCTCTTCTATTCACGTGACTTGGGTTCTATGTGCTCATAAAACGAAGGAAGGCCACTTATATGTCCACATAAATGTGTCGTCCCCACCAACTCACTCGGGTCCGTCCCGCCGGTCACTGGTCCTGGGTCAGCCATGTGACCTCATCCAACCGATCCACTCTCTGAATCCCTGTTAGCGTCGGATGTTAGCGTGTCGTCATGCGCAACTGTCCACACCAGGTTACGGCGAAAACCTCCGCCGAGCCGGAACAACACCTTCCCCGTCGTTGCGCTCGGCTCGTCGTCCAGCATTGCAACAGGATACGTCTCGCATTATCAACGAACCGATACAACGAGGAGGCCACTCACACCGCGCAGAGCCGCCGTTTACCCCCCCAACCCGGCATAACCCCCGTCAGACGCCGGAGTGGTTCGCCGGCATTTTATCTATACCGAGAGGCGGACCTGAGCTGTCCGCCACCTGACCTGGCTCGTCGGCCGCCCGCCATTCAACAACGGTTCGATGGTTCTGCCGCCTCTCCGCAAGCGGTTGTACGCACCGTGCCGTCACTTGCCGTCAGTGTTCAGCAGGCAGCGGCCCAGGGGGTAGGTATTGGACCGAGTCACGGGCTGCGCGAAGTGCCAAGCTGGTGGTCAGTGCCTAGTGGTTGGTGGGCAAGGATGATCCCCGTGGAGCCACGCCGTGGCGGCTGACCGTACAGGGTGGCGATCACGTTGGGTGAGTTGGTCATTGAGAGAAAGGAAGTGCCAAGATGGCCAGGAGGTGACAGTAAAGTCCACCTGCCAAGACCTGGTACTGCGCAAGTGCATGTGTGTAGTAGGACAAGCCAAAATATGGGGGCGCCTTTGGCGGTTTGAATTTCCTGCGAATTGTTTCGATTATTGGATCCTTCTAGCATACACTTTGGCTATTGAGCAATCAAGGAATCTACAACTAGGGCTTCTACGAGCTGGAACGAATGGGCGAAGCGTACTGCAGGTCGACAAACTCCTCGTCCGCCTTCTCCTCCTCGGTCTCACGGTTGGGGCCGGGCCCAAGCTCGCCCGCGGCCTGAGAGTGCTTACGGAGGTCCTCCTCAATAATGGCCTGGTCGGATCCGTCGAGGTCGCGGACCATGACGGACCACTTGTTGTGGCGGCGGCACTTGATCGCCCACATGACCAGACCGTAGAGCATGAGCGGCACGAATCCCGTAAAGGGGATCATGTAGGAGATTTGCGTTCCCTTGGCGTCCGCCACGGCGCCTTGCGCAGAGGGGTACCACGCGCCACCACTGACTCCCATGGCGATCAGGCCTCCGCCAAACTTGGCGTACGAGCCCAAGTTGGAGGTGGCGATGGAGAAGATGACGGGGTAGCAGACCGACTCGAAGAGGAAGACCATGAAGAGGCACGCGATGCCGCCCCTGCCGTCGATGGTGGCGGTGAGGATACAGAAGATCATGAGGCCAACGCCATGGACGAACAGGGCGAACGCAGGGTCAATGAAGCGAAGGTAGCCCACGCCGATGAACCGTCCGACTTTACGGTGGGTCAGCGCGATTCCATGTCCTGGATATCTTCAACGTACTGGTGAAAACGGCCTGGCAAGCGCTGAAGAGGTTCGATGCCATTGCTGTCGAGTAAGGGGGCTCAATACCGGGCTGCTCGGTGAGGTAGAAGACGGCAAACGAAGCCACCGCGACCTGTGCGCCGACTGAAGAGGCGTCAGCTCCGATTCCACCATGGAACAGCTCCTCCACGCACCATAGAAGAACTCTGCCACAAAGCCAAAGATGGTGTGGTAGTGCTTCAGGAAGCCCTTGAGACCCTCCTTGCGCATCTGCTCCTCTTGCTCGTCGGTGACACCCTGCGCCACCTCGGGGAGTTTACAAAAGTACAGGCCAATGTTGAGGAGGAGGGCAAAGACGGCCAGAGAGAGGTAGACGTACTGGACCGTGTCGAGCTTGGTGGCGTTGGCGCCGTTGAAGAAGGTGTGGGCGGCGATGATGGGGCCGATAACTGTCGCGATGCCGTTGAACGACTGGGCAAACGTGAGGCGGTAGGCCGCATGCTTGGGAGGACCAAGCACGACAATGTACGTGTTGGCAGCGACCTCGAGTGTAGCCAGTCCACTGGCGGCGACAAAGGTAAAGGCAACGAACTGGACGTCAGGAAGTGTAGTGGCCAGTGAGCGGGGCATTTCCGACGCGGAGGATAGACTTTCCGCCACCAATCCCACAAGGCTATGGACTCACCATTCCATACTTTGCGTACACTGCAGAGGGCCAGAAGAGGACAGCACCAGTGCTGAAGAGACCGAGACCAATGTGGATACCGACCTTGTAGCCGACCTTGCGCATGAGGATACCCATTGCTGCGGCGTCAGTTCAACTCATCATGGTACTGTTCGTTCCAATTCAGCAATTCCTAAAACTCACGCGGCGCGACCACCAGGTAACTGCCAAATTGTCAGCACAGCACATCCACCGCGCGTATAGAGTCCATGGACTTGATGGACTCACCTGACAAAGTACGCAAACTGCAAGAGCGTCGTCTGCACCTTGTTGAGGTGGAAAATGGACAGGAAGTGCTAAGAGAAGGTACCTGTCAGTGGATCCCATATGCCATCCGCCGGGCAAGCAGACAACACGTACCTGGTTGAGCACATCGAGGAGACCATAACTGAGACCCCAGAGGAAGAACAGGGAGGTGACGAGGCTAAACGAGATGATAAGTTCGCTCTTGGTGAGAGCAGTGTAGTCTTTGGCAGCGGCGACCACTCGGGGAGCCTCGCTAGTTTTGCGATCCATCGTGGCTGTTGTGATGACCGGGTCAAAGTGGCGTGTGGTGGAAGTGTCGCTGTGAGCGATGAGCGAGGCAGAGGACGCAAAACGCGATCATTACTCGACCGTCGTATGCTCTTATACCCCCTCCCCTCCCCCTGCATTATCCACATCCGAAGCTAGAGGGAACTAACAGGTCGGAAGCAGGCCAACGCGGCTCGAGGCCCGCCATTCCCATCCACATTGCCGTCACAGCCTAGCCGAGTCGACCGCCTTGCCGCTGTAAAGTGAACGCCAACAGTCGGGTCAATGGCCGACACGCAAAGGTCAAGGTGGGGGGCGGCAGGCGCGTTTCTGGACTGGTTGGTGGAACCTGGAACCTGGTGGCCGACGAGTACCTGGGAAGCGGAGGCGCCAAGCTCGGCGGTCCACGGCTCCGCGGGGGTAGGCCGGAGACCCAGAGGGCCAGAGTGGGGGTCTCCTGCATTGGCGCTCGGCCCCTCAGGTGTCCCACCGCTCATGTAACCTTCGTCACATGGGTACTAGTCCACGGGTCGTCTGTCGCATCCAGTAGTGTGCTGTTTGTGAAGTTGTGACGACAGGAGCCAGGGAGCTCTCGGTGTAAGATTGTTGCGACGGATGGGGGGGGGGGGCGGAGACGGCACAAGTCGCCGGTTTTGGGACATGCCATTTTGCCATTGCCGGTGTAGTTGGCCGGTTTCGCATTCCGTGAGCATGTGCTTCCACTCTTTACCTTGGCCCCTCTAGACGATGCCTGGCGGGGCCCGAGGTGTGTCATGGCGCCTGTGAGATGGACCTGCACTAGCGTTGTACGTGGCGACATTGCCGAAGGCCAAAAAGCAACGTTGGCTACTCGCCTTTTTTTGCAGATAACGTCGAGGGTCGACTGCGACTGTCAGGATGGTTTAGAACTTGACCCAAAACCTCGGAACTGTGCGACTTCCAAACACTCAGATCGAGACCTGACTGACACGCCGTCTTACCAGTCACCCGCAGACGTCCGTCCAGTATACGCAGTTGTGCCAGAGGCGGAGCCGCTGCTCGCACTACTCGCGTTGACGTTGCAAGCGGCGCTGCTCTCGCCCGTCAACCCCCCGCGGGGTTCTGTGCAGACAGCGACAAGCTTTGCAGCCACACCAAAGTCTTATGCTTCTGCTTCGTGCATGTCGTAAGTGGCGTGTTTGAGAGCTGAGGTGCTGCGGACGTCCGCGGGGGATCGAGGATCACGAGGCAGGCGATGACACTCCACAACTCCGTCTCCGTCTCCGTCTCTCCCCGGCACCACCACTGTCATGCAAAGAGTACATTTGGCTGAACTGCACTATTCTACACACCACGTGACGACACGATAAACGGACAAGGATCAAGGGGGGACAACGTTCGACGACAATTGTAAATCTCTGCAAAAGGGGAGGATCCCCTGGTCAGCGAAAACGATCCCACTCGCCCCCGCGTCTTTCGTCCGGCGACCTACGTTCTGGATCACAGCGCTACGGGAGCGGCTCGGCGGAGCTGCTGAGGCGGTTGAGCTGTGTGTGGGTCAGCGACGAGGCTTTGGGTCGATAATCCAAGCACACTCACGTTGATGTAGACGTCAGTGCCTTGGGAGCGTCAGCAAGAGAAGATAAGGGGTAGTGGCCACGGAACGGGGGGTGTTGGCGGGGACAGATCGGCCCTCCCGGCGAGCCTGCACAAAACGTCTCTGTTTTGCCCAACGGCGGCCCAGCGTCGATCGTCCCGCACCCCCGCGCACCGCCTGGTACGTACCGTAACCGTCCATGGAGACAAGCTGGAAGCCAGGTCAGCAAACGCACACGACACCAACCTAGCACCGCCACCACGCCGTACTCACCCTCAAGTCACCGCCAAAGTACCGCGCGTACAGCCTTGACAGGGGCAGTCCGTAGCCGAAACCAGCCATGGGGGCCTTGAAGTCGGACTCCTGGATGGTGGTCTCGAGACCCTCGTCGCTCATGGTTGTGTAGAGATACGTCCAGATCATGGGCAGTGCCGAGCGGGGGATACCGCCACCTTCGTCTGAGATCTTGATTGTGATGTCCTCGCTTCCCTCGACGACAATCACCTTGACGGGCGGGAAGTGGTCCTCGTTGTCGACGCCGTAGCGCTCCACGACGGCGCGGAGCGAGTTCTTGAGCAGCTCAAAGCAGATGTGGCTCAGGTGGCCCGGGATGTACGGGAACGTGAGGTCCTTGGGGCACAGGAGCTGGATGGGCGGGCCCTTGAAGAGGCCGTAGTGCTCCTCGCACACGAAGCGGGCGTTCTCAATGGCCTCGTGGCAAATGTCGTGGACGTTGGCGTTTTTACAAATTATACCCACATAGTCTGGATGGGGTTTGAGCGTGTTGAGCGCGACGTGCTGGCCGATGAGCGCACGGATGCCGATACGCGACAGGTAGAACCTGTCGAGCCATTCCTGGATGTTGGGGCCGATCCTGTGCGACCGCTGCTGCCTCTTCCACTCGAGCACGCCCTGTGCCACCGACGTGACGGTGGGGTCGTGGCGCTTTTTAATGTTTTGCAGCAGGTGCGTAAACTGCTCGTTGTACTCGTGCACCTCTGGTGGGTAGATGGTGCTGACGGGGGGAGGGGAAAAGTACATGCGGTCAATGGGGATGCGCATCCGCACACCGCCGTTGACGAGGTTGTGGTGTTTGGGCTTTCGGTCAGAGTACGCGGCGCGTGTACCGCTGATCTGGCCCTCGTTCATCACGGGGTCGAGAGATGGATTTGGGATGGCAGTGGGGAAGACGAGCGGTTGGGTAGGGGGCATGCGAAGAATCTCCTCAATGTCGGCAGGGAGCTTGGGCTTGGGGAACGTCACGAGCTCCTAAAAGGACAAACCAACCTCTATCAGCGACTGTCAAAAGCTGGGATACACGAAGGCTGCCTCACGTCAAAGCTCTGGGCGTACCACTCCTTGACACGGTTGATGCTGGGCATCTTGGACAGGCCGTCCGGGAGCGACTCGAGCTCGACGACACGGTGTGCCAGTCGGATCGGCAGCTCCTCGGACAGGAAGCCAGCCGCCTTCAGCAGCGTTCCCTGCGACGGCTTGGTACCGAACAGCACCTGCTCGGGTCAGTACATTCGTTTCGTGGTTTATATAGATCGACTTGCCATCTGCTGGAGGGACACTGCGGTGCGCGTCAGCTAAAAGGACGAGGACGATGGACAATGAGAGATCTCGGCAAAGCCGCTTATTGGGCGTCCCCGCGCGAGCTCGTGTGCGGGCGGGCGGTGGTGTGCAAGGGGAGAACGACGTACCGCCTGTGGGGGGGAACGAGGCCCAATGGCTGATCTGGCGCCATAACTCTGGTGTTATGTGGAACTTGGACATGGTGTGAGGGATGGGTGGTTAGCCCAAAGGTCTGGCGAGTTGGGAAAGAAGGGTGGGGCGGCTTCGGCTTTCAAGTCCGACTGGGTGGTGATCCGGGGGGGTTGGAGGGTGGAGAGAGTGGTGGCCTGCTGGAGAAGATGGGGCCCGGGGCTTGGATGTGGTGGTTGTAGCTAGCTGTTGGGAGAGTGTTGACAGTTGTGATGGGTGTGTCGAGCGAGCGAGAGAGGGAGATGTGGGATGTGATGGGATTTGTTCTCCGGGATGCCTTGGCCAGACTCTCCCCCTCTGGGACTCTGCCCAGGATGCGATGGATGGAATGACCGTGTGTGAGTGGATGAGCGGAAGCATTTTGGGTCGCTCCTTGTAACATGACGAGTCGAACCGCCCCCCGTTTTCGCTCGTTCGCTCTCTGTCTACAGCCGGTCAGCCCGGGTCACCGGCGGGGAACGTTAGCCGGAGAGACCATTAAAAGGTCCATTAAGGTTGGTCCACAAAGGAGGGGCTTACAGTATTAGGAATGTGTCCCCCCACATGGCCCATTTCCTAATCCCCTATTACGGCCGGGGCCAGTCGGGGTAACCAGGGACAATGAAATCCGGGGGGATCCGCTCACGTATTTGTCCGGTTTGGTCTCTCCATCCTCTCTCTGTTCTTTGCATATCACCTCTCAGTCCTCTTGCACTCGTCGTCCCCCCTTCCTAAAGCGGGACGGCACCCCAGCTACACCACCCCTCCCCATTGTCCTTGTCCTGCACAATAACCAGCCGCTGCTACCACTCTGTCGCCACCGTGTATCCAACCGCTTCGATCCCTTGCTGCGACCTGACACGTATCTCCAGGTTGTGGAGTGCAGTGATCCTGACATAGTACATAGTGGTCCCTCGCACCCGTCACTGACGTCAAGGGGGGCATTCTCACACGACTCTTTTTTACGCTTTTACACGCACAACACGCACAAATTCACACTGCACTGCCCTGCACTGTGCTGACACCCTTCCCAAGCACTGACATGCCCCCCCCCCGGAGCCCCACCAAGCAGTGTGCTTGCGCACAGGGAGGATAAGGGTTCACGGTGGGACGCGTTGGCCATCATGGCAGCGGCCAACGGCAAGTAGGCGCTCGGAGTGCCGCCCATACACTAACTCGGATTATCGGTGGCCATGGAGCCTGAAGGTGTAGCGATGGCGGCCCCCCGTGTTGCAATGGTCTTGGGCTGACGCACTGCTGCTGCTGATGCTGCTGCGATTGCCTTGGTCTTCGGCTCTCGGTCTCCCGGCGGCGCGCCGGTGACTACCCCTAACCCCGGTGACGCCGCCAGTCTGTGCGGGGCTCACGGCCACGGGACTGCGGCCTTCGGCTGCGGCGGTGCGCCGCGCCCCGGTGAGGTGACATCTATGACAGGAGTAGTGTCGGAAGCCGACAGCATTTGTGACTGGACGTGCAGGACAGTTAGTGGCCACAACGGACTGCAGCGTTGTGGAGGCGCACCACCGGAACCCTTGGCGTGTGGAGACGGCTCCTGCACAGGGCTCCTGCACAGCTCGAGAAGGGCCGTCTTCAGTGATTACTGAACAGCTGGAGTTGCACTGCTGTGTGTTTGCCGCTGAGCAGTAGGGCCTTTCAAGAGCAACCGACAATCTCGCCATCGACAATCCACCGTTGAACCAACAGTCCTCGCCACCTGTCGCTGTTGCCACCGCCACTTCACACCTCAGCTCCAGACATTCACCCCGATAACCGCCCCCAGCATCCCGCGACGCCGGAGATGCGTGCAACAGGCCCAAAAAGAGTAGTGTGGACGAGTTAGGAATCGAACCAAAGACCTTGTCAAGTAGGGATAGAAGATGCTAATGACACGCTCTACCAACTGAGCTACACGCCCGTTTACGTAAGCACATTTGTGCACAGTGATGCGGGCCGTCACTTAGTTTTCTGCGTCGTCGCGAGAAAGTAGGACGTGCGATGTTGATGGTAGGAGGATTGGATCAGATGCCTCAGTGGGCGCCGGCGCACATGCTGCAAGGCATGCTGTTGAGAATCAACTTGGTAGGATAAAAAGCTGCTGTACTGCCCCCATATTCGCTCGCTCGGCACTGGATCTTGCCAAAGACGTCGCTGCTCCGATCTCGTCAGCCAGGATCGTTCCAACGGGCGTGTCGGCACCTCCCATTCCCGCGGCATGGGGACCGCCGGCCACCGAACAGGACACGCGCCGGGCCCAGCGCGTCCATGCACGGCTGCAACCGCGCCAAGCACCGACCGGCGCTTGCGCTTATCACCCCCCAGTGCCCCACACCGGGACCCCCACACGTTCCCCAAACCCACATGTCCCACGCCACACGCGCGCGTGGTGGTATACGGCCGTTATTCCTTGGAAATCGGCCGTGCGGGAGGAGAGGGGAGGGGAGAGGCGAGAGGGGAGGGGTGTTGGGATACAGATGCCAGCCGCGGCTGGGGGCAGGTGACACGAGGTGGAATCCGGGATTCGGAGCGTTGGCGAGATGCGCGAAATGCGACACACCAATTACCCAAGCTTCGCCAAGAGTGGAAGATCAAAGACCATCGCCACGGTCGCCAAAAAAAACGATCATGGTTTCGCCGCGGCAGCCGGCCGGCAACTCCGTGGGACGTACGTAGCGGACCTCCAAAGTCACACACACACACAGACACACTGTTGTGGCAGGTGGAACGTACAGTTCTCACCAGCGGGCAACTGCCTTGCCCAGCCGTTGCTGCGGGGCTGTGGAGGCGCGGTCCCTGATGGCGGACCTACAGAATACATGAGATTTACTGTACGGTGCCACACATCTGCTCGTGACTGAGGCCAGCTCGGCTGTTCCGTTGGCGAGCGTCTGAACTGAACTGTCAGCCACAGTTCCCGTCGGCAAGCCAAAAGCCAAAGGCCAGCCCAGGACACTCCGACTCCCGAGTCGGAAACTGTGTGGCCAGAAACTCACGCAACCCAAAGGTGTACTCAACACTTACCGTTCCGGCAAACCTGCTCAAAGCTGCTTCGCTCCCAGTCCGAGTGATGTTCCCAGCCGTCAGGCCAGGCTCCAGGCTCCAGGGGCCAGGGGCCAGGTCGGCCAGGCCCCGCCTCAGTCTCGGTCGCATTTCTGTGTGTGCCAGTGTGTCCAGCCGCTCACGTGCGTGTGCCCGTGTGCCATATGCCATGTCCCATTGCTCTGCCACTCTCGTTCTAGTTGCCGCTCACCGTTCCGTCCGGTCGGGTGTCTGTGCTTTGGGCTGGGGCTGGGGCTGGAGCTGGGGCTGGCTGGAATCGGGTCCCCGCGGGGCACTCGCTTCCCCCTCGCTTCCTCTGTTCGCTAGGTGAGCTTCGTTGCTCTGGTTCTGCCGTCTTGTCGCTTTGGGCAGCGCTTGGCCACTGGCCACTGGCCACTTGGCCAGCCGTGGCCACCCTTGGCCCTTGCGTTGCCGCTTGTGCGTCATGGCGTCCCGCCGGACAGTCACCGCCGCTTTGCATGTGCCTCTGCCTCTGCCTCGTGTCGGTCGTGTCGCACGGTCGGGGCGTGGCATGGCAGACTGGTGCTGTTGTTGCTCCAGTACTGGTGTCACCGCCGCCTCGCTGAAAAATGCGTAAATAATATACCTAAAATCGCGGTCGTGGTCGAGGTTGAGGTTGTGGTCGTGGTCGTGGCCGCAACCGTGGTCGTGTACCGCACTCGTGTCCTGTCCTGTTGTCCCGGTGACGAGGACCAGGCCCCCGCAGCTGGCAAGCCAGCTAGAGGTAGACAGGTACATGCAGGTACAGTACAGTACCTATAGTTCGCGATGAATTACACCGAAATGGCAACACCGGCATCCAAGTCGGCAGTCATGTTTTCTGCCTTTGTACCGAACAGCCAACGACGGGTCTATGTGTCTGGCTGTGTGGGTGTCTCGTCTCGCGTGTCGTCGGTGACATCGGTGGATTCCCAAGACACGACACACCCCTCCATACGCACTTTTTTGCAGAGACTGGCAGGCTACTTGCTCGGCACAATGTTACCCCCTCTCCCTCCCGCCTCTCCCCTCTTGGCCTGTGGTGATATCCGTGTCTTCCGCGACTTTCCCAGCGCCACTTCGGGCCGGGCACACCGTCGCTCGGCACACGGCCACCGGACGCCGGTGCCATCCCCCCCATCTTCCTCCCCACCCCCACTCGCAGCCCCACCCCGCGCCGGCGGTGTTCCCAGCGCCACTGCGTACGCAGGCCCTGGCGCCCGTATCGATTCAGTGTTCGAAAAACAGCGCCCGGGGTGGTTTTATTTTCCAACACCGGTTTCCTCTTTTCCACCACCGTCGTTGTCGCGGGGAATTTGGCTTCGTTTACCCAAAGTGCGGGGTTCCGCCGCTCCCACCTTTGCTTGGCAAGCTGCAGGATCCGGGGCGCCGGTCCGGGGCCAAACCCCCCCCCCCCCCCTTCTCCCATCCATGGGCCATGGGTTGGCGCGGCAAAGTGGCAGGACGAGGACGAGGACGACGCCGAAGCCACCCCACCACGCACCCTTGCTTTGCCCTCCCCCCACTGCCCCCTGCCCCCCCTGCCCCCACCGCACACCGGCCCTCGTTCGCAAACACAGGCTCGCGGTCCTGCGGTCCTGTCTCCGGCTGGGCCAGCTCCTGCCTGTGGCTCTGGGTATAGGTCGCCGGCGCCGGCGCCGTACGACACCACCCCCACCCCTCACCCGTGGCGCCGTGCATTCTCCCCGCGTACTTCCCGCGTACACCCCGCACGCCGCAGCAGCAGGACCCGGGGGTAGGGGGTAGGTGGTTAGGGGGGTGGGAAGAATGCGAAATGACCGAGGTGGCGGCACCCCCGCTCCCCCCCGCTCCCCCCGTCCAGTGCGCCAGAGTGCGCCAGTGCCATCCTGTCCTGTCCTGTCCTGTGCGCCGACGCCGCTGCCTCCGGCGTCCCTACTCCACTAGTCGTTCCCCGGGGGGTTGGACGCTCGGGGTCGGATGCTGAATGGGACTGGGACGGGTGCAGTAGGGCCCCAGGGACCCCCAGGTATGGGGGGGGGGGGCTGTGGCACGAGGGCGGGGGATGCTTGGCGGTACGAGCCCGAGCCCGAGTTGTGTATCGAGTTGGGTAGGGCTTGTGGAGAGTCCGTATGCCCTGCTGTAAGCGTCATTGTAGTCGTTGACATGTGGATGAGACGAGCTGTAATGACGAGCGTCAGCGGCGGCAGTCAAGTCGGAGAACGAACGTCATGTCAGTGCCAGTGTCAGTTGTCAGTATGAACCACCCCGTCAGAACAACTGCAAATGCTGTTCCCTGTGTGACCTTCTGAACCTGTTCCGTGCATCCCCCGCGCATCCTGTCCGTCGTCTATAATCACACATAGTAGAGCTCAAAGTAGAGCTTCATCTGGCCGAGGGTGATGGGGTCGCGCGCGTCGAGCCCCGCGACCGCCGCGGCTGCTGCGTCGGTTGTGCCCGAGCTGGCACTGGCACTGGTGGCACTGGTGGTGGTGGTGGTGGTGGTGGTGGTGGCTCCAGGGAGGAACCGCCATGGGCCCGCAGCGCTGCTGTCGTCCCATGGCGCTGCGACGTGCGACTTTTCCAGTGGGAGCGACGAGGGGTATGTTGGCAGCGAGTGGAAGGGCTGGTGCTGCTGCTGCTGCTGGTGCTGCTGCTGGGCCTGGGCGGCGGCGGCGAGCTGGCCAAGATGGCTCAGCTGGCCGAGCTGGCCCAGCTGGCCGAGCTTGCGCTTTCGTGAGGTTGGGTTGGGCGAGTGGAAGGCCGCCAGCTCGTCGGGCTCGGCGATGAACAGGGGCGGCGACGAGTCCTTGGCTCCGTGTCCGTGTGCGCCGTGCTCGACCTTTCCTGCGGCGTCGGGCTGGGGCTGGGCGGTGCCCATGAGCCAGCTGAACAGGTCGTCCATGCTGTTGCCCTCTGCGGGAGCCTGGTTCCAGCCCTGCTCGGTAGTGGCGGCGGCGCCAGCGGGGATTGTCGAGGTCAGGCCCGTCGGCAGCGAGCCGACGCCCGCGGCGTGGCCGGCGACGCCGCCGTCGAGCGGCGAGGGGAGCATGTTGTTGAACACGGGCATGTCAATGGCGTTGTTGCGCACCAGCACGGGGGAGCGCGGCGCCGCCGGGGTAAAGCTCAGTGGGCCGAGGGTTTCTGGCGTGGCGGCGAACGCGGGCGCGAGGGGGAGGTCGAGCGATGCGCCGGCCCTGGCGGGACCGGCGGGGCAGTCGGGTTCCAGCTTGATGAAGCGGGGCGAGTTGCCCGAGAGCTCGGGCATGGTGAGGCGGGGACGGGGTGCGGCACGCGCGTGCGAGTCCAGCTCGTCATGGCCCGGAAAGCGGGCGATGGAGCTCGAGCTCGACGACGACGCCGACGACGAGGCGCGCGGGATGGACGCCGACGCCGCCGAGGCGGATGCGTTCGAGGCGTACTCGAACGGGTCCTGGCGGTCAAAGGGGTCGGCGTCGTCAATGAAGCCCGAGTGCGACGAGAACGGCGAGTACAGCTGCCCGTTCATGTCGTCCGAGGCCGACCATGAGGGGGACGGCGAGGTCTGGAGCGTCGTGGCCGTCGCCCTGCGCTGGGGTCGCCTGCGCTTGCGCGGGACAAGGGCGTCCTCCTCGGCAGTGGTGAGCGGTGCTGGCGCGTCGCCGTCGCTGCCCCGCCTGCTCTTGCATGATGTCGAGAGGTGCTTGCGGAGCACGTCGGGGCGTGCAAAGCCCTTACCGCAAGCTGGGCATACGGAGCCTGGGCGGGTGTCTGGCGCGGGGGTGTGAGCAACACGAACAAGCGAGGTGGGTGTGTGGGTGGTGGGGTCACCTGAGGGACGACCCGGTCCGGAATTACGGAGAGATGGCTACTCACGGTTCAGCTCGTGTCGTTCCAAATAGTCCTTGCGGGCGTAGCGCTTGGGGCAGTGCTTGCAGATGTAGATGCGCTCGTCGTCCGAGCCGGGGGATGCAGCGGCGTGCATGGTGGGTAGTGTGTGGATGGGTAGCGTTGCGGGGCAAGTGTGGCGCCTGGGTGCGGGGGGCGTGTTGTGGGGTGGGGGGGCTGTGGGTGTATTTACGGTCAACGCAACGGTGAGCGCTTTTTGGTGCGTGCAGGTCGTGCTGGGTGTCGTGCAGGTGCAGGGTGGTGGTCGCGTATGGGGGTAGTAGTGGTGGCGATGGCGAGCAACAACTGGGTGCGTGTGTGTGTATGTGTGGTTACAAATCGACGAGCGGTGGTACAACGCGAAGATGAGAGAGGATGAGAGGATGAAGACGAAAGAGGAAGGACGGGAGATCTGTGGGGGTGGGTGGAAGAAACGCGCGCGGCGAGTATTATGGATAAAGGGGGATGGTGGGTGGGTGGGTCGGGTTCGGGGCGGCGGTCCCGACAGCGAGAGAGCAGAGAGAGCAGCCAGCAGCCAGCAGCAGCAGCAGGAGCGCATGGGAGACGAGGCTTATCACATCTGGCTCTCAGCTCTCTGGGTGGGTAATCTGGGCACTCGTTCGAAAATGCGGGGGGCCGGGGGGGGGGGGAGGTTCTTCCCTTTCTCTCTCGCCTCTCTCCCCGGGTGCGGCAAACGGTAAAGTGCGGGCAACAGCGCCGTGGGTGGTGGTGGACGCCGACGAGAGCGCAAAGGAGCACGACGACAGCTCGACACTTGTCCTGTGCCCTGTGTGTCTGCCCAGGACCCGATCCAGGCAGCGCGCGTGCGCATTTTTCCCTTTTGGCATGGAGCAACATCTTACCGAGAACCGACAGCGTCGGACACTCGCAGCTCGCTGGCTGGCTGCTGGCTGGATGGGATCTCGCTCTCTCCCTGGCGGCCTCTTCCCTTTCGACCCCTCTCTCCCTCTCTCTCACCCCTCTCTCCCACCCTATGCATGCACTGGTCGCTATCCTGCACCCATCGCTGCTCGCTATCAGCTATCTTGTTCTCCATGCAAACAAACGTTGGGGGGGGTCGCTGCCAAAAAAAAACGACACGCCTGGCCCCCCCAATTCCGGCTCTCTGCCCGTCCGCCCGCGCCCGCGCACACGGTCAAGTCCGTCTTTGTCTACGCGCCAGGCACACTACCCATCTCTCTCTCCATCATATCCACACCCATCTCTCGGTTCATCCTCACTCCTCATGGTACTCTGGCGTGTCTAACCGACGCATACCGCCCCCCGTCTCTGTCTCTCTGGCCCCCCGCTCTCCCCCGCTGTTGCCGCCCATTTCCCTCCCCTTCTGCCGCGGCTTCTGGCGGGTGGCCATGTCTTGCATGCCAGGCTCGACGCGCTTCAGACCCCGGACAAATACCTCAGGACCTTGTGGGGTGGCTTTTGCGACACACGAGGAGGAAACGGACCAGAGATCCAGAGAGACCACACTCTCAGGCGACACACCCACAAACGACGCTTTTTTAGAGACATTATTCCAAAAAACAAAGAGAAAAAAACAAAACACATCAGCACACACCACCGACTGCCAACACCGCGCGCAGCAGTACAACCCCTTTGTCTCTGATCGCGGTCGCGATCTGCGCGTACCCCACTACATGACGCGTGCACAGCATATGGTCATGGTTGCAGTAGAAGCTGCAGTCTTGTGCCACCCGGCGTTCGCGCCGCATGTGCCGAGTAAGGCCCCCCGCCTGTCATGTGCGTGCTGCTTTTGCTCTCTCTCTCACGGCGCACGGATTCGTCTCCCCCGGGGGGCGAGAGGACGTCGGTTGGCCGTGGCGCCCCAACGGGGGTCTCCACCCTCCCTTGTCCTTTGCTTTTCCCGCTCTCTTGTCCACAGGACACACCGACACCCCCGTCCATCCTCCGGCCTCGCCTCGCGTTCTGTCCCTCGCGTCCCTCCTGTCGCCTGTGGGACTCAGGACATCAGGAGTGCACAACGTGTATGGTAGGGAATTCGCAGACGACTAGACATCTCAATACACCAAGGTGTAGTTTGTGGGGTAACAGGACTGCATGGCGCGGGGCGCCGGCCGGCGGTGGGGCCCAGGCCCCGGGGGAATGGATGGTTGCTTTTGAATGTCTCCCCCCCAACTTGCCGAATACCACCAGGAAGTGGTTATTTCCAGCTTTCCAGCACACGTGTAGCGCCAGCAGTCACCAGCAGTCGCTGAGTCACTGCCGAGTCGGCAGCTGTGGATTATGCTTTTCCAATTGCTCGGTTGTATCACCAGTAGAATGGTCCAGCGCACGGAGAATGGAAGCGCTAGTCGTGCCCAACGTCATACCCACCGTGTACCAAGACAGCCACGCAGACGCCATCAACCGGTCGTCCAGTTAGTCTTTTCCTTTTTTCCCTTGGCGCGCAGTTGTTTGAATGTCTCGTGAGCTATCGGCTCTTCCTCGCATAATTGCATATGCCACCCGAACACCGAGCACTCCAACCAAGTCCCAGCAACTCCCAGCGCGCACAGGCTTTCCCAACACCGGGCGCCACGAGCGTGGCGCGTGTATGTTTCTCTCTCTCTGCCCCTCTCTCTCTCTCTCTGAGACTGTGCATCCGGTGACTGCACCCCCACGCATGTCACCTGTAGGTACTGTCGCATGAAATCCTGGAGCGGTCGCCCAAGTCCGAAACTGAAAACCTTTGCGATGGCCTCTGTGTGCCGGTCAGACATGAGTGACCATCACGTCTTCTGTCGCGGCGTCTGGCGTTGGTAGCAGTCGTCGTACCCACCGTCGATGCCGGCCGCGGCACGCCCCGCGGGGGGGCGCCCCCGGCGGCACGTCTCTCCGTATCGGGTGGGAACGAACAGCTCCATACCGCCGCACGGCATCTGGCACCTCACATGCACAGTTAACATACCAGACTAGTGCTGCGGACAATGGTGGCACATTTCCGAACGCCCGACAAGCTCAAGCCCAGTGATCCAGTGACTGCCACCGACCCGATCGGCGACGGCGAGCACGCACACTAGCGCGTTGTGTGGCCATTGTCGTGGTGGTGTCATCCATTGTCGATCTCTGTCTCTGGGGATCTGTGGTGGAACCTGTGCAGCCTGTCGAGATCTAGGACCGCTGCCCGGGCCCGGTCAACCGGCTGCGCTGTACCGTGTGGACGCTGCAATGTCTTGGATCTGGGTCACGATCTACCCTGGTGCTGTCTGTTGCCGGTTAAGCCGGTGCGCGCTGGACGGCGACCTACTACCCCCCAACACACCCATTGCACGATGATGCACACGCGCCCGGCCGAGTGTTCGGCACCCGGCACCCATGTATCAGGAGAACAAAACGCAAAAAAAAACACGTCGAGCGCGTTGGTGGAACACATACGTACATGCACACGCAACCCTCTCATATGACTCATGTGCGCCCTGCCGAAATGAAAAAACAGGATCACTGGATCACTGGAGACAACAAACCTCCTCTGGTGTCTCGGACGTGCGGTGTAAAACCTGCCTACCTGCCTACCTGTCCACTACCTGGCAAAACTAGAGTTGTACCACAGAGGGTAAACATGAGGGTATAACCAGGGCGGATTCAGAAACATTATGGCAGTGGCAGTGATCCAGTGACAGCCACAGTTAGTTCCAGTAGTCCTCCAGTATGTACCTGCGTTCTGCATACCCGCCATTTTCCGCTCACGTGCAGCGGGAAATGTCGTCTTCCCCTTTGGCTCTCTCCCGAAAATGCACCGTGGGAGGGGCGGTTGCAGACGGTCAAGGTGGTGGCGATGGCGATGAGGGCCGCACTTGTGCTCTGCTATCTCGAATGATGGGATGGGAGTCGCCAGATGGATGACCGCTAGAAACACCGGTGTACCGGGTGGCGTGCAGACCTGTTCTGCAGTAGTCACCGTTTTTTTTTTTTTTCGTTCGTTCGTGGCGCTCGGCATGGCTGTCACCTGTTCTCGCCCGTGCGGCATGCTCTGCGGTAGCCGGCACCGGCGGCTGAAGACGGCCGGTCAAGGCTATAGCGATGGGGGAGACGCAGCTGTGCGCCGTGCGCTCCATCTCGAATGGATGAGACGAGGACGCTAGAAGCGCCCCGTGGCGTTAACACTGTTCTGTAGTCACACCAGGTCATTCGTTCGTGGCGCTCGGAATGGTTGTCACCTGTTCTCATGCTGCGACACACACACCCTATACCCTCGGTACGGTGCTCGTCTCGTCTCCTCTCCTCTCCTCTGACCGGCGTGTATCCCGCACCGGCATTGTCGCCGGCGTACACCTGCCCGCCAGCCGTCGAGTTTCCGAATGGTTGGAGCTGAGCTTACCCCAAGGTTTCCTCGCGCTCCAAAAGTCGTAACAAGGTATGTACTGTAAAAGTCATGAAGAAAACACACTACGGGCGGCGGCGCCACGCCGCGGCGTGCGCCGCACAAAGTGTATGTGTTTTCGGGGGGTAGCTGTTGAAAACGACAAACTCCAACCGGCCGCGGCGCCGGTACCGCGGGTTGCGTCAAGTCGCTCCGAGCTCCACTTGGCCACTTTGTGAGCCGCGGTATTGCACCACTTCCAACTCCTTCACCCGTTCACACAGTTGGCCATAATATGTACTCCACGGCTCCGATCCCGATCCCGACTGGGATGACGAGATATGCCAGTGTTGGCGATTGGTCAGCGTGAGTTGGATTTGGGGACGGGTTGACGGCGGCCAGTTGGGTGGGACACTGGTTTGGAGGACCCTTGTGTTGCAGCAAGCGTCGGCAGAGGTGGCACAACGCAGCCGGGCTCGAGGGCTCACTGCTTGTGCTTGTGCTTGTCCTTCTGCGTGTTTTTCGCGTTCGGGCGATCTCGTCTCGTCTCGTCTCATCTTCGACGCCATTGGACTCTGTGGGCACCCCACAGACCCAATGAACGGGCCACCCAGTCGCAGAATCGCAATATGCCGGCGGGCAGGCCATCGTTGACGAGACTGACCCACGCGTTCGGCGACGTACGTACCAACAAACGACGCACAGAGATAAGCCCCGCAGTCTGGGGTGGTGGGGGGTCGGCTAGCCTGACCCTGTCCCAGCGACCAGCAACCAGCAAGTAAGTAGCAGCCAGCACGTAGCACACTTGCGACCACGTTGGACACTTTGCAGCCAAGTACAGCCAAGACACACGGTGCCACTCATCTGCCCTGACATTGGTATCACCTGACAAGACGGCGACTCCGGACGATAGATAAAGCCAGGCGCACCAGGCGCATTCGTCGGCTTTCACCTCTGCTTCTCTTTTTTTGTGCTTTCGTTTTGCGACCTCGTCAACGTTTTCCACCCTTTCAGGCGTCGCGGCTCCTTAGCGCGCGAATCACAGCACGGGGTTGTCCACAGATAGCACAAACTACCACCCACGTTTGCCCTTGCACGCTCTCCCTCCACTCGACACCTCGGCTACTCGCGCACCCTCGCTCGACCCTCGAGACGAGGTCGCGAGATACCAGGGCGGGACGGAGTGGGATCTGGACGCTTATCGCTCGCGCTCAACCCCCCCGTCGTGAGTGGACGCGAGGGAGATATTTACGGGCCACAGGCCCACAGGGGCTGCTTGTGAAGGGAACACGCAAGGGAGGAGCAAGGGTGACGAGGAGGAAAAGCAGCGTGCGGGCAACTCTCGACGCCATGGTGGACGGTGGGGGGTGAATGAGCCTGAACTCGAGCTCGAGCTCGAGCAGCAGCAGTTGCGTTCGCGTTCGGACCCGGCCGGGAGGGTCGGGCGGAAGGTCCACTCCCGAACGTGCCAAGTGAACGAGATGGAGGTGTCGACTGTGTGGAAAGATAAGAAACGGCAAGGGACGCGAGGATACTGGCTGATTTTGACTGACCGACTGACCGCGCGCACAGCGGAGACGGCCGAAATTTCAGCCTTCTGGCTGCAGCTGGCTGGCTGGCTCGTCCTCGTGCATCGAAAAATGCCATCCTGCGAATGAGACACCCGTGCCCAAGGCCCAAGTGCGTTCCGTTCCAGCATTCCACCCTCACTAGACGGCAACTATGCAGCACGCGACTGGACCGCCTGGATCCATGCACGCCCCGGCAAAGCACGTGCCGGTGAAAGTGGTGTCATGGTATCGCGAGTCCAGACGCCCAGACGCCCAGATGGGCCCATGTGGTCGAGCCAGATCCCAGACGAAGGAATGGGGCTCTCGACAGAAGGGTGGTGTGAATGGAATGCCGAACAAACGAGGGAGGGGAACAATGACGCAAACGACCAGGCCCACAGTCCCAGGCGACGTAGGCTGGTCATGGGCCATGGGCCATGGGCAATGTCCGTGGTCGTACTCTACTTACTGTACCGCATGGGGCGGTAGCCCACGTTCATCCTAATGCAAACGAGAGTCGCGTCCTGGGCTCTGGGCACCGGTGACAGAGCCTGTGGCCACAGCCACAGCCTAAAGGGCACCCACGCGGCGGGGAGTGAGACGACCAAAACGTGCATTCGTCGTCCGGACCGGTACCATTCTGCTCGTCGCAGTAATAACCGGCCGCTCAAAGATCAGAGATCAGAGGTCAGAGATCAGAGATCAGAGACCAGGCAGGGCCTGGCGTCCGAGAATTGACTGGTTATAACTGATTACCGGTTAAAGCACACGTCGGCCTTTGCCGCCTGCGACTGGTACTCGATTTGTGTGACGCAAGACGAATCCTTCATGGACCAGGCCGCTTCGCATGCCAACTGTGGGTTCTCCATCCAGTCCTGAGCGACGAACAGCAACGGGGGCGGTGGAAACCCCACCCCCTCAACGCTGCCACGTCCAGTCAAAGGTGATACCCGTCTTTCTACGGAGGTGAACAACACCGTTCGTGGACAACGGAGGGACACGCTGGTCGAGGCGCGTCGCGGCCAGTCACCCAACCAAAGTATATAGACGCCCGCCCTCGTCGGTCCTGCGGGGTCCTGTCCCACGCCGAGGCAAGTCTTCAGCCCGGAAAGGGAGAAACAGTTACCAAGGGAACCCCAAAGGTCGATTCTGCGTTTTCGCCGCCCTGTGGCCTATGGCCTGTGAGGGAAAACACACTATTACACTGAGATATCGCCGCACGTCCGCCTCTATGTGTTTCTCCAGGCAGAAATCATTGGGCTCTGCCGACACCATTGACCCATTGACCCGTAGCTGCGTCCATCCATTCGCTTGCGTGCCCCTGTCCTCTCATATCCTCAGGCCCACCGGTCGTCCAGCCTTGTCAATCTGCAAAACCCTGTCAATCTCCATTCGTAACATGTTTGCATGGGTGTATACAACCGCCAATCCATATCCCAGTGGCCAGTGGCATAGTCGCGCCTCACAGCCCACCCCAACCGTCTGCTTCATCTATCTGCCGCCCTCGTGTCGTGCCGTGCCTTTAGCTATGCACTTTTTGTTGTCGTTGTCGCTCTTGCTGCTATCCACGTGCGCGCACGCTGCACGCTGGACCGTCGCGCCTGTCGCGTTCGTCACTTTTATCCGTGTCGCTCACAACTCCCCTGCCTTCCTCATCCTTCTCCCTCGCCACATGCACACGCTATGTGCGTCGCTGCCATCACCCATCACAGATCACACCTCGGGCTGCATGAGGTGCGGCTCGTACATGCCGTCAAACCACGAGGGGAGTGAGTAGTCGAACATGAGCGGAATGTCGGGGATCTCCGTGTTGCGCGGCAGGCGGGACTCGTGCGAGATCGCAAGGCCTGCAGTAGGGTGTTAGCTGCGGTCCAAAGGATGGGACAATGTGGTGAAGCATTTCCGGTGGCGTTACACCACAGCCCAGTCGCCCCCGCTCACACACCACGACAGACTCACCGAGGAACACGCCGACGCTCTCAAAGCGCGCAATGAGGTCGGGCATAAAGTCGAACGCGCCCATGTGTTCGCGCAACAGCGCGAGGAACATGGCAAAGAGCTCCTCGGCCTCGCTGCGGCTCAGCTCGCGCGCCGTGTGGCAGAGCACGAGGAGCTGGCCGCACGTCACGATACGTCGCAGCTGGGCGTAGCATGGGTGGAACAGGGTCGAGTTGGAGATTGTGGCGTACGTGTTGAGGATACGCGCGACGGAGCGGGCGACGATGGGCGTAGAGCTCGCGCCGAGGGTCGGGTGCGAGAGAACGGGGGCGCGCAAGAGGAGACGGATCCTACAAACAGTCAGCAAAAAAATCGGCTCGGGGTGATGGTGGCGCCAGGTCAAGTGTGGGCACTCGCCTGCGAATTTGGCCTGCACAACTCACCAGTTGAACCGGATCTCCGCGTACGGGTGCATCAGGGAGAGCATACCATCAGAAGGTCCCTGGTCCTCGACACAATCGCGCATGAGGGGCCACCACCGGCTCTCGGTGGCGAGGATAAACTCGGGGCTCTGGGTATCGACCTTGCCCGAGTGGATGGTCGTCATGAGCTCGCATTCGACAATGGCCAGGCGGGAGAGCACGCCTTGCGTCCGGGCAGTGGCGCCGTCGGGAGGCACATCGGTCGAGATGCTGGGGTCGTACTCAAACTCGCCAGAGCGCAAAAAGGGCGGCTGGTCCACTAGGGTTGAGAACCATCTGGTAGAGGTTAGCATACGCCGGTGGAGTTGGGGGAGGTGGCGTGGGACACAAGTCCTGGCCCCGGTTTACGGGGGCCACATCTGCTGCTGCCGATAAGGACCAAGCGACATGCACCAGACGGGCACCAGGCGTGCACCAGGTGTGCACCACTTGCAATGCACTTGCAGGTGACACCAAGGAACTCTGCGTTGACACCATGGAAGTGTGCCTCTGCCACTCTCGGCCACTTGGAAATAGGGATATAGGCAAAGCAGACTCGTCCACTTGCCCCACCCGCCCGATGTCAAGTTGCGGCGGTGGCCGCCAAATGGCACACCACAACGACACGAGCCCCGCCGCCAAGCAGTGAACAACGAGTCAAACTGCGCAGGACTGGTTTCCGGAGCAATGGCGAGCGGAGGTAAGCCCCCCGCACGCCGCTGTTTCCGTCGGCGTGTCCGACGTCGTCACGGCCACGCCGTGGTGTGAGTGTTTTACAGGGCCGCCGCCGGCTGCCGGCGGCAACCAGCTCGGGGTTGGCCGAGAACCCTCTCCACCCCTGGTTCCACCCTTCAAATACCCTTTGGCGGTCGACGGGGGATTGGCCAACAGACAGCAGAGGCGGCGCCACCGCTGAACAAACTGTCCAAACAGCTTGCGAGGCCGTATCGGCGCCATCTGGCTCGCCAGCGACGCGACACGGCCCACGCGTCGCCTGCGGCCAGGCAACCGACGAGTCGGTGAGGCGAGAGAGCATTGCTGCTGCCGCCTCTGTGTTGCACCCACCGGTCTTCGGCCGGAGCACACGCACACCCTCGTCCGCCCGACTCGACACCTTCTGCTCCTGGATTCCTGGAAGTGTACTCACGCGTCCTTGTAGAGTGTGCTGAAGAAGAGCTGCTGCACGCGGTCGAGGGCAGGGTACGCGGCCGCTGTTTCGCGGCGGTGGAGGCCGAGCTCGCGGGCGTGCCATGCCATGGCACCGAGGAGTTCACGCGTGTCCTCTGGTCCTCCAACAATCTGCGCAAAGAGGTGGAGGCAATGCAGGGCACCTGGAAGGCGGCGGAGATCATCGGACACAACGAGCGCGAGGGTATAGGTTGAGAGGCAGACAGCGAGCGAGCGACGGGGGGCGCGCGGAGGAGAGTGACCGAGAGACAGGCAGAGAGAGGATAATCGTGTCAGCCACATTGCACAAACACGACAGAGTGGCGCTTCTTGGCGCTGGCTGCCGACCCAACTGCCGCAACGAGGACGGGATAAACTTACAAAGCGCCGTGCAGCTTGCTGCGCCCCACTGTTCGAGATGGGACAGAGCGAGGCGGAAATATGTGATATCCTCGCGACGTGCACCGTGGGGGACAGGCCTGAAGCGTTGCGGCGCGCCATCGGGGCTCACTTCAAAGATGAGCTCGGCGAGGCGGCCCAGACAGAGGACTGCAGCGACGAGCGCACGCTGGTCGGGGACAAGCGACTCGGGGAGCGTGCGGTGGCGAGTATACAGGTCGGCGACGCGTCCGGGGCTCAGAAAATCAAAGTACTGGATGTGGCGGTATGCGAGCATCAGCCGGTCCTCGAGGGCCGCGAGGGCCAGAGGGTCCGAGGGCAGCGACGTGCCGCCAATGTTGGAGAGGCGGGAGGGGCCCGGCAATGCCGTGCGCGCAGTGTGGCCTGCGGGAATCGAGTCAGTACCATGTTTTGCCGTCCGTTGTGTTCGGGGCCAGAGTCAGGAGTGAGGGGGGGGGGAATGTCGGATCGTCCGCTCAGGACGTAGGGAAAGGCGGACGAGCAAGTTGCGCCGATGGTGCTCGGCGGGCCGGCGATGGTATTACACCAGCCACAACCAGCGCACGTGCTGCCCAAGCAGGGAGCACGGAAGCCGACGACGTCGAGAAACCTCGGAGCATCGTGGGTACCCGGGTAGCTGGCAGTCATGGGTACCGACGAACGGGGCGGACCAAGGCCGTCACCGACGTCCCCACACATACACACAAGTGAACCATGTGCTGCCTTTGGTGCTCTCGCCCCGGGGACGACTCCGCCCCTCTGTTAGGCAGCCACAGAGCATGTATTCCACCATCACGAACGCATGGGGCATTGCGCTGAAACGCGGCCGTGATTCCAGTTGCTGGTCGGTGTCGTGCTACTCCAAATACCACAACTTCTTGACACACCCGACAGACTCACCCGCTGCTTCGAGCCAGCTATCAATCGCGACTTCAACATCGCGCACAAAGTGGGCGTGCGCATCCCCAAACGCCGGAGAGGGCGTGTCAGACTTTTTGCGACGCTTGGAGGCGGCTGGAGCGCTGTAAAGATGTCAGCAACGTGTGTTTAGGAGCAATGCAATGGGGTTGCCGGAGTATCGGACGTGTGTGTCGAGTCCCGCGTTTTGGCTGTCTGTAATGAAACAGCGGCCACAGTGGACGGTGGAGTGTGGTGGTGGTGTGGCCTCGACGCCACCGATGGATGTGGTTCTGCCGTGCCAAGGACGCTCCTCGACGCCGAGAGCAGGATGCACAACAAGAAACACATGCGAGGACACTGGTACTCACCGCCTGGGACGGGCCTTCTCACGCACGTAGCACGCCTCGCCGAGACCGAGGGCGACGCAGGCGTCACATGGGGACGAGCCTGTACACCGCGTGCGTTTTGTGCGGCAGTGTTCGCACGCCTTGGACGTGCGCCGCTTGTATGGGTCGGCGTTGGGTGGGGACATTGGATAGGAGGGGGGCAGGATGGGCGATGGGTGTGGGGGGAGTAGTGTGGGGATGTAGTGGTGCAGCCCGGTGACTGGGGATGCGGTGGGTGTTGAGTGTGATGGTGGTTTGGGTTGATGGGAGGATTGGATGAGAGAGGGATGGGTGTAGAAGGAATAAACGGGAGCCGATATCCTTTTGGGTAGAAATGAGTGTGTGTTGGGTGGAGAAACAGCAGCGAGGAGTGACTAGTCGGTGTGGATATACAGTATCTCTCCGGCGGCGGCCTGGTGGGTCTCTGCCTCCCGCTCTCGGCGTGTCTTTGCTGCGACTCCCCTGTGCTCATGTGTCTGCACACCTCTCTCTCACCCTCATCTCCCTCTCTCTCTCTGCCGGCCGGGTTGCTCGGCCCGCAAGGGTCGCCAGAGTGACAAAGTACCCGGGCTGGCGCGCGGCGGGTGGCCGCATGGTCGTTTGCTCGTCGACACTCGTGAGCCCCCGCGCGGGCCCCGCGTGTAGACCGTCTGGGTCGGTCATATCCGATATCCCGTTGCTCGCAACACGACCGACGACGGCCACAGATTTCCGCAAAAGACAAAACAGATATATGTATCTCAGATCAGCCACGTAGCCACAGCTCAATGCATGTGGCTAAATATATCACTGTGCAGTACTGCAAGTATATTCACAACTTGGGCTGCAACCAATTGCCCAACTGGCGAGTGGTCGGAGGCCTATGGGCAGCGGGGCCAGAGGACGGAGCACCACCGAGACTCTTGGCACGCACGTCGACTCCCACATCAACCGCCCCCGGCCCCGGTCCCAGCGGGGCAAGCAGAGTCGCGCATGTGTGTTGTGTGGCATGTGTGGCACTCACTCACGACTCATGCACATTACTCGCTCGCAGTGCCGAACTTCTCCTTCAACACCGACATGGCTCCCTGTTTTTTTTTTTTTTCCTTTCCTTTGCATTCGAAGATAGGCAAAACGACCCACTGGCCACTGGAAACTCATGGGTCCGCTCAAAACCCTAGCATGCTTCTGCGCCGCCTCCACCACTCATATCAACCGCAATGTACGGGTCCACAGGCTGAACCTATCGGCGTACCCGCACGCTCAGGAGCTGGCCTCCAGGTCTGCGCATGAGGGAGTGAGCCCTTATGTCCCAACGCCGTCTGGAGAGATACACACACCCTGGTTGGACACTCTGTGCGCTTCTGTACTGTGCATGTAGTCTTGCTCTTTTCTTGTCTTTTTTTTCGGTCTTCCTTCTTTTTCTGCCTGATCCACACCCTGGCGGCCCAATCATGTAGGTGCGCTGGACACCGCGACTCCACCGACGACGTTGCCGACTCCGACTCCGACTCGCCGACAGGACACACGGACTTGCCGGTCGCGTCGAGTCAACACGGACCGAGTCGTCTCGTGTCGAGGTGACAAAAGGGAGTTGACGGTCGTCCCTATCCCTACATTGAAAACCCTGCTGTCGGGCCTTGCCGCCGGCACAGGGTGGTCTTGAGCAAGTTGAAGCAGGCAAACATAGAGGCCACCGTATGTGCTGGACGTTTGCCGGCACCAGAACCGCGACGACCCTTCTGGTAAGGGAAAGCGTCATGTTGCGAATTTGTACATCATAGAGGGAGCTAGAGGCGTACCGTCATGTCGAGCAACGTTAGGGTCGGTCGCGTTTGCGCAATTCCTTGTGCAGTAGCCGACATGGGCAGCAGGTCGGGTGCAGCCAGGAGCCGGGGGGGGGGGGGGGGGATAGCCGTCGGCTTTGCAAGGCTACGCGCTTGCTTGCTTGCTTGCTTGCTTGCTTGCTTGCTTGCTTGCTTGCTTGCTTGCATGCTCCGCCCGTACCCTCGTACCCTCGTACCCTCGTACCATATGGTACTAGTGTGCTGCACGCCGCACGCTGCTCAGCAGACCACGATGCCCATGTGGCGTGGTTATCGGCCCGTCTCGAGACGAGGCAGCTAAATCCGGAATGGCCGGGTTTGCGCGCGATACCCAGACACTGTGCAAGAAATGGAATGATATCCACGGTGGGTGGGGTGGGTGGGGTGGGATGGTCCCTGCTGCCCACCGGCCACCGGCCTGCTACCACTTGACCGCACCTTGTTTAGAGCATGGAGCTATATAGAGACTTGCAGTTCACGGTTGGCGAGCACAGTGCACGGGATACATCACGCTCACGAGATTACGATGCTAGCTGTGTCCGACGTGGTACGAGGCTATCTTTGGCCCATTATTGGCTTCGCGGTCTGGCTGCTGCGACCCCCAGGCGATGCGCATCCTTTTTGTTGGTACAGCTCCCACACGTATATCTGCTACGGTACATCCTGGACCGTAGCAGTACACACACACACACTACAGCTAGACCTTCCTTCCAGCCAGCCCAGCCTTGACACAGACTCACCAACAAAGATCGTGAGACTGTGGGACTCTAGCACAATGGGACACGTCTAGCCGCGGCGGCAGGGTAACAGCCTGGCCTGCCAGTGGCCAGTCTGCCCGTACCATGGCACTGCCGCTGCCCACAACCGCTCTTACCGGTCGGGTCCTGCGGCTCGACCACGACGTCACGCAGCCACCCATGCACCCATGCGAGGCGAGTACGGGGACCTGCTAGTCGGCCACTACTTTTAAAGGTTAGGTAACACTGTAGAGTCGTACTTACTCTCCACCAAGCTAACAGCGCTGGCACGACGAACGTCATGTCCGTCCGGGCCATGGGCTTGGCGTTGCCCAACTCCCCCGCCGCGGCTGTCAGCTAGTGGCCGCCCTCAACTACAAGCTGCCCCCCCCGCCGCCCTCACCTCGTCGTCTCGTCTCGCTCGTCCTATCTCCCCCGTCCTGTCGTTGCTCGTGAAATATGGGCTATGGGTATGCACCTGTCCGCATGGACCCAGCACCATCTCCCCCAGCCATCCCTTGCCACAACCGCGTACGCTGCCATCCGTGCCATCGCGCCATGCTCCTGCCCGCTGATCCGCTGGCGCTTCTCGCCTCGTCTCGCCTCACCCCGTACCGACTCGCCGAATGCTGGAATGCTGAAATGCTGGAATGTTGAAATACTGGCATGCTGAACTGCCGACAACTCGGTCGGTCGCTTCGCTGCGCTGCGCTGGAGGCTGCATTTGTGCATCGGGGCGGGGTGGGGTAGACATGTTCGACAGGTTTGTTTTCTAAAACGAGGCAAAGAAGCGGGAGAGGCTGGGGATGGGTGTGTGTGGGTAGTGGGAAAGGGATTTTTCATAGGGTTGGCTTTGGTTGGCTTTTTTGCATCAGAGCAAACAAGTTGGTGTTCGCGTAGACACCTGCCGGCGCAGGGCCGAGGCGGGTGTGGCTCGACTCTTGTGCTCTGATCTTACTCTCTTACTCTCTCTTATTTTCTCTCTCTCTCTTGCTCTCTCTCTCTCTCTCTTACTTTCTCTCTCTCTCTTCGCTCTTCAGCTAGGGGTTTGTTGAGCCAACCTTGTGGAACAACCGATTGTACAGGTGCGGGGGGGTTGGAGGATGGGAGGTTGGGTGTGGGAAATGTGTGGGTTTATCTTGCGGGGCGGAGTTTTGTAAGTGTGCGTCGTCTTTCCTCTGGAGGGGGGAAAGGGTGGGACGCGGGTATCGAGTGCGGTATGCAGATGCCGAGTATGTGGAATCAGGGCAGAGCGCAGAGAGATAGAGAGAGGTAAGACGAAGTTGTGTTGTAGGTATTTTGATTGACAACGGGGGTGGGGATGTGTGTTGTGTAGAACTCGACGTTTGGTCGTGGATTTCGGTACACGGTTATGGTTTGGGCAGTGTTCACACGCGGGGTGGAAGACGGCGGGGAGCGAGATGGCGAGATGGCGGTGCACAAAGGCGAGATATCACACACTCTAAATGGCCAGGCTCTCCCTAAGCCAAGTCACGTACATGGCCAGGAACTGGACCTGCTCCATGCTCTCAATGGCCTTGAGGCCACGGCGGCAGCGGATCATGGCGATGGAGCGCTCGACAATGGACATGACCACGGCGCGCTCCTCCTCGTGGGTGGGGATCGGCGTGGCAGGGCCAGTACGCGCATACTTGGACTTGCGCGACGACGACGACGCCTTGGATGCCGACGGGGTGGAGGGGGACGAAGCGGCACTGTTGGCAAGCGAGGGATGGGGCTGGACAAAGCCCATCTTGATCGCCCACGCACACGCAGTGAGACCAGCACGGCCAACGCCGCCTAGGTAACAGATTAACACGAGTGAAAAAGGACGGGAGGGAGGGAGCTGTTCTGTTGGGTACTAACCACGGCAGTGGACGAGGACGTTGATGCCCTTGAGAGTGTAGCGGGTGACAATGACCGAGACCTGGGCATCAAACAGCTGGAGCGAGACGGGGGTGAATCCATCAGGCATAGGCAGGCTAGAAACGGTGGGTGGTGAGCACGTGGTTGCAAAAAGGAGCATAGTTTGTTGATAATCACCGAATGACGTCAAGGCCGACAGAGCCGGCAATCTCGCGGTAGGTCTCCCACGGCACGCCGAGGAGCGCAAGCTCTTCGTCGTCGAGGCAGCTGAGGCCGATTAGCACAGTCTTTTATCTTTTTTGAGTTGCTCACCAAACAAGAGCGCCCACACCTTCGGCGCGGATGCGACAGAGGTCGGCGCGCAGGTCACGGCAGACAGGGCCGCGACCACGGACGGGGCCGTCCATGCGCAAGCGCTTGCCGGGGCACGAGCTGAGGAGCAAGTTACCAAGGTGCGACTGGTGGCCGCGGATGCCACGGGGACGCATGGGGTTGAAGATGAGCGTCATGGGACCCGGGTTGTGGCCCTGGGGGGAGCCAACGGGCCCAGCCTCGGTGGGACACTGCTGGACGGCAGCGCACGAAAGCAGGAGCGAGGGCACATCGAGCTCGGACGCGAGCATGATGGGCTGCTCGGGCGTGGCGTGGGCCGGTGCGACAATGTACTTTGTGAGAGCAGGCATGATCTCGTTGGGGAGGAAGGGCGAGATGACCAGCGGGTGCGAGTTGGACGTCTTGACGATGTGGCCGCCAATCGTCATGGGGTGGTTCATGAGGTTGGGGACCGAAGCCGACATGGCGGAAGGAAGCGCTGCAGGCTCCTCCGAGAACACTGGGGTAGCAGCGTCGTCCACGACCATGGGCTCGGTCACGCGGCGGCGCTTGTCCTCGTCATCACAAATGAACGTGAGCGGGCGCTTGGCGGGGCACGACTGGGAACGCGTCGGCGGCGGCAAGTCGGCAAAGCCAGGGTGCGAGCCTGGGATCGAGGGGATCGACGACAGGGCATCCGAAGGCTCCTCGTCCACATCCATGCGGTCGTTGGTAGCGAGCTCGGCCATGTGGTCGAGCTCGGTGAGCGACTTTGTAGAGTTGGCGAGCGACTGCCAGGCAGAGTCCGACTTGTCCTCGACAGTGGCCGTGGTGGCGACCGAGATCACCGAGCTGACCGAGATGATCGACGCCTCGCCGCCAGAACCGCCGCGCCACGCGTCCACCATGGGCGAGGCCATGGCGGCACGCAGGTCTGCAGCGGTCTTCTGGTCCTTGAGGTCATCGGTGATCGGGGACGGAGGCTCGCGGTAGGTCTTGGTTGCAGCCCAAACAGCGGCACAGAGTGCCTCCGACTCGGGTTCCTGGTTACCGCCACCACCACCAAGCGACACGGACGTGGCGAGCGAGCTCTGGCTGGAAATGTGCGAGTACACACTGGGGTCCGAGTCGACGTCGGTAGACGACGCCGAACGGGCCGCGTGCGTGGCCGCGTAAAAGGTCGACTCGGAGTCGCACAGTTGCTTTTCCAACTCAGCTTGACGCTGCATGGTGCGAATGACATGGCGAGGGTTGGCCCACGACTGGGGCACGTAGGGACCTTGGTGGCCACCGGGGTACTTGGCCTGGTTGTAGCCACTCTGCGGCCACTGCGAGCACAGTCGGGCAAACTCGGTCACTTGACGGCGCTGCTCCTCGGCCCACTCGTAGCGCCTGAGAGCCTCTGCAGGGTTCTCAGTTGGTGGCTGGTCGAGGGGCATGGCAGGCGGCATGTTGTTCGGGTGCGCGATAGCTGGCGGAAGCGCGTGCGGCGGCAGAGGCGTGTCCAGAATCATGTCGGCGACTTCGGGCGCAGGCGTCACGGTAAATGCCATGGGCGAGACTGCGACCGACGAGGGCGCAATCGACCCGGGGGAAGGGGCAATGTAAGGTGAAACCAAGGTGCCCACCATGGGCGAGAGGGGCGACGACAGTTGCGGAGCTGGGGACGAGGGGACCTTGGGCGAGTTGATACGAGGCGACATGACGCGCGGCGACAGGCCACGCGGTGACTCTCCTTCGCGGCGACGGCCAAAGGGGTTCATGATGCCGGCAGCACGGGCCATCTTGCCAAAGCCGTTGACCCATGACCTGGGAGGAGGACTGGCGAGACCGAGCGAGACACTGGACGCGTTGACAATCTCGGCGTTGTCGCCATAGATTGACGACGACGGCGTCGTGTCGGGGGTTGCGAGCGATGGAGCAATGTCCGAGCTCGAGCTTCCCGCCGACATGGACGGCACAGAAGTCGCAATCGAGAGGGCGTCGGTGTTGTCTTCGGACCATGAGATGGACGCAGGATCACGGTTGGCCATGGGGTCGGGTGTAGCCTCTTTGCTGGTCGGCATGCCGAGCATCTCGCTCGCCGACATTGGCGCGACCTGTTTCAACGGCGAGGCGTTGATGGTCTTGGACGACTTTTTAAAGTGGCGCTGGAACCCACTGCCGCCACCACCGGTCTGCACCGGAGCAGCCATGTTGCCCTTGGACGCATGGCGTGCCGATGGCGTGGAGCTCTTTTGGTGGAAGAGTGGTGGCGGAGGTGTGGCTGTGGCTGTGCGCGACATTATTTAGAAGATGATGACGACGACGATGAGAGGGAAAGATTGTGTGGATGAGATATGGGCGGAAAGGATTGGGGAGGTCGGCGAAGAAGTGCGGTAAACGTCGGTATGACTATGATGGAGGAGTGACGACCGTTTTCTTCGCTCCTATATGCGTCTACTGCAGTGACGAGGTCACAATGAGTATGCTGCAGGGGAGTTGTGTGTGTGTGATGGTGGGTGGCGACCAAGGAGGACGTCGGCGGCTGAGTGAGCGGAGGAAGAAGCTTGCAGCGCTCGGGCGATCTTGGATCGGGTCAGGGCGGGGCAAACTGGGCGGCAAACTCCTGGGTGGCGAAAAAGACCAGTGGTGTGTCCTGTTTGCGGCGTGCTTTGTGACGACGAACAACGAACGTGAGGGTGAGAACGTGTGCGTGTGTGCGACAAAGTGCGGGTAAGCGCAGTTGAAGAAGGGGACAGGACGGTGGGCTGTGAGGGAGGGAGGTGGTGGCGAGTGGCGAGAGGAAGAGTTTGGCCCCGGCGGGGGTTTGGGGGGCTTTGCGGCGGAGGGATGAGAGACTCGATGGAGAGCGAGGGGGGACCGGTAGCGAGGACGGAAAACCAGATAAACCGACAGCCCAGAGGTGGTAGCCCGAAGAAGACTTGTTGCGAGCGAAAGGGGAAGGAGGAGGAGGATGCTGCAGTGTCCTGTTTACAGACGGCGGAGCGGATGCTTCTTCTTTCTCTTTCGTTCTAAACGTTTAGGATTCGGGCGGCACGGCGGCTGAGGGAAGGCGTGTGTGTGTGTACGACGATTGACAGATGAACAACTTGGGGGGTGGCCAAATAGGAAGAGCCCGACGTCTAGAGCTGGGCAATTTACTGCTGCTCGACGGCACGGGTGGCCGCAATGCAGGACGACATGGTGTGATGAAGCAAAGCAGGTGTGGACAAGGTGGGGGGAGTTTTGGCTCGGGGGTGGCAAACGGGGTGCGCAGGTGGCGACACGACGGTTGCTGACGGGTTTCAACTGGCTGCGCGATGGCGTGGCCGCGTTTTCGAGAATGGATAGCCCGAAGAGTGGTGTGTGTGCGCTGAGGAAGCTTGCTAGAGATTGTTTTGATGCAGGTGAGAGGGAGAGAGCTGGGGGGAGTGTCAGTGGATGCGGGTGGAAGAGAGAGGGAAACGGGGGGGAGATTGCGGCCAGTGGCCAGTGGGAAAGGCCTGCCAGGGCGGGCGGGCGGCGGGCGGCGGGGCGGGGCGGGTTCTGATGGGTGTGTGTTTGGGGGTGCAAAGGTACCAACCTCTTGAGTTTTGACCAGCTAGTAGACGTGGATGATTGTGAGCGGTGTTGGGAGGACGAGGGCGAGTTGCGAGTGGAAGAAGGGGGGGCAGATGAGGATGAGGGGAGGAAGGGGGGAGGGGGGGTGGGAGGGGGGGTTTAGGTGGGGGAGTGGTGGGTGGTTGAGCCGTGTGTGTGAGGGGTGTGGATGTGAGAGTGGTGAGGATGAGATTGCGAGAAGACTGGCCACCGTGGGGTGGGTGCTGGGCAGGCGGGCGGGCGGGCGGGGGGCAAGAGGTGGGTGTGGGTGGCAAAGAGGGTGGCCCGCTCTCTCTCATCCAGCCAGTCAGTCAGTCAGCCAGCCGCGCGCCGACCCACGGAAGCAAAAACACATGGCCGCCGGGTGGGTGTTCGTCAGCGGCGCCATCACACCCAAACGCACACACCCAGCCGCCGCCGCCGCCACCACTGCTGCCGTTGCGCGTTTACGTAGTCACTTCGTTTGGGCTGTCCAGTGCGCACAAACTGGGCCTGCATGCAGGTATGCTGCATGCATGGCCTCCATGGCGACAGAGGCTCGCCTGGTCACATCGAGGGGGGTGCAGCCAAATCGTATTCGCTAAAGGGCTAAAGACCCGGCATTCGGTCTGGACCCCCCAGATCCATTAGACAAAGAGAAGGACGGATTGTGGTCTCGGAACGGCAATGAACCAAGAGACATTATTGGTTTACTTCACTCTGCCTGGCTGGCACAGTACAGTACGCACTCTCCTCCCCCCAAAAGCCTGTACAACAGCGAAGAGCACCAGCAGGAACGGACGTCCCGCCCGTAAACTCTTTTTTGTCGTGTTCGGCCCAATGGGCCAAATGACGCATAGCTCTTATCCTGTGGCCCCCCACAGCCCACAGCCTACAGCCTTTGGGGTCTGCTGATCACTCAAGCCGCATACCTGACCCTGCCTATCGCTTTGATTAAGCCGAGGAGCTGCATTCCTGTGCTGCTGTACTGCTGTTGCATATTGTAAAAGACACTCCTGTCGGCTGTGCTCCACACCCCAGCCAACCCGTTGGTGTCTCTTTGTCGTCCTGTTGTGGAACGCGGAACAGAGAGAGCCCAGTAGGAGGTGCTCGAATAAGGCCGGGGGGGCGGGGCGGGCTCCAAGCGGGGGGGGCGGGGTCTCCTGCCCTGGGTCCTTTTTCCGTAGTTCCGCGTCGACCCTCACGGAACCTAATTATAGGCGTGCTGATGAACAGTCGCCCTCAGTTGACACCTAAATAGAAACAGGCGCCAGCACCAATCGCCGACGTTCACGGTCGGAGATAATTTTTGGGACAGTTCGACGGAACCAATTGTGGACCTGTGCGCTCGCTGGGCCCAACGACGCTGGGTGGTCAATCTTTCACTGCAACCACCCAAAAGTCGCGTTAGCTTGCCGCATTTCCGGACCCCAGCCTTGGTGAGTGCATACGGCAACGAGCACCGCGCGCGCGACTGGACGACGACGACGACGACCTAGTCCGACATTGAGGACGACGACGAGGGACATGGAGAGGGAGAGGGAATGGACGGCAAAAGGGAGAGGATCGGAAGGACGATTGTTGGCAACCACGCGAGAGGAACGACGGTTTCGTTGTTCCTTTTGAGGATGTTGGCTGAGAGGACTTTGGCCGACGACAGGTGGCCTCGAGCGGGGATGAGATGGCGTTGAGACCCGTCTGCTTCGCCGGGGGCGCTGCCAGGTGTGCCGGAGATGGGAAGCGTACACCAGGCCGTCGTCGCCGTCACCAACAATTCAACTTTACGACCTTTGTCCAACCAACCTTGACCGACCTTCTTCGACCTCTTCCTCGATCTGGTCTTCCATCGTCTGCTCGCGCGCGCTCCATGCTCGACCTCTCTGGTACAGCCGCTAACGCCTGTCACAGATCTTCTCGAGGCACTTTTATCCAAGTTTGCAAGCCCCTTAAACCACCCCCAAACCCCCCACCAACCCCCCATCCAAAATGTCCACCAAGCTCCCCGCTGCCCTCAACGCCACTGAGGACGACATCCAGCTCCTCCTTGCTGCCCAGTCGCACCTCGGCACCAAGAACTGCGACAAGTCGATGGAGCAGTACGTCTGGAAGCGCCGTGCCGACGGTATCCACGTCCTCAACGTCGGCAAGACCTGGGAGAAGCTCGTCCTCGCCGCCCGTGTCCTCGCCTCGATCGAGAACCCCGCCGACGTCTGCGTCATCTCGTCGCGCCCCTACGGCCACCGCGCCGTCACCAAGTACGCTGGTTTCACCGGTGCCCAGGCCATTGCCGGCCGCTTCACCCCCGGTTCGTTCACCAACTACATCACCCGTTCGTTCAAGGAGCCCCGCATCATCATCGTGACCGACCCCCGTGTCGACCACCAGGCTATCCGTGAGGCCGCCTACGTCAACATCCCCGTCATTGCCTTCGCCGACACCGACGCCGCCCTCAAGTTTGTTGACATTGCCATCCCCATCAACAACAAGTCGCGTCACTCGATCGGCCTCATGTGGTACCTCCTCTGTCGTGAGGTCCTCCGCCTCCGTGGCGAGGTCGCCCGTGGCCCCACCGGCCCCTCGGGCTGGGACGTCCTCCCCGACCTCTTCTTCTACCGCGACCCCGCTGAGGAGCAGGAGCGCGAGGCCGCCGAGAAGGCCGCCGCCGAGGCTGAGGCCGAGGCCGAGGCTGCCCCCGCCGCCGCCCCCGCCGCTGACGACTGGACCGCCGCCGCCGCTACCGACGACGCCCTCGCCGCCCAGCCCACCGACCAGGCCCTTGACTGGTCCGCCGAGCCCCAGACCGGCGACTGGGCCGCTGAGCCCACCCCCGCCACCGACGCCGCCGCCGGCTGGTAAACCCCCTCCAAATCCTCCAATTAGCTTTGTGACGGATTGTGGTGCGGTGCGGCTCTGAAAAAAGGCATGGACACGACAAGTGTTCAAACCCCAAACCCCCATTCCCATCTCGTTCTGTACTTTTTTGATAGAGAGTGCAGATGTGAACCGGTTCTCAGAGTATCCTAAAACGTGTGGCGCAAAGGGAGCAGAGCAGAGTGTGTGAAATCGGGAATGTGTGAGCAAGTTGGGCAGAAGATACGCGAGGAGGTGTCGCTTTGGAGGTACTGAGCAGACAGACACCTGTACCACCCGGTCGTTCTCACTTGCACATCCACTGTCTTTGGTCCTAAAGACACGACCGTGAAATCGGTAGCCGGCAGTTGGGCCCATAAAGCGAAAGTGGCACCAGCATGCCACCAACCACTCCATCCTCCCTCCCTCCATCCATCCTTCGTCCACCTTCTCACCCGTCCCAAAACACATGCATTGCATGCATGCACAACAAGCAAAATAGAAGGTCCGACTGGGAATCGAACCCAGATTACAAGAACGAGTGCGGGTCCCGCTGGAATCCTGTGAGGGACACCAGACATGGTCGCGGCGTTGTGCTCAGAATCTTGTGTACTAACCGTTATACGATCAGACCGACAATGATTTCTTGTTTCCCGCTGCCGGCTGGTTGCTGCAGAGTCCTTCTGGTGCTCTTGTGCATGTGCGCAAGACGTGGGTACACGCTGGGCGAGGTGGGAGGCATCCTGGTGCGAGAGGGATGCCGGAGGAAAGGGAGGGGGAAGAGGGATGGAGGCGTGGATCGCCCGCGCGGCGAACGGCACTGCCTCGTCAGCCGCGACCTTGCCTTCCTGACATCTATGCACCACCGTCACCGCACAGAGAAGGTACATACCTCTCTCTGGATCTCTGGTGAAGACGAAGCCCAGGCATGTCCTCCCCTCCCCCCCCCCGGAAGTTAAGGTACGACCACAAAGCCCGACTCGGACGAGCCCGAGCAAGGAGGATCTCACTGCCGAGGGACTAAGAACGTGTAACGAGCTCTCTGGGGATTCGGCTTGCACGTAGTTCCGCCCTTGTTGGTGCTGGATATGTGTTCATGCAGATGTTTGCGGGACATAGAGGCAGGGGCACAATGGACTGACGGCTGCTGACAAGACCAGCCAGCCAGCCTCCAGTTCCGGGCATTTGTGTGCCATGTTCGCGTTTTTATGCAAGTGAGGACATTTTGTGCTGACGGGATTTCGCGACTGTGTAGCTCATGGCGATCGCGACAGGGGACTGACAATTCGCTCGGATTTTGGGCACCAGGATAGAGTGTGCTCTGCCCACTTTGATGCAGAGAATGGGCCACTTGTGCTGGTCGTTCGTCGACAACGACACCTAAATAAAGTCCTTTTTTTCTTCCTTCCAATATTGGCTCCCTTCTTGACATGTCATTCTGATCAGTGGCGTAACCGTACGGCCAGATAAGACACCATAGTGTTGACCCAAGAACACTGCTCCTGCGGCTCACCGCTGCAAGTAAAGAGGGGATTCGAGGATACCGTCTAGCCCTCAGTCCACTTGGAGTCGAGCGTGATAAGTGTCCGCGTCTTCCTCCAACGCATAGACAGTCCTTCCAGGACCCCAGAGTTGTGTTCTTACCTGTCTGACCTTGTTACCGATGCATGCGGAAGACTATCACTGGTTCACTGTCTTTGCGGTCGTCTCCAGCCACGGACGGCTAGACGATGTGTCTGATACTGCGTAATGACAGGGAGTCTAATTTGGGAGTGGATCGGGAGTCGACAACTGAGCCGACTCGGTCTCCTATCCCAAAGTTGTACTCCGTCCACAACTGCTCGGAGCTCCGAGGCATGGCCACATCATCACGGGCATCTACGACAGTTGCCGAGACCGAGCTTCAAACACGGTCGCCGCAACGATTGTGCCATGTTTAGTCTGCTTGGTAATCAGCTCGTCAATGGGAACTGCGCTTTCCAGGTTCTGTTGGATCAGCAGCCTCACCCAGCCGTCACGGAAACCCCGCGCCAATGAGGTCCAGACAAGCATGCCAAGTTTGATCCACCTGTGTGTGTATCGCAGACTTCCTATGTACTCGCCATATGCATCACGCGGCACAGTGCACGCAGCACGTTGTTTGCAGCCATTACCAAAGAGACTGTGGAGGTTGTCGGCGTCTTCCGGTGACATTGAATCACGTCATAGATGACGCCCTGGGGCAGATGGCCGGGTCGGGCACAGCCGATTATCAACCACCTTCTGTTCTCGCGGGTGACACTGTCGCCTCGTGTCGTTTTGCTTACACATACATTCCAAAACAGCATCTCTCATCGCCCCTGCTGCTTGGGCACCATATATACATCCAGAAACACCGTCCCCCAGTATATGCGTCTTCCAGCATCCTCTCTCGCAGCCTCGCGTATCCAGACACTTGCAGCCCACCTCGCCGCGCCGACTTCCACCGGGTCAACTCCCAGCCGTCACCAGTCAACCACCACCACTGCAAACATGGCCTCCACCACCACTTTCCCCCCTCCCCCTCCCCTCGGCGAGTCCCAGGCCGGCCACGTCCCGGACCAGGGCCCCGCCAAGATCCACCTGTGGACCGCCGGCACGCCCAACGGCTACAAGGTGTCGGTCCTGCTCGAGGAGCTCCGCGACGCGTACCCCGAGGCAGCCAAGAACGAGCTCAGCTACGACGTTTCCAAGATTAGCATCTGGGAGAACCAGCAAAAGGTGAGTGGGACTCGGCTGTGGAGCCTGCAGACAAAGCAAAAGTATGCACGGTAGGCACTCGCTGACACACACCCCCTGCTCAGCACCCCGACTTCCTCAAGATCAACCCCAACGGCCGCATCCCTGCCATCATCGACGACAACGTCACCTCGGTCAAGGGCGGATTCCCCGTCTGGGAGAGCGCGAGCATCGAGCTCTGGCTCGTGGAGCAGTACGACAAGGAGAACAAGCTGTGGTTCGCCGACCCGCTCCTCCGCGCGCAGGCGCTGAACTGGATTTTCTTCGCTCACGGCGGCGTGGGACCCATGCAGGGTCAGACGCACGTCTTCTTGTGAGTGGAACGAGGTCAATGTGACCTGTGGGAGAGAGGTCCGAGGTCGCGGCAGAGCTTTTGAGCTGTCCGCTGCTCCAAGCTCGCCGTTGTCGCCTCCTCGTGACATTCGCACACCCCGGCATGTTCACTTCCTTCACTGGCTAACTCGCTCAGCCGGTACGCGCCCATCAAGATCCCCTTTGCCATCAAGCGCTACCACGAGGAGACCAAGCGCCTCTACTCGGTCCTCGAGGACGGCCTCAAGGCCGGTGCGGGCAAGTGGCTCGTGGGCGACAAGTACTCCGTTGCCGACATCAACGTGTTTGGCTGGGTCCGCTCGGCCGTCTGGGCCGGTATCGACCTCGCCGACTTCCCGCTGCTCAGCGCCTGGGCCGACCGCATCGAGAAGCGCCCAGCTGTCCAGAGGGGTATCTCGGTCCCGGACGCGCCCAAGGACCTGAGCTCGATCAAGGACGAGTCGGTCAAGGACGTCAACGCGTGGGTCGACAAGGCTAATGCCGAGCTTGAGGAGATCAAGAAGCAAAAGGAGGCCACGGCGTAATGTTAGGAAGGGAGGAGATCGGGGAGGTAGTAGGAAATGAAATATCTTGTTTGTGTCAAACACAAGCCGCAGACGCAGGTCAACTGGGAACTCACCCCAAAGCGCTCCGCACAGTCGCTAACCCTGACTCGTATCTATTGCGCATGTCATGGGCTTGCGTGCTGGCAGCGAGAAACGCGCGCCGACGAAAACAGCAGCCGGACAAACAAACCAAAACCTCCGGACACCACTTCCACCCTCCATCCACCGCCACACCCTTTTCCCATCCGCCGTATCCTGACCGCACCAGAAACGCTACATCAACAAGAGAGGCATCGATGCATGCACATGACTTCGCCGCATGCGCCCAGACACCAGCACCAACGGGTCTGATCGTATAACGGTTAGTACACAAGATTCTGAGCACAGCGCCGTGATCACTTCCAAACGCGTTCCTCCATTGGAGCAACTCGCGGATCACACAATTCGTTCTTGTAATCTGGGTTCGATTCCCAGTCGGACCTCTCTGTTTGCTCCTCGTGACAGCTGTTGCAGAGGTGTAATCTCCTCTTTTGGCTCGGGCGCACGCTGGGGGAGTGAGTGTTGGAGAGAGGCGGGTTGGGTGAGGTGCTGCTGGCGGAGAATTCGAGTGGCAGACAATTTTCCCGTCTTCGTCCGTCAAGTGCTGGTTCTCGAACCTGTGCGTCTCTGGGGGAGGGAAAACGTTGACTGGACTCTGCAGGCGCTCCTGACAGCGCGAGACGAGCTGGCCGCAGGCTACAACGAGCCACAGCCACCATGGTCAACTGTCCCGTGCAGATTCCACATCTCCGCTTCCTCCACAGACCTTCCCCCCATTGGACTCATTTGTGGTCTTTTGACTTGCCTTTCTCGTGCCCAACCTCTCCAACCAAGAAACACGATGCGCGGACGCTCGCTCGATGCGAGAGAGCAGCGCGAGCAGCTGTCATCGTCTCTTCGCTAGTATATCGGTTAGTATAACCGCCTCTCAACAGAGAGAGCCTTCATTGCAAGGAGCATCGCGGTAGAGCAGGGTTCAACTCCCTGGCGGAGAAGCAGCCCATTGGGACCTCACGAGAGATCCCTGGCACATGTTTTTTTGGATGGGAGGACAAGGAAGGGACGACCGAAGAAATTTCCCGGGGGCTTGTCGACGCCGTGTCGACATCTCACATCTAGTTCACCAGTTCCGAAGCTACACAACATCTTCCTTGCTCAGCAGACATCCCTCCTTCAACAGCGCATCCCCCACAGATGCCAGCAAGTCAGTCCGATCGTATAACGGTCAGTACACAAGATTTTGAAAGAGAAGGACTGCTCGACTGCCTCATTGGCCAGTCGACCTCGTGTTCACTTCGTTCTTGTAATCTGGGTTCGATTCCCAGTCGGACTGTAGACTTCTCCTGAGCCTCTCAGAGGTTCCAGGGTTCCTATTTTTTGAAATGCGAGGGGAGGGCCACTGTCAGGAGCATCGTGGTGGAGTGTGGCTTGATTTTGAAGTGAGGGCGCCTGTCAGAGGATCAGAGGCGTGCGTGGGCGGAAAATGCCCGAAAATGTTCTGAAATTGACTTTTTATTTCGCTTGCCGCTTGATACTGTTCCCACCTTTGCGCATGGTGCACGGCAAGGCTCCCTGGGGGATGCCAGATTGAACTGGTACAGGGCGGACATGCTCTCAGCTCCGGTTTGATCGTATAAAGGTTAGTACACAAGATTCTGATCCAGTCATGCAGCTCCTCCTCGAGCTCGTGAGTGACTAGAATCGTTCTTGTAATCTGGGTTCGATTCCCAGTCAGACCTGCTCGCCACCTCCTGATCATGCATCAGGCGTTCCTTTTGGCCACCTTTTGGCCGCCTTTTGGTGTCGGCAAAGGTGGCATGGAGGGGTGGTACGATCCACGACCGAGTGCAAGGTAGACCGTTCAAGCAAAGGTGGCGTCGAGCTGAGTGGTCAGAAAGATCCTCGGGACATCGCTTTTCAGGGCCCGAATGACACGGCCACCTTTCGGAACGGATCTCATTCTCGTGACAGCCAGCAATGACTGGGTCATGATATACTTGTACTCGCTTTCCTTCCTCGTGTTACCTCCTGATACTCTGTGCCAGCCGCGGCCGTACGTCTGCGTTCCTCGTCTTCCAAAGTCGCAGTTGCTCCTATCATATAGCCCGGCATGCCTTCTTTCCGTTGGCAGCTTGCCTCCCGGCCCTCGCGCCGTCACACAGCACTGGTCTGTGCGCCCCCCCAATTCCACCGTCATATCCAACGCAATTGGACAGTCAAGCCAGTGCGTCTGCATCTGATCCACGCCAGGCGAACGCGAGCGGCGCAGACCTCTGCGCACTTCAATTCTGGTAGACCGCGGCGCAAAAAGCGCAAAAAGTGATTCTCCGCCAGGGAGTTGAACCCTACTCTACCGCGATGTTCCATTAGGAAACTCCCTATTGAGAGGCGGTTATACTAACCGATATACTAGCGAAGATGTTATATTTGTTACATAACCACTGTCAACACTTCAGGAAACGGGGACATTTGAGGGTTTCGTAATGCCCCGGAAGCAAATGTGATTACGAATGATTGAAGGGCATTACAAAATTCGGCAATGCTGTCCGATGGCTCAATCGCGGTTCAACTGTCCTGACTGTCGACCCCTATCGCTCAAGCTGCTGTCGACACCTCGAGACGAGTGTGTCGCGTCTGAGGAAGCGCGGAGGCTGCAGGTGGAGCAAGCCAGTCCCGCCGTCACTAGCCTGGGAAGCCTTTTGTGTCTGTCTTCGACAGCCACCTCTCCTCGTGTGCAGCACACTTGGCCGAGGAATGACAAACGACGCCTTTTGCCGGCCGTGCCGAGCGAGGGCCACGGGCCGGCCTGCGACCCAGAAGCTGCAGCCAGGCACACACCAATCCTCTCGTCGGCCAATTCGGCCTCATCCGCCAGCCGCCGTGCTAAACCAACTCCTTGCCCGGTCTTTGAGCCACCCTGCTCCTTGTGACGCCGTATGATTTGTCAGACAAGCTGTCGGTTCCCCGGCTGCCCTGCACGAAACCCCGGTCCCCCACTCGAGCCCCGCGAATGTTCATCAAAGATCTGCCGGGCGAAGACCGTTTGGGAGGACGCAGCGGCAGAGCTGCAACGAGTCGACCGCGGCGAGCAAAACCGGGGCAAAACTCCGCCCGCCGGCAACGAAGCCCAGCCGGGGCAGAGAGAGCAACGACAGCAACAGAGTCGTCTTCTGCTTCACAACTCTCACCCAAGATTTACATGTACAGCCCGGTACCATGGATATCGAAAAGCGCAAGCAAGACTCGAGCTCGGAGACACGAGTTGCAGCACCGAATGACGAACCAGCCTTCCGCCGCGCGCTCTTCAAGCTCGACTTCATCTTCCTCCCGGCTGTGACCTTCATCTACTTTCTCAACTTTTTGGATGTACGTCTCCCTTTTAGGAGTGTAGCTTGCTGACATTCAGCGCTCCAACATCGGCAATGCCAAGGCGGCTGGTCTCCTGACCGATCTCAACATCACCTCGCGCCAGTATTCAAGTGAGTGTGGCTCGCAAAGTGCTCTGCTGACCACCACCAGTCGCTCTCACCGTTACCTACGTCCCATACATCGTTGTTGAGGTAAGCAAGCGTTCATGAGTCCCATCGCTGACCACGTCCAGCTGCCCTTGACATTGCTCATCAAGAAGGTGGGACCAAACATCCTGCTCCCGACTTTGGTGGTTCTTTGGGGCATTGTCACGACCTTCCAGGGCTTTGTTCACGACTACCATGGCCTCCTCGTCGCCCGCTTCTTCCTGGGATGTACCGAGGGTGCCATCCTTCCCAGCTCCATGGCCTACCTGTCGACTTTTTACAGGCGTGGAGATCTCGCAAAGCGCGTAGCATTGTTCTTCAGTGCCACCTCCCTCGCGGGAGCTTTCTCGGGTCTTCTCGCCTCTGCGATCCTCAACATGGCCGGCATTCGAGGCATGAAGGGCTGGCAGTGGCTGTTTATTATTGAAGGCATCTTCACTTGCGTCTACGGCTTCATCGCATTTGCTATCCTGCCCCGCGCGCCAACTACGGCATGGTTTTTGTCTCAGCCCGAAAAGGACGCACTTGTGGCTGCGCTTGCGGTCGACCGCCCTCCTGCCGAGGACGAACAAAAGCTCACCCTCCGTGCCGTGCTTGACGTCTTCTCGGCACCGCACATGTGGAACATGGCCCTCCAATTCTTCTCCTCGGGTGCCATGCTTTACGCAAGTGCTTACTTTGCGCCAACTATCGTCGGGGCAATCGGCTACAAGGGTATCAAGGTTCAGCTCTACTCGGTGCCCCCATACGTGTGCTCTGCGGCCTTCGCGCTCGGCTCCTGCTGGCTCAGTGACTATCTGAAGCTCCGTGGCCCCTTTATCATGCTGGCTGCCATCGTCTCGGTGATCGGCTACGCCATGTTCTTGGGCAGCACAAACCCAAAGACACTCTATGCGGCTTTGTTCTTGCAAGTTATGGGCGCTTATGCCGTGGCCCCGTTGCAGTCGACTTGGATGCGTGAGTTTTTAAAATTGAACAGGAAACTGACATGTCAGCCAACAACTTGGCTCCCTTCTACAGGCGAGTCACCGGCATCACCATGGGCTTTGTCGCCACCAACTCGGGAGGTATTCTCAGCACTTGGCTGTTCCCGACCAACGAGGCGCCACGCTACCACCGCGGCACCTCTGTCCTCCTCGGCCTCTCGGCAGCAATCTGCTTCTGGACGGTCCTCAATATGCTCTACCTGCACCACCAAAACAGGAAGCGTGCAGCTGCCAATGGTGTGGAAGAGGACAACTCGGACGTCAACGACGGCGTGCTGGGCGACCGCAGCGTCCACTTCAAGTACATTCTTTAGCGTACCCCAAAATTACCGTACCGTAAATGCAACTCTAATGTCAGTGTTTTATAAACGTCCAATTCGTCTCCTGGGCACCCCACAATACTCAGAATGAATGGGCAGATTACTGAAGGCGTGTTATCGGTTGTTTATGATATGGCCATCCGTATCAGACAGAACAGTTGCCTCGTGCGGCGGGAAGCCAATGCAGCCCCTCATGGTCGGACCTCGTCTACACGCTGCGTTGGGGGAGTGATCCGGTCGATCCCCGCTATAGACTTGCGCTTTGGAAGCCTAGAGGCCGCCAATTGCCAGAACCACTGGTAGTGTGGCAGCCAACTCCACGCGGCCAATACTTCCGGATATCGGTCATGGCAATCAGCTTTGGGCGGTCTTGTCTGTACTGTTTACATGAACAGTGCGGGGTACGCGCCCTGAGATAACGCTGATATCGATAACACACTGGCCGGGTCAGAAATAACCACGAGGACGGAAGCATGGACATATGTGCGGACATGTGGGTGGACATGTGTTGCACTTGTTGGTTCCAAGAACACGGCCTGACCCTGAGTCCCGGCCGGAGCATACACAAAACGCCGGCGAAACTTCGGTGTCTTTTGACCTCGTGAGGCGAACTAGGCGAGGCCGCTCGAATGCCGCTCTGCGCCGCGGAGGCAGGCCGGGGGGGGGGGACGTGTTCTTCACTGTTGCGTGGACACGCTCAACTCCAGCACCAGGCAGGTGCCTCAGCAACTCTCCCCACAGACAGTCGTGAGGGGCAAAAGGGCCCAGGCCCCGGCTAGCCGCTCACAACGTGTGTGGGTAAACGATGCTGAGCAGCAACACTCTGACCAGTCTTCTTTGCGGCCGAGTAGGCCGAGTAGTGTCGACGGACGGCCGTGGCACGGCGGTATGGCCAATTTGCTTTTGCAGTCGCGTGGTCAAGGTTGTCCGTATTTCCCATTGTTTATCCTGAGATTTGGCGCCAATTCCATGGGACACTAACTGTTTCGGAAGGCCATTTCGGCCTGTTCACCCTGGTGATCGCGCCTTTCGCCGATGCTGAAGCGGATTCACTAATTGACGCGCGGAAAGCTGTGGAGCTTTGAACGTTGCCCCCAAAAGAATGCCGAAACTCGTGCCAGAGGTTGCGCTCAAAGCCCAAACTCCAAACTCGTTACGACACGGGATCCGGTCAAGTCAAGTGATGCCAGTTGTGACGTCGATCACTGGCTCCACTTATATGAGCTCTGAGTCAGCATCCGGACATGCGAAAGCTGTCTACACCGACCAGCCACGAACTCAAGCTGTCCCAGCAGCAATCCTTGCAACCGTTTCGTCCCAATGTTTAAATGCATGGTGGTTGTCGATTACTGAAGAAATGGAAGGGAACGAAGTGCCGACACGTAGAAATGTCATACAATCCGTGGGATGAGAGATGCTTGTTACAATTTACCAACTAAATAAAGTGTGTGTAAACTGTGCAGGGGAGCGCCTGGCCAGGCGCGTCGAGTGCACTGGTGGTTACCGGACCGCCCATTTTTAGCACGCGAAGGGGTGGGTGAAGGTGCCCGCGCGGTAGCCGTCGATGATGCTCTGGGCGGCCGAGTAGAGACCGAGAGGGGTGATGGCGACGGAGATGATGAGACAGAGGATGGAGACGGACATGAGGAACTTCTTGCCAATGGTGTTGACCGCACGGATCTCACCGTCGTTGTGGTACTTGGCGAACCAGGGGTGGTTGTCGTAGAACCAGAGGAAAGCAGCTCCACCGCAGATGAACCAGACCGAGAAGAGGGACGAGATAATGGTGAGAATGGGGTTGAAGAAGGGGATGAGCTCCGAGAAGACGAAGCCGACGATCCAAGTGAGCGCGACGCAGCCAATCCAGTAGAACTGGGCCTTCCACGAGGTCGAGGTAAGAAGGGCCGAGTTACGGAGGGTCGAGACGTAGAGGTACTTGGCACCGACGTTGGCGCCGAGGATACCAGAGACCATGATGGTGATGAGCGCAATCGAGTAGGCAGTGATGCGGACAGCAGTGGTCGTCATGGTAAGAGCGGGCGAGGTGGTGTACTGACCGCCGAACGAGTAGATGACACAGCCGACGATAACGTAGGCAATAACAGCGACAATCTGCGACAGGGCAAACGACTTCTTGAAGTCGTTGGGGCGACGCATCTCGGAGCAGAAGGAGAAGACGGCCATGTTGCCACCGTACGCGAAGATCACGTTGGTGATGCCGCCAATGATGTTCATGAGCGAGGGGTCCTCAGGGAAAGCGTGCCAGTGAATGGGGCCGCCCTTGGCGGTCTCAAGGACGGAGGGAGACTGGACACCGGTGGCGACCATGGTGATGATGGAGGCGGTGAAAATGGCACCGATCGAGATGAACGACATCCACCAAAGCTTGTGCCACTCGCGGTTGTACGAGAGGAGGATGGACGCAATGGTGACAATGAAGCCGTACCAGACAGCGCAGATGGCCTTCTCGGAGATGTTGCTGAGGGCAGTCTGGCCGACGAGGACGTGCGAACCAGCAAGACCCATGGCCTTGAGAACCATACCGGTACCAAAGATGCGCGAGCCCCACTTGCCGAAGACGACACCACCGGCGTCACCGTAGTGCATGACACCCATGTGCCTCAGCTTGAAGTCGATCATGATCCAGGCAGTGACGTAGGCAATGATGCCGAGACCGACAGTGGCAATGATACCTCCGACGACACCAAGACGCATCATGATCGAGGGGAAGGACAGAATACCGAGCGCGATGTTCTGTGACACTGGTCAGCGCCAAATGAAAACTCTGCGGCGCAGCAATTTTCGACGTACCTCGGCAGTGGCAACCAGACCGGCCTTGAGCCAACCCATGCTACGGAAGTCAACGTGCTCGCCATCGTGACCGGCGGCGACGGTGAACGCATCGTAGGCAAAGAACGACTCCTCGGGCAAGGTCGTCATGTTGACGATGGGGCCCTTGCCCGCACCATTGGCTGAAGACTCAGCATTGGTGGTGATCGAGCCGGTCTCGGCGATGTTGGTGGCGTCTGCAAGCTTCTCGTTCTGGGAGTCCATTTGTGGTATCGAAACCGAGCCGTTGGAGGTAAAGGAAGGTGGAGGAGGGTGAGGGATGGTGTGGTACAACTGTAAACGAAAGGGTGGGTGAGTGTTGGCTGGAGCGTAAGACTACGATGCGATGGGCGAAGAAACGGCGATGCGCTGGCCTACTAAAAGGAAATCTTCTCGATCCTGTCGCTGGGTGCGAAGACCAGGGCCAGTATGACAGGCCCCACATGGGCCCATGACACCCAAACTACCCAAGGCCCACGTCCATTGCGGGGGACGGCCTGTATCCGGCGGCGCTGACTGTACGTGGCAGCGGCTCCATCCGTCAACACCCCACCCACCGACCAACATCCGCGGGCGGACCATCCCAAAAGAAAGTGCCTTGTCCTGCCCCACCTGGAGCGTCCCTGGCGACGGAGGGATCGGGAGGAGCAGAATTGAGTCATGTGCAAGTTCTCCGGTGGATTACCGCTGGTGTGGCTGAGGTCCCCCCATCAGGATATCCGGGTCAACATGCAAACGCCACCAACCATCACCACTGCAGGTTCTGTCCGACAGAGTGTCGACCACATCCCAAAAGGAAACCCGGATCAGTGCGCAAGTGCGCTGCGTGAAAAACGACCACACGCTTCAGTCTTCGTGCGTTCAAGGACACCCAAATGGAGCATGGAGTGCCTCGCACACGACACGAGGCCCCGTTGGCAAAAGATGGCCGTAACTTTTTTTTCTTTCAGGAACCTGATCAATGTTCCTGATTTATCCGACGGCCATACTAGCCGCGCGCGCACAACTGCGCTGCCACCCACAGCGTCCACGAATGCATGGCCTACGGATCTCGCCTGAATCGTCTGCGCAAAAGTTTTCCACTTCCGGGCTCGCACCGATATCCAGGACGCCTTGCCTACTAGTTCTGTGCGTCTAAAGATGAACCAAAAGCTGTCAGTGGGCAGCTGTTTGGAGACATTCACGCGAGGCTCTCGTGTTGGAGTCAGTTTAGTCACGGTCTTGCGGTCCGTGGTGTGCCTTGTTCCGGTATGCCAGCGCCTAGTGACAGTCGTGACCGGCACACCTCGGCTTGTCCGCAATTCGAAACCATGAGGCGGATCTGTGACGGAGCACTTTTTTCGAACTTTTGATGCCTTCAGGGTACGAATGCTGTCTTGGCACACTGCGTAATCGAGGTATTGGCCATGCCAAGTGCAGTGAGCTGAGAATAACCAGGGATATGGTGGGATATCCCTTCTTTGCCCCACAGTCTGCGATACTATTTCCTATGCCACCCGCGCCTTCCCCCAGCACCACGTCAGCAACCCTCTTGTCATCGTCCCAGGATCTCGCAGGTTCAACAGCAGGTTCCGGTTCCTGCAGTCTCGCTACAGGGAGCCACGCAAATGTTTGTGTTGTCAGCATGGTCCTTCGGCACCGTGTCCGTCCGATGCCAACGTCTCCCACCGGGCCCCATCGCAGCTGCACCGGCCCAACTGGGGCCGCCTCACTTACCGCAGATGCCGCCATTGGCGGGCGTTGGGGCCAGAAGTTCAGCAGTTGGCAAACTGTTCTGCCGCCGGCAGCCCCTGTTCGGTGGTAGCTCTTGGTTCTCAGGAACTCTGAACTCTGACAGGACGTGATATCCGGCCCATTGGCTCAAACAGTTGCTGTCAACAAAGCTCGCACCGCTGGAGCCATGGTTCAGGGGAGTCCATCTTCTTCGGTTACGTGCTATAGGTGGACGACTTAGGGGAACTGCGGACAATGGTTTAAGCGTATCTTCTACAGGTGGACGCCCGAGCCAACCGGAGAGTCCGCCCACAGAACGTTGAGATAAGGCTGTTAGGTTGTCCGGGACTGGTGGGTACCGCCGACTCGGGTTGTCTTTCCGCAGAGGCTTCCCGAGGAGATGTCCCGCTATACCCAGGTCAACCCCTGGTGCGGTGAGGCCTGGGTTGCTTTGCCGGGGGTTAGACCGATAGCATGTCGCCCCGGGTGTCCAGGCCCTGTCAGCGGACAGCTATTCCCGGACTCGCAACGTGGATGACGGTCGCTCGCTTGCCGTGAAGGTAGGTGCGTTGGCTTTGCGTGGCGGAATGTGGGCGCACAGTGTCCACGAGCGCGGAAAGCACCACCAACTGTTGGAAAAGCTCCAGCTACCATGATGCGGACCTCCGTCGCTGTCCAAGATTCACGAATGTAAGGCAATACCTCCAAAAACACAAACAAAATGTGCATCATTCGATTGTCCTGATTTGTCTACCACTGTAAAATCACCTCTGCGTGGGCTGGCAGGTCCCATCGACCAGTGTATAGTTGCGCTTGCAGCGACTCACTTCACACCTGCCCTCAAAGCAAGTGACGGCTCTGGGGTCAACACCTTCCAGATTGGTGCAGCTTTTACGTCAGCAATAATCTTCACAGCAAGACCTTACTCGACAGCGGAGACACGACTAAAGCCAGGCTCCGGCATACTGTGATACCCATACTTGCAGCCACCGCATGACTCTGTGTGATTGTCAGAATGGGGATGTATCTTCTCCACGCATGGTACGTACCGAGCTCAGAATGGGTCTTGAGACACTCGTACGAGTCGTCGTTGGGGTCGTCGGAGAGCAAACATGCGTCGTATCCGACTGGGCAGTCCTTGTGAGCTGCCAACAGTCGTTGACGCGCTTCCGCCTCATCACGGCGTGAACGTCTCGCAATACCTGAGGCTGCTTGAGCCGCGCTATGAGAGTACATAAAGTAGTTTGAGCCACAAATGTTACTGGAGACAATGATCGGTGGAGTGTTGGCGCAGTAGCAGCGGTAGAAGACAATGGCGTCGGGATCGATGATAGCGTAGATGTAGTTGGCGCAGAAAGACCAGCAGGCGGAAAAGTCGACGAACGTAGCACTCGGCCCAGAGTCTTGGCGGCTGACCGTGGACGCGCAACCACCAAATTGGAAACTGGTAGAGAGGGCAGTCACCTAAAGGCTCAGCCTGTAGTCCAAGGTGTGTTAGTAGACTTACGGTGAGTTGCGCGCCAGTGCACTGCGACGGGGCACTGTTACGGAGAACAGGTTGAGCTGTGGTGTCATGTCAGTGATGCAATATCCGTGGCTTTGGTAGCATGCGCGGGCTCACCAGTGGACACAGCGGCGCAGGAGCACATTCCTGCAATTCCAATAGTGCTACGTCCAAAATATGAGAAAGCGTAGCCTTCGGTGTAGCATTTTGTCTAAAAGTCAGCACTTGTGGCTGTACGGTTGTAGTACTCACATTGCAGCTCGCCTGAGAATAACCTGTACCATAGGTCCAGAATCCCAAGGGAAGGCCGATAAGGGCGTTGACGGCACATCCCGACCAAACGGCACTCATGGCCGCCGTTGCGTGAGTGGCAAGGATCACCGCCGCAATGAAGCCCCGAACAAGCATCTTGTTGAACGGACGGCGGGGAAGGTAGTTGCTGAGGAGGACTTGCGGTATGAAGGGGATCCAAGCCCCGTCTCCTCCCCTCTCTTATGTATGTCCTACTTCCCACAGTTGACGTGTTCTTTGCTTGGGTATGTGCCCGTCGGCCAGTTCAGCAGCCGCTCTTCCAGCCATTGTGCCCCGTTGGGAGGTGCATAACCACAGCTCTGACCGTACGCCGCATGTTCAAGTTTGTGCGTGCTCTTGGGCACTCTTACAAGCAAACGCTGGGCAACTTCTGCGGGACGCTGGGGATCCGAAGGGTGAATGGTGGCCGTCCACAAAAGAACATGAAAAATGCCGCCTATTGCATGCTGCGGTCCCCTTAACGGTGCGAAGAACACATAAAGTCGCTAACAGCCTTGGCGGATGTGACTGAATTGTCGTACTTGGAGTTAGCCTTATCCAGAGTGACTAGTTGGGGTGAACGGAAAAACGCAGGCCGAGACTTCGTATGTATCGCATTTCGCGAGATGGTCCGAGGTGATCTGCATGAAAGGGCGATCATTGTCAGAAGGATGCCCTTACGCGAGTCTACTCATTGCCAAGAGATCCATCCGTCTCGCCCAGCCATTCTGTTAACTCAGGAGCTCAAGCGAACACGTTCCCCGCACAGGCATATGCGCCGCGCTCAAGGGATGCCTGATCTCTGTAGCTCGCCTCCATTTCCAGTGTACGTATGTGTTCTCCCGGAACAGTCCAGCTGCTATTGACACCACAGCTGGTCGGCAGAGAAAGAATGCGTGCTGGTAGTAATTGGCCATTCAGTTGTTGCATACTCGGGTTTATAGAGGGCCAAGACTCACAGACACAGCAGGAATTGGAACACTGGCCAAGTCCAATATTCCCGCTTCACCGAGAGCCCTTTCATCCAGGCTTGTCAGCAATCAAGATCTCCAGAACTAATGCGGGCCGATTTCCCTTGAATAGGCCAAGTACTGTACCGTACACATGACTGGGCAGGCATGCATGACATGCCCATATGGCCATATTGCATATGGACGAGTCGCGGCATACTCGTACCCTGGGGAATGGGAGACTTCGGGCGTTTATGTGGTTTGCTGAAGACGCTATGTGCAGACGCTAGCGGCGAGCGCCGCTTGTCGGCACGATGCGTAGGTATGTAGTACGTTGCGACGAGGAGTACGCGCATGCTATACTTGCCCGCGTGCCCAGTTGGTACAGCTTGTTGGTTTGCTTAAGCTTGAAATCTTAAACAGAACCAAAGGCCGTGAGGGATGGTGGCCTCGAATCGACAGATGGCCGGTCCAAAGGGCACCTGAGACAATGGCCCGCCTGCCGTATCGGTCACAGCTGGACGGCATTCAAAAAATGGTCATGCACAAGATGTCAATCATTGTGGTTGTTGGAGGGGCAAGTAGCAGACTGCGGGTGCACAGAACAGAGGTTTAAGCCTGCCCCCCGCCCCCCCCCCCAACGCAACAACCCCAGCTGAGGCTAGGCGGGACCCAGCGCGGAACGCGGAATAGTGTTAAAGGCGGTTAAGTGCATTTTTTCTGTGTCATTGACGCGTGGACTGCACAACAGCGGAGGACGCAGTTATGCTTGCTTTACAGGAACGAGTATTCTTGCTTTACAACCAGAAAAAATCTGTTGTCCCAGCCCGTAGCAAAACGTGAAGAGTAGCACCTGTGGCAGTTGACAGTTGATCACGTCCGTGTCTACCAGTTTACGGGAAAGCACCTCCAGGGGATCACACAACGGCACAACAGCCAGTGGGGTGCGAGACATGTTGTCCTGTGCGTTTATGTTGTGTTATTTGAAACTGATACCGGGACGCACCCCATGGCACACCGCTTGAGTGGCATAGCTGAGCGTGCTTGGTCTGCTTGGGACATGTGTTACCTGACGATACATACCCAGGTTGCCCAACCCTCCGATGCCTATTGAACCCGCCCACTTCATTCGCCAGACTCTCCAACTGCTGTTACTGGTTATGCTTCTCTTCCAGACCCTTGCCCTCTTTGCGACTCTTTCCGCCGTGTCGGCCTACCAGTCCTTCATGCCCCACCAGTTCGCCCCACGCAACCTATTGGCTCGCCGCGGTGGCATGGTCGATGATTAACGACTCTCGCATTATGATTATGATGGGCTGAACGCGGTGGTATGCCAGTCGTTAGTATCAGGTTGACCAACCTGGCTCTTCCCTAGGCGGAGTGCCGATTGACATGATCGCAGGTGCTGATCGTGCTGAGCCATATTGGAATGTGCGCATTCTGCCGAGCGGAAAACCGCAGTTGGTGGTCTCATCGACGCGAGCTCCGCACAGGTCCGCCAAACGCTCATCGGGTCGGGCACAGCCAGCCAGGAAGTCATTGCACCACTGGCCACTGGCAGAATCGAATACGCATGCTTACTCTCAAGTCCCTCCTTACAATCTCGTTCAATGGCCCAAACATGACACCGTGCAACTTGCTCACAGACCGCCTGATCAACAAAGTTTGTGGCGTGACACGGAGCCTCCCAGTTCTCACAGCCTATGTGTATTGTGAGTGACCAGTGACCTCCCCCCGCGAACACACCCGTACAATCGTGCCTGCGTAGGGCAATGCAGAAGCACATGGGCACAACCGGTCGGGTGGACGCGGTTGGGCGCCCTTCGTGCCCCGCATGAAGTTCTCGCTGCGGCCGGAGGCGAGCCAAGAATGACCCAGAGTTTGAGGCGTCCACTGGCCACTGGCCATTGGCTTGACAAGGCATAGCCCGAACCGATAGCCCGAACTGAGAGCGTGTCTTAATAAACGTCGAAAGCCATCGAGGAAGCACACATTCGTCGGAGACTGTAATGCGGCTGATGGCGTCGGCACCGGTGGAGCCGGGTGCCTGCGGCCGCGCGCCTCGGCGTCGGTGTCGGCGTCGGAATCGGCCACAAACTCGCTCACCACGTTTCCAGAGTTTTGACTTTGGAGACACCGTGCGCTGCTGCCAGCCAAAAGCGCCAGCAATGCCGTGCGCCGGGCCGCTTTTTTGTGCCTAAAGTGTACCGTGCGTCCACATGCGTTACAAACATTACTTCTGGGGTGCTTGGTTTATGGGAATCATGTGGAGCCACGGGAATACAGTTTGGGCTGACCGCACGAGCGAGGTCAGTGCTGATGCTTCGGCCTGCAACTCTTGCAAAGACCACCTTGGTTTCGTTAGCCCCGACCCGCCATCAAAGCCTCCTGCTCGCCTTCGCAGATCAGATCAAATGTGGAGAGACCCACAAGAAGTACGGTACACCGAGAGGTATGGAATACCCAGGACCACATACCATGGCGCCCAAATACAACGGAGATCTTAGATCCAGATCCATTTTAATGAATGATGAATTGTCCGCATGTGGATCTGGCGCCATCGTCGGTTCGTTCCACCCATCTCCCATATGGCTGCAAACTCAATCGCAGCACCGAGACCAATAGTCCTCAATGTCCTGCGTCTTGACCTAAGGCGCTGCCGGTCACTGACGGCCGAGTCAACTCCCCAGGGCTACTGGACTTGCGTGGGAGTCTCCGGATGGGTTGGGGAGCATGTATATTGATGCTATTTGTCTACGGGATGATCATGAGGACAGGACATGGTCGTGCTCGTCAGGTTGTAGCCCGGCACGGCACGGCGGTGGTCACGCGACCATCCGCCCCCCCCCCCCCCCCCCCCCCCCCCCCTTCGTCAGGCTGCAGATGTTCAGGATTGCGAGAATGTCCAGCAATAGCCAGTAAGAAGTGAATCACGAGGGGCCACGGTATCCATTGTCATAGCTACTGCTCCTGGTACCGTTGCTACGGGATGGCAGTGAATATTCCCGTAAACCATGCTGTCCTGGGAATGAACTGCGCAGAACATGGTGGGAAGACTTGGACGAGGAATCGCCCACTAGCGCCAGCGGCAGCCCACCGAACAAACGAACATGAAAGAAAGCAGTCCCGCAGCTGCGGCCGCCTCCGCTGCCGTCGGCCCGCGCCGGCTGTTGTTTCAGCAGTGGCGTCTGCGGCGTTTCCGGTGACTTCTGTGAAAGATGAGGTCTAGAAAGTCCAAACAATGCACTCGTGTGCGTACGTGGTACTGAATTCAATTGGACCGTCCGTCGCTCGCACCGTGAAAGGAGATAACAATGCAGTCGGGTGGGCAAAGTGGGAGAGCAGCGTGCGAGAAGCATCATGGGGTGTCCAAGAGGAGCACGTAGTCTATCTTAGGCCAGGTTCATGGGCAGTGAGCTGGCCAGTCACCGGCCACCAGTGGCCAGTGGACGTGTACCTCACCGGCCCACAACCGTGTCAGGATCGCACGTGATTCAAAGACAGCGAACAATAAAAGTCAGTCGCGGCACATTGGCTGTTTGTGGCTTACAGAAGTCAGATACATTCCCTGTCGAGTCGATGTAAACAATGCACGCTCGGCCACCAAGTGGTCCGAGCGTAGCTGATGCCGGCTAGCGCGGCGCTTGGCAGTACAGAGCCGGACCTGGTACAGGAAAGTGCTGCGTCGAAACGGCAACCCTTGGCAGCCACGGGCTCTCATTCGTTCTTACGTTCTTTGGCACACTCGTACACGTATAGTACACGCGTGCACGCACCGACGAGCGTATGGGCGGTGTGCGCCATACCGGAATCCCTTTGCGTGACACGGACAACGCACAGATCTGGAGCCGTCGTCAGCCATCCCAGTAGAGACGTTGGGATCCATGGTGTGTGCTCTGCTCAGGTAACTGAGGAATGCCGCGCGTCAAGATGAGCGTCGCTGCAAGTTGTTTCATACCTGCATAGCTGCCTGCCTGTGTACCCTGTCAAGCTGGCGCACGCCGCACTTGCACCGTGCACACTCCGTTGGACGAGAGCGTCAAGAGGTGGGCAGCCGGCAACCGGTGGCCGGCAAGGCCGGTGGACGCAGGTTTTTCTGTGAAAACTGGACAAGATGCTACCCTTACCGCCTCTCAACGCCGGCGAGCGCCCATGGACGGGACAGGGATCCCTGTGCGCGGCCCAGCACCACCGAGGTCTCCTGCTCACCATCACCATCACCATCACCGTCGCCGTCGCCGCGGGTTGCAGGGATCTCTGTCCGAGACGCCTCCGCGGTCCCTGGGATCATGCCTGCGCGTTTTTACGCCACGGCACAGTTTGCGTGTACTGGTCAGTCGCGACCGTGCCGCGAAATCTGTGTCCCGGCGCCCGTGGCGCTGTTGGGTATGCTGGTATTGCCACGTCGCTAAACGCGTTGAACACTCTGAGACGATGGGGTACGGTGGGATGGAGAGAGGGGGAGAAGCATGAGTTTTGTGATGTGGCAGCAAGAAGCGGTACCTGGGAAGACTGTACCATCTTCATGTGCTTCTGGCCATGACTTCTCGCGTCATTGATACTGGCACAGGTTCCGCATGCAGCACCAAATCTCTGAAGCACGCCCACGGGGTCGCCACCACTGCACACGAGTCGCAGTACTGTGACATCGAGATATTGCGAGGCCTGTTTGTCTCGTGCGCTCTTTGGACGGCGGCATTCCAGCACACATGAAAGCGTGCTGCCAGACTGGGCAAAACAGTTCTACGTTCTACGCAGCGTGCGCCGGGAGTCGTTTCCGCGCCACAAATATGCCGCAGCATGCACCCACATGCCTCGCCAGGGGGTCAGTGCACTGCACCCAACTGGCCGACTGGCGGCGGCCGGTATCGATGTACACGGTGGAGACTCCATGGACCCTCTCCTCCCCGGCCGTGTGGTAACGTTCGGGGCGGCGTGCATACCCATGCGCGCGCCAAGCTGCCGATACACGCGGCCGCCACCACCGAGAGCTCGCGGCGCCACCAAAGGGGCCGTTGCTCCCTGTGGACGATGGGGGTCGTCGCTTCAAACTGCACCTGAGAGAGGGCGGATGGCGTTTTAGGTGGCACGGTGGTACGGTGAGCCGGGTGGGGTCCAGGACTCGAGATGCTTTATGTATGGGGGCATGGGTGCTCGTAAACAACCACAACCCCTCCATAGCCTCAACTTTCACGACCATCGCATCCACACACACAACACATACACATACACTGTCAACTACACCCAACTCTGCATAAAAGCACACGCACACACACACGGCACACACGACCACGGACTACGTGAGTTGACGCGACTGCTTTCGGGAGCGCCTGTCTTGCTTTCGGTGTCCCGGGTGTTTTCTGGGCCACCGTCCCGAGCGTACCCGCGACCGACGCAGGTCTCACAAACACGATTTCTGGGAATCCCGCGCTGACATTCTCAAGTGCTCAGACCGATCACATTACTTGAAGCCATCCCGCAACTTGGCTGCATATCTTTACGTCCACTTGCATATAAACGCCACACTGCCAACGCGACCTATTTCTTTTCCCCGCACATCGCAACCACAACAATGTCGACCCCCTGCACCCCCCCTCGCGTTCGTCCTGAGCCTTCCACCCCTTACGGCAAGCCTCACCTTGCTACCGCTCGCGAGCTCTTCCGTCGTAGTGAGTACCTCTCATCTTCATTGCATGGTCTTGGCTGACCCCATGTAGTGATCCAAGAGGACAACGGCTGCTCCAGCGCTGCCCCCATGCACTCGCCTCCCCTCACGCCCGGCATGAACACCGACCCTTTTGCTACTCCCAAGATCCAGCGCTCGTACACTCTTGGCCCCGCTGCCTCGATCCCCATTCCTGCCACTCCCGTGTTCAACCTTGCTCGCTGCAAGCTCGCTGGTGAAGTCAAGCCTACCCTGCCTTGCACTCCTCCACCTACCAACGAGCGCGTCATTCGCGTCCAGCGTTGCCCCACCACTCCAGTCAAGCTTGGCTCGCCTGTGCGCCTCGCCTCAGTGCCCATGACTCCTCCTAGCAGGCGCGTGCGTCTTGCCAACCCCCCTCCTCTGGTCCGCTCCAAGTCGACCTTCTGCACCCCCCTTTACCGTCCTATCCCTCCTCCTGTCTGCATGCTTGCCACTCCCACAACAAGGCCCGACAGCCGCGTCCTGCTCGACCGCATTGCCAAGCTTGAGCACATGGTCCTTGGTCTCCAGAGGCAAGTCGCCGAGCACAAGACTACCACCTCAAGGCGGCCTCGTAAGGCTGCCGTCAAGCCTCTGCAGAAGCGGAGGATGGGCCGCGTGCGTCTTGGCCAGGTCATGTAGGTTTTAGAGGATTCTCTTATTTTGGGTTGTAGGTCTGTACACTACTACTTAGCACCATGTATTGCTCTCTGTAATAATCACAAAAACTGGGTTGCAATTGCTTGGACTGACAGCGGGTTCACAACGAACAGCTTGCCCAGCCCACAACACAGCCAACATATGCCAGCGCGCTCCAGTGCACGCGACTGCTCTTCTTTCTGGTGAAACAAATCTTTTCGCCTGACAGCCCGCCTTCTGTTGCCCGCCCGCGGGCATGCCACAGATGCAGTGCCAACTGCGGCGTGTTCCACCTGGCCTGACCTGACCTGACATGGCCTGGCCTGACTCTGAACTCTCTCGGCGCCACACACCAGCCCAAACCGGACCGCCGTCGGTAGAACAGTAACTGGCCCTTGCCCACAGTACAAACGCCACACTGTGCCACATTTCTGTTGGCGGCTACTATGCATGCCAGCAGGCCTCCCCCCCGCCTCCCAGCGCCATGTCATGGCATGAGATCGGGTGGCCCAAGGCAGATCTGAGCACTATGTGGTGGCCTGCTGTCCTGTCGGATAGGACCAAACGAGCGACCTTCAATATCGTTCACCGTCACCCGGTCACCCGCGGAGAGATGTTCCAACGCCGTTTCCGAGGAACACTATGGATGCCGGCCGGCCCGGTGCTTCAGGCAACCGCTGTTCTCCGGTGTGCGTTTGGGGTTAAGGTCTCTGATCTCTGATCAGGTTGGCTGGTATCTTTCCATCTTGTTGTAGAACAGGGCAGGCACAGCAAAGCCTAATTGCATTAACCTAACCTGGCCCTCTTGCCCTCTTGCTACCAATCTGGAGGGCGGCATTCATTACCACGCATGTGAGTCATGTGAGCGCACTTGGCACACATCAAGTCCATGGGACACATTGCATTCACTATAAGGTGAGCGCTATCGAAGACCCGCAGTCGTGTGAGCGCACTGGTGCCAACGCCCGACTGGTCAGTGGCCAGTGGCGGCATGAAAGAATGAAGGTGCCTCCGTTGCATTCGAAGGTGAAAATGGAGGCGCGACGTGTCCTTCCTTATGTGCCTGCCTTGTTTCTCGAAGATCGCGACTGCCTTACATTAGCACATGCGCCTAGGATGACGCGGAGACGGAGAGACGTCGTCGATCGGGCGTCCTCGAAGGACGGAGGCGACAGCAATGCCGGCCGCGCGTCACCTCGGGCCCAAGAGAGAGTGCGCTCTCGATCAACCGCGACGCGGTTCTGGTGAAAGCGGAAGCCACATACGGTATATCTCGCGATTGTCCTCGCCGCTGGCCGCTGGACTGGCGTACTCCTTGCACATGTGCTATTGTCACTTTCGGTCCGCGGACAGCGGTCCCGTTCCGCGGTTGGTGTCTGTGTATAGCCCAATTGACTTTGGGTGGAGCAGCATGCAGCATGCGGTTATTGCGAAACCGTAGAGATTGAATTGTTTCGCTGCCGTGCCCTACCCTCGGTCCTAGGGCAATTCCAGTTAAACCTTGTCGCGCTCTCCGCCCATTCATTCCGCGGACGACACCCATATGCTTTGGCCCATAGGCCATAGGCCATAGATCCATAGACACGCTAATGCGAGCGCATTCCTCACTGATCACTGATCACTGTGCATACCCCAACTAGCGCGCTATGGGCACTGATGGCAGCAATTCAGGTGGGTCTCAGATGCGTAATGCGAACTGGACTCAGATCACATTACTGTACTTGGCTTCGCTAGAAGGAGTGTCACATGCTATCCACCAATTCAGCGCCTCGTCACATGCAATCTCCAGGCTGCGCACAATCTGAAGCAGGGTGGTGACCTCCATTTCCCCGGATCTGGCATTTCCATCCGATAATGCCAACTCTGCAACTTGACAACAGCAGCACCGGGCCCCGCCAGGCAGTGGCGATTCACCGCGCCGGGCCCAAGAGTGGTGCCGCGGATGAACTGTTCACCACGCGAGTCAAGTGGTCGTCGTAGAGGGCAACGTGCACAATACAAGACACATGACACACTGTCCCCCAGACACGGAGAATAGTTTGAGGGTGGTGTTTATGAGGCAGAAGGAGGTCGCATGATCGTCAGTTGGACAGGTGGGTAACTGAATGGATTTCGGGGTCCCACCACCGTGGTACGGTGGTGATTCGTTCAACTCTTCAGACACCGAGAGCCCAAGCTCACTGCACGTCCAATTGAGGAAGGGGACCAGGGGAGACACTGAGTATACTGTCCAACCACAGTTCCAGCCTTCACCCAGGCTGAAACGCCGGGGGATGGAAATGGCCTTTTCCACATCGGCCACATCCAGAACATCAGCACCCACGCGCCATGCCGACTTGGCGTGTGGGAGAGAGCTCCCAGCTCCCAGCTACAGAAGGGTTACGCGATTCGTGGCTATCAAACTATCAAAAGCACTGGCTTGTTTGGGATGTAGCCGTGACGACCCGCCGCTGAGGGCTCTGAGTTGTCCACTTGACCCCTTGGTGGATGTACTTTACGCGCCAGAGCTCGTGACTGTTATGCCGCAAGGCCAGTGGATTGGCTTACGACAGGGAAGCCAAGCAAGCCAATCGCACAGTCGACACCAGTCTGGAACGTACTGTAAGCTGGTAGACCTAGCGAAACCCGTGCCCATTTGCCACTCGCCACGTCATATTTCGTTGTTGCTGGGGCGAGCATCCTGAGCACCACCAGTAGGTGCGAGGAGCCGTGCGACGAGCCCCACAACTGCCCCTCCGGCCCCTCTGGAGCCTTGGGAGACTCCATAGGCAAAGGCCGGCATGACCATTGGCCTAAACACGTGATGTGCTCGGACCCAGCATTGTCTCGCCCCTTCGGCTCGTCACTTGAACCGACGTACCCTCCAATCCCGATCGCGACTGACTTTTCTTTTGCGGGACGGTTTCGTGCCGCTCGAACCCCGCACTGCCCTCCTTGTTGCCAAGTTGTTCACTGCGCTGTCCAGGGCCGTATATGCAAGTAACGCTCAGCCCACCCTCTGCCCCAGTCTGGAGTTTACTGCCCATGTGGTGCGAAACACATCTTCCCCACAGGTTCAGACTGAGCTCGGGTCAGGTTCTCGGAGAAGTCACGGGACAACCCCTCTGCAACGGACGAACGTTAGGGTGCCGTCTCCTCCGCAAGGGCAGAACGGTATGTACATCCCAAGAAGATCATGGTGGGCACAGTGCGAACGTATAGGTCGTTATGGGGGACTAGGTCGGAGGTAACAAGGTCATTGCAGCAAAGCCGGAAATCAAACGGAAGACGCTTGGTGTCGGATCTCAAGACTTGCGCACGCCGCTAAATGGTCGGACAAACGTCCTTTTGGCTGCTCAGAGAGTCCAGAGATGCAACCACGTCGTCGATACCAAAGCTACATACCACAGACCGCCGCTAGTTAATCCAGGACGTAATGATAACGCAGCTTCGATCGAGCAACCCCATGGTGTGTGGTCCGTGCTGTGCGGTGCTGCAAACGATATGAGCTCTAGACTCGCACTCACGGCGTCCGGCATACCCAAAGTATGGCTGAGGACCAAATGAAGCCATCCCGGCTAGCCATCAGAAGAGCAGGGTGGACCGGCACGCCAGCAATGACACGGACGCTCATACGATACTCGAAACAACCCGAACGGGTTACAGCGACATGGGCATGGCAGGGAGGCTGTCAACGTCGACCGAACCGTCCGGCACACTACTGCCTCTGTCCTCTGTACCGTTCGGAACTGCGGCAGGGAGGGAGAGACCTCGAGGCCGTTGAGGCACGCCGACAAGCTGCGGCGGGACCTGGAAATTCCGCCAAGGCCTGGAGACCTGAAAACTCGACCCACTGTCTTAACTGCACTCCTAACATCCCTACCTGCCTGAGATTCCTCTAAATCCTGAATCCTGGAACGTGACAATGGCTTGTTTGTGCAGTTTCCAGCAGCCAGCAAGGTCTGCGTCTGGTTGGTTCCAGTAGAACATGTTGTTGTTCCTTCATATGGCACAGTTTAGAGGCACATTCCGCACATCACTCAGGTAAATTGCTGTTCACCTCCAAGACGTGACATGCTTCCACCTGAGAACGGCAACCCTGTCTGTATATGTGCCGGAGGAGGATAACATAGATATGTACCGCACCCTGCTCACCACCGGCCCAAATGATCGTAAACGCATATGTCCATGGGTGCAGGGGCAGAGCCAGACCCTTTGTTTTGACCGCAGCACGAGTTGACTGGTGGCCAACCAATGAGTTGACTGGTGGCCAACCAATACACGCTGCCGTACTTCTGTGTCTGTTTATCCTCTTCTGAAACGGAACCTTGTCTGGAAGGTCGGTCTTGTAAGCCTCATGTCTCGGCCACAGCAAGGGGTTTGACACAAGGCGCATTACTCCGCGTCAGTCAGCCGTTTGTAAGTTTTTCTCCTCTGCGGTTACTGCCTGCTTTGTTTTCGGCCGCGGAGACATGGTCCTAACATGGATCCACATGCCCGCCATCTTTACTCCTGGGTGGTGTCTCATGTCTTGATCCATCATGTCGATGGCGAGAACGGTGGCGCAGCGGGAGACGAACACAGGTCACACCCTTTGGCACGCCAAAGAAAAAGAAAAGAAAAACGCAGGCGGTGCACCAAGAGAAAGCAGGCGCGAGCCCTCACCGGCGCCCGGTTCCACTAACGGGAGTGACAAATCCAGCCAAAGTACCCTATTCCAGCGTCCCAGCACCAACTGCAAAGCACTCCTCCTAAAACGGCGTTTAGGCTACCTCTCTTCCACCACTACCGCAATGCTATGTCGGCTGGAGACTTCCGTGTCGGAATTCCACTCTGGTACACTGTGGAACACTTGAGGTCACGTGACTCAAGGATGCAAGTTGCACCGTTCGCGCCTATATTGGCGTCTCCCTGCGAGCTGCGACGCCTAACAGTGGCACGCCTAAGTTTTGCTAATTGCGTCATGTTCATGTCATGAGGACATTATCCAATCGCTCATTTACGAGCAACTGCATATTATAATCGCTGAAACTAATGAAAATGTACTGTAACCTTGACAACTTGCACCTCCAGTGACTGCAACACTGGCCAGTGTCCACAAGCGTCCGTGTGTTCATGCGTGCTTGGCATCTCGACGGCCTGCACTGATGCCCACTCGGGCCGACCATCTGAGCCTGATGGATGAGCTGAAGGCCGTCAAGAGCACCAAGGCACCCGCCGGCCCGGCGCGGAGCGGCGGCCCTCCTCTCCGGACATTGACAGACTGTTCTTGAATGAAGCAGTCCTAGCGTTAGGCCACAAGAGGCAGAGCTGATGCTTCACCTCAAAAGGTGGCTCGAAGAGGGCCCCATGGAGGTCCCCGCCGTCCTCCACACTTAGCCGGCAATGATCCTACCGCACCTCTCCCTGTTGCTCACCACTGCCATTGGTACGGCACTGGCAGGTTCATCCAACTCTGGTAATGCTGCCCAGAGCGTTCTCAGTACCCTAGGCCCAGTTGTTGACTTGGGTTATACTGTAAGCCCGATTTGCTTGAACCTTCTAACCAGCAGACCGTCGTTGGCAACGCCTCGTCCAATTCCGTCAACTTCTTTGGCGGCATCCCGTACGTGAAACCTCCTCTTGGAGACCTCCGATGGCGCGCTCCTGTGCGTCTCGACGAGACTACCAAGAATGGAGCCAACAAGCCCGAACTCGATGCGCGCTGGTTCGGTCCGCTTTGCATCCAGCAGCCGGCTATCGTCGGCGTCGGTGATGAGGGTGAGTCAACCATGCCGAAGACGTGCGGTGCTCATTTTAGACTGTGTGACACTCAATGTCTGGGCTCCAGCTGGAGCGACTGCCAGCAGCAACCTCCCGGTCATCGTTTACATCCACGTGAGTGACCTAAGGGACCAGATGTCGGTAGCCAGTGTGTTGACCTTGTTCCAGGGTGGTGGCAACTACTACAACGTGAGCGAGGAAAGGCGCGCAAGGAAACTCACGACAGTCTGCTCAAGGATTCCCCATGGCCCACTGGGTAGAGGCCACTGGCGGGCAGCTCGTGGCTGTTAGCATTCAGTATCGAGTACGTCTCCTTGACGTTGACCTCTGCTGATACCAGCTCGGCCTCCTCGGCTTCCTTGCCTCGTCCAAGCTCATGGCCAACGGCGTGGCAAATGCCGGCCTCCTTGACCAGCGTGCAGCTCTCGAGTGGATTCAGCGTCACATTGGAGCATTTGGTGGTGACCCCAAGCACGTCACCATCTCTGGGGAATCGAGCGGCGGTGGCTCCGTGCTGAACCACCTCGTTTGGAAGGATGGCGGGGATTCGAGCCCTCCATTCAGCGCTGCAGTGAGCTACCAGTTTGTGAAGGTGGAAGCTGACGAGTAGATTCTTCAGAGTATTGGAAACGATCCATTTGGAACCGCCGACGTGTATGAGGTACGTCCCAGCATGAGCATATTGGTATTCACCGTCAGCAATGCTTCAACAATGTCACCACCTTTACTGGCTGCGACCGTTCCACGGACGTCATGGCCTGTCTTCGTAACACTCCGGCTCGAGTGCTCGTCCAGGCAGTTAGTAAGTTGCAGCTAAATAATGTACGGGTCACAAAGCTGATACGAACCACAGACCACCGTCCGCAGCCGCTCTGCAAGTATCTCCCCATTGTCGACGGCGTGAACATTCTCGACTTCCCGAGCGTCTCGCTCACTAAGGGACACTTCTCCAAGTGGGCACCTTTGACGACCGTAAGCTAACATCAGAATGCCTGTGCTTGCCGGACACGTCAACAACGAAGGTACGACCTTTGTCGGGTCGCCCACCTCGGTCACCAATACCGCCCAGCTCTACACGGCACTGACCTCCTCGCGCTTCAAGTGGCTGGTGAGGGATACTCTTTAAACGCAGCAGCTAACGACGTCGCAGTCCAACGCGACGTTCGAACGTGGTCTTGCCCTCTACAACCAAAGCGAATTCACCTCGTTCTACGACATGGCGCAGACGCTCACTGGCCAGACTGAGTTTTCTTGTTGGGACTGGTACCTTGCGAACCGCACAGCCGCTGCGGGTCAGCGCGCATACACTTACAGGTGAGTTGATCTCTGAAGTGACCAACTAAGTTCCCCTCTAGGTGGAATACTCCCGATCCCGTGCAACTGGCTGCAGCATCTTACAAGGGGGTTGTTCACACCTCGGACCTGTACTTCCTGTTCCAAGGCACCAAGTGAGTTGAGTGTCTGGCGTCCGGAACTGACAGTGCAGCTCCGGTGTATCCGCAAGCAACGCTCAGAGTCAGTCATTAGTCTAACCTGCATCACACATTCTGCAGCTGACCAACCTTCAAGACACATTCGTTCCCTTCAACTCCACCGAGTCGCTGCTGGCATCTGAAGCCGTCGCCTATTGGACTTCATTCGCTCGCTCGTACGACCCCACCGCTCACAAGCTTGCTACCTCGCCTGACTGGCCGGCCCTCAACGTTGCATCTGGAGGAGCACAACGCATGGTTCCTTGGCAAGGAGGGGCCAACGGTACGGCCTCTTACGTCGAGGAAATCCCCCAGGCTGAGATTGACCGTTGTCTTGTGAGTACCCAAGCTGTTCTGCAGCTGACAAGAAGTTCTGGATCAGTGCGGGCAATGAGACGCGCGTCTGAGGTAGGAAATGTTTGGCGAGGATCACGTGGTTGTGGTTGCTTTTACCCGTCCAGTGGGATGCAGAGAATGACTGGAAGCATGGCAGATAGTTGGCACAGATCTCGAGCACAGTGAGGGATGCTAATTAATCGCTTAAAATCAATTTATTCTCATGGCACAGAGTTCCGTTGTCTGAAGCAATAGTGCCCGTGCCCATACAATGTTAGCCTGGACTCCATGGAAGCAGTAATGTGAGTTTGATGACCCACACTGGCCACTGGCCACTGGGCCGCTGATGGCCGGGCCCGGTGCATTCACTGCACAATTTACCTCCGCTGTCCTGTGCTGCATCTGTTTGTCGTGCTTCGCGACACCTATTCTTCTTTCTCTCTGCGCAGTCTGGTGATGTTTGACAGTCAAGTGGCCGACACCAACAACAATACCAAACGACCCAAAGTCTGTACCATACCGCACATATGCACATACGGAAGCACGTACCATCGTGTTCATGTCAATGGAGCTTCATCTCAAGCAAACTACTGACAAGCCGATAGGAAGGGCTTACGATGTCAGGTCTGCCTACATGCATCAAACCCAAAATACAAAGTATTTGCCACGTCAACTGAGAACGGTAGTACAGCAGCATAGCTGTTAGTCGCGGTGTTTACCGCCGCAACGTTTGCATACCCCAGCGGATCAGTGTTTATCTCAAGGTGGACCGGATGTTTGACACGCGCTTGGATCACCTTAAAAGTATAGTGAACTGCCAGGCAAACCTCGCGCCCAGATCTAGCTGTCTCTCCTCCCAACTCCTACGCCGTTATGTCTCAAGTTGTTGGCAAGGCCGCTATAGTCATTCGCGGTCTCGAACGCGAGGCCGACCAGCTCGCAAGGCAGAGTGCCTACGACAACCTCGGCTTGCGTCCCCTTTCGGCTTGGGAGAGTGATCATCAGCCCACTCCTCGCCCATCATCACCCAACGGCGTAGCCAACTTTTACCACCCATTTGCCCATACTCGCAGTACCAGCAGCAACAAGTCCGAACCCTTCAGTCACGAGCAGGACAGCAGAAGCGACAAGGAGAACATTCGTCCGCCTTGTGGGACCGCGACCATCAGCCACACGCACGAACCATCATCCGTCTCAACCTCTACCAAGCCGGCCCATCAGATTGATGGCAGTGATGGATCCAGTGTCATTCTACCTATCCTCGTCAACCTCCCTACCCCTCTCCCCGACCTGCGCTTGGACGACAACCACTCTCACCAGCACCCCATTGCCCCTGCCTACGCCACCGAGAACGCCGTTCCTCGTGTGGCGCGTTCCCCGCCGGCTGTCTCCGCCCCACTTGCAGGACCCGACATGGACGTCGACTGTGACGACGGGCTCGCCTCGCTCTGGGACAGCGAAGACGAGAGCTATGACGCTGATCAGGACGAGGAGCTCAAGACGGTCACCATCCGTTGTATCGTCCCCAGTCCTTTGACCAGCGAGCAAATGTGGGAGATTATGGAAACTCCGCACATCACGTACGACGAGGCCTGCCATTTCAACACCACTTTCAGTCGCAACACCACTTCGTCCGCGTTCCGCCGTTTTGCCGTCACTTTCAAGGAGTGGAAACGTTTTAGTGGAGAGGACTGTCTCCGTCATCAAGTGCTCATTGGTCTCGGAAATTAGTAAGTCTATCAAGAATGGGGAGCAGAGTGCTGACTCCCCAGCATCAGCGTCCCTGCCACATACTGGTCTAACGGCCACCATTTTTGCGACTACGCCGAGCTCATCGCAAACACCGTCGCCCACGCGTCTGGGTGCCCGGCCAACGACGTATGGGAAAAGGTGATCATCCACACCTCGGCCCTCCGCGCCTACTTGTTTAAGAAGGGCGCCTTCGCGGGCTGGCTCCCTCTCGACTTCTGCATCCCCGCTTGGGAAGTCACTGTGGAGCGTCTCGAACAGGTGGTGCGCTTCCATGCCGACACGAACGCGACGTTTGGTGGTAAGTTGATGGACGTTGACGCGTTCTTCTACCCGGCTTGGGACTCGCGCAAGATCATGCATGTGAGTTGGGTGGATTAGCTTCATTCCCTTCTCCGATGGCTGACATTTTTCAGGCTGCAATGAAGAAGCGGGATGGCTGGAGGGGAGTAGGATACTGCGACTCTGAGAATGACTCTGACGCCGCGTCGCCAGAAACAGAGAGGGGCCACTTCTCGGTTGTTGTTTAGGCCCGTGGGCCACAAGGCACTGCTCTCTCTTCTGCCACCGTTCAGCCAAACATGCATACCGTTGCGCGTCTATCCCTTTCTTTATGCACTGATCCGAACAGGTCGCGTCCGAATGACACACCACAACACACAAGTGGCGGGACGTGTGGTGGAGGAGGGTATTTTGGGGTCCTTCCTTCAACAGCACGGGCCACTGTGGCACTGTGGTTGGGATCAGTTGTCTGTTCCACTGGCTCCTGGCGCCTCCACAATCAGTATCCAAATAGATTATGCCCAACTAGCTCTCTACAACCCAGTCTTCACGTGCGAGACGTCTTCGGTATCACTTTCGGGTCCTTTCCACCACTTGTTTCACAGCTGCGAACCACCCCTCCTCAAGAACAATGGCCCAACGCAGCACCGCTTCATCGCCTCTCCATTCTCCTACCGCCATTCGTTCTGCGGACGGTGTACTGGCGGACAATCCCGCCATTCCCAACCCGTGCCACTGCACTATTTCTTGGGAGGTCGCCTCTGAAAAGGTAGTCGCTCTCGGCACGACGGACTCGGATCTGGAGTATCCCTACGGTGCCCTCTTTGGTAGCCGCTTTGAGGAGGTGTCTGAGGACTACTTCTCGGGCCATCCGAGGCGTAGCACCGAGGAGCTCGTATGCCAGGCCCTTTGTGGGTGCCAGAAGAGGTGAGTGATGTACCCTTGCACAGCGCTAATTGTTCTCAGCCTCTCCATTCCTGCAATCTTCTGGTCGTCGAGGAAGTAGATCAAAGCGGCCTGGCGGATTTCTGAATTGTGCCCTTTCGGCGACTTGTCAGCCAGCCTCGCGATCGTCCTTGTCCAAACAGCCAAGCTTCGTGCCCATATGTGGTGCACCAAAGGCGCCTTTGTGGGCCACCTCAGCTTCATGACAGGCATGAACCGCTTCCAGTACCACAGCTATGACCAAGTCGTCAGGCTCAACCGCTGCTACCAGCACTGGGTCTCTTGCAGATTTCCCGACATGCACCCCTCGGCCACGCTTTTCTACCCAGCCGCAGCAGACGAGGTTCTCTACGTGAGTCCCATGCAAGGCTGCCCGGTCGTACCTTTCCTGACTGCCCCCGATAGCTCCTCAACAGCCATGCCTCCGTCCTCCCGCACCAGGAAGCTCACCTCTCGGACGATGGATATGCTTCAGACTCCAGCAGTGAGGGGCCGGGGACTCCGACTCGCCTGACGGTGGTCCGTGGTGGTAGCAATCTGATTGTGGAGAGCATTGAGAATGCTGAAGAGTTCATCCAGGATGAGGAGGAGGAGCTCGCGCTGGACACTCTTGTGTAACGCACTGAGCCACTGCCCACGGTTGTCCTGTTGGGACCATCTGTTGTTTGGTTTGAATGCATTCTTAGATAGATGTCCTCCGCCGATCAGACACTTGGAGGGCTCGTGGATTTTAAGGGAGGATGCTATGCATGTGTCTGATACAGGAAATCTATCGATGGTGGGTCGCTATGCATACAATGATGGGTGGGTGCTGTGCCCCGACCAGCGGGGTGATGGCAGTGCTTGTGCAATGTCTTGGATGTCTAGTTGAGTGCGCGCCTGCGCTGGGAGACCCGATGATCTGATGATCATTCGTGCTCGATGGTGGCAATTGACGTTTGGTGTGGGTAGGATGGATGGCATGGATGGGATGGTGAGAAGCCGGTTCCCCCTTGCATTTGGTGTGATTGAAGAGGCCTCGAGGCGCAGACCAAAGGCAGCGAGCAGTGTGGATCTACTGGCCCTGGAGTGTCATCTCCTTCAGACGAGTGCCGGCCATTGTTCGTGGCATTGGCGAGGGAGAAGAGGGTGCTGACAAGGGGGTACCGGGAAGGAGGGGTGCACCCAGGCCGAACTTCGGCTGGGCGTTGGGTGGAGTCATCATCACGCTCGAAGTCGGTGAGGGCTTGAGCGCGATGGGAGGCTGGAGCGCAAATGCAACGCGAGGACGAGGGAGGTGGAAGGCCTCGACGTCGTCTGACGAGTTGGTGGCATGCATCTCTGGGCTCCTGGGTGGAGTAGCCGGCGGCGAAAGTGGACGAATGTGGAAAGGCACGTTGGTGACTTGGAATGCTGACGGCATTAGACTTTTTCGGTTCTCGGCATTGTTTTTCTGTAAGACTCACACTTCTGGAAGGCAGCCTGTGCGCGCTTCATGGCCTCGGGGCTCAGTCGCGAGTTGCTTGTACGCGATTTAGGAGCACACGGCTCCTGGAGAGGAGAGTGAGGTGGTGTACGGGGGGACGCCATTGTTGTGGTTGGCCAAGTTGAGCTCAGAGTGTGGAGTGGGAGTGGGGGGTCGCGTCGTATAACGCTAAGAGAGGCTCTTTTTGTTGACACTTGTGGGGGGTCGATGGGGGGTCGATGGAGTGTGGGGTAGTCGAAGACGTCTCGGGGGTTGTCCTTTTTATTGTTGTCGAGGTGGGTGATGAATTTGTTCTGGTTCTGAGAAGCTGCAGCGTTTCAGACTTGCCAGAAATCCTTGAATGGAGAACGCCTGCTTCACCTCATCTGCTCCACCTGCTTAGCGGCGGCGGTGGTGTACCGCGCGCTCTGCCTCCACGGCCGAACAAAAAAACTGTCGACGTGGTGGTACAGTCTCGGAGCGGACGCCTCACCCAGAGCCTCGCGGCAGATGGGCTCTCGTGGCTTGAGCAGCTTGCAGCGTGCGGCTTCGCAGCCGCGGGAGACGGGATAACTGGGGTACAACAGGCGCGGCAACAGCACACAGAGTTACGCGTTTAAGCATCTCGGTCTCCATCCCGCAGAGCCGAAGCTCTGTCTGAATACAATATGCAGGGAGAAGGGACGCGACTGACCTCTTTGCCCTTGTTCAAGGAATTCCAGGATTCCGGCAGGGCTGATGCATCGCTCCACGGCCCTGCTGGTCGAGGGGGCAATAGAGAGGGGGAGAAGCGGTTCAACTCACAGCGTCCCGCAGCCCCGCGGGTGTTCTGGGGGACATATGCAAACGGCTGCCGCCGGCCGTGCCCACTGGGCCACTGACGTCCACCGGCCACCGGATTCACGGGAACGGGAACTGGACTGCGTTGAAGAGTCGACTTTGACTGCGTTTCCGGCAGCCGGCGCGTCAGATTCGGCTTAATAACAACGGACCGACGTCACCATCATTTACTGAATTGAACGGTGGTCTTCGTTAAAAACTTTATATCGCCACAATGCAATCTAGCCGATGCAGCGTACTGTACAGTAAGGAGGTGCGCAGCTTTCTCTTTCTCTCTGTGTTTTTACAAGCGTGACGCGTGGGTTCCGACATTGCAAGTGCAGTTCAGCTTGTACTGTCGGCGCGTCGAGACAGGGTGAATAAACGCGAACGGAACGCCATCAGGCGTCCACGCGACTTAGGGGGGAGCGCGTCGGTGGCGTAGTGCCTCTGAAAAGTTGGCACGGCCGTTGCGCCTGAGTAATGCTCGAGAGGTCCGAGAACCTTTATTCGAGACGGGACCTGCTGCCATGGCTCTGCGGGCACTGGAATACGATGGGTCGTTTGCCAGCACGTGGAGACAGGGTGGGGAGATGGGTCAATGCCGCGGACCACGACAGTCGATGAATGAGTGCCCAAACGACCCGGTTCTCCAGGAACCGCCCAAGGGAACGGAAAATAGGGATATGCAACACCCCGAAAACCTCGTGGACTAGGCCTTTTGGCCTTTTGCTGGAAGCTCTCTACTTGCGCGTAGATCCGTTACGATCCACATGCCAGAGATCCAGAGACTAGAGACTGTCGGCGGCCACTTGCCGGCAGCGGCATGTTCTACCGGATGAGACGGACGGTCTTCAGCATGGCCAGACGGCGGCCAGCCCAGTTATAGTTACGAAACGGCAGTTTGTCCGAACCCCACCTTGCGCCGTCACTCGTTCCGTTTTAGCAGCGCCTCCCAATGGGTCACTGATCACTGAATTGTGCGAGCCAGTGCTGAATACTAGTGACACATCTTGTACACGCAGTGGTCTTCTGGATGTAAACGGTAGGGAAGCCACTCGGTCTTGGGGTGCAGACTGCCACCCTAGCAGGGCCGCTGCTAGGGCTCAGCGACGTCTCATATTGGGGGTTCATTTGTTCATCTCATTCGTTCTCATATTGACGTTCAAGCCAAGGACCCAAAGTGAAATGAACCTAGCTCTTATGTGCTCGTGCACTCAATAGAGTTGGCAATATGAATACGCAGTAGCGTCCATAACGAGAACGGCGATGACGACCCTTGAGCACCCAAGTGTTAGTACTTACAAGTGTGGGTGAGGGGCCAATCAACAAAGTCACTCAAAGCCACGCCAGAAGGCTCGTAACTGAAAACCCCTACACTCTTCTAGAATTCTAGACCTCACCTAGGGTTCTCGATGTCGTACCTCATGGCTCGTAGCTGCTGCGTACCTACTAACTCACCGGTGTGCACCACTGTTGAATTCACTGCGCTAGTGCAGGAAGAACCTCAACGCCGCGGCCCGGCTGGCTTCATGTAACAACTGATTCGTTACACCCGCGGCCACATTGCATTCAGTGTCTCGCAACTGTCTGTGGTCTGTCACCAGCTTGGTTTACAGTCAGTCACCAGCTTTCGTCCCACTTGCATGGTCGTGTGCACTTCTCAGCCTCCACGTCACCTTCGCCTGTCGTTCAACTCACCAGGGGAATAATGAACACGTCAGTGCCCCCACATCACACAGCAAAGCAGCGAATGAAGGTCCTCTAACTAGCCCTAGTGCATGACACTGAACACTGACATACTATACCCTGTTACGCCCTATCTGTGGTCAGAAGGGGCGTGTAAGATATCTTTCTCCTCGTAATTCAGAATTGACCAGTCACAGGCAACGACGGCGAACGAACGCCTACCCCAACTCACAGCTGTTGTTCTTGCAGACGCCCCGACTGTGGAGCACAATCCGTTCCCCTATGATTCACTCACGGTGCGCCGCAACGGTGACGTCTGGATGACGCTGTGAAGCCACTGCACCCATTTACCCATTATGTACCCTCCGTAGGCAATGGCCGACTGAACGTCAGTGTCGGCCTATGGAAGCAAGCTATAACCCACGACCTGTTCCAGCACACACCTTCACTCATCTTTGTGACACGGCTCACCATGTCCTCTCGCCGCCGTGGATTGACTCCCACCCCCGCGAGCTCATCCCCGCAGACCAACAAGCGCCGTTCTCCCACTCCGACTCCCACCTCAAGCCTGCCAAAGTCGCCGCGCACCGGACGCGCTTCCGCCGGCCTCATGAACTCGAGTTTCGGATTTGCGCTCGACACCGCCCACCAAGGGGGAAGTCTCTACTCGTACGTCTCGTTGGCGACGATAAGTGGCTGACAACAGCGATGGGCAGTTGTGTGAGCGCTGTGCGACTTTGGGGGTCGAGTGCGCCACCCGTGCGTTCCTCCCCGATGGGGAGGGTGCGTGGCGTCACCCAGGCTGCGAGTCGTGCAAGAAATCAATGATGAGTTGCTCGAGGGCCGGCAAGACGTTCCACGAGTTTTCAATTTCGGCATTGGCACTTGGACAGTCTGAGGCGACCAACTCGGCCGCCACGGTCCTCCAGGCCATCATCGAGGCGGGAGACGGATCCAACGGGACTGCCACCTCGGAGCAGATTGTCGAGGAGCTCACGGGCACGTTGCTTTCCGACAAGGGCAAGCACGACACCGACAAAGGCGCTGCAGCGTGAGTCTCAAGTCATCAAACCGGAGTTTCACTGACGTCATTAGCGGACAGCACCGCCCGAAGAAGGCCCGCATCACCAAGGATGGCGGGGAGGATGCCGGCGAGGCCGTCGTCAGTATCAGTGCTGGTGACGTTGCCGGTGCCAGCAAGACCGTCGTTGAGACCACCACCACTGCCATCGACGCCCCACAGTCCAAGCACTCTGTGATGACGAGCTTTTTCCCGTCAACCAACCTCGTGTCCCCCTTGTCGCAGCTCCCCCTCATTTCCACTCCTCCTCGCTCCATCACTCCCGCGCCCACCCCAGGGTTTGGTTCAGCAATGCTGTCGCACGGACCCCTCCGCATCCTCACCCCGCACCCAACGCCGACACGCACCACTGAGACCAAGGTTGAGACCAAGACCATCGAAGTGGGACCTGTGGACCTCGCCCCGATCCACCCCTTCCTCCGCATCCTGGACCTCAAGGCTGTTACCGCCGAGATACAGGTCGTGGACCAAAAGCTCCAGGCGCTCTCGGTCCAAGCCACAGCCCTGACGGCTCGCCGCGCAGAGCTTATTGCTCGCGCCGAAGAACTCAGTGCGGAGGCCCACGCCATGCAAGAGCAGATCTCCACTGAGACAGGATCAGTCATGGCAGAGTACCGTGCCGTGGCCCAGACTGTTATGGAGCTCGTGCCCCGTGTCTCCACCGTCCATGTGGCCCACCGCACGACGAGCCTCCAGACCTCTGTCGCGTCCCAGAGTATGCCGTCGTTAATGCCATCACACAGCAACTCTCTGCAGTAGATACACAGTTTTCACTGATTTGCCCATACATGCTGTTTGATAGACCTGTGTACGTACTTGCTATGAAGAACCGGACCTGTACAGAGTGTGGGCGGAGGAAATGCTCGCGTGTTTATCTCCTTGATCGCGGGGACCGTGCACAGTCACAAAGGCTTGGCACAACAGAACTGCCACTCGCCGGACGTCAGACGCGTTCATGCCAGGAGGTTATCGAGTGCAGTGGGAATGGAACGTGCCAAACGTCGCGAGTGGCGCAGTTGCAAGGTGCAAGGTACGAAGAGCATCCCGCCTTCCCTCTGTTTGATGTGATTTCCAGCATTCTGCTAGAGCGGCATCAGACACTGATGACGGTGACGGAATACACGGGTCATCAACGGAGTGTGGCGGTGACCATCAGAGGCTGGTCGCTGCGGACACCGAAGCGGCAGTACCACCTGCGTAAGAGAGGTGGTCTCCCTCCCCCCCCCTCCTCGCTGACAGCAATTCCAACACAAGCACTCTCTCTCCACCAACCTCATAGCATTTGCTTGGACGTACACCATGATACAGCAGCTCCACCCTCCCCATAGAGCACACCTCAGCAACCCCCGTGCTAGGCTACCCGGTCCATCAGTATATCAAATCCAGTGTGAGCTCCGCATACCCCTAACATGATGGGAACATAGCTGATGGCCAAGTGGCTACCCCGTCCAGGCCTGATGGCGTGCTTCTCACCATTGCGGATGTGGACAACGAGGACGAATCATTTGACAAGTCGTTTGACTCATACTATGCCAACGCCCAGCACAGTGCCGACACGTCTGTAAACGGCGAGACCTCGCCCGCTCCCAATGCCAACAGGGATGTGGACTGGAGAACCGACAGTGATGACGAGGACCCCTTCCACTTTGACAAGATGGACGTTCTCAATGACCCCGACATCTATCCTGACTTCTTCGCCTCCTCTAGGAGCGGCCCAGCGCCGATGTATTCCACCCCCCATCCATCTTCGGAAGTCTTGCCTCGTAGCCCCTCTACCACATCACTCAGCAACGAAGAAACAGGCCTTTTGCCGCCCCCCGCGGAAACGACCAGCAACAAGCCTCCGTCACCTGACGTTCCTTCGGACGCTTGGAATCCCAACGACGATGCGGATGTCCTCCTCAGTCCAGGTCCACGCAATAAGACTCGCCTCCTCTCTTCCAACAGCGCCAAGAACGCCATCCTCCCTATCAGTATCCACTTTTCTGTCGACACCGACTCTGGCCCCCCCAGCGGTTCCACCGACCAATCCGACAGCTCGGCGATTTCATCCATTGCTCTCGTCACCCCGACTACTCCAACTGCACACGCAGCCGACGACGATGCATCAGGTGAACTGAGCGACGAAGAAGAGGAGGAAGAAGAACCCCGTACCCCAGTCATTCTCTCTCCTGCCGCCGCGGCCTATGTCCCCCAAGGTCAGATCCTTCTCCGTCGTCTTTCCACAAAGTTCAGCTGCCATCGTTTTGGCGGGCGCACCGCCGAACAAACGTACGCTCTCATCGAGGTGGCTTGTGAGGCTCGGCTCCGCCTGGGCTTGAACGACAAGCGTTGGCTTCCCGACCCCAAGACTCAACCACCTCGTTCACCCCGCCCCTCGGACCAGCTTTTAGAGGACACCCACCAGCTCATGAAATGGATCGAGGTCAACCACCCGCCCTCGTATACGCCACACGTCAACTACCGTTCGCCCATCGAGCCAGTCGCAGCTGAGCGCCGTCACGGTGTAGTATTTACCGCTTGCCGGTACGACATGCCACCGCCCAACGAGATGGTGCAGACTGAAACGGAGGAAATACTCACCGAGGAGGTCGCCACGGATTTGCAGGGGGATGCGGCGACACAGAATGAGAGGGGAACGGGGTGGTTTAATAGCATCAAGAACAAGCTCAAGAAGAAGCGTTCGCGCGCAGACAACTTGTTCGGAGCTGCGTAGGAGATCTAAGGCTGTGCCATGCACAAAAGAATGCAGTAATGATAACGAGTTGGCTTGTCCATTGTCTTCTCCGCAGGTGGAGCACCACCCCCTGTGTGGCAGTGCTGTCAGAACAGCCCCCGCTTTTCGGGTTGTTTTCTGGCATTTTTGGCAACGTCGTTCAAATACAAGTCAACCCGTCATCAAAACGTACTGATCCTTGAGATTTACTGAGTATCAACACCACCGTATGTAAGAGTAAACACGTCGCCGCGACGCGTATGTGTTGAATCAATGAGGGTCGCCAGTAAGGTTTGTGGCGGTGGAATGGAGCCGAGTCGAGGAACTGAAACCGTCCGCCATCCCTCAGGCCCTACCGAAATAAACAACTTCTGCACGGCCCTTCACCCTTGCGTGCACCTCGCACTTGAGTGACCTCTGGAGTTGTGCTGTGCATCGAGTACCAGTCCTCGGTGGTCAGGACCACGTTCGGCGCTCTTGGTTCGTCGCAACGTTACAATCCTTCCTGACCATGGTGTCATTCTGAGTCTCTACTGCTCTATGTACCTAGATGACGGTTCAAAGTGAGCAGACGTTGACAGCATTTGCGCCGCGACTTCACTGCTGGCGTAATTTATGCACCGTGTTTACCTCAGATCAGTTCTCACGCCGAGGTTTAGGGTCGGCTTGGCAGAGAGGACAGTGCGCCGACATCCGTTCGGACTGCGAGTCGGTGGCCCTTGGGCCGTCTCCTCTGATGTGGCAGTGTGTATCCCACTACAGTTTCCTTCCCTGGGTCACTCGAGTAAACACGCAGGTAAAATATGTTCAGTACCCATCAGCGTTGCATGCCCCAGCTTCTTCCAGAGTTGGGTATATATGAACGAACTTTCCATCCCCCACCTGTCTTTCTGCTTCTTCTCAACATCCCCTCCTCCCCCCATCCTCTCATTGCTGTCCGCCAACACTATCCCAGACACACATCCCTCCCATTACATACCACTCTCCTTCCTTCCGTACCTCTTGTTATTACTTCCGTCCACTCTCTTTGTTATCATTTCCCCATCACCCCTCCGTTTCTCATCACCCACCCATATCCTTTGTTCCCCTTTTTGTAAAATGTCCGTACTATCCCCTCCCCCCTCTACCGTGACCCCTCCTCCGAGTTCAACTTGCGAAAGCTTTGACTTCAATACTGGCTATCTTGCTCCTCCTGTTATCTCCTCTCTCAACCTCTCCGCTATCTCGGACACCAGCTCTGATGGCGGTCCTCCGACTCCTCATGCTTCAATCACCAAATCACCGACCCCTTCCAACTCTCCTCGCAAGGTCCGCCCTCTCACTGCTTTCAACGACAATGTGCACCTTATCTCGGGTGACATTCCTTCCCAAGTCTGTGATCTTTTCGCCAACGCCACACCCATGCCTCCTCTCCCCCTCTTATCGACTCCTACCTCGGATGGTGTCGCAACTTCTCCCAGGCTCAGCCCGCCGCAGTACGCTTCCACCTGCTCTGATATCCTCAAATATGGCTTCAGTTACATTGTCAATCATCTCGCCCTTGAGGAGTTTGCCGAAAAGGACAACGCCTGCGGTACTGCATTCAAGGAGATCTTCACCCTGTACTCCCGGTCGATGGGTCACCTCAACGCCGACGAAGCTCTGAAGGCCGCAACACTTTACGGTTTTGGTCCTAGGTGAGTTCATTTTTGAACATTTTTTCCCCCGATTTCGCCTTGCACCTGTTCTAGTCTCAGCTGACACAATTTGCAGTACTACTGTTCCCGCGCTCTTCTGGAGCGACCTTCCTCGCTTTGACATTGCTGTCAACAACCTTGCGCTCATGCATGAGAATCCGACAAATGCATTCATCGAAAACATCCGCGAAAACACATCCGACCTGCGCAACAAGCTCCACCGCCTCGGCGCCTTTGTTGGCTGGCTTCCCATCCGCATCGGCGACAACATCGAAGAGCGTGACAGTCGTGAATTCCGCGACCGTTACCTCGCCAAATGGTCGGACATTGTCGACTCCAAAACGGCGTTTTTCTTCTCCGACTGGAGCTCCGAGTGGCTTGTCGACGAAATGGTGAGCAGTTCCGCGGCCGTTGTTTGGCCGAGCTCCCGCTGACATTTCAGGCCATGCCGTACTCCATCCCCCAGACCTCCCTCAACAAGCCTCTCGCTGATGCGCTTGAGCCACTTGGAGACCTGCACTCGTTCACAGCCGAGATGGACAGTCGCGACGTGTTCGGCAGCGCCACTGTACCTTCCCTCGACAGTTCGTTTGGTTCCACCATCGTCCGCCGTCGTGACCCCATTCCGTCCTTCGACGAACCCCAGCTGCCAGTGTCATTTATTGCACCTCTTAACACTGGCAAGAAGCTAGTGGCGAAGAAGAAGGGCTTTCCCTCGGCTCCATACCCCTCCCCGCCCACTTCAGACGCCCACAAGCTCCGCCATTCGGTCAGCACCCAGCTCCACACGTCACCCACGCCACTCACTGTGCAGAAGCCCAACATGGGACTCGCAATGGCCGACATGCCCTTGGACGACTCAAATGGCATCCGGACGGCTTCCACCTTGGGTCCCTCTGCCAAGCTCGGGCTCGTCGACTATCTGGGACACGTTGTGCAGAAGCGGACTCCGAGCCCCGTGAAGCAGGGTACTATCGGTCGCAACGCCTCGACCCGGTCCGACATTCGCTTCCGCATCGATGATGACGAAAAGATCGTCGAAACCCTCCAACCCCAGTCGTGGCGCAACGCTCCCGGCGTTACCACCAAGTGGCCCCCCACCATGTCCCACGCCAAGTGCATGTCTGGCCTGAGGCACAAGGAATCGTTCCGCGACCTCGGCGAGCTTGGTGCCACCACCGTCAGCCATGGCAAGGACTACTGGGCAAGCTCGCTGGGACGGTCAAAGTTCCCCTTTGCCAACGACCCAGTGGAGCGCCGTTCCATGACCATGGCAAACTCGAGGCGCAGCTCCAGCTCCCGCGGACCCATTCCCACGTTTACCGCCCAGGAAGCGCATGCCACCGACCTGCCCACCGCTACCACCCGTACCCTGTCCACTCGTTTCTCAACCACCAACCTCCACGCCCCAGACTCCACGGCCACCATGCGTCTCGGAACTCCGTCGACACCCACCACCCGGCCCCGCCCTCTTCGCACTAGCAAGAGCATAAACGTCCTCGACGCCAGCAAGTATCTCCGCCAGCCCAAGGTCGAGCCCCAGTCGGACTCGGAGGAGGGATGTCTCACCGGCAACGAGGCCGACGACGAGGAGATGGCTCGCCCCTCGAACCCAACGCCCAGGGCATCTCGTCGCAGGATCAACACCGACAAGCGTTGGGAGGAGGGGGAGAAGTTGGACTCGGTCAAGAGGCTCACCAAGAAGAGGAGCAAGTGGACGCTTCCTGAGGGCTACCCCGCCATGCCCAAGCCTACTTTCCTTTTCTCTGGCTCCGAGGTCAAGTGAGCTCTCCCCACACTCCCTCCGACTCGTCAACTCGTCAACGGCACTTCGATTTCGCTACCGTCTCTGGCCTTTGGTCTCCACCTCACCCACCCCACCCCACCCACAACCTGCTTGGTGAGCGCTGGCGCCACCTCGTACCCATCCACCGTCCACCCGTTGCCTGCTTCCAGTATCGTTTGATTGACACTAATTGATTTTGTTTTGTCCGCGTTTCTTGTGAATACTTTTGTCGTTGTCTCCAGTCAAGTCATGCATTCCCTGTTCCCTTCATTACGGTTCCATTCTTTTCTTGCATGTGTAAACCCCGTTAGATACAACAAGTATGGTCGAGGAAACGTGTTGAAAGAGTGGCCATGTGGAAGGCAGCGCAGTGCATTTGACCCACCGTCGGTGGAGTGAGGCGCGGATTCTGATGTGTTGTGGCTCGCTTCCTCATACCTCCGACCACCTCAAATCTCATTCATCAACATCCACAACCCTCCAGGAGGGCAACAATTCTTAACTGCGCTCCACAGACCATCTCCATTACCTTGTAAACATGCATAGCTATCAACATGCATAGCTACAGCGCGTCTTCGAACAGCCAGGCCTAGTAACGTACTCGGCGAGATGGCCGAGCGGTCTAAGGCGCTGTGTTAAGGTTGTTCCACTCCTCTTCTCGATCTCTTGAAGAGAATGTCAATCCGCAGTCTTCGGACGTGGGTTCGAATCCCACTCTCGTCAGAAGGGGCTTCATTGCCTCCCAAGCCAAGCTTTTTGGATGTCTGGGAGCCCAGGAGGATTGCAGGACGGCGTGGGAACGTGCAGAGTTGAGAAGAAGACTTGGGAGGCATGTTGGGCGTACTCCCACCGACCTCCTGTTGCCGTCTCTTGGGTTGAACTTCGCTCACTTTGACCCTAGGGGCCACCAAGTCGCCCAACCCTCTCACAGGCATGACTGACAAGTTTTGAACTACAAAGCAGTGGTGGAAGACAAATGGGCGGTTGGCTGTGGCTGGAGTTGGGGAAGGTCAGAGAGTCAGACCCCTTGACCTACTGGAGGAAGCAACACAGCGAAATAAGTGCTCCCTTTATGCCACATGTCTGCGTGGGGTACAGGACACCCCCACAGTTTCCACCAGGGTCTCTCTGTTCATCTTTAGCTCCACCTCCCCCCCCATGGCATCCTCTTTTCACGCTCAAGAGGTCAACATCAAGGATCCCCTTAGCGCAGTTGGTTAGCGCGCTCCCTTCACACCCACACCCACCTCAGGATGTCCGGTTGCTACGGGAGAGGCCGCCAGTTCGACTCTGGCAGGGGATAGCACGAGCAGCTCGACAGAGCCGATCTGGCACCCACTTCTCGGGGATGTCGTCTAACGGCAGGACATGAACGGCACGCAAGTGGCGTTGAAGAACGGTGTTCGACTCACCGCGTCTCCATTTTTGACTCCTGCAACTGTTTTAGGGTGTACAAGAGCTTCTTAGGTCTTATGGAAGGTTTAGAGGATGTGAGAGGATCGTGTTGGGGACGATTGGTCGTTGCGGCAAGGACGAGGAGGTGTTGATATTAAATCCGCACATTTTCGGGCCATTTCCCCCCCTAGTTTATGTCCCTCACTGCTGTATGCCCATACGAGGTGGTAAGAACTACATGGCAGTCCATTAGATATACCGCGATTAATAATCCAAGGCATTTCGGACCTGTAGCAAAGCAATGACACTGATGACTGGAGGACGAGACGATCGGCCTTTGGCGGCTCGGGAGGATTATCGTGCCACATTCATTCTGCTTCCATGTTTGTGTCCCCATCCTCAAACGATCTGCACGCACACCGACCCCTTCAGAGAGCGCACGCGTCTCCTCACTCTATCTTCTACCACCATCCTCCTTATATCTCAAAGCGGCTCTTGCGAGACCACCTTCACGCACCATGGTCTCGCCTCCACCGCACCTTCCCCAGTGGGCGGGGTCAGTACCACAGACGCCACCTCGCCGGGTCTCCCGCCACTATCACTCGCAGGAAGGGTGGTACACCACGACAAAGGATTATGCGTACGGCGACACCACTCTTTGCGACAAGGATACACACTATGATGACGAGTACCATGAGGAGGTGCACAGCGCGGACGACAGCGACTACGAAGACCACGAGCTGTTCCACGCTGCCGAGGGCGCTCCAAGCAGCCACGCCCCAGAAAACCACCCCTATCACGAACTCAACAACGCGTTTGTCCTTGGCGCCTCCAGTGACGAGGCAGACAAGGATAACGGTGTCCCGTTCTTGGACTCCGATGAGATGGCTGAGCACTTCTACGCGTGGGTGATGGGCAGAAAATCAGACTCTAACCCAGCAGTGAGCGTTCGCCACCCAAACTCGCCTCGCTTTCGAGCCACCCCAGTGATGGTCCACACGACTACAATCAAGACGCCTATGACGGCTATTCCCACGATACCCACCTCTACCCCCACGTCTCTACTCCCAGCTTCCACCCCTCAGCTAGTGGATCGGCCTCGGGATTCACCCCTGCCCAAGCGGAAGTGCTGAGCTCGTTCGATCCACTCGCGCATGACGGCCGGATTGACGGCTACGTCGATATCTGGCGCACGCAGACTGCTCCGGGTCTCCCTGCCATTCCACCCCAGTCCCATCCTGTTATAGCAATCCACCACGCAACTGGCAGCGGCCCCTCCAATGTCCACCGCGTGACGCTCACGTCGGACCCGCTGAGCTACGTCGCCGACTCAGTGTCATCTCCTGCGCACCAGCCACCACGTTGGCAGGGGTTCAGCACTACGCCGCACACGTCTCCTCCCCAGTCTCATCTCACGAGCGACACCCACTCGGGCAGCGATGAAGAAGAGGACCGCAACTCCAACCCCTTCCACGTCAACATCCCGCCAACCGAGGCAGAGGCATCCCAAACCCTACTGTCTCTCATGCATGAGCTGCGCCGCGCACACCGCGGCCCCGACATGGGTCCACCGCGTACCCCGCCTGCGTACATGACAACCTCGGATGACTACTCAGACTCGTTCGAGGCAGAGGTGAGAACTCTCGAGCCAATCCGGGTCACTGAGACTGACACCATCTAGGTGGTGACCCCGGACACGCCGTGTCCCCACCGCACGCCAGCGGGCATGCTCTGGAGCAGTCCCAAACACAACGAGAGCCCCGGCTTGTCCTCGGACCTTCTCGTTCTCAACCTCCAGCGCACAACATCCAACTCCAGAACCAAGACCTCCACCGAGACCAAACGCCTCCAGTCTCTCCTCATGGCCAAACAACGCGACCTCGAACTCGCATACGCATCCATCTCGAGACAGGAACGTGAGCTCGCCGACCAGCACCACACCCTCGCCGTTGCCCACCAGGCCTTTGAGGCCGGTAAGCGTGTGATCAAGGACAAGAATGACCGCATGGTGGAACTGGAGAAGAAGAATGAGGCTTTGAAGCGGAAGTGTGAGAACAGGGACAAGACGGTTGACACTCTTGAGGCGATTGTCAGTGTCTTGGAGGAGACGAACGAGGACCAGAAGCAGACTATCAAGAGTTTGGAGCAGGCGTTAAGTGCGAGGCTTGCTGTGGGTGGGAGCCAAGGTGGAAGTGGGGGTGAGAGTGGAGGGCAGGGTGGATCCATCACTCTCAAGCGCGGACGACAGGTGGCCGAGGTTGAGCTCGGGGAGACGCCGTTCAAGCGGCTCAAGCTGGCGTCCTCTGAATCTCCTTGCCTTCATTAGCTACGAAAAAGCTTGATTTCCTTCGTTGTAGATTCTTGCCCTTGCCTTCATACCACGGTACATAGTTGTACACATGCTTGTATCTTGTATATACACATCATGGACACTGCAGTTCAGTAGACACGCCTAATGCACTATATACCACATACCACATAGGCGGGGGGGCTGTTAAGAGCAAGTGGAAACGATAATTCCCAAAAATATGTGGCAGTCGGATGTGTGATATGTATTCATTGTGCACTGCCCGACTGCTATCAAGTTGACATAAGTGGACATGCATGGGTTTGCCCCACCCAATGCTCTGTCTTAAAGGCGAGTTTCCAGTACATTGGGCCAGCAACTTCTGCTTGAGCGTCTGTTGGCCAGGACGCGCGTGTTACGAATTACGGGAACAACCACAACCGGACGCCAGCGGCGCTGCGGGTGGACCTGGCAAAGTACTTTGACCTTTGGCGTCCATGCTCTCTCACCTCACTCTAATTGTAGTAGCAAGTTGTGTACATAGGAACTACTACTTCCATATAAGCTCCTTTTTGGTGCTCTATGCATGATGCATGAGTGGGTTATGGACGATGGAATGGAAGGAACGTGGGCCCGTCCACCCAACCGGATATCCCTGGCAGGAGATAGCTGCCGCACGCACCCCGTTGACGCGACCGAGTCGTCAACATTCGCCACCCGCTTACACGGCTCGTCTTTTTTCTTTTCTCATTCTCTTCTTTTCACCCTTCTCCCTCCGCATCCATTCTTCTACACCTCCACTCCTAACCCTACTTCTTCAAGTCGCCTGAGGCAGCCTGTCGAGACACCCCCCAACGTAGCCGATTGGGCCCCCACCTGAGAGCCCCGTTGACCCACCTTCTGCCCTTTTCCCCTCGCCTTCCCTCGACGTCAAAGACACGTCGCGACTCGGACCAACTGCAACCGTGTCTCCAAGCCGGTCTCACGTGCGACACCCACCCATCCGCGTCTCTGCACCTTCTCATCACCCACACCCCCAAATTCTTCTACCGCGAACGTTCCTCGCGGGCCTGTGCGCTGAGCGTAACGCTATCGAGCCGGGCCGTCAAAGTGACAACGACTCGAAAACCATAAACAGGCATCCCAATCCCGATCTGGGCAACCAGTGACTCTTGTCTGTGACAACAATGTCCACTATGAACGTCGAGATCCAGAAGCGTAAGTTGTGCTTTGCGGTACAAGGCTAACCCTCAGGCAAGCCCAAGTCGGCGATGGCTCACCGGTCGGCCGCTGGTCGCCCGATCGTTCCCCTCCGCGCTCTTGTGAGTCATAACTTTGCCCTTTCTGACTTTGCTAACGTCAAGGCCACACCCAACCCCAACATCTCCCAACCCCCCTCGACGCTGCTCGGCAAGCCCGGCCTTACCCACGACAAGAAGACCCACACCCACTTGCACACCACTCCTTCCCACGCGCCGCGCCAGCCATCAACCAAACTGGACCCGCCGCGCCCCGAGCCCGAATCCGTTGACCCGATCGTGGCCGAACGCGAACGTCGCGCCAAACATGCACGTTTGAGCATGGCACGCGAACCACCACCTTCGTCGCGCACGCGCCGCGAGAGTGTGCACGACGCCGACAAGGCGCTGTCGCATCCCTTCTCTCCACCACGCAACTCGAGCAACTCGTCGAGTGCAGGACACTCGAGTACCCACTCGCACGGACATGGCGTCACTGGCGTGATGACCTCGCCTCTGCCTGGCGCGTTTTCCCTCGATGCCGCGTCACCCCGCATGTACCCTACCAACAACCCTCACCCACTCAGCAGCCCCATCAACCACCACAACGTCACTGAGCGTCGCAAAGTGGCCCGCAAGATTCTTGTGAGGGCCGATACGCCTCCGGACATGGCGACCTTTCGCCTCATCCGCTAGACCTCCTCACTCGATGCCACGGAACAAGGCGCAGCAGAGTATGCCAAAGGCCACTCCTACTCTGCTGTCGCCGAAACCAAGGCCCATCAGAAGTTGACACCCATTCTCTACCCCTCCACACCTTTTCTTCGAACCCCATGACTCCCTATTTGTACACCTCCCGCCCCAGAGTGCGCACGACCACCACCACCCCCAGATGTCCCTTATACGTAGTAGCAGTAGAACCAACCACCTTATGACGATGACGATGATGCATGGATATGTACCTGTGCTACCACAGTGTTGGCCTGCCAGCTTCAGCGTGACGCGTCGTCACCATCATGCCATCAGCAGACCATCAGGCGCGGCAGCAGGTATGTCACACTCTAGAGAAAAACAACCCCACCCTGTCTCCGTCGATCTTCAAACCCAACCCCATCATGGTCTGAGATGCTTGTCTTGCCTTGGCGTCACGTCGGTGGGGTCTCGGTCCATGCTCCGTGTAATGTACCGAGCCGCCATGTCGGGGGGTATGAGCCCTCTCTCGCCATATGTACATGTCGGGTACGTCTGCACAGGTCCAGTTGCAGCGCCTGCGAGCCACCCAGCCTTTTCCTCGCTCCGAAACTTCTGGCCTTCTGGACGCCTTCCGCTCCGCCGTTCTCGCTTCATCATCCTAACACGGTACACGAAACATGGATGGGAAAGGGATTCTCCCAGCCCAAGGTTGCTTGGGGGCCCAGCGTCGGGGACTGGAAAGCAGTTTCCTGCTGTGCGGCAAGTAAGTACTTACGTGCTTCTCACCTATACACCTACCAGGCATAACGCCCTGTTGCGTCATCCTGCTCCGACTCTGGTGCTCGCTGATCCTCTTCGGTCCAGTGGCCAGTGGCCAGTGGAGACATGTTACTCCAGGTTCATTGCGCTCATGTATCCATGTATCCAGGCCCCACACCCACATGGTCACGACCTTGCTCTGACCCGCTCCCGCTGCAGACGGCTGTTCAGCGTGAACATGGCAGCCTCGCCGTGCTTGTAGCTCATGCCACGCATGAAGCAAACACTGGACACTCTCGGGTAGGAGGAGCACAGGGGCACAAACAGCCCACGGCGGCCAAGCCTGGGTGGTGCCGGTGGTGTGTGGCCTCGATGCATGAGGGATGAGAACCGCCTCTCCCATCCGACGGGTGACGCTCGCAAGCTCTCTCGTGGCCCATTCAGTCGGCTCCCGCAGGCGCTGTGCGCGGACTGCGGGCCTCGAGGCACTGCATGCTGACACTGGAGGGGGAACATGCAGAGGGCGAGAAGGAAAACGGTTTGCCGTAAGAGCAACGGGGATCTGGAAAGCTGGAAAGCTGGTTGCCTGGACCCAGCCCATGCGTCAAGGCCAGCTGCCAGCTGGTTCCCTCAGCTGTGGATCCCAGGATCCCAGGCGGAAGGTGTTTGGCGTCGCGACTGATTTTGCTTTCGTTGGTCGTGCACGGCGCTAGCGCGTGGAATGTTCCGACGCTTTGTGAGAAACTCGGTTGTAGAGAGGGCGACGAAGCCGTTGGTGGATCTCACTGGCGTGCTGTTCAAGTCCAAGCTAGAAAGGCTGGGCGACCGACCGGTTGCTGGTAGGGCAAACGGCCAGGGTTGTGCAGGTGGGAGGAACTTAGAATGCGCTGGGCATTGATGTCAACAAAGGCCCCTCCCCTTGAACGAATGGGTGGCGTTTACTGATTTTTCGTTGACCGGCTATCAAGAACGCACCGCCTGGCCCTCAGTGTCCCAACCAAAGCTGCTTTCCAACACACATCCGTTTGCATTTGGTCTCTTCCACATGCATCAGCTGGCGGAAGACAAGTCTCCCCATGTTCAACCTGTGCATTCCATGCGTGGATCGTCGCCAACGTAATGCAGACATAAGATTGTTTCACCATGCAAACATGGGTGGTACGTAACGCTGCAGTGGTGTGCCTGAAGGATGGCTGGCTATCTCGGCCCGATACAAACTCTGTGCGCTGTGGGGTGCGAAGAGTCGTGACGGCGAGAGCAAAGGGCAACTGAATAACATCCCAGGCTTGTTCATTCTCTCTTCCACTCTGCTTCTCGTCGCCTTCACACTCTCATTCTCGCCCCACCGCCCGACCGACACACGCCGCCCGACGCTGGGGGGATTAATCCTTTTCACCTCGTCTCGTGTTTTCCACTCGAGGCGCCCGCGCTTGCTTTTCTTTTCCGACTGCCCTATCCGACGAGCAGAGGTGGCGTCGGCATTCACTGCGTGTTGTTGTTGCTTGAATTGGGCATCACACGCACACGTTGAGCCAGCACACACAGCCCCAACGTTACATATCTGCGCCCACCAGCCCAATTGTCCCCCCCGTCACTCGACCCAACATGCCCATCCTCTTTGATCCACGCAGGCAAACATTCGTGCTTCGTGCAGGCGGTCGTCGCTCCTCCAACTCTTCATCCAACAACACACTGTCCTCGTCGGTCAACTCTTCTACCACCTCTCTGCCTTCTCGATCCTCCAGAAGCTCGTTTGGAGGGATTCCTCGACCTTCGTTCACCTTTTCGGAACCTCGACAGTCCATGGACGACCCGTGCCCCTCCCCGCGTACAGTTGAGCTTGACGTCTGCATGATGGAAGACGGGTGGGCGCTCCTCTTCCACCCTTCCAACGAGCTCAAGACGACCATCCCAGAAGGCAAGTTTACCTCCCTGCCATCCTTGCTCCGCTCGTCACCCAACCGTGCGCCCGGAACAACTCCCAACAAGTCTGCGTCGCTCAGCAAAGCAAATTCCCCAAACCGCGTTACCCTCACCAAGGCGGCCAGCGGTGGCGGCAAGGTTCGCACTTCGCTCCCGCCGTCGTTCAAGCAAGGCATGGGTCTCGGTGCCGTCAACCACGTCCCCCTCGCCGAACGCCGCAAGGTCACCGGCCCCCCACCTCTCCGCCCCGTCTCCTTGCCTCCCCCCACTGGTCCCCTCCCGCCCGTCCCCGTCGTCCCCGTAGCGAGCAAGCGCCAATCACGGATCCGCTTCGCTGAAGAAGACCCACGCGCAAGCGCCCTCCCGCAGACGGCGATCGTGTCAACAACGACCCCACCCATGAGCAGCGACGACGAAGCGGTCCACCAAGTCCAGCTGCGCAAGCCGCCTGCGGGAGTGGCAAACTTGAACGAGACCCTCCGCCTGCGCAACGCCCTCTCCTCGCTCCAAGGCCGCCATGCGGTCCTGTACGACGCCACCGTCGACGCGCGCAACGAGATCGCCCGCCTTCGCCACGAGCTGTCCCGCCGCAAGGAGGTCATGGACCACCTGGTTGGCTACGCCATGAGTCTGAGGACGGAAAACGATATCCTCCGCGAGCAGATCCCCGGCGAGCGTCACGACGTCATGCCCTATTCACAGACCTCGGCGGCCAACATGGAAGTCATCCTGAACCAGTTTGGTTCTGAGGACTAGGCGAAGCGTGTAACGAATCGAAAGCAAAGACCAACCAGGAGAAGCCAAGCCGAAGCCCAGACCGTCATATGTATCAAGAAGAAACAAGCCTCAGAGGAGCAAATGTCCGCCGCAACCACGCACCAATCCGCCATCCTAGTCCCACCTACCCCCTAGCCTAAACCGCTATCCCCCACCTCGACGGGACTCGATGGCCCAAGGACGGACGCCATTGTTTTCAACATGTCTCTATCTGCCCCAACCGCCATCATCGCCGTTCCATCTCCTCTCTTCATCGTTCATTCTTCATGTATATAGATACGACCCTGTGCCTCACAAGCTCCCCCATCTTTGGCTGACTAGACTGGCGACTGACGGACAGGGGTGGCCATGGCCTTGACCCTACTGACAGGGAGCCCATTGACTAGGTCCCCAATGGCCTAGGTCTTGTTAGGTCTTGGCAGTCGTGGGGCAAGACAGACACACACCCGAGTGCCAAGTGGAGTGGGCCAACACTCCCCAAAGCCGTTCGGCTTCACAAGCTGGCAACGTCACAAGCTGACAACATCACATACAAGCTCGCAACATCAGAACTTTGCGGACACGTCTCACTGTCTCAAGCACTGCAGCACATCATTCAGTGCATACCCACATCGTAGCACCGCCGACCATCTCACCAAACTGAACCCCACTTCCGACCACCAGCCATCCAACTACTCACCACGCCCGCTCATCATCCACCAGCCCGCCCCCATCCCTTCCTGTGCTTGTCCAAGGGACAGAGGCCAAAAGGGTAACGCGTATCTCTTTGTAGATACAGCTGAGCAGGTCCGACTGGGAATCGAACCCAGATTACAAGAACGACGACAGGTAGGACGCCACCTCGACCTCTGGAAGGAGGAGAAGGGGGGCTGTTGGTCTTCAGAATCTTGTGTACTAACCGTTATACGATCAAACCGGCCATGCTGGACCTCGGCGTGCGTCATGGCGTCCAGCAGGAGGTAAACGTGAGTAGAACATGCAAGGCGACAAGGACAGGGGGCCGGGGGTCGATGTGGTACACGGAGGGCAAGAGTCCGGGGTCATGTTTTGAACGACATGCATTTTCCGAATATCAATTGTCCGGTGTTTTCTACTTGCGATACCAGTGGCCAGTGGCCACCGAGTGGCCACCAGTGTCAGTGTCCTTTATACGTCCCAGTTGCTCGGCCTGGGTACCGGCCGATGAACCCTGAGCGGCGGGCGAGCGAGGATATCTGCAATCTTGTCCAGAATGGCCTTGTGGGGGATATCCGTCAGCCTACACTCCATTCTGTGTGTCGGTCGCCGCGGACTCACGCTGTCGCTCACGCCGGGCGTGCCCCGCAGACGCAGCACCGCGTCAATCTCTTCCCACTGCCAGGGAACATGTGTATCGGCCGTTCCGAGGGGAGTGGCAGTGCGGCTGGAGGCCGGCAGGGTGGGCAGGTCGGCCATGGGGACGGCAGTGGATGCCCTGTTGGTGGTGATGGTGTTGGGAGCTCGAGCAGGAGGCTGAGTCTGAACCCGGTGGTGGACGTGTGTGCCCGGTTGAGCGGCAGTGGCCCCGGAAGTGCGACGAGCGTGGCGGACCGGGCGGGCTGGCGGCGACGGCGTGGTCGGCAACACCGGCGGGACCGAGTCCGTAGGCGTGGGACTGGCCATGTTGCTCCTGGGGTCGGTGCTGTGCACTACGGGCCGTGCCGTCGTCGCGGTCGTCGCCGCCGCCGCCGACGCCTGCATCTTGAACGATGACGGCGGAGCAGCGTGCTGGTTGTGCGAGGCGGGAATGTTGGTGGAGCGGGGCTGGAGCGGTGCACGCGTACTGGTCTGCGTCTGGGTCCGGGGCTGGGGCTGGGGCTGGGTCTTGGACGTGTCGCCCGACAGCTTCCTTGCGTGGGCAGCAATACGACTGGGGCCAGACGTGGTTCCCCTGCCCCTAATGACAGCCGCGACGCGTACGGGTTCACCAGAGCCATGGGCCCTTCCCTCGTGAGCCGCTACGGCATCCATTACCACTCCCGCCCTCCTGGCCATCCCCGGGGAAGGGTCGAGGATGGCAGCCAGGCCCGTCCTCCCGGCGGGGTTGTCGTTGGCGGCCGTGCGGTCGTTGGTGGTTTGGTTTTCGTCGGTGGTCGGCCGATCGTTGGCGGTAGGGCCGTCGTTGATGGTCGGACGACCGTTGTTGGTGGTGGCGGTGGAGGCGGAGCCCTCGACGTCAACGTCAAGACCAAGGTCGACGTCACGACTGATACCAAATCCCCAGCCAGATGCAGAGGCGATACGAGGCGGAATGAAAGAACTGGGAGGAGGAGCCGGGACCTTGTGGTGGCCGATCCCCCTGGCAGCGAGGTTCTCCCTCATGTCCTCCCACTGCGAGATGAGGCGCGACACACTCCCCAGTCCCGTGTGGTGCGGGCGGAGGAGGAGCGGCGGGGTCTCGCCTCGGGCGAGGCGGCGGGACTCTGACGCGCTGCGCCGGTGTCCAGCGTGCAAGGGTGGCGGCATGGTGGGTGTAAGTGGAAGGTGAACGTGGGGTAAGATGAGGAAGGTTTGGAGGGGAAGGTAGACGTGGGCTCGTGGACAGACCGCCTTTGAAGGTAACGCGTGCTGTCGAACAGCAGTCTTATCGTCCGTTGGTTGGACGCAGACTGATGCAGGTCTCACCATCAGCTGCACATCCCATCAGTATCAGTATCAGTCTGAAATCGCCACATCAGTGTCAACTTGGCGGGTCGCGAGGGGGGGGGGAGTGATGCAGAGGGAAACAGGAGTCGCCGTGCTGCGGGCAGTTTGCGCTAACGGAGTGCATTGAGTGAGCATGTGCGAGTTTGCCGGCTATACACAATGGGTACCGGCAACTCTCTCCTTGCCATTCTCGTTCTCCTTCCTTCGTGTTCTCACGGGGTATGTGGCGCGTTGGGTATCAAAACAGGGGGTATCGGGGTATCTCGGGGCGTGTGGATTGATGTGCAGGGTATAGAAATGAACGCTGCAGAGCGTGCGTGGCGAGGGCGTGAACTGGCTGGCGACTAGTTGGCGCCAAGCTTGGCCTCACCGAGCCTGATGACGATCGAGCTGTCGGGGGAAACAGACTCGGCGTCGTCGCTCGTGAAGCTGGACTCGATGATACTCATCCCATCCTTGAAGGACGAGTTGGGAGTCGAGCACGTAGCCTTGTTGCCAGGTGCAAACTCGGGGCGAGTGGTGGTTGGGTCGGTCGAGTTGACCTTGATGTCGGCAGGACCGGACTCTTCAATGGATGGCTGAGTGTCCTCAATTTCGGTGCGTTCCGAGATAATGGAGAGCCCGACAGCCTCGTCAAGGTACCTCATCTCCTCCTCCTCGTCGATAGAGCCACCGTGTTCAGACCCCTCGGGGCTGCTCAGGAAGTAGTCGCAGATGCGACCTCCGTCGTCCTCCTGGTCACGGGGACGGTTCGCCCCAAAGTTGGAGACGTGCTCAGGCGTGGTGCTCGACGAGACGCCGGTGGGAACCACGTCGGTGGTGTTGGGGCCCGAGGGGGTGGCGGGGATGCGGGCCGCGGGAGGGGCGGCAACACGACTGGCGCGGGTAGACTCGACGAGCTCGCAGGGATGGTGATCGTCGTCGACGTCGACGTGGCCGCGGCTGACCATACGGCCGATGTTCTCAGTCCAGATCGGAGGTGGAATGGAGGCAGCACTCCTGCCGCCGTTAGGACGACGGTCGAGGTATTTGGCGAAGGCGGGATCCTTGACCATGCGGCACAGAATACAGTTGCAGCCATCATGGTGTGCCCCCGTGAGCCAACTGTCCTCCTCTTCGCCATTGTTCGTGACGACAGGCTCCGGAGTAGTGCTAGTCGAGAGCTCGGGCGTGATCGAGGTAGCCGAGGAGTCAACGTCGTGCTCGTGGTCGAGTTGAAGGACGGAGGGCGTCGGAGACTGCGCATCAATGGTGATGTGAGGCGAAGCGATGAATGATTCGGGGCACGAGCTAGGCGCAAGAGAAACAGAAGACGAATTGACGTCACGCGCAGTCATGGACGACGAGGCGTTGGCCGAGGTGGCGTTCCCGACTTCCGTGCCGCAGTGAGCCACCATGCTGGTGGCGTCGCTGCGGTCGTCGAGATCAGAGACCATGCCGGGCACAGGAACGTGGTGCATGCTGGTGGCGGCGGAACGAGAATCCTGCGAGGTCGTGGTGTACAGGACAGTTGTCTGGGCAATAAAGTCCTCGAGGTCCTGGGTCTCGTTCTTGAAGTGGGCATAGGCTGTGGTGTAGAGGATCCTTAGGGCCTCCTTGTCGCGGATGATAACAAGGCCGTCCTCAAAGTCCAGATCCAGAGGAAGGTCTGGTTGTCAGCTATGGCATCACGCACTGGCAGGGGCAACTTACTACTGTTGCGCTTGAGGAGGTGACGGATGATCTTGTCCAGAACTTGGGAGGTTAGCTCGAGAAGTTGCAGTGATGGTGATGGCAAACTCACGAAGACGAGCGGGGGTATTCTTAATGTTTTGGATAACAGCGGCCGCACGGCCCCTCATGGCAGACTTCACGGTCATGCCGAGACCTGCAACGGACGCAATGGACGCAATGGACGCAATGGACGCAATGGAGCGAAGGCGGCCCGGTTGCTCGTAGTGCTGGCTGGGGGTAGGAGTACCGGGCTGGCCGTCCGCGTATGCTTCCAGGTCTGACACCATGCCATCGATGCGGCCTACCGCGTCGCCAAACACCTCTTGCACTTCGAAGGTCAGTTGATCTCCTGATGGGAAAGAGAACAAAAGGCTTACTGTAGTACAGGCCGTGTAGCTTGCCAAGGTTGTAGACCTTGTCACGTTCTCCGTCCACAAGGTCGTTTAGGGACATGGTGCGTGTGGGTGTATCCATTGTCGGCGTGGGTGTATGAGTTATGGGTCTGTCAATGTGACCTTGGTTGGGATGATGATGATGCTAAAGATATTTGTGGGGAAGAGATCAGTTCGTGGCAACAGAAGACGTCCTCGGCGTGAGACTGCGGGAGGGGGACGCGCGTGTGTTTACGCCGCCCTCTCTTGAGGCCCTCGCCATCAATATTGACTCCCATTGCAACACGTCAACGGCTGCCACCTCCGTTATTTCACTAATTGCCAGTCCGTGGCAACGCTGTGTCTGATTCACATTCCGAACCAGATCCGCACGGTTCGCCGTCCCTTTGCAAGGACGTGTCGTGGCCTGGTCCAAGAGAGAGAGAGTCTTGAGTCTTTTCGGCACGTCACAGAATCAGTACGTTGGGTAAAGCTGCAAACTTGTTCGCCCTCACACATGAGCGGAGGCTCGTTCGGTTGAGGGACGGAGGACAGGGGACCGCCGAGTCAGAGGAGGTTAGACAATGAGAGTCCCAGGTGGCAGTTCCAGAACTGCTGGGTGGACGGACGGAGTGTGGGGACTGTGACCGAGCACATGAACTGACTCCCAGAAGGACGAAGAAGGAGTAAAGAATGAGAGAGAGAGAGCGAGAACAAGGAAGAGCGGATATAGATACGCAGAAGGTGTGGTGTACCAACGTAGTCTGCGCGCCTTAACCAGATAGGCACATGTCGTGGGTTAATGACGTTACTGGCGTCACCACTCTCTTTTAGGCGCGCGGTAGACGGAAAAACGGCGGAGGGATGGATGTCCCTGTTTTGCCTCTTTTTTTCCTTTCCTTTTTGGGTGGACAACCCGTTCGTGTCCCGACTGCGAGTAGGCTGCGAGCTGCGAGGAGGCTGCGTGTACATCCTGGCCGCGTCTTCTGCTGGAGGGTGGGCCGTGCGCAGGACGTGCACAACGCGTCCCGCCAATGTTCTTCTCCACCACCTCTCATCTCGTTTGTCCCTCGCTCTCATTTCCTTCAATCTCTTTGCTCTCACAGACACCGGCCGGCGCGCCCAATGGCCTCTAACTCCACACACACCCGTACACCCGTGTCGCATCGGGCCGGGCGTTACTAACCTGCAGAGGGTCTGTCACCCACCCAGTCGCCTTCAATTCAATGGCAGGCGCGACGCCTCCGTGTACCCGTGTCCGGGTGCTCAGGCGTCTTGTTCGAGGGAGAATACCAACGAACCCAGATGTGGGGTTGGTGGGGGTGGGGGGGTGGGGGGGGAGTGGTTTGTGGGCAGAGCGCTGCGAACGGCGGATTGCGTGGGCCGTGTTAGGACACTAAACCTTGTCGAGAGTGCACCCTTTTCTTCCAGAGGCCAGAGCAGCCAGCAGCCACCGCCCCCCTTCTATGAAGAATCCACACGGCACGGTTCAAGGCACTTGGGACCCACCACGCCCACTGACAATGTCTCACCCCCGCACCACCTGCACCACCTACTAGTGCGCCTCTTTTCGTTCACTACCTGACATTTGCGCTGTGCCCGTCAAAGTCATTGCCTCTGAAGATCTACAAGCTAGCTGCTCTAGGTCAATCTGTCTCCGATCTCCCGACTGCACAAGGCTCCCGTCTCCTCCCACCCCGCAAGGGTGTGGCCGGCCCCCCCACTGTGTCCTGTCCGTGCGCCGGGTCTCGATTTAACAGCTCCCACAACCGCAGTCTCACCTGTCTCCCAACCGACATCCAACAGAGACTGCTGCCACAGCTGCTGGCACGTTTGAGCCAACCACAAGTTATATATCCCAGCGTCTCAACCTTGCCCATCCCTGACACGCCGCCGCCTGTGCCTCCTCGCTTTTGCGACAACACCCCGTCCATGTCTGATACGCAAACGGCACATGATCCTTCAATAACGCCGCCAAAACCTCTCGCCTCAGCCGCCGAACGCCACGCCGCGCGCCGCCCGTCATCGACAACGCGCCGCACGCGTCATTCAGTACATCTAGACGCCTGCCACCCCTCACAACGATAACCCCCAGTCCCTAGTGTGGCGTTCGGACGGATCACGCGCATGGCAGAGAGAGGGCGGTAGCCATCGCGGACACACCGACAGACCTTCACGGTATGCCATAACGACACAACAATGCGCACACTTGTGTAACAACACTCTCCTTCACATCGATCGGGTGCCCACACTGAACGCGGGCGTTCCATCGCTCGTGTACCCCGACTACGACAAGGACACGCTGGCTAACGCCGTCTCACTGTAGCCCTGCTCACCCTCCACTCCCGCTCCAACTCAACAATCAACCATACCCATCATGGGACTGTTCTCATTACGGCGACGACGCACCAACATCTATGGCCCTGGCAGTTTTGCGACCGAGTCCGTTCCGGACGTCCGGGAGCAAGGCAGTGAACTCGCTGCTTCCCACCGTAAACGGGCCGCCCGAAGCTCGCTGTTCTTGTCCTCCTCTGGCAGTGATGGAAAACGTACGTTCCGTCATTCCTCACAACGAACTGGCAAAGCTGACATTACGTTACCCCTTAGGACAAAGCCGCAGCTTGTTGGATTTGGTGATTCGCAGACCACTGGAACCTCCTCCTCCTGCCGCATCGAGCATCCCAGACACCGAGACGACACCTCGGAGCAGAGGCAAGCTGGTATCACTGCCGGCGGTCATCGCCGAAGCAGAGTCCGAGGGATCATCTCAGGACGGCGCCACTCCCACACTAGAACCGTGCCCAACAACGCCGCGCCCTGTGTTGACGTCCTTCCTCTCCCGTCGTCGGTCACATCTCGAGCCCCGTGCGGCCAGTGTCAGTGTCGTCCCCGAGCGTGCAGCGTCGAGGTCAAACCCAAACCTACTCTCAGCCGTCCACTTCTTGCCAGAGCCCACCCGGCTGTCACAACCGCAACCGCAACCCCATCCCCAATTTCAAACCCAGCCTCACCAGCAGACACGACAACCCCGCCGCCTCTTCTCCACGCCCGCGAATGCTGGTAGTCGGACCGGGCTGGGCATCCTCAGCCATCACGCAAGCACCACAGCACTTGTTTCTACTTCCTCGCCCCACGACTCACCGCCTCCGTACTCGTACGCGGCCCACGCTCAGACCACGACCTCGCTACTCACTGTCCGTCACAGCCACACGCACACTCGGAATGCCGCCGACGTGTCAGAGTCCATGGGCCTGGCCGAGGCACTGGTCGTCCTCACTGCCCCTGTGGACACGGCGCCGATGATGAAGCTTGAGGACGTGGCGTTTATGGACGAGTCCCTCCTCGACGATACCAATGCTGCGCAGACGCTCGGGAAACACACTGCTACGACGCGATACGCGCCGGCGACTCTTGAGCCACACCGCGGTTCCGACTCGTGTTCGGGAACGCCCGAGGCGTTCACGCCCACGTCGCAGAAAGCGGCGCTCGCAGCCCTTCTCATGCCACCGAGTGAGGCATCGGCAAAGCCACCTGCCTCGACGGAGAATTCCCTCTTTGGCCTGGCGAGTACAGCCGCTGGCAACGACGAGGATGCAGCCGCGGCTCGAGAGATTATGCTTGCTGCCCAGCAGAGCTTTGCCGACCACGATGCCGGAAGGCGGTTCCAGCCCTCACCCCATATTCGACGTCTGCACGAATCTCCATCCTTGCCCGAATCGCCTACTTTGGGATTTGAGAACGAGGTCTGGCGTAAACTGAGCAACAAATATGTCCGGCCTCGACCCCCACCGGCACACTTTGTGGACAGCGACGGTTCTTCTTCAGCCCAGTCAAGCTCGGTGAGCGAGGCTAGCGGTGACGAGGCTGTCGAAGAGCTCGTGGCTGAGTACGAAGCAGGCGCACTTGTCGTCAAGGCTATCCGCATTGAGGTCGGCGTACCCGCCTCAACCGTGAGCCTCTCGCCGATTGCCGAGGTATCCGACGTCGCTACACCTCGACCAAGTACCCCTCGATCAGTGGAAGAGACCACTGTGCTGAAGGCGGCCACTACGGACGTGTCGCTGAATACCCCTACAGCGAGCGTGTACCTCTCGTTGCCCCCGACTCCCGAGCACGAGACAACGACGGGCGCGTCTCGGATGGTTCCCTCAGACTCGGTGGACAGCGTGTACCACCTTGCTCCGTCAAGCCCCGTCGACCGCGCGAGCGTGTACGTCTCTCTCCCCAACACGCCTGTTGCATCCACCTCTCTCTCCCTGCACCAGCCTCCCCATGACGAGCGCACGAGCGTGTATGTGTCCCTCCCAAACACCCCCGAGCTCTCAAACGAGGATCTCGCCACTGTGACTTCGAGCACTCTCGGTCTCAGCCACACGTCGCTCAACATTACCCCGCCAACCCCCGAGAACGGCTCGCCCATGACCCCGCACGAGGAGTGTTTCTCGACTGCTCCCGAGGCGGTTCTGACTGCCGAGGCGGCTCTGGACACATTCCTCACCCCAGTTGACGGCAAGCCCGAGCAGTGGGTGACGGCACCCACGACCCCTGCCGAGACCGGGCCCCGTGAGGCATACTCAGTCAGCACGACGCCGACGAGCCCCGCGAGCCCCACGACCCCGCGCGGCTCCATGCCGCCTCTGCCCGAGAGCGCTACCTCCCCAGTCATGCAGCAAGCAGCGCTCTCGCGCTCAGCTCCAGGCTCGATCCGCCGGTCCAAGCGCGATTCGACTGGACCACCAACGACCATTGCCGCTCGCCGCCTCACCCCTCCAATGTTCCCCCCACCCTCTCGCTCCATCCCCTCCACGCCCCCCTACCCTCCCGCGTCCAACCTCCGTTCCGCCTCGTTCTCCTCGTCGCCCAAAGCCGCCGCTCAGCGCCGCTTCGTCACCTCCCCAACCGCCTCGACCTTTGCAGAGGCGATGGCAACGACCACCAAGCCGCTTCCGACCACGCCGCCTCCGGTCACGCCTCCGACCCCGGCGGCCGCATTGCCCCGGACTCCTGGAAAGACGCCTAAAAGCTCTCCTAGAGCCCAGGCGCCGCCGTCCCCCGAGCCGGCGACTTTGGGCGAGTTTATGGGTCTGTTCCGCAACATTCGCCGACGCGAGGAGGGCGTCTCGCTGAGGGATGCGGTGAGGAAGGCCGAGAGGAGGAGCGGGTTCTTCCAGGGCGTAGAGGCTGCTCAGAGCTGAGCTCTGGAACCTGGAGGCCTGTGGGCCTGGAGGGTGGGACGAGTGTTGTGTTGCACGGCGGCGGCGATGATGTTTTCTTCTTCTCTCCTTTGTCCAATTTCACACTGGTTGTTTGAATGTTGTGGCCTCTTGCCGGCCTCGTGTAGTTCTTCTATCTATTATTTTGTCATCTTCTTAGATCTCTGTAGTCTGTATGAATGCAGTGTCTTTCTACCTCATGCATGGGGCTTGTCCCGCCATGCCATCCCGTCGGTTGGCTGACGACTGTCGTACATGCATGGTGCGTACGGCCTGACACGTCCCGCCGCGACTGCCGCAAACGCCATCGTGTCTTCCCTACCACCCACCTCCGCAGAAAGCACACCCTTCCTTGACACATGTCGTCTCCTTTTGGCTACAGTTGCGGCCTGTCTGCATGCAGTGGAAGGAACACCGCCGGGTTAACGAGAATGCTAGAATTGTCATGTTGTAGATACTGCGACAAGGTTTGCCGTGGATGTTTACGAGATGTTGTTGTTCGCGAGCAGAGGAACGAGGGACGGACAATGGCCACGCGTCGGCAACCGCCTTGTTCCACCCTCGGTGCGTGTCGTGGGCCATGATCATCACTTGTGTTGTCCCCATCACTCTCATTCCCAACTGTCTTGTCCACTGTCACTCTCCTTGTGCTTGTCAAAAGAGCTGCGTCCCGTCAAGTTGTCACCCGGGCAGCCCCTCGCCTCCACGCCACGCCGCGTTCCCTCACGAACCTCCACCGCAACGCGTCCCTCCATCTTTCCTCCGCGGCCGGTGACCACCTCTCATCGCATCATCTGTAGGGATTTCGTTACCTCCTCGCGCTCGGGCCCAGCAAACGGTACAGCCCACCCAGCGAGCACGCTCTCCTGTCCCGTCCCGTCCCTCCCTCTCTCGCCCAGTCGACGACGACGACGACATCGACGCACCCACCCGCCCAACTCCGTGCTTTGTTTCTTGCCGTACGGACACGTTTGAAACAGTATACCCAAAGCCCTCCACTACCTCCGTTCGTCGCCGACGTCCTCGACTCCACACCGCCAGGCATACACATACCCCCGCGCACTGTCTTGCACTTCTGCCCTCCTTATCCCCACCCCTCTCCGACTCTACCACCGACCGCCGTCTCTACAGCTCCACGCACGTCTTGTGCGAGCCGCGCCGCGCCCCCCGACGCCGTAAAGACCCCCGCAGTCTCCGAGCCGTAATCAGGCCTTAGGTCTGAAAGCCGCCGCCGCTGCCGCACCGAGCACGCGCGCATTCTCCTGCACCAGCCACCCGACGACGAGCTTGTGTAGGCCATTGCGAGAATGGCGTTTGACGGCGGCACGTCCGCTGCGCCTGCGCCGCTTGTCGCGCCGCGCGAGTCGGACGATCTGGCGTCGTTGACGGATCAGACGAGCGGTGAGTGACGTCGTGGACCTCTGTCTTTCTTGTCCGGTGCTGTGCCGCCTGCCCCACGAGTTGGGCCTCCTTGCCTGAACCATCGAACTGGCTTTCGCTTGGAGATCAGCTCGATGTTCAGTCGGGGAGGGTTGGGAGTTCGGTACACTCTGTCCCGATGTTGGGCCGAAAGGCGGCACCGAGTAGGAGAGCGAGAGCGACAAGAAGACGTCGACGTGCTACGCCAGAGAGCTTAGAGCTGACGTATATCCCCAGGCGCACTTACCGACGCGCTCGCGGACCGATATGACGAACGCTCCGTGTATACACACTGTGGTCTCCTCACGGTGAGTGTTCATTCCCTCACTCTTGGAGGGACCGTGGACGCCAGGCTGACTTTTCCCAGCTCGCGGTCAACCCGTATGCCGAGGTTCCCAACCTCTGTGCGTATCCCCGCACCTCGAGCGCTGCACCATTCTTGGCCCCTGGCACGCAGCTGACTCTCCAGACGGGCCAAAGACCCAGCACACGTTCTACGGTGTGCCGAAGCACTCGCAGCGACCACACGTCTACGCCGTTGCCGAGAATGCGTACCAGACCCTCTTCTCGGGCGACCGCGCCAACCAGACTATTGTTATCACGGGCGAGAGGTGAGCTGACGAATATCGACGGGCAGCTGACAATCCAGTGGTTCAGGCAAGACTGTCTCGTGTGGCCACATTATTGAGTATCTCGCCGGCCGCGGTCTCGGCGTCGGCACGCTCGGTGACAAGCTTGCACATGCTGGTACCGTGCTGGAGGCGTTTGGTAACGCACCGACAGTGCATAATGCCAACTCTAGTCGATACGCCAAGGTCGTCAACGTGAGTTGTCCCTCTGCCTACAACCAACTGACCTTCAGATCCACTTCCGACCCACTGCCGAACTGGCCGGCGCGTCCATCTCTACCTTTCTCCTCGAACGCGGCCGTGTGACCGACTCGCGACCCTTCCACATCATCACACTGTTACGCGAACGCGAGACGACGGGAACAACACCCCCAGCACTCGCCAAGGTCGAGACGGCGCTGAATGCGCTCGGCATCGAGGGCCAAGATGGCATGTGGTCTGTCCTGCGGGGCATCGACTACCTCATCGCTGGCGACATGAAGGCTGCAGCAGCAGCCCTTGGCCTCGACCCAGCACTCCTCGACAACACGCTCAGTATCCGTACCGTCAAGGCCGGCATGGACAGCTTCAACTGGCGACGCCAGGGTGACGAGCTCCGCGCAGCACAGTACGGTCTCGTGCGGTCTCTTTACTCGTGGCTCTTTGACTGGCTCGTCATCAAGATCAACGCAGCCCTCGATGCCCCCACCGACGGAAGCTCGTACATTTCCCTTGTGGACATTTTCGGCTTCGAGAGTTTCAAGAGTAACGCTCTGGCGCAGTTCCTCATCAACTGGGCAAACGAGCAGCTTCAGCGCCAGCTGTCAAAGGACGTATTGGAGGCCCAGGCCGAGGCGTATGCGGCTGAAGGTATCGACTTTGGTGCGCCGGCCGTCCAGCCGTCGTGTCTCGATCTGCTGTCCAACAAGCCTGGTCGCCCAGGCCAGACGGGTATTGCATACCTCCTCGATGACCAGACACGCCGCCAGACCCTGGGTCTGGGTGGTACCGACGAGCTGTTTGCAAGCAGTATCGGCACCGAGTGTTACTCCCTCCATGGCCTCGTGACCCGCCGCGCCAACGCGCACCCGCACGAGTTTACCGTTGTCCACTACGGCCACAATGTCACTTACGACACGCGTGGCTTTCTCACGGCCAACTCGGAGCGCGTGGACGACAACCTCCGCGACGTGCTGGCACGCTCCGGCAGTTCCTTTGTGCGCGACCTCGTCGTGCCCCAGAACTCGGCCAAGGCGCCTCCTGGCCGTAGTGCGTTCACGTCGGTCGTCTCGTCGTTCCGCAAATCGCTCGACCAGCTTAACTCGTTGCTCACCACTACCAACGTGCACTACATCCACTGTATCAAGGCCAACAACGCCGCCGCTCCATGGGCATTCCACCGCGATGTCGTCGAGTTGCAAGTCGAAGCGACGGGCATCACCCAGATTGCTCGCTTTGCGCGCGAGTGCGGCCCCTACCTCGTCAAGCGCGATGCCATGAACCCATACCTCTTGGTCCTCGAGTCGCATACGGACCTGGACGACGCTGTGCGCCAGCTCAGCGCCATCGTGGGCGACGCAGACGGCAAAGCCGTCCAACTCGGCCAGTCCCACGTCTTCTTCCGTGCTGCGGCATTGACAAAGATCGAAGAGATGCTGTCCTCCAAGATTGCCGTTGTCGTTTCTGTCCAGTCGCATGCTAGGCGGTTACTCGCGCGGGCGCGGTATGCCGCCGCCAAGGCCGAGGCGGAGCGCAAGGCGCGCGAAGAGGCCGAGCGGAGAGCAAGGGAAGAAGCCGAGAGGAAGGCCAAGGAGGAGGCGCGGCGAGCCGCCGAGCTCAAGGCGAGGGAGGAAGCCAAGGCCAAGGAGAGGGCGGCGAAGGAGGCTGCCATTGCCGCGAGGAAGGCTACGCGGGACCGACGCGTGTCCGAGGAACACTCGCAAATGCGTAGTCCGACCTCCAAGGCCGCCGCTCTGGCTGCTCTCACGCCCACTCGCACAGTCACCCCACCACGGACGCGTACCCCGACCGGCCGCCGGGTCAGCTCGACTACCGAGTCCAAGCTCCTCAACTCGGTCGACTCGAAGCACTTGGCTACTCCGGAAAGGCTTAGAATTTACCGCAACGGCGACGCGCGAGGCAAATCGCCTGTTCCTTATTACCCCAAGACTCCCGAGGGTGTGCGTACACCAGAGGCCGATGAGCTCAGCAACTCGCCACTGTATAGTCAGCGCTTCATCAAGAGCGTTGTGCACGACCTCGTGGGCGCAGCAACGGATCACGACACGGCGTATACTGTCGGCACACTCCTCGCGCGCACAGTTGCGTGGTACCACGGCGCCGACCTGCGATACGTCCCCGAGCTCCTCACGCCCGAGTTGCTGCTCACTGTGCGCAATACGATTGGGCGCGGACCCTCCCTTCCGCACTTGTGGCTCTTGGCCGTGCTCGTCAACGTGTTCCGACACGACGCCGGACACCGTCCCGCCCGACAGATGGCCACTGTCGAGCGCGAGCTGCTGGACATGATCGTCAAGGAGGTGTACAAGGTGTCCAAGGAAGTGCTTGACAGCATTATTCCAGCGCGCAGGCGGTCAGGCGGCGGCAACATGGTCGCCTCCGTGACCCCCACCAAGCCTCTCACGACCATCTGGACCGAACTGGAGGGTTTCCCTCTCATGATTCGCGAGGCCACAGCCGAGGCGATCATCTCGCGTGTCCTTCAAGTCGTCATCCAAGGTATCCTCACTGGCGAGATCTCGGACGACATGGCCGCAGCTGTCGACCTCCCGCTCGAGCAGGTGTTCGAGTGGCGCGAGAGGGCCAACCTCCACCCCTCACCCCTGGAGACTGTCCTCAAGGCCATGCTGGGCACAATGTCGGGCCTCAAGACGCCACCGCCATCTTTTGTCCAGCGGTTCGAGTCGCTGCGTATCGAAAAGCACCCCCGTCACCCAACCAACACAGCAAACGCCGCCCTGTTGGCTCTCACAGATCACCCACCCATTGACATCACGCTCTGCCTCGAGGAGGCGCTCCATGACGACACTGCCAGCTGGAACACTGTCCAGGCAGTTGTTGAGCGCCTGGACTTGACGGACAGCATGACCGAGTTTTTGCGGTGGTTTGGGCAGTTCAAAGTTGGTTCGGGAGCGTCGGGAGCCTTGGCATCACCCAGCCCGCGGTACCAAAGCACTTGACACTGGGCGTCCACCAAATAATGTCCCAAAAGGAAAAAACAACCAAAACAATATTCACGTCACGAATTGCACGCAAACTCCCACAAACCCCACACCACCACCCTCTTGCATCGTTTTCGTTGTACATAATAGACTAGAGGTTACGTCCTGCGCTACCCCAACCCTATGCATGCCGTGTCTCAGTGCACCAAACCAGCGGAATGTGCCAGTGACTGTTGAAAATATTTTCCCGACGACTTTCCCTCACCCCTCAAGGACCGAGCGAGGCCTTTTTCATGCTCTCCTCTCTTCACCACGATCACGGACAACGACCTCTGGCATGCACCCATGGCAGCGCGACTGATTTTCATCTCGGTTTGATCGTATAACGGTTAGTACACAAGATTCTGATGGATGACCTCTGCGTTGTCGTAGTCTTCAACCCTGCGACCTGTCTCTTCGTTCTTGTAATCTGGGTTCGATTCCCAGTCGGACCTACGTGCTCTCTGCTTCCCTCTGTTCAGCAGAGGAAGCGGTCTTGCCTTTTTGGAACCCTTGGGAAGGACGTGTGGAAGACGGAAGGACGGGAGACGGGAGAGGTTGGGCTGTGGCGGAGGGGCGAGGAAGGTGGTCGTTGGGCGAACATTGACTCCACATGTGAGCTCATGGACAGGCTTGGAGCAACTCACAGTGTCGACAACCGGGGTTACTAGATGTATACGACAGACGGACAAGCTCGTACGTAGGGTCGCTGTCGGGGTGCTTGGTGTTCTGTCCTGCGAGCCCAGGGCAAACCACGTGTCGACAAGGGTACCAAGCTTTGGGCCATGTGGCGACCTTCCGACTTGATTCCACGACCTTCTTGACCTCAGCGGCCAAGCGAACCCTTGCAAACCTCTTTATGGGAAGCATCGTGGGCGATTGGGAACTTAAAGTATGGGTTTTCATGTATTGGTTGTTCAGTAAACGGACAGTTTCCGCCGCTGGCCGAAAATGTGCATGCAGCGGTATGGTGGTGTCGAGTTTTCAGATGCGCGGTCTTGTTTTCGGCGCCGCTGGCACTGGGGACTTGTTGGCACCTGCGGCGAGGCATCGAGACGAAAAAGGTGAGTGAACGTTTCCACAGCAGCACAGTCTTTCGGTAGGGGCTGTACGCATATCGCACCCTACCTAAAGTTCACACTGCCCTGCCCCCCAGCCTGTCCTCTGTCCTGGTGCGGTGTGGCGCCACCAATGATAAAATGTTTGAAAAAAGGGTGTATTATACATATGCTTATAGTCCCATCTAGTGTATATATGCTATGCTACTGATGAATGTTGTTTAAATGTCCTCGCGGCGTGCGCTCTTTAGAGACACTCGCCGTCGACAAGCTCAAAGCCCTTGGTGCACGACTCGGCGACGCACTTGCCGTTGTGGCAGCTGACAGCGTCGACACCGTGGATGGTCGTGCAGTCGACCGACGCCGGGGAGAAGGGGCAAGCGCCGCACGACTCGAGGTTGGAGGCGGTGTCGACGCACGCGTAGCCGTAGTTGGGCACTTGGCAAGTCGACTCGCCAATGGCGCAGACGGGGACGACACTGCGGAGGTTACGAGCCTGAGCGGTGCCCGAGGCGCAGACGGTGGTGGTGAGGTCGATGCACTGGTTGCCGCACTTGGTGTAGCCCGAGTCGCACTCCCAGCCACAGTAGCAGTCGGTAGGGACAAAGTTGGCGGGAGGGTAGCCACAGCCAGTCTCGATCCACTCGGAGGTGGTGGTGCCGTCGTAGCCGACAATGAAGTCGGAGTAGCCCTCGACAATGGAGGCGACACAGGCCTCGTTGTCGTAGATGCCCTGGAGGTCACAGAAGGCACGGGCACCCTTGTACTCGACGCGCGCGTTCGAGGTGTTGGTCTGGAGAGCCTCGAGAATGTAGGCCTGCTCGTCGGCGAGGAGGACACCTTCCTCGAAGCACCAGCCGACGTTGCTCGAGCCGGGACCGTTGGCCCAGTTGAGGATAAACTAGATTGTCAGTTGGAGTTCCATTGGGAAAGGAAAGAGGCAGTGACATCCAACTCACGTAGTAGGTGGGGGTGCTCAGGCCGTCACCAAAGGTGACATCGTAGCCACAGCACGTGCAGCCGGTAACCTTTGTGGCACGGCTAGCAAAAGTGTGCGAAGCCGAGGGGCTGGTGCCCGAGGGGCGAATGTGGGTCTCAAGAGTGGCGACAGCGCCAGTGACGAGGGTAAAGAGGGCAAGGCCGAGGCGAAGCATTTTGATGAGATGATATTCGGTGGTGTGTGTGCGAGTGCTGCGAGAAGAACTCCGCCGACCATCTTAAGTACCACCATTCGTCCATGCTCCCCTTACTCTGTGGTCACTGCAAGTTTTGCCACAGGACTACTCATCATCGCACCTTTGCTGAACATCAGTTCGGCCGTTGTGGACCAGATGCGTCGCCCTGCTATCCCACCTTTCGCCCGCTGGATCCACCCATCTGCCACTGCCAAGAGACCAGGCATGGTGGTTAGCGGTAGGCACTGGGAAGGGATCCCTCAGTTCAGTTCTTGGATCCTGTTTGCCCGATCCTGATCCTCAACGCGGTGGACTCTGGGCGCTCGGACCAAGGCAGATGTGCTGGAAGGATTGAAGGAGAGGTAGTGGACGCACGGACGCAACGCGAGGCCTCATAGTCGATCACAGCCAGCCACAAGGCCACAGGGACGCTCCGCAGCACATCCAACTGCCCGTGGAGGCCATAAGGTGGACAGTAGACAGGCATGTGGAGCGAAGGAAGACGGAGATTGGCGCGCGGAAGACAGCTTTTGCTCGCTATGTCATCACCGAGGCCTGGGGTGTCACAACTTTCTCTGGCTTCAAGAGTGCCGCGTCCGCAACATTCGGTCGGAAATAGTCCGCAGGGGCAGTTCTTTGGATCTTTGGTGATCCTTCCCTGGTTCGACCCTGTACCGCGCCAAATCCCGGTGCTTGTTAAATCTGACACGAGAGCCACAACGGTATACACAGCGGTACAGCGGTCGATGGTAGCGATGAGTCATACAGTCGGAATTGGGTGCATTCCTATACCGGGGATTGAACTTTTTGGAAACAGGGACCACGCAGGGTATGAAGCCCAGAAGAACGTTGTGGGCCGACGCTACCGCGGCTCGGACCAACTTTCCAAGTACAAGTGTCGAGGAGGGGAGCTAAAGCGGACCAAACACAACCTAGATCTCATGAACGGTGGCCCCCCGCTGGTCACTCGTGGCCAGCTCTTGGCAAGCTATACTCAGGTAGACGGCACGTTTCTGTTCAAAGAGGGTCATGGCACTCTGAGGTGCAAGGGTGGACGAAAGAGCCTTAAGTTGTTTCGCGGCTGCTTAAATTGAGGCACCCGGCCCAGTCGTTCTGTAGGCACCGGCCAGGATTCTGTCCGCGTCGGAACCACTTGGCCACTTCCTTCCACCATGTGTCTGTCTCCATGTGTTCCTTCAAGCCCTCAACTGCGGACACTTGTCGTCTTGGTGCATGCCAAGACCGGTGTTCCGGTGTTCAGGGAGCAGTATCGACTCTTTGGGAGCGACAAAAGTGCCGTCGCTCGTCACGGCCGTGCACTGCGACCGGGACGCGAGACCTACGCTAGTGGTGCAGGATGGGCTGTGGCTCAAACAACTACTAGTGAGGGAGAGGTCTGGAGAGGGTTATCTGCAGTGATCTGCCTCCCTTTCCCGGCCTGTTTCCGATATCACAACCTGTGATGGCGGAGCCATCCACCGTGCACCCGCACTTGGACGGAGGCGATCGACTGCAATGGCGTTGACGGCACCTGGTGGCGAAGGTGGTTGTCAGAGAACGTGCGCTAGTCACTCGCCGTGACCGTCGAGCCAGGTCCCTTTGGATAGCAGTTGGAAGACTGCAAGGGCCAGATACTAGGTCGATCACTTGTTCAAGCCTCATACTCCCAACAGCCACACTCTGTAGACTCCCAGAGGGTTGGATTGGGGGGACGGACGGACTTCATGTAAGGGACAACGCGACCTAGACTCCGCGCGACTTTGGACTCCGACCCCGTTCGGTCTGCACTCACGCCGGAACATCACCAAAGTGCCATTGACATCAGGCCTCCACTATGGTGGAACTCCGTTCCAGCCCAGCTATCCAATCGTCTTTGCCGGCCCCAACCCTAGTGTCTGCCATGCCTGCCCCGCCCCAGTCTCTTCGATTTCCAATGAGACTGACCGGGCTTTGGTCCATCGCCGTGGTAGAGGAAAGTGTTAGTTAGGTCAGGTGGTCATGGTGCGAGAGCCGATCAAGTGGAGTGGCTTGGTCTGCCTCTCACCGGCTCAGGAGGTGTTGAACACTGATGGGTGGACCGCTCTCCGCCCCTTGTAGCAGGAGTTTGTGAGAGCAGCTGCTAAAGGGGTGGGTGGCAGGCAGCAAATCCGGGATGCGCCCAACAATCTGTCGCTGGATGGCACTCCACTGTGTCACTGTGCCCCCGACACATCGCCACCTTTCCCCAGTATGTATGTATGTACCTTCCAAACCCCTCCAAGCAACTCCTCCTGCTATGCTGGCGACCCCCGGGAAACAAAAATGGACGGGTTAGGAATCGAACCAAAGACCTTGTCAAGTAGGGTAGAAGATGCTAATGACACGCTCTACCAACTGAGCTACACGCCCCATTACGTAATGATAGTTTGCCCCATCATTATCTTCCTCTATGGTCCTACGCTTGCATGCATGGTGAAGAAGAAAAGCTAGAATAACAGGGACTAAGTACCACAAGAGCTGTGCATGCTGGCCACAGACCTTCCGGGCCTGCGTTTGGCGGCAGCAATGACGGTAGCGAGGCGGGCATTTTCTGGACCAGGCGTAGAAATAAAGTCATGGGCCAAATTAATAGTGGGTGTGGCACTTCCAATCAACGCGCTGCCCAGGCATTTTATATTATAGCAACCAAGTCGCATAAGAGAAAGAACGAGCATAAGAGGGCCATGCCAAGCGACCATGGCCCATTCCACCAGTCCTTCTCCCCACCAATTGTGTCTTCACTTTTGGACCACTGCAGGGTCCTGATTATTCCCAAACTTCAGGTTTCTGCCTCCCTCGTCCCATATCCCCCAGGCTCGAAAACAGCACAATTTAGAGAGTCAGCTTGACGTCGGTACACGTGACGTTGAGCTTCGAGTCGTCCATGTACAGGCAGGTGGCGTTGTGGTAGCCCTTGGGCGAGAGGACGTTGATGTCGGTGGCGGTGATGTTGGAGCAGACGGTGGCGGACGAGCACTCGAGCGTGGCGATGAGGGGGTCGTACTTGGTACTCGTGGTGCCTGTGAAATGGGGTTGTTAGTGAGGTGGACAGAGGCCAAGGAGGAGGTGCAAGACTAACCGGTAAAGTTGTAAAAGTTGACGTTGGAGATGGTCAGGGGCGAGGGGTACTGTTGTGAGCTTTGAACATGCGCTAGGAACTCACCTCTGCGCACAGAGTCAAGTTGGACTGTCCGTAGCACTGGGTGACCTCTTTGAGGACGTTAGCACCTGCTCTAGAGGGGTTTGGGTGGTTGGAAGGGCGACGGGTGGGACCAGAGTCCCCTTTGTGATCGAAAATGAGAGTACGTACCAATAGCGTAGTCTGTGGAAAGTCAGTCTTAGGACACCACCGAGAGCCAAAACCCGGTTCCGCCACTCACCAACATTGTCCAGGAGGAAGTTGGAGTAGGTGACGTTGTTGACGCGACCGTCGCCACCACCGCCCTGGAGGTCGCCGCTGAGAGCCGAGGGCGAGTTGGGCCAGACCTTGATACGTGCGCCGTCCGAGGCGTTGTGCATGGAAATGTCGGTGACGAGAATGTTCTCGACAATGTCGTACTCGCCGACGTACTGGCCGAGCGAGCCGACCGAGATGCCGTGCGAGCCGTTGCACCACAGGTCCTGGACGACCATGTTGGTCGAGTTGGGCTTGAACGAGACGCAGTCGTCGCCGTTGTTGATGACCGACGACTGGATCGTGACGTACTCGGAGCGGTACGTGTCCCAGCCGTCCGTGTTCTTGGCAACGTTGGCGGAAGCCGAAAAGCCCGAAATGTCCAGGTTGTTGAACACGACGTTGGAGGCGTTGGCGACAAAGTGGTAGTACATGGGCGAGTAGCGGAGGACGAGGTCGGAGATGATCGAGTTCTTGAGGCCGTCAATGCCGATGAGGACGGGGCGGAGACTGTGGTGATGGGTCAGTTGGGCCAGCCAGCACGTGTTTTACAAACTCACATGTAGATGTCCTGAGCATACAGGTCGTACCACGCCTGGCCACTGCCGTCGAGCTCACCGCCGCCGTAGATGAAGACGTCGTTGCCGCCGAGCTTGAAGAAGGAGGTGGCGTTCTGGAAGCCTGAAAGTGTGAGCTCCCGGTCAGTTGGCCGGTATGAGACTCACCATACTTGAACGAGTTGGCCTGCCAGTAGGTGGTGTTGTCGGTAAACTTGATCGTACCCTGGATATCTAATACCCCGTCAGCATTGTCGTCCATCTATACACTACCGCTGGGACGCACCAATGTCGATCGAGTTGAGGAACGTCCAGTCCATGGCCGTGCCAATAGTGTAGGTCGTGTTGGGGCTGAAGATGACGTGACCGCCGTTGTTGCACGAGTGGAACGCGCTCAGAATGTTGCTCGAGTCATCCTTTCCGCTACCAAGCGACTTGACGGTACACGTCTTGGTCCTCTGGGGGAAGGTAGGGAACGCCTTGAACGGCTTGTGGGGGTGAGCCGAGACCGAGGGACGCTGGCCACGGGCTGCGTGGCTAAACGCCGGAGCAATGTACTTTGTCTGGCTGGCCGACTTGGAGTTTGAGTTCGAGTTCGAGTTCGAGTTGCTGGTAGTCGGGGCCGCCGACGCGGTGAGCGCCAGGGTGCCGAGGGCGAGGGCGGTCGCAAACTTCATGGTGAGGAACGGTGCTTGCTGGCTGGATGCGACCCCCCCGCTCTCCCCTTAGCCTTATATATACGCTCAGAGAATCAGCACCATGATCGCGCAGAACACCGGTGTGAGCGTCGCTCAACATCCCACTTTTCCGGGTACACCTTGTCAGTGCTCGCGGCCCGGCGGGCGGGGCCACGGTCCGGGGAAGGCCCGAGATGTGGCGACCATGCTCATAGTCAACATGCAGTAGCAGTGGTATGACCGCGGGGCCGGTTTGGGGCTGCAGCATGGTCAAGCGGGGGCCGGGGTCTCCATGATGCCTAATCAACCACCGAGGTTCCATTTCAAGGTATGTAAGAGCCACTTGTCCTGAGCATTTGGCTGGGCGAATGTATTCTTGACAACGGGCCGTGGCGGACCGGCTTCAGCCGTCAGGCAAACTTGGTTTCAGCGACGCCTCGTTACGTGTTGGAGAGCAAGTTGATAGCACATGGTGGGAAACAGCACCTTCTGTAGAGGCTGCGCATACTGCGCATGCTGCGCAGGTCTGGTCCTCGTGACTTGATTCAGACGTTCTGCCCGGAACGGGGCGGTCGACGTGTGTGTCCATTGGCAGGCAGCGACTGCGCTGCTCGTGGCGGATGGAGAGAGAAGCATTGCGCCGAACTTGTTCCGTGTAGCCATATGATCTCGGCCTTTACAAGAGACCTTTCAGCTTTTGGGTTCACATAGCATGCTCCCCCAGTGGCAGAAACTGCGCAACGGCCCGGCACCCCGCCCACCGCCAGCGCGGGGACAGACCCATCAACAAGACACCGCCGGTTCTTGGTTGGCAGTGTAGTTTGTGCTCTCATTCGTTTTCATTCTCGTCAACGCAAGTGGCAGTTGGCGCCACCGGGTTCCTTGTCATCATAACTTCTCACGCCTGGTCTCCGTCACCCTCTTGCGTTTAGCCCGCTCCTTCCTCTCCTTCCTCCGCTCACGCGGTTCCCGACGCGTCAGATCTCCGAGCGTCCGTGGTGTGGCACGTTACGCATCCACAGCGTGTACGCGGCTGTCAGCGGCCCGACGTTCACCTCGGTCATTGACCGCAACCTTAGTCACGACGCTGATATTCAAAGATCCCAGAGGCGTGTATGCGATGGCTTCTACCAAACACCCTCGCGGGAGTCTCGGGCCGGGAGAGACGAGGCGCGAGAGACAGCCCACCGTGTATGCGTGGACCGTGGGGGAGACGAAAAGCATAGGTCGAGGTGTATTTTTGGGTCTGCATGTCGCAGAACGTATGCTCGATGCACACATATGTGTGCGCTTGCCGGGCGTGTGGCGCGTTGGGTTGGTTGATGACGCTTACACATTATCGGCCGGGTTATAAAGCTCCAATGCGACGTAGTGCGTTTCGCCGCAATGTCGCTTACACATTATGGTCTGGACGATGTCTGGTGTTGCGTCCGTAGGACGCACATGGTGTGTTTTCTGCCAGGACGCCGACACACGGGACCAAAAGAGATCCGTGTCCGCCCGTTCATCAACGATCACATGCACACAGTACACATGCAAAACACGCAAAACGTGCAGCTTACAGCTTGCAGCTTGCAGGCTGTCATGTCAAGAGCGTCAGATGAGGTTAGGTAAGGACTTCACCTCGTCTGATGGTCAGCGCCATCCCCGTCGCTCGCTGCCGCCGCTCACTCATCCACCATACGACGACGGGTCGTCTGAACGAGCGATCCGCGAGCTGCTGGACCGCCGAGGACCTGTGCGCCTGTGGGGGACGCGTTGCCAGTAGTTGTAACACCACAGCGTACAGCGAGGAGACGGGTTCCGTGGTGCCGACATGGTCAGTAAACACATGTCGCGACGGCAGAACCTAGAACCACCCCGCGGTTGTGCCTCCTGCGCGGTCCTCCATCCATACGCGCGTACCGGCGCGCACTGGCCGCACCGGCGCACTGGTCAGCTGCTCGAAGCTTTATGGGACACGGTGGCGCGGGCCTGTATGGCTGCTGCGTGTTTATGTCTGGCAGGGATTCATCGAGCGGGGGGGGGGGGCCATGGGGGGCTGGTCTGTTTCAGATAAGCGCGGGGGTACGTGTTGTTTTGTTTTCGAACCCCTCATCCTCGTCTTCAACGCCCATGACGTTGGTGGCCGTCGAGCTAGTGGTGGAGTGTGGAGCGTGGCACTAGTGCTGTACATATGATCGAGGGTGCTACACGCTACACGCTGCTGGATTGCGCACGTATGTACGCTGGAACGTGGGGTCAATCAATTGAGAGATGCGTCTCTAGCGCAGGAATCAAACGAGCTGCCCTCGATCCCAAATACGATCCCCCCACTTCTCATAAAGGCGCTGCAGGTTGCCGCAAGGCCCCCCCCCCCCCGCACGCTTTGCAATGATCCAATGATTGAATTGTTCCATTAGCACAACCCCGACGCGCCGACGCGTCTTGTCCTCGACGAGCTGCGACGAGGCTCATGCATGTACGCATGTCTTGGCGTGGCGCGTTGCGCAGCATATGTGCAGTAGCGGCCCCCGTTAGCTCATGTCCCCCCACACGCCACCTCTTGCACGCCATAACATGCTGCACGGCGTGACTGGCGTCGGTGTCCGCTGACCGCGCGCGTGTGTGTCGAGAGAGAGAGAGCGACCCAAACACGAGAGAAAGAAAGGAAGAGAGAGGTGGGACAGTTTCAAAGGCACTGGCTGGGACGATGTGGGTCCAGTCAACACGACTGCACGACTGTGTGTCACAGAAGCAACACCTGCAGTCTGTTTGAATACGCAGGCCCATACAGGGCGGCTCAATACAAGGGGGGTGGGTTGGCCGTTTGCAAAGTGGTGCAAGTGACGGCATTGCTGAACGCGCACCGTGCTCTCTCTCAGGACCAAAGAAGGGGGGGGGGGGGCAGGAGGACCTTTTGGCGTTGAATGGGGCGGAATGGCGTCAAACAAGAAACGCGCGCGAGCGAGGAACGGGCCGAGCGATATGGTGCGGGCGGGGGGGGGGGGGGGGGCTACTGGCTGGTTTGCCATATGCCCGCCTGCGCTGCAGAGCTCGCTCGATTCTCCCTGTCAAACACATGCATATGCGCCATGCAAAACGTTGGCTGCACGCGCTGCCCTGGTCTTGCGCGCGCACAGGACGTCATGCCCGTCCCAAAACGAACGACGTCTACCCCAGCGACAGGCCCTGGGCGCGCGCCTGGACGCTTGTACGCGCTGTACGCTCTCACCCCCGTGTCTCATGCTTCATGTTGCAAAAAGGGCTGCCGACAAGCTTCCCAGCTGTGCCCAGCGCTGCCGGTCGCCAAGCGCACACACTCTCACTACATATTGTCTTTGCTTGCACCGACCGAAACGCGTCTCTCTCTCTCTCTCATCTTCAATCCTCTTACCCACCACCACCCGACGCACCCCCCCCCTCCCTCTACAATGTCACAGGCAACATCCAAGACGTGCTTTGGCACCAACGCCACATTGGCAGAATCCTGCTGCACAACCGCAAACGGTACTTGGAGCGGCAAGGCTTCAAGCTGCACCCTCGCCCCTCTGTCCGATGCCTTCAAGTCGTGTGTCGACGCCGGCTCTAGCAACTCGACGTCTACCGTCCAGTGTACCCTCAACGCCGACAGTGCGGGTGTCGCCGCCTTGCAACTGGGCCGCGGCAGCCTGCTCGCCGTCGTCGCGTGCATGGCTCTCTCAATAGCAAGCGCGAGTACCCTCGTCTAAGATGTGGTCAGAGCGTGCTCTCTGCCTGTTCAACCCTAGCGCCTGTACCAGTCTGTGAGTACCACCAGTTCAACGCTGACGAGGACCGTTTTGCGTGGGTTGCCGTTGCTGACTGGGCGTCAGTTTGTGTTTCCATTCCTCCCCCTCGTCTTTCACACGAGCACGCGGCAAGGCCGCTCGTCGTCGATCTGCTCCGCGTCCTCGACGCCGGCAGCATCCCCCGCACCAAACGCTTCCCACCCCAACGTGCTCGTCATATCACTTGTTGCCAACATTGCGCACTCTCTGGTGCAATGTGGACCCGGACCTGCTGGATCTCCCGTAGCGAGCCACAGCACAGCCGGCAGGGAGCACGACGACAAGAATGATCAGACTCCGAGACTCCACTCTATCAACCTTAGTCCGACGGCATGAGGGTGTACGCCGCCCAACCCATTCGCCTCCGAAATACCCAGCACCCACATGGCCACATGCTGTAATGGCCACCGACCAACTTTTCTTCATTGCTTTCTGCAAAACGGACCAGCAGTAATACACGAGCCCAGATACTCGACCCCCCAAGTCGGCGAGCACACGAGCATGTGGTCACTGCACAGCAGTCGCGCTCAGCGTCGCCCCAACGAACAACACGGTCGACCCACCCACACCCGCATACACAACACCACACACATACGTCACCAAGGCCGCAACTTCCCAAGTCCAAAGTCACCCTTTCTGTAACACCACTGCGCTCTTCATTGTACAGTTTAAAAGTAGTAGTCCGCACAATTATAAAGCATCACCGTTACCAGCTCCCCAAGACTCTCGCCACTGATCCATTGATCCACTTGATGCGACCCACTTACTCGCAGCGCTGCCTTCCCCGCATCAACCAGCTGGCAACTAACCCAGCCGCCGCACCGGCGCGACGGCGCTCAACGTACCCGGAGTCCGCAGCGCGGGCGCGGGGGCAGCCTCGCGACTCGCCGGCCCGTCCACCGCACGTCCCGCACGCCGCACCGTGATCATTGCGCTCACTGGCGCCGTTCAGACGTGCGGGGGCCGTGGCGAGCGCACAGCCGTCCCAGCCGTCCCAACCACCCCCAGCCACACCCACTTAGCCCTCTAGCCAGGCCAGCCACAGCCACGAGCACGGGTTTGGCGTCGGTACCCCGCCCTCGATGCCCCTGTGTCGGCGGCTGGCCGACTTTTGATCAGCTGCATCGACCTCTGTACGCGCAAGCAGGCTGGCATGTTTGCGCATTTGCCGTTCATAGGGCCCGTTCGATCGGGGAGAGCGAACGAGGACACTGGTACACTGACCGCCCCCGGCGTTCGGCGTCTGTTTGGTGCAGGGAAGTAGGGCAAAGGTGGGGAGAGGGGGGAAGGCAAGCAGGGTCCAGTGACCCCCCGGAAGGCGTATGCCTGGAAAGACATGCTTCGTGAAGCCTTCCAGTGCAAGAGACATTGCTCTCAGGTGCGTCCTGGAGGTTCTTGTTTGGTTCTCGTAAAGCTCGAGACAACGAGAGACCGGACAAGACACACAATGCTGAGGCGTGCTCCCTCGCGTCATTTGTTCGGCGTGAGCTTTGACGCTGTCGTTAGTTTGGAGTGGAGAACAGCTCTAAGAATGGTGGACTGAGCAACTAGGCTGCAATGGGTGGTGGGCAGTGTGCATGATGCTGGTGCAGTGTGTTTGCTGCGTCGCCAGATGGTGCTGGATGACGACTTGTGCGTGGTGCTTATCACGGTCACATTACGGCCGGAACAACAATGACGTGTCCAGTTGCTGCACGGCGCCAAGGTGGAGGTCGGCCAACCGAAGCTGCCCGAATGACAACGACCACCGACGTGATGAGCAAGCACACTTTGTGAATCGACAACAACACTCTGGGCAACGCAGCGAGCCTGGCTACCGACAGGACCGAAACTACCCATCCATCGCATTTCTCCTACTGGAAGAATTCGACGCCATGGTCCTCGCATCGTCCAACTTCAAGGTGGGGTCTGCTTGGCTATGAGCTTGTGCTGACGCATCCAGACCGAGTTTGCGGTCGACATGACCTGTCAGAGCGTGAGTTACCAAAGTCACTCCTCGAGACCAACAACTGACATGCCAGTGCGTCAGTGCAGTCAAGACTGCTCTCGGCGGCGTGGAGGGTACGTCATTTTCAGCACACCTACCACGGGGGTTGCCGTCTAACGCGCAGGCATTGAGCGGTACGACATTGAGCTCGAGAACAAGCGCGTCACCGTCACCGGAAAGAGTAAGCTGGTCGGTGATCCCCCAAGCTGACGTCCAGCACCTCCCTCACAGCTCCTCGCGGCCCTCAAGTCCACCCACCGCCAGGTCCTCGTGCGCGGCTCGTCATCGGCCGACCCCAGCGTCCCCTCCCAGGCCGCCGTGTCGATCCTCGAGTCGCCGCACCCTGTCCCCTCCATCCCGTCCAGTGCCGGACCGTCGGCCACCGCCGCCGTCCGCGACCTTCCAGGCATGAACGAGGAGGAGTTTAGCCAAAAAGTGTTTGGCATTGCGCGTTTTGTCCAGATTGCCCCCTCGTCGGTACTCATGGACATGACCGTCCGCCTCCCACCCTCGTCCACCAACCAAACGTTCAACGTCTACGTCTCCACCACGGGCAACGTCGTCGACCCACCACGTACCACCGGCGAGGCGCTGTATCAGCTCGGCCGGATCACGCCCGACAAGGACGGCTACGGCGACCTGTTCAAGGAGGTCGACGGCGAGCTGTGGCAGTGGATCGGGCGCGGCTGTGTGGTCCAGGCTGCCACGAGCGGTGTGCCCGCCGGACCCGCCGCCGACGCCAAGCCCGGATCCATCTTTGCCGGCGTCGTGGCGCGCTCGAGCGGGGTGTGGGGTAACGACAAGACAGTGTGTGCGTGCTCGGGACGTACAATGTGGGAGGAAGGCAGGGAGATGGAGGCCAAGGGTATGCTCTAGACACTGCAGAGAGTATGTACGATATACTTGTGCTTGGCGTATGGGTTTTAGCAGCCATATCCCGCGCAGTCCGCAGAGGGCGACGCCGCGCACGCCGCAGACAGTTGGAGACGATAACAGGCCGGAACAGTTCGGCCAACCAACTGACACAATGTTCGGATCCGAGTGTTAACTCACGGTTTGAGACCTATTTTGGTGGAATTGGTGCCACGGACATGCCGGAAATACAAACACACGTCCAAATGTCGGTTCCGAGCAGTTTACGTCGTGACAGACACAGCTGGGAGTGGCAGCACAACTTGATACATAACCGCGCTCCAGCTCTCCAGTGCGCTCAATCCCAACTCCCACGCCGTTATACAATTCACCCTGTACATTTCTCTGCCCAGTATACCAGCTCTCTTCGTCGCTGCTTTCCACCACCTTCATCAATACCCAGCAGTGTGGCTAAGTTTCCACTAGCACCCGTTCATTTCCCACCCTTTCCGCCCCCCCACACGTAAACTTTGGACAACATGGTTCTTTCTCGTTTGGACCACCCCCACGACCCCAATGTTTTCAATCTGGAGCATGTGGTCCAGGACAGTACCCTCAAATCAGAGGATGGCCTCGACCTCCACGAAAAATCAACTGCCGACGCCTCGGAGGTCCCTTCCTCGACCGAGATGGAAATCAGCGGTGATGAGCTGTCCCACTTGGCTAGCGGTCGCAAGACTGTTCTCCTCATGTGCTTTGTGAGCCATCTCCCCCCCCCCCCTCTTTCCCCGATCTAACCGTCACCAGTCCCTCTCAATGTTCGTTGACGGAGCCGGCGTCGCCGCCTGTTTCCTCCTGGCGGCACCCATCGCCGAGGACCTGGGTATCGACACGGCCCACTCGGCGTGGATTCTCACCGCCTACTCGCTCGCGTTTGCTGGGACCTTGCTCCTAGCCGGCCGCCTCACCGACCTGTACTCGCCCAAGATGCTGTTTGCGGCTGGCTTTATGGGGTTGGGCATTCTCAACCTGGTCATCTCGTTCATGCAGGACCAGTATGCGTTCTTTGTGCTGCGCGCCATGTCGGCACTCCTTGCGGTCCTTACCGTTCCGTCCTCGGTCAACATGATTGTCCAGATGTATCCCAACCCGCACGAGCAGACAAACAAGCTCGCGGTGTTCGCGCTCGCCGGCGCGCTGTCGACCACCATCGGCCCCATTCTGGCTGGTGCCTTTGTCCCGGCCTCGTGGCGCTGGTTCTTCCGATTCATCTGCATCGTCGCCGTCCCCATCTCGGTCCTGTCCTTCTTCCTCCTTCCAGACACCAAGTCGGTCGCCAGTGAAACAAAGAGTACCGAAAAGTGGCGTCGCATGGACTTTGTCGGCGTGTTTCTCATCCTGGCCATTCTCATTCTGTTCATCCTGGCATTCACCCAGGCCGAGTTGGATGGCTGGGGTTCCGCCATGTTCATCGCCCCTCTCGTCATCTCACTTGTCCTTCTCCCCGTCTTTATTGTATGGGAACTGAAGCGTCCCGAAGGCTGTGCCCTCCTCCCTCACGACATTTGGTCGTTCCCCAACATCTTCCCGCTCATCCTCCACACCACCGCCGTCTACGGCTGGTTCTCCTGCTTCCAGCTGCGCATGTCCACCTACTTCCAGGAGGTGCTCGGAGACTCGGCCCTCATGACCGGCGTCAAGTTTTTGCCACTCGGCATCACCGGCATCGTGATGGGCTCGTTGATCCAGTACATGCCGTGGCTCATCACGCGCCCGCGCTTCGTCATGCCCGTCGCCTCGGCCCTCGCGTGTGCCGGCAGCCTCATCCTGGCCTTTTCCAACGGCGGTAAAGGTGTCGACTATTGGAAGTACATCTTTACAGCCGAGATCGTCGGTACTCTGGGAGCCATGGTCTGCTTTGTGGGCATGAACACGGGCCTGATCCAGGCCTTCCCCCTCGAGTTTGCCGGCGTCGGCGGCAGCTTTGCCAACGTCGTCTTCCAGATTGGCGGTGTCGTCGCGCTGGCGATCCAGACGGGACTCCTCTCCACCGGCGACGGTACCATCCAGGACTGGAAGGGAACCCAGAACAGCTACTTCTTTACATCAGCCTACATCATGTTCACTGGTACCGTGTTCTGTCTCTGGTATCGCCAGGACAAGATGCCAGTCCATGCTGCGCCCTCGGCAGCGTAGAGGCCTCTGTATCAACACTTCCGAGACGACAGTCTATTCGAGTGTATATTTTTTCTTTTATTATTATTCTGCACTACATCATAGATATATTGCCCCCATCGACATGCATCCACCAGCACGGCCTGCGTTGGCCCGCGTATGCCCTCGTTGGGTTGCACCTGGGGACGGGCGATGTGGTTTGGGACCGGGGCTCGTGCCTGGAGATTGTTGACCTCCACCTTTTCGCGACGCTGGCGAATTTCCGTCTTCTTCCTCATCCAACACCTTGATCTCTCCATCGCTCTCCGTCGCCATCCCCCCCTTCCCTCCCTCTTCTACCATGCTGGCCGTGCGGCGATTGTCGCTGCAGTCGCACGGCTCGCGCTCGTTCACCACCTCGGCTCATGTGTGCGCCAAAGGCTTCGGACTGAGGAAGCCAGGCGACCACACGCCGTCCAAGCGGTCGGCCGGTCTGGAAGGACGACCTGTGGAATCTCGACCAGTGGGAAGAGACACACCGTCCCGGTTCAATGCAGGTCGGTTAGAGAACCATTCGGGACGGGGCCAACGACGTGTGGCCAACTCGCGACCAGCAGAGACAGCGTATCCATTGCAGTCCCGGTCGACGCCAGAGCGCCGGTCAACGCAGCCCCCGTCATCGACAGAGCAAAGTCAGCGACACCTCGATGCACTTCTCTTTTCAATGGGGGACGACCCGTCCGACTGGTCTAGCACCGAATTGTCGGCAGATCCCTCCTCTACGCCATCAACACGCCCTCTCTCCTCTCCCAAACTCACCAGCCAACTTCCCCCTCCCCCACGACGACCATTAGCCGAACCAACGTCGCCATCCTCTCCCAGGCCGAGGATAGAGTCTCTCCCCCTAGCTGCGCAGATTGCGTCAATGATGTCGACATTGAGACCCAAGGTGCACACGGACCAGAGGGCCTCCGAGCACCGACCGTCTCGAGAACGGGCAGAGGGCGGACAGCAGCGCCCGAAGCCTGTCTTCCAACAGACAAACGAGGAGCCCGCCGCTGCCCTACCGACATTACGGCCACGGCCCGAGGCTGCTTCGACACCTTTTGCCGCACGGCAGACCCCAGTCACGCACGAGCTAGCCTCCGACGACCCGGATGCTGGCCGTGCGGCGCTCGCGTCGGCGCTGTTCCAAGCGTTGGGGACTCGTCCTGTTCCATGGGAAACACGCCCAGCTGCCGACGAGGACCGGGGGACACTGCCATCGACAAACGAGTTCAAACCCGCACGCGTCGCTGAGGAGGCGGATGAAGAATGGGCGGAGGCTGTGACCGAACACTCGGAGCCCCCCTCGTGGACACGGGAAGGATCACCCTCAACCACGTCGGAAAGCGCCCATCAACACCCGCACATTTCTAGTCCGCAGCTGGTGTCGCTGGCATCAGCTTTCGACATCCCCTTGCCGTTCGCCCTCGGTGGCGCTGGAAAGCTGCCCAACGCAGCCCAGCACCTGCACATTGTTGACGCCAACCACCGCGTGGACATTCCGCTCTCCAGTCACAGCTGCAAATACTTGCAAACGCGAATGAGCAAGTATCACGAACGGACCATGACGGCCAGTCCCGAGATTGCCTCCATCGCGTTCCCTCCCATTCCTCCCAAGCAGTTTGCGCTCAGTGCCGACCCCGTTCTTGGCCTCCGCATCCTGCCCGCTATCGAGGAGCGCCTCGGTCTACAGGGCCTGTACGCCGTGCCGTGCAGTTTGACCCTCCGCCGCTCACGGTCCGCGCACGCCGTCGACATTCCCGTCTCGATCGCCGAGAAACCCATGATCGGCAAGATTATCGTCTGCCTCCCGTCTGAATTTGAAGGCGGGTCGCTTGACATCAAGCTCAAGGACCACGAGATGTCGTTCAACTTTTCAGCATCCCAGTCGGCCAAGAGCAAGACATACACCTGGGCATTCTATCGCGCCGGTTCGCGCGCAGTGTTGAATCCCGTCCGCGGTGGTAGTCGCGTCACTGTCGAGTATGACGTGTACCAATACCAGACGGATCCGCCCGCTGCGTGCGAGTCGGAAATGCAGAGGTGGAACATCAACACTGAGACGGATGGCTGGCCGACGCAGCACGACACTGCGCTGCGTGAACTGCTCTCCGACCAGTCCTTCCTGCCCAACGGCGGTCTACTCGGCTTTGGGTCGTCGCACGAGTATCCCGACATGTACTCGAAACCCGGCGAGCCCTTGAAGCTCAGGTATGTGGAGGAGACCCCCAGCGGCAGATCCTGCTCGGGCACGATCCCGCCCAGAGGTGCCGACAACTACTGGACCATGGCGATGCGTCACTACTCGATCCGCTACGAAATGAAGAGTTTTATCGCCACGCTCGGCCCCGGCGATGACCCCCTCAGCTCGACCATGTGGAATGTCCCGCAAGCACACATCACATGGGTCATCCCCCCGCGACTCGTCAAGTATGTCAACGGCAAACGCGCAGGCTTTGCCGCGACGCACAACCCTGCAGCTCGGCTCAGACGGTACGACGAGCAGTACATGAGTACCGCGCTCTTCGCCGAGATCCCGCCCGCTGGGCTTCGCCCGCGATTGCTGGAATCCGTGGACAGACGGAGGGCCCGTGGCATTGGCCGCGATTGAGCGCGTCCAGCAGACGTGTTCCACCTCCAGCTGTCCCCGACGTACTCCTTCACATTCCCCGTCTCCATCTACTGCGTGCCCCAAGCACATCTGCACGCCCACTTCATACTGCATCTACACTACCCTTGCATGTACACCATTCCCCATCACGATAAAATGGCCAAGAAGACTGTGGTACAGAAACCAACTACTGAAACATGTCTTAGCCAAACGCAACCTGTGGCGAGGGTTCCTGGTGGGTGTCCAGCTCGAGGCGGTCCACCTCGTCCTTGATGAGACCACCAATGTCGCCGATAGTAGGCGCCATGACGAACCCGGCGTTGGCGAGGACCTTGCGCTTGGCCGCGGCGGTCTCGCTGTCGTCCCACCACACGGCGCCTGCGTGGCCGTACGTCTTGCCCCGCTGCGTTGCTGCGCCCGCCACAAACCCGACCACAGGCTTGGCCACCGTCCCGGCCGGGAGGGCCGACACATAGTCGGCATAGACGGCCGCGGCCTCTTCCTCCATCTGCCCACCGACCTCGCCGACCAGGCAGACAATCTTGGTCAAGGGGTCCTCGAGCAGGACCTTGAGGGCCTCCCACGACCGCGTGCCCGGGAAGGGGTCGCCGCCGAGCCCAAACACGGCGCTTTGCCCCAGCCCCAGGGCCGTCGTCTGCGCCGCCAGGTCGTACGAAATGGTCCCCGAGCGGCTGATGAGGCCCACAATCCCTGGAGCGTGCACGCGCAGCGGCTGGATACCGAGCTTTACGCGCTGGTGCGGAAAGATTGCGCCGGGGCAGTTTGCGCCAATGAGGCGCGACTTGCCCTGGCTCCTCAGCGCGGCCTGGACGCGCAGCTGGTCGTGCTGCGTCACGCCCTCGGCGTACGACACGATGAGCGGGACCTCGGCCGCGATGCACTCGATAATGGTGTCGGCGGCGGCCGCGGGGGGCGCAAACACGCTCGCGATGCGCGGCCGCAGCGCGCGCGTGGCAGTCGCGACGTCGTTGAACACGGGCTTGGAGAGGAACTCGCTGCCGCCCTTTCGCGGAGCAGACGCGCCGACAATGTTGGTGCCGTACTCGGACGCGACGGTCGAGTTGGCCTGGGACGCCTTGCCGAGGCCGACCACGAGCACCGGGTCGTCCTTTTGTACCTTTAGGTTTGGGATGGTGCGCTCGTACTGCCCGTCACGGGCGAAGAGCACGGGCCGGGACGCGGGAGGAGCAGGCTGCGGAGGAGAAGTCTTTATGCCTCGCTTCTTGGCACCCGGGAGCGACAGCTCGACGGCGCGGTTGGCCGCTTCCTTCATGTCGCCAATGTACTCGACCTCGGGGATCGCCGCTTTTTGCAACTGCCATTGTCAGTTTCGGTCCAGAGGGTTTGGAAACTCACAATCTCCCGAGCCTCCTCCTCGCCAGTGCCACGCAGGCGCATCACGATGGGCGGGATATGGCCACCGGCAGCGCGGCGCTCGTTGATAAACGCCACAGCTCCAGCTGCGATCAGGTCCATCTTGGTCAGGCCGCCAAACGAGTTGACAAAGATGACGTCGGCGCCAGCGTCGGCGAGGATGAGTTCCATGGCAGCACGGACGTTGGCTTCAGTGGCGCCACCACCACCGTCAAGAAAGTTGGCCGGCTGTGTAAATGTGAGCCGAAGTCTTCCACACGACGCAGCTCATAACCATGCATGACCCACCCTTCCGCCAGCCGCGCAGAGTGCGTCCATGGTGCTCATGGCAATTCCGGCACCATAGCCATAACACGCAATGTTACCGTCGCCCTTGTGGTAGAAGAGCTTGCCGGCCTCGGCCTGGTCCTCGAGCGGGTGCGCCGGGGCACCGAGCTCACGCACGCCCGGGTGGTCCTTGAGCGCAAAGTCGTCCGCGACGACCCTAATGTTACCGCTGGTCGAGGTCAGAAACCCCTCGTACACCCATCCACTCTGCTCTGCTCTGCTCTACTCACAACTGCGCTCCTTGGTCGCCAGCCTTCAGTGTTCCAGTAACGCGCAGCAGCCCGTTGGCCCGCCATGCCTCCCAGAGACCTTGGAGAGCGGCGCGGGCGGCCGCACGCTGAGACGCAGGAACACCCACGGCGCCGAACCAGGTGTCGGTCGGAGGAAGGTCGGACGACGACACATCCAGCTTGAGGACGGACGGCTTGCCGCCCGTTCCAGCGGCCTCGAGTGTGGGAGCGTGGTAGACTCGCGAGGCAGACAGCTTGAACGGCAGTCCATCGGTCGCGGTCACGATAGAGGCAGTGCTGGGAAGGTTCTGGGATTGTCAGGAGAGATTCCGGGGTGAGGAGACACGGAAGACAGACCTGGGACAACAGCTGGGCCGCGCCGCTTGATTCGAGGTGGAGGTGTCGTGCAAACACACGAGTGGGCTGCTGCGCCGCAGCGCGCACACATCCAAGTGAGCCGAGCCTGTACATCGGGCGAGAGGTGAGTGGTGATGAGGACAAGAGTACGATGTGGAGCAGTCGTTTGCTCAAGTATAGGCTGGGAGACACATTGCACTCACAACCATCTCGCCGAAACCCGCGTCTGCAAGGGCATTGCTGCAGTCGGAAATGGCCGAGCGAAGCGTGCGCAAATCCCACAGATACCGAACCCCGTGTCAGATGGTGGGTCCGTTGTCACGTATAACGTACAGCGAACAGCCGTGGCACCACGGCCGTAGAGAACGTGCTCTACGACAGCGAGTCCAGATCGAAGAGATGACACTGTACATCTATCGACAGCGCAATGTGCATACTGGAGCCCTCGGAGAAGAGTACACCGGCGTCCACCGCGTCCCCCCGGTATCTTGGTGAAAACCCCGAACCATCGCCACCCAACTCGAGTCTTGACCATCCAAGCCACGAAACACTCAAACCTTCGTACGGCCGAGAGATCGAGACACGTCCTCTGGAGCACTTGGGCGTCGAAAGACATGTGACTTGAGCGGGCGCCGTTATGCGTAAGAAGGACATGGCCTCCCCCGATTGCTCGAGTGGACGCCTTGGACATGTGGTCTCGCCCCCACACCCCCCCGGCCGATCACTCGACCGGCCGGTAACGGCCGCCACTTGTGGGGTGGGTCATGCCCTTCCTTCCAGACCGCGTTGGTCTCGTCTTATGCATCTTGTACGCCAAGCACGGCCGTGGATTGACACGTGAACGCAGGCGATCCTCGTACCTGTTCCCGGTAGGGCCATGGAACACGCTGATTATCGAAGAAGAAGGCGCGCTGTGCCGGAGCGATCGAACGAGGCGGTTGCCGAGAAACCGGCCTCACCAGTAGGCCGACGTAATCGCGCTGCGAGACGTGTAATCTTATCTATCTCCCAGTACTGGACCTGTGTGATAGTCAATGGTGGTGAACAAGACTGGTGAGGACTGGTGTATGCAGTGCGGCACGAGGAAGGGGAGGGTGGCTCTGTCACGTTTAGAGGGCGCAGACAAGAGACGGCCACTCATTCTTGCAACGACCGACATCCCCAATCCCAGTCTCTCCCAATGACACTACCTGTGTCTGAAATATGGGCCGTTTCCTGCCTTGACTGGGGCCGGTTTCGTTACCTCGCGCGATGAGGACATGAACAGGCAAAGGAAGATGTCGTCCCAACTCTTGCGGCGGTTGTTGTCATGTTGTTGCTGCAATGTTCCGAGGGTTTGTCAGTGTCCTAAACAAGTGTGAGTCCCTTTGGTGAGTCTTGACGAGCGGGTACACTGCAGTACATTTACCTGGGGAAACGATGAGATCTGCACGGGTGTCCATCTGAGAAGACTTGAGCGTTTGGGGTTAGGAGGGAAGACGAAACGAAAACCGACGTGCCATCACCTGCCCCATCTCGACCACCTCGCCTTGCCACCCGCTCTCCTCTTCTCGACCCGGTAACGCCCGAGCCGACACAAGACGATGGGGAGATGAACCATAAACCTCTCAACTGATTGAAAGCAAAGTGTTGGGGACGAGTCTCGATATCAACACCCAAGAACGCCAGCCCCGGTAAGATATTAGATTTTTAGCCGCATGTGTGACACGCTCGATTGCGGTTCGTGCGATCGTGCGCCGCACGGGCATGTGCGCAGGGGTGGCGTCTGTGCCATTCAGTTCGGTTGCAGATCAAAAAATCTCCTTCGTGACATCGCTGGAACACTGGCGCGCGCCGTGAGCTTGGATATCTGTGAGATCCAGCATCTGTGCAAGCATTGGGAACCGTACCATCTTTTCGTTCCCCCCAACGATCGGGCACGTCCGACGCCTTCTTTTCCGGGAAACAGGTTCACGACTTGACCGGTTGTTGCGTGGTGGCGCCGCACGCCCACAAGATCTCGTCTCCACGTGAGAGGCGTGCGTACGTCGATTGCGCGTCGCCCCCGGCGCTTCAGGAGCGTCCTGTGGTGGCAAAAAGGTGCTGGCCGCTGGCCGCTGGAATGTGGGAGACAAACGGATCAAGTCAGAACTGACACCTCGCGGAGATTGCGGAAGGAGGAGGGAGGAGGAACAAAGGCCACCTGCGAGCGCGTACGGGGGTAGAGGTGTTGCGTTCCGCACTGCGTAAGCTGTGTGTGTCTGTACCTGTACGCCGCGTCATTCGGGGCCGGGCGATTATCTTGGCATCGGGAGCCCCTTTGGCCTTTGCTGTTGGACAGCGCGACGGCCCCCCTTGCATAACGGTGGAGGTCAAACACCTTCGGCAAACATGGACCGGTGAGCAGATGGCCCCCGCCGTATATCGGTCAACGCCGCCCCAAGCCTTTGGTGGGGGGGCCAATGTCTTGGTGACATGAACCACCATACACCGAGCAACACAAATGAGCATGTTTGCATCGCATTCTTAGACAACGACGGCAAAAGTCGGAGTAGACGACAAGGTCAGGCTCATCTGGTCCGAGCCCACCCTCGCTAGCCCGCTGCTCTGCCGCGGCGTCCGGCGTTTACCGTCGCGTGCCGCTGGCAGTTTGCCGTGACGGCACACGACTGTCCTGTCCTTGTCATGAGCATTGGGCGCATCCTCTTCGCCAGCACGGAGGCCTAGATGCATCATCTGACGTCTAATCGAGCCACTACTGCATTAGCTTGAAAGAGTCTGCTTTTGCCAAGGAGCGGCGGCGGCCAGATGTCTGTGTGTGGAGATGCAACTGGGCCAACCCGCGCCATTGCTATCAGATCCTTTGTGCCCGGCAAACGATGAGGCCGCTATTCGACATTCGGACTTCGGCGACGAACGGAGTGACACGCTTGCACGCTTTGCACGCTTTGCACGCTTCCACGCTTGCGCGGTTCAGCCGTCTCAGTTCACACATGTCAGATGTTGGGTGCGCGGCAGTGCCTTCCCGTGAGGTTGGAGGCTTGGGTCTGAGGCTTTGAGTCTGGCCCGTGGTGACGACAAAAAGTCTTGGCGTGTCTCTGCGGCGTGCGCCGCAGCAGCCATTCCGCACCACCATCTTGGGTGCATTGCCGGCAGCCCGGGGGGAGGGGAACGCACCAACCTCTCCCCCCTGTCCTGTGGCTGTTGTATGTGGAGAACCGAGAGGGGCACAGAACACATCGCCGACTAAGAGATTGTGGGGATCGGATCCTAAACAAGGTGGAACATGGTTCCCCCGGCTAGCCGCCCACCAGCGGGGCCAGCGATTTGCGCTCCACTAGGATGTCTTTACTGGGCAACACAGCCAAGCGGACGCTCCAGCGACGTTGGAGAGTAACCCCCCTGGGCAGCTGTTTATCGCATACGTGATGGTACCACAGCACCACAGACAGTCGTACGGTCATGTGCCATTTGGTCACACATTGCTGGGAAGGCAATTACAGGGCGTGCCAGTCACACCGAACAACAACCAGGTACAGACATGGACCCCGCTGTCCTCGTTTGGAGCAGTTGGCTGGGTGAGCCAGGGCCCAAACCTTCTCTGGAGCAAGGTAGGCCACAGCTTCGCCTCGGTTCACGGCGAACGTGCCTCCCTCCTCTCGTGTGCGAGTACAGTCCGCAGGCCGCAGGGGAAGAGTGTCCAGAAGTGGCGTCGCAAAGCCTTGGCAATCGCTCTGTGCGTGGCTATCATTCTGGGGAAGTGTCGGGGAGCCCCGGTGCATCAATCTCCGGGGCCGCTGGGGAGAGACACAGATCCCTGCTTGCCGGCGTCCGGAGCCGCGCAGCCGATATGGGCAATGGACAACAGGTACCCAACTGCGCTGGGGGCAGGTCGGGAGAGACGAGTGGCAGATTTCAGCACACAGCGCCAAGACCGGCCATGGCATTAGCCCTCCGTCCTTGGCAACATGCCGGGCAACCAACCTTTTCCTGGACCGGCCAGGTCTTTGCCGCACCATCAATGTGGGGCCAATCTGGGGGGGCATTCTCGAAGGACGGGGAGTATATTAAAGAGGGCATGGTTGCCTGATCGTCTTTCCCCAACACAAGCCCTCACACCTAACTGCCACTCGAGGAGCCGCCATCCCGCCCATCATGTCCGCCCGCTACCCAAACGTTGTCCCCATGGAGGTGGAGGAGAAGCACAACGACCACCACGTGGAGACCTACTCCGACGACGCCAACAAGGTCGGCGACCAGGAGGAGCAGCGCCACTATGCCAACATTGACGAGGGCTTTGACCCTCTCGAGATCAAGCGCATCGTCCGCAAGATCGACTACCGCCTCATCCCTATCCTTTCCGCCATGTACTGCATTTCGCTCATCGACCGTACCAACCTGTCCTTGGCGCGCGCTGCCAACTCCATGCAGATGCAGAAGGATCTGCGCCTCGACATTGGCTACCGCTACTCGATCGCCGCCCTCGTCTTCTTCATCCCCTACATCGTTCTCGAGATCCCTGTGAGTATTCGCGCTGCCAAGCACTCTTATCCACCACTGGATTCCATTACCCCATATCGCACAGCGCTGACATCTATCTAGTCGCAGCTCGGTCTCCGCAAGTTTGGCGCCCGTTGGTGGCTCGGCACCTCGGTCATCCTCTGGGGAGCTGTCATGGTAAGCTTGCGTTTTGCGTCGACGTTTGAGCCCGCGCTGACGGCCCACAGATCGGAATGGGCTTCTCCAACAGCTGGTCGATGCTTGCAGGCTTCCGCGCGTGGCTCGGCATGTTCGAGGCTACTCTTTTCCCCGGCGCTGCCTACCTCATCTCGTGCTGGTACCCCAGGAAGTCGATGGCCGTCCGCAACACTGCGTTCTACGTCGTCTCCATCGTCATCTCCGGTCTCTCGTCCATCCTCGCATACGGTCTCGGCATGCTCCACGGCCGCAACGGTCTGCACGGCTGGCAGTGGATCTTCATTATTCAGGGTGAGTGCATGACGACAAGGGGAGCGAGATTTTGAGTGGCAACGTCCAACACGGGTGTGGTGGCAAGAAATTGCCGAAAACGCCGCGAGAATTGACCGACCGCGCTAGTCGCCGATAGCCCCCCCCCCCCCCCCCCCCTTTGACTCTGTGTTTTGCTGACACCTTGCAGGTGTTATCACCGTGGCCATCGGTCTGCTTGGTTACCTGTTCATCGTCGACTTCCCCGACAAGGCTCACTTCTTGACCGAGGAGCAGCGTGACATTGTCACCACCCGCATCCAGCGTGACCGTGGCGATGCCGTGGTCGACCCCATGACCTGGGCCAAGTTCAAGAGCTACATCCTCTCGCCCCGCCTCTGGATCTACGGCTACATGTTTGGCTCGTCCACCGTCGGCTCGTACTCGCTCGCCTACTTCCTCCCCCGCATTCTCGCTCAGATGGGCTTCACCAACGCCCAGTCCCAGCTCCTCGTGGCGCCTCCTTATGCCTGGGCCGCCATCCCCGCCCTCACCAGCGCCTACTTTGCCGACCGCATCCGCGGTGCCCGTTCGATTGCCGTTATTGTCAACGCCGTGTTCCTCATTGTCGGAACCTGCATGTACTCGCAGCTCCCTGTCGCCCAAAAGGCCGCCCGCTACGCTGGTATCTTCTTCGCCATCGGTGGCTGTAACGCCAACGTGCCCCTCGTCATCTCGTGGGCCCAGACCTCGATCCGCTCTCAGTCGAAGCGTGGCTTCACCGCCGCTCTCGTCGTCGCCTGGGGCGGTGTCGGTGGTATCATCGCCTCGGTCGTCTTCATGGAGCGCGAGGCCCCCAGCTACCCCACCGGCGTCTACCTCACCATCGGCATGAACGTGGCCGTCATTCTGCTCTGCATCGGCCTCAACCTCTACTACCGCTACCAGAACAAGCGCGCCGACCGCGGACTCGTCGTCCTCGAGGGATCGCCCGACTTCCGCTACCAGATGTAAACGAAGCGAAGCGAGACGTTGAGATGTGTATACACGTAATAGTAGTAGTTGACGGTTTATTGTACGGCGTAGTTGCGGGGGTGCATGGGTTTCAGTGGACGTGAGAAGTTGAACAGTGAATATGAATGAGTGCCAATTTGCAGCCTTGGTGCGTTGGCATAACTTGTTGACCTTGTCGTGCACTTACTTGCAGTAGATACATAGATCTGGAGGGCGAATGAAGGTCAACGAGAGCGTCCTGGCCGTCCTTGCCAAGGTTGCCAAACATGCCTTGTGGTCGGGGGATCCGGGATTGCAGCTTTGCCAGTTCCATCGGCGGCACGGCGGCACGGCTTCCAGCAGGTTTACCGCCCACATCTTCCCCCACGCCCTCATCATCGCGCCCTCGTGCCAGGGCGGGCTCTGCATGCTCTGCAGCGGCTTTTGGCAGCAAGACACAGGATATGCAGATGCATCGGATATGCAGGAGCGCAGGATGTAGCCCACCAAACGTCAGCCCGGATGTGGCCGGTGGGCATGCGGCGGGCGGGATGGAACAAGAGCAAGTTTAAAGGCCGGCGGTTGCCGATATGACGTCACGACACGTGATATTTTCTAATTGATGGAAGGCTCTTCTGATAAGAAAACCCTAATGGCCTAATGCCAATTAGCACAGTCGGCTCGACCCCGACGGATCCACTTTGCCGTGCTGCTGTTGTTCTCATCCTCGTTGGTCACATCCTCTTGCCCCAACACTTGGACGCCTCAGTTCCGAATGCTGCACTCCACACGGCGCGCTTGCGGAGCCAACCTTCACGCACCTCGATCCCAACGGGGGGCGGACTCTTGATGCGGGCCGACGGTTCAAATGTCGGCGTCTTCACCGACGCTAACCCCAAGGCACACCTGTACTCCCACTTGCAAGGGACGATAAGTTGCTCTCTCAAAAGCATCACCTCTGCAAGTACTCCGCCATGCTTCTCGGATAGTGCTGCGCTTGACAGCTATATCCGGAACCATGTTGAGAGCAGCTGACTTGGCACCATGCGGTGCCCACCCGTTGAGGAGGGACCGAGGGGTCCCCACTGTAACTGACGACAAGCAAGCAGCTTAAAGAGCTGATGCGTTTGAGCGCCTTCCCTCCCATATCCAACATCACCTTCCCTCCTCTGTCTTCTTCTTCTGCCAAATTACCTCACCCTGTCGGGACACAGCAGTGCAACAGAGCAACCATGTCTTCGCCAGGAGATACACAGGTTCAACCTGATCAAAAGGAACAACCCCACCATGTCGAAGCCGTTGAGCGTGCCGACTCGCCGATCCAGGAGAAGATGGTGCAAGGTCTCGGCCACGACTCGGCGGGTATGGCCGTCATCGAGCAGATCAACATCATCCCCCAAACTGGAGAACGCATGCCGACCACCAGGTGGGAGTACATTTCCTTCTTGATGATGTGTGAGTGAGGAAAGTGTGGCACCGTCCTGTGGCTAACAAGACCAGACTTCCAGAACAACGGCACACGTAAGTTAGGCCCCTCGTTCCAGCGCTAACTGTGCAGCCATCGGTTCTCAAGGCGGAAACCTCCGAATGAAGCTCATCGACATGCAATTCCCGGACTCCATCATCCCCTGGGGTGGCCAGCACATGCCCAGTACGTTGTGGCGACGGACCCCATTGCTGACGCCCAAAGTGAACTCGTTCCTCCTCGACCAGAATGGTATTCAGTTTGCGGTCAACCTCGTGTTCCTTCTTCTCGTTGGTCCATACGCCGATTATGGTCGCTGGCGTCCGTGGATCATGATCTGTAAGTCACCTCATTATACCTGTGGCGGAGCTGACACCGACAGCCGGTACGGTGATTGTCACGGCATGCACGTTTGGCATGATTGGCACGTACAAGCCTTCCCAGTGGCAGGCTGCAAACGCCCTGTGGATGCTTGGAAACCTTGGCTACAGCATTGCGACTACGTTTTACCAGGCCACGTTCCCGTCCATTGCGCGCAACCTCCCCCAGGTGCTAAAGTCGGAGCAGGACGTGAAGATGGGCCTCAAAACACCCGAAGAGCACGACATTGTCGACCAGTACGAACGTTCCAAGCTGTACAACCTGTGCAACATCACTGGGTCCGTGCTCGTCGTCATTTTCTACGGTATCGCGATTGGTATCAGCTACGCCATCACTCACAACAGCACCGAGGATGGGCCTGTCATCAAAACGTTCCGGGTCCTCCTCGGCTACTTTGGAGTGCTGGTCCTAATCTGTGTCGTCCCCTTCTTCTGCCTCCACAAGTTCCGCCCAGGGCAACAGCTGCCCGAGGGCACGCACATCTGGGCCGTGGGCCCCAAGCAGGCATGGCAGGCGCTCAAGAGCATTCGCCAGCTCAAGCACGCCGTCCTGTACCTCATCGCCTACACGCTTCTCCAGGAAGCCACGGGGACACAGTGGAACATGACCAGTATCCTCCAGTCGGAGCACATCCACTTCAACCCTGTGGCCAACTCGGCCTTTGGCCTCTTGGCGGACCTTGCCGGCGGCAGCGGCACCTTCTTCATGCTCTGGTTCCAGAAGCGCTTCAAGGTGTCTGTCAAGACGCTGACCTGTTATGGCGGCATAATGGCCCTCGTTCCGATCGTGTGGGGAGCCATCGGCACCTGGACGAACAAGATTGGCTTCCACAACAGTACGTTTGCGGTGCAGGGACGAGACTAACACGTGGTAGCTTGGGAGTTTTGGGTGTTGCAGGTTGGTTGTTCATCGGCGACACATGGACGACAGCTGACAATCCAGTTCTGGAACTTTCAAACGGCGGCGTGGGGCAGCTATTCGATCACCATGATCTCCGAGGTGATCCCCGCCCCCAAGGCATACATGTTCTTTGCCTTGTTCAACACCATTTCGCGTACATCTGGGTTCACTGGGCCGTTCATCTGCTCGGCCATCATCAAGCAAGCCAACGGCAACACCAACGTGGCGTACTGGTTCCTCGTCGGCCTGGGCGTGCTCGGTGTGGCCGTCCTGTTCATGGTCGACCCCGTGCAAGCCAAGATTGACAATGCGGGATACCTTCAGCGCGAGGCCGAGGAGCTCTACTCTGCTCACCAGCGGGCGCAGCAGCACGAGATTGTCGAGCACCAGGACATGGAAGCTGCCACGGGCGTGGTTTCCTCTTGAGCTCGAGCCTGAGGATATCCCAGTTGTACTGTACATTCTCAAGCAAACCCATGTGGTTGTGAGGCTTGGGGGTGCCACAATGGATCACCGTGTGGTTGGCGTACCACGGCTTATCTGCTGTGCCGAATTGTAAAAGTGTATGCAAACCAGGCATGGCACCAGATCGCACAGCAACCTCATCTGGCCATCCATGTGGCCTGTTGCTCGCTGCGGATCGCTGCCCGTTGCCCACATGGGCACACAACGCATGGGCGCGAGGGCCCCATTACGCTCAATACAGAGCCAGTTGGAACGTTAATAACTGTTTCTAATGAGTTCATTAATAGCCCTCGGCCAGCAACACCCCCTAATGCGCAGCATATGCGCGTCACAGGCACAGCAAGTCGCCGACGCACGGGCAGGCAGGAGGACCGAGACGGGTCAGTCACCCATCAGCCATTGCCCCACGCACTACCGCAAACACCCCCAAACCCGCCATGCACGCGTGCTCTCTCATCCTCTCTACTCACCATGGGCTCCACACAGAACGAAAAGACATCCACGGGTGTCACACAGGACGCGGCCGAGTCGATTGAGCGCGACCCGTCGGTCATTGACGAGGCGGCGCTTTTCGCCAGCCCACTGCCCATCACGGGCGAACGCAAGGTCACCACCAGAAGGGAGATATGGGTGCGTGGCGCGCACCGAGCGGAGCGGCCCAGCAGCCGCGCTGACATCCCAGTCGTGGTACCTCTACTATGTGGGCAACTGTGGTCTTGGTAAGCACTACCCCCTGGAACAACATGTCCTGATCCCCCGCGCGCAGGCCCCTTCAACTTTGCCATTAGCGCCTGGCAGAACTTGCTCTACCTCGCGGGCTGGGACCCGTCCGTTCCCGGTCGCGGCACGCCATGCGGTGCCGGAGACTGCAGCCTCGTCGCGTATGGCAGCGAGCGGTCCAGTGAGTGTTTGGTATATGTAGAAACGGGCGCACGACGCTAACGACCAGTCAACTCTATTGTGCTCATCACCAACGGGTTGTCGTTTGCCATCCAGGCCGTGCTCTTCCTCATTGTCGGCTCGTTTGCAGACTATGGCACCTGGCGTCCACATATCACGACGGCGTTCACGTTCCTGGCATGGGGTGTAAGCTTTGGCTGGCTGGGCGTGACCAGCCCGTCCAAGTGGCAGGCCGGCACGGCGCTCTACATCCTCGGCCTGATCGGCTACCAAGGTGCGCTTACATTCTGGACGGCGGCGTTCCCGGGCCTCGCACGTGATCTCCCAGAGATCCAAGAGAGCGAAGAGGAGCTGCGGGCCGGTACGATCGACCAGGCAACGCACGACAAGCGGGACATGCTGGCGCGCAACCGCCTCGCCAACGTGTCCTTCTTCGTGTGCTCGGTGGGAGAGCTGGTGATCCTCGCGATCCTCTGTGGCATCCTCGCCGGGGTGGTCGGCCGAGCGTCCGATCCCAACAACTCGATGGCCTTTTCCATCGTGTGCGCGTACAGCGCTGCTGCATGGAGTGAGTACACGGCATGGGAGGACACGTGGCTGATTCACGAAAGTCGTCTGTGCCATCCCGTGGTTCATGTGGGAGCAATACCGCCCAGGCCACAAGCTGCCTCCGCACACGTCGTATGTGACCGCTGGTGTCAAACAGCTGTATCACGCCTTTCGCCTCTGCCTCAGACTCAAGCAGACGTTCATTTACCTGGTGAGTAGGGTCTTATGGAGCAGCAAACTGTGTGGCTTCCATCTAACCTCCAGGCGGCTTATTTCCTTCTTGGAGACACTTTAAACACCTTGGTGACGGTCATTGCGACCTTGCAGAACGAGGTTGCAGAGTTCGACCCCAAGACGCTCAACTATCTGCTCATCGACGGCATCGCCGCCCAGGCCTTGGGCATTGGGGTCTTCTGGTTGATCCAGAAAAGGTTTACGGTTCCTACAAAGACCATGCTGCTTGTGAATGGGTTTTTCATCCTCGTCCTCGCCGCTTGGGGCTGTATCGGTATCACCAAGAGTAACTTTGGATTCAAGAAAGTATACGAATTCTGGTACGTCACCGTTGTCTCGGACCACTTAACGCTGACTCGCACCAGGATGTACCAAGCGTACTATGGTATCTTTGTCTGCCCGTGGTACGCCGTCTCCCAGGCCATGATCTCGGAGGTGGTCCCCCGCGGCAAGGAGGTGAGCCCTTTGAAACGAGCCACGATGTTGACCCGCAGTTTCTGTTCTTTGCAGTCTTCTCGGTCATTGGCAAGACCAGCTCCTTTATCGGCCCGTTCGTGTCGTCTGCCATCATCGATCGTTCGGGCAACAACAACATGCCGTTTACGTTCCTGCTGGCCCTTGGTGCCCTCGCCATGGTCATTCTGTTCATGGTCAATGTCGACAAGAGCAGGGTGGAGTGTCGCAAGTATCTCGACGACGAAGCGGTTCGTATCTACAAGCTGTCCGCGCTTCATTCCGACTCGACCATCCAGTCAAGCCATGGCGGTAGTGTCATAGAGAACGAAAAGGTTGTACGATCCGTCTAGTGACCAGTAACTTTTTGTCGGTTGCGCTCTCTTTGAACTAACAAATACATGCAATCTAACACTCTATACGGTCTCCTTCATGACCCGGCCTGCGCTCGGGGCAATGCCATTCTTTTGCTCCCATCGTTCGAGGCTGCGAATGTAGCGCGGGCTCGACTTGGCGGCGCCCCACAAGTCGGCAACCAGGGTAAGGAAGTAGAAGAACAAGATGAACGCGATCGTCCACTCCATCGCGGCCGCACCGGACGTGATGCGTTCGCACTGCGCGGCCGTGTGCTTTCTCCTTGCCAGGTCCTTGCCTCGGCACTGGCAGTGTCAGTAAAAGGGTTTCTGAAGGAGTGCCTGTTACTCACGATACCATACAACACGGCAAACGCGATCGCTCCAGCGATTGCCAGAACCACGATGACAAGCTTGGCGATCGAGCTGCGCAGCAGCGATGGGCGGTTGGGGTGATCCTTGTGCAGCGACCACTTCGGGGGTAATCAGCCACTTTTGCTCTCATCGTCGGGTACTCAGTACTCACCACTTGGCCACTCTGGAAAATCGCCGAGAAGGCAACACCGATCACAAACAGACAGGTCATCGACCAGTGGACTCTGGAGTGGTGGAACGTGTCAAACTGGTCCCCATGTCAGCAAACGCAGCGAACGACGGTGGGTAACGTACCACTGCAAGGAGGATGAGTGCCGTGCCGCCAATGGTCGCACAGACAATACCGAGCCAGGCTGCCCGTTAGCGTGTGTCGCAGTTGGTGGAGCACATACACAGGATTTCTTCACGCTTGCGGATATCAGTTGGCAGTCGATCGATATAGCGGAGCCACCTCTCAGCCAGCAGCGAGGCGACGTAAAAGCTGTCGGTGTCCGTCAGCACCGAGTCCGTCCACTGTCATAGTGTGGTGTGACTTACGCAGCCGTAATACAGGTTAGTGGGATGAACACCCGCTGCAAGTGTCAGCCTGTACCGACACTCGGTCTACCAACCTTGTGCCCGGCAGCAATGTCACTGATGAACACCACAGCCGCCTCTGTCGACTTGTACCGAGGCTTGCCATCATGCACCCATATTCCCAACAGTGCGAGGAGGGCAGAGAGCCATGCGAAGGCGCAGATGATCGGCAGCCATATGTACGGCCCATAGACTGTGTTATAATTAGTCCTGTTGCGCGGCTGCGACACTGGCCCACTGGCCACTGGGTGGTTGCACTCACAAATGTGTGATGTAAACGTGCGTGTGTTGAGGTACATTGGCCTCTTTGGCGTCCGTGCCGAGTCTACCTCTGTGTTGGGCGTATGTGCCGCGCTGCCGACGACCGCGTTCCCATTCGAGGTCGCCATGGTTGGCGCTGGAGATGTCATATGTCAAGGGGGGGAGAGGGATATGGGTAGTTTGCCCACAACCACATGGGTCTCCGTGTGCTTAAGTGGAAACCTGGGTTGCCGCCCGAATCTTTATTTTTGTGGTGACGTCACCCCCGGCGCGTGCGCTCACTAGTGTCTGTGCTCTATTAATCAGCCGCGATCAGCGCTCCAAATGAACGTCGTCGCCTGTTGCGGATGCTGTAATGGTTGCGGCCGCCGGTCCACGGATCCACACGGATCCCATGGCCGGCGGTCGTGTGCCCGTCGCCGTACGTGTGTGCAAAATTGCTTGTGGCCGGTGGCCAGGGGGTAGTATGCACTCTTTTTGATCGCTTTAAAGCAGTGTGCGCGGTGTGGTGATCGTGCTGATGCATCTCGGCCGGCCGGGGCAGATCGGGCGATGGAGAGAGAGACAGGCCAACGGCGCCTCCGCAACTGCCCGAGGACATTGAAGTCTATGACACGTCATTAAATAAAGTTTAATTTTACCCCGTTGTGACTAATGAATGGCACCTAATGCACTAATGTCCATTTAAATATTCATTTTCAATCCGGGCAATCGGAGGCTGGAAGCCGGAAATCACCCGAGTCAGTCCCCCATACCGAACTGGCTTTCACGACTGGCGCTCAACTGCATCCTCTATACTCGGAAGCACTACCTCTGTCTCTATCTCACAGCACAATCCCCATCCCCACCCAAGCTTCAAAAGCTGTAGACCTTGCACTCTGCAATACGCGTCTTGCTTGGAATGTTGGTCGGAATCGGGTACCACCCGTCGTCGGGCTTCACACATGGCATGACGGCCTGCTTGCCACAGTGCGTCTCATCGCCATTGAGTGTACGAAGGGATCCCAGGGCGCCCGTCTCGGGGTCCACCACTTGCTTCTCAACGACATGGATGAGTCCTGTAAACACGGCGTTTGGCGAAGCAGAATTGAACGTGACCTGGAAGCCCTCGCCGACAAGGAGGAACGTGTCGGCCGACGTGAGGATGATGAGCCCATAGCCCGGCGCGGGGTGGCCGAACACGGGCTGGCGCTCGATGAGCAGGTTCCACTCGCCCAGGGTGACCTCCTTCTGTGAGCCTGGGTCCTCGGTACCGGGAGCGAATGCGTCAAAGAAGAAGCCCGTACTCGGCGAGCCGTTGCGGCGCGCCGCAAGGAGGGTAGGGGTAATGTCACGGAGGAGGGCGTAGTGGCGCTGGAAGGCAACATCCTCAACGGGCAGTGTGTCAATCGCGAACGGCGCCGTTGCGAGCGCGCCGTACTTGCCCATGGCCACCCAGGTCCGCAAGGCACCGTACTCGTCACGCCTCTGCTCGGGGATGACGAGCGTCATGCCTCGGTGCGTGTATTCCTGACACATGGTCTCGTAGTCGGCAAAGTAGATGTCGGGACTGACAAAGTCGAGGTTTGGCGCGACAAGTTGGTACACGTCAATGACGGTGTCGACGGGACCGCCGCATGGGTAGATGCCAGGAGCGGCGCCACCGCCGGTTCCACCATCGCGGGCAGTGTGCCGAGTGGCGCGCAAAGCGGCGTTCGTGTACATGGGCACGGAGTAAGCCGACTTGCCTGCCCCGGCTACCTTGTCCATGTACAGGGCGTAGTGGTACGCCATGAACAGCTCGTCCGTGAGCGGCCCAGGACCAAAGGTGGCCTCCCAAGAGACACCCTTCTTCAACCCCTTTGTGATCAAGGGGAAGTTGCCGAGGATGTGCTTGTTGAGAGAGGTTCGATTCGCATCCAACGCATCGAGGAACGATGACGGAACTGGCGAGCGGAACGCTTCTTCCGCCGCGGCGGAACGGTCGCGCGTGTCGCCAAGAACGCCGGCCTCGTTCTCCACCTGAACCATGATGACCGTTTCCTGCCCTGCTTCGCCGTCGACCTGCTTGAGGTGGGCAAGCAGTGCACGGAAGGCTTTGGCGTCGGCGTCGACCGAGGCTGACGAGAAGACGGACAGGTAGTCGTTGACCTTTGGTTGGCCGTCCGGCGCGGGATGCGTGATGCAGCGAGGGAAGCGGGTTGGGTTGGTCTTGACCCACGACGGGGCATAGTTCATGTGACCTGTGGCCAGTGTCAGCGATGGCGTCAAGCTCCACACCAGCCAGAGGAACGCACCATTCTTGTGGGAGCCAAACCACAGCAGGGCCAGCTTGATCCCATGTTCCCTTGCCTGTCGGATGTTTTCGTCCAGTGCCTCAAACACAAACGTTCCCTCCTGTGGCTCAATGTCGTCCCAGCCGATAGCTGCAAAGGCGGTATTGAGGTTGAGGCGAACTAGGTCGGGCCAGACGCTTGACATGTGCACCGCCGACGAGAATGACGAGTTTTGCAGCTCTCCCGCACGACAGAGGAAGGGGCTGCCGTTGACGATAAGCTCGTGCCCGCCGTGCGGAAGAGCTTGGAGAAATGGTGCCATATTGAGAGAAATGAGAGATTATCGGTGACAGAGCGGGAGGGTTTGTCAGAGAAGTCGTATATCAGTCCAATCGATACAGGATTTTGACGTTGTTGACATGGAACAAACTCGCCGCTGGGCAACTTCGGAGGATCCGCTCCGAAGCAAGTCGCATTGAAACATGGAAAGAAGGCGGTGAGAATTCGGCCTGTTGGGCGGATGTATGGTGAGGCAGTGAGCTCCACAAGTCCGGGAAATGTGAACAGACACACTTCATGTCCACGGCACAACCAACTTCCGAGCGATCGCGAACGACCTGCCAGTGGGCGGTGAAAAGCCGGTCCGTTTGGCGGTTATCTGAAGCGGATACGAGACTACCGAGACAGGGGGAACAGGCTATGCAAGGTGGGCAGTTCGAAGAGTGCGCGCGATCGCGGTCTGCGGACTGCGGTCTCGCGAGAATGGCAATCCACATGTGCTAGCGTGGATAGGCATCTCCTCTGCGTGAAAGTGGCCAAGTGGCGGCGTACGTGTGGCGGAGAAAGGCCCGAATTGTTTAGGTTTTCTTTTTTTGTTTCCGCGCTCCACCACCCACAGGGCCGGGCACCCGGACCGGAATCACCGACCCGGTGGGCCTGTGGGCATGGTCACGTCAGTTCCGTTCAAATGTCGGCGAGTTCCTGTCTGCGGACTCGGTGCTATCTCGGGAGGAAGAGTTTCCGTGTGGAGACCGATCTTGATCGACAAAGGAACCACCGTTCGAACATTGACAGCCCATATAAACTCGGGGCACCGGGGTCTGGGCTCCAGCCGGGGCACCAATTGACCGCACATCTACTCCACTAAGCAACCGCCACACAAGAATCACCACGATGACCACCCCAGTTGTCGAGAAGGAGAAGCCCGTGGTCGAAGACGACCAAATCGAAGACAAGAAGGGAGACGATGTCGTTCACCTTGAGTCTGTCGACAGAGTCTACACTGCGGCTGAATGGGAGAAACTGCTTCACGAAGCAGAAATCGCCGAGGACGAAGAGAAGAACATGCCCCTGTGGGTTGCCATGCGCACCTACCCCAAGGCCATGATCTGGACCTTTTTGGTCACTATGCACTTCGTCATGTGAGTTTGCAACGGCACTTTATTGTATGGCGCTTACAGTACTCTGCAGGGCTTCTTTTGATGGCTCCAGTACGTATTCCCCAGCAATTCGTACGATTTCGAAATCGCTACTGACGAATATTTAGTCTTTGGAAGCATCATTGCACTTCCAGCTTTCAGGTAAGTTACCCTTTGGTCCAGTCTGTCACGTCACTAACTTTGCAGGGAGAAATACGGAGTCTACTCCGAAAAGGCTGCCGGCTATCAGCTGACCGCAAGGTGCGTCTGCTGATTGTGCACAGCCCACATTATCTGTGACTAACTGTTCTTAGCTGGCAAACCGGTTTGGGCAAGGCAGCGGGCACTGGTTCTTTCTTGTGAGTCGCCCGCGGAGCAATAAATCTAAAGCCTTGGCTGATAAATCTAGCGGTATCATCATTGGAGGCTGGGCGCAAGCCAAGTACGGTTACCGTCGAACCTTGCAGGTCGGCCTCGTCTGGCTCGCGGGTGTCATTTTCATCACGTTTTTGTGGGTTACATCCTTGCCCGCGCTACATATACGTCCTCCTAACCGTGCTCAGCGCAAAGAACATTGTAATGCTTTTTGCCGGCGAACTGCTCAGTGGAATGAGCTTTGGTGCATTCACATGCGTGAGTACATCCCGTCGATCATTGTCGTTGACTGGCGCAGTCTGCCATGGGTTATTCGTCTGAAATCGCTCCAGTCCCTCTGCGTGGTTTCCTTACCACCTACATTGCTTTTGTCAACAGCTTTGGCCAGCTTCTCGCTGCAGGCATCTTCCGAGCAATGGCGGACATTGAGGGAGAGTGGAGTTACAGGATTCCCTTTGCTGTCCAGTGGGTCTGGCTCATCCCCCTCTTCATCATCGCCACGTTCGCTCCGGAATCACCGTGGTTCCTCGTTCGATGCGGCAGGCTCTTGGACGCCGAGAAGGCAGTGGGTCGGTTGGGAAAGACCTCGGACACGAGAAACCCAGAGCGAATTGTTGCTATGATGGTAAGTGACGGCGATCTACGAGATCGACGTTTGAACCGGCACACTCAACCGGTACACTGAAGCATGAACTGACCGACAGGTGCGCACCAACCAGCATGAGAAGGAAAAGTCAAGCTCGATGTCGTACCTGGTAAGCAGCCGGCAAAGCTCACTCCCTACGGAAATTCACTAATGGCTCAGGAATGCTTCAAGGGAACCAATCTTCGCCGCACCGAGATCGCCTGCGTTGTCATGTGCTTTATCCCTCTCTGCGGCGACTGGTTTGGCGGCGGCGGAGCTTATTTCTTCGAGCAAGTCGGACTTAGCACCGCGAACGCCTTCTCGTTCAACATGGGGCTGTGGGCATTCGCGTGTCTCGGCACTGTTGTGTCGTGGTTCATCATCCCAGTGAGTTTTTGATTGCCGAGTTATTTGGTTCCACGCTGATCGCAAACAGCACGTTGGACGCCGCAAGCTTGTTATGGCTGGTCTTTTCGCCCTTGCCTTCATGTAAGTTGACCGAATAGCATACAGTCGCTGTCAGTCGACATTGGGATGCGCCGCGGTGCGCGCAACCCCCCGAAGGAATCAGGAATTGATTGACAATGCCGTGCAAGAGTGATGATCGCTGACGCGGCACAGCCTCTTCCTTGTGGGAATGCTCACGATCGGTGTCAGGAAGGGCATCACTGCTTGCCTGTAAGTACTGCACATAAAATACAACTGACAATCAGATGGGTACAGGCTGTTCTCATCCTCGTTTGGATCTTCGTTTTCAACGTCGCCGTCGCGGTAAGTCACTGCCCTGTCCACTACGCCTGTATGCTGGGACTAACAAACAGCCCCTCGTGTACACGCTTGTTGGCGAATGCTCCAGCACCCGTCTTCGTGGACAGACCATTGGTATCGCTCGCAACACCTATATTCTCTGTGCACTTCCTGTGGCCTTCATCGCCAACTACTCGATGAACCCCTCAGCTTGGGGATGGGGTACCTACGCAGGTCTCTTCTGGGTGAGTCGATTCAAGAATGTCCCCTTTCGCCTGATATTGATAACCCAGTGTGGAACCTGTCTCACGCTTCCCGTCTGGGCGTACTTCCGCCTGCCTGAGACCAAGGGACGCAGCTTCCGCGAGCTGGACATTCTCTTCGAGGACAAGGTCCCGGCCAGGCAGTTTTCGACAACTGTTGTGAGCCGTGGATTTGATGAGGTCGACCTTGCCCAGGAGCAGCCTCGTTAAGCTGCGATCAGAAGCAACCGTTTCCAATTCTTGGAACCAAGCTGGCGGGGGGAATGGCCCGCCTGCCTACAAGATCAAATTCCCAATAAAACTCCATTTTTATTAGCTTTTTACCTTTTTGAAACGTTTTAGTGGCGTGGCGATGCAAACAGTTGTGAACTCTCTGCATATATGGGGGGCAATTCGTCCGTAGCTTTGCCGGGTCTGCCAACCACACTTGACGACAGATTTAAACGCCTCCATCCCGCAAGGTATCGCTTTTCAGTAGCCGAAGCCGCGCGCCGTCTACTGAGTTGACCTCAACGTTCATTGCCTGGCCGTGTACTGATCAGCCTATCAGAGGCAGGTTTCGGCAGTGATCGTGCGGGCATTCCCACAGTTGTCGTCGTTGCGGCCTCGTTGGGAGCTGGCCTGCCACGAGTGCCCTTAGCGCGAACTCGTGGCCGCGAACGTCCCTATCCGTCTTCCCATCGTGTGACCAGGGCGTGATGAATAACACGGCATGGGGGATGAACGAGCAGGCCTGGCGTGAGCTGACAGGAAGCACCATATGATCTAAAACTTCAGCATGGTTGGTCCACAGCGTAAATGGTCACAAGTGTCACAAAAGAACGAGTGGATTCCATATCCGCCCAGCAAGACCGGCTTTGACCGGGGATTTAGACGTGGAATCAAATCTGGAAACCCGAGCAAAACCGAGGTTTTGCACAAGACTCCAAGGACAGTGAATATGCATCTGCACGCACCAAACAGAGTAGAGCTGTGTATCGGTAGATGACGGAGACCTGAATCTGCTGCAAACAAATGCTCTGGCATACGTGTGGGAGTGAGAAATGTGCAAACAGATGTCGCTTGAGTGGGACTACAGGGTATACGCGAGGTCTCGGCCCCTGCCCGCTTGATAACCGAGATTTCGACGTCACTCTCCTCCCCACACAATGCCCTCTCCACAACAACTGCTACGACATTTGCGCCGTGCACTCCCCCACGGAGCCTACGGCTTCTCAACCATGGCCCGTGTGGACCGCAGTCTGCCCGCCACCTTTTACCGCGGCGGGACATCCAAGGCGCTCGTCTTTCGCGACGCGGACCTTCCCACAAGCCGCGCCGAGCGCGATGCCATCTTCCTGTCAGCCATGGGTTCTCCTGATCCCAATGGACGCCAGTTGGACGGCATGGGCGGCGGCTACTCTTCCGTCTCCAAGGTCCTCATCATTGGCAAGTCGGAACACCCGGACGCCGATGTCGACTATACATTTGCGCAGGTCCTCGTGAACGCGCCGAGTGAGTAGCTCCCATCGCGTCAGCAGCTGACCACCAGTCGTCGACTATGGGTCCAACTGCGGCAACATGCTGGCGGCTGTTGGTCCGTTTGCACTTGAGAACGGGCTGGTCGCACCCGGTCCGCAGGCGGACAGCCACAAGGTGGTCAGGATCCTCAATACCAACACGAACAAGCTCATCCACTCTACGTTCCCCACCGTGGCTGGATTCCCAGCGCAGGCTGACCTCTCTGGCGACTTTGCCATTGATGGAGTGGCCAACACACACGCTCGTGTCACCCTTGACTTTATCAACCCGCAGGGATCACGAACAGGAAAGCTGTTCCCCACGGGCGAGCGACAGGAGGGTCTCGCTTTGCCGGATGGCACGACGATCAAAGCGACCCTGATGGACTGCGGCAACCCATGCGTGTTCATCCTAGCCTCTGATCTCGGTGTCGACTCCACCATCCTCCCCCCGGACCTGGAAGGGGACAAGGCCATGCTTCGTCGCCTAGATGACATTCGCAACGCGGCGGCAGTCAAGATGGGCCTTGTCGACTCGCTGGACCAGGCTGGCAAGGCCAAGTCGGTCCCGAAAGTGTGCATCATGTCCGCCAAGGCAGACCACAAAGTGCTTTCTGGCGAGACGCTCTCGGCCGACAAGATCGACCTCGTTACGCGGTGCATCTCGTCTGGTGACCCACATCGGGCACTGCCCATCACGGCGTCGCTGTGCACCGCGGCGGCATCCCAGATCGAGGGCACGGTCGTCCACCAATGCCTCAGCGGGCCCAGGGTGTCTCAGGGCGTCATCATCGGCCACGCATCGGGCACCATCGAAGTTGACGCTGTGCTTGCTACGGGGCCAGGAGGAGACATCGAGGTCCCAAAAGCGCGGGTCTTTCGCACAGCAAAAAAGCTCTTTGAGGGCAAGGTGTTTTACTAGTGGGGAGCCTCACGTTATGTGCACATCATATCCATCCCATTTCTATACCGCCTTACAGACTCTGATATGTATTACCCTCTAACACGCCCCATTCACTAGACACGGTACTCATTCTCGTTGAGCGAGCGACCACTGGGGTCGTGCTTGGCATCCCACTCGTCCACCTCGTCCTTGGGAACCTTGATGATCTCGTGCGCCGCGCTACCGTCTTCGTTAATGGCGACGCGCTGGCGGACCTCGTACTTGCCCCACTTGGGAAGGATGATGGCCCAGACCACGTAGTACAGTCCACTGAGTCCAATGATACCAAGACCCGTCAGACTCGAGGCGCCGTAGAAGAAGTGGAACGACGAGGCGTTGATGCCGCCTGCGGGAGGCACCCAGGGCATGACGAGGAGGTAGATCTTGGACAGGAGGTAGAAGACGACCACCCACGACCAGCTGCGGTACTGCGACGGCGGGAGGTTGAGGTGCTTGCGCTGGCGGCGGATGAAGAAGAGGCCCGCCGTCATGAGCGAAAGGAAAAAGGACGAGGGATAGTTCTGGAGGGCAACGATAAAGTTGAAGGCGTCTCCGGCCGGGGGAGCGAGGATCATGATGGTGGTCATGGTCCAAATGACGGCGAAGGGACCCAGCGGCGTACCGAAGGGCTTGGTCGAGACCCAAAACTTCTGGAAGGGAAGAACACCTTGACGGCCGACTTCGCGAATGATACGAGCCTCACCGACGATCACGGCGAGGATGTTGCTTCCAGCACTGAGCACAGGCAGGATGGTGAGGCCTTGGGCAGCGCGCTCGCCAAACAGGGTCTTGAAGAAGAGGGTCGCGGTGGTCTGGCTCGACGCGAGGATCGCGGCCTTGGGCAGGGCGGCAAAGTACGCAATGTTGACCAGGAGGTAGAGAACAAAGACGACAAAGACGGCCGCGTTGGCGGTGCGCTTGATGGTCCTGACAGGGTTCTTAACCTCGTTGGCGAGGTTGAACGAGTTGTTGAAACCACCGTAACTGTGACGTGTCAGTAAACACTCCCATGGGGTTGGTCCCGGGGGGAAACTCACCTGAAGATGATAGACACGAGAGCGTTCGACAAGGCGTATGCGTCGTTGCTCGTACCCTCAAAACTGTTGCGGAAGTTGGCATGCGGGTCGGGGACCTTGCTGCTGTGACCGCCAAGGACGACAAAGCCGGTGATGCTAATGAAGAGGAGCGTGCCAAGCTTGACGATTCCAAGACCGTTAATAATCCGGAGAGACCAGTTGGTGCTGAAAACGGGGACTGAAAACGGTCAGCACAGTCGAGAACACCAGGCTTACTGAGGACGATCACTGTGAAACCAGCAATGGCTACACCCTTCAGTTGCCAGGCGGTAGCTGTGTGGTTGGCGAGCTTGAAGATGTACTGGGACAATACCAAGGCGTTGCTGCTGTTGAACGAGAGGATAATGGCCTGCGCCGCAAAGGCCGCAGGGAAGAAGTGCTTAGGCCTCGGGAACGCCTGTTCCAGGTATACCACCTCGGCGCCGGAGCGAGAGGGGAAATATGACATGAGCTCAAGGTAGACCGAAATGCCGGCGAGAGAGATAAAGAGGCCAATGACCCAGTAAATGAGAGCGAGGCCAACAGATCCCGTGCCGGCGAGAATGGTCGACGCTACACAGTGTCAGTGGTTGTGTCCACCTGTGAGAAAAAACTCACGTGTGCTGAAGATTCCAGTGCCAATAAGCATGGTAATGTTGAGGAACAAGGCAGTCCACTTGCCAACCTTGTACCCAAGAGGCGAGTGGGTCTCGACAGGAGCACCGCTCACGTCCTGGTATGTTGCACCGGCATTGTTGCCGCCCTTCTCACCGACAAACTCGTAGCCATCGGCGGCAAGGAACTGCGGGGCGAAGACCTCCTCGACGGTCGGGCTCTCGGGGATATCCTTGAAACTACTCTTTTCGCTGGAGGACATGGTGGGAGGATGGGTGGCACGGATCCGAGCCCAGCTTGTCCATGTTATACTGTTTCCTGTAATGGCGGCAAGAGGTCTCTCGTTGCTGTCCATGCTGTGAGAAATGCGCTGCCACATTCGTCACTCTAGTTGCCGATCACGACTCGCCAGATCTTTGGGCGGCGCCAAGCGAACGTTACCCGGCTTTGCCGTTTGCACGTACATGCATGCATCACCAATACGGCCTCCCTTTCCTGCGACGACAATGCAAAATAGTTGCTGGAATTGCGCATTGACGATGCAGACGTTGAAGCATGAGCAGTGATAAGGCCTAGATCACGTCGTGCCACAAACCATTAGCACAGAAGCACGTCATTGTGAGCACCATGGGCGCGGCGAGTCCTGCCTAAATGCACGAGGGTTTTTGCAGGCACGGAAGCCTCCTACAAGTCGGTTAGTGACCGATTCTCTGGGCAAGCTCCAAGCGCCAGCGGTGTGCTGCGACGTATGCTCGTCAGCAGGACCCTCGATGTCAGATTGCATGGCGAGCATGGCGGTTCCAATGACGACTGACCAACAACATTCCGGCATAAATCCGGTGGCACACGCAACACGGATCTGTCGAAGCGGCGGAGTCGCCGCCTTTCCCCATTTCCACAAAAGTCGTGTAGCCTGGAGGTGTACAAAGGGGCCTGTCAGCTGTCTTCGATTTCCTGCAACGCAACAGCAACAGCCCGCAAACGTGCGTTGCAGACGGCCGGTCCAAGCCGCCTGTTGCCCACTTGGCCACTTGGCTTTCCACACCTGCCCGCGGTCTCCTCCGAAGACGAGGGGGGCGTCATTTCCGACGTCGGGGTTAGTGACAGTTGTGAGTGAGAGACCATGCAAGGCGGGGCGGGGGACACTCAACCTAGACATGGTCTTGCTTATCGAGATGTGTGAGTCGCATGCAGGTCAGCAGCAACATCTCGCAACAAGTATGGACCGCGATGACTCGTTTGACCGGGCGATCAGCCGGACGCACCTCCGCCGGTGGTTTGAAATCTGTCTGTTAGCGGCTGATTCTCGGCGAGACGGCATAAGCTCTTTACCGCGCACCGCCCAGACGCCAGACCCACAGTTCAGCCGCTTTCCATACTTGTTCCACAGTCCTCTGCTGTGGCGCGGAACGGGGCCTCGGTCACCACCACGTTCACTGCAGACGACACGGCCTTTCCCCTCGCTAATCGGTGATTAGAACGGATAACGGATGTAAAAGGTCCGCGCGCCGCTGGACCGCTGCATGGCATCGCTCGGATTGAAATGGCCGTACTAATTCGACAACGACGAGTACGGCAGAGCAGTAGAGTACTGTACTGTATGTGCTGAGAGCAGAGCAGAAGATGCAGGGTGGGTCAACTGGAGGCCCGTCCCACATTGATCATTGAACGACGTGGACAGTGGGCATGGGCAAAGTGGGCAAAGTCGACCCAGTTGCCTCCGCTAATACGTTTTTTTTTTTTCTAATCGTGAGCAAAAATACATGTTCTACTCTATACAGCTGCTCTTTGATAACGTCGAACGCCGGTGGCCATTGCATGCCTCCCCCGTCCTCCCCACCGCGCCCCACGCACCCCGCATGGGGCTGCTGCCAAGTGCCAAGTGTGCGCAAGGTGTGGTGGCCAACGGTGCGTTGATGTGCCGCCCCCGTATATGCGGGGGGACAGTGGCCGAGGTAATTCCGGGCCCACCGCCGGTCACCGCCGGGTCACTTGACCCATCGCTCGGTGTTGCGGTGTGAGATTACACCGATGCTCTCCCGGACTGCCAACTGTTGTTTCCAACCTCATATATATGCTCGACACAGCAATGACTTGCACAACACACCTTGCCCCGGTCCTCGAGACAATATGACCAACACTGTAACCATCTCTGAGCTCCAGTTCGAGCACTACCCCACCGGCTTGGGCGTCTCGCACGCATCGCCCCGCCTCTCATGGCGCTTTGACGGCGACGCCCGTGACTGGACCCAAGTCGGGTACGAGGTGCGCGTCACCCGCAACGGCAAGGCAAAGACCTTTGCTGTCGACTCGGCGGCATCTGTCCTTGTCCCGTGGCCGTCGGAGCCCCTCGCAAGTCGTGACGCCGCCCATGTCGAGGTGCGCTCCCGCGGAGCCGACGGGTGGACAAACTGGACCGCGGCCGACGTCGAAGCTGCTTTCCTGGACCGTTCCGATTGGAAGGCCTCCCTTTCCGCCTGCTCCGAGATTGGCAAGAACGGCAACCTGGTCCTCAAGGGAATGGCTATGGAGCAGGTTCCCGACACGCGTGACAAGAAGCCCTACCGTCTTCGCAAGACGTTCACCCTTGACACTGTGCCCAAGACTTCGCGTCTGTACGTCACTGCCCAGGGTGTGCATACCACATACATCAACGGCCACCGCCTCCCCGACCTCCTCGAGCCCGGATGGACATCATACCAGCGCAACATCAACTACCGCGCATACGACGTCGCTCCGTTCCTGCAGCCCGGCAAGAATGTCATTGCGTCGTGGATCGGCGAGGGATGGTTCTCCACCCGTCTGACGTGGGGCGGAGGCGTTCGCGACAACTGGGGTCACCGCCCGGCCCTTCTTGCCCAACTCGAGGGTGATGGCCAAGTCCTCGCTGCCACCGGTGACGGCTGGGAGTGGTCGTACGGTGCCACCACCCAGGGCGAGATCTACGACGGCGAGACGTTCGACTCGAACGTCGACGACGTGGAGTGGCTCACAGCCGACAAGCCTGCAGGAGGTGAGTTGCAATATGCGTCTATTTAAGCTGACAGCGTAGAGTGGAAGAAGGCCGACGCACTCCCCCTCCCTGACACCAACCTCGTCACCCCCGAGATCCCCCCCATCCGCGAGTACGACCGCCTGAAGGTTGTCGAGGTGATCACCACACCCAGCGGCAAGACTGTTCTGGACTTTGGTCAGAACTTTGCTGGACACGTCGAGATTGTGGCCCAGCCAACTGGAACGGGCACTTTGGTACTGCGCCACGCCGAGGTGTTGGAGAAGGGAGAGCTCGGCGTTCGCCCCCTGCGTGTCTGCAAGGCCACCGACAACATCATCCTCGGTGGCAAGGTTGCCGGGTGGCAGCCCAAGTTTACCTTCCATGGATTCCGCTATGTCCAAGTCTCGGGCTGGACCGCGCCCATCAAGGGCGACGAGTTTGTCGGCGTCGCCATCTCCTCCAACTGCAGCCGCACCGGACAGTTTGACTGCTCCCACCCCAAGATCAACCGCCTGCACGAGAACGTTGTTTGGTCCATGCGGGCCAACACCATCTCGGTGCCCACCGACTGCCCCCAGCGTGACGAGAGGATGGGATGGACAGGCGATGCCCAGGTCATCACTCCCACCTTCAACTTCCTCTTCGACTCGGCCGGCTTCCTGCGCAACTGGCTCCGCGACCTGCGCGGTGATCAAGCCGCCAGCAACGGATGCGTTCCCATCGTCATTCCCAGCTTTGACTCCATCCCCATGTTCAGCAGTCCTCACGCTGTCTGGGGAGACGTCGCGGCCCTTATGCCCAACGACCTCTACACTAGCTTTGGTGACAAGGACATTCTGGCCGAGAGCTTTGAGAGCATGAAGTCGTGGCTCGGTGCCATTCCCCGCTCGGATGTTGGGCTGTGGGACACCAGCCTGTTCCAGTTTGCCGACTGGCTCGACCCCAAGGCGCCACCCGAGCGTGCTCAGCTGTGTACCACCGACCCCTTCCTGGTCACCGATGCGTACTTGATCCACACCACCCGCACTGTCGCCAAGGTCGCTCGCGTGCTCGGCAAGGACGACGAGGCTGCCAAGTACGACGCCAATGCCCGCGAGCTGCTTCAGACCTTCCACGACCTGTACATCACAAAGGGCAACCGCGTCGTGAGCGACACTCAGACGGCCCTCAGTCTCATCCTTCAATTTGACCTCGTCGACCCAGCCCGTCCCGAGCAGAAGGAGGCTCTTGTCAAGAGGCTGGCACTCCAGGTCTCAAAGGAGGAGTGGCAGGTTGCCACTGGCTTTGCGGGCACCCCGCTCATCCTCCCTACCCTGGCGGCGAACGGACTCACCAACCACGCCTACCGCATGCTGCTGAGCCGCGACTGCCCCTCGTGGATGTACCAGGTTCTCATGGGCGCCACCACAATGGTAAGCTTACATCCACACCGAAACAGTTAGCTAACAAACCAGTGGGAGCGATGGGACTCGATGCTGCCCGACGGCACCATCAACCCGGGCGAGATGACGTCGTTCAACCACTACGCTTTTGGTGCCGTTGCCGCGTTCATGCACAACACGATCGGTGGCCTCTCGCCGCTCGAGGCTGGATGGAAGAAGGCCCTCATCAAGCCCCAGCCCGGCGCCAACCTCACCCACGCGTCGGTCGAGTTCAAGTCGCCCTACGGCAAGTATGCTGTTTCGTGGCGTCTCAACGGCGACGACCTGTCCGTCGAGGTCGAGGTGCCGCCCAACGCGTCGGCTGTGGTCGAGCTGCCGGGCGTCAACGAGACGGTTGGCTCGGGCACGAGGTCGTACAAGGTCAAGTGCGAGGCGCAGGAGTGGCCACCCAAGTCACTTCTTCCCAACCCTATGCCCGGCGGCTCAACGGAAGACAAGTGGGTTAAGGAGTAGATGTAGTCGGCAGTCACACGTAGCTTAAGATCAAATATACAATGTCGGATGTAAATGTGACGGAAGACGGGCAGCAGAATCCATCGACCTTCAACAACGCGATTTCCACCACTGCCATGCATTCTTCTGACTCAACTCAAGCCCAGTGGGGACGTACCTACAGCTAAAAGGAATGCGTGCATGGTATACATGCAACCAAAAATGATGTGCTATTGCCTTCTACCCGAATTGAACGGGTGACCCTTTCATCTTAGCCAGGCTGCTGTTGACAGACACTACTAGTGAAAAATTCTAACCACTGAACTAAGAAGGCCGACACGTTGAGCTGTCTGTCTGTGTGGCCGAAGCGGATCGCTCTTGGAAAGGCTGTTGATTCACGAAACACACCGCATGTGGTGTTGGAGACTGCGCGTTACGATGCCTTCGAGCCCACTTTCATCACCCCTACTTCTACAACACGCCTGCAATCTACAGACGTCACCTGTCGTTTCTTCCACGTCACCTAAACTTTCCCCCTTATTTACAAGTTGATAACCCAGTTGTAGTACCTAGCTCCACTGCGGCGGAGCCGCTTGCCAAATTTGATCATTCCAAAGGACGAGACGTTGATGAGGGTCGCGACGAGCACACTGGACCATGCAAAGTTTTTGAAGCCCCAAGTAAAGGCCCAGGCGGTGATGGCATAGTTCTGGAGTCTGTCAGCTTGTTGTCTGTAGCGTCAAGGACTTACAAAGCCGAACGTCATGCACATGCCGAACACGATGAGACTCAGGAGGTACGGTGCCGCCTGTTGGACGTCGGCACGGGGTCCTTCCTTTTCGCGAGGGTGCATCGAGTGGAAGCTGTCGAACGCGTACGTCAGGCACAACAGAGTCGCCAGGGGACCAGCGACAGTGAGGACAAACTCGCCCGCGACAAAGACCATCCAGTGAGCTACGAGAAAAAGTAAGCACAAAAACAACACTCTTCTGTTTCGCAGCTCCACTCACCATTGTACGCGACACCCAGGCTCATCATGATGAGGCCAAGAGGCGAGAGGATGGTGGGGACAATCATCAGCCAGAGCTTGTGCTCTGGTTCCGAGACACCGCCGTTGCGGCGCGCGCAGCGGACCGTCCAGCGGTCACACACCCAACCGCCGAGAATGGCACCGGGGACAATGGCCAGGAAGGGCGAGAGGAAGGTGAGGCCGACACTGGTGGGTGCCATGTTGTAAGGCTCGGCGGAGAGGACACCCGACGAAAGTGCGGCCATGCAGTTGAAGAAGATCTGGTAGATGCCAAAGATGAGGCCGGTGAAGAGTGTGATGGGGAGAGGAAGCATCAAGAACGGGTAAACGATGCCGCGGAGCAGAATGCCGCCAGCGTACTTTGACACGGTGAACATGTTCCACGGGCGAGGGCCGGGGTATGGGGACACGATGCGGTCGTATGCGTGGACACCGACGCGAATGTCGTGTGTGTCGGCGACCTTGACGATGGCGGACGACTTGTCGCCCTCCTTGTCATACGCGCTGGTGGACGTAATGTGTGTGGCGGTCTCCTCGGGCTTGACGGGGTCGGTGTCGCGCTTGAAGTTGGTCTCCTCGAGGAACACAAACAGGAAAATTGCCACAATGCCGGCGAATCCACCAGCCATGTACTGTAAATGTCAGTAAACAAGCCACATAAAACTCTGCTCACGGGAGGGCCGTGCCATCCAAGACTGTTGTAAATGTAGCCACTAAACACGGGTGCCAACACGGCACCACCGTAAGTGGTGGCCACGTAGATACCAAAGGGGAGAGCACGCTCGTGGTAGAAGAACTGGAAGACGTGAGCTGGGGGAGGGCAAATGCAGTTGATCTATGTACTCACCACATCAGACAGCGATGCCTCGGGTCCCACAAAGAGCGGCGACGCGACAAAGCCGTTGACGAGGCAGAGGCCGATCCATGCACCGTTTGTGGGAATGTGGGGCAGGGAAAACGGGAAGATGACCAGGCAGCAGCAGCTAACAATGTAGACTGGGCGCTTGCCTATGGCGATCATGAGTGGAAGGGTGAAGCACGCTCCAAGTCCCTGGCCCAGGTAGGCAAATCCGACACCGGTGTTGATGTTGTCCAGTGAAAGTCCAGTCTGAAAAGTGTCAGCCACAAGCCACAAAGCAGGCGCGGTCAAAACTCACAGCTTCGCTGACAGGCTCGTAAATGGCATACAAACAACCAGCGACCAAACACGCTGCCAAGACATAGGCAACCATGCACCCGAGTTGAAGCCATTTGCGCTTCTGGCTCCAGTTGAGGGGGTCTCGCGGGTCCGACGAGGGCGCGGGGACAAGAGTAAAGTTGTCATTGCCAGATGCCTCGGCCGCGTCGTCGAGAATGACAGTGGTGCCCGGCACGTCAAGGGCGTCCCTGAGGTCGTCGTGCTTAGCCATAACTCTGCAATCAAGTGAGCTGGGTGTGGTGGTGTAGAGGTTTAGGAACCTTTGGTGGGGTAAAGCACTGGCAACGGTGCGCGCCGTGTTCTTTTCATTCTCCACAGCCGATCGCCAGGACGCTACCGAGCTACTGTCAGTACTTGGTGGGCTTCGGCCAGATCCATGGAGCGGTGGGAACCTTATCACCTGACAACTGGACAATCATCCAATTACCCGGTTGTTTATTGGAACTGCCGTTGTTATCCGCAGCGCATACGCCTGCAGAGCTTCGTTCAAATACAATCGCATGGCCTGCGACTCCCCGCATCGTATTATGCCTGAACCTAAGCGAGGTCGGCAAGCTGCCCACTATCTGCGTTCGCGGCCCTCCGGTGATGAGTCCGCCGCCGATAAAGAATCGCACGCTAGTACTACTGTTTCAGTCAATGTCGTCCTAACAGTGATAGCATATGTAGTGGCACAGGTCCGCAGCTCGCCAAGACTTTGGCGCTACAAGTGCGATTGTTCAACGTGGTTTCGGCGCTTGGGCGAGATGCCGGGCGTTTGCTCATGCTGCGGGCGCTTGACCCCAGAGATGCCCTCCTCATGTGATTGCGCTCACGCAGCATTGGAAGACAGCCCCATCGTGAGCTGCATTGATTCGTTAAAGCTCGTCAAACGCGCCAGCCACACCCGCATGACGGCCGAGCCCGTCGAGCCCGTTCGCTGCAACCACAGTCACCAATCAGGCCTTAGCGACCTAGCGATACTCATGAAGGATATACGGTTGCCTGGCCTGTAGCACGCGCTTCGACCAGCGAGAAGAAGATATTGTGAATGATTGGCGCCAGTGGCCCAGTACTGATCCAGCGACCCACCCACTGCATACTCGAGGACGCACATTGTTTGCCAACCACTATGACCATGTCCGGCTCATTCGCATGGGCTTCACTGCATACACTCTCTACTCTCTGGATCTCTGGTGTCCCGCATCTCGGCCGTAAACAGTTAATAACCCGGCGCAATTACCCACCCGACGCCACATTGGAACATCTCACGCCCCCACAACGGGTATTCCACTATCGGCGTCCAGAAGGCCAGAAGGCCGGATGGTGCCAAGAAGTGGGCGACATCAATAAAACCAACACCGCCGGGACCATGATACAGCTACCGCCTGAACCCAACCTTCACAACAGGAGGCAGGATGACAACCACTACGGCGACCACCCGTCTCGTCAAGAATGCCCGCATCTTCACTTCAGCGGACGGTGACTCGAAACTCCACGAGGCCCTTGTGGTGGACGGTGACAAGGTCGCGTTTGTAGGAACCCTTGAGGAGGCCGAGAAACGTGCCGTGGTATGTCACCTAACACAAAGGGCTTTGCTGACTGAAAGAACGCCGAGGTGACTGACCTAGGAGGCAAAGTGGTTCTCCCTGGTATCATTGATGGTCACACACACCTCGTCATGTTCGGCGGCTCGCTCGCCAAGGCCGACTGCTTGGGCAAGACAGCAGCGCAGGTGCAGGAGATCATCAAGGCCGAACGCGTAGCCAAGCCACACCAGCCGTTTGTCCTGGGCCGTTCCTTCCTGTTCGATGCTCTGGGTCAGGACCCGCACAAGTCCCTGCTTGACGCCGCCGTGTCCGACGTGCCCGTGATCATCGACTCGGCCGACCTGCATTCGACATGGCTCAACAGTGCCGCTCTCAAAGCTGTCGGAGTAGGACGTGATACCCCCAACCCCAAGGGCGGCGAGTTTGAGCGTGACGCAGACGGAGAGCTCACCGGTCTCTGCCTCGAGACCGCGGTTGTGGAGTATGTGTGGCCATGGGTGTCAAAGCAGATGACCCACGAGGACCGGGTGCGTATGCTCGACGACGTGTTTGAAGAGTACCTTTCAACTGGTATCACCGGCTGCATCGACATGGCGATGACCGACGAGGACCTCGCCGCCATCGAAGCCGTGTATGCACGCAACCAAAGCCTTCCCATCCGCGTCGCTGTTCACTTCCTCCTGCGGCCAGACGGCACCGACGAGTCTCGTGCAGAGCAGGTCACGGCTGCGGCCGCCCAGCGCAAGCGCCTCGAGCCATATGCGCCGTGGCTCCAGGTCGCAGGCGTCAAGGTCATTTCTGACGGAGTTGTGGATTCGTGTACGGCGTTTCTTAAAGAGCCGTACGCAGATGGAACCAAAGCTGGACCCATCTGGCCGGGCGACGAGCTGGCAAAGGTCGTTGTCCTGGCCGACTCGCTCGACTTGCAGATTGCGGTCCATGCCATTGGCGACGCTGCGTCAGAGCAAGCGCTGGACGCCTTTGAGGCGGCGATCAAGGTCAACGGCCCGCGTCCCTTGCGCCGCCACCGCCTGGAGCATCTCGAAGTCGTCACCCCAGAGAGCATCCAGCGCCTCACCCGCCTTGGCATCGTTGCGTCCCTGCAGCCTGTCCATGCCGACCCCGTCTATGTACCCAACTGGCGCAAGATGCTGGGTGAGGACAAGCGCTGCGACCGCGCCTTCCCTTGGACAGAATACGTCGAGGCCAATTCCAAGGTGGCGTTTGGATCCGACGCTCCGACCGCTCCACACCACCCGTTCCCCAACATGTACACCGCCACCACCCGCCAGTCGGCTGTAAACCCTACGCTCAAGCCTGACACCGACCCTCGCATTGTCGCTCTCGAGCGTTTCTGCTTGAAGCTGGACACGAGCATTCGCTTCTACACCTCTGGGTCCGCCTACTCGATGCGCGGCGAGGACAGCTACGGCACCCTCGAAGCGGGAAAAAGTGCCGACTTTTGTGTGATCAGCATCGACCCGTTCCAGGATGGTGTGGAGACACTGCGGGAGGCGCAAAAGGCCGTCACCCAGACGTGGGTTGCGGGCAAGCTGGCGTGGGAGAAGTCGTAGACGGCATAATGCATAGGCTCAGAAGCATAATGGGGATATACTGATCTTGGGTGAATAGCACAGCATATGCCCCCGCCACGACGGCAAAGGACGGATAGAATGGCCTGATTGAGCGAACAAATCACTCCGGAATGGAGTCCACTCCGTATGGTGTTACGTATGCATTGTATTGCCAACCGTCGGCGCGCTTAGCGAAGGAGAATGGCGTCGCCGTCCGCAGGGTCCTGTGGCCGATGGAGAGATCAGAACCACGCACTACTGGTCCGTTGACGAGATGTGACGGTGCGGATGGTGATTATTTCCGCGTTCTCGGCAACCGCCTGTGGCTGCCGTGACGAGACGGGCCTGGAGCGCTCCACGCATGGGTCCGGCACGACGGCTCTTGTCGGCAGTTCGGTTCCTGCGCTTACGTGGGCTCAACGTACAGGTCCATTTCCCTCTCGCCAACCTCCTGGGCATACTCTTCTCGAGAAACCAGAGACAGCTTTGTCAAGAGAAGGTCTACCCCGGGCCCCTCGCGGGCTTCGAGCTGCGCAGCAGACGGCTTGCCATTATCCCCAATACCCATGTCGCCTGGCCGCAGGCGAGAGTACATCAGCATGCCTCTGGCGGCTGACCGAAAGCGGGCTGCGGCAGGCTCGGCCATACCGACCACTGTGAATGTCTTGTCCTCGATGAATCGATCCACGCAATCGACCAAGGCAACGAAGAGGTCTTGTTTACTGATTCCACTGGCAAGAGGTTTCTGCTCTGGAGGATCGGATGTGGGAGACAGGATGATCACAACGTCCTCGACGCAATCGGGGATGCGGGTAAGGAATGGAATGTGGGCTAGTTCCACATACCAAGTCGAGTTTGGAGTGCCGAGGTAACTCTGATAGACGGCAAAGTTGATGACGAGCTTCTTGACGCCTTGTGCTGGCGGCCGAAGAAACGCGTCCGGGCATTCCCCAAACGCGCAGAGCGACGTCGACAGAAAGACAACAAAGGTGGGTGCCACAATGGGACACTCACCTGCCCAGTTGGTCTCTGTGACGTCGATCAGGCGGACCGTTTCGAGCTCTGGCTCCATGGCGGCAATGCACGCTTGGTATATCATGAGCACCTGTGGATCGGGCATGAAGTGGATGTCGACAACTCGGATACGCCGGAACACGGTCGCTGCGACAGGAGCTGCATGGGCCAGACTGCAGAACAAGACATGGTCGCCCCACTTGCTGGACGACTGCCAGTCGAGAGTCTTGCCTCTGATGGCAGCCCACCGCCGCTCCACCCGCTCGACCTCGTTCAGATCGGCGGGCCATGATAACATGTCCTCCGGGTCGGCGGGGATGGAACCCCCAAGGTGGACGAGTGCAATGTGGGTATCGAGGATCCTTGAGACGCGGGCGTGGAATGCCTTGGACGTTGGGCGGAATGCGTTGAGGGCATCACGGCACGCAAACTCGACGATGCGGTCGATAATGTGCGGGTGAGCCGTGTGGTCGATGGTGACTGACAGGCTTGGGTGTGGTTTCTCCTGCTGTTGCATGAGGGTAACAACCTCTACTGGGCCATCTGTATCTTGGTCGCCGTGGTCGTCGCTGGCGTTGCAGCCGTCGTCGGTCGCCGTGGCTTCAGAAGGCAAGTGGTCGGAGGAGGTGTTGAGACGCAGCTCGTCACCGAGTGGGTCATGGAGGTCTGTCGTAAACGTTTCGAGCGCATTACTGTATGCCCCGTAGCTCCGTGGTTTGCTATGTGAGCCGCCAGGCGTTGAGGCCATTGCATGTGTTGTTGTTGTTGTGGATTTCTGACGCACCTCGAACAGCGCAGCGGCGGTGACGAGCCATCGGATGCACGTTGAGGGTGGAGGCCATGATAGTTTAGCCGTTGTTTTGCCGTGGCTGGGCTAGGTTTGGGGGTGACTGTCTCTTCGATCTCTTCCTCTGTTGCCCAGATGCTCATCCTGCCTGGCTTCGTCAAAACATCACCCCCTCGCATCCACCCACCTGTGCACGAACCGGCGGCTCTTGCTCGTCGATCGTCGATAGGCTGACTGTACTGTACTGGCAGCGGTACCGAACCTAGAGTGGACATTTAGGCGCCATCGTGGACTCGTTGGGGCGAGAGATCCTCACATTCCCCGCCACGATATGCATACGATATACGATACGAACCTCACACGTGAGCACTCCCACATGGGTCGAGGCGGTAAGCCGAGAGTTTGTGATCTTTTTTTTTTGATCTTTGGGCCAGATCTCACCGCCGGAGAGACGTGATCGCTGATTGTCCGCGGAGGTTATCCGGCCTGCTGTCTGCCGCTGGGGAGTTGGGAGTTGAGGCCGATTTTGTTGCGACTCGTTGCGTTCTCATTATGCTGTTGGGCTGGGGACGACACGATCCACGCAATTCAGCAGCAACTGCATGGCAGTTGGAAATAGCATAGCAACTGGGGAGGCTTGCACGCGATCGTCGCGGAGCTGCGTGGTTTCGGCGATTCGAAAATGTCCATCAGTACGCGACGCGTAACAGACAACAATCGAAGCCTGTACATTCCATCCCCAGATCCACGATCAGGGCCTGCAGCGCCGCAAGCTCGCACGAGCACCAGCGTTGGGGACCCCCCAGGTCCTCCGCCGAAGCAAAGGAGGCCCTTCGATGCGCATAACGTGGCCCCCAGCCTCAACTGGGCACCGGCGCAACCGTCCGCGGACATTTAGGACTGTTGGACCTTTTCGGACGGGACGTTGCGGAGAGCCTTGTCGCAAACCAAACGCTTTGCCGAAGCAAACCATGCATCGAAGGCCACCAAGGCCACCAACCCAAACGATATGCAAGTGAAGAAGAGAAATCGTTTCAACTGCTGTCTCTTGGCAAGGCGCTGGCTTGACAAAGCGCTGGCTAAGGACCTGGCTGAATGGTGAAAGCGCGGGACAGGGGTGTGGGTGGAGTGGCAAATCGTTATCACGTCATGTTTTTGCATCCTACTCATGTCAGTTATCCAACTGAGTAGCATGAGTAGTTTTGCAGCCTGTTTCCCGCCAGGTGCCTACACGCCCCTCAGCGACAGACATTCATACGTACCGGCGGCAACTTCGTTTGGTGAACAACAGGTGAACAACAGAGATGCTGCCAAACATCCGCAACGTCCGCACCTCACTGAGGTCCGTCCGCGTCTGTCCGCGTCTGTCCCGCCGAGGTTCCGTGTCGGCATCTTAACCAGCACACGGACCTCGGCACACTCGGTACACAGGACCCCATTTGCGGACTGCTGCGGGCATGTGACATTCATGTGACATCAATGACATAGGCGGCTGCCCGCTCGCTGCCGCCGCTAGCCGCAGCAGCACCCCACCCGGCCCCGGTCTGGAGACTCCCGAGCAATGTGGCTTTGTTGCTGCATTGTCCTGAAAGGGGCGACGAGGTGGGGTGGGGTCGCAGTGGGTGCCTAGACGAGCTGTACTTCGTGGTTCGCCTGCTGATCTGCTCAAGGTTGGGTGTGTTGTCGTCAGCCCCCACATGCCCCACATGCCCCCACATGCCCACTCTATACTGTTGCTTGCCGTCCCCACCCCCCTCCCGCTTCGCTTACAACATTCCAAACGGCCGCCAGCCATGGTGAAAGGGGCCGAACAGGAACGCAACTATCGTGTACCTCCGCAAGGGTTCATCTTCAACATGTTCGCGGTTCTCCGCGATGTTGCGGAGGTGGGGCCATTGTAGCGTCCAAGGGGGGACACGGCCCTTTGCGACAGCTCGCAATGTGACATGCTTCTATAAGAAGGGACTGGGGGCCAGTTGATTTGCGTCTTCCACAACAGGTTGCAATTCGCGACGGTCTACCGCCACATTACAACTTGCTGAGCGCCAGCCAAGAACGCAACACAACAGCGCCACACCGCCAATCACTTACAGCAACCACAACAACCACAGCCGCCACCACCCCCACCATGTCTCTTTCGTCTGACGAGGAGCGCCAGGTCGGCATCAAGGAAAGCCCCTATGCCCACGACGAGAAGAGTGCTGCGCACCACATCGATGACAAAGCTCGCCGCTCGAGTCACGTGGAGCACATCCACAATATCAACGAAAACGTCTCTGCCAAGTGAGTGTGCCTGAGTGGGGTGGCCAAGGAACGGAGGGTTAACATGCCAGAATTCAAAACCCCCTCTTTGGTATCCCCAAGGACCAGCTCTTCGATGACGTTGACCGCTTCTGTGACGAGAATGGCTTTTCGGACCAAAAGGAGCTCTTCCGCAAGGGTGCCCTCGTTGGGCAGAACCCGAGTGGCTTTGAGAGGTACCCCGAGCTTGACGATGCCGACAAGAACGTCCTCCGCCGCGAGAAGACGCACAAGTGGGACCAGCCCAGGGCCCTCATCTTCACCGTTGTCTTGGCATCGGTCGGAGCCGCCGTGCAAGGCTGGGACCAGACCGGTTCCAACGGTGCCAACCTGTCGTTCCCTATCGAGTTTGGCATTCCCGACACGGTGGTTGAAGGCCAGAGTGCCAAGGAGCAGGAAGACCACTCGTGGCTCGTCGGTCTCGTCAACGCCGCCCCTTACATTGGTGCTGCGCTCATCGGTTGCTGGGTGAGTCTTAATGTATCTGTCACACGACCCGTGGCTAACCCAATGTACAGCTCAACGACCCCATGAACAACTGGCTTGGCCGCCGTGGAACCATCTTCATCTCCGCTGTCTTCTGTCTGCTCACTCCCATCGGCTCTGCGTGCACCCAGAACTGGCAGCAGTTGCTTGCCTGCCGTATCTTGATGGGAATTGGAATGGGACTCAAGGCATCGACTGTTCCCATCTTCAACGCGTGAGTCGCCTAGAGCACACGGGGTTGTGGCGCAACGCTGACAATGACAGTGAAAATGTCCCGGCCTCTGTCCGTGGCGGTCTGGTCATGTCATGGCAACTCTGGACCGCGTTCGGTATCTTCCTCGGCTTCTGCGCCAACCTCGCCGTCTTCAACGTCGGAAAAATCGCTTGGCGCTTGCAGCTCGGATCGGCCTTCATCCCCGCCGTCCCGCTCGTTATCGGCGTGTACTTCTGTCCCGAGTCGCCGCGTTGGCTCATGAAGAAGGGTCGCTACGGGGACGCGTTCAAGTCGCTTCTGCGTCTGCGCAACTCTCCGCTCCAGGCCTCACGCGACCTCTACTACGTCTATGCCCAGCTGCAGGAGGAATACGCCGCGGTCGGCACCAGCAACTTCTTCACCCGCTTTATCCAGCTCTTCACCATTCCTCGTGTTCGCCGCGCTACTATCGCTTCCTTTGTTGTCATGCTCGCGCAGCAGATGGTGAGTTGGGCATGGTCCATACGGGCGTTTCATTGCTAACAATGTCTACAGTGCGGTATCAACATTATTGCATTCTACTCGTCGTCCGTTTTCCAGGAGGCCGGTTACGGTACCCTCCAGTGCCTGCTCGCGTCGTTTGGTTTCGGCCTCATCAACTTCATTTTCGCTTTCCCTGCCGTTTTCACCATCGACACCTTTGGAAGGAGGAACCTGCTGCTCTCGACTTTCCCCAACATGGCCTGGACCCTGCTCGCGGCCGGTCTTTGCTTCCTGATCAAGGACACCAACGTCAAGGTTCCCCTTGTGGCGCTTTTCATCTACCTGTTCGCCATGGTGTACTCGGTCGGCGAGGGACCTGTTGTGAGTACCAAACTAGAGCTGGCTATAAAATCACAATGCTGACACACGATACAGCCGTTTGCCTACTCGGCCGAAGTGTTCCCCATCACCCACCGTGAAGTCGGCATGGGCTGGGCTGTTGCCACCTGCCTGTTCTGGGCTGCGGTCCTGTCGCTCACCTGGCCCCGTATGAAGATTGCAATGACCCCGACTGGTGCCTTTGGCTTCTACGCCGGCCTCAACGTCATCGCCACTGTCATGATCTTCTTCCTCCTCCCCGAGACCAAGCAGCTCACGCTTGAGGAGCTCGACTATGTGTTCGGTGTGCCCATGAGCAAGCACGCTTCTTACCAGGGCAGCACCTGGCTCCCCTGGTTCATCAAGCGCTACATCTTCCGCCGCAAGGACGCCCAGCTCAAGCCCCTCTACAACCTCGACGAGATCCAGGGTATCGAGAAGGACCCCGAATACGCCGCTATGACCGCTGGCGCTGCTCACTGATCACTGAGAGAATAACGAGAAAACAATGGAGGAGGGAAATGGAGACACACAAAGAAAACAAACCTAGCGTTCGATGTGTTTTGTAATGTTAGTACTTTGGAAAGAGGCAATGCAGAAGCTTCCCATGAGCAAGCGTCGGCAGCGTACTAGTACATCCCGTCAAAACTCTGCTCATCACCGAGTGACCTAATATCCCCTCTTGTCCAAAGCCTCAAAGTATTCAATCCAATCCTGCTTGACTGCAGGCCAAGTATACCCGATGTCAGGCGACAAGATTCCGAGATCCTTCAACACATAGTCGGTGTGTACTCCGTTGGGGAGCTGCGAGTCAGCGTCTGTCACTGGGTCCCTCTTTTATCCTGCTCCACACAAGTGATTTAGCTCACCTTTAGGAACGTCACGTCCACGCCAGCCGTCTTCATAGCCCGAACAACGCTGCTGATCTCGTCAAAGAAGGCCTCAGCGTCGCCACCATTGATATGCACAATGACGCCAGCTTGCGCCAAGTGACGCCAATGCTCGTCGTTCGGGTGCAGCGCCGGGGAGAAGTACGGGCCGCGTGCGGCCCCCTTTCCGTAATGACGGATATGAGAAGGTACACACGCGGCGGTAAGGTCGAAGAGAATGTCGCTGTGCTTGTTGGTTTGGATGGAGGGAAACGACGAGGTCAGGTCCGACCATGGCTACAGGGGGTGTGAGTGACTTTGGTTGGCAACGAAGACTGGTAGGATGCCACGTACTGCCGACAAGAGCATGCCGCCTGCAAGACCCAGTTTGTCATACCCAGATTGCTGGAGGTCGTCGAGGTATCGCATGAGCGCAAGGCATGCGTTCCCGCCCGCGCTTTCGCCAGCAAGAGTGATGTTCTGCCCGTCAGTGTCGGGCGCCACCTCCCCTCCCCCATACCGTACGGACCTTTGGCTCGAAACCCAGCTTGATGAGAAACTGCCATCCCGCAAGACTGTCGAGCAACGACCCGGGGAACGCGCTGGCGTCGTCGAGCGACTTGCGATAGTTGACTGTACACAGACGGCCTTTCATGACTTTGGTCATGTTGAAGACGATGTGTTCCGACAGTGGATGGCCACCGACATACGCACCGCCGATGGTATGGAGGACCACTCGCTCTCCCGGTGCTGCCCGAGCAAAGAGGTCAGTTCCCTGCGGCACATGTCAGTGCCATAAAACGCCAAATGGGCACGTCAGGTGCAGGTACGTACTGCCGGGGCAACCATGAATACCGGTACCGGAGCCCCCTTGACCTTATCCCCGACCTGCTTAATGATAGGGAGACGGGGCACGTCGGCATCCAAGGGCTGGACCATGCGGACCTCGACGGTCCACTCTGGCGACGTTGTGTACTTGTTTTTGGGAATCATCGCTGCCGTCGCGTCGCGGGGAGGGAGGGTGACCCGCGACGCGTTTGTGCCCGCGACGCGCATGAGGTTGGCGATCACATGCCGCTTGAGGCTGTATGGTGGCCGCCTATACAGGTATGTAAAGACGTGGTAGATCGCCGTTGGCGGGAGGGTGACGAGGAGGAGGGTCACAATTATGGCCACCTTGGTGACGCCCCGAAGCAGACCAACGAGCTGTTCGGCCATGGTGTGTGTGTGAGGTGGGGGGCTCATTGGTGGGTGGGTAGTCATACGAGCGTTATGTATCTGTCCCAGCGGTATGCCAGCAGCTCGTCGCCCTGTAGGGGCCATCCATGATACATTGCTCAACTGGTCGGCGGCCGGCGGTGGCCGCAGTCTCTCACTAATAGCAGCGGTCTCGGTGTTTTCCTCGGGCATGAACACCGCGGCGGTTATCTAGCCCGCTTGGCGCGGTGTAATGTCAGTCCGGGGCCACGAACCGGGGTGGGTGCGGGCCCCAGGATTTACAGGTTCCGCTGGTCCCGCCGCCCCACATCTGCACTGTCTGCTCGGGTAGAATGTTACTACTGGTGTAATACATGTAGACCACAGGGTGTAGGATTGGATCATGTGCGCTATGTAAAGCTCTGTACAATGAACTCATACAACTTAGACCTCTAGCAGTGCGTGAAGCTCGTCGTCCTCCATGGCGATCATGCGGTCGGTGGCGTCGGCTTGAGCGTGGTCGAAATCGATGAGGACCAAAGATCCGTCAGGACGGCGGAGAATGTGACGAGGCCGGATATCGTGGTGACACACACGGCGCGCGTGGATGGCGTCAAAGAGGGTACACAAACTCCGTCTGATAGGTCAGCAGAGAGTCCCAGTGCAGATGACCCACTTGTCGTCGCGATTGAGAGCACTGATTCCACGAGAGGAGCCAGCAGCGGGGACGCCACAGTGCTCTAGCACGGCAATGTGGCACAGTGAGAGACCGCGCGAGTCGACACTGTTGGTACGGTAGAGTCCAAAGAAGACTGGAACCGAGGTGCCTTGAAGGTCACCCAAATGCTGCTTCAGAATACGTGCTTCGTTATACACGTAATCAAGCTGTTGCTCCAAACGTTCGTCGTCGTGCAGGATTGACGATGAATCACAGATCTTTACGACCACGTGTCGAGTTCCGTTTTGAGTCGATATAGACCCCTCGTAAACATCCCACAGCCATCCTTGCCCAATGAGACCCCCAACAGTCACCGCTGGGTTGGAGGTGAGAGGGGCGGATGCGGCGACCTGGGTGGTGACCGCGAGGGTGTCGAACCATTGCCGCTCAAGGTCGTCCTCGTCTCGGCCCTCCGCAGGAAGGAACCTGACCGTTGAGGAGTCAGATGAATTCGAGCTGGAGGAAGTTGATTCAGTAGGCATGGTGTGGGATGATGACGGGGGAGTGATAAGAGTTGCGGTCGGCACTTGAGAACCAAGTGGTCGGTCTTTGGGCATCGTTGGGGGCGTTAAACGGGAGCGCAGGGAGGAGGTGTCGTGGCTCTCGGGCACGTCCGAGTGGGACATGCGTTGCATCACGGAACCGCCCAGCCCAGAGGATGACATGTGTGTGGGGTTGTCCTGGGCCGCATCGCGATTGCTCTCCGCTTGTGGAAGTTTCACCCTCTTGGCCGCGATGTCCTTGTACTTGAGGTTCATCGCGTGTGTTACAGCATCCGCGTGCCAGATGTCGCCCACACGCTCGTCCAAAAGTAGGAGTGCAACGAGCACGGGAAGAACGTAAGACATGGGTTGTGTGGGAGTCGCATGTCGGGCGTCGATGCTGGTGTGCCCAACGCATTTCACAGAGGCAGGGTTCAGCGAGAGGTGGAGATCATCCAACAGGGAGCCAGGAAGTGTTGACAAGTCGTGCCGAGTCCTCGACAAAGCCATGGCGCGAGGGTCGCGGAAGAACAAGTCGGACACGCATAGATCATTCTTGCCCGTGAGCTTGACGAGGATGTAGACGTTGTAGTTTGTCAACAGACAGTAGACGCCCTTGTTCACGTGCAGTTGTTCGAACACCTGAGCGTGAGCTACCGCAGTTGGGCAAGAACTTACTTGTGACAAGACGAGGACCATGGCGGGGCCCAAAGTGGTGACAGTCGCTCCTCGGCGCACACTAAACTTGCCACGTCCATTGTATGTGAACTCCAAGGGCGGGTCACCGTCAATTTGTTGCTTCAAGGCAGTTACCAGGCGGAAGAAATCGGCGTCTAGCAGTGCTGTCTTGTTTTCGTATAGACACACCACTGGGCGCTCCTCGGTAGAGGGTGGACGAACAGGACAAGAGGCCAAGCCGCTGGTACCAGAGCCCACGTCCTCGGCGTAGTCCCAAACCCGATGGCCTGAGGTTACACTCCTCACGTGCTTTGAGGAAACGAACATGTTTGCCAGGTGAGCGGCCTGGAGGCGAACAACGCCGGTGTTGCCAAGTGCACCGCCGCCAACACGAGTTGAGATGCACGTGTGAGATCCGTGATCTTTGGCAAGCTGCCGAGGTTCCTCACGATCGAGACGGTAGTGATAGGGAGTGTGCCCGTCCGATGGGACGCTCGCGTCTGGTCGCACGCTCCAGTGTACATGGTCTTGCACGAGGATTTCTTCGGTCCAGGAAGTCACAAAGGCAGCGTCATGGCCGTCGCTGCCAAGGTGAGGCAACAGATGTGTGGTGATTACATCCGCGAGCTGGTCACGGTCGAGGGAGATCCTGCAGTCAGGTCCCCGCCCAAGAAGTTGGCTTACCTACTTGAAGCGGTGTATAAGCTCAAAGAACTTGTGCCCAAAGTCGGTGACGGAGTGCGTACTGCTGGACGCCGCGAGCTGGTGTCAGCCGGTTCTCGTCGTAAACGACCTACTCCATCCTGCCGTTTCCTCTTTCGCCCGGCTCCTGCACCCTGGGCCTCGATAACCATCGGGGGCATGATGTGGCGGGACAAGCACTCGTGGATGGTGCTGGGGTAGAGCTCTCCTGGAAGCGTGTAGCGACTGTGGGTCGGACCTGGGTTGCCGAGGTGGGAGAACTCGGAATGAAACATGCTTGATTGTTGCGTTGGACGACGAGGCCTCCCGGTTGCCTAGCCACTGCAATCGTGCACTGGGTATCAAAGCGAGTGCGTCATGAGTGCGGTGGGTGGTTTGCAGGTGGACGGGGAGGATGTAAACTGTGGTGACGATGTTGTTGTTGTCGTTGTCGCCGTGGTGCCCGTCTTGTCATTGGGAACGACCAGTCGTCACGTGACAGTGATAGTAGCGCTACAGTGAGTGAACCACATGGTCCGAGCACCGTAGGCTGTAAACGACCTGCTTCTTCGCTGCTAACACCGGATCGATGCAGGCTCCGAGACAAGTAAGTGCAACAGGACGTCGACACGGAATGTACTGAACGGTGTGGTAGATGCATCGGTTCGACCCCAGCCTATGTCTAGTTGTAGCCTCTCTTATCCAGCGCCTCAAAGTACTCGATCCAACCCTGCTTGACTGCTGGCCACGTATACGCAAGGTCAGGCTGCATGACCGCAAAGTCCTTTATCAGATAGTCGCAGTGGACGCCCAGTGCGAGCTGTGTCGCACGTGTCAGCAGCACAACCCTTGGTTGGGAGGACAAAGACGGCTCTCACGCACCTGGGCAAATGCCACGTCCACACCCGCGGCCTGCATCGTCTGCACCAAGGCGACAATCTCGTCCCATAACGCCTCGGCGGTACCCCCGCTAACATGCACGGCGACCCTAGCTGACGCGAGGCGCTTCCAGTGGGGGTCGTCTCCGTGCATGGACAGCGCGGGGGAAAAGTAGGCGTCGGACAGCTGGTTGCTGTAGTGTCGCGTATGTGACGGGATGGCGTAGACGGACAGGTCCATGAGGTAATCAGTATACTTGTTGGCCTTGATGGAAGGGAACGAGCACGTCATGTCGCTCCAAGGCTGTGGCAAGATGTCAGTGGGTGTGGGTGTGAGCAAAGGGAAAGCGAGCGGGTCCGCGACACGCACCGCGGCCAAGATCATTCCGGCTGGCAGGCCGAGAGCGGTGTATCCGTGCTGCTCGAGCTCGTCAAGGTATCGTGTGAGCGCGAGCACCGCGTTCCCGCCGGCACTCTCGCCCGCGAGTGTAATGTTCCTCGGCGCGAAGCCGAGCTCGTGCACGAGAAACTGCCACCCTGCCAGACTGTCCAGCAACGATGCGGGGAACGCGGTAGCGTCGTCTAGGGATTTCCGGTAGTTGGCCGAGAACACACGGCCTCTGGTGATATCGACCAGGCTGAACACCCCATGAGTTTCCAGCGGATGGCCAGTCACGTAGCCGCCCCCGACGAGGTGCAGCACCACGCGCTCGCCGGGGGCTGCGCGGGCCCAGAGGGCTGTGCCCTGGAACAGTCAGCGGCCTCTCTTGCTCGTGGATGGAGGAACACTGTACGTACCGCTGGCGCAACCATGAAGCCGGGCACTGGAGCTTCACCGACTTTGCCCTTGACTCGCTCGATAATCTCCAGGCGCGGGACGTCCTTGCTCAGGGGCTCGATGATACGGACATCCACATCTGTGTCTGGGGACTTTGTGTACCAGTTGGATAGCACAGTTTGTTCTCTCGCATCGCGTTGGGGCACAACACCAAGACCTGGAAACACGCTCAAGTCGCCGATGGTGAGACCGACACGGGCAATGTTGACGATCAAGTGTCGTTTGAGGCTGAATGGGGGCCGGATCCAGAAATAGGTACACAGGTGGACGACGGCCGTGAGCGACAGCCCCGACACGAGGAGGGCGGGGACGAGGGTGAAGTCAAGCACTGTATGCAACGTGCGCGGCAGTTGAATGAGCATGGTTGTGAGCTGAGTTGCGTGGTGGGTTCAGTTCAGTTCGTGGAGGGAATATGTGAAGAAGCACACCGTGCCGTGTAGGAGATAAGTACGTCGTCATCCAAGCGCCGGCGGCGGGCCGATTGTGGTTGCCGAGCCAAAGTCATGCCACTCATACCGAGGTCTCACTCATTTGGTGTTGGCCGAATTATCCCAGTGGGCTCCCGAGACAGCGCAGGACAGGAAACCACAACACAGCCCCTTTGGACCAGCTCATAGTAGTACAGTGCAAACGCAGGTTACAAGTCTCTTCCTTACTCGCTGTCCCCGTCACTCATCTCGCTCTCACTCTCGACCACCTTTTTCTTGCTGGCCTTCTTCGGCGCTGCGGCCTTCTTGGCAGGAGCAGCCTTTTTGGCAGGGGCAGCCTTCTTGGTAGTCTCCTTGGGCGGGGAGATGGCGTCGCGCTCTTTACGCCAGCGCGCTTCAATGTCCACCTTTTTGGTCTCCCACTCGTCATCGGAGATGGCCTGGATCTCATACAGGAGCTTGATCTCCTTGGCCCAAATCTCCAGGTCGCCATTCTCGACTGCGCCTGCGGGGCCCGAGGGTGTCTCGAGGACAATGGGGATACCGACCATGAGCGGGTCGCGCATGAGCTGGCGGAAGCCGTCGAGGCCAATTTGTCCCAAGCCAATGTTCTCGTGCAGGTCCTTGTTGGAGCCGAGGTCGGTCTTGGAGTCGTTCAGGTGGATGCCACCGAGATACTTGTTGCCCACGACCTCGTCAAACTCCTTCATAGTTGCAGCGTAGGCCTCGGGGGTGCGCAGGTCGTAGCCCGCAGCAAACGTGTGGCAGGTATCCAGGCATACACGGACGCGAGACTTGTCCTCGACCAGGTCGATCATGCCCTTCAGGTCGGCAAACGCAGTGCCAAGAATGTTGGAGCCGGCGTTGGCCTGAGGTGTCAGCGACCAGTTTTCAATTGCGTTAGCTCACCATGTTCTCAATGACGGTAATGACCTCTGGGACGTCCTTGTGCACCTTGTTGATACCCTTTGCAACGAGCTTGTACCCTTCCTCTTTGGAAATGTTGCCAAGAGTCGATCCGGGGCTGGGTGGAGTGGGTCAGCAATTGTTCGCGGGGTGAAGTCAAGACCCACTGCCAGTTGTACAGCTTGATACCAAGCTGGTGACACCTGTGAATGTCGTCGCGGAAACACTCATACGACTGGTTCCACTTGGTCCTGGTGGGTCAGCTGCAGCATGCCACTATGAAACCCACTCGTCGTTGTTTGAGAGGTTGATGAGGTATCCGCCGTGCACGAGGATCGACTCGGGGTTGTATCCCATTCCTTGTGTGTTGGTCAGCATTTTTTAAGACACCCATCCATTTACACCCACCGCCATCGTCTTTGCTCTTGGCGAGCTCCTTCCACTGCTCGATCACCTCGGGCTCATAGTCCTTTGAAGCCCATTTCCTCTGGCTCTTCACAAACAGCGCCAGACCGTTTGCGCCGGCCTTGGAAGCCCGCAGGAGGGCCGTCGCCGGTCCACCAGCCATGCTGACGTGTGCGCCCACGAAGAGGGGCAAAGAGGGATCACGCGGGCCAATGGCACCATTCTCCTTGGTCTCGGTGAACTGGAACGCTGGCAGTCCAGAGCGGGCCGGGTGCGACGCAGCGTCGAGCCCGGGTGGAGGGAACTTGGCAGCTTTGGCGGCCTTGGGTTTAGCTGTGGTCGTGGCCGTGGCCTTGGCCTTGGCCTTGGGAGGGGCGCGCTTCTTGGGCTCGGGCTTGGACTCTGGTTCAGAGTAGTCCGAGAGAGAGGACGAGCGGTCGCGCTTGGGTGCGGTCTTGGTGGAGGCAGCGCGACGGGGTGGCATGGCGAAAGATGAGGTGGTGGGGCGGATGAGAGGAGTGGTGAGGGGCCGGAGAGGAAGAAGAGGGCGAAGGGAGCGGGCGAGGAGAGGACGTGTGAGTGACAGTATGGTGAAAGAACGAGTGGGAGGAGGGGGACGAAGAAGAAGAAGAAGTAAAGGTGGTGGAATGGGGGATGACTGGACTGTTCACAAACCCGACATTGAGAGCAAAACGACGTCACACAAAAACACACAACGTACAACGCGTTTGACGCGCACGCGGCGCGCTCGTGGCGCACACAAAATAGATTCCGGATATGACCGTGGAGTTAAATGTGATTAGGTAAGCAGGTGGAACACACCACCCGCCGCCGATGACAGCATGCAGTGTTTGTGTGTGCAACGATTGTACGATTCCCGGTGTTGGTTCCACAACAGTCTGGGGCCTTTTGGCCATTTGTGGTGCGCTGTCCTCGTGCACAGCGCACAGAAGGACGGGTGCGTGGTGTGGGCACGGGGCAGGCGTGGGTGTGCGTGGGTGGGCTGCAGCTACAACAGCTTATAACGAATGCAACCGGGCCACCCCCTTCCCTTCAGCATACGACATCAGTCCCCCCTCCCCGTTCACAAACAATCTCACATCACACCACCACCATCACCACCACACCCCTGTTGCCACCCCACCCACCAGGCCACCATCCACTCAGCCATGCCCACCGCCACCGGTATCGGTGAGCCCACTCCCATCCACTGCAGTGCCCTCCTGCTCACACCCGTTGCACAGCTCCGCCGATGCAGAACAAGACGGAGATCGACATTGTCAAGTCGTTTGGCGACTGGACGACGTTTTGCCACAGCTACGGGCTCAAGCCGCACGACAACGACGACAACATCGAGGCCATCCGACTACTCCACCGCATGGCCGACGAGGAGATCCTCGCAAGGAAACTCGCACAAACGCTCAGCCAGCAGCAGGCTGGTCGTCGTTGAGAGCATGAGAGAGAACGTTTTACACCAAACACAACCACACACACAAACACACACGTAACGTGCGCGGCTTCGCGGCCATAATGACGTCACAACATTTCAATGGATCCCATTCAAACAACCAACAACACGGGTGGGATTTGTCTCGAGTCTCCCCCTGGCCGCTGGATCTCGCTGGATCCTTCTCTTCGGCTAATCTGTAGACCTGTACTCTTGTATTCCAGATCATGTGCCCAATTGCTTGCATGCATGTACAGCGCCACGGAGGGAGAGGTACCCCATACGACGACGTGCCCCCGTCGTTCGTGTGCGCAACGTGTGCTTTGACTGCGAAAGCGTGGAAATCGTGTGTATGGTACTTATGGTATGCGGTATGTGGGTGGCGACAGGCGACGCGACGCGGTGGTGTCCTCGAATGTGACGTGCAGCACACAACGGTGGGGCTTCTGCTTCTCGCCAAGAGCTCGAGCAAGAGTCAGTGCAGAACAGTCTCTCCTGTCTACGAAACACAACGCGACAGCATGGTTATTTGCTCGCTCGCCGTCCAGCACAGCCCACAACAGGACTGCACCTGCTCTGTGTGACTGTAACAATCATGCAGCACAGGAGTATCGAAGACGCACGTGCAAGGCTCGTTGCCTGACTTGCCTTGCTAGCGTGTACGGCCCAAACAAGGTTTCACCAGACCCAAGTGAACGCAGGCGAGCGAACTGCCAGTGTCCCATCGACCAGACCAGCGCAGGCGGACGCTTACTGTGAATCGCCGGTCTGTCGCTATGCTCGGGGCAGGAGCGAAAGCAATTAACAAATGAGAAACAGCCGGAGACACGAGGCACGATGGGTGGCCATGCTGCGCGGTGCACCGGTGCACACATGCAGGATGACCACATTACACGCAGCACGCAGCACACTGCACGCACCACCTACGCCCAGACGGGAGGAATGACAAGATCAACTGGCCCAGGCGCCCAAGTGGCCAAGTGTGCAAGTGGGCTACCCATGGGTCCAGGTTGGTTTCCCGAGGCACAGCGGTGTGTGGTTCGCAGTGGGGCCCTGCGGCCGCAGCGCACTCGCCAGTTGCAGCTTGCAGCTTGCTTGCTTGCTTGGGCGTACAAGCACTGTACCCTCGTGTTCGCTCAGCAGCGCTCCCGTGTCCCAGACACTGTCGTCTGAAACGCAGACATGGCGCGCCGCACCTCGCCACAGCCTCGAGCGGCAGTGCCACCGCCAGTGGCAAACATCACTGGCGACCAGATCCCTTGGGAGCGGCTCGCGCGAGGCGTGTGTGTGCTCCGTCCCCCGTCCTTGCCCTTCTGAAGCCTTGCCAAGCTCTCGTTCCTGGCACCCAAGAGAGCAAAAGTGCAGTACAAGCCTGTTGACGGCATAAAATGTCAGCCTCAAAGGCCACACTTTTTTCGGCCCCCCAGGTCCAAAATGTCAGTGGGTTGTATGACGCCAAGCGTGCCCGGCAACAAGGATCGACCCAAATACGACGTGCTATGCTCCATGCAGTTCCAGCTTGCAACGAACTCCGCCCGCTTACGTGGCAGGCGAGGTTGGTGACGGTGTCTGTTCGTTTCACTCGTGCATCACAAAGCAATCCAGGAGGGAGCCGGCGCCGAAGCCGGCCCGGGTAGCCGGTTCGCAAACGCGCGCGCCCGTGGAGCCCTCCCAGCCTTTCCAAGTCGGCATGGCATGGGTGTGGGTGGGTACGAGGGTGGGGTCGCGCGTTGCGAAGAAGGAAAAAGTAAGGGGACGCGAAAATAGGAGGAAAGGTGGTATACGACACACAACTCCGGGGACATGTAACGGGTCGAGAGATGCTTGTAGGCGAGGGGGTGGGAGGTGGAGGTTAGGGTCTAAGCATGCGCTCTCGGCGCAGAAAAAAAAAAGAGCAAAAGTCGGGGAGGCGTTTAGAGGACGACACATCCACGCTTCTTCTTCACAACGGGTGGTTCGAGAGCGGCGACGATGGCCTGAGCGTCGTGTCAGTGGGGTTTGAAACGGGGGAGTTGCCCAGGGCAGCGCTGTCGGTGTTCCCTCGTCGCGACATGCCAGTACGTCCGACGGCGTTCTCGCGCCATCCCTGGGTGCGGTGGAGGCTGTTTTCGCACAGACCACCACCACACCACCACACACACAGAGCGCTTCCAAGACTCACCTCGTCAAAGACGTTCTTGAGACCGCGCTGGGTGAGTGCCGAGCACTCGACGTACTTGACGGCGCCAAGCTCGCGGGCAAGACGCTCGCCCTGCTCGGTGGTGATGGGACGCTGCCTGGTAGTGGCAAGCTTCTCGAGGGTCTTGTTCCTGTCGCCCTCGCTGTCACGCAGGTCGACCTGGGTACCGACGATGAGGCAGGGAACGCCGGGGCAGTGGTGGTGGACCTCGGGGAACCACTTTTCCTTGACGTTCTCAAACGACGCGGGCGACACGACGCTGAAGCACACGAGGAACACGTCGGTTTGCGGGTACGACAAGGGTCGCAGACGGTCGTAGTCCTCCTGTCCGGCAGTGTCGAACAGACCGAGAGTGTAGGGGTCCTCGCCAATCATGACAGTGACGGCATCTGGGCGCAAAAAAGTCAGACCATGTGGTCGCGGCGTGCGCAAAACGAAGCTGCTGCTTCTTGACTTACAGTTGTCGAACACGGTAGGGACATACTCTGATGGGAACTTGTTGGTGGTGTACGAGATGAGCAGACAGGTCCTGTACCCGGGTCAGCAAAACATGGTTCTGCTGGGGTGCTGTTGTTTGTGTTAACTTACTTGCCGACGGCACCGTCACCGACGACGACGCATTTGATGGTCTGCATTCTGCTGCGGGATAGTCAGTATACAGTGCGTTGAAACAGCAGAAGCAAGCGAGGGATGGATGGATGAGGTAGTTGGTGTGTCCGTGCCCCCACCGGCAAATGTGTGTGCGCGCCGCTTTCGGGATGCAACACACCATCAACCACCCGTTCAGAGAACGGACGTCAGCGGGGTCGGTATTGTTCTCGACGTGCTCGTGCGGGGTGCGGGAGGTCATGAGAGACGGTGTCTCTGACGCGCTCCGCTGCCCGCTTCCAACATCAAAGAATAACCGAACGCGCGACTCCTCCGGCCCAACTGCGCGTTTGCAGAAAACAGGAGTGTGCACGCCAAACCCGGCAAGGACCCCCGAACGACGCTCAGGCCATCGCACTAGAACCGGGGCCCGTTGCACAGCGATAAGGCCGCTCGGTGCGGTTCTGCATATGCCAACGGCGCCGGGGGACTCGGACGACCGAGATGTGCTCCCTCCCGGTTCCAGCGCAGTGCGGCGTGACAGCGCGTGCGGCGGCGTCGGGTGGCGCGGGCACAGCCCCGCGTGCAGCAGCGGCGTGGCGGGGGCGCGTGGCCGCGTGGGACTGGGTGGCCTCGGGTAATGACAAGACGGGCTGTGGACGTGCAGAGGTGCTCGAGGACGGTTCTCGGCGCGTCACAGAGTGTCTGACGCGAGTGGGAGGCAAGAAGGTGGGCCGCGATAGGAGGGACGGATACGGACCTGAGGGGGAGAGGGGGTGTTCAGTTGTTGGGTTGTGGGGGATTAAGGCGGGTGTTTGTCGTGGGCCGCGCTGGAGGGCGATGGGGTGCCGGGTTGAGGATGGAGCGGGGGTTGAGGAGGAGGGTCGAGGGGGTGAGTTGAGGGAGAGAGATGGAGAGGGAGGGCTGGGTGGATGTGGGGGTTGATGGATCGTTTGCGAGGAGATGGGGGGGATGGATGGATGGACGACGAGACGCACACACACAACCGCCGCTCTGGCGCACGCTGTGGGCACACGCTGGGTGCGCTGGCTGGGCGCGGGGAGAAGGGGTGCCAAAGGCTCTGCAGAGCGCACGCGCAGTGAAGGGCCGCGGGCAGCGTGGGTGGGCGGCGGCGACAGGGGATCACACAAATATACTCCCGCCTCTAATACATTTCTAATGTCGGTTAAAAATACCTTCATTGCTGCTACGGGAAATTAGAACCTTTCCGGGGTGCCACAAGTTAAACGAGGGTACTGTATAATAAATGCGGGGCATCCAACATAACGCCGCGGGTCAAGGCCCGCTGTGGCATTCTGCTCGCGTGGTCGTGGTGGAGGTCACTCAGATTTGGGTGGACCGAGAGCGAGTTGCGGGTGGTGACATCAGACACTGCACCAAAGCATACCCACACCATGGCCGACACTGCTGCTCCTCCTGCACCATCACAGCAGCCCACTCCTCAGGCTTCTCAGCCAGCGGAAAGCTCGACTTCGGCGGGCAAGGCCCCCGCTGGTGCCGGCGAAAAGGAGCCCGTGGTCGTTCTTGTCATCGGCATGGCTGGATCGGTACGTCACTCACCGAAACTCAACAACAGCCACACCCCCACAGCCAAAAGGACCATGACTAACACTCGTCGCAGGGCAAGACCACCCTCATGCAGCGCTTCAACTCGTACCTTCACTCAAAGGACACGCCTCCTTACATTCTCAACCTCGACCCGGCTGTCAGCCACATGCCGTATGCTGCCAACATTGACATTCGCGACACTGTCGACTACAAGGAGGTCATGACCCAGTACAACCTTGGTCCCAACGGTGGCATCATGACTGCACTCAACCTGTTTACCACCAAGTTTGACCAGGTGCTCGGCTTTGTTGAGAAGCGTGCCCAGGATGTCGAGTGAGTGGAACGTCCGGGAGAAGGAAACCTTCCCCGCCGTTCTTCCCCCGCCTTCCCTGCTGACTCAACTCTCCAGCTACGTGCTTGTGGACACCCCCGGTCAGATTGAAATCTTCACCTGGTCGGCTTCCGGTGCCATCATCACCGACGCCATTGCCTCGTCGCTCCCGACTGTTGTCGCGTACGTCATTGACACGCCCCGCACCACCTCGCCCGCGACCTTTATGAGCAACATGTTGTACGCGTGCTCGATTCTCTACAAGACGCGTCTCCCATTCATCCTCGTCTTCAACAAGGTGGACGTTGAGCCGCACGACTTTGCGCTCGAGTGGATGGAGGACTTTGAAAAGTTCCAGGCGGCCCTCGCCGAGCGTGGCCGCGACGAGAATGGCGAAAACTACATGAACTCGCTCATGGGCAGCATGTGCCTTGTGCTCGAAGAGTTTTACAACTCGCTCCGCGCCGTGGGCGTGTCGGCCATGACGGGCCAGGGCATGAAGGAGTTTTTCGCGGCCGTCGACGACGCGCACAAGGAGTACAACACCGACTACAAGCCCGAGCTGGAGCGTGTCAGGGCCGAGCGCGAGGCCAAGGCCGAGGCGGCAAAGGACGCCAACCTCGAGCGCATGCTGCGCGACATGGGTATGTCGGGTGGTGGCAAGTCTGCTTCTTCTGCGCCCACAACCTCGGCCGGTGAGGACCCGACGGCTACCAACCCCTTTGGCCCGTTCCCGCGCAACGACCGCGAGGACGCGTACCTCGACAATGAGGACAACCACTACGACTCGGAGGACGAGCGCATAGAGGCCCAGATGGAGTTTGAGGAGGAGGCCGATGACCACCCCGAGCTCGACGCACAGGACGTGGAGGTCTCGTTTGGCGGTAACAGGTCGGACTTGTCCTTCCCCGCGCCTCAATAGACGGCCCTTTTCTCCTTCCATCTTCACTTGCAGCAACCCACTACACTTTAGCCACCCCCACCACACAAAACACACATTTTTGGCTGTACGATATTAGATGCATTGGTGTATAACAGGCCTCCGCGATCAATGGTTGTTGTATACATGCTGCCTCCCGCTGGTGGCTATTTTTGTTAGGGGGTCCAGTGTCGCCCATATCTAGAGCTCGCTGACGTCGAGAGCAGGGAGCTCGTCGCCAACCTTCTCCCAACCGTCGGAACCCAGCGCGACCTGCTCGAGCATCTTGCCGGCGCGCTCCAGGTCGTCGTTGACAATGACGAGGTCGTGCGCGCCCGAGATGGCATGCTCAATCTCGGCCTTGGCGGCCGCGAGGCGCTTACCGATGCTCTCGTCAGTCTCGGTGCCGCGGCCGCTGAGGCGCGACTTGAGGTGCGAGACGGAGGGAGGCGACAGGAAGAGGAAGACGGGGACAAGAGGGGGCGACTGCTTGGGGCCCTGGAGGTGGAGCTGCTTGACACCCTGCAGGTCAATGTCGAGGATGCAGCGCTTGGGATGCAGCTGGGTCAAAGCCGCAAAGGTCGTGCCGTAGCTGGAGGTGGTGTTAGTGACTGCGATGTGGGTGTTTGAAGGGGATGAGAGATGCTTGGGGAACAACACAGCGAGTCGCCAGACATGGCAGGTGTATCTGCACATCTGCACATCTGCACTGATGACACGTTCCGTAACACGACGAGCATCGCTGCAGACATTCGACACCATGACAGCTGCTCGCCTGCCGACACCTGGCCAGCGCCATGACGCCTGACGGCCTGACGCCTTCTCGGAGGCCGCCATCGGGACGTTTGTCACGCCTGCCACACCTGGCGCCACCGCCGCAGCCCCTTTACTCTCGCGCTATCGCTTCCCCTGCCCCCCTCTCTCTCCGCGCACAACTCACCAGTTACCGCCAAACTGGGCCCACTCGAGGAACTCGCCATTCTCGACACGAGCCATGAACTCGTCTTTGGCGACAAAGTGGTAGTCCTTGCCGTTCTGCTCGCCGGCGCGGGGCTGGCGCGTGGTGTGCGACACCGAAAAGCCAAACTCGCCCGGGTACTTGCCGAACAGGGCCTTGAGGAGCGTCGACTTGCCGGTGCCGCTGGGACCGCAGATGACGAGGGGCTGGAGATGGTGGTCAGTAAAAGGTGGATGCGGGCGGGTGGGTGTGGGAGCAAGGAGAGTAGAAGGAATGGGGCCGCCATGCAGTGGAGCTGAACAGCGCAACATGCGGCCGTGATGGTGCACGTTGTGCGATGGGGGTTTTGGCTGGGGTGACGCCAGATGGGACGACACCAGACAACCAGGGGAGCAGCACTCACGCGGTCAAGGACAGAAGAGCTGATGCTGCCGGACATGATGTTTCGTGCGAGTCGGGTTCGTGGAAGGCGCTGTGCCGAGTACGAGATGCGGGTTGGAAGAATGGACAAAATGGTGGAGAGGACGACGAGATGGGGAAACACAGGACAAAGTTGAAATCGGGGGTTGTGCTGGCGGAATCTCGGGATCGCGGGGCGGGGAGGGTTGGCGCCAGGTCGGGTTCGGTCAACAATTCGAGATCAAATTGACGCGACCGCGCGTGGGCGGCGATCGCCTGTGGCGTGCGTGACGGGCAGAGCTGCGCAGTTTGTACAAGTCCTACTGATACATGCATCGCACAGGTGGGCTGATAACGACGAGTTGGCGGGGTGGCCAGAACACACGTGTGGTGAGGTAGCTGTGGATATCACGACCTTCACAGCCGCTCACAACCTCACTCATGCAACACGCGGCCATCGCAGCAAACTCTGTTGCACCTTAGACAAGTTTTAGACCGGAAATCTTTCTGTTTATAGCTATGAGTGGCTCAAACTTTTTATCAAGTACCCTATGGCTCAGTTGGCTAGCGCGTGGAGCTGTTACGATACAGTGTATCAGCAACTCCGAGGTCCACGGTTCGAGCCCGTGTGGGGTAGATTCTTTTTGTTCTGCATCGCCTGGACCTCTTTGAGACCGATTGGAGGTGTGGAAGAGGTGTTGGAAGGAGAAAGGTCGGTTGGAAGGGTTTGTGGCACCTGGGGGCTCGGGTGCCACACTGCCACAAACACGCCTTCCCTGGGCCCTGGCAATCCCATGCATGAACCCATAGCACATGCACACTCCAGCGACAAGGGTACATGCATCAGAACCGAGAAACCATGGTCCGAAAGAGTGCTGAGGTGGTTTGGCTGGTGACCGCGGATGGTGTCCAGCCCAGGACGTGTGGTTCTTTTTGCGCCTCACAGACCTACGCAAGACCACTTGAGCGCAAGACACCGAGATATGGTTCTTCATGCAGGGACGGGAGAGACGTAGTAAAAGGGGTGAGTCGCGATATCCCAATGCACGGCCACGACTGTTGAGAGATACGAACATGGCAATGTTGACTGACCGCAATGCTCGGCGAATGGGAAGGTGGCGTGGTGGCACCACCTCCGACGCGACCGGCGATGTGTCCCTTCCCTCTGATAAGTCGCCCCCACTCCCCTATTTGCATAATGGCATAACCCTGTGATACTCATCTGCAACACATCTTCATACTTGCAAGATTATACATGAGGGGAAGGAGTAGGGGGGCAATGCTGTGTCGCGGCTACACATTCGCGGAGGTGGCGGCTGTTGGATCTCAGACCACCAGTCCCGTTCTCTGTATGTTGTATAGGCCTCTAGGAGGACATAAACCCTTGCCTTACTCGTAGAGGCTCGCCATGGTTGACATGCATGCAGCGCGACGGTCCCAGACACAATGGTACCACAGAATGCCTTGCATGTCTTAATTATTGAAAATTCGTAGAAAATCACAACTCCGCACCTCCCCGCCACAAGCTGAATCATACGCTTCCGTTTCCTGCACTTCGGCACATCCTTGTTTATACGCCCAGACCTAAGCAGTTTCCTTGTGCTCAGCGGTCTCCTTCTCCGAAACGTCCTGGGTGGCCTGGCCCTCACTGTCGTCGCCGTGGATGGTGGTGATGCACTCATACGTGGCAAAGTCACGAGTGGGCACCTTTGCCTCGAACATTTCGTCGAGCTGCTCCAGGGAGCGGCCCTTGAATTCGGGAATCATAAAGTATACCCAGACAAAGGCGATGGGTGAGAAGCCGCCGTAGATGAACTCGGTCATACCCTGGGTGTCATGTCAGCACGGGCGACGATGCGAGTGCACTGCAAGTGCACCTGCTCGTAATCGACTCACGCCAAGGTTGCCATACTCGGGGTTGGCCATGTAGGGTTGGATGAAGTTGACAATGAGTCCGACTGCGTATCCGGACCAAGCGCCAAGGGCGATGCTCTTCTCGCGCAGCGCAGCACTGGGAGTCTCGGCAGTGACGGTCCACGTGAGCGGGCCCCACGAGACGGAGAAAATCAGGACCCAGATGAAAAAGGCGGCGACGATGGTGCGCTGCTCGGGAACGGATGGGTTACCGCCAGTGCCAGCGGCAATACCAGCGACGACGTACATGCACACGAACATGACGGCGGAACCAATCAACAGCAGAGGGCGACGGCCAAACCTGTCGGGGCCGAGCATTGAGACCAAAAAGTTGAACACGAGCCCACAGGATTGGAGGATGAGCAGCAAGCCGATGACGTCCTTGATTTTCATGGCCATAAGTGTGACGACGAAATAGTTGTTCACCGCCGAGACTGTGAAAACGGTGTTAATAACTAGATACATTGTCGACACACCGCTGCTGGGTCACTCACTGCCTTGGCCTTGCTGGAGACAGCCCATGGAAAGAACAATGAGGGTACGACGCAGGTTACCACCCTTGCTCTTAAACAGGTCAATGTAGGAGCTGCCACCTGCAATGTCTTCGTGGTGCTTCATGGCCGCATACAGGTCGTTGACCTCACGCTCGGCGTCGAACCCGGAGACGCGGAGGCGCTTCACGGAGCGGAGGGCCTTGTCAATCTGGTTGGTTTCAATGAGCCAGCGAGGCGACTCGGGGAGGAACGGCGTGCCAAGGATCATGATCAGAGGTACAAGCCTAGAAACGTGTTAGAGGCAGTTGAGCGGTGTGGGTCACAAACTCACATCTGCAGGCCAATGGGCAAAACCCAGCCAAGCTTGTCGGTGCGGTATTGGGTACCGTACACGGTTCCCGTAGCTAAAATACCACCAATGTTCTGAACGATACTGTACACGTTGACGATCAGGCCACGGATGTTGGATGGGGCCACCCTGGTTTGTATGTCAGCTGCCTTCTTCGCCGCAGCAAAGGCCTACAAAACACTTACTCGCCAAGATACACCGGGACAACAGTACTGGCCACACCGACACTTGCGTTTACAACAATCTTGCCAGCAATAAGCTGCCAGAACTTGGAGCCATTGGTGCGCGAGGCGGGGCCAAGGATACTGGTAATCTGAATAATGGAGCCAATAATCGCCGTAATGCCAAGCGCCACAAATGACATGCGACGGCCGAAGCGACGAGAAAAGTCGGGCGCCACCATGCAGCCGATCATGATACCAGCCGTACCAAGGGCTCTGCATATAGTGTCAGCAAGGTCACACCATACTTGACACAACCACACTCACGTTCCGGAAGACTGCTGTGTGGCGGACAGAGTTGGCGTACCGGCGGCGCTAGTCATCTGGCCATAAAACTCGTTGAAGGCAGCTTCGCCGAGTGCCGAACCCCACCACCCATTGTCGTAAGCAAAGGTGAGGCTAATGTTGGTCAGTGTCTATGTTAGACATGATGAGCAACAGAAAACTCACGAGCCAAGCGAGCCAAAGATGACCGCGAAGAGGAGGGCAGGGGTAAGGGAAGCGCGGACTTGCGCGAAGCCGTGGAGCTTGGAGGGACTCATTGTGGGGAAGTGTGGTGGGCCCCCAGTTTACTGCGGGGCCTACGTATAAATATGTTGTGGCGTGTTGTGGAGTTTGCAGCTAGGATCGTTGGACGGCAATCGAGGAATGAGGCATGGTTTTCGTGGTGGAAGTGACATCGGCTAATGACACGTCGGACATGACCAAGACATTGCCAACAAGCTAGCGATAAACCAGCCCTCGGCAACCTCCCGACCAACCACTGTAACATTAGGTTGTTGGCAATGTCTTGGTCGTGTCCAAGTTTAGAGAGCGAGTGTGGCAGCGCATACCTCGGCCTCTGGACGCCGCGACACATCAGCGCTGTGGAGCCCTGTCGGTTACGGGCTTCTGGAAGCACATTGACCGTTGGAATCGAAGTCGGTTACACGAGCAAACGCCGGCTGCTGACGCCGGACTATTCTCGGATCGTCGGTCATCGCGGTCGTTGCTCCGGCAGTTATACGGTGGTATTGTTCAGGAACAGCACACTTCCCTCGGCAGTCTCTGAGGTTGATTGTTGTTGCTCTGGTAGATGGGCTGGCCATTTACTTAAGTGTCATGGAACTGCATCGTCAGCCAGCACCACCACCACTAGACTCTTACCATGACCGTCAATGCTCCTTCCACCGACACCTTTGTGCCTCGTCCTCGCGCCGACATTGAGGCCGACATCCAGACTGCGCTGAGCGTCTCGGCCAACGACCGCTTCATTGTGCGTCATGTCGCCCGTGACGAGCCATTCTACTACCTCGGCGACACCGCCTGGGAGCTCTTCCACCGCCTCGACCTGGCCGAGGCAGAGCTCTTCCTCCGCAACCGTGCCCAGAAGGGCTTCAACAGCATCATGGTGGTGCTGTTTGCCGAGCACGGCGGCCTCGATTTCCCAAACCGCGCAGGCGAGTGGCCGTTCCACCCAGCCCCAGAGTCCAAGCCTGGCGCATACGTTCCCGACCTGATGCGCCCCAACCCCCGCTACTATGACTTTGTGGACCAGGTCGTCGCCCTGGCTTCCAGCCTGGACATGACCATCTCGCTCGTGCCCACCTGGGGACGCTACGTCAACGGCGGATACTATGGCAGCCCGATCCTGTTCAACGAGGAGAACGCGCGCGCGTTCGGCCGCTTTGTGGGCGAGCGGTATCCATTCCACCCGTTCATCCTGGGCGGCGACAGTAACCGCCTCTGGAACCCCGACTTTGAAAAGACGCTCAAGTCGGGCGGCGATATCTTCAAGCTGCCCGTCATCGACTTTGGAGCCATCACCGAGGCGATGGCGCAGGGCCTCCTCGAGGGAGAGGCGGCCGGCATTGCTGCCCTTGATGCGCAGCTGAAGGCTCAGGCGAGCGACTACAAGACGTTCATCACCTTCCACTCGGCACAGGGTGAGTTGAGTAAACCACACAATGGGACTGACAACAAACAGTTTGGCTTCCCGAGGGCACCGAGACTTCTGCATCGACACAGTTCCCCGACGCCGAGTGGCTGTCGTTCGATTGTGTGCAGACCGGCCACCACGACGGGCCCAAGCCTGGCCTTGACAAGGCGGCGTCAGAGCTCATGGCGTCCTCGCTGTGGCACTCCAAGTCGTCATATGACCCCATCCGCAAAATGTACGCCGCTCGCCGCCGCGACGGGCGTCCCCGTCCTGTTCTGGACTTGGAAGCTCACTATGAGTCTACACACGTGAGTCTAAACGAGAGACTGTTGAACGTTAGCTGACCCTGCAGCAATGGTTTGACGTGAGTTCCGGTTGCGCCAGTGACGCCTTGGATTTCGGTTTGTGAACACGACTGACAAATCCTGCAGTACGCTTTCCCTCTGTGGAACGCCGACGATATCCGCAACGGCATGTGGCAGGGCCTGTTTGCCGGCGCCTGTGGATACACTTACGGCGTCAACTCGATCTGGCAGATGCACAACGCGTCGTCCGCCACACACCCACCTATCCAGCCCCCTACCAACGCCAGCGTCGACTGGTACCTGGAGCTGGACCTCCCCGGCGCGTTCTATTCCAGCGTGGCCAAGAGCGTGCTCCTCTCGTTGCCGGGCTACTTTTCCCGTATCCCAGACCAGACCTTCATCACAAGCGACACGCACGAGCAGGCCGGCAAGAAGGCAGGCGATGCGCTCGTGTCGGGCATGCGCGCCGACGGCTGGGCCGCCGTCCACCTCCCGTACGGAGGCGACGTCGAGGTGGACCTGACCAAGGCCATCCCCGGCGCGTCGTCGTGGAAGGCGTGGTGGGTTGACCCGCGCTCTGGCGGCCGTGAGGTGTTTATCACTGGCGACAAGCTGGGTCAGCACACCTTCTCGGCGCCAAGCGCCGGTTCGCTCACTGACGACTGGATCCTGCTTGTTTCCGTCGACCCGTACCCCCTGTCGGCCTAGATTGTTGTACGTTGTAGAGCATGAAGCGTTTCGTCTGGCCTTTTGTGGCATGGATCCGCCTGGGGCCATGTGTCCTCTGCACCGCCTCCACTCACACCGTGCACGACGTGGCACAGCAGTGTGCCAATGGTTCAGCTTTGTTCGCCCATCGCACATCCAGGCGTCGTAGTGGCGGTGGCCACGTCCGCGTGTTGTTCCGATGGCACTCGTGTGGTCGTTTGCAGTCCGCATCATATGTTACGTTTGTGCACACGAAATACATTCACATGTTTCATCGAGCATACTGTAGCATCGACAGCAGAAACACTCCAGACTCCAGAAGAGACTATGTATGCCTAGCCGAGAACACCCTGGGGAGGCATCTTGGCGTCACAGCGCTTGCAGGTGACGGTCCTGCGGCCGAACAGCCTGTGCTGTTAGCAAGTGGCACACATAGATGGGGCCATCGTCAAGCGGACCCAAAAAGAGAGCGTCTAAACAGAGGGTCTAAAACAGAGCGTCTCTTTGAAACGTGCAAGAAGTGCCAAGAGGACGCGCGAACGCGCGCCTGCGGATCGTGGGTGCTCACCAGATCAAGGACCAAGGGAAGCAGCAAACGACGCCACAGAGGCCGCAGCAGCCGATACGCGTCTCATGGCCATACTGGGCACAGTCGGGGTTGGCGGGAGGAGCAGCTGGAGCGTGTCAGCATGACCTGAGACGTGGCGGGTAATCCACCCATGCCATAGGCTTGGACGATGATGGGCTGGAGGACGAGGAGGTCTCAGGCGGTAACCCCAACGCGCCGTTGAGCTCATATCATTCCTGCTCACCCTGCACCATGCCTGGATTCTGGACGTAGATCTGCTGGGGAGCCATCTGGGGAGCCATGTTGCGAGACACTGTGGTGGGATGGAGATGGGTGTGTATAGGAGTTTGGCTGAGGCGACAGGTGAAGAGTGATGTCGGGGAAGATCTGGCAGTTCGGGGTGGGTGCTTATGAAGTGGCTGCAGAGCCACAGACAGGACCGTTGCTGGAACCAGAATATTTTCCTTTCTTATTGTTCAAGGAGCTGTGCATATACCAAAAGATGAAGCGAACTGTAATGCCAAAGACGATACACCATCAGCAAGTCGCCAGCTGCACTTGCGATGTGGAAACACATGCGACACGGAGACGCCGAACCCGCCGGGACAGCCGATGGGTAAAAACAAAAAAATAGCATAGTGGCGGCTGAATTTTGATCCACCCTGGGGGATCTCAAACAGAGAGGGTTCAGAGGATCAGAGGGCCCTGCATCTCGGCCTCTTGAGAGTTATGCGCTGGACGAGACGACGCGTGTGCATGTGTTACGGCCGCAGTCAACGTCTCGACAACAGCTGCACGATCCTGGTTCCCTTGCGGCCGGCCTGCCCGTTTCTGTCGGCCTTCATAGGGCCATGTGACCGTTGCACCTCCCCCACGTGTGAGGATGCTCACCGTTGTTTGGTGGATCACTGAAGTACGTCTGTTCATGGTGGTGACGGTCAAAGTGGGGTTCGGCCACCATGAGGACCCTTATTGTTGATCGTCCCGTTGCTGTTTTTCATCTCCTCGTTGCAGTAGTGCAAAGCGGGTTGCGTGTCCGCAAGGTCACAAAAATAAGTCACATGCGTCCTATATCACAGACTTCAAGATAACAGCTGCTGATAGTTTGAACTGCAAAACGCTTCCTAGTCGATAAGACCCTGGGGAGGCATCGTAGCATGGCAGCCCCTGCAGGTGACGTTGCGGCGCGAGAGCAGCCTGGACACGCGGTCAGCAGGTGACACACATGGTACGTGGAGACGCCGATCGTCAAGTGGCCCCAAGCGTTCGTGACAAAACGAGCACAGAGCACCAGGGATCGTCTCTTTGAAACGCCCAAGAAGTGCCAAGCGGATGCTAGGATGCCCATATGCCAAACTGCGTGGCTCATGGGGACTCTACTCACCAGATCAAGGACCAAGGGAGGCAGCAAACGAGGAAGACGATGGGGCCGGGGCCGATACGCGTGTCGCGGCCGTACTGGGCACACTCGGGGTTGTTGGTGGGGGCAGGAGCACCTGTAGCGCGTCAGCACGACTCGGGGCGTGATGGGTATGCAGCTTACCCATGGCGCCAAAGGGCTGGACGGGGTGGCCGATGGTGGGCTGGGGCTGGACAGCGTTGGGGTCTTGAGTTGGTAGGTTAACGAACTGGACAGTCGAGCTCATGGCACCACTCACCCTGGGCGTAGCCAGGCTGCTGGATGATGGTCTTCTCGGAAGCCATGTTGCTTGAGACTGTGGTGGGTGGGTGGGGGTGTGGCGTAGTAAGGTGAGGAAGCGATGGGAAGCGGTTGGGGAGGAGAAACAGCAACCGTGTGCGCGCTTTAAGTAGCTGTTGGAGAACGACAGACCTTGGCACCGTGACCGTGTCGACGAGAACCGTTGGCAGGGGCGCAGGGGAAGTAGGTATGGCACAGCTTGTGAGTGTGCCGTACAAGGTCATGACAGACGATCAAGGGGACCAAGAGGGCGACGGTGGCCTGGGCGCCAGAATGGAGCCACACCAACGTACGCAGGTGCCGTGTTGCGCCACGATTGAATCCCTCCCAAGCCCCAAGCGGACGCTGGTATGCGCCTCACTTGGCACACAGCAAAGGAAAGGCAATCTCCTCAGCGACTAGATAACAAGCACACCCGCAGGTGAACTCGATGCGGAAATCACGGTAAACAGACTGGCGGCTACACCGTCGGGCCTCCCGTGAACAAGGCAGTGTGGCAGATCGCAGATGAAATAGGAACCAGCGCTACTGCCGCAAAACCGTGGAATGCAGATCTGCCGTTGTTACAGAGGCGGCTTCCACGACACTGCAGTGCTCTATTTCCAGCGTGCACTGGGGCCAAGAGAGGTCTAGAATAGCTGGGGCCTCTGCCTGAGTCGGGTACGGAGAGAAAGGACGAGTATGCATATACTTTACCGCCGCAATCGAAGCCTCTACACCGCCCGTCACTGAAAAGGGCAGTCTTCCGGCTCTTTTACCGTGTATTTCTGCCGGCTAGGTCAATTGCCTGTCGTCTACAGAGACTGTGGAGCGCTGGCTATGCGTTATATGGCTCATGTGGGCTCCAACACTTACCAGCTTGAAACATATGGGCCCGAACGCCTTGGGCAAAGCAGTGCCCTCACGAGGACGCGACAACGGGGCACGGGGATGTGAAAACAGATACGAAGTCTGGCCGATGGACGGCTCCGCGTTTTGCGGTCAGCGGTGGCATGTGGCATGAAACCTCGGCTGCTGCGTGCACGGTCTGGCTCGCTCGGTCAGTCGTGGCAGGAGGGTCACGTTTCTGAACAAAGTTGCATGCTCCCAAAAACACAGGGGTATACCCGCAATACTAGCCAGCTATTCTACTATGCACGTAAGTACCACTCTCTACATGGCGACCACAGCCAGCTGGACGCTCGAGCCCACTTCGCCACCCGTGGGCAGGCTGACCGTGAGGGTGACGCCGTATGTTGTGTTGGTGCAGTAGCTGCTCGAGTCGGCAGGGCACTCGACGTGGATCGCATCCGCGACCAGCTTAACCGTGACGGTTGTCAGCAGCTGGGTCGGGTCCGAGACGGTCACTGTCATCGCACGGGCAGTGCCACACGTGGTGCGGCGGGTCGACTGGATGAGGACCAGGGCGGGATTGGAGACGGATACCGAGAAGATGCCCTTTTTCCTCCATCCAATGTTCTTCATGGGCGTGGTCACGTTGGTGGCAGAGCTGGGGAAGAAGGCGAGCGCGAGGAGACCATTGCCAGCGGTGCCCACGGTGCCGCTCACGTCGATACGGGTCGTGGTGGCGTTGGCGGCCTCGGCTTGCAGGGCCGCCGACGATGTGGCAGGGAACATCTGGTACGAGTAGGTCGTGGCGGGGATGGTGGTGTAGGCCGAGAAGAGGTTCTTGGTCTGCATGCCGGCGGTAGAGGTCGAGATGACGGACCAGTTGCCGGTCTCTGCGCCCTGGGCCAGAGTGAGGTTGAAAGGGACGTCGTGCGAGAGGTAGCCGTTGCCGCCATAGTAGAGGGTGTAGCCAGACGCGCTGCTGTCGCGGCGCCCAAGGCTGCTGGATGCAGTGACCGCAGAGCCATCCACGAGAATGGTGCTGTCGCTAGCTGCAAGACGCTGGTCGAGAACAGTGATGGGGCTGCCGTTGGCGCTGGAAGACACACTGAGGGAAGTGGTGGTGACAAGGACGCTCGAGTCAAGGTAGAACCAGGCCTTGCGGTAGCTGATGGATGCGTCGTAGGGGTCGGTGTAGTCCATGGCACTGATTCCGTACGTGCCGTCGCTCACGACACCGACAAACGTCTTCTTGCCTTTGTACCCGACAATGGACGAGGTGAGACCCGGGTGGTCGAGGAGGACAGTGGTGCCCGGGATGAGGTTCCAGTCCCACATGGCCTCAATATCCTTGTACTCGTTGCCCGCGACGTACGAGAACAGGGTTCCCTGGCCGAGGTGATAACCGTAAGGGTTGGCGCTGTTGGTGTACTCGGTATTCTTGCCGCGGCTGGAGATCATCTTGTTGGCCAACGTAAAGCTGCTGCGGCGGTGGGACATGTAGTCTGACGCCCAAAAGCCCTTGTTACCAGTAAGCTTGATGGTACCGTTGCTCTCGAGACGCGTGAGCGTGTCTATGATCGAGTCGTCGCCTGAAAAGTCGACCGTGGCCGCGGCAAGGTCGGTGGTGTTAAAGTTGATGTCGGACGATGCCTGGTAATCGGTCGTCGCAAACGTGATGAAGCGTCCAATGGTGTTAAAGTCCCAGTACATGTTGCCTGTCGTGCTGTCGCGGTTGATCATCCACTCGCTGCCGCGGACCATGGTAGCAATCGCCGAGCGGACATCGCTGCTGGCAGCATACGCCGTGCCAATCGCCTCTTTTTCCAGTGAAATGAAGCCGTTGAGCTGGAATGTCAGCTACTGCGACGGCTATGAGGCTCTAGCTCACCGAGTCCTTGCCATAGTTGCCATTGTACAGAATGCCAGTGTGCTGGAGGAAGCTGCCGTCACGGTGGATACCATCCTCGCCCTTTGTGTCTGCGAAAAGGTTGGCAGACATGGCACGGGTCATGGCGTCGGCCAGCATGGTCGTGTCGTTCGAGTACAGAGCCAGCGAGACCGACAGCTCCATCAAGAGAACCATGTTGGCGCCCGTGAGGGATCCAACGCCGGTGGTGTCCGTGTCACGGAGTGCGTACGCGCGGTAAGGAATGTCGTAGCATCCGGCCGTCTGGTTGGCACTGAGCGATGCGCCGTCGAGGAGGAGACAGGCGGTCGATACCAACTGCGGGATGAGGATGACCTGGTCGTACCAGTTGCTGTTCCACAATCCGGGTGTGCCACAGGGGCACGCATCGGTGCCTCCTTGACCGATGCAGTCCATATTGGTGTAGTCGTTTGCAAACCAATAGTCCATGCCCTTGAGGGCGGCGGCGAGGACCGCGTCGTTGCCCGTGTAGGTTGTGAGGAGGGGGTTGAGACCGCTCCATGCTGCGGCGAGGGTGATGACGCGGACCCAATGTTGCTGGATGGGCCAATTTGCTCGTTCTGAGGCGATGGGTGTCAGCAGAGCGCGCCGTCGTCGACCCCAGTCTTCTTCGTTTACTCACGTGCCGTGCATCCACTCAGATAGTTGACGTCTGACCAAGTACCGTCACTCTGGATGTTGGCCAGCCAAGTGGGCATCTTCTTGAAGGATCCCGTGGGGGGAAAATCCGCCAGGTCGACACGCCGGCGCTGCATGATGGTGTCGACGTCGCTCGCCGTGGCCGTGGTCGCCGAGAATACCATGCCGAAGACGAGCGCCAACGACGCGAGGGAGACCATGGCGTGTGAGTGTCTTGTACACAAGGATGGTGAATGAGTACAAGGTGGTGAGTGTCAAAAGGAAGGTGTGTTGGCCTTGCCGCTTCAGTCAGTATGTAGTAGCTTTTACACCGCGCTATACGCGTTCGCTGACTCTCTGTCGCTCTCTGTCTCGGGTCGTTCTGTGTTGTTGTTGTTTCTTAGTTGCGCCGTAGTGCCGCACACAGGTACAAACCCGGGTGGCTGCGGTTTGAATTGCAGGCCAAGGGTGTGGGGGACGAGAGAGCGCAGCCGACTCTTCCTTGGTCATCTCCTCTCGATCGCCCTGGAGCGCCAGACATGGACATGAGCAGTGAGGAGGAATGAGCAATGAACGGATTCGATGCCCCGTCGCCATCAAAACCCGGTCGACCGCCCGTGAACCCTTCTCCCTTGGTCCGAGACGCGCCGACGCGCCCACGACGCGTCGGATCGTCCGCCAGGCCCCGCCCGCCCGCGCCGTGGCGCGAAACAAAGACTGAATTGCCCCGACTGTGCTCGTCGCTCAACAGTCTCCACCTCCGCAGTCTGCAACAGGGGCCATGCACTCTATATTCTACAAGCACCTCGTCAGTACTTTAGGTTGTCCTGTGCGCAGTACGACGAGCCCAATAGGCGCAGCTCTCGGTGGGGGTCCAAGGTGTTGGTGGCCTCCACGTCTGCGATCTCGCCTCATCCTCGCGGCTCTGGTCATGACATGGCAGGATCCCGCGCAGGCGCACCCTCCCATATGTGTCTGCTTGCAACGGATCTACCGTGCGCAAAGAAACAGTCGTGTATGCAGCTCAGCATCGTTGGGTAGAGTCCAGTACCGACTTAAGCTCCATGGCATGTGGCACACACCAGGTAAAGGGTTAAGGGAACGGGGTCACTATGAATTGGCTGGGGTGTGTAGGTCAAATATCAACAATGCGCGCAGACAGGACCCCCCCTGTTGCACTGTTGGCATGTGTATGCACAGTATATGCAGCGTATTGGACGCCGGGGACAACGACGGTTCGTTGGATGATCATCGACTGCGGCCTCTTTCGACGGTGGACTGAATTATCCACCAGGGTCTCATCTTTTCTGCACCACAACGCCACGGAAGGCGCCGAATGCTCTCGACGCGCTGGAAAGGCTCTCTGCTCCTCCTCCCCTTGTTCTTGGCGGGTGTGAGGCGTACATGTATGCAGGTATGGGGCTTTTGTGGTCGGAATGGCCTTTCTTTTGTTCAAATGTGTGTTTGGCTACATCGCACGTCCTATTAAACTGGAAATGTGTTCGCAGCGACAAGGCCCGGTCATGCGACAGGTCACAGGCCGTTTTGCTTTGAGCAGTCCATACCCGCTGTCGTCTGGCACAACAACGGCCACACGACAGTGATCCATCCTCATGCGCATTTCAACTCCCCCCACAGCACCCGGAGACCGTCGCTGTCTACTCCTTCTTCTTCGATGCCAGCTTCTTGGCCTCAATGAAGGGGTTCTCGACGCCCTTGACGTTGGATCCAATGTCTCCCACATCCGTCTGGCGGTATACCGTGCGGATACGCTCGTACATGACTGCAGGCGATCAGCGGTTGCCGGTTTTGGGCGACACGCCCGTTCCTGGGCGGAAATTGACAGGTGCCGGTGACTCACTACACTCGAAGAAAGCGTCAAGGGCACCAAAGCCGACAACCATGTTGCAGAGGACCCACTTGAGACGCGGAACAAGCGGGGTGCCGTACTTGCCTGTCAAGTAGAGCATGTATGCGGGCTCAAGGACCAAGTGCTGGTGCTGTTAGAAATGCCGTGGTCTCGCAAAAGGCCAGACTGTACAATGTGGCTGGCAATGTACGGCCCATCGCCACACCCAAATCCCAGACGGCACTTACCATGGCAGCAGCAAAGTATGCAGCCCAAAGAGTAAACTTGGAGCCGATGTTCGTGGCCACCCACTCGCGGAGCCAATCTGCATGGCTGCCAGTGCCCCACAGAGTAAAGAACAGGGCGCCGAGCATGATGACTGCAGGAGCCACGAAGGGGAAGATGTTGGGCAGCTTGAAGTAGTAGACTCGAGGGATAAGGGGCTAGGGGACGGTTATCAGCATCATTGGCGTCGGTATCCACAACCCTCAAAACGACGGGGTCGGGGGATGGCCGTTCATCTCGGTCGCAGCAAACGACGCTGGGAGTACCCCCCCCTCGTCCTCCGGCGCCTGAGTCTACGGCTTCCTGCAGACTCACAACCTTAAACTTGTTGTAAGCCTCAATCTTCCACTTCGTCAACCTCAGTTGAGCCTCGAAGGGGGATTGAAGAGGGGGGTCGATGGGGATCTTGTGCTCGACGCGCTTCTCGTTTGGTGGAGGGTGGTATGCAATCTGCACCCATGCGCCGTTGGGGTCAAACTGCTGGATGTACAGTTCGCCGACGTTGCCCTTGATGTCGGTGCGGTCCTTTACAATAGCTGGACGAGGCGTATGTGTTAGAAGAGGAGCTTGCTGTGGAAGGGGACTGGATAGGGGGACTCACCGACAAGGACATCTTGCTGTGCGTTGAAGGTCGTGATGACCTTGTGCCTGGCTTGTTAGCTGTCTGCTGAAGACGATATCTGGGGCGCCATCTCACAGTTCCACGTCTGCAGTGTTTCCACGGGACATGTTGAAGGGTGGGAGGGGATATGCGATGCGGAAAGAGAGAGATTCGAGTCGCTGCGAGAGATCTATCACTCGCGTCTCTCTCTGCCCTCTGCCGCATTTGGCCGTGCTGCAACGTCATCTCTCCCCCAGTGGCCAGTTGGAGGCGCTGATAAGAAATATCACGTGATCCCAAGCCCACCTTTTAAAATGGAAAAAATGACGTGTATATATTTTATTCCCCCACGCTCACGCCCCGGATAAATGACACTGCCAGAGTGTGCCTTCCCTCCTCTGCGTGTGCGGGCCCTCATATGACAACCGCTGCGACGACTCATTTGTACAACATTATAGTAACACACAGTCCACCCCGGCCACCCCCCCATCTCGACACTACACACACAATGGGCTCAGAACAACAGCCAAACGGCTCTATGCCCTCTGGCGCCAGCGTCGCTACAGGCGCCGCCATCCAGGCCACAAAACAAGGCACAACATCCCAGCCCATCACCCGCCCTCCATCCCCAGACCCCGCTCGCAAGACCCCGCCAATGACCATTGTCATCAAGCTCGGTGAGCTTGGTTACCACCTTGTAGACATAAAAACTCTACTAACTCATGCAGGAACCTCTTCCATTGTCGCCCCCAAGCCCCCATTCCCGCCTCGTCTCCAGCTCCTCTCCTCCATCGTCGAGACCGTCGTGGCACTCAAGGCTCACGGACACAAGGTCGTGCTCGTGAGCTCGGGTGCCATTGGCGTCGGTCTTCGTCACATGGGCCTCAAGCAGCGTGGAAAGGGTCTCAGCCGCAAGCAAGCTCTGGCAGCTATCGGCCAAGGTCGTCTCATTGCCCTCTGGGATAACCTGTTCGCCCAGTTGGATCAGCCGATTGCGCAGATCCTCTTGACTCGCACAGACATTAGCGACGTGAGTGGATCGAGCGGGCGCTCCAGCAAAGACATGCGCGCTGACACTACTGCTCTTAACAACAGCGCACACGATACCTCAATGCGCAGAACACGTTCAACGAGCTGCTGACCATGGGTGTCGTCCCCATCGTCAACGAAAACGACACTGTCTCGGTCTCGGTGAGTTTTGGGACGACTCGAATTCCGTCCACCGCCCACCGGGCGGCGGAGAACCTCGGCGAGCTTCGGTTCGGCAATGTACTACTTGCTTGTGTGCTGACATGCTTGCTATAGGAAATCAAGTTTGGAGACAACGACACGCTGTCGGCCATCTCGGCCTCTATCGTGCATGCAGACTACCTCTTCCTCCTCACCGACGTCGACTGCCTGTACACCGACAACCCGCGCGTCAACCCAGATGCCACGGCTGTCCGTGTTGTCCGTGACATTGCCCATATCAGGCAGCAAGGTAAGTGATCCTAGCTGTAGGACTCCGCCAGCTGCTAACAGATGCAGTGTCTACGTCCACCATGGGAACGTCACTTGGCACCGGCGGCATGTCGACCAAGATCATTGCGGCCGAGCTTGCCACTGCTGCCGGCGTGACCACCGTGGTCATGAACTCTGAAAAGGTCCGCGACATCTTTGACATTGTGCAGGCCGGCCCCGGCCCATCACGGTCAGCGACCGATGTGGCAGAGTTTGAGACCACCGGCCCCTTGTGTACGCGCTTCCTGAGGCACCAGCGTGCTTTGAAAGAGTAAGTCTTTCTCAGTGTGGCTCTCTAGTGCGTTTGCTAACGTGAACAGCCGGAAATGGTGGGTTGCGCACGGCCTGCATGCCGCGGGCACGGTGGTGGTCGACGAAGGAGCGTACAGGGCCATTGGAAGGCGTGAGAGTGGCGGTCGCCTCCTTCCGGCAGGTGTGTTGCGTGTTGAGGGTCCGTTTGCGGCGCACCAGTGCGTCCGCATCGTTGTCCGCAGGAAACGTCGTTTCCCGCCCGCGCCCCTCATTGCCGAGCCCGTCAGTGTGGCCGTCACCCCGGCTCGCATGTCGCCTACCCAGGCCAGGCATGACCTGCACCATGTGGCAGTGCAGTCGGCCGTGGCTCAGGTGCAGACCATCTCCATCTCGGCCGCGTCGTCCCCCGACAGTGCGCCGCAGCCTGGCACCCCGCAGATCCAGCCCACGCTGTCGCTCTCGTCGAGCGTGGCCTCTCTCGACCCCTTGTCCCGTACCGGACCCTCCTCGCCGGCCATGCGCGCTGCAGACCGCAACATTACCTCGCTGGGCGACCGCATGTCCGAGCTCGAGAATGGCAGCGGCAATGTGTCGGGCGATGCGTCCAGTGCCAGTGCCGCCACACACGGTGCTGCTGTTGACGAGTGGGAGGAGGTCGAGGTCGGCAAGGGTCTTGCGCAATACAACTCTGTCGCCATTGACCGCATCAAGGGAATGAAGAGGTGAGTCGGGACGAAACAGATAGGCCAGTTCAATCGCTGACCCACCGCCGCAGCTCCCACATTGAGCACGTCCTCGGCTATGTGGAGTCTGAGCACGTTGTCGAGAGCATTGCGCTTGTTTAAGAGAGAAAACGAAGGCTATATAAGGCGTTCATGATCGTGTCAATATGACCTAGAGTGCATGCGTGCGAGTGTATGTCTGGGCCCCATCCATCAGCGATTGTACGACGAGATGCATTGTGCATGTGGGACGAGTGTGCATCTGTTCATGTGTGGCAAATGGAGACATGGGAGAAAATGAATAAAAACAAAGACGAAATATTCCCCCACGTGCCCTGCGCGTGGTTGATGGCTGAGACTTGGAGAGACTTGAGACTGGCGCGCCTGGCTCTTTCAGTGTCAACAACACCCCTCTCCTCACCATCGCCGATAATCCGACGCCGTTCACTGCGGCCAGCGGTATCACAGTCCACCGCACTCAACACACCTATCCCAGAAGCACGTTCTAGCGGCCCACACCCATTTCGTATACCGTCGACACTCGCCCCCACCCCCCGTTCCATCCACGCCACCACAACACAACTCTCACACTCCATCGCGCCGCCGTCACCCCCACCCCCCTTCGCACCACCTTTGCTCATCTGCCCGCCATGGCTCCCGCAACTCCCGGGAGGCGGCGCGGCCGCAATGATGACTACCTCAAGTTTAATGCGAGGCCGAAGGAAGTTGGATCGTGCGTACGATGGATGACTGCTGATCCCTGTTGAACATTGTCGTGCTGACAGACATTGCTCCCCTTCCCTAAACACCGCCGGCTGTCTCTCCTGCTCTCACTCTGCCTGATTGATGGATACCACACCACTCTCATACTTTCCTCTTGTCCCTGTGTGTCACCCCACAGGCGTACGGGCAAGCCCATGCCGACCGACGTGCCACTGAACGAGGACGGATTCGAGGATCCGGACGAGTTCTTCAAGTCGCCGCAGAGCGAGCATGCAGGCCGCGCGCTGCGGACGCCAGCCGCACGAGGAAATGGTCGAGGTGGCCGTCGTGGCGATGACGACTCGTCACCCTCTGGACCGGCAACGACCACACGTTCCCGCCGTGGACGCATGAGCGAGCTGGATGTCGACGACGAGGACGAGGAGTTTGAGGCCGACCTCTTGATTGATGACGACGAGGTAGACCCCAACAAGACTCCTCCACAGCCCTTCTTCCAGAGCTCTCCAAGTGGGTTGGAAACCACGTGCCACTGACGCTGACCCCCTCAGACCCACCCCCAAGCGTAACTCTCCCGCGCAGGTCGCAACTACCGCCCGCGTCCCCCAACGACGGGTTCGACTCGATCCCCTCGCCGTCGGCGCGCGTGACCTCTGGGCATCGGTCCCAGCGCCGCTCGACAATAGGCGTCAACTACAACCCAGCCCCTGCCTCCCCGACCGCAGCCACGGCCACGCCCACTGCCCGCAATGCCACCACCCGCCAGCACAGTATGGGCGCGGGGGGCCACATTGCCGAGCCGTCGGGTCTCATGTCGCCCACGAGCATCGATGCGGGCATGAGCTTTATGCCGGATATCAGCGACGAGTTTGATGCCCAGCTTGCGAGCACGCCCAAGGTCCCCATGTCCAAGAGTGGCAAGGGCAAGGGCAACAAGGATGGCAGGGGCAGGACCAAGACTGCTTCAAAGACCAACGGCCACGTGCCCGACGACGACGATGATGACGATGTTGGCGAGACCACCCATGTCGGCAACGAAGAAGAGGAGGAAGAAGATGATCAGCACCCGGCTACGTCTCAGCAGGTGCGACGAAACGGCGGAACCAAAAAGTACTCTGGCCCAGCACCTGTCGAGGAAGACAGCGACGACGCTGTTGCGCCCGACAGCTTCCAGACGGGCGGTACGGGCGACATTGACGACGACGACGACGATACCGGTGCCGACTTTGGGGATATGGGCGGGTACGACAACGACGAGGATATCGATCCGGCGCCTCTTGCCAACGGACATGGAGATGCGGACGATGACGACGACGTCGCAATGGAGCAGGCTGCGGTGGATGCTGAGGAGGGAGAAGAGGAAGTGGAGGAGCAGGAGGAGGAGGAGCCTGCTCCTCCACCTGTCAAGCGCGGCCGCGGTCGCCCACGAAAGAACAAGGAGGCCGATACCAGCAAAAAGGCCGCGACCCAGTCACCCCCTACAGCTCGAGTCAAGCGAGGCCGAACACCCGCACAGGAGCCTCCGGTGGCCAAGCGTTCGCGTGTGTCTCAACTGCCTCCAGGCGACGAAGACTACAAGGGTGACTTTAAGACGCGTCGTTCTGGCCGCCAGCATTTCCGCCCACTCGAGTGGTGGCGCAACGAGCGTTTCGAATATACCCGCGGCGAGCACTCGGCGGTCATCAAGGAAGTGGTGCATTTGCCCCGCGATGAGAACGCGACCTTGTCCAAGCGTCCACGCCCTGGCAGGTCTTCCCGTGCTGCGAGCCAAGGTGCGCGGTCTATCCGCAAGGCCAGCTCTGTGCCGCTCGACAACGACGAGGAAGGATGGGACAACAACACGAACCCCATCGCCGTGGTCAACGAGTTCCCATCAGACCGCGAGGTCCAGCGCCGTGAGTAGAGGAGCGGGGAGCGGGCGGGTACGTGGCGTACATGACACTGACCGGGCCACAGGTATCTGCTACCCTCGCGCATTGCTGGATCCCAAGCTGGTGATGAACTCGGAGTTCAAGTACCAAAAAGTGTTTGGCGAGGGCAAGTTTATCGCGTCTGGAGTGGTCTACATTCCTGTTGGCGGCAGCAAACCAGGCAAGCCGTCTCGCGACAATGCCTATGTGAGTGTGGGGAAGGAAAAAGAGAAACCTCCAAAGTCTATCACTGGTGCTAACACTGTGGCAGGTGTTCTACGTTATTTCGGGGGCCGTCTCGGTCCAAGTGCACAAGACGACGTTTGTTGTGGCTACCGGTGGCCAGTTTCTGATACCACGAGGTATGTTCCAGAAAAAAGGCAGACGGAGGTACATCACCGGTCGATGTCACTGGATTTGACCCACATGACCCCCCGGCCGCTACTCTCCGATACATAGGTATCTTTAGAAACGCCACTGACGCTACGCAGGCAACATTTACAGTATTGAAAATGTGTCACCGCACAACGAGGCCAAGCTGTTTTTCGCGCAGGCGCGCAAGATCCGGGCGAGCGAGGAGGAAGAGGACCTGCTTGAGATGGCGCGTGCTGCGAATGCGCGTGGCGAGGAGCTGGAGGCTGTGGCGGAGGAGGACGAGGAGGAAGAGGACGGTGGTGAGGAGGAAGCAGAGAGCGAGGAGGAGGAGGCGGCCCAGCAGCGTCCTGCTGTGCGTGCTCGCGCGGGCAAGGTGAGGTGAGGTGAGGGTGAAGGAGTAGTCTTTTTTTGTCTGTCACTAGTAGCATGTATAAAGGGGACACTGTTTGCGCAAGTGCCGACACACCAAGCGGCGTACTCGGCGGCGCTGCAGGAGTGAGAGTGCCGCCGCAGTCCGGCAGATAGAGGAGAGCACATGCGGACGATGACGTCGCTGACTGAGGCAGGATCGAGATCGAGACGACATATGCCGATGGCCCGATGCAGGAATAAACATATAGGCGCGCGCGGGGGGGTTGTAAATGCAATTTAGAAATTAGAATATAAATGGGATAGGCGTGTCATTTGTAATACTCTCCGGCCCCTTGTTTGATTATCCTTCCGACGGCTGCCCCCAGTCATCCCCCCCCAACCACCACCCAGGAGCGGTGTGGTGTCACATCTCTGCACCACTCCATCGCCATCGCACATCGTCGTCCGTCGTCCATCGTCCCGTCGCCATCGTCCATCCACGGGCCCTTCCAACCACCATCCCCCCTCGGCACCCCCACCCCCCTCTCAAGCGACCTCGCGCAGACCCACACCACAGCCCACAGCGGCATCCCGCACACCATGTCGGGCCAAATGACTGGCACGCTCCAGAACCGTGCAAACATGTAAGCCCCCCTCCCACCCTGTGCCCCGTCGTCGTCGTTGCGGCATGCGGGTGGATTCCCACCTCGTGCTCCATACAGTGCTGACCAGGCCCCACTCGACACCCTCCTTGCCTCCAACCACCTCCCGCCCTCTACCTCCCACCTTCTTCATCGCATGCAATCCCACACCACGCTCCCGCATGCATCTCCCACCTCCAGCTCGCGCAAGATCCGTATTACGAGTGCGTAAACCCCCCACACCTCCTGCCGAAACACAAATGCTGACTGGACCCCTCCCCACCCACCACCACCAACCTCTTCACACCCCACCTCTCCCGTCCCTCATCTACACCTCCACGCCCCCTCCTCATGTCCCCCCCACGCCCACATCCTTCACCACCGACACATCCAAATTCGACACGCACGACCTGCCGTTTCTAATCCCCCTCCTCCGTTTCTAATCCCCCTCCTCACTCATCGTCACGTGCACCGCCTCCCCCGCCTCAACGACCGGAACGTCCACACACGCGCGTGTTTCGCCATGGCTGCTGTCTCCTCCCCCCACCTCGACGCCATGCGCTGGCTTGCCCCCTCGTGCAGTCGTCGCGGCCGACTCGCTCATCAAGCGCGACATCCTCCGTCTCCCGGACCCGTTTGCGATTGTCATGGTCGACAGCGAGCAGATGCACACCACCAGCGTCATCAAGCGCACCCTCAACCCCTACTGGAATGAAAACTTTGACATGTGAGTACATATGAATGCGCCGGCCATGTGCACAGCTTACCATCCCACACAGCACTGTCAAGGACCAGAGCGTCCTGACCGTCCAGATCTTTGACCAGCGCAAGTTTAAGAGGAAGGTGCGTTTTGCCCGACGACCGCGACCCGACGACGTTTTGGGTGGCGGGTCCGGTTTGGTGCTTGCTTTGTCAGGGCCCAATTATCCAAACCACCCCCCGTTCCCAAGTCACATTTCCCACCCATCTTTCCTGCGGACACTGCATACACGCTCAAGATTTGACATGCTGACACCCTGTCTGCAGCAGGACCAGGGCTTCCTCGGCGTGATCAACATCAAGGTGTCGGATGTGCTCGACCTCGAGCTTGGTGGACAGGGTGAGTGTTGGAACCCAATTCGTGCCTGCGCGCGCGAGTTTGTGAGGAAGCGGCGCGGTCGGAGCCGAGAGAGGCAGAAGAGGCAGAACACCGTTTCCCAGAAGCGGGGGGAAAACGCGGTGGCGGCGTAGCTCGTGGGGACGCTAAACCCAGTGATACGGGTGGTTTTGCTGACTCACGCTCGCAGAGATGCTCACGCGTGACCTCAAGAAGGGCAGTGATGGCAGCGTTGCTGTCAACGGCAAGCTTATCATCTACCTCTCCACCCAGACCAACACCCCGATCAGCAACCCCGTCCCTTCCGGCAGCAACAACGCCATGCTTGCCCCCGCGGCCAACGACTCGGGTGTCTCGGTCAACAACACTGCTCAGGCTAACAACGGCGCCGGCGCCGCCGACACCCCCGAGCAGAGCCCCGCGCTCCAGAGCAACCGTGACTCACAGCCATTCGCATCACCGCCGGCACAGCAGCCATCCGTGTCCCCATCGGTACCTTCGCAACCCCCTCCTGCTGGCGGCCCGAACAACGCGCCGATGACAGCCTTGGCCACTGCCCAGTCGGGCCAGAACAACAATGTCACTGCGGCCGGTCACAACTTTGACTCGCACTCGGACCAGCTGGGACCCCTGCCGAACGGCTGGGAGCGCCGCATCGACCACCTCGGCCGTCAGTACTATGTCGACCACAACACGCGCACCACGACTTGGAACCGCCCAAGCACTGATGCCTCGTCCAACGCCAACAACCAGGCCAACTCGACCGGCGAAGCCCGCGCGCGCCACAACCAGCGTACCCTGGCCGACGACATGCTCGACGCCCAGACTGGCTCGCACACTCCCACCAACCAGGCGTCGTCCATCCCTGTCAACCAGGCCACCACTGTCGGTTCGGGTCCCCTCCCAGCTGGCTGGGAGCAGCGCTTCACGCCCGAGGGGCGCCCTTACTTTGTGGACCACAACACGCGTACCACCACTTGGGTTGACCCCCGTCGCCAGCAGCTCCTGCGCGTCATTGCGCCCGACCAGCCTGGTATGACTGTCCGCCCCCAGACTGTCAGCCAGCTGGGTCCCCTCCCCTCGGGCTGGGAGATGCGTCTGACTTCGACTGCGCGCGTCTACTTTGTCGACCACAACACCAAGACGACCACTTGGGACGACCCGCGTCTTCCTTCGTCGCTCGACCAGAATGTGCCCCAGTACAAGCGCGACTTCCGTCGCAAGCTCATCTACTTCCGTTCGCAGCCTGCGCTCCGCTCCAACACTGGCCAGTGCCACATCAAGGTGTCGCGTGACAACATTTTCGAGGGCTCGTACACGGAGATTATGCGCCAGTCGCCCACCGACCTCAAGAAGCGTCTCATGGTCAAGTTTGAGGGTGAAGACGGTCTCGACTATGGAGGTCTTTCTCGCGAGTTCTTCTTCTTGCTCTCGCACGAAATGTTCAACCCCTTCTACTGTCTCTTTGAGTACTCTGCCCACGACAACTACACTCTGCAGATCAACCCCAACTCGGGCGTCAACCCCGAGCACCTGAACTACTTCAAGTTTATCGGCCGTGTTGTCGGCCTGGGAATCTTCCACCGTCGTTTCCTCGACGCGTACTTCATCTCGTCCTTCTACAAGATGATCCTCAAGAAGAAGATTTCGCTTCCCGACCTCGAGTCGGTCGACGCCGGTCTCCACCGCGGTCTCACTTGGATGCTCGAGAATGACATCACCGACATTATCGAGGACACATTCTCCATCACCGAGGAGCACTTTGGCGAAGTCGTCACCGTCGACTTGAAGGACGGCGGCCGCGACGTCGAGGTCACCGAGTTGAACAAGAAAGACTATGTCGACCTCGTCACCGAGTACCGTATCGAGCGTCGTGTCTCGGAGCAGTTTGAGGCCTTCATGTCGGGCTTCAACGAGCTCATCCCCCAGGAGCTCATTAGCGTCTTTGACGAGCGCGAGCTTGAGCTCCTCATTGGAGGCATGTCCGAGATTGATGTGGACGACTGGCAAAAGCACACCGACTACCGTGGCTACAACCCGTCGGACGAAGTCGTCGAGTGGTTCTGGAAGATTGTCCGCTCGTGGCCCGCAGAGCGCAAGGCCCGTCTCCTCCAGTTCACCACTGGTACCTCGCGTATCCCCGTCAACGGCTTCAAGGACCTGCAGGGCTCTGACGGTCCCCGTCGCTTCACCATTGAAAAGGCCGGCGAGATCACCCAGCTGCCAAAGTCGCACACATGCTTCAACCGCATCGACCTTCCGGCGTACAAGTCGTATGACACTCTTGAGCAAAAGCTCACCCTGGCGTGAGTAAAGACTGGGGGGCTAGATTACAGACAACAGATGTGCTAACTCCTTTCTCAGCGTCGACGAGGGTGGTGGCTTCGGTGTCGAGTAGAACCCCAATTTTTAAAAAACACACACGCGTAAAAAACAAAACCAACCTATTCGACTCGCAAGTTTTCTCTGTCTTTTCCATTCCTTTTTTACGATTCCATCCCCCTCACCCCACCCCATCCCACCAAGCAACCGCACCCCCACCCCACCACCACCACAAACACCACCACCACCACCAAATTCCCCGCCCAGGACGGCCGGGTATAGACTGTACTCTCCTGCGGACTTAGTTCCCGTAATCGTGTCCCAATACCAATGTATCGTGGAGTGTTGGTATGCACCGAATGAACGAAGTGTACGTGAGCGAGCGAGCGAGCGAGCGAGTGAGATAGGGTTGAGCAGATATGAGTGGCCGTTAGTTGAAGGTTGCTGCAGTTGTTACGCGTTTGTACAAATACATCTAAGACTAACTGCTACGTTCCCATCTACTCTCTCGTGCTTTACCTCTTCTTGCCGCTCCCAAATCCGCCAAAGCCCATCATAGCCTCCATACTCATCTGCTCATCGACAGCAGCGCCGACGGCCCCACGGTCGCTCGCATCCAGCACACCCACTTTGCCCATCTTGTCCTTTTCCCTCTCCTTCTCCTTCCTCTTCTTGCGCTCGTCTTTCCGCGCCTGCCTCTTGGCCTCTTCCGCGCCACGCACCACCGCGAGCCGCTTGGCGAAATCGTAATTCTTCGCGTCGACCTTGTTCTTGGTCTGCTCGCGCAGCTCGGCGATGCGTTGCCGCACCTGCTCGACAGTGGAGCGCGCGACGTGCGTCCCCTGTCCGAGCTTGGAGAGGTGGAAGCGCGAGTTGAGGTGGTCGAGGTACGACAGGGAGTCTTTGAGGGTGCGGTTGCAGAGGTCGCACTGGGGGGCTGTGTCAGCGAGGTATCATGGGGGGGAGGGGCACATCTAATGCGATGGAGGGAGTGATTGCGGTCACATTTGCCTGCTGTGTATTCTCTTCAGAACAGCACGCGGCTGACGGCGCCGCCACTCTCCCCTCTCGCAGTCTCTTCCTCGGATCAGAGCACTTACATAGAACCCAGCGCCGCGCGGACCCTTGCCGGTCGTCGTCTGCGACACGAGCATCGTCTTGCCAATGTCCTTATCCAGTCCCAGGTTGACGTGCTGCTGCGCGAGACCCGTGGGGCGGGGCAGGTCCTGGTCCGGGCGATAGCGTTTGCCTGGTGAGAGAGAAGGGTTAGCTGGAGAGCCATGGTGTGGTGGAGGGACATGAGGGGCTAGGGGGTGACGAGGGAAGGGGTGCGGCGGCTGTCGGTCAAGAAGGCAGGGTTGTCTCGAGCAGCTCTGGTTTGGTATGGCAAGAGCTGCCGAGGTATGCCCTCTCGCGCCTAATCACTACCCCCGTGTCATCCACTCTCGAGCCATTCTCCACAATCCCGTACTCACCCTCAGCAGCAGCCGCGTCCCGGGCCTTGGCATGCTGGTACGCCTGCTGGTCCTTCTCGCGCGCCTTGGCGGCAAAGTCGCCCTTGTCCCATTTCTTGCGCTCGGGCTCGGTAGGCTGGAAGGATTGTTAGCGTGTGGCCCACTTCCATGGTAGCTGGTGTCCAGTGAGGGAGGGCACAGTTACGGCGCACCTTTTTGGACTCCATGGCCGCTGTTGTTGTTGTTTAGAGAGAATGATTGAGATGTTCACCGTAGTGTTGGTCGGTGGTGGCAACGGCAAGAGCGGGAGTATTTTCAGCCTGCCAGTGGGTCGGACGGTGGCACCTGGGGGATATGGCAACCGGCTGTTGTGTGGCTACCACGCCGCACCTGTGTGCACACACGACGCAGGCTGTGGTGGCTACTCGTGAACGACACTGTGCATTGTGTGTTTCCACCAACAGACCAACTCTAGAACTCTTATTGACGTCGCAACACTTTGTCAACATCAACACACGGTCGATCCCCCAAAGGCCCCCAAGGTCCGCCCCGAGAGCCCTTATTTGCCGAATATTATCCTCCCCGCATTTTGGAAAGTCGGAGTCGTCTTGGCCCCGGCCACATCCATCGTTCTCTTCTCTCTCCATCTCTATCCATACTCTACGAAAAATGGCGGACAAGGCTGGCCTGTACGACATCTGTGAGCTATCTGGTTTTGACCGTCGAAGCTAACAACCAGCCAAGCCCAAGTACGACTTGAACACGTACGGTACGTTGCTCCCCCTCCTCAAACTCTATCAACAACCCTTGGGGTTGGCCTCACCCTCACCCTTCGGGACCCTCTTCTGAAGCTCTACTGACCCACGTTCCTCCTCGCAGGTGGCCGCCTCAGCTACTTTTACAGCACCACCTCGCCGCTCACCCTCCTCGCTTCGACAGCCGAGCTCACCCAGGCCCAGTCGGATGTCACCCGCTACGATGCTGCCATCAAGGCCGCTGGCAAGGCGGGATACTGGGTCGACGCGGATGAGAGGGAGAGGTTTGACCGTGCCAAGCAGCGTGAGTAGGACTAGGAGAGGTACGAGAAGTAGGAAAGCACGGTGGGCTGGAACGCAGGATTCGTTCGGACCATTTTCCACGACCGCTGTGTTTCTTGCAACCACACCTGCCAACCATCGTTCCCTGCTTCTCTGCGACCATGCACTCGTCTGCATGCCCCACACTGACACTCTAAAGTCGTCAACTCGTCGATCCACCCCGACACCGGCAAGCCCGTCACCCTCCCCTTCCGCATGTCGGCGTTTGTCCCCACCAACCTGATGTAAGTCGCCGACCTTTGACCCTCCGCTGACCTTTCAGCATCTGCGCCGGTATGCTCATGCCCAACCCGTCCCTCAAGAGCGTTATTCTGTGGCAGTGGGCCAATCAGACTTTGAACGTGAGGCTATTGCGTCTATTCTGTGCTTTGCAGCTCGAGAAACGATCCGGAGGACGTCGAGAACGGTCGGAAACATGGTGGTCGAGTTGGGATGTTGTTTTAACAAATCCCCGAACTTGTCTGGCAATTCCGCCTGTATTTGTGTCCTGCCCCTCCCAATCTCCGCTTTTCGGGCGTGTTGAGCTGAGGTGCTTCCGTGGAGCTCACAAAATGCCTTGGGGAACGTTAAGACTTGGTCGAAGACGTGGTCCGGGAGTTGTTGTCGCGGCTCGGCCAAGTTATTCTTGTCCTCATCCCAAGCACTATGCCACGGCACCATAACTGACACCTCCAGGTCGCCGTGAACCACGCCAATGCCAACAAGTCGATTGAGATGAGCAACTCGGAGATCGCCACCGCCTACTGTGCTGCGACGGCCACTTCGGTCTTCCTGGCTGTTGGCCTGACTACCCTCGTGCCGCGCCTCCGCATCGCCCCTGCCACCAAGCAGATCCTTGCCCGCCTCGTGCCATTTGTGTCTGTCGCCAGCGCTGGTGTTGTCAACATTTCGTGTATCCGCTGGAAGGAGATGCGCGATGGCGTCGACGTCTTCCAGGTCCAGAAGGACGAGGATGACAACGAGGAGAAGCTTCCCCTCGGCAAGAGCCCCAAGGCGGGCCAGATGGCCGTCATGCAGTCTGCTGCCAGCCGTGTCCTCACCAACGTGTAAGCTAAAAGCCTCCGGATCCAGCTAACACCCGTCCAGGCCCACGCTCATTCTTCCTCCCGTGGTCATGACCCTCCTCGAGAAGCGTGGCACCTTTGTCGGCCCCCGTGGCCACCTGTACAGCAACCTCACCCAGCTGACCCTCATCGGTCTCTGCCTCGGCCTCGCCCTCCCTCCTGCCATTGCCTACTTCCCCCAGCGCGCCCAGACTACTGGCGAGAAGCTCGGCGGCGAGTTCAAGGACCTCAAGGGTCCCATCTACTTCAACAAGGGTCTTTAAAATGGAGCCAAAAGGTGGCCGGGTTGATCACTTCTGGCAACGGCGAGACATATATATACGAGAAACGAGGCCAGATACAAATGTAGAGCAACACAAGAGAGACGGAGGGGAGATCTTTATAGAACAATGTCTCGCTGCATGCTATGCATTCCATGCCAGTCCGCTGGACAATGCTTTTGGGATTTGGTTGGCAAGATCTCTACTACTGACTGTGGGTTCACTTCACACGCAAGGACGCGCTTTAGGCGACGGTGCGGAGACGCTCGTAGATGCGGAGGAGGTCCGACTGGGAATTGTTAGCTGTTGAACACCGTCTGTTAGCTCACCGTGCAGCCCATGGCCGTAACGTCGGCACCGGCACCGGCACCCTGGACGAGGAGGGGCTGGGGCGAGTAGCGCTTGGTGGTGAACGAGATGATGTTGTCGCTGCCCTTGAGAGCGGTGGCGAAGGGGTGGTCAAAGTCGTACTTGCCGAGCTTGCACTCGACCTTGCCGGCCTTGGGGTCAATGACACCGACGTAGCGGACGACCTTGCCCTCCTTGCGGGCCTCCTCGCGGAGGGCGGCAAAGTACTCGTCACCCTCGGCAAGGCGCTGGAGGTACTCGTCCTTGGTGGAGGCGTTCTCCAGGACAGGCGGGACAAGCGACTGGGTGGGCACCGAGAAGCAGCCCTCGGCGAGCACCGGAGTGCCCGGGATCAGGCGCGAGAGAATGGTGAGCTTGCGAGCAACGTCGGTGCCGCTCAGGTCGTCACGCGGGTCGGGCTCGGTGTAGCCCTTGTCCTTGGCGATAAGGACAACGTCGGAAAACTTGACGTCGCCGCCCTCGACCTTGCTGTACTCGTTGAAGATGTACGAGAGGGTTCCGGAGAAGACACCCTCAATCTTGACAATCTCGTCGCCAGTGCCGACGAGGTCCTTGAGAGTGGAGAGGATGGGGAGACCGGCACCAACAGTCGACTCGCCGTAAAGGAGCGAGCGGGTGTTGGGGAACGAGGCCGCCTGAATGTCGCTGTAGAGCTGCTGGGTGCCCGAGAGACCCTTCTTGTTGGGGGTCACAACGTGGACGCCGGCAGCGAGGATGGCGGGGTACTGGGCAGGGACGTCGTCCGAGCCAGTAGAGTCGATGAGGACACCCTTGCCGTCGGCGTGCGAGGCGAGGAGTTTGACAATCGAGGGGACGTCATAGGGCTTGCCCTGGGCCTCGAGGGTGGGGAGGAAGTTGGCGGCAGTGACAGCCTCGCCGGTGGCAGCAGGGAGGGAGAGAGCCAGGCGCGAGTTGGCGATGAGGACAACGTTGAACTTGCTGGCGAGAGGAGGCGTGAGGAGCTGGCTGAGAATGGCCTTGCCGACGCCACCGAGACCGATGAGCGCGACGGGAACAGGAGCGATGGGAGACATTGTGTATGTGGTGGAGAGAACGATGGAGCAGAACGAGATGGAAAACAGCAGACAACTCGATTCAACCCGTGGTGGAATCACGTCATTTGAAGCGCGCTTAGCGGACATTGTAATTGCGGGTGAGTTTTTATTAGAAATTAGGGACATGGCCGTTGCTAATGGCCCCTACAGTCACGTGATCTCCATCCCCCGCCCTGGCGGCAGGCTGAAAGTCGGTTGTGTTTGCCATCATCTGCTCGCTCCTCACCATCATCATCCACCCCATCCTCTCCACAGACAATGTTCAACTCGCCAGCCCGTGCCACGCCCAGGCGCGGTCTTCGGGCACGCGATTCCATCTCACGTGGACCCTCCATGTTCGAGTCGTCAGCTCCCCCGACCCGCTCAAGGCTCGGCAGCACCCAGCCCTTGTTGAGACCCGTCTCCCCAGCATCGTCTGCCGGCGACAGCGTCCACACACAGCGTACAGAGCAGCAGCACCAGCATCATCGCCAGGCAGAGGAGTGGGACTCGCGCTCCACGTGGTCCCGCGACACGCGACACAGCGTCACCGCCGCTGGGCCTTTGCCTTCCGAGGTCGCCGCGCTCGTCAAGGGCGCAGACTTTATTGTCAACTCGGTCGCGGGCCATGTGGACCCCAGCAACGGGTACGCGCTCGTCGCTTCTCCATCATCCGTTGTCGCGTGGAACTATGCCAAGCGTACCCACTCGTCTCCTACCGTGTACCGCTTTGAGGCACCACCTGTCGCCCGCCTCGGCCTGGCTGCTACACCGCCTGCACTCGCAACGTTTGTTGGTGCTGGCAACGAGCCCGGCCTCTTGCTTGTGAGCGCCACGGGCGAAGTGCGCTTCTGGGAGAGTGTCAACCACGGTCTCGTCGACCCCCAGCACCAGCGCTATGCCTTGCTCCAGCTCAACCTCGGCGACGACTTTGCCGAGCGCATGTGGAAGGTCGACGCGACCTCGTTCATCCTTACCACCACTGCGAGCACGGCATGGCGTATCGCCGTGGCCAACATTGGCGGCCGTGTCGTCCCCACCGCTACCCAGTTTACACGCAACAGCGGCATGTTCAACCGCTCGTCGCCCATCATCTTCACCGACCGTGACCAGCGCAACGGCGTTGTGGCTGTTGCCCCTACCACTGGCGGTGTTTACATTCTCGGCCGCAGCACCCTCCAAAAGTGGGGCATTGCGCCAGATGGCAACACCCGTCTCGTCCAAGAGTTTGACCTCCGCGAATCCATTGGCGCCAGCCTGTTTGAGGATGAGCGCACCTGGCAGTCAGGCGCCGTTCACCTCGAGCTCAATGACCTCGTGTCCGTCGGAAGCGACCAGCTCGCCGCGTTTGTGTCGTACACCACCCAAGGCTCGTCCAACCGCCGCACCCACAACAGCCACAAGATTGTCGTGTTCGACTACAACCACCAGTCCAACGTGCTCACCATTGTTCAGGACGTGCACCTGTCCTACGTCGCACACTCGGATCCTCGCATGCTCGACATCCCACGCCTGTACATTCCGTCGGGCGCCCAGACCGCCTTCGTCCGCTTTGCCGACGCCATTGTTGTTACTTCGCTTTCCAGCATTCCCTACGAGGACACTATTACACTCAAGGACTCGAGCACCAACGCGTTTATTGGCGTCGGGACTGCAAAGTCGGGCAACCATAATGCTGCCCTCGTCGCCATGGCTGCCTCGGGCGGTATCATGGCCATCGAGGTCCACCCTGCTGTCGCTCAGGCCCGTCATCAGTCGTCAATCGCTGCTGCTACTGCCCGCATCAAGTCGAAGCTTGAGCAGGCCGTCTTCTTTGGTGACCGCAGCGAGAACCCCCTTACCTTTGACCTTCCCGCCGGCTGGAAGGGTGACCTCTCCGAGGCCGCCGAGGGTGTCTCTACCGAGATTGTCTCATCCAGTAAGCTCGTCCTGTGATTTCCGAGCTGACGTTAAGCCTCGCCGTATATGCCTCACATTTCCGACATTCGCATCCAACTGGCGGACCGCCTAGCGCGTCTCAAAGAGCTGATGAAGTACATTCACCGCAACGGCGGTCTCAGCTTGCTTCACGAGAGCTCCCGTAGGCGACTGTGCGGAGACGCCGAAAAGGTGCAGGCCGCCATCGACCTGTGGGACTACCAGAACCGTGTCATGGAGTGAGTTTGAAGGTGTTTTCGGTTCTCCGCTAACTCAGTGCCAGCCATCTGCACACTAGGTCCCCGGAGAGCCTGCTCGGCGACTCGATCCAGATCCTGATGAACCAGCTCGGTTCGTCCGCCGACGACGACGTTGTGCGCTCCTTTTTCCGCACACAGGTGGCCCACCTGGACCGCCTGCTCGAGTCGGTTTATGCCACCTTCCAGGCCGCGGTCACCACTGCCGGGCAGGGCGCCGACCTGACTGCATGGGTTCTGGAGGCCAACCGCATCTTCCTCACCGTGTTGCGGTCGTCCGCACGTTACCGCGAGGCCACCAACGAGGTGTACAGCGTTGACCGCTCGCACCCCGTCATTGAGCTTTGGACCGCCAGCGACGCCATCATCAACGAAATGGACGCTCTCTACAGCGCGACCCAGCGCCTCATCAAGGACCGCACACGAATGTTTGGCTCGGTCGTCGACGAGGGTGTCCCCAAGGGCACTACGGCCACCACGGGTGGAGTGGCGCAGAAGCGCGACCAGGCCACGCTCAAGCTGCAAATGGCTCACCTCGCTGCTGCTCTGTGCCAGAACATGGAAGACAAGCTGCGCGCATCCGCAACGTAAGTGGACGATAAAATCTAAGAGCGCACTGACCGACAAGCAGGCAGATGAATGGTGGTGTGGACCCCAACGAGGGGCTCACTCTGGCTCAGCGTTGGGACGAGATGAAGCCCAGGATCATCCGTCCTCTTGTGGACATTGACTGTGTGGACGAGGCATACCAGCTCGCAGAGCACCACCGCGACTTCCCCACCTTGGTGTACCTTTGCAACAATCCCGTTTCGGCCAAGGGTAACGGCCAGGCAAGGATTGAAACCTTCATTGAGCAGTTTGGCGCCGAGTTTGCCTTTGTCCTGTACCAGTGGTACATTGACCAAGGTGACCTGTATGCTCTGCTGTCGCAGGATGAGGTGTACGGTGGTCTCTTGACTGCCTTCTTCGACCGTTTCCCCCACCCCGAGCTGTCTTGGGTCCACGACATTGCCAGCAAGCGCTACGGCACGGCTGCCGCCGCCCTCGTAGCTGTCGATGGCCACACAGCTGAGCTCGCCCAGAAGCAGCTCATTGCGTCGATTGCCAAGCTGTCTGCGGTTGCCGACACCAAGGCGCACGGCGCGACTCCCGGCCGTACCGCTCTCTTGTCCGAGATTGACGACGGACTGGACGCCATCAACGCCGAGGAAGACTTGGCCGACTCTATCCGCGCCCTGGCCCCCACAAGCGGCTATCCGCGCGTTCCCGGTGCCAAGGCATTTGTGGACGCGCACGCTACCCGCCTCACCTCGCGCCCTGCTTTCCGCGCCGAGCTGGAACGGGACGTCACCGACCTGCTCGCCGGCACCGCGCTGGGCATCGAGTCCCTCGTGGACGCCTTGACGCTTGCTGACATGCTCCCCGACCGTTCCGGCGATGCTGCGCTTGCGCTCGACCGCCTTGCGCGCGCCTCGTTGCCCGAGGGACGCAAGCAGGTTGCCCTCCTCTCCATCTGGCGCCGCGTGTTCATCTACGACGACTGGGCCGACATTGCCAAGACGGCCGGACGCAGCGAGGAGACTCAGCGCAACCTCATGCGCGGCTCGCGCACGTATGCGACCCTCGAGGCGATTGGCGCTACGGACCTGCCCAGCTCGTACATTCTCGCGCCCAAGAATGCCACGTTGGCCCCGCTCCCCAGCGAGATCGCGGCGCGGTTCCCGGCTTACACCCCTGGCCAGGTCGAGGCTCTCATGGCCGACCACGGCGACGAGATTGCCGTTCTGGACGAGCTGATTGCCGAGCAGCACCTGGACCAGATCGTCCGCGCTGTGAGCGAGCTGGTGGAAAGCGACCGCTGTGGCGAGACGACCATGCTGGGCAGTGACACGGATGTGGATATGTAGAGGAGCACGTATGCCGTAGGCAACGGAATATAGTTGCAAGAGGGGGAAACAATGCATAATGTAAACCTACACCGTCTAAAAGTGGGGGCACAGGGTGTGAGAAGCGAAGAGACGGCTCTTTACATGGGTATCTTGACACGCCACGCACTCATGGGCAACGTGGTCAACCGCTTGATGGTCGGCAGGATGTGGCTGACGAGCAGGATGGCGCTGAGGGTGATACACACCGCATCCATGACATAGTACCCGTCCCGCTGGATCACGCACTGGCCTTGGGCGGCGGAACAGCTGGCCTTGCCGGTTTCAGAGGTACATTCTTGGCCGGTTGCGCTGCAGGTCGAGATGGTGAGCAGGTCGACGGCGCGCAGGATCAAAGGCTTGGGCCAGGTGCCGCCGAGGTTGGAGACGGTGTTGAGGAGCTGGGAAACATGTCAGCTGTGGGGACCACGGACACAAAGCTTACAGTCATGTACGTGCCGCCGATGAGCGGGTCGGCAACCTGTGTGTGGAACGCGGTAATGCCCACAAACTGGACCGTGCTGCTGGGTCAGTCGCTGTGGTTCAAGCGCTCACTACCCACTTTGTCAACGACGTCATGAGCGTGGTGGCGATCACGAGCGCAAAGTATCCGCCGCCCACTTTCCCGCCCTCGGGAAAGTTCCACACCACAAACGCCGCAATGGTCGCCATTGCCAGCCGGGCCCAGAACGCACCCATCCAGACACGGAGGACGCCAGACGCAGCGGCGGCGCGCGCGTTGTTTGCGCTCAGCGGGTGGCGGCCCTCGTCGGGTCCCGGCGGTGCTGGGCGTGACCACTTGGCCGCCAGCCAGCCGACGATCATTTGGGCCGGGAAATCGAGCAGGACAGCCACGGCGAGGTCTTCCTTTGACAAGCCCTTTTCCAAAAGTTTGAGCTGGGTGACCGACTCGTTGACCTGAAAGCCAAACTTGGCAATGAGGAGGATGAGGAGGAACGACTGGATGTCTGGGTGGGGGCGGCGTGTGAGCTTGGTGTGGAAAGAACATGACATGTAAGCTCACTCTTGAGACGGACAATGCTCCACATGATCTTGTAGACCTTCTTCACGTCCAGGTCCGGGTCGTCTTCGCTGACCGGATCCTCCTTTTTGAAGAAGATGAGCCACACGGTGACGACGAGGTACATGAAGCCCCAGAAACGCATGTAGGGGCCGAGCGACACCAGAGGCTCGGTGCCGGGCACAGAGCGAAAGTAGCGGTTGGTAAAGTCGACAGAGTTGAGTGCAAGGAAGACGGTAAAGCTCGATGCCGTGCCGATACCGAGACCGATGGTCTGCGCCGTCGAGGCGTAAGAGAGGTTGGGAGGCGAGAGCAACGTCAAAGCCCATCCGTCCACTGCAATGTCTGGCACGAGTGAGTAATGTTGATTACCCGCTAATGTCAACATCCACTCACCCTGCGTTGCAGCGGCAAAGATCAGACTGCCAAAGACCATGGTCAGGAAATGGATATCAATGTCCTGGCAAGTTGGTTAGCACATTGCTACCGGTCGGTCAACTCACGGCCGCGAGCCAGCCCTCGACCTTTGAGCCGATGAACACGAGCGCCAGTCCAACAATGGTCTGGACGGGGACGACCCAGCTCTTCCTGCGGCCCCACTTGGGCACAAACCACGCATCAACGATGGGCGACCACAGGAGCTTTAGCGAGTATGGCCATGTGCTGAGCGCAAAGACCGCGAGGCGCGAGTACGAGAGGTGCGGCTTGAGGAGGAACGGCAATGTCCCAAACGTCAAGCCCAGGGGGATGCCTTGGAGGAGGTACAGCACGACGAGGAGCGCAAACGCCTGCTGGTCGCGCTTGCTCTTGAGTCCTGGACCGCCAGAGATGTCGCGCTCGTCGTCGAGGTGGACTTTCTCGAGCACAATGTCGGCGTTGGCGTCAGGCCCTCGGCGTCTGGGCGTGCCGGAACTGCGAGGACTGGTGGTCCCGCCGCTGTCGTCGCGCCGCATGAGCAGGCCCTGCTCTTCGAGGTCGCCCAGGTCCTCGATGTTGCGCCGCAGCGCCGGTTTGCCAGAGAGCATGGCGGCAGGCGGGGTGGGTGCTGGGGGTGGTTGGTAGAGTGAGATGTGCTAAGTGGTTGGGTTGGTGGACGGATGAGGTTGTCGTCGTCGTCGTCGTCGTCGACGTCGCGCTCAGGTGGCGGCGCGTCTTTTGGTTGCCGTAAGGTCCGTTCCCGCGGGTGGCGGCACGCGCGCGGGGCAGAGCGCTGGGTGGAGGCCGCGAAACCGGTTTTTGAGACAGTCGGTGGACGTGTGGGACGACGCGATTACAAGGGATGAGAAGCAGTGAGAGGGGCATGCATGCATGTGCTGATGGCCAGGATACACCACAATATGACCCACTCGGGAGGTGGTGGTTTGCGAGAGGGGAGGTTGGACCGCGCACGGTGTGCGTGGCGGGTGGGATGATCCAGGACGTGCGTCGGGTGGACGGTGGCGAGGGCTTTGTGAGGTAGCGTCAGAGGGCAAGCTAGGAGAAGCAACAAGGAGAAGAATAGACAGAGACGCGAACAAAACCCAGGTCGACGAGGGCAAACAGGAATAGACGCAGATAGAGAGCGTCCAGAGCGCCAGAGCCTTCCTCGCACACACTCACACACAGCACACACAGCACACACAGCACACACAGCACACACAGCACACGTTTGTTGTCTGTTCTGCAGCGCTGGCGATCGTGCTCGGGACACGGCAGAGCGACCGACAGAACGCGTGGATGGACTCGTACCAGCACGCCTATTAGCCTTTGCCTTGGTTTGTCAATAGGCTTGCCTGTTATTATATGTGAGGGACGCTTCAATACAAACAAATTGAATTGACGAGGGGCCGTTTTGTAATCAAACGCGGCGCCACGTCGTCGCGTGGTGTACCCCCCCCCGCCCCCGCCCCCTGCAGGTAGCCGCCGCCGCCGTCGATGCAATCGGTCATTTTAATCTCTCTCTCCGTTGCCATCTGCCTGGTTCCACGTCTCTCACACTCTCTCTTTAACCCATCTATCGCCTCTCACCGTCTTCTTCTTCATCACCCAGCCACCATGTCGTTCCCCGCCGGAGTCAAGCCCTTTGCTGAGCGCCCCCTGCCCAACACCATCTGCATGTTCGATGTCGACGGCACCTTGTCCCTCGCCCGCCAGTCGGCCACCCCAGAGATGATCGCCACGCTCAAGGCCCTCCGCGAGAAGTGTGCCATCGCCTTTGTCGGCGGCTCGGACCTCAAGAAGATCGTCGAGCAGCTCGGCGGCGACAACCCCGGCGACGGTGAGTCCGCTTAGAGCCTGTTGGGAACAACGTGCGGGATGGGACCGGTGATCCACCAAAAAATGTCTGCCGCTGCGGAATGCCCGGCGTCCAACGCCGAGCGGGGAGGTCAGGACAATGCTGGTTGTTGAGGGACAGGACGCGGGACGCGAGGGGCGAGCGCGTTGAACACATCCTATATCCATCGCAACGTCGTCATGGCGATGTGTTCCACAGATGGCAAGCAATCTTGCTGCTATCTGTCGGTGATGTCGCCTGTTGCCTCTGACGCGCACCAAGTGGAACATCCGTGCCCCAAACAGTCAACTGACTATCTTTAGTTGCGGGTGTCCTCAACGCGTTCGACTTTGGCTTCGCCGAGAACGGCCTCACTGCCTACCGCCTCAGCAAGGAGCTCAAGCCCGCCAGCTTCATCGAGCACGTCGGCGAGGACGAGTACAAGAAGCTTGTCAACTTTATCCTGCGCTACCTCTCGGACGTCGATGTCCCTGTCAAGCGGTGAGTAGTGTTGTGAGCGTGGTGCACGTGTCGGCGCTCGCGTTTGTTGTTCGGATACGCGTATACTCGTGAGGCGTTTTTTGGGAGTAACGCATCTATGGCGCTCTCGCCCCCGTTGCTGCTGCTGCTGCTGCTGCTGCTGCTGCTGCTGATACCGGCGGCTGCGGCGGCGTCGGGCCGACGCCCCTGCTCCCTCCCTACTCCGGGAACCGAACCCCTTACACACCCTCTCCCTTGCCTGCCCCTCTCGCCACATTCTAATGCATTCCTCCAGTGGCACCTTTGTCGAGTTCCGCAAGGGCATGATCAACGTCTCGCCCATCGGCCGTAACGCGTCCACCGAGGAGCGCAACGCCTTTGAGGAGTTTGACAAGAAGGCCGGTGTCCGCGCCGCCATGGTCAAGGCTCTCCAGGACAAGTTCCAGCACCTCGGCCTCACCTACTCGATCGGCGGCCAGATCTCCTTTGACGTCTTCCCCACCGGCTGGGACAAGACCTACTCGCTCGGCCGTCTCGAGGGCGAGGGCTTCACCGACATTCACTTCTTCGGCGACAAGACCTACAAGGGCGGCAACGACTATGAGATTTACACCGACGACCGCACCAACGGCCACGCGGTCACCAACCCCGACGACACCATGAAGCTCCTCAACGAGCTCTTCCTGTCCAAGTAGACATGTAGACGAGCTGCTGTGCACAATGTACCAAAGAGATTATACAAGTAGAGACAACGGATGAAACATCTTATTTTTTTTTGCATCATCGTCTTGTGGGCAAAAATATCTCCTCTGCTCCACCTCTCTTCTACGCATCCGCCACGCCAAGTGCGACCTCGACCTCGTCGCGGCCACGGCGGAGGAGCGTCTCGGCAAACTCGTATCCCTCCTTCTTGTCCAATACATGGTCTGCAATCTCGGCATAGGCCTCGGAAATGCGGCGCAGTGCCGTGCGGTGGATACCTTCGGCCAAGCGGGGGTTGGCGAGTAGCGCAAGGCGTGGGGATGTGAGTGGGTCGTGCGAAGTGAGGAACGACGAAAACTGCGTGAGAGCTGAAGTGAGTTCCTTGGGCGTCGCACCAGGAAGGCGCGAGAGAGGCGTCTGGTACAAGTCAGCGGGCTGTGGGCATTGACGCATCCTACCTCTGCTGGTCTTGTGCGCATGGCCTTGAGGACGGGACCCAGGCCACACTGCTCCAGGAGTTTGCCGTGGTGCTCAAACGTCATGCTCTCGACGTGCTGTGCCACTTGCTCTTGCAAGAGCGTGACGCGCGGGGCAGTGAAAGCGTACGCCTCGAGCGTGTGTTGCAGGTACTCGAGACAGTTGACGAGGAAGACGTCCTTGTCCCAAGCACCCGTCACTGTGGACTGCTTGCGCAGGTCGGCCATGCGCTCGCACATTTCCACAGCGGGGTCGACCGCCGCGTCCAGGAGCTTTGCAAAGTCCGTCTCGCGCTCATGCGGGTCCACGAGAGACGTGTCGTACACGGCAATGATCTCGCGCAGGACCTGGCACGAGTCGCGCAGTGCAAGTGGAGGCGACAGGTTTGCGTCTGGGGGCTTATAGAGTTAGGTTCATGCTCTCGCGGTATAATGCAACAACTCACATGCAGGAAACGGAGCAGCGAGCGGCCCTGCGCTTGGAGGGTCCCAAAGAAAGCCGCGTCGGCATAGTCGTACAGTCTGGCTGGTTAGATATATCTCGGCGACTTGGGACCCACTCCTGGAGCGCCTGTGACAGCACGGCACCGGGACCGATAGTCTTGCGCATGGTGACGAGGTAGAACTGGACGAGGTTGACAATGCGGTACGTCATAATGATACCTTCTTGCGACTTGATAGTCTGCTCGATACGCAGCTTGAGCGGGCGTCCCAGCCCATCGAGGTTCTTGTCCAGAGCGTCGGACACCATCTGCTCTGCCTCGGACCGCTCCGCGCTGCGCTCCTCGCCGACCATGCGCACTCTGTTGCGGCCCACTCCAAACAGCGACTCCAGCAGCTCGTGCTCGCTTGCAGTGGCCTGGTGGACCCACGCCAGCATGTCGCCGACATAACGCGTCGGGTCGTGAGCGTGGATTTCGATTGGGCGGGGAAGACCGTTGGGTCCACCACGGGTGAGTGCGTCGAGAAAGGCCGTAAGGATAGCACCTTGGCGAGTGGTCGTGAGGACCTGCAAAGCGTCCCTACGTGTGTCAGCTTGAGAGCGTTGATTCTAGAGGCCGGCATAGCTCACTTCAACAGCGCCGGACGCTTCCCCAGGCGCTTGACTGCCTCGCGCATCACAGACGACACCTCGAGCTGGGCCTCGCGCGTCATTTGGCGGAACTGGAACTCGAGCCAACGGTGGATCTTGGCGTAGCCAGCTTCCAGCTGAACACCAGTGGCAGCCATAATGTCGAGACTGAGTGGGTCAGTGTGGGCTCCCCTATGTGTCATGTGGAACTCACCCTGCCTGCATGCTCATCTCGTCGTCTCCGCCGAGGAGCGCGCGGCAGTCGTGGCGAATCGCCTCGACCCGATCCAGCGCGTCAAAGAGGTTCTGGTTGAGGTCGAGGGCACTGGCATTCAGGGCAGCTTCTTCTGCCGCCGAGAGAGTGAAGCGGTGGAGAAAGAACGACACGAGTGATGTTCGGAGCTGGGCCGACGAGCTGGAACGTCAGTGAGTGTCATTCGCGAAGGCTCGGGGGGGGGGGGGGGGGGGGGGGGCGGAGAACTCACCGCTGCGAGCGTAGTCCGTCCGCGCGCTCGAGCAGATACTTTGTTCCGCTGTTGGCCTGGTCGAGCTCGGCCTGCACCTGGTCACAGCGGCTCTGCATATCCAGCATGTGTTCGCGAAGCACGTCGAGCTTGCTGTCGACCTCGCCAAACGCCTCCAGAAAGCGCTGGCTGCCACCTGCCAGACGCGCCTCGACGTCGCGCTTGAGGTTCTTGCGCGCCGTAGCGGCACTCTGTCCACGCAGCGTGCGTCTCACGGGCACAATGTCGTCTCCGTCGCTCGCCGCCGAGGACGTTGCATCTGCCTTGGCTTTACCCTTGGAGCTGTAGAATGAAGAGGCAATCTCGAGGGCTTCGCGAGACGCGCGGTCGTCAAAGTTGGTACCGATTGCCTTGTAGATGCGCAACGAGATGGGGTTGTTGCGCGAGGCGGTGGGCACGGGTGTTGAGGAGCCAGACGCCGATGCTGGCGATGGCGCCAGTAGGGATCGCGGGGCTGGCGGCATTGTCGCCATTGTGTGATGATGTTTGGTTGGTTGGTCGTGAACAATGTTGACTGTCATCATCGACCGTGTCGCTCTCTCTGTGCGGGCGTGGAGGCTCGGTGCCGGATGCTAATTAGGCATGACTATATTAGAAACATATTTGTAATTAATTGTAATCAATTGCCTATCATACGTCACATTACGTAAGCATCTCGCTCTCATGCCCCACCCCACCCCGCCGGCCACCTACGTCGTCCATGCGGCCATTCTGTTGTCCCATTTCGCTTTCTTCGCTTCCATCCTCCTTCTCAATCATCCACTCTTCCATTTCCGCGGCTTCTTACCGCCCTTCCAACTTGCTTCTTCGTCGCCACTCCTTACCCCCATCTGTCCAACCTCCCTTTATAGCCCCACCATTCCCCTCTTCTGCACGCCCCCGATGCCTCCCACCACTCGCTCAAAGCAGGGCTCCCCGGCCCCCGCGGCTCTGGCGACTGCTCGCGAGACCGACATCAACACCACCATTCGCCAGCGTCCTCGCGAAGGAAGCAGGTCTCGCAACCCTGACGATGTGTATGATGCCAAGTAGTAAGTTGCGCGCAACTCTGCCTGTGTCGGGGAGTGCGGCAAACGCTCGCACGCCCACGCAAGTCTCCTCATGAGCTACGCTGACGACGCCCAGTGCTGTGGACCTGGCGTGAGTACAGAGAGGAGAGCAGAGGGGCCAGTGGCGAGACTGTGGCTGTGGCCCTGGCTCTGGGCTGTAGCTGTGTCGAGGGGGTGACCCACCTCCAGTCTTGGAGCTCATCCCCCTTCTCGCCCTCGTCGTGTGACCCATCCCAGTGATGTTGTGCTGACCCGCTGCTTTTTTGCAGAACATACACGTGAGTCATCATTCTCCCTGGCCGCACCATTTAAGTCACCGAGGCTGACCATCACCTCTAGTGTTGACGAGAATGTCTTCCTCTTCGTTCCCAACCTCATTGGTTACGTTCGCGTAATTCTCGCTGCCGCAGCGCTGTACTACATGCCCAACTACCCAAGGACGTGTACGGTCCTTTACGGAGTCAGCTGTCTCCTCGATGCCTTGGACGGTCTGGCCGCCCGCGCGCTGAACCAGTCGTCCAAGTTTGGCGCCGTCCTTGACATGGTGACCGACCGTTGCACCACCGCCTGCCTCCTCTGCTACCTCGCCAGCGCGTACCCGAAGTACGCCCTTCTTTACCAGTTCCTCATCGCCCTCGACTTTGCCTCGCACTACATTCACATGTACTCGTGAGTTGTGCTGCCCTTGTTGACATCTATGGCAATGCTGACTCCTCCACAGTTCGAACGTCACCGGATCGTCGTCGCACAAGAACATCACCGCCGACGTCTCGCGCATCCTTTACTACTACTACACCAGCAAGTTCACCCTCTTCATGTTCTGCTTCTGCAACGAGCTCTTCTTCGTCTGCATGTACCTCAACGCCTTTATTCAGACCCCTATCTCCTCTGTCGTTCTTCCCGAGCTTGTCGTCAAGACCGGCCTCGACAAGATCGCACCTTGCCTCCTGCGCGGCGCCGCCAACCTCACCTGGCCCCAGTTTGTTGCCGCTCTCAACTTCCCGCTCTGCGCCGGTAAGCAGATCATCAACGTTGTCCAGTTCTGGAAGGCCTCCAAGATTGTAAGCGAGCCAAAGGAACGGGGCAATTTATTAACAAAACACAGCTCGTCGGCATCGACCTTGTTGACCGCCAGAAGGCCCGCGCCAAGAAGGCCGCTGAGGAGGCGTTCAAGGCCTCCAAGGGGGCTGCCGTCCTCTAGATGCCCACTCGGCAGCTCGTAGACAGGTCTCGAGAAGACTTGGACGCCCGCGGGCCCACTGGCACGCGTGGTTCGACGCGCCATGGCGTGTGCAGGTCATGGTGTAGGGGAGGGCCGGAGGCGGTGCCGTACGGCGGCCGAGGGGAGCCGAGAGAGTTTGAGGAGGGGAGATCGTTTGTGGAACATCATAGGCCGTCGCCCCTTGGTGCTGGTGCTCACGCGACAAACATGCGTGCTTGGTCGTTGGACGTGCAGTACGGGGAGATGAGTCGAAGCTCCGTAGTAAAGCAACTAATGTATAGAGGTCTCTGCACCTGTGACCCGTAACTCTGTTCTGGATGCATTGAATGCAGAGTGAAGGCTGGCTAGTGAGGGTATAGGATGAATGAGTGAATGAATAGAGGGCCAGAAGCTTGGCCTCCATCTCGAATTGACTCGCCACTCAGACTGTCGGATAGCCATTGGACATTTTCGAAGAGCCTGGTTATATCAGTCGGTAGATAGTTTGACTCTTATTACATTAAGACATCAAAATGTCATGGGTTCGAGCCCCATACTAGGCTTTCATTTTTGCTATCTGCCGGCATCGTCCTTGTCCACTGCTTCCTCGGCGTCTGCCGAGGGTGTGGGGTAAAGATGTTGGCTTCTTTTTAGCGTTGTTGTGTAATATGAAGGCAACATGAGGGCAGTACGACGGTGGATAAGGTGAATAACGCATGGGCACATGCTGATACTTGAATCGCGACATTGTTTTTATCGCGCAAGTGAAAAGGTGCATATAGTGTGCGACCCAGACATCCTGGCAAATGCACCAATGTTCTTTACTACCCATGTAAATGCTCAACAGGATTACCAACCTCAGAGACCTCACAGAGGCCGGTGGTACAGCTGGTGGTACAGAGCCTGAGTGGTCTCATAAATTACTTTATTCTGGTGGACTGGCTGGCGGGCTGCCACACACCCGGCTTTCTACAGCAGAAAGGGCCTGGTCCAAACTGCTTCTCAGGAAGTGTGTACCCACACAGAGCAGGGGTAGAACGCACTGCCATAGGAATGTGATGGCATGTTGCGTGGCTTGAGGATGTCAACTGTCGACCGAGGGCCGAAACATTCGCCAGCAAATTATCGTCAAACGCCTCTGTACAGGCGTCACTCCTCTTGCTTCACCCCATACAAGACGTCTGTGGGGTCGTCTTCCAACGGCTACCCATCACTACCCATCACCTCAACCATATCTCAATACACGCAGACGTGGGAGTCACAACACCACTGCAAACACGGAAGACTGTCGTAGTCGCCTTCTTAGTTCAGTGGCTAGAATTTTTCACTAGTAGTGTCCCATTGGAACTTGCTATGAAAGGGTCACCCGTTCAATTCGGGTAGAAGGCAACCATTATCCTTTTTGCCATGCTTCGCTGGAGCTTCAGAAGGTGGCAAAAGTGTAGGAGGACCGTGGATGAACAGGTGGATGGAGAAGTGCGTCACGGTTTGACACTTGGTGCCGATCGCGTGCCGATCGCACCGATCACCCGAATGTGGCACACCTCATCTTCTCCGACAACAACGTCGTCTTCAGGCTTCACCGGGTTCTTTCAACCGAACCACAATGCATGGACGTGTCAACCCGAGTGTTGTCGGATCTGCAGCATCTTGGCTACCTACCAGAGCTCCAAAAACTTGCATACCACTGGCGGATCCCGGGAAAATTGGCATAGAAGCTCCTTCGTCCCCTCGTTCTGACCTCTCTCACTTCCAGTCGCCTCCAATTGACCCCAATCACATTCCCTGATATCCAAAAGACTCCCAGAACGCCGGGAAGCAAAAGATCGGGCCGCTCCGGGACTCGAACCCGGGTCGAGTTCAATCGAGAGCTTGTCGCTCTGAGCTTTGGTGAAGCCCGAAGAACCCATCGTGCCCCTGGACCAAGCAGCCGCCGATGTTCTTCTGCATCGTAGCTGTCTGAAAAAGCTCGCGGATGGAAAGTAGATGCAGAATTGGCGGAGTACTGGAGGATGGAAGATGTTCGGTTGAGTCGGCGATTTTGCAGGTTTGTCCGGACGGAATGTGTTGGATGTTGCTTTTCGCCCTGGATTGTTGGTACCTTGCTGGCAATAGACTATACAGAAGAAGATAAAGATGCATACAAGGCTTTAGAGCTGCCTGTATACACCTTTAGTGACATGCGAGAACGACAGAGCGAAGACGGAACAGTGGAGGAACACAAGGAGGCTAACTGGATTCACACTAAAAGGATTGAAGAGGCTAGAGACGGAGAAGGGTCCTGGTAAGAGCAATCGAATCACACCTACAGTTCATTGCACCTCAGCTGCACATCCTGCTTGGATCGACTTGCCTATGCTCATCGGTCAGGTGTAAGCAGGGGACTAGCATGTGCGTCTCCTCAGATGCTTCGGGGTATAACCCACTAGTGGATAGCCTTATCTTTCCAGCGCCTCTTATCTGCGCCACCAAAAAAGAAAACAGACCACGCATGTTGGCACCATGACGCTGTCCAAGACTCCATGTCCATTCCTCCTCTCCTGGATAACAAGATTGGCCCACGAAAAAAATGTCGATACCTACCGATACGGCAGACTGATAGAGTGGGCTGCGCAGGGCACCGGTGGGGCCACGACGCGGAGCCTGCGGGGTATACCTCTGACCACTGGCATCAGTGCTGTATATCTCGTTGCCCCGTGCTGTCCACTAGCCTTATCCAGCAGTCACGCGGGGGCCTTGTCTTTGCGATTTTCCAGTCCTGATGGTGCCCAACGTGCCTGCCGAGGTCTACGGTTTGTTGCAAATTCCACGCCACTTATCAGTTTCAATCGACGCCTATCTGATAGAATGCTGTGTTCCTCGCTATTTTCGCATCGCCGTATCCATAGACTCCGCCAAGTGATGTCGCAGCGGGCGCATGATGCAAGTATCAAAGCTTTCTATTGGGTAGCGTTGGTAGCGTTGCCAGAGCGGACGGGAAAGGCTCCACCCCTTTGGTACTTTCCCACCTTTTCCGGCTCCCGAAATGGTGATATCAACGTGGGCACAGTTGACGTCCTCTGAGCAGACCAATGGGCAAACAAGAAACCCCCTGGCAGCCACTAGTTCAATATAGAGTGAGTGGCACTCGTAGCTGGCGATAGGGCTCCCCATAGTTCATTAAAGTGGCGCGTCTGTGTGAGCGAAGATTGCAGCTCACAAGTCGACCAGTGACAAGCTGTCTTGACAGGTAGGTTGTCTTGGTGTCTCTTGATACCCTAACGTGGTGCTCCATTGATTCATGGACCTTGCAGTTTCTGGGATACATTATCAGGTGGACGGCATTATCAGGCCCCGGCTGCGAGATACGGCGGCGCCGCGGAGTAAAGGTGGCGGCAGTGACATGTTACACATTTTCAGTAGTCTCCTTCTACTTCTCGTCACCTTATTTGCTGAAGGTGCGGAACACGCGGGCGGCCATGCGGGGTTCTGGTCGGTGTAGAGGTTTAGACCAGTTCCACACCTCCGCTTTCAACTCAAGGCGGCCCACAACGTCCCGCTTCGCACCGCTCATTGTCCGTTTCGTCCGCTTCGTGGCCCGTGTCGGTCTCACTGACTCCCGACCGGAACCCGCTGCACTGAGAACTGACCAAGCAGAAGCTTCGGATACGGTTCATTCCTTCTGTGTGCTCGTGTTATCTTGATAAAACTGTGTCGACGGGTGTCACATGCCTAGTATTCGAAAACAACTAGCAGATATCATTGCCACTTCACATCCGTCCCACCAGCGCCTCCCCACTGAAGAACGCCTCCCCACTGAAGAAAAAACCTGAGTCGTATCTCTCGGTACGCTAGTCCTTGCGGGCACATCCTCTCCAAAATGTTCACTGAACTCTGGCTTTGGTCAAGACTGTCACGACAACAGCGCCATGCACCCCGTCTTTCCACACCACCTTCCCACCTGCCGTCACAACCTCCTTCCCGCTCTATCACACTGCATGCATCTATCGTAGGCTGTACACTCTACTCGTCGTCCTCGTCCTCGTCCTCGGCAAACTTCCTTCGCTTGTCCTTGCCCTTCTCCTTCCTCTTCCTGTCCTTCTTCTCCTGTGCCGTCTCCCTGGGCGCCTGGACCCTAGACTTGGGCTTGTGCAAGGCCTTGGGCTTGGCATTGTCTGCGACCTCAAAGGCCTTGGCAGTTCCAGCTCCGAGCATCGTCGGGTGGGCAGCCGAGCGGACAACCTCGTCGACAATGACGCGCGAGCCCGATGTGGGGTAGCGGGCACTGATACCACGAGCAAGGAGGGGCTCGGCCAAAAGCTGGGCAAGCTGGTGCTTGAGCTTGGGGACGTTGGCACTCTTCTTGGTCTGCTTCTTGCTTCCCTTGCGGGTGAATGGCGCGTCGGGGTCGTGCTCCTCGTCCGAGAACATGGAAGGGTCAATGTCCAGGTCCATGGCCTCGGCGGCCTCCTCGAGCCAGCTACGGTCGTGTGACTCCTTCTTCACCTCGTGCTGGGTCTTTTCAATCTGGCGGGCGAGAGCGATACGCTCCTTGAGCTTGGGGAGGAAGCCGCCTTCAATCTCGAGGTCACCGGGAGCGGCGTCGCGGTCGAGGCTTTTCAAGAGGGCACGCTGCACGGCGCGGTCCTCGGGCGAGACGATCTGGAGGGCGAAACCAGGGTTCTGGGCACGCGCAGTACGACCCGAGCGGTGGACGTAGGCGTCGGCGGTGCGCGGGAGGTTGAAGTGAATGACGTGGTCGACGTGGGGGATGTCGAGACCACGGGCGGCAACGTCTGTGGCAATAAGGACGGCATTGGGGTTAGACTTGAACCTGTCGAGGTTCTTGAGACGCTGCTTCTGCTGCAGCTGCGAATGCAAGGGGTAGACAGGCATCTTGAGCTCCTCAAACAGGGGAATGAGGCGACGGATACCGTCAATGCTTCCCGTGAACACGAGCGAGCGGCCGGGGTAGCGGAGGAGGAAGTAGTACAGGTACAGGTCCTTGTCGGCCTGCACACACTCGATCATGCTCTCGCGCAAAGTGGCAACGAGACCGCCCTCTGGTGACAAGTCGATCACCTCGGGGGCAGCGTCACGGAAGTCGAGCTTCTCCACGAGGTCCTCGAGAGCCGACGCCTTTCTCTTGCCCTTTGACGGCTTGCGCTTGCGCTTCTTGAGGTTTTGCTGGAGGTCCTTTGACAAGGTGGCCGAAAACACAAACGTCTGCATGTCCTCGCGAGCCGAAGTCTCGGTCAAGGTGGTGGCGGAAGCAGCAAAGACGGGGTCCTCGTCGTCGTCGGTGGGCTGGACGTAGTTGCGCTGGGTGAGGCCGACAATAGTCTCAAGCTCGGCGAAATGACCAGTCTCGATCATACGGTCCGCCTCATCGATAACAAGGAAGCGCACGGTGCGGATCGACGCGGCGAGAATGTCGTCCGTCTTGAGCAAGTCCCAGAGACGACCAGGGGTGGCGACAAGAATGTCACAGCCGCGGTCGAGAATACGCTTCTGCTTGTGGGCCGAGAGACCACCGACGACAGTACCGACCGAGATACGAGGAGGCTTCTTCTTGTCACCTTCCTCGTCCTCGTCATCCTCATCCTTGGCCAGAGCCGCGGCAACGACCTTTGAGAGGGCGTCGTTGACCTGAATAGCCAGTTCACGCGTGGGGCAGAGAACGAGCGCCGACAGAGGACGGCGGACGCCGGCGCGGGGGACAGGCTGGCGGAGAACATGGCTGAGGATGGGGAGCGAGTATGCAAGAGTCTTACCGGAACCCTGTCAAAGTTAGTCTCTCTGCTTCTCAAGGTAACCTAAACTCACAGTCTCGGCAACACCGACAACGTCACGACCGTCCAGACCAATGGGGACGGCGCGCTGCTGGATCTCGGTGGGGCGCACAAAGTCGAGCGCAACCATTGCACGCTTGATGAGGGAGTGGACTGAGACGCCAGTCCACTCGGGGAGGAGACCATCGTCGAATGTTGGCTCAGGCTCGACAACGTCCTCGTCATCCTCGTCATCCATGTCGGACGCGTCCAGGCCGGCAAAAGTCGGGAGGTCCTCGTCATCCTCAGCCTCTGCAGCCTCGTCATCCTCGGCCATCTCCTCGTCCGACTCCTCAATCTCCTCTGCCTTGCGCTTTCCCTTGGTGTCCTTTGCCTGAACCCGTCAGCTTTGTCGTCACAACTGATCTTGCTACTCACCAAGAAACGGGCGGTACGCCTGCCTTCTCCATCATCCTCCCACTCGATAGCCACGTCGTCGAGCTCCTCGAGCATCATCATGCCGCCACCGCCGTCCATACCGGGAAGCGTAGAGGTGTTGACGGTCTTCCATTTCAGCTCGTTGGCCTTGAGCCTCTGTCGAGGGGCGGGAGTGACATCGACGGTGGAAGAGGACGAAGCAGAGGCCTTTGCGGCCTTCTTGCCCTTTGCTGTCTTTGACGAGCGGTGTTTTGCCTTTGCGGCCTTGAGGACGTCAGAGAGACGTGGTTTGGACGACTTGTCCGTAGTCATTGTGGATAACTGGTGGTGTGCTGAACAGAGGGGACGTTTAATGGGTCCTGCTGGTGGTGTCTCCAACGGGTGTCAACTTTTGAGGGTGTGCCTGGTGGCGACGGCCGCAGAAACCGACCGTGGGAAAACTGCGTGCAAAAACGGAGTTGGCGGATGCATCTCCGTTTTTATTGTTTTTGTTTTTGTTTTTGTTTTTTGCCGGACGGATGGGGTGGCGCCTGGCTGGGCAGATGGGCGTCTGGTGGGGCTGTCTCCTCGTTGCAACACGCTCATGGCTTTGAGGACAGTATGACAGTATTGCAGACCTTGCAAGAGTTCCAGCGAGACAAGACCCGCACATTCCGCTTGGAGCGAAAGTGCCCTGTGCGGCGACTGTCGCCAACTTGTCCTTGGCCAATGGACAGGTTTAGACCGTTAGCCTCACGCTTTGTCCAGGTCCAAGATCTCATGCTGTGAGCCCGGTGCCTCTGTCAAAATGGCAGGTGAACAGATGGGCGAGGCGGCGTTTCGTGCATCAAGCATCAAGACGGCGGTGTCGAGGCGGTGAAACGGGGTACCCTGTGCCTCGGAACTTGGCCTGTCCACAGAGCTGTGGTCGTCTGACGAGTCAGCAGCGTACCGTCCATGTTGGCTCATATCTGACATTGTGTTCCTAACATGACCAAGTGTGAGCAGAGAGAATTTCCACTGCTTCAGTCCCCCGTCGGTTCATGTGTCGACCAGTGTCCCAGTGAGGTACTTTGTCCCAACGCAGAAGCTCATCTGGCGCCACAGGAACCACAATGTTCCCCAGGCGGCCACATTGCATGGACCGTACTGATCTCAGCGTCGCAACCAGTGCCTCTATTTGCGTTCGCCGCCAGAAAACAAGCTCAAGGCTCCAGCAGCGAGTGTCCTTGCTCACCGTCCACCAGATGTGATTTATTCAACGGCATGACAGTGGGAGCTCTCTCTCTCAGCAGGACCGAAAAGGCCATGGGATCGGTTGCTCGGAGCTGATAATCTGTATCTTGTACCTGGCTCTTGCTGACTGCCACCATCGATCCATCACTCTACTATTCGTGACCAAAAATGAAACATGTAACCAAGAAGTGTCGCGCTGGTCGGGGACTGGACGGACCGGCGGTCTCACCATTAGATGCAACACAAAGTGACGCCATCACACAGCCCACAGCCTCTGCAACCCTTCTGGTGCGCATGTGCACGCATCTCCCTCCATGTGCCTTGCCTCCTCTGCGCGCACTCTCCGAGAGGTCAAACCTGCGTCATCGCGAGCCATGCGCTCTGGGCTTGACCCACAGCAACATTCCACGCGTGTGATTTTTCTCGTTTCGTTCCGTAGCAACCCGTTCACCCATTGTCACACCTCGCTACGTCGCTGCTGCCGAATATCACACTACTGCCTACCGCTACCCTTTGCCGTTATCGTGGGTGGCTTTCGCTTGGGCCGTGGGCGGTTGCTGGCGGACTGCAGATTTCCGCGGATTGTCCTTGGCAGTGGCAGTGGCCAGGACAGACGGAACGTCAATGCAGCAGTACATAGTGCCATACGGGGTACCATTGAAACGACGCCACGCCCACCGCATCCACATCCGCAGGCCGCAGGTGCGTGCCTGCGGCATTGGCATCGAGGGTTTAGTTGACATGGCTGTGATCTGTTTTGCGTATCCATCCCATACTGTGTAGTCGTGCAGGTGGTGTCAGCTTTCCGCCATGTCCTGTAACTGGGCGTTTTCGACTTGACACTTGCGACATGCCACAAGTCAGCAAAAAGCACTGTCACAAGGCCTCCCAAACATGGCTGATAATGGGATGTGACGGTGACGCAAGCCGTCCCGGCCCTTGTTCTCTCTCTACATTGCCTGTGGTCCTCTTAGCCTTCGCTTGGTACTGACTATGTGTTTCGGTCCCGCGGTTTGATGTTTCCGCTGGTCCGAAGTGTACGGATCCTTGGGCTTGGTTGGGCTGCATCCGCGCACTGTGTCTCGTCCGCTGCCCCCACCAAATACTGCAACGCATCGGCGTGCGCCGCCGTCGCAACCAGAACGGACCCACTGGACATGGGGCTTTCACATCGGACGCGACGAGGGTGCGGACGACACTGACGACACGGGAGCGAAACACAGGGTCTCAAGCTAGTCACCAGAACCTGTGACGTTTCTCACAGTGAGGGTCGCGAGTCGAGAGTGCAGCAGAATGGGCGTGGTGGGTGATGCTCTGTCTGTCGGCTTCGGCAAAGCGATTAGTGTATGACACACCCATGTGCCCAGGCTGGACCACAGAGACGACCTTGGCCTGTGACCACCAGCCAGACAAGAAGACTTGCGAACAGCGCTGACCGACTGACTGACTGACTGACTGCTGCGTTGCATTCCAGACTCTCCGACGGTAAAAAAAGGTCGGAACGCACGACCTGTCGCACTGGCGGGCACTGGCACCATTCTCAAACGTCAGGCCAGGCACGCGGCACGGCGAGGCCATGCAACATGTTCACAAGATCACAAAGCACAACACTCACAACATGTACACTGTGGTTCCCTCGCAGTGCCAAGCGGGCCGCGGGAGCAGCGGAAGACGCCGGGAACGCGTGGGTGGGGCTTTGGGGCGGCAGTCGTTGTCGTTGTCCTTGCGACGACGCGGGCGGAATGTTTAGTCGAGACACGGTGTAAACAATGCCCGAGTGACCCCACACCAAAAGCAAAATCCCCCGAGAAGACGACGACAAACATGACAGAACGTAAACACGGGACGGCGGCCGGTGTGAGCCCCAACTTCAAGAAGCAAGGGCCACAGATCACAGATGAAATGGGTCCAAACATTGCGATTCCAGTCTGATTCCAGCCAGGTCCGTGTGTGTCATCAGAGCAGCCAGGGTGGCTTGGTTGGCTCAAGCCATCGATCAACTGCGATCAATTTGCACACCACCTGTGCCCCCCGTCTAGAGTGTTCCGTGGCCTGTCTTCGACGGACTCTTGTGACAGTCAATGCGCTTGCATGCTCTGCCAACCTATAATTGTCCTGATGGGAAACCTACTAAAAACTATCAACTCGAGGTGGCGTACTACTAACTATGGTAACGTTAAAGGGGGGCGGAAAATGAAAGAAGGCAGCAAAAAAGTGGTGGCAATGTTCATGGTTGGTCGTTAAAGAGGGAAAGGGTGGCGGAAGCAAGGGAACGGGCGGGTAGGCGGAGAAAAATGAGCTTGACGATTGCTGATACAGTCCATTACAAATACAGCGTCCTTGGTGTGTGTGGTGGTGGTGAAGTTTAAATTGGGAACTATAGGATGGCGCTAGGTCCCTTGAAGCGCTGCCGGGACTGGGAAGGATAGGCTGCGGCTGCCTGCAGAAGTGGATGAGAGATGAAACAAAACTTGGGGTGTTGTGGTTGATGTGGGTTTTAGCCGATACGCGCCTTGCAGGCATCGCGCTTGGCACGGTGGCGGAGAAGAGCGTCGCTGCGGGCAAAGTTTTGTCCACAGTCGCCGCACAGGAAGCTCTTTTCGTTGCGGTGGGTGGTGGCGACGTGACGGTCGCGATCGTGCTTGCGCACAAAGCGGGCGTCGCATTCTGGGTCGGCCTCGCACTTGAAGGGACGGTAACCGACGTGGGTGCGGACGTGCGAGTCGACGGCCGACTTGCGCATGAAGATGCGTCCCGACGAACCAGCACACTCGTCAAAGCAGCATCGGAAGAACTTGGACTGCTTCTCGGCTGCCTTGTTAAACTCGCTGCCGATCTGGTAACACCACCTGAAGCAAGCGTCGACGACGGGCTCGGGTGTGGCGTACATCAGGCGGTCGGTCAAGAGCTCGAGGGCCGGGTTGGGGATCAAGGAGCGCTGAGGCGTGATCGTAAACGCAGCCTGGAACTCTTCGATCGAGACGGGCAGGAGACCTTGCCCAATCTCAACCAAAGGCTCATCGTCAAAGTTGATTGGCATCGGAGGCGGGGCTGGGTGCGCGTCGCTGTCGACCTTGGGCTTGACCTTGCCTTTGGGTCCAGGTTTGAGGCAGGTGCCAACACGCTTGCTGGTCACACGCTTGCGGGGAGGCGATTTCGAGCCACCACCAGGCTGACCGTAACCAAGATGGCCAGGTTCGAATGGCACGTACTGGAACGAGGTGTAGGTGGCGACTGGCGGAGGCGGTGGGATTGCTGCAGTGCCGTAGACCGGGCCTGGGCGACCAAGTGCTTGGCCAGGCGCCTGTGGCACCGAGGTGGAACGCAGCATCGCGCCAACATTGTTTGGGTAGCCCGAGGCAAATGCCAGCTCCGAGTCACTTGAGCGGCGAATGTGAGCGGAGGAAGGAGGGAGCAGCGGGCGGCCAATACCAACAGCGCCACTCATGTGCTGCAGCTGAGGTGAGAACTGGTTGTGTGTCATTTGCGGCGACATCCCTTGCTGCTGGTGCTGCGGGTACTGTTGAGGTGCGAGCTGCTGGTGCGGGATGGTAGGTGAGTAGCTCAGCACTTGTTGCTGCTGCTGCTGCAGCGGTTGTTGTTGGGACATGTGTGTGGGGATAGCAGTGGCCGGCTGGGTGCCTGGGCAAGAGTTGGGACGGGCGAGAGGCAGGGAGCGGGGGGCACTTTGGCGTTGAACAGCTGGTGGCATGGGTGCACTGTGGATCATGGGCGAAGTGGAGGGCAGGGAAGGAGTTGCCGGCGGCTGGGGGACCTGGTATGTCGACATGTCGGAAGCGTTGGTGTACCGGAGGCCAAGCGCTTGCTGTTGGCCCATTGGCGTCCATTCGGCGGGAGCTGAGGAAGGTGCCTCGGGAATTGTCGCGAGCGCAGAGTAGGAGAATGCACGCGCGTGCCCATGGCCATGCTGTGCTTTGGAGAGAGCGGCAGGAGTAACTCCAGACCCGGTGCCCGGAGTAGCAGCACCGTTAGCTGGGGCAGCGACGTTGTTGACAGGTGCTTGGTACGCCGAAGGCGCAAATGACTGCGGGTGCTGTGCGAGAGGCGGCGCCGACATGGGACCGGGCGAGGTCGTGTTGCTGAGGAAGGGGGAGGTGGGGTCGGCGGCGGCTGCGACGCCGTTAAACGCCATGGTAGCACCAGTCGACACAGACCGCTGCAGGACACGAGGCTGCGACTGGGGGATTGGAATGAAAATGTCTGGAAGGGAGCCCTGGCGTTTGCGCTTGCCCAGAGGGGCAGGTTGCTCGGGACCACTTGGCTTGCGTTCGAGGGTAAACGACGCCGACGGCTGCTGCTTGTGGACCTGCATCATCGGCACCGCATGTTGCTGATGCTGGTGGTGCTGGTGGTGGTGGGGATCTCCGGACAGGCTGTTGTTATTGTGGTTGTCCGCTGCGGCCAGCTGGCCATTGCACTGCTGAGGGGGCAGTTGTTGGTTGACATGCCATGCAGGGGAAGTCATATCGTTGGTGCCGTCATATGAGCGTGACGCCTCCTTCAGGCGTGATGGGTCGATGGAACCGACAAAGCCTGGCTGGGGGATGTTGGGAGTCTCGAGGGAGGAACCGCGAGACGATGGCGTGGAGACACCGAGAACAGACTCGATGCCAATGTGGTCCATGTTGGTGAACCACTCTGTCGAGTTGTGGCCATGAATGTCTGTGAGGCCAAAGGTTTGCTCGAATGGCGACGAGTTGTCGCCATACTGCTGCTGCTTGTAGTTTGCCTGATGGTTGGCAAACTGGACACCCATGTCGCCCAGTGGTGGACGGGCCGGCGAGTCATTGACGCCGTTGGTGAACGCCTTGATAAAGTCGTCCACGTCAATGACGTCTGGTTCTCCAGAAGAGAGCATGGCCATCACTGTGGGGAGGGGGGAGATGTTTAGTGGGCCAGTTCTAAAACAGATATAAGGGAGGAGCCGTGCGCACTCACCGAGTCCTAGGCCGGGGGCCGTGGTTGTGGAACCTGCGCGGACGAGGTCGCACGGAGAGGTGGGGGATGGGGAGGAGCAGACAACAGACAATCCCAAATGGTTGTCGGTCGTGGTCGCAGAAAGAGGAAGGTGTGATGTCTCGAGGCCAAACAAGTTTGGCAGTGGGCTTGTTGGTACTGCGCAGGCGTGACACACAGTTGATGGAAGAGTGGGGGTAGGTTGCTATGCAGTGGTAGAGGCTCGTCCGCTATGCTTGTTCAAGGCTATAGCTGGCGTTGTCTATATGCGTGGGTGTGTGTGTGTTGTGGTGTCACTGGAGCATGCGGGATGAGATGTTTGGTGGTAGCGATGGTGTTGATAAACAAGGGCGAAAGAGCTGGCACGTTGCTGTTTCGTCTGGGTGGAGGGGTGCCTGTTTGCAGCTTGTGCACAGGAAGGGGGAGGGGAGAGAGGTGGAGAGAGAGGGAGAGAGAGGGAGAGAGAGGGGGAGAGAGACAGCAAGATATGAGGTGTGTGTGTGTGTGTGTGTGTATGCACTAGGATGGATGTTGAGATGATGGATGGTGATGAGGAGGAGACAAGGATGGGGGGGGTTGTGGGATGTTTGGGTCGGAGGGGGGGGGGTTGTGTGGTCATATGTTTAGTCCCCGGCCGTCGGATTCGTCGTCGCCCCCCATCCCATCCGTAACCCGCAAGCCGTCCGTTGTAGTGTCCTGGCGTAATCTGGCTCGCTCTCTCTCTCTCCCTCTCTGTGCTCTCGTTGCATGCATTCCGACTGCGCGGGTTCATGCATTCGGGACCTGATTCTCTTCATACTCTGTGCATGCATGTCCCTGGGGGAGGGAGCGGGCGATGGACTCTTTAAGCCTTTACGCTCTCTCTCCTCCGCTGGGCCCAACGCCAGTGCGCCAGACATGCCTGCCAGACGGGACAGACGGCACAGGCGACTGCAGCGACGGGGGATCGCCATGAGAGTCATGTCGTCTGGCCTGTCTCTGCTGTCGTCCCTGACAGGACACACTCGTGTAGAGTCAGGACAGATTGCTTGGCCTGCCCATTTGCCCATTTGATGGACGACGGACGGCTGCCAGCTGCGTTTTTTTTTTTTTTTTTTCTTCTGTCGCGAGGGACGGCGCAATCGTACAGACAAAGGTGTGTTTGTTTTCCAGGGCCGATGAGAGCAAGATGGCGCCAGTCTGCCTCGTGCCGCGCTTGCGGAGTGGAGCTACGGAGCTATAGAGTGGGTTCATTGAATGGGGAGCACAGGGGAGCGACAGAGAGACAAGACAGTGACAGACAGCGACAGCGAGAGGCCGATCCGAACGGCCCAAACACCGGTCTGGCAGCCAGAGGCCAGAGGGCCAGAGGCCAGAGGGCACAATGGCCGAGAAATCAGTCGCGTCGGGTCGTCCGTTCCCTTTTTGCTTGTTTTTTTTTGGTCCCGCACCCCCGGTTGGTTCCGCGCGCTCCACGCGACGGATGTGTCACGTGTCACGCTTAGGGCGAAGAGATTACATAGTTGCTTATGTAATCTAGTCTTTGTATCCTTACATAAGCTTGCGCGACTCTGCTATATTACGTAATTTTTAAAGTGGCCCAGCGACAACGACGACCCACGCCCGCACCCGCGCGATGCGATGTGAGGCCCCACTACCCCGCCCCCGCACTCGTCGTCTTTGTGTCTCTTCCTGTGTCTCAACTCTTTCCACACACACCCCGCTTCGCATCCAGGCCATCCATCGACAGGCAAACAGCAATGGACAGCTACGAAGCAGTCATAGACCCCGAACTTCAAGACATCTCCCCTCCTCCACCGCCCACAAAGGGTAGACAGACCGGCACAAAACGCAAAGCCGCCCTTCCGCAACAGCCCACCACCACCCCGGCTACAAACACGCGTCTCACACGCCGACAAGCAGCCGCCGCCGCCGCAGCCATCGCCACCCCAGACCACAAGGAATCATACTCACCAAGGCATCCAGGCGACGAGCCATCACGCGGGGAAGAAGAAAACTTGATCGGGTACGAATGGGCCAACGCTGTGAGTTTTGGGAACAAGGCGGAGAAGGAGGGAGCGCTAGCACGGGGATGACGCTGACAGCGGCGTGTCCAGAAACGATCCCGCCGTCGGTCACCCTCTGCGCACGGTGGCCATTCTAGCAGACCCCACACTCCATCGCAGTGGACAAGCTCAGCCCATGCGTCGGCTCATCCCTCGGCCCATCCTTCTCCGGGACACGGCGGTATCGACAACTTGGCCGCGGCAGCAGCGGCATACCAGAGCAACACTGTAAGTTTTCTGCATCTCGACGGAAGGAACGTTGTGGGATCGTGGTGCGTTTATCGCATATCGCAACAAGAGACACTGAGCGATGAAGGATGAGCTCGTCGTCTCCCCACCAATACCCCCCTCCTCCTCCCCGCAAAATGTTCATTCGCAAGGTCTGACATTGCGCAGCCTCAACCACCCCCGCCACGATACCCTTACCCGTTTGGCCTGACGCCGTTCCGGTATCCTTGCCTTACGCCTCACTTACCCCCGCCACCCCCCGGGGACCCGACCAACCCCAACTTTCAGGCGTATGACCCGTACCACGGCATGGAGCGCGCCGAGGATGCTCACCACGAGGAGCAGCAGGACAAGGAGCAGCTGCAGCAGCACACACACCACCACCACCACCACCACCACCACCACCACCACCAAGATCCTCCTGAGGACTACCACGAGCTGCCTCCAGTCGAGCGGACAGAGCACACCACGCTGGCGGCACTCTTATCGGCGACAGAGGCGGCAAACGGGTTCGACATGGGCGTGGGATCGGCGCCGTCGTCGCGACCACGCACGCCAGCCGACCGGGGCAGGTAGAGCTCGGAGATTATACACACTCCCTGCCTTGGGCCCGGCGCGACGAAGAGGTAGCAAAATACACCCCCAGGACAGCCGGTGTCCTCAGTCGGAGGTGGTGGTTGGGATATGACGGCGGCAGCGACCGGCGACGCAGGGAGACGCGTCGTGAGAGGACCTGTGCATAGTCGACACACAGGCATTCTTGCCTTTTGAACATTCCCCCCCCCTTTTCTCTTTTTTTCCCTTTGTGTATCACCCACATGTATAGCGGCCGAGACTGCACCAAGATAACAGCAAAGTGTTCCGGGTGTATGGCCGGCCGTCGGGCCGGGAAACGTGGTGACCGGTATGTGAGCAAAGCATCTCTCTTCAAGACTGGCCGGCGGACTGGATTCTCGGACATGTGTCCCGTTACATGAGGAATTCGTCCATGTGAGCATTGCGTGCGTGCGTCTCGTGGGATGACATCAGGAATGCACAACTCACAGCACGCGGACATTGCGCCATTTGGGCGTGGGAGAAATGAGACAACGTGTGACGATGGTCGGCGTTGACCAGGCGAGGTCCTCGTGTGACCCCGACACTTGTGTGCGTGGCCTGGGTGGGGATATCATCCATTGGTGGGCGACACGTTTTCGTCTGGAACGCGATGAGCTTAAAGAGCGTGAGACTCGCCAGAGATCAGAGTTCCACAGATCCAGAAGCATGGCGGGAAGCCATTTGGCCATGCGATTCATTGCGTATTGGCATAAATGGTCGTCGACAAACTGTCGGACAGGCTCTGTGTGTCCTGCGTAACAGGACTTGCTGTCTCGGGCGGCATATGGCAGGCGGCAGGCGTTCTTTTGAGTCGCATACATTTCATGTCCGATCTCTCTCCCCCACCCACCCACTCTTGTTCCTCGCAGCATGGCAGCTGATGTTGCGCAGCAAATACAGTGCAAGAGTCGTACCTGGACATGCTGGACATGCTGGACAAGCGCCAACACACGTTGCCGCCAATTCGCTAGGCCGGCGAGGGATCGGAATAACAAAGGGACAATGGGGCCTAAATGAAAAAAAAAACAAGCGGCACACATTGAACTAGCCTGAAGTCTATATACTGTACGGTATGATGCAAACGCAAGTAAGTTTACAGTGCACCCCTCCAACCCAGCTCCTCATCTCTTGCCCCCCTGTTTAAGAATACGTGCCGGACATACAGTTCCCGAACGGTTGACGGCGGAACAAAGAGAGACTAACATTTGGGGTTTGGTTTAACGTGTCGAGGCAGCACTGCCGGGAGGAGGTTTTGTATTTGGCTCAGGCAACAGACAGCATTGAGAGACACCCCTTGATTTGAGAGTGTTATACAGCCAGACTGAAGAGCCCCCCAGTAAGGCGGGTACCCGCAGCTGGGAGTATGGTATGGAGGTGACTTCACGAGAGATGGAAGGACATGGTAATGATCCGTTAAGCGACGATATCCCGATTAACAGGCCGTTTGTAATAAGCTAATCAGGCTTCCATAGGTAATAATTTGATTCCGTCCGTCCCTGTCTTTCCCCTCCCCGCCTACAGCGTCATGTTCGCCAATTCATCTCCTCTCTGCAACATCCCGTCTAGACATATCACAACCGCCTTGACATCTCATCTGCCCCACACACCTCGACCAGGCCTCCATCTAGGCCACACCCTCCCTCCCCTCCATCCTCTTGACCCCCTCCTTTACTTGTCTCGTGTCGCCCACTCCTTGCCTCGCCCAATCCATCCCGTCTCAGCCACGGGGACACTGCACCACCCACCACATCCCTTCCTAGGCTCTCCACCTTTCCTTCGTCCCATCTCTCCACCCCATATCTTCCAGCCATGTACGTCTCCTTCCTCCAACCGTATATCCCCGCAGCTCCGCCCAACCTTCCGTCAAGCACTTGTGCTCGTTGACGTGCGAGGGAATGCCGCTCTGGAGCTGTTTCGCACGTTCGTGATCGCTGATGGCCTGTACAGGAACTATGTCCAACTGGAGAAGCTCGGCGAGGGCACGTATGCTACCGTTTACAAGGTGAGATAGGTCGCCGCTTTCGGACTCAATAGCTGACACACCGTAGGGTCGGTCACGGACAACGTCTGAGATTGTTGCGCTCAAGGAGATCCACCTCGATGCCGAAGAGGGCACGCCGAGTACGGCCATCCGCGAGATCAGCTTGATGAAGGGTGCGTGTATATATGTACACTCTTGGTACAGGCGAACGGCTACTGATGGAGGGACCAGAGCTCAAGCACGTCAACATTGTTCGCCTGCACGATGTCATCCACACCGAGTCCAAGCTTGTTCTCATCTTCGAAGTGGGTAGAATGGTGTAGAGTTGGAGCGCGTGGGTGGCGCCGCTGACGCGTATTGCGCCTTTTTTACAGTACTGCGAGCAAGACCTGAAACGCTACATGGACACCCACGGCGACCGTGGTGCGCTCCCCCTCAACACTGTCAAGAACTTTACCTGGCAGCTCCTCAACGTGGGTGGCGGCTCTGTGATAGCAGCTTGATCTGACGCACGTAGGGCATTTCGTTCTGCCATGCCAACCGCGTGCTCCACCGTGACCTCAAGCCCCAGAACCTGCTCATCAACCGCCGCGGCGACCTCAAGATTGGTGACTTTGGTCTCGCGCGCGCGTTTGGCGTGCCCGTGAATACGTTCAGTAACGAGGTGGGTGGCGTGGCGATTAGACCGTTCGAGCTAACCCTTCTAGGTCGTGACCCTTTGGTACCGTGCCCCCGACGTGCTCCTCGGCTCGAGGACGTACAGCACCAGCATCGACATTTGGAGTGTTGGCTGCATGTGAGCTTTTCTGAGATCCGATCTGGTTCGAAGCTGACGTGACAGCTTTGCCGAGATGATTACGGGCTACCCCCTCTTCCGTGGCCGTGACAACAACGACCAGCTTGTCCAGATCATGAAGATTGTCGGTACTCCCTCGGACGCCACTCTGCAGCAGATCAAGATGAACTCGCCCGAGATCCAGCTCAAGCAGCCTCTTAGCAAGCACCCCAAGCAGCCGCTCCACGCCATTGTCCCCAAGGCACCACGAGACGCCATTGCCCTCCTCGAGCACCTGCTGCAGTTTGAGCCCAACAGGCGGTTTGACGCCAACGAGGCCCTCGCCCACCCGTACTTTACCAGTGGACCCATCACCCCGGCCGTTGTCGCGCCCAACGTCTCGACCTCGACAGCCTCCCTCGCTCTGCCCGCGCGCGTCGCTGCAAGGGCAAACCAGGCTTCGGCCGCCGTTCAGGCTCAGCAGCAGCAGCAACAACAGGCCGCCGCCGCTCAGCAGCAAGCCGCTGCTGCCCAGGCTCAAGCCCAGGCTCAGGCTCAAGCCCAGGCGCAGGCGCAGGCTCAAGCTCAGGCCCAGGCCCAGGCGCAACAGGCTGCCATGGCTCAGCAGCAGCAGTACAACATGATGCTCGCCGAGCAGGCGCGCCAGCAGCAGCAGGGATACTATGGTGAGCTCCAGCGCTGTGCGATCACGAGCTCCCGCTGACCACTCTAGCCGACCCCGCAATGCAGGCTCAAGCGCAGGCGCAGGCTGCCGCGCAGATGCAGCTCGCGCAGGCTCAGGCCCACGCGCAGGCTCAGGCCCAGGCCCGCATGGACCCGAATGTGGGTTACACCCGTCGCCGCTGAGTAGTCCCCAAGTGTCCAGTTGGGTGTATGGGGCTGTTTTGTTTTGTGTCTCGTTGAAGGCTTGAAGAACACATCAAGCTGGAAGCAAGCATAGCGCAAGACCGCCCAGAAAAGGAAGACTGGAAACATGGGGCTCGCGGCTGGAAGAGGCTTAGCGTGCTGACAAGACAACAGCAACAGCAGTACTACATGAACAACGGACAGTACTAAGAACAACGGCCTGGGTGGGAGCGACCGCATTACATTGTTTTACTACAAAAATCACGCAAATTTAAAAGAGAGAGCGAGCAACGATACAGCGGGGATTGATTAGACTGAGATGGGAGGGGGAGGGCCTACAGGCGGGCACACAGCCAGCTCTGCAAGGAGCTCATGTGGTGGGAAGCTCGAGAGGTTGATAGGGCTTGGCTGGTAGTGGTGTATGAGATGGCTATGTTTGCGCATGCACGTTGTGGAGTGGACGGGAAGGTAGATGGTATGGCGTAGGAGGTGCTCGCAGAATGCCCGGACGACGATGATGTGGGGGGACCAGTACCGAGCACCCGCTGAAGCTTTCGCCCCGGCTTCACCTAGTAACCAACCACACGCCTATACCATGGTCTTAAGGTAATACATCGGGTTTCTCTCTCCCTCTCTACATGGATATATCGCCCTCACTGCTCGCAGACATGCACACTTATCCCTAGCAGCCCACCGCACAAAAGGCCAGACGCAGACCCAGACCCAGTACGCAGCTTCACAGCCCGTGGTGCACACGAGACTCGCCCTCAACCTCAACTCTAAGCATGAGACAAACGCGCTTAGAGAGCCGTTCCACGCTCGAGGTTTGCTTTGATACTGCAGTCACGCGTCAGCTAATGCAACTCGCCAGGACACGCCAGCTGAAACATACTCTTTGGTGTACTTGTCAAAGTAGCGCGCGACCTTCTTGTTGAAGTGCTTGTTGCGCTTGTTGATGTACGTGACATCGCCAGTGTCGTCGTCGTCCTCCTTCTTCCTGCGCTTGTTGGCCATGCTGCAATGAGTCAGTTCGGTGTCCATTGTGGCAAACTGGGAGTTGCTGCTTTCGGGGACGACACCCAGCAAACCCCAGCCCAACTCTCCACGTGCTTGACTCACCCCTTGTTGATACCATCCATGACGCGATCAATAGCCTCTTCGCTGGGCTTGTTGTCGCCGTAGCTGAGAGTGTCGGCGGTGCGGTAAAGGTCCTCGGCGGCGGTGAGCTTGCCGGACATCTTGGAAGGACCCGCAGCGGCCAGAGCAGAGCTTGTCATGCCCAGGGGAACCAAGGTGCCGGGGGCGAGGCCAAGGGCGGCCTCCTTTTGCCTCGAGTAGCCGACGAGGTCGACCTTGGTGCCGCGCACTCGCCTCTCGTAGCGCTTGAACGCGTCGTCGTTTTCGTCTGGAGAGGGTTAGTGAGTGGGTCGGTCGGGACGGGGCGGGGCGGGGGTGCGCCGAGGACACATCTGACACACTCTCGGTGCTGTTACTGGTTCCCTGCGAGCACCGAGCATCGAGGACGGACCCCAGCGCAAACGCCTGACCCCTGCGCACATTCGCGCGGGCGCGGCTCCACACGCCATCACACTGTTCTCACTCACTGTGGAATGACGAGTCACCCCTCGCCTTGGACTCGTCCTGCTTCTTCTCCCACCGCTCATTCTGCTCAATGCTCCACTTCCAAGCCTTGCGGCGCTCGAGGTCCTCGCCCGTCTCGTCGGCATCGGCCTTGAGTCGCAGAGTCTGCGCGAGCTTGCGCTGCTTCTCAAGCCGCTGCAGCTCGCGGGCGGTGACCTTGGACTTTTGGTGGTCCTCGACGAGGTCGCGGCGGTTGGCGGCGGTGGTTGCGTTCTGTTAGGTAAAAGCGTCAGCAGCCATTGACACGTGAGATTAGAAAACCGTTACGTACCATGCGAAGACGCAGCTCCTTGAGCTTTGCTTGCCTGTCGGCGAGGGTAGGCTTTGCTGAGCCGCTGTCATCCTCGGCGGCCTCGGCGCCATCCTCGTCCTCGTCCTCGACACCGTCAACACCACCCTCCACGTCCTCGTCTTCCTCCTCCTCAGTCTCCTCCACGGTCTCCTCCACGGTCTCCTCCACTGGAACAGCGCGCTGGGTCACCTCGTCGTCGGTGGTCGAGGATGTGAGCTGGGAACGCGAACGTGAAGAGCGGAGCGCTGGCGAGGGGCTTGGGGCGGCGCTCTTAACGTCGCGCGCCTTGCGGGGAGGCATGGTGGCAAAGGGGTGTGGGTGAGGAGGGTGCGGCGCAGAGCAGGCGAGAGGGTGTGCGAGTGGTGGATGGAAGAACCGGGGGGTTGGTGGATAGATGGATGGAGGATGAAGGAGAATGAATGTGTGAGCCCAGTTGGGTGGCGATCAGTCGGAAAGGCGGCATGGGAGCGAATTTCCCAAAGGGGCAAATTCATGACAGAGTGTGGCATTTTCGTGCATCCACCTCGCTTTCGGTCAAGAGACATCGTTTCGTGCGTCGTGTACTGCTTCGATGCATGCACAACAACGGCTCGAGTGGATGGAAACAAAAGGCACACATTTATCGGATCACTTGAGAAGCCGAATGCGCATGCGCAGGGCTCGTGGGCGGCCCCATCACTCTGCAAAGGGCCGGCCGTCTTCTCGCCGGCCAGCCGGGCGACACGGTTGTGTTGTGCGTCTTCCCTTTGTGTCGTCGTCTTCCTCTCATCTCATCCTCTCATCCTCTCTCAACATCTCATCACCTCAACATCTCTCTCTCTCTCTCTCTCGCCTGTGTACTCTACCACCGTCAACACACCCACCCATCCTCCTTCTCCCCCCCTCTCACCCTCCCCATCTGTACATACGCACCCCCTCTTCTTCGTCGGCTTTGTCCGTGCTGTGTGGGGTAGTAGCCTGGGGTATCCAACCCTCCTCTTAGTCACCATCGTGTTAGTCTAGTTCCCTGCACATCCCCGCCTGCTCCCCACCCCCTCTCTCGACCCCCTCGCGTCCCCCCTCTCAGTAGCCTCCTCAGTAGCACTCTTTCAGACCTTCTACCACCACCGTTTTCATCACCGCCTGTACCACCTTCCTCGCCACCCATTCCGTCTTCTCTCCCCGTCTTCCTCGCCTTCCTTGCTTTCCTTCCTTCCTTCCTTCCTCCCCCACACCCTTCATACCACCATGGACTCGACCATTTCCCTCGAGCACACCGACACTCTCCGTGGCCTGCGCGCCCGCGAGATTGACCTGGTGATGCGTCTCTGTCACTCGGATGCCCCTAGGTGAGTACCATGATCCCCCCAAGTGGATCTGCCTGGTGGAGGGTGTGTGTGTGCATGTTTGCGGGGTTTGATGCGGACGGTTGCTTCCTTTGCGTGTCAGCATGTCCCCATTGTTCCGAGTCTACTCGGCGGGGGCGAGAAGGTCGTCTACCTTTTCAGGTATTCCCCTCACACATGCCTCCTCTTGTCCCCATTGTGCTCATGCTTCGCTCTCCACTTTGCTGTCTCTGCCTTGTGCTCCTGTGCTGATGCTTCCTAGTGCCTACTGGACATCAAGCAGCCTCGAGTTCCCCGCGCCTGTCTGTGGCATTGTCCGTGCAGACACCCACACTGTCGGCCAGCGCGTCGCCGTCCTCCAGTTCACCCTTTTCAACTGGGTCTGCGCGGAAGGCCGCTCTCGCTACTTTCCACGTCGCACCCAAGACACCAACCTCTGGACCGCTCCAGGCGACACTCCAAAGTACTCTGGCGACGTGCTGCTCCCAGGCCTCGCCCCCACTGGCCAGCTCTACGACCTCATCCCGTCCACCGCCATCGAGGCCAACCAGATGGCCGTCCGCTGCCAGCGTCCGGACACTGCAGTGAGCGCCGCCGCCGCCAACCGCGCGCGTCGTGAGCAGGAGCTTGTGCTGTGAGTTTGTCTTGGGGGAGCACGACGCGCGTCCGCATGCCGTCGGGTCTGTCATGCCCTGTCGAGTGTGTGCACGGATGTGGCGTCGCGCCACCGGCGCACAGATCGTCGCTTCGTTTGTACTGACAATTCCCGATAGCGAGACCGAACGTGCGGTAAAGGCTCAGCAACACGCAGCCGCTGCTCTTGTCGCCGCATCGTCGACGACGCCTGCCATTGCCACTCCCAAAGATACCCACGCTTCTCCGGCTCCTCTCGCTCCTCGTACTCCTCGTACTTCCCCGACTCCCGATTCCAGCGCCATACCCGAGCCAGTCCAGCGCCACCAAACCGAAGACCAGCGGCTCTGTCTCAACCCTCTCCGCTTCTCCCTCCCAGGCCCACCCGTCGTCCTGGGACATGCGAGCTCGGCCGTAGACCCTGCTCCAGGAAGTGGTCGCTTCTCGGCATCTACCTCTCCTTCCCACACGGTCTCTTCCCTCGCCTCGTCGCTGGGTACCGACCCGGGCTTCCCGTCCTGGGTGCACACCATCCCCGGAGGGCTCGGAGGCAGTCTCCCAAGTCTCTACAACGGCAGCCTCCCAAGCAGCTACGGTAGCAGTCTCTCAAGCATCTACAGCAGCAGCCCTGCACGCGGTCCCGGTGGCAACCTTCTGGGGGGCTTTGGTCGGTTTGCCACCACTCCGACTCCTACCATCAAGGACCATTCCCCCGTTGGGCTCGGTCTTGACGGCCTGGGCTCGCTCGACCTCTCCTTTGGCAAGATTGATCTCGTTGGCGCGACCGAAGCTTCGAGCTTGACCTCTGGACTCCGTGACGGCGACTGGGGTGAGTTCATCCGGTTGCAGTTGGGAACTGATGGAGCAGTCTGTCCTTGCGGCACCCACAACTTCAGTGCTCGCACGTTCTGTGTCAGGTGAGTGTGGCAGCCGCAGGTCATTAGCTCACTCACCAGGACCGACTGTCGCTTCTCCCGCGCCACCACCGAGACTCCTCCTGCCCAGACGGCCACCCAGTCCAACGCCGTTCAGCTCCGCTCTGCTCTCGGCGACCCGGGAGACTGGTACTGCGACTTCTGCGGGCTCTGCAGTGGGTTAAATGTCATGTGCGCTCATATCTGACCCAGCAGACTGGACGCGCCGCACGTTCTGTCTCCGCTGCTGTCCTCTTCACCCGGACAACATTGGTGAGTTACATTTCTGTGGGTCTCGCCTAACTTGCCCAGAGGAGGCCATCACCAAGGGCCTGGTCAGCCACGATGACCCTATCATCAACATTCTCGGCTACGGCGACAAGCGCGCTCGCGCGCTCAAGAAGGGTCGCAGCGGTCCCGCCACGCACTGTGCGTGCTTTGGTCCTCACCACGGCACTCGCTGCCCGAACGCCGGCCGCGGTATCACCGACGACCTCTGGCGCCTGTACCTCGACAGCCAGGTTCCCGTCATGAACTCTGCCCCTCCCCCTCCTTCCCGCGAGCGTGAACGTGAGCGTGAGCGCGAGCATAGCCAGCACCGCGACAACGGCCGCCAGCACCGTGAGCATGAGCGTGAGCAGCGTCCTCCTACGCTCAAGCTCGCGGCCACGGCCCTGGCGCCGACCAAGGTCCCTGCTTCGGCGTCGTCCACGCCGGCCACTCCGGTTGGCACTCCCGTGCGCGCCTCGGCCCGCAACCACCACCACCACGGCCGTCGCCGCCGCTCCTAGGCGCGCGCGCCCATTCCCTCCAAGGCCAGCCCAAGCAGGCCATCATCAAGGTCCCCCGGCCTCGTCACGTCCCCGCTTGACGAGGCCATCGTTCGTAAAGGTCACACCAAGGTCACAAAGGATCAAGGAACCACCTGCTTCCAGCCACGCGGATCCGGAGGCCTCCCCCCATCCCCCACCTGTCCCCCACCACCGTCCCGCATCACCCCACTCCTCACCCCCACCACGCCACCTGGCCTCGCCACCGCAGAGCCTAAGCTCTGGCAGACTTGCTCTAGCGCCAACTCGTTTTCAATCCCACTGTTCGAACACTGTCTGAACATTCTGTCCCCCGCAACCTGTCATCTATTGTCCGCCCTATTTTCCGCCATTTCGTCAATAATCTGTCCGAGAAAGCAGCTCTGTAAGAGAAAGGAGGAAAGGAGTATGGAACGGGGAGGAGCGTGAGCATGAGCATGAGCATGCACCTGTGTTAAAGTGATAGACTGGAGCACACATCGTAGCAGAGCTAGCAGAGGCTACCAACCTAACGGCACGTCAGCCCCAAGTCAGGTGTATCTCAAGCCGCGTCAGCCCCTTCTCGTCCGTCACCACCAGCAAAAACACAGTTTTCCCACAAAGCACAGAGCTGCATGGGTCATGGCCGTGGCCGTACAACACATGGATAAAAGGATAGGCAGGCCATAAAAAGAACGGCACAGTTTTGAACACCCCTTGTTTTGACTTCTATCCACATTTATCTCTCTCTCCCCTCTCCTTCTCTCTCTCTCTTTTCTTCGTTTCGGCCAACTTCCTTTTTTCTTCTTCTTCTCTCTCTCTCTCTTTTTGCTCTTTTGCTTCGGGGGGGAGGGGGAAGTTGAATTGTGGGAGGGTGGTGGCGGTGGCCGTGTGGGGGGATGGGATGGTTGAGCCGTTCTCTTTGTTGGCTTCTTTGGTTGGTTGTGCGGTTGCTTTCTTCTTTCTTCCGATTTCGTTTCGTTCTCTCTCCCCGCGCGCGCGTACTATATGGGTGGTGGGTTTTGGGTCGGCGGGGTGGGGGTGTGTGTGGTGGCCTTTTCGGGAGGGGTTGGGGGGTCGGGTGACTGAGTGGAGGGTGACCGCCATCTATTCAGAGCGGGGTTTGCTTTTTCGGTCTTGTATCGATGACAATTTTGGTGGGGTGACGGGAAAATTCGACGTGATATCTTCTTCTCTCTCTTTCTCTTCTCTCACTTGGCACCGACAGCTGCACCGAGGCTGGCACGGGTCCGGCGTGGCGCCGCTGGAGGCGGGGCAACGGCCATGAGGGGTGCAACCTTTGGTGCGACCTTGGGCGGATCTGGAGCGGCCTTGGCTGCCAGAACCGTCGGCGCGGGGGCAACAGGTGTTGGGGCGACGACAGGCCTGGCGACCTGAGCAGCGGGGGGCACAGGTTGGCGCACAGCTGCGACGGGGGCCGCGTGGGCATTGCCTGGTGCAGTAGCGACAACAGGGGCCGGACGAGCGGCAGCCGCCGTCGGAACAGCACGAGGGACAGCCGGGTTGATGGGCTGGCGAGCTGCGTTGGCAGTAGCAGCCGCAGGGCCAGTGGCACCAACAACGACGACGGTGGCACGGCGGCGCTTGGGCTGCGGCGCACCGTCAGGCGGCGCGACCGGACCACGGACCAGCGGGCCTTTTGCACCAGCAGGTACGCCAGGACGCATGTGAGTGGGGTTGGGAGCCGAGGCGCCGCCAAGCGCGGTGAGGTTGGGTGTCGACCGCGAGTTGGCGTTGGCCGGCGGAACCATCTGGCGCGGGTGTGGCTGAGTGACGAACGGCATTCCAAAGCTCTCGGTCGACGACGTGTGGCGCAACGAAATACCAGCAAGCTCCTTGAAGAGCTGGAACAGGTCTTCGCGGAGAATGTTTGCCAGCAGCTTCGAGTCGGGAAGACCGAGCTTGCGTGCGAGCTCGCGAGCCTCGACGAGTGGGATCCAGACTCCCGGGACGCCCGGTGCGTGGTGGTGTCCCTGTGGTGAAATGAGGGGGACAGTCCTGTGCGAGGCGAGGGTGGGCGACGGCGCCTGGAGGTACTCGGCGTACTTGTTTGGGGGAACGCCAAGAGCCGTAAGGAGAGCAGTGCCGTTGACAAAGTCAGTGTCGAGACGACGAAGCACAGTGCACTTTGGGCCCTTGGGCGCCTCCCAGACGTGCGAGTAACAAGGGAGGTTGTCAATCACACACGCGTCGATACCGGGAAGCAAACGCTTGGTCGTGCCACCCGACGAGGGGGTCGAGGGCCGTGGCTGCGGCGCTGGCGTCGAGGCAGTCGTGGTAGTGGTACTGGTCGCTGTGGACGATGGCGCAGAGGACAGGCTGGACGATGACGCGACACTGGCAGTCGCAGGCGAGGATGTCGACGTACGCGCGATCGGCGAGACGGTACGGGTAGGAACCTGAGCTGGGGTCGGCGCAGGAGTCGACGACGTGGACGTGGCCGACGACGTGGCCGTTGCAGGAGTCGTCGCTGGTGCACTCGTGGTTGCCGGTGTTGGAGCAATGGGAGGCACGGAAGCTGCCTTTGGCACAAGCTTGGACGGCTCGGGCTTGGGAAGAATCCGCGGCTCGGGCTTGGGCGCAACCTTGACTTCTGGCCTGGGCGCAATCTTGACCTCGTGCGGGTGAACGGGTGCCGGCGCAATGGCGATGGGCATCGGCTTGTGCGAGACCTTGGGCGACACCACCCTGGGGGCAATGTGCTTGGGCGGCGAGGGGTTTACTGGCTTGGGAGCAATAGGGTGGTGGTGCTGCTGAGCGTGACCGCGATGGGGCTGCTGCTGTTGCTGTTGCTGGGGCTGCTGTGCAGGTGCAATGGCCACAGGGTGGTACGGCACAGGGTGCGGAGCAGGAGCAGTCGCAGCAGGTGCAGGAGGAGGCAGTGCCGGGGCAGGGAGGGGTGGGGCGGCGTGTTGCTGATCAATCTCAACCTGAGACAAGGCCGAGTCGAGCATCATCATGGTAGTCTGGCTGGGTGGCGAAAGAAGCGCCTTGGGGTCCAGCGAGGTGAGCTCGGGCGGCGGCGAAATCTGCAGCGCGAGTGGCGACAAGGTCAATGACGAGGTCATGTCGGGCACAATGTCCGAGGCACCCCAAGTGCCTGAGCCGTTGTTGGGAGTCTCGATCCAGGGCGAGGATTGGTGAGGTTCAGCAGCCGGAGGGTTGGGTGGCGAGAGGACTGGGGACTGGGAGCCCGAGCCGCTGGCTGTAGCGTCGGCGAAAGCGCGGCGGCATGCTTGCCAGCGACGGTGGTTCTCCTCGGCTTCGGCCCTCTTCTGGGCACGGTACTGCTCCTCGCGTTCTTCTGCCTCGACGCGGGCCATTTCCAGATCCGCGGCACCGATTGCGTCCTCGAGCTCAATGTCAATGTCGATGGTCTCAGGCTCGGGGTGCGTGGGGGTCTCGAGCACCAGGACCTCGGACGACACGGGGGACGGCACGGGAGTGGGGCGAGAGTCGGCCTTGCGGGGTGTCGAGCGGTTGCGACGCGTGCATGACCGGAGACTGCGCTTGCGCACCAGTGGCGGCGGTGTAGGCTTGGGGATGAACCCGGACAGGGGAATGATCGGGTTGTTGACGCCAATGCTACCCCAGTTGCCACTGCACCGCGATGGGTCGTGCCGAGCTACGCGGCCACGGCCACGGAGTGGTGTGCGGTCCACCTTTGCAGCGCAAGGGAGCCACTCGTCCAGCTCCTCGATCGACAAGCTCTCGGGGCCCAAAAGGAACTCTTGTGCGTTGTCCGAGTCGTCAAACTCGTACGGCGTAAGCTCGGACGAGCCTGACGAAGGTGATGGTGCTGAGGCAGTCGACTCGCGAGATGCCTGGAAGAGAAGGCTGGTGTCGTCGGGCTCGGTGCTCGAGGTAGCCGCCGGGGACGGGTAGTAGTCTTCAGGCTCTTGCTTGATGAGGAGCGACGAAGCCTGGGCCCACTCGGCGGTCTGCAGCTGGCGGTCGCGCTCTGGCGTGGTAATCTCGCCACCGAGGGTCGAGCCAACCTCGACATCCGAAAACGTGTCCTCGGCGTGCACGGGAAGCTGACCCGACTCGTCGAGCCAGGCCTCGTCGTCGGGAGAAACGTCAACGTCCATCTCCATGCTCCTGTCCACATCGCGCGCGTAACGCGACAGGTACTGGGTCGGGCTGGTCTCAACAAAGGCTGGGAGAGAGCGACCGTTCATGCTAGGCGACGAGACGGGGCTCGACAGCGCCCAAGCTGGCAAAGCTGCGGGACAGGCGACATTCTTGAGCTTGCCCTGGAACACGGCGTTGATGGTGGAGGAGCTGTCAGCGACGCTGGAGCTGTCCGACTGGCCCTGGCGGTTGTCGAGCTGGTTGAACGATGGTCCACAAGGGTTGGCAACGGCACCTTCCTCGTACGGGAACAGCTCGCGCATGGCAGTGGTGGCTGCCGAGAGCTTGGGGTCGTCATCCTGAGGCCAGGAGCCAGAAAGGACCTCGTCATCGTCAGCCTTGATCATGAGGCCCGAGCTGTTGCCCCAGTCCTCGCATAGCTCATCGTCCGAGCTCGAGCTAGACGCATCGAACGCGAGGGGTTCGGTCTTGTTGCGCGCGGCCCAGATGGTGTTGTCGAGAGAGTGGTGAGGGAAGGGAGACTGTAGCAATGTCGGGAGAGGCAGTGTGGCAGTGGTGAGGGGCGAGAAAAACAAGACGCCCAGAGGAGAGTGCGCAGGTGGTGCAGGGCGGGATGGTGGCGCCTGTGGAGGGAAGCGCGTCGATCCAGCACCGGCGGCGAGTGGTGGTAGCACAATGTGCCGTGGCTGCCTGTGACGCGACGCGGCGGCGGCGGCTGTCATGTCGTCATCGGAATCCGAAGAGTCGGAGTCTGACGAGTCGAGGACGCTAGTGTGCTTGCGCTGGTGCTTGCGAGACGGTGGAGGCGGCGTGGAGAACAGCATGGGAGTGACCGACGACTCGACGGTAACGCTACGCGACGATCGCATGCTCTCGCCAACATCGCTGTCCTCACCTGGCGTTGCCGGTGGTGTACCAGGCGTAGTACCTGGCGTTGCGTCTCCAGCCGCTGCCGAAAGTCGCAACTTTATGCGAGGGACAGGAGGAGGCACCGTGGCGTCGCTGGCGGCCGAGGCGGCGGCTGGTGTTTGCTCCTTATCCTTCTTGTCCTTTCGCCTCGTGTCTTCCTTCTTGGGTTTGATCGTCTTTGGCCTGGGCGCAGCGGGTTTGCGAACGGTCGTCTTGGGAACAACGATTCCCGCAAAGGGGTTGCGCCATTTTGCCTTTCCCACTTCTGACGAGAGGAACCACACTGGGCCCTTTGGGCGTGCTGGGCCCTCGAACGCGGTGGGGTGTAGGGCCGGTCCGAGCACCGCCTCTGCTGTCGAGCCTGCGAGCTGGTACTTTTGAACGAGCGGTCTGCGGGTTGGAGTCGCCTTTGAGCAACGACTCTGGTGCATGCGGATTGCGTTCTGAATCATGGTTGCTGGCGCGACCGCGACTGACGGTGGGCGCAGCCAGCCACGTTCAAACGCAATTGAAGCAAGTTCGTCGGGTGACAGTGCGAGGTTTCCCTGAAGGTGTCAGCCGATCAACTCACACACAAGCGGTATCCATCCACGCGCGCGCGCGGTGCGTGCGGGTCCGACAAAGGGGTTTGGGGTCGCGGGGGCTAGCTCGAAGACGCCCATGCAGCATGCAGCACGCAGCAACAGGAGAAATTTACTCACCAGTCCAGCGGTGGCGGCACAGATGGCCATGAGGACGTCGTCGGCCTCGTCTTCGTCTGCGACACCACAGTGTTCGCTTCCTCCGAATTCGGATGGGAAGGGGCAGGGCGTCCGGTCGCGCGCGTTGAGCGCATTGCGGAGCCCGTGCGCCTTGGGCGCAACATGGCTCTTGGGGATGCCTGCGGAGCGAGTCGAGTGATGAGACGCTGCCGGTGACGACGCACGATCCACACCGCCCGAGCTTGCCGGTGACGCCGCGGCGGAAGTCGACGCCGAGGCCGACGAAGACGGGGCGGTCGCTGCGGCCGCAAGGGAACGCCGCGCACTGGAGCGCGTGCCCCGTGTGCGCGACGGTCCGGCGACGGGGGTGGCGACGCCTGCCGCGCCGCTGCTGGGAGACGGCACGGCCCCGGCAAGAGCCGGGCTCAAAGTGGTGGCCGGGATGGGGGTCGAAGGGTTGCTTGCTGTCGCGGTGGGCCTCGCAAGGCGGGCCATACCGCGGCGGTGCGGTCTGGGGTGGGGAGAAGGAAAAGGAAGGAAGGTGAGGGGGTGTGTTGGTGGTTGGTGGGTGGAGCGGAGGGGCCGGCCGGTCGAGGTCTAGGTCAGATCACGAACGGAGAGGGACGATGAGAGCCCCGGCGCTATTGAACACCGGTGCCAAGGAGGCGCGCGCTGGGTGGCGAGCAAAATAATTTGCGAGAGCGCGATGCCGGGTCTAGTAGTTGTTGGGGGCAAGGAAGGGAAGGAAAGGAGGGAACGTGGGGTGGGGGGTGGGTGGGTTTGTGTGACGGCGTGAGATAGGGGTGGTGGCGAGCCGGCCGCCGAGTGTGTGTGTGTGTTGCGTAGGTGAACCCTTTTTGGTAGGAGGATAGGCCGGGGGAGGAGGATGCACCAGACCTTGTCAGTCGGGGTTTGCCAGGCTCAGCCGGTGGATGCGGGTGAGGATGGTGTGGCCCGGTGGAAGGAAAGGGGAGGATGATGGGATGGTGGATGTGGGGGTTGTGGGAAGTTGCGAGCAGAGCAGACGGGGGAAAAGTCTCGGACCGCGTGTGGGTTGACGGGGGTTGACGGGGGGTGACGGGGGTCGCTCGCTTGTTTTGGTGGGTCGGTGGGGGTTAGGCACACACCACAGAGACAACGGAGGTTTGCGGTCTGTGCTGGGGGAGAGGGATGGGGGGAGTGATGGCCGCAAGTGATGTGATGTGTGTGGTGTGCACGCAGTCTCTCCCTCTTTGGTACAGCGCCTTTCGGACAGAATCGAACTCGGCTGGGTGGGGCTGGTGGGGTGGGGGTGGGTATGGGGTAGACGGTCGATTGACTGGACGACCAGAGTGCGCGCGCGCGAGACAAGACGGAATGTGCGTGGAGTAGGCGGAGGGAGGCGGCGGACGGAGGGGGGAGGAGAGGGGAGGGGAGGAGGGAAGAGGGGGGGAAGGGAGGGGGGAGACGGGGGTGGTGTGGTGTGGTGTGCAGGTGAGTTGTGGTGGTGTGTGTGATATGCAGAGAGCAAAGAGCAAGAAACAGATTATTGGACTGGGGTGGGGGTCGGGTGGGTGCGAATTGGATCCTCGAGCGAGAGAGACGTTTCCTTTCCTTTGCCTTCCTTCCCTCTCCATATGCTCTGCCCCCTCCTCCGTCCGTCCGTCCGTTTCCTCGGACGTACACTGTACCCAGTCGCGCCGCGCCGTCAGAGGCAGCTCCGCTCTCGGCTCTCCCTGGGTGACATGGGTGACGGGAGAGAGAGGGGGGGTCATTCTGTGCGTATTTTTCCCTATGCTCTCTGTCATTTCTCGGCTCGGATGCCCGCCCGACTGATTAAACTGACGTGACTGGCACAGAGAGCGAAAAAAAAAAAAAAGGTGGGCCCGCACTTTGCCAGCCAGCCAGGCCGAATTCTATAGGTTTGTTTTATTTGGCTTTTGGGCTTGAACGGTGAGAGATTGGGTGGTGTCGTCGACACTGCCCGCCCGCCTGCCCGCCCCAGCTGCCCTCATCCCCCTCCCTGAAGGTTTACATTGACTGTGGCGTCACTTTGCACGCGCGCGCGCGCGCGCTGAAAGCTCAAAGTGGGTGAGCTCCACCACCCCTTCGGTCCAGCCGCAACCCCCCACCGGCTGCACCCTGTTCGCCCGTCCCCACCCGACATGCCCGCATGCAGAAGAGAAGAGACAAGACGACAAGACGACACGAGCGCGCCTGCCAAATGGGACAATTTACTCGAGCCCCCAAATACAACTGGCCAACAGGCCAACTGGTGTGCCTTCCACGGGACACGTTGCTGCCCATATATCTTTCCTACGGCCTACGGTCCGAGCCGAGGCCTTTTCAAAACCCAGATCTCGCCAAAATGTCGCCTCACACGTCAGAGCGCTCAGAGCAGTCCCTGCACGCGTGAGACACCGGCAGCACCAGCGCGTCATCCTCCCTCCCCCTCCTTAGTGTCATGCTGGAATGCTCTCTATACATTGCTGCTATCTTGCACTATGGGGACGATGCCTAGTGCTGTTGTTGTTTTTTGTATGTGTGCTGCTTCTTCTACTCGGCCTTCTTCTTCCCCTTGTCGCTCTCCGCAAGCGAGATCCACAGAGCGACAAACACGAGGAACGCGGCAGACGTGCTCAGCGCACCCGTGTAGAACGGGTACGCGCCCACAATGAAACGCGGGTGCTCGTCGTGACGCAGAGGGACAACAGACGCCTTGTCAAACGTGTCCAGGTACGTCCAGCCAGGACGGAAGTAGGACACGGCAAACTTGAACACACCGTGGCGGTCAGGAGCACGGAACTCGACAGCGTAGGTCGTGTCCTCGGCAGTCGACGACGCCTCGACGAGCGAGGTGCGGATGTGCGGGTCAAGCATCGTAAACTCGAGCTGCAGGTCCGAAACAGAAAAGGGAGACCAAGCCGAAGTGCCGTTGGCAGCAGTGGTGTGCTGCGAAAGGGTGATCTCGTAGCTCTAAATAAATCGGTTCAGCGCGATCCGTTGGTATCCCATCCATCCTCTACTCACAACATTGTCGTTCTTGGTGTACTCCTCGCGGGGCTCAGTCTCGGCCGAGCGGTGGTGGTGGGTGTCGACAACACGGATCACACCAGTCTCCTGGAACAGCCACTTGGTGAGGTCCTCGACAACAGCGCGGTTACCAGTCTCAGTACTGCGGACACGGGGGTGTCAGCACAGGTCCCTCTTCCCCTCCCGCAGTCAACACCGCTTGCTACTCACCCGTCGAGCTTCTTGCCCCACCACTTGTCCGAGAGGAGCTCGGGGGACGCGACAAAGCCGATACGGACGTTCTCGCGGTTCTGCATGGCAGCCACGAGCGACACCTTGGAGCCCGCAAGCTGGATCTCGGCGCCGGGCTTGGTCTCGACAGCGGCCTTGCCGTCCTTGTCGCCGACATACGACGTCGAGGGAGCCGACACAATGTCAAGGAGGAATGGGTTGGCACCCGTCTTGAAGCCCGTAGCGTGCGGGACCACGAGGGGTCCGCTCTGCTTGAGCGTCTGCTGAGAGAAGACGGGGACGGGAGCCACGAGCGAGTCGCGCGCGCACACCAGGTCCGCGTCGCTGCCGCCGCCAACGTGCGAGAACGCATCCAGCACCTCGGATCCAGCGGGCACGGGCTCAATGTCGTACTCGCGCAGGGTAGCCGCCTGCACCGCGTCGAGACCGGGCGAGAGAATGTGCAGAGTGTTGAGGTACTGGCCCTGGGCGGCAAGGATGTTCTGGGGAGTGAATGCGGGCGAGAAGGCTTGTGAATGTCAGCTTGTGATGACACCTAGCAATTTCAGCAGACGTACCGCGTGTCTCAGGCGCAAAGATGATCAGGTGGTCATACAGGGGCACGCCGTAGCCCTCGAGCATGGTCGTGTCGGCCTTGGGCTCGGAGAAGGTGACCTCGAAGCCGCGCTCTGGACATTAGCTCAAACCGTTGATGTGTGTCTTTTGCAGGCAGCTGAAACAACTTTGAAGACAGCTGCCCCACTATGCGACCCACCCTGGAGGCTCGCAAAGAACTTGTCATAGCCAGTCTCATACTTCTTGTCGCGAACGACGAGCAGGCGGTCGCCAGCGGCCGAGCGCGCCGCGGCGGTGCTGGCAGCGAGGAGGACCGAGAGGGCCGCGAGCGGGGAGAAGGATGTCGCACGCATAACCGCTACTAGCTGTTGCTGGCTGCGGGGAGGGTTTTCGTAACGAGCGTGGGGGGATAGGGGAGTATGGACAAGAAGGATGCTCGACAACACGACAGAGGACCCAGAGGTAGTCGTCACGTCGTCGTCCTCGAGCCCACGCAGCACGCAGCATGTCTCCACGTCGCGGCTGCGGGGTAAATGATTAGGTAATGTGGAAGAGCTCATTAGTACTTTGTAATAAACACGTGGCCGTTGTAATACTCGGCTGACTGCGCTAATGGCTACATTAGGTCACTCACCTGCGGGTGCCACAACGCTGATAATTCCGATCCACCTTTTGCGTTGCGCTGTGTGGATTTTTGGGTGCAGGACGTCATAGATGAGATCGATGAGAAAGGAGACATCCCACCACCACACACACCCACAACACAAACAACATGTCCACTCCCGAGATCCTTCTCTTCGCCCGCGGCGTCGTCGCCCTCCTGGACCTCTGGCCGGCGCTCACCATCGCCGTCCGCGAGCAGTGGGGCGGCCACGAGTCGGCCGACAAGAAGACGTGGCTCGCATCCGAGCTCATTGACGCGTTCGAGTCGGCCGTTGTCGACACCCCCGAGGGCCCCCGTCTCGACCCCAGCACTGCCGCCGAGCCCCCACTCGACATTGACCAGCTCGCCGACATGCTCACCCAGGTCATGAGCGACGAGTTTGAGGCCGCCATCGAGGACGGCAGTGTCGACCCCTTGGCCACGGACATTCTCCGCCTGTGGCGTGACGTCGTTGCCCCCACCCAGCGCCCGGCCGAGGAGACTGTCGGTGCCCTTGAGCGCAAGGCCGCCGAGGTCAGCCGCCAGGGTGTCGCTGCTACTTCGGGTGGTGGTGCCCACGAGGTCGACGAGAACGGCGAGGAGTGGGAGAGCGACTCGGACGACGACGAGGACGACGGCGTGCCCCAGCTCGTTCCCGCCGAGGAGCAGCAGCCCCGCGAGCGCGAGGAGCCCATCGTCGACGACGACGGATTCACCCTTGTCCAGAAGCCCCGCCGCCGCTAAGCAGAGCGCCCTTTGGACACACCAATTACCCATCGATTCGACCTTGCATGACACCCAAAAAACAACCCGGGACTCCTCCCACCTCCCCTCCCCACCTCCCCTCCCCACCTCCCCCCCCCAGCAGGCCTCTTTGCTGCCGTGTACCATTATAGAGACTAATCATGATGATTCCCATGCATGCGCCATGCGCCAGCTCCTCCCACCTCTTCGCTTCTCATGCTCGACCACCTCCAGACCGTGACGGTGGCGGCATGAGAGAAGCGATAGAGGTGGTCGAGCTGGTCGACTGGGCACGCTGGGATGTGTCGTGTGCTAACTCCTTTCCTTTTCCTTTGTCCATCCCCGTTTCCCTCTCCATTCCGGCGTTCCCGACAGCGCCATCGTTCACACTCCCATCTCTCCACTCGTCCTCCACTTCCCCACTTCCCTCACATCACACCGCATCACACACGCCTAGTCCCACATCCCCCAATCCATCCCCATCCATCGTCTCACTCGGTTTCCCCCATCAGCTGACCCAACTCGGTGCGCACCAACATGGATGTCTCGTCACCACCCCGTTGTCGTTGGGACGCTTTCATGGTTGGTTGTCCGGGTGGGGTGAGTTGGATGGGTGTCTGTCGAGAAGGCTGCAGTATAGTGCGTACACTGGTATAAACTGCTCTGCCACATCGCACTGGCGCACTGGGGGGGTCTCGTCGGGTCACCCAAAATTGGTGCCGCTGTATGCTGTACGTGGTGGGAGAGAGCTCAGGAGAGCGGTGGAATGCGACTAGGACGGCAATTAGTGCCTTGTGTCTCTCCAGTCGCTCTTTTCGGGTCGCGGCTGCTGCTGCTGCTGCTGCGCTTTGCTTTGCTTGCAATTGCTGGGCAACAAAAAAGGGTGTGATATGGATGCATGTATACACTTTTTTTTCTGTCCAGCACGCGCGTGGATGGGAAAAAGGAAGACGTGACCCGACCAGAACAGATCCATTTACTGCGGGATATTTGGTGCCGATTGCCACCTGTTGCGTCATTTTAACCCACACGGGGAGGAGGAGGCGTTGGGCGCCAAGAAGCGACAGACAGTGAGCCAAAGGTGCATTTGGGTTTCATATGACGTGCAAGCGTATCGGGGGCAGCAGCTGCTGCTGGCGGCTGTCCGGCTGGCGGGCGCGATCGACAGCGGTACAGCGGTATATATTGGACGCGTGTCAGACACGCCACGACCACTCTCTCTCTCTCCATCTCTCCATCTTCTACATCCACACCGTTACGCATCCAACCCCACCCACAATGTCCTTCCTCGACAACATCAAGAACCAGGCCTCGTCGCTCGGCGGCGGCGCCCAGGGCCAGCAGCAGGGCCAGCAGGCTCCCCAGGCCGCCGCTGGTGCCTCCACCGGCCAGCAGGACGCTCTCGGTAGGTCGCACAAGGGGGAGCCAACGTCGTGCATTCTTGGCTAACCACCCGTCCCTCTGCAGACAAGGGCATCGGCAGCATCCTCACCAAGGCCGGCCACGGCCAGTCGAACGAGACCACTGAGAAGATCTCGGACGGTGTCCGCAGCGCCTTCAAGAAGGTAAGTGTATAAGTGATAGCGGTGGTTGTGCACGCCCCCCGTCCGTCGATCCCGCCGCAGCTGACACGTTTCCCTAGGCGACTGGCAAGGACGTTCCCATTGCGGACAAGCAGTAAACTGCTGTGGGAGAGCGAGACGCCTGCGTGGCTATTTGTTTATATACATGCGTCTGGGTCCACTAGTGAAGGAGATGATGAATGCGTGTGAAGTACCTCATACCGTCGTGGGTGCATGCCGTGTGCATGCCGCCGACGTCAGAACGTGATCCCGGGCGGGGGCTGGCTCGCTTACTGAATTGCCCCCGCTCCGGGGGTTGTGGGGCACTGCTGAGCTTCTCCAGTGTTGCGGACCATTTGATGTGGGGGGAGAGGGGGAGGGCACACTGGCCAAACGTCCGCTCCCTTTTGTCCCATTCCTCCTCGTTGTCCAACAACAACAACAACAACCACCCACACCATGGGCCCCTACCGCACATGCGATCGCTGTCGGCGAAGAAAGGTGCGTCTCGGCCTACAGTCTCATTCGTCCCCGCCGCCGGCTGGCAGCTCACACAGAGAAACAGGCCAAATGCGTTCCCTCGGACGAAGTCATGGGTGACACATTCAAGTGCACAAACTGCGTTCACGGCAAGTTTGCCTGCACGTTTGACATTGGCTACAAAAAGGCGGGACGTCGCCCTCGGTGAGTGGTGGTGGACCAATCCTGTCTGGCGGCATACGATCACTGATGGCGATAGATACTCTGAAGGTGGACCTGGACCGATGCGGACCTCTGCGACACAGGTTGCGCAGTCCAGTTCTATTCCACGGCCAGTGATGCCCACCGCCAGCCGCTCAGCCGGTCCGTCAAGCCCGCCATTCCTGTACCAGAATGCCGGGACGTCGGGTCCAGCAGATCCTGGTGGACAGTCGGCAGATCTTATTTCACAAGAGAGCATCCTCAATGCGCTTGCCGACTCTGGCCCACGACGCGCTTCGCTCCAGTGGGAAACCGCTCCGCTAGAGCTGTCACCAGTAGAATTCTCCCTCCAGCCAACACCAACGACTGTCGACCAGACACTTCCTGCCGGGTCTCTTGCGCAAGACAATGCCGCAGGTGGTCTCCTTCCCGCGGGTGACATTACAAACAGCCAGCTGGCAACATCATCCACACACATTGTCTTTCCAGACGCCCCCATCAACCGCCACTCTCAAGTCGAAGACATTGCTCCTTGGCCGGTGATTACATTCTTTCTGACGCTGTACCTGCAGTACATGCACTCGCTCTTTCCCATCGTCCACAAACCCAGCTTCCATCAAATCGTTACCATGCGGACAGACCGTTCTGATCGCAATGCCCGCGCCTTGATTTGCGCCCTGGGTGAGCCGTGGCTATCGCCAGGCAGCTCGTTTTATCCGTGCTGACCCATCTCAGTTGCATACACAATTGGGCAGGCCCCGCTCAACCGCATGGAGGGTGAATACTCTCGCGAAGAGCTGGCCCGTTTACAGCGTCGCTGTCACCGAGGCAGCCTTGTGCTTCTCGACAGGGCGTACGACACGGTCACCTTGCAGCATGTCGGCGTGGTGATGGCCAACTTCTTCTGCTCCCAGTCCCTGGGACAAGACCACAGGGCCCAAGTCTACCTGAGCGAGGCGTGCCACCTCATCCACATTATTCGCCTGGAGCATGCACAGCAACAGCCGGAAGAAATCGACTTTATCGAACGCGAAATGTTCCGCCGAATGTGGTGGCACGTCTATGCCCTGGACATTACCGAAGCGGCAGCCGGCAGCGTGATCCACATGAACGACTATGAGGGCATGGTGCCGACCCCGCTCGTGGTGGACGACGAGTACATTACATCCCAAGGCGCATTCGAGCAACCGCCTTCGTCCATTTCGTACATGGCGGGCTTTAACGGTTGTGTCCAAATCTTCCCGATGCTCGCACGGTGTCTGATTCGAGACAGGCGGCTGCGACTGCACCTCGCTGCCGGCAACAGCCTTCCCGAGGGCGACGACCTGCATGCCGACTTGGCCTTTGTGGAGCTTGTACAGCGGCAGCTGGACGAACACGTGGAGCAGCTGCCAACAGAGCTGCAACCTCAGTCCCAGCAAGACGACAACGGCGCTCGAAACGAGGTCCGCCAGTCGGTGCTTGGTATGCAGAGAGCCAACATCCTCGTCACGGAGACGTGTGTCCGTCTGGCACTGCTCGACTTTGTCACCGACCTGGTCGTACCTCGAGTCTCCGCAGAGAGGTCCGAACTCGCACGCAAGGCGTACGCGACACTTTCAAGTATCCCCATCGAAGACCTGGCGGCCAACGGCCACAGCATTGTGAGTGTGCGCGCTCGGGGCCTCCTGCGTCCAATGCTGACAGAGGGGAAGCGTGGCAAGATTTTCCGCATCGTGGCCGCCCTGTTGCGGTCGTCAGACATGGACGATGCTTGGGCAAACACGGTGCACGATTGGTGGTCACTGGTGGGTTACCGGAACTCTTGGCAAAAAGCAAGGCAACGTTCTCACTCTCGTCCAGTTTTCACGAGTCAACTTTGTGCAGTTTGCACCCCAGACCATGCTTCTCCATTCGGCGGGAGCAAGTCCCGAGCGAGAAGGGTTCGGACAAAAGTATTGAGCACGTTAATGGAAGAAGGCAGCTGTGTAGAGTGAGACCGTGGAGTTGGTATTGGGCTGTCTTGTTGATATCGCGCGGCAACGTTTGAACTCGTATATGTATGGCGGCGCCAGGTTCGTTTTGTCGAACTTGGTGCACTGTACAGATCAGCCTGGTGACGCCGCCTTGCACCGCTACAAATCCTGTGCAATGCGCTCCTCGAGAACTGCTTCTTGATGCACATTAGCGGCGCGGATGATCACTCCCTTTGACCCAGACTCCAAGAAAGCCACAGTGGAGCGACTCCACGACGGACTGCTTGAGAGTGAAAGCACCCCGATTGTTGTTGTTCTCGCAGCGCTCGGTGGCGGCTGCCATACTTTTGATATTAGATCCCGTATCGCCCGTGTTGATCCTAATCCCATACGATAGCACATCAAAACAACCATCAACACAGCACAATGATCAGTGAATACAACAACAACATTGCGAGCATACATCCACCACAGTCTGGATCTCTCCGCTCTACATGAAAATGGCGGTTTCCACCAGCTCGTTCTTCCACCCCCGGAGCGCGGCCGAGGTGCCCGCAACCCCCCTTGCCTTCCCGCGCAACAACTGGCTCAGCCTGGAGGCATTCGGGTTCCCGCCGTACAACACGCGCGAGTACAAGTACGAGGCGTGCTGGGCAGCCGCCGAGGCGAGCATGTCGTGGTCACGCACGCTGGGCGTCGCTGCAGAGGTCGATACCGACGGGACGCCGTACGTACCGGCGGTGCCTCGCGCGCCTGCCGTGGACGTTGTCGACGACACGGTGTTCATGCTCGCGCTCTTTGACAAGGTGCACGAGATGTACGTACAAGGTGTCGTCTATTGCAAACAACATATCTAACCATGGCAGCATGTGGTACGCCAGCATGCGCGCGGTGTTCGACAAGAACCGCACCCGCCAGACGGCCCTGCAGTGGACGACGTGGACCGACGACCTGGTTGAGAGCGTGTACGACACAGTAAATTCACCATTCCCCTACCCGGATAGCTGACGGCCAGGCATGCAAGACGCTGAAGAAAACTCCAGGTCGTGAACGTCCGGCCCCCACGTTCGAAGAAGTGTATTGGTTCGTGCGAGACGCGCTCGATGTGTGTGGTGACGAATGGGACCTGGTCGCGCGCCCGCCGCGGCGCCCAGAGGGGTACATCCCGTTCCCGACCAGTGTGCTCGGCCGCTTCGCCGCAACGTACGCCCAGCACTCATACGTCGAAGTCATCGACGTCCCCGGCGCAGAGGAGCGCCTTGTCACAGTCCCCGCCAGCGCGGACGTGCCGGCCCCGTGGCAGCCCGTGGAGGAGGGGGCCGTGTACGCCGCCAGTGGGCTCCACGCCGCCCTCAAGCTGAAGGACGCGTACCGCGCTGAGCAGGATGCCTTCTACGACGACTTTGAGCACGCAACCCTGCAGTGCGACCCCCTTTCTGGAGCTCAGCTGGACGCCGCCATTCCTCCGACTCCCTCCGCCCCGACTGTGTCATCGGCTCCGACTCGCACACCGCTCCCCGACCTTGGCTAGGTTCCTACACCGCCTCCTCGCTTGCCATGAAGTGCCTCCGCATGGTATAAGCACTGCCGGTTTCAATGTTGTTCATATTATCTGTGTATGTACTTCGTCCATTGATGGTCGTCGCCGCGTCTGGAAGGAATCTATGGCCGAGTGGCCCTTAGATTGTTCCCCAGCGTCAGTGAAACTTGCTGAGTTGGAGGGGATCAAGAAGCCGCCATTCCCGAGCGACGTGCGGGTGGTGGCAGGCGAAGAAAATCGCTTTCTCATTTGCAGGCAGGCAGCATTGAACAAAGGCGCGTTGATGGTGAGCCTCGAGGCAACACGGTGGGTGGAGAGATTGGACCAGGGTTTAGGACTGCTTGCTGGAAGGCAGCATGTCAGACAATCTTCTGCGGGGTGGGAGTTACGTGACCCCGGTAGTTCAAACCGTCAAACCTAACGATCCAGCGCAGTCTGTGGGGTCTGCGCTATGGTGTTTTAGCACAACAGCGGTGCCATACTGGTGCAGAGCACATACTCAACCCCAGGTCAGACACAATAGTGTTGCCGCAAGTATTTTTCCCGAAGCCCAAGTTTCGTGCTGCCTTGCCCTCGTTTCAGTCCCCAGAGGGCTGCCGAGATTTCGGAGCGCGCACGCGTCCTTGTGGTGAGCACACGGGTATCACGGATCCTGAGATCCATGCTTACAGTTCTAGTGGCCCTGCTCCATGTGGATTTTTCACCTCAGCGGTCCCGTGGCTAGCACCCATCGTTGCAGTGGCCTTGGGAAATTTATCTGTGGGCTTCTGCCTGCTCCAGTTGTGTACCCTGCCAGAACAAGTCCTCCTTGGGGGTTAGAATCTGATCTGGTGTGCGGTTGCGTCACAACCTCCTGTGCGGTTCGATTTGTGGCGGTGTCTCACGCTTCCTTCCCCCCCCTTTTCCTTTCCTTCTATCTCTGTTTCCAATTGTTTACCAAAATGGAACGGGTCAGTCATGGGAAGGCATGGCCAGACATGGCCGTGCTCGCGAACTGGCTCTGATCATTGGTCTCAAGGGCAATATTGCATTCCTTGGGCGCATTGCATTCACTTATTACGGAAACCTGCCCCCCATTACTTCTCACTGTTGACCGCGGCAATGTGCTTGATGTCATCGTCGACGTTGACAACGGTGGTGCTGAACTTGCGTGCAGGGACGCCATTCTCAAAGAGAATGTCAATCTCACGGTAGCTGCGGTCCTTGAATTCTGGCAGATAGAAGTAGCACCACGTGCAAATGAGGATGCAGGGCGCTGACCAGAAGAAGGCGGTCTTGCCTCCCCAGTTCCAAGCCGTCGCGTTGATCATGTACGGGTTGATGATACCAGCAGGGATAGCGAGGATGTCAAAGGTGAGACGTCCGAGTCCGACCGTCTTGGAGCGGAGCTGAGTGGACGAACACTCGGAAACAACAGTGAACGCGACGGGTCCTGGTAAAAGTCAGTTCCTGAATCAGCCTCGAGTACGCACCGATGGTCAGTCCGTAAATGCCCACCCAGAGGAGCAGGAAGGCGGCCTGGCCCCAAAGGGCGCCCTTGTGGCCGTGGTCGACGGCGACGGCACAGAAGCCCATGGCAAGGAGACACGAGGCCATGCCAGAGAGGCCGAAAAGGAAGATCTTGCGGCGACCCACGCGGGACATGAGGAACCAGGCGATTATCACGCCGACGAGGGCAATGCCAGACTGGCCCAGACCAAAGCGGAAGGCGGCACTGTATTGTCAGCAGACGTTCCAGCGCAAGTGGCAGTGATCGGCGCCTTGGGGATCCACCACTCCAAACACGCTTCCGACTCACGTGGTAGGGAGACCAGCCTGCACGAAGAAGAAGGTCGAATTCCACGAGAGAACGGCACCGCAAAGGATCTGGCACGAAAAGGCCATGCAGGCAATCTGGGTGCGGCGGAAGTTGACACCGCGGAAGCAGTCACGGAAACGGGCGCCAGCGGTGGCCTGCTTTTCCAGCTCGTCGGTACGGATCATCATGGCAACCGTCTTGCGGCCAATGTCGGGGTCGGAGCCAGCGTAGAGACGGTTGATGGCCTTTTCAGCCTCTTCAATGCGTCCCTTGCGCGTGAGCCACCAGGGCGACTCTGGGGCAAACAGCATGCCGGTAATGAGGGGAACGGGCCAGAGCCACTGGAGCGCCCAGGGGAGCATGTAGCCAATGACCTGGTCCTGGCGCGGGACGAGCCACGCGTTGACGACGGTAGTGTCGATGAGACCACCAATGGTCCAAACAAGCTGGATGAACGAAGTCATGTAGGAACGGAGCTGAATAGGGGTGATCTCGGACGCGTACGTCACGGCCATCATCGACATCGAACCCCAAACGTAGCCCATGCAGAGGTTGGACGCGAGGAGAACCTTGATGTTGGGCGAGAAGACCATCATGCCGACAAAGCCAGTGTAAAGGATCATGTTCGTAACTGCAGGGTGTTAGCACCAGACCCCGACAGGCAGCACTCACTCATGGACCAACGGAAACCAGTCTTGTCGCACTGCCACGAGGCAACAACGACACCAAAGATACAGCCCACCGAGGACATTTCACCAATGGCCATCTGCCAATCGGCAGGGATGTAGTACTTCTGGAGCTCTGGAAAAAAGAGTCAGCCAAAGCATTCCCAAGACGACGGGGCGGTGGGATCGGTGAATTTTAAAATTGATTTTTCGGGGTTTGTTTGCACCCCTTCCCAAACGTTGCCTGAACTCACCGTCTGACCAAAATCCGTACTTCTCCAAGAATGGTTCGAGTACCCAATAGCTTCCCGAGGGCGAACCATAGCCTTCCATTAGAATCGTCCAACAGGCGACGGAGCTCCACAGGATGGACTAAAGAGTTTGGTAAGCTGAGGTTTCGGAGTTGACTCGCGACAACTCACGGGATAGTAGTTCCTGATAGCCTCCTTGATGGTCATGCCACGCTGAACATTCTCGGCGTCTGCAATGTCTTGGTTGAGGTCGTACTCCTCCTTGGAGAACTCGGGGCCATCCTCAACGTGTGTGATAGCGTGCTTTCCATCCTTGGCCTGGTCCAGAACAACTTCTTCCTGGTAGGTGTGCTCATCGGCAGCCTGGACCGAGTCGATGAAACCGATTCCTCCCGAAGGGTTTCCGGGATTGGCACCGCTCATGTTGTCTAAGGGTGCGTGTGTATGTGTTGTCGAGGAGAGTGTGGGGCTGGGAAAAGAAAGAGGCACGTGAAGATATAGCCCTTGACATGAAGCTATGAGAATGGGCTCCGCGATGGTTGCCGATCGACGCGCTCCAGACTCACACCGACATTCCCCCGCTGCGGGCTGATTTCTGGGCCCCGCTGATTCCTGGCACGCGGTGGGGACCACAAAGGTCTGCTTGGCGGAATATGGGCGCCTCCGTGGGGCTTCTTTGTGGGTGGGGCCGCGGTGGAGTACTGCTAGGGTAGGTTTGGGAGCGAGTGCAAGCGGGTGGAGATTGTGGAAAGTTGTCAAAAGTCGGGGCCCGCGAGATGGTGGAGCAAACGGGGGGCGGGTTTCCTCCGACCGGTGCACAGACGCCGCTGTGAGAGTTTACTCCGCAGCTGCCATGCCGCTTCCTGGACAGTGAGTCGCGCGACACACTGGGTGTGATGATTCCTTTGCTGAAGAGAGACGATGGTGCGGTGGACAATGCGGACGTCGAAGCTGCATCTGCCGCTAAACACGGGGGGCGACACTCACTGTCCGGGCCGATACTCGGGCCGGGCTATCTCGGGCCCCGGTTATTTTTGATCCCGCCCTGTTCAGCGTGTATCTCGGCAATGCGTGTAGAGTGCGGGGCAACATTGACGTTTTGCTCCATCCCACTGCTTCGCCATGACAGCGTCCGTCGACGACAATGCCACCACCCGGGTGTGGTACAGCTCTCCGGCCACGAGGGACTCGATGCTCGAACGCGCCCTTCCCATTGGCAACGGTCGACTAGGCGCCCTCGTCAGCAACGAGCCATGCCACGAGCTCCTCGTCATCACAGACGCGACCCTCTGGGACGGCTGCGGGAATGAGTTGTTAGGGGACGATGGACAACACAGATATGAACCGTCCAGTTCGAGTTTTGGCACTCTCACACAGCTGGCACACGTCGCGATCGATCTCCCCTCCCACACCGACGTCACTGATTACCACCGCGACCTGGATCTGTCCCGGGGCGTTGTCTCAGCGCGGTACAACCATGCTGGTATATTCTACGTCCGAGAGGTCTTTGCGAGTCACCCGGATGATCTCATTGTGCTGCGACTCGGCGGGGAGGGAGCCTATACGGGCACCATCTCGTTGTCCGGCACTCATGGCGAGACCACCTCCGCAGAGGACGGCACCATCTTCTTTGCTGCAGCGTTCGGCAACAACCTCCGGTACTCGGCAGCTGTGACCGCCCACTGCAAGAGCGGGACCATCACGTCCAGCGGAAGCCAGCTTGTTCTGTCGGACTGTGTTGAGGTTACTGTCATCATCGGCGGCTGCACAGACTATTCGTCCGACGGCTCGGCGGGGTATCGCGACACGAGTGTCGACCCGGTGATCAAGGCGAGGCGTACGGTAACCACCGCAGGTCCATTTGGTGATCTTCTTGAGACTCACGTGGCCGATTTCTCCTCCCAGTTCTCCGGGTTTCACCTTTCACTCGGCCGGTCGACAGATGCGCAACGCGCGCTCGAGACAGCCAACCGTGTTGTGCGTCGCGGCGACACCGACGAGCCAGACCCAGAGTTAGAGGCACTATACGTCCAGTTCGGACGCTACCTCCTCATCAGCAGTTCTCGGAACGGCCTACCTCCCGGTCTCCAGGGCCCTTGGCTTGATGGCAACAACCCAGCTTGGATGGGCGACTACCACAACGACATCAACATCAACATGAACTATTGGATCGCGGACCGATGTGGCCTGTCGCGCAACTTTGCCCCGTTGACCGAATACATCCTATCTCAGCTTCCAGCCTGGACTGCACAGACGCAGAAATGCTTCAACCACCCAAATAATCGCTTCCGCAACTCGTCGGACAAGATTGGAGGATGGGCTGTCGCGTACTCGACAAACATTTACGGAGGCCAAGGATGGTGGTGGCACCCTTCCGGCAACGCTTGGCTGTGTCTCAACCTCTGGGAACACTGGGAGTACACGCAAGATCTCGAGTATCTGAGGCGCATCTTCCCGGTAATTCACGGCGCATGCGAGTTTTGGGAGACGCGACTCATCCCCTTCACCCTCGATGACGGTACCGAGGTCCTCGTGGCTGACAAGGACTGGTCGGCTGAACATGGACCCGAAGACGCCTATGGCATCACATATGCACAGGAGCTCGTCTACTCGCTCTTCACGCAGTTTTGCTCGGCTGCAACTATTCTCGACCAAGAGACTAGCTATGCAACCACCATTGCAGGCCTACTACGCCGTCTCCACCTTCCAGGACTCACTCGTAGCGGTCGTCTTCAAGAATGGATGAGCGATGCGGATGACCTGGGCGAAAAGCTTCACCGCCACTTGTCTCCCCTCATCGGTCTATTCCCGGGCGATCGCCTTACTCCAGAGGCTTCGCCAACAGACCTCATCAGGGGTGCCACCCTTCTTCTGGAAGACCGTGGTATGGAGAACTTTGGATGGGCCTGCGCGTGGCGCGCTGTATGCTGGGCCCGCCTCAAGAATGCGGACAAGGCATACCAGCTCATCGGCACCAACCTGCGGCCCTCGGTCGGAGGCTCGACCGGGACGGCTCCCAACCTGTTTGATATGTACAACGGGTCAAAGGGCGACGGTGACGGTTTGTTCCAGATCGACTCCAACTTTGGAACCGCTGCTGCGGTCATTGAAATGCTGCTGTATTCGCGTCCTGGAGCCATCGACCTGCTCCCGGCTGTGCCCACGGCGTGGCAGTCGGGACGCGCCACAGGCATCGGCGCACGCGGTGGGTTCGTCGTCGACATGTCGTGGCACAAGAGCAAGGTTATAGAGGCGACAGTCCGTAGTGTAGGCGGGACTACCACCACCGTGACATCCGGCGACATTTCACAAGATGTGAAGTTGGGCAGAGGCGAGTCAGTAACACTCCAATTTTAGATTTATCTAGAGAAACCATTTTGCATGATGGGCGACTGTGGTTTGCTCAATGGTATTTGAATTGCTCAATGTTATTTGAATTGCTCAATGTTATTTGAGTTGCTCAATGTTAATTGAATTGCGTAATGCTGTGTGTATCTAGTTAGAACTCGGGAAACCAAGACTACCATAGATGGACGTGACCACTATGATGGATTGTAATGGGGCACTTGCAATCTGGGTACTGCTGCACACCGCTTGAAGGAAGGCTCCGAGGATATTCTGCCATTGGGACAAACTTGGGCCACTCAACTGATGGTCTACTTAGGACGCCCCCCGCTGTTGATCTGAAGGATGGACTATCGGGCCCCTCTCTCACCGACAACCCCCCCGAAGACACGATGCGGCTGTCCAACGTCGGTCTATCGCTGCAATGGCGGGGGGTACCAATGTGACTGTTTCCTCCGCACTTCCCTCCGGCCTCTCCGAGAAGCGTCTCTTTTCCCCGGCAATCTTGCCGCAACACCACCGCGGCTGCAATTGTGACTCTCGTTACTTCCACAACGCTTCAATGACGGAGCGTGGCGAGACACTCGCCCCCCGCAGTACCCCACTCACTCGCCGGCAGAGCTTGCCAATGTGCCGACATCACAAGGAACGCACCAGCGGGGCCCTATGTGGGGTTTGTGGGGGCTAGGACTTGAGACACGTTGGTTGGTCTGGGCGGTGGTCGGTGGTGCTCGGCTGTCCTGGGCCCTTGTGAGAGTCCATCGCGCCGGATTGCATGTACAGATCGCCCTGAAGACACGGTCAACGGTGTGATTACATAGGCCACGCATACGTGACTGGAATAGCAAGTTGCCAAGCTGACTATAATAGCTGCAATTAGTTCGCCAGTCCATCGGGAATGTGGGGTAGAGGCACAGCGGCGTGAGTCTGCGGGTATCCTGAAGCTTCTTGTCCGCGGAGTACGCGGAGATGGGCGAAGGTGATGCCTATGTAGTGTGAGCTTCAATCGTTGCCGGCCCCCGCTGAACGTTGTCGGCCCCCGTTCTGCTCAGCTTGCCGTACCATGCTGGCCATGATCTCGTCTTAAGGACAGATGCTTTCCTGTATGTAGTCAACGATGCCACACAGGTACCCCAACACTATCCTCACCTCAGCAGAGCTAGGTCCACGATGTCAAGGAGGGGGGAAGGAGGCCAGGGCTCTGTTGCCTATCGCATTGACATACGAGTGCTTTGATCGCTGTCTCCATATGATCAGTCTGGACGGCATGTGTCCACTAGCTGGACGGACCTGTCGAACTCGAACGGAATCGACTAACAGTGCGCGGTCCACCCGACTTTGGTGTCTCCACAAACGCCACCAAATGGGTGATATCTCCTGAACATGGCCGATGCCAAGCCCACTCCATGTGCTTTATGTATGCCAAGGCAGAGTGTTACCCGGTGTTACAGGCTGTCCGTTCAAGGCCATATCCTCGAGATGTTGAGCCGTGCAGCCAAACGCTACCGTATGTACACACCTGCCTGTCACATTCCGTAATCGGCTCAGCATACAGCTTGCACCTTTGCTCCACACATATCGCAGTTCAGGCCGGGTATATTTACAAGCGGCCTGTAGAGACTGGTATCTGCCGCCTGTGAGTGGGCAAACTGAAGTACTTGAGTTGACCTTCCAAAATCCATGGCACTTGCATGCACAACGCTAGCTGCCTATCTTGTACCAAACATCACCACTTCTTCGTCGCTAATCCTACCTTCAGATGCTCCGTCGTTGACACTGGTGTTTATCACGGCCTTCGCAGCTCAATAAACATATACGAACTCGTCATTCTTGAAGTCGGTGAGGTCGTCCAGGGCTAAAGATCAGCACTAGGTCGTTATCGCTGTAGCTCACCATTCTGACCGAGGACACCCGCGTCGTCGTCAAAGTTCTCAAACTTGTTCATCATGGACGTGTCCTTGATGTTCTCGGGCTTTCCATTGGCGACGCGCTGGCGGCGGCGCACACGGTTGAGCCAGACAAGAACAAGATAGGTGACGCCGACCAGGACGAGCTGTGCGGCAAAGATGCCCATGCAGCCGCGAAGACCGGGAATGTAGTAGGGTGCGTCCTTGGCGTTGAACAGCATCGGGCCGATAATGTTGCCCGCCGCAGCGCCAATTTGGTAGAGCGAGAGGAGGACACTCTTCTTGGTCTGGCCGCCAGTATTGGCCATGAGCCACGAGATGATCAACGGGTTGCAGCCGAAAACGCTGGCGAGGAGGTAATAGCCAAAAAGTCCGATTCCCTGGCGGAAGTGTCCCGAGATGCCCTCAGTGTAGAGTAGGATGGAACCGATGAGGCAAGGGATCTGGAGGATGGCAAGAGGGATAGACTTGGAGTGGAACCTCTGGGCGGCCCATGAGGCGATGAGAATCACAACGAGTTGCAAGAAGCCGAATGGCATGTTGAGTAGAGCGCTGGTGTAGGCGTCGAATCCCATGTTGTTGATGAGCTTATCCGGTCAGTGTTGTCCAAGCAGTCTCTATCCTACCGTGGGTCCAAAAGCAGATGCCACAGCGGCACCGGCATTGATAAGAAGGGCAATGCCAACGAAGAGATACGACTTGGGGTCGTAGGCAACCTCCCAGACGTGGGACCACTTGTACTCGTTCGAGCCAACGCCGGTCTGGTTCGCGCGCAAACGCTCGATGGCAATTTCCTTTTCTTCCGGTGTGAGGAAGTTTGCCTTAGCCACTGTCGACGCGACGCGGAACCACACAAGCGGCGCCGAGATGATGGTAATGGCGCCGCAGAGCAGAGCAAGACCCTGCCACTTCCTGATCGGGGCGTCGTCCGACATGTGAGCGCTGAAATGTTAGCCATGTTCGAAGAGATCTGTCGGCAAACTCACAATCCATAAGAGAAGAGGGCCGCACATATGGAGCAGACTACATAAAGTCAGCAAGCACTCCTGTACGTCTCTCAGCACAACTCACTGCCGTTCATTCCGTACCACAGAGCCACGCGCAGTGGCTGTTCCGAGCGGCGGTACCATTGCGCTGTCAAGACGCTGAACAGAGGTAGGCACCCTGCCTCAAACAACCCTAAGAAAAAGCGAATGGCAAGGATGGAGGCGTATGAATTGGCGGCCCCGAGGACCATGGCCATGGCTCCCCAGAGTACGATGAGAGCTGTCATGAAGTAGCGCGTGTCGAGGCGAACCACCAAGTACGAGGATACAGGTTGCCATGCCATTTGGGCAAACGGAATGACACTGCTGACGAGCGAGTACTGATTGCCGTGTAGGTGGAGGTCCTTGGATAGGCCCAAGAGGTTCATCATGCCGAGGTCTTACAATGGTGAGCTGAGGGAGTACGGAATGACTTACTGGTCTTGTCCAAGGCTTGCATAAAGTAAATGACCATCAAGGTGATGAGGATGTGCTTGTCCGTCTTGCGAAGAATGGCGCGGTTCTAGAGGACGTTGGCCATATGCTCACTAGCCATGGTGCTCACCTGCTCCTCGGTAACATGAATGCGGTTGTCAGCTGCATCGGGGGCCTCGGTCTTGGCCTCTTCCCCGATGGCATCCTGTTCGCGGTGCTCGAAGTCCTGCTTGCCGTCGACTGATTGAGGCATACTGTGGAGAGTTGAGGGGATATTGTGGGGCCTCTAGCTGGCCCATGACTGCTTTTATCCACGTCTAGAATGTGTTGCCGATGTTCGGAGGCTTCTGCTTTCCGGTGGCGCTCTGCTGATTGCCGCCGAGTTTGGGGCACCACGGAGATCAGATCGATCAGAACAGCGACACGATCGCCGGTAATCAGCGGTAATCAGTGGCAGTGGGCAGAACAGCGACCTCTCAACACCGTTAAACAGCGGTCTATGGATCTCACGCTGTTAACCATTGGGCCGAGATTATCCCGGCGCCCACTTTTGCTAGTGTGGGCAGAGGTGCGGCGGGACCTGGATCGCTGATGCGCTGTTTGTGGAGCCGCTGATGTGAACTGATCGGCTGTCGATGCGGCACAAGACGGCACCCAGATAACCGCACTTGAAGTGCCCTCTATACATAATGGCCGGCAAGTGTTGTGGACCTGCCCAAACATATTTTCAACTTCCTCACGTGCCCACAATGGTCTACATCAACGGCAACACCAACGGCAATGGCGGGGACCACCACTACCTCCAAGTCGAAGGTAGCGACATCACCCTCAATGGACAGCCCATTCTGCTGAAAGGAGCTTCCCTTGGAGGATGGAGTAGGTTTTGCGTACCGGTGGCCACTGACGAACAGTGTTGATGGAGAACTTTATGAATGGCTTCGCCGGTCAGGAGAACCAGGCGCGTGCGGCCATGAAAGCAGTCATGGGCGACGACAAGTACACCTTCTTCTTTGACAAGTTTCTCGAGTACTACTTCACCGAGGCAGACGCCAAGTTTCTTGCTTCCATGGGTTTCAACTGCATCCGTATCGCCATCAACTACCGTCACTTTGAGGACGATATGAACCCTCGCGTTCTCAAGACGAGCGGATTCAAGCATCTTGACCGCGTTGTCGACCTTTGCGCCGCCAATGGCATCTACACCGTGATCGATCTCCATTCCCTCCCTGGAGGTCAAAACATGGATTGGCACAGCGACAACAATACCAATCAGGCGTTGTGTAAGTGTAAACTCCTGGCATGAGCTGACAAGCAGTCTGGGACTACAAGGATTTCCAGGATCGTGCAGTCTGGCTTTGGGAAATCTTGGCCGACCACTTTCGTGACAACACTTGGGTTGCGGGCTACAACCCAATGAACGAGCCTGCGGACGTGGAGCATGAACGTCTGCAGGCGTTCTATGTCCGCATCGAGGCGGCTATTCGTGCAGTCGACCCTCACCACATTCTCTTTCTCGAGTACGTCTGCGTGCAGCGTGTGACACGCATTTGGCTAACCTTAGCAGCGGAAACTCGTTTGGGTACGACTTTTCTCATTTCAAGAAGCCTCTCCCCAACTGTGTCTATTCGTGCCATGACTACTCTGTGTAGGTGTCCAGCATGTCTATATGCGCGCCTTAGAGACTGACATTGGCAGGTATGGCTTCCCTGCTGCTCCCGAGCTGTACTCTGGCACCCAGCAGCAAGTCGAGTACCACGAGCGCACTTTCCGCCGCAAGGCCGACTTTATGCTGGAGACCAAAACACCCATCTGGAATAGCGAGTTTGGACCGACCTACAGTACCCCCAAGGACGGTGACAATTGGGAGACGGTCAATGATGCCCGGTACCAGGTCCTCAAGCTGCAGCTGGACATCAACCGCCGCCACAATGCGAGCTACAGTCTGTGGACATACAAGGGTATGTGAATTTCCTTGTCTACGCTGACCTCAGACATTGGCGTCATGGGCATCGTGTACCCCGCGGCCGAGTCGCCGCTGTTGAAACTTCTCGCCCCGTTCCTTGCCAAGAAGAAGGCCTCGTCGGCCGACGGCTGGGGATTTGACGAGACACCGGTCAAGCATGTCTTTGGCCCTCTTGAAGACTGGTTTAACCAGTTTGCCCCTTCTCTCGAAAAGAAATACCCTCCTACTTGGAAGACGAAGAAGCATGTTCTGCGCCAAGTTCGCGGCCTGTTGCTTTCTGAAGAGCTTGCAAAGGAGTATGGCCAGTACTTTGATGGACTGAGCTACGACGAGCTTGATGCCGTGGCAAGGAGTTGGCACTTCGGTGAGTACCACAATGGGCATCCGCGCTTACGAAATAGACAGCTGTGTCCAGCGCAAGAAGCTCGTCGCGATCATGTCCGAGGACGCGCTCTCCACAAAGCAGCAGTAGTAGTAGAATGGATAATGCAGCTACATGTTTTCGTTAGGCGTTATACCATGCATGCATGCGAACCCGTCGCTATTGGCATTGTTATTCGCCTCCAATTGCATTATGGTTAGGATCGGGAAATAACATGGTCCTGGGTGGAGTTAGCTCTGTTTTGATACAATGAGGTGCTGTGTCTCACCAGAATTGATCGTCAAGAGACGCCGACTGGTCCAAACCTGTCGTGGGCAGTGGTAAAGTTTGCCTCAGGAATTCATCCTTGCCCGTCAGCATATCCATGTAGCTTGACACCCACAAGGTCAAAGGCGCCAACGGCATCTTCAGGCGCTGCGGTTGTGTTGTCCGGCGTAACATGTGAGACCTCTTCGGCCGAAAGGCGCTGTAAGAGCCTGCGCAAAAACCGACCAACCAGATCCATGACAGCTTCCCCCGACTCGATGCGGGAGGTACTGTCACAGCATGCTGACAGTCGGCGTATGTAGCCAAGAAATAGCTCGCGCTGCAAACGGGAGAGTCTCTCACACATCTGAAAGGGTTAGTACGCAGAGCACCATGGAGTGGCTCACCTTGTGGCCTACCACACCGAATGTGGAGAGATGGGTCGCTGACGTGTCCTGCATGTACTGCATGTAGCCGAGCTGAGAGATCACTTCCGTTTGGTTTGTGTACCGATCGGCCAGCTGCAGCCAGTCGCCTGCGATCTGCTGTCTCTGATGATCTGGACAGACGTCCAACATGAGAAACTTGATCCTCAACAGGTGGTTCAGGTCGAACCATTTGAGCAAGCTCTGTTCGATCGGCGGAAACTTGCCTTGAGCTTGGGGAGTCAGCAACGCTAGAAAACTTGCTTACTTTGATCTTCTGGGAACCACTGTTGCAGATGCAGGTCCATCTGCGTGTAGATGCTGTTGAGCAGGGCCCATGCTGTCTGGCGTGGCATGTTTGTGTAGGTGCGACGAAGCTCGATGAGCATAAGGTAGGTGGACGCTGAGCTCATGCTACACGCATGTCGCATATCGCCGCAGTGGAAGCGGTCTGTCTCCTCGGCCCAACGCACGCACTGTTGTCAGTTGTCAGTCGGTATCGGTGACTGACATTTGGGAGCTCGTCCAGCCGCATAGTTGGTGGTAGGCCAAAGACGTCGCTGTGTATACGGTCGACGCCTCTCTGTCAGCGCCGTCTGTGTACACACACTCACATGAGAGCATAAACCAAGTGCGTTCTCTGTCGGCAATGACTCGCGCCTCGTGCTCATTGTCTGGCAGTGGTGTTGTGCGGGCTATGTGCAAACCGAGCTGATAGCCGAGCCGGATGGCTATTGCCATCTTGACCCCAGAGGTGCCGTCCGTAGGCTCCTTCCATGCAACCATGAGAGAGAGAGCCTGGATCATGCCCAGATTGCAGTTGGACCCTGTCGAAACTGCACGATTGACAATCATGCGGGTGTGTGCGAGTAGCGGCGAATACAGCGGACGCCGCAAGAACTGGGCCGTGCACATGAGTACCGCTGTGAGAAGTGCGGAAGATGTTTTGCGAATAAATTCAAGAGTGTGTACTGCTTGGTGAGATGGCCGGTTGGGTATGTCCACTTACGCTTTGGATCCAGAAGCGCAATCAAGGGATTGAGTTTGTGCAGGTACTGCGCCAGCAGATGCTGAGCCTCGACAAAACTTAGGAGCCCCATCTCAACTGGACTCATGAGCTTGGGTTTCTGAGGAGTACTCACTTGGGTCGTCGTCGGCATAAACTCCAGTGGGTGCAATGCCGCCCGGAGGATTGGCGGAGGAGGCATGGGCTGCTGGGGCCCTGGTAGCTGCGACTGCAGGCTCTGGCTGCAGAATCGGCGGATCGAGGTATCCCAAGGTGCCTACATTGCCTTGTACAGTGGACGAATCCTCTAGACGTACATGTTTGTCGCTTACAGCCTGGTGAAGCAGGGTGGCGTCCACCTGAAGCGGAACTGAGTCTCGATCGCCCGAGACCTTTGTTCGTCGCCGTTTTCGCTGGTATGCGCAGGTGAGGTTAAGACGCCCTTAGCCGTTAGTTTCAGCCCATTCATGAATACTTACGGCACCGTTGGCAAGGATCGCGTTGAGATTCATTGCCGACACACCTGGTCTTTGGTTAGAGCAGGGCAGAAGGGGGGTTGGAGCCGCACTCGAATCTCCCGACACGCGACGCAGCTGACGATGTAAGCGAAAAAGACGAATGGCGTGTACCCACGCTATCAAGTGCCTTTGCTGCCGTTTTGGAGTGTCTTCTCTATGTTCTCTATCCATTGTGGGCCTTGTCTGGTAGCTGGTGATGTGATGACGGGCGGTAGTGTTTACGAGGAGGATGGATCGACAGTGTGCCCAGACTCAGAGACTGGGAACGGGCAAGTCATGCAAGTCACGTGATTTGACCGCGGATGTTTGGTGGCCGGGTTAACTTGCCGATTCAACAACCGTCGCGCGTCCACAGCGGTCACCAGCTCACTTTGTATAGCTTTGTACTTAATTGCGGGCCGCTACCCTGCATGGGATACATGGCATACACTGTCACCCAACAATGACACAGAGCCTGTGTGCACGATTACGGTTTGAGAGTGACATATTTGCTATGAGGCACATGTCGTCCACTTGTCAACTACTGCCCACCTGGTGGCCGGTGCTCGTCGTGTGGTGACATACACATATATGCAATCAGAATAAGAGTGAGGGCGCAAAGAGGCTTGGACAAGTCAGTCAGGTGAGGCAGCACTGCATCGTCGTCTCACATTCGCGACATTCAAAACCGTAGGTCTAGGTGCTGTGCGAATTGGGCTGACAGCAACGTAAAATGATGCCAGCCACGGGTGACAACAGCTTCCAGTGCTTGTATGGGGAAACTGCAGAGCGGACACTACTTGTGCATTTGACTTTGTTCCATGCAGCTTACGCACCACTAATGACACCATGCGTTTTCGTCCATGGGCATGGTATCTCCCCGGAACGCGTAGGTTGGGGGCCACTGAACGTCCGGTGTCCACAGGACATCATACTGTCGCGACCCACTGCCAACAACCTCCTGGACGCCCGGTAGCACGAGCTCTGCCGTGCAGTTGGGCGGCACCTCGATGTCTACTTTGAACCTATCGCCAACAATCTTCCAGGAGCAAGACACCTTGCCATATGGCGAGAGGAACACGGCGTGGGCGTGCGTGAGTGTCGCTCCCGGCTGAGGCCGAATACGAATGTGGCGCCAGCCAGGTTCCAACGGGGAAATGCCGCCGACGACCTGGTGCATGAACGACGCAACCGAGCCGAGCGCATAGTGATTGAAGCTTGTCATTCTGCCCGGGTTGATGGTCTTGTCGGCCAACATCGAGTCCCAGCGTTCCCACTGCCATTAGCCGGAGGTGGTGGGGTCTTTATGACGACGACTACTCACGACACTTGTAGCACCGAGCAACACTGGTGCCAGCCACGATGGGCTCTTTTTGGCTAGCAACATGCCATACGCATGGTGGAGCAGACCGTGTTCAGCGAGGGTGTTTAGGATGATGGGGGTGCCTGTGGTCAGCACTCACATCATAGACAGTGGTACTCACCCGCAAAGCCCGTTGATACCTGCCAGCGATCCTTGCCAACAAGCTCGCCAAGGCGCCGGGTTAGGATATCGCGCTGATTGGCAACACCTGGGTTGACCAGGTCGAAATGCAGTATGAGGGCGAGCGCAGCTTGGGTGTCGGACAAGACGCGGCTCTTGGGGGTCACGTAGTTGGCATGAAACTTTTCGAGAAGGTCAGTAGCCTGCTTCTCATAGCGCTCAGCCTCCTCTGGACGCCCAAGGACCTGTGCGATTCGTGCGACCTTGCGGGTCGTATGAATGAGGTATGCGTTGGCAACGAGGAAGCTGTCAGTCGGGGCGTTCCATGGTTGGTCTGGTGGTGAAGCTGGGGCAAGCCAGTCGGCGTATTGGAACGTCGTCTCGTCCCAAGTCCCCTCAGCATTGCGCGGGATTCCGCGATCGAGCCAGTCCGTCATCGAGGCGAAGCTCTCTTTGAGAATGTCCGAATCCCCAAAGGACAAGTGCAAGTCGTTCGGCAACAATGCCGATACGTCGCCCCACACGGCGTGCGGTTTGCTGAGAATGTTCCAATGCGGCAAGTGAGGAATGACACACGGCACTCTGCCATGGCCGAGGGCTTCCTGTTCATCCCGAAGGTCGCGCAGCCATGAGCGCAGGAAGCCTGCACTATTGAAAAGGTAATTGATGGTTGGGGCGAATATCTGAATGTCGCCCGTCCACCCGAGCCGCTCCGCACGCTGCGGGCAATCACTAGGGATGGAAATGGTGTTGGACCGTGTTGACCAAACGACGTTTTCATGCAATCGGTTCAGGAGCATGTGCGAGCATGTGAACGTGCCCGTCTGGTTCATCGCCGACGAGATGGCCACTCCACAAATGTCTTCGAGAGTCACCCCTGGCCACCCAGATACCTCGACATAGCGGAAGCCATGAAACGTAAACTTTGGTGTCCATCCTTGCACCCGTCCGCCGAGGATGATGCTGTCTGTTGCCCGAGCACCCATTAACGGTCGTGTGCCCAACTCTCCGTGTTCCAGCACCTCGGCGAATCGAAAGGTCAACGTGCCCTCGATAGGCGGCTGGCCGACAACCTGGACAAATCCCGCAAAGTTCTGTGCGAGATCCAGAATGGTTTTGCCCGAGGGGGTCGTGATGAGCTCCTTGGCCTGGAGGCGGGCATAAGGGCGTATGGGAGGGGACTCGGACGTGACGAGTGTCGTAGTCGGGAGATCGAGCACCTGAGCTTGTTTCCAATCTAGTGGTGTCAGCTCATCTCCCAGTTGGAACTCACCATGAACAGTTACGGCCGTCTTCCATTCTTCATCATCGATACGGGAGTCGAATGCCTCACCGTCGTAGATCTCGCCGGCCGCAATTGCGCCGTAACTCCATTGCCACCCGTTTCCGCTACGAGCGACCACTTGTCCATCCACTTCGAGTTGCGCAATGAGACCGACGCGGTGACCATAGACGTGCCGCTGGCCCTCGAAATAGCCTAGGCGGCCTGCATACCACCCCTCTCCCACCCAACTCGCAAGGATATTCGTATCCCCGTTGATGAGTGCAGTGACATCGTAGGTGCGATACGCCAGAGTGGTGTCATACTTTGTCCATCCGGGTTCGAGGAGATCGGGCGATACAGGCTGGCCGTTGAGAAACGTATAGTGCACTCCGCAAGCGGTGACATATAGTCTCGCCTGCTTGTAGGTGGAGGGTGCTTTGAACGTCGTGCGCAAGCGAACAGGCTTGACAGACTCTTCGGGGCCGCCTGGAAGGACAAAACTGAAGTATGAGATCGGGTCAGTCTTGGGTGCTCGAGTCGCCTGGTCGGACGCAGTGACCAGCTTGGCGCTCCAGTCGTTGCGCTCCAGCAGCGCCGCTTCGAGACGTTCTGTGGCCCATGCGGTCCATTCACCAGAGGAGCTGCGTACACGGACTTCGACAACCGCCGACTCTCGGCTTTGCAAAGGAGGAGCGGGCCAAGGAACCAGAATAGAATCGGGGGACGACACGGAGTAGGTCGTGGGCGTCAAACGGGTAATGCGTATCTCGTATTGGGCCTGCTTCCAGTCGCGGGCCGACCCGTCAAACGACCAAGACAGCCTTGGGGAGGAGTGTGACACGCCAAGGCCATGGGGGTAGTGTTCGAATGTGATGGCAGAGATCGCGCAGGACATGGCGACGGTTGTGGCGGTTGGGCGACTGTGGGGTCAACACATGCCCAACTATATGTACTCGACGGGATCACGGCATGAAGTGGGGTATTTTGCGACCTGGTGCACGGCGAAATGATGGACCGAGAGACACGGCCAACGGCCAGGATGGACACCGAGTGCCAAGACGAGACCATCGGACAATGCCGAACAGTCACCGGTCGACGAGCATCCCGCTGTGTCACGTGACCACGGTGCCCGCCGGGGGCCGGCAACTACACAGGTCCCGCACCAGCGCGGCCATAATGATGCCTTCTTGGCCTTCTCAGAGTGGTCAAGCGTGCATCTCCGTAGGGGCCAGATGCATGGGTGGTGTATGGAACCATGACCTCATCGTGTTCATCGTGGAAACGCCAGTCCCGCCGGAGTGCCCCACGGCGTCTGTGCTGCACTTCACTTCACGGCCGAGATAAGCGTTTCGAGCCCAGCTGTGGGACAGACAGCGCCAGAGCATCATCCGGGTCGCGCAAACGCACACGAATTGGAAATGAGGGCGGGCAATGTCAGATTATCCAACGCAGACCTGAACAACCGTGCAGAACAAGTGCGGGTTTATTGTCCAGGCCTCCTGATGGGAGCCTTGAGGCGAGTCAGCCAACGCATCTGGGACGTGCGGACATTAAATTCCAGAGCACTGTTCAGACGTAACTACAACGACCCATCACCCAACCACTACTGTTGACCAATACGTAACTGGCAGTCCCATACATCGTCGACTAAAGGCATGCCTAGTGGCCGTGTTCAAAGAAACACCTACTCCCGTTGCACCTAAACCTGGTGGCCCTCCTGCACCTTGAGCTCCCTCTCAATTTCTGTCTCGTATTTGGCGAATTGGCGAGGCGAGATGCCAGCCTCGAACATCTCATCAATTTCAGCTGGGGTACGACGAGCAACTTCGGGAAGAATGAACCATCCAATGGTACAGACGATGGTTCCGGTGCAGCCGAAACTGTGAATGGTCAGCTTTTGCCTATAGTAGTTTGTTCAGCAACTCACAAGAAACCGGTCTTGACACCCCAGTTGGGGGCACCCTTCAGCATTATGGGCACGGTAAAATTGAGCATGACTCCAAAGGCGTTTACGACCACCTGGCCCCATGCATTGGAGCGTGCACGCAGATCCTGCGTTGGGATTTCGGCCAGGTATGCGTATCCAATTGCCGACGCGGCCGTAGTAGTGAAAGTGGCAAGGCATCCGAAAAAGATGAGGAGCGATCCGAGCGCCTTGGACTTGTAGTTCTGGGTACCGATGGCCCCGAAGGCCCACATGGAAAGCGTTGTGACCATGTCTGGTAGTGTCAGTCAAACCGTGGCTACGTGCAGTTGACTTAATGGGAATTTATTTTTATTAAAAATAAATATCATCACCGGGAAATTAACTCACAAGGATAAACCGTCAACGGGCGGCGACCAACAGTGTCGGTCAATGCACACACGCAGAGAACACTGATCAACTGAACGCATGCAAGAATGACTGTGACACGGAAGGGGTTTGTGTTGCCTGCAAGCTGGCTGCGGTCCATTAGCGCGACCAAAAGGCATCCAAAACTCACAAAAAGTACGTTGCGTACGTGTTGAAGAGGGTAAGACCGACGAAGCCTTGCATGAACTTGGGCCAGAGAGCAATGATGAAACGCTTCAAGTTGGTGCCCTTGAAGACGGCGAGGTGACCAATGCGGCCGCGTTCAACAGCCTGCTGGCGTTCCTCGTCGACTGTGGCGGCCATAATCTCAACTTCTTGCTTAACATTGAAGCCCTCAATGTGTCCGCGGTATCGATTCATAATCTTTTCGGCCGCGTCCAGCTTTCCCTTGGACACAAGCCACCATGGTGACTCGGGAAGGAAGACAAAGATGATGCCCATGAGACCAATCATGCCCCACTGCGTGTAGACGGCAACGCGCCAGTCGTACGGGTGGGTGACATTGAGGCGAAGAAGCGCAGTCGGTGCCAACAGTTGACCAACCACAAACCAACTGAAGCTGTCAGCAACAATCCCACCCGTACTTCTTCTTTCTATTTACAAAGAGTAGGCGTTAATCAGGAGACCTCTAATCTGGGTCGGGCTGTGTTCGCTGATATACATCGGAAGCGTTCCCTGCATCGCGCCGACACCGATACCGGCAAAGAGCTTTGCAATGAGCCAGTCGACTGGGTGTTTGGCGCTAGACTCAATAGCGACAGACTATAGGCATCAGCGATATACCATACGCTGAGACTCACGATGATCATCATGATCCAAAAGGCACCCAAGGCGACTCGCCGACCCAGCCGCTCCGAGACAATGGCGATGAACATTTGGCCAATGCACTGGCCAGCGCTTTGGATGCCGCCCCATGCGGACACCCACTTCGCCTCGATAACGGTTGAACCCACTGGCGCCATGAGGGCAATAAAACCCTTGTTGGCTACAATGGAGCCGTTGAGGTTGACTGTAATGGCGTCAAAAGGATCCTTTTGACACTCTTTCAACCCTCGCCCACTCACTCTGATAACCATCAAGAGACGCGGAGAACGCCGCGAGCATCATAAGAGCGACGACGCGCTTGTACTTGGATAACGCGCGCCAAGGACCTACTTCGTCGGCACTGGAACGAAGGACGACATGGTCCTTGGGGTTCTTCTCGACCTGATCGTCCTGCGGCTTCTCAAGGGTGATGTCGTCGGGCATTGTGGAGGTGGAATAAGTGGAAGACGACTAGCCCATGGGGGCCCATGCCCTGCCCTTTATCTCATGGCCAATCTGAACCACCTGCTGGCTTCCGGCACGTGCACGGCACCAAGTTCAGTTCCTGAGTGCCGGTGTAAAGACAACCCACAAATTGGCGACTGCACAGACCGCAGGGCTGCGTGTTGAGCTATTTGCGAAAGGCACAAGTCGGACCGGAAGGCTTCACTGGAGAAGCCGCTGCAAAGATACCCCACATTTGCGAAAGCATAGATCGGGTCAAGGATTGCTGCGCTTCGAAGGACCCGCGGGCCGGCGCAAAGATAGCCCTACAATATGCGGGCCGACAGATCGGGGCTCCTCGTGACTCATGCTCGGTGCTACTACCTAAGACCGGAAAGACAGCCGGCCGGTCTTGCATGGTTGAGGCTTTCTGCGACCACGATACAGCACACTGTCTGCGTAGTGCAGAGCGCAATGGCTCTGACGATCACGAATGAGGCTCTGATTTCATAACAAACCCCGGACCGGCACCCGGAGGGACAAGGCGAAAGGACTGTGGCCTCCATTCTGAGCAGTCTAATCAATACTGCTGTGTTGGTTATTGGCACGGCCTGGGAGACGCGAGCCCAGCAAACATGTCTTCCTTGCATGTCTGGCCCCTGGGAAAGCCTTTCGTCTTCCTACACCCCTGAACCGAACATGCATGTCGCCCTATTCAAAAGTTAGACGGAAATCATCTTGGCACTGAAAACGACAGTAGCCGCAGTCCCAAATTGAAGGCCAGCCGGTGTAGACTTGGCATGGCAGCCGAGAACGGCATCCCAAGCCCCCAGCAACAGCAGCGCGCCCATGGTAAAGACTGCGTGGTTGTCGTGTGAGGGGAAACAACAGTCCACCAGAGGATGTGTCGGTGTTGGCCGCGTCAGGGTGCGTTGTTCCACAGACGACGGCATGTTCAGGCACTCGTTGGATGAAGAACCGAGCTGCCATGTGGGCGTGTCGTCTTCCACAGCCCATTGGAGCTGTCGGGAGACGGTCTGAATGCCCGTCAGCCACCCCGTTGATTACTGTGTGGAGTTGAAAGCTTCAGCGTCCTACTTTGGTATCCATTTCTCTCGCCTGCGCCGCGAAAAGGATGGTGCAATGCAATGGAAGAACTGGGGACCCACACGATCTCCAAAGCCTCATCATGCTGACAGACCCTGGTTGGAACAACGGTGGCGGCCGGCGGTTAGCCGCGCCGGGCGGTAGCGACATCCGAGCGACGGCGGTCGCCTCCTTACACCGCGTGTTGATCCATTGCTGCGCACACACTCGACACATGGCTTGCTTTCGGTACAAGATTCTGCCATGGCGAACGGTCACCTGCTCATTTGGTCTTGATTCATGTCAAATCCACCGTTCAAATGTCACTGTCCTCACCGGGAATCGGACCGGAATTTGCCTTGTTTCCTCTCACCACACATCCATATCACAAATGGTCTCACCCATCGTCCTTTTGCCATTCGGGGTTCGACTCTGCATCGGACGCGGTGTTGTTCATTCCTCCGTACCTGACATGTACACGCACCTGCGCTTGGCAGACCGCCAACCACGATGCAAAGATGAACCGAAACGTTCGGACTACGTTGTTGCGTCATGTATATCCAGGAAGCATCCGACTGTGTGGGTGGTGGTGAATGGAGACGCAACATGGAAGTAGCCGTGGCCACCGGACCGGCAAACCGGATCGTTGCTATTTTCGACGAGCATGGCGTAGGCGGCGGATGAACATTGCACCGCGTATACAGGCTATCAGCGCGGGGGGGTACATGGTTCCGCAGCTACAGATACAGCTCGACAACAATAACGCAGCGCTACGTGCACTCGCTGCATTCCACCATTGAACAATGACCTCACCGACCGAACAGAGTACGATTGACGCTCTTCACAACAGCTGGGTATGGATCACACCGTGGGCCGCCGACACTGCATCAGCCGACACAGCCGCCCGACTGGTGACCTTTCAACGCAAGTTTCGGCTGGACACTGTACCCACCAACACGACCATTCATTGTACAGCGGATACCCGTTACAAGTTGCTTGTCAATGGCCACCGTGTGGCTCTTGGGCCGGCACGGTCCAGCCCAAGCATTTGGCTTTATGACACCATCGACATTGCCCCGTTTCTCACCATCGGCGACAATGAAGTGACGGTGACGGTGCTACGCTTCTCCTTGACAATTCGAGCCGGAATGCCGTTTGTGCGCACGCAGTTTCCCGGTCTAAGCATCGTCGGCACCATCGGGTGCATCGACCTAGGGACGTTGTCAGACGGCTGGAAAGCGAGAGTAGAAGACAACATCAAGTTTCCATACGGCCTCGTCGACGACGCCTTCCTGAATGTGAGTCACGGTTCCTGCCTTGCACTGACTGGCCAGATCTACGAACGCGGATCGCCCGTGTCTGCTCAAGACGACTACAGACTGGTACCAAAGCCGTACGCCTTCAAAACGGTAAACGGTGAACTCGCGCCATGGCGCCTGCGTGCGCGTCCGTATGACCTCCCAGAACAGTCACCAGTCCATGCGGCCAACGTCTACGCCGTCGCTGGCTCAGGCGACAGCGACATGTGGACCGAGTTCCTGCAGCGAAGCAAGCCGATCACTCTTGATGTCAACACCCACTCTCGCGTCGACTTCTCCGTTGACTGCCATTCGACGGCCTTTACTCGCTGGAAACTGGCAGCACAGGAGCCCACGAGTGTCACCCTGCGCATCACGTACTCGGAAGGATACGAGTACGAGAAAGAAGGGAGAGAGTATCCCTGGTTCCGTACCAAGGGCGACCGACTCGACAGCGTTCACGGCAAGATCATTGGCCCATATGACGAGGTCACACTGGAGGTCGGACCAGAGGCCGTCGTCTACGAGCCCTTTTGGTTCCGGACCTTTCGTCTCATCCGCCTTGAGGTCGTCGTTGCTTCGGGCCCCGTGCAACTCGTCTTGTTTGAGGCCACGCAGACAAACTATGCTCTCGGTGTCAAGGCCTCGTGGCAGGAACCTCAAGGCGAGTACAGTGACCGCATTTGGGACATTAGTGTGCGGACATTGCGCAACTGCATGTACGACGGTTACAGCGATTGCCCCTTCTATGAGCAACTGCAGTACGCCGGCGACGGGCGCTCAGTGTGTCTCTTCCATTATCTGCTGTCTGGGGATGACCGTCTCGCTCGCCAAGCAATCCTCTCGTTCGCCTCCTCAGTCACGGCCGAGGGCCTCACGCAGTCTCGCCATCCGTCGCACATTACCCAAGTGATTGCAGGCTTTTCGCTTTACTGGTGTCTCATGGTGTCCGACCACATGCTCTACTTCAACGACATCCAGCTGGTGCGGTCACTTTTGCCCCGCATTGACGGTGTGCTCGAGTTTTTCCAAAGCCACGTCGATGACCTGGGACTTGTCAGCGGCATCTCGCCCGACATCTGGCAGTACGTTGACTGGGTGGACGGATGGCACGCCACAGACAACCACCCCGACAAGGGTGTGCCAACAGCAGGCCGAGTGACCAACCGCCACACCTTTTTCAGCATGCTCTACGCGTTCACGCTCCGCCAAATGTCCACTTTACTCCAGCAAGTGGGGCGTATTGGTCTTGTGGCCGAATACGAGGCACGTGCAGACGCTGTCGTGGCTGCGATTCGCAAGCATTGCTACGATGGGCACTTCTTTACGGACGCTGCCGCTGTGGACGTGGCAAAGTTGCCGCCTACGACACCCACGCTGTACTCACAGCACTGCCAAGTGTTTGCGGTCCTGTGCGGTGCGGTCCAAGGGGCTGAGGCGGCACGCCTACTTGGCGACGCGTTTGCACCAGACTCCAAACTCGGCAAGTGCTCATACGTGATGCTGTTTTACGCCTTTAGAGCGTTCGCCCTCGCCGGTCCAGCGTTTTACAGAAGCATGTTCTCTCGTGCCCTTGCTCCCTGGCGCCGTATGGTCGACAAGAACCTGACGACCTGGGAGGAGGACGATGTGCGTGAGCGCTCCGACTGCCATGCCTGGGGCAGTGTACCGATCTACGAGTTCGCTGTCGAGGTCGCCGGTGTGCGTCCTGTTGCACCGGGCTGGAGCAAGATCGAGTTTGACCCCAAGCCCGATCTCGCAGAGGGCGACGAGGTAAACGCCAAGGTTGCGCTTGGGAGGGACAATGTTGCCACGGTCAGTTGGAAGAAGGGCGACGGTGTGGTGCTGCTCAAGCTCGCCCGCCCGACCGAGGTGCTTACCAGGGTGGTCGACGGAGGCTGGCAGAGCCACGGTGTGGTTTCCGAGGTTGCAGCTGCAGTTTGAACTAGATCCAGGCCGACAAGCCGATGTATATGTCATGAGGAGACATGCTCTGTGGCTGCGAAACAATGAACGACTGGCGGCCGCCTCGTTAAGAGCTGCCACCCCAGAGGCCATGACGTCATTTGCCCCGTGGGGCGCTGTGTGTTACCCCACAACATCACGTGATGCACCCGCCCCCCCCCCTCTCGGCTGTGTGTTTGGCTCTCGACCGTCATCTCTACTGCTTACTGACAATCTCCCCGACCACAGCGTCCATGGCAACAGCAACAGCACATTGTCCGGCAACTCGTCCATCTTCAAGTGTCCCATTTCCGCGTCGTGAATGGAGTTCAGCAACGTTCGGCGTTCCTCAGCTCAACTGTCCCGGGGTGACGGTAAACGAGATTACCTGGGGGTGCAAGAAGGCTACCGTGGCACTCATCAGCATTGTCGATGGCCAGTCAACTTGGCGGGCGGCTGTTGAGCCGCCAACCCTCGTCCTATTGGCACTGTGCGACTCCGCCCTCCTCATGTGAGTCTCCTTTTCTCTCCACTCCCGTAAACTGACCATTAGGAACGATAACGCGCGGTGCCCAAACCCTTTGCGTCCACGACCCAGGACACACGAGGCGTGGTACAACGAACGGCTCTTGGATATTGACAAACTGTATGAGGCTGTGAGTCGCACTTTCCCATCCAGCGCACTGTCACATTCTCTTTGTTTGGACCTCAGCGCGCCACATCAGTGCCCACCCGTATTAACTTGTCTGCAGGCCAAAGACCTCATACCCGCGCCTGCTCTGCCGTCACTGGATCTCTTCAAGTCCACAGCCTTGAATGCCCTCCACATCGGCTGGTTCCCTGGTGTCGACGCGTACGAGTTCTTGCCTGCCGCCATCCAACCCATCTTCCCGCGCTCGACATTTGCTTCCTACGCTCCTGGCCCCTCCGACGCGGCAGCGTACGGCTTCTCGATATGGGAGGGCTCTGTCGACCCGTCGACCGAGGAGGACCTTGTGGAGCAGGCTGCCCGCCTCGCTAAAGAGCATGGTTTTTCCGGCCAACGCAGAGCCGCCGCCCCAGTGTCCCTCTTGCATGGTCTACCACCGATCCGTCCGCCCTCCCCGCCGGCCCAGCTGCGTGGGTACCGACGTGTTGTGTAATTCCGGCTATGCAGTACGCCCGGCACGCAAGACGAACATGGACACACCTTGAGAGCAATGTGTTGTGGATATGTAGTATATTAACTGACAGTAAACGTGTAATGTATGCCTCTCTGTGACTTTGAGCTGCGGGCTTCATCACCACGTCACCACTGTACCCGCGAGAATTCCTGAACTAGAGGCAAATACGAACGTGTGCCCATGTCTATGTCTGGTCACATCATCGCTCCAGCGGCCAGCCTACTGAGAAGCTGGTGAGGTGTGTCTCTAGCGATTCGCTTTCTGCCTTCTGCGGGGATGCCAAACACCGCTCTTATGGCCTCCCAGGGTACCAGGGTGTGGTTGTGTGTCGCTCGCCATTGCCAGAGTGTTGCGATTTCTGACAGTGCAAGCATGCTAACGATCCACAACAACAAACAGCGAACACGAGGGTCGTCACCAGTGGTTGACGAAGCTTGGCAGATCCATGGGCTCTATAACCCAACAGGCGGCGCGGAATCAAAAGTCTACAACAACAATGGCCCATTTCTTGCTCTTGTTGTCTTGTTTGTCATTGTCGCCACCAACCAACACAACCATGGCCATCCCACAACAGGTTAAACGCTTCCCCCGCGACTCGTGGGACACTGTCATATTTACACACCCACCCATCCCACAAGGCATGTTAGACGCAAAGGCTACCTGGGCTGCATGCCAAGCAAGCAAGCACTGGCAACGGGCATTCGATGACGACACAAACACCACAACCGTCGATGATGTCGACTTTGCTCTCGCCGTCTTTGATGTCGCCTACCACCTGTACGTAGCATCCCCACCACACGCCCACATACTCTCCCTCTCTCTCTCTCTCAAACCAACCCACGCTCACATCCTCCCAGCAAGGATTACCTGCTTGGCGTCGCCCTGCAGACCAACAGCCGCATCACAGACCCCGACAACTGGCGTAAGCTCACGGATCATCTCATTGCCCGCGCGTACCGCATCGCCTGCACCTCCGTCTCCGCACGACTCCCACAATTCTCCCTACCCACGCTAGATGCTGTGCGCGACTTTGCGCGCGGCGCCATGGACTGCGTGTTCGAAGAGGGCGTCGATTCCTGGGGGCGTCTTGTCCCGTGCAACGGCTATGACGAGTCCCGCTACACAGACCGGTACATGCCTGATCCCACCACGCTGCCGCCTCGCGCATTTACTGTCGTCAACCACTCACTGGACAACGACGACGAGCGCCTTGTCCTGCTCCTCGACCACGACGGCAACATCGTACGCCAGTACACTGGCAGAGATGACCCAGACGATGACAAGCAAGCCACCTCATCTCCCACCTCTACGATCTCTTCGCCAGCGCATAACCCAGACCACGACTCTGACATGCCATCACCCAGCACGATGGGGTCTTCTACAGCGTCCTCATCCTCGAACTCGTCCCCGTCCTCGCGCTCGACCGCACCAAGCTCCGACCCACCGGCTGCGGCTCACGTGTCTACCCCCGAACACTGCTCCCCGCTGCACCTGCAGACGTCGCGTCGTTGAACGAACCGGTATTGTAAACACCACCTGCACCACTGTTGTTACCACTTCATGTATATATTGCTTCTGTCCATGGTCCTCCTTGTCCAGCCACAGGCGACGAAACTCCTTGTGTGGCCGACTACCGCGTGTGCTTCGGTGACGGCGACGCTGGTTCCGCGTGCATCGTCTGCACACGCCTGTCAGCGCCCCGCGGTCGGAGGTTGGCAAACTCGACCCTCTGTTTCTGGGGGGTCGGCGTCGGCGGGCGCATGGGGTCGGGCCAGCCACTTAAGGCAACATCTCCAGGCTTGGTATTGGCCTGGAATGCGTTGCCTGCCAGCACCGCAAAGAGAGAACGCGGGGTGACGACCACGTTTGGTTCCACCAACTCGCGCACCAAGTCGAGCGTCTCACGGTCCTCGGCATTGTCGTGCAGCTCGGCGAGGCTGCCCGCGCCTGGGTCATCTGCACCAGAGTCCCCATGACCCAGAGGGTCCACTCCGACTGCAATGATGGGCGAGGCAGTGGTAGTGTCCTGGTTGAGCGTCGCCTGGGCGTCGGTCAGCAAGTGGCCGGCCGAGAGTACAGGGTACTCACGTCGTGAACCGTGAGCCCGTTTCGGGTGACGAGGAACGACTCGCCGTCGGACATGCAGGCGTCGCGGCAGCCCCATACCCAGGCATAGGCGGGTCCTTGCAAGACCTTGCTCAGGCTGTTGACGAGTGCTTGAGGGAGGGCCTTCCGTTGGTCGCCGCTGGTGATGCAGGTGTACTCGACGTCTGTTCGGTCCCGGGCTTGTCGTACCTCGACCTGCTGCCCCTTGAGCTCGCGCAGCCGGACCACCGGCGATAATCTGGCCGCGGTCTTCAACTCGACACAGGCTACGGCTGTGACTGCGGCGTTGCCAGGGACAGTCTCGCCATTGTCCGCAGTCTCGCGATCTTCACCCCTCGACACAAGGATGTCCGCCCAGGCAGTATGCGTCTTGCCGTCCCAGTGCTGGTACGAGCGGCCTGCCTGTACTTGGATACGGGGAGGCCGAGACGTGGCAAACAGCTCGCCAAGCAACAGTTCCAAGTCGGTCACGACGCGCTGCTGGAGCGATGCCTCATGCTCGAGGGCCGGGCGTGTTCGCGAGACGGTGCCATGCGGCGCATGTGTGGAGCGTGTGTGGAGGTGGACGAGGTCGCCAACGGTGCGCTTACTCTCGCGCAAGTCGGTCATGAGCTGCTCGAAGCCGTGGAACGACCAGGTCTTGGGAAAGCGCAGTCGCAGTAATCTACCGTTGTCCGCGAGGGTCACGCTGCGGGCAAGAGTGGGGACGACCGACTTGACCTCCTTGTCGTCGTACTCGACGCGTTGCTCCGCGGCCCAGTGGACAGGATGACGGTAGAGATCGAGAAACGTGTGCCATGGCGTGTCCTGGGCTGCTGGTAGACATGGTGGCAAGGAGGAGGAGGAAGAGGAGGACATGGTGCTGAGTGAGTAGTGGAGACGTGTGTGATGGAGACGATGACGGGGCACAAACATTGCTGGCGGCCATGATAAGTCTCTGTGCGTGGAGCTGGGGCGTCAATGTCAAGGGGGTCCTGTTGCAGGTGAGGGTCGAGGATGTCAGCACAGCCGCTGGCTAGCAGGGGAGTCCACGAGTAGGGTGAGAAGTAAGAGCGCGCTACCACATGGGCGTGAGAGAGATGCGTTGCTGGTGCTTTAACCCTCACAGACGAAGAGGGTGAGAGATAGAGTATGGATATACCGCCCACCTTACCAACGACACCACTACTATCAGTTTTGCCGCAAAATCCAGGATGTTTTTCCGAAAGCGAATGTTCTGCCGTCGTATCGTGCCAGTCACGTATGTACGCTGTTGCTCAACGCACGGGTATCAGGGAGGCACAGACTCGACGCGTGCTTGCAGAGGCGCTGTTCCAGACAAGCGGGTTAGCGCAGCTGAGAGCTTTCTTCCTCTGGCCGATGGCGCGACGCAAAATGGGTGTGGCTTGTGTTTCCCCCGCCCACCGTACCACAGTTAGCCCTAGTACTGTGATGACCATTGCTCCGTCCCAGGGGCCTGTTGGGAACGTCACTGATGGGATTTTCCGTGATGCTTAAGCGTACTGGATGAGATAACTGCAGCACGCTGCAGCTGCCCTGACGATCGCCTTAGACATGTCGGCTAGTTGTGGACCTGGCAGAGCTGTTGTTATCGCTGGTGGTGTTATCATCGGTCGGTGCCATTAGTCGCTCGCGTGAGTCTCCACCTCCACGCTGTTGCCAAACAAGGCCAACGGTTAGACATCAGTTGTGTTGTCTGTGTAAGCATGCATGCAAGGAGCGCAATGCCGACTGGGCACCATCAAGATGACACCTATGGCGCTGTTGGATCCGTCATATCCTACTGGGAACAACACCACGCGCCTAAGCGCCTAGGCGTGGCTCACCATACTCATGTCATTCCCATAGCCTTCGCAATGGACCACGGCTGCCTCTGTCGATGAGCAGGCAGTCTTTTAAAAGACGTGAGTGCGGCTCACGGCGTACTCTTTGGTCCCTCCCGGGAACCGTTTATAGCCTCACTCTCAAACCTCGGGGCACTGTGCTGTAGCTTGGAAACGCGGATGGACCCACCACGATCAGGGTGATTTGGAACGGCGATGTTCACGATTGGATTGGTCGCCGACGGCCACCCTTCCCGTTGTATGCACGTTGTGCGTCGAGGGTATGGCGTTGAATGTCGTGTTTTTCCTCGATAGGAGCGAGGCTGCCCGCCCTGAGGCATGCAACGTCTACTCGATGTCGACAGAGTTACGTCGTTTATGGTCGCGTCCGTCCTATTTATTGCTGGACGTTGGTGTTCTGATGACCTTGGGGCTGTCCCCCTCGTCGCGGTGAGGCAATTGTACAGTACTGTACGTCCTTGGCGTACCTGTGTTGTTGGTATTCCAGGCCATCCGGCGATCCACCCAACGCTTTTGCTGTCTCACCCGTCATTCCACGGCTTTGTTTGTCTGCCGCAAAACCCAGCAGTGCCTGCATGTGCTTATCCTGAGAGAGTGCATGGCGCCTTGGCATACCGCAGACGTCGTTTCACCTGGCGTTGAGCTTGCTCGAGCTTGATCTCTCGAGTTGCGCGCACATGCGACTGCGCATTTGCGCCGGCTATCCCTGATGGGACAGCCAGGTCAGCAGGTCCGTTTGCAAAGGGGACGCTTGCGTGGGGCAGAGCAGCCAGTACGCCACTGGCCACGGATATGGTTTACTGCTGACTGACCGAGGTGTCGTTCGGTGGACGACCCTTGGTACCTGGGTGCGCGAGGGTGTGGGGTGGCGCATGGCTTGCAACGCCATGGCCAGCACACCCATATCTCCAGAAACATTATTGTCTGACCTGAAGAGCGCTCCGCAGCTCGGTGTGCGGTGAACGACGACGACGACGACGACATCACAGATACAGATCAATTCCGTCCTCGTTCTCCCATCTTTGCAGACGGTCACGAGTGCTGAGGGTTTAGCCGACGAGCGACAAACCTTGCGTTCGCTTTGAGACCAACCAGACCATCATCAACATCTCCCTCGCATCAGTCGCTCGGGATCGACCTGGAACGCTGCGTCAAAGGAACAGCACGGCAGTCACCACGGACAGCCGCGAGTCGGCAGCGCCGACATGGATCGCAATCCTGCGTGAGTTTGGAAGAACACAGCCGTCGCTGTGCCCACAAGTTCCACTCGACTCTTGCATCCACACTGTACACTGTCCGCAGAAGGACAAGTCGCTGACACCATCCAGCTGCATCCTGTGCCGCGGTGTCAAGGTGCGCATTTGACTCTTTGTTGGTTTGCTGACAGCCAGGTCAAGTGCGTCAATGACAATGACCTCAGTCAACCGTGCCAGCGATGCCGTGCGTCCTGCCCAGCCGCAACCATCCAGTCCCCGTTCATCCGCTGACCAGTGCAGGCCGACTGGATGTCCCATGTGCATACTCGAAAAAGCGCAGACGCTTAAAGGCTGGAGAACGGTGCGTCAACATGCGTTTGCGAGTGGAGGAGCTGGCGGCTACTGACAAAGCACAGTGCAGCTGAATCATTGATACCGGCGACAATCCATCCTTCGTCGTCACTCACCTCAGACCGCGAGCGTGCAGGACCTACGTCCTCCTTGCCCGTCTCCGCCATTGCAGCAGCCGACACCCCAGGCCATCTGTCGCACCCTCACTCGCACGGACAGTCGCCGCTCGGGGGCGTCGGGCCGTCCGTCACCGAGTCCCATTTGCGGCGTACCCTCCCACGCGCGTCGGCCATCCCCGACGATGCAGACAGCGCAAAGGGAACATGGCATGAGCTCGAGATTGCTACAGGCGTCGAGGCAAGTCTTTCCGTGTCGACCGGCCGCCAAAGGCGCAACCTGTTGGACGATCCAAGTGAGTAACAGTTGTTGCGCGGACACGGTCAACTTGGCTAACCGACCGCCCGCAGTCGTTGTCGGATACCTGACCGAACACGAGGGAGCGCGCATGGTCGAGCTGTATCACCAGTACCTCAACCCAGGTATTGCTCTTCTGGACCCCTACCGTACGTGCCCACTGTCTGGCGTGCCCATTTTTGCTGACAGCCCAGTCCATTCATTCACTTACCTCCGCGAGCACTCGGCGCTCCTCCTCTCGGCGGTCCTTGCCGTGACGGCCAAGTTCTTCCACAAGGAGCTGTATCCACGTCTGGGATCACACTCTCAGCGTCTCATATCCCGCGCCGTCGAACAAGGCACGTGTACAACAGCAATCGTTCAAGCCATTCTCATTATGGTCTATTGGAAGGAACCGAGGGACACGTCCGCGTGGATCAAAATTGGACTGGCGATCCGAATGGGATACCAGCTTGGGTTCCACACTGGCAACATTCCAGACACGCCCCTCGACGACGAGCTTGCGCTACGCGAAAAGCTAGACCGGGAACGAACGTGGTTCGGTGAGCTCGACTGGCTTGACCCTTATCAGCACGTGCTAACCATTTAGCGTTGGTAGCGTTTGACAAGACGTAAGTAGTAGAACGTCAGCCAGTGCTGATCCCAAAAGTTATGCTGGTACATTCAACCTCCCAAATGCCATCAAGGACAGCGAATATGGTGACGTGAGTCCATTGCCGTGGGAGCGAAGCGCACACTGACTGCGACAGATGGAACAATGGATCAACGACCATGGCCACTTGGACATTGACAATGACTTGCGCCTGTGCTGCTCCTTGGAGTGAGTGTACTCTGTGTAAAACTGGGGCTGATGGTAGAACCCTCGTCTTGTTTGACGGCGTTCGCGCATGGCGAGCCGAATGTCGCGCCTTGTCACCCCGCCAGGCCCTGCTGCAGGTAGAGGGTCTGTTTGATCGGACGCAGCAGCTCTACGCCAAGTGGTGTAACCGCGGCCCAGGTCTCCCGCGCGGTTTGGGCGAACGACAGAAGGGTATAATCACCTTTGTGCTTCGACACGTACTGTTCCAACTACGCTTTGGCATGCTCAACTTTGTTCCACCAGAGCAGGTTGAGATGGTGCTTTCCGAATGTGTCGACCGCGCCGCAGCCTACATTGAAATCCTGCGCATCGTCACACGCAATGGCACATGGTCGTTCCAGCAAGACATTGCCAGCGTCAAGACGGCTGCTTCTGTTGTCAGCATGCAATCGGTAAGACTTCATCCCCGCTCATGTTTGACTAACACTTCCTTCAGCTATACTACCGTGTATCCAGTGAACAGCGTCCCATCGTCCTCGGCATCATACAGGAGATGCACCAATTGTGTGTCAACGTCGCGGATAACCAAGCCAACTCGCCTAGTGCGTTCGTGGGGCGTTTCCTCGAGAAGGTTCTCAGCAACATTGAGGCTGGGATATTGCAGGCTGAGGCTGAGGCCGCGGCAGAGCAAGCTCGAGTGCAAGCGCAAGCCGCAGCCCAAACCCAAACCGAAGTGTCAATGGCTACACTTCTCGCCACCAAACGGTCGCGCTCACCGACCCCCGAGGTACCTGTCGCAGCCTCAGAGTCGAGCGGCCCGGTCGACCATCTCGTATTTGGCGACCTCACAGAGTTCCTTGGCATGACTGGCATGTCGCTGGGTGACACAGGCTCGACCGACGAACAGTACTGGTCTTCACTTATGGCAACCCTCCCCCTCAGCATCAACGACTTTGTGTAGCAATAACCTCTATATTCATGCAACTGTGTGTGTATCATCAACACCTGAAGTTGGCAGTCGTGGACTCATGGATCGTCTCCTGTTGTCGTCATGACGGCACTGACGACCAAAGAGAACATCCTGATTGGTACATTGGACAATTCACAAGAGTTTGGTATGGTATGGTTCTGCTCTACTTGTAACTTCTGCAACCCGTGTTCCTCATTGATGCGATGCGGAACCCTTCTCAGGCAAATAAGACGTCGTTGAGAAGCTCGGGACGGTGGATGTGGAAGGCCCGGGCTGTGACGATGAGCCCGCATGGCCACCCTCGTCCCAAGCGGGCACCTCGACAACCGCATCCTCCATGGCAGCCTGGTACGACGGGGCCTGCATTTCATAATCGTATGCGCCGCCCGAGCCGGATGGGCCGCTACTTGGGAATGGCGTCACTGCTGGGTATCCGCCGGCGGTCATCATCGGTGCCATTTCGGTCTTGTCGAGGTAGTTCGAGTAGGTTGATGGCGACGATGTCGATGTAAGCCGGCCGAAAGACTTGCGCCATGTGGTGCGGCTCGCGCCAAAGTGCTTCAACACATAAATGGTCTCGAAGAGTACCATGGCGAGAATGAAGAGGGTCCAGATCCAGCCGACAACGAGGCAAACGTAATGGCCGATAAGCAAGCCGTAATACACATACCAATACGAGACGCTCATAAAGCCCAAGGAAACGAGTCCGCCCAGCGCAATAGCGCCAAGGAAAGTCACGTCGGCCATTGTGCTCACGAACCAGGCGTCTGGTTTCTTTTTGCGCACGATGCGACTCAATTGTCAGCAAATCGTCTCTGGCACTTTCCGCTTACAAGGCAATAAGGTAGATGCTGGACAATGTGGCGATCGCAAACGGGATGATGACGATTACATACATCCATGGGCCATGGCTACCGCTCCACGAGTCTAAACCTGTCACTCCGTCAGCTTATTGACCCCAAAGAAACACTCACTGTCCCATATTGCCAAGCCACTAACAGCACCGAAAGCTAGGAAACACGCGAGGGACAAGCCTAGGGCTGTCCAGACGAGGGTGGACTGGGCGCCGTTGGCGCGCTCATGTGACATGGTTGTTGGTTTGGAGGAGGGCTGGGTGTTGAACAAAGAGGGGAGATCGTATAGTGGTTTGTTCGTCCACTTGGGCTCATAAAGACCGATTTTGCCATGCCGCGCTCACTGTCAGACTCGTGACGGCATCGCACTTGTCAACAGGACGGCGGTGGGCACAGCCTTGACGAGCCAACCTACCATGGCTGTGTCTGGGCAGGGGAGCACGCGGGGTTGAATGACTGTTGCATGGACTGGTTGAACGCGCTTCCCGCGGTTGGTGCAGCCGCAGAGGAACAGACTGGAGACGACTCCTGCCAGGGCATCCCCCTCATGTTACACCAGACGAGAGAACCCAACGGAAGTCAGTCGTGAAGCATCCTGGAGGCAACGATTCCCAGCTGTCTGTACTGTACATATGCAGAAGGCTCGCCAAGCCTCTCGACAGGACCGGACCGCAGACCAGAGGCATGAAGTTGGAGGGCAACTCAGTGATCAGTGATCAGTGACCGATCAGCGACCACATTCCTTTCTGCCCTGTCCTTATGCTGAACCGCCCCGATGGTTACAAGCCCACCCGTTCCATGCATGCAGCACAGAAAGGAACACAATGATCTTACTACACATAAAGCCTACTATCCAGTCGTTGCTGCTGACACGATACTCTCACCGAATGGTATCTGATTTGCGGGCTTCGATGTCATGAGTAGACGCGACGCGTCCTTTCCGGGTCCGCTGTTGCAGCGAGTTCCGCAAAGGGTCTTTTCCAGGTCGCCCAGTCTCTCCCATGGTTATCCAGTACCCAGATGGTTTCGTACAGGAGAACACCAAAGAGGAACATGGCCCAGACCCACCCCACAATCGTGGTGAGCATTGCCACCGCCCGCGGTCGTGGTTGTGCCACCTCCCAGAGACCAATCGAAGGCGTGAAGGCGCCAATTGACCCCAGACCACCAAGGGACAGTATAGTGAGGACAACCACGTCGGTTAGGGCTCTGAACATTGTCCACAGCGGCCGGGTTAAGCGCACGATGAAGCTAGCAGTCAGCACAGTGCCCACTCTAGGGAGTCCTTACAAGCTCGTAAATAATGTTAATGCCAAGAAGGCAATCGCACACAGAGGATAGACAGCCATCACGCTGGGGTTGCCTGAGCTATCAGGATAGTTGGGAATGTTGTTAGGATCTGCGTGGAACACCTCGTCTGGCTGTCAGCGGGGATGCTGGGGCATCGTGGTGGCAGATATGTGATCACGGTCTGAACAATAGAATTCGATATCTACTCACGATACCGATTGATGTACGCGATGCAGAGTCCCGAGGTGACCACGACGGGAATAGTCAACCCAAGGGAGATCCCGAACAGAATTGTATGCGTTCTGCTTGGTGTCATGGCGGATGGGTACGCCACGGATATTACAGGTCGTTCGATGTGTACGAGTGAACTGCCGCTGGTGGACCAACTGCTTGACCAAGTCGTGTAGAAGGATGACGGAGAAGAAGGGGACTCCTATCCACTCGGACTGGAGCTTATGGACACCAGTGTCTCATAGAAAGCCTGACGGTTCAGCGTCGCACATTCATCCATCTGATCAGAAGCTCCCCAGGTTTCGTCTCCTATGCTGGATTTCCATGTCTGCTCCCCAAAGATGAAGATATGATTTGCTTTCGCCTGTCTGCAGATGGTGCCCTTGACCAGGGATGAGATGTAAATGAACCGCCAGACGTGAGCCGAAGCTGTGCCACAGAGACTGTTTGGGGTCTCCAATGGTGGATGACGTGAATCCCGACCCGACGGGTCGTGTCCCCTGGTGAACATTGCCGATGGAAGTTGTTGAAGACAATCCCTCTCGCATCCCACCTTCGCAGGTGCCGACTTGTGAACTCTGGGTTGAAGCTGGAAGGAACACTTGGGTTATGCAGTGGGTAGCTTGAGCGTAGACGAACCCGCATGTTCAGTACTGTGTAGCACACTCAATACAAAGGTGACATGCATGCATGCGTCTATTCAACCATGCTACACCTCCATGAAAGGCCTGCTCACTGCTGTTCCGTTGGAGCCAGCACCGTGGTTGCGACCACGGGAACGTGCCGTGCACTGTTCCTGGATAGCCTGTCCCGCCGGTTGCAATTGGCGTGCGTGGAGCGACAACTGGATATCATCAGAACGTGTGCACGACAACACTGTGCCGTGTTTCACGAGGGCCGCATATCCCGGTAGGCCTGCGTTTGAGATAGATTCATACCCAACAAGTCAATAGGTTAGGTTGAGCGGCACGAGCGGACAGCATTGTCACGTTGCTGTGCAACCACGAGTCGGTGCGGACTGCATGCCAAGCTGGAAACCCAGCTACATATGTACGGCCTATTCTCTCATGTAGTGTTCTACCTGCGACACGGTAACAGTCATTCATACTCCTCACTGAAAGCTCCACTCCAACATCGACAACTAGCCGCTCTAACAGAAACCACTGCAACGCGACCAACTCTGCACCACTCTCAACCAACCATGGTCGCTGGGAGGGCTCGAGCGAGCAAGGCCCTCACGTGGCTCTACGCTTTTGCGCTTACACTTTCTCTTCTCATCACCGCCGGGGCAGTGCCTCTGATCCTCACGGTGGCCGCTTTACGTGAGTGATATAACGAGCAGATATGCCGCAGCGTTGTTCGCTGTGGATATCACCACTTTGATCCTGGGAGGGTGAACTGACAGGTGCTCCTAGACGAAGTCGAGCCGGGCGAATACCCCAACTATTTGACAGACACCAAAGGTGGTGGCGTTGCAATCTTCGGGGTTGCATTCCTGTCATTCCTCTACGACATTGGCTAGTAAGTTTCTTCACCGTTTGCCATGGTGTTGCTCCGCGAGACTGACCGACACAGTCTTATAGCACGCCGCGCTGGTGCGAAATTATCCTTCTTCAGCATTGCCACTGAGCTATACATTCTGGGAGCGATCTTTCTGACCGCAATCATCACGGTCGGAGTCTTCACTTCTGTTGCGTTGGGATGGGTCAGAGATGTCACGAACAGCCTTCCATCAGACAAGTGGAGTCAATGGGGGATCGTGAGCCCCACTGCCAGTGCGATTGCGGGTATTGGATGGTTGTGGGTTGCTGTCCTCCTCGGCACACTGCTTTTCGAATCCATCTACACTTTGATCCACCATGGACGCAGCCCACAAGTCTGGAAACGCTCGTTCGACCAGGTTACCCAAAAAGTCGTCCCTGGAGAATACCAATACCCAGAGATTGACAAGACGGAGGTGATCCCCATGATCGATGGCTACTCGCAGTCACCATACTCCAGGGGCGAATACGAGCCTCAAGCACCGACGTACGAAGAGGTGATGGCCGACGACACACTCAACATGACCATGCCGACCTTTACATCAAACATGGGTGCATCGTCGTCCGCGTCAGGAAGCTCCGTCACCGACCAGACGAGCAATGCCAGCTACCTCTCAGCCGGCGCCGCAAGTCGCACAGTGTCTGAGAAGGGCAAGCGGGTGTCTATGGTCGCTGTCAATAGAGTGTAATTGTCGAGCTGAGCAATGTTTGTATCCCAAGGCCCCCGTCATGTACCGTGCTCTGCATGTTAGTGCTCTAGGTTAGTGTCTCGTGAGGCTTCCCTGTCAGCGTCTCCGTGCGGTAGCTCAGCTCATGCTGAAGGGTGATGCCATGATGTGCTCTGCCTCGCTCGCTCTCTACGCCCAGTCGCTCCACCTCTCCAGCCCTGTCGTCACCTTGCACCCATCTGCGAGGCCCTGGGCCACGAGCTCGGCACCGAGAACACAGTCGTTGACGCTCACGCCGCCATACCCTGCGCCAATGACACTGAGCTTGCCAGCCCAAGAATCGTCGTCCAAGGGATCGCGCGTGATGACCTCGTGCAGTTCGCGTAACCGTCCACCGTGGCCGGGAGCATATGTCGGAATACAGTTGGTGTTCAAGTGGGGCACGACAAGTAGGGGGTTGACGGTCGCTAGCCGGGGGAAGACCTTGAACAGGTGCGTAAGCGCAAGTGTACGCAGTTCGTCGTGGTTGGGGATGGGCACGCGACCAGACGAGTAGGACGACCAGTAGGGACCGCCGAGCATGACGGTCAACTTGGTCACTTTGCCCTCGAGACCGCCGTCGTCTGTGCCGGGAAGGGCCGTCGAGTCGAACACCACTCCCAGGGCGCCTTCCGGGTTGCTTGCCACCAGCGAGGTGCTTCGTGGGATAAGGTAGCCAAATCCTTCGGGGTGGACTGCCGAAGGGGGGAGCGGATAGACAACGTTGACCACGCCCACAGTTGTTGAGGGGTTTGCGTTGAGATGTGGGAGAGGAGACGTTGCCGGAAGGAGATGGTCGAGGTGCTTTGGAGGGAGAGCGGCGACGACGTGCTCGGCTGCAAGTGTCTCGCCAGACTTGAGAGTGATCTACAGAGTCAGTGCGAGTTCAGACAAGAAGGGGGGGGGATTGAGTGAAACCCACCTTTACACCATGTTCTTGTGGATCCAGGCGAGTCACGGTCTCGTGCGTGCGAACAACCGCACCATGTCGCGCTGCCCCGACTTCGAGCGCCTGTGTGAGGCCCTCGATACCTCCTCTCAAACCATACATGCTCCAACCCTTCCTCTCGTCCCCCAGCGGCCCCAGCTGAGCCCACGCGCGGGCCTCGGCGGCCTTGTCCTCTTTACTCCTCGCGCCGAGGAGCATGCCGAGGACGACGCTGCCGTACTTTTCCTCGGCCGCGTGCAGAATACCAAATGCTGATCGCAGACTCAGCTTGTCAGGGTCTGCAGCGTAGATGCCATGCACAAAGGCCGAGGCCACGCCAGCAGCGTCGGGTCCAAAACGGCGAGCAAAGAACGAGCCGACGCTCTCGTCTGTCACGTCCGCGGCGGCCGCACCACCTCGTGCGCGGAAGGGCTCGAGGAGTGCGCCCCGGATGAGAGCCTTGACTGGTGCAGGGGTGTTCCAACCCAGGCCGACACGCTTGAGCGCTGCGGTGTCCGTGTCCAGGAGGTAACGGTTCTGAGCTGCAGGGTGCGAGTTTGGGATGGGAACAACGTCGTCACCGAGTCCGACGTCGTGGATCAGCCCCAGCATCTTGGCGGCACCGACGCCTCCTTTTGGTCGGATACTCCTTGGGCCAGCTTCGCATGTGACAGTTCCCTCTTGCCTCCGCCCATGCTCGTCGACAAACGCGACACGGTGTCGTCGTGAGCGGACCCATCCGCCTAGTCGAGGTGCCGAGTCGATGAGGGTGACGCGGTGCAGCCCTGATGCGGCGAGGCGGTACGCGGCTGTGAGACCTGCGAGGCCACCGCCAATGACGGCCACAGTGCGCGGGGTGCGGAGCATGGGTTTGGTGGTTGCTTTGGATCGTTTGGAAATGGGAGCGATGTGGAGGATTGATGAAGACGGGAAGGGGGATGTGGACAACAATGGTGGAGGTTGTGAAATTCGCCGCCGCTGCTTGCCGAGACGTGGACCGATGGTGACAAACATCTGGGATCTGGGAAGCGACATGGCCCGAGAAAACAATAAAGCCCTATGCATGATCTCTACAACTCCCCCGCACATGGTCCCCTCTGCTCTCACTGGAGGAGGCCGAGCACACCGTCCAGTGCAGCCTTCGATACCTCTTCACGCGACTTTGAAATGTCGACCACCACCACTCCAGCCTCGGCGGAAGGGTCCTCCAGAGTTGCCAGCTGCGACGCCAGCATCGATGGCTTCATAAAGTGGCCCTTGCGGGCAGCAATGCGCTCGGCCAGCAGCTCGGGGGTGCCCTTGCAGTACACGAACACGGTCTCCATCTTGGGCTGGGCATGTCAGCTGGGTGTTATCCGGGGGGAAGGAGGAGGAGGAGGGGGAGTGGGGAGGGAAGGTGTACGAAAGGTCATGGTCAACGGCGGCTGGTCGCACGACCACCGATCGGCAGCGGCGACGACAGTGTGGCGGCGACAACGAGCGCCGCTTGAAATGCGTGCAGGAGCATCATGCCCCGGCGGCAAGCTGCACTCGTGCCAGCATCCCATCCCGTCCACCATCCCATTCCTGCCCACCTTGCCTTCTTCGCTGATACTCACTGGGGTTGTGTCCTTGACCTCTGCGTCGCCGCGAAGGATATTGCGGTACCACTGCTTGAGTGCCGACGAGGGGATGACGACTGCTGGCCTGCCCAACTTGCCAAGCTCACGGGGGGACTTGTCCCACTGCTCGCGACAGACCTTCTCTCCGGTCGAGCGGATGACCTGGAGCCAAGGCAGGCGGTCCTCGTCGGTCAGGGGAATGCCGGCGCTCATCTTGGCGACGTTGGCGGCGGGGTGCAGGTCATCGCCGTCAATGAAGGGGATGGAGAGGCTGTTTGCGAGGTCTGAGCCGATGGAGGACTTGCCGCTGAGGATGGGGTTAGCACAAGGCGACCTGGGGGCCATGGGGGGCGAGCGGCGGTGCGTACCATGATGCGGGGCCCTGGCGGGAGCGTGAGCGGTTGTTTTTTTTGCACGAGGAGAGAGCGGGGGGTGGGGAAACGTACCATGACGACGATGAGGAGAGGCTTGGCTGTGGAGTAGTCGGCCATGGTGTTTGTGTGAGAGATGTGAGAGAGAGTAAGGTGTGTCAAGATATGGGGGGTTATCCTCGACGGCAGCGGCGATGATGAGGAGAAAACGGACAGCTAGCACTCCCGTTAGTTGCCGCGGATGACCGGTCCGGAACGCCGGCGGCGGCGGGCGCGGCGGGCGACGGGTGGGTGGGGCGGCGGGCGAGTGTGGGGACCGGGGGAACGTCTGCTCCTGTACATGCACAGGTGCATCATGTGCGAGCAGCCGGGGGGCCAGTTGCATGCGCTCTCGTGTGTGTGTGCAGACTGTGGTTGCTTATCGTTATGGTTGTTGTTCTTGACATGCACGTCACCGTCGCCATCGCCGTCGCCGCGCACAGGCTGGAGCCGTCTCTGTTGAGAGCCCCCTCGCCGGCCCGAAAATTCAAAAACGTCATCCCTCGTCCGCCATCCCATCTCTGTCACCCATTCCACCCATCCCCATCCCCATCCCATGCTCCCATTCTCAACCCTCCTCTTGAGGAAATACTACGAGGCTATAGGGTGGAATGAGGACAACCTGTACTCCAACATCACTCGCAGCTCGGCAGGTAGGTCGTGTTCCAACCGTCCATGCCAAGGTAGAGTGAAATGACTGACCTACAGCGTTGATGTGAGTTGTCAACAGTCAACCGCCCCACATTCTCCGACATCGGCGATGCTAGAACGGCGAGGTGGTGGTGTGCTCCACGATGGAACATGGGCGCGTTCAACATAGAGCGCCCTACGTGCCGACGTGGATGGCAGGTCTAGGAAGGGACCGACCAGGTCACCCGGTCACCACATCACTTCCACCCCTCGCTCGCTGTCATCGCCATCGCCTGCCGCGCGGCGTTGCAGTGCCAGGCATACTTTTCCACTCATTGTTTGCCCGCCACGGACCAACTTGCTGACACCTTTCCTCAGAGACTTTCCCGTCCCCGACTCACTCCTCCTCCAGCTCGCCAATGCCCCCACACCCATCTTCTTCACATCATATGCGCTTGACGCCTTACCCCAGCTGAATGGCAGTCTCAACTATGTCACAACAAGCGAGCCTCTTGTGGTGAGTTACGCGAAAGTGTGGTCATGGAACAGACGGAGCGCAGAGTGGAAGCAGTCGATGTGATGCCTCGTTCACCGTCTTGCCATCGCCAGCTGGATGAAGCCTATCAGCTGGAAACCTACCCCGCCCCACTCACAACCTGCTCTCTGGCTCACACTTCCAGGTCGGTCCCTCGCGGTCCATGCCTTTCCGTGAGGTGGTCGAGCGTTTCCGCGTCTACCCAACACCCACCGTCCCGCAACCGAAGGCCGAAATCTGGCAGGGCGGTCGCCGCATCGAGGGGCGCGACTACCTGCTCTACTCGCGCCTACACCTGCCTACCATGCACCTCTCAGGTCTAGCAAGCACACGCATTGCGCCTACCTTGAATGCGCAGGTGGCGTTTGTCCACCAGCCGGCCAGACTCGCACCACCATCGACGGCGAGGCAGGCCGGTGACGCTCCGCCTAAACCTCAACCCGTCCTTCCACCTGGCAACGTCTTGCTGTCTCTGCAGCACGACACGGGACGCTACTCTGGCGAGTACACCTACTCTGCTGCAGATGCCATGTTTGGCTTTAGGGGCCTGTACAACTTTGGCTGGAACCCAGAACCACGTGAGGCGCGAAGCACGGCAAGTGGCGGTGAAGCGACGTCGGGCGACAGCAAAGTTCGCGTGGACGAGGAGGAGATGATGGACGGCGGGTTGAGAGGCCGGTTCAGTGCTGGCGGAGAGGTCTTCTTCAGCATCAAGCAAAAGAGTCTGGGTGGTGAGTTGCATGACTGCGTGCCAGAGTGACATACTAACTGCTGCAGTCTCCACTGGCGTCCGCTTCACCACGCTGCCCCCCGCTGCCGGTCCCAACGCTCCGCCCCCGTCGCCACCCACCACCATCACCGTCCTCTACAACCCACTCATTGGCTTCCTGTCCACTGCCTACGCAGCACAGGTATCGCCCAACGTGTCACTCGCAACACGTTTCGGCGTCAATGTCTACTCTTACGAGTCGGACTTTGCCATCGGTGGCGAATGGTGGGTGGGTCGTCGGCGTGGACGCACCAATGGGCCCGTGGTGGAAATGACCCCCGAAGACCGGGCGGTTGCTGCCAAGAGACGGACTCTGGGCGGCCGGCTGCGCGACAGCCCCGACGACGAGGTGGACGTCGACCTCGACTTCGAGACGACACTGACCCCCGTCGAGCCAGATGAGGTTCACCTCGCGGACCTTCCCCCAGGTCTGGCGCGTGCACGGATGAGCCGCGCAGCGGTCCTCGCTGCCGAGGCAGATGCAAGGGAACGGGACAGGGAGCGCGACGGCGTGCTCAAGGCGAGGTTGTCGGGCAACTGGTCGCTGGCTCTCTTGTACGAGTCTAGGGTCCGCAACTGTCTCGTGTCCGTGGGGTTGATCACGGACCTGCTGAGCGGTACGGGGAATGCGATCAGAAGTGTGGGGTTGGAGGTTCAGTATTACTCGTGAGAGAGGGGACATGTAAGATACTATGTTTTTGCACCAGTGGCCAGTGGTCAAGTGGCTCCCAGGAAGTGAACAAATGAACAACATGTACATGTAGATATGGGGTTGTCGCCTCGCATGCGAGGCGACAGTATGTGGGTCGATGAATGATCACCTCTCGGTGGCCGTGCAAGTAGGGGATGGGGTGGTGGACGGGTCGGGCAGCTCTACGCAACCACCTTGGCCGTCTCCAACGGCGTCGGCGCGCCCACAGTCGTCGCGACATCCTCCTTGGCAGCGACCTCCTTCAAGCTGGCCGCCAGCCCCTCGACATGCGCGTCCCGCAGGCCCATCTCCAGCAGACCCTTTGCCAAGTTGAGGACATAGTCTGCGTTCTTGCCCGACTCTCCCCTCGCGCGCGAGATCTGTGCGACCATTTGTGGGTGCGCGACGGGGCCGAGGTAATAGTCGTTGGTCGGCGACGCAATGTACGTTATTGCGCGCACAATGTCGCCAGCGGTCGAGTCTTGCAAGAGCGTGCCGGCCGGGGTGACTGCCGTTGTAAAGTCGACGTCGAAGCGAACATAGCCGCCGCGTTCGCGGTGGTCGAGGTAGGCCATGACTTCGTCCTCGTGTTCCAGGTGCAGGCGGTACGCGACCCCCCAGCATATCTCGCCCTCGCTCGGGACGAGGGTCACAACGCGGCCCAGCTGGCTGGGCGTGCCGCGATGGTCTGGAGAGCCTTGCCAGAATCGCCGGGTGTGGTCAACCACCCAGCCCTCGCGGCGCTCGGCGTAGGGAAAGTCGGGGCGCCAGATGATGGAGCCGTAGCCAAAGATCCAAGTCATGGGAAGGGTGGGTGTTGTGATGTCGTGGGTGGGTGGGTGGCAACAAGTGGATGACAAAGTTGCGCAGCGATGAGGTGGAAGGGGTGGTGACTAATGCGTTATGTGGACAGCGGACGGGGTGTTGTGGATGCTGTCTGTGGTGTCTGAGCGACAGGTGGAGATGGAGAATGAGATGGAGAACGAGCGTGCAAGAGTGAGAGTGAGAGAATTATGTAAACTAAATGTAAAATACGCAGCCGACGCTACCATGTCGCACGATTGCGCGATCGCCGACGACGACGGCAGCGTACGGCACCGAGGGGACACGGAGCGAGCGGAGATACAGCGGAACTGGGTTAATCTCGGCGTCTGAAATGTCCTCCCTCGCTTTCGCCTCGCGTCCATCGCTCGCGCTCGCTCCTCTCGGTACCTCTGTCAACGCTGTACGCTGTGACGACAGCAGCTGCGTGTGGAGCTGTTCTTGGGAACTAGCCCTATACCTCACGGCGACCGCACATGCACAAAACCACAGCCCACAGCCGAGATATTGACGTCCAACATGGCGTGCTTTGACTGGATCAAGGCGTGTTCTCGCTTCTCAATACGTGTACGTTCCTCTTGCTCCCTCCCGCTCCCGAGCTCTGTCGCGAGCTGCTCTCTGACACACTCGTCGCGCACCCACATGCTCCTCTCTCCAAACCCAAACTCGCAGCCAGCGGCTGTCAAGTGGTTCTCTCCTCACGGCGTCGTATCCCTGGGGCGTGCACTATTGCATCCCTCTGTCCGTCTGGGGCTGCTTTTTTAGATTCTGTCTATTGGAGGCTCTTGACAAACGCAGTCTCGAGCTTGTTCACCTCGGCCTTGAAGGCAGCGACGGCCTGCCAGCAGTCGAGGGGAGTGTTGGGGTTGGCCCTGCGGGAGCAAGTCAGCGTCGACGGTTGCGGGGGATTCCAGCTGCAGCCTGGTGGCACGGGGAGGAACAGGCTGCGCGCATGGGACAGCGTAGCGAGGCAGCTGTGAGGATGACAGGTGCACATCCAGCAGGCAAGGGAGTGGTGGCTCCATTTGAGGGGAGACTCTCTCCCGCCGTTCCACAGCTCGACCCCAAGTCAATGATGGTTGGTCGATGGTGGGCCCACAATGACCACCATCCCCGCCGCTGTCTCCTCCCAACAATGATCAGGTCGCGCGGCCTTGTTTCGCCGGTCCATTGCCCCCGACACGCGTGACCTGGCGCATTCGGTACTCACGCATAACAAGCCACAACACCCTCCTTGGCGGCCACCAGCTCGGGGCTCTCCTTGCTGGCACGCTCGGCAGCCATACGGGTAACCTTTTCGCGGACCTCCTCAATGTCGCGGCCGAGCACCTCCGATGACAAACCCTTGTCCTTGTCAAGGTTTTCCTTCTCCAGTGCGGACGAGATGGACGACAGAATCTCAGCCTCCTTGGTACGCAGCGCGGCCGACTCGGCGGCGAGGCGGCGGCGAACCAGCTCGTCGGTGCCCGTGGCGGGGGCCGAGGGAGAGGCGGGGGTGGCGAGGCGCGAGATCAGCGAGGGGGCGAACTGCAAAGGACGTTAGCTTGGGGACATTTTGAGTTTGTTATGGAAGACCAGTCGTGCGCTCGCGGGAGCGATTGACCAACGACGGGCTCGGAAAGACCAAAAGAATTGGCCCCTCGTCTGTTGCCGTTTCCAGCTCACCTCTACGCTTGTGCCCTCGGCCTGCGGTGTGACGACGTGGTCGGCCTGGGGAGATGACTGCGCGGCGCCCATGGTGTGCGGTTGTTGTTGTAGAGGGGTGTTTTAGACAGTGAGCAAGGATCGTTCGGCAGCGAAGAGAGGCGACGGTCCGATCCGCGGCGACGGGCGGGCAGATGGGGTGGAATTTGATTCCGCGTTTCCGTAATAGTCGCGACTGCCCCCAGGCTTCAAGCAAGACGACGTTGAAGCCATACCAGTGAAGAATGCATGTATACATATGCTCTGTCTCTACGTCTCCTCTCTACAGTAACGCCCACAAACATCTGTCATCTGCCCTAATCATCCTTGGCAGCTCCCTTGGCGGAAATGGCCATACGCTCCACCACCCGGGTGGTCCGCTGCTTGACCGCCGCCTCCATCTCCTCTTTCAACACCGAGCACGCTGCCACACCAAGTCGCAGCATCTCCTCGAAACGGTCCACATGCAAACGTGTCTCCATCTGGGCCAAAGTCACACGTCCCGACTCGGGCAGAGCAGCGACAACAAGGGTGGGCAGGTCGGACTCTTCGGGGGCCGAGAGATCCAGCATGGCCTGTTTCAAGTGCAGGCCCACAGAGACTGCGGTGACATAGTCGAGCATCGAGATTCCGGCGTCGATGAGGGCAAGGGTGACGGCGTTGATGGCTGTAGGGAGAATGCCTGACGATGTTAGCGCTCATGAGCAACCCGGTGAGTGGAGGAGGGGCGTGGGGTCCCAGAGGGACCGACCATTCAGCCCACCGTCCCCTCGCTTCTGCACAACTTTTCACTCACCTCCGTCAGCAGCCAGGACCTGGACCTGTACGGTAATCTCGGAGCGGGGGTAGAGGTGGGTGAGGATAACGGGCTCGAACGTCTGCCTGATTGCCGCTCCGATTTCGAGGAGGCGCCTGAGGGAAGAGAATCAGTTCAATGCCAACGAGTGTAGGCTATCGGACGGAAACACGCAGCTGATTCCAGGAGAACAGCCAACGGCCAGAGTGGGCAAACTCGATTTGAGATATGCACTGGAGCAAGGCGAGCGAGGATGTGACAGCTTCGTTCGCAGCAGCCGCAGAGGATCACCACTCTTCCTAGCTCCAACGCCTTATTCGTCGTTTGGCTTGTTGCAGTAGCAGCCTTCCGCAGCTGTGGTTGCGTTGTTTCTGGGTCGACACTCACTTGTCGCCACGACTCCTGCTGCCTCCTTGGCCCTGCGCCCAAGGGACGACACCGACCTCGACCACGACGCTGGCCTTGTCGTGTGCTGCGGCTGCACGCTGGCGAGGTTCGCGGGGACCGAATACTGATGCCTGGACTGTGGTGAGGCCCTGGGTGACTTGTGCTGAGCCGTCTGCGGTTGGTGAGGGCGAAAGGGAGAGGGCGAGGGAGCGGAGCTCATAAGGACGACGGTTGTCGTGGCGGAGACCTGCGGGTGGGGGCAGTTAGGAGAGAGAGGGAGACACACATGTGGTGTTGGTACACACCTGCGAGGTTGAGGATTTCTAAGCGGGACATGGTGAGAGGCTGAACTGGATGGGGTGTGAGTGGTTGAGGGGGTTTGATGTATGTCACAATGTGTGCTTGTTGTCGATGAACGCAAAGAGTGAGAGATCTTGCCGCCCTGCGAAACCTTTAACGGCGGGGATGGAATAAATAGAGAGTTCCTTTGCCGCCGCCATCGACGCGTTGGACGGGGTGCGCCGAGATGACATCGAGCCGGGCAGGGACATCGAGAGTGAGCGAGAGCAGCGTCGTCGTCTTGCACTTTTATATAAACCACCCACCCACACACACACAACATGAGTCTGGTGAGTAGTATTCAGCAGGTCTAGCTGTCTACCCCCGACCTGACACCTGGCCCCTCCTTTCTGCAGCTTCCCCCCGAGGACGAAGGTGACGGAATCGAGGTTGCGTGGGAGGACCAGCAGCGCATCAACGCGTTCTCAAAGTTCAACACAAGGCTCGTGGACATCCAGGACCAGCTCAAGGCAAAGATGGTGCGTACAATGTGTTTTTGAGGGACCTCTGCTAGCTACCTGTGTGGCCAGCCACTGGCGACCAGCCGACGCAGCCGACACCTGCAGCCCACGCGGCGGTGACGGCCTTCCTGGGCCTACCTTCCCTCCTCCTTCCCTTCCCTTCCATGCAACGCACTCCCGAACTGACATCCTATACAGGAGGAGAAGGAGTACTACGACGACCTCCAGATGGAGCTCGAACTTGCCGACGACGCCGACCCCGTCCTCTACAAGCTCGGAGAAGCATTCTTCTCCCTGTCCTTGCCAGCGGCCAAGAAGCAACTGCGAAAGGACACCAAACGCTATGACAGCGAGATTGCCGGGTTGAGGGTTAAAGCAGACGAGTGCGAGACGGGCATGAAGGAGTTGAAAGTGCAACTGTGAGTAACGCCGGCTTGTGCTTCTGTGCTTCCAAACCCCTTCGTCTGAGCGACTGCTCTCAAGGTGGTCTGGTCTTTATTGTCAGAGCTGACGATACGGTCCAGATACGCAAAGTTTGGCAAGCAGATCAACCTCGAGACCGGACCCGAGATCTAGACTGCTTCAGTCTGCATTTCTAGATCAGGTGTCCCGGCAAGTCGACAAGTCACCAGTCGACCCCCACGTAATGTCACACAATCGCGGTCGGCTCTCTTGCCCGCAGGTTTAGTTTCTATGGCATGGTGTGCATATGGATACAGGTGTTGCTGTTGCGTAGCGGCGGTGTTGTCGCTAAATGCTGGTGTGTGTGTGTGTGTGTGTGTGTGTTTCGTTTGAGTATGCGCTCTGCGCTCACTCGTCGGCCTCCTCACCCTCCCCCTCGCCCTTGGCCCTCCGCTTAACCTTTTTGACGCGGTTGGCCTTCCTCCTCCTCTCCTTCTCCCAACGCAGCTCGGCCTTGGACCAAGTGCGTGCTTCCACAGCGAGCTTCTCCTTGCGAGTAACCTTGACGGGTGTCTCCTCAGCAACAACGTCACCATCGACGGCAGCCACGTTCTTGACCTCGTCACGAGGCCCCGCCAACACGCTGTCCACGCCTTCCAACTCGCCTCGCACACGCATGAGGTCGAGCCGCTCTTTCAGGATTTGGCGCGCGACAACGCGGTTCTGGGCTCTGGAACGCGTCGGTTGGGCCTGTACACGGATACCCGTGGGGATGTGGATGAGGGAGACGGAGGAGTTGGTCTTGTTAATTGCCTGTCCACCGGGGCCACGGCCTGGAATGGTGTCAGCCCAGGACGGCGAACGCGGGGGCGCGAAACCAAAGTCTGCTTGTGTCTCTGTAGCTCTCAGACATCACAGCCTGTGGCTTGGGCACGCTTCTCCTGTGACACTTGTCCCAGAGAGCTCGACATTGCCAGGGTCGCAACCGATGCAAAAGGATGGGGCTTGCAACCTACCTCGCACAAACTTCTCCTCGAGCTCCGTTTCGGGGATGTCTGGCGATCGATGGCGGCTCAACAGGCGGTTGAGGTGCTTGATAGAGTGTGTCTTGCGCGGACGTCCATTGCTGTAGTTCTTGCTCGAACCCGCGGTAGGGCTGGGAGCTGTGGGCTGCGGAGGAGCTGGTCAGCACATGGGAAGAGGCATGACATGGCCAGACGTAAATATCCGCGACACCCACAAGAGACACAAACACGCCGTCCTGGATCTCCTCTCCCTCCCATTCCGCTGCTTCCTCGGTGCCCACTTCAGCCTCGTCAAAGAAGTCGGCGGACAGTTGATCCTCTGTGGGTTCGGGTGCTGGAGGAGGTGGTTTTAGCGGCTTCAATCGCGGCCTGTGACCGTGCTCGGAATTGGAGGCCGACCGCTGGCACGCCAAGTGGCTGGCGAGAGACACGGGACAGAGTGAGAGATGTGCGTGCGAGGGCGAAGAGGGGACGCATGTTGTGTACGAGGGTGGTGGCCGCCATGGGTATCATGGCGCATTAGGTGACGGGATGTTGCAGCGACGAGAACGCGCTCCGACCCAATGCGCCGAATAGGCCGGGGGGGGGGGGGGGGGGGGGGGGGGGCGTTTATGCCCATTAGAAATTGGAAACCCAATCGCCACCCGTTCCATTAGAAACCCGCGTGGTCGTAAAGCAAATGCCATTAGCAGTGGTCAACCAACGAGAACGAACGGCCGTGACGATGAGGGGGACGCTCTCGAGCAAGACGCAATCCATACATGCAGCTGGGTTCAGACATTGAGGGGACGGGTGCACTATCACTTACGCGACGTACGGACCGCAGAGGGCCTTGACACGGGGCGGGGGACCAAGATAAATCAGGAAGACCAGGCAGAACAACCTTGTCGCGGTCGTCGTCTGTAGAACCCACATGCCCACATCGGCTTGGTACATGAGCGACGATCAGTGGCCTCACTGAGCCACTGCTGACAGGTTGCGCAAGGCAAAAGGAATACTATTGTAGCTCCAGTCTAGTTGAGACATACCGCAAGTGAGTGCCTCTCAGCGCCCTCTCCGAACCTCGTATGTACAGTAAGTCAGTGAGTATGTACAAGGGCAGCACAATAACTTGGCATCCTCAATGGTTCAACTGTAAATAGCTACCACCACCTGTTAGAACGCTGCACATGTTTGCATGTTAGCCGCGAGCACTCGTGTAGCAGCCGAAAAAAAAAACGTACCCATTTCAGCAAGCCACGAGCCATCGATCACAATGTTCGAGCCGGTCATGTAGGCATTCTGGCACCAGTGTCAGAGGAAGAAACTAGACTCCCAGGGCCAGAGGGCCAAGAGCTACTCACAACAATGACGGAAATGATGCACTGCGCATAGTCGATGGCAGTGCCAACCCTCCCAAACGGGATCCGGTACTCGTCACGCCAGTGCTTTGCCGCGTCGGCGCCGACGTTATCAAAGTCTGCCACGCTCATGCCCTATGCCAGGTCAACCCACAGCACATATATCTTGTACTCACAGAAGGAAAGTACCCCGGGCTGAGTGAGTTGACGCGCACACCGAGACCACGGCGAGCAAATTCCGTAGCTTGCATGAGGGTGAGGTGGATCGTGGCGGCCTTACTCGCATTATAGTTGAACTGACCACGCTGGCTCGTGCGCGTGATGCCGCTCAGGCTGGCAATGTTGACGACGTTGCCTGGTTCCGCGTACCCGCCGACGCTCTGGGAAGCAGCCAGAAGTGGGAGGAATGCAGCAGTAGTAAAGTATACCGAGGTCGTGTGAATGTCATACACCTTGCCCCTAAACAACGTTAGCCCCAGCGCATCATCATAACGAGTCGCGCGTACCAGGTCTCGAATGATTCCTCCAACATGGCAGACGAGAGGCCCTCCGCGGTCTGCGCCGCAGAGTTGAGCTCGGCACGGCCCATGTACACGCCATGGTCTGAGGGTTAGAGGGTTAGCGCGTACCACAGACGACAGCTCTATTATACATACTGTTCACTAGCACGTTGACAAACTTCTCGCGTTCTGACACAAACCTGGCGAGGGCTATGGAGGTGTCAGTCGTGATCCGTCTAGAATAAGGAGCGTACTGAGGATTCCGTCCTTGTTGCTGAGGTCGGCCTGAACAGCCACGATGCATCCGTTTCCCTTGCGGGGCTTGAACTTTGCGGCCTCGGTGATGGGCTCAAGGCGGCGACCTGTGATGTAGACGCGACATCCATTCTCGGCGAGCGCAGTGGCAGTGACGAGGCCGAGACCAGTACCACCACCGGTCACTGTTACGGCGTCAGCGCTAAGAGACCTATGGAAACAGGACTTACCGACAGCCACACGGCCCTCCACGCTGTACAACTTGCCGACGTCTAGAGCGTCAGTGCCGGTCACAGATTGCTGGAGGCTAAGGGAGCTCATGGTACGCTCTGGTTTTGGTTGTTCGTGGGGTGGGCTCGCCAGGACATGCGTTTTATGCCATCGATTTCAACCCAGCCAACAGCCAGGGCCTGCCAGTGGCCAGTCAACCGGTTGCCCATCGTCACGCGGATGACTGGCACCCGCTGGCGTTGTCTAGTCGCCGGCATTTTGCGTGGCAGCAGGCGGAGTCGTTCAGGCCGTCTCAGATATGTGAGGGCAACGGCCAAATCACCGTACTGCTTTTGCACACCGTACACAGCCATGGCATTCATCCATCCTCTCATCGGTGGATCGGTGGCACCGTGGCGCTGAGCGGACACGGTGAAATCCGAAGTCGCTTAATTATAAAACACCGGGTGCAGGCCGTTGTACCGCGTACCGCCGCTGTATTTGGGTACACCAGCGGGCCTCATGGTGCCGCCCATCGTGCCGTGCATCGGACCACAGTTGACCGACCTCTGTGTGCAACAATGACCGTCGTCAGCGTATTGTATAAGCCGTGGCGACTGCGTGTTTCTCGCTACCACATCAACCGTTCTATCCCTCAACCAGCGTTCCCTCCACACCCGCCCGCACCATGTCCGAGATAGGAACTCTCCCGCCCAACGCCATGGAGCAGCACTACAACGGTTTCCAGAAGATTGACTACTCAGTTCTCAGTCCCGGTGCAGCTGAGCTCGCGGACGGGACCAGCAACATCAAGTGCGCCTACACTCCAGAACTGGAGATGAAGATGTTGCTGTTCCAGAAACCGGCCGCTGGTCCCGAAGAGGTGGTGATTCACCTTCGCGCTGCGGGAATCTGCGGGTGGGTGCTGAACAATACCCACACTCTGTACTTGGCGTTCTTGGCTGACACGACCGTACAGTTCGGACGTTCACTTCTGGAAAGATGGTAGAATCGCCGACTCCGTTGTGTCGCAGCCATGTTGTGCGGGACACGAGAGTGCCGGCGAGGTTATCGAAGTGGGAGCCAACTGGAAGGATAAGATCAACGTTGGTGACCGTGTGGCTCTGGAAATGGGAATTCCATGCGGCAAGCCCGACTGCGAAGAGTGCCTATCCGGCGGCTACAACGGTTGTAAGTGCTCCTCATTGCGAGCCACGGCAGCCCTGACACACAAACAGGCCCACACACTGTCTTCTTCAGCACGCCTCCTTACCATGGCACCCTTGGTCGATACCCTGTGCACCCAGGTGCGTGGGTGCACAAGCTGCCTGACAACGTTTCATACACCGAGGGGGCACTGTGTGAGCCTCTCTGTGTTGCGTTGGCTGGCATTGAGCGTGGGGGAGTTAAACTTGCCGACCCGGTAGTAATTGCGTGAGTGCACAAATGTGGAACTCGCCGTTGACTTTCAGTGGCGCTGGGCCGATTAGTCTTGCTACACTGCTTGCTGCGCGTGCTGCGGGTGCGGCTCCAGTTGTTATCACCGACGTCGTCGAGTCGCGACTCGACTTTGCGCGCACGCTCGTTCCTGGAGTACGCACCGTACTCATCAACCCCGCCAAGAGTCCCCAGGAAATCGCAGCCGAGGTCCGCACTGCTGCAGGGCTTCCTGTCAAGATTGTGCTCGAGTGCACTGGCATGGAGAGCAGCATCCATGCCGCTACGTATGTGAGTCACATGCACCACGTCCACAAAAAAAATTGCCTGACTCGCAGATTGTCTCGTTTGGCGGACATGTCCACATCATCGGCGTGGGCAAGAGCATCCAGACCGTAGGTGGTCCTCTTCCCAAAAAGTTCTGACATCACCCAGTACCCATTCAGTAGAGTCTCAGAGGGCGAAATTGACATTTCGTTTCAGTTCCGCTACATTCGTCAGGTAAGTAAATGGTTGGCTTCCAGATGGCCGCTTAGACTGCAGTACCAAAAGGCGATTCGACTCGTGTCTGAGGGGCTCGTGAACATTCTGCCACTTGTCACGCACAACGTTCCACTGGCTGAGGCCGTTTCGGCCTTCAACGTCGCTGCGGACCCTTCGCAAGGCGCAATCAAGGTGCACATTGTAGACAATTAATAATCGTACTTTGTGGTCAAAAGTTTCTAAATTGAAAACAATACATGATACCGTTTGCAAGTGCTGAATGCCATTGACACGCGTTTGCAAGCACACCTCTACCTTTCACTCACGCCGTCGGTCAAAAGGCAAATAGAGTGCATCAAGACGAAAAATCAAAGAACACTGTCGTTTGGAGGCGAAACCGGCGACGATATGTATATATTCCTCCAGCAGTTTTCCCAGTGGTGACAGTCGCTGTGTCTCCCGTGGCCTCTACGTCTCGTAAACTGCAACTATGTCTTGGTAGCAAGTGACACAAGCACCTCGGTACCCGGAAGAAAGAAATACATCGTAGCAAAGCTCATCGGACCTTCAAGTCGAACCCAGCCCAAACGGTTGCGACGAGAACAGCGATTCCCTGGCACATCAGAACTACTTCAGCAAACCAGGCGCTCACCAGTACTGTTGATCCAAGGGCCCAGAAGTGTTTGGCAGGATCGACAGCAGGAAGTCGTCCTGGGGTCAACGAGTGTTTCAACTTTGGTTCACATACCAGCTCGCACATAACTTGATCGGCTCCCTGAGCCGCGCCGTCCTCATTCGGAGACTGTGTCGGGGACCCAGCACCTGACCGCACACTGAATGCCCTAAGGACGCGCTGGACATAACGTGCCACGTACATTGGGGCTGCCTGGTCATTTCCTTTCGCCTCATCCGTGCAGAGCTGGTAGATACGTTTGGCCATGTTGATAACCAGGAGTTTCTGGCTCTGAGAAAGATACAAGAATAACTGTGGTGTGAGATTTGGCAATATGCCTGAACCGACATACCTCAAAGACAGTGTGTGCCCAGGTGGTGACCATACATGACGCAATGTCCTGGAGCAGCAGCAGTGAGCCGTCCTCTGCTACTCGGTGGATCTGAACCGAAACGTCGTTCAGCAGTGCCACGCACTGAGCGATTGCTGCTAGACGATCATGGTCATCCAGGAGCTGTACCCGCAAAAAGTGAGGCTTGAGCATCGCATTCATGTTGAACCAGGATAGGAACTTTTGGTCGCTGTCTGGAAGCCCTTCGGAAACTGTATGTAGTAGTCAGTTGACACTGTTTTCAAGATGCATGTCCGCACGTAGACTCCTGGAAAACCACTCATTGTGGTACCGTTGGTACTGTGATATGACGTCGTTTGCCATACTTATGGCGACCTCTGGCGAGAGCGTCGGGTGTTGCAAGGACAGCATGCGGTGCATTTGGTGTATCGGGTGAGCGCTAACGCTGCAAGCCAAATGCATGTCGGCATCGATTCGCAGGTGTCGGTGCTCGCGCCCCCAGTCCTTGGGCTGAGTGTCAACTGGTGCGTCTCCTGTTTGCTCACCGGCTGGATTTCCTCCGCTTTGATGGCTTGTGGCAAGTTAAAGACGGAGGAGTAACTGTGAATGAGCCAACGATGGATGGTATCCGCTCACACTTGATCAAAGCCTGCAGTTGGATTAACACCTCTGCAGGCCGGGCATACGCGTAAATGCACTTACAGGCCAAGCCTTACCGTCAGCCTGTCTCTTCGCACGACTTCACTCACAGAACCAGGTCCGTTCAGCATCCTTATGTCAATCTCCTGCACAGCATGGCCCTACTGCTTACAAGAATCATTCGCGCCTCGTGCTCATCTTCTGGAAGTGGCCTGTCAGGCAGTACATTCCAACGCATTTGGTAACCAAGTCGTATCGCGATGCCAATCTTGACCCATGCGGACCTGTCCGTCGGCGCCTTCCAGTATACCAGGATCAGAAGTGCCTGGACGATACCGGTATCGCATGTGCCAATTGTGATTGCGCGATTTAGAATCGTCTGAGCATGAGTGAGTAAAGGGCCATGCAGTTCAGGTCGAAAGAACTTGGCTGCGGCAGTGAGGATGGCCGTGAAAAGGATGGCGGATGATTGACGAAGGTGGAGAAAGGTGTGCACTAACAAATCAGCCGCGTCTCATGCCTGGCTGATTGCGTACACATAGGGTCCAACAAGGCAATCTTTGGATTGAGATGGAGGTGGAATCTGAACGTTAACTCGGCAAAACCGGCAACCACGTACAGTCGCACGAGCTCAAACGCCTCGAGGTCACTAAGAAAGTTGAGGGAAACTTCGATGTCAGATTGACTCGGTCGTCCAGCCTACTTGGATCCTCCATTGCGCTAACACCAACGGTGCTGCTTTGGCCGAGTCTTGTGACCATATCGTTGACCGTCTCGTCGATCTCGGGCTCCAAGTACTCAGACACGTCAACCTGTCGGGACGGAGCAGCGAGCCTCGTACTTGGGGTGGAGTGCTGCACAGAAACGGGAGAGGTGGTTGATCCAGCTGCTGGCTGGCCGACTGACCGCACCATCCGTGGCGATCCCTCGACACGCGAGGTGGTCGTTTGGTGAGACAAAGGTGCGCTGAAGCGATAAGGCGTTGCATGTACAGGCGGTGGCCCAGGCGCTGTGGTCGGCAGTTGTGGTCCGTTGGCCACTGCAACGGAGGCGAACTCGAGAAACGCCGACTGCCCAGAACACGGGGCCGGGTCATGCGTTGGCCCAGCATTGCCATCCTCGGCAGCAAGTTGCAAGCTCCCAACTTCTATCGTTGGTCCCTCGCTAGCCTCCATGGTCGCTCGCCGGGCGGCGCGTCTGGGAATCAACCACAGCACCGTAGATTGCCCCACCCTCGCCACTTACTCGGCATTCGTTTTACGGCCCCGACGTTGCCGGCTGTAATCACATCTCAACCTCAGCCGGCCTATAACATGGGTCAGTGTACATTTGAGGGAGTTGGAATTGGAACAACCAACTGCAGCGTCCACACGGGACGCTCTGGTCCTCGTTGCCCGTGCATCGGACCTGGCGTCAACGTCTTTTTGGTGTGCGTCGGCCCTAACCTTGATGTTCCGGCATTGCGTACAGCTATGTACGATAAGCCCCTCGTCAAACACGGCCGATACCACAAGCTTACGCATGGCGTTGTTTTTCGGGCCGGTCTGGAGACATTTCTCTTGACAACGACGGTGATGTTGTGGATGTGAGAGGGACGTCAGTGACACCTGGGTACTGTGTCTCGAGGCCCGCAGGTCCATAACGCCGGTCCGGGCATGACGCTGTCAATACACCGGTCCGGTCAGCAGCCGGTCAATTGCGTTGGCTGGCGCTAACGACGTACTCGTCGCTCCCCCATCTCTCTCTCGTCGCCTCGTTACTGCTGTGTACCTGCTGCACACTACCACTACGCCGACGGACATGTGGGCTCCGTATTCAGATCATGCCGCAACATGGCTCCGTACAGGCAGACTGCTCAGCTCACTCCCGGATATCCCCCCGGCTGATAGCCCCACACGTTGTCGACCGGTACGGTGTGGTACCTGGCGCTCCTCTCGATACATATAGATAGTGTTCATGAGCTCTGACAACTTCTGATCCGCAGAGTATCTTTTTTCACTTATTCTCACCATGTCGTCCTCGTTCAACGGTGTCCCAAACAACAGCAACCCTGTGTAAGTCGCCTTACCGTGAGATGGAGTCCAGCCCTGACTCTCCAAGGTGGTGGCATGATTCCTCTCTTCGCCGCAACGTATTTTGGTGCTGCGTTTGCTGCCTCACATCGGTATACTATGGTTACGATGGGTCGCTATTGAACGGTCTTCAATCGCTTGACAAGGTGCGTATTAGTCTCCACAAGCCATGGCTGACAGTAGTTTTACGAAGATTTCCCCCGTCTTCGCGACTCGAGCACGCTTGGTACGACCAGCGCTGCACAGTTCCTTCCGGGCCTGATTGCTCCCTTGATCGTATCCAACGTAGGTCTGCGTGGCCCTTGGGTGGTCACTGACTTTGACAGCTTGCAGACCGGTTTGGTCGCAAGATTCCTCTTACCCTTTCGCTTATCGGTATCATCGTCGGTGCCGTTATTCAGTGCACCAGTAGATCCTTGGGCCAGTTTATCGCGAGCCGAGTGATCGTTGGCATGTTTGGTCAAATCGGTCTGCCTGTAGGGTCTGCTCTACTTGTCGAGATTGCTCAGTAGGTGCAAAGCGGAAAACCTCAATGCTGACTGTCAGCCCACGTCTTCGCTCAATGGCGTCGGCTTGCAACCTGTCATGCTACTACTTTGGTAGCATTATTGCTTCCTGGACGACATACGGCACCCTCATGCACTTTCCCACTTCCTCGTGGTGCTGGCGCCTTCCGTCACTCCTTCAAGCACTCGTACCGGCACTTATCGTGGTGCCCACATTGATTATGCCCGAGTCGCCACGCTGGCTTGTATCCAAGGATCGGGTCGCCGATGCCCAGCGCGTTCTCGCCAACCAGCATGCGAATGGCGATTTGAACGACCCACTTGTCGTTCATGAATTGCAAGAGATTGAGGCTGCTATCGCCGAAGAACGAAGCATTGGCGGCGGATCGCCGGGCTGGGGCGACTTTTTCCGCACCAAGGGCAACCGCTGGCGTCTCCTCATTCTTATCCACGTCGCGGTAGGCGCCCAGTGGAACGGTGTCGGCATCGTGTCGTACTACCTGGTCCCCGTCCTCGCCAGTGTGGGCATCACGACCAGTGCCGACCAGCTCCTTGTTACCGGAGGCATGGCGATCAGTAACTTGTTCTTTGCGTTCGCAGGCGCCTTCATGGTGGAGCGAATGGGTCGACGCAAGCTGTGGATGCTCTCGACCGGACTGATGCTCGTCACCTTTACGATAGTGACGGCACTCTCGGGCGTGTTTACCAAGACACAGAGCCCAGCGGTCGGCGGCGCCGTTGTGGCCTTCCTGTACCTGTACTATGGGGCATACGACATTGCCTGGTGAGCTGAGATACACGTATCAGTGACGGCAAGCTGACAGTATCAGGACGCCACTCACCATTGCGTACCCAGTTGAGGTGCTGCCATTCTCCCTTCGAGCAAAGGGCATGTCGCTATGGTCCTTCTTCGTCGCAGCAGCCCTTTGCGTCAACAACTGGGTCAACCCTATCGCACTTGCGCGCATCGGATTTTGGTACTATATCGTCTTCCTTGTTGTGCTCGTGTACCTCCTCTTCATAGAATACTTCTTCTTCCCAGAGACTAAAGGGTGAGTCCTAACGGATGCGGGCGGGTGGGGGGACAGTGTACTGACTGCAACAGCCTCACTCTCGAGGAGGTAGCCATCCGATTTGATGGTCACGACGATGGCGCCGTCACCCAAGCGAACGGCAGCTTCCATAGCCGCGAGGACCAGAAAGTGGAGCTGGAGCACGACGAGACTGTGCCGAATAACCTGCCCAAGTCGGCCGCGTAAGTGTACATATGGTCGTTAGCGCAACAGCGTTTGTATGTAACTCGTGTACCTAGTGACTGTGTATTGGCCAAAGTCTCCTGAATGCGGCAGAGCTGTGAAACAAACGCCAACATGTGTAGCTATTGTAGCACCTGCGTCGAACAAACACCTTGCAAATGACTTTTGTCGTCGCCGTTCAAACAGTCTTGAAGCCAGACATGCTGTCCAGGTCCACAATTCAACCATCGTAGGAGGGCTGGTGGACAATCCTGCCAGCTTCAGCTGAACAACCATTTTGACGGCTCAGCCCAGGTGTGACCGCCAATGATCCAAAGTGAGCAATGACGTCACGTAGAGGATTGCCGAACCAGTGCGGTGCGCACAAAAAGTCCCCCTTTCCAACCTTCATCTTGCATCCACACCCATCGCCATGTCTATCGTTCGACAGACCGAGCTTACAGCGGCGACCATTGACCCTGCTGCAGAGGTTTACAATGCAGCCTTTAACGTACGCACCTTTTACGTTATCCGCGCTGTCTGGGGGGACGTGCCCGCCGAGGAGGTGGACCCAATCCAGCTCCTCAAGCTGAAGCAGCATGTGTACCGTGCAATCTGCAACCACGAGGTGTACGGAGCATACCTTGATGGTTCTCAAGCACCTGCGGCCATCATGGTCCTCAAGCGACCGGTGGACGGGAACAACCCGCCCAAGTTAGCTTTCCCCCGACTTTGCGGCTGCGGCATTGATGGCTGACATGACAGCAACAAGCTCCCTACACCGTATGATGCCGAATTGGACGCCTACTTTCCTCCAGACGCTGCCGCAAGAGAGCAAGAGGCAAGCGATCCTTTAGTAGCCTTGCTGACGGCCAGTTGGAAGACCACACGGCTACCTTGAAGAAGCAGTCGTGGAAGTCGCAGGGCACGCTCAACTACCATATCTCATATCTTGCTACCAATCCATCTGCACAGCGAAAGGGCCTCGCTTCACGGCTGGTCAGGTTCGCGCTGGAGCGCGCAAAGAGTGAGGGCCGTGAGGTGTCTCTGACAACTCACAGTCGGGAGAATGTGAGTACCGCAAATGGGTTACAGCTGGCTAACAAGCCAAGGTCGATTTTTACGCGCGATTGGGTTTCAACGTGAAGGGTTCGGCAGAGTGGGATATTGGCAACACGCCGTTTACATGGTGGTGTCTCTCAACAGACATGGCGAAAACGGGCAGCGGCACAGACCCATAGCAGTGCAATCTCGACACTGGACCGGTCTCCCCAGAGGGGCACCACTTCATTGCATAGCCACTGTTACAAGATCGAACCACTGCACTGCCAATTTCAGAGAGAGTCATAGAAAGCACGCTCCAGCTCGTTGAACGCCAGATCAAACGGCTCGTTCGGTACGCCAAACGCAAACAGTTGGGTGGTGAACACACCCTGGTGTGTGGGTCAGTGTCGTTCTAACGGACAGGGACCAGCTACTCACCGTGACGCCTGTCGTGGGGTCCATCCAGTAGAAGGTCTTGTAGATACCCTCCCACCACATGCTGTCCTTCTTGCGACCGTGTGGGCTGTCGACCTTGCACACAAACCCGCCGAGAGAGTGTGTGAGGTGGCCGCCATCGATCACTGGCGGTGTATTAGCATGATACGACGGAGACGCAGAACAAGGCGTGAGAGCGCATGAGGGCTGATCCATCCAATAGCTCATCTTTCTGCGCTGCTTGCTTGGTTTGCACAAGACTCACGTTCAGGTGAAATGTGGGGAATGAAACGAGCAAAGTCTGACTGTCCTTGGAAAGTACCTGCCGGCGCCTCGGGCAACTGGTTGGTAAACAGTAGCTTGAACGACTCGGGCGAGATGATGCCGCCGGGCTTGGCCGAAGCCATGACGCCCTGGAGGACGCGCAGGTAGTCACGCGCGGTACCGTACAGACCGGCGCCGCCAGAGGCCTGTCCCTTGGCCGACCCAGGAGTGCAGTCGCGGATGCCGGGGAAGATGATGAGCTTGTGGTCAGTGGGGTCATGTGTCGTGACCTGCTGGAGACGCTTGTAGTCGTCTTCCTTGGGCGTGAAAGTGAGAGTCGTCGCACCGACCGGCTTGAAGATATGCTCCTGGAAGTAGTCCTCGAGCGACTGGCCCGTGACGCGCTCAATGAGAATTCCCGTCCAGTCCAGACCAAGCGAGTAGTTCCATCCCTCTCCGGGCTCAAAGATGAGAGGAAGTTCAAACGATTTGACAGTAAGGTCGGTCGCAATGATCGTGCCAGCATTGTTCAGCTTGACCCACTCGCCCAGGAGCGGGACCATGACATCATAACCAGTGCCATTCGTGTGCGTAAGCAGATTGCGAAGTGTGATCCGCTTGGTGGCCTTGTGCTCAACGGCCTTGCCGTCCTCAATGGCCGTGAGAATCGGGAGCGTTCCGAGCTCGGGAAGGTACTTTGCAATGAGGTCCGGGTCGTCCAAAGTGAGCTTCCCTGCTTCCACGAGTTGGAGTGCCGACAGCGAGACCACCAGCTTGGTCATCGACATGAGCTGGAGAACTGGGGTGTGTTAGTCGAGTGAATGTGCCGAGATGTGCCGAGACCCTCTGCTTCTCACTAGTGTTCTCGTCAATCTGGCCCTTGTCTGGCTGGCCCAACACCTGGTCGCCTTCGGCCTTGAAGTAGAGCGGCTCGGCCTTGGGGTCGGCCGTGGCAATGGCGAAGGTAGCGGCTGGCATGAGGCCAGAGTCGACATGCTTCTTGAGAATGCCGTCGAGCTTTGCCTTGGTGGCGGCAGACACGGTGGGTGGTGAGTTGGCCATTGTAGTGGTTGATCAACAACGCATGCGAGGGGCCCTGGCACTGGCTATTAAGTTGCACGTCGTACCCGAGCTTCCCACCTCGAGGACCCGGGCGGTTGTCGGCCGTCGAGGCGGGCTGGGGGAATGGACTAGGATGATCATGTGATGTGTATCTGTAACAATTGCCATTACGCGGGCCCCCAACACTGACCCGCCGCTCGTCGCCGTCATTGCCCACTCCGCGATCGGATCTTTGTGGCGAGGCTGTTTTATCAGGTAGCCGGCCATGTCACCGTGGCATGACACGGGATATTGGACCAGCATCGATCCGCCAAGCGACCGTGGTTCCGCATTCCCTGTCAAGTGCACCAATTAGTCGACCACGTACCAGCACTCCACGACAACACGGAAAAAGGGTCAGATGATGCTTCGTAGCGCAGGCATGCCGAAATCCTTTGCTGCGCACATCACCGCGAGCCTTGCGCGGGACGTTCCTTCTCCATTGACATTTGCACTTGACGTAACACCGGGGCGGGCTTCCCTCTGATCCTTGGGGAAGCGATCGCAGTGGCACCGCGTTCTCGCCTGGCATGCTTGATCACTGGAGTTTGTCTCGGCAAGTCCCATGCCGACCGAGCCTGCCAGCTGTGCGTGTGGCACAACAGCTGACCCAGTCGCGCAGGAGTTGTATGAACGGGCCTGTTCGTGGGCGGGTGTAGTCTCAGCGAGGAGGATGGACAATTCAGCGGCTATTCCTCCTGTATCCCCACGGAACAACGAGAGTGGTTGCAGCAGAACGGGGCAGTTGGGGTTTGGTTTGCAACCCTGTGGGCGTCCTCTATAAAGCAGCGGGGTGCTACTCGGTCGTCCCCAGCAATTTGACCGGTACAATCAATTGATCACCATGACCACGGACAAGCCGACTATCGTTCTAGACGCCGTTGTTCTTGGAGCAGGAGTGGCAGGCCTGTACCAGCTTTACCAGCTCCGTCGCGAAGGCCTCAACGTGCGTGCCTACGAAGCGGGCGGCGACGTTGGTGGCACCTGGTACTGGAACCGTTACCCCGGTGCACGTTTTGACTCGGAGGCGTACATCTACCAGGTAAGTGGACCGTGGGACGCGCCCGCTGCCCTGTCCCTAATGCTCTCAGTTCTTCTTCGACGAGAAGCTCTACAAGGACTGGAGTTGGACCCAGCGCTTCCCTGGCCAGCCCGAGATTGAGCGCTGGCTCCACTACATCACCGACAGGCTCGACCTCCGCAAGGACATTTCCTTCAACGCAAGGGTCGAGAGCGCACACTACGACGAGGACCGTGGTCGTTGGACCATCAAGACAGGCGCCGGCGATGTGATCGACACTCAGTTCTTCGTCTCTTGTGGAGGCATGCTCTCGGCACCGCTCCACGACCAGTTCGAAGGTATGAAGGACTTTAAGGGCCAGATTGTATACACTTCCAGCTACCCGTCCGAAGGCGTCGATGTCAAGGACAAGAAGGTTGGCGTTATCGGTGTCGGTGCCACGGGCATCCAGGTTGTCCAGACAATGGCTCCCGAGTGCGGCCACATGACTGTCTTTGCGCGGACTCCGCAGTACGTTGTCGCCATGAAGAACCCCACTTTGGGTCCCAAGGAGCAAGACGCATACAAGGCCCGTTACCACGAGCTCAAGGAATCGATCCCCCACACCTTTTCCGGCTTTGAGTATGACTGGGATCCCAAGATCACTTGGGCCACAGCCACCCCGGAGGAACGCCTGCAGCACATGGAAGCCACTTACCAAGACGGAAGCTTGAAGATGTGGCTTGCATCCTTTGGTGAGATCTTCTTCGTCAAGGAGATTAGCGACGCCGTCTCCGACTTTGTGGCCGACAAGATGCGCCAGCGACTCAAGAACGACCCCCACCTTGTCGACGTACTTGTTCCAACCCTCGACGACTATGGATTTGGTACCCACCGCGTCCCGCTCGAGAACAAGTACCTCGAGGCATACCTCCTCCCAAACGTCGAGGCCATCAGTGTCCGCAAGAACCGCAACCCGATCAAGCGTTTCGTCGAAAAGGGTATCGAGTTGTCCGATGGCCGTGTGGTTGAGCTCGATGTTGTCATCCTGGCCACTGGCTTTGATGCTGGAAGCGGCTGTCTGTCGCGTGTCGATGTTCGTGGCAAGGGTGGTGTTTCCCTTCGCGAGGAGTGGGGCAAGGACATCCGTACCACTATGGGTCTCGGCAAGGTCGGTTTCCCCAACCTTCTCACTACTGCCGTGCCCCTGGCTCCCTCTGCGGCGCTGTGCAACATGACCACCTGTCTCTCCCAGCAGACCGAGTGGATCACCGAGCTCGTCAAGACAATGCGCGCTCAAGGTCAGACCAAGATTGAGCCTACCGATGAAGGCGAAGACAAATGGGTTGTGCACCACGACAGTCTGGCCAACGCCACTTTGGTACCCAAGACTGATTCTTGGTGAGTAAACAGTTGCATATACAATATATATGGCCGTATCTTTCCGCCGATCTGCCACAAGCACATCCTCAGGCAATTGCTGACTGGGCAGGTACATGGGCTCTAACGTTCCCGGCAAGCCTCGCCGCATGCTGTCGTACGTCGGTGGTGTGGGCACATATCGCAAGAAGTGTGACGAAGAGGCGGAGGCTGGATACCCGTCATTTGTCCGCTCGTAGTCGCCGTGTTCGCCTCGTCTGTAGTCTGTAATTCTAACAATGGAAAAGCCGGTGCTAATGCGGTCCGCCGGCTGCACGCGCGCTGTCAGTGTGGTCATACGGGTGACGTACAAAATGCGCGCACATTAGCTGCTACGCGCGCACTAACAGTGATCCATGTGGAGCGACAGCCTCGGATGCCGATCTCCGGTGGTCTTGAACTAAGGCACACCCCCCGCGCCGGTGTGGCTAAAGGGCATTGACGGTTAATCCGCCCCCCAACAAACCATGTCGGCATGTTCGGAATGTTGGTGCTGGTGTGGGCGTCTCAGGTGGGCATTGATGTTGTTGCCAGGTCATGTGCTGTCGTCCAACCGAGCCGGGCGGATGAGGCCGCACTCTCACCCACCGGCAATTACATACCTCGGCGGCTGCAATGACCGATGGCCGTCATTCGTACCGCATAGCCGCGTCCGAGGTGACTGACACAGTCAGCCCGTTGGCGTACAAGGTGTGCGTCCTATATATGTATCTGTCCCAGTAGAGCAGTGCACCCGCCAGCGAACCCATATCACTCCCTCTCTCCTCAGTGACCCCCGAACCGACAATGACCGCGTCTACCTCCAACGCCCCACCCGCCAACCTGGCCGACATTCCCAAGACACACAAGGCCGCCGTCTATGACAAGCCTGGTAGCTTGAGCATCAAGGTGGTCGATGTCGATACTCCCGAGCCTGGCGCGGGCGAGGTCCTTGTCCGGCTCACTCACTCGGGTGTCTGCCACTCGGACTACTCTGGTGCGTTTGAACCAGTCTCGGCTACATACTGCAAGGTTTACTGACCCAACCCAGTCATGATGAACGCCTGGAAGGCTCTTCCGTTCCCCACCCAGGAGGGTCAGGTTGGTGGCCACGAGGGTGTTGGCTTTGTTGCCAAGCTTGGCCCCGGTCTGGAGAGTTCTCCGGTCAAGGTCGGAGACCGGGTGGGCATCAAGTGGATGTCGGCTGTCTGCAACGCCTGCCCCGCCTGCCTCCACGGTCGCGACGCCGTGTGCGCCAACGGAAAGATCTCTGGATACTACACCCCTGGGTAAGTGTTGAGTGAATACGTGCATGGAAGCACCACGAGGCATCGGCTAACGTTGCAGCACCTTCCAGCAGTACGCTTTGGGCCCCGCGTCGTATGTGACCCCAATTCCCGACGGCCTTGATTCGGCCGCTGCTGCTCCCATGCTTTGTGCTGGTGTGACCGTGCACGCAGCCCTCAAGAAGGCTGAGATCAAGGGCGGTCAGTACGTCGTCGTCATGGGCGCCGGAGGTGGCCTGGGCCACATTGCCTGCGGCATTGCCTCCAAGGGTCTTGGCGCGAGGGTCATCGGCATCGACCACGGCAGCAAGAAAGCTGTCGCCGTGGAGAGCGGTGCCGAGTTCTTCATCGACTTTACCCAGACCAAGGACGTAGCTGCAGAGGTCATGAAGCTCACCGACGGTCTTGGCGCTCACGGCGTTCTCGTCCTCACCGCCTCAAACGCCGCCTACGGCCAGGCCCCCACCTTCCTTCGCTTTGGTGGCACTGCAGTTTGCGTCGGCATTCCCGAGGGTGACTTGGTCCCCATTGCTTCGGCTTCACCCGCTGCCCTCATCTTCAAGGAGCTCAAGATTTGCGGCAGTGCCGTCGGTGGACGACTCGATGCTATTGAGACCCTCGACTTTGCCAGGCGTGGGGCGGCCAAGACCCACTACAGGACCGCCAAGCTTGAGGACCTCGCACAGGTCTTCCAGGACATGGAGGACGGCAAGATCGAAGGGCGTGTGGTCCTTGAGCTGTAATGCCCTCTCGTGGTTGTACGTTGTGGCTGAAGGTGTGTGGGACTTTCAGTCACGGTTCAGAAGTTGTTATTTGCAGTATGCACGTTGTTGTCGTTGTTATCGCTCGTCACTGGATCACTGGTCGACAAATCTGCATGCCTCTGTTGGGTGATGACCCCGCTGGGGTACACTCTCCGTCCATCTGAACATCGATCAGTCCCAGGTGCGCAGTAGTGTCCAGACGAGTGCTTCCAAGACGGCCAATGCCCTTTTACCGCAGCTGCCGTCACCATTTGTGCCACAAGCGCCAGCGGATCCGTGGAGCGGATCTTTTGCCTGCCGCACATGGTGCCTCTTGCTGATAATAGCCTCTGGGCCTCTGTCCATCTCCCGCGCGCGGATCTGTTTGTTGCGAAAGACAGCATGTCCGACGTTTACAAGCGAAGGGGAACATCATGTTATCCCGCCCGCAACAGCATGCAGCAAACGTGCAGCTGTATTATGGTCTGTGATGGTGAAGCGCGGGTGCGCGGAATATCTGTGTGTGGCCAGGCGGAAAAGCCGGTGATCCGGTGACTAACATGTCCCGCCCCCAGGCTGCTCCCTCTGGCCATCTCTGGACAATCGCCATGAGCGGGGCCCTCTGGGCCGCAACATTGGGTATACATGTGTCCTGGGGGTAAGCAGTGGACACTGTCGATATTCCGTGGATCCGTGGGCCTCCCTAGGGAGTACGGCAAAGCATGTTGCACCACGTTGTGCCACTAAAGCAGTGGGGAGCCGCGTTAGCCACAGAACAGCCAGGTGGCCGCCCGTTCGGTGATGTCACATGATGTTCCGGCTCACGCCAACGGCAATCACATATGGTGCACAAAGGCCAAGCCCATGTTCCCACACATTCTCTCCACCTTTCTCTCACCATCTACATTCGCCAGACCGTTTTCACCAAATGACGCAGAACGATAACAACAGGGTCGCCATTGTCACTGGCGCCGCACAGGGGATCGGCGCGGCCATCGCCCGCCGCTTGTCCAAGGATGGATTCGACGTGGTGATTGCCGACCTGCCTGGTCGCATCGCCGACATCAAGCAGATGGCCGAAACACTGAGCAAGGGCGCAGCACGAGCTGTAGCCGCAGGGTGCGACGTCAAGTCCAAGGCCGATGTGGAAGCACTGGTGAAGACGGCCGTCGACTCGTTTGGTCACCTGGACGTCATGGTCGCCAACGCGGGTATCGCACCCGTGGGTCCATTCCTGTCCATTGACGAAAAGACGATGCAAGACCTTGTGGACGTCAACATCAAGGGTGTGCTCTGGTGTTACCAGGCAGCCGCCAACCAGATGATCGCGCAGGGCACTGGTGGCCGTCTTATCGGTGAGTGGCCACTGGTGAAGCACAGTACTGACATGCACAGCCGCATCATCCATTGCCGGTGTGGAGGGATACGAGGCCTTTGGTGCGTACTCGATGACCAAGTTTGCGGTGCGCGCCCTCAACCAGTCTGCGGCAAAGGAGCTGGGAAAGCACAAGATCAATTGCAACGTCTACTGCCCGGGACCTGTGGACACGCCCATGTGGACCAAGATTGACGAGGCCATTTCGGGAGCGTTGGGTGCACCGCAGGGTAGCTTCACGAAGCAGGTACGTGGCCGTGGGCGCGGGGTTCCGCTTACACATACAGCGTGTCGACAACTCCGTGTTGGGCCGTCTCGTCACCGTCGAGGACGTGGCCAACGGCGTAGCTTTCCTGGCTGGCCCAGACTCGAGCTTTATCACCGGCGAGTCCCTCATGATCTCGGTGAGTTGATTGCCATAACAGGCACGTAGCTGACGCGCAGGGTGGTGACGCGATCCACTAGGGATGTGGAGATGGGATGGTGACGGCCATTTGGCCATTTGCCTGGAAAGCAGTTATGATAAACGGCCATGAATGGAAGTCTGATTCGCACTGCTGGGGGAGAATAGACGAGTTGCTGGTGCGCGAGCTACCCTTTCAACTGCCCTGTGGACATTGACTTTGGAAAGGTAGTGTAAGATATCGGTACTTTACCCACAGGCTTGCTGTTATCGCGCCAGGGCGATGCATGCAATTTGCAAGTGACCGACCGACCAAGCTCCGGCCTCGCTACCTGCACGTCCCCCCATGCCCAATATCCATGCCGTAGGTTGATCTTGAAGGAGAGGGCCGCAACAGCAAACAGCATGCGGGAGGGGGGGGGGAGTGAGGCTTGACCCTTTACGGCCACGCGGAAGCAAAATGTTCATATGCGGAATGGGGGTCACAATATATGCTCTCACCAGAACCGCCCCATCGGTCGGTTGCCGCAACACACTTTATCAAGCTCAAAGCGCGTCAAGCTTCAAGGTCCCCCCGTCCAGTCATGACGGCTCGGCATTCCCCAGTGGACCTGACGACGGATAATTCCGCTCTCATCTACCGGTCGTTTGGGGACCCGCAACAAGTGCTGCACCTCGAGACCGCGCCCCTCCCCGCACTGATACCAAGCAAGCTGCGCGTCACAATGATATATGCGCCTGTCAACCCTTCTGACCTCATTCCTATTACGGGCGCCTACGCACACCGTGTCCATCCCCCCTCTGTGGCGGGCTATGAGGGCGTGGGTCTGGTGGTGTCTGCTCCAAAGACGCATGCGGGGCTTGTCGGTCGCCGCGTACTACCGTTGCGCGGAGTGGGGACATGGCAGACGGTCGTCGACTGCGATCCTGAGCTGGCGGTGCCCGTTCCAGACGAGGTAGACGACCTCGTTGCGGCACGCGCCTACATCAACCCCCTTGCAGCCATAACGATGCTGGACACATGGCCGGTCGCGGGCAAGCGCGTCCTGCTAAGCGGAGCGGGGTCGGCGTGCGCTGAGCTGCTCGGGCTCTGGGCACTGAAGCAAGGTGCTACCACGGTCGTGGGCATTTACCGTTCTGAGGAGCGCAAGGGTCGCCTTCTTGAGTGTGGTATCAAGCCTGTTCAGACGGACGACACGGCCGCCGTAGCTGCTGCTGCGGCCGAAGCCGACCTCACCTTCGATGCCATAGGTGGGCACGTGGGCTCCGCCATTCTCGACGCCATGCGGCCTGGCACTGTGTTCATCGCATACGGTCTCCTATCCGGCCAGCCACTTCGACCCTCGCGAACTCCCCGTGCGAAGTACGAGCTGTTCCATCTGCGCAACCCCCTTGCAACCATGACGTCTGCTGCGTGGCAAGGTCAGTTCAGACACATATGGCCCATGCTTCTCAAACTGGAACTGCAGCCCGTCAAGGTCTTTCCCCTGGAACACTGGCAAGCGGCAATTGAAGAGGCAAAGCGGCCCGGCGGGACAAAGCCCATCCTCAGCTTTCCTTTCCGCTACAGTAGCATAAACTAGCATATGTAATTTGAAACGATCGTCAAGTCCAGCCGGCGCAACTCTCGTGCCCACATTTATAGACTGTTCTCATTCCCAACTCTCTGCTGCTGACTGCCGCCCGTCGTGCCCGTCGCAGTAATCAAGCTGATGCAACAAGCCACGATGCTTCACAGCCAAACAGTGGTACTTTGAAACCCGCGGGTTCTCGGCCGTGGCACATATACTCCAAGTCGCTGGTACGCTGCTGAGCAGTTGGACCACGTATTGATGGACATGTGCTCGACGCCGGTCGTCCACTCTCCATCGCCTGACTCGCGAGGCTGCCCCGAAATGTTTGTGTACCAACCTCATGCACGCCATCCAGAGAATAGCTTCAAAGAAGGTTTCAAGGTCGGCCTTCGAATGACAATGATGGGAACAATGGTAGGAGGTCGTTGACTATGTACAGTGTCCCCCAAAAAGGGCGGTACATAGATAGCGCCGTGACATCACCTCTTCCCTCAAGCACTAGCTCCTTTTGCACACCTACGTTCTGCTCTGCACAGGCCAATTCACGAGTAGCGCAGCTCTGAAATCTAAACTAATCATACCTACCACACGGCCGTGGTGCCTACAGTGATATCGTAGGATTTGTTTCTTTCATTGACGTCGCCGAGCCTATTCAATTAACCCCTCGTTGCGAGTAACACGTTGCACATTCTCGACCACGTCGATTCGGTCCGAACCATGAGCCAAAACACACCGCCACACGCTTCCAGCTGCACCCTACTCTCTAACGTTTCAAGGTTGGTCTCGTTCGGGTTCAGCGGGAACTCTCTCTACCTCGGCATGGTACCATCCCACTGGGGGTTGTAGTTGGGAGGCAGTTCCTCAACCTCGGCCTCCTCTTCCGCCAGGGCGGGCTGGAGGGATCCCGCATCCTCGTGCCTCCTGAAGCCACCAGAAGGAACGGCGGTTGAAGGCTGCTGGAAGTCGTGGTCGGGGTTCGAGGAATCTGGGTTCTGCGCCGCCATCCTTGCCTTGGCGAGCAGTCCAGATTGACTATTGTTGCTGTGACTCGTCTCCGAGGAAGAGATGGTCGATCTCATATTGTGCGAGCCCTGGGAGAGTTGTTGTGAGATGCGATCTGTTGAGGGGTCCGCGGAGAGGTGAGTGCTGCTGGCTTGGGTTGCAGGGTCCCACATATGTTGCTGGCTGTTGTTCTGCAAGTGGCCTGGCTGACCACCGACGAACGGCGAGATGGTGGCTCCTTGTTCGGGGTACATGTAGGACATGAGAGGACCTTCTTGACAATTATTGGTGTCGTAAAGGTCGACATTGGCATTGTCCTCCCGAGCACGCTGCCTCTTGCTGTCTTTCCAACGGCAGCACAGCCAAATAAGGACAGCAACCAGGGCCAAGATGACAACTGCACCACCAACAGCGATGCCCACAATTGCCCCAGTGCTGAGCTTGTTTGGGCTTACCGTGCCGGTCTGATTTCCGGTCTGCGTTGAGCCGCCGCCCCCTGCGGTGGTGCTTGGCCAAGGTACGTTCGACGTCGTGGGCGAGTTGGAATTCATACAGCTCGAACTGCCCTTCTGGATAGTGATGAGTTCAGAGACACCACCTTGTCTGCCCTGTGCGTCCCAGGCGGCAAACAAGACGCGAGCGCCCTCTGGAATATCGGCCAGGAAGGCTGAGATGCAGGTCAGCAAATGCCCTCAGGTAATGCCCAGCAACTTGATAGCCCAAGACTCACAGACGTTGGTGTCCGTGCCGGTGGAGTTGAACTGAAGTGCCGACCCACCTGCAACTGCTGCCTGCCATAACACGGGTGGGTAAACAACATTCGATTTGCCCTGTTCCTCCTTGGACCAGTCGAATACAATGGAAGAACATTGCTGTGCAAAATCAGTACCGTATCCTCTCTTGCATTCGTTGGCGCAGGACGTACAGGAAGTAGCCCATCGGAGGGAGTGTCACCCCACAGCCAGGGTGGGGTGGCGGTAACTTGGGCACACGAAATGCCACTCGGTCCTACTGCCACAGGATACAAGCCACTAGTACCACCAGACTGCGCGAGTTAGAGAATCTGCTGACCATTGGGAATGCGTGTAGTCGCAAAACTCACCCCCCATGCAGTCTGGTCAGACATGACAAACATGAGCTGGACACTCGCAGCGTCTGTACAGGGTTGGCGGGGTCGGGGGAAAATTACCACCAGAAGGCCAAGAGGACGAATCGAGATCCCCCCTGACCCGATTTGGGCTCGCCACCGATCATACCCAGTCCTCGTGCACGGCCCACATTGTGGACTTGTGACCGAGTAGACGAGTAGACGAGTGACGACTTCGTAGATGGCACTCACATTTGAGGGTGAAGTTGTATGCGCCGCTGCCGTCGCTGTTCACCGCAGAGGGAGGGATTTGTTCAACGTCCACCGTCGAGTAGTTTCCCTGTTATCCTGGTCAGTCCGAGCCCCTTTCTAGGATACGTATACAGCATATCACTGCCACCACGATACTGACAAACACAGACACACTGAACGGTGGCGTGCCGCCCGCTGTCCACTCTAGCGCCACGGCACCACACTCGTACATGGTCGACGAATCGAGGACTCTGAACTGATAGCCCCATACGGATTGTGTTGCCGCAAGGCAGGCCACCGCAATTTGAAAGGCACTGCGCATGGCGGATGGTGGGTGGTGGGTGCCAAAGATGAGAAAGAAGAACAAGACTGATTAACGTGCTGCTTGTGAGGGTGTAGAAAAAAAACGAGATGAAAAGGTGGAACCACATGGGCAGAGTATTAAGTGGGAACTGCCGGCTGGTGAGACGAGAGCACAAAGAGGACGGAGGCGGATTTCCTTTGGCAGACGTACATGTCTGCAGACGATGCACATGCATTCTAGATCTGTGATCGTGCCCCCGCGCTATGCTGTGTGGTCAGCCCTGCCCCGCCTCTTACTTTCCCTTCCCCGGTCCTGTCGGGAGGCGAACAGAAGGCGCGAGAGAGCGTGAGAGAGATGACAGTAGGGATACCGAAAGGCATGTCATAAACCACAGAGGGCCCACAATTCTGGCCCCCTGTCAGTCGTTTGCTGTTTTGCTGTGCCACCGCCCAGGGCTGTACAGGGTCGGCCGTTACGCTTTGTAGCTTGCAAGAGTCGTCATTGGGTACCAGCCCGCTGGACCCACTGGAATGCAATCTTTCGTTTCTACCAATCAGTTTCCGCTCGTTCGGTTTGGCTCCATAGAACTGACTTGCCAGCTTGCCAACAAAGCTGGGCCAAGAAACATTCAGTCCACTTCTCTGGTTGGCTTCCGCCGTCAACTGTACATAAAGTACTGGGCTGGTTGCCTCCAAGATCCCCCATTCCGCGCCCCAGAAGTCACTCCATTCAAATTGATGCTCCAGTACCAACGCTTGATACTTCAGACCTGCGCCGATGGGAGCGACAGCATTGGAGCACAGTTCATTCTATTTTCTCTGTGACGCGCTGGGACACCACCCAGTTGCTAACGCAAACGGACGGTCATGTTGTAGCACGCCCCCCCCCCCCCCCCCCCCCCGTGAGATTGTACTTAACGGCGCCGCCGCCGCCGCCGTTCCATGCATCGCACAATACCTCACTACAACAGGTCATACAGCTAGAGCATCTTCAGGCGAGTCGTACGCCGCGGCTGTCCTGCTTGCTAAAGTTTACATTTGTGTGTAGACAAATGGTGCCCCAAGTCTTTCTTGAGCGTATGAGCCCAAGCTATAACGATTGAGACTGGACGCAGCATTCAGCTACTAAAGATCAACCGTACAAGTGCAGCGCTGTGGGAGCCTCTTCACTCGCCAAGACACTTGTCAGACCCGAAATAAAGTACCACAACCGTAAACCGACCAGAGGACGTCATCGCGCTCCATAAACCTCCAACGGGTCGCCTTGATATGTGCAGTTTGGCAAGTGGAAAGCTCGCGGGCAACAACAGGGCAACAATGAATCAACTGGTGTCAATGATCCTCTTCCCCGACTTGGTCCTCCCATACCCCGTTAAGGACAATTGCCCCACCTTACAAAGCAGAGCCTGGGCATACAGGTGGCTCAAATGTGGAGCGGAAAATGAGTATGTACGCGGCTGTTTCAACCACAGCAACCGCGGTATCTATGTACCTACATATTTGGGGCGGGATGGATGGCTGAAACAGGATCTGCCTTTGTGGTTCGGTACAGGGACCGCCTCTTCTAAAATCCCTGTTGCCGGTGGTATAGCGGCCAATGGCAGGATAGAGCGCTGTTGTCTGAATTGTGACGACAAGGCTGCGCCGGTCACCTGGCAGGCGATGTGAATCACTCGACATCCCAGTGCCCCACTGCGCCACGCCGTCCAACGCATTGTGTCGGAGCTGTCGCCTGGGGCGATGGAAGCCAAGGAGTAAAAAACCAACATTCCTCCCCCAAGGGCCAGGCGGGCAAGACAAACGCACCGCTCCTCACCGCTTCTTCGAAACCCTTACCACTAGGCGGCCCCGCATTTTCCGTAGGCACTGAGTGTCGCTTCTCGGTCCGCTGTTCTGCGGGTAGAGCCGCACGTGGTTAAACTGGATTTTTGGGCATTTGATTGTGACATGTGTATCCCTATGACCCTCTGTTTTCCTCGCTTCATTATCGGAGCCCTACCATAGCGCTCCTTTATTCAGGTACCTCACATACACTCGGTACTTCCCTCGGCTGTATTGGCCTCGGGTTTATGCATTCTCCATTCTTCCTCCTCGACAGATTAAGAAGTCAAAGCCATCTCCACCGCCCATAACCATCGGGGGTAGGGGGCTGCATCGGTTTTGACTACTAAGAACTATGGGAAGAGGATACTATAGTAGACATGGCAGTTTCTTGGCTCAATGGGACCAGAGATCAAAGTTTCTCACTTAGGGGTAGGGGGCTGCATCGGTTTTGACTACTAAGAACTATGGGAAGAGGATACTATAGTAGACATGGCAGTTTCTTGGCTCAATGGGACCAGAGATCAAAGTTTCTCACTCTGGCGCGAAGGAGGGTGAGACTGAGTCTGATACAAAGCATCCTATGGGAATGGGGAGGTAGGACCTCACCCCAGGTGTGGAGGGCTTGGGCAGTCCTGTGTTCCATGACACCACCCAAAGAAAAGATGAGGGGAGTGAAGGGGGTGGCTGCAGAGCTAGGGAGATTTCTGAATTTCTCCCTAGATACAGAGTCAAGGAATTTGTGGACAGTGGCAGAAGCTCTCTCCAGGGTGGATCCAGTGAACCCAGGTGGGGAGACAGTGGTCCTGGCCTGGACAGAGCCCAGTGACACAATGGAGATGTCATACTCATGGTTGGCCAGCCCAGAGGCATGGGAACCAGAGATTCTTATGTCATTTCTCCTGTGTGTGGTGTCACTGATGAAGGGTTCAAGGTGGACCTCAATGTCTGGAATGATATTGAGAGTACCCGCTATCACCTTCTTCACCTGCTCATGCCTAGCCACAGTCCACTTGGACTTGTGTGGGCACACTTCATCATGTCCATGGAAGTTTCCATGTCCACAATGTCTGCAGCTGGGTGAGGTGCTGGGCACCATTGTCCTCAACTGCAGAGCTGCTGCCACCTCAAAGTTGGTGAGCCTCAGGATTGCACCTGAGGGGATAGCTGAGAGCCACTGCCTGCCAAGTGCTGAGGAATTCTCAACCAGTGCTTGTTGTTGGAGGGGAGGCAGAGCAAGTGTCAAGTCCGCCTGGGCAGACTTGAAGGCATCCAGACAGAGACTGTGCTGGGAGGGGGGCTCAGGGGGGTCTGGACCAGGATCACCAAGGAGGGGGTGAAGTATAACGGATGCAGCTCCAGTGGAGGCCACATAAGCCAGGGGGGCACATGTGGAATGGGAGAGAAGGCCAAGGCCACCCAACTTGACTGGGAGAGACAATAGGGTGTTGTCCTTCTCTGGGTCCATAACACGAGCAGACCCTCTGATACTTCTTGCCTTATCCCATAAGGCCATGTCCAAGTCTTCCCAGAGTTCCATTAGATCCTCAGACTTGAGAGTCCTCTGGAGGTGTCTAAGGTCCTGCTGGACTGCTTGGAGCAGGAGAAGCAGGGCATGCTGGTGGGGGAGGTCCACCAGTTTGCGAAGCTTGGCCTTGGTCATTGCTATTTTGTCTTTGAGGAAAGACTCTCTAGCAGACCTGGGACCCACTGTGCTGCCCAGGATTCCAAGTCCATTGTCTCTGATATCACTCAGAGATTTTATGGAGGACTTGGCCATGTTGAGTGAGAGAGTGAGATCTTGCTGGGAAGCAAAGAAGGACTCAACCTCACTTAGCGTGCTGTCAGAGCTACTCAGGGTGCGCGACACCGTGCCACGCGCTGTAGAGAAAATGGTTAGACATTAGGTCTACAAACTAGCGTAGGGGTGTCGTTCACATAGAGTTACTTTAGGCAAAGGTCGCCCGGTCGAGAACACCGATGGCGATGAGCGGGAAGGTGGCTAGGGATGAACCCTAGCCTCCTCCCGCTCAATGTTGGGAGCTTGTCGTGTGTGCGTGTGTGTGTGCAGTGGTCCTTGGTGCTGAATAGAAGGTTTTTTTTGGGTTTATATGGGTATGGTGCGTGGTGTGAGGTGAAGGGAGCGATGGTGAGCTCAAGCCGAGACCATCGACGAGGATCCCTTCCTTGTCGATCATGAGGCATCTCCAGTCGTCCCCTTCAACGTCGCCTAGCGAACACCCCTGTGTTCGCCGTCCTGTCGCCCAGTAGTAATCAGAGTGTGTCGTACCGTGCCGTACCCCTTTGTCCATAGTTCCAATGTATTCGTGCTTCCTGTACCACCGCGCCCCGAGTTGTCCTAGTCGGGTAGCCTCAATGATCCCGACGTCCCCCCCGCCAGCCGTGTTGTCGTCCTGTCATCCCATGTCCATGCGGCCCTGGCCCAGCGTTGCCGTCCTTGTTGTTATTATTGCTGCAGTTGTTTCGCAGGGGCCTGGGCGAATGTCCTTGGCATGTGACACGCCATGCACAACAGTGTGGTGCCATGCTCTGCAGTGGCACGGTCACCCGCACCACAGCGGCGTTGCTGCAGCAAGCGATGCTGCTGGTGCCCCCGGCCATGCACTCGATGGTGGTTGTTGTTGCCGTGACACTCCCTTAGGATGGTCCTAAACAAAGCGGGAGCAATTTGTCACGTGCAATTCTCAGACGCGTGCAGCGCGCCCGGCGCACTGCCAGTGACCATTTCCTTTCTGGACCTAATTGATGGGCCTTCCAGACCACACCCCCATTAGGCATCCAGCGCATGCCCTCACGTTTGGCCCGTTTCCCACCCCAGCAGAATGGCGCGCCCGTGTTGACAAGGACATTGAACGCTACTACCATGCTGTACGTCGTCGCCGCATTCGTGATCCACTCGCTCTTGTGCTTATGCAGTGCCCCTAGGCCGCCGACGTGCTTGCCTCGTCGGGTGCTGTCCCGCCCCCGCTGGACACAATACAGCCATTCATCACCCATGTCATGGAATGGACATGGGAAGTCTACGTCCCAGGCTACCCAGGCCGCTCGTTCGACATCGCGTCTGCCCCACCTACAGCGCCGGTGGCCATCCCAATCCAAGAGTTTGGACGATACTCGCCCGAGCACGCTGGGTACCGCCTCTCCCGCTTGGTCGTCGACCCCGAGGGCAGCTACACACAACTGAGCATTATCCAGCCGCCTAGCCACGACGGTGTCATCCAGCCTGTAACAGTCAAAGAAGTCCCATCGCTTAAGCCCAAGCAGCCAGACCAGCAGCCAGACCAGCAGCTAGACCAGCAGCCACACCAGTAGCAGTCCACTGTCAACGCACCGGCGCCACCGACCAGCCCAAGTCGTTTCGCTGGGCAGCATCACCAGCAATCATACACTCCCAGCCACCTGTCGAGTGCCGTCGCCAGGATCGCGCTCAAATGAGACCAGCCCTTGTCTCGTTTTATCCATTGAGTCCCACCGTAATGTAAGTGGGGGGCACGTCTATGGGGTGGAATGGCACCTTCTCGCCCAACTTCCGTTCGGAAGTCGAGCAAGCTCGGCTCTTCGGCAGTTCGAGCAAGTCGGCTTACTCCAAGATCCATTCAGCAGCTCTCGGAAGGTGCTGTCGGACACGGCGTATCTCCGGGGCTTCCATCCCAATTCTGGGGACCCATGGAGTTACTTAAGGGCAATCAGTCTGGAGTGACTGACGGACCCCAGAACACCACGTAACCGACTAGAACACGCAACCCATCATGGCGATCAAGATCAAGACGCCCAAACTCGAGGGTCGCCCACTCACATGGCTCCTCCTCTTCACAGCAGGCAGTAAGTTGCATTATTTTGACGCCCGGTTGACATCTAGTGGCGTTCCTGCTCTTCGGCTACGACATGGGTGTTTGTGGCGGCGTCACCGAGCTCCACGCGTTCCGCGCGACCTTTGGCTATCCCGACGCGACCATATTGGGTCTTATGGTTGCCAGCTACAACATAGGGTGTCTGGCTGGCGCGGCGCTAGCCTTCTGTCTGGGCGACTGGCTGGGCCGCAAGCGGTCGATCATTTTTGGGTGTGTAGTTGTCTCCATTGGCGCCGTTTTGCAATGCTCCGCGTTCTCCCAGGCGCAGTGGATCGGTGAGTTGCTCGGGTAGCAGTGACTGGATTCTCTCGTTGACATATGTGCTTCCAGTTGGGCGCATTATTGCTGGTATTGGAACCGGATCTATCTCTTCAACTGTCCCCGTCTGGGTCTCCGAGTGCAGCAAGCCCCATCGTCGCGGCGTGCTTGTTATCCTGGAAGTTACCATCGTCATCGGGGGCATTGCCCTTTCAAACTGGTCCAACTACGGCTTCATCTACCGCTCCCCATGGCTCAATGGTACAGACAGTAAGTGCCCATTGTATACTTCGACACTGACACTTGAAGCGCAGTGGCGGGTTCCCATCGCCGGCCAGCTCGTCTTCCCGCTTTTCGTCTTCGCGACCATTGGCATGTGCCCCGAGTCGCCACGCTGGCTGGCTCAGGTCGGGCGGTACGACGAGGTGGCACCTTTACTTGCGCGCCTGCATGGCAAGAACATCTCTGTTGATGAGCCAGAGGTCCAAGCCCTCACCGACAGTATCATTCAGACCGCCAAGCACGAGGCAGCGATCGGCGACACCAATTGGCGTGAATGCTTCGAGATGGGAGAGCTCCAGAACTTTAGACGCCTTGTGCTCTGTGGTCTCGCCGGCTTCTTCCAACAAGCGACTGGTATCCAGGTCGTCGTCTACTAGTTGGTCCCCTGTCGACGCCCGCTCTCTGTTCATACCATTGACTTCTCCAGCGCTCCGGCCGTCTTCGCGAACGTTGGCATGGACCCTGAAATGTCCTTCATCATGGCAGGTGGCGCCCAGCTTGCATTCCTCGTTGGCTCAGCTCTGCCGACATTGGTGAGTGAACGGGCGGCGACGAAGGTTGGTCACCTTGGCTCACCCCCCAGTACATTGAGCGCCTTGGGCGCCGCCGCGCGATGATGATGTGCTCGGCCATGACAGGCACCTGTATGCTAGCTGTTGCTGTGTGCGTCGCTCTTGGCGGCAAGCACCCTGAGTGGAAGGTGTCCACAGGCTGGGCGGCCACTGTCTTCATCTTCATCTACGAGTTCACATTCGGCATGGGCTGGAACTCTATGAGCTGGCTCTACGGTTCCGAGGTCGCTTCGTTCCGTCTGCGCAACAAGGGGTCGGCCACACAGAATCTTTGCAACTGGGCGACGGCCATTATTGCAGTCATGACGACGCCGATAGGCCTTCAGAATATCGGGTGGTGAGTGAAGAGCTGTACCCTCTTGGCGGTGTGACGGTTACTAACCTTTGCAGGTGTTTCTACCTCGTCTGGGCCACTGTCACGTTGGCAGGCATCCCTATCGTCTATTGCTGCTTCCCAGAAACTGTATGTGTACAATATTGAACAATGGTAAAGAGTCATCATTAACTTTTGCAGTCTGGTCGCTCCTTGGAACAGATGGACCTATTCTTTGCCAAGTACCGTCATTGGCGCATCAACAAGGTGGCCCACGAGTGGATCGAACTTCCATCGGATGATATTGCAGCGTCGCCCATGCCCGACTCTAAGAATTCATTTTCGCACGTCGAGGAAAAGATTGTCGGTGTGTAAGGGTGAACAACCATGGCAGGGTGGTTGAACGCACACAGACGAAGGGAGAGGAGCAAATGTAGGGCAATCATGTATGCGTCACGAGTTGATGGGAAGTCTCGTCCACTATTTTCATCGGGTAGAGAGTGACGCAAGAATGAACTGTACTACGACGCTGACGAATGATTTCCCTTTATTGACGCTGCCAGTGCCGTTTTGGTGTTGCTGTTGGGTCGGTCGTGGCACATCAAGACTTTGTGCTCTTTTCTGTACAGATTTGAGTCGAGATTGGTGGTTATTCATAAGGGTGGAAGAGCTGATAATCTATGTGAATCAACCTACATAATGTTGGTCACATTCTCCAGACTAAATCGATGCAACGTCAATTGCAAAGTGCAAGACTATTCTCTGAGATAATACGGTAGCCTGGAGCATAATTTGCCTCATCTGGGGAACACCCATTGAAATCAAATGATCACGTCTAACTCTGCTTCCTACCCTGTCAGTATGTTTCGTCACCCGCGGAGTGTAAGTTGGGCGTCGGAGTCTCTAGATGCTTGCTCTGCATGACGCTTCTGCATAATTGACGGGAACACGGCCCAATCAAGTTTCGCAATCTCCACTGAACGTCTCCTTGGGTCTATATCGTCGTTTTCGCGTTCATTGCTGTGTTGGCGGGAGATACACTGTCGGTGTCAAAGTTCAGATCGATACATTTGCGTAAATCCGTCAACATCTTACTGGGCTTTGAATTTCGGACTGCTGACGTCCGGTATTACGCCGAGCTGTTGATCCGAAATCAGGGCTCGATACATAACCTCATTCAAGTGGCGTATGAGCATATATCCAAGGCACAAGTATTGCAAAATTCGACTGTACAAGACTTCGCGTACCGAAGGACAACAGCGATAAGAAGAAGGGGTAGAGAGGAGTACGGACATTATTCGCGTAGGCGTACTGATTCTGCAGTATGTCGCCATCGATGCTCTCACGTGCTCTCGAACCCGGTCGGCCAATAGACTGCGGTTACTCACTGTGTAAATCAGTATATACATCCAACGCTAATCGAGAATGTCTTGGTCTGTCACCGATCCACTCCTCTCCGCTTTCACACACCTGGTCCGTTGGCCATCTGGCGACTTGTATACTCATACCTGTACCTACAGTTTAGCGCGATGTCGGGCCCTACATCGGCGCGCACGTCTACCACCGACCTGGACGACAAGTCTTTGCCCATAGACTCCGAATCTCCTACTCCTACGTCAACGCCATATGTGGACCAGTATCAGGAACGCAACTTGTTCTCTTATCAACAGAGCAAGAAGCTCCTTCGGCCAGCTGATTGGCATATCCTCCCAATTTTGATCTTGCTCTATTTGTCTAAAAACATGGATGGCAACCTTGTATCGGTACGTTACTGTCGTCATCTTGTACCATTATCAATGCTGACCCCTACTCTAGTATGTCAAGACGATCAACTCGACGTCTGAGAGCAATATCCTTAAAGCGCTCAATATCACATCCGATCAATATGCCTATGTGTCAACTTGTTTCTCTGTTACGTTCTTGCTCTTCGAAGTGCCTAGTAATATCTTGATCAAATGGTCTACTCCTCGTGTACGTTGGACATGCTGCTCTGTTCATGTTTGAGACGAGAACAATCCAACTGATCAACACAGTTGCACTTCTTCCGCATTGTCGTTGCCTGGTCCATCATTACAGCTTGTACGGCTGCCGTCTCCAATCTTGCTGGATTCCTTACTGCCAGAGGTAAGCTCATATAACCACGGTATCATAGGTGTCTAGCTAATAACGAAAAGCGTTCTTGGGTTTGGCGGAAGCAGGTCTCTATCCTGGAATGTTGTGGCAATTGACTTTCTGGTATCGGCCCGATGAGATCGCCGTGAGGATGTCGGTCCTCGGTGTGCTCGGTCAATTCTCCGGTATCCTCGATTCCCTCTTGACCTATGGTGTCTGGAAGTTGGCTCCCATTTCTCGCTTTACCCAAAATCCTTCTGGTCTGACAATCCGCAGTGTACATCGACGGCCGAGGTGGTCTAGACGGCTGGCAATGGGTTTTCGTCATTGTAGGACTGATCGGTCTAGTAGAAAGTGTACTGGTATATTTCTGGTACCCTGATTTCCCCGATTCGCCACCCAGTCGTCGTCAATTCCTCACACAGGAAGAAGGTGCTTTCCTTGTCGCTCGCCTACCTCCAAACTCCGCTCGATCCTCCGATAGCAACTTTGACTGGTCTGCCATCCGTTGCGAATTGAAATCGCCTTTACTGTGGGGATACTCGTTCTCCCAATTATGCACCAACAGCGCTCTATACGGACTATCATTTTGGCTCCCGACTATCCTCACCTCCTTCAGTCTGACGCAAGGCCCCAAAACCCAGCTGTTGGTGATTCCATCTGCGGTGGTATACATTGCAGTAGCAATCTCACTCGCTTGGTTCTTGGACAACGACACCAGAATTCCTCAACCGCTTCTCGCTTTTACTGGGTGTTTCATCTTGATTGGGATCTACATCGGCATGATCGTTTGTAAATCCAAACCAGGTCTTTACGTCTTGATCATTATGAGTTGCTGTGGTAGCAAGATTCATGTTTAGCTCCATTCGGAGATGATAGCATGGAATGAGAAGTGTAAATGGAAGTGCTAACAAGCTATAGTTTGCACAAGCTGCCGGGGCATGCATCTTCGCACCTCTCCTTCCACTCCGAGCGCAATCACTCCGCGGTTCATCTTCGGCAGCATTCGCCTTCGCTTTCCAAAACTCTTGTGGCCAACTTCCTGGTTTATACACCGCCCAGTTCTTCCAAACCAAGTACGCGCCGCGGTATGCGATCCCATTCGGGATTTGTATTGCGTTTACAGGTGCTGTATTGTTTGCGAACGCTTGGATTTGGTACTGGCAGTATGATCTCGAAAAGGAGACTCGCAAGATTGCTAGGGAGAGACGAGCTGCTGGTAAGAGTGAGGGGGTGGTGGTCGCGCAGGATGTGAGGGCCCTGTAGAGGTAGATTAGGTTGGCATGCAGTCGACCTGAGGGATAGAGACAGAGATCGGTGTGAGTAGAGTAGAGTATAGATGGTCAGAGTATGTTGGCAGGGCAGGGCAGTGTGTGCTCGGGCTCGGAGTATTTCATAGTTTCCGCCGCGTGTCTCTCTCTCATTTATGCAACTCGTTTTGAACAGAAGATAGATGTCAGGAGGATGACCACAGCTCACGACTTTGATAGAGATGACAGCTTGGAGGTGACAGTGGGGAGAACAGCAGCACAGCAGGGATGGCAAAAGAGGAACGAAGGAAGGGGCTGGGGGCAGGGGGTGGTTCAACACCATACGTACGTGTCAAGCGGCAGCTTTCAGCAACTCCGCCTTGCCTGCAAGTGCCCCGCGGCCGCCACACTGCCATACCCCCATCCGGGGTCAGCCATGGAGCGTGCCTACGTCCCTTCTCCGGAGTGGTGGTTCTGGGACCGGGCGACTGAAAGAAACAAAAGGGGAGACAACCGAGTGAACAGTGATGCATTCTTTGCCAATTGCAAAGCGCCAGGCATAGCCTGTGATCACTGAAACACTCCTGGCCTACTGGTCCAACCGGGAAAATAGCCGACCTCCGGGGATTCTCCGCTCTCATTTCGAGGTGCCCCCACTGCCCTGCATACCAACATACGCATCCCGCATTCAACCCTTGTCCTACTTCAAGCTGGCCAAGTACGCCTCGACCGTGTCGACCTGAAGAAACACGTCAGCAAGAGTGCACTGGCGTCAATGGGGAGACGGCCTACAATGATCTGGTGGTCGTCTGCCATTGAGGGCATGCCAGAGACGATGATGACAGCAACGGGCGCTTCATGATTCACGAGACGAACGGGGAAGGCTTAGTCGTCAGTCAGCTGGCTTCAATGGTTACCCGACGTACCGCCACCATGCATGAAGTACTCAGGAGAGGGCAGGCCAAACTCTGCAAGGTCGATACCATGCTTTTTGAAGCTGTTTTCCCCGTAAGCCGCTACTTGGGTCGGGCTACCCAATCACTCACTCGATGCGCGAAAGGTATGTGGAGCGTCCAGTCCAGCTCACGACATTCGCCTTGCCTGCAACGAGGCTAGAAATGCCGGGCATCACATCGCCTACTGTAGTGGCAAAAAGAACAAGTGGGTTCTTGCTGGAACCTTCAGGGAAAGCGCGAATCTGGATCGCGGCCGAGAGCCCCAGTGGGGCTTTCTCTTCGACAAAGCGCTTCCTCAGCAGGCTTCCGATCTCCCAGGCTGGGGGGCATCAGCCATGACACCACATTAGCAAGCAAAAAGGACCGACCAATCTCTGCGCTAAAGGACGGCAAACGTAGAGTCTTCTCGTGCTCTTGGAGGACGGAGGAGAGCTCGGGGTCCGTCTCGCTGTAGTCGGTAGCCTTGCGCATTGTGGAGTGGGTCGGTGTTTTCCCTTGCATTTGCAGACGCTTTAAGGCTCCTGTCTCCCCGGTTTATGGCTTGTCCGAAGTCGGTCCGGCCACCCTTATAATCGGCCGACGTTTTCCCGTTTTGAGGAACTTCGGATGTTTTGCCTTCGTCCGAGAGACGTAGCGGCTAAATTGCGGAGCAAACCGAACTCTTAATCAGCAAGCCGCACTCGGGGCCCAAGCATTTGCCTTCAGGCCCTCAACGCCACTGAACCCCTCCACAGCACGTCACCTTTCGTCGCTTCCTGGGGGTATGTTTCCTTAAGGGAACATCACCTCACGCCTGACATCGAAAGCTCGTGGATCGACAGTAATAACGGGTGCTCATGGATCTCCTCGATGTTGAAGATATCGTCCATGAGAGGCCGAAGTTTTGGATGTCGCCCACTCCACGGCTGCTGTTTTGTAGGTCCAGGGACATTCGCAAGGCCAAGCAGTTTATTGCCAATTATTGCCGCCAACGGTAGAAGTCTCGGCCTCGTCTCATCGCTGTTGCAATGATAGTTTGTGCATGAACCAACTACAACCCGAATGAGTTTGCCTCAGGTCCTCGCTCGCTCGGTGCAGGGCACCATGCTCACTCGGAACCCTTGGGCATCTCGAGCATCCTGAGTATCCCAACAGTGCTCCGACAGGCTGTTGGATGGTACGAGGAGACCTTCAACCACCTGTAAGCCAGTTATCTTGTATCTACCTTTCACCGATCTCAGCGTCATGGCGGCCCTGAAGACGGGGAAGCACATCCTCGTGGAGCGGCCAGCTTGCCCAACTGCGAGGGAGTAGACCAGCCGGCCATCGGTCGCGAAGGACCTGGGGCTGATATTCTCTTTGCCAAGCTCCACAGAAAAAGCGCTCATGAGGACACCAAGCACGGTGAAGCGGACTTCTTAACGCCATTCTGCGTCTCAACGCCCTTCTACGGTAGTGAGGCTGAGGGGACATGGATTGCTCGACTTCTAACCCTACCAACCCTGACAATGTCCCATCGTAAGCTCGCGCTCGAAGCAGCAGGCGGACCCCTCCCTGACCTCGGCGCGTATATTCTCCTCCCAGCTATTCCTGCGCTCTACAAGAATCCTGCCAACGAGGGGGCCAAACCTTCAGCCATCGGAGTCGCCATGATGAAATCCTCTGTCGGCGTCTACCTCACGACTACCATTACAGAAGATTAGCAAATGCTATTTCTGACAATCTCATCAAGCACACCGGCGTCATCCCACAGCATATCATATCGGCTCATTTTAGACGAAACACGCCTCTCATGTGCATCGACGAGATGAGCACTCAGTGATTTGGGACCTTCTTCTGGAGGAATTCCGCGAATTGTTTCTCATCTGATCGCGTCAGACAAAAGATTCCACTGTACACGAACCCAAACTCACATTCAGGATGCCATCGCGAGAGCGCTGGCCTGTTTTCGATGATATCGCCCAGAGACCACTCTATGCGCGCGTGATCGATTGCCTATAGCATGTAAGCATTCAGCCGCTGATTGGAATTGAGCTCTTACTCACTGTCGTAGTCTCGTTGTCTGGACAAAGAGCGTAAAAGTCGCCGTGGTTAAAGACCTTGTCAATCATGTAATCGACAGTCTGCTCGGCGGTCCATGCGCCGTCAGGCTTTGTCATCCCCTCTCGGCCGTTACCGTTCATGGCGGTGTAAGCCCACCCTGGACTGAGAGGAGTGTGAGGAGGGTATGCGACGGAACCCAGCATGTGACTCACATGAACAAGTGTGCCGAGCACAATGACGACGGGTAGTTGCGGAGCTCATGGGCGACTGGGAAGTGTCACCCTGCATGCACCTCTGAACCCTGCACGCGCCACTCACGTTGCTCAGTGTATGTCTTGACAACGGCTTTGCTGACATTGTATCCAGCATTTCCAGGGGGGCAGGTAATGCCTTGCTTGCTTCCCGTGTTAATGATGACGCTCTGCTCCTTCTGAGAACGCATGACTGGCCCAAAGAGCATTGACATGTAGACTACGCCCCACACGTTGACGTCGATCACCGCTTGCCATTGAGCAAGATACTCGTCGAATGACTGGCCGTCTGCGGGCATGGCGGGGCATTCTCGGCCAATACCGGCATTGTTCATCAGCACGTGAACCTGTGGAGGTCAGCTCGTATGTCTGGTGGGTGATTGAGCGGGGACTCACGCTGCCACACTCTTTGAAGACCGTGTCGCGGAGAGCGGTGACGTCTTGCAGGTTGGACACGTCGACCTCCATGGCATGTATCTCTGTGTGACTAAACTCCTTGCGCAGTCCCGCGGCGACGTCTTTCACGGTACTGGAAGCGTCCACAAGACAAACGACCATGCCCTTCTGAGCGAAGGTGCGAGCCGCTGCCAGGCCCAACCCAGAGCTGCGGTGTCATCAATGATAGCTCCCGGGATGGTAGACGAGGAGGAAACCCACGCTGCTCCGGTAATAACTGCAACAGCTTTGGACTTGAGGATATTGCTCATTGATAAAATGGGAGAGAAGTGCCATTCGACAACAAGATCACAGTTGACAGTCCTGGTCTTATACCCCAGCCTACCGTGCGGGTATATTATGCGGTGCTGTTACATCCTTTGTCAGCCATCCTCCAAAGTTCCGAGTTGTACCTCGATCATCAAGTTCCGAGATGGGAAACATCCGAGCCTCTCTGGGTTCAGATCCGTTGTTAGGCTCCCTTATGATGGAGCTCACATGTCTCGCTGGGCTTGTAGAGTGAGAACCACCATGAGAGCGCAGGGGCACAAGTCATGACGCTGTCATGCAGACACATCGAATCGATGCGGTTACGAACAGATCGTCAATCTAAGAGACTTAGCTGAGGTCGCGAGCTGCACTCTGCCTGGATGGTTACTACCATACGACACGTGAACACAAGCCGATAGAAGTAGAGCGTGCACTTGCACACTAACTGCAAGTCACAGATGTATGTACATTACTCGCTATTTTTCCCAATCATCGCATGGGTTCACACCGTTTCGCGCTTCATACTGCTTGTCACATGAGAACAGACTTCTCTGAGCTGTACCCAACATCTCCAGCATGACAATCGAGATGCGTTCAGGCTGCAGGCACTGATAGAGGCATCCAACCGCAATATCTTGTGCGACAAGCGGGCATGCCCCTGCGTAGGTGGCCTCGGTCTTCTCAGGATCGTACATGTGGCGACGGCTGTGGAATTCCGTGCGTACTGTTCCGGGCCGGTTGATGAGCACACGGATGTTAGTGCCGACCAGCTCGTGACGCAGAACGTTTGAAAACCCTTCCACTCCCATCTGGAATTCTTGTCAGCAAACCTGTACTGTTGTTCAGTTCAGTAGGCCGGACAGCTCACCTTGGAAGTGTGGTAGGAAGCCTCGAAGCTCTCCTTCAGAGGCGCTTGATGGCCGGTAATACTTGAGATGTTGACGATCGTCCCCTTGGGCTGGGGCTTGCGGGTCATCATGTGGTATTTGAGGACGGCGTCTGTATACGATGTTAGTAGGAGGATGCACCCACTATGACCACACTCACGGGTAACGGACATGAGGCCATTAAGATTCACATCCATAACCGATTCGACATTGTCCATGTCCTGCTCCCAGAAGGGTGCATTCGCCGTGAGCGCATACCCAGCCTGGGGAGAGATGTCAGTGTACGTTAAGGGATTTCCCCAACAACGTACATTATTGATAAGAATGTTGATGGGAGGGCACTCTTTGGCAGCTTTTTGGACCATTGTGTTGACCTGTTGACGGTTGCGAAGGTCGCATGCGAACGCCCACGCTTTACCTCCTTCAGTAGGAAGCGACTTCAAGAAGGTGTTGAGCTTGTCCTCATTGGAGCCAGTTATAATAACATTGCAGCCAGCACGCTTGAACAAGATTGTGAGAGCACTGCCGATGCCGCCGGATCCGCCGGTCTGTACAGCATGAGCTGTGTAGGAGGTATAGGCGGTAGTCCGAATCTGAACCCACAATCATTGCAGTCTGGCCGTTTAGGGCCAGCTTTCCCATCTCAATGAGAAGTTCGAGTGACGTCGGCATGGCTAATCTTTAACGGGATATAGGAAACGGATGAGTGGAGTGACATTTACTTGTTTTGACGTCGAGCGTTTTATAGGTCCAACCTTGCGTCGTCAAACCATGGAAGTTTGTAGCTTGGAGCACGACAAGGAGTCGGAAGTTCGGCGAAAATTCGGATAACTCAAGGGACTACAGTTACTAGTCAGCGAAGCATTAGCTTAACCTAGTTGTCTACACGTTGCCGGAAACCAAGGGGTAATCAATGTAACTGAACCTGCGCCCGCAGTACATACATAGCTGACAGCCGCACAGTCTCACCTCGAGGAAATTGCCACTCGATTTGAGGGGGGAACGTGCCGCTCAGCTCGAACACGCCTACGTTGCAGCGGGAGTAGAGGAGCTCTCGCATGCGGATCAGGACTAGAAGGATATCGACGAGCACCAGGAGCGAACGGAACAGAAGCTCGATCGCTATGTAGGAGGAATGTCTTGGATAGTGGGCAACGGCTGACAGAACAAGTTCAGGCATGAGAATTTGTTAGGCGCGTGGGGTTACGAAATCCGTCCCGTCTCATGCAAACGTATATATTGTGATGAGCTTGTGCCGTAGTGTCAGTGGCCTTGTGACTCGCTAACGAAACTGCCAATGCAGGAGAATGTGACGAGTTGTCTCAGGGGAGCTTTGCTGGGGGAGACGTAACAGTAGTAGGCAGGATCATTATTGATCTAGTGACCTTGTACTCACTATGTAGCTGTAGTTCCTTTGTTGACGTGGGGTGGGGGTTGGGAAGTTCGGAAGGCCCGCCCGCGGCCCCAAATGTTCCGGCGCCATCGTTTCCACGACCCTATATGACCTCGATATTGGAGCATTTGTCTTTATTCATTGCCATCACCTCTATACCACTCACACAGTCATGAGCTTCGCCCCCTTCCGCCGGATCCTCACGAGTCACGACGCCTCTGATGTCGATGGTACAAACGTTGTGGTCTTCGACGATTTGGTGGAAATCGCGCCCATTGCTAACGGCAATGGCCTGAGCCCGGTCTACGCTTCCCTTGGGCTCCCCATCCGCACAAAGCACAGCACCACTAGCGAGGAGATTACCGCCACGCTTCAGGACGCCGCCGATATAGTCACTCCGGGTGGCACCAATGGCCGCGTAGTCGTGCTGCCACCCAACGGCTCATTTGCGATGCATCGCACAGATTCCGTCGATTACAACATCATCATCTCGGGCTCTGGATTCCACGTCACCCCGAGCCCCAGCGGCGATGTTCAGACGCCGGTAAAGGCTGGCGAAGTAGTCATTCAGAGAGGCACGCTCCATGCCTGGCAGGCAGGGCCGGAGGGGATGAGGTGGTTCAGCATCATAATAGCGGCCGATCCTGTAGAGGTGAACGGTGTGCCGCTCAAACCGATCAGCCTCTGATGCATAGCGTCGATGAGCATTCATAACACATCGGATGTTGTTTCGCCTGCGAAGTTCTTTGATGACAATAATTGACCACACTGCACATACAACCTATCACCAATGATGCGAGATTTCAATCACGCTGAAATTCACGTTGAAATTGTGTGTGTCGCTCGCTGCATCGTTGGCCAAATTCACGACTGCACATTGAGTAGTACTCTCCGGTTGCCGGTGACAGGATCTCGGCACATGCTGTGCACTCACTCAAGGAAGTGTTGAACGTTCTGTCACCCTCCGTTGCATGAGAAAACCCTGAGGTCCAGCCAACCTCGTATTGCTTTGATCTGTCTGTATTTTGTTTGGCGTTCACTGATGGTTACCAGTCCTGCTTCTGCACGATCAGATAGATACAACGCGCAGAAATGCTGGGCCTATTTGGATTGTCGTTGCCGTCGATTGCCGATTAAGCAACCCCAACAGCCGACGACAGAATGAATGGGACCGAACTTCCGGCTCGGAAATTACTGAGCTTCCGACAATACTTCCCTTCTCCCGGCTTCACTTGCTGCTTGGATTCGTTTGACTGCAAAGACCACTGTTCCGAGAACGCAAACCAGCTATAATACAATGCCACTCGTCGATGCTACGCTTCCTAACACTGCGTCACAATTTCACCATGCCTGCTTTTGCCGATGAGCCTTCCAACTGGGTCCACCACACTGCGTGGGTCGAGAACAACGTCAAGATCCACTTCGTCCGCTGCACCCCATCCAACCCCAATGGCCACACGCTAGTGCTTATTCACGGCTATCCTTCTACTTGGTGAGTTGTACTTGACGGTGGCGGCGGTCAGAGATATATACGTCTTGCTCGACTTTCACTGACACGGGACAGGTATTCGTTCCGCCATGTCATCCAGCCTTTAGCGGACTTGGGCTACGATGTGATTGCCGCCGACTATCGTGGCGCCGGGGACTCCAACAAGCCGATGACGGGATACGATAAAATGTCAATGGCGCGTGATATTCACACTCTCTACCACGACCACCTTGACATCGACCGTGCTATTATCTGTGGCTACGACATTGGGTCAATGGTAGCCACATCACTGGCACTGCAGTTCCGCAACAGTGTCGAAGCGCTCATTGTTTTGGAAGCTCCGCTGCCAGGAACGAACCGCTTCGACATACTCACTACGAGCCCGGAGTTTACTTGGTCGCGCGTGTTCCACTACTACCTCCACATGCAGCCCGATCTTCCCGAAATGCTCACGGAGGGCCGGGAGCGTATGTACATCAAGCACTTCTACGACAGACTGGTTGGTGTGACCATTGGTAACACAGCATAGGCTGATGAGCATAGTGTTACGACCCCTCGTTCCACACTGTCAAGGACCTGGACATTTGTGAGTGTCAAGTTTTCCTGCTTCGCTGGGTTGCCTCCTCGATTGAACTATCGCTCACGCCCCAGACGCGACGAAGTTCCAGGCGGCTGGGGCGATGAGGGCTGGGTTTGAGGTCTACCGGGCCTTCCTCAAGGACGCCGAAGACTTGCGGGCCAATCTCAAGCAGCACGGCAAGATCAGTGTCGCTACATTAGCCACTGGCGGCGAGCACTCGCGCTTTACCCCCTTCATCGCCGAACAGGCGTGTGAGTTTGCCAACGACGTCACCCACAGCAAGATCCCGCACTCGAACCACTGGTGCCCGGAGGAGAATCCAACGGGATTCGTGGATGATGTGCATAGCTTCTTGAGCAAGCGTGGACTTGGAGGCGTCCCAAACTAGGTTGGCTTAAGGTTACTGTTGCAGACTCTCTTGCTCGGATGTATCAACCGTTCGGTGTTTCGAGATCACATTCTGCAGTAGCGGTTCACTGTGTCACTGTAAACACCTGAAGGCATATCAGTTTGGGGCCAGCTCCGCGTGGCATCAAGACATTTTCAACCTACAGTACAAATGAAATCTAAAAAAAGTCCAAACCATTAGGATTAATTTCGACGAATGCCCATTAGGAAGTCTGCTATGAAGTCCCTAAAACGGGTCCAATACATTAACGTCCATTAGGGCCGCGGCGGATTAGCAAAATGTAATGGTGGCCTCACTGACTGGTCGGGAGGTCACCTGATCAGATGACCCTCACCAACCCAACTACTGGGCCACTGTCAGTGGTCACATCTGCGAGTGCTCGATCTATCTGTCAGTATTTTGTCATTAATCATCGGGCGTTGGAAGGCGGTGTTTATTATGAGCTGTACCGTTTGGCTGTTGAACAGCATTGGCCACCAAACATGGCACTAGGCTTATGGCCGTGCTCTGCATAGAATGCTGCTGACCGTATCGTGCTACACTCGGCTGAGGCGCCGTTGTCTTGCGTAATACAGAGGCTCCGACGACTTATGGCAGTGACAGAAGTTGCACGATCGCTAGTGAAGTGTGACTTCTGATGCTTTCCATGTTGAGGATCTTGCTGGCGGTTCTCGACCTCACTCTTCCTTAAAGTACAAGATAAGGACTGCGCGCGGACTGGGGCGCAGGGTACATATTTCACATCCTCCAAGCGCCCATTTTTCTTTCTGTCTTCTATGCAACTCGTTTTGACATGTTCTGCATTGTAAAAGGCCAGCTATGTATGTAGTGCAACTGTACACTGCCTAATGAACCCTTGAATTTATCGGCATCCCCACAACTCCACTGGTTCACACCACTACCGTCCGTGGTTTCTCCTCGTCCGAATTGGAGATCTCGCGAACGATGGGATCGGTAATTGGGTATGGGAATCGACGGTTGAGTATGACCATGGCGACTGCGACAACAGCGAGAGCGACATTCATTGCAAGGGTTGCACCAAAGCCAGGATAGTAGCGAGGGGCGTCCGACGATGGCCAGAGGAATGAACCGTAGATGGAGGCCGCATTACCCATGGCGTTGACAGTTGCCTGAGTGACTGCTCGCTTCTCGGCGGGCCAGGACACAACGTTGGATGTCCAGACGAGGACTAACGGGATGCAAACGTAAATTCCCGCTACCGCAAAGCAGAGCAAAGCGTACTGTGCTTTCTGGGCGGTAATGCCCATAATTGCAGCGAAGCAGGCTCCGGTGAAAACTGCAGTTCCAGCAAGATGGAAGCCTCGCTCTTGACGGTAGTCGGAGTGGAAGCAGACGATCGGGATGAAGACCATGGCCGTGGCGTCTGCATGGTTAGCGGCATTCGGCAGCTCTTGCTCACAGATTGGCACAGTCATGTACTGGAGGGTAATGCCCTTGTAGCCGAGGGACCCGACTAGAGTGGGGATGAAACTTTAACGTCAGCTTGCGAGGAGGCTTGTGCCGAACAAAGCACTCACTAGTTGATGGTCAGAGCGCCTGTGGCCATCATGTAGAGGAAAATGAAGATCTGCGGATCAGCACTGCCGACATTCGGGGCTACTCACGTAGGTGCGCCAATCACCAAACATTTCCTTGATGCTGGCGAGTGCCCCGTGGGTTGCACCCTCACCCTGAGCAGAACCAATGTTGTCCATGAGGAGACGCTGTTTGGCCAGCATCTTCTCCTCCTCTGTGAGCCAAGTTGTAGTGTCGGGGAAGTCGGGAAGCAGAAAGAAGGCAACAATGGCGACGGCGATTGTGGCGACTCCTTCGATCTGAGACCGTCAGAGAGGAATCAGAGGCGCGTTGCTCACAATAAAGAGCCACTGCCAACCAGCGTGTCCTTGATATCCATCGAGGCTTTCGGTAATTCCACCGGCCAGGATTCCACCTAGGGCACCCGCAGTGGGCGAACCCAACCAAAAGAGGCAGTAGCGACCGCCTAGCTCGTTGCGGCGGTACCAGCTTGACAACCTGGGGTCTCAGCCACTTCTCACGTGGAGATTTGCCCAACTTACAGAAAGAGGACACCCGGGGCAAATCCTGCTTCAAGGAAACCGAGGAGCGCACGGACACCAACAAGCGCACCAAAAGTTTTGCAACCTGCGAGGGCAACGGCAATGGCCCCCCATACAGCCATGAGCATGGGAAGGTAGACGTGGGGCTTGAAACGAGTGAGGATCATGTTGGACGGCGTCTGCCCAAGGCAGTAACCAATGAACTGTATCCTGTTAGCAGTTTGAAGCGCTGCAACGTTGAGTGGTACGTACGAAGACGAGGAGAGCAACGGAGTACTGCTCGGAGTTCATGTTAAGATCCGCTGTCATGCCAGCTGCCTTGGCATTCCCTATGTTCGATCGGTCAAGGTTGTTGAAGATGAACATGAGGAATAGAATGGGCTGGGTGTTCAGCAATAGCCCGATGCCAGTTCCCAGGCACATACCAGCAAATGGAGGTCAATCTTGCGAAGAAGTTTCTTCTCCTCTGGACCACCGACGCCTGAAAGAAGGCCAGGAGTAGCGGACTGAGCCTCGGCATTGTCACGCAGCTCACACGTTACCTTGTCGTCAGGGAAGGTCATTGTAGTGTTGGAAGCAATATGGGGAGCCATGGGGTGTGCTGTATGCTTTGTGGCCCCGAACGACTCCTTTTAAGCAGGATATCGACGCTTCTCAGCTTAGGTATCGGTCCGGACACGATAGATCCGGTGGGCATTGCACTGGAAAGTGGCAATGTAGGAAGGAAATCGAAGAAGTCGCAGATCCACGAAAGTGAACGACGGAAGTTGTCGTTGAATGGATGCTACAACAACTGAGACAGACAGGGACACTCGGAACTTCAAACTTCCGAACTGCCGGCCGATTGTCGTGGAAGGCTGGCACGATTGAAGCTCCGGGTCTGTCCTTCCCTTGATATCGGACACGATTAGTACAAGACGATGAGGGATTCCAGATGCTCTTCCACTGCCTAGCTTTCCCGATACACCTCTACAACCCTGACGCAATATGGCAGGATATGTCACGTTTGTCGGCCCGCCCGACGAGAAAGTCAAACACGTGAGCCGAAAACGAAACCCGCTTCGTCTCAAACTCACACATTCAGCTATTGAAATCCGCTGGTATTCTTACATTCGGCACAGTTACCGAACCCAAGTTGGTGATAGCGACAAATGAGGTAGGTATGCTTCCGAGCACACTTCCGATAACACCAAAGTCTGTTCTGCAAGGCCTCCCCCAGCGTGTGGCTGGATCTTCCGCTTGTGTTGTGCTCTACGGCCGATTTACAGTTGCTTCTGTCGAGAAGATCGTCAAGGAGCATGGAAAGGACTACAACGTGAGTGCAATAATGTGACCACTTGCTCATGTCCAAGATCACAGTCGTTAGCAGCCTCCACGGCCCTGAGCAACTGAACGTTGTGTCTGGCTACCATGCGGCCGAACTCAATTCTGTCCTCAACGCCTTCGGCAAGCATGAATATCTTGGCAGCAACCCAGTCTGGGCGGCTATGCTGAGCCTAACCGAGCGCCACCTGTACGCGGTACAGACGATACTTGCTGCGTATGTAGATTGGGTCGCACAATGGCTGACCTGTACAGCGAGTCCCTGGCAATCGGGGCTAAAGCTGGGTTGGACACCCAGATTCTCTACGATGCCATTTGTGGTGTTGCAGGGTCCTCCTGGTAAGCTTCGACGGCTGTTGTTTGGTGTGGATTGCTGACATTCACTGTAGGGCCTTAAAATCGTGCGGGCCTGACATGCTGCATGCATCGGAGAGCACTGCTGGAGTGACTGTTGAAGCTGCTTTGGCGGATCTGGTGAGTGGACAGCGCATTCTTTGTCGCCATCCTTCCTTCCACACATCTCTAATATGCTCCTCCCTTCCTGTATTCAATTGAGCGATTTCCAATAAACGGCCTGCTGGATTTTAGCTGACGCGCTTAACTAGACGGAGTCCTGCCTTTCGGCGAAAACGTACGCTCTACAGATGCCACTCGCCTCCATGTCTCGCCAACTCCTTGTCACCGCGGGTTCACTCGGCCTCGCCCGTAAGAACATTGCCGCAGTTGCGAAGGTGTACTCCCAGCTGGGTCACATATGCCTGGCGCCCACCGGTTCAAAGTCTTCGCAGCTGGCCACCTGCACCGCGAAGCCGAACAAAGTGGCGTTCATCGGCCTGGGCGCAATGGGGCTGGGAATGGCAAATGGTGAGAAATGTGCTCCCTGTCCGAGCTAATGCCCAGTTCTTCTTCAGGCGGGCTTCAACGTCCACGGCTTTGACGTTTATCCTCCTTCCATTGACAAATTTATCGCAATGGGAGGCAAAGGAAGCAGTAATATTGCCGAAGCAGTCAAAGGCGCCGAAGTTGTTGTCCTTATGGTTGTTAACGCCGTCCAAGCCGCCGATGTGCTGTTCCGATTGGGAGCCGCAAATGGTAAGTCAGTCCAGTGAACCCCGCCGCTGATGAATTCCAGCAATGTCACCCGGGGCTGTAATCTGTCTCATGTCTACCGTGTCCCCTTCGGCAGCCATTGAACTGGATGCCAAAGTACAGGCCCTTGGCCTGGGACTCGGATTTATCGATTGCCCAGTATCCGGGGGCACCTCCCGAGCTGCCATTGGTGACCTGACTATTCTCGCCAGTGGTCGCGACAAGGATGTCACCACCGCGCTAGCTGTTCTTCAGGCTCTGAGTGGCGCGAAGGGCAATAACAGCAATCTCTTCGTCGTCGATGGCGGGGTAGGGAAGGGTTCGGCCGTCAAACTTGTCAATCAGCATCTCGCCGCCACACAAATCATCTCCACTGCTGAAGCTCTCGCCCTTGTTGCGGAGCAGGGAATTCCACTCAAACATGCCCACACCATTCTGCAGCGCTCTGCGGGCAACTCGTGGATGCTCGGAGACCGCGGAGGCAAAATGCTCGCGGGCCTCATTACCCCGCCAACCTCGACCGTAACAATCTTTGTCAAGGACGCCAGCATAGTTGTCGATGAAGCCCAACTGCTTGGCGTCCCGGCATTCATGGCGGTTACCGCACAGCAACAGTTTATTGCCGGCGTCGCACGTGGCTGGGGTGGGCACGACGACTCGAGGTGAGGTCATGGTTATCCGAGCAGCATTGACCTGTCCCAGCATTGTACGACTAATCCGGGAGGATGGTGTCATTGCAAACACCGTCTAAGAATGAGATCCATGTCCGGATATCCCACGAACCGAGAATAGCCATGCATCTCTGTCCACTGCAGCCACAACGATTAACCACTTTCCGTGAGGCCATGCGGACGCAGGCAATCACAAAGTCAGTATTTTGCGTGGCGTTGTTCGGTGCAGTCGTACCCTTGTGAAAACCGCCTTGCGGTATTGTTGGCAGCGTCAATCCTCTCAGTTGGGTGTTTCAGAGTGAGTGACTCAGAAGCGACAACAGGACGGTGCATGGCCGACACAACTACATATATGAAAAGAAGTCCCCCAGGTTGGTCTCAGGGACATTGACAGAGGTGACATCCTCGACTGTGAAGGTGGGCAAAAAGTCGAACAGGTTATCTGAATACGTTAGCTGGTCCCGGTCAGGGAGCGCACCCAGCAGTGCGGGATCGATTTGTAGCCCGTCATCATTTGTGAGCCACATGCCGGGAGTGCGGCTGCCGTCTGAACCATCAGCTATGCCAACCTTTGCTACTCACTTTTAAACCGTTTCAGCAACCCTCTGTCCGGGAGTGAGATGAATGGACTCCTCTCCAGCGGAGATGGAACGTTGAGTGAATCGATCTTTGCCGCTCGCTGGTCCAACACGGCTAGCGCATAGCCACATCCCGACCAATATGCTTCCATGCTGCGTAGTGCCCGCCGAATCGTGTCGAGATTCTGTGCCGCAAAGGTGTTTAGCAACGAGTTCGACTCCGTTTGGCCTGCTGCTGTGTTGACTTCGATATCGTCCAGAAGGGTTAGGGGGTAGGGGGCTGCATCGGGTGTGACTACTAAGAACTATGGGAAGAGGATACTATAGTAGACATGGCAGTTTCTTGGCTCAATGGGACCAGAGATCAAAGTTTCTCACTCTGGCGCGAAGGAGGGTGAGACTGAGTCTGATACAAAGCATCCTGTGGGAATGGGGAGGTAGGACCTCACCCCAGGTGTGGAGGGCTTGGGCAGTCCTGTGTTCCATGACACCACCCAAAGAAAAGATGAGGGGAGTGAAGGGGGTGGCAGCAGAGCTAGGGAGATTTCTGAATTTCTCCCTAGATACAGAGTCAAGGAATTTGTGGACCGTGGCAGAAGCCCTCTCCAGGGTGGATCCAGTGAACCCAGGAGGGGAGACAGTGGTCCTGGCCTGGACAGAGCCCAGTGACACAATGGAGATGTCATACTCATGGTTGGCCAGCCCAGAGGCATGGGAGCCAGAGATTCTTATGTCATTCCTCCTGTGTGTAGTGTCACTGATGAAGGGTTCAAGGTGGACCTCAATGTCTGGGATGATATTGAGGGTGCCAGCTATCACCTTCTTCACCTGCTCATGCCTAGCCACAGTCCACTTGGACTTGTGTGGGCACACTTCATCATGTCCATGGAAGTTTCCATGTCCACAATGTCTGCAGCTGGGCGAGGTGCTGGGCACCATTGTCCTCAGCTGCAGAGCTGCTGCCACCTCAAAGTTGGTGAGCCTCAGGATTGCACTGGAGGGGATGGCTGAGAGCCACTGCCTGCCAAGTGCTGAGGAATTCTCAACCAGTGCTTGTTGTTGGAGGGGAGGCAGAGCAAGTGTCAAGTCTGCCTGGGTGGACTTGAAGGCATCCAGACAGAGACTGTGCTGGGAGGGGGGCTCAGGAGGGTCTGGACCAGGATCACCAAGGAGGGGGTGAAGTATGACAGATGCAGCTCCAGTGGAGGCCACATAAGCCAGGGGGGCACAGGTGGAATGGGAGAGAAGGCCAAGGCCACCCAGCTTGACTGGGAGAGACAAGAGGGTGTTGTCCTTCTCTGGGTCCATTACACGTGCAGCCCCTCTGATACTTCTTGCCTTGTCCCATAGGGCCATGTCCAAGTCTTCCCAGAGTTCCATTAGATCCTCAGACTTGAGAGTCCTCTGGAGGTGTCTAAGGTCCTGCTGGACTGCTTGGAGTAGGAGAAGCAGGGCATGCTGGTGGGGGAGGTCCACCAGTTTGCCAAGCTTGGCCTTGGTCATTGCTATTTTGTCTTTGAGGAAAGACTCTCTAGCAGACCTGGGACCCACTGTGCTGCCCAGGATTCCAAGCCCATTGTCTCTGATGTCACTCAGAGATTTTATGGAGGACTTGGCCATGTTGAGTGAGAGAGTGAGATCTTGCTGGGAAGCAAAGAAGGACTCAACCTCACTCAGCGTGCTGTCAGAGCTACTCAGGACATAAATGTCATCCAAGTAGGCTAGGACTGTGCACTCTGGACCTAGGGCAACAATCAGATCCTCTAGGAGGGGTCTGATCCCAACAGAGAACAGGAGGGGACCCAGAGGGTCACCCTGTCTGACTCCCTGGGATGAGTGGAGAGGAGGTACTCCTGGCAGGACAAGGTCAGTGGGCTTGTTGTAGGCCCACTTGGCAAGCCTGTACAGGGTTGGGGAATACTTCCTGACAGCCTGGGCAACAAGTTGCCTACCAACACTGTTGAAGGCATTGGTAAAATCAAGACTGGTCAGGTGGGTGAACTTGTGGTTGTCCAGTGCAGTGTTAACTGCATGGACCACAGGTTCAACACCTCCTTTACTGCCAACTCCAAACTGGTTGCCCAGCAGGAAGTCTGGCTTCAAGGAGTGCCTTAGGATAGCCTTTGTGCAGAGTCTGTATAACAGTTCTCCAACAGCAATAGGTCTGATCCCTCCCCCAGGTTTGGCAAGGGCTACCAGCCTGGAGGAGCACAACATCTCCTGTCCAGGAGCAGTGCCAGAGACCATCATAGTGCACAGAGAATGGATCATCTCCATGACTACTTTGGACCTCATGGCAGCTCTGAGCAGGGGCACAGTCCAACCAGATACACCTGGGGCAGTGTCCACTTTGAATGACTTCAAAGCAGAGTGGAGGGCTTCAGTGTCTGGACATGATCCATTGACTGGGCCCACACCACTGCCAAAGGGATTGGCTGGACCAGCTGGGTGCTTGGCCTTTAAGGTATTCACCACCTCTGGTGTGGGTTGGACACTGGCAGAACCTTCCTCTAGGAGGTGGGCAGCTGCACTGATCCTTCCCATCTCCACCATCCTCTGGGCAGAGGGGGCAGAGGGAGTCACAGATTTTCTGAAGGATGCTTCTGGGAATGTGACCCAAGGGTAGCTCTTCAGTCTGTCTGTGGGTCTCCCACCTTGGTAAAGTGCTGGAACAAGACCTACTTTGGGGAGAGCAAGGAAGTTGAGGACAGTGCCTTTGCTGGGGGCACATAGGAAATCTTGAGCACACTTCTCTGCTGCTTGGACAAAGGCCTTGTAGACACTTGGGTGGAGTGGTTTGTGGGTGGTGGGAAGAGAAGAAAGAGAAAGGAAAGTGGAATGGGGGGTATCTTTGTAGAATTTTGGCATGTTTACCCCAGGGAGGGATGCCAAAGTCTGGGGCTGTGTGGCAGGACTGAGGACAGTCCTAGACCCGACAGCAGGAGGCCTGGGAGCAGTGGGGGGGGTGGGCTGGGTGGGGAGGAGGGTGGAGGCTGGGGCAGGAGGGGGGGTGTCAGACTCTGAGTCAGACAGCTGGATTCTAGTCCTGGGAGGAGGCCTAGACTTGCCAGCAGCCCTTCTGGTAGCCCTGGGGGGAGGTGGGGAGGAGATGGAAGAGGCAGACTCTATTCCTTCAAAGGAGTCAGAGTTGTCATCATTCCAGCCTGAGCTGGGTGAGGCCACTGGATTGGGGGACTGCCAGTCTTCTGGGAGGGAGGAGGAGGAGGACAGCACTGGGGATGGGATGTGGAACCTTCTCTGGCTGGTCTGGGTTGGGGGGGGGAGGCAGACCTTAGGGGTTAGGGGTTAAGGGGGTATAGGGGGTTAGGGGGTTAGGGGGGTTAGGGGGTTGAGGTTAGGGGGTTAGGGGGTTAGGGGGTTAGGGGGTTAGGGGTTAGGGGGTTAGGGGGTTAGGGGTTAGGGGGTTAGGGGGGTTAGGGGTTAGGGGGTTAGGGGGTTAGGGGGGGTTAGGGGTTAGGGGGTTAGGGGGTTAGGGGGTTAGGGGGTTAGGGGGTTAGGGGGTTAGGGGTTAGGGGGGTTAGGGGGTTAGGGGGTTAGGGGGTTAGGGGGTTAGGGG